TTATAGTAAACTTTTAGGACAAAATTATAATTAGATACTAATTATTCTAATTATTAGATTATAATATTATACTTACTATTCTATATTTTAATATATTAGGTTCTAGTTAGATAGGTTATTAAAGGTTAAAATATTAAAGTAGTAAGGCGAATTAAAAGGTATTAATAAAGTAGTAAAATATAGCCTTTTCTTTTTTAAATAATTAAATATTATTAAGTTGTTTATTATCTTCACTTTCTTTTAATAAGGATATAAGTAAGTGAGCGATTTAGGAGAAGTTCTAAATAAGATTTCTATAAAAGTTATAGAAATTAATAAATATTTATAGTAATTTTATAAGAGTAACTATAAATTAATAGTAAAAACCCGCTAAAGATCTCTTAAAATTATATTCTATAAAATAATATATCTAAGGAATTTAATATATTGTTAATAAAACATATATTTTATAGGCTTCGCGAATAGCTTCATATTATATATATGTTATAGAACTTACTAAATATTTATAGTATAAGTATTATAATTTAGTAAGAAAATTAAAATATTATTAAGGTAAGTGATATAATGGATATTTAATAGTTCGCGTAAGACTATATAGATATAGTTCTAAAAAGTAATGGGCATATTAGTTAGGCTAAAAGACAACTGTATATCTAAAGTATCTAGAATAGATATAAAATACTATTTTCTATTTATTACCTTTCTTTATAAAAGATTAATATATTTATAGGGCTTTTAGAGGGTCGAATTCTTATAGTAAGAAAGTTCTTATCTAGGTGTTCTGATAAGACCTAAAGCTTTATCTATAATAGAGAGTAAATATGTCTTTATAGAGGTACCTTACTTAGTTTAAGATTAATAAAGTAATTAATTTATTTCTAAGATAAAAGGACTTTAGGGCTTTACTTAATATTTAGATTATAGTTAATTATAATATAGAGATATATAAAGGACTATTTTTTTATATATCTATAGCTATAATAAGAACTAGCTAAACTCCATAAATAAGCGTTCTAAGGCTATTTATAGCCTAAATAAGAGGTCTATTAAGCTTAGGCTACTCTAAGCTATATTTTTAAATAAATTAATAGCTAATTATATCTATTTTAAATATAGTTATTAAAATTCGCTATTATTAAGTTAAAGGTATAATTTTATTCTAATTTGTACTTAAGATATTTTTTTTACTATATAGATAGAAGTAAAATTCCTAAGAATCCTATTAAAAGAGTTAAAATATTTTTTTAGTTTAGTCGTGGAGATTAATAGAGTCTTAAATTAGGGCTAGAGTGTATTTTTTAAAAGTAGCCTATAATTTAGTATATTTTTATTATTATTATTCTACAATTTATTTATGAATAAATTTAGCCTATTTTACTTTATAAAATTTATCAAGCGCTAGGCCCTATATATCTTATATATATTTATATTATACTACCTTAGAGTAGGTCAAAATATAATATTAAAATTAATAAGCCACTCTTCTAGGGGTAATATTTTACGAGGTAGAGTTCGCTAGGCGGATAAGAAAGCGGGGCCTAAAGGGCTGCTTAGCTCCTACGTAGAGGCGTTTTAGTAGGTATTCACTATCTTTTCCTTAGGTAGTTAAGGAAGAAGGATTAGAACTATTAAGGATATATCGGTTATACTAGGTAAGGGATAAATAATAAGGTGCGATAACACTAATTATATAATAGAATAGAACCGAACTAATCGTTACCGAAGTAAGATTAACTAGATATATCTATCTCCCTTTTTATATATTTATAGGATCACGTAGCACTTCTATATAGGTTATCTATAGGTTATCAGGGGGGTTTCTCCCTACATCCTAATACGGATCTTGGATACCTTTATATTATATGTTATACCATAATATATATATTTTTCTTTCTTCTTCTTTTTCTTCTTCTTTTTCTTCTTCTTCTTATATTAAATAAAAAGATAGGTTCACCTTATATAGTATTAGATGGTGTTAGAACTTAGACTAATACTATATAAAGTAAATTTATTCTCTTATTTTAATAATAAGAGAAGTTATTAAATAAAGAAAGTTATTGAGCTTAATCCTCTTTTGATTTAATACTAAAGAAGTAGGTTTACCCCTCTTTATCTCGCTGAATATATAAGTTAAATATTCTACTATTCTTTCTTCTGCTAGTCCTTTGTTTGAGGATTGTGGATTATACTTATTTAGAGTGCATAAACCCTTTACACTCTCTCTTATTCTTATTATTCTTTTTTTATCCGATCAAGCCTTTCCTTGGTCGGGGAGTCTAATGGTCTGTGGTGGGGAAGTATCTACAAAAGCGTACCCCACGCCACAAAAAGCTTCGTGGTATTCGCCTCCCCTTCACGATCGATAGTACATATATTTACTTTTATATATTTATTATTAATATATCTATTTACGCGTATATCTTTTATTAATATATACGCCTTAATATCATTATAATATACTATTATTATATAAATAGACTTAGTGACGTTCGAGGACGAACGCTTATATATTCTACTAGTTTCCTTTACTATTGTTTATTTATTTATATTACTTATACTTAGATACGATTCAATACGGTTATAGTCCTATCTAGTGGAGGAGGATATATGTTAGACCACGCAGTAGTCTCTAGGTAAGGATGGGTAAGCGAGGTAGACACCTTCATATGCGTGTAATACAATGTAGTGGATTGTAAGATAAACTGAACACTGGCCCTTCTAAGGTCCAGCGGGGCTTCACTTAAATACAGACTGGCCCGGCTGCGGGCGGTGAAGCCCAACAACATGATACTGCCATGGCATATAAGTATGCCTCAGGCCGTAGTTGGTATCGTCAGTCAGTGGTCCTGACAATATAATAATATAGCCTTATATAAGGATACGAATAGTTACGTTACTCTACTTTTTCTGCTATATAGTACCGCCCCTAAGGTATATTTCTATCCTTTCGTCTAATTACTTAGCAATACACACTTTTCCACCTCTAGAATCTTATTCTACTATAGGTAACTTTACATAGTGTTTTATACAGTGTTTCCTAGGATTACTAATATAAGGAATATAAGTATACTTGTTAGAATATAGACTAATGCTATATAGGTGGAAATTCCTCTTATTTCAACAATAAGAGAGTTGACAACGAAAGAAAGTTGATAACTTATAAGGGATTGAACTATATAATATCACTTACTCCTCCTTTTGTTTAATGATTATCAAACAGACTATTTTACCCCCTCCTTACCCTGCCAAATATATAAGTCATCGACTCAGTACAAACGCTTTCGTTCTATCATTGACAATGGTCTAGTCTGTTCTTTTTGTCATTGATTCAATTCTATTCCTCTGTCCCAACCATGTAACTTTAAGCACTTTCTGTCTATAAATACACGCGAGACATTAAGTAGAAATGACAGGCCTTTCACTCTCTTGTCGGAACCCTATTAATTTAGGACTAAATTAGTACCTTTTTAGTCGTAATATAGATATAAAGTGAGAAATTAAAGTTCATCACATCCCTATATAGACTAGCTAATATAAAGGTCTTTCTTTAATAACTACCCTAAGTAGTTTCTATATCTTTATATAGCGTGTTATCCTGATCTAGGCAAGATAGCGATACTCCGGACTAAAATAGCTTATTAGCTACTAAGTCACTTAGACTAAATATACTAGAGAATAGGCTAAAAACATAGGCTTTTATAAGTCTCTTTAAAATAATACTAACATTGAGTAAGTATATTTCTAAATTAGCGTAGATAACTAATTAAATCGCTTGAGTATATTTATTATAAACTATTATTTATAGCTCTTCCTAAAGCTCTTCTTTAGTCTTTTTCTTTTGTAGATTTATCTTAATAGACTAGATATAACTAATAGTATTAGTAGAAGGGAAGACTATTTTATATTAGCTAAGGTGGGAGGCGATACTATAATTAGTTATTATAGTAGTATAAAAGGACTATTATTTATATTTTATATTTTATAGAAAGAAAGTACTAAAAGCCATATACTTTAGATTAAAAGAATAGAATAGAATCTAATTAGTAACATAAATTTAATAGATCTAATAGGTAAAGAGGGATAAGCGGAGGTAAAGTATGGTTTTCAATCTATTCTTCTTATATTAATTTAGGAGATAATTTTTACCTATATAATAATGGCCTATTTTACTTTAATTAAAAGGATAGCTTATTAAGGAAGGAGGGCCTAGCTATTATCTAATAAACTAAAAAATTATAAAAAGATTTAAGAATTAAAAAATTTAGTATAGAAAGAAGTTCTTCCTGCTAGCCACAGAATCCGATATGATTTTAATTAGTAAGCTCAATATATAATAATCAACTGAAAGGCCAAGTTCTGCCTATACCTAGATCTTAGCATTCTGGATAATTTGGATTCCCATTTAGAGTAGGTTAGTTAATCATAGGTTAGGTAAAAAAAAAGGGGGGGGGGGGGGGGGGGGGGGGGAAGGGATTAGGTATTAATAAGTAGTAGATATGAGGTTTGCAATAGATAGCCCATGAACATAATTCTTAATATAACTAATAAAAGGCTATTTTTCTATCTCTCCTTCTGGGGCTAGTAATCTCTAGAAAATATCCGAGGAAATTTCATGTTGGGTATAACTAAATGAATCTCAAAGTAACAGCTATAACTATAGCGAGAAGTAAAAATCAGCATAGCCATATGCAATTTTATTGATATATTATTATGCAGCAAGTACGGATTTTGGAATTCAATGCGTGTTGCTTCAGGTTTCTTCTTCAAGCATATCGTATAGCAGCATTGATTTATCGCATCTTGATGTTTTATGATGGAATCAGAGGTCTTACTGGGGTTTTACGGAATCTACCCGTTCCTTGCCCGAAGATCAAAGACAAGGTCGCGCGCTATACGCCAAAATCATTTTGAATCAATTTTGGACAAAATTTGGTCCATTATTCAGTAGACATAGACCCAACATAAGGGGGTTGTGTGTTTTTAAAAATTCGTCATCGGCGCTAGTCATCAGGGTATTCATCTTTCACGTTACTAATAAAGGCCCGCGTTACCTCATCCCACCGTTTGAAGTGTTTCCCTGCAATGGCAGTCAAACTTTGCGGCAACTCCGTAAGATGAGTAAGAATTAGATCAATATTCTCTTCGGCCACGTACCGAACACTTCGATCCTCAACCCTGGACTAAGTTAGATCGGGATATACATAAATTAAGACCAGCAAACTCACAGAACGTGATAGAAACTCTGATGTCGGCCAGCTTGCAAGCGATCAATCCCCATTCGCCTCATCCACTGTTCTCCCGCGCCACATTCTGAATCCCATCCGGTGATAATAGCCCGATAGTGATAGCGACGATGCCGAAAGACTTGGCCAACCTTATATCGAATGTTCTTATTCTCCTCGGTCCTCCTGCGCACCTGCTTGGGTATTTCGTCGACTGCTCGCATGACATGGAGGCTTTCCAGTATGTGTTCATGCTCAAAAAGCCCGTGAAATAGAGGCACAATGTACTGCTCCACCAAGAATATATCGGACGGGAAATCAGTGGCAAACAATTCCATCAGCCATGGTAACTGATGCCGTAGATCCATCGGACGCGAATCACCCGAAAGAAGCATTGAAGACCACAGAGCCGCGTATTTTGCACTCACCATGTCTACAGAAGTAGATGCTTCCCCCGGGCGAGTAGACGCAGAATGAATTGAATTCAGGATATTTTTGCTGCAGCGCAAGACAATGTCCGAAGCCTGAGCATCACCGAGGAATTCAGCCTGGTCTGACACACCAAGGAAGGCTAGCTGGTCTCGTAAGTCGGATACTGGGGTCTCTCTTGCCCCCCGGAATGGGTCCAGATACATTGGGGAACCTTGCTCCGCATCAGCAAGGATGTTGCCGCTCATATCAAAGCCCGGTCGTGGAGTAATGATGACATGGACGTGAAATGGGAACCCGCAAGGGTGGGCATTCAGTCCAAGCTCCTGAGCGGCGTAGCAATAGATGGCAGCCGAGATCAACGGCAGCGAGCTGTGACCGGGACTCTGTAGAGCTAGCCCCAGGAAGTTGTGCTCCAGAGAATGATACTCCCGTCCTGCCTCAATTCCGGTGAAATCATTCAGTTGCAACCACCGCGCAAGTTCTAGAGCCTTTTCGCGCGGGCTAAGAGAGTCCAAGTCGGGATAGAATGAAGTGAACTGACCAACAACTGTAGCCAGCATTTCTCGTATCTAGACAAAGTTAGGGAGGAATACAAAGGCGGATAAATCATTGAATTTGGGGAATACCTCATCCAAGTCCCCATATCCGCTCTCCGGAATGAACAAATCAAAGGCGCCCAATGCGCGCTCAAGCGATACTGGCTCTCCACGCCTGAGTTTGGCCCATTCAGGGACTGCAATACTTCTATGGAGGCAGGTCAACAATGCCCGGGCATAATACCTTGCGTCAATGGTTAACAGTCAGACATCACTATCGAATGAAAGATTGAAGCAAACCTTCTTGCAAGATGATCTTCTCCGGTTTCAACTTGACCGTGTCGCAAAAGAGTATCCTTCGCATCATATCCGTAATCAATGACAGCCCTAAATTTTTCGATGCGTCCAGTCTGGCTAGCAAGAATACTATCAAGAAGTTGGGTGGCGGAGTCATCGATGCGATATCGTAAGACAAAAAGCGCTTTCCAGTCGACCGTAGGAACCGGGCTCGCAAGCTTCCGAATGATACCATGTCTTCTATCCCAGGACTTGTAATGGAGTTGGCAGTAGTGACGCCATAGCAAAGGCTCGTTGGTCACATTCTCAAAGCGGTGACTGGTTTGTTCAAGAGCAGCGCAGGAGCGAGGGTGAGAGTAGCATAGAATGGAGTGGAGTATCTCGTCCGGAAGGTGATTCAAAGACCGAAGCATGCCTGTAGGCGAAGGGCGATTCTGGGTAAGTTGCAAGAAGGAGGAAAAGAACCCCTCACTGTGATCGACTGAATCCCCGAGGGACAAGGGCGATTTATGACCATGTGAAGGCAATCGCGAGAGTTGAGCGGCAAGCTGCAAACTGCAAATCTTCAGAGGTAATCAATCTAACGCCAGCGTTGTACCCTCGACCGGGAGGATAGGATAGGAGGGGAATTGGAGCTGCAGAAGGAGCTGGGGTTGCTAAGCGGAGGCGCCGAGAACCGACGCGGAGAAAAAAGGTTACTTTCGCCTACCACTAAACAGCGGTCCAAACCTGCAAAACTACAGGCATTTTGATGCTTGGGGGTTTCTGATTGCTCCAGTCCTTTCTTCACCCTTTCTCTTTTTCTGATCTCCTCTCTTCTCTTCTCTTCTCTCTTTTCCGCGGGGTATGGGTCAATCTCAATCCACCGGCTCAAAGGGCCCCCAAGAGCAACAATCCGAGCGAAAGACAGATTATTACGAGTTGCTTGGTGTCGCACCGGCTGCCACTGATGATGAGTAGGCTCTCTATAATCCCAAGGACCCCTGAACCTTAGGCTAATTCTCCACAGGATCAAAAAGGCATATCGAAAAAAGGCCCTCGAGCTGCACCCCGATCGTAATTACGGAAACGTTGAGGAGGCTACAAGGCTTTTTGCTGAAATCCAATCGGCCTACGAGGTGCTTGCTGACCCTCAGGAGCGTGCCTGGTACGATTCACACAGCGATGCGTTTTTGGGCACCAATGGAGGCTCTGAGGGAGATCAACATTCCTACAACATTCGAGTCACCACTGCGGAAGATGTCCTGAAGGTATTCGCAAAGTTCAGCCCTCGAATGGAGTTCTCAGATTCGCCCAGTGGCTTCTTCGGCGGTCTTAGCGATCAATTCTCCAAATTGGCGCTAGAGGAGCGATTGGCTTGCCAATGGGAAGACCAAGACATGGTGGATTATCCTCCCTTTGGGATGCAGGACGACGATTTTGAAACAGTCGTGCGCCCATTCTACGCCGCCTGGAGCGGATTCTCAACCAGAAAATCATTTTCCTGGAAGGACACTTATCGTCTTTCCGATGCCCCTGATCGCCGAGTCCGCAGGCTAATGGAAAAAGAGAACCGGCGCCTTCGAGATGAGGCTATACGCGAATTTAACGACGCCGTTCGGTCTCTGGTGGCATTCATCAAGAAGCGGGACCCACGTTACAAGGCTAATGCACTCAATGAGGCTCAAAGGCAAGAGACTCTTCGTCAGTCCGTGGCAGCCCAAGCGGCAAGATCTCGCGCGATGAACCAAGCCAAAATGCGCGAGCATGTCGTTCCCCAATGGGCCCAGTCCGAAGAACCTGTGGCCGGTATCAGTCAAGAGAGCTCAGAAAGCGAGGTCGAGAGCTTCGAATGCGTGGCATGCAACAAGCATTTCAAGAGCCAGAAGCAGTTCGAGGCTCATGAACGTAGCAAGAAACATTTGAAGGCTGTTAAGCAGCTGCGTCGAGAGATGCTATTGGAGAACGATGAGCTGGATTTAGAGCCTGTGATTCAAGTTGACGCATCCCGCGCCTCCCAAGGCATAAATGGTTACGATGATGATTATGATGGACATGATAGTGACCATGACACCCCCGTGGCCATCCAGCCAGATAGCTCTGTTGTCCAAGAAGATGACCGTTCCGAAGATACTGAACTAAAAGGCAAGAGTCATATCTCGGCCTCTGGATCTGAGGATGAGAAGTCTATCGAAGATGAGGACTATGTGTCTAGGGAAACCATTGAAACCAGGCTTCACTCAGACTTTAAAAATTTGCAAGTCGATGACTCTATACCTGCGCTTACCGAGCAATTGTCCTCTTCTGCGCTCGACGACGGACCAGCTACGCCGCAGATTGGCAAAGCTAAGCAGAAGCGGGCCAAAAAGGCAGCTCGGAATACGGAAAAATCTGGGGGGTGGATTTGTATGCATTGCAGTGTGACTTTTGCCTCGAGAAATCAATTGTTCACTCACATCCAAGAAAACCCCTCCCACGCACAACCAATCGCAGCTAAAGGGAGAAGACGATGAAGTTCGAAGCACAGTCATCTAGTGTGTTAGAAGTCAGTCCAAGGTCCTTATTCCTAGGAGGTCTAGGTAAATATACAATTTTCATGTCGCATCATTCTGAAGACATACCCAGTTTCATTGTATCTCTCTATAAACAAGTGTACAGGGATCGGGCAAGATCCCGGATCTTATCCGAGACCAGCCCGAGAATTCTTCACCACTTGCGCAACAGGCTGAAGGATGCCCTTGTTGTTAGAGGCCCCAAGCGCAGTGCCACTGCTCCATCCCATCTTCTCCAGCATCGCTCGCCCTCGGTTTTCTACACCGATCTCTGGCGCAGAGGCACCAACGACATCGCCCTCCATGTATGAAACAGCTCCACCAACGGCTCCTCGCTTGCTCTTGGTTGGCTTTGAACCATCTGAGCCCCAGGAGTGGAAAAGTCGACGATTTAATTTCCGTCCAGATAAAAGATTGTCAACTCTAGAAATGGTTTTGCGCGTGTATGTAGGGGTACGCTGGGTTTTGACGAGTATTGGGAACCGCGCAGGTCCATTGCCGCGGGACTGTGACTTCAGATTCAGGGTATTGGCCAGTTCATGGATTGTCTTTCGATGATTCTTGGTCATGGGTGGCAACGATAGACTAGGCAGGGTCAGTCAAATTTATGGTAACGGGATAACTCTCACGCACCTGGTCTTGGACGACAGTAGGAAAGTTCGCATTTCAGTTATCAGCTCCTCCAAGTCCATGCCCTTGGAATATTTGATCTTCAAGTCCGCATCTCCGGGATCTCTTCCCAGCAATCCCTGCGAGCGGAGCTCCTCTCGTTCCTTCTTCTTGGCGGACTTTTTCTTGCGGTCAGTTTGCCATGCCTCACGTAGGTTAAACTCGAGATCGCTGTCAGAAAGCATGAGATCCAACGCAGGTGGGGTTTTGCCTTTGCCCTTCTTCTGCAAGCTGGGCCTATTGAAGTCCATGATATCGAATCCATAGTAAGGGTCAGCCTCGAGGGCGTCTGCAAATGCTGACGCTGACGCAAATCCATGATTGCCTTGGCGGCTACCCTTGGTCCTCTGTGTCGAATATCTGATAGCCAACTCTTCGAGGAGCTCGGTGTCAATATCTCCGTCCTCCATGTCCAGGTCGGAGTCGTCGGAATCCAGGCCTGCGAGGTCGTCATCAGAGCTTACGGCTGCTTCCGGTTCTGTATCCAGGTACATCTTAGACAGTACTAGGCCTTCACATTAGAAGAAATATTCGCATCACAAGATCTCATGGGCGACTCACCGTCAATTGAGTTCTGTACTTGAGCCTCGTCGTTGTTTTTGGCTTTTGCCCGTTCGATTTCAGGGCCAGTGATACTTGACCCCGACGATCCGGGATTTGCAGCAGTATGGCCAATGCCAGTGCCACCTTCTGTTTCGATGTGGACGTAAGAATCCGCGTCGTCTTCGGTGTGGTAGTGGCGATCCATGTTGGCAATATAATCTGCCAGCGGGTCGTTTTCTTCTTCATGAAACCCGCGTCTCTGCCGCCCATCCGGTGTCGCGGGGCTTTGACTATGTTCCGGTGAGACGTTCGAGTGCGTGGGTGTAACAATCTCCAGGGTGACGGGTGTCGGGTGGTTTTCGGATGCAGTACGCAGAATTCCCTGTAGCTCGTTTCTGTCGGTTTCTATCACGGTCGGCTTCTGATTGTTCTTGCGCCCCATGAAAACGACTTCATCTTCGCTTGAGTCATCGGAATCGCTCAAATCCAATCGCGGCGTCGGGTTTGGAAGCCCTGTATCGATGGGTTGTTGCCCTGTCGAGTCGAAGAAGAACGTGCCAGTAGGAGAATCTTTGTTCGGATCTGAAGACGCTTCTATCTCGAGCTTTATCGCATCCGGGTCGGAATCTATTTGGGCATATTTATCACGATCATCCGGGCTGGCATCTTCGAATGCGACCTCGACCTCGACCTCGATTTCGCTCCGTTTCAATTCACCCGCACTCACAAAACTGACGGCCTTGTGGCGGAGATTGCTATTGGACCATAGTCGTGTATGCGTTTCGGTATTGAGTGCCTCCTGCTGCATGGTAAATTGATGTGGCGATGGTTCTGTGAATAGTCAGTAGTGAAGCGGCGAAGTGGTAATCTCGTATGAGTACTCACTCGCCATCTTTGGGTCCCGCTTGACGCGGGCCTTCGCTTTCCCATGGCGGGCCATGAGTGTTGCTGTTCGGGTAGGCGAAGAAGTGAGGATTTCCGGATCGCGGATGGGCATATGGGTGGGCCGGGCGGTGGAGCCTGGTCGGGGGGGGAGTCAAGATCGCGTCATAGGCCAAGTACTCTTTCTTGTTGATGGATTTGAAGACATAAATTCGGAGGTTCTGTGTTGACGAGCGTTAATGTTCGAATGGGTTGAAGAAGAGCCAATTTTGAAGATTTTTACGTAGTGAAGTGTCGTGAGGGTTGAGTCCGAACAAGACAGACACCGTGACCATGACCGTGACCATGAACGTGACCATGACCGTGACCTTGACATCTAAAATAATGCAGAAGTTACCTTCGGGGCCCCTTTTGATTTCAAACTGATCTTTTTTGGTGGTATTTGAGCTTTATCTCGTGGGGCACACGGACTTGGGATCTCGTAATCTACAGATCTACGCTCCTCCCGTCCCGATATATATATCCTGGATAGCATCTCTAACCTGTTTAAACACAACCCCCCCCCGCACCCGACCCCAACTCCCACGCCACCAGGCACGAGAGTAAAGATACCAACAGAGATGACAGGGGTGGACCTGGAGAAATGCAAGCGTATTGTACAATACTTCTGGGACCCAGAGCCTAAGAACGACATGGCGCCAGAGGCCGCCATCTGGTGCCTAGGTCAAATGTATGCCCCTCCCCTCCAAATCGCGAGTGGCGAACCCGGTATGTAGTGAACCTGAAAATCCATACATCCGCGAACCAAGGGCAATCACTGACATTACTCTAGAAAGACATAACGCCCCTTCGAGTTCAAAGCGAGCGGGTGCCCCAAATGACACTGCTGGATTTGCCTGGCCGGAGGCATTTATGAAAGATTTTGAATCTAGAATATGGATGACCTACCGCTCCAACTTCACACCCATCCCCCGAAACAACACACCAGAAGCAACATCCTCGATGTCACTGGGGGTTCGTATTCGAAGCCAGTTGATGGACGCACAGGGCTTCACATCTGACACCGGCTGGGGTTGCATGATCCGATCTGGACAGAGCCTACTCGCGAATACCCTCTGCGTTTTACTACTTGGCCGAGGTGACCACGGAGATTCCCACACGAGTCGGAATAGCGCTGACAAGAACCACAGATTGGCGAAGAGGCCAAAGGCCCGAGGAAGAATCTAAACTACTTGCTATGTTTGCAGATTATTCAGAGGCACCCTTCTCAATACATCGATTTGTTAAATGCGGTGCTGAGTCCTGCGGAAAATACCCCGGGGAATGGTTTGGGCCATCGGCAACTGCTCGGTGCATCCAGTATGTCGCCCCTGTGAGCCAAAAAAAAAAGAGCCAAAAAATAAGGCTGATCAAAAAACACCAGGACCTTGTCGAACGAATGCGAAGACCCCAAGCTGAGGGTTTACGTGACCAACGATACGTCCGACGTGTACGAAGATCAGTTCACTCGACTAGCCCGCGGCGAAAATGGACGCTTCCAACCGACACTCATCCTTCTCGGGTTGAGATTGGGTATTGAGCAGGTCACTTCTGTATATTGGGACGGTCTTCGAGCATCTTTGCAATATCCGCAATCAGTGGGCGTCGCAGGGTGGGACCAACCCCAAAGAATGAAAAGAGTGCTATGCTAACAAACGGGGACATAATAGTGGACGACCGTCGGCATCCCATTATTTCATGGGCGTGCAGGATTCACAGCTTTTTTTCCTTGACCCGCACATCACACGCCCCACGATTCCCGCCAAAGGCCCCGATGAGGTGCATACCCCAGAAGAAGTGGATAGCTATCACACTCGACGCTTGAGACGGATTCACATCAAGGATATGGATCCCAGTATGCTGATCGGGTTTTTGATTCGAGACGAGGCAGATTGGGCCGATTGGAAGGAGCGGGTCAAATCCACGCCAGGGAAGCCGATCATACACATCGTCACCAGCGGAGTGCAGACGGATGAAGGCATTGGCCGAGAGGAGGCGTTGGACGAAGTTGAAGCACTTGATGATTCGGATGCACTAGAATGAGCAATAGAGAGAAACCTGCGATTTCAAGTAAGAGTGCAAGCGGATTGTACATAAACTAGAGAGGAAGAATAATGATCGATGCAATCAAGCATTTGGAATTTCGCGTTCTAGTTGGAGAGGGTAAACCGTGTAACCCGCTCCAGACCCGAGTTATGTTACACCGCGCGCATCGAGTAGTAACCATCAGAAAAAGTCGCCCATCGGGGGTAAAGAAAATTGAGACCATCCCATGACACATTAGAAAACCCGCAAAACACCCATAACCGACCGCCTCAGAGCCCAAACAAGATCAGGAGACGGTGAAAAAAAAAAGCAATACCGCAAGAAACGAAAAAACCCATTAACCGCTTATTTGGCGGAGGAAGAGTACTTGGTAACGGCCTTGGTACCCTCAGACACGGCGTGCTTGGCCAGCTCACCGGGGAGGATGAGGCGGACGGAAGTCTGGATCTCCCGGGAAGAGATGGTGGACTTCTTGTTGTAGGCAGCCAGCTTGGAGGCCTCAGTGGCAACGCGCTCGAAGATATCTAGATTCCGGTCAGAAAAAAGGCGCGTTCCGACGCGTTGAGAGAGGAGGATCAAAGCATACCGTTGACGAAGGAGTTCAGGATGGACATAGCACGGGTGGAGATACCGGTGTCGGGGTGAACCTGCTTGAGGACTAAAGAAATCAAAACATTAATGGACGCGTTCGGAGGCGATGGGAACCAGAATTCGTAAGTCCAAACTCACCCTTGTAGATGTAGGAGGAATAGGTCTCCTTGCGGGTCTTGCCGCGCTTCTTCTTCTCGCCAGAGGCGGCGGCGGTCTTCTTGCCAGCCTCCTTCTTCTCAGCGGGAGCCTTGCCGCCAACAGGGGCCTTGCCTCCGGTGGAGGGCTTCTTCTCAGCTGCCTTGGGGGCCATTTTTGATGATAATCACAAGAAGTGAAAATTTGAAAGGTGTTTGAAGGGGGTTGGAAGATGGAGCGTTGATGGAGATGAAGGACGGAGATGGAGTGAGTAAAAGTAAGAGAAACGCGGTGACGAGGGAGGCGCGGTCTTTATACTCGGTGGGCTCAGGCTCAGTTGATCCTGAGGGGTGCAAAGGAGGCGGAATTTCAATACGGTCACGAATATGTATGATCTGTATGATTAAGAGGGGGTCGACGCGTCTTAAGGTGGGCGGGGCCGGGTCACGGGCGCGGGTATCACGGTCAAATATGCGTAACGTGAAATACGACCGATAGAATACGACACCTTACCTGATGTGGCATGCCGCGCGCCCCGTGATCTGCGCCATGATTGGCCGATCCCGTTAAGCGAGAGCGTGATCTGGAGTTGATTGATGCGCCCCAACGTCACCCTCACCGCGTCCTTATAAATGCCCTCCGCTTCCACACGCTGCCCTCCCACCTGTTTTCGCAACCTACGCTCCATCTTCATCGACATATCCAACCCTTTCTAAACCAAAACCCCCCAACCCAACTACAACCATCAAAATGACTGGCGGAAAGTCCGGCGGCAAGGCTAGCGGTTCCAAGAACGCTCAGTCGTAAGTATCTCATTGTTGTGATATCGCATCTTCGACTCATTCTGACATCAATGATTTCCAGCCGTTCCTCCAAGGCTGGTCTCGCCTTCCCCGTTGGCCGTGTCCACCGTCTGCTCCGCAAGGGAAACTACGCCCAGCGTGTTGGTGCCGGTGCCCCCGTTTACCTGGCTGCCGTTCTCGAGTACCTCGCTGCTGAGATTCTCGAGTTGGCCGGTAACGCTGCCCGTGACAACAAGAAGACCCGTATCATTCCCCGTCACCTTCAGCTTGCCATCCGCAATGATGAGGAGTTGAACAAGCTCCTGGGTCATGTCACCATCGCCCAGGGTGGTGTTCTCCCCAACATCCACCAGAGTACGTGTCATCCTTCAGTTTGGGCTATACAATTCCGTATGCAGTCGCTAATGTCTAACCTCCAGACCTTCTGCCCAAGAAGACCCCTAAGGCCGGCAAGGGCAGCCAGGAGCTGTAAATGGCTTCTTTTATTTCGCGGATTTGTTTTGTTTTTCCGGCGCGGGTTGGTTCATTGACACGATAATGGGGTTATGGGATGGGCACGTTATGGCTCTGCGTTTTCTCTTTTCTTCAGTTTCCAGGTTGTACATTATGCCTGCGGGCATGGAATGATACCGACGAACTCAGCTTGTTCGAGGGATTTCAGTTTTCGGATAACTACCCCTGGGCATATGGCCAAATCAATTAAAAGATTCTAGGTTCAACAGAGTCTACTTTTTACTTCATTATTTCTCATCCGTTCAGTATGACATGATCGATCTCGTATGAAATCTCGTTTTCATCGTTACAGTAGTGGTACATGCCGATTTTGGAGCAGCAGCAATCAATTCCTCAAGGTCTCCTAAGTCTCGTTGAATTCAGTTGCAGTCAGTTACAGATTTGCTCGAATTGATTTGAATAAAAGGTGACTATTTCATTTGCAGTAGGCCAAATTACATAAACATGGTTTTGATGCCCGGGAAATCTTCTAGTGGGCGCCTGGAGCTTCCGCATCTGCAACGATGTTAGTATGGTACTTCCTGTTGAAGTGAGTAGATCGAGTTCATGTTCAACGTACATGGCAAAATTGGAGCCGGCAAGTTTCTCTCCCATTTGTTACCTATAGACAATGTAAGTGAAGCGCACGCAGTACGGATCTCGAAGCAAAAGACATACCTCCAGGGGCGGTGGGCGGCCGGTAGGGATCGGGGTGTTTCCACTCATCCAACAACTTCTCTGTCTCGCGCAAAAGGACCTGAATTCGACGTGTAAGTGCGAGGTTCGATCGGAGGACCTGGCGGGTAACGGTACCTGCTGCTGGCGAGGGTCGCGGACGTCCTTGTTGGCCTCAAACAGAGAGCGAATATAGACAGCCTGCCCGCGCCACACTGACCGGTGGACGGCCCAGTCGAGGGACAGCTTCAGGGAGCGCCGGTATAGCGAGCTATATACCAAGGGTCAGAGAGATCACCGAAGTCATGGAGGGTTTCACTCACGTGGCGGAGGACATGATGGGCTCTCTCGAGTTCAATTGGAACGGGAAAGAAGAAGGAAAGATGGTAACAAGACGAGCGCGAAGAGTCCGATAGACAATGCGCGTCAATCCGTCAGTCCGAGATGGAGAAGGATGCGGGTTGACTATTCTCAGCTTCCTCATTCGTTGCACTCTGCACAACTGGTATCTGTACTTGGCCGTAGCAGCGTAAAAACATTACTCCGGCACTGGCCCTTCCGCATCTCGGCTTCGGGAGGTCTTGGGCTTCGGCTACGTAACAGTAACAGCGAGGGCTTTTTTTTCTCCCTTTTCCTTTCTTCAACCGTTTCCTTATACCTCCTTCTCTGGGAGTCTTCTCTTGTTTGTGTTTTTCAACCATACATCATGGCCGCTCGCCTTCCTCTCGCGCGCCTTTCGGGTCAGCGTTTGACGACTTTGACCCGGGCTACTCGGACTCCCAGCCGGCTTCGCGCCGTCCAGAACCTTTCTACCCTCACGCGCGCCAATGCCTCCCAGCGTGCCTCCGGTCTGCTGCAGGCCTCTTCCGGGTAGGTCTAACAGGTGTACACGATCTCTGGCGCAATGACTGACCCGACGGACCAATAGCATCAACGTGTCGCGCAACCTCGCTCCTTTCGTCGGCTCTCAGATCCGGACTTACGGTAATTATGACCTACATGCACCTTTCAATGAGCAAAATGGTGCTAATACTGCTCGTATTCTAGCCGACAGCATTGTCAAGGTCCCCCAGATGGCCGAGTCCATCACTGAGGGTACCCTGAAGCAGTTTTCGAAACGTATGCATTTGTCTTCTTACCTTGAATTTTACCGCCAGAGCTGATATGTTCTTAGAGGTTGGCGACTACGTTGAGCGTGACGAGGAAATCGCCACCATTGAGACTGACAAGGTAAACTCCTCGGGTTCTACCCCCGATATATAGAATCCTCAAGGTTCTAACATTCCATCTTGCTCTCTAGATCGATGTCTCGGTTAATGCCCCGGAATCTGGAACGATCAAGGAGCTTCTCGTGAACGAGGAGGACACCGTGACCGTGGGCCAGGATCTCGTCAAGTTGGAGCTGGGTGCTGCCCCCGAGGGCGAGAAGGATGCTGCTCCCGAGCAGCCCAAGGAGGCTGCCACCGAGAAGCCCCAGGAGTCTGCCACCGAGAAGCCTCAGGAGTCTGCTCCCGCGGCAGAGAAGCCCAAGGCGCCCGAGCCGTCCAAGCCGGCTCCCCCTAAGAAAGCCGAGTCTCCCAAGCCCCAGGGTGCTGCTGAGTCCAAGCCTGCCCTCGGAAACCGCGAAGAGCGCCGTGTACGAACGATACCTTCTGTCTTGATGTGTTCCGAACTAACATATCCTCCAGGTGAAAATGAACCGGATGCGTCTGAGAATTGCGGAGCGTCTGAAGCAGTCCCAGAACACCGCCGCTTCCCTAACAACTTTCAACGAGGTTGATATGTCCTCGTTGATGGAGCTCCGCAAGCTCTACAAGGACGACGTGCTCAAGAAGACCGGCGTGAAGCTCGGCTTCATGAGCGCCTTCTCTCGTGCCTGTGTCCTGGCCATGAAGGACATCCCCGCCGTCAATGCATCGATTGAGGGCCCCAATGGCGGTGACACCATCGTCTACCGCGACTACGTCGACATTAGCGTTGCTGTCGCTACTGAGAAGGGTCTGGTTACTCCTGTGGTTCGCAACACCGAGACTATGGACCTGGTTGGCATTGAGCAGTCGATCGCCGAGCTCGGCAAGAAGGTGCGCTCTCAAATCAATAATTTCTCTCCCTCTCTGATGCATAAGTACTAACACATCGCAGGCTCGTGATAACAAGCTGACCATTGAGGATATGGCTGGCGGTACCTTCACCATCAGCAACGTAAGCTTCCCCGTCTGCCCAGTGAAGGCCCTCGAGGCCAAAGAATGTATGCTAACTCATCCGCATAGGGTGGTGTCTTCGGCTCCCTGATGGGTACTCCCATCATCAACCTTCCCCAGACTGGTGAGTGCCTCTTGCTGTTTCTTATTTGTCGACTCTTTCTAATCCCTTCGCTAGCTGTTCTGGGTCTCCACGCCATCAAGGACAAGCCCGTGGCCGTCAACGGCAAGGTTGAAATCCGCCCGGTAAGGATTCTTTTCAAATAAAGCTTCTTCTGCGACTTGTGCTGACTTTGAATACACAGATGATGTATCTCGCCCTCACATACGACCACCGTATTTTGGATGGTCGCGAGGCTGTCACTTTCCTCGTAAAGGTCAAGGAGTACATTGAGGATCCCCGGCGCATGCTGCTCGGGTAAAGGGGTCACTCCGTCGGTACCTTGTAGGTTGATCTGTGTCTGTCGTGCTTAGAGCAGCGGTTGGCACCCTTTTGTAGATTATCGAATTTTGAAATATAGCCGCCAGCTTACTGGTCAGCCCCCTCTCATGAAGTGTATAGTCCAGTGCATGCGTAGCCCCTGTCTCGGGGCTCGGCATATTTTTTTCCGTGATCCCGGCACGTCTAGGTCATCGCAGCCCGATACGTTCCCTAAGACATTGCGTCTCATTACGGGTGAGATTGCCGACTTGGCCCCGTTCGAGCTCGATGAGAAGAGGCGAATCAAGAGTGCTTATCAGGTCGAACAGAAAGACCAGCACACCGGATCTGAATTTTTCAAATGGGAATTTGTGATCGATATCACTGCGTGCCAGGGAGACATTACTGTGCTCGGGCAACTCATTGGTACAGCGCTGAAGAATTTGGATCCATTTTGAATTCCGCACCGGATCATTAGGTGCCCATGTACACATCTGCGAGAGACTTTCGGAAGGCGTAGGTGTACCCCCCTCGTACTTCTCCTCTATCACGGCCTGTGCCACAAACTGGGCACCGGTCTCGAACCATCTGGTTTCAGAAACCTTGTGAACGGCTGTTGCACAGAGCTCCATGAATTCGATGCCGATTGCCGATAGCGGAGAGCAACCTTCGCGGGAACGATGCTCCTGGGTCGGCATGTAATGACGAATCTGGTGAGCCACTGCGAGAATCCGAAGTTTGATGTCCAGATCCCGATGAAGGGATTTTTCGGGTAGTATTGATCGAAAGGCTGCCTCGCTTGTTAGTGTTGTGCCAAAAATCCGACCTTCTGTAGCTTACCTCCGACAGCATCAATGAGCCAGTCCGCCTCCTCTGACTCGTTTGAGTCGGCCGTTTCGTTGGCATTCTCTGCGACGGACAAGGTCTGATTTATGGCAACGCAGGTCAGGTAATCCAGGATCATCCTGTCCACGTCTGCTTTGACTTCGGGGTCTGCTTCCATGTTGCTCATGATGGGTTGAGTGGACCCAGACACCCTGCCTGATCGCATGGTGAGCCAAGGCGGTTGTTTAAAGGGGAGGGAATTTCAGATTCGTGGATCTCGGGGAGATCCCCGCAGTTTGGTGGGGAGTGTTCTTCACTCGTCGTGGATCATCTAGTATGCCCCGTGACCTTCGTGAGGAGAGTGAGGTAGCTGGTTTGGGGTTGTGTTTGTGTTTGTGTTCTGATTTTATATTCGTGGTGTTTCTGGCTGAAACCCTTTGTGTCTTGCCTGAAGCTATCGATAGCCAAGATATTCTTCCTCTCCCCACCTCTCTTTCCCTCTAAATATATGTACCCCACTCAAGTATGGCACGCTAACACCGATAATACCTGATACATGAAACATATCCGTAGCACAACAAAAAAAGATACCAACGTGAGCCTGACTTCCCCCGGAGCTGTCACGTGTAGGTAATCGAAGACGATGGCGTCATATCGAGGCGCTCAACTCAACTCGACTGGGCTGAACTCGAAGTTGCCGGATCCCCGAACTTTACTTCTCAGCTTCACCACGACACCACAACACCACGAAACTGCAAAGCAACTTGCACATGCGGACGATCCGACACATGTCAAACAACTCAGTGCGCAAGTGGCCCAGAGCAAAGTATTCTTCAATGGCGTGGTACTGTTCCGGGTCCACCAACAATGAACTGGTGGAGAATTTGGTCAAGGTCGAGCTCATCAAAAACGAACGCGTCAAGGAAGCCATGTTAGGTGTGAGTAGCCGATTCTTTCCCCCAAGTCTCTGTCCTGTCTACCTGACACCCGCTCAAGGTTGATCGAGCTCACTACGCTCCATCGCGGCCCTACTCAGACTCGCCTCAGCGCATCGGACATGGGGCCACCATTTCTGCTCCACACATGCATGGCCAGGCTTGCGAGTACCTCATTGACCATCTACAACCTGGCTCACAAGTACTAGACATCGGATCTGGCTCCGGATATCTCACTCATGTCTTTGCCAATCTAGTCACGGCCCCCGGTTCATCTGACCAGGGCCAAGTCATTGGAGTTGAACACATCCCCGAACTGGTGGAGCTAGCTCGGACCAATATGAACAATTCCGACGATGGCCGAAAGCTGCTGGAATCTGGGAAGGTGAAGTTTATCACCGCGGATGGGCGTCTGGGATGGAAAGAAGGTGCCCCGTACGATGCGATCCACGTTGGTGCAGCCGCTGAGCAGCTCCACCCCCTTCTGATCCAACAATTGCGAGCCCCCGGACGCTTGTTCATTCCGGTTGATTCATCGGATGATGAAAGTCTCACGAGCAGCGTCGGCGGAGGCCAGTACATATGGGTCGTGGACAAAAAGGCAGATGGGTCCGTTCATAAGCAGAAGGTCTTCCAGGTCAAATACGTCCCCCTTACAGACGCGCCTCGATCATGAAGAACCCAGGACCATGACAAGTATGAGACTAATGAAATGCCACTTTGTGATGCATTTAGGCCCGCCAGGCTGTATTACGACCAATAACGAGGGAAAAGAAGACAACCTGACAGCCAGAAAAGCAGATACTGCAATTGATTCTTCCATTTGCTGCCCATTATTACAAGCCAGTAGGGAACGATCCCTACATACTTATCAAAAGTTCTGAACAGGAGAAGAGAGAGAAACTAGGGACGAGTAGCTAATTGAACAATGAAAGAATTTGTGACCAAAGTGGTTGTCGAGGGCTTAAACCCCAAGTTCAGATAGCCCAAGAAGAAGTGGTCTTGACGTACACCTTCCTCTCGCAATTTCCAACCACTTTACACACAACTTCGCCTTAGCCAAGTCTACATTCACATCTACTAATTCTAATTTCGCATCCACATCCACATCCACCTCTACCTCCACGAATCATCACAATGTCGGACATAGGATACCTCGAGTCTTTTATAGGGGAAATGATCACTACCTTCAAAAGGGGGGAGACTGGGTTCCTGATAAGTTCCTTCCAGGGAGGCACAGCACCATCAAGCAAGGAAGGAGATGGCCGTTTAAACGTGGGCTTTGTTTCACTGTTGCCAATTTCGCCTGTCACCCCAAAGGGGATGAAAGCCAGCAAGATCTCTTTCGAATGTATCGCCAATTTCCCATAGGTGGCGCTGACAGACGGAGTCCGGAAGAGAGAGGGAAGCAGGCCGTCAAAGCACCAGCAAAGCATTCGGAGCCGAAGACGCTCCTAGCCTGATTTGCTTGCCTGCGAGGTAGGAGAGAGCAAAGCGACAATGAACAAGTTCCCCAGTGGCTACTTTATTCACTCCGTCTGGGTTAAGACCCTGGTAAAACCTGCCGGTTCTAGGCTAGTCTGGAACACCTGGAACCAGAAGAAGCGCCATCCTATCCGAGAAAAATTACGCACTGCTAATCTTCGATTTCTTTATCCCGCTCTGCTGCCTGAACGGTAACAAATCGAAGAAAGATCATCGAGCCCAAGTGGGAGCCAAGTCTTCCGAGCTTAAGAAAGATTGTCTATTACTTTGATACGGATGACTACGGATACTTTGATACTATTCTAGGAGCGAATAGTGATTGAGTAACAATTTGAAGAAAATCATCGAGATTACAAACCCAGTGCTATGGAGTGACCCTGTGTTTGCAAGATATTGTATGGGGGAGCCTCCAACCAGGCCAAATTGGAATGAGCACCCTGAAGAGTGAATCTGGTAAAGAAATAATTTGGGGGAAAGACTGGGATACTCCAAGAAACACCGTTGTATGTTCTACAATGAAAATAGCGAGAATAAAGGATCAGCGGAAAGGGAAACCACCGGAGAACTTGAACTGTGGTCCGCCCTGCTGGAAAAAGAACTGCTGGCCACCGCCGTGGCCGAAGGGACTCCCCTGGAATGGGTTGCCTCGTTGCGCTTGCGCCTCGGGGTCGTTGGGATCGTCGCCGTTGTCGTATCGAGTTCGTAATTCCGAGTCCGAAAGGACCTCGTATGCCTCGTTGATTGAGGCCATCTTTTTCTCGGCATCTTCCTTGGATACCCCTTGGGAAGCGGCCTTGTCTGGATGATGCTGCTTCGTCAATTGCCGATAGGCTCGCTTGATAGTCCGGTCATCTGCATCGCGACTGACACCCAGGACCTTATAGTAATCCTTCTGCTTCGAGCGCTTCAGGAGTACCTGGGCCTTCTGAAGAAGGTTCTGAGCCTCCTGGGAGTGAGGATGGTGTTCCCTGACCGTATTAAGCGTGCGAACAGCCTCATCAAATTGATCCTGGTCCAACTCGGTCTGGGCCTGGTACAATAGACCGTGAAGGGAATATTGGACCAACTGAAGAGATTCGGAACAATAAGGTCCAGCCTTCTTGACCATACGCATCTAGTATTTATGTTAGAACGAACGGTCCCCGAGGAGGAGAAGAAGAAAAGAAAGAAGAGGGGCGACAAACCTCCCGGTATGCTTCACATGTCTTCTCAACAAGGAAAACATATAGATTATTGGATGCCGCACGGTGAATGTGACCAGCCTCCTTCGCATCTGCCACATCGGCCTTGACGTCGGCAATCAAACCACTCTCGTCAGCATCGCCGACCATGAGTTTTGCAGCATTACTGAACTTGCGCGCCTCCAGGGCGTTGTGCAACTTTCCTAATATCTTTGACAGTTGCCGCTCTCGTTTGTAGAGATGATTACAGGCTTTTGAATCAGGATCTGCGTGGAGACATTTGCGGATCTGAGCCAGACCACGATCACTGTCTCCAAGGGAATAGAACAACATTGAGGACATCTGCAAATGAGGCTCCACCAAGCTCGGGGAGATTTGGAGAACATGCGCAAGGTCGCTGACTCCCTCTTCGACCTCGCCTCGCTCGAAGCGACAGTGTGCTCGTGCCTGCCGGAGAGGCAGATCGGTGCTAGCCTTCATGATGGCGATCCCGGCTTGCGAGACACATGCGTCCCAGTCACCCTTCTTCTCGGCGGCAAGAGCCAGGGTCGCTGCATCCCGGGCCTCCTCAAGTTCCTTATATTCCACAGAAGTCTTCTTTCCGGCGTGTTCAAGGTCGCGGAGGGCTTCTTGCCAGTGTGCAGAGCGGGCTTGGAGGCGAGACCGTTGGAGAAGCGCGCCTTCAAAGTCCGGCTTTAGCTCCAGCACCCGGTTGAAATCCTCCGAGGCTTGCGAGTTCTTTCCTATTGAAAGATAGGCGGCACCTCGTTGAAAGATCGTCACATAGTTGGTTGGGTCGCGAGTGACTGCTGCATCGAAGTATACTAAAGCGTCTCGGGGCGAGCCCTTGGCAAGTTGCGCTTTCGCGGAGGTGATCAATTCGGAGAGCGTCGTATCGGGGGGAATCTGAATGGCATATCCAGTAGAGAGACAGGCCAGAATGGCTGTTAGTGACTCGAGAGAAACGCGCATTTTGAAATGTCGAGCATCGACAAAGATAAAGAGAGAGAAAAGAAGGTCGTGAAAGGTGGAATGCTCGTCGCCGTGGCCTTTACGTGTACCGTACAATAAATTACGGGCAACGTCGCCTCGCAAGTCCAACTCCAACACCTTATCCTGTGCGCTCGTCCCAAGGATGCTACGATGCGGTCGATTTCTCTCAATTGTCAGATTCGGCCCGAGACCGTTTCTGCGATACTCACACACTGGTACGTTATTCCAATCGGGCAATTTTGCGTTATTCTAATCATCCATTGCTAGATTCCGGCCTCTCTCCGGTCTTGTTAACCAGAGCTCGATTGCTCGCCACCGAACATGCCAAATTATCAGACAGCCTTTTAGAATCTTTCGATACCAGAGTTGCAAAGCGAGCCGGTGAATTGGCCCCGGTCACGAACGTCCTGAAGGAATGGGATAATGCGAATGAGGTGGGCGCAATTACTCTTTTTCTCTTTTATCTCCTGGCTCTAACCCGCACCCGAAGTCTATTGTCGAATTGATATCCCTCCTCGAGGATGCCGAAACCGATGCCGAATTACGCTCTCTCGCAACAGAGGACTTGGAGAGCAGTAGAGAGGCTCTACCTACCATATCGGATCGATTGAAGAAGTCGCTGATCCCCAAGCACCCATTTGCTGATCTTCCCTGCTTGCTTGAGATTCGTCCTGGTGCTGGAGGGGATGAGGCGGGCCTGTTCGCGTATGAGCTGCTACGGATGTACATGACCTTTTGTTCTCGGAGAGGCCTGCGACCGGTGATCTTGAAGCAGGATGTCGAAGACGGTCCCTCCGAGGATCGCCTGAGTGAGGCAGTGATTGAAATTGAAGCCGAAGGTGCCTACAATCTTTTGAGAACCGAGTCAGGTGTGCACCGCGTCCAAAGGGTACCGGCAACCGAAACTAAGGGCCGTACTCACACCAGCGCCGTCAGCGTGATGGTCCTGCCCAGCTTCCCAGAAAGTGGAAGCGGTATGGACAATGCCTTGAACTTCGAAGACCCGAGTAGTGACTACTATATCGATCCACAAGAGGTGCGTATCGAGAAGATGAGGGCCGGAGGCGCGGGAGGACAGCATGTGAATAAAACCGAGTCCGCCATTCGGTTGACACATACCCCCACGGGCACAGTGGTTTCCATGCAGGACGAACGGTCCCAGCAGGCGAATCGAAGGAAAGCCTGGCAGGTTCTGCGGGCCAAAATAGCAGAGGCTCGCCAGGAAGCCCGAGAGCAAGAGTTGGTTCAACTTCGACGCGGCGTATTAGGCGGAGTGGCTCGCATGGGCCGCGGTGACAAGATTCGAACATACAACTACGGCCAGAGTCGCTGCACAGATCATCGGACCGGTCTTACGATTCACAACCTGGACGACGTCCTTGAAGGCGGCGATGGACTCGAGACAGTCATGGAGAGTGTGCGCACCTGGATGGCAGACCGTGAGGTCGAAGCTATGGTGGCCGATGAGCTCGCAAAGGAGAAGAAATAGGACTGGCAGTATTCTCCTATTGTACATTTAAAAATGAAAAGATACCATATGTTCTATAGCACATTTCCAACGAGGAACAAACTCTGTCCAGGTTCCAAGATTACCTATCTCAAATGTACTTTCTCTCCGGATCTGCGAGATCCAGCAATTCCATCGATTTCTCGTACCTGCCAGATTGTTCATCGTTAGCTATCAATGACTCCGGTCAAAACAAATAAGGCATGGACGCACATGGTGAACACGATTCCTCCGCTCAAGATCAGTCGAGCTAGACGTGGCATGGCTCCGGACCAGAAAGTAAGGACGCCTTCGTCCTTGAAGATCTTTGCGGCACAGACAAAGCTGTTCTTGTAGTTTTTGCTGGCTTCGAGGGATTGCATTCTGTTCCAACATTAGTAATTTGCCCAGGAACTTTGATAATCGTGGAAGCTGACCTCGTCTTCACCGTATCCAAGGGTTGAGTCACGTATCTGGGCACACATGCTGTTAGTAGAGACGCAATCATGGGGGTATACCCGGTACGTACACGGTGATGAGACCCGCAACACCTCCGATTGCAAAGGTAGCTAGAGTTCCCAGCTTCTCACCCGGGGCGACGTAGCCCTCTGCAAGCTGCTTCAAGGTGGTGTAACTGGTGAATCGAGTGGCCGAGTTGGCTGCCTGTCTGGCCGTAGTGGGGACAAAGCCTTGAAAGAAGCCCCGAATGCCTCTCTCTTGGAAAATGATCTTGCTCCCATGAAGGAAGCCACGCATGCGCGGCTTCTCCGCCTTCCGGTCATCAATTCTAGAGACATCGCGTCAGCTCTACGTTGAAAAATCAAGGGGATGATTAGTCGTTACGGACAGCTGAGTCTTGATACTCTCAAAGGGAGTGACAGCCAGAAGAGACTCGGTGAATCCCGCCCCGAATCCAGCCACAACGGTCCTTGGCCCCGAGATCTTGCCGTTCTCATCCTGGAGGGTTGCCTTGATCGCATCGAAGGCGACGAATCCTAAGGTAATGTCGAGTCAGAGCGGTGCATCTGAGCGATGGTTCAGAGATCAACGTACGAATTCCGGCCTTTAAAGAGTTACCGATGATCAGTGTTGTACATCCTGCGTACCACTGCTTGCCGAATGGCGGCCACGGGAGTTTCTGGCCCTCGGCAAGACGGCGATTGAGTTGCGTGCGGGTCTTTGCGACTGGGGGAATCAATTAGTTAGGGAGGAGAGAGGGGAGACCGAGGGGTCAGGAATTAGTCGCACACTCAGCGGGATAGGTAATTGCTGCGAGAAGAACTCGTTAGCTCAATATGGTGATACACGGTGGGATGTCCTTACCGATCTCCACGGCTCCAGCGGTGGAGCCCGCGATAATGGAGCGCAGAACGCCAGGCTGGGATGATTAGCTCGAAATCGTAAATCGTTGATGGAATTGAGAGACCAACCTTGGCGTTTTGGTCCTTGCTTGCCGTGGCCATGTCGACAATGAAGAGGGCGATGCCAGAGCGTTGGACCTCGGGTCTCTGGTCGATCTTATACGGTCTGCCGCAGCCCCACTCCGCGCATTTTGCTTTGCTTTACTTCTTTTACAACTACCACGCACACAACATCAGAGGGAACTTGTCAATTCACGAGATACTACATAAACGCGCCTAGCATCTAGTGTTCCTCCGATTTTTTTTTTTTCGTTTTCTTTGTGGTGGGAGGTGTTTTTGCATGTTGACATCAAGGGGAGGGTTATAGAGGCATCAAGGGTCCGACGAAATTGTTCGTCTTCGCAGACCACATAGTAGGATAAGATGTCAACAGAAGATAATGTCCGAAGCTACCATATCAGGTAGAAGGGGAACCTGGAGAGGTCCGAGGTCGAAGAGTTTGAGTTGGAATCGAACATCAAGGGATACGTCGGAGGCTGTTCGAGAAGCGGGGACGAAGTGGTCAAGATGGGTCAGAAAAATGAGAAAGGGGTCCGACTCCGTATAAACGCCAAAGTCAACCGATAAGATGCCATAAAACGCCTTCCGCTTTGCAATCCTTCGAAATGCAACCGCGGACAAGCGTATGTACACATTTGCACGGCAATCCAGAAACGCAGAAGACTCACGGCACCGGAACAAATGCACCCTTTCTCAAACCCAGCATTCCCAATGGCCATAAAGCCCAGGGGAACAAGAGGGAGAAATCAGGAAACACAAAACATAGAACGGGGGAATTATGATACACATGTCGCGAAGTAACGTATCATCGTGGCAGGAGAAGAATGCACAAAAGCGAAGAAAAGTCCATCTCCGCTATCGAACAACCATAGGCCCACCTTCAAAGGAGGGCGAGAGGGTGGTAAGATAATTGGAAGGTGGAAAAATCGAGAAGTAAACAATAGGCGTAGCCGTAGCAAAAGTTATTGGAGAAGGGTATGGCGAAGAGATGAGACCTTTAAGAGACGGGAGCCGGAGGCTTGGGCGCGATTTGACCCGGAGTCAGGGGAGCCCGGTTAGGGTCATTCGAGGGTCCACGGCGCGGACCTTGGCCACGACCGCCACGGTAGGAGCCACGGCCATGGTTATTGTAGTATTGGCCACCGTTCTGGTGATGGTGGTGCTGATGGTGGTTCTGGCGACGAGGCTGACGATCGCCATTTCCGGGTTGCTGGCTTCCGACTTGGGGCTGAGGCGGACCGGAGATCGGACGTGGGATATTCTCGGGAGAGTCGTAAACGTAAAGCTTCTTGTCAATGTTCTGGGGAATAGGCTGGATTTCAGTGCCGAGTTCCTGCTCAATTTTGTACAGATTGAAACGATCCTCCCAGTTGATGAGGTTGATAGCCAGACCCAAGTGTCCGAATCGACCCGAACGACCGATGCGGTGCAAATAAGTTTCCGCGTTCTTAGGGAAATCGAAGTTGATGACGACGTTGACCGCTTGAATATCGATACCGCGAGTCAGCAAGTCGGAGCAGACCAGGTTGCGACACACGCCATTGCGGAAATCATGGAACACGCGATTACGGTGCTGCTGCTGCATCCGGGCGTGTGAGTAAAAGCACGAGTATCCCAGTTCCGTGATCTTCTTCGCTAGAAGTTCCACGCGGTTGGTTGAATTGCAGAAGATGATTGACTGGTTGATCTGGAGCTTCGAGAATAGAGTGTTCAAGCAGTGAACCTTCTGCTTCTCCTCCACGAAAGCATAGTATTGCGTGATACCCCTTAGAGTAAGTTCATCCATGAGGTTGATCTCATAAGGGTTGCGCATGTGTTTGTCCTGATACAAGTTATTATGGGGGCCGGTTTTCATTGGGGCGGGATTCGATTATCTTACCTTGAAGGTCTTGACGATGAGCGGGAAAGTAGCGCTGAAAAGCATGACCTGTCGATCTTTAGGGTGAAAGGCCATCAACTGCTCAATGACGGGAGTAAACTCGGGGGACAGCAGCTTGTCGGCCTCGTCCATCACGAAAGTGGGACACTCGGAAAGATCGGCCACACCCTTGCTGGCCAGATCCAGCACTCGTCCAGGTGTACAAACCAGGATGTGAACGGGCTCGTTCAGTCGAATAATGTCATCCTGCAAGCCGGTTCCACCAGTGGTGACCATAACGTTGACGCCCAAGTGCTTCCCAAGAGTCTTGCAGACTTGCGATGTTTGAAGAGCTAGCTCTCTCGTAGGGACTAGAATCAAAGCTTGAGTTTTCGTGCTCTTGGGATTGATGCGCTCCAGAGTAGGAATAACAAAGGCGGCGGTCTTTCCGGTGCCATTCTTTGCTCGGGCCAGAATGTCTCTGCCAGTAAGAGCAACGGGTATCGTTTCTTCTTGGATAGGGGAAGGCTTCTCGAAACCGGCCTCGAAAATTCCCATCATAAGCTCACGCTTGATATAGAAATCTTCAAACTCGAGGCCCTTGGTAGCGGTGACATCCTGCAAATGTGATTAGTGACGTATTGCTTAACCGAAAGGTATCTGAATCACCTCAGTCTGAGGGCGCGTGTCCTTGGGGGGCAGTTTCAGTGAGTCTTGCAGTCTTTGTTCTGTGTTTCCTTCCCTAAGAGGCAAGTCAGGTCTGTCCAAGCCAGTAAATGAGACGACTGCAAGCTTACCCAAGCTGGGTGTTGCTGAGTTGTGAGGCGAGTGCGTCCGCCATTATGACGAGAGGATATCAAATGTGTGAGAGAGGAAGTCGAGTGTTGTTGAGACCGTCAATATGTTGGAACTAAGCACCAACGGACGGAGAACTGAATAACGAAGCAGGGCTCAGCAGGTTCAGTCCAAAGTGCTCTTATGAGAAGGTTGTGTGATGTGAACAGGTTGAAGGAAGACTGAGGAGGCGGTAATCACGTTTTCGATGAGACTTTGCTCAAGCTGTAACTTGAGATAGCGCACGAGATGGGGTTGAAATTGGGACTTGTGGTTCAGATGGCAGGATTTGGAATCGAGGAATAGTTGAGTCGGATGCCCAGTTGGTTGAGAGTATGAGACCAAATATGTGGAAATTGGACACGTGAAAATCAAAGGTGGGATGGGAGGAGGAGGTTCAACAAGTGTGAAGGGATTCCGGAAGTCAAAAGGCCTGCGTGGGAATCCGAAACGGCGGGACCGGTGATCACGTGATACATACACGAGACGATGACCTTCACTTTTACCTCACTTCGAACGTTGTACGGGATGATTTATCTCATTTCGCACATTGCATAAGATAAATCATGATAACAGCCACCTCAGATTATTCTAGACATTCGTATAGATACCTTGAGACTTGAAGCTACCCGTCATATCTAGAAGCCTCATGGACAATGTAGCCTTTTGTAAAGATCGTGCTATTGCTAAGACGGATGAATAGGTAGGGTATTATCGTTGGAAGAGTTATACTAGGCATAGATCAAAAGTGATTCCCTGCACCGTTAGCGCTGAAAGTTCAAGGTGGTTTGCCCACGCTCGGGTTCAGCCAACTCCTTGACCCGCACGTCGGAGGAGATGGTGATGTCGGTCTTGCTCCCCGGTGTGATGAGGATAAATTGTCGCCCGATTGAGCGTCGAGCAGCAAACATCTGCCAGAGACAGTCAGTAAGTCGACAGGTGAAGGGTCAAAAAAATACAAAGAACCTACCAGCATATCAATGGCCATCTTTCGGTTTATGTGGTCCATGTACACATCGCTACAGAATCAAGTTAGCGAAGCCGAAGATATTGGCTATAAAGGGAAAATGACGTACAATTCATCCAGACAGCGGATAGGAGATCCCATAGCTTCCCAGAGTGCTAGCAGTAGACACACTTGCGAGAAGGATTTCTCACCGCCAGAGAGGGTCTTTGCACCACGACCAGTGCTGTCCTCCTTGGTAATATCGGGCTCGACCTGAACGTCTAGTAATTTTCCAATGTGGTCTGTAAGTAGTCGACCGCGGAAACCTCTCTCGCTGAGAAGGTAAGTGAATTGTGCCTTGGCGCGAGATGAAATATGTGATCTAAAGATCTCCCATCTTTTCTTTCGTTCGTTAAGAGTATCTTTGAAAAACTGCAAAATCGTCAGCCAGGCGGGGGGAAGTTCTTCTTATCGGCAATTGGCACTTGACTTACTTGGGCAAGATTCGTCAAGTTGTCTACCTCGTCCTTCGCTTGCCTCCACGCGGTTTCTGCTCGACCAGCCTCTGCGGCAATCTCGTCTCGTGGTGCCCCCAATCTATCGGTGGTTAATGACAAGATCGAGTTAGCAGAGCGAAAGACTTACTCTGCGTCATAACGCGCCAAGTCCTTTTCCAATCTCACCAGCTTCTGATCGAGACTATGACCGGTTTCCCCCTCGTCGACTGGAACTCGCGCCGAAACATTGCTTGCCCTGTCGATGTAATGCAGCACAGCTGATGACGCCTCGTCTAGTTTCTCCTTGAACTCATCTCGGTCCCTCTTTTGTTCCGCAATGCTTGCAAGGGCAGTATTCTTGTCACTGATGAGCTCACGGCGTCTATTTTGCACCTGCAAGTTTTCGCTTTGAGCAACGTTTGACGCTTTTTCCAAGGCCAGGATTTTTTCGTCCTGCGCCTTGATTTCTCGCCGAACCAACTTCAGTTTATCCATAAGTTCACTCATTGCCGCCTGACTGTCACCGTATGCCATTTCGTAGTGGCTTTTTTCATCTTCGGCTTCCTGAAGAGCGGCCCGAAGACTTTCGATCTGCCCGTCCTCGGCATTGTCTTTGTCGACGGCATCTCGGAGTGCTTCTAGATGGTCCTCCATTCTTTGCATCTCGATTCTCAAATCTTTCTCTTGTTGCGCATGTCGAGTAACTGCTTGCTTGCAGTTCTCCCAAAGGACCCGAGAAGATTGAAGTTCCTGTTCCAAATCTTTCAGTTGACGTTTCAAATCTTGGATTACTTCACGTTGGGCGCTGGACGTCAGAGAAATATATTAGCATATTGGATGATGCATAGTGCGGGTACAGATCTTACCTGATCTGTGAGGCCAGATCAGATTGCATGCGGGGATGGCCGTGGTACACCCCCACTGGCGCCTGGCTGGGCTCACCCATACGGTTGTACGAGAGATGAATTCCTCGGCGTCGATCTCTTGAGTCGATACAAAAGCAGCGCTTGACATTCCTCGGTCGTTGACCATCAAACAGAACGGCCGAGGCTTTCTCTAGGTCTTCAATCAGCAGCATTTGTTCCACTCCGTGATTGATGATAAGCTGTCGTCGCACCATGGGATTGTCGATCTGTATAGATTAAAATTATTAGCACATAGTTAGTTAGCTTTGAAGAGCCTGCCACACCTGTAATGTCCTTAACGCCGTATCATAATTGGGATCGGGTTCATGAGCTGAGGTATCGATGTGACCACCTTGTCCAATGAAGATCTGACACTGGCTGCACTGGATGTTAGATATGTTTGATATATCACATCGTGTTGATACTCACCAATTTACCTTCACCATGAGGCTCGAGAGAATACTCATATCTCTCTTATTGCTCACAATGAAACTGCTGAGGGTGCCACCAAATGAATTTTCGAGAATAGAAGACCACTTCGGCTTGAGCAGGGTGATGTGTGCACCTATTGGCCCGATCGGTTTACTAGTGAACGATCCTTCTTGCTGAATGGCTTTCAAAAGTGCCGGCATCCTGTCCGGAAAGCCGTCGCGTCGGTGCCCATCCTCCCTCGTCAGAGCCCGCAGTCTGTCTTCTGCCTGTCTGACGTCGTTCCTTTTAGAATCACAATGCCTTTGCGCCGATTCCATATCTTTGCTAGCAGTTTTGACATCTTCATGCAAGCTTGCGACACTAGGTTGATGTTCATCGTATTTTCTGCGTGCTGCAGTAGCTCGAGTCACGGCTTGCTCACACTCCTCCTGTCTTCGAGCGTATCCTCCATCACTCACCTCTGCGAGTCGTCGGTTTTCGTCATCCATTTTTTGTTGAGTCTCCGCGATTCTAGTCTTCGCAGCTTCGAGATACTCTTTGATCTGTCTTTGTTCGGCCTGTAATCATGTCAGACACGGGGAAGCTCTTGCGTATTCTTGAGGGTCGTGCGTTGTTATAGCATACGTACCTGGAGATCATGACGCTGACTGATTGTTTCGTCCAGCTTCTCCTTGATTTTTTCTCTCCCGCCGCGGGCTTCCTCACACACGGAATCGGCTCGGAATGCATGCTCCGCTGCTCTTTCGGAGTCGGCCTCAACGGCCTGAAGCGCGTCGTCAAACCGACCGATTGCAGCTTCAGCATCTGCTATCTGGCTATCGGTCAGGGAAACCTGGTCGTTCAAAACATCTCGTTTCTGCGATTGTCAGCAAAAGCAATATGCAAAGTTACACCGGTATACTGACTCTTTCCATTTCCTCGACCTGTGCCCAAGCCATCTGATGCGAGATGTTTCTTTTTCGCTCTCTCAAAGAATCGTGCTGATCAGAGAGCTCCAATTTTTTCCTCGCTGCATCCTTACGGTTGGTTAGGAAGCCAAGGTCTTGTACTTTGCCTCTCAGTTTCTCCTCGATCTGGTCAACTGATTCTTCGATGAGACGGTAATCCTGATCCAGCTGCTCTAGTTGTACACCTTTAACATAGAATTTGTACTTTTCCGCAGGACTCGAGGTACTGAGGAACTGACGAGCCATATCCTGCGACAAAACGTTCATGGGATTGTCAATCTGTAGGGAAAAGTAGTCGGTGATGGCATCCAACTCGGCTTTTTTGGTTGAAACGATGCGGCCATTCTCGGATTTGATTTTAAAACCGCTCGCTCCGTTTTTGGAGAAATGGCGTTCCACAATGATGGATTTTCCATAGTCGTCCGGCATGTAGGCGCCGTCTCCTTGGTTCCTGATCCGCACGACAATGGAGGCGTTTTCTCTGCCTTCTTTGATGAAACTTTTTAAGCTCTGACCGCGATTGGTGGCAGATGCTTTGCCTCCCAGACAAAGAGTGATGCCTGTCAAGATCGCGCTTTTACCACTGCCATTCTTCCCGACGATGAAATTGATCAGCGGCCCCAATTCCACCTGGAAGTGATCATGACACATAAAATTGTAGCATTCAACGCGTTCGAGGATTCCATGATCGGCGGGGATATTTGAATCTTCCTCAACTTGGGCGTATTTCTCTTGAATGAGTTGTGTTTGCCGAAGTTCCAGCTCGGCATCATCCATAGTCAGATCATCAGGGAGAGAGGCTGTATCGGAGTCATGATAGCTAGCTTCCATGTCATTATTGGAGGATGAGGATTCTGTGGTCCGCTGTCGCTTTCGCTACTCTGTTTTCAGCATAGGGATCTCACTGCGTCTGCTTGATTTGAGCACATACCGAATATGATGAGAAGCCTGATCCAGCACTCTCAGAGCCTTGGTTGCTCTGGTCTCCAGCGTTCGGGAACGACGGCATGCGTTTGAGAGACGGCATTTATGCGGTGGAGGATAATGGATAACGAGAGACTAGGGCATAGCGACGAGTGTCATGCAGATATCAGGCCACGGAAGTTTAGAGGACACAAAAGCGGTCGCGTCTGGGCGCGCACTTTCGCGTCGACGAGGATGAGTAAGCTGGGGCTTCCCCGCCAAAGTCAAAGACCTATAGTTACAAAGTGGGAAACATAAGTGGCCTCCACTCTAAAGCTAAGAAACTACGTGAATATCAGATAATTCTGATTCAATGAAATCCCATTTGATCAGACCGAGAAACATAGTCCATTCAAAAATAGGAAATATAACGCTTCATTCGACTGTCCCGTTCCGAAGGGGATTTGCTTCCACGACAACCTCTAAGCCGAGGTGGGCTCCTCAGCAACGTAGTGGAGATAAGCGCCCAACAGCTTAGTTCCCTCGATGTAGTTTCTCCGATCCAGCTTCTCGTTAATGGAGTGAGCGGCATCGGTAGAGCTACCCATAGGAAGCAGCAGGACGTTCTTGCCAGTGGCTTGCTCGAAAGTCAATGTAACAGGAATGCTGTGGATTCAGTCAGCTTTCAGATTCGTCACAAGGGGAATGCTGCCACTCATGGGATTCTAAGTGGCATGAAACGTACCTTCCACCCTCACGGGTCATATCGGGCTCAACACCGAAGACCTGTTCCACGGCCTTGCTGGCGGCGGTAAAGTTCCAGTGCTTGGGGCTAGCGACCCACCATTTGCCATCATGTTGAAGCCACACATCCAGGGTGTTCTTGCTGTTCAACTTGGCGAACTCGGCCTTGATGTGGTCGAACACCAGCTTATTCACATCCGCGCTCTCCATGTTGGGCACGGTGCGGATGGAAAACTTACCAATCACCTTGGCGGGAATGACGGTCTTGGCTCCTGGGGCAGAGTAGGCTCCCTCGACACCGTGGATCGACAGGGAAGGGTATCTCCAGCGGGCCATGAGGGTTCGCTCCTTAGTTGGGTGAATACCGGTCTCACTGCCGAGCGACTCGTGAAGGTTGTCCATGGTATAACTGATGTTAGGATACAGGGCCTTTTCCTCTTCAGTCAAAGGGGCTACCAGATCCATGAGCCCGGGAATGAGGATATTGCCTTGAGCATCTACCAGCTTGGATAAAACGTTCACCAAGTCGGTCATGGGCTCGTGAGCAGAGCCACCGAATACACCACTGTGGAGATCTTGGGCGGGACCGGAGATGCTCACGGAGTAGTAATTGCAACCACGCAGACCGTAGGTCAGACAGGGCTTCTCCGTGCCGAGCCAGTAGTTATCAGAAATGCAGACCGCATCGGTATCCTTGAAGTAGTGTTTGGCTTCAGCCTGGATGAAATCGTCCAGACCCTCGGAGCCGTACTCCTCCATTCCCTCAAAGCAGCAGAGCAGATTGACGGGCATCTCCACGCCGGCCTTGCGGTGAGCCTCGATCACATTGAGCCAGCCGAGCACGGGACCCTTGTCGTCCGTGGAACCACGACCAAACATCCGACCCTTCTCATCGATGGTCAGCTCAAACGGTTCCGTGGCCCAACCGTCCTCCTTCAGAGCGGGCTGCACGTCGTAGTGACCATAGACCAGGATGGTGCGTTTGTTCTTATCGTTACCGTAACGAGCAACAACGACGGGTGGGAGGTCGAGGTGCTCCTTGCCAGGCTGCTTGCCCAGGGGTCTTTGCTCGACCTCGGCACCGAGCGCCTTGAGTTCGTCGGCTAGGAACTGAGCCATCTTTTGGAGGGAAAGAACACGAATCAGTCATTGTGTATGCGGGGTAGAAGCTTGACACAGACTTACGCGAAAGACATCCTTGCGGTTCTCATCCTGCGCCGAAACCGACGGGATAGCAACTGCTTTGCGCAGACCTTGGAAAAAAGTCAGCTACTTCGATCCTTATAACTAGCTCCTGTCGTGAGGGCGAAGCCCCTGCAACGAGCGCGGATGAAGAACGGGGGGCGTACGATCAATGAAGGTCTCCGACGAGGAATCGACCCTAGACAGCATGTCAGCTTGATCCGGTCAAAAACACAACAACAACCTACTGCTTGAAAAAGGGCTCGAGCTGCGGCGCCATTTTGGTGTCACTGATGTATCCGTAAAAGAAGCGGCGAGAGGCAAATGGACGAGGACCGTGAGAAGAAAACCGGGAAAGTAAAGAATGCCCTGGTTTGACGAGCGATGAGATCCGGAGGGGGAAAGAGGGGCATTGCAGACAACGACGTCCTTTGCGAAAAGTTATCACGTAATTATCTGCAACCCTGTGAGTGCCGGCTGTAGCCGCCTATCACAGTGGTGGTGATTAGGTCTCGCCCAAGGATGCGAAACGAGGCCTTATCAACTCAAGGAGGCCAATCAAGCTCGAGTTATGTACTATGCAAGAGCCGCTTTATACGAAGTCGTCCATTGACCCTTATTATTACCGGTAGAGAGTCGTAAACTAAGATCAAGCTTCGGCGAAATCATGCGAGTCTTCACCAGTGCACATGTGCGAGGTTCATTGACAGGTTGACCCACTTTCGGTTCACGGGGGTTTTTTTTCTTCTACAAGTTTGAACCCCGATTTCAGGAACATAGAGGAGAGACTCATGCGAGGAACAAAAGAATATGGTACTTGATGGGAATACATGGTTAATGCTAAACTTAGAATACATGGCGTTTTTACAATGGCGCCGCTCAATCACATTTTCGCGCAAGCTTCGGGGACCAAGCCTCCAAGTCTGATGCGATCTGCGATCAACGATCAAATCTTCACTCATCCCGACCCCAAGCCTCCCGACGAAGCTGTCGGTCTTCCCTGGCCATCCGTCGCTTCACACCCCATCGTGATTGCACTGCTTCCAACACCTGCTTCTGCATCTGCTTCTTTTCCGGGCTGGCCTCGCAAACCATGGCAATGAAGATCGGCGAGCACTCAAACCGCTTAGCCAGCTTGTATCTGCTCCAGGTCATAGGATCATTCATTCGAAGATTGCGGATTTCTTCGATGTCCGAGGGTGTCAGGTGGTATTTCCGCTCGGCCTCGCTCTTGTACACGCCCGGGAGTTCGCTGACATTGGATGTAACGGAGTTTAAGCTCTCGACAAGCATCGATCTGCGAGCATCATCGGCGGGCAGGAATTTGTTAGGAGTGTGATAGGCTGTAGGAGCACTGGATGGCGGATTGTAGATGATCTGGTCCTGTCCGGCGTGAGACGGGCCGAAGGAGGCATCCGGCTTAACACGTAGACGTTGCTTGGTGCGTCGGTATGAAGATTGATAACGTCGTGACCCTAGCGCTAGAGAATCCGTCCAAGAAGGGAGCAGAAACGGCAGGGTAAGGAAAGGCCGCTTGGGGGCCACGATCGAGGTAGCCATCGGAATTGCGGGTCAATTGAATGACTACAACATATCACGGTAAGCACAATGTCGATGTTACTTTAGGTGAGGATAAGAACGTACAGAAAGGAGAGCGCTGGTGGAACTGGGATCACCAAAACCGAGTGACGGGCCAAAGTGGACGTGTCGAAGCCCGAACTTTTTTCCCTAGGTCTCGTGACCTGGTCCTTGGCTCGATCGGGAATGGCCTGGTATTGCATACAGAAAAAGTACTAGATACCTTCCTTTACTTGGCGTTATGAGCTTACATACAAGTACCAGCTACTTGACCCCTCCGTCATAAATATCTCCGTTGATCACCTGGCACAAGATGTCATCATCTCTTGGGGAAAAGTAAGACCATGGCATAACAGTCTCCCTTTGATTGAACTTTGCTTGCCTATATTCTTGTGAGCTTTACCGACGTCTTGAATCGTTTGCGGTCCATGGTCATGGACATCTGAATCTTGGATCCTTTTGGGCACGCGCTTCAGATCTCGTTATCTTTAGTAGTCTTCACGACACCCCCCTTTCGTCATGGCAGAGCAACAAGATACTTTGCCTTCTCTTGAGGATGGTCCTTCAGAACATCTTCGCTCTTTGCCATCCTATCTCCCCCACCACGAGTACCTAAACGATAAGTCTGAACCGCTGGTCGGAAAGGCCACGACAAGTGTACAAGCCCCGCGGCCGGCATATTCCACATTGGCACAACTGCAGGACGTCGAGAAAGATCACCATATGGAGGCGAGCTCTGGAGCTTCAAACAGCGGTCCGGTCTCGCCCATCTCAACCATTAGCTCCTCGGAAGCTCTACGGACACCAAACGTCCTGGAACGTCACCAGTACTCGTCGCAAAAGTATCCTCCATCGCCTGGGGCTACTTCCCAATTACCCCCGCGTCTACATTCTCCTGCCTCTCAGATTTTTGAGCGAGATGTTCAAGAAGACATCGTTCCACCACAAGCATCGCCCTCGATCCCCGCGCACATACGCACGGAGAACTACATTCCATCGGTCCTTGAGGCATCCTCGGCTGCCATCACCGACGAGCAATTAAACCCAGATTCAGTTGAAATTGTTACACACAGCTTACACCAGCCCGCAGGCGTAGCTGGTGCCTCCACAGCCGAACAATCGCTTGCTTCCTCAATTGTTGTTGATCATGCTGGAACAGTTCCCACTGAGTTCGATGAGGTTTCATCTACTTATGGCGCCCCGGATATCGATGTCCGGCGCTTGAGCTTTATCTCGTTTGCCGACGTGGTCAACGCCGAGCATGCAGAGAATGTTGATTCTGTACTTGGACGAGAGCCGTCCCAGGCCGCATCTGCCTACGGGCATCCTCCATTTGCAGGCTCTGTTAACCGCTCTCCATCCCCGCTTCGCTCGCCTGCTTCATCTCACGGGCTTGGAACGTCTCCGCCCACTAGCATTGCCACCTCTTTCAAAGGGCTGGAGATGTCTCCCTGCCACGCCACCCGCAGTGCGGATGGCCCATTCCCAGTGGCGCAAACCCCCATTTCCTCTAGCTTTGGTGAACTCAACGTTGAGACGATGCGCCAGGCCTTACGACGGACAGGGAGCGGAGATCTGAGCTGTGTTGTGAGCCACCAAGCTGCTTCAATTGAGAGTGATGTGCCCTTGGATCGCGCTTATTAAACGTCGGGTTCCCGACACGATATTTTGTTCTCTATCAGCCGGCGTTATGAGTGTTAACGGAATGGACTGTCATTACCATGAGCTTGCAGCCCCAAGTTTTTCGACTGGCAGTTGGGCCAGCGTGATATGGATACTTGTCTACTTCTACTTCCTCTTGGTGCTCTCGTTACATAACTCAATCTACGGATCCGGTCATCCTTGATTATACGCTACTTCACCGTATGGTCATTTTGATACTTGAATTCATTTTTGTATATATCTATGGAGATCTAGAAATTGATCATGTGCTCATATTGGCTATTTACCGACAAAGGTGCCTCCTTGCGTTCCACATGAGAACTACTCTAGGAATCCGAATGAGCGCCCATAGGCAATATGGATACTACCAGGAGCGTCGTTACTTCCTCGCCTTTTCCACTGCGTCCAGGGCGCGTTGAAATCTGGCACGCAAATCTGATACGTCTTCCAGTCCAGCGCTAATTCGGACGAGATCTGGATCAACATTGAATGATCTCGCCTGAACGTTCGATTAGCCGAGAACCACAAAAACAGCAAGGTCTTGTATATGCTGATTGGATCAGAAGACTTACCCAATCGAGTTCACCGTAGTGGGCTAAAAGGACATAGGGAGAACTTTATTCAAAGGTTGATTAGTGCTGTTTCGAAACGGGGGTTTAAATCGGTCATACCTCAGTGTGAAATTAGTACCGAGACTGGGTCCTTTCAAAACCTCAAGGGTATCATAGAATGCGATGGCTTCATCGGTCGAGTGGAAGGTGACAGAAAACAGGCCACCATAACCGCCGTTGGGGGTGCGAAGACTATCGTACAATGGGCGTGTGGGGCTGTACTTTGGGTAATGAACATCCTTGACTGCAGATCGATTAGCTTGGTCAAACAACAGAGAACGAAAGCAGGGTATTGTACTCAATGCAGAAGCCTTCAGCATCGCCGTAATTTCCTCTGACGTGGAGTTGATCTTCTCAATTCGTGACACGAAGTCACGACTATTTCGTTCTAGGAAGACGGCATCTTCTGCCCAATAGATGTCTTCGAATTCCGAAGAGTAAATCTCTTTCAAATGCTGATAGTACTGCCCATGCGGATTGAGCACTGCACTTCCACCCATCACGTTGCTGTCTCCACTGAAAACTTTTGTCAAGCTGCTGGCGACAATGTCGGCATAGCGGAGTACATTGATATTGAGGAAATTGCTAATGGTCTCATCTACCACCACGGCAAAATCATATTGGTCAGCCAGTGCTCGGATGCGCACAAGATCTGGAGTCCTGAGAAGAGGGTTGCCAGGAGCTTCGGTGAAAAGACCGAGGAACCGTTCGCCATTCTTCAGCCGAGATTCTAGATCATCTAGATCCTCAGATGATCCGTGACCATAGAAAATACAACCAGGACCCCATTTTTGTAGAATTTTCAGCGTGTCGGTATAAGGGAATCCAAAGCAGATGCTCTTCATGAGGCCCCGTGCATTCATCAAAATCTGGTGCACATTGAAAATCGCACTCATGCCGGAAGGATACAGATAGACATCATCCTCGGAGATTCCAGCAACTCGGCCCTCCGATGAGGCCGTTTCAAGGGCTTCGGGCAGGTCGACATCAGCGGTCAGAACACCAGCAATCCGCCTCCGCACGCCATTTTTGGCCTGATTTGCGTGCAGGGTGCTAAGATTTCGGCCGAATCGCTCCTCAATGAATTGTGAATAGTCTCGGCCATCCTCAACGCCATTGTTCGTTGCCGACGGTGTTTCGGCCGAAGGCATGGGTGTAGAAGGAGTTCGCGAGATTCCACTCACAGAACCTCTTCCTTGGTATCTTCTAGGGCCTTTGCAGGGTCTCTGAATTGACTCCGAAGTCGCAGAGCTCTTATCCTCTACCAAGAACCCATCCTGCAAGGCACGAAGACAAAACTCCCCCCGCCGACTTGAGATGCCGTTGCCAGAATGTTGCCACACCTGCTTGGCAATAGGTGCAAATTCTTTGGGATAAATCACGGACGACAAAGTGGATGTTATCGCAGTTGGTCCGGCTTCGGTATGCTGGGGCGGATTGAAGTTCACGATGCGAACTTGGCGCGACTGCTCGACGGGGATCTTGGACACGATGAACGAGTGACAGGTGCGTGCAGTCTTGACCGATGGGAATAGCGTTGCCGTCTCCTTCTCCGAGTCTCCAACCCGGGAAATAATCTCCCGCACAAGCTTTTGAATGCTAGGATGCACGAAGAAGCGGGGGTAGCCGCATTGCATCTTGCTTATAACCCAGTCTTCTCCCTCCTCGTACCCGATGTTGGCTCTCCATGTAGGAAGCGAAACACTAACCGCCTTTGACAATGTCAGTGGTCTTTCAAAGTTTCAATGGAAGAATTATGCGTTGCGACACCATTGACAAATCCCCTCGAATAATCATAGAGGGGTTGTTGGCGGGGCAGGTTTGCTGGAACGTACATGGTCAGTATTTGGGGGCACGGTGCCTCCGAGTACTTGTAACATGGTGGAAGGGAATGGAAATGAGTAATGGAAGACAAGGAATAGGAGAAAGGAAGACTAAGATCAGAACTTGGGAATGAGTCGACCAGGGACTCATACTGCGACTTCGGCGCGACGCTGAGTCAGGCCCCGTTATGTAACTACCTGGTATAAGTTACCATACACGATACCTAAGAACCCATTATCGCCCCATAAAAAAAATTCGTGATGTCTCCGTCCTCAACTCTCTCTTGACGCACCGATTCCTCAAGATGTCGGCGCATACGGTTAAACGAAGGAAGCTTAGCCCTTCGCCTGATGCCTCTACATCTCACACTAAATCTTCAGGTGATTCGACTCGGACCAGCTCCAAGGCAGGTTCCGAGAAAACGGCTGCGGCGCGCAAAAATGATTCGACAAAACCCCAAGCGGGTAGCAGAGGAAAAGATGAGCGCTCGGCTGAGATTGCCATGGCGAGCGGCTTCTACAAATCTAGCTTCTTCAAGCTGCAGATGGACGAGCTGCTGACCGGGCTGAGACCGAACTACGATAAGCGAATCTCGAAGCTTCAAGATACCCTGTGCAAGTTGAAGAACGCGATCGAAACCCTCCCCGAGAACCCAGCGAAATCTGTCGCAGAGGCCGAAAAGGAGCTGCGCGGTATTTCTGGCGTCGTGGTACCGTGGCCCGAGCCTCGACCGGCCAAGGACACCAAGTACACCGTGTCGTATGCGAAGCCAACAAACATCAATGTGGTAGGAAGCTTTGCTTTGCGGACGGGAGCCAAAACCTCGGATATTCGCTCAGTGGACATGGCAGTCACAATGCCCAGTTCCATCTTTCAGGAAAAGGACTATGTCAACTATCGGTACTTCCACAAGAGAGCATACTATGTCGCTTGCTTGGCGGCCGGTATCCAGGATTCTATGAACGAGCTTGGATTGGAGGTCAAATTTGGCCTTCAAGATGGAGACAGTCTTCGCCCATTGATCTTGCTGGAGTCTCGGCCTACCTCGAAGGACGATCAAACACCTTCGCGGCCTCAGATTCGGATATTGACCGCAATCGATTCGACGCTGTTCCCTATTACTCGGACTCTACCGATGAAGAGTAATGTTCGACAGGGCTCTTCTGCTGATCAGTCCGAAATTGGCGAGCCGACTCCATTTTACAACGCTAGCCTCCGATCCGAGGCCACCGTCTCTCAATACCATAAATATCTCCACTTGGCTTCTCAGAAATGCGAGTCCTTCCGTGATGCGTGTATTTTGGGGCGAACTTGGCTGCAACAAAGAGGCTTCCATACTTCTTTCCAAAATGGAGGCTTCGGAGGCTTCGAGTGGGCGGCTCTCATCTCCCTTCTATTTGAAGGCGGCGGTCCTACTGGACAGCCGATTCTCATGAGATCTTACAGTAGTTATCAAATTTTCAAGGCTACTATACAGTTTCTTGCTGGCAGGGACTTGACGACTCCATTGCTTCTTTTCGCCAGTGATGTCCCTGTTCCTGACGGAGGACCTGTTTTGTACGATGGCCGCCGAGGATTGAACCTTCTTTACAAGATGACTCCATGGTCCTATGCGGCGCTCCGTCATGAAGCAACCATTACCCTCAAGATGCTAAACGAATCGCGGGAAGACAACTTCGATAGGGTTTTCATTGTGAAGGTCGACGAGTCGGCGTTGAGATTCGATCGCCTCATTTCCTTCCCCAAGTCCTTCAGTGGCGATACTCTTCAAGCTCTTCGCGAACAGAACTCATTGTATAGCGTACTTTCGAAGGCCCTCGGAGACCGGGTCAAACTCATCTCCTTTGCGAGTGAAAGCGTTGGAGCTTGGTCTACCCGATCAAAAGGTCTGACTAAGAAAGCGAGCCACTGTCTCTCCGTGGGACTCCTGCTTGATGCGGATAACGTGGGCCGTGTGGTCGACCATGGCCCCCCCGCGGAAGAGAAGGAGGAGGCAGCTTCTTTTAGAGCCTTTTGGGGAGAGAAGGCAGAACTTCGGCGATTCAAGGATGGGAGCATTTTGGAAAGCCTTGTGTGGTCCGATCAACCTTCGGAGGAATCAATCTTGCACCAAATCTTAGCTTACGTTCTAAATCAGCATTTCCAGGTCGACGAGGAAGATTTTCTGCTCACAGGTGACGAGTATGATGATCTCCTTTATGACGAAGGCGACGGTGTGGTGGCATACTCCAACTCACCTTTCCAGTCAATCAACGAAGCTTTCAAAGAGCTTGAGCGATCGGTTCGAGACATGGAAGAAGTTCCCTTGGAGATTCGGCACTTGGCTCCGGCGAGCCCGTTGCTCCGATACACTGCCCTTCGCGTGCAAGGCCCTGGTGGAGCCAACGAACCGGCAGACGTTGTTCTTCAATTTGAAAGTTCCCCGAAGTGGCCTGACGATTTTGCTGCCATTCAAATGACAAAAGCGGCGTTCCTCATCAAGATCGGAGACTCGCTGGAGTCCTCGGGCGCGGCATCAGGCTGTCGCGTTGGCCTGGAAAACGAGTCCAGCAAGGTGCTCAACAATGCATACTTGGATATTCCCCACACCTCAGGCTTCCTTTTCCGACTGAGAATCCACCATGAACGGGAGCAGACACTGCTTGAGCGTCAGCTCAAGAACAAGTCCATCAACCCTCGAGAGCGAGAAGAATTAGCCTTCGCTCTCTTCTCGTACAAGAAGCTCTTTGTGCAAACGTCGCGTCTGACCCAAGCACTCCGGAGCCTCTGCACACGCTTCCCGCTGATGTCGCCCACCATCCGTCTTGTGAAGTATTGGTTCACCTCCCATCTTTTCTCTGCTCAGGTCTCCGAGGAGCTGGTTGAGCTTTTGACAATCCGAACTTTCACGCAATCCTATCCATGGGACTGCCCTTCGAGTATCATGACAGGCTTCCTCCGGACTCTGCATTTCCTTTCCCGATGGGACTGGCAACAAGAGCCTTTCATTGTCGACCTGGGTGGCGATTTGAGCCCGGAGATCACCGAAACTATTCGCACTCGGTTCACCGCTTGGCGCAATATCGATCCTGCGATGAACAACGTTGCTCTGTTCGTCGCCTCTGATCTCGATACTGATGGCATCACCTGGACGCAATACGAAATGCCCTCGAAGGTCGTGGCTGGGAGAATGACCATGCTGGCGAAAGCAGCTGTGAACTTGCTACGGACACAAAACCAAGATCTTGACGTGCCTGATCTCTTCCAGACATCGCTTGCACCCTACGACTTTGTCATTCACCTTAGCTCCAAGGCCTTGGGTGATCGTCCCGCCGTGTCAAAATACAAAAACCTTGCAGAGATGGGCACTTCCCGTGGCAGCAAGATGGTGATGGTGAAGTCATTTGTGCATGACGTTCAGGCCTGCTATAGCCAAAGTGTTCTTCTCTTCCACGGCGACGAGCGCTGCGGCGTAGTTGCGGGTCTGTGGAACCCACAAATGGTAAAGCCACGGGCTTGGAACTTGAAGACGCCATACTCGACAGCGCCAGCACCGGAGGCCTCCCAGGAGAAGCAGAATCAGGTGAAGATTAATCATCCAGCGATTCTAAACGAGATTTCTCGGCTGGGGGAGGGACTCCTAGATACAATTGAAACTAAGTAAGGTAGAAAGGAAAGGACAAAAGAAAAGACGTGAATTATATCTCAAAATTTAAACCCTATTGGCGAATGTACATTACCTGCTAGCGCCGCTGCAATGCAAACTTCCAAACCAACACGAACCAGCACCAGAACCAGCGTCAAATTGCATGAAAATCACATTCTAACATTCATGAACCTCGTTCCGACTTACCAGGGACCTGCGAGGAAAACGAGCAGAACTTGTCCTTGATCGCCACGACCTCATAGGTACCTTCGTCAGAGGTCTTGATGGTTTTTTTGTGCTCGTAGGAGATATCGTGCTTGATGTCAAGAACCTCGGACTTCTTTCCCTTGCGAGCATTGGAGCTTCGAATGTATCTGTGGGATATTAGCATAGGTTCATATGATCAGGGCCGGGTGGAGGTTGGAACTTACGTGAATTCAAACGGAGGCGTTCCCCAGAACTCAAAGTGAAGCTCAGCCTCTCCACCTTCGTGAATGTCCACCACCGAAACTTGACCCTTACTGATTCGCACACTGGGCATCTCGTGGATGGCCTTGGTGATGTCTTTGTGGGCCTTGCACTTGCCACTAGCACCATCCCCAACCGCAGTGATACTGAACTCACCAGGGCGCTCGGCAATGCGGCGGAAGTTGGTGTTCTGAGAAGTGGCCTTTCTCTGGGCTCCGTTAAAGGTATAGAAGACCTCGAACGGAGCGTGCCCAGAAAGAGAGAACGAAAGTCGTTCACCCACGCAGTAGTCAACCTTGGACTCGAGAGGAATAATTGTAGGCACGTCGGAAACAACCACCCGCACAGAGGTGGTGGCGTCATACTCGGTCGTCCGTTGGCAGCCACGCGAGTCACGGACCTTGTGGATACTAACCACATGTTGGCCTAGATCGAGATGGCGCCGAGGGATGGGCAGATTGTGGCGGTTCGAGTTAATCTTCGGGATGGTGACAAGCTCTGGTTTGGCGTTCGAGTGGTGTTTGATGCTGATCTCCAACGAGAAGGGCGGCTGCCCCTCCAGTGTGACCGGAATGGTTTCCTCGCCGCTTACGTCTTCCTTGCAGAAACCGTAGATATGACCGGGAGAGTCGAATCGGGCGCGAGGAAGAGAGTTCACCTTCTGCGTCACAACGAGACCATTGCTCTTCGGTTCATGATCGTACAGGTTATCGCCCACCTCGGTGAATTTGTAAGTGTACTGACCAGGCTCAGAAGTATCCATCTCCATCGAAGCAACATTGAGAGCAGTCTTTACGTTGCGCGAACGGGAGGAAGAAACTCCTCTGTCAGTCTTCCGCCGCTGCTCGTATTGAAGATTGAATGGGGGGTTGCCTGACAGACGAAGTTCAAGGCTATCGCCGTCGCCTTGACAAACCTCTGCCTTCGCGTGCTGACCTGCCGGTCCAACGGGAGAGCCATCCACGGCGGCGACGTGTGGGCGGGGGATCCATGACACTTCAAATTCCTTGGCAGATTGGTCCACGGTTCCTGGGCACGAACTATCGAAAACCTCAACAAGCTCGTAGAGACCTTCGCGGTCCACATCCAAAACACTATTACCATCCCAAAAGGTCTTCTCGATGGGCGAAGGGTCGATATCCACATTCTTGTACTTCACAGTCCATGGCCGCTCGCCGCTCAGCCTCAACGGAATTTCGATCTTAGAACCTTGCAAAGCGGAGACACTTCTTTGCTTATCAATGTGACCGAACGAGACATGAGGTGGTTTTGATCGAGCGTCAATTCTGAGGTTATCCTTAAGGGAACGCTTACAGTTCGACTTGTCCTTAACGCTCGTCAGAGCAAGGATATATTCACCACCATTGACCAATTTGTCGCTAGTAATGGTCGCCACTTCGCTATCGGATTCCAAGACTTGCTTTTGTCTCTTGCCGTTGTGAACAAGTTCGTATTGCAGCGTCCATGGAGCTTCGCCCAGGAAAGCAACATCGACAGAAACAGACTCCCCAAAGCAAGCTTTACGAGCCTGTCTGGGACCAAGGAAGTGAGCCGAGGCTGGCGGTTTGACGTCTTGTTCCAGGATAGGCACATTGTCCTTCAGAGATCGCGGAGAGTAAACAGCATCTTCGATGTCCAGGAATCGGTAACGGTAGAAGCCAGCCTCGGAAGGAGTGAAATCCATTTGAGACCGTAGTCCGTCAATCTTCTGTGTTTTCGTGACAGCACCCTTGGAGCTTTCGATACTGTACCGAAGGCGGAACGGCGGCGATCCTGTCAGATCTAGGTCCACGAGCAAGCCAACGGCATTGTTTGCACATCTGTCGAAGATCTTTTCGGATTTGACAGAAAGTTCGGGTTCCGGTGGATTGTGAAGGTAACAGGCAGAGGGCTCGAGGACTTCACCGGGGCAGAATTGGCTTGACACTGATGATAAAGAATACCAGCCCGGTTCCTTGATAGGAGATTTCTGATCCAAGGTTTTCAAGTGAAGCGTCTTGGATGCCTTGGTATCATCATCCTTCTGTTCAGGATTGGCGCTGCTGAAAGAATATGTGATGGAAAAAGGCCCATCATTAATGTAGCCGTTTCCAACGGCCTGGAAATCAATTGGCAGGTTGACATTGTCTCCACGGGCGACCTCCAGCGGACGTTGGTCATTGCAGCCTGACAATGACACGCGAGGCCGCTCATGAACGGAGAACTGGTGCCATTGGGAGACCGATTTGGTAGATGGACGCTCCGAGTCTTCGAAGAGAGAAGAGTAATTCGCCACGTTGCCGCACGCATCGTGAACCTCCTCAACGGCGTAAAGCCACTCGCCACCGACATTCAGCGACTCGTTCAACGGGACTTCGATCTTTTGACTCTGAGCCCAAGAAATATCGGGCTGGTTGATGCTGAATAGAGCGCCTCCTGGTCTTTGATTGAAAAGTGGCGAGCGTAGATTATCCGGCTGAATATTCTGGAAGGAGAATCCTCGATCATGATGATTCACCTGCCGGCTGTACTTAATCTTCAGAGGGGGTGTGCCTTCGACCTCGAGCACCAGGTTTGACAGCTCTCCCTTGCATTTGTTCGTGTGAGAATTTTTGATCAACGCGCGGGGACATGTAACCACCAGCGCGTCAGACGTGCGTGTGTGGACGTCGAGCTGAGATTCATCTACAACTCGCTGGAGACGGTAGATACCAGTCTTGCGCACCGGAAAAAGGAGGTCCCGGTGGAGCACAGGGTCCATATTTGCATGTCTCTTATCTGCCTGCTTCTTGAGTTGCTTCAACTGTTTTGCAGGAATAGTCAAGGTTTCGTTTTCGCCGGTGTTCAGATCAAGTCGTAGCACTTCGATGAGAATCGGGTCAGTCTGGTTGACTCGGATTGGGAGATGCACAAAGTTTTTTTGAGAGTCAAGGCAGAGTGCCTCTCGTTTCGGGTTGAGAACAGCAGATCTAACAAAGTCAGCAAAAAGCCCATTCACATTCATGAAATAGTCCAACTCACCCTTCGGGTAAAATGTGAACGATCTGCTTGCCCAGGATCAATGACGCATTATGGATAATATCACCCGGTTTGACCTTTCGCTCGGAGATTGACAGTTCGCGATCATAAGCCACCTTCACGAGACCTGAGAGCCACACGCCTAAGGGTAGCTGGTCCGGTCAGCAAGGCATTGAAACACGCAAACGCAGGGCGGCTTACCGGAATGCGGAACATCAAGAAAATGTTGCCCACCATATGCACAAGGAATACTGCCAAAGTAGTTGGGAAAGCCCACTCCAACCATGGTATGCGCAGAGCCTGTAGGCCGAACAGGAAAATTCCATCAATCGACATCCATTTCAGAAAAAGCCAGGTCGAGTCCAGCTCGTCCGACGCAGACCAGGATTCGTAAACTCTCCATGCGTTCAGTACGAGCCAGAAGGCGGACACATATAGTCGCTGTGAAGGCGCATCGATCAAATTTGTAGGGACGAGCGGTGTATTTGTATTCTGAGGCTGAGGCAGAGGCTGCGGTTGCGGCTTCGGCACTTTGTAGGACGACTTGGAGGGTGACACACGATCGTGCCCATCACGTTTATCACGAGGCTGAGAGCGAGAGGGAGTCTCAAAGAGCTTCCTCCTCCTCGGAATTGTCTGGGGCGTCTGAGGGAAGGCAGACGTAAGGCGGGGAGTTCCGTTCATGGCATGCTGTGGTCGCCAGGGTCACCTTACAAGCTGCGAGAGATATCCCACAAGAAGTGACGGGCGCAATGATCGCCAGTCACTTTCAGACGTGTAGGGACCGTTTGAGGTGAACAGTATGAGGTACGGGGGTCGAAGCTAGAGCTGTGAAAGAGTGGAAACAGAAACAAAAAGTTGAAGCTGCCGAGACGCGGGAAGCGCGTCGGAGGAAGCTCGGTCCACCCATCGACATGCCACTATACATTCTACACTTTGCTTCCACTGACTTGCTTCACTTGCTTCACTTGCTTGAATATCTGCTTTGACCTTCATCGCCGCACATACTGAAGTCTCCTTACGACCTTGTCGGCTAGGATCTTTTCGCTCATCATGGTCCCTCGCCCCAAGCGTCGGCGTCTCACCGATCCTTTGGGAGAGGTTGCGAGCGAAGATATCTGCAAGCCGGCCACTCAGCTGGAGAGGAACAGCTGGAATGGCTTCTGTGAGATCGAATCGGAGCCGGTAATATCATAACCCATCTTTATGAGCTGCTCTAATGGCTTCCTTTAGGCATTATTCAATGTGATGCTACGCGAGTTCGGCGTGAAGGGCGTCCAGGTCCAAGAGGTGATGTCTCTGGATGAAGAGGGCGTGAGCTACCTGGAGTATGAACGTCTTTACTTAATTCTTTACTGGAAAACAGGCTCACCACTCTTTGAGCAGGAAACCTGTTTACGGCTTGATATTCCTATTCCGCTGGCGGGAGGACGATGCCGAGAAGCAGGAGGCTAGTTGCCCGGACGGCATCTGGTTTGCAAATCAGGTTAGTTGGACGAATGCTTTTGCTCAAGCTCTTCGGTAACCATTTTCCAGACAGCTGGTAATTCTTGTGCCAGTGTGGCGCTGTTGAACATCGTCAACAACATTCCTGGCATCGACCTCGGGGAGAACCTACGGCACTTTCGAGACTTTACCATGCCCTTCACCCCGGCACTGCGTGGCGATGCCATCAACAACTTCGAATTTGTCAAGCGTGTACATAACTCCTTTGCTCGGTATTGCCTGCCTTTTCGCCGCCCTTGCGGGGCTGTGCTAACTTCGATTGCTATCTGCGATAGAAAAATGGATATTTTAAATTCAGATCTACAGCTTCACTCTGAAGCAACTTCGAAGAAGCGCTCCAGAAGCCAAGATCCCAATGACTTTGAATCGGGCTTTCACTTTATTGCGTTCATGCCGGCGATGGGCCAAGTGTGGAAGTTCGACGGTCTGGAGCGTCAACCTCAAGCACTCGGTGAGTTTCTATGTGGCCTGTATTGGCTTTTCTGACTCCGTTAGGTGGATGCTCTGAAGATGACTGGCTGAAATTGGCGATGCCCAACATCATCGACCGAATGGCCGCGTACACCGAAGATAGTATTGAATTCTCTATTCTTGGTGTGGTTCGAGATCCTCTGTCGGATCTTGTTCAGGAGTTGGCAGTCAACGTGAGGAGCTTAGAAATCATCCACGAGCGGCTCCTAGCCCTGGGAAATGGAGAAGCGAACCTCGAGGTGCTCAACGACATAGTCATTGGCCCAGAAGCGTCTCTCGGGCTCACTCGTGTAGATATTGAAGCGGCCATCACCTCTGAGAGCATACAAACATGCCAAGATTCGGAACAACTACGGCAGTATCAGCAGGAGCTAAGCCAAGCCCAGGCTGGGCTGCGGGGACGAGTCCAAGAAGAGCAGCAAGCACAACGACAAGACGAGGATCATGCGACGGGACGACGTTATGACTATGGACCAGCGATACGGACGTGGTTGCGCTTTCTAGCACGCAAGCAGCTGCTGGCGGAGCTATTGCAATAACGGGACCCCCCTCGTGGCACAGCGATTGGCCCACAGCTCGTAACTATACCTTTAATGTTGAAATGAAACGGAATGTACGTGGTACATAAACTGATCGGAACCCGTCAAGTAGTCAGAAGCCATGCAGCAAAGTACTCGGTACATAGCCCGGCTACCAGGAGAATGAAGAGTCCAGGGGTAGTGAATACCTAATCCAGAGTGGAAACAAGTTGAAATGTACTTTAATTTGCCCGGTGGGGTACCGCGAAAAAGGACGTCACCGCCTGCTCGAGACTCTCTCCAACTCTCTTTCTCATTCCCAACTTCTCTTTAGCTCTTACCTGGTGGATTTTGCTCTTCTGTTCCGGCGCGTTCACTAGCTTTTCAAAAGGGCAGTCGCCCCTAAGAGCATTCTCTCCCCCCAACCCTCGCCCTTTCTGCCTGGAGCACGGAGCTTTCCTGAATCCACTTTTCCGCCACTCGACACCATGTCGTCCGTCGCAGTCGCCGAGAAGACCCCTGATGACTCGTCCAAGCTGAAGACGTTTCTGTCCATCCTACGCAAGTATGCATTCCTCGCGTGGCTTGACCACAAGTCTGCCGCTCATAAATCACTGGAGAGATACTGATGCAACTATGAACTAGGTTCGTGGGTGTGACAGATATCGCCTCGGTTCGTTTCTCCCTACCGGCTCAACTACTGGAGCCTCGACCGAACCTGGGTACGTCTGCCCTGAGGTGACAACTCGTGCGAGGACGGAGCTGACGGGCAACAGAATACTGGAACTATTTGGATCGACCGGAGACCTTTGCAAGGTCAGCCAACGTGACCATTCTGTGTCAACTTATGTGCTGACCCCATTTCTACAGCATCGGAAAATCGGACGATGAACTCGGTCGCATGCTGGAAGTGTTGAGATTTTGGTTCACCAAGGACCTGGTATATTATGACCATGGTTTACTACAAGAGGGAAGGAGTGCTGATTATCCGACAGAAATACATCAAGGGGAAGCCATGCAAGCCATATAACTCAACCCTGGGTGAATTCTTCCGAGTAAGTCGAGCAGACCAAAACCCCCCGGTAGAAGTGGCCGCGTACTGATGCCTTGGGACTGTATAGTGCAGCTGGGAAGTGCAGGACAACGTCCCCGAGGAAGTGAATCTGCCCGGTGTCAACGCAAACGGCAATAGCTCTACTGTCGACGATGGAAACCAGCAGGTCAAGGTGTGTTATTTGACTGAGCAGACCTCTCACCACCCGCCGGTCTCGGCTTTCTACATTGACTGCCCCGAACGGGGTGTTTCAGCCCGAGGCTTCGACCAGATCAGTGCCAAGTTTACCGGTACGAGTATTCGGGTAAGCCCTGGCCAACACAATCTGGGCATCTTCGTCACTATCGAGAAAAGAGACGAGGAGTATCAGTTGACTCATCCGGATGCACACCTCGGTGGCTTATTACGCGGTGCGCTATCAATCTCAGTGGCGGATACTTGCTACGTCACTTGTCCAAAGACCCGGATGAAGGCAATTTTGCAGTACGTTGAGGAGGGATGGATTGGCCGGACCCAGAATAAGCTGGAGGGCGTGATCTTCCGCTACGATCCCGACAATGATCATATCACCCGCCTGAAAGACGTGGCGGAAAGTGATCTTCTTGCTCGTATCAGTGGATCCTGGCACGGTAAGATCTACTACACTCCTGCGGGGTCCAAGGATGCCCGTCTTCTTATTGACATTACGCCTCTCTTCCCCGTGACCAAGATCTTGCCCCCGGATGAGCAGCAACTCCCCAACGAGTCCCTCAGGTTTTGGTCAGAAGTCACGAATTCTATTGTGAGCAAGCAATTCACCCAGGCAACGAAAGTGAAGCAGGATATTGAGGAGAGGCAGCGACAGCGGGCGGCTGAGCGCAAAGAAAAAGAGGTGGAGTGGAAGCCACGTTTCTTTACTGGGGCCGTGACGCCCCTGGGCAAACCTGAGTTGACTGAGGAGGGACAGAGGGCGCTGCAGGGAATTCGAGCAGGCGATTACACCTTAAAGGAAAGTGAAGTGCAGGGTGCATAGATCTATGCTTGATTGCTTTAAACCCATGGCGTATCTGGCATGCGACCACACGGCGTCTCTGCTGTTCCGGGTGTCTTTGTTGATAGTTTGTTTCTGTTGTTTTCACATACTTAGACTTCATGGGGGTTTTTTTGTTTTAAGTTCTCCCCAATCGTTTGTGGATAAGCGATCAATGTTTTTTGTTGCCAGGGGTCTCTATAATCATTGGCCCCTCCTCGACCGGACAGGATGTTTCTCTACTTTCTACACATACAGTTGTAGACCATCTCCAGGAAGAGAGAGCAGGTCGAAAGGATTCATTAACTATTGTAATATGCAAGATAAAACGAGCCCTCACAAGCGGACTCCAACACCGACCACACCGAGTCCAGCGCCAAACGCACAAGGGAAAAAAAGGAAGTCATCGAATGCGTAAGACATCAATCAATTTAAAAGGCTAGGCAGTGGCGCTAACAACCTTGGTGAACCCAGCGGTGACCGTCTTGGTGATATCCTCATTCTTATGAGGCAGCAAGGACAGCGCGTAGGCGACATCGTTCCATTGGCGCTCGGTCTCGCAGCGAGGGAGTCTCGCAGCGAGCTTGTCAGCCAGTTGACGAGCATGTTTCTCCTGTAGATATCTCGTCAATACAAAGTTACGTAGGCGAGGAATGAAGATTCGACTTACCTTCTCCACAAATCCAATCAAGAACTTCACGATACGCCGTAACGAAGCTTCCTGAAGATTTCGCTCCGCACTCAGCAAACTGAACATGTCGACAAAGTGGTTGTACACAGCATTGTCCTTGGTGGCCAGCTCGGTGAAGAACATGCGTGCCAGGTCGGCAATCTTTTTATCGTCGTCTTCCAGGCATTTGGCCATTTCACCAAGCTGACCTTTGACCTTGACCTGACCGGCCAGAATAAGGAAGGTCAAAGTCATGAGGCAGGTACGCTTGACAGATGCCTCATCATCATTGAGGCGACGGTACAGGAAGTCGGTGTTTTCGTCGATGAGATGGTTGAAGCAAACGGCCATATCACCAAGGGCGATGACGGCATTACTTCGCACGATGGGATCCTCGGACCGCTCCATGATGGTGATCAGAAGCGGCAGGTTCTTCTCACAGTATTCGGCAGACACACACATAAGCTTGGCCATGCACAGCGTGGCCGCTGCCTGCAGGTCACGATCCGGATAGACATTATTATTGGCCAAGATCTCAGTCACCAACGGACCAAATTTAGCGAGGAGCGAGTTCTCCCCATAAAGAAGTTCACGTTCCCGGATATGAGCCATGGCATCTTGGAAGTCATCCTCAGTGGTGCCACCGATGAGATCCAACTCGTCGTCCTCGGCATTCTCCCCATCCTTTTGAGCAGTAGCCTCGGCCGTTTTGTTCTTCTCTTGTTCCGCCTTTCGGCGCTTGAAATCAAGTTCACACAGTTCAAGATGCACGATCTGTTTGATGGAAATGTGACCAACAACATAGAGTAGTTGGGAAAGAGCCGCCGATGAGGGCTTGGGTTTTGATCCTTGTCCATCTGTTGACGCGGTTCCAGGTCGCTGGTCTTCACCATCTATAGAGGCGTGCGAGGAAGACGGACGTTGCGGCTGGAAGACAAAACGAGTTTTGCGTCGGAGGATATCAGAGCAGAGAACATCGGGGTGCTTGGACAGGGTATAGATGGCACTGATGGCTTGCTCTGCCACACCGTACCACTCCTTGCTCTCAGACACAATCTCAATCATAGCAGCAAGTTTAGTCAAAACCGAATGGTCATTGGCGAGTTTAGGAATACCGATGTCCTTGGATTTAGCCTGTCGGCCAGGGACCATGCGCCGCAAGGCAATGCATGTGTACTTTGCGAGAACAAGATCTGACCGACCAAGACCACCAAGACCAATGCGCAACATCGCCTCTATCTCCTTGACAACCACTTCGGGGTCCGCTAAAGCAAGCATACCGAGAACGATGATTGCACCGCGGCGCTGCGTCTTCGAGATTTCTTTCTTCTGGACACCATAGACTTGCCACAGCTTGGCAATGACAGCCTCCGATACATGCCCGGATTTCATCATGGTACTCAGTAATTGTTCAAGGCAAGTGAGCTCAGCAGGGGTCGATCCAAAGGTCAAGCTGATCATGTTGCGTGCAATATAGATTGCGGCATCATTGGAGCTAAACGAGCTAGGCGCATCAAAGAAAAGTCCCTTATAGCAATCGATCAAATGGCTCTGGACACCCTTGCCCTCGTCGCTGTTGCCCTTAGTCCAAATCAGACGAAGCATGCGACGAATACCACTTCGAGCGGTTTCAACCTTGTAGGCGTCGAGCACCACAAAGAAATCCATAGCTTCGATGACCTCGCTCTTGTTTCGAGAGGAGAGCAACTGCGAGACAATGGTGGATCCTGAGTGAAGAACTTCGATGAAACGCAGAGCCTCATTATAGTACTTTCTGGTCAGCTGCAGTCGAGTCAATAGCTCGGATGTCGCAGCCTGCTCGGCCGCTTTCTGTATGGCAACAGCCTTCTCATCTTCGGTCATCCGGGGGGCTTTGGAGGGAGACTCGTCTGGCAATTGAGTAGCTTCATCCAATAATTCGCTGTCAACCTGTGTCATATCTCCGTCAAACCCTGGTGTCTCAGGAGGCCGCAAAGCGTTCAGTTCACTGTCAACGCCATCCAATCTCGCGGTCCACTCATTGTACGAGAGCTGGCCACCGTGCATGACGCTGAACGGGTGCGTGGCAACCAGTTTGGACAGCAATTTGATGGCATTGCGTCGCACGTTGCTGCTCTTATCTTCTAAGCTACGGGCTGCCAATTCAGCGGCCGCTTGTCGTCTCTTGGGGAACTTCTGTTCTAAGTCGCAGATCCGCATAAGAACTTGAATGGCACGGCAACGGCAATAAGGGTTGATATCGAGGAAGCGCTCTTCCAATACGTCGAAGAAGGCGTTAATTTGAGTCTTGTAGTTCTCACTGCGTTCTTCCTGTCTGCTCAAGTCGGAAATGAGGTTTCCGCAAACCTCGATCACGGCGCATCGAAGTGTGTAAGCCTTGGAAAACCATCAGTTTCAAATTCTAGCCAATTAATATTGGCGGGACGAATGTTACCTCGCTATCAAGCTGTTTAGCCAAAAGGGTCATCTGTTTGATGATCAATCTCGGCGCAAGCTCGGACAACTTTATGATGAAAGCCGAGACAGATTTCGGCCCGCGCGTATCATTCGAGTTGAACTCCTTGTTTCCGAGTTCCCTAGTCCGCGTTAGTGGTAAGAAAACTTAGCTTCTCAGGTGGGGGTATGGTACTTGAGAATCTCATCCGAAAGCTGGGGGTAGTCGTATTGTTCTGCTAGAATGTGGAGGAATTCGGCCATAGGTTCAGACAGATGCTCGAAATATGTCAAACTTTGTACAATAGAGGTTTGTGCACCTATTGAATGGGTCAGTTCCAGGCATAGGGGCCTTTGGCAATGATGCGCGACACATACCGAATGCATGGCCATGATGCTTGACCGCAATACACAGGACCTTGAAGGCGTGCATGCGGATGGCCATACTCTTCACTCGCTGTTCGCTCTCAAGGATCAGGTAGATTGTGCGTGTGAACAGAGTAATAAATGTGTCGCGATCCGAGGTAGTCAAAAAGATGCGCCCGAGTTTCAATTTCATCACCTTGCACATGGTCTCCATGGAGATCTGGATCTGGGGTATCCAATCCCACTGGCCATCCTTCGCCGATTTTTTGGATTTGGGTCCTCCTCGTCGCGCAGGAGCTGACTCCGCGGGTTTCTCTGCCGCCTTCACCTCCACTGCGGACAGAGCCCACTGAAGAAGAAACCCGTACATCTCCAGGAGTTGTTTGTGGTGCTGAATGGCATCTTGTTCGTCGGATTCGAGGTCGCCGTGAATTAGGTCTGCCTCCACGGACAATCCAGACACGATCAGGTCAAGCAGTTTGCTGAGTGATTTTGAGGAGAGAAAACTCGGAAATCTGCAAGGGTTCCAAAGGTTAGAGTCGACACCAGGCGGACGAAAGCCTCCGTTGGGGATCTGAGAGGGGACCGGGGCGCACTTTAACAGTAGCTGTAGGGAGTCAAAAACCGAAGATTTCGTCAATCCTTCTGGGTTCTCTGCCACGGCATCCACAATCGGGTTCAAAACATTGTCAATGAGCGCTGGCGACAGCGATTCCGGGTCGGTTTCGCAATCAAGAAGCTCCGGGTCAGCATCGGGGGTCGGAATAGAGACCGGATCGCTCAAGTAAAACTTGAGCGAGTCGTTGATATCGAACTGTATTCTGTCCTCCATGGCGGCGATGGGGGGGGGATGAAGAGGGGAGAAAGCGGCGGCGGATTGTGTTGATAAGGCGGTGTTTAGCTTTTGCCTTTTTGGGGAAATTTCTTAGGTAACCGCGCGTAAATTACGGCGCCCACCACTCTCCGCCCGCACTCCTCGCGGATCTGTATTGTCATGCTGCTGTAAGCTCCAGTTGCGCTTCGGAGAAAAACAACGGAGCTCTCTGCGCATGAGACCTGCACCTCCCGCCCCTTCACTTTTACTGAGTAGTCCTATGCCAGTCTGAGCCCGGTCCTTTTTTTTTTCTTCTTTTATTCTTTTATAACACCGTCTTATTCTCACCAGTCCCACGAAGAGTCCTCTATCACCATGTCGGCCTTTCGAGGCGCTCCATCCGGCGTCTTCGAACTTCAGCAAAGCAGCTCCTTTCGAGGTCCACAGCCCGCCAAACAGGAATACGCGTTAGAACAGGACGATGCAGGAGCCTCTCTGAATGATATCTCCCAAGGAGGCAGTGACTACGAGGAGGAAGAGGTGGACGAATCCGTGCGCGAGGACATGAACAAACTGGAGGATACCTTCCCAGGCATCTCGGACAGATTCCGACTAGTCAATCGCATCGGAGAAGGTACTGCGGCTTGTCATCTTGCGAATAGACCTGATATGCAGAGTGGCTGACATTCGTCTCTTACCAGGGACGTTCTCTACCGTTTACAAAGCGGAAGATCTACTCTACGATCACCATCACAACGACTGGGACATTTTCGGGGAGGCGCAACAGCAAGAGACATGGGCAAGCCCTCCATCTAAACGAAGACGAGTCGACGGAGAACCCGGCAGATGCAAGCAAGCCCGATTTGTGGCACTGAAGAAGATCTATGTCACCAGCAGTCCAATTCGGATTCAGAACGAGCTCGAATTGCTCCATGACCTCCGCGGCTGTAGATCCGTGTGTCCTCTGATCACTGCATTCCGATTTCAGGACCAGGTTGTTGCGGTCTTGCCATACTTCCCCCACACCGACTTTCGAATCCAGTACCGCACGTTTATGGTGGCAGACATGCGCCATTACCTGCGGTCACTGCTAGTAGCATTACATTCGGTCCACGAACACGAAATTTTGCACCGAGACATCAAACCAACGTACGTGAGACGATTCTCAATTTCTTCTAGGCTCGTACGCTCATGAACTACTCGCAGGAATTTCCTCTACAACCCTGACTTGAAAGAAGGCGTGCTCGTCGACTTTGGACTTGCAGAGGTAGGTTTTGTTACTGTTTGGCTTGCAAGTATTTGTTTACTGATGCTGTTCATTTCGATCCCATAGCGTCAGGGCTCCGAGTACACCAGCCCATGTCTATGCACCCATCAAACCTACGTTCGCCGTAGCCGCATATTGTCCAGCTACTATTCAAAGAACCCCCCATCTGGAGGACTATCAGCCGGCTACCCAAAAAATGACTCTCGCCCGTCTAGGCGAGCGAATCGTGCTGGAACTAGAGGTTTCCGCGCACCAGAGGTCCTGTTCAAATGTACATCCCAGACCACCAAGATTGACATGTGGTCAGTCGGCGTGATCCTGTTGACTTTGCTCGGACGCCGATTCCCCTTTTTCAACTCTGCAGACGATATCGACGCCATGATCGAAATGTCGAGCATCTTTGGCACTCGGCGCATGAAAACTGCTGCAGCCATGCACGGGCAGATATTCGAAACCAATATCCCCACCATCGGAGAGAAAGGTTACAGCTGGGAGAAGCTAGTGAAATGGTCAAGCTGTGTCGAAGACTTGACTGAGAGTGAGCAACAGGCGACACGGCTTCTGTCCGGCTTGATGGAACTTGACCCGTCGAAGCGTCTCAGTGCCGAGGAAGCCTTGCAACATGAGTTCTTCACTAACCCTATTCACCACGATGTGGAATGGGGCGGTCACCCGGAAGAGAGTGCTGAGTCGGGCGAGGATGAAGACGGCGGAGAGGACGAAGCCGACGAGGTCGCTATGCTATGAGATCCAAGATTTGTACGATATATGCAGTTCTGAAGCTACACGGTACAGTACCTTATGACTAGTTTTCTATGTGCCCTGCGACCAGACAGGGCCTGCATGCATTTGCTCACGTTGCTAAATCTGCGCCATGGTAAAGAAGGCTCCCAATCCGTAATATGCCGAGTCACCCAGAAGTTTGTTCCATCCAATGCTCGCTAAGCCGCTTCACCAAAATCGTAGTGACCGGTTTCTGATGCATGCTTGGTCGCCCCCATCTCGCCTGTGAATAAGTCGCCGCAGGTGTTGCATCTTACCGAGAATCGGGAGGTATCGGTATAGTAATGCTTGCTCTGCAGCACTTGACACAATTCTTTGGCTTTCTCCATAACAACCGGGTCGATGGCCTCAAAAATCTTGGTATCGCCCTGGGCAAATGGGTCGGCGTGGGTATATGGTGGATCTGAAGGGGAGAGCGCGAGGACGTCGTAATGAATTCCTGAATATACCACGATACATCGCGTCGGAGCACCCTCGTTAAATTGAAACATATGAAGGGTTTGCACATCGATAGAGCAGATCTCGATATTGAAGTACTCGCTCAAAATCTTAAGTTCGATTGCTCCACCCCAAGAAGCCTCGTTTTGAATCCATTGGCAGTAATCATCCGGATTTTTGCCCAGAACGACTGCAGTGTATTCTAAAGGGTTCGACTGAATAGCAGCTGCAACGATGGACCGCAACTCCACCATTGTATCCATCTCGCCCATCACCGCGGCACCTACCGCACGAAATAGACACGAATTGTCGTCAGGCATAACACGGAGCACAAATGTGCCTGCATGCTCAGGTGAGGCGATCTCAGGTGGATCATCGGAAGTCTTTTCTGTTGATTTCGACATGGAGGGATACGGTGAAGGTTGGTAGGGGCCAGAGCCAGGTTGGCTAAAGGCGGGCTCGTTCAGCGGGGCAGCACTCTCACGCGCAGCAACGATAAGCTGTTCTCCATTCAGATTGACACCAGTATCGGACACCTTCTGGTCGGGTTGAAAACGGTCCAGATCCAAAGGCTTGAGGTCGGGGTATCCGTATTTGACATCGAAGGAGGCCAGTCCTGTCTTCTCCGCAATCTGTTCTTGAAGGTCACTGATGCTGGCCGATTCGTCCAGCGTCACTGTGGACTGACCTGAAGGTCCACGTACTCGCATACGCATGGCTGTTCAGGGTGAATATAGTAGACTTTTCTTTTATACGAAGTTGAGATAGAAGGAAAGCCGAGCTGTGACACAGGTGGTCCCACCCTGACAGCGAGAGACCTATGACGAACTTTGGGATCTGGTGTGGGGTAGATGCGGTGTACCAAAAGAGAAGTTGCGCCAGTTCAGTGAAGATTCAACCGAGCTTCGAGGCTTCCATCAGACGCAGCTTGAAATGTTTCGACTAGAGAGGAGCGAGATCAAAGGAGTTGGAGGAAAGAGAATGCGACGATTGTCATGCGGAGATCAGCACGGAAGCCCCCGCAGCGTCCGCCCATTACGCTCATAGTAGGGGTCAAGTCATCGAAGCAAAACAGACGGTCCAGATTTAATCTTCGTGAGTTCCAATCGAGCATAGATGTTGTCAATATCCATTACGCTCCATAAGTTGATGTGAATACCTTGCAACTGACCTGTGTGGCCTGCGGAACGAGGCCAAACTTGACAATACGCGCGTATCAAGGGCGTATGGATATCGCTGACTCAGCACGGCGCAAAACATTCCTAAGGTCTCATCTCCCTACGACACAACCAGCGAGCTCTCCAGCATCTTCTACCCCAACTCCCTTTGTACACGCGTGGCTGCGCGGGCTGTGGATGCAAATGTCGGACCGAGATCAGTCCCAACAGCCCGAGGAGCCCGTCACCTCCATCGAGGATGATGGCTCCATCAGTGACGAGCAATGGAAGGCAATGATGGATGTCACAATGGCCATTTACGACTTTCGCGAACCAGAGTAAGTTCTACCCAGGGGAAGAAAAATGAGAATCGAAAATCTCACAATGCCGTTGTACAGTGGCCATGATCCGTCGCGATTATTCCACCGCAGCGTCAACAAGCGCATCGTCCCCGACTACTACGATATTATCAAGGACCCAATGGCGCTCAGTATTCTGAAACAGAGAATCAACAAGCGTGAATACAAGCAGTTCTCGGATTTCGTACGCGACTGCGCATTGGTACGCGAACTCGCGCTTTCCCCATCCTTCGCCAAGGCTAACGGTCTCCGCGCTTTAGATCCCTCATAATGCGCAGACATACAATCGACCCAGATCCCAAGCATACGAAGATGCGATCGTGATCAAGGTATGCTGTCAGCTGACCACCTGGTCGCATTTTTCTGGTCATGCCTCGGAACATAACTGACCATCATCGACATGCAGGGTGTCTTTCACGATGAATTGAAGAAAATTGCCGATAAGGGCGTGATCAGCGCAGAAGAAGCCGAATTCCCAGACCTAGGAGAAATTCCCGAGGCCGATCCTTTGCCCGATGATGATGAAGAGGAAGAGGAAGAAGAGGAAGCAGACATCGAGGGAGAGGGAGAGGGAGAAGGAGAAGATGAAGACGAAGAAGACTCTGATGACGATAGCCGTCGGAGAAAGAAGCCAGGCCCGAAGCCTGGCTCTAAGAGAGGAATCAAAGACCCTCAGAAACATGAGCCTGACCTCCGGAAAAAGCGTGGACGACCTCCACGCGTGGATACCCCAATGGAAACCCGCATCAAGACCATCCTGAAAGGAATCCGCAAATTCAAGGGGCCTGGCGGCCATCCGAAGATCGTTCATTTCGAGAGGCTTCCCGACAAGGCCACCTACCCGGACTATTACATGGAGATCAAGGAGCCGATTGCCATCGACATCATCAAGCGCAAATCGAAGCGCAAGAAGTACAACTCCGTGGATCATTTTATGCGGGATTTGGACCTGATGTTCGACAATGCCAAGGCCTACAACCAGTCCGAAAGTCAAATCTACAGAGATGCTGTTGACCTGCAGGGCGAGTCTCGGAAGCTGGCTGAGCAGGAAAAGAAGAAGCCCGATAGCGAGTATCTCATGGAAGACGGCCGTTTCCCCTTGCCAGACGGTATCTTGCACCGAGGCGAGCTGTGGAAAGTCGGAGACTGGGTTCACATTCAAAACCCCAACGATGTGTCCAAACCCATTGTCGCGCAGATCTATCGAACTTGGCAGGATGCAGAGGGCGAGAAGTGGATCAACGCATGCTGGTATTATCGCCCTGAGCAAACTGTGCATCACTTTGAAAAGCACTTCTATCCCAACGAAGTAGTGAAGACGGGTCAATACCGAGATCACCGGATTGACGAGATCGTCGACCGTTGCTTTGTTATGTTTTTCACTCGCTATAGCAGGGGCCGCCCCAGAGACCTCGCTCCGGACAAGGACATCTATGTTTGCGAGGCACGCTACAATGAAGAGAAACATAAACTAAACAAGATCAAGACATGGGCTAGCTGCCTGCCGGATGAAGTGCGCGAGAAAGACTATGAGATGGACCTTTTCGATGTGCCTCGAAAGATAAAGAAAGTACCCAGTCCCATCAAGCATCTTCTCAAGGAAGATGCAAAGGAGACAGACGATCTTCCCCGGCCGGCATGGGGTGCGGATAATGCGCCGCCAGTCGTGGGTGCTGTTCACCGTCGCCCCAGAGATGAGAACGAATCGCCGCCGCCAGAGCCAACCCCATCTCCGCCTCCTCCATCTCTACCCCCGCCTCCCATGGCATCCGCTACGCCCCGTCCATCGATGGGCCAGACTTTGGCCAGTGCTGGTTTGGCTGGTCCGGGTAATGTTGGAGGTGTACTCCAGGCGCCATCCTCCGCGACTCCAATGAACCAGACATCCCCTGTGCCTATTCCTTCCGCGGCTTATCAGGGCCAGATGAACCCACAGATGTATCAACCCAACCAGCGACGCACGAGCAGCTTTGTACCCCAGACTCCGGCTGCGGGCTATCAGGCTTCACCGGTGGCGCACCCCTATTCGGCGGCACAGCCCTCGCCGTCACCATACGGTTCCTACTCCGCCAACCGTCTCCACACCACGGCGGCCCCGGTATACAACCCCAACGCACCGCGCCCGGTTGAAGTTTTCCATCTGGTAGATGCAGCGAATGCCGCCATTCCCGAGGATGTTCGAAAGCAATTCCACTGCGACGAGAGAGGCCATGTCCTCTTCTTCTCTGCCCCGCCGCTGGATATTATCCCACCTTTCCAGCCAAAGCTAGGACACTCTCTCAAGTATCTGGTAGCGAAAGAGGAGCGCCAGAAGAACGTGGCAGCGAGAAAACGCAAGCTAGCCGATGATCAGAAGCGACGGGACGAAGAAGCTAAACGCCAACGAGCAGATGGAGAGACAGAACTCGCAGCCCGGGTTGAGGCTCTTGTCCCGAATGCGATTGAATCTATGTTCCACCAGATTGCCGCTGGTACAGACGAGTTATACAGAGGGTTCTACCAAGGCAAGGCAGACAGTGCCCGGGCCGCCGACGTCAGAGCTCGCGAAGGCAGGATCCAAGTCGACCAGCTGGCTCGCCAGCAGACAGTGCAGATCCAAGCCCAATCCTCAAATGAGGAATTCGTGAACCTCAAGGGCACTGCCATGTATCTAGGTGACAACTAAGTGTGATTGAGTGCCGAAGTTGGCTATTTTCATTTCTCTCTTACCTGTGCGAGTCATTTCTCCTGGTCGAGGCGTCTTGATTTATTTATTCTGGGTATAGGGGCGTTGGACGTGTATGACTAGGCGGACCATAATGAATCAATTGTGTTTTCTGGACTCCTGAATACCTACAGGGATTTTCTACAATAGTTGTCAATATAGTTGAAATCGTGAACTGTTTATTTGCACATCTCCCATTTGCACATGCAGAGATACGAAATAATAATGAAAAGTAAACCGGTTAAAAACACCAAAACCAAAGAGGTCGTTGACTCATGAGATCGAGCACAAAATAACGCGATGGAACAGCCTTGAGAACCTCCTGTCCACATAAGATCACAGAGAAGGCAAAAGGAAGAAGATTAATACAGGAGACGGCCAGTCTCGTAGGGAAAGAACCCCGATGTTGAAACAATGCGATGGGTCTAGGTAATCCAGAAACAACCCCTCGAATGTAAGATCCCAGGCGATATAACGCAGCAAAGTCAGTCTATAAAAGAGCGGAGTCGAAGGGGTTTCTCTTGTATGCCTCATTTTCACTTGAACCTCAACCTCCACAGCGAGAAGTAGGGGCCAGAAGGTCGGGTACACCTTTTTTGGATTCCCTTTTTTTTCTTGTTATGTATGCTCCGTTATGCCGTTGTGCCCAGATGAAACTCCATATGAACTATTTTTTTCTTGATATGAACATGTCCTAAAGTTGGACACCGCTTGGCCCGTGTCGTTGTGATCGTAGCAGTAGGAAGCCGATTAGGCGTCTTTGGAGCTCTCCTTGGTCTCAGAGTTCCAGGAGGAGCTGTTGCGCTTGTTGCCTTCCTCTTCTTCCATAGAGAAGACGAGGTCGCTCTGTTCTTCCTCCTCGATCTTGCTCGTGGTAACGGACGAGGCGGTTCGCTCGAGGCGGGCACTGGGGCCGGCAGATGAGTGACGGGCCGATCCGGGATGAAGGGACATGCCGCTAAGCTGCTCAGAGATCATCGACAAGGATCCCTGTCTTCCAGGACTGGAGACAAATGGCGAGCCATCGTGTCGACTGCCGATAGGACCCAGGCTAGGACTTCCAATGGGGTTCAAGGAAGATTCACGGAGAGGGGAGCCTATGTGAGGGAATGAGGAACCAATGCCATCATCTTCCTTCTTCTGGCGCTGCTTGGCGAACAATGCACCGAAACGAGAGGGACTAGATGCCAGGGGAGAGCCGGTCTTTGAAAAGCTGCTGCTCATGCCCAGACCGCTAATATCGCGGTGGCTGGAGCTGATACCGATATCATGGTCCGTTCGCGAAAGCCGGCGAAGCTTCTCCTGGGGGGTGAGAACATCATCATGCAGATTCATAGGCAGGTAGTCCTCTTCCATAGGGAAATTCTCATCCCAGTCATCGAGAGCGGTAGGACGAGGAACGCTAGCAGACAGCATACGAGGCTTGACGGGACGGGAGGAGTGTAGGAACCGTGGTCCATTTGAGTCTTCGGGCGCCGGAGGAGAGGATCCAACGAGGGACTGTTTGCGCAAGTCGGATGCATAACCAAGATCGCGCAGGTTTCGGAATGTGGACTCCGATGGCCCCGGTCTCTGAGCCGGCGATGACAATTCCATACCGAATTTTGAGGGAACCGAGGCAGCCACCGGACCATAGCGGGCAGCATGAGAGATACCCTGGCTATCGAATGAGGCCGGCAGTGGCGCATCGAGGGCCGTCAGATGATGGTGACTGGGTGACATCGGGAAACGCACATCTTCTACGGGAGATCCATACTTCGAACCGGCATCGGGGGCCAGCCCCGCATCAATTGTCGGGATGGAATCGTAGGGCGGCTGCTGCTGACCGTGGAAAACCGATTCGTCCTGCGAAGGAACCTGCGAAGTGTATCGGGGCTCATGGCCGTTCATGCGCTGCTGTGACAGCACTGAATTGGTCAAGGCGGAATCCTGGTTGACATACGCCTGCGGATTGACTCGGCCACCTAAATTAAGATGGCTTCCGCCCATTCCCATGCCACCGCCACTGGGGCGGTTCACCCGGCGCCCATCCGGTAGAATATGGGCTAGTGCGCATTTTGCGCCGAACTTGCAGTTGCCCTAAAACGAAGCAAAAAAGTGTTTTGTCAGCACCGGTTCACCTTGGACGGTGATCTTCAGGTCCAATAAAGACTCCCGGTCACTTCTTACCTTCGTAAAGTATTTGCAGGGTGCGTAGTCAACTGCGGAGTCGGTCGAGTGCAGGAATGGACAAGCGGGGCCGGCCTGGCAAGCACCCTGGCGGAAAAATTTGCAGGGAACATGCTTAGTGTCTGCGGAGTGATCGAAGTGGAATGGTTAGCAATTTATCATGAGGGGAGGCGCGAGCTGAAGGCACCGGGGAAGAAGCGTACTCTTATTGCTGGGGTTTGGCGGGCTGCGAGCCATGTCGAGACTGGAGGGGTTGCGGGAGTGGCCGTTCTGAAGCTCAGAAGCCGCCGCAGCAGGCGCGCGACCTCTCATTTCGGAACGATTGGGACGAGAAGTAGGGCGAGAGGCCGACAGCATCGCCGAGAGAGATGGTGGAGTCACTGGAGGGGTTTATCGGAGAGAGGGGAAGACGAAGGCCGCAGGCGGTGTACCCAAAATCTACATCGGTAGCGTGACTTTCTATGACTTGCGAGATGTGGCAGATGACAGGAGATCTTTTGCTTTTCAAAGCTCAAGCTTGTTATTCATCATCATAGGCTCTGTCCACCTGTTCATCTGATGGTCGCCTTCTAGGTTGCCTCCATTCCGGGTGCTCACCTGTTTATCTTGGATTTAGTATCCGCTCATTCAATCAAGCCTTCAAGCCATAAGCTTCTACGGTTAATGTATGGTTTGACCTTTTTCTCGGTCTATATCCTCAAATTAAATGGGCCTGGAAACATCTATACCGGCCAAGAATGTGGTTTCCTGCTGGTCGTGGCTTCCAATGTTCTGACTGCCAAGATTCTATGGATATATATTCATTCTCAAGTTCTAGGACATCCGCGAGCTCTCAAATGCTAAAAGTGTATATTGCTCAGTCCCATCCATGGATATATGTAGATGCCCTCAAGGGCTAGGATAGTGGCACATAAGAGATGAAGTTTGTTATGCAATAAGAAGCTAAGGCCATAAGCTATCAATCCCTCTCACACGAAGTAAAGTATGCGCGGTCTGAGCACTAATATGCCCTATTTTTCGCCCCGAATCCAGGAAATCTAAAATAAGCGATCGTCCGAAGGGGACTGAGTTCCGCTCAGACTCCGCTGCGAATCATAATGTGACTGGGTGGAGACCGGAGATCGCGAATGTAGCGTCGATACCCGACCGTTGTTCATTGGAGCGTTCCTTCAAGCCCCAAAGACTCCTGGCAGCGCCGTTAGCGACCTCCGATGTACTGCTGGTGACAAGATCGGGCTTACCCATAGCTCCAGCGCGCTTGTGTTGTCGGGCAAAACCTCCGTACATCGCCCCCACAGATCACGACAAATACGACGGCGGGTGGCGGCATGTCGCTGCCACCATCGCCACTCATCTTCGAGCCTGGACCATTCTTCCAGGGGGAGTTGAGCCGTTTCGCTATCATGAAGCGACCCTAAGCGACCCTGAATTGCCTCCTTCTCTTCCTCGAGCTGTCGGATACTCTGTCGCAGGAAAGAAAGCCGAGGCTTGGCTTCTAGAGCTGCCAAGGACGCCCGTAATTTTTTCTCATCTCCTTTGATGGAAGAAAGTTGGACTTGAAGCTGTTCAATCTCCTGGCTGAGCGCGGCGATAATCTCGGGAGTTACGTTCTGCGATGAACTCTGTAAAGCGTGGTAGACTGATTGCTTCCCTAGATGTAGCCGTAATTAGTATTGAGCCAGGTGTCGCGAAGAAGATCGAGACCGACCTGCCACTCGTTCTTCAATCTTCTCGTTTTGGTACAATTCTCTCAGGAGCTTGGATGCTTGAGCTGGATTTACGTCAAGATCATGCTGCACCGAGAGGGTGGGTCGATACCACTCACCTTTTGTAACCTTGTTGTGCAGATTCGCAGACACTTCGATAGCCTTTCAACCCATTTATCAGCAAGATCCGCAATAGCGTGAGGTGGAAGTAGCTTGAGGACATACTGAATAGGGACGACTGAGTGATTCAAAAACTCAACACTGTTCCAGCTTCAAAGAGGCGCTGAAGGAAACTCACTTTTGTTCACCTGGAAGCAGACCGATTGAATGAGCATTCTGACCATGAAGTTACATGGAGCCCCTCAAAGATACTCACGAAGGTAGTCAAGAATCATTGTGGCGCCTTTCCCTCGTCAGTCCTCGTCGCACTATCACGAGTTTCTATTGAATATACCGTCGGGTTGAGCAGAGGCATCACTTTTTGCCTTGCGAGGACCCATGATGGGCGTGGGGTATTGACCGCTGAGGATGGAGAGGAGCACGGAGATGCAGCGGAGATGTAAGGAGTGAGCTGAGATGTGAAGGAAGATGAGTTACTCGAGACGAAACCCTACAAGAACACCAAGTGATACAACAGCCACACAGAATGAGATTGCAACGCGCTTCATAATGACACCTCTTATCTAGAAAAAACAAACAGCTTAACAACCATATGTCCAAAGGCCCCGCTATGAAAATCTGGAGAGCAAATGCAACTGTGTGGAAACGAGAGGCCGAGACAGCGTCGACGAAAATGCCTCCCGGACGTCGAAGGTAGAATTTTGATTTTGAACCCCCGGGATTAAAAATATAATAGAAAATGTAAGATGGAAGCGCCAACCAAAGATCCATGGAAATCCAACGCGGCGTCCGGGGTATCACATCACGATCTGTCATTTCGTTAGTTCGTTCTTTGAAGGCAGGACAAGACAGTAATACATACGCAATCGCTATCGTTTTTGGCACTTGGGACCCCCATTTCTTCGAAGGTCTTGGGGCCCTTGCTCGGTGCTTGGCCACTTGGCCTGGACGACTGCGAGGGTTTCGAGGAAGCCACAGACGGCGGACCGGACGCCACAGATGGTGGAGCAGAAGGCGGTTGGGGTGTAGAGGTAGACGACCCTCTAGATGGCTGGCGAGACTCTGTGCGTGGAGGAAAGTTGGCAGAAGAAGGAGAACCCTGTGGTCGGGAAGGGAAATTGGCAGATGAAGGAGAACCTAGTGGCCGGGGAGATGGCATAGATCCCCCCGGGGCAGACACAGGGGTTCGTACGGGCCTTCGGTCCGGAGGCCCTCCCTGTGGAGGCGCCCCGTCGAGCCGTGTTGGACGTCGGTCACCCGGCCGTGGAGCCGGGGCAGAAAAACCGACGTCCACTCGAGGTGTCCCATTGGGGCTGATCATGTTTGGAGCCTGCGGGCTGGCTGGACCTGCGGGCGCACCGATAGGTGTTCCCGCACCCGAGCCAGGCTGGCGATAGTTCATCGGAGGCTGTCCATAAGTCGGAGTACGGGGGCCGCCGTAACCTGGAGGACCATTTTGACGAAGGTTCGGATTGACACCAAATGCCGAGCTTGGTCGGGGATCGGGCATCTGGTAGCTTGGCTGGCCTGGTGGACGAGGACGAGAAGAGCCAGGACGATCGGGATAAGGAGCGGCGGGCGGGGGTTGATCGTTCAGGGTCATCCGCGAAGGATCGGGCATCTGGATGTTTTCCGGAGCGGACTCCAAGGAACCACCTCGCTGGTGAGCAACGTAACGTGTTGACTTGATGCGAGAAATCGCAACCTTTTCATGGTCTCGTCGGGACAGAGTCTTGGATCGCGAGATACTATCAATGCGACCAGAAGCGTCTTTGTTACCGCTGGCAGCAGCCTTGGCGTACCAGCTCCGGGCCTCTTTGATGTCGACGGGGACGAAAATGCCGACCTCATAGAAGTAGCCCAAGGCGAACTCAGCCGTAGGGAGACCACTCTGAGCAGCGCGCTGGGCATAGGTGAATGCAAGCTCATCGTTCTTCTCGAAAACGCCCTCGTGTCCACAAAGGAACCATTTGCTGATAGCCATCTCGGCCTCAGGTTCACCCTGGCGCGCCGCAAGCGCATTGTAGTGCAGGGAAAGCGCGGGATTGAAATCGCAGCTCAGTTGACAGAGTTCATACGCAGCACCCATCTTCACTTGGGCCTTCGCGAATCCATGATAGGCGGCCTTCTCGATGTTGACACGGGCAGTGTTGAGATCGAGAGCCAAGTAGGGTTCGGGAACGCTGACCTGGGGAAGCTCCCGTGCGAGAAGCATGCCGTGAACCTATATTCCGTTAAGACTTGCAGCCGAAGATCGATTTCTTGAAACTTACGTAGGCACCCTGCGGGGCATTCTGGTCACAGGATTGCGCCGCGAGCCGGATGTACTCCAAGCCTTTCTGGAAATCCTGGCGCTGGCCATGTTGGCCCAGGAGAATCATCATTCCCAGACGCTAAGACGGAAGACAAACGTTAGCTATCCCAAGCTTTTTGCGATGGATTTTTCTGTGAACATACGTAATACGAGGCGGAATCGGCCCTCGCGACACCTCTCTCGTAGTGTCTGATTGCCTTCTCGGGCTCTCCGGAGCTCTCGAACTGCATTCCAATGCGGTATTCTGCACGCGCATATCCCTTCTCCGCCGCTCTGGAATAGCAACGGAAGGCTTCTTTGCGATCCACCCGATAGCCAAACTTGCCGAATTCCAGCCACATACCCTTGATGAACTCAGCCTTGGGATGATGCTGCTCTGCCAAAAAGCTGACGATGTTTAGCGCATCGGTCTTCAACTGCTGTTCGATTTGTGGCGTGCGAGGGCGCGGAGGCTGTGTCAACGCCAGACGGGATTCGTTCTGTGCGGCCACTTCGACAAAGGCCAACGCATCCTGGGCCCAAGACAATTGCATTTCCGGGTCGGTGGTCGACAGAACACTCATGCGGTGATGCTCCAGTTTGGCTTCGCGCTGCTCATCGGTAGGGGGGACGTTCGGTGGGGGACTCCGCAGGATGGGGAATGGGGAGAAGTTTGGATGATCCATGCTGTCGTAGGTAGCGGCCTGCGCGTAGGAACCAAGATCGTACGTCTGGCCCTGTTGCGGCTGGGCCTGGATGGTGGAAGAGGTTCGCTCGGGGAACTGCTGCTGCTGCTGCTGCTGCTGCTGCTGTTGCTGGTGGTGAGGGTGATACTGCGCCGGAGGCTGTTGAGGGCGGCGGGGGTCGCGAGCGTGATGCTCCATCTGCGCAATGTTGTCCTGCATGTTTTCAGGGACTTCAGGCATCACCCTGCTCGGACGAATTAGTACTCGTACCTTTGGCATTTTGCAGATGTGGAGGAGGAACCAGGAAATGGTGGCATCTCGTACCTTTGGGGGGAGGGGGAGATGACCTCTGGCATGTAGAAGTCATCCTGGCCCCCTGGATACCAAGTGGCACCCAGCCGAGGCTGACCACGGCCCTGCGGCGGTCTGTTCATCCCGGCGCGTATTGATAAATCGGGTTTAGGAAGAAGAAAGCATTCGGGGAAAAAACGAGGGGGAGAAAAGAGAAGTTGCCAAGAGGGGTGGATGCCAGCCCACTTTAGTTGGAGAGCGAATCTTAATACAAATGCAATGGATCCCCCTGCCGAATTACCAGACGCCTGTACCCGTGTAGGGAAATTACATAGAAGAGTAGAAGAAGGTCTAAATGTCTAAATATAAAAATAAGTACTCAGCCACTTCACAGCGCCAGACTCCGGGGGATGCAGCAACATTTGATCACCCGCAAATTATTTCCCCTGAGGGTTGCACTGGCACTGGAGCCCTGTCTCGGGAGCCTTACAGTTCTCCACCCCCGTTTTATTTTTATCTGCGGGAAAAAAAAAAAAAACAAAAATAAAGAAAACCATTGCTGATCTCACGCCATGGATATACAGGATTTCCATCACCCTTTCACGCCATATGAGATCCAACTGCAGTTTATGCGCGCCTTATACGGGTCTCTTGAAGATGGAAAAGTCGCCGTATTTGAATCCCCCACTGGTAAGCGCGCTAGTTCCTCCCCCTCCTTGGCCCCGGTCTAACATCGGTGCAGGTACTGTAAGTGTCTTTGTCTCCACCGGGTCATGGTCCGGATCAGTCGGACGAGAGACGTGATGTCTTGGATCATGGTATACGCGATTGGGCATCAAGCTAAGCCACATCTCAGGGCAAATCATTAAGTTTGATCTGTGGCTCTCTCACCTGGTTGCGCGATCACAAGCGTAAGGCTTTCCAGGAATCCTTAGATCAGGCAGCAGGTATGTTCCCTACTCCTAGATTGCCCCCGTGATGTCATCTCTTATTTGTGTTTAGCCGATGACGATGAGCCGGAATGGATGATCGAATTCGCAAAGCGGGATTCCCGTCGTGCCTTTGCCGAGAAGAGACAGAAATTCGAGACCCGACTGGCCAAGATCAAGCAGCAGGAAGAGCGTTTGAAGGTGGCCCAGGACAGCTCAGAGCGCCCTCGAAAGAAACAGGTACGAGCAGGCCGATCCTACATCTTCAGATTACATACCAACCAGCTGAACTTGCTAGCGATTGGACGAGCCGTCATCGCAGTCAGATGCCAAGGCCAATGATGATCAATTCGTTCTCGATGACTATGACAGTGAAACAGATGAAACAAACGCACAGAGTGCGTCGGCAGGTGCAGATGGTCTATCTGCCAGCACCTTGGCCCTATTACAGCAGTTTCAGGGTCAGTTCTTTTCCAGAAAGCAGAATGAAGATGATGAGGACGACGACTCGGTCAAGATCTTCTATTGCTCTCGGACCCATTCCCAGCTAAGTCAATTTGCGGGCGAGCTGCGGCGAGTTGCATTCCCGTCTAGCATACCCAAAGATCCTGATGCAGAAGGTAAAGACGACCTCGCGAAGCTGGAAGAGCGCACCAAACACCTCTCTTTGGGCTCTAGGAAGAACCTGTGTATCAATGACAAGGTTCGCGCTTTAGAAAACAACACGGCTATCAACGAGCGTTGTCTGGACCTGCAGCAATCCGGCGTAACTGCGGATAAGAAATGCTCCTATCTCCCTTCCAAAGAGGACGAAGCGTTGCTTCTCCAATTCCGCGATCATGCGCTGGCTACGGTAAAGGACATTGAGGATATCGGTAAAGTCGGCAAGGACCTCGGGATCTGTCCTTACTACGCATCTCGTTCAGTTATCAAGCATAGCGAGGTCAGTACCGGCCCTTCCGTCGCGATCTATGCAGAGCTGACAAGGGTTCTATACAGATTGTGACACTCCCGTATCCACTGCTATTGCAGAAATCTGCCCGCGATGCTCTTGATTTGTCTGTGAAAGGCCATGTGGTGATCATTGACGAGGCGCACAACCTCATGGACGCGATCGCCGGTATCCATTCAGTGGCAGTTTCCCTACATCAGCTGCAGACTGCCATCTCACAGTTAACGATCTATGCACGCAAATTTAAAAATCGATTAAAGGGAAAGAATCGGAACTACGTCGCTCAGGTAATTCGACTAGTGAACTCCATTGCCGACTACTTACGAGGTATTTCTCAGCAAAAAGGGGCTCAAGAGGGTTCAATTCAACCCTCAGACCTAATGGCCGGCAAAGGAGTTGACCAGATAAATCCTTACAAACTGTCTCGATATCTACAGGAGAGTAAGCTGGCCCGAAAAGTGGATGGCTATGTCGAGTCCTCCCAAGCACAGGAGCAAGGACAACCCAAAGGAAAGACTAAAATCAAGACAAGCATGCCGGTTCTTTTTCACATTCAAAGCTTTCTCTTACCTTTGATGAATCCATCTGAGGAAGGGAGATTCTTCTACCAAAAGGACCAGGATAACGTACTGTTGAAATACATGCTTCTCGATCCTACCAATCACTTCCGTGAAATTGTTGAAGATGCTCGAGCTGTAATATTGGCTGGTGGCACGATGTCTCCGGTGAGTCCCTCTCTTCCTTCATTTGGCCGTCATCGGCTAACTTCTTAATAAGATGTCTGATTACAGAAACCATCTATTCTCATATTTACCGACAGAACGTCTTGATACATTCAGCTATGGTCACGTCATCCCAAAGGCCAACCTAGTTGCACAAACACTGACTCGAGGACTCATGGGGTCGGACTTTGACTTTACCTATGAGACACGAGGGTCTGAGAAGATGGTGAGTGGCTTTGGAACCAGCAATGGTCTAACTCGAATTCCATGTTTTCTAACCGATGGCATAGATCACCGACTTAGGCCGGACAATAGCGACCCTCTGCCAAGTCATCCCAGACGGTGTTGTTGCGTTCTTCCCTAGCTACGACTACCTGAGTCAAGTATTGACTGTTTGGAAGAAGCCCATCCCGAATGGCAACGGTCAAACTACTCTCGGCCTGATCGAACGGAAAAAGAAAATTCTTTATGAGTCACGCGAAGTAGTGATAACCACCGATGCCTTGCTTCAAGAATACACCGAAGCCGTCGAATCAGGGTCGGGGGCTTTATTGTTATCTGTGGTCGGAGGCAAGCTATCGGAAGGTATTAACTTTTCTGATCGACTAGGCCGAGGAGTCTTGATCATTGGTCTACCTTTTCCAAACATTCGTAGTGCTGTTTGGCAGGCCAAGATCAAATACATCGAGGAGAAGACCTTCAAGATTAGTTCGGGGACAGAATCGGTGAAGAAGGCAAGTGCCGCGGCAGCTGGGAGGGACTTCTACGAAAACTCCTGCATGCGAGCCGTCAACCAGTGTATTGGGCGTGCCATTCGGCATGTGAATGACTATGCAGCCATCGTGATGATTGATCGTCGATATGACTCGGCGCGCATCCAGGGCAAATTGCCTGGCTGGATCAAGGGGAGTCTAATTTCTTCGCCATCTGAGCGTCCAGCGCATATGACGGTGCAGCGAATGTCAAAGTTCTTTGCAGAAAAGAAGTTATCAATTGTCTAGCAAATGATAGTCAAACCAATTGCATCATGGAAAGAAGTAGAAAGCATATGTAGAACAAAGGGCGGTGGCAGAATGATGCAATATGCGTGGTAGCGGAAGGCGGTGTTGCCACACGTGATCTAGGCCAGCCCCAGGGCAGGGTTTGACCCTATCACGGGACAAGCGAATTGCTTAGCGCACACTCCGCCTAGCGCAAGCGTGGATTTCAACATCTGAGCCGGAAGTATCCACGACCCTTCCCCCTTTCAACGCCTAAATCTCAGACCGGTCTTGTCGAGAATACACCGCCGACAAGATGCCTACCCGTTTCTCGAAGACCCGGAAGCAGTGAGTCGCCTCCTCCTGTCCCATTCCCGAAAATTTTGGCCGTGATATACGAAGATCCGACCTCGCTGGCCACCCGCATCCTTCCCAGTCGCCCATCGCTAACATGAATATCTTACAGCCGCGGCCACGTTTCCGCCGGTTACGGTCGTGTCGGCAAGCACCGCAAGTCCCCCGGTGGTCGTGGTATGGCCGGTGGTCAGCACCACCACCGTACCAACATCGACAAGTACCACCCTGGTTACTTCGGTAAGGTTGGTATGCGCTACTTCCACAAGACTCAGCAGCAGTTCTGGAAGCCTACCATCAACCTCGACAAGGTACGTGCCGAACGAAACGATCCAAGTAAAAAATCGGAGGTCAAGGAGAAGGAATTTGTGTGCCGGGAAACAGAACGATAACGCACTGTGGACTGGCCGCAAACTGACTCTGGAGGATTGAATGGGTACAATAGTGATGAAAAGTGTGACTGATTGGTTTTTTTTTTTTTTTACATATAGCTCTGGTCCCTTGTCCCCGCCGAGCAGCGTGACGCCTACCTCGCTGGCTCCAAGACTGACGTCGCCCCCGTCATCGACCTCCTGCCCCTCGGCTACTCCAAGGTCCTCGGCAAGGGCCGTCTCCCCCAGATCCCCGTCGTCATCCGTGCCCGTTACTTCAGCCGTGATGCCGAGCAGAAGATCAAGGAGGCTGGTGGTGTCTGCGAGCTCGTCGCATAAGCGTTGAATTAGGTGTTTTATTGGAGAAGACGGGTGAATCGGGGCAATCGCAGTCTTGACTGCATTCGGTCGTGTGGAGGATTCAGGTCTTTCTGCCCGTGAGGAGGAGGACGATCGGAACTCAAAAGCTGACCGCCACGAGCCGAAATGGTTGGTTCTGGCGTTCGAAAAGAATAAGGGTTTCTGTGTATGCAGTCTGCATCGCATGACCTCCGAATGCCCTTACGATTTCACATTGTGTTAAACAAATACCACAAGGAGGATTTTCAAAAGTGTTTTGTCCAAATACGTAACGTAGATGCTGCAGATTGAGAGTGATTGATATCTATACGGGCTGATATTAACCAGATTCTGATACTGGTTCTGCTTCACTAGCACCTGGCTTGCAGTCATCTATGGATGTAAATTTGTACTAGTAGTTTCATTCATGTGCCTATTCACAGCGGGCTCTCATGATTTTGTAGTCTATGCCATCGCACTGTTCAGATCTTGGACGACCGCACCGATCCCCTCCGGTCCTTGCTACCTGTGGTGGCAAGCGTCTCACTGATGAAGCGGACGGCCTCATCGACCATCTTGGCCGTGACCTCATGGCCCGCACTCTGGTCGGTAATGTCCTCAAATGTAATCGCACCATCACCGAACCAGCCATTGGACGAAATTGCCTTCTTAAACCAGTTCAGGAATGCCTCGCCTCGGTGATACGGCACCAACTTATCCACTCCACCAGAGAGATTCAAGATTCGCTTGCCCGCCAGGCACCGAGTCAGAAGCGGTCGAAGTTCCTGCTGTTCCTTGTCCGTTGGGTCGGGCAATGTGTCTGGGCGCAATGGGCTGGACGAGCCAGTATCAACACAGCTGAGGAAGAGACTAGCCGGATCGTATTGCTTCACGATATCCACGAACGAAGTCGGGAAAGCCTCCGAACCTAGAATTTCAGAACCAGGCGGGTCGCTCTTCGTCCACGATGGCAACTTCGACAATCGGGCACGGTCTACCATGAGATTAAGATAGTCTGGGCAGCCAATAATAACGACCCCGGCGCTGACACGAGACTCATGCAGCAAACAGCTCCATGCGGCATGTCCGCCAAGAGAAACGCCCAGAACGAGGTTCTCCGAGATCTTATGCTCGCCATTGGGGAAGACGAATGCGGCGAGATAATCCATTAAAAGCGATGTGTCTCGAGCAGTGCCCTCTGGATAATTCATTAATGAGAAATGTTTCGCGTACGGTAAGTTCCCAGCACTTACGGAAGATAGAGAACATATCCTGAGCGTGGCGAGGGTTTCCTTGTCTCCAGGCCTCGTTAGCCAGCGGGTCAACCATTCTGGTGCCATGATTGCGCTGGTCAAAAGAGACAGCAATCAAGCCCTTGACAGATGGATCACTCTGATTCTTGCTGTTCCAGTCGGTGATAGTGGCTGAAGCAATGCCAGTCATGCGTTCCTGCGTCGCCAGTCGAGGATGAAGCAACCATAGACAGGCAACATCTGTCGCCTGGGCAGGAAGTTCCTCGAGTCCAAAGACGGTCACTGAGATACCAGCAATCGCATAGACCTTCTGAGAGACGGCTATCGGCTTAGGACGGCCGGACGAGTCGAAGGTCTTCAATGGGTCGGTCATGGTTGCGGGGTATCTGTAGAACGGTTGAAGAGATAGAACTGAACCAGGGATTGAAATGGAAAAAGAAGGGATAAAGTGTATCAAGAGTAGGGAGATCTTTCTATGTTGCCGTGGCTCTATAGAACCAAGGGCGGGGAATTATAGCGTTTCTAAAGGCGACTCGGGTATAATGCAACGAGCCGAGGGTCCGTTGTGCTTGTGCAGACCTGAACTTCCCGGTACTCCACCGTAACACACATCAAGTACCAGGACTGAAACTACTGGCACCTCTATAGACTTTGTTTTGTGTGGTATAGCGATGTCACAAATCTCATCACATATCTCGTCACTGATACCTGAGGGTTTCATAAATAATTTCACGTGACTACTGCCTAAGGCCACCAATCCAATTTTCCCGAACAGGGAAAAAGGAAACCTTGGAACCCGAAGTGGGAAGGGACTCGATCCATGATGCGTATTATTGGTAACCTCTGAAAGCATCATCGCTACTGTACATCGGAGATTGCTGGCTCTTATCTACTCACGAATTACCACCACAAATTTTCCCCTTCCCCTTTTCCGAGTGCCTGACCGCCCGCTTCTTGGCCAGCTTGGCGGGCCCGTCTCCAGTCGGAGAGATTTTGATGGGGCGGTACTCCACCGCGGTTGCGAACTAAGTCAACCTCAAACGCTCCTTTATATGTCAACAGCTGTGTGGACCCCATCTATCCCTCTCAATTGACCTGTTCTTCTCGCGAGTTTGGTCCTAGGATGCCAGTGACAAGACTTGACCACATATGACAGGGTCTCGATCAAACCTGCATGTATGCACCCCAGCATCTGCTAGCTCCTGCCCCAAGCTGCCACTGACGATCCCCTCACCGTAACAGCATGACCGACACTCTTATGCCATCATCTCCCCAAATGGAGGCTGAGCGCAAGTCCGAGAGAGAGAAATTGAAGAAGCCCGATCCCATATCCGTTGCGAGTGGCTCCAAACTAGCCTCCCCATTCCCGTCCCCTACCGAAGCCAAACGACCTGCTTCAGCCAAGCGGGCTCAGCACACCGAAGCGAGCGAAGAGGATAAGGCACCGGACTACCTCCAACTATCTAAAGAGCCGGAAAGTCCTCTTGGGAGTAAGGAGAACACATCGCCGACGCAGCATGGCTCACCCAGACAGTGGCCATCCCTGAGCACCCGGCCACCGAACAGGTCCAATACCGACGAACAGCCGCCGTCACTAAGGGGCAGTAGACAGCAATCATCTGGCCATGGGATGTCTCCTCCATCCCGAGCCCCCAGTGTTCAGTTCCGCGATCCCGATAACGAAGCCACCGAGCTACCCTCGTCGAGGCCGCAATCTCGACCCTCCTCTTTATATGGTGATGACGGAGACCAATCAAAGGGGAAACAGTCTATTCTCAATCGTTTGAAGTCCTTCGCCGTTTCTCCGCCCTTTGCATCACATTCAAGGTCCCCTAGCGGAGCCACAATCGGAGACATCCGACCGAGCCAACCTGACCTCGTTACTCCGGGCTCTGAACGGGGCGAATTTCTCTTCCCCGTCCCTGAGCCTCTAGCTGAAGAGGGAAGTGATATTGATGCCGATGCCGAGGAAAGCGGCGGCGAGCAGCGGGATCGCCCCAAAAAGAAGAAGATCCTACGTCGACGACAACAACAGGAAGACGAAGCTGGGGCTCGTACTGCCCCTACGACGCCAAAAACCACACGCCGGCCTTCCTTCCACTTCTCGTCCTCATTTGCTCCCTTTGAGAACTACCGCAACAATATATTCCCTCGAAGGGCTAGCACTACTGAGTTTACGCCTCAAAACCGGGAAGGTGTATCGGAGGATGAAGGTCGTGACAGGCTCACCCGGCGAAAGCGACCTGCCTGGGCCGGAAACCGTGGGATGTCGTATATCGGCCGGCAGCAGGACGGAACCCAGGAGGAACAACAACGGCCGAGTAATTTAAGGAGACTTACCGGACTTGCTGGTCCATCTGAAAATCCCGAAAGCCTTGCAGCTACTTGGAGACGGCATCGGGGCGAGCGGGGCACCAGCGCCGGTGCCCAGCGATGGAGACAAATCAAAGCCGGCTTCAAGTTCATGGGCCAGCGTCGCAAGGGCGACAACGCAGTGGATAATAAGAAGTCTGCAGAATTACTTGCCGAGCTGGCCTCGGCTGTCCCCGCTGCTCTAATTCTGGCCAGTTTTTTCCAACGGGATGAACACGGAAGCAAACGTATTCCGATTCTCTTGGAGCAACTGAAAGTCCGTGTTACAGACAGCCGCATCGACTCGAACTCTGGCGACCGCCATCTAGTGTTTCGAGTCGAAATGGAGTATGGAAGTGGCATGACTCGAATGAAATGGATTATCCACAGGACTTTGAGAGATTTTGCCAACCTGCACTTGAAGTACAAGCTTCATCTCGGAACTCAGAAGTACATCCAGCTTCGGGCAAGTGAGAACAGCCCCAGCCTTCCTCGTTTCCCGAGAAGCGCTTTCCCTTACATGCGAGGCGTGCGTGGATTAGAAAGCGAGTTCGAGGACGAGGAGGACGATGGTGGGTATGAGACTGGCCCTGAGGGGATGAGTGGTACAGAACGACCCGGGAAAAAGAAGCAGCGTCGGCCTTCAGGAGTTGGTCCTTTGGCTCGCAGGAAATCGAGTATCACCAACCAGGAGGGCGAATCGGCCGCTGGTCCTTCGTCTGTCCATGAAGGAGTGGGTGGCAAGAGAGAAACCTACCCGGAGAGGCAACGGAAGAAGCTTGAGATGTACTTGCAGAAGATGATTCGGTTCCTCATTTTCCGGGCTGATAGTAACCGCCTGTGCAAGTTCCTTGAGTTATCTGCTCTAGGAGTTCGTCTCGCCGCAGAAGGAAGTTATCATGGCAAAGAGGGCTTTTTGATCATTCAATCATCGAAAGGTCTCGACTTCCGAAGGGCCCTGACACCGTCTCTGATCAAGAAGCGTCACTGGCCCAAGTGGTTCCTTGTTCGCCACAGCTACGTGGTCTGTGTTGATTCACCCGAAGAGATGAACATCTACGATGTCTTCTTGGTGGATTCCAACTTCAAGATTCAGACGCAAAAAATCAGCCTTCGCAATCAAAAAGCGAAAGAACTGGCCAAGTCGGCAAAGCAGTCGGCAAGACACCCTCAGCACCACACTCTACGGCTTGAGAATTCCGAACGCAAGTTGAAGTTGTTGGCTCGGAACGAACGCCAACTGCAGCAGTTTGAAGACTCAATCCGCTTTATGGCACAAAATACTCCGTGGATGCGGCCAAATCGGTTCGACAGCTTTGCGCCTGTTCGACAGAAGTGCTTTGCCCAGTGGCTAGTTGATGCACGCGATCATATGTGGGTGGTATCGAGAGCGATCAACCAGGCAAAGGACGTCATTTATATCCACGATTGGTGGTTGAGTCCGGAATTGTACATGCGACGACCTGCGGCCATCAGTCAAAAATGGCGGTTAGATCGTCTGCTCCAAAAGAAGGCTCGCGAAGGCGTGAAGATCTTCATCATCATGTACCGGAACATCAACTCTGCGATCCCCATCGACTCAGAGTACTCCAAGTTCTCACTTCTTGAGCTTCACCCCAACGTCTTTGTCCAGAGATCTCCAAACCAGTTCCGTCAGAACACCTTCTTCTGGGCACACCACGAGAAGTTGTGCCTAATTGATCATACCCTTGCTTTCGTGGGAGGTATTGACCTGTGCTTTGGACGTTGGGATACGCCTCAGCATCACCTTACTGACGACAAGCCCACTGGCTTCGAAAACTCCGACACCGCCAAAAATGCAGACAATTGTCAGCTCTGGCCGGGTAAAGACTACTCCAACCCTCGTATTCAAGATTTCTATGACTTGGATAAACCATACGAGGAGATGTACGATCGCAATGTTGTACCGCGTATGCCCTGGCACGATATTTCGATGCACGTGGTGGGCCAACCTGCCCGCGATCTCACTCGGCATTTCGTTCAGCGCTGGAACTACATCCTTCGCCAGCGCAAGCCAACACGACCAACACCCTTTCTTCTGCCACCTCCGGATTTCAACCCTGCTGATCTAGAGGCTTTGGGTCTGGATGGAACCTGTGAGGTTCAGGTCCTTCGCTCCAGCAGTATGTGGTCGACTGGAACGCCCGACGTCACAGAACATAGCATTATGAATGCCTACGTCAAGATGATTGAAGAGTCTGAGCACTTTGTCTACATTGAGAATCAATTCTTCATTAGTACCTGTGAAATCGATGGCAGGAAGATCGAGAACCTGATCGGAGACGCATTGGTGGAACGTATTGTCCGAGCAGCCAAGAACGAAGAAGCATGGCGCGCCGTTATTGTCATTCCTCTCATGCCAGGCTTCCAGAACACCGTTGACAGCGAAGGTGGAACGAGTGTGCGTCTGATCATGCAGTGTCAATACCGCAGTATCTGCCGTGGCGAGACCTCGATCTTCGGTCGTCTCCGGGCGCTGGGAATCGAGCCCGAAGACTACATCCAATTCTACAGTCTGAGAGCCTGGGGCAAGATTGGACCGACTAAGCAGTTGGTAACGGAGCAGCTCTACATTCACGCAAAATGTATGGTCGTCGATGACCGTGCTGCCATTATTGGATCTGCAAACATCAACGAACGATCAATGCTGGGATCGCGTGATTCCGAGGTGGCAGCTGTGGTGCGGGACACAGACATGATCCAATCCACTATGAATGGCAAACCCTACCTTGTCGGAAGATTCCCCCACACTCTTCGTATGCGCCTAATGCGGGAGCACTTGGGAATTGACGTTGACGAGCTTCTGGAACATGATTTCGCTACAGAAGAAGAGCTGCGCAAGATTCAGGTTGATGAAGAAGACGCTCGACCAGCCGGTGGTCGAGAAAGACGAGGTTCTGAATCGTCGATGATTGAGCGCCAAGACGAACGAGACATGATCGAACGTCGTCATCGTGTCCAGGATGAGTTCTTGTCCCGCTCAGAAGAAATGCACAGCTTCAATCACGACGTTGACTGGGAGCAAGGCAACAACCCCAACCTCAAAAGCAATCGGAGACTCACTACCGATCCACGAGTTACGGATAATCCCGATCACAAAAAAGACGTGGATGGTGATGGCTTTGATAACTTGCGAGCTGCTGAGCAAGCTGGTTTGGGAGTTGGCCGTGACTCACAAATGACTCCGGATGGCAAGGAATCCCTAGTCTCCCCACTCTCTTCTGAAGGCAAGGGCACTATCGATCAGCCCAGGCCATCGTCTCGGCGCAAGCCCGCTCGATCATCATCGACCAGCAAGAACGGACCTGGGTCTTCGGGCGAAGCCGCTCGAGATTCAGAGGGCAATACTAGCTCTGATACTCCTTCGCACACCCACGGTGTCTCTGGGTCATCGAGCCGTGAATCTGAGGTTGAAAGCGCGGGTCTGATGGTGTCTCAAGAAAACCACGACATCCCCAGATTTGGACAGCCATTTACGCCAGATTTGAAGCGTATCTTCATCGACAAGGACTGCATGAAGGATCCAGTGAACGACGCGTTCTATTTGGACACCTGGCAAGCGGTTGCGGAGAAGAACACGAAGATTTACCGCTCTGTCTTCCGATGCATGCCCGACAGTGAGGTCAAGAACTGGAAGGAATACAAGGAGTATGCCGCATATGGAGAGCGCTTCTCCGAGATGCAGAGCCAACATAGCAGCAAGCCGACCAACCAGCCTCATCAGAAACATACCGGGCCCCCTGGAGCTGCTCCTGCTACGGCTGGAGTCTCGCTTGCATCACCGATTTCTCTTGTTAGCCCCAAGACTGAGGGGCTGGTGACTGAGTCAAAGACCCCTCAAACAATTGACGAGAAGGCCGAGCTTAAGACACATGATGCTAAGCGGAATGAATCTGATCGGCCACAGTCTGAGCTTATTCAAAACGAAACATTGCCACCTCTTGATGAAAAGTCCGCCTTGAAGGCGGCATCGGAGCCACACCTGTTGAGCAGCGTGCAGAACAGCGAAGAGATCGGCGCTGGCGAGGCTGCTGAGAAGTCTCGCTCGAATTCTGCACATGTCGACTATTCCGAAGCAGTGAATCTGAATGCGTCTCAATCGCGAAGACGCAGACGCAGAGCCACTACAATTGGCTCTAAGGCCCACGAAGATGTAATGGACAAGCCGCGCGCGGAGGATCTTTTGAACAAGGTTCAGGGCCACCTTATTCTCTGGCCATACGACTGGTAAGGAACCTTTTCTATACTCCTTCGTTGTTCAATCTAACCATTATTAAACAGGCTTGAGAAGGAAGAGCAGGGTGGAAATTGGCTCTACGCTTTGGACCAAATTTCGCCCTTGGAGATCTAGTACGTTCCACTTCCTGGATCAATTGTATTGGCAATCGAAATCAAACTAACCATGATTATAGCAACTAATTCGTCCTCCATCTCATTTGCACTGAATTGCGTCTTTTCGGTTGCCCATCTGCAAACCTCAAGTATTTGCTTTTATTATATGCTCTCGGAGGTATTTTGATGCAGTTTCACTCATGCATTGTTCAGCGCTGCCATTGTCATTGCAACATCACCTTTTGTTGGATCTCTCTTGTCACACGCAGGGCTTCTTGAAAACATGCTTTGCTTTCAGCTAGTAATAGGCGTTTGGATAGGTTTCTACATATAAAGTGAGCGCTAGACAAAATAATTGAACATTTTTGAAGCCAGAGGAGAGACTTGTGTATATATACAGGGTATCTGTTAACGTCAATTAATCTACACATAAATTACTGCCCAGCCTCTTCTGCCTCGGCCCGGAGACCATGGGTGATCTGCCTCCGTCGTTTTTCGAAGCTATCAAAATTCGCCCGCAGGGCCGTTGCCAAGATTGAAGCATCGTCACTCGGACCCTCCCACTGCTCACACGCTTCAGACAACTGCTCATGGGCAGCCTTCAACTCACTCTGCATATCTTTTGTGCGTGTGAATGAGCGACCCAAGTCCTGCATGAAGTGAGTTGGATCCTGGATGCAAAGGCTTTGGCCAAGTTGTAGATTTCCCTGCGCTTTAGCGGTGAGCTTAGCACGCATAAGAGACCGCTGGCCGCGCAGATATGCGGGTTCAGCATCCCCACTTTCATTTGCACGCAGCACCCCGTTACCAAAGAAGCCCGGAGGGTCCAGTGCAACTCCAACAGAGCTAAGGTCAACATCCGACCCATAGAGCTTCATAAACGCCATCCACTGGTGCCCGAGGGTAGGGAGGCCTGTGAATCGGCCGTGGTTCATCTTAAGAAATGCGACAAGCAACAATACCAAAGCATTGCTATCAATGTGCATATGGTTGAAACGGGTAGAGCATGCTTCTATTAAAGCTCGGCTTGCTAGAAACAGAGGCCGAAGAGCAGGGTATTCGATCAAATAATCCTGCAAGTATTCAAAGATGGCTGGAGCATGTTCCCCGCAGGTGATTCGCACCTTTAAGCCCGTGGACTTATGCCGAGCCTCCAGACAAGGGCCGTATTTTACTAAGGTAATGTTCGAGAAGGCCGGGCTTCTCATCAGGGCGGATTTCACTCTTTCGAGAAGGCCCATATGAGCACGTCGAATCTGTGGCCGGGAAGCACTTGGTTTTCGAACCTGATCTGGAGACCGCTGTGTGTCCCGGAATGGCAAGATGAGTTCGATGGCCGAGTGTGCCGGTGCCAGCCCAATGGAACGTAGCCCAATGCACTCTGGCGGAGATGACAGTATTGCTACCAGTAAGGAATCAAGCTCTTCATAAATTCGATCAGTCTGTTTTTGCTCATCGGGGCTCGGGGACAGGTAAGAGTTCAATGCCCGAATCTCCGCATCCAAGTACGCAAAAGCATCGCCAGTAGCCTCGGATGGCTGCATATATCTCAGCCATGGCTTTTGTCCTAACGGGTCATATATCGAGGGGTCTGCGCGGCAGATTCCACTAAGTTGATCAGCCTTCGCTTGGGGCTTCTCTGGTATGCTCTTCACGCTATCGTGGAGTTTGATTATCGGTGCCGGTACCGGCGCCGGTGGTGGAGGTACCGGTGTCTGGTAGCCTGCACGGTTCTCTGGGGGGATATAAGGTCGAAAGAGCCCGGGCGAAGGATCACGAGAGTACACCTTGCGGATGAGGCTAGCTCGGTTCGACGAGCGATGGGCCTCTAGTGTTTTGCTGAGACTGTTGGTGAAGACATCGGAGTCTTTAGCTCTAGATGGAACAGAACGGATTCGAGGAAGAGGGAGACGCGGCATAGCGCGAAGATGACAGAGGAACGAGCTCTGTCAGTGGTGGGATCCACGATAAACGTGGTGGCCTGAGGCAGCTAGAATTGGGCGCATTGGGCGCATTGAGCATTGCGGAGTGGGAACTCGATGGTTACGACTGTACTGAAGATCGCATTGCTATAGTTGTCCGAATCGACAAATCTCAAGATTATAACTCCAGTTTGGGGTTCTGAGCATGACGTAGGGTTGAAGACATAGGAAACCCCACCGATTGTCCTGAAGCGTCCAGGTTCCTGTTTCGGACGGTGGCTTCAATCTCACCGCTTGCCCCTCCATCTTCACTTCTACTTCTTTACTTCTCTACTTCTCTACGAACTTGTACTTCTGTACCTGGACCATACTTGCCTCTCTGTTCTATTCATGGCTGTCGTCCTTCGTTTCCCCTAGTCGATCTACTCATCGCCTCCCCTCACCCCACCTCGAGGTACGAGCTTCCTTGTTACCCCCTCGGTTCTACGTCAGTATTACTTGAGAGAGGTTCCTGCATGTGACAATTGCAGTCTTTTCTGACATCCGACGCAACTAATTTCCAGCTCGTCCCCAACTACAAACTCCACACCATGTCTGAAACAGAGAAGTCGAGCCCCGAGCGCTTGCCTGAAGGGCAGCCGAATCCGGTGCTCGTGGGGCCTGGCTTAAAGGCCTTGAATATTGGGGCCTATGCGGATGCCACGAATGCGACACCGAGCTTGGATACCGACAAGCAAGGCCAGATGGATATCGATGCGCCCTCATACTTTGCCAACATCCCGGGAGTGCGGACCGAGTCACTCGGCCCATCCGATTTGGCCTCGGCACCACACACCAAAAGGAGGACATCATCGGGACAAGAGCTGCTTCGACGTTTGAGTCTAGTGGGGAATGGGTCTCCAATGTCACCAGAGGTCGACCCCCGTGCGCAGCATCCGGGTCTCAATCTGAGCGGGCGTCTGATAAGCGCCTCCTTCTGTATCCCCTACAAGCTCTACTTCCAAGCGGGCTCGGACTGGGTATGTGATAAAATTATTTTCTTTGCCAAATTTCAGAATGGCCAACTGACTAAATTTTGAGGGAACAGACGGTCAAGCCGCGCTCCGGCACTTCGGCTCTGTTCGATTCATTTGCCCATCTGGCTTCCGACGAGACCCAGTGGTCACACACTTTAGTGGGGTGGACAGGAGAGGTTGAGCCCGTCCTAGACACGAAGGGCCCTTTGCAATCAATCCCTGTCAATGCAGCGGGAACATTGGCACCCGGTGCCAACAACCCCAATCTGCCCACGCTCAACAAGGCAGCTGCACCTGTTCCTGTGGATGCAACCCAGCAGCCACAATCTCATCCGCTGGTGGAAGGAATCAGCGTTGGGAAGGATGATCGAGAGCGACTTGATCGTCAAATGGCTTCGGGGCGCTATGGTCGGATCTTACCGGTTTGGTTATCGGACGCTTCGGAAGAACCAGATGAGACCGTTCTACTCAAAGACCAGGGCCGGTGGCGGCGGTATGCAGAGAGAGAGTTGTATCCTCTCTTGCACTACAAGCAGCACGGCCCGACTGACGGCCGCTCCGAGCGGCGGTGGTGGGCGGATTACGTTCGGTTGAACCAGCTGTTTGCAGATCGCATTATAGCAGACTACCAGGAGGGTGATGTTGTGTGGGTTCACGACTACCACTTGTTTCTGCTCCCCAGCCTCCTACGACAGCGCATTCCCAACATCTATGTGGGCTTCTTCCTCCACGCACCTTTCCCAAGTAGCGAGTTTGTCCGGTGTCTTGCAAAGCGTAAGGAGGTATTGACCGGGGTTCTCGGTTCCAATATGCTGGGATTCCAGACCTTCTCATACTCGCGACACTTTTCATCTTGCTGCACGCGTGTCTTGGGATTCGACTCTAACTCGGCCGGGGTAGATGCATATGGCGCTCATGTGGCGGTGGATGTCTTCCCTATTGGAATTGATGCTCGGTCTATTCAGAAGGCTGCGTTTGGTGCCTCGGATATCGAAAAGACCGTCGCCGGTATTCGCAAACTGTACGCCGGAAAAAAGATCATTGTTGGCCGTGACCGACTGGACAGTGTTCGTGGTGTGTCGCAGAAGCTGCAGGCGTTTGAAATCTTCCTGGAGCGATACCCCGAATGGCGTGACCAGGTTGTTCTCATTCAAGTGACCAGTCCAACCAGCATGGAGGAAGAGAAGGAAGACCCTAACAATAAGATCGCCGGCCAAATCTCCAATTTGGTCTCCTCAATTAACGGCCGTTTCGGATCGTTGAGCTTCTCTCCTGTTCAGTATTACCCACAGTATCTGTCACAGCGGGAGTACTTTGCGCTGCTGCGAGTGGCCGACGTGGGACTGATCACTACCGTACGAGACGGTATGAACACCACCAGTCTGGAGTATATCGTCTGCCAGCAGTCGAACCACAGCCCGCTCATTCTCTCGGAATTCTCTGGAACTGCGGGCACATTGCCCAGCGCCATCCATATTAACCCCTGGGACCTCGTCGGTGTCGCCGGCGCTATCGACCAGGCTCTCAAGATGCCCGCCGAGCAGCGGAAGGAGCAACACCTGAAGCTGTACAAGCACGTCGTCACCAACACGGTTGCAACATGGACGAGATTGTTCCTCCACCGTCTGCTGACCAACCTCTCATCGTTTGACCAATCTATCGCCACGCCCGCGTTGGATCGCGCCAAGGTCATCAAGCAATATCGCAAGGCTCGGAAACGCCTTTTCATGTTCGACTACGATGGCACGCTCACGCCGATTGTCAAGGATCCACAGGCGGCCATTCCATCCGACCGGGTTCTTCGTACTCTAAAGAGTCTGTCGGCAGACCCAAGGAACGCCGTCTGGATCATCAGCGGTCGTGACCAAGCCTTCCTGGACGAGTGGATGGGCCACATTCCTGAGCTGGGGCTCAGCGCTGAACACGGATGCTTCATTCGTCAGCCTGGGTCAGATGACTGGGAGAACCTGGCAGAGAGCACCAACATGGCTTGGCAGAAGGAAGTGATCGATGTATTCCAGCACTACACAGAACGAACCCAGGGTTCCTTCATTGAGAGGAAACGAGTGGCATTGACATGGCATTATCGTCGGGCAGACCCCGAGTACGGAGCATTCCAAGCTCGTGAGTGCCGAAAAGAACTCGAGAACACTGTTGCCAAACGATGGGACGTGGAGGTCATGGCCGGCAAAGCCAACTTGGAGGTGCGCCCGACATTTGTCAACAAGGGCTTCATCGCCACACGATTGGTGAATGAATATGGTACCGGGCCTGGCAAGGCACCTGAATTCGTTCTCTGCTTGGGAGATGACTTCACGGACGAAGGTGAGAAATGAAGCCCATTGGGTCGCAAACAAAGATACTAACGATGGACCTTGACAGATATGTTCCGTGCACTCCAAAAGTCCGACCTACCTCAGGACCATGTGTACTCGGTGACGGTGGGTGCCAGCTCCAAACAAACGGATGCTAGCTGGCACTTGCTGGAGCCTGCCGATGTCATCAACACCGTTCAGATGCTTTTCAGTAGCCCGAACCAGGACTACTGAGCTCTTGCTCTCTACGCTGCAACGTCGGCGTTTGGCCGATGGCTATTAGCCTCGCAGCCTACTTTATGCTTATATTCGCACACGACTGTTTCCATTGGTAGATGATTTACCGTTGCCCCGTTTGCCCCTCGCTGTCTCATGCTTGGTTTTTGTTTTTCTTTCTTCTAGCTTGCCAAGATGTGGCATCGGCGCTGAGCGACGTCTTTTGGTCTTTACGACTTATCCTTTTTATAATCTCGTTCATAGACGCATGAGCCTTGCACATTTGATTAGAATTGAGTGAACGGGGGTCTTTCCCGCAAGTCCGAGCTAATATGCCGAGCAACCGAGCACGTCTTTGTTGGTGGGGAAATGTCGCGTAGTAGATAGCCCCGCGGGGAAATCCATTGAGGCGCATGATGGTCAAAATCGCATTCAGCTGATCTAGCGCATCGAAATAACCATTCATTCTCTCGAGTGGGGTTGATCTCAAAAATGCCCTGAGAAAAGCGTGTTGCATTCGGCGATCTGTGCGACTTGCCGATCGGCGCGAAGCCCGTTTTGCTGCTCCGACAGACTCTCGTTATTTTTTGAATGGGCCTAAGGAGCCATGAGTCAGGTCTGTTACCGGTCAGTTTAATTTTACCCGATTGCCGGGAATCTCTTGACCGCATTTCCACTTCCTGGACATCTTTCTGGTCTTTCCTCAGATTTCAAGAGTGGTGGCGCGACATGACAGACTGGAGTTCTACTTCACCGATTTGTTTCCGATGATTGAATCAACATATCCACCCGTGGAGAAAGTACCGAGTATGGTCGAGGAAAAGGATAGTCCAGATGACGGCCATTCGAGAACGCTCGAGGCCAATTATCCTCGAAGTCCAGTGTCAGACGAAGAGTCTACGATCGTCGACGAACACAATGACCTCGCTCAGGTCCCCACAAATGCCAGCGCAGTAGCACGTACGCTCTCTGTAGTGCGCACGCGTGAGTCTGGGAAGGATATCGGCCCACCGCCGGATGGGGGCTTCCAAGCCTGGCTCCAGGTCGCTCTGGGACATATGATCATCTTCAACACCTGGGGCTACATCAACAGCTTTGGCGTCTTCCAAACGTACTATACCACGGAGTTGAACCGCTCTCCTTCGGACATCTCATGGGTGGGAAGTATTCAAATCTTCCTGCTCTTCTTCATCGGGACGTTTTCTGGGCGCGCGACAGATGCAGGATATTTTCGGTTCACTCTGACTGTCGGAGCCACGCTGGAGGTTTTCAGTATCTTCATGACCTCGCTGTGCACTGAATACTGGCAGCTCTTCCTGGCCCAGGGTCTAGGACAGGGTATAGGATGTGGTCTTATGTTTTGCCCGACGTTGGCATTGATCTCCACCTACTTCGTCAAGAATCGTGGTATTGCCATCGGTCTTGTTGCTTCAGGATCGGCTACCGGCGGTCTGGTCTTCCCAGCAGTCGTTATGCGCATGTTACCGGAAGTCGGATATGGATGGACAATGCGAACGCTAGGCTTCATCACGATGGCCACCTTGATCCCCTGTCTGCTATTCTTCAAGCAGCGACTACCGCCCCGCACCACCGGGCCGCTCGTGGAGTGGGCCGCGTTCAAGGAGATGCCCTACCTACTCTTCGCTGTGGGCATGTTCCTTAATTTCTGGGGTCTATACGTTGCCTTCTTCTACATCGGCAGCTTCAGTCGCAACATCATCGGTGTATCCGAGACAACCTCCATCTATCTGCTCATGATCATGAACGGAGTCGGCATCCTGGGCCGACTGGTGCCCAACCTGCTCGCCGATCAATTCACAGGACCGCTGAATCTGCTGATCCCCTTCAGCTGTGCGACTGCAATTGTGGCCTATTGCTGGCCAGCCGTACACGACATGCCGAGCCTGTATGCGTTTGCAGTGTTCTATGGTCTTTTCGCGGCGGGCATTCAGTCCTTGTTCCCCGCCACGCTGAGCACGTTGACCACGGACTTGAAGAAGATCGGTGTGCGAATGGGCATGGTGCTCAGTATTGTGGCAGTGGCAGCTCTTATTGGATCGCCTATTGCAGGTGTCCTGATCTCGACGGACGGTGGCGAGTACCTTTATGCGCAGATGTTCATGGGCAGTGCGATCATCGCAGGCACCGTGGTTTTGATCGGAGCGCGAGTGACCAAGGTGGGCTCGGGCCTTGCGCGAGTGTAATAAAGAAGAGAATAATAATCAAAAAAGGCCTCCCTTGCATAGAGATGGTAAATAGCGCCACCAGACATCGCATTGGTATGATATAACATAATGTTGATGGAACCGTATAAATAACTAGAGTGGCGCGCCCTGGGTTGGAAAACCCCCCACCTTCGGAGACTGATTAATTCAAGCGCGGTGACTCGCCCTCAAAGGAACTTCTTTCCCCAGTTTCTTCCATTCTGTCACGGATTTTTGGTTTCACCATACATTTCTTTTCCTCCTTTTTTTATTATTTTTTTTTTGTGAATCTCTGCGCCTATCGTCTATCGCAAGCGCCCAGGGGTCCCCCACTTTGCCCCTCTATTCTTGAGTATGGCTGGTCCTTGGTGACTCAATTTGACTGATCTTGACTCGATACTAAGACAACTCTTTGATTTAGCGACTGCGATCTCTTGATTCCCAACCCCTATACACTTCATCATGGCGCCCCGCGGTCGTGGAGGAAAGTTCTCCAAGCCCTCCCGAGGAGGTAGGTCGCGTGCAGAAATCCCAGAGAATAATCCACACAGATGAATGCTGATCTATTCTCGTTCGACAGGAGGCAAGAAGTTCAGTCGAGACCTTCAACCGGTCGATAAGGACGGCAACTCAGTCGGTCTCTGGCGCGTACGTTCAAAACACCTCGGAAGGCTGAAGATTGCGGAAAACCAACCTCAATCGGCCACAACTCACACATTTCTTCCCACAGGATCCCGAAGATGAGATCAAATCCTCCAGCGACGAGTCATCATCCGAAGAGAGCTCCGAAGAGGAAAGCTCGGACGACGCCGACGCAGGAACCAGCCAAGCCGCCGCCGCCTCAGAGGCAACCCGCGAGGCTCGCAAAGCCGCCGCCAAAGCCAAAAAGCTCGCTGCGCTTGCCAAACGCAAGCAACAAGCCGCTCAGCCCGGCGACCTGCCCCCTTCGGATTCTGACGAATCCGAAGATGAGGGCCTGGGCCTCCCCGCAAACCCCAACCACACCGCCAAGTCCCGCTCACAGCTAGTGAAGAAGGACGATGATGAGGAGGAGCCCAAGAAGGTTGTGAAGAAGGATATCTCGCAGCTCTCACGACGAGAGCGCGAAGCCGTCCAGGCGCAGCAGGCTCGCGAGCGGTACATGAAGCTGCACGCAGAGGGCAAGACTGACGAGGCGCGTGCTGATCTTGCACGGTTGGCTATTATCCGTGAGCAGCGTGAGGCGGAGCGGGCTCGTAAGCAGGCTGAGAAGGAGGAGAAGGAGGAGCAAGCCCGTGAGAAAGCTGCGCTTACGAAGGAGCGTGAGGATAAGTTGCGGGCTGCTGCTTTGGGTAAGCCTGCGCCCAAGAAGGGCAAGAAGAATTGATTTGCTTTTGATTATGTTTGGGAGATCTGGAAACACCAACACATACGCATCACGAAATTGCACCATGTAGTAGGGCTTGACCCACCCGTAGAAGTATATCCAATCCTGGAATTACATTGGCAAGGAAGACAATTTTAAGACTTGGTATTTGGATCTAATAAGACACGCAGAGAAATGGAAGATGCCTGATCCTATAGATGGAAAAATCATGTACACCGACGCCTTCCCAAACGCAGCAAAGACACGGAAATTACTCTTTGGATGCATGACCAAGAGAGAAGAGGAAGAGAGAAAAGAAATGGTTCATACACGGGGGTTTGGAAATTTCGAACCCTCCCCCCAAAGTTGAGTGAGTGATGGAATTGGCCGCGCGGAAATTTTGTAGGGTTGAATTGTGATGTTTCACACGCCCCAGAACAGGCCTACGACGCTTCGGCCCTGCATGACAACACCCCAGCCAGCGATGAGACTAACTAGCCAGAGGACAGCAAAGACCATGATGGGGACGAGCAAGAGCTCGGTGTTGTGCAGAAAGGGCAGGGCGTTATATCCCAGGAAGGTGATGTAGGTGTAGTAGATCAGGGCAGAGAGGTAAAGCGAATTGCCGAGGAAGGTCGCCAGGAAATTGCTCGGGCTGCGGGTCAGAAGAGGGAGGAGGAGAAATTGCACCACGTAGAGGTGGAGGTAGAGCGGGAAGAAAGCTCGATTGGAGACCTAGACACCGCGGCGTTAGAGAACGAGCATGTTGAGACGGATCGAGGGCAAATCCTACATCAAAGCAGTATCCAAATTCCAGCTGGTCCTTCTCGCCAGGCTGTACAAACAAGCCCTGAGCGGCCCCGCGTCGGCGGCCCCGAGAACCACGCAGACCGGCCAGAGACGCGGCGGCACCGTTGGGACCGAAGAGTCGGCCGATCACGAAATAGCCGATGGTTGAGATGAACAGGGACGAGCCGATAAAATGGACGAAGACGAATAGCAGAGACAGGCGTACAATGGCCCCGAAAGAGGGGGTGTAAGCCAGACCCCAAGCTAGCGCTGTGAGGAGGAGGAAGAACGAGAGGAGGTATGTGAAGGATGGATCGGGGCGATGCCATGTGTTTTTTGTTTCTGGGAACGGGTCAATACGGCCGATTTCGATAGACGAGTTAAGGCACCGGATTGGGTGGCTCTGATTAAGAGCAACACGACTCACGTTTCTATATCAAAGACCCCGACGCGGTTAGCAACGACAGCAACCAAACAGAGACCGGCGCAAACTTACATGGTAGTATATGGATTTGAAGACCTTCTTAGGTGCAATCAATAGAGAAGTCATCTCCCAGATAGCCATCTCAAAGTCCATCTGGGGGAACTTGAAGAGCCTGTGGATCTGGTCAGCCTCGAACTCCGGGGGAATGGGGGACAGGGAAGAGGGACTCACCTCTTGAAGAAACGCGGCATGCGGACACTGGAGCCGCGACTTGGGGTAGAGCCGAAATTGGCGGGACCGGCATGTTGACGAGGGACAGAGATGTGCGGGTTCATGGTCAAAGGCCCTGGTCTTGGGGAATCACGAAGGCACTCGTTGCTCCTACTTCGTGGCCTCCTGGGTTATGTCATCGCTCACGTGAATGCTGCGGTGTGTAGAGTCTGAGTCGAGTCAAAAAATGGATGGGAGAGTATGGTCATCCTCTCGACTTTCCTTCGCTCTTCAGCTCAGTATATGCGAGATTTGACCCCAGGGAGACCTTGTTGTTTTGTGTTTCATGGTTTTAATTTTCAGGATCGTCTCTCGTCTCTCTACTGTTGGATTCCGCGACCCTTTTCTTTCGCCTCACAATCTCTCAATCGGTCTCATGGGTGTTCTGCAGGGGGGAAAAGACAGACTGCTTGACAATGTCACGCATTGCAGAGCCTGTAGACTAAGCTGTTCTCCGTCAAGTGGAACAACGGGGGTGTGTGGCACCTGGGGTATATCTATCGATTCTCCGATCAAACTAACTCTCGGCAAACACAGAGCCGATCAGATTGGCCCCTGAAGTTACGATGCATCACATCCACCTGACGTCCGGGACAGCGAAATGGCATTGCAGTACAGTATGTATCATGAAGCATGAAGCAGCTAGATAATCCCCCGGCATTGGTTCCGTCTCATCTGAATGCCGTCCCCACTGATGGATCCACCGCAATTGCCATTCAGATCGACTTGGGGCCAGGGCCATCAAATGAGGTATCATATTGAAGTATTCCATGATCAGATGGGTAGGAGAGACCAGAGGGGGGGGGGGAAGGGACCCTTCACCGTCAATTTGAGGAAACCGGAGGACACTTCAGGTACGCAGCGCAGTGCTGACCCCTGAGCTCAGCATATAAAAATAAAAATAAAAATAAAAATAAAAATAAAAATGTAGGGCGATCAGGGAGTCCCCGATTTCTCCTAGTGACTATCTCCCCTGTTTCGAAGTTCCTCCCTATTTCATCCATGATTCTGATTCCGATTCTAATTCTCCCACGTTTAAACAATATAAGACTTTGGTTGCTACTCGATTGAATTAGGATTCCCACGGTTCCAGAGGGTGGTGCCTGAGTACCGCAGTTCCACTTGAGAACCGCCTCCCCGTTCAGGAGTTCGTCCCGCCCCCGGAATCTCGCCCTCGCAACTTTTTGGGATTCGGACTCGGCCCAGTTGCCAGTTGCCAGTTGCCTTGGCCCTACACCTACACCTACATCTGCACCTGCACCTGCAAGCAGCCGTTTCGCCTACCTCCTTGCTTGTTTGGACATGCGATGACCGCTTGAAACTCCCCCGTGCTTCGAGTCGCCTGGACCTCCGACCTTGGATCTGGTCGGCAAATCTGGCCCATCCCACCTGACGGGTCACTTTTGGGCAACCACAGCTGGTCCCAAGTCCTGGGCATTGTCGGTGCGTAAATCCTGCCCTATACCCAACCGAACGCTGTTCGTCCCTCTCCGCTCGCGAACCAACTCTCTCCCTGAGCATCAATGACCGCGGAAACCCTAACTACAACGGTCCACCAGCGCGACAATGTCTTCACAGCGCGACGTATACACCTCTCCTCCTCGAACACCTCCCTCTCAAACATCGACCGCGAAATATCGGCCCAAACGGGGTTACAACCGGCCTTCCATCCGCGATGCCTTCCCAGACGCCGCCGCTGATGCGCGAGCCAGCGACTCTGGCGATGACCGAGACCCCCACGATCTTTCCCTATCTCCCCAACATGCGGCCCGTACATCGATCGTCGATAACATGCTCCTCTCACTCGACCAATTTGGCGCCTCAGAACCTTCGTTTCTAGATGACTATCGTCTCTTCAACTCGGCCTTTGAGAACGAAGCGAATGGCCGGTATCGGGGTCATACCTTTTCTTCGTCTTCGGTGTCTTCTGAAGCGGAATATGGGTTTGAAGATGGCAATGGGCGCTATGCAACAATTACGGCCACCAAAGGCCGTCGAAGCAACAGCAGCTCAAATTACCGGTCGGCAACAGCGCCGAGGAGAATGAGCAGTGCCCGTAGTCGGGACGCCATGGGCTCTCGGAGTGGAACGATGCCAAGGGCCGGCGATGTCCGCAAAGGCAGTAAAGGCAGTTCTACTGATTATTCTGGCACGATGCCCAGAAGGCGAGCAGACTCTGGAGGGGTGAGTCGACGCTCGGAAAGTTTCGACTGCGGCCCTCAGAAGTACAGCCATTGGAACGAGCCCAATACGGCCCAGGATTCGTTCGTATACGATGCCGATGCGGCGCCCACCCCAAGCGTGCCAGCGGGCCCGCGGAAGGTTCATGACTATAACAGGACTCCCACTGCTGCTGCATCAAAGACACCCGTGGCATCGCGCCGAAACAGCATGAGATCAAATCACGCACCTCTTCCTCAGGCGCGAAAGGGTCACCCAGACAACATTGGCACCGGAGCTCTCAAGATGCGAGACACTGACTATCATCTTCACGGTGATACGGATCTCGATGCTCCTCCAGCCATCTCGGCATCGTTAGATCCGCCTGCTCCGAGCCCAACCATTTCCTATAACAAGCCGGCCTTCCCCCAGCCGGAACCGAGTGCTATGATTACGACTACCACGATCACCGCCAATGTCGCAAGTGCAGGCTCGAACGCAAGTACTAAGGAACGCCCAGGCTTCTTCCGCCGCGTATTTGGCTCAGGCAAAGCTGTTTCGCCGGGCTCAGCAGAGCCCGTCTCGAATTTAAATGACCTGTCTTACCTGCAAGATAACGAGATCAAGGATGCGGCCGGGGCCACTGCCAACCTGAAGCTGCGAAAGGAGCCCCCCAAGAGTTCAGCCGGTACCCCTACTAAACGCGACGGGCCTCAGCAGGTGATCAAGCAAAAGTCTTCGTTCTTCCGCCGGCGTAAGAAGTCTGTGACTGATAGCAGTGTTCCGCCGCCGATCATTCTACCGCAAGAGGTCGCACCCCACATGATGGATTCCATGAAGCCGCAACCAAGTCCAGTGAGCAGTCTGCGGCAGGTCATGAACCCGTATCTCGATAGGGCTCCGGGAAACCAGAAGCAGGAAGTCAAAGAGAGGCTTGATGGGCAGACACAGCTTCGCGAATCCACCTTACTACAGGCCCAAAGGCCAAGAGAAAGTGTTTCGGCTCCTGGAGGAAACGGAAACCAAAAGGCTAGACAGCAAACCCTGCAGCCTCCCAGTGCGGGCCGGCCTCAAGATCGCTCGCCGGCAGATCGCCGTGGCACTAACGATCAGCCTTCAGACGCGGGAGAGGTGGAGCCAACATCATCTACCGATTCCCCCTTGCAGGAGGAGCGCTCAAATGCTGCCCCCGCCGCCCTGTCACCTGTCGCTGAAGATTTCTCTCGCAAACTGATAGTATCGACACAGACCGCGTCCACTGATGCTTCTCGTGAAAGCTTGGCTGGGACCATCAAGTTGGAAATCCCATTGGATAGCAACGTTCCCGAATCACCTGCTGCATCGGAGGCCTCTCACTATCAAACGGCATTCAACACTCCTGTGATCGAAACAGAGGAACCGAACACAATTGACGACGAGGACAAGATGGACGGCCCGGGTGAGGCTGTTGAAGATGGAACCACACCGACTGATCGCGAGCAAGCTCAAAAGCTCTTTGATAGTCAAGATCAGGTTGTGGGCAACGAGTCCACGGCTGCTTGGCTGGGGGACCCTAACCGGGCTACAATCCGGGAAGCTTACATGCGACTGTTCAATTGGTCGAATTTCAATATTCTGGCTGCTCTCCGAAGCCTGTGTCAACGCTTGGTGTTAAAGGGTGAAACTCAGCAAGTGGACCGTGTTTTGGATGCTTTCTCGTGCCGATGGTGCGATTGTAACCCAAGTCACGGCTTCAAAGCTACTGGTAAGTGGTTCTCTTGGTACCATCAATTGAAGTATTGTTAACATCGTATCAGACGTTGTCCACACAATCTGTTACTCCATTCTTCTCCTGAACACCGACCTGCACTTGGCCGACATCGATCAGAAAATGACCAAAACGCAATTTCTACGAAACACGATGCCCACAATCCATCGGGTAGCCATGGACGCGGCTCCAGAAGGATTTGAAACATTGCGCCCCGCTAACCGATCCAAAACTGCACCTACTGGCTCGGATTCGACGCCTTCAGCGCCAAGCTCTGCTCGTTCGCCAACGTTCCCCGGGGATGTTAGCCGTAGCTCAATGGATGATGCTGATCCGCTAGTGAATAACCCATTTATTGGAACTGTCAGGGCTTGGGAGCAACAGGTGGAAGCGGTTTTGAAAGATTTCTACACCTCCATTGCAAAGGAGAGGCTTCCTCTCCACGGCGCACAGCCAGAGAAGGAGGTTTCTCGCATGACTTCTAGCAACTTCCTTGGTCCCGCCACAAGCACTCTTCGCAGGAGTCCCAGTACCATCAGCAAGAGCGGCTCGGACATCTTCCCCCGTGGCCGATCATCCGATTCTCGCCATGGAGCTGCGAGATGGTCGTCCAAGCCTCGTTCCCGTGGAGCGAGACTCTATCCTCCATCCATGATGGGCTCCAGCCGGACTAGCCTGGATGATCAGTCTTCTGTATGGAGTCCCACCGCATCGAGCACCTGGAGCAAGTACTCGTTAGGTAGATTTACATCTGCCTCTGTGGACTCCTTTGGATCCGACTTCCCCCGGGGAGAATACCAGCAATCTATTGGTTTCGCCAATGCGTTGAGTCAGGCGATCATCCGCGAAGATTCTGCGACCTCAATCTACAGCTTTGATGAGCCAGAGCGAACTACTCCTCTTCTCGAGGATGAGACTCTGGCTCTGGCCGGTGCTCCTTGGGCCAAGGAAGGAAGTGTCAAGCACAAGCACCACCTGGATGCAGTGGACAAGCGCGCCAAGGATCGCAATTGGAATGAATGCTTTGCTGTTATTCAACAAGGCTGGATGCGTCTGTTTTCGTTCACAAATGCATCCAAGTCCATGCGCCAGAAAGCCAAGCAACCGGGGGGTGTTGTGGTCGGCGGCGGCAACTGGACGGAGAATGCAGAGGAAATCTGGAAGTTCATGCTTCGCCAGACGATTGCGAGTGCTCTCCCCCCTCCCGGATATTCCAAATCTCGCCCTCATGTTTGGGCCTTGAGTTTACCCACCGGTGCAGTCCATCTTTTCCAGGCTGGCACCCCCGAGATCGTGCGTGAGTTCGTCTCCACAGCAAATTACTGGAGTGCACGTCTCTCCAAGGAGCCTCTGATGGGAGGAGTCAGCAACATCGAATATGGCTGGAGCGATGCCGTCATCAACAGTGCTCTGGTGGGTATTGAGAACCGGTCTCCACCTCCCTCCTCTGGCGCACCCCGACCCAGCATCCAGAGCTCGATCCGAAGCTCCATCGATCAACAGAGCGTACGACCCAGACTTCCTGCGGATCGGGTCAACATCAGTGATTGGAGTCCTCCGCAACAGAGCATGGCGGCCTCTAATCTGACCGAGGAGGACCAAATGAAGAAGCTGCAGGCCTACGTCAAGAATGTCGAGGATGACCTCTCAAGACACAATGAGCTACGCTCTGCCATGACACTGGCCTTTTCGCCACGCCATCCCAACTCCGCGAAGGCGATGGCCAATTGGGAGCGGAAGTCGTCGTACTTGTTGCGCGAGATTGTTAAGTTCCGCACATACATCGACTCCCTCCGTAACGCAATCAACCAGAAGGACAAGATACACGCTTCGTCCAACAACTACTTTACTCCTCCTGCCGACGAGGAAATGAAACCGGGGCAGGCTACTGCAAATGCTTAATACGCGCTGCAATTTCTCTTTTCTTCTTCTTCTTCTTCTTCTTCTTCTTCTTCTTCTTCTTCTTCTCCTCCTCTTTTGCAGACCATTGTATATACCCTCCAGGCCGGGGGACTTGGCTACATACTTTCCAAAAGCGATGGACCGGCTTTTCTCCTGTTTCGTGTATACATTCTTCCCACCTTTCTTTTTTGGTATCTTTTCTGATTACTGGATTACTTTGTTTTTAATGCCAGGGACACGATGTGACTGATGATATGGATACCATGATTGTGTTGAAAGCAATGTCAACGAGATTTCTTAAGTTAAGAACCATAGTTGTAGATTTATATAGTTAATAGTAAGGACTAAGTAGTAAACAAGAAACAAGAAAACAAGAACAAGATTGTGTGGCAGTAACGGCCTCTATATAAGATGTCGTGGCAATAGACCGTCTAAGCATGTGCCTGGTTGTGTCGATACTACCGCCCACCCCTTGTGCTTCCCGTAAAGTTAACCAGAGCTCTGCGGTGTCTCAGAATCTGACGCACCGACCTTCGAGTTGAATCCAATGAGAGCTATCAACGAGTGCTGAACTAGATCACGCTTATTTGCCAACCGCAGTGGGTATCGGTGGAGACCCAAAACACTGGGGCGTCACCATGTCGACCAGGGCGAGAACCCCAGTTGCGACACCTCCGATCGACAGCCCGCCTTCGGTGCGCACTTCCCACTCACCTGGCGCATTCCTCACCCCGACACCCTCGGCCCTGGATGCCGATCTAAGCGCTTCAGACTACTTCATGGCCGACGACGCGCGGGGGGCCGTCACCCCGAGTATCGACGACCCTGTTACTCACCCCGAACACCCCGAACCCGAACTTGACGCGCACGAAACCACATCTACCGATGACAAGAAAAAGGAGAATGGGGCCACCGCCACGGACTTACAGGGCCTTGAAGACCACAGCATCCTGCCTCCCTTGATCGACTGTGACGACAGCAGCTTGTTCCCCTTGTCCGAAAATGGCGACCACGAACGGGCGAACAACCAAACCCTCATAGAGGAACATGAGATGCGCCGGAAGCTGATGGACATGGAGTCGAGCTTCCTGCCTGAGCCCTCGACAATTGACATCGCTGCGACTGGTCCCAGGGCCGGCGCAGACGATACCTACCTCGTTGGAATTGGTGGTGACTACGATGCGGACACAACACAGCAGACCGAGTCGTCTCAATTCTCTTTTATACCGCCATCAGAGACCTACACCGACCAGGAGCATAATCGATATGCCCTCACCGAAGGAACTGAAACCGTGGATTCTGAAGTGATGCCGGGCGCGCATGAACAACAACAAGCAGATAATGATGAAACTTTCGATTCCCTCGCATCGTCACCTACAGCATCAGCCGCCGTCCGATCCGCGTATCGCAATCAGTCTACACTCTCCGAAAATATTCCCGATAGCAGCCAGATTTTCCAAGATGAACGACCGTTCAGATCTCAAATGTCCCAATCAGATAACGAGTCGCAACTTACCCCCTCAAAACTCCGTCAAAACTCTCGCGATTTGTCTCCAGGCGCCTCGAGATTATTCAGTGACCATAGTAGTGCCGGAGGTAGTCTCTCCCGAAGAGGAAGTAGACCCAAATACCTCACTAGTCGGCAGTCCACAAACCGTTTGTCATACTCTTCAGCCGCAAGCAATAATACCGAAACTACCAACAGTGATGCGACACTTGGCGCCGACTACGCGCTCCAGTCTGGAGGAGCAGCCTCTGAGAATTGGGGCAACGTCAATGCAGGATCTCGCGACCATATGACCCGGACGACTAGCCTCGGAAGCATGGCTTCTGGCGTTTCAGGATATAGCGAAGAAAATTCTGTTGAGAGACGACATGCCGTGTCAGGAGATGGTGGCTTGCAGACACTGGAAGAGGAAAGCTCACCGCAGTCTCCACGACAGCACCCAGGCTTCGATGGACACTCAGGACCGGAAACGCCCAAGGCCAGACCTCAGGATAGCTTTCCGACCGACACCGCAATTGCAGAGCGCGTCAAAGGTATTCAAGTTCCCACCAACTTCGTGCAACGTTTCCGAGAAGACTTTGGGAACACGGTGCCCTCTCCAGATAAGCGTGCAGGTGCTTCAACTCCGGCATTTGGCCGAAGTGGTCGAACCATGACTCTCAAGGAGCAGAGCAGTACCATTGATCGTCTTTCGAAGGAAAACTTTGATTTGAAGATGCGCATTCACTTCCTCAATGAAGCTCTGAACAAGCGGTCCGAGGAAGGCATCAAGGAAATGATTTCCGAGAATGTCGAACTCAAGTCGGACAAGTTGAGGCTGCAAAAGGATAACCACGGGTTGAAGCGTAAGATCCGTGATTTGGAAAAGCAAATGAAAGACCAGCAGTCTGACAAGGACTCCATGGTGAATCATGATCCTGAGGCGTCAGAAGATGACCGGGACTCAGCACAAGATGGAGAGCTAGTGTTCTTGCGCGAGCGTGTTGAAACCTACGAGCTCGAAATTGAGCGATTGAGGACCGAAAGCATTTCCCGAGAAGCCGAGAAGCGACGCCTGGCTGAAATGGTCACTTCGTTGAGTGAGAACCGAGGAGGGTCAGATTCGGGTGCACGCGAAGAGAGAGTGAGTAGAGGATTCCGTTGCAGCGTCAATCGTGCTAATATCTTGGGCAGAACATGTGGAAGGATATGTTGGATGCCGAGACAGCAGCCCGTGAACAAGCCGAAGAAGAAAACCGCAGACTGCGTGATGAGACGCTTCGGGGTGCTATGATGAATACATCCACAAGCAATCCACTCATGATGGAGCTTGAACTCTTGAAGCAAGAGAATGCAGAATTGAGAAAGGAAGTCAGCGCACAGACTTCGATGCTCACATCTCGCAACCGAGAGAAGGAGCGTCTGTACCAGGAGATAGAAGAATTGAAGCTTGGTTCACGGCGCGATGGCAGCCGATCCGTTGCCGGAGACAGCATCCTTGATCGCTCAGCGTCACGCGCTCAGATGCGGCCGGGGTCTGAACACAGCGACGGCACTGGGTCGCATGGTTTTATGGACCGCGATGAACTGGAAGCTCGGAACGGACAGCTTCGTGATCAATTGTCGACACTCAAGCTCGAGAACCAGGCAATCCGGGCTCAGCTCAACGATTACGTCAATGAACTGGAAGAACTTGATAAGGCTTACCAGGCTGATGTTGACCAAGCAGAAGAGGAGATGACAAGCCTGGGCCAGGAGCGAGATCAGGCCATCCTGGAACGAGACCAAGCCATGCAGATCGCTGATGAGCGTGAGGCTGCTTTCCAGGATCTTCGTGGCGAGGCACAGGAAGAGCTGGACGCTCTTGGTGAAGAGCTTGACCAGAAGATTGTCGAATGTCAGCGCCAGAACGAAGACCTGAGAAACCAGGATGAGAGCCTCAAGGTTTTGCAGGCAGAGATGCGTTCCGCTAGCGAAGGTATCATTCGCCTGGAGGAAGATGCACAGAACAACCTGGAGAGGTACAAGGCTGTACAGCAGGAGCTTGAAGAAACCAACCGCGAGATGGAGGAGTTGGAGAAGGGTCTGTTCGAAGCCAATTCCAAGGTGCAACGCTTGACCGTGCAGATCGAATCAAGCCAGAACGAGATTGCCTTCCTTCGAGAAGAGCAAGATGGCGATAAGATCCGCATCGGGGATCTGGAGTCCGAGTTGAAGACGTACCATATGAGCTTGCACAGCGAAAAGGAGAAGACTAGAGAGCTGGAGCAACGGTTGGCAGATGAGCGACACCAGCGTGAGGTTGTTGGAAGCAAGGAGAAGCAAGAGGTCCAACGACTTATGAACGAGTTGAACCGTGAGGCCTCGGCAGCCAAAGAAGAGGTCCGTAGGCTGAAGAAGAGTTTGTCCACTCAAGAAATTGAGACCACTACCTGGCGCGAACGTCTCATGGATCTTGAGAACAACCTCCGAGAGACGCTGGGAGACCTCAGCGGCAGCCGATCAAGTCTTATTTCCAACATCATGAAACTCCAGAAAGAACTCGAGTCCACCGCACTTGAATTGGAAAGCTTGCGGCAGCAGTTCGATGAGAAAGACTCGCTACTTCGAAACCGTGACGCTCTCCTGGAGAGTCATGGACTGGAGTCCCGGAAGCTCTCCGAGCTACTGGAGCGTGAGAGACAAGCTCGCCGAGCTGATAAGCAATCCTTCGAGCAGTCTCTCAAGTCCCACCATCAAGCATCTCGCACGATCACTCAAAATAACTCTCGCATTACGGATCTTGAGAACGTTCGAAACCAAGACCGCAAGCGATTCACATCCCTCGAGCAACAGTTCCGGGATCAGTTAAACGAACGCAATACGATGTTCCTTACCATTTGGAAGAGACTGTCCTCGATCTGCGGGCCAGATTGGGCCCATTCGAACAGTCTGATTAACGGCAACCTTCCCAGCCAGGAGGTCATTGGAAACATCTTGTTTTGGCCTGGCTTTAGCCGTAACTTAATGCTTGCTCTCAAGACCGTTGAGAGTGTGGTCACCGGGTTCAAGGGTAAGATCAAGAGCATCGAACATGACCTGACCAAGCAATATACAAACCTCGAGCATTCCTTCAACCAGCGAGCCCGGAGACTCGAGCGAGTTGAGGAAACGGTCAAGACCATGCGGTCCGGACGAGGCCACTCGGGTTCCTCATCGTCATCAGAAGCGGCCAAGTTGCGAGGAGAGAACCGACTCTTGAAGGCTGAGATTAATCTGCTCCAGTCTAATAGCCGGACTCATGGGTCGGCCTCCGCGGCGGCAGCGGCCGTGATGTCTCCTCGGTCTCCATCTCTCAGCGCGGCAGAGAACGTGGAACGATCGCTGGCGCGTCACAACTCCACTTCTGGCATTGGGGACCGGCCTCGCTCGGATAGAACCCTTGCACGCAGCTCCACAGGCCTTCCTCAGCCCTCTCACGCCTCTTCAACCAGCACTCTCACCAATAATGCGGGAGCAATGACGCATCGCTCGCGCAGTGGCACAGCCACCTGGGAAGGAACCGATGACAAATGGCATCATCGATTGCACGAGTTGGAGAAGCGACTCAAGGCTGAACGAGAAGGCCGTCTTCTCGACCGCAGCGGAGCCCGAAAGCGGCTGGAGGAGCGTGATGTCGAGAACCAGAGACTTCGTGATCAACTCCTACGAGAACGTACACGACGTGGTCCATCTGGGATCCAGCCTGGTCGTGTCCCGACCTCTGATGAAGGGCAGACATCGAGTGAAGGAGAGGGCATCACGGTGGACATTGAAGTATGATGTGGAGACTCTTGATGCAGTTATGTCCGTGTACTATAATACCCCTGCCTCTTGTTTCTGTTCCTGTTTACAGACCTGTATTCACTTCTTCGGTATGAATCACTGGCGCCCATGTCTGGGTTGATCGAGTTACGTCACGATGGTCATGAAGAGCGGCGTTCTGGATTTCGATCGATTTGTTGTTCGTTTCTCCTGTATCTTTTATTCAAATACATTTCTCGGTCTTCCGTATGATACAGCCACCTACCGCAACGAGACCTTCAGCGAAAAGTCCACGATGCCCGTTCCCTGGTGAATCGAACTGGTGGACAAGATATCCACGTCGGGGCACGTATAAGCCGGCGCGTTCTCTTCGGTCAACCCACCACTGACCTCAATCAGGAATGCCTTCCCTTTACCCGCCCATTCCTGTTTCAGCTGTCTCGCAGCCTCACGCACACCCTCCGCCGTGAAGTTATCCAACATGATTACATCCGCGCCAGCCCCGATAGCCGCATTCGCCTCCTCGACACTCCGGCACTCGACCTCAACCTTAGTTGAGAACCCACCCGTGGCCTTGGCAGCCAACACCGCCCTCGGAATAGCAGCCGCAATAGACTCAATATTACTGGGATTTCCAACACCTCCATCCGCCGCGGCACGGTTATTCGCACAGGCCCAAACATGGTTATCCTTGAGCATAGTCATCGAACTTAAATCGTGGCGGTGGGGATCAGCTCCACCGACCAGGATACCGTATTTCTCGACGATACGGAATCCAGGAGTTGTTTTGCGTGTTCCGGCGAGAATACCCTGCCAGCCTTGCTTGCGCAGGGCAGCGAGCATGGAGGCGGACTTGGAGGCGATGCCAGAGCAACGGGCGAGGATGTTCAAGGCGACGCGCTCGCCGAGGAGGATCTTACGGATGGGTCCGCGAACGGTGGCGCAGTGTTGGACAGGGGAGAGGATGTCGCCTTCCTTGACATGCCATTCGGTGCTGTACAGGGTTCTTAAGTTAGATGTTTGTTTTTTGGAGGAACGTCGAGGGTAGGACATACGTGCACCCAAGCTGGGAGAAGACTTCATCGAAGAATGGGACACCAGCCACAACACCCTACATATGATCAGTACATTGCCCAGATGGGTTTTGCGATCAACTCACATTGCTCTTGCCTAATAACCGGGCCTCGCCCTCCGTCTCGCCGACGACAAAGCCGCCATAGTCCAGACTAGGACAGTCCTCCTCGAGCCATTCTGAGATGAGGCGCTTGTAATTGCCCGGCAGCAGGTGCCGTAGGTCTCCGTGTGCTGCAGCCATGATGAATTGAATTGAACTGAATTTCAAGTGGAGGAACAGGAAGCAGCAAGCAGCCCGTAGATCTCCCCGCGCGGGGTCGGGGACTTCCGGAGGGTCACGTGATGGTACCCCTGGGTTTCTTTTGATGGAGCAGTTCATTAGTAGCTAAGATGGATGTAGATTTAAGAAGGGAATGGTTATGGCGAGTTCTCTTGGCACTGGTATGTGGTATGTGTCCTATGGTAGTCATGGGGCTTCATGTTACTATGTTGTGCACGCCCGATACGGTTTAAAGTAGGTGTCTAGACCTCGCGAAGTATGGCCCGATAAGCCAAGACACATTTCAATCAAAGATCTTGAAAAGAGATTCAAGAAAACAATGAGAACCCCGTTTGTATAAGCTGATCAGAAGGGATGTGTCCTCCATGCTCTGACGTACCTCTTCCCGATGCCTGGAGCGAAGAGTGACCATCGTCACGCAGTCGGCCAGCGACGTATGCCAACGTCCTGCCGAGGTATTATGCAGTTGGTGCTCCGGAAGGCTACCAGAGTGACTGTATCAGCAAACAATGCGAAGCAATGCCACTGAATGCATATAGATGCACCGGGACTGGATAATATGCATTGGGATATGCAGTCCACCTTGAAAATCTTCCAAGACTTGACTATTGAAAACATCGAAGCTATCGAAAAGATCGAAAAGGTCGCCATGATCGAAACCCGCGGGACTGAGTATACACCGCCGCACCCCATCCAAACCGATAATTGCCTAAATAATAGCAATAGCAATAGCCAACCGAAAGCACTCGCCACGATTGCCCAGCGCAGGGACCACCGAAGGGAACAGTAAGCGGCCCAAGCCAACGCGCAACATCCGAGCTTCACGCTATACGCAACTATAAACGCTACCACCGATCGACAGATCCGCACGAACCCCAAAAAGCCTCAAAAAGGATAGTGGTTGAGTAGCCTCCTAGCGCCACCTCGACGCCCGACACGGGAAGTACTAAGATGTACTACTGACGGCAATACATTAACTCCGTCCTTCGGACCAAAAGGTTCCGCGAAACGGCATACGCCATACGGCATACGGCACACGACCCAGGCGCACTAACCCGGACGAGGCATCTCTCATCCCTGGCTTAGGAAGGAGTGGATCCATCTTGTATCCGCATTGCCGAGAGTTCTCGAACCATTCTAGAAGTTTTAAGGGGCTGGGACGGAGTGGATTCAGCGCTCTGTCATCTGAGAGCTGGATTGAGTAATTGCCAGCCCACGAGAATTGATCGGGTCTGGTATCCACCGTCGACCGTAGACTGGCCTGAAGCCTGAATCTTGAATTCCGAGTTCCGAGTTCTGAGTTCTGAGTTGAGAATGGACTCAGCCAATGGGAAAATAAATACTTCCGAGGGTATCTTCGGTATTTTCCCAAATCGGTTTCACTGTGCCATTGGCGGCTTAGATCTTTTCCTATCAGATGGGTCTACGGAGGTTTAACCCCAGTGTGTGCGTGTGTTATCTCCGTGCTATGATGCCCCTAGCTACGCGATCGCCAAGCTAGTATCGATCTGGGCTTTGAAGAGCGGACTAGGGGATCTAGGGACGGATCAAGGACTCGGCATGGAACAGTAGAAATGGGCTGCCGAGATAGTAACAGTGGATCGGCGTTGTCAGCGGGAAGTGAAACTTCGGCTCGGCATAGCGGGATTCAAGGTGGATGTTGCCGCGGTGGCAACCATGCTTTTTCTTCCGTATTTTATCTACCACTGTAACTAGTGTATTAAATCTACTAGAACACTTGGAAAGGTTGGGAAAAGAAAATATGGCGAACACACATCAAGACTCCACCCATGTAGAGACCTCTGCCTGAGGCTGTCTTCGAACTATACAGAAACCTTCGGATCGGGGTCGGATAGAACTCGGAATTGACATCTACTCCTTCCAAGCCTTGTATACATTCTTGCAACCAAAGATCTGGCCCTTCTTCAACAGCACCATCTTCCGCCATTCAGGCTCGTTGATCGCATTCACGTAGCGGCTAGGCTCGACGCAGAACCCAGCGCCCTCAGTGTGCGGTGCGGCACCGTCGATCGAGGGAATGTTGATATACTTGCCAGTGTAGAACTGGAAGGCGGGCTCAGTGCTGTGCACCTCGAGATGCAGACCGGTGTTGGCGTTGCTGAACTCAGCGAGGCGACGCACGGGCAGATCGCGCGTGTCGAGGGGGATCTTGGAGGGCTCGGTTTCCATGACAAAGACATCGTCGATGTGTGCACCTGTTGCGACCAGTTCAAAGGGATTGGTCACATCGCGAGGGAATTTATCGATGGTGCCGTGCGGGATGCCGGTGTCATCGAGGGGCAGGTAGTCCTGGGTCGCCAGCTGGGCAGTGGTACCGGAGATGGTGGGGCCGTCACCAATGTTGAAGTAGCTAGAATAAGCATCGAGTATGAGCATGGGGCATAAAAGCGGCTGACATTCTATAAAAAGCAAGCTTACCTGTGGTTGGTGATGTTGACAACTGTCTCTTCACACTCATCACCGACAAACTCCACCTCGTATTCAACCGTCAGGACGGTCTTAGCATCACCCTCTTTGCTGGCTGTGTACCAGACCCGCACCTCCACGGTACCGGGGTACTTCTCTTCTCCGTCGACGTGGCGGTATTTGAAAAGCAGAGCGTCACGGTCATGACGCTTGACAGTGTGGGGACCGTCGAAGACGCGCTTACCCCAACCCTTCTCACCACCATGCAGAGCATTGGGGCCATTATTAGTAGTGAGCTGGTACTCCTTACCGTTCAAGTTCTGGATAAGACCATTCTTGATACGGTTGGCAACACGGCCGATGGTGGCGCCATAGTGTGCCGTGTTGTATTTCTCATAGTGCTCCTGAGTAGGGAAGCCCAATACGATATTCTTCCCGCCGACGCGGAACTCCTGGATGATAGCACCCAGGGGGAGGAAAGTGAATTCGGCTTGTTCGGGGGCGGACATTGTGATCTGGGGGAGAAACGTGGAGGAGGGGAAGTGGGATGGAGAAGTTAAGGGTCTGGCATGACGTTCGGACCCCGCATTGAGACGGAAATGTCCACCGGAGGGGGTAAAGTGGAAGCAATTGAGGCAATTCAGGAGCTCCACGTTTAGGCTAAACAGTATCTTCCAGGGTTGACAGATATCTAGGGCTGGGGCTTCCCGTGACAATTAGCCCGTTGCTTTCAGGCCTGAAAGAGCAGGCCACGAGGCCCCGGCTGTCAGGCCATCAGGCCACCCACCATCAGATCAGGCCTGGCACCTTCCGCTGTATAAGCGGAATTACACAATAGGACTTTGCGAGCCTAAATCCCAACGGGGTTAAGATACTCCAGTACTCTACATAGCATAAAACCCCCGGGTTTAGGATATCCGGCTCGGCAAGAACGGGGTTCCGGTCGCCGAAAGGGCGAACCCTACCCCGGACTTGGCCCGTCCTGAGGCTGTGAAAGACTGTGCAAGGCTGTGTCAGGTTGTGCCAGGGGTTTGAACTCTACCAGGGGCGAACATGGCGAGACATCTATTCATGCCCGGAAAATAGAAATCCGCGGACCGCGGACAGTTTGGCTCAAAAGACGGCAAATCGGCATTTCGGCTTTCAGTGGATCCTGAAAGAAAACGACTTGCGTACGACTTGTACGTCGGAATGGGCTCACGTAAGAGGGTGGGCTCCACCAGGCTTCCGCTCATTCATGCAGCTTTGCACGTTTAGCAATCAAGTGGAAATCAGTTGGAAACCAGTTAGAAATCACTTAGTCGATGGAGTTCGAGAACGAGTCTCGAACTCAAAAAAGAACTGGGACCAACGCACCTCGTATAATACTGGCGTTCGGGATTACATGGGTTTAAGTCCGCGCTGACAGATGTCCTCAGATGCATTAGTCAGGTGGAGTTAAGACCCGTTCGGCAGCTTGCTCCGTGTCGGTGTCACCGTCGATGTCAGTACCAGTGTCAAGTAGGTGAGATTCCACAGATTGGAGACGAGTGTGTGTATGAAAGACTTCAATTGAATTTAACCCCAGTGAACGCCTCCCCCGTTTTGTCTCCAACTCCATTCAAAAGTAAAAAAAACCGAGCCCAAATCTGTACAGGATGTAAAATTAGGATCCCCAATTGCTTTCGAATCGAAAGAGGGATTAATAGCCCCAACCCCAAATGGAAAGTAGAAAAGAAAGCCCCTCCCAAGAAAGCACATGTATAGTATACATGCATCACGTCATACGGCGTTAAAGAATTTCGAATCAAAATCGAAGGCGCTTAGATCGAAGTAATCTCCGTCGGGTTCGGATTCAAGAACTGATTAAAGTCGTCGTAATCATTGGATACGCAATTCATAGGCATCTGGCGATTAAACATGGGCGACGACATGGGCTCATCGAAAGACAGATTGGCGTAATCGGAGCTGGACATCATCATATCCATTTCGTCGAAAGAGCTGAATCCACCATTCGGCCACTGCTGAGGTCCACCCTGTAAGGCTAGCGGGTTGACCACACCCTGCATGGGCATCCCATTGTGCATGAATTGCTGATTGCTCATCTCCTGCTTGACGGGGGCCGTAGTCGTGGGGCTGTAGGCCGGCGGGGTAGGGGGCAGTGTCTGAGTCTGAGAGAAGGCGTCGGAGGAGAAGCGTGTACGGGCGACGGGGCTCTGAGGGCTTTCGGTCCCATCAGAGGATTCCTGGCGTTGCATGCCGTTACGCCACAAGTCCTGCTGCATAGAATCGGGGCTATCCTCGAAACGCTCACCCTTGGTGTGGTCGAGGGCGCCGAGACGAGTAAGCAGGTCGTGGGTGAGCGGGTGGCCGTTGGGCTCGGTCTTCAAACGGTCGCCAGGCCACCCTTCGCCCTCGGTGGTGCGCCTGTAAAGTTCCTGGAGGCCGTGGACCAGCCAGACTTGTTGCTGCTCGAGCATCTCAACATATCTAGTAAAAACCGGTGGTGGTCAGCATATACGTGTCACTTCTCTCTCTCTTGGACAGTGCCAGCTCACCCCTTGGGGTACACTTTATCGTGGGCCTTCTTTCGTTCCCCGAATACGCAGACAGCATTATCTGCACGACAACGCGAGCACGGGCTTGCTCCGTCACACTTGGTCGGTCAGTGTATGGACGATGTGCCCGCTACAGTGCCACATACCTTGGATTTCTTCAAGCGACAGCGATCGCACGCCTTGCAGACACGTTTGCGAACATTATCAGAGTGGGAGTGGTCTGAGCCTGGTGTTGATTGTCGAGCTGCCATATTGTGTGATGCGTGTGTGTATAGGTCCGTATAGGCGGGGAGAGGGAGAGAGTATAGCCAGGTAAGAGAAAAGCTATACTTCCAAATCCGGAGGATGTACAAGTGAATCGACGTCAACCACCACGGTCTAATGATGTCGTGACGAAAGGAGGATTGAGTTTGTAGTTGTCGGTGTAACCAAGTTTGAGGGTCAAGTGGTGAGCAGGGCCCAAGGATCATATAGTCATTCTTTCATAAGGGAGAGGGGATGGGGCCCTTTTTTATTTTAGGATTTTAGGATTTTCTTTTTTATTATTCCATGATTTAATAATTATTATTTTTTTTGGATTTTTTATTTTTCGAGGGATTTACAGTAAAGCATATCATGTACGAGCATACGATCGGATCGAACATAACATGGGGGATCCACTGATCACAGGGCCGGTTTTTTATGAAATTTCTTAATGATTACACTATCGGAGTGGGGTGGGTGAAAGGATGACTCGGCATTTTCTCACGGAGAGCGGAGCTTCCATCGGCCCTCGGAGACTTCTGAAGCGCCTTGACGTAGATCCGGCTGGACTGCACTTCCGGCCACTTAAGCCGTGCAAAACGAACTTTACGGTAGGAAGAACAAAAAAAAGATAAATGAAAAAAGAAAATCCAGAATTCTAAAAATCGTAAGAGACTAGTTTCATGAATCATAATGAGTTCAGGGGCAGATGAGTATCACTCAGCTTCCCCCGTGTAACGGTGGGAGCCGTGCATAATTAATAATGTGCGGACGGAGCACTGTATAAGCGCTAATTCTGCTCGGCAAGCCCCTGCCGTGAGAAACGGTACGAACACGAGCTAGGAAGTACGTTTTCGTACTCCGTACCAGGCAATCGACTGTCATGTAAGCTCATAGTGATTCATGACAGGGACCCCCGTTCCAATCGACGCTCATCGAGTGGCTTCGGGCTGGCTAGGGTGTAATCGACCCGAAGGCCCGCAAGCAGTCATGACGTGACCACACTCGGCAGAGAAACTATCGAACTTTCTAGGGGCACTTAGCTTCTCGTATATCCTCTAATGATTAATATCTTTTCTGGGGGATCGTGCTCCATATCCGTGCCACAGTGGTTCTACTGACCGCATCCTCTTTTAAGCAGCGACGATCTGCCGGTCTAGCCCGCCATCACCACCGAGTGTGCATCTCCATCAACAGGTAGGCTCATACGTAGAATAAGCCTCTTGGACACGAAATGTGAGCTTGTCCATCCAGGTACACTTGACTCGAGCGAACTACGACTTTCTAGGTAGTATCGTCCCATACGATGACCTCATAAAAAAGGAAGTTAAGCTTGATCCGGGATTTACTTGTACCCCATCTGGCAATCCTGTTTAGGGCAACTTGCTCCTCGAGAATCCAGACCCCGATAGCTCTTCAAGGCGTGCCTGAGTGCCGCCCAACCCGTGGATATTCTCTTGCAGACCCGACTTACCGTCTCGGCCATACCACATCTTTCGGAGGAATATTCCGGGCGATTTTTCCCGGTCGATACCATGTTTTGGCATCCTCGTGACCTACCGAGGTAGACACTTTGTCATCTCAGCTTCTCTACTAGAACGTTGCTGTTGCACAAAGGGGTATGGGTATATGAAGCCTGACTTATATCACAGGATATACAATTCAACACCAGCAACACAGCCGACGGATATAATGCCTGCGCGGTTTTGCACTCGGCACCTTTTTTACCTCGTCGATCGGTTCCTGTCCGTCTTTGTGTGCATGTTGGTCAGCCATGATCTCGGTCAATTTTCGGCCCTTCCCAAACGCAAAAAACCGATGCGGCCGAAATCGAGACCCCCGCCCGATACTAGCGTCCGCTGTTGTCAGTGGAAGCGCCGTAGTGTGGACGGAGTGCCCAGCTCGCGATGGCAATCGCAACGGCGCGCCCACAGCGGACTGATAATAAAGCCGACGGGTTTCAACCACCCGACGCACCAAATCTGTTTACTCCCATTAGCATAGCAAATACACCTGCAGATCGGTACTCTTACGAGCAAACGTCTCCTCGATATTGACCATCTCGCGCGCACTGGTCTCCATGAACCCACAACCATTCTTACGCGCATATTCCAGCCCTTCGCGCGAGGTGACGGCGCGCCCATCTTTCAGGTCGCATTTGTTGCCCGCTACGATCTTCACTGGTGGTGGGAGGCCAACGGAGGTTCCTGCACCTTTATCGCCGAGTTCCTTTCGTAGTCGCTCATTGTCCTCAACGCGCTGTTCAGCTTCCATGTTGATCATGTCCATGAAGTAATTCAAAGTCTCCAAGCTCGAGGGATTCGTAATGTCGTAGACCAGCAGAAACGCGTCCGATTTCACCGTCGACGCCGTCCATAGCCCGCGATATTCCTCCTGACCTGCGGTATCGGTAATTGAAAGGAAATAGGGAAGGCCATCGACTGTGCGGGTGATCGAGTATGAGTCCTCTGGGTGCGCATTAGACAGGGGGCGCGACCGTATATTCAGGGGGAGGAGAAAAAGGTACCGATGGTTGGGTCATACCTAGATTTGCATGGGGTTGGTTAGCGATTGCACGATCCAATGGAAGGGGAAACGTACTCGTGAATCCACTGACTACGGACCAGCCGTAGGGTGATGGAAGATTTACCTATTCCCCGATCTGATCAGATCTCGATCGCAAAGGAGCCCGCTGCGGTGGCACCGAATCACGGTCTCTCGATGTTCCCGCAAAGGGGAAAAGGTGGAAAGAAGGTTGCATTAACGTACCACATCCGCCGTCGCCACAGATGGTAATTGAGATCTTGTCCGCCATCGCGTGGCCAACGCGACCAGACCACGCTGAGCGAAGGCTCGAGGTCGGAGGTCGGAGGTCGCACTAGGGAAGCGAAAAGGTCCGTGGCGAACACAAAAGTACGGGGGAGAGAGGGGGTTGAGTCTGGGAAGGAAGTGGAAATGGAAGATTGTAGAGATGTTGACTGAAAGTCGGACAGTGATCCCTTTATGAGAGAACGAGATCATCCCAATCACAATCACAATCACAATCTCGATTTCTTCTTTCTATATACTTTATCCCTTACACTGGAACCATTCGAACCGGTTGAACCTTGAAGTGGTCGGCTGCTTCTGTCCACACAAAGTTCCACCTCTTGCAGCATACTCGTATACTTCCATCGCGTCCGGGCCCTTTTCCCCTGGCAAATTGTGATAGATCAACTCCTCCAGCCCGCTCGCATCCACCGGACCCCTCCACCTGGGATGAACAACCCGCTTGGTGTGCAGCTACCACGGCGATACATCTATGCGCAAAGCAGCGAAGAAGAGAATACTGCCCTGAACTCCAAGGAAATTCCCCCTTGCACACGGGCGAGAATCACTGAATACATTGAATACGGCGGGACTCATCTGTCACCCAACTCACCGGCCACTCATTGGCCCAGGGACGCAAGCCGGGCCCACAATGACGGGGGTGTTTGTACTTTTGGAGGGAGACAATGATGGGGGGGATCCATCTTTCCCTTTCTCTTCTACCAAGTCCACAAATCTACATTAATATCTCGGTGCAAAGTGCTATCGGGAGCTCCGGCAAAGATCCTGCACTTGATCTTAACTTTGATCTGGACTCCGAAGTGGTCCTCACCGGAAGGCCACCGTTACGGGAATCCAGGCCGTTGGTCCCCCTACCCGGGGCTCTGGAACTCGCCCGGGCGTTGCATTCTGGACCCCACGCAGGCCGAGGCCTATTTCCTTCTATCCCTTAGGGACCTAGGGCCATGGCGAATTCGATGAACTTCTCCATGGGCTATTCTCGCGATGACCAGCCTCGCGATGAAGATGAAAATGCACAGATTCCTCACGATCCCTCCTTGATGAATTTCTCCAACAGTTTTGCCTATAACGCCGCCATGCTATCCCAGGAGGATGACCTGGCCTTGCCGTCCTTCGACCGGACCAGACCCCAGGGCGACTTGGAAGGGCGTCTTTCCAACGTGATGTTAACCTATGATACCGACCCCAGTGGCGGGGTCTCCTTGCCTATGAACCTGGACGGAGTGAACGCCTTCGCCTACGATGCGCCCACAACCTACCCCGCGACTTCCATGGGACTCACTCCTGCGCTAGATCACTCTCAGCTTCACAACTATACCCCCTTCGTGCAGTCGCTGCCACACGCTGGCCAGTACCTCGAACAACCGAGTGTTCCCCAACCCCACAAGGATACCTATAAGACTGGACCCAACTCGACAGGGAGCTTTGAGGATTCCGATTTCGAGCGAGCGACTGATCAGCCTCAGGTGTCTGCCCAGCACTCAACCCAGGAGCAGCACTTCCCACAATATGCACAGCAAGCCTCTTATCGGGCGCCGCAGCCGGTGGCCATCCAACCCAAAAAGCCCGCCGTCATCAAAGGTAAGCGAGGTACCGGGGATTTAGACTTGGCCGTTTTCTTATCCCAGGCTAACGCATATCCCACACGTCAGAAACACAGTCCCCGGGGCTGTCAACACCTGATGCTGGCTCGACGGAGCACACTGGCATCTACTCAAACAGTGGCTTCGATGTCCTAGGAGTGCTCGTACGTTATCTTGAGATGTCTCAACATGTGACATGGAGTCTTAACGTCTTCTCTAGAGTCGAGTGGCCATGCGATCCAACCCCAAAATCAACATTGGGGCGGTTGATCTCTCCTGTGCCTTTGTGATGTGTGACATCTTGCGGGAAGATCAACCGATTGTGTACATCTCCGATGCCTTTGAGCGTCTGACTGGATACACTAAAGATGAGATCATCGGCAAGAACTGCCGATTCCTGCAGGATCCTCATGGCCAAATCACGCCTGGAACCAAGCGGTCTTTCGTCGATGGACAGACAGTGTATCGCCTGCGATCGACCATCGATGACCGCAGTGAAATCCAGGCCAGTATCATCAACTATCGCAAGGGTGGACAACCCTTTATGAATCTTATCACCATGATTCCTATTCAGTGGAATTCGGAGGACTATCGATTCTACGTCGGGTTCCAGGTTGATCTGGTCGAGAAACCCGACGCTGTCACAAGGAGAAATCCTGGTATGTCAATTTGATATTCGAGTACCCGGGTCTGTTTACTAATGTCTACGTAGACGGCACGTATAGCATAAACTACCAGCGCGACCAGTTACCACAGTATGTGGTGCCGCCGCCAGATGTGTACAGATTACGGCCCGACCTGGTCACTCGGTTTGGCCACGACGAGGTCACTGCTATTCTCAATGCAGCAGGTGTGCCAGGCTCCGGAGTATCACGACAGTATCTGGACCGCATTTTGGTCGAAAACGTCGACGATGTGATACATGTGTTGTCGTTCAACGGTGAATTCTTATATTTGTCGCCATCTTGCCGGAAGATCTTGGAATATGACCCGATCGAGCTAGTTGGCAAGACTTTGTCCACTATCTGCCATCCGAGTGACATCGGACCCGTGATCCGGGACATGCGGGCCAGCACGACCCCAGCACCCCTGAGCGTTGTGTATCGTATCCGTCAAAAGTACAAGGGATACATGTGGTTTGAGAGTCACGGTGCATGGCACATCGACCCCCAACAGGGCCGCCGTTATCTTGTTATGACTGGCCGCCCGCGCCCAGTCTACTCACTGGACCAAATTGCTCGTGTTGGATCTTCTGCTGCTCTGGCTGAAAACGATATTTGGGCCAAGATCTCCTTGTCTGGCGTGATTCTCTTTGTGACTTCCAAGTCGAAGCCAGTCCTGGGACGTGCACCTGACGATTTGATTGGCAAGGGTATCCAAGAGCTCATGGAGCCGGAAGATGATCCTAACGCCATTACTGATGCCCTGGAGGCAGCCGCCAATGAACAAGCCATGGATGATAAGCCTGCCGATCCTCCATCATTCCGACACCAGATGCGTCATAAGAAGGGTCACGCATTGTCTGCGCACACCACTTTGTACGCTGGAGATGGGGTCAACGGGAGCAGATCTTCGTTCCTCGTCGCCCAAATCCGGTTTGCACGAACGTTCCCTCCCGGCTCTGCTGCCGTATCTGCTGCCGAGGACGAGGAAATGGCCCATGTCCCCGGTACAGCGAAGAGGACCACTCTTACAACCTCTGACCCCAACCCGCCTCGTCAATATGGTGCCATCGGGCAAAAAGCATCTCGTCTCTCAACCCTCGTTGGTCTGAACGGATTACCCGCCGGGAATCGCAGTATCTCGCCTTCAGATGTACCGGCTACATTCTTTACCGAGCTGAATCCCACGCGCGGATCTAACTGGCAGATTGAATTACGCGAGCTAGAAAAGCAAAACCGAACTCTAGCCGACGAATTACAGCGGCTTCTGAGTCGACGCAAGAAGCGCAAGCGCAAGCAGAGCGCCATCTCCGTGGAGAAGGCCTGTGCCATGTGTGGGACCAAGAATACTCCCGAGTGGCGGCGAGGACCAAGTGGCAATCGCGATCTCTGCAACAGCTGCGGCCTGCGATGGGCAAAACAAAATCGCGGTCAGACTCGGTCTGCTGCACCGGCGACTGCACAAGTGATTGCGCGGTGACGAATGCTTTATTGAATTTCTGGGCATATCATATGGCGACTTTGATAATTACGGCTCTGTTGTCGATACCCTCTATTTGGAGCGATGGTTCCAGGCACCTGTCACAATTCTCAGGGTTATATCTTTCTGCACATAAGTACTTTCTTCCAGAATGCATTGGTCAGACGCCTTTTTTTTTTTTTTTTTTTTTTCTTTAATTCCAAACAATCCAATCCATGACTCGCCTCAAGTAGATCACATCTCATCTATTTGGTCATCTAAATATATCATACACAACCCTATACCAATGAATACTATACATAAGGCCATTCCCCTCAGAGAACGCGACTCTGCCCCGTTCTACTCTTCACCTCCCCCTCCCTAACATCTAACCACCTCTCTAACCACTTCCTCTCCGCCCTTTTAACCTTCTCCCCAGCATACAAAGCCGCGACATCCCCAGCTCCTCTCTCATCCAAGGCAATCCGCACCTCATCAGCACTAAGCCTACTCACGCCCCCACCAGCCCTAATCATCCCATCATCGATCCCCAAATACTCCACATGCCTCTCCAACCTGGCCCGATAAACAAGTCCCACCAGAGCCCTCCCCCCAAGCCTCGCATGACTCTTAACCAGTCCAAAAACAGCACAAGCCCTCAAAACCGCATCCTTATCCGCCTCCTTCACCCAACGGGGGCTCGCAAACTCCGCAAGAACCCTCATCTCCTCCCCACTCCCCACCGAAACGGGATTCAACGCCCCAGGCTCAATGGCACGCGCGTGGGCCCTCATCGCCGCATTTTTTCTCTTCGACGCTCCATCCCGCTCCTTGGCAACCTGCCCTGGGACACGACACGTCGCCGGCGTAATAGCCGAACCAAAGAGCGGAATAATAAGGGGCGTGAATTCCCCACAGACAATCAGAACCAAGGTAAAAGGAATCATCTTTCGCACGTCTCGTGCCGAGCGAACGACGAGTTGGAATTGACCTCTTCCCATATCGATTCCCTTGTGGGGACTGACATTGGAGGATTTGCGGGGGGGTGAGATTGGGATATAAGCCGGTAAGCCCAGAGAGGCGCGCAGAGGCAAAGAAGCACGGTAATTGCGGTAGACGTTCTTCAAGCCTGTTTTGTAGAAGGCGAGGTATGCGCGGCCGATGGTCACGAGACGTTTTAGTTTATCTGAGGTTTGGGCATTTGCAGGGAGAACTGTAGGTAGGTCTAGAGGGGCGGGAAGGGTGCTTGCTGGTGCGTCGATTTGGGTTGATGGGGGCGTTGTCACGGTTGTTGAGTCTTGCTTTGCGGCGTGTGATGCCGCGGAGGTTGAGAAGAGGCGAGGAATCGTGGCGGGGAGACGGGGGTGGAATTGTCTTTGAATATTGGAGCGGGGGTGAAATTGGGATAGGGCGCGTTGGCCCCGTATGAATGAGGACATTATCACTGTGCTGAGGGAGGTGATGAAGGAGTGTTGCTCGCGGAATATCAGGTTTCGAGGTTGGCCTCGGGGCGGAGGTCGACACCTGAGGGACACCTAGACACCTAACATCCGAGGCAGGACGCGCGCATGGTTTGAACTTGGGGGGGGTTTTTTTTTTTTTTTTTTTTATGGCAATAATAGGTACTTGAGAATAGATTCCAATTTCATAGACTTAGAGATTGACTCTTTCATTCATTGCTTCTTCTCATTGGAGAAGACAGCTGCACTACATATGTACTATCATAGCAACTATCGACAAAATTCCCCGCACGACTACAGACCCACCTTCACAGCAATCATCTTCTCCGACAAGAAGCCAGTCACAAACAACCAGGCCTTCTTCTGACCCTTCTCTGGCTCAATGGGAACCAAGACTGCAGCGCTAGCCGAGCGAATTCGCGAACCATCATCTTCAAACAACAACTTCTTCTCCCAGCCATCACCCTTCGGCCGAGCATACCAGACTTGAGATGGGTCAGTAGCGTCGGGATCCTTGGCGGTCTTCGGAAGGTAAAGGCCCTGCGTAACTCCAGCCACGACGTAACCACTCGCGTCGTCGGCATTGGTGCGGTAAGGATCCGCAAAGAAGCTGGGGTTATCTGTGACGGTATCGAAGGGAATAGTCGACTTTATCGAGATAGTGTTATTGGGATGACGCGTGGAAACATATAACTCGCCGCCCATAGCACTAGAAATCACAATTTCGTCTTCAGTGCGGCCATGGCCGAGACCATTGTTGTTCCACAAACCAGAATGTGCGACAGAGGCATCGAGCCCCGCAGAGTCCTTTGCCTTTAGGTCCGTGAGCTGGACGTGAATAATAGTCGTCCACTTAGCGGAGGGCCAGAGGTCCTCAATCAGGCGCATGTGTCCTTCGCGGTAGAAGTGGTCGTTGGTAATATAGACCGAGTTGGGACTGTCAGCGTAGACGTCGTTGGGAGTCTTAATCAGCGGGTGCCAGATGGAACGGACATGCTGCACAGTCTTGGACTCCAACACATGGTGGAAGAGTTCAATTTGCGAACGGGCCTTGGGAATATCGTCGGCGTCCTCGGCTAACCAGTGGTCCGGGTTCGGCAGGTGGTTCACAGCAAAGATGTAGACGGCATCGGCCTGCTTGGGGTCCTCGATGACGTCAATACCATGGGTCACAAAGGGTCCCTCGAAGTTCTCGAATTCCAGACGGGAAGATTTCATAGTCTAAGTGATACCAGGTTAACACAGTTCCACGATATAGCCGAACGTAAACTCACCTTCGGGTCCACAACATGAATTGACCCCCGCGCCTCAGGCCGAGGTGTCAAATGCCCCAGCGGGGGAAACCAGTCAAAGCGTGTGCTCTTGAAGTCCTCGCATGCCGCAAAGAGTAGGTTCGCGGGGCGGTAGTGGTGGACATCCTCGCAGTGGACGGTGTCCTCGATGTAAATTGGACCATGGCCTTCGGCCAGCACAGTGGGGTTTGGAGTCAGGAAGGGACCACCAATTTTGATGAAATGGTTTCCCCAGGGAATTAGAATGGCGGCGAGGGCGGCGAATAGACTTAAACCGAAAGCCGAGGAGAGGAAGCCCATGGTGAAGAGCTATACCTATAGCTATGGGTGGGGTTGTACAGAGAACAGAGAACAGAGAACAGAGAATGGAGAATGTGGAGAAGAGAGGAAGCTCGGGTAATAGAATGAGAGCTCCGTTAATAATCGATGATCGACCTTGACCTCGGGTTTGAGCAAGAGCACAGTTCGTCATTGCCGACCACCGCGGGGGTGGAGACGGGGCAGGTCCTAGGGTTTACTTAAAAATGGGGGTCTGCGATGTGTTTGATCGACCGATGTCCACTCCAGGACTGACTTCAGAACTATGTATGTGGAGGCCACACGCATGTGGACTTGAGCCCCCTGGAACTAGTCTCGATCATAGTTGAGCACCCTCAAATTTCCAGCTCTTTATAGATCAGTTTGTTTGGATATATGTAGTCAAACGAAGCATAGGACACGTTACACTCGCAGTCTCGTAGGTCTGTATGCAATCTCCCAAATTCAGAAATTGAGCACGAGGTGCTCTCAAGCCAAATGACAGAGTCCAGCATAACAGGTATTATCTTTCAGCATAAAGTTGGCAGGTGAGGGTGTGAGATTACCGGGTTACTTACTGACCTCCGGCCGAGACAAGTTTAGCTGCCCCGGTGTGGAGACTTTGTCACCTCGGCCCTTTCGGCCTCATCGAAGGCCGACAAGCCTTGCGGACGCAGGGGATTTAGGTCCGTCTTGACCTTAGAAGATAAGGGCGGTTTTGCTGAGATCCTCTAACGTCTACGGGCTTAGTGCCATCAGTCCACACCAGTCAGATTGAATCTCTTTTTTCCAGTTCATTCATGCTTTGTTCCTAGCATTGAAAAGAGCTACTAATAGTCTTGTCTAGAATCAAAACGAAAAGCAGCAGCTTACTATAGTAAACCCTCCAGCATCTACAAGATGTTAGGCTTTATATCGTCCGACTTCCTCTCGTGTGAGACAATCTCTCTATCCAGCTTTCAAAGGCCCAAAGCTAGCTCGCAAGCCTTTTCCAAGACCCAACAAGGGATACTACTCTGCGCGTTTAGACAGACCTCTTGATATAGGTGGAAGGAGATACCATCCCTAGGGGTCGCCGAAGATACCAGATTGTGTAAATTTGACCAAATCTGTGCTGAACTTCTAGCTCCTAAGTTCCTAGACAACGCCCGATCTATTCGCTGGTTATTCATTGCCTTTCTCGAGCCTTGAGAAGTGTCCGCCAGTTCAAATGTGGTCGACGATTGACAAGTTGTGGATGATCCGAAAGAAGCCTCTCCAATGCCATTACGTATGTCTTGGATATCTCTTCAATATCACACACTTTGGAGCCCTGCGAGTACAGCCTTGTAATTTGTAGTCATACCAATTAGATAGATACAGAATCCAAGGCCAGGTGCCAGAACTTGTGTTCTCTATCCTTTTCTTCAATGAACACGAGATAACAACCAAATGGAAGCAGCAATGCATTGACTATCCTAAGCAATATGCAGATCTTTTTTCTCATTTTGCTCGATTTTGAAAAGCGCCGATGCAGAGCCAGTCGGGCCTCGGCATAAGGAAAGGAAAACGCAGAAGATATAAAAGAGAGAGAGAGAGAGAGAGAGAGAGAGAGAGAGAGAGAGAGAAAGAGAGAGAAGATAGTGCCATCAAATTCAAGGATACAAAGTCATTAATTGGCCATGGCAGAAGTGGCCAATCTGTCAAAAAGAAAAAAAAAAAAAAAAAGTTGAGTGCTGTCCGAAAATTCCCAGTGTGCAAATTCCCATTCCATTTCATGTAGGTCGTTGTCGAGACAGTCGCTTAGTGGGTGGACTGCTTGGCGTCAAGATATTCCTGGTCGCTAGCATCGAGGACATCATACTCCTCATCCGTGAGGAAGCCGGCATCGGTGCTGACCTCTTCCAGGGCAAGACTTTCCATATCATCTTCCTCACAAGCGGTTGACACGGTGGGGGCGCGGTGAGAGGGCATGATAGCCTCGTGGGTGCTGGATTCAGGAGACTCCTTCTCGAGCTTGGGGAAGATCATGTGGCTACCAATAGGCTCGGCGACGGTAGACTGGGACGTCTTAGAATCTTCCTCAGGAGTAGGCTCGGTCTCGACATCCGAGCTGGAACTAGAGATGGCAGCTTGCACCTGAATGTCACACCAAAGTCGGTGACCGATTGCCTCTCCGTTGGGAAGTTTCAAGCGCCAGTAAGAGATGGCAGTGCCCTCACGACTGGAAGTTCGGAGGGTCACGGTGAAGTCGGCACTCTGACCGGCCTCGATGGGTGCATGCAGTTTGTTGCTCTCCATGGCAGCGCGGATTGACTCCACGCTTGAGGGGTGATGAGAGTCAACGTTAAACATGGTATCTCCACCGACAAAGCGGACGTCACTACCCTCAGGCCAGGCGTTGGGACCAGGGTTGTAAAGGGTCCAAGTCTGTCGGAACAGTGTGTTGGGAGGCATTTTGGTACCATCCGGAATAGCATCACGGACAAAGTAAGCTTGGAAGCCGCCAATCACGCTCTTAGCGGGGGATGGCTCGTAAGTGGCGGGCTCTAGTGCAGCTGGCGCAGCTTCAACCTTGGCCTCCTCTGGCTTGCTGGCCTCCACCTCAACGGGTTCCTGGACGACAACCGGCTTCTCCTCTGGCAATTCATCGACAGTCGTATTGGCCTCAGAGCGAGAGCGAGCAGAGACATCATCGCCCAGGGCCACGGCGCCGCTGGCACCATCATCGCTTACAGTGCTCACAGTCACAGTGCGAACAGGAGTCTTGAACTTGACCAAGGGGTGAGTCTGGTTATGGTCGTGGGTGGGCAGTGCCTCACAGCTGGCACAGAAGTCAACATCGTCACAGACGGCGCACTTGTAGCGAACACCAGAGATGTAGCTCTGTGCGGGCTTGTTCTTGCAAAGAGGTCCATCACAGAAGATGCCGTAGTGGATAGAGTGCCCGTAAGGGTGGTCACTGATGGCTTCATAAATAGGGACAAACCGGTGGCCCGGATGGCTGTTGGGGGCAGTCGCGATGCAGTCACGGCAGTAATCCCAATCGGGGCAGGACAGACACTTGTGGCGGGTGCCAACGATGCGATTGTCACAACCATCGCAAATGGCAGCGTGTTTGAACTGGCGGCCAGGAAGGCAGCGAGACATGATCAAGTTCTTCAAGCAGAAGTTGCGATCCGAGCCGAGGGAAAAGGTGTGAGCAGGGTGGTGACCATGCTTGTTTCTCAATAGGCAGCGAAGGCACAGGTCATAGTCCTCGCAGTCATTGCAGCGGACCAAGTTACTTTCATCGGCTTCTGTATAACAGCATTAGCTAGATCTGAGGGCGTATAGAGATAGGAAGTACATACCACGGCAGCATCCATTGCACATGGGCTTCTCATCTCCCTGAGTAGCAGTATCCGAGCTCTTAACGTCAGTTGGAGGGACAGTGGCCGGCATCTCCGGGACGGTCTCAACGAGCCCAGGAATGAGCTCGGGAGTAGGCTCAGGTGCACGCTGCACTTGAACGGGGGCGGGCTTGATGATCCGCTCCTGCACCCGACGAGGGGGGATTTTCTCGGTTGTGCTGGTGGTAACAACGCCGTTGACCACCACACGCTTGATCAACCAGTGACCTTCACCGCGGCACGAGGCGCCATCCTCGACACACTGCGGGCACAGATCGTAATCTCCGTGTTCACAGATGCTGCAGTGATAATGCTCGTTGACAATGGAGTGACCACAGTTGTTGCAGTCGATGCAGAACATCCCGCCAGGGGAGTTGTGAGAGATGATGGGGAAGCGAAGCTTGTCCTGCTCCATCTCGAAGTCCCGGTAGCGAGGCTGACCGATGGGTAGCGTGATCTGGGGGGCGGTGGTTTCACCAGCGAGAACAGGAGCAGCTTCAGAAGAGATAGGGAAAAATTCAGGGCTAGCAACGGCGACAGGGGAGCTCAGAACGGTATCGAGATAGCTAGTTCTCGACGGGAACATCTGGTTGGTTGACTCCACCGGAATGGCGGTGTCGGTGGTCGGGGCCGAGGGGTCGACCGTACTGGCTTTGATGCGGAGCTTGGATTTGGCTTTAGCAGCTCGGAAGAGTTGCTTGTAGACAGCAGCGTTGTCGCAGTCAAGGTGGATGTAAGAGCCGGCGCTATCGGAATAACGTTCGAGGATGACGTTGACATCCGCGGGAACATTAAGGAGCAAGCGGAGCTAAACCCAACGCAACAGTAAGTCAACAAGAACAAGAACAGTAGAGACTCGAGTTGAGTAGGTTTATCAAAGGTCCAAGGGAAACAGTGTGACCGAGATGGCCGAGCCGATTATCATGATAAGAGATTGGGGGGCGGACACGAGGTCCGGTCGGGGAGCTCGGGTGGAGACTCTTACCTTCTGGGGGAAGACCTGCGCCTTGAGGTCTCTCAGCGGCAACTTGAATCGCCGATTGCTGTCATTGTAGAGAACTTTCACTGTCACCAGATGTTCTGGACCTGGATGAGTGGGAAGGGCTGGGGTCGCCATGGTGTTGGGGATTGGGGACTGGGCCAGTAGTAGGAAGGTGGAGAGATAAGATGTTCGGGGGAAGTGAACAACTGAAATACGGAGAAATGAGGGAGAGTAAGGAAGAAGAAAGGGGATCAAGGGGGTTTTATTATGAAGATGAAGATGATGAGAAATACGGTGTTGAAGGCAGAAGTGAATGAAGTAGATGAACTGGGAGACCAGAGAGAGAGACGCTTGGACGTGTTGTACAGCCGGTCAGCTGGTTTGGCTTAGGTAATGTGGGCTGAGGCAGTTCCGTTCACTCTTTGGTAGGTATTGGACCTAGGTACCTGCAAGACGTGATGATGCAGGGGGGGGAAATGGGAAATGAAAAATAAATCGAGAATCATATAGAGACCATGTGAATTTCGTGAACAGGTTTTAAAAAGGATGACAACATAAAGGGCGACCCATGTGCCCGATTTCCGTCTGATTATACATTCCCACCTCTACGGAGTACACGGGCCTACTCTTATCACTCCTACTAAGAACCAGGAATTGTTACGTTGTGTTCGGTCGTACTTTTAAAATTTCGTAGCCCGCAAGAAACAAGATGAAGTCATGCAGAGCCTAGATTCATGCAAAGTGATCCAAGTGCCAGTGATGTGGGGGCTTTTGCGGGGACATGAGGGGGGAACAACGCTCAAATGCATACAAATCCAAGTCTAACCATGGAGGAAAAAACGGCAGAAAAAGAAAGAATTAGAGGGGTAAAGGAGAAATGGTGAAAGTAAGAAGAAGAAAAGAGGAAAAAAAAAAAAGGGAATCATCCAACGGAGGGAATCCAAAAGCTCCGATCACTGGCCGTAGTACACTCCCCCGGCTCCAGGTGGCTGTTGATAGTAATACGTATGGCTGGGAGGCGTCATCATGCCCCCCATCCCCACCACACCCCCGGCTCCCGACCCTGTCGCTCCGTAGTTGGGGTTCGGATACACTTGGCCCGGTTGATAAAAGTAAACCGTGCCTCCAGACTCGTGAGCTACTGTATCAGCCTGCGAGGGTTGCTCGCCGGCGTACGGCATAGCCTGCTGACCGGGATTGAAGTTCGGTACAGAAGTACCTGGGCCCATCGGTCCGTTGTAAGCGGGATATTCGGGCCCTGAATTTCCGTAGTACATGTTGCCTGGTTGATAGCTTGGGTAGAATCCAGGCTGCTGGGGGTAGCCGTACGGCTGGAAAGGCTGAGCGTGAATTGCCCGCTCTGGGATTTGGGAGAGCGGAGTTCCTGAAGCCTGGCTGGGCGGGCCACGGACAGTTGGGTCTTGGCCAGGTCCGGGGCCAGGTCCGGGAACTTGGTGATGGAATGGCTGTTCCTGTTGGGGCTGCGGTGGATTGAACGGGAAAGCCACTGGACTTTCGATGTCCGCCACGGATACGGCTTTCTGAGGGCGAGGTTGATGCATCGGAATTGGGCCAGCTCGGCTTTGATACATAGGCTGCATCGGTCCCATTGGTGGCATCGATGAGACCTGGGGCATCATAGCGCCAGGCGCCATGGGCGGAATGCCGACTGGGGGACGTGGTGGAGGTGGCAGGCGAACAACCGGTTTGCCAGCGTCCGGTGGGACCATGACTGGCCGGGAGTAGACTGAGCCCGCGGGTGATGGGTATCCATCTTGAGATGCGGGCATACCAAGAGAGGACCGACGGCTCAGAACACTCGGAGTATAAGTGTTGGAATAATAGCTGGGCCGTCGTCCACTGTAGAATCCACCTCCGCGGCCACGGCCGCGGTAGCCTTGCTGGTTGGGTCGCAATGCGCGGGGAATGAAGATGAAAGAACGCTCAGTAGACGGGAAGATATAACGAGGAGGTTGGCTGGGAAGAGAGATTCGCACCGGTTTATCGCGGCGCAGGGGAGGACGATGTTGAGGGAGCCGGGTATGCTTCTTGAGCATCACGGGGAACGGCTTTTCCTGGGCCATGCCCGGTAAGAATACACGGACAGACGCATTCCCCATCAAGGTTGTGCTAGAGAAGGATCGATTCGGCGGTGAAGATCGGGGAGCAGTCGGGACTATTGTCGAAGATTGAGGTGCTGTGGAAAGAGACGAGTGTTTCGGTGCGGGCTTCTCATCGCCGGCCACGGTATCGTGAAGATCGTGGGCCCACTGCCCTTCACTCGCATCGGGCTTCGCAGAGTTCCTGTGAGGCGTTAGTAAAAGTGACCTCGGAGGGGGTTGGCGAGACCACTGTACCTGCGAGCATTTCCATCTACGATAAGACCAACCGGCCTCGACTTGCCCTTGTTGAAGGTACGACCGTTCCCACCTTCGTTCGTCCGCTTGTCGTGAAGGAAGAAGCTGCCGCGAGTTGGCACGAAAGCCGGGTTCTGGCCTCGTTCCTTCACGTATTTCTCGTGCTCGCGGCGCTTCTTCGCAGCCAAGGTTTCCCGCTTCGGCTCGGTAGGCGGAGCCGACGGGGTGCGGCCAGTCTGGAGCTCTCGACCTTCCTCCATCTCGTCAAAGTGGACATCCTCGCCAGGTTGGCCTGAGATCTTCAGACCCTTCATCATCGCCTCGGTGTCCGATACCGTTGTCTTGAGTCCTGGCTTTCTCGGTGATGTGGAGTTGCGTCGGGGCTGACCCCGTTTACGCCCGTTCACCTGGCCACCGTTGACTTTGCCCGGCTCTGCCGTTGTCGCAGTATCGTGGTCGCTCTCGCTGCCCTCCCCATCGGCATCCTCATCCTGACGACTGTCTGCTGATCCTTCACTCAAAGAATCATCTTCGACATCGCCAGCCAGCGAGCCCTCGTCCTCGCCCTCATCCTCCCTTCTCTTCCTACGGCTAGCCCCGATGTGGCGTCGACGAGGAGCCATGAGTGATGTGTATGAGGGGACCTGCGAAAGAGCCGAAGAAGGACCCTGCTAGAGGGTTGGTGTTGGGGCCAGCCAACTGGGAAGGGGCAAGGCAGGAAGTGCGGGCGACGGCAAGCCCGAGTTTCAACAAGGACCAAGGTCAAGGAAAGCAAAATAATGAGCAAAAAGGGTAGAGAGAAGAAAAAAAGACACCTTGTGTAGCTGCACTCAAGGTGACAGGGATCGAAGAAAAGAAAAAGAGCAAGGGGGGAGAGGTAGAAGAAGGAGTAGGATGAGAAGTAGCGAGGTCTTCGAGACCTGAAATGACATCGCAAAGAGACGTCACCCCCGATCGGGCTAGTGCCGGGCGGTGTGGCGGTTCTGCCCGTCTTTTGTCGATCTCTTTGTGTTTCTGCTCTTTTATACTCCATACTCATACTTCATTGTTCATATTACTATTTGCATCATGCTCCGTACAATCGTTAAAAAAAGTTCAAAATTTAAATTGTTACAGTATGAACAGTAAGATTTCCACATACAGGTGCGCTCTGCAGCAAAGGGATGCAGGGTGGATCTAAAAACCGGTGCATGCGGCACCCTTGATTGATAACGCCATACACAAAAATCATCAAAACATGTACAAGTCGGGGTATCGGTGGACCGAATAGTGGCCCAAATTGGCCTAAGTTGGGCTTCCTCGACGTCGATGCCACGTCAACATAGTTGCAGATAGGTAGATCACTGCTAGAGACCCATGAACATCCCCAGGTGTCTGCAGATCTGCTGCAAAGAATCGGCAACCAACCCTATCACAACCAGCACATGGAGGGAGCCGCGTTTGATTTGATGTGGTCGGAAATCGGAGAACCTTTTAGTCGAATGTGGTTTTCTTGCCCTGAGATTCGACAATGGCACCACTGAGCTTTTGCACGGTCTCCTTGGAGTAACGGGAGTCGTCAATCTCCTGTCGCCTTGGCTTCCTGACATAGGCTTGGCCCTCGGACTCGCCGTTATCTTCATCATTCTCGGTCCGAGGCCTGTCCTTGCCAAAGCGCTTGTTGTAGCGTGTTGTCGCATCCTCTGCAAACTCCATTCTCAGACGGCGGCCCAGGAACATGTTCACCCATACTCGGTGTTGTCTGGGCTTCCTGAACTTCTTCTTGTTCTTCTTCTTCTTCTCGGCGTCAAAGTCAAATTCAGGTTCAGAGTCCGAGTCCGAGTCACTGTCAGACTCCTCCTCTTCCTCAGTAACCAAGACGTAGCCTCTCACCGCTGCTTCCGCGTGGGCAATCTCTTCGAACTCCACCCAAGCATATCCCTTGCATTTCCCTGTATCCTGGAAAGTTGCAATATGCACACTTTCCACGGTTCCGCATGGGGCGAAATGTTCCTCGAGAGATTCCTTTGTAGCATCGAAACTCAGGTTACCCACGAAAATTCGGCGAGATGGAGGATGACCGGACTTGGAGACAGGGCCTGCATTGCTTTGGCTCTCAGATTTCTCAGGACGTCCCTCGAAGCTTTTCGCGTCCTTGATCAACACGCGGCGACCAGTCAGAAGCTGCTCACTCAGTCCCATTGCTTCTTTAAGGGCTTTCTGTGTCGAGAAGTCCACGTAGGCGAAGCCCCGGTTCTGCGACCTTCCGAACTTTTCAGGGCCCTTGGGAAGGTGAATGCGGGTAATTGTAGCATCGGTAAATGTGCAGCCGTTGACGAAGAAGTTGCGGACGTCGTCCTTGCTCGTCTGGAAGGCCAAGTTGCCGATCCAGACGCCGTAGTCGGAGCGTTTCTCCGCGGCGGACTCCGTCTTTTTGGGTTCAGGCTTCTCAGATCTCGGTTTGTCGTCGTCGGCAGCAGGGGCTTCCTTCGTCTTCTTGGCTTTGCGCAGAGCCTTCTTAGATGCTGGCTCCGGCGCATTCACGTCGATCTCCAATTCGGGGCCATCTTGCAGCTTGCGCTTCTTGTCCTTCTTCTCAGCCTTGTCTGTCTTCTCAGCCTTGTCTGTCTTCTCAGCCTTGTCCGTCTTCTCAGCCTTGTCCTTCTTTTCCTTCTTTTCCTTCTTTTCCTTCTTTTCCTTCTTGTCCTTCTTGTCGACCTTCTCCACCTCTTCGACCTTTTCGACCTTATCGGTAGTTTCACCCATTATTTCGGTGGATGTTGCAGCAGCAGCAAAAGAATTTCCAAAAAAGAGAGGTGGAGGATAGTAGTCAAGAAAAAAAAGAAGGCCATTGACTTTGCAATAATTTTTTACGGCGGCCGGGACCCGCCCATCGCGCAGGGCTTGGCGCGCCTTGACTTCTCCGACTCCTCTTCCATCTCAGCCTCCATTTCCCCCTTCACATCTGAACTCTTCAACCATCGCACAGGCACCTAACACGATGGCTTCCGAGACCCTCCCTGATGCTCCGGCAGCTCCCCCTGTTAAGCAGTCGGTGCGCTCTTTCAAGTACGATGTCTTCCGATACCTCCTAGCTGACGGCAGAGCTCTGGCTAACAGTGTCTTAGAAAGAAATATGCGAAGACGAAGGTCAAATTTGAGCTAGGAACACGAGAGAATGAGACTCTTATTCGGGAAGAACTACGGATTGAGGATCTATCCAAGCGCATCCAGGAACAGAACGAGTAAGTCCTATCCTCTCCCCGAAAGCTCCAGCCATTCGGACCATCGCTGATTCATCTCTAGTCAATTGCTCGAAGTTCTGCTTGAGTTTAACGAGAGTATCCATGTCTCCCCTACCATGCGTTTCGATCTGAACATGCCCGGCGACATCCCTTCCCTCTCCGCTTCCGAGCAAGAGATCGCGCCCCTGGTCAATGACGCGACCCTCGCTAGAACTGCATTGAAAGAAGCTAAGGCCGAACTTGCAGGAGGCAATCTTTCAGCGAGCGCCTTCCGCCAAGTCGAACAAAGCATCAAACGAAACAAAGAGTTCGCCCCATCAATGCAGTACAGCAACCTCAGCCAAGTCCCACACACCAACCCCATTGCTCCAGACCAAGAAAAGGGAGCCGGTGCGGCCGAACGCAAGCTTGGATACTTCACCCCAGAACACGAGACTGAGTACTATCTAGCTCTAGACGCAAAGCTCGGCGATGAAGCCGCCGCATTGCAACTAGGGCGCGTCCCGGACCCGCCCACATTTGCCGAGCGGGAGCGTGATGCTTCCATTCGAAACCCAGCATCAGTGTACAACTGGCTGCGACGGAACCAACCTCAAACTCTACAGGATCACGAAGTTGCTTCCGAGAAGTCCGCATCCCGACCATCAAATCAACGAGCATCCAAGCGAGCACCTGTACAGCGTAAAGAGGAAGACAAGGAAGTTTTGGACGAGGATGGAGCGGATGCGGAGCCGACGCCCAAGAACAAGCGCAAGCGTGACGAAGACACAGGATACCGGCCCAAGGGCGGTAGCAGTCGACCAAAGAAAAAGAAAGAAGAGTCGACACCCACTGCCAATCGCAGTGCCAAAAAGACCTGAGATTGAGCATAGATCCCCTTGTATTTTTTGCTTTTCATTTGATGTATTACTATGGCATTTGGGACTACCTACACGGCTGCATGGGATTAGTATACCGATTCACCGGGAAGAATGATGATTTAATTTGCTTTTGACATACTGGAAAGACCCTGTGCTCAAATGCTGAAGACTCTATAGTTAGGGGAAGATCAAATAAAAAGGCATCACTGACTCATTAGCTTTGGTGTAAAATGAAAACCAGACATGCAATTTCTATAACACTTTAGCCAAACAACCACTAGCTATGTAGATCTATTCTAGCTCAATGTTGGAAATATCAGGTTACCACACTTGATCCATCCCTCCGCAGTCTACTTTCTCTAGAAATCAAGTAGCTGATAGTCAAATCGTGTGACATCACAGTCATGAAAGGATCAGTTGGAAATAATGGTATTTCAGTAAGATTGGGTGAATCATTCAAATTATTCATCCGAATTAGGAAAAGTGCGGGATTATACACCTGAAGGCTGCGTGTCACAACCAAGTCTCGTCACGATTATTAACCGTACTATAATACCAACAGCAGCAATGCCACAGAATAACGAGAGGTAGTATGTTTCTCAACGACAATGCATGATCATTGTCTCGAATTCCCTAGCAGAAGCTGAGTTCCTTCCAGCCAGCCAGAAGAATCAGCCATATCCAGAACGGTCTGACCCGTCTCATCCTTCTGAGAAAGGTCAACACGACCACCCTTCTCAATCAAGAGTTGCAGCAGCCGAAGATCGCGGTCCTCAATAGCCTGCATGATGGCGTTCCAATCACGGTAGCATATATTTGGGTCAGCTCCTTTTTCGAGCAGTAACTTGATCATGGAAAAATCACCGTCGTCGCATCGGCGTATCGCCTTGACCAGTGGCAAATGCTCACCGGGAGCGTTGGGATCGGCACCAGCCTCATCCAAGAGGAAATGCACAATGTCCGAGTGACGCTCGCGCAGCGCTGTCGTGAGGGGTGAGAACACGCCGCCATTCTTCCATTCTACATTGGCGCCGGCCGCTAGTAGTAGTTTGATGTTCTCTAGTTGATTTGCTTGTACTGCCTTCTCCATGACGCCCTTGTGCGCGGCTAGATTGGTAATGGAGGGAAGCAAGAGCTGCATCAAGGTCGGTGACTGAGTCGCCATATACACGGGCCAGTCTTGGCCGCGGAGGTTAGGATCGGCGCCACGCGCTAGCAACCATTCCAGGATCTCCGGACGCTTCTCGCGGATAGCTGTGGTCAGAGCCGTGTGGCCCTGGGCGTTGCGATCGTTTGGATTGGCCTTTCCTTGCTCCACGAGCCAGTGCAGAGCCTCCGTGTTATTGAGCTGCACAGCGCACTCGACGATGCCTGGTGGTTGGTGGAGGTCAGCGCCAGCTGCCACCAAGTCCGGGAGGAAATGCAGGCGTTTGTGTGTGATACACTTCCAGGCTGGGTACTCGGACGCCATCAAATTGGCGTCGGCGCCGTGACTTAGCAGCAAAGCGATAATATCTGGACGGTCATCGCGGATGGCTGAGCACAGTGGCGTGTATATTCCGTCCTTTTTGCAGTTTGGGTCGATACCAGCTTGCAGAAGAACGCGCACAGCGTCGATACTGTTAACACTTGTCGCTTTCTCCATGAGGCCAGGGGCCTTTCGGGTATCAGCGCCGCGCGCGAGCAAGATACGCAGGCAGCTTGGGCGGTAGACGGCGGACCAGAGGGCATGCTCAGGGCCCGGCAGATTTGGATTGGCGTCGTAATCCAGTAGGGCTGTGACGATGACCGGTTGGTCGCTTTGCACCGCTTCGCATAGCGCCGTCTTTCCGTAGTTGTCTTTGCGGTTGGGGTCACAACCGGCCTCCAGTAGAACCTCGACGAGGTTCTGCGGCGCCCGCTTGCGAATTGCCTCAATTAGCAACGTCGAGCCATTGCGCGTCTCTTCATTTGGGTTGCCACCATGCGTGAGCAGTGTTTGTGTCAGATTAACCTTGTTGTTCGCGATGGAATAACTCAGAGGAGACTCGAACTCTGGCTTCGCCCGGTAGTTCACATCTGCGCCGTGGCTTAGCAGCATCATGGCTCCGTCTACGAAGGACTGCTCCACAGCCAACAGAAGTGGCGTTTTGCCCAGCGAATCCGGGATGTTGGGGTTCGCTTTGAAGGTTAGCAATAGCCGCATGCTCTCGATCTCGCGTTGGGTAACAGCCTCGTTAAGCGGATGGAAGTTCTCATGCTTGTCTGGCGACACCCCGCTCGCTAATAGCTGTTCAATCAAGCTGTGGTTACGCCCTCGCATTGCGGAGACGAAACTATCTCGGGCATTGGGGCCAACCCCAGCTATCGTCTGACTGAGTTGGGGGCGCAGGAAGGGAATTGCGTCTGACTTTGACAGAGTGGGCTTGGCATGTAGCCCTAGATCGGGATCCGTGTCGCTATCATGCGGCATGCTGGTTTCAGCAGAAGCTGCTGAACTTGACTTGGCCGGCCGAGGTGGCAGCGAGCGATGGTCGAAAGAGGGGCGCATTTCAGCCTCACGTCCGGGCTGAGCGCGAAAGAAAGTGTTCAAAGAGAGGATGGAGGACATGTCGTCTGTGATACCATCGGCGATGCTCTCAGAATCTTGTTGAGGAGCGTCTTGTTTGAGATCTCCGGTCAGCATATATCTTGGGCCACGGACGGTGGATGGTTCTTTTGTGGGCACGGAAGGTGTCGGCCGCATGGAACTGGGCGACTGCCTTTGGGTTGATGGTGGAGAACGGTCATGGTCGATAGACGGGGCTTTGTTCACGGCCATCACGGACCGGCCTTTGGCTATGCGGTCGAGGGCAGCGGCCAAACTCGCGTATCCAATGCCCACCGACTCCTCCGGATGCGCTTCTCCAAGGGACCAGTGAAAGGCCATGCCACTAATCTGAAGAGTTTCGTTGGTCTTCTTCAGCGACTCGTGAATGCGATTGAGTTCATGACCGGGGCGATGCCATCCTCGCTGGATCTTTCCCAGCGTTCCACGGTGCTCATACTGGACGAGCTTCAGAATCACCTTCTCAAGATGTTGAAAGTCGCGGTATGCTGCAACAAATTTCTTTTCTACCTCATCTATGATGACCTCTGGTAGGGCGCGGTTAGCGGCGGCCAATTCAGTCACCCCGGCTTCAATGGCCCACAAGGTACGGCAGGTATCGAGGAAGGTGTGCGACAGCTCACGAAAGCCATCGGGTAGGTCCTGGGTGGTGCTGAGGTAGTTGAGCATATGCACCGAGATCTGGTTGCCGAGTTGCGTGGCCAGGGCCGACACCGTGCGGATGGCTTCCTCGGCAGGCATGATTGCAGAGATAAAAGGCTCGCCGGAGGAAGATGGAGGGGAGAAAAGCAAGGAACGCGGTATGGGTTGCTTACATCCATCTTGTTTTGTACAGTGGACCTGAGGGGCGCGAACCATGTGGCTAACGATAAGCCTCCATTTCCGATCTCGTCCTAGAGGACCGATCAATTGCCAAACTCATCAGAGGCGAAAATGCAGTGGATACAACCGTTGAATTGTCTCATATAATAGACAGAGACGCTCAAATTTGCGATTGGCTTGAAACGCAAGACCCAAACGCTTGGCGCATTGTTTCAAATTGTCGGGGGGCGTAAGCCATCTACGGGGGCTCTCTCCATAATTGCGCACGAACACTGCGTGGAGACCCGTTGTCGACTTGCCGATCGGAGCTGAAACAGTCGCATATTGTTTCACGGAGCAATGATCATGCGAATTGACAGACATTTAGGACCTTGTAAATAGCGAATCTGAGATTAATTACTGCACTAGTTTAGCGGCTGGTGTGAACCGCGGTTCTCGTATTGTTAGGGCCTCGATCTGAGGTCGAAAACTCTATTGTCTCTTAGCGCTGGAAAAGTTAACTAAAAGATCTTTTGGTTTCTTAGGGTAGGCAAATTAGCTTTTATTAGTTAGATCTAATAGAATATGAGGACCGGTGAAACCGAGGAAACTGACTCCGAAGAACTAGCTATCCATTCGAAACTTATAGCTAGCCGCTTGGCCGCCACCTGAGTAGCAGCACCATCCTGTTCTTGTTAGTCACCCTCCTGAGGTATCGACACTCAGTCAACACACTCCTTCTTAACTCTTAATTTGTTTTCTGATTCGGCCTAGACTATGGCTCTGATTACCATAGTTCGTATCTGGTCATTTCGAAGACACTATCTCCCCTACCCTTTACTCAGCCTGACGAGCACCAATACTGGATCAGTCCCATTCTCTCGGAGATGCGAGATAGTCTGAAACATTATCACGCTCTTAGGTAACTAGCTACCCCTAGGATCCAAAACGAAAATGCTAGAGGGTATTGCTACAACTGAATGGTGCTGGCGGAAGTGAGCCTCCCTTTGACTCGGCAGGAAATGAATTTGTTGCAACCATAGAAATTTTGATTCAAAGATTCTGCCAGAACCGGAAAGTAATAGATCGACTTTCGCCGAACAATTGTATAATAGAGAGCTAAGATGAATATAAATCGGGCCAAACTATAAAGTGAATACGGTGGATAGGCTATGTCGTCAAGGACTTCTTCTAGCGTTTTGGTACTGGACCGAGGGCCACAACTCTTCAGGGAAGAAACATATCCGAAACAAGATCATAGAAGCGAAATACAGATAGAAAACTGAAGACTATGCATATAGATATGTTATTTTCACATGTTTGAACATGAGGGTTGAGTATCCATGATTGTAAGTAGCATAAAACAATAAGTTGATTGATACGCAAGCTTGCCTCCAGCGCTAAGAATATTTGGTCCAAAGATGCAAATCAGGTTTAAGGCGATGTCTCGACCTTGAAACTTGCCTCCCTCGCTTTCAATTCCTCCTTGGTAGGCTTTCTTGCCCACACGCGGTTCCTACACATTATTAGCATCACGGAATTCAGCGGTGCGATTCGAAAAAAAAACCTACCCAGGTTCATAGGCGTGAATGTGCGGATCTCTTAGCTCCTTGCGCACTTTAGACAGATACACCTGCACCTCCTCCTTCGTCCACGGCTCCGGCTCCCCAAAATGAGTGAGAAGCCACATCGCCCAACCCTCTAGAGCGGCATTCCAGTGGGCAAACTGGAGGTGCCCGGCCTCCTTGAGTAACTTATCCTTAGCCCAAGGTCCTAGGGGGATCTTGTACTTTTCCTCTCGTATGTCCACAAACCCGGCTTTCTCAATTGCGCTGCGCATCGTTTCGTGAGTTCTGAGCGACCGTCCTGCTCGCTCGGAGCATCTAATAAACATGTCGCCCCACCCCCATAGCTGGTGTTCTTTCTTCAAGGTACCGTCATCGCTATAGACTCGAACGTCTATTTCCATCTGCTCGATCCAGCCACCGGGTTCGAGGGCACTATAGCGAAAGAAACAAGAGTTTAGGGCTTGATGACTCGGAATGATAGGTGATGAGAAACGGAACTTACTCGTAGGCCTGTTTGTATACCTGGTCCCATCCATCAGGAGCGAAAGCGCCATACATTAGGCGCAGATGGATGAAGTCAAATGACTCTCTCCATGTCCACTCGCGAAGCACATCATCCACTTCGAAGACACAGTTCGGGGGCATCCATGACACGGGCGGGGGGAAAATATCGACGCCGCGGACGGTAGCTAACCAGTGTCAGTCTAAGAATCGAAGATGTTGAATAAGAAAATTAGTACCTGACGGATAGAGATCGGCAACATCACTAAGAACGTGTTAGTGGGTCTCTTGAAACGAAACATTCGTTGACATACATTGCCCAACTCCCTTGACCAGTTCCAATGTCCAAAATATTCTGTATTGTGATGTTAGCGGAACGTTCGAGCCATGATTGCCTCGATGTAAACTCAACTTCGGATGTTCGCCGATAGGGGCTCGGAAAAGAGGGTTTGGCTGGTTGTGATCTAACACGAGAAACACCATGTGGCTGAGATTGTTAACATCACAGTGCTGTCAGCCAGCGAAAAATGAAAGATGTAGGGATGAGGTGCTGTTTACCCAATCTCGAACGCCTCGAATTGCTGCTCGTCAGAAGGACCCCTGGAACTGGTGAGTCTATGTGAAATGAAATTGATGCATCGCAACTGACCAGTAGTCATCTTCTTTAGTGGCCTGATATCTATATCTCGGTTTAGTCTCAAAGAAGTGAACGTGGACTCGAAGTGGATTTACCTTCGGCCGTTTTCGAATCGTCCTCTCGCGATTGCGGACGCGATAGAGGTGGTCTCACTGAATACATACTAAAGTTAGTATATGTCTGGAGGTATACTTCGCAGGAGCACTCACGACTGAAAGTCCTGCGGCTCCGTACCATAACCAGTGGCCATAGAATAGAAATCGGGGTCCTAGGCGAGAGGTGAGAACGATGACATCAGATTATGAAAGCATTACTTACCACCGCGATCTGCTCTGTATTTCCAGCCATGGTCGCGACGCTTTTTCAAAGGCTCGGGGGGAAGCTGTCGACGTTGGAAGGAATGCCAGGAAACGTCTAGGGAAAGGGGGGAGTGGGGCACGGGACTCCCCGTATGTCCGCTCGAACCGTTTAACTAGAACCTTCAGTGAAAGCCGAAGTATGGCCGAGTCAGGTATAGATTGGATGCTGATGAAAAAAATAAACACAAAAGTACGAAGGGACGGCTGAAGCCCCAGGCCAGACCCACACCTGGACACGGCCTGCCCATTGTTCGGTAAATGTTATCGTGCTTCAGCGTGCCCTGCAGCGCAACCTGTAGACTGTTATTTCCACAGGCTACTGTATCAAAAAACCCGGTTGTCGGACTTTGTATTGTAGGGCTACCTAATTCGAAGGAAGTATCCTGTGGTGATCATGTCTGCTTCCGAGGTGCAATGATGCTCCCGTCCCCATTAGGTAAGTTAGTAAATGCCCGTGCGACACCATCGAATGCCATATGCTCATATTGTGAATCTCGAACCACCTTATGCACGTTACTGTAGAATGGCAACCTCCGGACCGTGTGTGAAAAGCACAAATCTAATTGCGCTTTGTGCACATGCGAGAATATTGTCAAGCGAGGATTGGAGGTATCTCGGATCTTTCCGACAATTTATCAGGCCCTCCTTGATAACATCTACATCATTTTCGTCCTAAGTCTCTATACTTTTAGCCATCATGATTGAAGGGATATGTCCTACACGATCCCGTATCGAGTAGTGCTGAGGATGATCCCGGGACTGCGGCAATACCGAGGAGACGAATAATTGGACTGTGATCGTCTCCCATATAAGCAGAATGAAGGATATCAGGAAATACACGTTGAGGCTTGCAAAGAGAGAAGGAGGTGCTCGATTCTAGGGGACCAGGAGAAAAGGCTCTCCAGGTTAACTGCGATATCTAGATAGACGGTCTTTCAGTTCGGTTCAACAACTTTCCGGTTAGGCCTCGCTCGGGGCGGCCTACGTAATCTCCCTGCCGGGTGGCTTTGCGCACAGCGATTAGTACCGATCGAATAGCGTTCACGCCCTAGTCAAATTACCCCAAAGCACCTAGTTACCGACAGTACAGTACTTTTTATAAAAACCGAATAGTACCTATCTTTGATCGGCACTGAAGGGTTGGCTTTGCTGTAGCACAACATGCCCGAGTAGCGGTTGAGCTGGTCTCGATATGGCTAGACCCCCTGCCAAAGCGCCCTTCCCCTCTCCATGCTGACTTCTTCCTTGTAGGTGCGTTCCTGCAGTCACGAATCTCTGGTTCGAGCCCTGGGTGAACGAACGATACAGATGCTATGCCCGGATGCAAAGGCTTATCATCCCGATTGGCCTGGACGCTGATGTGCTGTATTGTAGAGGGAGCTAATACACAGTACTGTTTGTAGCTCTCCCACTTCCCCGCAGGATCTCCTACACGTCGACACCATCTAGTCTCTTTTCGACAATAGCGAGTGCCGCTTTGATTGTCTTCAGGTCGCAGGCTAATGCATGTCGAACCCCTGCAAGCATTAGCTTCCATCTCTAAACCTCGGCGCTATACTTATTCTGCATTTCTATTACACCTGAACAGATCTTAATCTCCGACGATTCTCCGATATTCTAAGGCATTCGTACCGAGTAACTAGCTCCGCGCGGTTGCTCACTAGATTCTTACTTTCAACAGAACAGGCGGAGAGGTTCTCAGATTTGAAGCTTAAAAAATCACCGATTGTTTTCTAATCTCTCGAGGCTTTGCAAAAAAACCCTGACTGATGCCGATTCAAATGCTTTGTGGCTAGCGTGACCCCCTGAAAAAGACATAATTACTGCATGAGTGAAAATCAGAAAATTTGCCGACGGCTTTGTTCCATAGCAAATTCCCTTAGCTGCCGGTCGACGCAAGAAGAGAAATTCCATGGCCTCTCGGATGGATTGAGTCCGTGCCAACCTAACGAACAGGGATATTGAACTCGAGAATAGGCTTTCCCATTACACCCACTGTAGATATATTTCTAGTTTCTATCTATATCATTTTATCTCTGGACTGTAGTCTGCGTTCCGATTTCAGTCAGATACAGCTGGTACTGTTTAAATTGTATACTTCAGGCTTCGGTGGGTCTATATCACGTGACTGAGAAAGTCTCCGCTCAAAGTTGAAGCTGCGACTTCCACCTCTCCAAAACGAATTCTACACCGATTGCTCGAATCAACATGGCAATCACCATTCTACCTCCTGTAGTAGAGGACTTTGGTCCTCGCCAGTCTGATTCCGAGGACGAGATGTCCATCAACTCCGACGAGGACACCGAAATGGGCGGTGTTTCTCTCGACCGGCCTACCAAACGAGCCCGACTAGAAAACAAGATTGGAACGGGAATTGTGACACCCGGCGAGGTGGTCACCGATGATCCTCAATGGATGAGGTGAGTGTTTGATCCTCAGCCACTGCGGGCCAGGGATTTGCAGAAGGGAACGGAGCTAACACTCAGCAGAGGCCACGGAACCTACATGAACCCCCTCTCTACCTCGATTATCGCTACCGTGGCTGGTACAATCAACAAGACCAACAAGCTTCTTTCAGTGCACCCATTGCGGGCTCGATATACACCCGAAATCGGAGATCTCGTAATCGGAAGAATTGTGGAAGTGCAATCCAGGCGGTGGAAGGTCGATGTTGCAGCTCCGCTGCTCGCCGGATTGCCTCTTTCTGCTATCAACTTGCCCGGTGGTATCCTCCGTCGACGAACAAGCGCCGACGAGCTCCAGATCCGGACTTTCTTCAGCGAGGGTGACTTGGTTGTTGCGGAAGTGCAGAGCGTGCACCAAGATGGAGCGGCTTCGCTTCACACCCGTTCCTTGAAATATGGCAAGCTCCGAAATGGCGTCTTCCTCGCTGTTACAGGTACCGGTGGCAGTGGAGCGTCCAGCACCAGCACCAAGGGTGGTGTTGGCTCGGCATCAGCACCCGCGGCCTCAAGCGGAACTGGAGGTGTGGTGCGGTCGCGACGACAGGTGTGGACTGTGAACACTGCTAACGGTGGCGGTGATGTCGATGTAATCCTCGGAGTGAACGGGTATATCTGGATCTCCAAACACGCAGACGGAGCGGCTGCGGCCTCTTCCGCCACTGAGAACGTCTCTATCACACGCATGGAAGAGATGGTTTCTAGTTCAATCTACTCTAGCCAGAACGATGAAATTGCGCCGCAAACACGCCGGGAGATTGCCCGTCTGGCACAGTGTATTCGTGTTCTGGTACAAGGTGGCGTGCGGGTGGACGAGGAGACTGTGATGGGAGCCTATGAAGCTAGTCTTCAGGTGGACCTGGAGGTTGGCGACGACGACGATGAAGATGAGCTACATCAGGAGGGTCGGGAATATTTGGAGGGAGCCAAGGCACGGCACATTCTGGAGGTGGTGATTCATGGGAAATAGCATAGTGATTTCAATTGTATGATAGGCGATACCCCCAAAATAACGTCATGACCACTATAGAACGTCCTGAATTAAACTACACCCGAAGATCAGATAGACTATGAGTCTAGCCCCTTAGTATCGACTAGACTGAAGCCTGTCAAATAAGAATGCAAGTAATGTAAGCCCAAAGGGGAAACCCCCGCAAACTGGCGGTCAGCGCGAGCCACGGGCGGCAGATTACACATTCCACTCACCTAAGCAGGCTTTACATGACGGAGGCAACCTTTTTTTCTTTTTTCTCTTCCTCTCTCACCTACCTTGGTTATACCCTTGATGTTTCTATTGCAGGACTATGTGCTATTTTACAATCTTCAGCTCTCCTTTTCATTTTACCATAGCTCCGTTCCAATAGGGTGACCTTTTCATCCCACGTTTCCCACGCTACCTCGGCACCTCGAACTAAGAGGGAATCCTACAATTTTCTGAACTCGAACCTCATCACAAATATCTCCCTTCATCATGCCTGATCTTCGTCGTCAGATCTTCGAGAGCGGCAAGACCGTCTCCCGCAAGGCAGCTTCTCGAGAAGCTTCCCGATCCAACTCTCGCACTGGCTCCAAGCAGTCGTCACAGGCTGCGAGTAGAGCCGCCTCCGATGAAGAGGATGCAGGCTTCCTCTCTGACGAGACTTCTATGAGGTAAGCTGTCACTTTTAGCTCTCGCGATTTCCTTTTTTCACGCTCTTTTTTTCGTGCATTTCAAGTCTCGATGGTCCCACATCGTGGCGGGATGATGTCACCAATGTTTTTTTTTACTAGCGGGGTACTAATGAACGCATAGTATCGGTTCACTCGACGATGACAACCCGGAACAAGAAAACGTCGACTGGCCTCAGGAACTGGCGGATCGCATCCAAGAGATCCTGGATCGCAAGCGCAGTAGTGTGCAAGGCCGCGAGGAGGCTTTGGCTGCTTTCTGCCGCCTCACCAAGTACCACTATGCCGAAGAGGAAATGCGCGCGTCGGTTGCCGACCTACTCGGCGCATTCATCAGAAGTGTGCGAAGTGAGGCCAGTGCTCGTGAGACCACTCTGGCTCTCCGTGCCATTGAACTGCTGGTCGTCACCTCCTCGGACGATAAGATTTACGAAAACGCCGAACCCGTCCTGACCCGCATCATCCGCGACTCAACATCCTATGCGATCAAAGCTGCAGCCATTCAGTGCCTGGGTACATGTACTATCTTCGGTGGTGCAGGTGAAGATGGTATTCTCGAACAGATGACCTTCCTTTTGGACATCGTCGCTTCAGATGGCCAGTCCATCGAAGCCGCAGACGATCCAACCAGCGTGACAGCCGCATTGCAAGTCTGGGGCTTCCTAGTAACCGAAGTCGATGACTTCGAGGGCGAAAGCGAGGAAGCAGTACAAATCTTTATGGACCAGCTTGACAGCGGCGATTCCAGTGTCCAGATCGCAGCCGGCGAGAACATCGCTATTCTGTACGAAAAGAGCTACACCGAAGAAGAGGACGAGGATTCCGAAGAAGAAGAGGAGGAGGAGGAGGACGAAGAGGACGAGCACGCCAATGAGCCCGCCTCCGGCCCCAAACTTGTCAAGCGCTACAACGCCTACCACAACACCCCCGAGCTTGAACGCTCCCTACAGCGCCTCGCAACAATCCATAACAAGCGCATCAGCAAACGCGACAAGAAGAACCTGCACAGCAACTTCGCCTCGATCCTCACAACAGTCGAGAATCCGCGCCGCGGACCGCGCTACAACATGGCCATCGACCAAGACACGAACCGCCACTACGGCAGTACGTTGACCGTCAAAATTGGCAGACACGGCATCATGAGCATCGACCGATGGTGGAAGTGGGTTCGTTTGAGCTCCCTGCGTCGAATCCTGCAGGGTGGTTTCGCCGAGCACTATTTCCAGGGTAATCGTTCTGTTCTCGATAACTTGCCTGTTATGATGCGGATGCCAGACGCGAACCAGAACACGCCTGATCGTGCCAGTGCGCGTAAAGCGGCGAAGATGCGCAATTCAAAGCGTTGGGCTGCACAGACTGAGGACTCAGACGAGGAGTAATATACTTACACCCTTTGGTTTTCAAATCTCTCTCATCACTACACGTGAATCCTGCAATTATGCTTTTTTGGTTTCCAGTACATTGGCCCAATGCCTTCACTTTCTCCTCCTTTTACACAGAAATGGATCTGATTCCATATAGTAACGCTCATCGAAGATGCATGTTTTGTCTCTTATGCCTTTCGATTTCTGTACTTGTTTTAAGTTGTATTTTGTTAAATTACGGATGAGTCTACGGCAAATCCACTGAATACCTTTATGCCAGCAATATACGTAAAACCAGTCCTCTCGCAATGCAATGCAAATGTACTTAACCATATCTAGAGTGGAGTATCTAGCCCTCTACACGATTGAAATTCAATCTTTTCCAGGGAAACAGTAACCAAACCCACAAGACCCAACATAAATCATCCGTCAAGCTTAACCTCAACCGTAACCTCAATCCTCAATCATCAATCATCAATCCTCAATCCTCAAAAACAGGCACGACACTAGACCAACTACCGCGCGCCCTCTCATCCCAATAACCATCCTTACCACCCTTCAACCGCCAAGCGTTCTCTCCATCAGAGCCGTCACTAACCCGCGTAAACCAGCGCGGGATCCAAGACTCGCCAGCATTCTCCATATCACGCCGTCTGGCACGCTGCGCCTCTTCCAGCTGGACCTTGACTTCCTCAGCACGATCGAGATCACCGTCTTCAAGAGCACGTTGGTCAGGTCTCAGACGCGAGTCTGTGGGCGGGAGATGAGAGTCTTCGATAGACGTTATTTCATTAAGTGCGGCGGCGAAAGCAGTAAGACCGTAGTGTTTTGGCGCGGACGGGACGAGGTCTCCTGCGGACCAGATCGGTTTGCCGGTGGGGGAGCCGTCCTTTGTCAAGGAGAGGGCCGAGGGCCAGGTTCCTGTTAGACCGAGGGAGAGGTTTTTATGACTTGAGTCGATGGCGCGAGTTGAGACTTCTTCGCTTCGGCCGGAGAACATACCTCCCGCTTTGAAAGTGGAGATTGTGCGTTGGCCGGTTGTTTCGTTGAAGATAGTCAATTCACCGACTGGCTCGACGTATTTCTCGCCTGCGATGATATTACGCAGGAACTGGGTAGCTGGCGTCCAGCTGAAGTGCTCGCCTGTGGCGTGGAGGGTTATGCGAACGCGGCCCTCGGTTGTGATTTCGGCAGACTTGCCCCAGAATTTCTGGCTGGGCAGTGGGGACTGCGCAAGACTCCATTCTTTGCTATCGGCCTGGTAGGCTAGTTGGACGGGGCGGTGGGAGACCTTTTCGGCGATGAAGCGGAAGCCGCGGTCTTCGCGGACGAGTTCGTATGTTTCGCCTAGCATTGGATTGAAGGGTTTGCGGATGGAGCGCTCGCGAACGCGGTTGCTAGAGAGCGAGGAGATGGCGAATGCAGTAACGTACATGAGTCTTTCGACGCTGTCTGAGACCTGGGAGGCTTGGTCTAGGAGCGAGGAATACTCCATGATTTCTGCTGCGCGTTGGAGCAGAGAAAGTGGCTCGTTTGCGGATACGGGCATGGATATTTGGGATAGATCCTTGCCGACGTTCTTGCGTAAGAACCCGATGAGACTCGGAGGCATGACTGTTGGAGCCAGGATAGTCTGGCGACGGCGGATTTTCTCCAAGGGAAGCGGAGATAATGACTTGGGACGGGATGGGAACAGGGGCGAGGCACCGTCATGAGGAGCTGCCGACTCGGATTCTCCATCACTATCAGAGGGTGCGTCATCTTCAACCTCCTCAGCGGCGCCGTCTACCTTATCGTCTTCGCCATCGCTATCCTGGATCGTCAAGAGCGGAGATGCGGCTCCCCCGTCCGGCGCATCGAAAAACTCCTGCGAGATATCTGACTCCATACTCTTACGACTCGTCATTGCAGGCTTGAGAGAGTGTCGTCGCTGCTTACTGTCAGCAAGGAGACTCGAGAACTCAGTCACGGCATTATCCAGATCCCGCAGGACTGCCATTAGATTATCATGAATAGCATCCATCCCATCAGCATGGCTATGAATGCTAGCCGGTTTGCTAGACTCCTCCTTGATCGGCACCACCAGCTGGGAATTGCTAGCATTAGCCTGCTTGCCGCTATGACTGGAGTTGCCACTAGTCTTGCGCTTCCAGAAAGGACGCCTGGGGTCCACGCCAGAGTCGTTTGACGGAGGATGAGGACTAGGAGAACGGCCACGACTTCGCTCCGAGGAAGACGGGAGCGGAGACGGGAATGGAGATGGAGACACAAAGTATTTGGGATCGGTATCCCTTGCAAGACGTCGTACTGCATCTCGCGATCCGGAGATTTGACTGACGAGACGCTCGACTCGAGTCCATTCGTTCTCTTCCGCCGGGGAATGCGTCAATGGGAGGGGCAGTCGGAGCTCAGGACGACCCGGGAGAGTGAGACCCTCATCCTTCGAAGAACCCCGCGAAGAAGCTTTCTCCAGAGCACGCTTCCAGGCCACAAAGTCCTGGTCATTGCTCGCGCGGAGATGCCAGACCTCGGTACCCGAATCAATGGAGATCTCGCGAGATTTCTCGTTGGTCGCAACAGCCGCCAATGATAGCGGGATAGCACCCCGCAACGCAGCTGAGTTGCGGTCATGGTAGTACGAAAGCGTACTCGAAGTGAAGTCCAAAGAGAAGAACCTGCGGGCCCAGCCCTGACCTCTCTTTCGGCGCCGCTTCTGAAGCTGACCAGTATGTACGTTGGCATCGGACACTTGCGCGTTCAGAGTGGATCGGCTATTACCGCGTCTTCGCGCACGCGGCTGCTGAAGCGACTCGCTTGAGCCGCTCATCTGGGAGCGCATAATCGAAGCTGACGCCGAGACATGAGGCTGGAAGCCAGTGGGGTAAGTCAAGAGGACGAGGGTGAGGGTCTTGGAGACTTGTTTGGAGAAGGTATTGTCGAAGACGAGTGCGTAGTCACCACCCTCTCCAGTGGGCACATCATATGTCCCCTGCAACACAACGTTGGCTTCGCATTTTCCAATCCATTTGATCGACTTGAGACCGATTCCGGTCAGCTTCTCGACTACGTTGGACTGTTGGTTGCGGGAGCCGGAAGTCGCGGCCGTTGCGGGGAGGTTCTCGTTTGAATCGGTGGTGTGGGAAGCGGAGGCGGGCAGTTGGGAGCTCAGTTGAGTGGACTGGCCGGGGTGCTTGAAGAGTCCGAAATTCACGGACTTCTTGTGTGGCTGGATACTCCACGAGATGGTGTGGTTTGCGCTAACATTGATCCAACGAACGAAGTAGGACTTGAAGGAGGTTAGCAGAGGAGGTAGAAGGTATTCAGTTGCAGCCTACCTTGCTATGAATCTCCAGCTCCTCCATTGCCGCCATGGTGCAGAGTTGAGGTGAGCCGTCGCGGTCCGGTGGAGTTGCGGCTGAAGGAGGGGGAAAACAATAACGGGCGGAGGGCTACGTAACTCTTCAGGGACTCAGGCACCGAAATGTATAGAGCAGAACCATAAGAAATCAGGAAATAGAAAATAATACTAACTAACAAGAATGGAACTAGGAGCTAGGAACTACGTCAACCACATTCTGACGACATTCCTCTATTTAAAGATCCCCCCAAAGAGGATCAAATGGCCCGAAGCCGAGGAATTGCTGTTCACATGGGATCCACGCTGAACCTTGGGATCGTGACACGCTATACTTCTAGTTTCTATGCAGCTGCCGAGATCTGACCGCATGCCTAGGCACGTTCCATCATCCTCGTAGCCTAGTAGCCTTGTTTTCGATGTTCTACGCCTTGTCACGTCCACTCATGCTAAATGCTGTCCATTGCAAAATAAATACTGGTTACAGGATGCCCATACCCCCAAACGACCAGAAGGTGTATCAAATTAAAAGAAAACAAAAGATGAAGGAAACTCGAGAAATGCAATGCCCATCTTTTGTTTTTGATCCGCTTTTCCTTGAAATTTCCCATAGAATAGTACACTGTACAGACGACGCATTCACCTCCGACTGGCCTGCATGTTGGTGAACATCAGCTTGAACCCGTTGCACAGGGCCTGCATATCCGGGTAGGGGTTCTTCTGCAGTTCAAAGCCCTGCGGGATGACCTTGACAGGCCAGTTCTGGAGTTTGGAGTGCTCGCCCGCCTTGAAGCAGAGGAAGAAGTAGCCGGGGTATTTGGGGTTGATGCAGAATGCATAGGCGGAGCGACGAGGGTTGGCCTTGGTGTAGGTCTCGAGCCACTGATCTATCGAACATGTTAGTGACATAGTAGTATTGGTGAAAAGGGAGTCAGCTTACCAGTATCAGACTTGCTGCCTTTTTGGTACTTCTCGTTCGCCATCAGCTCCTCCACCTTCTTGGCCATAGCCTTGACGTGGTTGACAATGAGATCGTCAAGATCACTGTAGGTGTAACGACCTCCAACCTTGAGCACACGGCCAACCGAGAACTCGTTCTCCTTGTCCAGTTCGAGCACATCGATATGCTGGTAGACACCGTGCTCCACCTTCCAGGTGACCGCAAGGTGATCGGGACCACGAGACGAAGGGCGGATGACCACATCGCCGCGGCTCCGAGAGCCCAGGTACTCCTCGGCTTGAGCAGAGTTGAACGGTCGGAAAAGCGGGTGCTTGATAACACGCTGGGCCTGGCCACCGCGCTGCGTCTTCTCTTGCATCGACTCCTTGTCCTTCTTCTCCTGGAGTTCATCCCAGTCGTTGAAGCCGTGTTCGGGGCTACGACGGACAGGATCAGATACTTGGTCCTCGCGTAATGAAACATTGCAGGTGAAACTCTTGCGGTTCAAGAACATAATCTTGGCGGGAACAGTCTGGTGGACCTGGAAGACGGAGCGGACAGGCATGTCAACGGAGACACCAAGCTCGGTCTCTGAGACCAGCGCATCAATTCCACAATCTAACTTGGCATCGATGTGATCCTCGAACACCCGCTTGATCGCAATAGGCACCACCATGCCGTTGGTCAGGGACTCTGGCGTCTCACCTGTAAGCATGGTGAAGATATCGTCGGTGCTGAGGAAGACGAATTGCTTGCGTAGCTCTTCGTATGGCTGTTGCAACTCTGCACGGATGGTCTCCAGAGTGGCACGCTTTCGCTGGTTGAGGTTCTTCTCGAGTTGCTCGGCGTATTCCTCAAGAATTAGATCATTGACACGGTCCTGCTGTTCCTCACGGAATAATTTGCGGACGATCGCACCCGAGCCGTTCTCGTCTGTCTCGGCCTTGATGTCTTCCTCGTCCAGCTCCAACGCATCAGCGGCCATCTTGCGTGCAATATCGTAATCTTCGGGGTGCACACGAGTGTTGTCCAGCGGGTCGGCATCAGGGTCGGCGTTCTCGAAATCGATGAAGACAAAGGAGGCGCAGTTGTTCCAGACCTTGACACCCATAGCGGGATACTGTGCATTGACACCCAAAAGCTCTACACGGTTGTTCACAACACCGCCGTTCATGTTCACGATCTTGAGCAGATGAGCAGCCTTTCGAGGTCCAAGACCGCAGACATAGGGTAGGAGGTTGGCACTCATAGTGTCGGTAACCGCTTCATTCAAGTCAACACCCACCAAGTTAACCATATCTACTAGAGCAGTCTCCAGTTGCTTGAGCAGCAACTCCTGAGACACCAATTGCTGGCCGGGCTTGAACTGAATGGAAATAATATCACGGCCCAGCGAGGCATACTCCTTAAGCGGGGATTGCAAGTATCGGCCCAAGGCCACACAGTAGTGGGTCAAGGGACCAAAGCCAGGGTTGTCTTGACGAGCACGAGGGCTGTTGTGATAGAGTCGGGCAACCTCATCATTGACAATAACCACCTCGAGACGATCACTGACCTCTTCGTCGCGGTCATCGGCGTAAGTGGCTCCACGAATGTCCTTCAGGTCGATGAGTTCAGAGAGGTACTTGTAAAGGCGACGGGTCTCGGGTGTCATTCCAGAGACACCAATGACATCTGGTTTGCGACGTTCCACCAGATCCTGGAAGGCAGCTACATCGGCACCATCCGAGATCCCACGGCTCTGGTCACCGACTGACAAGTCTTTGAACTTGCCGTTCTCTAGCACACGGCCATCCTCCTCGATATAAGCCCAATGAATTGGGTCTCGGCCCACAGTGCCGGTTCCGCAGGACAAAGCGATGATTCGTGGCACGGTACCCAGGACCATTCCCTTGGGCTTGTAAGGAGCCTGATCCAAGCGCTGGGAGAAAGCCTCACGGCACTCCTTCGCCACATGGTTCTCACACTCCTGTCGGATGTTCTCCTTGACGCTGCGATTGATGACCCGCTCCAACTTGCCGAGGGCCAAGTCAAGCACCTCGCGGCGAAGACGGTTCCACGCATCAGCAACCTCGGAGTAATTATCGGACTCGATATCAGCGTAGAGGCGCTGGCGGAACTGTTCAAAGTTTTCAAAGCGGACCTTGACTTCCATTAATCCTTCCTCCTCGGCTTTCAGCATTCGCAAGAACATCTCCGGGCGTCGTGCAATGTCCATGAGCTGCTGATTCCGCAGGTATTTAAACTCGTAGTATGGATGTTGCTCGTCGATTCGGCGCAGACCCTTTTCTGTGCGGAAACAGTCGACTACTCCGTTCATATAATAAGCTTGGCGGATAACCTTTCGCATTTTAGGGCTCAGAGTAAGCTCTTCGGCAAACATGCTTTTGGCGGCTTTCAAAACATGAGAGGTGTTGGAGAAATCAGTGTCGACGAATTGGTCTGCCAGCTCCTCTGGTCCCTCACTGGGATCTTCGGTATATTGCCGGCGGCCTTCTTTGGAAGCATTCTGTGTGAAAGCGTCGGCGGAAATACCAAATGCACGCACCATACCATAAGCCTTGCCATTCCGCACCCGTTCGAAGAAAGATTTGCTGGAAGCCTTGCGCCGATGGGGCTCTCCATTGGCATCACCATTGACCATTGCCATATCGCGCAGCTGCGCGGCATATTGGAAATGGATGTAGTCTTGTACATCCTGGAGTTCCTCCATAGTAGCGGCCGCAGCCAAGAGGTCTTCCACGTTGGCATCATTGACACTGAAAAGGTTCTGCAAATTGTCGTAGGCCTTCTGGATCGTGTTACGCTTGTCGACCAGCGCACGGAATTTCAGGTCGTAGTCGAAGATATCCCACAGATCTGTCATGTTCAAAAGCTTCTCGGCGCGAATGCTATACTGAGCAGCTTCGTCGGAGGGATCGGCCCCGTTGACGGGCTCCTTGACCGCATGAATCATGTAGTCTTTGCGGTGCTGGAAAATAAAGGGAACTTCCCAGTCGTCTGTAATCAGGAATTCCAACATCTTGGCCACCGAGCGCTGGAAAGGCTCGCGCAGCTCCGGGTCCATGCGCTTCTTGAGCAACATCAGATTGGAGATCCAAATAGCCTCTTCGCGGAATTGATCCTCCGACAGAATGACATGCTTGTAGGGCTTGCGGGCGACCTGGTGACGTTCGGGCTCGTCGAGCAGACGAATTTCGTTGTCCTCCTCCGTCAACATCCTCTCGGCCAGCTCGGAGGGCTCAAAGACATCCTTCAAATCCAGACGTCTGGACTCGTCTTCCTTCTCATCGTCTTCTTGGTCTTCAATATCGAGGGCGAATCTATACTCGGTACCGTCACCGAACGCGGCGCGCATATCTTCCAATGCGTTCTCGTCGAGACCGGTCGCTTCGGTAGCACCAAGGCCGGGCATGCTTGGGCGGGCGGGAGGTGCAATCTCCATGTCGTCCTGCTCTCGCTGACCCTCCTCGTCAGAAAATGTATCCTCCTCGATGAAGCCCTCCATCTCATCGTAAGCACCGCGGCGGCCGGATCGGCCATGGCCGTATTGGGGAGCTTGAGCTTCCTCTTCATCGTCCGAGTTGAACATATCATCGATTCCCTGGGGTGTTTGCTGTTGCTCGCGATCCTTGCCCCGCTTCAGGCGTTTAAATTTGGACTGTCGATTCGGGAGAGCTGTTGTTAGTAAAATTCACAACGCCCGACGCCCTCACCAAAAGGACGACGGACCAATGCCATCGAATCCACATACCTCAGAGGTCGCGCCTCTATTACCGGGAGCAGTAATACCGATCAACTCCAGATCTTCTTCATCGAGGTGTTCCTCTTCGTCGGCGGCGCGCCGTTTCCTACCCTCGCCGCGCCGGCGGTGCTTGCGATTCTCGACCTCTTCATCCTCATCGACAATAAAGCCTTCGCGAACCTATCGAAGCGATTGCTTGTTAGCGCGCAATTCGGCATCCAGAAGCTCCAATCTAGACTCACGGCGCGCTGGGCCTCCTCATCGTCTTCATCTTCATCGTCCTCGTCACTCGAGTCATTGTAGTGGTTGCCGGTTCGGGCACCTTCGCGGCCTTCGCCGTCGTAGTCATCCATGCCCTCATCGTTCTCATCATCGTCCATCAAGGCCTCGCCTTCGACCAAGTCGCGGAGACTCATTTTGGCTGGTCGGGGAGAGAGCTACTCCCAGTGGGTAGGGAATAGCAGATTGAAAGAGAGTGCAACAGCGCAGGGCACCCGGCAGTGCCCGAGACGCGGAGGTGATAAGAAAAGGGGTTGCGTTGGGGGGAGAAAGAGAGGCGAGCGCAGAGAAAGGACGAAGCACGACTGTGAAGGAGAACGCGGTGGCGGAGACTGCGCGCTGTGGCTGACTCGGTGGCTGGTGGTATCACGTGAGGATATCACCTGTGTCTCATGTTGGGAAGTACACAAATCTTCCAAATCTTCCTTCTTGTTCATTATTTTCGAACCATTTTCACGATACCGAAAGAAGAAAGTAGAATTTCTGATAGAACTGCCTGTGTAAAAATTACCATCTTCCCTAAACTTGATATATCAAAAAACAGATGGTAGATGCCCAAGAGGAGTTCGGGGAGTCATCAATGGGGTGAGGACTAGTGGAGAAGCAGGAACACCTGTGTTTCAGTATGGCCGCAAAGTATCGCCGAATCTGCCTCCTGAAAAAAGACACCCAAAACCGAGAAGCCATAGAATTCCTCCCTTTGGCGCCCAGTGTGAATCCGGTTGTTTTGTTGGTCAAGTCGATGCGCCCGCGATATCCAATCAGCTCCGCCAAGAACGACTGTGATATCGGGTTCCCCGCCGCGCTTCCTTTCGTTCCCCCGTCAGCGCCAGGGCCTACAGAGATCTCCTTCTCAACAATTCTCTACTTCCGCCATGGCGGACCAGTTTAAGGCCCGGACGTTGAAGCGCAAGAACGTCAAAGGCCTCGCCCTCAATGCGACCCCCAAGCCAGCTGCCAATAATGCCTCTGATGGCGATGCCCAGGCCCCCGGTGCGGTTGGAAACTCCGAGGGCATTACCGATACGCTAGAGATTGGACTGGAGTTCCGACTCGACCTCCGCAGCGAGGATCTCGTAACGTTGAAGGAGCTCGGAGCTGGAAATGGAGGCACCGTCTCCAAGGTTATGCATGCCTCGACCAAGGTCGTGATGGCCCGAAAGGTGCGTGTCCACGATATCGATAGTGCGAGGGCATCAACTGACTGAACGCCCTGGTACCAGATTATCCGAGTCGACGCCAAAGAAAACGTGCGGAAACAGATTCTACGGGAACTTCGGGTCGGACACGACTGCAACTCGCCCAATATTGTGACTTTCTACGGTGCCTTCCAGAATGAGGCCAGGGATATTGTTCTGTGCATGGAATACATGGATTGCGGGTAGGTGGTGTGTGATGAATCAGACAAAGAGGGGTTGGCTGACGCCGTGAACTACAGGTCTCTCGACCGAATCTCAAAGGACTTTGGTCCAGTACGAGTCGATGTGCTGGGTAAGATTACCGAGTCTGTGCTGGCCGGTCTGGTCTATCTCTATGAGGCCCATCGTATCATGCATCGTGATATTAAGCCGTCCAACGTCTTGGTCAATTCGCGCGGTGATATCAAGCTCTGTGATTTTGGAGTCGCCACTGAAACCGTCAACTCCATCGCCGATACCTTCGTTGGTACTTCGACCTACATGGCACCGGAACGTATTCAAGGAGGTGCCTACACCGTTCGCTCGGATGTGTGGAGTGTGGGTTTGACTGTGATGGAACTGGCTGTGGGCCGATTCCCATTCGATACCTCGGACTCTGCAGCAGGAGATCGGGCCAGTGCAGGCCCCATGGGTATTCTGGACCTGCTTCAGCAGATTGTTCATGAAACCGCACCAAAGCTTCCTAAGAGTGATGCCTTCCCTCCCATTTTGCACGATTTTGTTGGCAAGTGTCTGCTGAAAAAGTCGGAGGAACGACCAACTCCGCGAGAGCTATACGTATGGTCAAACCATCCAACGGACATTATGCACCACTAACTATAGTATAGGACAAAGATGCCTTCTTGCAAGCAGCCAAGCGCACGCCGGTCGACCTGCAGGATTGGGCCATCAGCATGATGGAACGACACAATCGCAAGTCTTACTTGGCACCACCTGCGCCCAAGTCCCTTAGGAATACACCTTCAGCAAGCACGCCATCACCAGCTGCAGCGCCGCCCGTGCCACCACCGATCTCCAAAGCCACCCCTATCACCAGCAAACCACTTCCACTTCGTCAGCAGGCCCCGTCCCCATACCAGCAGCACCCGCCTTCGGGCGAGATCCCCATGAACATCGGCAACGATGCCCACCGCTATTACGGCCCCCCGAGCAGCCAAAACCACCACTACTCGTCCTCGCGCTCCGCACGGTCCCCACCACCACCGTCCTTAGAGCACCTTTCACTAGAGACCAAGGATGACAATGAGCCACGGTCCGGCCGCATGCAATCGCGCTTTCTCGGCGATCCCGTCTCCGCTGTCGAGGCTCCATCCCGCCCGTTCATGAGCCCCCGGTCCGTCAGTTCGCACAACGGAAAGTCTCGCACCAACCTCAACCCTGCGACAATGCCCATCCGCGCCGCTCCCCCACCAAGTGGACCACCACCTCCTCCCCCTGTATCTGCAGGTGGAAACTGGCGCGGCTACCACAGCCAAATGCCTGGAGCCAGCTCGTAAAGCCACGGGATGTTGATATGTCATTGAAACGACTCATACTCATCGTGATTTACTCAGATGTGAATTGCATATGCACATGATTTTGCGACTCGCCTGCTCCACTTCATTCCCTTTTTCTTTCTTTGTTTCCTTCTCATAAATTATCATCTATCATGGTCCTGGTTTCTTTCTCCACGTTTGGCAATCTGCCTCGTTTTCCATTTCTGGCGCTGTGTACGGAAAAAGACAAGGCAGGGCTGAGCACATTCCCCCTTCCATGATCTATGGAAATTCATTTCTTCTTTTTTTTCTCTTCGTTTTTGCCTTCTATTCCCCCACTTGTGGATGCTTCTCTCCTTTATTCCCTTTCTATCATTTCCTTTTCTTTCGTACGATGATTTTGACTCGGCAACGACAATGACTTGGCCAATGTTTGTTTTCCGTTCTCGAATATGTTTCTGCATAATATGGCGTACATAAATGCAATTTTTCATGATACTACACTATCACTTAGATCTGACTATACTCGACCGTCCCTTTGGGCCTAGAAAGCTTGTGGGCCTTGGGGATCTAATTGAATATGAGGTTCGATCGAAGCCTTTCAATGTTCAAAGCACCGAAGGCATATATATACAACATGGGACCAGAAGGAGACATTGTCCTCTAACAATCCCGCACGTGTACATCTTCAGACTAATTACGCAACCTCGACTTAGACGAATGTAGCATGATCAAATCACTGCATGAATAGATGTAGTATCATATAGACACAAAGCTGATGCACCAACCAGGAAGCAACAGTAAGCAGTCCAATAACCCGGAACCGTCACAAGCGATAAAGTATTCCAAAATGAAAGAACAACTCCGTTAAAACACCCTAACATGACTCCATAACAAATGTATCTGTCCACTGACAGTGATCTATTTCATAACGAGCTCCGGCCCAGCCAACGGACTAGGACCAGGCGCAGGGGCGAGATTCGAACTGGGGTTGGAAATTGGTGTACCAGGGGTTGAGGGAGCTGGAGCGAGATCCATCATTGGCAATGTGGACGAGCCCGGGGAAGGTCCTGAGGAGGGCCCTGATGAGACCTTTGCCCCGCGGGTGCTTGTACCACCACGGCCTGAACCACGGCCACGGCCTTCGTGTGCGGTGGATGCGTTGGAGCCGCTGCGTTCGGGGGTACCCTTGTCGCCCTCGGCGGCTTTCTTAGTTGTTCGTGCGCGGCGCGAGGTACCGCCTCTTGAGCCTGGGCCACGGAGGGGCAGACCTGTATCTTGGGAAATGGGCACAGCGGCTGCGATAGGAACATGCGGGTGGGAGGTGAGGGCTCGGCTTCTGCCTGTTCCTCGTCCACGGCCACGGCCACGCTTGATAGTTCCGTCGGCACTGGAAGATATTAGAGTTGACTTCTGAGGCTCGAATAGATAGGGTACGTACCGTTCCACTTGGACCTTCTCTCCAACTGGTACCAATGGGCCACTGTAAACGAAGAATCCATCTTTGCTCGCAGCGGCCTGCTCCTGCCATGCCATTTCACTGTCGTCAACAAAAGGATCATCACGGTCGTACTCTTCCACCTTCTTGCGGCGCTTCTTCTTGCCCTCGCTAGTTTCTGAAGGCGCGCCGTTGGTTCCTGCCCCAGCACCGCTCATAGGAACATCTCCATCCATATCACTGTCACGATCGACATCGAGACTCAGATCCTCGTCGGCACTTTCACCTGCTGAAACACCTTTACTTTTGTCATTGCGCTCTAATACGGCGCCTGCAGCTGCGACGCGGGCTAGACGCTCTTTGTGAGCGGCTAGGCGTGGGTGCAGGGCAGCGAAACCATATTGTTCTTCAGCGAGTTGCGCAAAGTTGACAATGTGGTTGCCCTTTTGCAGCAGCGGAACGTGTACGACGATATTGGGAATGCTACGCTCATCCGGTGACTTTGAGTCGTCGGTGCCACCGAAAAGTGCGTTGGAGATGAGACCCGAACCCTGAGGGAGCACAGGAGCGTCCTTAGCTGCGCGAGCAGGCTTGGGAGAAGGCGCTTTTGAAGAAGGCGCAGTGCCTGTGCCCTTCTCCTTTTTTGTGCTGGGTGTAGGTTGCTCCTTCGTGTCGATGTCCATCGCGTCAGAAGGTTGAGCAGGTCGCTGTGGAGTGGAAGCCGGTACAGGAGCTTGAGCCGGCGGCTGGGGTTGTGACTGGGGCTGCATTTGAGCCGGCGGAGGATGTTGCTGATATTGGGGCTGTATGGCGGGCGAGGAAAGTTCCAACTTGGGAGGCTGTGTTTGCATGGGCCGCTGCTCAGACGGTGTGTAAGGAGCATAATTGCTAGGTGTCATGTGTTGAGGAGTATGGGTAGCTCCGTGGGACGGAGAGGACATTGGGATCGGGGAAGGAGCTAGAGATTGGTGGGAAGGTGTTGGTACCGCGGCAGGAGGCGCTGGAGAGTGTACGGTCGAGACATGACCGGAAGTAGAGCGGTGTAGTGGTGTTTGGAAAGTGTGGGCGTTTTGCGCCGGCGGGTCAATGATGCTGGAGATCGCGGGCGACGCGCTGGCGCGATAGTTGATCCGCGGTGATACCACATGCTGAGTAGACGGACTATAGGCAGGAGCAGGAGAAGGATTGTCAAAAGCGGATCGAATAGGATCAAAGTTCTGACCACTCTTGCGAGGAGGAGCTTGAGTGGGCTGAGGTGGCGGAGGTTGTGACTGTGGCCGAGGCGGGTATTGTTGCGACAGGGTATAGGTAGATGTAGGAGCCGGGGGATGAGGACTTTGAGAGTATGGCGGGGTGTGGGTTGGCACAGGAACAGGAGCAGGAGCAGGAGCAGGAGCAGGAGCAGGAGCAGGAGCAGGAGAAGGAGCAGGCGCAGGCGCAGTAATAGGAGCTTGAGGAGGGGGTGGAAGTGGGAGTCTGTGCTGGCTGTGTCGCGGGTGCGGGTGCAGGACTGGAGTCTGCCGGAAGAGCAGCAGGCCCCGAGGTGGCTTCGTCCCCAGCAGCCTCCAGTTTGGCCTTTTTCCGCGAAGCTGCTGTCGATGTCGATTTTTCTCGAGGACGACGACCACGGGCCGGCTTTTCTTTATCTTTTTCCTTTGCTTCTTTAGCCTCTTTCGCCTTGGTTTTGGGTGTCTCGGCCTCGTCGTCCTTCTTGCGACGCGACCGTCTGGCACCGGAAGCACGTCTGTTGGGAGCCTCGGCTTTGGTGTCGGTCTCGACAGGCTCTGCCTTAGGTATACCCGGACCAGGGGTATCCGTAGACATGGTTGAAGATCAGTGGCAAATGACGAATTGATGAATAGTGATGGATTTAGGGATGGTGGCCCAAGTGGTGGATACGGTCGGGGCTGAACACCCGAGAGTATCACCAGTTGGGATTGGGAATGGAAGAAAACAAATAGGAACAGATAAGACAAATGTGCTGTAGAGTGGGCGGGTGGAACACGTAAACTCGAACACCGGATGGGAAAAAAAAAGATGGAAGAGATGGATAGTTTGAGACGGAGGTTGAGGGGGGGGGGAAAAGAAGAAGGGAAAATTAGGGAAAGGGATTGTAGGGAAAAGGGAAAAAAAGGGCAGGAAAGGGGAAAGCGAACAAGGAGCCAGTTTGATGTGCCAGATTTTAGGTCTGTTAACCTTACTTCGAGTTAGCTTAATGTACTTGATATCGATTAAGTATGGAAAGACCGATTGACTCGTGGAATTGAGATGGATGGATAGAAATGCAGGTTATGAAACGAAGTGTCTATTCAATTCACTGCGCACCTGATGGCTCAGTGAATTGTTGAAGCAATACATTTCGCATGCGCGCGGATCTGGCGTCAGTGGAGTTGCACATTTCCCGCGTATAGTGTCCACATGTCCCTCGCCCGTTTCATCTCATGTCTGGCATGATCTTACTGGAATGTCTAATGAATGAATAAAGTGGTACTTTTAATTAGAGGCCAATGAATCCTAAGTGATCGGACTATTCTCTTTTACCATTCGATTACTAGATCTGTGTGTCTGGTGACCGGAGATTTGTTCCAGAACACGGCCCTCCAGTGAACATGGGATCGCCGTCAGCTGATATCTGTCAAACGTCTGATCTAAGCTTAGTCATAAACTATTTAATGTGTCGTTGACAGTTTCCCAGTAAGTCGCACCTTATCTATAGGTGCTGAAGCCCTTGTAGCGCTCATTTAAAGATTATCCAACTGGTGTACCTTTCCAGTTTGGGCAGAGCATGATTACCACTTTGGACCTAGCACATCCGCAATGAAGGCTAACCCGATCGGGCTAGCCCCTGCATCCCCCATTTTTAGCTTTTTGAGCCGCAGGCCCCGCGCTGACATAACTTCATCTTTCACGCCATGGCTTTTCGCGGCGAACGTTTTGTCCTTGATCTGGACGATGAGTCCCCTAATGACTTGAAGCCAGTGCCTTTTGACCTCATCGGCGAGATTCGTGAAAGAGAGCCGACCTCCGCCAACCCGCTCGCACCCGCCCCTCCAACTCCCACCGCTTCTTCCACCGGATTCCCCGCGCACCGCAAACGCAATAAAATCTCCTCGTTCAAGCAGCGACGGGCGCAGCAGGAACAAGAGCAAGATCAGGCTGCTGCACCGGTCACAGAGCTATCTCCGCCAACCGTGCAAGATGACAAGAAATCTATCGCGGACGAGAACCGCCGGCATCTGGCATCCATGTCAGAGAGGCAGATTAAGCACGAGCAGGAAGAGTTGATGGAATCGATGGATCACAGTCTACTAGAGCGCTTCCTTCGTCGAGCTAAGATCGAGGATCCTGGACATGAAACCAACGAACAGCCCAAGCCGGCACCTGCAACAGAAAGCCCGGCGGCACCAAAGCCAAAGAAATCTGTTTCCTTCGACATTCCAGCTGCTAAGCCCGAGCCTGCCCCAAAACCGTCCGTTCCAGTGGTACCATCGCCTAAAGCACCCACCAAACCGCGTGGACGTGATGATGCACCCCCAACTCAAACACCCACCGACCTCCATCCCGCCTCAGAACGACCCTCCCTCGACCCAGCCATAATCGAGCCCTTCCACTTCCCGCAACCAAACCAGCCAATGCCAACCCTCGACCCATCCTCTCCAAGCTTCCTCTCCGATCTCCAATCCCACTACTTCCCCGAGATATCCCACGACCCAACTGCGCTCTCATGGCTCCAACCTCCACCAGACGACGAAGAAGATCCCGCCTCAACCTCAGCCTACCACCCAGCCAGCAACGCCATCTCCATTGCACCGTCTGCAATCCGGTTTTCACTTCGTGGCTCCATAATCGCTCCAAATACATCTCTCTCACTCCCCACGACCCTCGGCCTGCACCACCACGGCGACGATCCCCATGCAGCGGGATATACAATCCCGGAGCTAGCGATCCTCTCGCGCTCCACATTCCCCGCTCAACGCTGCGTAGCCTGGCAAGTCACCGGACGAATTCTCTTTCGTCTCGGCCGTGACGAGTTCGGAGAACGCGGCGGACAACTATCAGAGGGACTGTGGTTCGTCATTGAGAAAGAAGGTATTGTGGGCGGCATGTTGGCTGAGGCGGAGGGTATTCCGGATCCTCAGAGTCGAGCCGCGATGAACGAGAAGGAGGAAAGTGGGGCGAGTGCTACGCCTTTAGCTTCGGGTATTGGACGCCATGCGAGTGCTACTGCATGGGCCACTGAGGGTGTTTGGCTGTGGCAGAAGGGCGGTGGTGGTGATCGTGGATTGTTGAAGGAGGGACAGTCTCGGCCGCGGTAGTTTGGTAACTTCGACCAGGTGTTTTTCTTGAGATTTAGAATCCTGGGTTAGTCTGAAGTGTTCTGTCTTGACATGCATAGCACTATATCGAAAACAAAAATGATCAGATATTTAGCATCTTTATCGAATATACAAGCATTATAAGCATTTACAACTCTACATAAGAGATGATCTAAGGGGCCCCAAAGTATTGGTTCTCCAAGTATGTTTCAACTCCTCTAGAATATTTCCAAAGTTGGTTAAGTATCATTCATTCAACATTTTGAACACCCGGGAATACATGTGCCACATCTTAAGGCATGGCCGTTGCTTCAGGAGTATCTAGGTTATCTCATCGATTGACTTGTAATAGGAATCGAAGAAAAGTGTGGACAAGTTGCATTGCATTGCATTATCATACCAGGATATCACATATCGTACAAGAATACCAGCTCCAGTCCCAGTAGATAAGGGACAAAATAGAAAATCAGACCACAAACCACGAACCACCAAATACCTCAGCACAAAACACAACATCCTGAATTACATCTTACTCTCCACCCTGATCCTCAATCTGCATCCCCCAAACCTGCCACCTCGCCTCCTCAACAAAGTCCCTCCTTAGCCAGAGGCTTTGCGCTTGCTGCACCTGCTGCAGTCCTCCAGACAACGCATCAGGCTCATCACCACTCTGCACACGATCCAGCCAATCAAATAACAACTTGAGCTGCCAGAAGCGGTCGCGCAGTTGATCCGGATCCGCGCCACGGCCTCTCGCAGACTGCACGATGTTGCGAACAGTGTGCTCGAGAGCGAGTCTCGCGTCGACGGCGGAAGTGCGTAACCATGGTGGCGCGGTGATGAGGGTGTTGATACGAGGTGATGGGGATGGGAAGGAGGATGGGAGGACGAGGGAGCGTTCGCGAATGTCGAGTGATTGCAGTGATGGAAGGGTGAAGATCCAGTCCCATGGGCTTTTATCGGGAGTTGATGCTGCGGAGAGAGTGGTTGAGAGTTGAGATGATTTGTTCGGCCACGCAGAGGGTGGGAGGCCCTTTGCTGGATTTGAGGATGCCGCTGTTGCGAGGAGGATATCCTGGGCTTCGCTGAGCCCTGTGAGGGTTGATGCGAATACGGATGTGGAGGTGCCGGAGGAACTGTAAGTTGCCTTGCGGCGAAGGTAGACTGATGGATCTCCATGGCGGAATTTGTTGCGGAGGGCATCGTCTTGGGTGAAGTCTAGGACGAGTGGCCAGTGGTCTGGGCCGCGGATTTCAATACGTGTGATTCCGCTGGGGTCTGGGAGGAGACAGGGAGCGGATATTGTGCGGATGGAGCCGTCTTGGGAGGTGATTTTGATAGGGATTGAGATTGGACGGCGGGAGTCGAGGTCGCGGGGAATGAGACAGCGCGGTTCGGCTGCGAGAACCCAGAGATGGCGGAAGGCTTGCAAGTGGCATTTATTGTCGAGGACGCTGGTTGGGAAGATGGGGTAGAAGGCGCAGAGGAGCATGGTCACTGCTAGGTCAGATGTACCGAGTGTGTAGCTACCACCGCCGAGGAATAGCATGCCGATGGCCATATGCGCTGCCATGTGACTGCCGTAGGGAGTATCTGGATCGATTCTACCGTGCAGCGAGCGCAGGCGCCGGAATAGAGCCAAATCACCCGTACCGGCCATGACAGCCGCTGCGGATAGAGATACGGCATCCTGGCAGTTGCGGACTGAGTTGCGAGCGAGTTTGGCATCGTAGTTCATCACTGGAAGTCGAGAAATGCGAATGAACTGATCCAGATAGAAAAGCAACAGATCCCGTGCTTGCGTGTGGCCAGAGCCGGCATATCGAAGACCCACGGCAAAGCATAAGCCGGCAAGGATATTGAAGAATGGCATATCCTCACTACGGAGATGGCACACTTTTGTAAGACGGGCCCGTCGCTGATACACATTGGGGAGGCTTGCGTTGATCCATTCCATAGTGGGATCGATGCTATCCCACATGATAAGGTGTCGTGCCAGCGTTCGCAATAGGAAGAGATCAGGTCGCACATAATCAAAGCGAACAGTAGTGTCAGGAATATCGATCTTATGAGCTAAGACAGAGTCGTTTGTCTTCATGAAAATGATAGTAATAGCGATTGTCGCGCCTGCGGAGGCACGATCAAGCACATGTGCCAGGTCAACGTTCTTGGTGCCCACGGCGACGGCTAGCAAACGCTCAACTATGTGCATGTCACGCATTCCTCGTAGATCTTTGCCCTTGCCCAGATTGATAAGACCAAGTGCAAAGCCCGCAGCAAGACGATATCCTTCGTCTCTTAAGTCCTCTTGCGAGGTTGACAGCTCCTCTTGTTCGACATTTTCGATTTCAGAGAGCATAACCTCGCTCATACGCCGGTGCTGAGAACCACAATAGAGGAGGCCAATGCCCATGATACCGGCAGTCTGTGTCAACGAGGATAAATTGAGTTCTGCTGCACCGAGTGGTAGCATTCGTGTGACATGAACAGATAGCAGGCGCGTGATGAGCGTATCCATTGTACCCATATATGACGCAGAAAGGCCGAGCAAGAGACCGATGGAGGTCATGGTATGCTTGGGAGTCAAATACTTGAAGGCAACCCATTTAGCCAGAGACTTGAGATGACCATTCAGACCCAGAGCCAACAAGAAACCGGCATGTCTGTTTGTGAGGTCCTGGGGCTTGTTAAATAAGATCCAAGAGGTGTCAATGCCCTTGGATCCCTTGGAGATTGCTAGGCCAGTCGAAACACCATTGTGGAAGAATGCCCAGCATACCTTCTCCTCGGTGAAAGAGGATCTTTCGGCACTGACAGTCACGTTGGAAGGCTTCATAACACATTGTAGCGAAAAAGATGGGATAGGCAGCTTTTCTGTCAACAGAGGTAAACGGCCACTGAAGGCAAGCATGGCACGGCCTGCAGGCGTAGACAACGTTCGGAATGACACCAGTTGTACGATTTCTTTCTGCGCTTCAAGGAGATCGGAGTCTGTCCAGTCAGGTTCAGGAACGCAGTCTGCAACTGGTGCTTTAGACTGATTCAGAAGACGGGCAGCTTCCAAGAAGCGCTTGTCTTCACGAAACACCAATCTGGTGACCGAGAAACGGTCAGCCTCTGCGGATGCCTCAAATGCGTTGACGGCATCGATTTCCAAAGCTGAGCTGCTGATGTGATGGAAATCGCGCACAGACTCATGGGAGACAGCAAAATGCTGCGGCGGTGCGAACACTTGAGCATGAACTGGGTTCATTGACATGTAAAGATCTTCTCGGTCAATCAGTTCAAGAAGTGTTGCATTCCACGATGTTGAAGCTTCGATCTGGCACTGCATGACGACTTCATACAGCGGTACGCTAACGCCTTCAGGGAAAGTGTCGATGATGCTCTTGGTGAAACCCCAGCGATGCAGGAGCTTGATCTTCTCCAATGGAGTCGTCACGTTGTGAACTTCGGCAAGGAAGCCGTTGAGCGCTAAGCTTCGCGGTGTAATGGTGAAGCACTCCTGCCACGTACGTCCTTTTCTGGGGGTTCGATCTGATGCAGAGATAATATCGAAAAGAGTGATAAAGGATGGAGAGGATTGACGCGCAGCGTCCATAAGGAAGGCGAAAATTGAAGGCGGAGGGAACGGTTCGCCGGGGACATTGAGCTGAGAAACCCGAGTATCTTCGAATTGCCATCGTTCCATACTGGCCATTTCTGTGCCAAAGTAGGAATCCTCAGTCCATTTCCAAGACTGCCATCCTAGCCAGCCACCAAGCTGTGCGAGAACAGGGGCGAGGAGTCCGAGAGGGTGTTGAGATTCTTCGGCGTCGCAAGTTGAGAGCTTTTGCTCTTCTCGCAGGAGGTGAAGACCAACAAGAATGGTACCCAGGGCAGTGCACCTTGTATTCTCAGGGAATGCACCCGAAATAGGCAAATAGCCATCGCGACCCGAGGCCCTAACACCCAGAGGATCCTGTAAAAACTCACGAGTCAAAGAGATACACCGTGTCAGATAAGAGTTCGGGCGATAGGTGGACCGGCTTGCATTAGGCTGTTCACCTTTCGGTGTACGGGATGCATCGCGAGCCGCCAGGTTCTCAATGGCGTCTTGTTCAACAATCCACCCCCAAGAACTGCCCATCATCCATGGAGCCGTGGCACCCGAAGGTCCTGATTCTAGATCAAGCATAGCTTCCCAGCTTTCTAGGTCCACGTAAGTACCACTACTCGATCGTAGAAGACCCTTCTTGCGACGTGTGCGCTTGGCAGGGGTCTGTGGCGGCGGCGGCTTGGTAAATGGCACCGCCAGAGAGAACAGGACGATGACCATGGCAGTCCATTCAAGATCATTCTCAATATCTTCTTTCTCCTGAAGCCACTTCATAACCTCCCACCAAGCCAACAAAATGCCATCTCCGGCTTTCTCTGCATCACGAAGGACGAACTTGCAGACTCCGAGGACTTTTTTGACGAGGTTGTTTCGGGGTTCCATTCGAATTTGGATCCTGTGTCGTTGTTTCTCTGTATCTACCAAATCAATCTTCCCTCTCGAGCATGCGTGGTCAAATGACGAGAAAACGAGATCAGGGTCCGCCATGACCCGGTTGACGCCGCTTTCTCTCGGACGGCAGACCAGCCTACCAGCGGAAATTCCATGGGGCTCGTAAATTTGCAACGGAACTGGAATGTCGACTTTGGTAGGATTGCCCCAAAGAGTCTGCAATGACAGCTCTCGCTCCCCGTTGTCGGATACACTTAGGGTGAGGATGCGCGACGTCTCTCCATCACTTACTCGGGAGACATCCCAGACGTTGGGGACATGCTGGATGCCAGTTGCATTGACGAGCAAGGACCGTCTCTTTGAGGGCTTGATATTCTTAGAAGGCGCCATTTTCTGCTTCTTCGATACTGCTACTCTTTCGGCTTGCAAATTTACCACGCTCATGGTTTGCGAGTCTTGATCCACGATGCAGACTGCCACCGAGGTTGCGTTTCCATTATGGGTGTTTCCATAGTCCGATGAGCACAGCGTGCAGACCTTCAGGTGGCGAGTGGGTGCTTGTTGCGCGGAGGCCCGGAAACTACCGGAGAACATGGGAGAGAAGCTCTCTACCTTGGTGAGTAGAAGCTCCTCTGGCAGTCCGGACGCCCCTTCCCGAAGAGCAATATTCTCGAATCCTTCGGAAAGGGCATTGCTATTAAGCTCCTCCAACAGTCTATCCACTGGAGCATCGAGAAAGCTTCCCGTAGTGCTATACACAGATCCTGTGGCCGGAGGAAGTGAAGCACGTGGGTTGAAGCCAAAGCTGCCACGCATGCTGCCAGTTCCAATGGATTGTCTCAGCCCGCCATGAGGTGCAGTCGTAGACTGAGTGCCTGTAGCAAGCTCCGAGAATGTGAGTCGATCTTGGCCAGTGGCCAGATCAGTCCGCGCAAGGAGTGAGCTCACTCGTCTGGACGTTTTGAGGGGAACACCAACATCCCCGAAATCCTGCGCAACCCTCGAGACCAGATCTTCTTCGGGGTCATTCTTGGACTCGGTTTGCTGGGATGAGACTCTGTTTTCTGTCCAAGGTCCGAAGCTTTCGCGAGCTGCTGAAGGGCGAGCAGCTGGTGTGGTCGTGCCAGTTGTCATACCGTAGTGGGAGCTGCGTCTCTTTGATTGAGTGCCCTCGGTGTATCGTCGAGCCTTTTCTTTTGCCGAAGAGCCCGGCTCGTCATCTCTGTATCGGGCGGTCCACACCGTATGTAACCCGGTGCTTGTGTTCGTAGTGACCACTAATATCAAAGGCCCATTTTTGGAGAGTTGGCTCGAGCTCGAGAGTTCATCCTTGGGGGAAATATACACGATCTCGTCGACAGGGTCCAGAACTTCCAGCCCGGATGGCCTTCGCTTTGTGCTGTTGACGCTGCTAGACATTAAATGAGAAGGCTGCGAGGTTACAACCAAGCCCATCTCCGAATGAGGATCGATGAGTGAGAAGACCCGCGGAAGATCTGAAGCGGAGCTAGATTTTGGAGCCCATGGAGCGCTTCGAGGCGCGGAAAGTTTCAAAGATGGCCGCGCTCCTTTGGAAGGAGCTGGTGGGATATCCAACGTCTGTGATGCACGAGGATCGAATAGCGAGGACGTTAAGAAAGAATTCGGAGGCGCAGTTGGATGCTGGGGCCCAGGAATCTGCTCGGGCATCTTTCGCTGAAACAGAAGTCCGCGGGGAGTTGCAAATACAGATTCAACTTCAAAAGGGAGTGGGATTGTATGACTGGTTCCCGCAACGAAGAATATATGAGCTTGTGATTTCAAGACCACCACTAGAGCTCTAGACATCTTCGCATTGACCTGATGCGGAGTAACCACCGCTACCTGAGCATCTCCATTCAGGTCCAACGTCGATTCTGAGCTGGTCGGTTTTGGCTCATTCCCTTGACGCTTTCCTTGACCGGCCCGCGCGTTCGTTCCCGAGCCGACGTTTCGAGGATGCTTCAAGCCTGTAGTATCATGAACAGAGCGCTTGACATGGCCGGCCGCAAAATGGGTAAACAAAGCATGTCGAATATCTTCCTTCTCAGGATCTAGGCGAAACACTCGCTTCACCATCCCTGCACGAGACCATACCACGCAATGTTTTGTCCATACCAGCTCGTCGTCCACGGGGCCGGTTGATCCATTATCATCCACGCATGTTGTCCAATTATACTGATCTTTTGACGGATCAGGTTGTAGAATTCCCTCCGAAACCAGGTAGGAGACGGCCGAGGGTTCGTGAAGGCCGAGCGAGCGAGTGGACGCCATGGTGGGCTGTTAAACAAAGTAGTGATCGTTTTACGCCGTCACGAGGAAACTTCTGGCGGCATGAGCTGCAGATTGGACCACTTCCATTGTCTGCGCAAGAATTAATCGAGTAGTGCGCACCACCAGAGAGTCATTTCGAGTAGTAGAGTGGTTGATTGTTGATCGGAGTTGAAGTTGGAGACGCGCAGGAACGCGGGATTGGACCGACTTCCCCAAACTTCTTTTGCCCGACCATAACACACCTTTCTTTCTCATCATTGCAACTCACCATCGCATTCCCCCCCGAAATACAACATTTCGCAGGATTGCTTTTACAAAGCTCATTCCACTCGGTTTATGAGCTTGAGCTATTGACGCATAGCTTGTTAGCCATCCCTGTGGTGCCCCCGGCGCCTTGCTCGAAGCTCTCGCCTTCACTCGGCATCGTAACCAACACCATGCCTTCCTTTCCTCTGGCGCCGCTGGTCAGGCCCAGAGAAGATGGCTTGCAATTAAGGTAGGCACTGCGGTTCTTGCTCTTGCGACTCGAGTTTGCCACTGATACGAAGTTTCGCAAATTCTTAGCTACCGGCTTTCCCACCGCGTCCACGCAGCTCAAGGTTACCCCCTGCGAGCTCCTAACGGCTCTTCAATCATCGTTTACGGCTACGAGACCGGACTTAAGGTTGTATGGTGGGGAGGAAGACAGTTCACAGAACTGGAGCAGCCTGAATTGACTCAGGAAAAAAGCACGACGAATAACGGAGGCGATTCAGTCATGATCATTGACTCCGATGAGGAAGATGCGCCTGTGGCATCTGCAGTACCAGAAGGACCTTCCTACGATTTCGTCGCCGAAGAGACCGAGGTCGACCCTGCTTTCCCATATGAAGCGGTCCTGCGACAAATCGATATTCCCTTGGGAAGCCGGGTGCTCGAACTAGCTGTCCCTCGTGCTCTCCCAGAAGAGGCGCGCTCGCCTCTCGACCCTTTCCCGCCTATTGTGAAGGACCACATTGTTATGTCAGCCGTCTGCTCTGATCTTTCAACGCGAGTGGTGATTCTGCCGCTCATTCCGCCTCACCCAGCCCAGACTGATCCCAAGACCTGGAATATTCAAACCCTCACTATCAGTGGAGGTGTGACCCATCAGGATATTCCCCGCGGCGTGTCTCTCACGTTCACCTGCCAGGAAATAGAGGCAGAGCAAGAACGCAGAAAGTCTCGAAGCCGAGCTGGAGGATCAGGAAAATGGGACCTGCTTGTTGCAACACATTCTGCTGAAGGCTCCGGCGTGCTGCTCTTGCATCGTATTCCGATTCAAGAGGACTCCTCTGACAAGGATCTGACCTACCACCTGATAGAGGAAGAGCTCGTTTCTCAACGACGCATCTTGCCGTCTCCCGCGCAGACAATCGCTTTTAACCCTTCAACATATCCGTCTTCTCGACACTCAAACTTGTTAGTGGCATTCCACAGCGGATGCGTCAAGGTTTACTCTTGCTTTTCCGTCCAAAAGCCTTCCAAATCTGGACGACGTGCATCCAGCGCGCATGAGGATAACGAAACCATTGACACAGAAGGGCGTTGGCTCATAAGTCTATACCCCGGCTTTGAGCAAGGTCCGACTGGTTTTCCTCGCCGCAAGACGATTATTGATGCGGAGTGGGTTTTGGGCGGCCGAGCCATTATGGTTCTGCTGGTGGATGGTGAATGGGGTGTTTGGGATCTCGAAGGAGCTGGACCAGGGGCCACCAAGGGTCCGCTGCACCGTCAGTCGAGTGTCCAAGGTGTCACAGGAGGCTCGCTGACAGCATATGCTGTCAGCGGACGTATTATGACGCCACCGAGCAACAGTCAGTCCGAGGCTGAGCACCGTTCACGATTCGCGCCGATGACTCCATCAACAAAAAGGGTGCGCGAAGACACTCTTCTCAAAGGGTCGATGACTGCGGCCAGTCCATCCCTGCGTGGTCAGATCTCTGTATGCCAGACCAACTCTTCCCAAGACCAACTGCCAGACGAGTCGATCCTGTTGCGCCATGGCCAGCAGAGTGCTGTCATCCCCAGCTTGCTTTCGCTTTGGCGCAATGCAGTCCGAACAACCGGCACTTTCGACTCCTCGAATAGGTGCCGTGTGACCCCATTTCAAGATGTGAGCTTGATGGGTGAAAATTTCCAAGCCATCGGCCATCTCCCTACACCAGCCCGCCGCTCGCAGGCTGATGAGCGCCATACCTTCGATGTTCTTGTCGCGGCGGAACACCAGATTATGGTTCTTGCGCCCCGCTTGCACGAATCCGTTGATTCTGCGCCAGCCGCAGCAAAGCCGCAAGTCCTTGCAGAGAATGATCAAATGATGCTGCAACGAGGCGAGTTAGACGTGGAGGGAATGGGTCGTCTTTTGAACGGCATGCAGAGCGGAGCTGCATCTCTTCGCATGGGAAGCCCCGTGAAGCGGACCCGCGTCTTTACTTGATCAATGGGCAGACTCGACTATAGATGATACCCATGCCAACGATGATAATCTACTTTTTTTCTTTGCTCACATGTCTTCAATTTGCTAGGAACCCATTCGCGCTGTAAGGTGGAGCGCAAGGCGAGATCAATGCCTTGAAATTCCTTCTTCGGGAGGAATAAGCTCTGTATCGGATGCGATATATCAAAAATCATCATATAAGGTGCTTGCACCTTTGCCTCGGACCTTGTGTCCTCTGCAGCATTCTTGTTGCAACGCCTGCGTTTGATTTCCGGGTTCCCTGTTATCTTCTGCTGTCTGTATAGTTGCCGATCTGTTTTTTGACAAATCTTACATTGGCAGCTATGGAGATGGAAAGAAGGGAGTAGTCCGGTACGAATGCGGTGCGTAAATCGGCTCTGATGGGACATTCTGTAGACATAAATATCAAAAATGGCGCAATCTTCTAATCTCCGAGTCTCCGCAGATCCGAGAGGCACTCGTATCGATAACGAACTCCGATCTCCACCTTGAATATAATTGCCTTCCTTTTTTCCCCCTTCTCGTCTCATTCTTCTGCTCGTCTTATGATCTCCGACTCTTTTCAATACTTCCAATAGTTGAAAATTGCACCATGACTCAAATACAAACCCCCCGTCCCCTTCTAAGCGGAGTAAGTCACTACCTGCAGCTGCAGCACATCCCACCTAGAGAGGGAAAGCAGCAGCATCGCAACCCCATTGATGTTCTCCAATCCCAGTACTAACACTTGGAACCAGTATGGGCTTCCCTGATCACCAACATGGACTACCTACCCGGTCTCCTCACCCTTCACCATTCCCTTAACCACCCGCAACCTGACCCCAGCATCACGAACACGAACACGGCTACACCTCCAAACCAAGGCACCCGCTACTCCTTTGTGGCCTTCTACACCTCGAGCTTCCCACCCGAAGGTCTCAAAATTCTCCAGTCTCGCGGCATCGCCGCACAATGGGTTCCCAAAGTCGTCCCCGCCAGCACGCGCGAATACAAACAAGACCCACGATTCGCCGACACATGGACGAAGCTAGTTACATTCTCACTGGAAGAATACGAGCGCGTGGTCCTGCTAGATGGCGATATCTTAGTGCGCCAAAATATGGACGAATTGATGGAGGTAGAGCTGGATCCGAAGGCGGCTCTAGAAGACGGGACCGGAAAGCGGGTTTTCGCAGCGACGCATGCTTGTGCGTGTAACCCGATGAAGAAGCCTCATTATCCGGCGAACTGGTACGTTTTCTCCATATTCAAACGCACCTTGGATACCTTGCTCTCTAGGTATATTTTCAAACTTCACATACTAATCTATTCCGACGCAGGATCCCCGCAAACTGCGCATACACAGCACAACACCTAATCCCAGACTCGGCGCATAACTCCGCCCCGCCAACAAATTCAGGCGTCGGCATGCTAAACAGCGGCGTACTTGTCGTGACTCCCTCATCCAGGATCTACAGTGAGATCTTGTCTGCACTGCAAGAGACAGAAAGGATTGAAAAATACGATTTCCCTGACCAGGAGCTACTATCAAATGTCTTTGATGGGCGTTGGGTTGCGCTTCCATATGTTTATAATGCGTTGAAGACTCTTCGGATAGAGAATGTACACGGGGCCATTTGGAGGGATGAGGAGGTCAAGGCTGTACATTATATCTTTGCGAAGAAGCCATGGCATGAGGTGGAGGAGGCGAACGAGAAGAAGCTGAGTGAGCTTAGTTTGTGGTGGTGGGAGGCTAATTGGCAGAGGCAGAGGCTGGAGAGAGAGGATGGGGTTGCGGATACGTTTTCGGGGTGATCCTCCACCACGGAGCCTTGCTAGAATATTGTGCCAATTACTTTTATAGAGGCACTGACACTACCCCATGTTAACATTTGTCTCTTTAAGGATCGCCGGGAGACATTGTGGGATCCTATAGCATCCGTTAGGCACTTAGTCCGTATTAATATAGGCCTCAAGAAGCATTCGAGGTTCGACTATTGTCTTGGTACTCTGCAACTACCATTCGGTAGCCTCATTGACGTCCTAAAGGCCCTATCTAGATACTTACTCCCATTTCTCAACAGATGGGTGAGAATAGATGGCAATATGGCAGGCTGACGGAAAATAGAAACATGCTTCTCTAAACTGAAGTATACAGCACTAGTCGATTCAATTTCATCTAATATTTTCGATAGAAAGCGGGTTCTGTACGTCTGGAATGCAATATGCAGACGATATACAAAACCCAATGCACCATATGATCCGCTCCTATTTGCAACTCAACACATGACATCGCATCCCGCTCAACCAGTGTAGCCAGAAGCATCAAGCTCCTTACGCACAGAATCCTCAGTCTGAATCTTCTTCATCTGAGTATCCTCCAGCTTCTCACCACCAGCAAGACGCATCTTTAGCTCATCAATGGCACGGATCTTCTTGAGCAGGCCGCGGATCTTCTTATCCTGGGCCGAGGGCTCAATAGGACCAATGGGGGCAGGAGGAGGCGAGGGGGGGCGCTTGGGAGCGTTTCCATTTCCGTTGACGGCGGGAGCATTCTTGCCACGCGAGCGGTTGCGATCGGGGCTGGGGCCGGTAGGGGCGGGGGCGGGGGCGGGGGCAGGAGCAGTGTTCTCGTCGTCACGGGCCTTCTTGGCGGCCTCGCGCTTCTTCTTGTTCTTGGCTGCGGATTTGGAGAGCTTCTCGTCGGCGCCTGCAGGGAGGGGGACACCACCACCAGGTGCGGCACCCGGGGGCAAATACTCCTCGGCGGGCTCGGCGCCGGGGATTTCGCGGCGGCGGGGCTTGCCGAAGCCGTTCATGCTAGCACCAGGGACGCCGTCGCGGACGAAGGCGGCGCCACCCTGGTCCTCACGCTTGAAGGCGAGGGGGGGTCAGCTGGCCGCGGGCTCCGGGGGGGCGGTAGGCACCGGCAGACTTGACAGGGGCCTTGCGGGTGCTCAGGTAGGCGGTGGCGGAAGGGTGAGGCACGGGCAGCTGGGTGAAAGGGTCACCGAGGGGGTGCTGCTCGATGGTCTGGGGGCGCCAGGTGATATCATAGAGCTCGGTCATCTCCTCGTTGTACACGAGGCTACCGCTGACGTGCCAGATGCGCACGCCGTTGTCAACGCGCAGACGCGGGCTAGTGGTGGCAGTCAGGATGTACTGACCGTCGGGGGACCAGGAGCACACACTGGCGTTGGAGGCCTCGACAGTAGTAATCTTGTGGAAGTTCTTCTCCATGTCATAGAGGTCCATCTGGCCTGCCAGGTTACCGAAACCGGCAACCAGGACGAATCGACCATGAGGAGAGAACTGGATGGTGTTCCGTGGGCTCAAAGGGAAGGTGTGCTTGGGCACACCGCGCAGGTTGAAAATGGTGGTCTTGGCAGGCATGTAGCCGTAGACGACACCGAACTCCTTGGAATTGGGGTTCCAGCTCACATCATGGATGGGTCCTTCTTTGTCTGTTTGCGTGAATTAGCATCTGGTCAATGATTTTCATGATATAAAAAGAAACATACCAAGATCCACCCGGGAATCGAAAGCCCCACTGGCGCTGAGCAGATACAAAGTAGTCTCGCCATAGTAACTCTTTCCAGTACGATCGACCTCAGTTTGCGCAAGGACGATACAGGTAGTGCCAGAAGAGTTCCACTTCAGCTGAACCTTGTCGCCCTTGAAGAAGCTCTTCTGAGAAACGGGTGCATTAAATTGCGGCACAATAAAGACCTTAACAGCAGCAGGCTGGCCCTTACGCTCAGGAATAAACACGGCAATGGACTGAGTCTTTCCCGGCGAGAGGGCAAAATCAGCCACCCCCTCAACATGCAGCTTATTCCAAACGGTGGACAAGTTGTCGCTCTGGAAGAATTGGACCTGGTTGGTCACAACACGGGCACACAGCTTCTCGTCCGGGGTGTACTGCAGGTTCCAGCCTGTCTGCGACTTCTGGACATAACTGCCCACAACAGTGTGCTCGTCTCCACTCTCAACAGCGCGCCACACCTTAAGATTCTTTGTCGCATCGCCATTCTCGTCCTTGCTGGCGCGTTGCCAGGTGATAACATAGGTGCCAAGCGGGGAGAATCCCAGCTCGAACACGTTTTCAGCCGGGATGGTCGAAACCATGTTGCCCGAGGAGGCGTCGACAATGGTGACCCTACAAAGAGATTTGTTAGACTGCAAGTTACCAAACAAATACCCAGGATCAACGTACTTTTCAGGAGATGCATATGCGTAATAACGGCCGCACGGAGAGTAAGAGCTACAGCGGAGGTTTCCCTCAGGTCTGCCAAAACACACAAGTCAGTCACCCAATTTCGTAGCCCAGATCCATCGCAAAACCTACCTCGCAAAGCCCGGCAGAGCCTCATAAGTAGGGGCAGCATCCATGATGCCAATGCCCTTGAGGGTACGGTCTAAGTCAACGTCAGCACGTGCATCAAAACAACCACACGCCCCCAATGAATCCAGGCAACCGCCATTCACTCATCGTGGGGAATCAGAGAACAACGCACAAGCAAGTTGCGTAGGAGCCGCCATGATGAAATTCGAAATTCGAAATCTGGAACGACGTCGCCACCAAAGAATGTCTTTAAAATTCGTCCGTGAAAGAGACAGATCAGTATCGCTATCGGCTCAAAATCAAGTCTACCAAAAGACCAGATGAAGATGCAGACGTCCGATCGGAAAGACCCAAGTCAAAAGTCGCAAGCGGGGTGCGAGCAAGAAACAGGGACGTAGGATCTAGCGAAAAAGGCAGGACGGTATCAAGACGAAATAGGTCGATCAAAGGACGACTCAAGTGAGATTGGGACGGGAATCAGATCAGAAGCGAAAACGTGGCAAGGCAAGAGTGATGCCGAAGGCTCAATTGGAGCGTAAGCGCAAGAAGTAGATTGCTTGTCGGAGAGATGGATCTTCAGTGCTAGACAAGTCAATGCCAGCAGAGGGCGGAGTCCGAGAGGGGAGGGGAGGTGTTCAGGGTGGGGAGGTTGAAGAGTCAAGTCAAAGGAGTGGAAAATTCGGGCGGGTTCAGCTCGGCGGCATGCCGTCATCTGAGCCCTTTGTCTCATTAGACTAAGTGGTAGTGTGACTACGACGTTCACCGATTTTCAATGCTCATATATTTTCATATTCTCCATTGTTTATGTTCAGACTCCACGGTCATGTGTATAATGTGTAATGTACTATTTTACGCCACCTGGGCACAGGATCAAATCAAAGGATATCAATGTTCATTCTTAGACATGCAACGCCACAAAGCAGCCAAAGCAGCCAACCAAAAAAAAGAAGAGAAAAACGATATTGCTAAACTGCGCTGAAATAGTTCATAACCGATACATACCTGTCGTGGCCACCCAGCAGGGTGTCTGAATGCCCGATCTCCGTCCATAGAAATACATTCCACATCCCACCCCGAGCAAAGGTAGAATCAAACCAAAGAAACAGAAAATCCACATAAAAAACAAATCAAAATGCCATCCAGCCCATCGTGATCTCCCCATTCCCCTAACGGAGCCTATTCCCGACTCGGGAAATCGAACCCACCACTACTCTGGTTGGGAGTAGCCAGCCGCGGGGTCCTCGCCGTGGTATCAACGACATCGGAATCAAAAGTCATGCCATCAACCATGCGCGCATCCTCCGTAACAGGCTCGGGTGTAGTCGAACCCGTCGGTGAAGCAGCCATCATCGAATCCCCCTGTTGGCCCTGCTGTTGAATATACGAAGCAAGCGGGTTCAGTCTCCCAACATTCGAGCTCATAGAAGTAGGTCTAGCAAGCCCACCCGAAGAGATGCGACTAACACCTGGCGGCCGCGACACCGGACCGCTAATGGTACTATTCGCGCCTTCTCCAAAGCCCACGAGACTAGCGTTCCCTTCATCGCTCATATTGCCGACGCTGGACTGTCCGTCATCTGCATCGGGGCCTTCGCTCATCTTGTCTGCTTCATATGTATCGCTGGATGTCCAGGTCGTGTGGCCGCCGAAACTACCCGTGGCGCTGGCGCTGCCGACTGTGCTGCGCTCTTTTAGGGCGTGGCCGTCGAAGTAGCCTGGGCCGTGGGGGACGGATGGGGCGGTGGTGGGTCCTTGACGGGCCGTGGCGACTCGTTCGAGGCCGGCGAGGCGGGAGATGCGGTCGGCTCGCTCGGCTTCGAGGGTTGTAGTTGAAGAGGCCGAGGCGGAGGAGGACTGGTGGGCGTGGCGGCCGTGGGGGAATGGTTGGCCTTGGTGGCCGTCTTTGATGGCCGTGGTGGACAGCGCGGAGAGGGAGGTGGTTCCGGAGTTGGGGGTTCCTCTGGAGGATTGTAAGGTTAGTTTGATTGTTGAAAAGTTGAAAAGGCAATTGAGATCTTACGGTCCCATGTCGGACGGGGTGACGGGGTCCGAGGGAGGAGGAGGGAGGTTGATCAGCGTAGGGGTAGTCATGATGGGATCAATGCGTCAGTTTGAAGGCTCTGAGACCTTGAGGCTTTGAAAACAAAAGCAAAAGTGGTAGTTGAAGAAGTGTGAGATACGATGGAAATTGCGGGGAGTCACTAACGACGGATCCGCGAATCTTTGGGAGCATTTCAGTGATCGCTGGGCCTCGACGTCATGTTTGGCCTGGGCAACCCCACCTTTTCACATTTCAATAGAAATCCATGAAAGAGCTAGTGTTTCATACATTTCATTCATACAAGTCATCTCGGCTATAGAAAAGATCCAATCATGCAGCCTGCTGCTTATTTCTCATTGGCCTTGTGCTCGCCGAAGTTCATCCACCTCTTTCTGTAATCGCGACAAATCCGCCAATATATCACTCGCGTTGGATGGTTGTGGCAGGGTTGCTCCTTCTGTAGCCTGCGACACTAGACCCCCGTCACTACCACGTTGCGAGTCCCGTCCTCGACGAGGCGGGGGTGGGGGTGGTGCTGTGGAGGAGCCCGTTCCTAAACTACCATACGATGAGGCCCGGCGTCCAGCCTGATTGAGATTGGGCCTTGAGCTTGGGGGAGGTGATAGAGAATCTGTAACCCCAGATCGCGGCTCCCCGGAAGGTGGGGGCATGCTGATGCGCTTGCGGTCCTGAGACATAGATGAAGCGACGGAACGGGTGGACCGGCCTGGACTCGGAGGCTGGGAGCTATCGTTACTCTCGGAATCAAGCGAAGACATGGTTAATCGACTGCCGCTAGATTTGGACTGGGCGGACTTTGACCGCATTTGGCTGTGGCGTCGGCTGAGAGGCGGCGTCGGTGGTCGCTTGGGTTGGGAATTGCTGCGATGAAGCGAGTCGGTTGAGTCGGTCGCCCTTGGGGTTTCAGAAGAAACCGAGAAGTAGTCCCCTGGTGCTGTATTGTATACTGAGCTGGCATTGGGAGTGCCCGATGCTCGTGCAGAGGTCAAGCTCTCTGGGGAAGATGCATGGTATGAAAGGCGGTTATTTGATCGAGGAGGCGTGGCAATCGAGGGAGAAGCTGTACTGCCTGTAATACTAATTCGCTTTCCATGATGGCTTCTAGGCGGCGGCGGAGGTTTCCTGTCTTTGGAACGGCTGGTGCCTTGTTCTTGTTCAGAAGACATCTGTCTCGGCCGGGTCATTGAAACAACGTCTTCTGCCGAGTTGAAGGCCTGGGTATCTGCCGTAGACCGCATTTTGTGTTCGGATGGTTTGAATGACAGCTTTGAGGAAGGTGTAGACGATGATCCATCGGATGGAGCTAGGTGTGGAGCTGACCCAGACGATGCTCGCGGGCGATCGACGAGAACAGGAGTATTCTTGGAGCTACCCGCATCGTCCTCATCGTCCCCGTCATTGTCGCCCACCGATGAATCGGGATTGAAAGGGTCCGCCTGTTCATCGGAGGTCGAGCCATCGGTCTCGACTTCGAGCGATAAAGACGACTTCCCGGGGTAGCCGTTGGGCACCGGGACGGAGGGGTTGGAGGGCAAGGGGGCTACATTGCTGGTAGCTGGGAAAGCTGGAGGCTGTGGTGCTATAGCCGTGACAGAACCACCTGTTTCACAGTTCATTAGCTTGATGTGGGGGATTGAATGCTCCTTGCATCATGTCATCGGAAGTGGCGGGCATCGGGGGAAGAGAGGAGGGGCTCACCGTCCAAGTTCCTACGAAAAGGATTGGAACCAGACATCGCGATGGGGGCAGCTCCGAGGGTAAAACGAGAGGAAGACGGAGATGTGAAGAGGGGGAAGAAACATCCCCGCCGAGCTTCTTGACCAGTTCTACGCGCCGCTTTCCGATAGACGCAGTCCGGGAGCCCCGAGAGGCTACACACCAAAAGTATACTTATACCAAAAGAACCGTTAAACCTGTCAAAACAGAGGAAAATTTTCAGTTTGAATGGCTGGTACACGAGTCGTGCAATATATGGTACAAATGAATCACGATAAAAATGGCCTCCCCGGGAAATAAACAGGAAACCCAAGAAACCCCCCCCCCCCCCCCCCTAGGAACCCATAATAAAAATAAAACTAAACGACCCCTGCCATCACCTCTCATTATACACATGCCATGTCTCTTCTTCCTCGAAAAACTTATGTGCTAACCGCTTGCCGCTCTCCGTAGGCTGGCTGAATGCGATCTGGTCCTTAGGGATCTCCATGCCGTAGATGTAGTTGCTCACCACGCAGTCCAAGAGATCCAGGGCGATACCCTTCCGGCGCGACGCGCCAGAAGTCCAGATGCGTGAGACGCCGACAATGGCTGGGTGCACCTCGTCACGCACCGACACGGACGAATTATTTCCGTTCGGTTCCTCCTGTGCGACCGGTCGTGATTCCCAGATGCGCTCTGTCAAACAGAGCCCGACACATCGGCTGTCCTTCATATGGAGGAAAACTCGGTATCGGTCCACCTTGTCCTCGCCGTCTTCCTTCTTATCCTTCGGAGGCTCTGTCTGACCCCAGAGCAGCTCATCTTCAATCTCCGGAGATGACAGTTCCTTGTTGACCACCTCGAGCACCCTCTTCGCTTGGTTTTTGGCACTGGGTGATGCCTTGCGATCCACAATGACCACGTAGCCCTCGTCGAATCGCGTAGCTTCATAGACCCAGCGTGAGGCGTTCGCGCGCATGAATGCCTTGCCCAGATCAACACCGGTCGAGTTCATCTCATGGAACTTTTTATGCAGGGCGGCATCCTCGGAGTTGGAGGGGATGTATTCCATGCCACAGGTCGTACAGGTCTTGCGCACCTCGTTCCCCAAATCAATCTGCATCTGGCGCATCGCTGGTTTTTGCGCTTTGTTCTTAGGCGGGTCGGCAGAAGAGCGCACGCTGTTGGAGTTGACCTCTGTCAAGGGGGACCCCGCGGACGCGTCCTTGTGCTTGCGCTTGAGAAAAGCGAAGGTGGGTTTGCGGGTGTTCGCCGGCGGGGGAGTCAGTCGCGGCGGCGGCGAGGATGGCGGCGTGGTGAGATCGTCGATATCGTCCAGGGTGCCTTCGGACGGCACGACTGAGTTGCGGCGCGAAGGGCTGGACAGTACGGCAGCGGACGATTCACGGATCGCGTTCTGGAGATTTGTCTCTGCCTCGTCGGATTCATCTAGGACGCGTCTTTTCTTCGCGGCCCGCTCATCGTCATAAACGCGCCATGTCGGTCTTCCGTATGTTTTCATCAGGCCTCTGTTGGGGGAAGTTAGTAGGCGTATTTGAACGAGGAGAGAAGAACATACCGCTTAAAAGAATTGGTGACAGTCCACGGCATCTCCCTTATGCCCAGAATAATGGCAGGATGGGTTTGTTATTTCGGGGGGGGTTTTGCACTTTACATAGGTTCCACTGCACGCGTGGCGCTAACTTGTTTAGGTCATATTGTTCGACGGGAGGGAAGCTCAACTTACAGTTATCCCTTGCCGGTTCGCGGTCTGGGGTTGGAAATGTCAAGCTGGAGGGGTAATAAAGTCCAGGGGAGGTTGGGTTTCCAGTCGATACCAAGTTCCAGGGCTGTGATGGGGGCTGTTCGGTATTAAGTAGCTCAGGTCCAACAAGAATCGCCACCCGGGAGATGAATGAAGATGAGTTCAGTATAGAGAATACACCTGGGAAGAGCAAATACAAGGAAAGAAATCCCAGCCGCCTTTTTTGAATCTTGCAGTTTGCATTTGTGCATTTCCCATTCCTGACTTTTGGTGGATTTCTGCCTGGTATGCTCGGGCAGAACCCCTTTCCAGGAACCAGTCATCCACACGCTTATTTCACATACTATTTCCATTTCCCTTTCGCCCCATTTGACTATAGAACTTGCTCGTGGCCTCTGAGCCTCGCCCAGCCTACGCCCCTAAACCTACCGTACGCTAGCCCACCTAGCCATCACTCACGGCCCTCATTTCCCATCTTGCATTGCATCGTGCAAGGTGTTTTGCCGATCGCAGACCGCTAGAGAGCTCTGTTCCTGGACTTCGTCATCTCTATGTTTTCATGGACTTGCGCCCACTGTCTCGGACTTCCAGTCACTTCCACAAGCAACTGGGCCTCCTGGCTATCCTGATTGGGCTGTGCCGATGAGACGTGATTGGGATCGAGCTCACTGATTGGCGTGGATGGAGACGGCAATTACGAGGTTTACAAAGTTACATACGCTCTCTGGCAGCCCCCCTGATTTCCAGGGTATGCTTGTGTGTACAGCATAGAGTTTCAGAGTGAGCTGGGCTCGCCACGGGAGTGCAGGCTACTGGGCCAAATTCAATTCTCAGGAGATGGATCACTCAGCCGTGACAGCCACGGGCTCAACGGGCACTACTGCCACTACTGGCACTTCTTTGGCACACCAAAGACTAGCTTCATTTCGGATGTGCGGCTATGTTGCTGACCCTGCTCGTATCACCCCGGATCAACTCTTGACTCGGTTTGCCTGGTTCTTGCGGACTGACGGACTCCGGCGGTTAGCTTTCTAATGCTTTCGATGTGCGGGCTCCGCGGGCATTGATTGGTAGAAACTGGTCAGCAACTCCGTGTTACACACGCGCATCACCCGCTTGACTTGAGGGGGATCGCGGGGCTCCCTGGACTGTCACTCCTGGACGCAGGTAGCAGGTGGGTCGGTACCTACAGTACTGTACAGTAGACGGGACTCGGATTGTCGTGTTGAACTTCCATCCTTGGAGGGTCCTCTGTAGAGCATCAGCGGTCCTCTCAGTGCCTCTCACCACGGCCATTCAAACTCTATAGAAGAATAAGCAGGGCAATACGGACTATATAACTCCGGCTGCAAAGCGATGGAGATGCTGCAGCGTGCAGGATAAGCTCACCCGAGAGCCATGACGGAATCTCCGAAGTCGGTGATCTGTCGTATAAAACCCTCGAGTTTCTCCGGCCTATATGGAGGAGCTAAAGATTGAACGATTTCAATTCCAAATATTTACAAGACCAAGTTCTCTCGGAGAATCTCGCAACATTTGTTGTGAAGTCAAGTGTCGGTCCCGCTTTTGACCCGCGGAACCATCTGCGGAGCCGGAGTCAACTCAAAAATCTCTTCTGATTCCTCCCCAACTTCATTTCCCATACCAACCATGTCGGACGACGCTTCTGGAGCTGGAAAGCGTAAGCGCGCGAGTGAGTAGCCTTTTGTTCTCACCTGCACCCTTCCCCGGTCTTTTCAATCTCAGAGCCCAACCCTTTTCCAAATGGCCCAGGATCTGCGGACCAGCAAACCGTTGAAGCAGACTTCCGCTTCCTCAACGTTGTGGTTTTTTGTCTACCAACTCTGTCAATCCTCTTTCCTCCATTTCGTGTTATAGCGTACCGAGGCCCGCAGGATTTGCACATGGCTAACAAGATTGTACCTACAGGGACCCAGTCGTGCCCCCCGCCCGAGCTGCCTCAACTCGTTGCGGAGCAACATGTCACCATTCCCACACACGACAAGGACACCCAGCGTTTGATCGTCATTCTCTCCAATGCGAGTCTCGAAACCTACCGGGCCTCCGCCGGCCGCGGTGGCAAGGATGAGAAGTACTCTCTGCTGAACAGTGACGAGCACATCGGTATCATGCGCAAGATGAATCGTGATATCAGCGAGGCTCGGCCGGATATTACCCACCAGGTAGGCTCTACGATAGACATGCTTACATGCTTGAATGATGGGCTAACAATCCCCTCTAGTGTCTCCTCACTCTTCTGGACTCCCCCGTCAACAAGGCTGGCCGCCTCCAAATCTTCATCCACACGGCCAAGGGTGTTTTGATCGAGGTCAACCCGTCCGTCCGCATTCCTCGAACCTTCAAGCGGTTCGCCGGTCTGATGGTCCAGCTGCTCCACCGCCTGTCGATTCGCTCCACCAACTCGCAGGAGAAGCTCCTCAAGGTCATCAAGAACCCGATCCTCGACCATCTGCCCCCGAACTGCCGCAAGGTAACGATGAGTTTCGACGCCCCCGTGGTCCGCACCAAGGACTACGTCGAGTCGCTGGGCCCCAAGGAGAGCATTGCGATCTTCGTTGGTGCCATGGCCAAGGGCCACGACGACTTTGCCGACTCGTTCAAGGATGACACCATCAGTATCAGCAACTACAGTTTGAGTGCCAGTGTGGCTTGCAGCAAGTTCTGCCACGCGGCCGAGGAGGTGTGGGATATTCTGTGATCGGCAGGCTGAACGTTGCGCAGCTGTAAGCGCGCCCTCTGCCCTCCGTGTGCAGATTCGGTAGATTCCCGTGAATTACCATGAATCCCAACGAATTTCCTTGCGACGAGTTGACACAGCGGATCGGGGATTCTCAAATTTGAGCTTGACCTCATGCGTTGACCAACGGGGTCCGTCTCCGGTACATGAATTTCGACAATTTCTTGTTTTCTTTTCGACTGCCGTCCCGAGACACGCCTTTTATCTACTCTTCTCATTTTGTGTTTTTTGAAGATCTATTGACTGTCGGGATGCCCGAGAACGGGACGGCCAGCGTCGATGTTGCTCTAGGAGCAGGGTAAAGGGGGGTGACTTGACTGGGAACCCCCCTTCGACAAAGAGACACTCGGACTGGATGGCATTTGGTTCCTTTTCGCGGTCCAGTCCTGAATCCGACTCTCAGCCCGCGTGTGTGGCGAGACCAGAAAAAGTGAACATAGAGAGGAGTCTGGCTCCTGTTAGGCACATACTGTGTGAGAATACAAAGAATTTCGGTTGCTCATCTACCTAGGCAGGCACTACGGAGTAGTACCGATATCTTGTACTTTGTAGATCCTGTCAAGTAGTGTGAAGTCACGTTGTCTCCAGTGTTCGACGTGGCATGCTACTTGCCTCACTCACTTTGCGACTAATGATGCAGCTAATCGGGACTATGCATATCTGTAGACGTAGACGAAGACCCAGGGCTTCATTTGGGCATTGCACTCGTGCCCAGAGACTTCTCGACTCTCTCGTCCACGGGTTCACGGGTTCACGGGCTCACGGGTCCATCGACCAGAATTCGAAGATGATTGAAAGATGGAGTGACTCAAACGAGCTCGGAAAGCACGTCCATAGTGGCGGTCAGCACCACTGCCCAAGAGCCAAACCACGATTGCGCAAATGAGCGTTCCAAAAATGCTCCACTGTCACCACGTCCCGCCTCACGATTTGTCCAGCTAACCAACCGAGCATTCCCACCTTCATCCACGACCCACAAACCCAAGTCCCCGCGATGACCTGGCCCCCCTGAGATCCGAGCGGCCAGTCCACCTACAAACCCATACCCCCCAATGAACACCTTCCACTCCTCACCGAATCTGGCCAGGAACATGTCCAAGGCCCCCCCTTCGGGCCTACATCCGCCTGCCGCAAGACTAATCACGCTACCGCAGTACAGGACTTTCCTCAAATGCCGCCTCACTCTAATTCCAGAACCAGCGTTTCACCTCCCGACGTGCAGATCGCTCAATGCGGTAGGGTGTCCTGTTCACGCTGCCAACAAGCGGACCGATCCACACTGCATTGGCAGCTGGTTGCTCCACGCAGACAAGAGAGACCCAGTCGCCATGGGCTTATCCATTCTAGGCCGGTGGATAGCCGGATAATCGGTTGCATCTTGGGCAGAGAGGGCCCTGTTTTCCTATTTTTATGGAGATTATGGAAACTATGGGAATCAAGGCTATTTTACCCCTTCTGATAGTCTGCCTCCGACTGGGTACTGGCTTCGAGGAAACGTGAATGGTGGGGTGTCATCGTTCAGGGCTTTTATAGACTTGGGAGATCCTCTCACCGTATATATTCCATCCCTGACCAGGTGCATATGGTCTTTCTTTCTACTTCTTCATACTCTATTCATCTATCATTCAATACATCCTTTCTGTCCTGAGATCGTGACGCTGGCCCGACACGCGATCTTTTCGATATGCCTGTCTCGCATCTAACTGTGACAGTCTCCCACCTGCCTACCGCGACTTCCTTCTTCCTGTCTTGTCTCCAGCCTCTGGGATATCAGTTTATCGGTCGAGTGGAAGAGTACATCGGGTTCGGGCAGAAGGCAGGTGCCCCCGCCGATTTCTGGATTACCGAGCAGAAGCCTGGGTAAGTTCCTAAAGTCAACTTGTTTGATATTACCAAGTGGGGATAAGTGACTGACTCAACACCCCATAGACTTGCGGTCAGCGCCGTCCACGTCGCATTCCCAGCCCCCTCGAAAGAGGCTGTCCAGTCCTTCGTCTACGCCGCGGTAAAAGCCGGCGCAAAGCTCCATGGTGAGCCCCGAGAACGAGATTCAATATCCGGCTACTACAGTGCCGCCGTGATTGATCTCGATGGGAATAGCGTCGAAGCGGTATACCGCCCCGGTGCTTCGGTCGTTGCATCAGAAGTCGGAGGACCGACAATAGCGGTCCTGGAAAATGGATCCGTTGTGTCCAAGAGCAGCAAAGCTACCTCTGTCAAGGCTGAGAGTGTTGCACCTCCCAGATCTGAGGCCAAGTCTCGTGCTGTCTCCAAGGCTCCCACTGCCGTTTCAAAAACTCCGACTGCAGTATCCAAAGCGCCCACTGCTGTTTCCCATCGGTCTCAGGGTCCACCGCCATCTTATACGACGCAGACGGTCCAGAAACCCGATGATGGTAGCAAAGCAGCTAAGACTATTATCGGTACTCTGATCGGTGCCGCTGCTGGTGCTGCGGTTGCATATGCAATGGTCAAGGGAGACTCTCAGTCAACCACTGAGAAGCCTAAGGAAGCTTCGCATTATACGCCTGAATCCCACCAGCTTATGGCACCGCCATCGCATGTCTCTTCTCGGCGAGAGGAACAATATCTCATGGGACCACCATCCCAAGTCTCCTCGCAACGCTCCGTGAGAGCCATCGAAGCTCCACCAGCGCGCAGCATCTACACCAGCGCATCAGGTCCCCGATCTACCGTCAGCCGCAGTGCCTTCTCCAAGAACCCACGCGCCAGCACCATCTACGAGCCCACCGAGTTCTACGACGACCGCGGCCGCCGCGCCTCAGATGGCAGCATTTTCAGCATCCCCGAGGATATTCCCCTCCGGGCAATCGAGTACCCACCACCCAGCCACAGCTCGCAGCAACGTCACCCTTGCAGCCCAAGCACCTTCATCAGCAGCTACGCCGCCGACAAGCCGCGAGCCGGTAGCGTGCATTCGGCCTCAACAATCAAAGCATCTCCACAGAGCCTCCAACGCCGCCACAGCCATGACGACAGAGGCACATACTCCTCGCACAGCAAGCCTTCCCAAATGCACCGCGCCAGTTCCTCTCACTCTGTTCAATCTCATTTCAAGGCCCAAGACGCAGTCAGCACGGCCTCGTCCACGCGCTCAGCGCGTAATATTCCGCTCCCCGCCGGTTCACACGCAACGTACTACAGCGCCAGCGCACACGCAGGCCAGGGCAACAAATCACACGTGTCCGCGCGCGAAGTGCCTCTGCCTGACAGTGTCATCGACCTCGACGTAAACTCGCACGTCACGCCGGATGACTCAATTAGTCAAGTTGGGAGCCGGACTCGATCACACCACTCGCATCGCTCGAGTCATTCGAAGGCTTCGAAACACTCGTCTAGATCGACGATGGACGAGCCTGTCAGACCCGCGGATAGTGTTAGTCAGGTGTCCAGGGCTTCGCACCGGACTGTTAAGGCGGGTGGAAGTAAGGCGCCTTCGCATTCGGGTAGTCGACGGGGGAGTCAGGTTGCTGTTTGATGCTTAGGTTCTTGGATTGTTTTTGCATCTTGCATCTTCTTTCCCGTCATCTCCTTTTTCATCTTCTTTTCCATTTTCACTTACATCCTATTTTTGCCCTTGACCTTGACCTGGATTCGACACCTCACACTTGCATTTCACACACAGACGACAGATAACATTTGGTTTCAGTTGTTCATTTGCATTAATATTTGCATGGCTATGGTACATTTTGCATTTCTAGAAACCTACAATTCACATTACATTTGCATTTATACAAATGCTTTCAATGATCAATACTCTTCTAGGAACTACCCTTGGCCCCAGGTTACGATCTTCCTCTAACCAGGAAGATAGCACGTACTCGTCCCAATGATTCCGAAGTTCCCCTCGGAACAGTCGGGATTGCAGATGAACCTTGGCCCCCAATTCTTTCGCCAAGGGTCTCAGCCTCGTCCGTAATTCCGGGTTAGGGGACACTAGCAGCGTCGGCACCAATCAAGCAGGGAACTATCACCAGCACCGTGCGCAGGGCAACTCACGTCTAGAAAGCTCGGCATCCATCTCGACTACAAAGTTCAAGCACCACCCAGAATTCAAATCCCGCGCCCCCTCAACCCTTCCGAATAACCCAACCCCGGCCCATCAAGGGACTTACACACCATGCCGTCATTCAAGCATCTCCTCCTTCCCATAACCCTCCTCCTCGCCAGCACAACAGCATCCACCTGCCCAAAGAACTGGCTAGAAAACACTCCACCCGACGGCAATTCCAAATGCTGCTACGGCAACATGGTGATCGATGACACCGACGCCTTCTGCTGCGTGAACGACATGACTCCGTCCGAAGAAACAAGCGACTCGACCACGACAACCGATGATTATGATAGCTGGTCCACGGCCGGCGATTGTTTTACCAAAATACCATTCACTGCGAGTGACTATTCGGAGCAGGTGTCTTCGGCATCGTCCAAGGTTTTAGCTACCAGGACTATTATGGTTAATGAGGCGACTTCTACGACTGCCAGTTCGAGCTCGGCTTCAAGCACCAGCTCCAATGCCAGTTCGAGCTCAGCAGCAAGCACGAGCTCCGATGCAAGCTCGAGGCCTACTGCTTCCACCACCACTAATGCGGCTATGCCGATTGCCACGGCTCAAGAAATGGTGGTTGGCGCCGCCGTGATCGTCGGGATTTTCGTACTATGATTGTGGATGATACGAAGTAACCGCACTTTTGTCTAGAGGAGATGGGCATGGAAATATATATTTCGCACCTTTTTTGTACCTAGTTTTTTAGCGGCCACTGGCAACTCTGACATATCGCCTCTACAGGGGATGCAACAGAGTATAATGGAGCTCTCTCCCTGCATCGACCAAATGAAACGAAGGCCCCTCATGATCTCTTATGGGACCTTTGCAAGACACAACCATTCCAGCCCTGGCAGAAGACTAGGTTCAGAGTATGGATCTCTATGTCGATCGAAATCGCCCTAGTGACGGACTGGTATTTGTGCCTCGTAATATCGCCGCCCACCTGGCGGTGAGGGTGTGCCGCACCGGTAGACCGATTTTCATCGGTAGACCAGTTTTCACCGCTAGACCAACTTTGATGCTATTCACACTTTTTATCAACGTATTGGATTTGGATCAGGAGAAAAAGCTCAGGAACTTCTTCTGCTGCCCTCGTTGCCTCTATTGATGCGTCACTCTCCCGTATAGGCTGTTTGGGTAGCGGTTTGCTGTGGACTCTCTCATGTAGTTCAGCCAGTCGCTTTGTATCCCAAATAGCCTTATCTGCCTTCCTCTTCGCAATTGATCGGTTTGTATCTCGTCCACCGACTATGCCAGAGTAGCTGAGCGGTTTAATATGCCGTATAGTGTATTTCCGTAGTAGAGGGCGCGAGCGGCCGTCAATCGACTGATTATATCGTTCGAGAGAATTGCACGCTCCACGATAACCTTATTGTGTCGGAACACGCCTTATAGGCTCTGCCGTTGCTTCGGTATGAGGGTGGCTATCTTCGATAGCATTTTGTGCCTCTTTTCGAGTGCCTATATGCTTTTTAGAGGCGTATTCATCATTCAAACATCTCCTCCTCGCCAGCACAACAGCATCCACCTGCCCAAAGAACTGGCTAGAAAATACTCCACTCGACGGCAATGCATAGTGGCTGGCTGGCAATAGCTTCAACCCGATCTATTGCGGGAGATTTGGTCTACCGATGCGGCGCATCCTCACCGCCAGGTGTGATCGATACGTCGGTTCCACTGCTCTATAGAGCTGAGGTATGACAATGGATTATAATGTCCGACTTTGCCGGTCTTTCTGTTCAGTACTGATGGATGAATACATCTTTCTGGTCCAACACGTGTCTATCAGAAAACACCGTCTTAAAGGTACTTTTCAAGTCAAGTCTCCTCGGGCAAGAATAGTGACAAAGGACTCGAGGTATCCCATGTCTGACGTTATTGTCCGTGATTGTAGCAGTGGCTAGAAGTGAGAATGTGTGTAAAGTGTGGTTGGGAGTTCGTGAGAGGAAGGTTTACGTCAAGACGTCTTTTCAGCTAACTTGGCTACAATTTAGAACCAAGTTTTTTAAGACGGGCCTGCCTGGATTGTGCTATCTGCGACAAAGAAAAAAGAAATCGTTAAAGCCCTCCACCAGCCATCAGCACGCAGTCCCCGCCAACCCCGTCATCTCCGCCATGTCACTCCTGCGAATCAATCCACTAGCACCGTAACCACAGCGGTCTCCAAGATACCGAGAAGAAGGTTTTTATCACCGAGGGATATTATCTTTTTTTCTTTTCTTCGAGATTAGAGGAACAGGAAGAAAGCAGCAAGAGACTTAATCTCCAGAAGCGTCACAACTCCCAGATCAAAGGTCCCGAGTCACACAAGAGATGCCATGAATGCAGGAAAAGGGTCATAATGATCGTTGATATGACATGCCCCGGACTAACAGAGACGCGTTTAGGAAACGGTAGCAACAGTTGCAACGCGCGCACATGAAAGAAAAAACAACCCGGTTGCAAAGTTTCTACGACCACGGTACGCCAGGCTTCACAGGATCTGATTCTAACAGAAAACAGAAAAGAAGATGCAAAGGAGCGATGAGGAAGAACGAGGCTGCGTCACGGATGAATGGAATGAGGGATGGGCAGATTTGTTGAGAAATTTGCCGATCTTAAATAGCGTACTTGCGAGTCCATTCGCGAGCCGTCGCCTCGTACCGGGGGCGGTCTGTCTTGTAGACATGCGCGATCTCGGGCACCAGCGGGTCGTCGGGGTTGGGGTCTGTGAGCATGGAGCAGATCGAGAGCAACACTGAAGATGGTTAGTTATGTTATTCTGCGGGGAGAGAGGGGGGGAAGGTTCGGCGGAGTACGCACCCTTCGAAATGGTCAGAGCAGGGCTCCATTGATCCCTCAGGATGTCCAGACAGATGCTGCCGTTAGAGTTGATGTTGGGGTGATAGATGCGGGTGGTGAAGTTGACCTTCGGGGGCTTGAAGGGGTAGTCGGTAGGGAAGTGGATGGTGAGGAAGAAGACGCCTCCCGAGTATGGCGAGTCACCCTGGGCAATATTAGTATCGCGAATATCACTCCCGCCGGACACAGAATTGACTCACAGGACCCATAATGGTTGCTTGCCAGTGGAACTATTGCAGCGAAAAAAGAAACAAGTCAGTCATCCGTCTTCCATATTATCCCACCGATCTGCACTGGGGACACTTTCAGCCCCGCCGCACGATAAGGCTGCCGCCAAGAGGGGGCGGGCACGACGGGGGAGAAAGGGGGAGGGGAAAGCGAGAGTGAGGGCATTCAAGGTGTTTCGTAGTGCATACCAGATCATCTCCGACGGGGCCAGCGGAGCAGGAGGAGGGGGATCCCTGTGGAACAAGAATCAGTATTCAGACTTGATGAAGGTTGGAAGGCTCGACGGGCACAATCTTACCGGCCGAGATCAGTGAGTTCCTTGTTAATGCGCTTGAGAGCCATGGCGACGAGAGTGACAAGAAGAAGACTGGAGGAGGTCAGTGAGGGACGATATTCAGAGCCGGAGCAACACGTACGGTTACGTCTTTGTGTGGAAAAGAGAGAAGAGAAAGAAGAAGAAAGAGGGGGAAAGTGGGCAGGCGGGTGTCGTTGGGGGTATTACCAATACACGCCACGCATGACACATCTGTACTGTGAAGACCGTGGGGCTGGCCTTTATATACCCGGGCGAGAACGTACAAGGCCGATGACTACAGTATGACTATGTATTATCATATCATTTTTAAGATCTATTGACTAGGTGACGGGTTTCAGGTGGCCATGGGAGCATTTCACTGCTTTCAATTGCAATTTTAAAATACAGCCCCTCGATGATGTCACGTGCGGGTGCGGCGTTCGTCCTGTCCCGATCGGGAAAGCGGCAACTCCGGTATCTGCCTTTGATAAAATCGCTGGTATAGTTCATTTATTTTGGTGTAGATGTACAATCTATATACAGTTCATGATCTAGACAAAGGCCTGCTTGCCGGTGATAGCACGGCCGAGAATCAATGCTGTTGAGATGGATGTCAGCCCAAGTCCAAGTCCCAGGTTTGGGCACGCAACCACTTACCGTGAATATCACTCTGACCCTCGTAAGTCTGCACCACGAACAAATTGGACACATGACGTCCAATATGGTACTCATCACTGGCAGCGTTTCCGCCAAAGATCTCTTGGAGACTGGAAATAAAACAGTTAGCATCACTTGGGCAGAAACAAAAAGGAAACACATACATTCGCGAGTTGACCAGCGCCCGATCGCAGTTCTGTCGCTTAATCATAGATATCATCTCCGGGGTGGCCTTGCCTGCGTCCTTGAGACGAGCCACCTGCACCGCCGCCAATGTGCCGTAAGCAGCGTCCGTGGCTGCATCGGCCAGCTTCTTCTGAACAAGCTGGTACTTGGCCAGCGGGTTGCCCTTGAATTGCTTGCGCTCAAGCGAGTACTCACGTGCACGGGTAAGGCAGTCCTCCAAGGCGCCCATGGCACCAAAAGCAATGCCCAACCGGGCGCTGTTCAGGCAGGTGAACGGGCCCGTGAGACCCTCGACATCGGGGAACATGTTCTCCGCAGGGACGGGGCAATCATCCATGTGGATCATGCCAGTAATAGAAGCACGAAGGCCATTCTTGTTTTTGATTGCGGGAGTCTCAAAAGAGCCAGGCGTGCAGCGCTCACGCTCAACAATGAAACCACGGATCTTGCCGGTGGACTCGAGCTTCGCCCACACCAGAGCCAGATCGCAGATGGGCGAGTTAGTAATCCAGGTCTTGCTTCCGGTTAACAAATACATGCCCTTCTGGGTCGGGTGTTCACGGGCCACCGTCTCCATAGATCCAGGGTCAGAGCCGTGATTCGGCTCGGTCAGACCAAAGCAGCCGGACAGCTTGCCCTTGGCAAGACCTGGCAACCACCGCTGCTTCTGCTCCTCTGTACCGAACTCGTAAATGCCCGTCATGGCCAGTGAGCTCTGTACCGACATACCAGAGCGGTAGCCGGAGTCTACGCGCTCCACCTCCTTGGTGATCAAGCCGGAGGCCACGGTGCTCACGCCGGCGCATTCGTATCCCTGGATTGAGGCGCCAAGCAAGCCCAGCTCGCCCATTTCTTCGAGGATTCGACGGTCATAGTCTTCGTTACGGTAGGCCTCTTATAGCGAAGATATGTTAGCTAGTATCTAAATCAAAATGTAGACAGAATGACTTACCCAAGACACGCGGCATCAATCGATCTTGGCAATATTGCCGGGCTGTGTCCTGGACCGCCAGCTCCTCCGGTGTGTACAGCTCCTCCGCAGCGAGGGGATCCTCCCAATTGAAGACGGCGGAGGAAGCGTACCGGCGGCCAGCGACGGGACGACCGGCCTGGACAGAGCGCGCAGCGGCACGCAGTAGTGATCGGTTCATCATTTTGTGGAAAGGAAGAGTGTAGGGGGTGGAGAGAATGAGCTTCGCGGTTATCAAGATGTTGCGGGGGAGCTCAATCAAATATGCACTAGTGACGGAGAACCTCGGTAATTCTGGGGCAGCAAATCACCGAGCTCAATGAGTGGCGACAAGACACTAGGACTATCGGGGCTAGGAATTTGGTTTCTGCGAAACGATTCGATACAAGTTCCGAGTAATTCGCATGTCGGTCCGTCCGACTCGGAGTTTTTCGGTCGTCATTTCTCTCGGTGGCTCGGCATCTCATCGGTGCCCATGGGGTAAGTACATCCGAATTGCAATGGAGCAGGTACCGTAACGTAATATTTTCAATCTATCTAATGCCTATATTCATCTGTCATGATTATTGACCAACAGGGTCGTCATTATTTATATACAAAGAAGGGGTGGTAGAACCAAGAACCAGGCCCGTTACGCCGGCATCTGGCTTTGCAGGAAGTCAAACACGCCTGTGGGGAAATAGTCCTCGTCGAATCCCCACAGATCCGCCATCATCGGATCCATAGAGCCCGCTGAGAGACCTGTCTCGGGTTTGCCCATGGGCTCGAATCCATTACTGCGCTCCGCGGACAAAGGTGCCACTCCTAGTAACGGAGGGGGGTGGTTCAAGATAGTGTCTCGCTCGCCTAAAATCTGGGCGCCGGGGATGATGACCGGCTTGAACAAGGAGGGCGTCTCTCGCGGAGTCGACACCATAGACTGTGGGTTGCCGTTCCGCTTCTCCCATTCTTCGAGTCCAGTGAGCATCTTCCGAAGACCGCGTGCGATGTGATGGCTAAGGTGACGCTCGCTTGCACGCTGGCTACATTCAACCATCATCTCAACAGTCCGACCAACAAGGACCCGAACATATCCGACGTCGACAAGCAAACCAGCCGAGGCGATCGAGCTGTGTTGACTAGGGCCCAGGTTTGAGCCGTTGGAGCATGATTTGGCTGCGATCTTCAATAAAAAGACTGCTGCGAAAGTGATCATACTGTGGAGGTACAGCGGCACGCCAACCAGCGCCCGCTGAATGTCACGCTCGTCTAGGCAGACCTGCAAAGTGGCGACGGCCGATTCAATGGCAATGTTGGCCCGCTTTCTGCGTTCCGGTGACATAACTCGTGATGAGGTTGAAGAGTGGTAAGTACGCAAGGCGACTGAATTCAACTGGAGTCGAGAGAAATGGTAGTGCATGTAGACGGCTTTGTAGGGATATGCACCGACGTGACGACTCCCAGCTGTGGACGGAATCAGCAAAAGAAAAGTTCAACAAGGGGTCCGGATACAATCTTACCGAGCCTTGGTAGCCATGCTGATTTCCAGTCTCCCAGATCCAAGTCGTACTGGTCAATCTTGGGGAATTCGCTCTCTGGCACTTCGAGATCGACATCGGGGCCGAATGCAAAGTAGATACGGGTGAGAATTATGAACAGGTCAACTTGGCTATGTAGTCGTAGGTCTCCCTGGGATACGTTTGGCGATTTTGTGAAGGTGTTGTGGTTGGTTATTGCGAGATCCTCGTGAATGATCGGCGGTCGACCATATGCGATGGAGAAGTGATGCTCAAGGGTCTGCGCATCTATTAGCATCTTGAGGGGAGTATTCGGGGCAAGAAACAAAATACATAGAGCAGGTACCACAACCTGGCCTGTTCCTTATGTTCAGGAGATCCTGCCAGGGCTTTGCGGTAGAATTGATGCAAGTTGCGTTCAGTGGCGATGCGAACCGCGTATCCAGAAAGCTTCCAGCTCACGTCTGCCAGCCAAAAAGCACCAATGCACAAGGCTCGAACATCGTCCATGGTATGATGGTGTCCGAGCATAGACTCAGACGCGAGTTTGGCAAACTCAGTATAGCAAGTGTCAAAAGTGCGCTCTTTAGTAGGCATATGCAACGCCGTTACAGCCATGATAGCAGCACACAACATAGACGATGACCGCCGAGCCGATGTCAGATCTTTATGTGCCAACAATGCTCCGTCCCAAAGGTAACGGTTAAGCACTTGGTCAAAGTGATAGAACAACTCCTCTGCTTCTTGTAGGTCCACCACTCCGCGCGATATGAAATCAGTCACCAATGCCTGATCCGGCGACTGCTGTCCGGGAGAGCTCTCACGATTCTCACTGAGCTGTGTCACCTCATATAAACTCCCCATGGGGGCCGTTACCAACGATGTAGCACTTGTTTCCTCGTGGTCTATAGAGAATTGCGGCTGTGGCTGCGAAAATGTATAGCTTGACGAGCTTGATCCAGTTGCTTTTCCCGCAGGGTAATCCATTGAATCGGTTCTCTGGTGTCCCATAGCAAGAGTATCATCTACCGACGCAGTTGACTCTTTCCGGCCCCGTTTCTTCGAAGGCGTCTCGATAGTTCCACCGCCGGCCTGGTAGTATGATAGTTCCGGAAGCTGAGCCTTCCTCAACAAATCTGTCATTGCCAGCTCAATCACGGTCTTCCATCTAAATTGCTCCTGTTAGCTTGTTGTATCGCAACCCCTAAAGTAGCTACGACTTACTCGGCTTCATCCTCCAGTAGCGTCTGAAGACTCTTGTTGACAACACACTCCAATCCCATACGCCGACATCGCGAACATGTCACCTCACCCGCCTTCATGTCGCACCGCACCTTGTGTCGCTTACATTCGGTACATGCGCGTATCCTCCGCGAGATCTTCGGGACATGGTTCGGTGCCCGCGAGTCCTCCGGGGTAAAGCCGCCTTGGGGAGAAGCGGACGACGCATCGCCATTGGCCTCAAAATGGATGCGATTCCGCTTCATATTGTGAAGTCGGGTATGACTCCCGCATGGCAGAGTCTGGGGAATAATAGCAGAAGCGGGGATCCTCCCCGGCCTGAGGCATTACCGGTCCAGACCCGGGGCCGAACTACTACATTCGGAAGGCGGTCATGAAAACCGTTAGTTCCGCTGGCCCAAGCTTCTTCTAGTCACGTGATATTGGAAGTATGAGATGCAGACGACCCATCATGTCGAAAATAGTAAGCAACGAGTTCATTCCAGCGGCATGTTAAGAGCAGGCCATCGCTTTTGATGGGTCTGGCTGGTGGACTTGTCCTTTCGGCGAATTAAAGTGTTGATGAATAAGCATTTGACGATATTATTGAAGTTCATTGTAAATCTTGCACAGCTGGGGTTAATTTGAAATGCACTTGATCTTCTTTCTCTCTATCCAGTATGCCTTTTTGTCATTATTGAAATATGCCTAGTCGGTCATGAAGCTAAGAAGAGTGAAGAAGCCACTATCTAAAGTGACACAAATTTTAAAGTGCTCGGCCGTTTGTCATGTCTGCCTCTTATCCATTTGTCAAGTGCAAACGATGTTCATGAGCGGAGGCTTCATACCCTTTGTTCTATTATCTCTTCATCCATATCCCCTCCTCTACCTCTCCATCCACTTCCATTTCTTGATGCTTTGCACCCTCACTGGGTATCTTTTACTGCGGTGCTGCCACTACATCTACTTTCACCTTCCCACATCTGCGATTACAGTGGGTTTAGTTTTCTCAAGTGACTGTTGTAGATATTGATTTCTGACTCTGGTAGCTGGATTCCCCTTCGGAGCTAGGGCCAATACTAGGTCCATTGAAGGTGGTGACAACAAATGCCGAGGCATCCAATCCATCATGTCTTCTTCTATCCAGACCTACATTTCGGATCTAACTTCCCTCTTTATCGACAACAATGAGCGTCTCAAGAGGCTCCCGGACCGGATTGAGGACTTTAGCCGCAAAGTCAATGAGTTCTACATCCTCGTTCTTCAAACTCCCTCCTGCATATCCCCGGCCGCGACCACTTCCAATACTTCCACCGCTTCGCCGGATGAACATCCACACACCAGATCAACCAACAGCATAGAGGAGATCAGGAAGATAACGGTCGAGATTCAAGCCCTTACGCGCGATATCCAAGCTGCCACGGGCAATATTCGAACTTTGGGGAGCAAGAATCAAGAGTTGATTATCAGAATCGATGCTTATGCAGGCACTATTGAATCTTTGTCGCAAAGTCTCGATCCTTTTATACGGGGCTTTGTCGCTTTCGCGCGCAGTGTGCTCGCAGTTTTGAACGCCATCACGCCCGGAATCTCAATTCTCTCCTGTAATGTCCAAACCCTCGCAGGCACTGTTACTGTAGGCGGCCTCCATATTTTCGCAGGTAGTCTCGAAGAACCTCTGTGTCGCGACATTCAAACCCTTGCAGGCAGTCTCCAGGATCTGGCGGGGAGTTCCATAGTCTACTTGCGCAGTGTCAGCGTCTGAGCTTTCATAGGCTTGTTACGGGTTGCTTTCCAGGGTAGTACAATCTCTCCTAGGGGCATGAGCAAGATGTTAGGGGTTTAACATAGGACCTATTGTGACATACCTTGAAAGAAATGATTTATCGCAATGGCTCTCTATATCCATCTTCGAGTGTCGTATTCGGGAAAAATATTCTAGCGCATGACTGCATCGTAAAGTGGCCATCACAGCCCGATTGCACTACATCTTTCATTTCTATAGCTAGGCCAAGGATGTCAATTGAACGAACCTGGATGGGCGGCGATTAATTATCTGTCCGGTTGGGATTTGAGTCGTTCGAGACAGATCAGGAAAGAAGAAGAAAAAATGTCAAAAAAAAAGGGATGTATAGGAATATCCCATAAGAGATTTAGAAGGACTAGTGAGACAACTTATCTGTAATATTTCTTGGTCGAGTCGTACTCATTTTGTTTCTTTATCTTGTTATGTTTATGCGTCTCGCATGTCGTACTATCGACCTCACTTGCGCGATTCGTACACATCATCTTCATACCTTTTTCTTTCGTCCCCTCTCAAAAGCCATGTTGGTCTTCTCATCCGACCGCATCCGACTCAGACATACCGGTTTCTTCGGTGTCATCTTCCATCGCAACTGGTGTCAATACTGTGGTGTAAACAATAGTGATAACAGAAGCAGACCATCGAACTAAGGATGCGTTGCCGCAATAACTTTCTCGTGGGTCAATAGTAGCCAAAATACAATATCTCATTTCTAGGTTCCCTTCTTGATAACGAATACAAAGGTCAAACCAACTCAGCCACAGCCAACATCCAGTCTACCATTAGCGGCGCTCAACATCTCATGTGTAATCTCAATGTGACCGCCGAGGACATGCAGGGTTGTCCTGTGGTAAGGAGCACGAGGCGAGAAATGCATAAGAATGGTCTTGAGACCCAGTTGATCTAATTTTTATCCGAGCAATTAATATATCAGCTTCTTTGCTTTCCTCCTTCTCTCTTCAAATAGACGATTCAAAAGTAGCGCATTGCTGGATAAGAAAGGGTAGCAAGCCGATATGAACGTTCATTTGTCTGGTCACGTGAGGAGGTGACTTTGGATGCGCTATTCCTATTTAGGTCTAAGTGATGGTGCGCGCAGCTCATCGTCGCGTCGCGTCTTTCATGGTGGAGGCTTGCAAAAGACCTTCCTTCAACCTCACCCACCTTGATCGAACGCACACCCGCCAAGATGGGTATCAAGCGTGAGTGGCATTTCCACGATTTCGGTAATGAATTTTACTAACAAGTGCCAGATCTGTACCAGGTCATCTCCGAGAATGCCCCCGATGCGATCAAGACGGGCGAGATCAAAAACCACTTCGGCCGCAAGGTCGCAATTGTATGTCGCATTCCATTGCTCATTTTCCTTCACATCTCTGAATTTATGGCTAACCGGTGACTTCGGGACTTTCCAGGATGCGTACGTCGATGATTGCGAAACAATCCCTAGGGCCTCACATACTAACCCGCCACAGATCAATGAGCATCTACAGTTTCCTAATTGCTGTGCGCTCCGAAGGCCAGCAACTGATGAGTGACTCCGGTGAAACCACATCACACCTTATGGGCATGTTTTACCGCACGCTGCGAATGGTCGACAACGGCATCAAGCCTCTGTACGTCTTCGATGGCGCTCCGCCGAAGCTCAAGTCCGGCGAGTTGGCAAAGCGAGGTGCGCGCAAGGCGGAAGCCCACGAAGCCCACGAGGAAGCTAAGGAAACCGGAACCGCGGAGGACATTGAGAAATTTTCTCGGCGTACGGTGCGAGTCACTCGCGAGCATAACGCCGAGTGCAAGCAGCTGCTGAAGCTGATGGGTATCCCGTACATCGATGCCCCTACTGAGGCCGAGGCCCAGTGTGCGGTTTTGGCGCGCGCGGGTAAGGTCTATGCGGCTGCTTCTGAGGATATGGACACGCTGTGCTTTGAGGCGCCGATTCTGCTGCGTCATTTGACGTTCAGTGAGCAGCGGAAGGAGCCTATTCAGGAGATTCACTTGGACAAGGCGCTTGAGGGGCTGAACATGGATCGCAAGCAGGTATGGAACTCTCATGAATGGAGTGGGAAAGTCTACTAGCTAACGGCAGTGATGGTACAGTTCATTGATCTCTGCATTCTTCTGGGCTGCGACTACCTCGAGCCTATTCCCAAGGTCGGACCCAGCACCGCTCTGAACCTTATTCGCGAGCACGGAAGCCTGGAAAAGGTTCTGGAATATATGAACGACGACCCTAAGAAGAAGTTCGTCGTTCCCGAAAGCTGGCCCTATCAAGACGCCCGCGACCTTTTCGTCACGCCAGATGTGCACCCAGCAGACCACGAAAGCTGCGACTTCAAATGGGACGCACCCGACATTGACGGCCTGATTGCATTCCTAGTAACAGACAAAGGCTTCAACGAAGACCGCGTCCGCAACGGAGCCGCCCGCCTGACCAAGAACCTCAAGAGTGCGCAACAATCCCGACTCGAAGGCTTCTTCAAGCCGATGGCAAAGACAGACCAGGAAAAAGCCAGCTTAAAACGCAAGCATGACTCCAAGCTGCAAGACCAGAAGAAGCGCAAGAAGGACGAAGCCAAGGCGAAGAAGGAGGCCAAGGCCAAGCCGCGTGCTGCCGGCTAAGTGTGTGACGAGATACGGGTGCCGATAGGCTGATCACACGTTTCTCTCACCTTTTTTTTATTTCCTTCTAGCCCATGCGGCTGTCGATCTTACACGAATCTGGCGTTGGCGGTGCATGGCCCTTTTCCTTGTTTTCAGACTTTCTCACATATCTATCGTGGAGGTGGCCCAGGTGCGGTTGTCTTCTTTTACTGAGCCCGGCCTAAGGCATGAACTCTAGCATATCATATCACCCAAAATGCACTATTTAACAGAATTAGTACAGAGCTACTGTCTTATTTCATACATTTTCATTTCCTCGGAAAGGAATATCGATTTCCCAAACCAAAGATCAGCAAACAAGAGACCCGTCAACGTCGAAGTCTCCCCACTGATCCCCAGCGCCGTAGTATTCAAAACACATCAAATATCACCATTTCCCTCTAATAGAACCCATCCACATAGCCCAGTCTACTTTCAAATATCATACAAGGAAGTTGGTTGTGATGGTGGTGGAGCCTGATCTCAAGGACTCTGTATAGATCATCGCGGCTAAGCGAGATAGAACCCTTCCGCGAACGGACGACGATTGATCTCCCGACGGGGCACAGTACGTTCTCGAAATATTAAGTCACTTTGAAGTATTCAGTCATTTGGCAACCCTCGATTGGTCTAACTGCGTTCAATAATGCGAGGGGGCATGGGATCAAGGTGTTGGGTGCCGGTCCCCTTGATTCGTGTGAGCCGAGCGATGCTCTCGAGTGCGGCGATTGCAACTTTGTAGCGGGGGTTGTGTGGAGACTGAGGATGGGATTCTATAAGATAAATGTTTATTTTATTTTCATCAGTTTGTTATTCTTGTAATTTGAAGTCTTTTCAAAAATCGTAAAACGCCTCCTTGGGCATCTGGGCAGATTGGGACGTGGTCGGGCCGATGCCAGATCAATCGGTTGGTCCGACGCGCAGGCCGTGCGAAGAAGTCAACAAAGTCAGCGATCAGTGGGAATCGGATCACGCTAGTTGGTAAATCGATTGGCTGTAGTTTGCGGATCGCGGTGCTCTATCAAAGCCGACGCGACTTCGGGTGTTTGCCGTTTTGGGAAGATATATATCGTTGTTGCAGCGGGGTACACCACCATTTGCCACCCAGTTACGTTGATATATAGACCGATAAAGCTCAAGCCGCAATAGAATAAAAGGGTAGGTGCAAAGAAGATAGAATATCATGATAAATTACTTTAATCTTATTTTTCAGATGATACTGCAAACTACCGAGTGAGTGATCGCGTGTACAGCCCTGGAGAAGATCACGGGTAGCGCAAACGGAAAGCATCGAGTTAGGGTTGACAAGTGCAGGTGAGTTATCCATCCAACATCCACCACCTGCGCAAATCACACCACAAAAAATAGAAGACATCATCGGTCAGTCCAAAGTACCATGGACCATGGACTGGACCGAGTAGTAACGGCCAATCCAGGCGCAGCGGGGGAAACTTAGCCAGTGCATGACAACACATGTCGCGCCTCGTGACTCTGCAGGTCCTAGGCAAGGAGGAAGCTTCGAGATCAGATCAGAAGTATATCCTTATCCTGTACCTTGCTATACCAATAACTATAACTAGGACTATTCGACTCGACATCAACATACTCTACTACGCCGTTCGCGGCGCGTAGATCTTCCTCGTTTTTAGTTACGGCGCTCCGAGAGCAGGGCGCGAAGATCTGGATTCCATACCTGCATGGGGAGAGGCTGGACAGGAGCAATGGATCCCTCCGGTCTCGTTGGAATGTATCTGCGCCATAATGGGAAAGTAGTAGGACTTGAGATGGTGGTCTGGGAGAGCACCAGGTACGAGATGCGCGATTACCCCGTAACGAGATGGGATGCGCATAAGAAATAGTTTCAGAGACGCCGGGAAGAGTGCATTTCAGTAGACTCCATTCTACGGTGAAAGTCGAAGGCCCGGGAATGGAGGCTGTCTGCCATCTTGGGGGAATGCGCGCGGCCAACCATTCTCAGCAGGTTGGTGTTTGAGCGCGAGACTCGCGACTTTACGGAAGAGCAGTACAACAACCGAGTATAGGAGATAGACCTATAGAGAATAAGAAAAACAAATTAAAATGGAAGTAGATAAAGTTAAAGGAAAAAAAAAAGAGGCAAAAAAGAAGGGAGGGGATTTCCTAGGACGGGGGTGATCTTGTGTCAACACCGGCAACCTATAAATCACGGATGCCCCGCCGGCCTTTCCCACCCCCTTCCACTTACTGCTTCTTCCTACTTTCTCCAACTTCATCTTCTTCATCTCAGATCTTCCATCTTTTGGATTCATCCTTCAATTAAAATACCCCACATCACTTCACCATGCCTCCCAAGCAAGCAACCAGCGCGTCCAAGAAGGCGGCGCCCGCGGCCCACGCTTCCTATCGTGGTATGTTTCCTCTGATCTTGAACCACCATCTCATCGCGTAAAGATGAAATGTATATCGCCTTTGTCGCGAACGCCTGCTGATTCCATTCATATAGAAATGATCAAGGACGCTATTGTCAACGTGAGTAGATCACCGCCGACACCCGGCTTGTTGTGATCCGGGTCGCGCGCCCGACCGTGTCACGTCCGGTCGCTGAGCATGGCCAACCACCACATCGACTGGGATGATTTTTGTTCTTCTCCATTCATTGCTGACTTGTCTTTCTGCCTATAGCTGAAAGAGCGCAATGGTTCCAGGTACGTATTTGTGATTTTCCCTCGCCGGCGCCCATACGGTTGGGCGACCAGACACGTTCTTTTTGTCGCAACCATGTACTTACGCTCCTTTTGCTTTTCAGCCGTCAGGCGATCAAGAAGTATGTCATGTCAAACAACAAGGTGACAATCGCGTCTCAGAGCGCCTTCGATGCCCAGTTCAACAAGGCTATCAAGACCGGTGCCGAGAAGGGCGAGTTCTCTCAGCCTAAGGGTAAGTTTTCTGTCTCCAAATTTTTCTTTCTCGCGCGCAATGTCACCTTTTGTCTTGTCGCATTTCTGCTCTATCGTAATGCCATGGCATTAACGAGCAGAAAATTTATCCTTGTCGTTCCTGTTATGTGATGGTTCGCTGACGCGTCGCGTTATAGGACCCTCTGGCCCCGTGAAGCTGGCTAAGAAGGACGCGGCTGATAAGCCTGCCGCGAAGCCCGCTGCTAAGCCCGCGGCCAAGGCTACCCCCAAGACTGCGACAAAGGCCACTGCTACCAAGGTATGTTGCCGTCGCGATTCGGGTCTGCTGCTCGTTGCTCATAACCCTCATAGAAGGCTGCCCCCAAGACCGCCGCCAAGAAGGCCGCACCCAAGAAGTCTGCCGCCACCAAGGCTGCCCCCAAGAAGACCGCGGCCAAGGCTGCTCCCAAGACAGCTACTAAGAAGGCTGCTGCCAAGCCCAAGGCCAACTCTGGCAAGGTCCGCAAGACCTCAACCGTGGTATGTTTCCATCCCAGCCCTGCCATCAGACCAAAACTTACCGAAATCCCAGGCCCCCGCCATCGTCGAGAAGCCCAAGGTCGTCAGCAAGACCAAGTCCGGCCGCGTCACTAAGACCACTGCCCCCCCGACACCCAAGGCAGCGGCCAAGAAGCGTGTCACCAAGAAATAAGAGGCAGATGAATCCTCTTTTCTCAATGACGCTCTCCCACTTTACGTGCGCTCTTCCGGGAGAGGCATTATCGACATGAATTTCTTGGCCTTTTCTTCCGCTGTAATTTCTTTCCTTCGACCCCGTGTGATCTGGCGGTGAACGGCTCTCTTTTGTTGCTTTTTATGGGATATCTTCGTTATGACGGCTTTGCTATTCTCCAAAGTCGAATATGGAATGGCGTCCTGCGGTGGGTTCTTTCAATGGGGAAATCGTTTTTCATAGTTTATCTTCTCCTTATGTTCTTCGCTATTGCGTTCTTGGGATTCTTATGCTATATTGCAAGAGAATTCGACTTCTCTGGAATTGGAATCTCAAATCTCGTTCGATCCGACTTTTCTTTCGATCATGTGTAGGCCGTTTAATGTTTGAATCAGTACTGGGTCTCAAACTTTTAGTAAAGTAGACGAGTAATTTAACTCAAAAATAGCATCTGGAATCCTACACTAAGTAACATTGAGCAATTGACTCGACGAATATCCACCCCCTTTGTCCCAGGCACCCAAATTTACATGTGGCGGTGCCGTGCAAAGAGCCACAGATCGACGGACACTCTTGGCGGGTTTCGCCTAGACTGTTTGGCAGTCAGGGCAGTCAGGTGGCGTACGGTACGCCTTTTCACTAGCTCTGATACTAGTCTTGTGACTTTTTTTTATTTTCTCCGAGATTAGGTCTAGATTCCATACGGAGAATTTTACAGAGAATCCCATAGTCGTATTGGGAGTGAAGTGGCCTCAATTGGGTTAATGTTTACCGTGGGTCTGCAGGGTGTTGTATCGGTGGGGGCGATAGTGTATTCGGAGTGCGATCGGACCTGGTATTTATTCCGTTAAGAGGATGATTAGTTATCGAGTTTTCAAGCGGCTGGTGTCCCAAGGTGTCTCTATCTAGTGGAGTGGTGTACCAAGATCCTTAGTGTTTGTACGGCAATTTCAGCCTTACAGCTCGGTAGCATTTTAAGTGATAGAATGGGTATATACCAATACAGGATAGGGGTAAGCAGAAACAGAACCTTGCACATGGTATGTTGGCCTTATCACCGTGGAGACTCGGGGATGATTTCATCAGTGTACGGGGGTGGAGCCGTTATCTTTGGGGCTCCGTTGATGAATTCTAGAAAGTAATAATTAAATAATTGAGAGTAGGGACGGTCGATATTAAGCAATTACAGATACTTCCCCTGCTGCGCCACTGGGTTTGGGTCAGGGTCAGGGACAGGGACTCGGGTGTTTTGTGAGATCCTACGCGGAAGACGGATCGTTTGTCAGCGGTACACAGTAATTTTATGCTCTACGGACGGGACTCGGTGAAGGCAGAAGCCGAGTTGTGTGTGTAGTTGGACCGGGTACACCCTGTACGACGTCACGGCGATCTCCTTGCAGGAAGACTTCGACCTGGGCTTGGACTTGGAGGGGCAGTGAGTTGTGAGTTGTCCGGGGTCCGTGGGCACCGTCTTCGATTCTCAGGCTTTGCTTTCAGAATGTCGAGTGTAATCTAATAGTCTTATTTGTTAGCGAGTGTGATGCTAGAGAGAATGAGTCGGCAGAGTAAATAACCGTGTACGGTTGATACTGGTGATACTGCGTAGAGCAGCTGAACAGTGGAGTCGCGGCAATACAGTAATTACGACACGCAAGTCACTTCAGGTCTTTTACTCTCCCCGACAACCAACCTCCATCCCCTCTTTAATCCTGTCTTGCATAGCCTGCTCTTTTTGGACTGTCCGCTTGCATGGTCCCGATCATGTTTCTCTAGGATCGAATACCCTTACCCCCTAATCTTGTCATATTCCCTCCGCCAAGCGACACAGAGATAGTGAAAAGAGCAGAGACTCACCTCTCCGACCCTTTCAACATCCCCTTCTTCTCCCTCCCTCTATCCGCTGGAACACGGTCTACTTCACAACTTCTCTGTCCGCCAATAAGGGCCATTGCCGTCACCTCGGGTTGCCGGCCCACGCAGACCTCACGTCACCCCCGTTTCCCTGGGAATCGACAGCAATGCCATCTTTGTCCAACGACAGCTACCCCACGGCCACGGCAACGGCAACGACAACGACAACAACCACACATCCCCACTCGTTCGAATCCCCTCATCGCAAATCGCACGATAAGAACTCCGTCGGAAATACCTTCCTGTGGACAAACTGGGCCAACGGCAACGGTAACGGCAACGGCAACGGCAACGGCAACGGCACCATCAACATCAACGGAGACGCGAACCCTGACGCTGTTCAGAATGACCGCCTTCTCCATTTGAACGGAAGCGCATACTCTTTGAATGGCCCACGATCGAGCGTCAGTTCTTATACGCGCGATCTGCCCTCCAAGGACGGCAGCATGCACTCGTTAGGAAACGGGTCGGTTAGAGACCCTCGGGACGCTGGCTGGCCGACCGCCATGTTGGATCGGAAGTCATCGGACGCTGGACCTGGAGCAGGCTCCATGACAGCGTCCACTTCTAGCCAGCAAGTGAACGGTACCGCCCTCAGCCAGCGGTCTCTCCAAGGGAAGCAGATGGCCAATGGGGATGCTCACCGTCCCTCCGCAGATGAACCATTTGTCTCGGATCAGGCTACTATTTCTTCCCCTTCTCTGTTACAGATTCCACAACAGGACGACTCCGGCCGTCACTCCCCAGACCCGGAACGATTGGCCCCCAGACCCAACCAGCACCGCTACTCATCACCACCTGCCACCACGACCGATGTCACCTCAATGCCTGATTCACAACCGTCCAGTGTCCGACAACGACACTCACTACAAGTTCCGAGAGCGCCCAGTGTTCGAAGGAATAGCCGAGACCAGAATGATGACATTGCCTATAGCAGTGGCCGACTTTCACCAACCACTGGTAGCGGTCGGCGAACTTCATTCGGTATGGTTCGGCGTGGAACGAAAGCAAGCATATCGGATGTGCCGCTGGACGAAATACAGGCCGATGATGAGGCAGCACGATGGGCGGAAGCAATCAAACAGAGGCGCGCCTCGCGACGACGGCGCGAGGATGACGACGATGACCGGGTTATCGTGGGCACCAAGGTCGACCAGAACCACGTCAACTATGTCACCGCATACAACATGTTGACTGGCATTCGTTTCACGGTGTCGCGAATCAATGCGAAGATGGACCGGGAGCTCACCCCGGCCGACTTTGATGCCAAGCATAAGTTTTCCTTTGATATGTACGATTGTCTCAATCCCCCAAACGTGTTGTTCAGATTTGGCTAACCCTAAACAGTACTGGAAACGAATTAATACCCTCCGCAAAATACGATTTCAAATTCAAGGATTATGCGCCTTGGGTTTTCCGACACCTTCGCGCCAAGTTCCGACTCGATCCGGCCGATTACCTGATGTCCCTCACCAGCAAGTACATACTGTCTGAATTGGGCTCGCCTGGCAAGAGTGGCAGCTTCTTCTACTTCTCGCGCGACTACAAGTACATAATCAAGACCATCCACCACGCCGAGCACAAACTCCTTCGAAAGATCCTGCCCGAATACTACCGACACGTCGAAAAGAACCCGAATACTTTAATTTCGCAGTTCTATGGATTACATCGTGTGAAGATGGCATACGGACGGAAGATTCACTTCGTGGTGATGAACAACCTGTTCCCGCCTCACCGTGATATTCACCAGACATTCGACCTGAAGGGCTCAACCATTGGACGAGATTTGCAGGAATCGGATCTTGAGCGCAACCCGCGGGCGACCATGAAAGATCTGAACTGGGTTCGGAGAAACCGTCACCTGCAGTGTGGCCCATCGAAGCGCGACTTCTTCATTGAACAGTTGAAACGAGATGTCGAATTGCTCAAGAAGCTCAAAATCATGGACTACTCTCTCCTGGTTGGAATACACGATACAGGACGCGGCAATGAAGAGAAGTTGCGTGACAAGACTTTACAAGTCTTCCAGCCTGGGGGTGACCGCGAAGAGGAAGCGAGTCCGAACATGCTTATCCGCACCCCTTCCAAGCTGGAAAATGAGCGCAAGGCTCGGGAGCTCCGCATGTTGATCAAGCGCGAGCGACCTGTGCCTTTAGATAAAGCAGCTGCCAAGATGCCGGACGAGATTCTCGACGAACGGAAGTTCCACGTCTTTTATGCCGATGATGGTGGTTTCCGAGCTACCCATGAGAATGGGCAACCCGGCGAAGAGATCTACTATCTAGGGATCATCGATTGTTTGACTCACTACGGAATGGTCAAGAAGATGGAGCACTTCTTCAAGGGCCTTTCCAGCGATCGAACTCAGATCTCGCCCATCCCTCCGGAGGGATATGGTGATCGATTCATCAACTTCGTCAAGGGCATCACTATGTCTAAGGAAGAAGCTGAGCAACGACGTGAATCGAAGGCTTCCGCACGGCAACCGTCGGGAGAGAAGAGACCATCGTCAAGATCCTCTTCTGTCGAAAGGACCATGCATGAGGCCGAGAAGGAGGCTGCGAAGGATGTATCAATCACACACCCTCGAACCCTCGGAACCGTATGGGACCCCAACGATGCCGGTGGCCCCGGCCCGACCTCGACACTCCCGATAGTGGAAGAGGCGGGTGAAGCCAGCAGCGTCGGAGACCAAAGTTCACACAGCCGTCACCGTCCCACCGACAAAGAACTTCCTCCCGTTCCTATCGATGACCGCCCCCAGCCCCCCAGCAAAGACATCAAAGGCAAAGATGTTGACCGCGGAGAAGCCCCGGCCCTGAGCCCACGGAAGCAATAAAAGCATAGGGCCTCTTGCGTTTTCTCTGCGGTGACTCTCATGGCTTTTGTCTCTGATTTTCGTCCTTGTGTTCATCGAGATATCCCTCTTGTTGCTTGATAGACCGCTTCTTTCCGTTTAAACTCGCATGGACATACAAGAGGAATTCTTGGAGTCTCTTCTCATTTGCTCTTGTCCTGTCTCAACGTTTCCGACAGACCCCGCTGATGTTCACGAGTGACGCGTATATTTCCTGTTGTTGAGCGCCTCGTCTCCACCTTCACCACATCCACCATATCCACTCATCATCCCCAGGATGACCTTGTTATCTGCGAGAGGAGATCAATTAAATCCTCTCACCCGTCTCTCTTTACCCGAGCACAATTGCTCACGTCTCCGACAAACCACAAATTTATACAACTAAACGCCCGTCGAAAAAAATCGACACAACCAACTTACGTTCTCTATACAACATCTCAATCTCAATCTCAATTACTAAACGCATTTCATACTCATGTCCTCGCATCAGCCCGCCATTCACTCAATCGTTCAATCATTCAAACAATTGCGTCTATCCTCGTCCCGAACGACACAGAGGCCCCGCCTCCAATTCCAATTTCCTTAAAGCCTCGAGCTTCTTGTCTATTGATCTTTGATTCTGTCAGGTTTCCTATGTCCGGATTCCTTTTCCTTGTGTCTTGTGTCTTGTTCCTTGCGCAACTCGCCATACCCTGTACCAATCACTATACCACTTGTTCTTATCTTGGTCGCGTATTCAATATTGCCTAGATTCTGATGAGCAGATCCAACGTGGAACATTGTTTTGCTCTTTTTTATCCTTTGTCTTTTCTCCTTTCTCCTTTCTCCTTTCAACTGCCCAATTGAGTAGTCGAAATACTTTTAGATCATCGGTGAGACGGGAGAATGTGACTTAACCTGTCCGACTTTGATTATATTGCTGTAGATTGTAGTGTAGAGGAGTTAGAAATAGGGCACGGTCTTGTGTGTTCCTGACTCTTGAGTCAATCGCCAATTATCGAGGTCTTCTAAGGATTTTAATCTACATGTACTTACGATCTATGCAATCAAAGAGTAAATTAAAAGGAGCCCGTCACCACCGACTCATAGATTTTATCTCCATCCTCTCCAGCACAAAACGCCCCGAGCAAAGACATAACTATGTAAGAAGAAAGCCCCATCTAAACGCCATTCTCAAACCACGAGAACCCGAGTATTAAGAAAGAGAGCGAGCACGTAAAAAAGAAGCATGAACTTCGCAGCAAAGTCGTAAATCAGACCCGAGCCTCTACTCCGAGCGACCCTGCGTAACCTTCGCAGCTTGAACAGCAGACATCTTCTGCATCCAGGCCTGAGTAGGCTGGGGCTTCTTCACAGTGCGGAGATCATCGGTTGAGAAGCCCGAGACGCGCATGTTGTAGTTGCGCTCAAGAACGAGTTGAATATCGCGGATCTCGAGGGACGAGGAAGGGCGCAGTTTGGCGAGACGGCATGCTTGAGTGATTACGTCGTCGACGAAATCATCGGCCATTTGGAGGATGAACTGTTGGATGTTAGTTTTTCTGACTTCACTCTTTTCCCCTTCACTTCCCTTGGGAGTGGATAGGAGATATTAGAGTTGGGGGTAGTACCTCTTCTGCGTCAGGAGTGAGCATCTCGCCTTCGCCACCGCCGGTGACCTGGCGAACGAGGATGTCAAGCATTTTCTTGCTAAGAACGTGCTGACCTTCGCCTTCGAGGACGTAGCCCGGGTGCTTTTGGACGGCGGGCTGGGACATCATGCCTGGAGCAGCGTGGGACGGACCACCTGAGAGTGATGGGCGAGCAGCGGGCATTGGAACTGCTTCGGGGGTGGAGATGTTGAGGGTTTTGGGAATGGCCATGTTGATGTTACGGGCTGAGGCGTCAGTGGATCGGTTGGAGAGGTAGCCTTGGGGGTGAGATTGCTGGTTTGCAGCGGCTTGGTTGATGGCTTGAGGTAGTGGTGGTTGGTTTTGGTTCGCGTTGTAGTTCTGCGCTGCCTGCTGCATCGCGGCTTGGTGCGACAGTGGACGCGGCGGGCCTTGGGCTTGGTTGTTTACTTGCTGGGGTCCGGTTGATGTGGGAGTCGAACCGTCGGCGTTGGGGGTTTGGGTAAATGTCACTTGCGCGCCTGGTGTGCCCTGGTGTGAGGGTGGTTGAGGTCGCTGTCCTGGCTGTTGAGCGTTCGGAGGGGCAGGCGTAGCGCTTGCCGATGATGGTGCTTGTCCTAGCTGCGAAGTCGTGGGGGACATCGCCGTTTGTCCTGCTTGGCTGCGCGCCGCATTCACTGCCGAGTTTATGGTGTGTGGTGCTGGAGTCGGCGGCAGGCCTGGCATCGCACTCGTTGCATTTGCTGTTGGCGCTTGAGTGGCCTGAGGCGCTGCAGGCGCTGTCGGCGCAGGCTGAGCTGCAGGTGCAGTCGTACCCTGGACAGATTGATTCATCTGAGGATTCTGTTGCGACTGCATCTTGAAGCTCTCTTGCTGCTCTTTGAACTTGTTCAAGAATTCACTGCCCTCCCTGAACAGCTTCTCGGCCGCCAGTTGTCGATTCTTAAACTCCTGGACCTCATCGTTGGGCATAGCGCCCTGAGCCTGACGCTGCGAGAATTGCGTCCGCAAATCCGCAATTCGTGCCCGTCCAACCTCTTGCTTCTGCAATGCAATACCATATCGCAACCGAGCCTCGGGAATCCATGTTTGCACTTGCTCCTGTGTCACATTGGGCGGCAGGTAGAAATTGAGCGAGCTGACCTTAGCTTGGATCTGGGGAAGCAGCTGGCTCAGGTTCTGCGGGTTGTTGGACTGGGTTCGCTGGACCGGTTGACCCGTTTGCTGCACGACGGCGGCCTGGGCTTGCTGCTGCTGGAGGGCCTGCTGGCGGTTCTGCTGGAAGATCCGCATACCCTTCATCAAGTTCTGGGACAACTGGGATAGCTTCATGTGTGCATTTTGATATTCGGCAGTCTGGGGATCGCGGGTGTTGAGCAACTCCCATAGGGAGCGCACGACATGGGTATGCTGCGCCTTTTGCTGGTCCGTCAGGTGCGGAAGCTTCTGGACCTGGTCTGTCCGAATCAAATTGGAGTGCTGTTGAGACTGCCCCATCGGTTGGCCCGCCTGGCCCTGAGACCCGTCCATATTGCTGGCTGTCGTCGTTCGGTGTTCAGAGGAGTCCGCGTGAGCAATGATGGAATCGGGTTCACGACTGCGCTCGAATCGGGCCGAGGGATGAGGATTCGCTTTTAATGTCCAGTGTTAACTCTCCGTTTGATTTCTTTCGTCCTAGCCCTGGAGACGTGCAGGACTTGAGATAAGATGCGTCCTGGATGGTGCGATAGCTGAAATGCAACTTTGGAGAGGAGGTCCGCGTCGGTCTTGGCACCCGCCTTTCCGGAGCCTCAATGCGCTGCCTAACAGATGGGCTTCATCAGTATTGAAAATGCCTCAGAGGCTATTTCTGTTATTAAACGCGAAGAATGATACTCGTGATATAGTGCGTATTTTTGGAAGCTGCCATAATTTTCAATGAATATCATGGTGATAGAGGTACTCTTCTATACGCGCGCCCCATGTGTACAGCACACAATGGTTTTCATCTAGGTAGCTGCTACTAATTGGCAGAATACAATTATTTAAATTAAGCTGGTGTAAACATTAACAAGGATGGTACAAAGGGTCTGTATTCAGATGAAAACACACGGAAAAGCTTCCATAAGATTCCATGTGCATTAGAAAGAAGGGAAAGTACATAGTAAAAAAAAAAAAAAGGTTCATCATTGGGTATGTGTAACGCTCATAGAACTCATCAAAATCATCAAGTATCAAACATCTACAATGCATGGGATTAACCCATCAAGCCACCCAGGTCTCGCTCCATGCCTGTGACACGCTCCTCCAAAGCTCGTTTCCTTCGCTCCAAGTCGTGAATTTCGGCCAATTCGCGCTCGATATCTTCATCCGTAACTTGCAGTGCCTCTAAGTCTGCTTCAGGCATAGGGGAAAAGTCATACTCGTCATCGTCATACGAGTGTCGCATGGACTCGAGTTCCGCTGTGTTGGTAGCAACGCGATTCTCCAGTTGAGCAATGGACTCAGCGATCAACTTGTGGCGATAGCGCAGAGTGGCAATTTTTTCTTGTGCACCAGCGACGGGACTGCTCTATGGTTAGGGCATTTCCCGCGGATAATTTAGCGCTCCAACTTACTAGACGTTGCATAGAATCTCAGCTCCCCGAAGTAGGACCTCAACATTTACCTCTCCACGCCCTCGAGACGATGTGCCGGCAGACCGTTTTATTTCTTCCATCATATCTGAGCCTAAGACTCGGGCCACAGCGGACTGATTGCGGTTGTTGCGGGCAGAATAAATTCGACTGGCCATTGACTCGGACTCGGACTCGGCAGAGAAGGTAGTCCCACGCCTAGTGGCACGCCTTTGTGACCCATGAGACTTGGAGGCCGGATCAACGTGGAACAGCGCTCGTTCATGGACTTCGGTATCTCTAATCAAGCGGGTAATGTCGTGTGAGCCTAGCAACGCGTTCGTAAAGATGCGGGGCGGAGGGAATCTGTAGATGTGCATATTAACATCGGATAACAAAGCCATACGAGCGGAGCACAAACGGAAGGTCGGCAATGGCATTTGAAGAGAGAGCAATTTGCTCCAGGTGTGACTCGAGAAGTGGCATGGTTACGGTGTGGTGTTGGTGCAGCGGCGAACAATCCGCAGCTTTTGTTTTGGGTTGGAGAGCTGCCATCGCTGCCTCAGGCTCCAAAAGAAGACAACGCAGCAACAGCAGACTCAAATAGCTAAGATTGCAGCTCGGAGCTTCCTATTTTCCTTCCCAATTGTCCCATATTTTCCCCAACCTGGTTTGAAGTTCAGTCCTTGAGCTCAAAAGCCTCGGAGACACGCCGTTGCGCATCGCCAGTAAGCTCTCTCCCTGACTAAGCACTCCTCAGGCGTCTTGTGCCCGTCCTCGTCTCTTGACATCACATCACCCGTCCACTTCATCCACCCGTCGCTTTGCCCGTTTTCCCCATCGTTTTCTTGGAAATTGGCAACTTGGCATTCTTGGATTTGCCCTTTGCTTCTGATCTCTGTTTCGTGCTTCTCATCGCTCTTCCCCCTAACCTCCTCTGAAGCTTGGTAACTGCTCAGCTGAGCTCAACAGCTTGGGAAAGATGCCGGCCGAGAGGCGCTCTCTGCGATCAAACAACAAGTCAGATACCTCTTCATCTGCTAACGGTGAAAAGGCTCGCTCGAACTCTCAGAGCTCGCCTTCCAAAGACAAGGCCGCGCCTACGACTCGCGCCGCCGCCAACAAGGCCAAGTCAGCTCCGGCAAAGAAAGCCGCCAAGGGCGCATCGAACGCTGGTATGGGCGAGGAGGACCAACACGTTAACGGCTCGAAGAATGCGGAGAACGGTGTGAATGGTTCTGAGGACGTTGAGATGGGAGAGGATACGGCAGGTGCGCCTACATCCTCATTCAACACCAACAAGGGACGGCATGGTGACGAGAAGATGACTGTTGTAGTTCCCCCGACCAAGGGTTCCAGATCATCCGGCAAGGCTGGCCAGGATAAGGAGGAGGACGTGACGATGGAAGGTGCCGAGGATGGTGACGCTGAGGAGGCCGAGCCGGAGATCGATCCGGCTGTCAAGGCTGTTCAAGGTTCGTTGCTATCTGGTCAAAACTCCCTCTCACGGATCATTTGGCTAATTGACAATCACTACTTTCTCACATGATAGACATCAAGACCAACTTCACCCTTCTTGACCGAGCCGTCGCTCACTTTGACCCCCGATTCACCCTACGTGTCCTACGATCGATATCGTCCATGCGGAAACACATCAACCCCGAGGTCCTCGCCGAAGTGATTACCGACACATACGTAGCATCCAACTCGACAGCTATTTTCCTCTTGGAGGCTCTCGGCCAAGCTGGTGCTTTTGAGAATTCCACGTCGAACATGGAGGTTGATGCGGAGAAGAAAGCGGCCCCGAAGGAGGTGCTGCCCGAAGTGGATGCGTACCTTTCCATCTTGGTTCAGATTTACCTCTTCGACCAGCGAAAGATTCAGCAGGGCGCGGAGTTCTCAACCAACTTGATCGAGCGCCTTCGGGCCCTCAACCGCCGTACACTGGACTCTCTTGCCGCGCGCGTTTATTTCTACTACTCTCTGTTCTTTGAGCAGATCGCTCCTCTCGCTCCTTCGCCCGCGGCGACTGTTACCACCATCCGTCAGCCCCTGCTGGCTGCCCTACGAACTGCTGTTCTCCGGAAAGATGTTGACACACAGGCTACTGTCATGACTCTGCTACTCCGCAACTATCTCTCCACCTCCCACATCACGCAGGCGGATTTGTTGATCTCGCACAACCGATTCCCTGCTGCTGCATCCAACAACCAGATTGCTCGGTATCTCTACTACCTCGGCCGCATTCGTGCCATTCAGCTGCAGTACACCGAGGCTCACAGCCATCTGATCGGTGCCACCCGTAAGTCCCCAACCAGCCACAGCGCCCGTGGGTTCTACCAATCCTCTCACAAGCTGCTTGTGGTGGTTGAGCTGCTGATGGGTGATATCCCGGACCGTGCGGTCTTCCGCCAGCCGGCCTTGGAGAAGGCCATGCATCCCTACTTCCTGCTTGCGCAGGCTGTCGGTGTCGGTGACCTGGATGGCTTCCTGAACATTGTCAACACCCACAGTGCTGCATTCCGCAAGGATGGCACCTACACACTCATTCTTCGTTTGAGGCAAAACGTCATCAAGACCGGTATCCGCATGATGTCCTTGTCTTACTCCCGCATCTCCCTGCGTGACATTTGTCTCCGCTTGGGTCTGGATAGCGAGGAGTCGGCTGAGTACATTGTGGCTAAGGCCATTCGTGATGGCGTCATTGAGGCTACTCTGGATCATGAACATGGGTTCATGAAGAGCAAGGACGTGGGTGACATTTATGCCACCCGGGAGCCCGGCGAGGCGTTCCACGAGCGCATTCGCGCTTGCTTGGCTCTTCACGACGAGAGTGTCAAGGTAAGCTATTTATCCCAACCAGAATAATCCGAGCCGAACTGTACTGACGACTATTCTACTAGGCCATGCGATTCCCGATGAACCAGCACCGCCTCGAGCTCAAGAGCGCTCAGGAGGCTCGCGAGCGGGAGCGTGAGTTGGCCAAGGAGATCCAAGAAGGAGACATGGACGATGAAGATGCTGGAGGCGATTTCGATGCCATCTAAGAAGATAGTCTGTGATTGATACGGCATTTCTCTCAACGCTGGCCCCAATGCATAGGTCTCTACGCTGTAGCGGCCTTCTTCAACTTATGTGTTAATTGTGCGCGACGGGGATGTCGCTTTTCTTTGCAGGATGTACCAAGAGGGGGAATGTGCGGACCAAGATGGCCGGCGCGATTTTTCATGTCTCTTATATTGGAATTATTTCATTTTCATTCGCCTTGTGTAGAGTGGTGCAGTATACAGTGCCTAGGGCGCAGAAGAGGATAAGCCTGGTGGCACATCGGTTCTTTCGGAAGATACTCTACTTTAGATGCAGTAGTATTGATTGTTTTTGCCAAGTCATGATCTAGAATTTTTCAATATGGTAGAAACGATAGGAAACGTACTTGAAGTATACGGGACCGGGGCTCGCGCGTGGTCCGTGCCGTCCCGAGAGCTCGAATTCTTCCTCCCGCAAGTTTCCCAGACCTCTTCCGTATCACCTTATCACCATTGCATCTAGCATTGCCAATCTTTCCATGCTCCCTCTTGATTCTCGAATCTAATTGAGAAGCCCCTGAGCATGCGCGCTCGCACCCTCTCGGCCACCGGGCTGGCCATCACGCGATCCTCGACCTCCGTGTGCACCCAATGCCTTCGTGATGACCTGCTCCTCTCCCACCTCTCCATTCAATCCCGCAAATACCACCCTACCCGCCGACGAGATGCGTCTCCATTTGGAGCTGCTGTGTCAGCCGCCCAGGCCATCTTCAAAGGTCTGCCGAAGGCTCCTCCCGGCGTCTCGGTCGACCCTCTGCGCATCGTCGGAAAGGAGCTGAAGTTCTTGAGCAAGAATATTCGCCAATTGCTGGGATCGGGCCATCCAGCACTGGACAAGGTGGCCAAATACTATACTCGCAGTGAGGGCAAGCACATGCGGCCCTTGCTGGTCCTGCTCATGTCCCAGGCCACAGCCTTGGATCCCCGCAAGCAGCACAATCCCGCGAGTCCATCACCCGTCGATAACCCTTTCAGCGCGCCCTCAATACTCGACGACTCCAACCCCGACGTCAACCCCCTTGTGTCCCGTTCCGCCGAGTCTAAGTATGACTTTTTAGGCGACGACAACATCCTGCCCTCGCAGCGCCGCTTGGCCGAGATTACCGAACTCATCCATACCGCATCCCTCCTGCACGACGATGTCATCGACAACGCCATCACCCGCCGCGCCAGCAGCTCTGCGAATACCGCCTTCGGAAACAAGATGGCCGTGTTGGCTGGTGACTTCCTCTTGGGACGTGCCTCCGTGGCTCTCGCCCGACTGCGCGACCCCGAGGTCACCGAGCTGATGGCGACTGTCATCGCCAATCTGGTGGAGGGTGAATTCATGCAGCTGAAGAACACCGCCCAGGATGAGTCAAAGCCCCAGTATACGGACGAGACCCTGGACTACTACCTCCAGAAGACCTACCTGAAGACCGCCAGTCTGATCAGCAAGTCCTGCCGTTCCGCGGCCGTGCTGGGCCGGAGTGCCCCGGAGGTGATCGAGGCATCGTACGCCTATGGCCGGAACCTGGGATTGGCGTTCCAGTTGGTTGACGACATGCTGGATTATACCGTCACGGAAGCCGAGCTGGGCAAGCCCGCCGGTGCTGATCTGGAGCTTGGTCTGGCCACCGCTCCATTGTTGTTTGCATGGAAGAGCAACCCCGAGCTTGGACCCTTGGTTGGCCGCAAGTTCCGTGAGGAAGGCGATGTGCAGCGGGTGAGTCAACTTCAACCTACTTCAAAATCTTTTTACTGCAGTACTAATTTAATAATAAATAGGCCCGTGAGCTCGTCTACCGCAGCGACGGTGTCGAAAGGACCCGCCTTCTGGCGCAGGATTACGCCGACAAGGCGGTTGCAGCCATCAGCGACTTCCCAGACAGTGAGGCCAAGTCGGGCCTCATTGAGATGTGCGAGAAGACGATGAATCGGAGAAAGTGAGAGAAGTACATAGTACTATTTGTAAACATATATATGTCTGTTTTATTGCTACCACCCCACTTTTTCTCTCAGTGCTGTTTGGGTGCTTTCGTTTGGGGAAGTACATGTGTAACTTAAATATCTAGATGCGTGGTTTTTAGACTTGGATTGGAATGACCTGATATCATGTTTTATTATATTTACCACAGGTGCTGTTTGTAGCCCTTTATATCTGGGTCCATAATCTTATATGCTTGAAGTGTTGTTTAATGTCTACGGCATGTTCACTGTGCGCCAATGGGCATTGTCGTGTAAAATCGAATGACCAACGAGAAGGTTGGCAAATGCTGCACTGCTTAATCACGTCTGGACTTTTGTTCCGTGTTGAAGTTAGACTGGCCTTCTATAGCAGGTATGGAAACACAGACTGTAGAAATAGATGCATTGCACTATAGTAATCTTCAGTGATTTGAAGATTCGATCTTGTGCTATGTCATTCAAGGTCAGGTACTTGACGTAGATTGACGAGTCATAAGATACTACGGCCTTGATCATGACCCCAGGAGATGTGATATCATTAAAATAAGGATCGATGCAGAGAATTCAATTCATACAATGTGATTGTTCTTGGTTCATATTAAGCGCCTAGATCCACAACATTCATTACAAGCTTGGCTTCCTGCTCAAAGGTCCGATTCGCCGATGATGCGAGCCTTTTGCTTTCTAGTTCAAGCTGGTAATGAGACATTTTTGTTCTCGAGGTAGTTGCCGGATATCTTATCGAATGGAAGATGGGACCTCCAGAATACTCTGAAGGGATCTGCATAGTTGTTGTATAGAGACCAGATAATGTGCAGCAAAGAACCAGCCAATCAAGTTATAGGGAGCAATGTACAAGCGCTGAGCATCTTATTGACCCTGTAGATACCTTTCTTATTGAAAAAATATCACAAAAGACCTTCTGAATGACCTATATATAGTCGTTTAGTCGTTTCGTTTCTGCGGAGTTGCGGTTCCTGACAGTTGTTCGGATCCTGCGGGGTTCCCCGTATTGCTTCTAGTTACGTAATCGTTTTTCAACGTATGTAATGAATTTTACCATACAAATTTAGCTATGTTCCAGGTTATAGCAAAAGTATTACATAACTTTACTAGTGCAACGCTGGCCCTGGACCTCCGTCATTCCCGCGCGCGTGGAAGCTGCAACTTGACCTCTCCAACTGCGCTTTGCTTTGTCTACTTAGACCTCTCGCTACCTGCCCTCGTTTTGTGCTTTCAATAGGAGCCGGTCTCTCCCCTTTCTATATTGCAACCTCCATCTACACCGCTCTAGGGATCCAGTCCCCAAATTATGGAGCTTTCCACCCTCCCGCTTTGATCGACTGGTTCCCGATGGGTTTACTCGGAAGCTTCCTCCTAATCTACGTGCTGGGGGGAATTACCTTCGTCCCTCTGGTGCTATCCTTATTCTTGCTACATGCCTACCTAACACTCCCTGATGCCTTGTCCTCACAACGGTCACGTGAAGCTCCCGACTCGGTGCTTCGGCCTGACGATGACGAATATAGCTTGAAATCCGGTACCGACCAGCTGGCTGAGAAGTTCCACCGCACCCATGATACCGATGTCGCTGCCGGTTACTTTGCTGTCTGTCGTGAATACGTTCCTGGTGGTGTCAATGGGAAACCTCCGGAGAGGACAACCCCCGCCGGGGAGGTCGTTGCCGCCGAGAGCCCCAGTGTCTATCAGTCAATGTATCGGAGCCTGTTCGACCGCAAACAGGCGCCTAGTATTGAGCCGACGAAGTCGAATGGGAAGACTACGAAAAGGGCTAGGAACGTCTTCTATATTGTTCTCCGGTATGCACTGCTTTGGTCGAGTATGTCTGGACCTGGTTGGAAATGAGCTGACGATGATTTAATCTGTGCTTAGACATGGCCACTTGATGCTCTATGACGACGTAAACCAGGTTGAGGTCCGCTATGTGATTTCTCTCGCTCATCACGATGTATCCGTCCACGGCGGCGAAGCTGAGGTCCCGGAGGCCGAACTGTGGCTCAAGAGGAATGCTATCTGTCTTTCACGGCGACTGGATTCGCTGGGAGACTTGGGAGGACCAACACCGCCCTTCTACTTGTTCTCTGAGAACTTGTCAGATAAGGAGGACTTTTATTTCGCCATGCTTCAGAACCAGACCAAGTTGTGGAGTTCTGCAGACCGCCCTCCTAAGCAGCAGGATTTTAACGTGAAGCACATTGTGTCCCTCGTACAAAGATTGCATTCTTCAGAAGAGCAGCTGCAGACACGGTGGATCAATGCTTTCTTTGGACGTTTGTTTCTGGCTTTATATCAGACTCCCGAGCTAGAGGAGTTCCTGCGGTGCAAGATTGTTAAGAAGATCTCCCGAGTGAACAAGCCGAACTTCATCAGTAAGATTGGTCTGCATAAAATCGTTATGGGCGAAGGAGCTCCTTTCATCACCAATCCTCGCTTGAAGGATCTGACCGTGGATGGCAACTGCTGCGTGGAGATGGATCTTCAATACACGGGAAATTTCCGACTCGAGATCTCAGCCACGGTGCGTATTGATTTGGGTCCTCGTTTCAAAGCAAGAGAAGTCGATATTGTGCTAGCAGTGGTGTTGAAGAAACTCGAAGGTCATTTGCTAGTCCGTTTCAAGCCCCCACCGAGCAATCGACTTTGGATAACTTTTGAAACCATGCCGAGAATGGTGATGGATATTCAACCCATTGTCAGCTCGAAGCAGATCACCTACAGTCTCATTCTGCGCACCATTGAGAGTAAAATCCGTGAAGTGGTGGCAGAAAGCATTGTCCTGCCATTCTGGGATGATGCTCCCTTTCTGGACACCATGGGTCAAGCTTTCCGTGGTGGTATCTGGCAGCGAGATATGCCAGACCTCGATGCCGATGCAGAAATACCCGATGAGTCTGGCGAACCTCCGGAAACACCGAAGAGTGTCCGCGGAGACTCGATCGAGGCGCTTAAGTCCAAGGATGAGCGAACGATGAGCATGCCTGCTCTCTCCGAGTCTAATACCAAAGTCAAAGCCCGCAAGCCCCTGAAACAATCCACATCGGATATTCAGTCAAAAAACTCAGGCGCAACCTCCACCGGTATCGAAAGATCCGACAGCAGGCCTGCGCCCCGCTCTATTCGCTCGCACACGTTCTCCAATGCAGCCGATCCAGTGGTCACTGCAGACAATGCAAACAAGGTTGCATCGCCAACCAAGAAGGGTGACAAGAGCAACGCCACTAGTGCTATGATTGAAATATCAAGCCGTTCTCCACCTACCTCTCCGAACAGGACTCCAAGCAGCTCGCCGCCCACTGGCGGTATTATGATGCCAGAGAATGCATTTCACAGCCGGAATTCCTCCATCGCGGAATCTATTGACGGCATTGGCCTCCTCGGGGATCAGGTTATCACAAGTCCCTCATCCGCTCGTCTTGAGAACACGCCTTCCTTCCAGCGCCCCCGAAGCTCTCGAGGGAGCTCTACCACATCGCTTTCGAGCGAGAAGTCGCGCCGGCGCAGTACCATTGAGACATTCACCAAGTCCTTCCAGTCAGTGACATCTGATGACAAGGCTTCTGGCAACATGACCATTGGGTCGGCAACCGCTGCTGCAAAGAAATGGGGCATGAGTGTGTTTGGGAAAGGAGAGGGACCTCATGATCAAGATTCGTCTCGAACGCCCGCTGGCACCCCAGATCAACCCATTGGACGTGGACATCCCCACCCTCCTCCTGGAGCCTCCTTACTGCGCCCGGACAAATACGCCTTGAACAGAAAGTCCGGCACGCTGCCGAAGCGGAAGCCCTTGGTGGCGGCACCGCCTTACTCTGAATGGTCTAACTCGGGAGATCATCGACCCGTGCCGCCTCCGCCCTTGCCTCGCAGAAAGCCGATTCCCCCTCATCTGCGCACTGATCGTGCAGACGAGGTGCTTGTGGTCGAGGCCCCGCTGGACTCGGGTCCGAACAGTCCGGCGGTCGGCGATGTAGACTCGGAAAGTGGTCCAAGGGAGGCCATTCTCCTCGAGAGCGAGGCCTCATCCAATGCCGATCTAGCCGAGACGGATGCCACTTGGGATCCTGAAGATAGCCAAGATGATCGGTCCATGCGGTCTGTTGACCAGACTCTGGCCTCTTCGCCAGACAGCAACGAGGCCCTTCCAACGCCCGGACAAGTGGAAGTTTCATCGGCATGATATGGATCCAGAGTTTCCTACGACATTAGGCAGCCGGGCGACGGGCCAATCTGAACAAGACCTTGTGTAATCACTTGGATTTGGAACTGCGAGGTGTTTGAAGGATTTGTGTTATTTGACGGGCTCTCTTGTATCTGCCAGCAGAAGCATCCCGTCGGCATTTCAGGGTCCCATTGTATAGAAAGCAGTATCTTTCGATGTCGCCCGGCGAACTCGATACGCAATTTTATGACACCACTCCTTTCATATATTAAATTGTAATTCCGACATATAAAAGTAGATTCATGCTGCCTACATGGCGCAGGTGACGCGTAGTAAAGAACAAGGGATGGGCCAGGATAGGATGGGCCGAGCGAAGCGGCTTAGGCGTCGCCAAGACTGACAGGCGCCAGCTTTCCCCCAACGTCATTGCTCTCCACGTGCACTCGACAACTTGTGCTTCACATCTCTCTTTCTCCGGTCAGCGCTTTGTCACTGGGAATATCCCGCGCTGCCCGGGCTCTTCTATCACCCCTTCTCCCGTCGGTGCTCTAGTTCCCCTGAACTCGCATCGCCACCATGAGTCGGTAAGCGGGACAACTGCCACCCCCCCCCCCCCCCCCCCAAACCAACGCAAGCAGTCGAATAACCTCAATCGCACAGGACGGAGGCCGATCTGGCCATTAATATCCGCAAGGCCACTAGTATCGGTAAGTGCTCGTCCGGTCATGCCGGCCCTGAAACGAAGTGAGAACGGGGGGCTAACCATTTGACTCGCGACAGAGGAAACTGCGCCGAAACGTACGTCCGCATAGCGAAGCCATTGATCCTCGCCGAGACTCCCCTATTTGCGCCTGGCGCTTGACCCGACTGACATGCATACTCACAGGGAAACATGTGCGCAGCTGTATCGTGTACACGTGGGACCACAAATCGTCGGCGGCCTTTTGGGCGGGCATGAAAGTGTATGCGGAACCCCGGAGATCGTGAGGAAGTATTAAGAAACCGTCACTGACTTCTGTTTGTGCGTTATAGGCAGCCTGTCCTTGCCGACGAGGTCCAGACGTTCAAGGCTCTTATTACTATCCACAAGGTGCTGCAGGAAGGTCACCCCATTGTTGTGCGCGAGGCGCAGCAGCATTCCAATTGGATTGATAGCTTGATGCGCGGTGTTGGAGGAGATGGCATTCGAGGTATGATACTCTGCTGGTTTGGGATGCGCGATACGTCCGAGGGCGGGGCGCGTGGGGTGGATATGATTGTTGACATTGAATAGGATACGCTCCGCTCATTCGCGAATACGTGTTTTTCCTCGAGTCAAAGCTGGGTTTCCACCGGAATCACCCTGAATTCAATGGTATGCTGTTCTGAGTGAAGTGGGTTGGTGTGGTTGTCTAACCGGTTGCAGGATTGTTCGAGTACGAGGAATACATTAGCTTGAAGACGATCAATGATCCTAATGAAGGGTGCGCATCAATCTTTTTCGAAGAATTGGCCTTCAAAGCGCTAATTGATTTATAGATATGAGACTATCACCGATCTCATGACCTTGCAGGATCAGATTGATGCTTTCCAGAAGCTTATTTTTTCGCACTTCCAATCTGGTACTAACAACGAGTGCCGAATCTCTGCATTGGTGCCTCTGGTGCAGGAGAGTTATGGCATTTACAAATTTATTACTAGCATGTTGCGAGCTATGCACACAAGTATGGAATCCCCTACTCTCTTGGATATTGTGAATCGTCCGCTAAGATGTCAAATTGTTGTATAGCAACCGGTGAAGATGAAGCTCTCGAGCCTCTCCGCGGCCGATATGATGCCCAGCATTACCGTCTTGTTCGGTTCTACTACGAGTGCTCCAACTTGCGATACCTGACTAGTCTTATCACCATTCCCAAGCTGCCGCAAGACCCCCCTAGCCTGCTCGGTGATGAAGATGAACGCCCCGCTCTGCCGAGGCGACCGGCCAAGGAGGTTGAGCAGCCATCGCCGCCTCCCAAGGTGGCTGCCGAGCCTGAACCCATCAACGATTTCTGGACCACTGAGGCCAGACGCCAGCAAGAGGAGTACGAGGCCGAGCAAGCGCGCCTCCAGAACCAATGGGAGGACCAGCAGCGACAGCAGATGCTTGCCCAGCAGCAGGCTCAGCAAGACTTCGAGGAGCAGCAGCGCCTGCAGGCCGAGCAGCAACGGCTGGCACAAGAGCAATTGCTCCGTGACCAGTACCAGACACATACCCAGGGCCGCCTGGCAGAGCTGGAGCAGGAGAACCTCAATGCTCGAGCCCAGTACGAGCGGGACCAGCTGATGTTGCAGCAATACGACCGCCGAGTCAAGGACCTGGAGGAGCAGATGAACCAGCTTAACAGCAACCTTAACATGCAGAGTGCCTCCAAGGACGAACAGATCCGGGCTCTGCAAGAGCAGGTCAACACCTGGCGGACCAAGTATGAGGCTCTGGCCAAGCTGTACTCGCAGCTGCGACAGGAGCACTTGGATCTTCTGCAGACCACCAAGAGCCTCAAGCTCAAGGCTGCTTCCGCACAGGAGGCCATTGAACGCCGTGAGAAGCTGGAGCGTGAGATCAAAACCAAGAACCTAGAGTTGGCTGATATGATCCGTGAGCGTGATCGTGCGCTGCACGATCGGGATCGTGTCACCGGCACCGGCAAGGATGAGTTGGAGAAGATCAAGCGGGAGCTTCGGATGGCGCTTGAACGTGCTGAGAATGCGGAGCGCTCAAAGGGCACGGAGATCTCGTCCATGCTGTCCAAGTATAACCGCGAGATGGCTGATCTGGAGGAGGCTCTCAGGGTAAGTAGTTGCCCTCTGTCATGTAGAAGCTTTGTTACTGACCAGCGTAGAACAAAACCCGCGCTCTTGAAGACATCTCTGGCCGCCACTCCGAGCGGGATGGTGACCACGAGACTGCTCTTCGTGAGAAGGACGAGGAACTCGAAGTGTACAAGTCTGGCATGGACGAGCTCTTGATGGAAATTGAGGAGCTGAAGATGGTAAGTGTCGATCTCAAGATGACTCCACGCTCCCATGCCCCCCCATACTAATCAGTGGATCTTTACAGAACCAAGGCGATACCGATCATGCGCTTGATAGCCAGATCGACACTGTTCTTCACGGCGCAGTGGCCAAGATCAACGACATCATTGACTCTGTGCTGCAGGCTGGTGTGCAGCGCGTGGATGATGCTCTGTACGAGATGGATTCGTCCATGCAGGCCGGTAACTCTAATGCCTCGCCTCCCTATGTCCTGTCGCAGATCGAAAAGGCCTCGGCCTCTGCTACCGAGTTCTCCACGGCCTTCAACAACTTCATTGCCGACGGTCCCAACAGCCCCCACGCCGAGATCATCCGCACAGTAGCTGTCTTCTCTGGATCGATTGCAGACACTCTCAGTAACACCAAGGGTCTTTCCCGCTTCGCCAACGATGACAAGAGCTCCGACCAGCTGTTCAACGCGGCCCGTAAGTCTGCCCAAGCGACTTTGCGCTTCTTCCGTGGTCTCCAGTCCTTCCGCCTCGACGGCATGGAGCCCCTGCAGAAGACCGACGTCGTCATCAACAACAACCTGGAGGTCCAGCGCGACCTGCAGACCCTGTCGAAGATGGTGGAGTCCTTCGCGCCCAAGAGCAGCAAGATTAACACCAATGGCGACCTGGGCGACCTTGTCGACCAGGAGCTGCTCAAGGCCGCCGATGCCATTGATGCCGCAGCCCAGCGTCTCGCCAAACTGAAGAACAAGCCCCGCGACGGCTTCTCAACATATGAACTGAAGATCAACGACGCAATCCTTGCCGCCGCCATCGCCGTGACTAACGCTATTGCCGAGTTGATCAAGGCCGCCACCGAGTCTCAGCAAGAGATTGTGCGTGAAGGCCGAGGCAGCTCGACCCGCACAGCATTCTACAAGAAGAACAACCGCTGGACTGAGGGCCTAATCTCCGCCGCCAAGGCCGTGGCCGTATCAACCAACACTCTCATTGAGACTGCCGACGGCGTCATCTCCGGCCGCAACTCCCCAGAGCAGCTCATCGTCGCCTCCAACGACGTCGCCGCCAGCACCGCCCAGCTAGTCGCCGCTAGCCGAGTCAAGGCCACCTTCATGAGCAAGACCCAAGACCGCCTGGAAACAGCCAGCAAGGCCGTTGGTGCCGCATGCCGCGCACTCGTCCGCCAGGTACAGGCGATCATCGCCGAGAAGAACGGCGCCGAAGGCGACTCCGAAGACTACGGCAGGCTCAGCTCGCACGAGTTCAAGGTTCGCGAGATGGAGCAGCAGGTACGTTTCCCATCCCCTATAGTTCTAGCACCTACTAACCCTCCGTTCTGCAGGTCGAGATCCTCCAACTCGAGAACAACCTCGCCCGCGCCCGTACACGTCTGGGCGAGATGCGCAAGATCTCATACCAGGAAGACTAAATTTGATCCCTCACTGTGTATATCCCGGAACCGGTATTGGAAGTGCATCCGTTTTCGATTTTCCATTCATACTTCCGTAGCTGCTCGAGAGATTAGCGAAATGTACCCGTTATTTTGCACCTATCAACGTATCCCTGCATTGAAATAAAGAACACGGCCCCACATCGACCCGCGGATCGCGTCTTGGCACGGCATCTCCAAAGGCCGCAACAAAGAAATAGACAGTTGACTACGAGTCTCTACACGTCACCTCGGTCTCCACGGGAGCTTGGAACTTGGAGAGACAAGTCTAGACTGGGATAATTGCAAACTGGAAGTAGTGTAGAATGCACTGTACGGCGTACGGTGTACGAGATACTGCACAACGAACAGAAGTAAATAGAATGCTTCATTTGTTGTCTCGAACCTATGAGCGACACACATTCACGGGAATTGTGGGAAAAGAAGAACCATGGGATGGATTTGACAGGATGTCGGAATAGGATGTCGAGATTTCAGGACGCTCCGACTGGGAGGCCAAGCGCATGCAGAATGTGGGGTCGCTAAGCACAGGGTGAATCGCTAAGCTCAAAGTTGGAAGTCGAAAGTAGATCCACGGAAGAAAAAATCATGCCGAAATTCGGAGCCTATCCACAACGAGTCTGATCAAGAGATCAAGGAACAAGTAGTGACGCAGGGCTGAGGGAGGGTAGACAACGGAGAAAGAAGAAGACAAAAGAGCAGAAAAATGGACGAATGATAATTCTTTTTTGAGTTGGATTTATTCTGTTTCTTGATGTTTTTTGGAACTTGACAAGAGTCTGGGGGTTGAGATTGAAACGTTGTCAGGTACCATGCTCATGGCTGGCAGAGGCGATGTTGTTATGACGGAGGGCGTTTGGAGGAGAGGGTCAACGGAGGTGATTGCCGCATGCCGTGGAGAAGGTGAGTAGTTGTTGCAGAGATCTGTGGGTAAGTTAGAAGTCATGGTGGCGCTTACTGAATGTTGAGGAGCCCATGCGCATCAAGCATTGAAAATTCCATGTCCGGGAAGAGTTTATCAAGCTCATCGGCGAGCTCAAGATCGAAGTTAGGATTGACAAGGATGTCAGTAGGGGGGATGATCATGAGGTCGCGAATATGGTCCATATCAGGGCCAGGGTTGTTGTACACATCCATCAAGTGGAGATCTTCAATAGGACCATCCTGACGCTCACCGCGATGATTGAAGAGCCAACCGTAGGGGTCAGGAAGCTCTTGGCGGGAGTCAATTGGGCAGTTTGAGTTGAGTGCCAGCGCAGAATAACCTTGCTGAGGTAGCGGCCACACAGAGCCATCCTTTGTGACCAACTTCCTGAGTTCTTGATAATGGTCAACGATATTCTCAACAGACACAGGCTGGAGATTTAAATCAGCCAGGTTGGGGTCCCAGCTCTGGGTCACATCGAAGCCCTTCTGACCGTCCTCAAGAGCCCATGACATGATTGTCCAACCGAGTATCGTGATGTACTCATTAGCAGAGGGGATCCCGAACATGGGAGCAATAGTTGCAGTAAAGTCACTCAAGGAAATGGCCCCTAGTTCAAAATGGTCGCGAAGAAAAGTGTACGCCTTGGCCATGACTGTCCACTGGGCTTTAAGTGGCTCCTCGGCCCAGATGGTGGAAATCAATGTCGACTTTTGTTTTTGGGTGACCCCGTAGAACAGGGGAGCAACAAAGCCTAAAAAAAATGATGAGTACTATAATTGTCACCGAGATCTGTGATTAGACTTACTGCGGAAGAGCATGAAGCTGTTCAAGGAGCGGAGGCGAGATGCAGGACGGGTAGCAGCAGGCGCAACATGAAATGGTGCCGATGAGGGCGAGGACGCAATCTGGGTTGGCCAATTCATCTTTGATTTTGAATTGGGTTTGGTGACAAGAGTGAGGCTTCCATCCCGGACCTCAAAGCGGGGACCATCAACAATTGGCTGTGGCTGGTCGAAGTACTGGAGAGGAATACCAGCAACCATGGCAGCCGCAAAGGAAGGAAAGTCAAGGTCAGGGCCCTGTAGCCCCAGGATTTGGGATGCCTTGTAGGCTGGAATGCTGCACAGGTAATCCAGGAAGCGTTTTTCAGCATAATCAGAGTTCTGTGAAGCTGGGGAAGTCATGTTGAGGAGATGGACTTGAGAGAAAATTTGATGAGTTGAATTGGGAACAAAGAGCCCAGAAGCAGACTCAGTAGAGTAGTTTGAGCCACAAAGAGTTAACACTGAGCGAAGGTGGAGCAGGCGAGAACAGGCAAGCAGTTCACAGATCAATGAAGTGATGAAATGAGACTGAAGACTGCGACAGGAAGTGAGAAAGAAATGAGATGAGTGAGGTTGAGGATGGGAAGAAAGAAAGAAAGAGACAAAGAAAGAAGTATTTAAGGAACAGGGGAGGGTGTCTCGGGAGACTCATAAATTACTCAAAAAGGGAAACATTCAGATAGTGTATTCATCAGCATATTCACTATTCATTGTCCCAGTCATTGTTCTCATTGAAGGAAGTATCCCTAAATGACTCCTTTCGGACGTAAAGCAATCCAGATGGAGCCGTAAATTAGGGCTCAGGGCAATCTTTCTTTGTTCACCTCGACCCATGTGATCCCCCCCCGGCTGCCTTCGAACTGTATCCCCCGCGTACGGGTAATTACATCCTGCGGCGACAATTCCAACTAGACTCGGGAGTTGCATCGTGTAACATGTTCCCCCACGTGGACGACCCTGCAGATCCGCGATCCACAACTTTATCTCCGGGTGAAGTCACCATGTACTCCCAATACTGTCTGTACTCTCTGCCACGCTTAACTCTACAGGACTTACATCCTGGGTCCATGAATTGAGAGGGCTCTATTATTGGGATGCTGGGGACTTGCTGCCAGGGTGCAGTAGCACACAATTGGGGCGACAGGTAGAACACTCCGCATGGACTCGGCTTCAATACGTGAATGAATAGGCAGGTAACTGGACAGGAGGTTAAGGTACGTCAGGTAACTGCCATCCCTTGCTTCATATCGGGGGCTAACTGCTTTGGGTAATTTAGGTCCCAGCCTCTCTGCATACTTCCTCAGGCTAACTGCTTTGAATGAGAAGATTAGAGCTTCCTGCTGAAGGCCTCCAGGTGATTGTGACTCAGGCCCACATACAGACAACTGCAAGGACATTGCGAACGTAGTCACCCAGAGACTTCCATGGTCCAACTCAATTGGATCTGGACTTTAGGGCTTCATGCTTGAGGTCCCTATATGATTCCAGTACGCCCGATTCATATTGTTAGGATCCTTTACAAGTAGAGGGCCTTAAAAAGAGCACTATGTAAGCTGCACATGCAATATAGATTGTCTAAGATGAGGGTATCTGCTAGAAGAGATGCAATGACCCTGGAATTGCCTCATATCAAGCCTCCGACTGTGACGTCGAGTTCCAGTCGCTGGCCCAGATGAACGTGGGACATCGCCACTGCGAGCCGTTCTCCTTCTCGCCGCTGGGACCGAGTGGCCGAGGGCAGATCCAGAATGCCCGGCCACGGTTCATGCCCGGCTTCTTGGTTGTGAGGCTTACGCATGGCTCCTGGTGGCTCTCACAGCGCGGCACGGGCTTCTTTGTAAATAGCTTCGTCCAGTCTTCTTTGCTGACGATGGGGTCGATTAACGAGTCGTCGGTTCTGAGTTTAGTGGGGGAGGATTGTGCAGACAGAGGACCTGTGGAAGTTGTAGGGATGTCGGGTGTAGGCTCTGGTAGGTGAGATGCGGCTGGGGCGATGCCAGGATTGTGAACTATGCTATTCTTCTTGGGCGATGCTCCTGCAGTGATGGGTGAGTGATGTTCTGAACACTGACGTCTCGCGAGTCATGAAATGGCTACGCACCCTCGCCGCTCTTTGGCTTGAAAAAGCCCATAAGCGACTTCTGGCCCGCTGCTGACGGGGTAGGCGTAGGCTTCGCGCGCTTAGAAGAAGCTGAAGAGGCCGGCTGTGATCGTTTGAGAGGCAAAGCCTTTGGAGTCTGCGCCTCGCAAGACACTGCTGGCGTGGGCGTCTCGCTGGGAGTAGGTGTTGCCGATGTATTTGGTTCCGAAGCTGGGGATGCAGCTGGCTTCTCCAGTGCGCTGGCTGTGGACGAGGATCGGGAGAGAGTGCTGGGAGGTTTGCGGGTAAACATATCTTTAATGCTGCGGCGCTTGTCGACATCAAACTCCGGCAGCAGGCGACCAGAGGCTGGCAACATGAACCGGGACGAGTATTCCTGCTGGCGCTCGCCGTCCTTGAACACACCCGGCGGGTTCATGACGTCGTATATGTGTGACAGGCCTCCCTCATAAGGCACTTGGTCCTTGAAGACAGCGAAGACAGGGCAATGATCCGACCCCTAAGCACAAAAACGTCAGCAAAAGCTCGCGCATGTTTGCACAAATGGAGCAGTACCATCAGTCCTTCTTGGATGTTTGAGTCGGAGAACCAATCCTGCATATCCAGGCTACACAGCACATAATCAATCCGAGCACCAAAGTTTCCTGGTCGAGTGTTAAGTTTCGTGTCCCAGCATGTATACATGCCACTGCGTTCTGGATGGAACGATCTGCAGATATCGTGCATGATCGGCTGCTCTCTGCCTTCGTCACGTTCCCCAACAACAACCCCGTCCGAAAGCAATGAGTTGAACAGCTTCCGAGACGGAGCAGAGATATACTCTTCTTCCGTGGTGGTCCTCTTGCGGATGCCCTCCAGCGCATGCGCAGAATCAATTGCCATCTTAGCAATGTTGATGTCTCCTGTGAGGAAGACGCGCTTCCCCAGGGCGACAAGGTTACGTACCCGAGCATCTAGGGCACTGAGAAAGTCCATTCGGAAGCAGTCACGGCTTTCGTCTCGGTGTGCCGGGCAGTAGACACCGATGAGCACAAAGGCCGGGAACTCCAGGACCACGCTTCGCCCTTCAGAGTCGAGTGTCGCGGCATCGATCCTGGGATCTGGCGCCGGCTTACCACCCCCCAAGCCATCCTCATCACTCTCCTCATTTACGAAAGCAGGCCTCGTGAGCTGCTCAGTCGTCGGGTAACCACCAATCTGCTGTTCCTCTGGCAGATCTCGGAAAGACACAGCTGAGTTAGGCGGGCATAGAACACCTGTGATGCCTTCTTCGGCACGAATAGGAGCACATGTAGCATTGCGCGTGTATATCACGACCCCAGAATATCCTATCGGCAATTAGCTTGAATCGAGAAAAGCAATGGAGACTAACGACTCACCCTTCTTAAACTTGGGGAGGCTGAAGTAGCAGTCCCATCCGGGAACCAGGACCATATCATCGTGGAGATCTTTCCGTTGAATTTTTGCTTCCTGGAAGACTACGATGTCGGATTCCAGGATGTCAAACATGGACTGATTTCGAGTTAGTATCACCGTCCTGCGCATCACGAACTGGCACGCTCACCTCGAAGGTCCGATTCCCTCGCCATGGTTGGTATGAGAACGGGTTGCTTTTTAATTATTCAGTAACCATCTCCGATTTGCACCTCAACCCAAACATACCGAATCCCGTTAACTGTTATGCAGTGTTAGCACCAGGATCTCGACCAAACACGTCTCTCAGACTAGAACAAAACATACCATTCCACGTGGTGATACGAAACCCCATTGCCGACCAAGCGCACAGCAAGGCCCAGCATATCCAGCAGCAAAAAGAAGCCAACCAGCTCGCTATCGCGAGCGAAACAACGAGGCGCCGTCGTCACCGTACCGTTGATATCACGTGAGTGTGGAGTGACATCAACTTAGTCAGCCGGGGGATCACGGGAATTCGAGGTCCACTAAAGCGGCTTCGATTTCAACGTACGATCCTCTCCCCTCCAGCCCAACAGCACCACAACCACCATGTTCTCCCGCAAAGTTGCCCGCTTCTCTCAGCGTGCCTCGCAGCAGGCCCGCCAGGCGCCGGTCCGCCAGACCGTCCAACGCCGCTTCGCCTCCTCCGAGGCCCAGCCCTCGTGGATCGTCGACAACGAGTTCAACCGCGAGCGTGCTGCTGTCAAGCACCACGCTGCCTCCACCAGCGGTACGTGACCCCCCAATTGGCCCTATACCGAGCTTTCCGGCATGGCTTTCGGAATCTGAGAAGCTTGTACTGACTCAATGGCTCTACAGACCTCTGGCGCAAGCTGTCGATCTTGTATGTTTTGGCCTCATGCAGCTGGGATCCATTGTCCCACACCTCGAGCGACACGGAAAACCACTAACGGTACATATTACAGCGCTGTCATTCCCTGCCTGATCGGTGGCGGTCTCAACGCCTACAACCTCTGGAACGAGCATTGGGAGCACTGGGAGCACATGCCCCCTCTTGAGGAGCGCACCGAGTACCCCTACCAGAACATCCGCTCCAAGAACTACCCGTGGCGCGGCGGTGACAAGGTGAGTTTTCGTTTCCCATGTTGCATCACCCCTCAAGAATACCTAGCTAACTCGTTTCCCACACAGACCATCTTGTAAGTTCCGATACTCACCATTGTAAAACCCGAGCCCCGGCAGAGTGTCCAGGCCCTGTTCATTTCACGGGTGCAATTGCATGCTGCAATTGCAGCATGTCGAGCTCTTCCCTGGACTCAATCCTTGTCAGATCACGATAGCTAACCATTTCCCACAGCTGGAACAGCGACGTTAACTACCACAACACTGACAAGGCTACCTAAGCAGGTTGCCCTCTCAATCTCTAACCGCAGAAGCTCGGTCAGCGAGCTGTCAATTTGAGAGATCGTCTTTGGTGCACAGTCACATGTATATCTATCGGGGAGGAGCCAGAGCCCGAAGCTTGGGGATGTACTTGAGAGAATGAAGTGAAGCCCGTCATTTCCGCCATTTCTTTTGTCTGTTGTGCTTGCCTAGATCCAATATCATTGGTATGGGTTTATTGTACCTTGAAATCATTCCGAAGGTGTAGTAGCCGTAGATCTTGGAGTTTATATTCATCGGCCAGCAAGGAAGACTTGAGTTGTGTCAAAGTAGTAAGGTCCGACTACCCAACCGGGATACTTCTACTTGAGCAGCGCACTGATCGGGAACCTCGTAATAAAACAGACAAGATGCAAGCTATGCATATCATTTAAGACAGATGAACTCATGCAACCAACACCACCCAACACCACCCAACACCACCGTCCCGAACAAGCAAACGCCTCTAATAATACAATCCCAGAAAACCATCTCAAACCTCAAACCTCTGCCCCACGTCTCTTCCTAAGATCAAGATACTTCGCCGCATAATCATTAGCCAGCACCGGATCCCCGGTGAGATGCATAACAGTAGCCTTCTTCGCCATCATCTCCGTCTGGCCCAGAATATCCTCAATCTCCTCATAAGCATCATACGCAGAATCAATATACCCCAGCGCCCGATTAACATACTCTTTCCGAGCCGGCGTACTCTCCTTCCCCAACTTCGCCCACATTTCCCCGGCAATGCCCATATTCGCATCCACCAGCACCGAATACGCGCGCGCGACGAGCGCAGAGTCCTCGCTTTCTAGAATCTGAGGCATAATACTCTGAACCAGCTCGTTCGCTGCGTCGAACTCGCGTAGACTGAGCAGGATAGCGGAGAGGGTGACGATAGATTCCCACAGGTCGAAGAGGACCTTTGAGCGGTGGGCGATGTTGGCCGCACGCATGGCGAGGGAGAAACCTCTTTGTGGCTGGCCTGACTTTTCGAGGATGCGGGATTTTAGACAGAGGAGGCGGATTTGAGAGTGTACGTCGAAGTTTTCGGGTTGCATTGAGTGGGCGGCTTGTTCGAGCATTAAGAGTGCGCGGCCGTGGTCGCCTTGGCGGAGGGTGTGTTCGATTGTGTGGAAGGCTAGGAGGAGATGCATGTCGAAGTCGAGGAGTTGTACGGCTTGGAGTTGCGAGAGGATGTGTTCGACTGCTACTTTATCGTCGCTAGAGGATTGTTAGCGGGATTAGTGATGATTGGGTTGATAATGCTCACCGGCAGATTTGACGCTGTAGTTGGAGAAGGCCTGAGTAGTAGGTCCAGGCGTTGTTGTATTTGAAGGCTCGGAGTCTTTCGGGCTCGATCTTGTTCATGCGCGTAAAGGCTTCCTTGTAATTGCCTTTTTGTACCAGCTGGATATAGGGTTAGCTTTGTCCAGTAATGGGACGAAAGAGCCAACTTACGATTTGGCAATTGCGGAATGTGATTTTGACGAAGTCGTCATATGACTGGCCTTCATTGTAGCATTCGCGGAAGACTTCGGTGTTTAGCCATGAAAGGTGAGTCGCTCCTACCGGAAGTGTTTAGCGGTCATTCATGAGTGAGGTCTCGGGCGTAATTATACCTATCCGAGCATACATGGCGCTCTGCAGCAACATGTACGCACCCGTAGGAGTTGAGAGGCTCTTGGTCACGTTGACGTGTGATGCTCGCACAAATGATTCGACAATAGACGCGAGACTCTCTCCCTAGTAGCGGTCAATATACATGGATCCCTTGAAGTCAATGACAGGGGTGAGCCTACCTGCTGCATTTCCAATTTGGCCTCGCTCAATAATGTTGTACTCATGAGTGACCACATGTCAGTCTCCTTAGACTTGGCCTTGAGGAAAGCGAGACCCTCTTTTTCATTCCCCAGCATACCGCTGTTCTGCACCTCCCGCATCTGCTCCGGAAATGCTTTGCCGAAGTGATAGAGCCAGCTCATGCAAAAGTTGAGGCAATTCATATCATGCGACTCACGAGCAATAGCGACGGCTTCTTGCACAGCGGAGATGGCTTCGTTGAAACATTCAAAGTCAGCTTGTATGATAGCCAGATTCAGAAGCGCAAATTGATATGCGCTTCGGTCAAGATTGCTGTGCATGGTGTAGTCGAAGTATCGATGGAGATTGTCAAAGGCTGATGTATAGTCACCTGCTCGCCAAGCATCCAGGTACCTAAGCTATGTCAGAAGAATCTGCAATACAGAATTTTCAAAAGGACCTACTCCAGGTAATACATGAGCACCGGTACAGAGGACTCGGATGTCATAATGTGTTTGAGCTGGGCCCTCATCCCGTCGGGGACTCTGCCTCCCAGTCCTGTGGTTGTTAGCCTCGGCACCGGTCAATAGGATCAGAACCAGATAGACCTACTCTGTAGCTCTCCAACTTGGAACTCAATCAGACGCTCAGCATCTTTAACGCTGACGACACCCTCATCCTCGTCATCTTCAATGTTACCGTAGACCACCTGGGAAAGGTAGCTGTTGGACTCGTGAAGATTGACATCAATAGGAGCCTGTTCATGGGACGGATTCCTTCGTGCCCACTTATGATACGTAGGCAGGCGGTACTTCACAAAGCCAGACCACAGTTTCACCGAGTCGTGGAATTGCAGCCGAGTGTATTCAAGGTACGCCCTGCGGACAAACGCGCCAAGCGGGGAGCTCCGCGACAACCGCATACCCTCATCCTCCGGAGCGAGACCATTGTCTCTATCCTGCATCAATTGCTCACGCGTCTTGCTCAGCAAGGACGGTAGGACATCGCTAAAGAACTCCTCAAGCGCATCGAGCGAGTCAAGCGACCAGATCTTCTTGAGGAACAGATCCCACAGAGTCCGTCCTGGAACCGAAGACCCATGACCCGAGAGCACCTCCTCAAGCTCGGTGATGCTGGGCAGGTAGTGTTTCTCCCATTGCTTATCGGCGGGATCTAAAGGGAACAAACCCGCGGTCAGGAAGGACAACACATGAATCGCGGACGAATTGGGCACGACGCCATCCGTATAGACGGTGATCAAGCACAGTAGAGAGATCCTCCACGGTGTCAGATAGCGCGTCATGTTCGGCAATGGCGCATCTCGCTGACCAGACAACGAAAAGACGTGTTGATGCGAAGGCGCGTTGATAACTCGATAAGTGCCTGAGGCCATCAGGCCGCGATCGGTGCCCCGCCAAAAAAAAGGCAAAGATGACGCATCGTCGGTTCTCTTCTTTCATTCCTCTTCAATTGAACTGACAATCATGGCTGAAGCTTTGGCAACCACTGATCTACAAGGCGCATTGCCTCTTGTCGCCCGCGGCAAGGTGCGCGACCTGTACAAGGTCGACGACAAGACCCTGCTCTTCATTGCGACTGATCGCATCTCCGCCTACGATGTGATTATGGAAAATGTTCGTCTGCTCCCTTCAATCGACGAGATTGATTACTGACATAGTCTGAACATACAGGGAATCCCTAACAAGGGCGTCCTCCTTACCCTCTGCACCAAGACATGGTTCAAGATCCTGACAGAGACCGTCCCCGGTCTGCGCACCCACTTCCTCACCCTCGATCTCCCTTCCCAGATCCCCGCATCGCTGCGCCCGGTCCTGCAGAACCGCAGTATGCAGGTCCGCAAGCTCCGTATCCTCCCCATTGAGGCCATCGTTCGTGGCTACATCACCGGCTCCGCTTGGAAGGAGTACCAGAAGTCCGGCACTGTGCACGGTCTGGCGGTCCCCGCAGGTCTGCAGGAAAGCGAGGCCTTCCCCAACGGTCCGATCTACACACCAAGCACCAAGGCCGAGCTTGGCGAGCACGATGAGAACATTCACCCTGACGAGGGTAAGTGTGACGCCTGATCTTGCTGTTGATACTGGATAGCTAACTTAGTCCACACAGCCGTCAAGATTGTTGGAGAGAAGTATGCCGCGCGCATTGCTGAGCTCGCTTTGCAGCTGTACAAGGCTGCGCACGCGTATGCTCTGGAGCGCGGTGTTATCATTGCCGATACCAAGTTCGAGTTCGGCGTTGACGAGGAGAACGATGAGGTCGTTCTGGCTGATGAGGTCCTGACCCCGGACTCCTCCCGCTTCTGGCCCAAGGATACCTACGCTATTGGCCGTGGACAGGCAAGCTTTGACAAGCAGATTCTCCGTGACTGGTTGGTCAAGGAGGGACTCAAGGGTAAGGAAGGTGTTCGCATGAGCGATGAGATTGCGCAGAAGACCGCTGAGAAGTATAAGGAGGCGTGGGAGAAGATCACTGGTGGTAACTAGAGCGGGCTATTAGCTGTCTCGCTGTATATTTCGGGGATGTGTCTCCAAAGAGAGAGCATCCTATGTCTTGTTACGAATCAAGGATAAACAAATGAAAATGTCATGTCCAATGTTTTACATGTTTGTCTGCCCGGGCTTTGATGGCAAAGATGGGAGACGTCGCTTAATTAATATACAGCCTGCTGCCAATCGCAGTTTGCAAATCACTCATCCCATTCGGACTTCAAACCCTTCAGACCCTTAGCGTCGGTGCTCTTTTGGTTATCGGTGCCCTTGGACTTCTTGTTACGTTCAATCCAATGCGACTCAACGCCCTCATCAACCGACAGCGCATCCGCACCGCAGATCTGTCGTTCCTCCTCAACTTCCGCCTCACTCATTCCATTCGTAGCCCAGATCTTATGAATGCGCAGATCGAACGGACCCTCAACACGGTCCGTAAGACCAATACCAATACTCTTGATCCGCTGACGAAGGAGTGAAGTCTGCGGTTCAACAACATAGCCATGGTTCGTCCTGACGAACGAATTAAACGGCAGAAGAACAGTCTCCCACCCCGTCCCGCCAGAAGTGGTTGCTGAAGAAGAGGACGAGCCGATGATAGTATACTCAGGCGGGATTTCAGAAAGAGCATCAGGGACGCCTTGCGGAGCAGGATATCCGTCGAGGTCCTCATTTTCCAATGATTGAACGTGCCCGGGTTGTTCCCCTTCTTTCGTATTCGCGTATGCGTTCTGGTATATACGGTGGTGGCGGGTATACAATCTGTGTTGGTGAATATCGGTTTCGATGACAGAGTCCGTCTGGATATTGACGGTGTATCGGCGGCCGTCGGATTTGACGCGGAGGGCGAGGTAAGCGTAGGGGTCGACGTCCCAGTACAGACGGCCGAAGAGCCACATGCCGCGGTCCTTGTTGCGGAAGGCAGCGTATCCTTTTAATCTCAATATCAGCTTCAAGTTCTCGGTTCCGTCGGTTCCAAGTTTTTCTCGATGAATATCGTACCAGTTCTCTCGACGCGCCAGTTATCGGGGAGCTTAGTTGAGATCGAGCCGTGGAATCGAGCGTGTGGCGGCGTGTTAGTCTCAGGGTCTCCAGGCTCGAAATCGACGCTAGCTGTGCTGAATCCGCCGACCACGCGGTCCGCCATGGTCTTGCAGCCCTGGACATCCTCTTTATCTTGGAAGTCGAGCATCACATAGGGTTTGGTAGGAGTGGAGAGAGCTTCGGTGTTCCATGCTGGGATCATTAGCTATTTTCAAGCTGGAGGATCAGGGAGAGGCTACCAATTCTTGAGAGGCGGCCGAGCTCTTCGGCGCTGCGCCTGAAGAAGCCGCTCTGAGCGGATAAGCTCCGAGTGGGAATCATGGTTGATGTGGAGAGTTAGGTGGAGGGAGCAGGGAGAGTTAAAAGAAGCTCGAGGATGATGCCGCTTCCCGAGGTGGCGTGAAGACTGCCGATCTGCCGCGATAAGATAACTCCGAACTACATCTTCCATCTGCCCAGGTGTGCAAAAAATAGTTGGACGGTTTATGGACTATGTAGAAAGCTTCGAGTAAAAGCGCATATGAGGGTCGAGTATCAAACATACCAGCCTTAGATATAGAGGCGGCTCATGACGCGACTCAAAGTGACAGAGCTAAATCTACCTGAGTAGACGTTAGATATAAATTGGAGTGCATTACGGGTCGAAAATTAAGTTGAATATTTGTTATTTCACGATTCTACTACATAATATTGTAAAAGGGTATCGCTCCAAAGTTCACGATCATGTACGCTAGCCCCCAGTGTAGTTAAATACTAGCCGATGGTGTAGAACTGAAAGAGAGAGCAACGCTCTCTAGGCGGGTCAGAGATCAAACTTCATTGGGCAGGTCAGCTCGCTCAGAATTTGCGGCTTAACAGTTCGTATATGCGCCTCTGGGGTATGTATTTTCTTTAGCACTCCTCTTTTAACCGTCATTGCGCATTTATTCCCCCTAGTAAACAGTTCAAAGCCTCAAGTCTCCTAGACATGATTTTGAATGCATGTTGTTGCTGCCCAGGCTTGATGCAGACCACGAAGCTAGCACCGTATCTAACTACCTTTACCCCTTTACTCAAATTTCGGAGACGCCGTAATTTGCTTTCAAAAAGATCAGAGTTCAGCAGACTAAGAGTCTGCCGAGGAAAATTCCATTCCTGTTTTGAAAGCCGGTAGCTCGGGACCAAAAGAATTTGTATGACAAGCTCTGAGGTCATAGGTGACAGGAGGGACGGAGGAATTGGCTTTGCTGATGTACCCCTGATTTCTCACTGTTTTGTCCATGGGTGGGTATGTACATCCCTCGAATTTCACTCAATTTGTATTGATGTATGAGAATTACAGCCGTACGAGGGATGCACCTGTCATGTTCTACTTTTGTAACTCGAGCTTGACATTCTATAGTTGTCCTTGACCATGGTCGAGTGTAGCTGCATGACCGCAACTAAGCGGTTCTGGATGAGCTGCGCCGAGGAGTCACCCCTGTCAAAACATGGAACCATGGATTCCACTGTAGATTCCAACTATTCAGAGTTCCTATACGGAATATAGCCGGCCGAAATTGCATATTTCCCTGCTACGTATCTGTAGTCGGAGGCCTCACAACGGTATGGTACTGAATGAAATTGACCCCCAAACCCTCAACCCCAGGACCTAGCCATGGGTCAAGGGCTATTTTCACAGCTCGAAGAGACGCGGACCACATGTGGATAAAAGGGTTTAGTTCTGGCTGTGCTAAGATAGCGAGACTCAAATAGTCGGCGGAGGAAGACTCATGATGCTGATAATCCTTTCTTTTCTTCATACTTTCTACACATCCTCATCTTATAAACGGCCTTCCTGGCTATCTACACTCGCTATTAATCTCATTTCTGATTGAAAGCCACATCACATACACCATTTGGCACAAAAACATACCCACAAGATGACCAAACAGCCGTTTGTTACCCATGTTGGGACGCAATACGCTCGCCGAGGAGATCGCATGCAAGAGGAGCCCTCCGCTAAAAACGCACAGGGCCTGTTCTCTCCTGATGCGTGTATCTTCATTGGAAAGTAAGTGCCTAAGTTTATAAAATGAACACCTATGTGCTAACCGTGTTCCAGTCTCTCGACCAAGGTCCCGGCCGAGCAGCTGGCCGAAGATCTTAAGAGGGTCTTCTTGCAGTTCGGCCCTTGCCATGTTAAGATTAAACAAGACAAAAAGAGAAATCTACCCGGTGCTTTTGTGCAGTTCGAGGTATGATGCGTAGTTCCCGTCTATGAATGGATTAAGCTAATAGACGAAAGCGAGTTGAGGATGCTAACGCAGCCTTAGAATGCGACCAAAGCACAGAACTACATGGCCGTTATCTAAGAGTTGAGAAAGCAAAGGGAAGACGTAAGCATAAGTCGCACTTTCCAAACTCTGTGTTCTGGACTGACAACAGTAGGAACGGCTCTTCTCGGTTTCCGCTCTGGTGCGCCCATCTCCGAACAAGAAGTGTTATCTGTCCTGGGAGGACGTGGTGTTCTTGAGGCTTGGACTACCGAGTCCCATCAGTCTGGAAATTGGTTTTCCAACGTCGGTAAAGTTACCTTTGCCTATGTTGATGACTGCAAAGACGCCATCAGGGTGAGCACCTCCCTCCCTCGTGCGGACCACAACTCACATATCTCCAGCATTTCTCCAAGGACCATACGTATTACCTCTCACTTCTCGACATGGATGGAAGCCCTCTCAAGCCTGGCTCCGGGCCGACGAGTGAACCGCCTCAGACGAAACCATACAACTTGCACCAGTCATTCCGGGGCAATCATCCCCAGCGAGGATTCAACGGTCGTGGAGGGCATCGCAATGGACCTCCACGAGGTGGCTATCGCGGGTATTCCAGGTATCGCAACTCCCAGTACCACCAGGAAAACATGCATCCTCGGGGTGGGTACGAGAATAGCCATCATCGTGGGGGATATAACAATGGTTCCAGCATGGTCCACGAAATACCATACGGTGATCACCCACCCCTTTTACCCTCATCCACCCCCAAACAATGGCTTTGCATCTCCTCCGTTCATCATCCATGGTCAGCCGATGTACGGCAATCCTTTTTCATCTGGTCTCTCCACCCCCCATCCCCCACCGGGAACCTTCCCCCCCAAAGGCAACAATGGTCCATTCATCGTGGGCGGCCAGCCGATGTACAGCCCTCATCCACCGGCTTGCTGGGGCGAACCTCACCAGCAAAGCAATGGATATTATAGTCCTTCATTCCATATGCCCAATTACTCCGAGGGATACTTCAGCCCGGACCTGGGGTACAGTGAGCCCCATCCTCAAGATGTGAACCTTCTCACGGTTCCGCATAACAACAACAAGGTCACGCCGCCTAGTACCATTGTCACGGTCAAGGAGGATGACAGGTCGTGCACGAGCGCTGAAACAGCCACGGAGGACGAAACAGACAAGAAGCCCCGAGAAAAAGAGAGCTTCGAGCCAGAGGGAGATACCGAGATCGAGAGCGAGAAAAAGACCGGAAACAAGGCAGAGACCAAGCCTGAGACTAGGACCAAACCCGAAGAGGATATTTTTAGCCTCAAGGACCGCGAAAGGCCCAGACTGATCCGTGTCCACGACTCAGACACTGAAGATGAAGGGTCTGATGACGATAAAGACACATCTTCATCAGACCCAGAGACCAAGTCTGAGCCAAAGTGTAAGTGTAAGTGTAAGTCCGAGTTCACAAAACAACCTCATCCCGTCCCAGCTATGGCAAAAGTAGCAGAAGAAGTTGACGAAGACTACACGACCCCTGAACCCACCTCGGAGTCTGACACGACGCCTGAGACCACTCCCGACAAGAAGGAGGAGAAGGCTTCTCGCACGGACAACATGCCCAACGAGTCATATGTTCTCAGAGACTGCGTTAGCAGCTCAAGTCCCCAGACTTGCATTCGCAGACCTGTTGATGAGGAATACCAACTGCGAACCGGCAAGACTATTGGGGAATACATTCGAAAAGGAGTCGAGGGTCTCCAAGGCGATTACCCTAAGGAACTGATGGAAGTCGTAGCTCGCGAAATAGCAGCAGAAGAGCAAGAAAAGGAAAAAACGAGAAAAGAGTCTCAGGAACAAGAGCTAGAGAGCAAGGGAGGGTTGGTAGTGTAGTCCGCTTTCGACCTCACGGAGCGGGTCGATAGCGCGGAGCTTCTCGTCCAAGTTCACTTGATGGAATTATTAGGGATATTGCGCTTTTGTCTTGAAAAACCAGTGGTCTTCTGCGTTATTGATGTGGTTGGTTTATTTGTTTATCTCGTTGCGTGTGATTTCGCAGGTGTGCTTGACATTGTATTAGGTATGGAACATGGTGCTTCGACATTGCAGGTCCGCAGTCGCACCCGGATTTATGCCAGGACCGGAATGGGAGGATATAGCTAGACAAGATTTTTACATTTATAGAATTAATTCCAATATACTCGTGGACTGAAGAATCTTTTTCGAACGTAGTAACATCAAGCTAGCTGTTAGATAGCCTCGGTAAGTCGTCCGCCACAGCCAAGGGGAAGACGTATACGTATTCTATTTGTTAATATTGTTGACTACCATGTCTAGATTGCATGATTCAAGATTAAAACGAGGATGTTACTCTGCAATATTCTGCCGCTAAGAGCGGCTTTGAGATTTCAATCGATTTCCGAGAAAGTATGGTCGCCGTCGTCGTGTAGTTAAAGCCGGCTTGAGAGTCGGCCTTAACTACACCATCAGGCGCTTTTGACAATAGAAATAATTGCTAAAAAAAAAGAAGAAGAGCGGAATAGCGCCTTTGCCACGACAGCGCTCAGCCAAGCACAGGCTCGGCAAAATTGGCTGTGGCTTGGCTGGTACGTATGAACCTTGGGAATTGTAGATTTGATTTACCCAGAATAGGCAGGGCATCAACGTGTTCTTTTCTGGGCCCGTCATTGCCTTTCTTTTGCGGCTTGGCTAGATAGAGTCTTCTCGAAAAATCTTATTTAGGTAAAGATATCGTGACTAGTCCAAGAACAGCATCCTGAAAGATTAGGCTAGGGCTTCCCCTGAACACTAGTCGGAGTCGGCCGTGCTTAGGAAAATTCAGTTGCCTATACGTATACGGAGTACAGATGTCTGACCTAATTGTCTAAAAGTAACCACTCGTATTAGGCGAGAAGACCAATTACGACGCACAATTCGTTGAAAGGATGAAACCCCCCGCAACCACCAACTGCGGTAGTACCCCAGGAGAGCCTCCAGGGATCCCTGAGTAGTGGATCAGGCACGTGGCTAAATCTAGCACCTCACCGGGAAAGGAAAGACGCCCTGAATTTACGTATGCAGGGTGGGCTCAACCTGTCACCCCTTTAGACGTGGGCGGGGCTGGAGCGGCCACAATCTAGATGGAGACGTAAAGTGGCAGATCTATTCGCCTCTTGTCTCACCGTCGGCTCAGTGCGAGCGTTTTGCGTTTAAGTGGTCCCTCGTACCCGTACCAGATTTATTAAAAATGGATAGGGCCGTGCCAAGGGTGGTCGGGGGGGTTTCGCCACTGCGTATCTAAGGTCGACGACCGTTATCGAGGGAATACGAAGGCCCACTAGCACTTTAGCAATTTAGCAAGTAATCTCTGTCTCGAGGCACAGACACCTGCCACTAGAGGAAGAAGGGAAGCTAGTTTTAGCGAACGGATCAATTCAATCTCCGACCAGGGGAGACGTCTCTAGGTTTAAGCTTGTTCTAACTCAGCGAGTCAAAATCCACGAGATTTGGATACGCGTCGGCTCAGGCCCACTCAACGAATCATATTAATCTGGCATGGCATTCGCTGGGGCCTTCGACGCAGAGACATGGCCCATAGACGCCACTATGGACGGACTACATGCCTCTCCACTATTGTTCTACCATATTCCCCTTACAACATCCCCATGGGATGGACTCCGTGTCCACAATTGCCTCCCAAGTGGCCCACTACGCCGTACACTGCCCCCTTTGGCTTTTAGATCGAGGGGAAGGAGACGTCTTGCGTTATGGCGCTAGTTTTAGGTACCAGAGTAAATGGGAGTTCGCTGGTAGGGAGTAAACGTGCCCCATAACTACCTTGTCTCTATATTTGCCTGCACGGTCACTTGTTTCCCATGTGATCTCGCGTAGCTCCATTGTTCCAAATAGTCTTAGATAGTTTCAATCTTAAATTCTTTATCTATCTGACCCTCTTCCTCTTTTAACAATCTTAAAATTCCAATCTCTGAAATCTCTAAACAGAATCTCCTGCAATATTGGTCTGGGTATCTCCACATATCTCGTCAACCACCGCAGATGAGCAAGACAGCTACCCGGGCTTCGGCCAGGGACAAAGTCCTCTCGAGGCGCGAGATTGAAGGCATGATTGCCGACAACAGATCAATCATCATCGTCGACGGTAAAGTGCTACGACTGGATGGCTGGATCAAATTTCACCCCGGTGGCTCCTTGGCCATCAGGCACATGATTGGCAAAGATGCCACAGATGAAGTCAATGCGTAAGCATCCAATTCGTTTTATTACTTGCGAATGTACTGACGGCATAAAGTCTCCATTCACAAGAAGCACGTCAACGCATGAGCAAGTTCCAGATTGGCTCCATCGAGGGAAGATGGACCAACTTTCTTCCTCCTATCCAAGGCGGCCAATTCCGCCCATACAACGGCGATGATGCTGAAGATGGAGACATCTCGAGCTCAGACCTATCTGAGGAGGTTTCACCTCCACCATCTCCCATTTTCGACGCAGACGATTCCGGGTTAAGACGCAGGCTATCGATCTCTTCCCTATCCTCCGCATTCAGCAGCATACCCCCGCCAACAGAAGAAGTCAGAACCGAAGAATCCAAAGGAGCCTACGTGATGGACGCTCGGACTCAGGCCGAGATCCTGCTGGACGAATCCAAGTATCCTCCTCTCACAGCCGAGTACCAAGAAAACATCACTCAGAAATACCGCCAGCTCAACGAGCGCATTCGTGCAGCAGGACTGTACAACTGCAACTATTTCGCCTATGCCATCGAAATATCCCGATACAGCCTCCTCTTCGGCCTCTTCCTCTTCTTCCTGAACCGATCCTGGTTCTGTCTCTCGGGACTCTTCCTAGGATGCTTCTGGCATCAACTAGTCTTCTCCGCCCATGATGCTGGCCACATGGGTATCACGCATAACTTCCAAGTCGATACCACCATCGGCATGATTATCGCAGACTACCTAGGCGGCCTCAGTCTAGGCTGGTGGAAACGAAGCCACAACGTCCACCACATCGTGACCAATTCCCCAGAACACGATCCCGACATCGAGCTGATGCCCTTCTTCGCTTTATCTCATCGCTTTTTTGATAGTCTGCGCAGCACATACTACGACCGGATCATGGCATACGATGCCGTCGCTCAGGTCACAGTCAAGTACCAACACTACCTCTACTATCCAATTCTCCTCTTTGGCCGCTTCAACCTCTACTTCCTAAGCTGGGAACACATCATCGTCGGCCGCGGACCCCGCCACGGCGCCGGCTGGTGGCACCGCTGGTTCGAGCTTGCCGGCCAAATCTTCTTCTGGACCTGGTTCGGCTACGGTGTCGTCTACCTCAGCATCCCAAGCTGGTGGAGTCGGATTGCCTTCGTTTTGATCTCCCACATGGTCACCGCACCGCTGCATGTGCAGATTACCCTTTCGCACTACGCGATGTCGACAGCCGATCTTGGCCCTCGGGAGTCTTTCCCGCAGAAGATGCTCCGCACTACCATGGACGTGGACTGTCCGACCTGGTTGGACTTTTTCCACGGTGGACTTCAGTTCCAGGCTATCCACCATTTGTATCCTCGTATTCCGAGACATAATCTGCGCAAGACGCAGCAGTTTGTTAAGGAGTTTTGTGAGGATGTGAATATTCCGTATGCCGTTTTTACCTTCTACGATGGCAATAAGGAGGTTATTAGTAGACTTGGACATGTTGCTAAGCAGGCGCGGATTCTGGAGGAGTGTCGGAAGAAATGCGCCGAGCAGGGTGTTTTTGCGGATCATCATCATTCACACTAGATGCTCGCTTGATGCGAGACTGGGTTTGGGATAGGGGCGTTCAATCGAGAATTCAAGTACTTTAGATCTATACCTAAATTCTACTATGCTTTTATTTTACCAAAGATCCGTTTCCCGTGTCGTGCGTGACAGTCCCGCATATACGTAAGCTCTGAGTCTGTCTTTCATATCGTTCCTTCAAATCGTCTCAATCGCTTGGTCATTGTCCGATCGATATCCTCGAATGGCCTTTTCGCCTCCAACGGCTCTGATGAAAAGAGTCGATAGTCAGATAGCCCAGTCACCCCCTTGGATTCCCACCCGCCGTCCTCTGCAGCTGGAGTGATCGCACCTTTCACGTATGTTGTCTGTAGTCTCATAAAGCGTGCATCTCGGCTGCTTACGAAAGGCGCCAGGTCGAATGTATTTTGCCTCAAGTCATACCCTCTCTGGACTTTGCGGTTCATATGAATTTGGACCCTTGAGCTTCCATCCAAAGGTAGCTGAATCACCGAATCATAATCTTCAGAGGAGCCGATGCCCGGAAACTCGATGACCTTCAGGCTTTGAGAAATTGAATTCTCTTGGTCTTCACGTCTTTCGAGCTCTATTTGCAGACTGGATCCAGATGTTGTTTGCATTGTGGATCCGTTCGTCCCTAAATGAAAGTGACGATGCCCTATGACGTGTCCAGGCTGGAAATTGAATTCTGAAACATCTGTACAGCCGATGCGGCTTAGTGAGGTGTCGACTGCTTCTTGGACCGAGCAACCAGAATTCGATTCCGATGAAAGAAGATGGTCGGGTATAGGGATGACTTGGCTCTGCGTGCGAGTATTCGAAGGCGTATCCATGGGAAGTAGAACATACTTGCCGCAGCTCGAGAGAAGAATGTCTCTCGGCTTATCGAATCCATGTTGATTGTCTACCGTGGTCACTTGCCGTGAGTTCCCTAATGATCGAAATGATTAGAAAAATGGGCCTTTGGTTTGAATGACAAGACGCACCTTGGCCAAACTCCCAGAAATGAAGGGCATCACAAGCGAAGAAAATAAGTAAATCATCTCTCGGGTGGAAGACAGATAACAGTCGATGTTCATGACCGAAGCGGGTGCTAACATTCAATCTGGAGACATATTGCATCTTGCCAGAAGGCAAACTGCGCAAAACGACGAGGTCTTTCTTCTTACTGTGATAGACAAATTGGCTGAGGAGAACGTATTTCTCATCAGAACTGAACGTAAACCTGTAAGAATACCAATCGTGATGCAGATGCCGCAAAAATGGCGGCAGACCAATAATGGTCTCATCTTGCGACTCAAAAGGCTGAAGGTCCGCATCCCAATAATGATGATTTGCTTCCTGGAAGCTCATATCAATCTCTGTTGATTTGCACCATGTTGCCTCGACCGTGAACATAGTTCTGAGAACGATGAATGAAACCAAAGAGGGGCTGATGGCGAGAGGAAAGGACGTTTTCCATTCATCAGTGAACTCCTCCCGGAATGACTGCCGCATCAGTAGAGAAATTTCCTTTTCTTCCAAAGATATTTGGCATCTGTGTTTTCTTTTGCTCTTGATCCAAATCTCATATGTTGCAGTCCAGCCTGAGCACAGGTGTAGCATTGAAGATAACGATCCTCCAGACTCTAGCTTTCCCCAGCTCTGTTCAAACGCACTGGAGGGCCAGATACTGAGAATTGCTGTTCGGGTGCAATCCGGCGAGGTCTCGGAAATTGTACAGAGAGATCGGGAGCTTGCCGAGATATTCTCTGGCTGCTTTGATATGAGAGAGCTCGCAGAAGACGCAGTGCTGGGCTGGAGAAATTGTGACTGCGAGAATGCGGAGACCTCATCCCAGATAAGGCTTGGGTCAGACTTCAATTTGGTATCCCAGTGGTAGATGACGTTTTGCATGTCTGCAATGAAGGCCTTCAAATCACATACCAGACGTTTGGCCTTTTCGGGGGATGGAAAATGGATCAAGTTCGGGTCTACCCATTCCACCCAAGCGGCGAGGCCATCCAATTCCAGAGGAGAATGGATATTGTCCGACATGAGCATGCTATGACTATATGTCTTCTCAATCCAGTTGGAAATCGCGGCTGGAGTCCCTAGAAATTTGTGGCAGGCTTGTATCACTGCCTCTGCATTCTTCTGCCATTCCATCTTGATAGAAAATGACGGTGTTGATAGGAAGCCCTTTGTCTCGCTCAAATGGAATATGACGAATTCGACGGCATAGGCTGTGAAAGGTCTGGGAAGGCCAGCCTCAATCTCTGATTTTTGGACCAGTTCACAAAAACACTTTTTTGCAAGGTACAAGTGTGCGATTTCTTTTGGTGGAATCAAAGAATTGCGACATTGTGTTGAGCTGAAGGCATCACCTCCAATTTGGGTGAAGTATTCTCGCACGGAAAGATGGATGAAATCAACATATGTTTCTGCACCTACCGTACGGGACTCTACCAGACCTTCGCAGACAAATGAAACTGTCTCGATTAAATCCGTGGCCTGGCGCTCTTGAGCATCGAAGTCCTCTGCATCTTCAAAAATAACAGAGCGCAGCTGGGGTGTATCCAAACGTTTCTTTGCGTGAGTCAACCAAATGAAGACTTGACTTGCGAGATCACGCTCAAGCCTATTGTGGCATTGGATGAGACAAATGATGCGTTCATACATAGCCTCAAGTCCTTCTGGCATGACAATGTCCTGAATTGTTCGTACTCTGCGCGAGGGGGTGAAGACCGGAGACCGCAAGTAAGAGATCATCAGATGAGCCCAAAGAAACATCCCGTCGGCGCCTTGAACCATATTCTCAGCCAGAGACGGAATGTGTGCCCTTTTAGGAAGCATGTCATCCTCGAAAAGGGTTTCAAGTTGATGTTTCAGATAACGAGCGATGTCCTTGCTCACCAAGCTTCGTTCCATCTCTTTTTGCCGGTCATTTGCAACCATCTTTGAAAGACAAAGAAGGTTGCGACGACTTAGGAGTACGAATTTGCAATTGGACAAGATATTCACCTGCAAAAGCAGAAGCTCTGTCAAGAGAGAGTCGTTATCGGAACACTCGTCTAATCCATCTAGTAAGAACGTTGAGCCCGCAAGCTTGATCATACACAGCTGAAGCAGCTCAAACATCTCAGCCGGGGTCGCGATAATTTGGCCACTTGGTGAAGTTTCGTAGGCAAATGCAAAAATATCGAGAATCTCTTCGTCATGACGAAAAGCGTTGAGGATTTGAGACAACAGTGATCTATAAGCAGCTGCTCGATGATTTTCGGTTGGCTGAGCTTGCCGGAAGAAGAAGTAAAACAATGGTGTTTGATCATCTTGGGCGATGGATTGAAGCTCTTCAACAATGAACGATGCAAGCACCGTTTTGCCTGAGCCGGGATTTCCTATTCGTATATTGTCAGTGCAAATTGATCGCTTTGCCGTGCATGTGGAGTTCATACCATGAATCCAAAACACGTTCGAGTCGAACTTCCGCTTCTTTGGTGTAATTTGAGGACTTTCATTGACCCCCTTCATCCAATTCCGGAAGTTTTCGTCCTCTAGGATCCAACAATTTGTCCCTTCTTGTCGCCCAATATGCGCTTTGTGGAGAATTTCCGCAAATTGCGGCGCAGCCAGCCACTTGGATATGCGATACGATGTCCTTTCTGCATGGATTTAGCTTTTGTTCATAGTAGATCATCCTTCCGTAGATCCAGATATAACAACCTTTCTGTTCCCGTAAAAGCTCCTCTTTTACCCACTGCGAGTCAGAGGAGGTATCCTTTGCTCTTATCCTGGCCCGTTCACGCTCTTCTGCAGCAAATTTTCTCTCTTTCACCGCTTCGACCTCGATCGATTCGATGCTCTCAGCTTGGAACAATTGGACATCCAAGCTTAGAAGCTGGCGATGATGTGTCATTCGAGTGAGTAGCTCTTCAAAGAATAAATCAAAGGGATTCCAGAAAAGCACGCCGATCGCCGTTGAAGTTCTTTTGAGTTCTGCGATCATAGATCAGACTCAATTGATCATTAGGGGGATAATGGCTGCGCTTACTTCCTTTTTTATTCGTAAAAACACGGGCCACTGCCTGAAGGAATTGAAGCAGATCGACATAGAGTTCCTCCAGGTGTTTTGTCATTGTAGCAGTTGCTAGGCCATGGTAATTACACAATCGAGCAATCTGCTCATACTGCGGGAACGCGTCCGTCAAGCGTTCAATGTTCTGTATTAATTTGTCGAAAAACGTCACATAGTTGCTGGCAAGCTATAGAAGTCGATCAGCGACGCAATCTGGATGTTTAGTCTTTCGCTGCGGTGACTCCACCTACCTGCAGCACGAGTCGAATTGATCCCCACACGAAGGCCGCTTTTGAAGGATCTGCTTGAATAAATATTGACACAACATCAAAGTACGGCTGAAGACGGTCCGAAAACGATTTAATGGCCTTTAGGACCCGTGTCCCTCGGTGATTTTGGCCTTTCTTGGAGATAAAATCGAGCTTTCGTAGTCCGTCGAGGAGATCTTGAGACGATGCACATGGCGAGTATTTTTGGCGGTCTTCCTTTGATAGGGTTTCCAAAAAGCGTGAAAACGCATCTTCAAAAGCCTTGTTATTGCTAGATAAGGCAATCGGTCAGTTTGGAAATGTATGTATCCTAAGTCTCACCGCCACTCTCAGGTTCTTGGGTTAAGTTACCTCCTCACAGTCATGGAGCATTTCTCCTCAACAGCACAGAACATGGTGTTGGGAAGCCAAAAGCTCGTATCTGAAGCTTTTGCAACAATTTCCTTGGGCTCCAGCTTTGGCGTTGTGGTTTTCTATTATTCCGTCGCCTACAGAGTAAACACCAATTGTGGCTGAGCCTAACACAGCCTCCTCTGGAGTCAGCTATGGCTGTGTTACTTTCGCTGTTTTGTCATCCATGCAAGGTGATAGTGATAGGGAAAAGGCGTGGCCCAGTTAAAAATAGCCTCAAAAGTACCCATCTTCAGCACGTAAATTACCGTCACTTGCAATTAGCGTTACTATGCACCCTGCCAATTCTATGACCACTGGAAGAGACTAGGGAACGATATAGGGTATATCTGAAACGCAAAGTTTTCAGTGACTTATCCAGAAAAATGATTTAAGAAGCCGGTGATAGCTAAGATCACGCCGATCCACGAGCAGATCTACTGCCCTAAGCAGCCTTTGAACCAACCGTTCCCTCGTTCATGCTAATCCGAGCATCCTCGACAATATCTTCGTCTTTCAAACTGGAACATTCACTCTTCCAAAAACAGAGAAAAAACAAACACCCAGCTACAAAGCCAATAATAGCAAGAGATCCATACATCCAGACCAGATATGGGTCCTGAGATACTGGGCTCAACCCAATGCAGATAGCAGCGGCGATTCCAATAGTCAGCCAGAAAAGAGCCGAGATCACGGATCTCAGACTATACCCGTTAGCACCTATCTCAAATACTTCAGCAGTCAAGTGTGAAGTAACTCACTTCTTTGGAGCATGCGTAAACGCCACCTCAAGCCCTGTCACAATAACAAAAGCCTCTGAAAAAGCAACAAGCACATAAGCCGGAGCTTGGATCCAAACGTGGATACTATTTGACGGAGACATGTAGATGTAATGCTGCAAAACGCTCGCGTAGACCATTGAAAAGGACGCAAGCAAGAACCCAGTGAAGATTCGGCGCACGGGGCTGAAATCGATCTTCCACTTACGAAGAAGAGGATAAAATCCCACTTGAAACAATCAGTATATGATTATTGAACAAGCAAAAAGCAAGAAACTTACAATCCAATAACGGAATGAAAATACACAATGCAATCGGATCCAAATTCTGTAAAAGATCATTCGGAGTCCCATGCAAAGCCATCTGCCCAGCTTGTGAGATGAGGTTATTCCAAATCTGAATCCAGCAAATGAAATAGAACGGGAAGAAAATGAACATCTATTCACTTCAGCTGTATACCATTCATGTTTTTCTACACCAACTCACCTTGCAACTCATAAATCCCCTCCTGACATCAGAAACATACTCATCCGTATACCGAGCCTCCATCGCAAAAGGATATCTATCCAACCTACCCGATTCACTCAAAGCGGACGGTGTAGCGTTTCTGAAATGTTTCTCTTTCCGAACGATATCCAAAACCCCCCAGGCATCAATTATAGGAGAACCCCGTGGTGGAATCTTCACGTAGTATTTCTGTCCCGCCAGAAATACAATCCCAGCGAGGATGATAGCTCTGTTATAAGTTAGAACCCCCACCCCTACACACCTTTTAAACACCAATGGAGACATCTCACATGAGCGGAATCAAATAAGCCAACCAAAATGAAACATCCGCTTCAACATTAACCGTAATCAGAGGCGAAAGTGCACCGACATTAACCACCCAGTAAAACCACATGAATAGCCTTTCAATGGTTAGTTCTGGATCGACGACCACTCGTTCTCCTGAATCAAGTGTCTTGATCATAGGTTCGGTGCTCTGATACTGTTCCGCGCACATCGGAGTCACATTCGCTTTGATACCACCTGTTCCTAGACCGATAATTATCATTGCGGTGATTAGGCCGCAGTAGCCCGCGCCGGAGTTTATTGCTGCCGGTGTTGATGTCGTGACTAGAATTATCAGGCCGACGATGTAGATCCCGAGGGAGAGAGTTATAGCTTTAAATTTCCCGAGGTATTGGTCTGTATTGATTAGTGAATTTAGTCATTTGGTTTCGGGCACTTGATTGGAACGCACCGGCTATTATTGCGCCTATGACCGTTGATGCGTAGGCCCAGAATTTGAAGAAGTTTCCTAGGGCCGAGGCTATAGCTTGGCCTTTGCCCAGGCCTCCGGGGAGGTCTGAGCCTGGGTCATAGGGATTGCTGTTTATGGGGTATCAGCAAGGTTGTATATTGTGGTGTTGGGTCTTTACTTGATATAGTTTTGTATTGGGCCACTTAGCCCAAAATATGTGAATCGTTCGCCAAGCTGTGAAGGGTTTAGAATTGTTTCCCACATGTGTCCATTGAATCAAAATACCTCGACGACGAGAATCCATAGTGCGACTGTAGGGAATTTATCAGGGACGCGACGAAGTCCATTCGTTTCTGATGGCGCAGGGGCCAAGCCAGAGGGTTTATGAACATCTTCTGGCTGATCCATGTCGAAAACGCAGGTTAACACTTCGAAGAACCCACGACTGTAGATGACATCGTGAAGAATTCCAGTCCAGCCTTGGAGATCATGAATGACCCCAACAACCCCCGCTGATAGCAGAGCGGGGTACTTCAACTTCCAATTTGATCAGATCTTATCATGTCGCTCAATGTCTGATTTAGGCTGTGCAATTCAGTTCATTCTAAACTGTCAATATACGAAGGGCTATGGCTCAGTTACAAAAGGGCATCTGTAAGTAGATGTAGAGTGTATGTCAACACATGGCTATGTGCTTGAAGAACAATCTCAAGATGATATTCAATCCATCAATGCGGTCTCCATCTATGTATACCGCCTAATTCACAGTGAACAAGACTCCAAAGAAAACTATTGATAGAATAACCCAGGCCCAAATCCGCCATGAATTGGAAATGTATATAAACCCACTCAATGCTATGCTAAACCCCAGGCGTACAAATTGAACCCAGCCCAACAACACCGGGATATGAAAAGATGAATGTATATACAAAAACAAAAAATACGATACCTCAAAAACGAATGCCCTGTCAATGCGTGCATGACAAATAAATAGAAGCAGTAACCCCGCGAAACAGCAGGAACAGAAATGAAAAATCGAACCCCAAATGGCAATGTGATGTGATGCAGTGCAAGGCTGATGCGTGGATGCTAGCATAGGATAGGAAAGGATGACATGTAGGGTGAGTATGGTTGGATAGGGTAAATGTGGCGTGGAAGAGGAAGAGGAAGAGGGAGGAGGAGTGGTATAGCACGTGTTATTTAGACCCTAACGCGTCGCGCATCGAAGTAGGCCAAATTCACGGCCGTATCATTAACGCCCACGAAAGGTGCCGCGTCTTCCAAAAGCTCCCAAGGTCGAATGGGATACGGACCAACTATCCGACCACCACGTTGAAGACGAAGCCGACTCATGCAATCCGAACCTTCGCTCGCTCCAGCAGACAGTGCCGATGAAGTTGGTGGTTGCTGCGTGCCTCCCGAAGTAGGGAAAGTGGCAGGCGATTGGGTGGGAGTTGACGTGGACGCAGCTGGAGAGGGAGCTGAAGCAGATTGGGCAAGCGCAGCAGCGTGAGAATCCGCCATAGGGCCCAGGAGATAGAGGAAACGAGAGTCATTTTGGAGCGGGACAAATGGGGGACATTTCTCTTTGAGGAAGCGGGCGCATTGGTGGCGGACTTCGTCTGGGAAGACGTCGATTAGAGAGGCGGCGACGTCTAAGGCATGGGTTTGGAGCAGGATGCCTGGGCAGGGGCGGTAGTCCTCGACGGTGCTGGAGCGGGGAAAGTAGTCAGCTCCTGGGAAGAGGCGGAGTACGTCGCCTGGAAGTCGAGATAGAGCAATGGAGAATATTGAGATTAGGAGGCGAGACTGATCGTGGGTGGAGTGAATCTTCAGGGTGGGAGAGGGCTGCATGAACGAAGCACGGTGGAGGACGACCATTCTCAAGAGGGCGGAGAACCAGAAGGCGAGAGAGCGTTCGAAATTGGTTCGTGCTTGAGTGGCTGTGAACCCGGAGTGTTGTTCGCCGGTATTTAAATTGGGTTGCAAGGTGATGATCTTGTGAAGAAGAGCGTCCATCTTCTCCACGATAACCGAGGCAACTGGAGGATTTCCGGACTCTGGAATGCTGCCAGCCAGCTGCTCAATGATGGTGAGGTATAGCTTGGCTGAGTTCAAAGATGAGGCACCATGTGGCGCTGTAGTGTTATCGTTAGGCTCTTCGAGTAGCGGGATAGCAAAAAATTCCTTCTCGGCACGTTCGCGAATCTGGCGTACGGCGTCTGGGTTCATGAGCGCAACGAGATCGACCCAATTGAGGTTTTGTGCATAGGAGCTTGCCACGACACTCCTGAACATCGTATCCACGATACTGTTACGATCCTCGTTCTCCGGATTCCCAGTAAACAACACTTGAAGCTTCAACTGGCAGAACGGAAGCGAGAAATCATCCGTTGTACCAGCGAGCTTCTCAACCTCCGAGATCACTGAGTTTCCTTCCTGCGAATCAACCCCAAGTAACAGATCAAGCGCCTTTTGAAGAATACCCATGGCTGCTGGGTATTGATCAACAAGCTTTTGCATGCATTTCTGGTCAGCACATTTAGGGTTCCGCACCAGTAGTTCCCTCAGCAGTTCTACCATAGCGGCCTCCAAATTGATTAGCTTGCTATCGCCACCATTGAGAGAGGCCGCAGCATTGCAGACAATTCCCAGTGCTTCCTCAGCGTTCTTAGAAAGGAACTCCTGTTGTGCCAATTGAAATCGATAGGAAACCAGGTCAAGATACGTGCCATTATCAACACGAGACACGAGAAGCTCGACAAGATCCGCAGGTAAATCTTGCGCAGTGGGAATGGCCGCTGATGAAGACCGAAGTCTCTGAACCAGGGACAAGAACGACCTAATCGTAACGCATCCGACTCCAATCAAAGGTGGAAGCATACGGAGCAAAATGGTGCGATCTGGAGATCGGAGATGACCACAAACCCAGCGAGCAAGTATTCCATCGAAATGCTTTGGCTGGAAAGAGCGCAGCTGTGCCAGATAGCGACAGGTGTCGTTAGCAGAAAGTTTTGCCTTGCCATCGTCGGACTCCAGGTGCTTGGTCAGAGTGTTGAAGATTGAGTCCAGAGTAGGCTCGTCCATGACATTCCCAGATAAAAGCAGATGGTCCAGTTTCTCACGGAACAAGGGGTCTGTGTCGACAAAAGCGTCGGGCATATGGTCTGATACTGGTGAAGATGCAGCCATCATCGACTTATTTTCCATGCGAGAAAGGTCCTGGCGAAGAATGGAAACGGTATTGAGCTCATTGGGGATCCGGAGACCGAGTTCAATCAGCGAGAACATGAGGTCTAGACTGGGTGTGCTGAAGCGCTTCAGGCCTGCATAAGCATCGACCAACTTGCGGAACAGGTCGGTGGTGGCACCGATAACGGACAGTGAGTCAAACTGGCAGTTTGTGGTATCGGCAACGGACGCGAGAACGGTACTGTCATCAGAACTTGAGGCACACTTCAACACATCCGCCAGCATAGAGATGTCACCAAATGTCTCTAGAATGTCGCGGACGCTGTAGAACTCGTCCGGCGTCAGTGCAGAAACCGATAAACCAGCATCACCTGGAAGACTGGCTCGGATAGTCGTAGTTTCGCGAGTATGTTCAGCAACCCCGCGTCGGAGCCACTGGCCGATTTGCCCCTTCACGGCCCAGGTCAAATTTACTGGCAAGGACTTGAGCGACAGGTCATCATGCATATCCACATCAAAGATTTCCGGAAGGCGTAGGCTTATGATATTCTTGACATCAGCAACCATTGCAGTCTCATCCGATACAGAAAGTCCAGTGCGAGCCAGCAAAGTGCTGCGCAGATTCGAAACGTGTTCTGGGAGACGACTGATGGGTAGTTCGGCGATCAGCCCAATATCGCAAGGCAGATCGTGCGCGGCTTGCCCCTTGCCTGGAGAGTGGCTCGTAGCACCCTTTGCCATCAGCCATTGCAAGTACCGACCAACCGAGAATGTTTGTGACCTGACAAGCTCGGAGATCACATGGTATACATTTTCCATGTTTAGTTTCTTGCTATTTTGGAGTCGGGTGAGGAAAGAGAGTATATACTCGTCCACATCCACGCCGCAAGACTTCCACTTTCGGAGCAGACGAGCACCAACGTAGACTCGACAGATGCCGTGACGGAACGGAGTTGCAAGCCACTCCAAAAGCTTGGAGACTAAGACTGCCTTGTCGTCGACAACATCCAAACAGGCTGCTGAGACGGCCGGGATGCCTTGTGCCGAGCGGATGGAATCGAGGAGGCGAATGATGCGTTGGTGAGGGGAACGGTGTTTAGCTTGGTTGGAGTTCTGAGGTCTCTGGACACGTGCATTGCGTTCTGCAATGCTCTGGAACAGGGCCCGGTCGACTTTGGAGGAGAGGTTGAGGCATGATGAGGCCTCCTTTTTGTACGTCTCCCAGGTATTTGGCAAAATCATGGATGATGTATGTTCATGGACAAGCTTTGTAATGAAACGAGACAACCGATCGATAAGTGGCTGCAGGGGCTCCAGTTTGGCTTCGGTGGAAAGGCGCAGCTTCGCAAGCAGAATTTCGGCCAAGCGCCGACCTCTGCGCCTATACCGCATGATGTTATTCCAGTATATACCCAGCATCAAAAGCCAGACAGGCACGGTGGCGAGAGACGCTGCTTCGAAGGATGACAGGAACCATTCAATGAAATGATCGTGGTCCAGCAAGTTCTCAAAGAACAGACGGGCAGTCAAACCAATTGCGTAGGTCATCCGGGCTTTCCAATCCGTGGGTTTGTGTGAACTGAACACTCCCTCAATGAATTGGTGAACGTTCGTTGTCCAGTCTCGAACCCACTTGGCTTCCAAGCCCACAGCCAAAGCACCACTCGTTCCTTTCCGCTTGAACGCACGAATCTCATTGGCACCCACGCACTTTGCGAGCCACACTGCTCTGGCCACTGGAATCCATTTGCCCAGACACTGATCTAAAAGAACCTTGCCTCGGATACCGTGGGGAATGGTTCGGCTCAGCTTGCGCAACGGTACAGATGGGTTGGCCAGGTCTCGAAGCCAACCTTCACGTTTGTTATCCGTGAGCGTGACTCGTGGCGGAGGCTTGAATGTAGAGGGCGCATGGACTGTGTTGTGGTTCTGTCGTTTCTCCAAAGCAGCGGCAAAAACAGAGGAGAGCACGTGCAGACTCGTGCGGTGCTTTAGCTGTCCATATAATGCGGGACGCGCGGTATTGGATTCATTCTGAGAGACTTGCGTACGGTCATAATATCCTTGCTTCGCAGTTTGTTCGTTAAGAATGTCTTCGGGATGGTTACCAGTCCAAGGAGTGAAATCGGCGGCTTCTAAATGCAGAGATTAGTTATATGACGAGTTTTTGGAAAATACATTCACTTACTTTCGCCCTTCAACTTTGGAGCCACCAAAGGGGTTTCAATGCGGTATGGAATTGTCGAGACTTTCTTTTCCGGAGAGCTGTTCCTAGATTCGGACCCCGGAAGTTGGCGATCGGACGGGGCGCTACTCCAAGACGGGACAGGGAACGGAGGCGGCGACGAATTCCTAGAACCAGTCACGTTCTCGCCTCGACTCTCGCTGCCCGGAATTTCCGACATGACGGCCTGGAAAGACCACAGCGGGCGGCCGCGCCAGGAGAGCGGAGGTCGCGAACTTGCGCTACCCGGTGTACTCCTTGCCTCGGCACTATTCACTGTCGGAGCGTCCCCCACAATCGAACCTCCAGATACATCGAGTTTAGGTCGTTTCGGCGGGGGTTCTCCGTGCGACTCGAGTCCGCCGGTTAGATCGACCACGGCCGGCTGACGGGTCTCAGGTAGCGGCTGGGGTTGCGACAGAGGCGGCTGGGAGTTGTCCGAGGGAGGATCATATTGACCAGATACCTGGGCCATATCAATCCGTCCGGGGCCACCATTAAATGATCGCATCTGGTGGCCCCACGATTGGCCGCCGGCAGAGGAATGGGGTATCATCTCGGGTTCATTTTGGATCGGTATATAGGCAGAGTAGTGTCATTTGAATCGCCCAGCAGACGGCAGACGGCAGACGGCAGTATAAGGGAAGGCACGCGATATGTATTGGAAATGCAAGCGGAGAGGAGAGGAGTGGTTCAGAGCATCGACGCTAGGGTTAGGAGGCGATGGATAGACCTTGGAGTTGACAGGATGGGGGCCAAAGGGCGAATCGGGAGGGTATTCGGGTATAAGGATATAAGGGTCCCGGGTAAAGCGTCAAGAGTCCAAAGTCAAGGTCAAAGATTAGATCGAGAAAGGAATGGAGAAAGAAGGCGTTATCGGGGAAGGTGTTTATGGAAGATAACGTAAGTCACTCCGTCGCCCTCCGTTTCTCCACTGGCGATCGACGGGGGTTGTTCTACCTCCACTTTCAAGATTGCATGAGCGTGGTATGTTGGACTACTTCAATGGTTCTGAGACTTCTATCCTGTTGCCGAGTTTCCATTCCGGATGCAACTCCAGGTTTCAAACCTCCCCCCAGATTCATATGAATATACCGTGGGCCGAGAGGTTGCCGAGCGCCTAGAATCGGACCTACTGGACGAAAGAGGGCATTGACTATGGGAACCTAGCTATCGCCCACTTTGCCCCTAATTTATCGTATGCGACACACCGTACTGTAATAGATTCCCGTCGGCAAATGGGGGTCGCATCCGCCTTCCTGAATCAGCCCATTCCAGTCCCTTCAACGCGGAAGCCGGAATCAGCCCCGTGCTCTGACCCAGGCCAACAAGATGGAAATAACATGGAAATCACGGGCTCAGGGCTCAGGGCTCATGGCTCGGGGCTCGTTCCGGGCCGCTTTCTTTGCTCACCTCTTATCAGTGTCTTTCTCTTTTTCTTTTTCTTTTTCTTCTCAGCTCGTCCACATTCCGTCTCGGCCCACTGTCGGCTCGTTGCATTACACGTGAGGCTATCATACGGTCCGGCTTTGAACTTATCCTACTCTGGGCCAAGGGTGGCCCCATTGGCGCCGACATGTCGTGTTTGACTGTCGTGCACTCACAAGGCGATCGATGTACCGTCTGTCACATCGATCGGCGCATCATGTTCCGCTTGTCTCACCGACAACTTGTCGCGTCAGATCTAGGGATCACCCGGTCCAGCGATCCGATTCGACGGATTCAATTCCTTGACACGTATCCGAGATAAAGAATGACTATCTCGATCAGAAGCATGATCACGTCCTCCAGTGTAGCCAAGTATCCAAGTATCCAAGTATCCAGGTAGCAGTAGCAGTAGCAGTAGCAGTTGCAGATGCAGTAGCAATAGCAATAGCAATATGTAGTCCCCAGGTTCCCGGAGTTCCAGAGTTGAGTTCCCCCAGTCTAGTCCCGCTCGGGCAATGCCTTGGCACCCGGGGGCGACCTCGAGACTTCCCATCTCCCACTCACCACCTCTCAATTCACAATGGCCTCAAACAAGGATATGCGAAGGGCTGATCTGGGTAAGTGTCCGTCTGAGCTACCCCTAGGCTCTCTGGCTAATATTGAACCACCACAGCGATCCCCTACGTCGAGCCGCCGAAGAGCAGCAGCGATGCCGACATCTCCAGTACGCCACACCACCGGTGACACTTTGCGCCTTGAGATGATGGAAGACGAGGATCTAACCGGATTTCTCAAACAGGCACCATGTCGAGCACCATGCCGATGGCTGCGGTAGGTCCCGCCCGGACCCCTCGGATTGCACTTTACTAACATGCGACCTAGATGTTCACGCGCAACAGGTGAGCCGATGAGGTTTTGCTAGAATCATGCAACACTGCTAACAACAGTCACCGTGCAGAATGATTGGATGGTGAGTACTTCCACAGCTCCTGCGTCCCTCGTCGAGTCCTGCGTCCGAGTCCTCTAACATCGATTCAGGGTGTCCTTTGTCTTCTCCCTCCAGTCCTGGCTCGGAGAATCCGAGGACCAGAAGAAGACCGCCTCTACTCCGGCCTACATGTCCGTTGGCATGTCCTGTTCGTGATCCCCTCCCTTTGCCTGGTTGAGCCAAGCTAATCTCAGGACACCCCTAGTGATGGCCCTCGTTGTCGTACGTTTATCTCGAGTGATTCCCCCGCAACCTTTCCTAACCATTCCGACAGACCTACTTCCCTCTCTTCATGCCTCCTCAGGTCGCCAAGGGTGCCACCGCTGCTGGACCCCCCGCGCCCTCGCCGTGAGCTCGAGTCTGAGTCCAAGTTCTCGTCCCTCCTGTGATACCTTTATATGCGAAATCTACGAGTATAATACTATTCTCTGTACCTCTTCAACTGTTCTTTCAACTCACTCCGGGGGCAGGTGCTGTCACGTGGTGATCAGATCAGACATTCCAGTCGTGGGATGCCAGTGCGCTAGTGGGTTCATGCTGTACCAACACCCGAAAGGCTTCAATTCTTGTAATCACACAATGCAACAGATCATCAAAGTCATTCAATTGCATTCCAAGGAAATCATAGAGTAGACAACTCTTGAGACGTAACGTGAAGTTCAAATGTGTACTGTGAATCGCTTAGTCACACACCGCCTTTCCCCATAACGTGAGTGGTTCAAAAGGCTTTGCCGCTCTTCTCTCTAATTCTTCTACCACCAGTACCAACTCCTCTCTCTCTCGCCACAGCTCATTTACAGAGATATTAAATCTCCCTCCTCGTTCTCTCTACCAAAACCGCTTTCAAGGGCTTTTACGACAAAAGGCCGAGTTTATGTCCATCGAAAACCTCAAGTCCCATGGTAAGTTGGGTCGCCACCTCCCCCCCCTCCAAAGTGGGCGCGTGTCGAGCCCGCCTCGACACAACTGCCTTTTGCACGCCAGATATCGTGATCGCAGTGTCAGAGGCACTCTCGCAACTGTCTGCGGTATCGGTCTGTCTTTATTGGCGGCGCTCATCGCTCAGCCTCCGCGATCTACGCCTCGGCGGGGTAAATTTAGTACTGGACCCGGCTGACATTTCTTTCTCACAGACCCCTTCGCCGACGCGGACGAAGAGACCGGCGAGACTAAACAGTCTCAGGACTACATCCACATTCGGATTCAGCGTACGTGAACACACTTAATCTCTCGTTGTCGATCGTCACGGTCGCGCCGCATCGGCGATTTTAAGGAGTCGCATGCTAACCACACTTCCCACATACAGAGCGCAATGGTCGTAAGACTCTGACCACTGTCCAGGGTCTCCCTAAGAAGTTCGACCAGAAGAAGATTCTCAAGGTCATTAAGAAGAAGTTTGGTACGTTCCCCCGTCACCGCTGTGTCCCATCATTCGCTAACCCACACACAGCCTGCAATGGCACCATCGTCGCAGACACTGAGATGGGTGAGGTGATTCAGCTGCAAGGAGATCAGCGTAAGGATATCCAGGAGTTCATGACCGCCAAGGACGGCCTCGAGCTTGATGCCAAGACCATTAAGGTGAGCACCCCTCTATCCCATATCACCAAAATATATCTAACCCCACATTCCAGGTCCACGGTTTCTAATCCCGTCACCGTCACCATGCCTTGTTCCAGTCCCTTCCTCCCAGTCTACTTTGCCCTGTGAGCGGTGAGATAGGAAGCACGCAATGTGTCCTTCAACCGCCGGCCGTGCAGCCGGTCCGTCTTTCGGACTCAACCTGCTTTCAATCTCCTCTCAGTGCCTGGCTTAGACAGGGCCCACGTCGATGCGGCACGCTCTTTTGTTTCCTTCATGCATGATCGATAGAAGCGTGCCCTTTATTTCTTTTCGACGTTTTTCTTATTTTTAGGACGGGATCATGACGGAACGAGGCGTTGGTAGATACCCATATCTGCATAGACAGACGATGCTATTTTTCTTATTCACCACTTTCGTGTGTGCTTCCATTTGCTTTATCTTTTTTATTGGAACTGTCTGGTCATAGAATGACATTGTGCCATTGTCACTTTCTTGACTGGGCTGAGGAGATAGGGGTTTGAATTCGAGGCGTGCTGTGTTGATCTGCCAAGGGTCTGCGTGCGCGCGTCTGTGTTCCTTTCCTTCGTCTTGCTCTCTGCTGTCCTTTACGTTCTTCTCAGTGTGCTGTTGCTTGGAGACAAGGAATTTGAACTGTCCCTCGAACTACGCTCAAGAACAACTAGTCTGTAGTTGTAGGCCTGCCAAATAGGACGTTTGTAATAGGGGCAAAGACAGGGACCAAGACAATCTCGGTCTTGAACTTGTTGCCTCTGGGGATGTCTTTATAGACGCCTTTCTTGGTCGACTCCCAACATGCTTTGCAAGCCAATCTAGGAATAAATTTCTAAATGGAATCTTGTTGGAATCTTGTGGGAAACTACTCTCGAGCTTCAGTCCTTCTTCAAGCGCTTGGCGGTTTCCGGCTCAAGTGCTCTATATCGGTTCCGTGTATCTGCTACTTTTCTTGTAGTTATTATAGCCGCAAATTGACACAACCTTCCTATAACGTCCGGCGTGAAAAATCAGATGGAGGAACTCGGATGTCCTGGTGGGCTGACGTTCAAGTAGATGACGACTCAGTTTCGTAATGCTGCAGCTCTTCTTGGAGTAATGCCATCGCGAGCGTGATTCTTCATCTGACTTCGCCTGATTCAATTGACGAAGAGGTCTGACACGGGGTCCACCGCAGGCCCATACCTTGACTCTCAAAGGCCAGATGAGGATGAACCACCAGCCAGGGAAGAACAATGCACTGACTTTCGGGGTAATGGTTACTATGATACAAATGATCATGAGGGGAATGCTTTCCCATCATATCAGACTAGGGCTTCACAGCCGTGAATGAAAGCAATGTAGCTCTTCAAGGTTTACCTTTTGTACTACCAGGAGAAGAGAAATCAGAGTGAAATAGATTAGATCTATCAAAGATCGTTGAATAATGAGAACCAAACAGCTTGCCATCCATGGATCAAGCGTGATGAGTATGGGAATCCCGAAAATGTACAAGAATCCAATCTTCTCTCCCGCCTAGAACTACCAGGGCTTCGAGCACCCACCAAGCTCATAGGTCAAGTGAAAATGAAAAATGAAATAGAGAAAAAAGAAGAGATGTCGAAGTGCGGAAAACAAGCTACAATTCTCTAGCATAGCGATCATCGGCGATACGCATACGTAGGAAAATTGCAACCGCCCAGTCCCATAGCTTGCGAGTGATTACGAAAACGGGGACCTCGGGCTCATTTTCCCGAGTTAGGTGGAGTTGGAGGAGAAGCGACGACATGCTTAGGAAACTGGCGGCGGAGACAACTAGGAGTGATGCTGCTGTTTCTCGTTTGATTTTTGCATGATTTTGGGTGGCGTGGTAGACGAATGTTAAAGACTGATAAATTTGTTAGTAATGAGTCGTTGACAAGCGTGACTCGTGTGCAACTGCAACTCACGGTGGTAATGGATATCCAGGCGGGGAGAAGAAGTCGCGGATCAGAAGACGCGCCGGATAGGTATAGGACCCAAGATGTGATATAAGCAATTAAGCCATTTGTTGTCAAAAGTCGGATTACAACAGCCGGCGGGGTGTAATTCAGAAGCCTGAGAAGGTTAGCTATGAAATTGGGACTTGAGAATGGGGACACAAACCATCGAGACATCATACAATCAGCAAAGAAATAGGAAAGATATGCGGATGCGCAGCACTGGAATAAAGTTAGCATGCAACCACCAATCAAGCTGCACGGACATATCGAGATATTCCGAGCAACATCACCTCCAAGCAAGATGTACATACCCACATAATAGCCAATGCCACTTCAGTAACCCTGAACCTCCTTTCAACATCCCACTCCTGCCCTACACTCCCCACAATAGCCGCCGCCCAGCCCTCTCGTCCCATCCCCGGCCGAATATGCAACAACTCAGCCAAGAAGGTAAATGCACATCTCAAGCCCCACCAACCCGCAGGCAGCGTGCTCAATGCCCTGCAGACCAAAAGGGGTATGTACCACCGGCGGTCAACACCCAAGATAACAGCCACTCGCGGATGAAGCGGTGAGGAACCAGCCTGGCCAGCATCGCTGCCGAGTGGGGTGTGAGATGTCGAGGAGGTCGGGGACGGTGGGATAGCAGCTAAGGGTTCTGAAGCCACCTCTTTGGCGAATTGGCCCACCGGTATCGTTACCGGAGGCCGAAGGAGCTCTGGTGGTACACTCGGCCTTAGGCTCAGGTCTGGCTCGCTAGGCGCAGCGGGGGGGGAGAGTAGGGCGGAGGAGAGGCATTGCGTTGAGGAGCCAGCCTTTAAACACAAACACGGCAAATGCGGCCGCCGCGCAACGTTCGGAAAGGGATATATGGAGGGTCGCTGTCCCTCTTGAAGGTCTTGGAGGGAAAAATCGGCACTGTTTGTTCACAGACTGGGGTGTCGAGCTGGTCACGAGTCCCCTATAATCGAGAAATTGCAAAGCGGGAAATGAAAACCCGTGAAGATCCTTCTGCGTGCTGCTCCGTGTGGCACGGTCAATTCAAACACGGAATAAACACCGACCGAGTGGGAAAAAAAGACAATAATGGAGAGGCAGTGAAATATCAGAGAAGCGCGCTGTGGCCGAGCTCCATACATGGAAATCGCGGAGGGTGTGCACGTGACCTGCGGATTTTATCCTTGCTCTCCGACTCGCGACGGAACACATCCACCGAGAGTCGCAGCTCGCTATGGCGTCTTCACTACGACTGCCCGTGGGCAGCTTCGCTTCTAGCACACGTCCAACCACCATGATATCCCAGTACGGCCCGGTATCGCAAATCCGGTCCTTCTCACAGGTGCCTCAACGACTGGCGGGGATTCGGTCTCAGAACTTTAACGCGAAAGGCCAGGCGCAGCCCTCGTTGAAGTCCCGCCATAGGGATGCGATGCAGAGTGCTCAGATGCCTCCGGAGGCACCATGGTTACCGGGGACATTTGTGCGCCCTTTGTGGCGTAATACGCCCTCGGTCTTTACGCATCCGAAAGAGGCCTGGAGGGTGCAATTCACTTGGGCCAAGTCCAAGTTCATGGACTTTGGATCGTATGTGATTCTCTTTTCTCTGTTGAATGCCAGCTTGAGACATCGTATCCTCGAGGATCGCGGGTTGGAAGGATGCAATGGCAACAAAGCTAACTTCGTCGCAGGTTGGTGATTTATCGCTGGCAGCTGAAGTTGACCGATACTCTCTTGTGGGGAAAGCGCCGACAGATTGTGCGCCAATTGCATGAAGATATGTACACTGCTTTTGCGAGGTAAGAATTTCGACTCTGAGGTTCTCCGATTCACGGCTGACATTACTCTAGCGGCGACAAGAACGCCCTGAAAGCCCTCTGCGTTCCCAGTTTCGCCGAAAAGCTCATTGCTCAAATCGATAGCCGCCCAGCAGGCCAAAAGATCACCTGGACCCTCAATTCCTGGCTTCGCCGCCCGGACACTCTCTTCAGAGGTATTCGCATCCTCTCTGACCGCGCGACCCAATTCCCGGACGTCCCCAGCGCCGGTGCTCGCCAGATCGTCTTCTGCATTACATCCCGCCAGACGATGAGCAAGTCCAGACGCGTTGGCTTCGGCAAAGCGACCAAATTCGTTGAAGAGCCAAAGAAGGTTCAGGACTGCCGTGAGTATATCACCATCCAGCAGATTACCTTCCGCGGAAAGCCCGGTGGATGGCGGATTTGGGGCCACGCCAAACCGACCACATTTGAAGACATCGAAACCGATCCTTACTTCCGTCCTACAACGAGCTTGAAGGAGCGTCTTAATGGCATCATGTCCCAAGCTGGCCTTAAATAGACGGCTCTCAATCCCGAGACTGAAGTCGAGGGAATGTACATCTAAAGGGATCCAGCATGACTTGCCGGTCTTTGTTTCTTCTACTTGCCTCAAGATCAGCTGCCCTCGCACCCTTCTCTAAAATGCCTCGGCTGCACTCTTGTCTTTTTACCTACGATTTTGTCAAGCCAGTTCAATGTTATATAGAGCATCTACCAATTCATGTACCATAGCAAATAAGCCAACGTGTTTCAATATTCCTGCTACTGTGATATCTAAAGTTGTCTTATTATACGTACTACAATCTACAAAGAAAGGAACCAATATCAAGTGCATGTCACGAAGACCAAGTCCTGCAAACAATGGTGTATATGTACAATAAACATTAGGCATGTAAACAGACCTCATTTTAAAGGAAGAAAAACGCAGCACACATGAATCGGAATAGATCATGCCCAAACGCGAAAACCAGGGGCACATAGTGCCATGAAACATCAACCAGGAGGAACGGGACCATCATTAGGTGGTCACTTTCTGTAACCCAGGGATATGGAAACAAGAAGAAGACAGAAAAAGCATTTCGTGAGAGAGTTCAGTCGTCGAGGGGCGAGCCGACTAGTCATCGTCGAAGATCTGGAAGGTGTTGTTGAGGATCGTTTCGATCACGCGCACTTGCCAGCCTGCGTCGGCGATGTTGCCTCCGGAGTTGGCGCCCATCAGGGTTGGGCCGAAGCAGATAGCTAGGTTGCCGGCGTTCATGCGGTTCTCGGTGTAGTGTTCTTGGATCTTGTTGAGATGCTGTTATGCTGTTAGTATACTTTGTCTTCCTGTTTAGAATGATGGGGGGTAGAATTACGAGAATAATGGCACGGAGAGTGGCGTAGTGGGCGTCAGGCAAGCTGTTGATGAGGGCATGCAGCGAGTCACGGCGTTGGATATCATCATCAATTCCTGTAATGATTAGCTTCGGAATCAGGTGATTCATGGGTTCAAAACTTACGGGCAGCATCGACAAACTGAGTGTAGTACTGCGTGGTAAAGAGAGGATCGGGCAAATCCCTGAAGAATTGCTTCACCAGCCCGGCAACACTATTGACATCGTGATAGAAGTTTTCTGGGTTAGTAAAGTCGACTTGTGACGAGTCTTTGCATGCATATTAGTGTTTGATCCATCTGCAAAATAGGTTCGTGAGCTTACCATTGTCGAACACGGCCTTCATGTGGCTGATGTGGTTGGCGCTGCCGGATAGTCGATAGATACCCTCCATGTCCAGACCAAACAGCTCAACGGCTTGGAAACACTGGTAGACAAGAAACGGCACTGCAGTTCCATCTCGGGCATATAGTTCCTCCAAAGGCACTCCGAAGACTGGTTTCAAGGGAGGCAGAGATCCCTTCTCCATTGGAGGAGGACCGGTCATAGGCACGGCAACCGTGGAGGGAGGCTCGCTTGCCGGGGGGCCGAGGGTTGGTAAGGAAGTTGAACCGACGGATTTGCTGAACTGGGATCCGCAGATCCGGGATACGGTGTGGGATTGTATTGGCTGGTGGGTTGAAGTGGTTGAGCGGGCGAGGCAACGCTGGCGGTCGAGAAAGAAGCGGGAATTGTGGACTGTCGCCTGTTCGCGGTGCTTGGTTGCGAAGGAGCAGGAGCTCCGCCGAGAGTCTAGTATACAGTTAGCAAATGATTTCATTCAATGAAGGTTTTCGACGTACTGGGTGACGCTCATATTGGACCTGTTCTGAGGTCACAGCACCCGAATTTCCTTCGTGGCTCAGGATATAATCGTGCAAGTCTTTCTGGTTGTCGACCTGGCGCACAACCTCTGCGAGGCTCTTAGGTGCCAATGCTCCGGTCTCCGCACCAGCCTTCAGAGGGCTGATGCAAAGACCTTGGCTAAGCAGCAGCTTCTCGCTAAAAGTAGCTGTATACAGTCAGACAACACCCTCCGTCCCCATTACCACACAATTGCTTACCGAACTTCTGCTGCTGCAGAGTCAAGCCTGAGTCGCACTCCGAAATCAACAATTGCAGGTTATGCACGGCCTGAGGCCGGTGAGTCGACACCAATTCCTGACGAGCAGTCTGCGCCGCCTGAACCTTAGCCTGATAATCACTATCCGCATTCTGAACCTTGCGCAGAAGATCCTCCTCATGCTGAGCCGCCGACTTATGACCCTTCAGACCAAACTTGCCGCCCGTCTTGTCGCCCGTGCGGACACGATCATATTGTTCCGCAAACGAGTCGTACTTGGCCTTGGCCTTCTCCGCCTGAGCCTCGGCATCAATAACTTTCTTCTCCGCCGCCAATCCAGTCTGCTTCCACTGCTTGCGACCGCGTTCCATATTGGATGAGAGCTCGTGCAGATCATCCGACATCTGTTGAAGGGAGACAGAAAATTGGAGACCATGATCGGCCATGCGCTCCTGGAGCCGGTGAATATCCTTATAGCTGGAGCTGTACGTTCCCTGGCGGTTCTCGCTGCGGTTCGCGGCGTCATTAACGGCCTTGGACAGCTTCCGAAGCCCCTGAGCATGCTCCTCTTCCAGAGCTCCTCTCTTCTTCAGGAAGGTCGAGAAATCCTATGCGAAAACGTCAGCGCATACGCGTTCCCGGCCGAATTGTCGCGGTGGGGGCTCACCCTAGCGGAGGCCACGCTCTGCTTCAACCGAGTGAGGAGAGTGGTGATTCCGATCTGCATGCGACACGGTCCTCGTTAGCACGGACTTCGCACGGGCACAATGCGCAGATCTCAGACTGGCGCTTTTTGCGACGACTGACCTCGGAGTGCGTGATCTTGTCCAGGCGAGCCTTCAGCTCGTCGGGGATGGCCGTTTGGTCAACGGTGCCTGAGTGGGCCGACTCGCGACCGGAGCTAGATGGGGGCGCATCGGATAGATGGGGCAGAGCGGTAGGCTCTGGAAGTGCTGAGTCGGACATTGTCGCAGAGCCAGCAGTTCCGCGAAAAAGTGTGAGGGAGTGAAAAGAAGGGGAAGTCGGGGGAAGGAGCTATTATTATCGATGACACCGGAAACCGATTGCTTGGCGGTGGGGAGTGGGCTAGTTGGCGATCAATGAGGTCAGTCCACGGAACCGTGCCAAAATGTGGGAGCCTTGCACTACTTGGACTAGGTTGTGGCGCCAGGGGCAACGCAACGCTGAGCCACAATATGTTTTGGGTGTTCATCCGGAAGTTCGTGAATACCTAACATTTACAGTCTCTACTGTACAACTTAAGGGTCATCTTTGGTGCCAACTGATTTAATCCACGTGTCCAATTCTTCAAATATCAGGCTCTCATATCATGTTTAGCTGCCCAACCTTTGGAAGACAGAAATACGACAGAAGATCGGCATGTAAGCCTTCAGCATTGGGCGCTGAGGCGGTCATATCATCGAACCCTATTTAGATGTGATATTCGAGGTCAATTGAACCAAGTCGAGCAGGCACAACCTATCGGAATTTTCTCTCGGGAACATTATAGGGCCTATCAATTGACTTCATGCACCATAGAGGCGGTGGAGATCCTTATTTGCATCCAAGAAGCCAAGATCCATGGAAAACAAGCCCAGCCCAATGATAAGGCTTTTTTACTTTCCTATTCACATCCTTCCGAACAGTCAAGACAGCATGTTGATAAGCTTTTGCTAGATCAATGATCTTAGTCTGGCTCTCGGAATCTGTCTCCTCGGCAGCGCGGTCAAGTCCATGCACAAGTTCACCATAAAATGCTTCCGCGAATCGTAGAACATCCTCCTGTGAAACCTTCCACAGTGCTCCAATGACCGCGCCAGCACCGGCAAAGTGAAACGCTGCTGTAAGACCTAATAAATCATTCACCGCAGAGATACGCGAGCGACCAGTTCGGCAGCCCATAGATAGAACAATACTTGGCTGCTTGAAACGGATACCGGAGAAAACGTCATCTAGGCTGAGGTCGTCTGCTTGATGTTCACTAAGATTGAGACACTGCTGGGATCCGTCGGTGAAACCAGGAGCGTCAGTAAAGTCAGAATGACCGTGAATGTGCACGACGTTCGAGACTGCACATTGGGATTGGAACAGGCCTTTGCGGTCATTTGTAAAGTTCGAGGAGTCAACATGTGTGCAATTTGGAATTTTCTCGGTCAGTGTAGACAGACGTTCTGAAATGGTTTGCTGGGATTCAGGCAGGTCGGCTCGCAAGGTATTGAACACAGCCGCACGGAAGGGAGAGGCAGTATCTTTTGACACTGTAATGGGAGCTTTCATAGCCTCACGACAGAGACGCAGTAACGACAGACTTTGAATATAGACGATTGGATTGCGCTGTATCAGAGGCATCCCATCAAATGTAATGGCGTGAAGAGGGAGACGGTGAAGCTGGCCCGTAGGACAGAAAACGAGTGTGTCCCCAGGCTTGGTCAACTGCTTTAACTGTTCGACCAGGGGCCGTAACACATTCAGGTCCTTCCTTGCGTCTGTATGAGCGAGCGGATACTCTTTACGCGTCGGATCTGCGAAATCGTCGACACTTAGACACTCATTGATCCATTTTTCCACGTCTGCTTGCTTGAAGTGACCAATGGCACCAGGTGTGACAAGCGATCCTGGCTGATACACCACCATCAGAATATCGTATAGATCATATGAATTTGGTGTTAGTTCGACCCATTCGACTATGACCACGGAAGGACCCAGCTCCTGTCGAAGTTGGAGGAGCTCATTGACGCTCATTGGGCGACCCTCTCGCAGGTCCAGGAAGGACTTGACGGATGCGTCTCTATTGCGAAGAGTATTGGTTGTCGCCTTGATCTGCTCCCGCAGAGTGATCCTTTGTAATGGGCTGCTTGTAGCAACGCTTGCCATGAGAGAGTTCAGTCTCTCCCAGTCAGCATTCATGTCCATATTCTGACGAATGGTTTGAAGAACAGTCGAAGGTGGCTCTTGCGTCAGACCGAGAGATTCAAGCAGCGTTCGGGCTTTGCATCTTTGGATCCAGAGGTACAGATCGCTGTTGATTTGCCATAATCTCTTTTGCTCGTCATATAGGGCCTTTTTATCCGAGGTGTAGTAAACCTTGATTGATTCAACCCACGCCATCAATGCAAGTTGGTATAATTGAGACTGCACGAGCAACTTTGAAAGGGCTTCCTTGGCTGGAAATGACTCGGATGCACTTAGAGCTGCATATTCCAGACGAAGTTCAATACTCAACTCATGTGCTGCGGTCCAGCATTGGGTAGCATCCCATGGCTCAAGTGAGCCAAAGACTTTGAACCTTTTCCACGCCGCATGTCCCAGGGCATTCTGTGTATGATATGCTATGTCTAGCCTACCACGAGCCAAGAGGTGCCCTAGAAGTTCCTCCAGCGAAGCGGTCGCGTTCTTCAGATCCTGATCAGAGACCAAAGTGCTCCCTTCTGCGGCCAAGTTGATAAGTGAGTTTGCCTGTGCAAACCTGGCAGTGTCGAGGCTCTCAATAGATATCAGTTTCGAGTCAATAGAATGCAGGCGGTTGTACAGATCAAATTGACGTTGTCCTTCTCTTGCTGCAATCGGAATTGCCCAACCTTGGTCGTTTGGGAATTTCAAGATGTATTGAGAAACGCTTTGTTCACGGCAGAACTGAAGTTGTTTCACTACCAGTAGTCGCTGGAATCGCGTGGGCCGGCGCCCCTTCTCTGCCAGCCACGTTTCCACATACTCAAACCATGACTCCCAGTCTTTGCTTGCTCGCGGTCTTAAACCTCCGATCAAGTACGACGCCAACTCATGTGGGATGCAAGTGGAACCAATTGTTTGTGCGAACTCAGTGGCTTCATGATGTGCTGTAGAGGGGGGTTATGTTCAGGGATTCTAATGCTCCAAGGACTGCATCCGGGGCCTCCACGCCCCCCCAGCACAGTATTCTTTTGGCTTCGGTTATAGTCAATTGATCATCCTGGAGATCCCATTGAGCCCACCTGAGGATGAGAGTGGCACATTTGACCATGAAACTACCGAGTGTACGTTCTGCAGACGTAGCGCTATGGAGTTCAGAATCAGGCTCCCAAAGCATTCCCGCTGTAGCATCGTCCATTTCGTCCAGGTATATTGCATCAACTTGTTTATCCGGTGGACACTGTGATCTCCAAAATGAGGCCTGCTCATGATATTGTGATCTAGCAGGCATGCCAAGTGTGGTGGCTATATTGGCTCTATGTCTGTGCAAAATCGACATTGGGAAGGGAAAATCGTACTGGGGATATCTGGCAAAATATCCATCAATCATTTCCAGAATATCAGAGCCTCGACCTAGTAAGCCGCCATGAGAGCTCTTCCAAGTGCAATATCGGATCAGAGCATGTTCTTCGTGCATGGCTGATTTGGTCGTTGATTGTTCAAAGGCAATTTTCTGAAGGAGAATATCTTTCGTAGTCTCTCCAACTTGGCTCAGCTCGGATTCATGGTGCTCTGTCAAATCTAATACACTTCTCACGAGACATCGATGAACTTGAAAGTTCTTCTTATTGCATGCAATGGCTGCCAGTCTCAGTGTTTTCTTTACTTTGACGTCGGGCGCGGAAAGATCCAGCCGCAGCTTGGCGGCTGACAACATGAGCCACAGTCTTGGAAAGGCTTCCTCGGGTGAATGACTGAGGCAATTATTAGCAGATTGGAATGCATTTCCAAGCAACCCCTCAGACAGGTCCAGGCATTGTAAAGCTTCGTCGTTTCTGTTGAGGTCGAGTAGCTTCTCCGCGAATTTGATATTGACCCAGGTCCTGGTACAGGTTCCAAGTATGTCCTCTGGTTCTGCAACAGCTGCTTGTAGAAAGTCTCGAAATGGTGCAGTTGGATCTCCTGGACTTGCGTCGGAATTTGCCGCCAGCATACGAGCCGCATCGCCAAATTGACCGTGGGTTTGTAGTTGCTGTCGGATTTGGCTCAAGGAGGGGAAGTTAGCGGGAATCGTAAAACCATTGATCCAGTTGCTCCAATCGGTGCACCAGAGTACGACGTGATGGCAATGGTAAGCACATATCAGCTAGAAACAAAGAACTCTTGATTAGCATCCGAGGTGTCTCTCGCAATGGTTGAGCTTGACATTGTACCTCGACGCGATCGTAGTTCTCTACATCCTTCTCCGTGAGTCTCCCAATCACCGCTAGGGCTACATCCATAGCTTCGCGACCTTTTCCATTCCTTTCTCCGTCGGCAATCGCCCGTAACAATTCCACGAGATGCCAAATATCACAACCAGCGCTGGTACCGTGATCAAACGGAACTGTGTATTTTTGTAACGAGTCCAGGCGCATCTGGGCGAGACCCATGTCAGCGTAGAGAGTTGATCTTAGAATTGCAATAAGGGGATGGGTAATTTGCAGTTCAAGTTGGGCATATAAAGATTCAGCTTCATCGTGCAAGCCGTAGTAAGTTAAGCAAGACGTTTCATACATAGCATCGGCAACCTCGGCCGTGAGGCCGGACAAGTCGAAATTATAGCGAGTCCATCGCCTGTCGCCAGTATAATCTGGAATATTTAGATCCATTTTTGTCAGCCCTCATGTGAGGGATATGGAAGGGGGTGAAATGTTCGCGGTCTTAAATACGAGGACGCTAGCGTACTTATGCATTATCCAGGTGATGGGCGTCCCTGTAAACCCGAAACATCAATATGACTTGAGCTGAATCAAGCGAGTACGAGTTGCTACTAGCTATAGCATCGGTGTTGAATACTTCTGCTTATGTGGCGGCGCCATCTTCACGGTCAGCCGAACACGAGGTCGGCTATAGTCACCACAAAAGAAGATATCGGCACCGAAGACCTAAATACAAGCATTCCCGATATCTGTAAGCTTTTATCTTTCCGTGGCTAGCCATATCCTGCAGCCAGTGGTGATCTAGGCAAGTCGTCCATCTGACTTTTTCCCGGAATCAAAGTATAAAAGCGGGGTTTCTTTGCTCAGTTCAGGCAAACTGCAAGGAAAGAAATGTCTACAATGTTCGAATTTACGGAAGACACCATTTCTTTAACCGTGGCCCTGGACTTGGAAGAGGACAAAATTGGAGAAACTCAGCTTGGCAGCCGAGTCATAGTCAACAAAACCCCGCAGAGCCAATATTCCCCGCGCGAACTAGTCACGGAAAAGGAATCGTTCCGAGGCCACTTCTTCTTCAACATCAGATGTCCCAGGCAGCCTCTCATTGGTAAATTTACCAGACTGAACACGAGCAACGATGCAAAAGAAGTCTTATCGGCCTGTCGGGTTACCCTCGACGCCAGCTTCGCCAGCCGCCTCACAAGCCGCAAGTTCAAGCGAGCGCTGATCACTGTATCATTCTACGACAACGCAGTCGTCAATCTCGACCCGGATGATGACGAAAACGAAGTTGCCATTGATGAAGCTGCACAATTTACCCCAAGGATACTCGCTTTCGAGCCCAGGCAGTGGCGTGGCCCTGAGGATATACGCGAGGGCCAGAACACGTCCAATGCACAGGTCAATCTCGTTGATCCTACCACCGGGCTTGGCTTCTCTGGTCAATGGGAAAGAACGAGACCTGTTATTGTCCCAGGACAGGCAGAAATCAACGGCTCAATTAGAGGTATGACCTCGTCTGTGGTAGAGTGGACTTTGGCGCAGAATGCTTTGCGCAACACTGGGATCATTCCTCAATTTTCACTTCCCATTGTTGTGCAGTATACGCCTGGGCGACCATTCGCGGCTCGAGTAACAATCAAGGCTGAGGTGGAATGGGGGTTCGAAGCGATCGCTGCGGGCAAGCTGGATGATCCAATCAAATTTGATCCGGATAGACTTGGCAAGTCTGGTGATGATACGGAGCTGAATGTGGATATGAGTAGGCTCTGTAATATTGAAGGTTATGGAGGATACAATGTAGTCAAGGGGAGTGGCCTTGAACAGGGGTAACTAGCACAGTTCAGGCTTCCACTGGGCCCTGAGAGCATGGACAGAACCGATTGAATCTCGTCTATTGTTGTGTTCTGGTAGGTTTTTTACAATCATCTCATGCGACTTGGGCATGCGAGACGATTATCGATGTTAGCTTGACAATCTCTAGTGCCTTCCCCTTGCCGTTCTGCTCCCAGCATCCATTACCTTCAAGCAACGGGACGCAGTCCAATAGAAGAGCGACAGGGTGGAGTGTATTACGGGGGCGAGGGGAAGCAGACGGAGTGAATTATCGTGGGCTGCATTCATTTGGGTCTGATTCCATTTAAGTTTTATTATACGTAGGCTTATATTTGGTATACTCTTTTCTGTGCCGGCTACATCTAGGTGACCAATTATCCTTTATATGATTGTTTATTGCAAGCCGCGAGTCTGGAGTTAAGGACCCCCACTTTCTGCTTCAATTTGGACGAAATGCCTGTATAGCTCCGACCCCACTACTTAGGCTTTATTAGGCTAATAGAACTTCAATCGATTTGTTGATTGGCCAGCCCAATTTCGAACTGTTTGGCACTTCTTTAGTTATAAATATAGTAACACAAGATTGATATCAAAGCAAGCGTGAAGTGAAGAGAAGATAGAACTGAAGAAGGAGTAAAAGGCCCTCCGCCGAAGACTAGAAGAATTATATTTACAGCCGGATCAAGAATGTGATAAGAACGATTCCGAACACACGGCCGTGACCTATCTCCAGGCGTATTTGAAGTCATTTCAGAAGAAAACATGGAAATTGGAATAAAGGAGACCTAGCTTGACATCTACGGAAATGCCCGGAAAGGCGTTGAGAAGGGACTAAAGAGTCAAGCATTTCGGCCCACTGTGATTATCTTCTGCGTTAGGCTCCAGTCGATAAGCTTAAAGATTAGATTTATGAATTACATCCTATGGGTATACACTCCCATTCTATTTGCCATAGTACAGTAATTCGTCCATTCGATGTCGTCTCTAGAGAGACTGCAGAAAGGCCGAAAGGGCAACAGACGAAGATACCCAGATTCGCAAAAAGACTGTTTAGGATCGTGTTCAGGCTCTGGAGTCTTCCCAATTAGAATTCAAATTGCTGCATGATAAATGCAAAGGAATTTAAAGGGGATAGGTCTGAGGACAAATGAAACGGGCGATAGAGCACGAGACGATTCGGAGAAATGGGAGCTGATCGCTCAGCAGGCCCCACATCGCATGTCCCGAGGTTCAACTGAGGATATCTTCGGCTTGAAATAAGGCATCTCTGCTATCCGACCGTTCTACAACTTCAACCGGAGACTTTCCAGGATCTCTACTACCAATACATCACAGTCAGTCATCTTTTCTCTTCTGCAGCACGGCTGAACTATTCCCGCCCGTACTGATAACCCGACGCAGGCCATGTCCGAACTCAACGTCGCCGCGGTGCTTACACCCAAGCCCGAGAAACTCAACGAGGTTCGAATGATCATCTATAACCAGCTGGTTCCCATACTGATCCACCATTTAGGTCGCCGGCCTTGTCACCGAACTCACCAAGCAGGTGCAAGAACATGAGCCGGACACTCTGCTCTACTACGCATTCCAGGACAAAACAGAGATCATCGTCGTCGAACGGTTAGTTATCAATCCTGGCAGGTTGCGATGGCGAATACCTTCACCCAGGCCCCTAGCCCGTGCCTCGGCAGTATTGGCCAAACAGGGAAAACCCGCCCAGCATTCAGCACTAACACCCGAACAGATACAAGGACCAGCAGGCGGTCCAGGCGCACACCCAATCCCCCTATTTCCGCGACTTCGCCGCCAAACTCCCAGAACTATTGGCGAAGCCGTGGGAGCTGCGCGCGGGTGGATTCTTGGACGGTTCGCGGGGAGTGTCGCGCCTGTAGAGCAACTCATCACGTTGGAACAGGGTCTTAGAGGAGAATGATATAAATAGAGGACAATCCTGATTCGGTGCTGTTGCGCCTTGACTCGCCCGTGATAGATTTCTCATGCGATTGGTGCAGGGCTACTGCGCCGTGGTAACCAAACAGGAACGCGAAGTGTCATGGATTGGGGGGCTGGGAACCTCGTGTGTCAGTAGGAGTAGATTATATTGCGCCGCAACGAGTTAGAGATCAATAAAAGGATGTGGGGAACGAAAGACAGTTCCATCCCAAGAGTTGATCCGCCTCGCCTCTTCTTGACCTCCACCTTGCAACGCCCCTCCTTTTTTCGAGATCTTCCATTCTCCACCTTCCTCCCCTCTTTCTTATTTTCTCCCCTGAAGCTCGGTTTTGTTCATCCGTGATCTCCCTCTTTATCGTCGCCCCTTTTCGGTGTACATACTTTCGCAACAATGGCGACGGGTCCGGCTACTCAATCGCTGAAGGTACGCTGCTCATTCAAGCTACGAGCTACGAGCTACGAGCTATGGGCTATGGGCTACAAGCTATGGGCTACAAGCTACAAGTTACAAGCTCCATCTTGAACGCGCCGGCTAATTGAAGATCATAGTGCGTGGTGACAGGTGACGGTGCAGTGGGCAAAGTCAGTCTAGACGACTCCAACCAACAGACGAACAAGAAATTGACCATCCCCGACCTCTAGACATGTCTTCTGATCTCTTACACAACAAATGCCTTCCCCGGGGAGTACATTCCGACCGTGTACGTGACCACACAAACCAGCAATAGCGCCCTCGATTCCAACCTAAAGATGCCAGTAATGCTAATACCCAGCCTCCGCAGCTTCGACAACTACACGGCCAGCGTGATGGTCGACGGGCGACCGATCAGCCTGGGCCTGTGGGATACCGCCGGACAAGAAGATTACGACCGCCTGCGCCCGCTCTCATACCCGCAAACCGACGTGTTCCTGATCTGTTTCTCGATCGTCAGCCCCCCGTCCTTCGATAACGTGAAAGCCAAGGTCAGCCCACATCCCAGCCTCGCAGACACTCCTCACGGACCACTCGGCCCTCCCCCCAACCCGAAACTGACATCTATTCTCATCTAGTGGTTCCCTGAAATCGAACACCATGCCCCAAACGTCCCCATCATCTTGGTCGGCACCAAGCTCGATCTCCGCGACGATCGCCACACTGTTGAAACCCTTCGATCGCGGAAAATGGAACCCGTCTCGTACGAACAGGCGCTGGCTGTTGCTAAGGAGATCCGCGCACATAAGTACCTCGAGTGCTCTGCACTCACGCAACGCAACCTGAAGAGTGTCTTCGACGAAGCTATCCGGTACGTTATTTCCAACTTGTTACGGAACTCGGATTTCCCGATGCTAATGCTGTTGATGTAGGGCTGTTCTGAGCCCCCGCCCCACTGCCAAGTCTGGGAAGAGGAGCAAATGCTTGATCTTGTAAGGGTCGCGGTGCATGTCTCTCTCTTCCTCTTCTTCTCGTATGCTATAATGAATAATTCATAGTTAATACGGCGTCCCGGTAGCCAGAGGCTTCGTGGGCCTCTTTTTGATGAATCCATTGACTTGTGTTTTTTTATGCTGGGAAGCTTGTCTGTTTTGGCTTGATAGAATTAGCTAGTTTGAATTCTTGTCGATTGTTTGGTTGCTCCCTTGTATGTCCCTTGGTTTAGGTCTAAGGCTACCTAGGTATGTATAAACTTTAGCTATCCACGACAAGCGAGCCTATGCTATGGTATGTCCTTGATACTACGTGGACACCGTCGTAGAAAGTAATCAAGAAACGTAGAATGTTCATTCAAAGGCCCAATGGCCTACCTATGCACGAAAGACAGGAAAGTGGTATCCTCTATCAAATCATAACAAAACATGACTTTTGCCCCTTGTCCAGGATGTACAGTTACAAAGAAAAAAATCCGGTCTATCAAGAGACCGAGAATCATTGACCCTGCAGCGATTCAAATACTGCATCTAGTTCATCACACGCGGCCTGCGGCTGGGGTGAATGCCCGCCCACTTGTCGTCCTCGGGGACGGCAACGGCATTGACACCACTGGGACCCTCAGCAGCGGGAGCCTTGTCGTGCTTTCGCTTATCCTTGTTGATCTTCTTCGCATCACGGGAGCGCTCCTCGTTGAGCTTCTCGTTCTTGGCTCTGATCTTCTCTTTGCGATGCTCGGAGTTACCGCCGCCGCCGCCGGCACTGATTTAACGTTAGTTGACAGTCATTACATAACTTGAATAGGATTAGGAAGTACTCACGTCAGCTCGACGTTCATGCGACGAGGCGGGTACTTGCCGTCGTCAAAGGTGGAGTGGTGGTAGAGCTTGAGGCAGGTCTTCATGCGGTCGTAGTTGTCGAACTCGATGAAGGCGAAGCCACGGCACTTCTTAGGAGTCTCAGGCTTGGTCGCGACACGAATTGAGGCGGGAGGGTTCTTCTCGAAGTGCTTTGTAAGGGACTCAAGGTTGGCGGAGTAGGGGAGGTTGCCTGTAGTTGTAAATGTTAGTTATCGCTTCAATTGTATCTTGTGGAGCGGTATGAGTCCGTACCGACGAAGCAAATGAAGCGGGAGCTCTTCTTGTCCACGCCATCTTCAGCAGCAGTCTCTTCAGTGGCCTCCTCGGCGTCCGCAGACTCTTCGGTGGCTTCCTTGGAGACCTTGGCCTTCTTGTCTTTCTTGTCTTTCTTTTCCTTCTTTTCCTTCTTGTCCTTCTTGGAGATCTTCTCCTTCATGGCCTTGTCGCCCTCGGTGTCTATCGTGAACAGAGGGGTCTCCTCGGCATCTTTGCTGGATTCGGCTTCGGCCTTCTTCTCCTTCTTTTCTTTCTTCTCCTTCTTGTCTTTCTTCTCCTTCTTGTCTTTCTTTTCCTTCTTCTCGGTCACCTCCTCCTGCGCGGGGGCAGTCTCGACAGGCGCAACCTCAGCCTCCTTCTCAGCCTTGCGCTTTTCCTTCTTTTCTTTCTTTTCCTTCTTCTCCTTCTTCAGCTTCTTGCCTTCGGGAGCAATGGGCTCAGTCGGGTCCTCAACGACCTTGCGCTTCTTATCGCCCATGTTGAGAATATGTTGTGCTTGGGATTTAGGATAGGTAAGGAGTCGTCGATATTAAAAATCTCTTTTTGGATCAAAGTGCACCGGGAGAAATATAATGTTGGGGTGGAAAAGAAATGTCGTAAAGGATGCGCAAATCCTAGCTCCGAAAAAATTGGGCGGAGACGCAGAGAAATTCCGTTTTTGCCGGGCGCTCGAGGCGGTGAGCTTCGTATCGTCCACTTACCCGATTGGGCAGTTAGATATTACAACTAAATCCTAATTGCTAGCCCCAGGGACCCAGTGAATACCATGGTAGGATAGGAATCACCAGTGAGAAACAGAATCCTCTTGAGCATAAACTCTTTGTTTGAATTTACCACAATCTTCAATCCACAATATGTCGTTACAGGATTGTCACAATCACAGGTGAATACAGATCTACAGATCAAATTGAAATAGCTTAGTGTGTACGTTTGGATATCTTAAAAATAGGTCCAAAAACTTTTCTTCAAAATGAAACTCTATCATTAGGTATTTAGCGCAATCAGAAAATCAAGATCTGCAACTTCTTCTTCCCAGCGTCGTAGCGCTTACGCAGCTCCGGCTGAGTGAGCAGCTTCAGAAGAGGCAAATGGGTATCTTTCATGTCGAAGATTCCACGCTGCTTCTGATCAATATGTGACCCATCGATGACAATGCGCTCCAGTTCATTCAGCTTGAGAGTTCCTATACACGGGTCTTAGCAAATATGTTGTGGAGGTTAATCGAAGTAGTGCTTACCAGACTCGATCAAATCAGAAATTCTGGCCGGGGTACCAGCACCAATTCCCATACTGCACAAATAGTCAGTATCGTATGTATTACTGTCAGTGTACTGTAGGAGGATCGATCATACCGTGCGCGTTCGAGGAACTGCTTAGCTTCCTCGAGCTTGATGTGCTTTGCGAACAATTTTCCGACAATTGCCTCCTTCGTCGAGAAGCTCCGCAGCGATCTATGACATTCAACTGTTAGTTTCCATACCAACAAAAACAACCAGGCAGTTAATTGTCTTACCGGACAACATCCGCAGCTCTAAGTCCAGCGCCAGCGATAACCAAAGTGTGAGGGGTACCCTTCTGCTCCGAAGCCTTTGACAAATCCGCACCCTTAGGGCTGAACGCCTTGAGGAAGTCTGGGAGCTTGTCCAAGTGTCTGGTCTCCGTGAATGACGATGTGTCGAGGAAAACGTAGTCTGTAGTCCATTAGTACTCAACAATCACCCCACCTAACCTAGCATGTAGTTTCATACCCGGAACAGACATATCATTCAGTTCCACCGCCGACAGTTCCTTATCCGCCTTCTTCGCTCGCTGAGCAAAGAAATCAGCCAACAAACGTCCATCCATCCTTCCAATCGACTGGTCAATGCCGTCTTGGCGATCCTGCATTCTCGCATCATGCTCCGCCTGCTGCTTCTTGGTCTTCTTCTGCTTGCGCTTCTTCTTGCTAGGTCCGTCTGCGGAGGCTGAAGCTGCAGGTGCTGTCTCGGGCTTGTCCTGCTTCGTAGAGTCGTCGGCTTGTCTCTTGCGCTTCTTGTCGAGCTTGTTCGAAAGCCCCTTTTGGACAGGTGTTTCAGCCATCTTGAATACCTCCGACAATGCTCGAATCGAGAAAATAAAGGCTCAATGGACGAATGCAATGAGGCGAAAGTCGAGCGTCGCAAAAAAAGTTAGGAAAACGGTGGCTGAGTCAGCTTGTCTTATCGATAAGTGGAACCAATCATACGCGGGCCCGCAATGTTATTCGGAGACGCGCTTCACAAACATTCGTTTCAACACTCGACTCCCCACATTTCAGTCTCTTTCCCATGATCCGAGTAACGTCTACTTTGCAAGTTCTGATGCTATAGCTTCCGCTCGTGCTTGAGCCCAGGAGATGTCTACCCCGAGAGCGCGTGACCGCCGGTCACTGCGCAATTCGGGTGTTGGGACCAGTACTCCATCTGGAGAAACAACATTGACCGGAGTGAGTGCCTCAATGCGGAGCGCTCTTAGACAATCCTTCTGACTGTCTCTTTTTGTAGCTCCAACGACTACCGAGTCATACGCGCTACCCACTTACGCCGAGTCGACTCGTCACAACCACGACCCCGTCTGGCCAACGGTCAGCGTCCAGATTCACGCCCCGGGCAAGAGCTTCAGTCGCCCCGTCAACACCATATGGACTTCGCGCCCGACAGCAGCGAGCTGCAAATACACCAGGTCGCGATCGCCGCCGAAGTGGTCGCATACAGCGGGAGACTACATTTGATATCCTGAGAAACCTAGGGAAAGGTACGAACAAGCAAAGCCCATGCGGGGAATCGTGGCTCATGAAGCTAGAGCTAACGTTGAAATTGTGTAGCACTGGCTCCCGTCTCAAAACCTATACAATACTCACCTCAGGATGTGCCGACGCCCGTGGAGGATCCCATAGACGAATTCGAGGAGTTGGACAACGAGCCGGAAAATACACCACCGCGACTTTCTCTCCCGATCCAGGGGCCGGAAGAAGGAAGTGATGACCCAACTCCGCCGCCGCGAATGTCGGCTGCCTTTGACGATGATATCACCTACCGATCCGTTGAATACCCGATGAGGGAGACGAGTATAAGAGACCAGCAGCGATTATCAATGTACAGTCAAGCTGGGAGATTGAGTGAAAATTTCCGAGGTCAATTGGACAGCGACTCTGAAGCAGGCGAACAAACGGGACTATTCGGCGGCGAGGAGGCTGCCGACGATACGATGTTCAGTGGAGGTGACTTTGATCAAGGGTAAGTTATCAAGATATCAGGTTTGGCTATGGTACAAAGTGGGCTAATATAACACAAATAGGGGAGAAACAGAAAACCTGGACCGATTTGTTTTCGATATTCCATCTCCAGATCCAGGTGCATTTGATGATCCCATGGATGAAAACCTGGGCGAAGCGGAGGGATTCGAGTTGACTACAGGCGACATCCAGCCAGTCCCTGGGACACCCCCGTCAGACGACGAAGATGATGTCGGTGGTGGCTTTGGGTTCGGCCTCGATTTAGCCCCACCAGCATCCCCGAGCCAGAGCCCGGGAATTGTTGGAGGAGGCCTGCGGGATGAGGGTGCTCCGGTGCAGACCAAGCAGAAGAAGCTTTCGAGACATGGAATTCCCGTTCCAAACTTGCCCGCAGGAGTAGTCAAGAAGCTGGCCACCCGCTTCGCGCATACGAAAGGCGGATCAAAAGCGAAGATCAACAAGGCTGCAATGGCTGCAATCGAACAGGCGTCATCATGGTACTTTGAACAGGTCAGCCAGGATTTGGCTGCTTATTCAAAGCACGCTGGGCGCAAGACTATTGACGAGAGTGACGTCTCAACCCTCATGAGAAGGTCAGTTTTGCTGCATGTACATCAATGAAATGGTTTGCTGACTATCCCCAGGCAACGTCATATCAACAGTACGACGACGATGTTCTCCCTGGCTCAAAAGCATTTGCCCAAGGAGCTTCAGCAGGATATGAGACTGGCTATGCCTCCGTGAATGATTTGAACGATAATCGGAACCAACCAAACAAAACTCCAAACCCCCAAGGAAAATGCACAAAGGAAGTGGCTGGAAGCCTGACTACCAGTTGCGGTTCTGGCGGACTCGGCGCATGGCCTCGCTGCTGGGCTTCTTTCGCACCAGCATCCACAACATGATCGATGTAGCCAGGGACAGGCCGTACCTAGGTGAATCATGAGCGACACATTCACATTAAAGGGGCTTATAACTGGCACAAGGAAGCCGACACGGCCCTTGGGACGATCTGAATGGACTTACCAGGTGAAGATGTACTGCGCGTGGTTGTTCCTCAAATTGACTTCGGCCGCACGTCCAATGGGAATACCCTTCGCCTCGCGATTATATGACTCAACGAGATCAGGCACTGAAAAGGAACAAATTAGCCGCGTCCAAAACCACGTATCACACAATAAATCATACCCATAGTCTCCTCAATCCAAACAGGCTGACTTCCACTCAACTCTGCCATCTGCTGAATGTCAGGGAAGTAAAACTTGCCCTCCTCCGGTTTATTGTCCGGCGTAAACATATTCTTCTTCCACGGCTCACGAAGTAGCCCCTCCACCGTAACAACCTCATTCTTGATACCGTCCGGTCGATCCTTTTGGTTCTCCAACTTCCTGGAAATCCAGCCACGGTTCACGAGAACCGTGCTCTGGCCCTCGCGCTCAAGCGGAGTCACGACAAGGTATCCGTCCTCGCCCTCATTGATACGAGGTCCAACCAGCATCTCCTTATCGTGGCGTAGGGTGCCAGTGGCATAGACACGACGGTAATCGAACTCAGAGATAGCCTCGGGGTCGATTCGCGGCGGCAGCGGAAGTGGTGGTCTAGTCAAGCGGTCTTCAAATTTGGCGATCATCTGAGTCTTCCGGTCCAGACGCTGAACCTGCCATGTTCCTAGGCCGAAGGCGATAATTGGGATCAGGGCTATAGGTGGGGAATTGCATGTCAGCTGTTGTCTATGGTACGATTGGAGGAATTGGGAGATAACGCACCAATAATTATCAAACCAGGTCCATGCTTCTGGTTCACACGAACCAGCTTAGCCGGATTATCCACGCTGAAGGCATTCTGGTCGGTCAAGCGGCGCGACTGCGTGAACTGGCGCTTCTGTTGCAGCCAGCATCTGGAGCAGATGGAATCGAATTTCGTCTGCTCCGAAGTTCGGACAGCGCGGACTGGCACAGACCACGCCGCCGGTGTGCTTCTCAGGACAGAGAAGAGCGGCCGCATAGTGAATGGTGCTGTGGGGAGCTGTTTGGAGAAAAGTGATGTGATGCGGCAGTTGGGATTTTGGAAGCGGACTCGCTCCGTAGGCGGTCACGCTCTTCCCCGACCTGTTTCTCCGCAGTATACGTCGCCTTCTACTGACAACTGCTTTGTTGCTATCACACTCGAGTTCCCGGCTGTTTGACGAGAATGCGATCGTGACGATGTTCTTTCAAGGATCCCTCCAGGATGGCATTGCCCTCGCTGTGCGCGAGAGCAAGGCTGTGGTGTGCTTTGTCCGAGGTCGGTGGTCTCCCCGCACCAAATCAACGTGCCATCTAATCGAGTTCAATGTGCAGACGACGAGCAACTGAGCTCAACATGGGAGGATGAATATCTTACTGATGATGAGGTATGTTTGCGTGCGATTGATTGTCCGTTACGATGACTGGGTGGTGGCTAATCGTCTGCAGGTTGCGCCAGTCCTCGACGCCAAAGCGGTCCTATTGCGCCTGGCTGCTGGGACCCAAGAAGCCGGTTTCTTGACCACATTCTGTCCCATAGCAAAGTTCCCAACTGTTGTTGTCATCAAGTTCGTCTCATACTGGTTGGCCATGAAGGCTCTGAGCTGATTGTTTGAACTCCCAGGAATGGCACGCTGCAAGAGTACCTGACGCCCGAGCTTGTGAAAGACGATATGAAGAGCCGCTTAATTGCAGTCCTAGAAGGTGATAAAGATACCGTTACTGCTCAGCAGTCACAGCAGAGCAGTCCTGCCCCTATGAACAGCAATGCTGCACCTACGGCTAGTTCAACTGCTGCTACATCTGCCACATCCGCTACACCCAGTGCCTTCAATGCTCCATCACGACAACAATACCATCAATACCCAAGCGCCTCCCAAATATTTGCCCAACATCCATCCCAAGCGAGCACAAATATGGACAGCCCCGCAGCAGAGAAACCGGCAGAGAAACCGGCACCGCCGCAGCGGCAGCCACAGAAAGATGGCCTGAAAGGCAAATCCAAGGGCAAGCAACCAGCGACACCAGTAAATCAAGCATCTCAGAAACTCAAACCGAAGGCAGACAAGAAGCCAGCACCTAAAGTCGAAGAGGCAAAGCCACAACCCCCGGTTCCTCGTGGACCTCCAAGCCAGTACCGAATCCAGGTGCGACTGTTTGACGGCCGCTCGATTCGATCCAGCTTCACACCCACACAGACTATCCGCGGCGATGTTCGTCCCTGGTTGGATGAACAAATGGAGGATGACAACCGCCCATACAACCTTAAACACATCTTGACACCTCTTCCCAACCGAACCCTCTCTGTTGCCGAGGAGTCGCAGACACTCCAGGATTCAAGTCTCGGCTCTACTGCCAACCTCGTCATGGTTCCTGTTCAGACTTACACGACAGCCTACGCATCAGCTGGCTCCTTGCCTGGGCGGGGAATTTCTGCCGTGTATAACGTGGTTTCAGGCGTTGCCAGTGCAGCTACTGGTATTGTAGGCTCAATTCTCGGGTACGGATCCAGTGCACCAGCGAGCGAGGCTCAACCTGTGCCTCCTCCACCGGGTCAGAATGCTCAGCGACCACGCGCAACCGGAATGAACATTCGCACGCTGCGGGACCAGCAAAATGAACGGGGCGATAATCAGTTCTACAACGGGAACCAGGTATGTGGTCTTGCGCAGATCCCACGATTTGAATGCATTGACTAAATATTTATTGACAGTTGAACTTCGAACCGCGGAAGAAGGAGGACAAGGATAACTAGTGGCTCATTGGATTTTACTTTGGATTCAGCATATCGTAACTTACTCATTTGCGTAATTCGACGTTTTGTTTCAGCGTGCGATTGATACTCCAACAAGCAATGGACGATGTGGCATAAGTTCATTCAACGTCAATTAACACCTTCCACCTGATGACGATGCGAAATTGTCGATCTGATCAGATATTTACTATAGATCACGGATGCATTGGAACCGGACAAACCCTTTCCTCTTTCGTTCGGACCGGAAGTCTTGGCCCGAAAGTGGGGCCCGTTGGTAATCACCAAAGGGTCTAGAGCTCCTCTACACTGCTACAATTATTCTTATTCTGACGGTTTGCATCGAATATCCACATGTTTTATCCCTTTCTATTCTAGCCTCATTGGTGAACCTAGACCGGTGTCTATGACGAACGCTAGTGACGCCGAGGCACGTGCGGTACGTCCTTTGTCCTCATTAGCCCGAGCGTAACGTGAGCCATGCTAAACGAAGAGAACAGTGCGACTTGTGCTATACAAGGAAGGTTGGTTCGTCACTTGGACAAAGTACAGTTGCTGGCCAATGAGACCACTGACATCTTTCCATAGATCAAGTGCGATCGCAAGGAACCGTGTATGAACTGCACTGACGCCCGAACTGAGTGTCGTCGAAAGCGACCGAGACGAAAGCGTCAGAGAGACCCTCGGTAATATCTGACATTTTCTTTATCCTTTTATTTGCATTATGGGTGAAGAAAGGTGTTGACGGATTTGAAGGTTCTTAACCCTGGCAGACAGACTGTCCGAACTTGAGCGCACTGCCGCGTCTGTGACGCAGAGCCAGGGGTCAATTCCAGCATTTAAAGCTGGCACAGAGAGTGACCAACATAGCACAACGTCATCTGGCAAGCAGAAAGAGGCCAGCGCTATAGATTCTCCTAGTGTTGTCGGTGGCCAAGCCGTCTCGGGATCAGTCACTCCAGATGCTTTGAATCATGCGACCTCAGAGGCCAAGGTATTCTTACAGCGAGAGCTCGAGTCAAACAAAGAGCTCTCTCTGGATAGGTACACCGTGTTGGAGTCGGCACATCGACTGGTTGATCAAATATCCAGTACTGCAAATTTGCCGAGATCTGATCGCCACGATGGCTCTGAGCTCGATGTTGAGCCGTTGGCGGAATTCCCACCCGAGCTATGCTATATGTTGACTATGGGTAAGTGAATTTCCACTGAACAGAAACCGGTGGTTAAAAGTTGTTCATTTTTAGGGCCTGTAATCAATCTCGGTTCCTCGAACCGATTTCACTGGCCCGACCATGTCTCCCCCAGACATTGGAAAACATGTGTCTTGCTCTGGTGCGAGGGCAGGGTGATGAAACCACCCTGAATCATTACCGAGTTGTGGTATACACGAAAGCCGTCCTTGTTGTGACCCGATTACCTGGGACTGAACTGGGTAAACGCGTGCACCTTCAAGATCTGCTGCGGTCATCCAAAAGGCAATACGAGGCCACGGCGCTTGCGGCACTGGCGAATATCAATTTGTTAACTGCCCCAAGTTTATCCCTGCTACAAGCGCTATTGTCTGGGGTGCGTCTTGAACAGTCACACGATTTGAAACCCCCAAGGATGTCAAGGCTAATTTATCCCAGGCAACACTCATGCAATTCCGGGGAGATGTGTCCCAATGCTGGACACTAACATCGTTTGCATCAAGAATATTGGTATCGCTGAATTACCATACATTGAATGGTCTTAGTCCGTCCAGTGACACCGAATCTCAGATCCATGGAGCTATCTTTACATGTTATCATTTTGATAAGCTTCTCAGCTCACTCCTTCTCCGGCCCCCATCCCTCCCAGAACTTAAAGTGAAGCCGGCCGACCTAGTACAGTTGGACCCGCATACTCCCCTTACTGCCATTATGAAAGCCATTGTTGAGCTCGCACAGATCCAGGAAGTTACTCTGAGCCTGGCTTTGAAGCCAGATTTATCCGATGAGACATACCAACGCAATACCATCAATGCGCTAGTCCAAACCATGTATAACATGCATACAGAGTACCAGAAAGTATGTACCGATCGACTTTGCTACCGGCCCGCAGCTAATGACCGAAACTACAGCAACGGGTCAACCCATCTTTCAGCCATATGGAGTACGAATGGTTGGCTGTTGACTTCAACTATTATACAATTATGACTGCCACACTTCGCTCCACGCAGACTGTTCGAGCTCCATTCGTCCAAAAGGAATGTCTTTTGTACGCCCGGAAGGCACTTCGATCACTTCAACTGATGCAGAAGAACTATTTTATTTCTGGCAACTTTCTTGAAATGTCTACAACGTACCTTACTTGGTGAGCCTCGAACGAAACACAATGTTTCGCCGGTTGTTCTGACGTCCACAGGACTGTACTCTTATATCCACTTACACCATTTTTTGTTCTCTTTTGCAACGTGGTTCAAACGTCTGACCCTGACGACTATTCATTGATGTCTGCCATAACGGAAGCCCTTCTCTGCTTTGTGGACACACATCCTCCGACTGCCAAGTTATACAAACTCTTTTCCACCTTTTTGCATCTTTGCAGTCCCCTCATCCGAAATCAACATCAAATGGGCTCGCCACAGCCTCATTTCAACACCTCCTTTCCCGCGATGCCTTCCGGTATTGTGAGTACCACACACCCTTGCCAGGTGAGCCTAGAGGCAAGTATCGATCCACAGCATAATATTCCTACTGCTTCGAACTTCGATCAAATCCAAGTGGGTGAATCAGAAGGCCCAATGCTTGACAAAGTAGCCACGGGGAGTGCATGGAATGATGACATGTTTCGGGACTTGTTTTACTCCCAGCCATGGCTGGGATGGATGGAGTCAAATATCTAGTTTCCCAACGGGATCGACAGCTGTCAATCACAGCGGCCGGAGCTGGAGCGTGCGCCGGGCACTACCGAAAATCTCCCAAGAAGACGCGTCTAGCTTCTCGGAAGCATCTTATAGTGAGCTTATTAGTGGCCTTGAAGGTGCTGCTAAGGAAAAACTTTCTGAGAGACGAGGTAGGGTTACTGATCTCGCGGAAGCTTATTGATATGTTCCCTTGGCTGGATGCCAATGGGAGGGTTCGGAAGTCCTATCACTAGGCCGAGCTCATTTTCTATGGGGGTCTCGGTTGTTAATGTTTGTTAATAGTAAATAAGAATTTCTAGATAGCTATCTATTTTCCCATCGCCTCCTTTCAATCTCGAATGCGTAGTATTCTGTCCATAATAGAAGGTTCTCTTCCCAAAAGACCCTCAGTCACTCTCCTACCGAGTCACTGTCCCCTATCATGGTCCAAGGATTGTAATAGTAGTATGACCCGTCTAGTGAGACACATGTCATTTTTCCTCGTGATAATTTAGATTTCTTAGATTCTGGCACGTTCTGCTTCTCCGAAAATCTCAAACAGAAGCAAGGTATCTCTACGGTGCCCTGACTGGCAAAAGACTATCAGTACTAGATCTGAGGGATACTAGCTGCAGGCGAAATACCACTCAGTGTGAGAAAATGCATCTTACATGCATGGCTGTCGGCCAATGTGAATACGAGATCTTGGGATCCGCCCCGCTTTGAATCACCGCACTTCTGCATCGTGATGTTAGGGCGGGGAAGCGGTGGGAATCTGCTCAGACTCAATTTGTTCTTTCCCTTCTTGTAGGTTGACCTGTTCTTGGCTTATAGTCTCACAAGGTACTTTTCTCAGAGTGTGCGTCGCGACATGGAGCTTCTCGTTCTTGTTTTATTAGCTTTGTCTATCAGCTACCTTGTATCCACAACACTCTACAATCTCTTTTTCCACCCGCTGCATAACTTCCCCGGACCGAAGCTGGCAGCTGCTACACACATCTATGAATTCTATTTCGACTGTATCAAGAGCGGGAAGTTCATATGGGAGATTCAAAGAATGCATGAGATCTACGGTAAACGACAGTATCACTCGTGATCCCTACCATAAGTCTGGCTAACCAATCTACAGGACCGATAGTGCGGATCAATCCCCGGGAAATCCACATCAAAGACCCATCCTATTTCGCAGAGATCTACAGCAACGGAATCCAGGAAAAAGACCCATTCATGATTAACGTTGCCCCATCCCCGGGCTCGTCCTTCGCAACAATAGACCACAACCTCCACCGGTTCCGACGCGCAATCGTAAATCCCTTCTTTTCCAAACAGGCCGTTGTCAAAATGGAGCATATCGTGCAAGACAAAGTCGATAGAGCCGCTAAACGCCTAGAGCAAGCGAAAAACAACGGCACGGTCATCAAAACCGACGCGCTATTCTCAGCATTGACAGGCGACGTTATTTGCCACTATACCTATGGCGAGAGCTCCGGTATGCTGGAAACGAAAGATATGCAAAACGAGTTCCGTGATGCTGTGACCGGCGCTAGTGTCTTTTGTCATTTTATGAGATTCTTCCCGGTTCTCGTGAGCCTGTTGGAGTCTATGCCTTGGTTTATTCTCTGGCTGCAGCCGATGTATAAAGGATACTTTGACATGGAGCGGAAGATAAAGGAGCAGAGTGTTAATGCATTGCAGAATGCTGAGAAGGAACAGGGGTCAAGGACTATCTTTCATGCTTTGAGTGACCCTTCACTACCGGCCGAAGAGAGAACGCCGATACGATTGAAGAACGAGGCTATGACTATTGTGGGTGCGGGGACGGAGACTACCGCGAGGGTTTTGACTGTTGGCTCGTTTCATCTTTATAGAGATGGGACTATGGTGCGGCGTCTGCGGGATGAGCTGAGGACGGTGATGCCGGATCCGACTAGTAAGGCATCCTGGGGCCAGTTGGAGAAATTGCCATATTTGGTACGTATGTTGAGCATTCTTCAATTCTAAGAAAAGCTGACATTCATTAGACCGCTGTTATCAGCGAATCACTACGGCTAGCACACTCCACTACCCTTCGGTTTCCGCGCGTGGCTCCAAATAAGACTCGGATGTACAAGAACTACATCATTCCGCCCGGAGTAAGATACCTTTTCGCTTTGAATATGAACGTTACTAAGACAATATGCAGACTCCGGTCAGCCAGTCGATCTACTTCGTGCATATGGATCCCGATATCTTCCCGGAACCAAACACGTTCACCCCCGACCGATGGTTGGAAGCATCCCAGAAGGGCGAAAGACTTGATCGGTTCCTGGTGCCGTTTACGAAAGGTTCTAGAATGTGTCTAGGCATGAAGTAAGTATCGAAAGATGCTACATTGCGAGTGATTGACTGACAGGTGGCATTGTGTTAGTCTCGCCTACGCAGAATTGTATCTTATGTTTGCGACCTTGACTCGACACTTCGATTTGGAGATGCGGACTTCTTGGGAAGACATTCAAATATCGCGAGACATGATTTTAGGTGTGCCTGAGAAGAAGGATGTTCTTGAGGTGGAGGCAGTTGTCACGGCAGTTGTCTACGAATGAAGATGAAAACTACGACGACAGGTTATCTTTCTTTCGTATCCCTCAAGTGGACGAAGATGCCATCAGCCTGAGACAAGGACCGGTGATGATTGATTTCAACGACGAGGAGAGATGGTATAGAGTACAAGAGCGCGATATCAAAGTCGCGATGCAAAGGATTACATCCACCGAGCTGTCCTGAGGATCAACCCATGTATTGAGAATTCTATTAAAAGTAACGACGGACACCCACCGACCAAGGGAGCGCTTAGTACGGCTTAGCGGCACTCTGGCAAGCCTTCTGTTCGGTTGTTAGCAATAGTCCATTACCGAGATATCTACCGAGGGAGAAAGTGTGTACGTACCAGCTGATCAAGGTACCAACCGCAAATGCTGATTTGGCCCTGGTTCTCGTCCATGCAATTACGGAAATTGCGGGCGTCGTTGGCGCAAGCGGGGTTCTCGTACTGCGACTGGTTGGCGCTGCTCTGCCACAGACCGTTGTCCATGGGCTGGGCGGCAGCGGCCTGCTGGGGCTCGGCAGGGGCGCTGGAGCCACCCCCGGAGAAGAAACCACCGATGGCGTGGCCGACAGAGGAACCGATAGCGACACCGCTGGGAGAAAGTTAGCGGTGAGTTTCAAAGAAAATGTTCAACCCCGGATATTCTCGGGAAAATGCGGAGATCATTGTTCGGGTTTCAGGTCGACTTACGCAGCGGTGGAAGCCATCTGGCCGAAGAGACCGGAACCGGCGCTCTGCTGGGGAGGAGCCTGCATCTGCTGGGGAGGAGCAGCGGCAGTCGAGTGAGGTGCCTGCTGCTGGTGCTGGGGAGCGGCCGCGGGGCGGGCAGGGGCAGCGGTAGGGCGAGTGGGCGCGCTGCGCGCGGGGGTAGGGGCGGCACGACGTTGTTGGCGAGGCATTTTGATGGATGTGTAGGTGAAGTTGGGGTGTTGAGGAGGAAGAAGACTGTCAAAGTAGATATCCGAGGAGTGGAGACAGAAGAAGCTAGAAAGCTGAGTCAGTCGAGGCAATGCAAATTCTACGAGCATCAATTGGCCGGCGGTGTGCCTGAGTCACGTGGGATCGGACATTACAGGAGTTTAGCGGTTCAGTCAACTATGACTCGGACTTTGTGTTGATCGAGATTTTATTCATTCTTTTGCATTCCAGATGAGATGATGGTGGGTATCTAAATTCGTAGTGACGTTGATGTACAAGGAGTAATGCGGGCAGAGGTAGTGTAGTCTCGGTCAAGGTCATACTATAAGCCTCGACAGTAGGAGGCTAACGGTAGACCACAAGAGAATCACCGAACAAGCGGGATCACTGTTTCTTGTGGGTCTTGCGGAAATCCTCCTTCTTCTGCCGCCTCTCCTTCTTGCGGTCTTTGCGCCCATCAACGTCGAGCTTTCCTTGCTTCTTAGCGACCTTTACATTCTTGCTTCGGGCATTGGCCTTTTCAATCTTAGCCTGCTTTTTTTCTTTTTCTTTGGCAAGCTCAGCTTCAGCCTCAGAGCTCATATCTTCGTCAGAATCATCAGAGTCGGCGCCGGATTGAGCAGTAGATGGGGGTGCGCTGGATGGATCCTCGCTCTGAGCTTCGGCAGCCTGCTTCTTAGCGAGCATGGCAGCCTTGAATTGAGCACGCGCCCTCTCCTTGGCCTGCTTCTCTGCCAATTCCAAGTCGATCTTATTGTTGCCGGCCTTCACAGAAATTAGTTGGGGTTTCAATCACAGGACGCGATGTACTTACGAGACCGTGCTTGATGAAACGCCCAGCAGCCGCTTTGTCGAGTGTCATCGTGCGTTGTTCGGGCTCTGTTTCCAAGTCCTTGATCTTATCAAAGTATTGCTTCACGCGTGTGAGTTCACGGAAGACGGAGTGCTGTTTCGCATCGATGCCGTGGAGTCGGAGGTATGCTGGGGCAATGTTAGCAGAACTCCAGTTCTCGATCAGAGGCAGACGTACAGAAAATGAGTGATTCGAGGGTGTAGGTGATCAGAACGTGAAGTTTGGCCTTGTCCATCACCGGCAGATTTTTGGAAGTCTTAGACAGGGACTGGCCCAGGAAAGGCTGCAGAACATCTTCCAAGTCATCCACATTGTCATCCAGCTGCTCCAGCAGCGGAAATAAATCTGCTGTATCCATGATGATGTGCAGTGTAAATGGGAAGTTGACGAAAAAATTAGGACGGTGCAACGGAGGCGGTGCGCGCGGGCGGTGGAGATTTTGGCCGCGCATCATTGCCTGTGGTCCGACATTTTGCGCGCGCCATTCAAGCTTCTGTTCGAGGCACTTTCGGGGTTTTCTGTGCTTTACGACCACAATGCAAATGCAGATTTAGAATCCTATCGTCCCCTCCGACCCTTTCCGGAACCGAGCTATTCATCCGAAAACATCTATTTACAGTCCGCCGGGGGACTTTTTCCCCGAACACCCTCAAAGTGTTCCACCTACTCGCGCGCCGCCCGCTATGGCGGAGTGGGTTGATTGACGTCTGTCAATCAAGATGGCAGGTCATTTGTGGACCTACAACACGGCTCCAGTCAACATGGGCGGACAATGCGAGGGAGATCTCGGAGGAAGCGCCCCAGATGTCAGGGCGGGTGCATGTCCTGGGCCTCGGAAATGTAGGGACCTTCATTGCCCACTCGCTCGCATCACGACAGTCTCCACCGCCTATTTCACTCCTCCTTCATAACACAGATCTTTTGAGAGAGTTCCGACGGAAGAAATACTCTCTCGCCATCAACCACCAAGGCATGGACGAAGTCAAAGGCGGATTCGACGTGGAAGTGCTCTCCCATTCGGAATGGTACAAGGTGGACACGACGCAAGTCAAAAGCAAGGACCGCAAGAGAAAAATCCCCGAAGAAGAAGACCAATTTGAAAGCGCGGTAGACGAGGAAGACATTGACTGCTTGATTGTCTGTACCAAGGCCAATGTCACAGAAAAGGCCATCCAGACTCTCAAGCACCGCTTGACCTCGAATTCAACTATCTGCCTGGTTCAAAGTGGCATGGGACTCATCAGCCGACTCAATGAAACGGTCTTTCCGGATTCGAATAATCGTCCGCATTATATCGAGAGTGCTTTCAGCCACTACCTCTCAAGGCAGCATCCTTTCCACATCGCCCATAATAGCCCTGGAACGCTCGTTCTCAGCCCCGCGGTCACGGAGAAAACTCCTCTGATCGAAGCAGAGAAAGATACCCACTGGGTTCCTTCAACAAAACACCTTCTCCGGCTCTTGACTCTTACGCCGCAACTAGTGGCCACGGTTGAGACACCCGCGGGTTTACTCCAGCACCGACTGGAGAAGCAGGTGGTCAACTGTATTATCGGCCCACTGACGGCAATCAACGACTGCAAAAATGGCGAGCTTTTGTATATCTTCAGCGCTACCCGGCTCATGCGGTTGCTCCTCTTTGAAATCTCGAGTGTGATCTGCTCTCTCCCGGAGTTGCAGGGCATCCCGGGCATCCAGAGTCGATTCTCTCCGGAGCGCCTACGCCGAATGGTCACATATACTATGTCGAAGACGGCCAACAACACCAGCTCCATGCTCCAGGACGTCAAAGATCGCAAAGTCACGGAGGTTGAATACTTCAACGGCTGGATCGTTCGCCGCGGCGAAGAGCTGGGTCTCAAGTGTGTGCTCAACTATATGGTTAAACACATGGTGCATACCAAGCTCGTTGTCAACATGCGTAGGGACAACAGCGCCGTCCCTCTTGATCTTGAGAACGTCATTATCACTGGTGACCCGCAAATAGATGATTAATTTGAGTCTCTGTTTCATTTTCTTCTCTGCTATATCGGCGGTCCTCGAAGTGCGCGCCTCACAATCAGGGAGGAAGAGCTCTACAAATCAATCGCCATAGATGCACTCTCACAGACCCCCTTGATCTGTGCCCACCGCCGCAAAAGCGTCTCGGCTTTTTGGTGATTTGCCTGCACCACAGCATCGGACTCCATTGCCGCGCGCAATGCATTCACGGCAGCGTCTGCCTCCGTGCAATATGTCTGAAGCCAACCCTTGATGATGTTCTCAGATAGATTTTCATCCACACCCTCGGTGGAGCCTTCGAGAACATGGTTCCGCCAGTCCTCTTCTTTCATGTATTTTAAACACGCTGCCACCTCGGTGCGATAGCAAACACCCTGCCAGGTGACTTGGTAGTTACTGAAAATAATTAGCATTGAATATACCCGCATTGTATAACAGAATAATTTACCCGTAGTATTGATTCAGGGCTAGTTCTTCCCGTTTGTCAGCGCTGGTGATATCTCGGAAGATGATGTCGTCCAGATAGACGCAGTCTGATTCGTTTTGCTCGAGGAAAAATCCATCTAGACGTATTAGCGTGGTCAATGGCTTGAAGAACGGAGTAGGGCTCACACTCAGCCAACAGGAAGTCATTCGGATGGCTCCCATAACTCATGTAGACCTCATCTCCCTCCTCATAATCCTCCGTGGCACACAAAGTATACTCATCTGCATCAAACTTGACATCGCACTAAAATCGTCCCCCTATTAGCAACAAGTCAACCCCTAGCCTCAACCCCCGGAAGACAAACCTCAACATCAGAGTGATTAAAATAATCGGCAAAAGGCAACAAAGCCATAGCATCATTCCGATCCTCCGGCGGCTCCTGATCTGGCCCCACCCAATAGAAACTCCTCGTATTGAGAATAAGCCAATGATACGAGAAATCCCTCCAATCCGTCTCCGGCAGAACAGCCTTCACATCCGCCCACGCCTTGCCCAGCCTCTGTTCCTGTCCAGCCAGAAGATTCTGGTGCTCAGTATCGTACTTTTTCGGACTGTGATCTTTCTGGATGGAGTTCCACCGTCCTGAGATACACGGCGGAAGGACGTTAGCCTGCGCGCCAGACCCAGCGGGGGTATCTGGCCAGACAAGTCCGCCTAGAGCAGTAGGCCATAGCATTGGCAGGCTATCTTCGAAGTCTTGACGAGACGGCCAGGCTTTGCGCCATAGGGCGTATTTGGAGAGTTCTTCCTCGCTGCCGTGCGTGAGGTAGGCGGCCATTATGGCCTGCACAGGGGTTCCTTCAAGGAATTGAGCCCTGAATGAGTCTGGCAAGGTCTCTATTGTCATGATGGCGCTTGTGGGCACTTGGACCACGGGTTCGCCACTCTGGAGAGTGTTAGTATCATGGTCAAATGGAGAAGAGAGGCGATGCGCCTACTTTGATTGCTCGGGTGGCTATCATTCCTAGTCCGCGGCCTGGGAATCGGGCTGGGGTTACGCCATTGGCGATTACGCCTTGGGCGAGAGCCCATTCGGTGAAGGCTGCGTGGTCTTCGCCAGGCCACCAGGTTGGGGTTGACATTTTTAATGAGGGTTGGAGAAAGTAGATCTTTCGAGTAGTTAGCGTGGAGTATGGTTGGTGGGTTTTGGTGTGACAAACGAGGAATTGGTCTTTATTTTGCCTCTCTGAGTGATTTTCTACAAGCAATTGACCATGATAGACCTGAGAAGTATGGGATTTGACGTACGTTCAAACTGAGGCAGATCAACAGGGCTGTGGAGTTATCGATAACCCAATCGCTTATCGCTACGGCAGCGAGCAGTGTCCATTTGCGCCGTCTTTCCCCATCGTATGACTTGCTTCTACTTCTGTATACTTCGACTCGATTAGCACACCATGTCGGTCTTAAGCAGACGAGGAGCATCCTCGCTCCGATCTTTGAAAACCCCATGCTCTGCTTGTTCCGTGCGGCCGTTCTCCGTCTTCAACCGCCCACAGCCAAATTATCCCGGCCATGTCCCATTGACGACCGTTGAACGCGGTGCTCTCGCCTTGGGTTCAGCAATAGGCTCATTGATCAATCCTCGACGAGCCGGTACGTCTATACAAGAACCTCAGCTCCAGCTCCACTGCAGGGCTCTATTGGCTACACAAACAGTCCTAACAAGCACCAGACCTCATCGCAGCCCTCGGCGAAGCAACAGCAACCCCATTCTTCATCTACCGACTCCGCGACGCAATGCTCTCCGACCCAACTGGCCGCCGCATCCTCCGCGACCGCCCACGCATAACTTCCGAAACCCTCCAAATGACCCACCTGCGCTCTCTCCCCGAAAACTCCGTCGGCCGCACATACGCCAAATGGCTCGACCGCGAAGGTGTCTCCCCGGACACACGCGACAACGTGCAATACATTGACGATGAAGAATGCGCCTATGTAATGCAGCGGTACCGCGAGTGCCACGACTTCTACCACGCTGTGACGGGGCTTCCAATCTTCGTGGAGGGTGAATTAGCTTTGAAGGCGCTGGAGTTCCTTAACACGTTGCTACCGATGACAGGATTGAGCTTGTTTGCGTTTGTTAGAATGAAGCCGGCGGAGAAGGAAAGATTTTTGTCGCTGCATTTACCGTGGGCGGTGCGGAGTGGGCTGGCGAGCAAAGAGTTGATTAATGTTTACTGGGAGGAGGTGCTGGAGAAGGATGTGGATGAGTTGAGGAGGGAGTTGAATATTGAGCAGCCGCCTGATCTGAGGGAGATCCGGAAGATGATTCGGAGGCAGCAGAAGGAAGAGAAGGAACGATTGAAGCAGATGTCGGGCTAAGGATCTATGCCTTTGCCTCTTGGGGTTCCTAAGGTTAGACTCCCCGTGTACGATTATTGTATAGAATATCCCCATATGCGAATGCAAAACCGCGGTGCGAGCCGTGCCAGACCGCAACGCCGAAAATAGAATTTTGAGGGCCAGACGGGCAAGGTATCCAAATGGCAAATACAAAGCTAATCAGGAGTATCAATATTATTCTCAAAGGTCGAGGAGGTCATCGTCATCATCCCAGCCGCCTTTGCGCCGGCTGATCACGATCTTCTGCTCTTCCTCTTCCTTGCGCTGGTTCTCGGCCACGGCGTTCAGAAGCTCCTTGAGCTGCTCCTCTGTGACCTTTGATCGCAGCTGGCCGGTCTGGGCCAGCGTGATTAACCGGTTCTCGATATCGGTGGCGCGCTGTTCCTTGACGAGGCGAATGCGGCCTAGGCGATCCGCGGCGGCGGGGTCGAGGATTTGGTTCATTATGGCGGCGCGACGTTCCGCTGTAGGACTTTGTCAGAGTGTTCAAATGCGAATAGTCCGAGTGTATTGTATATTCAAGAGTGAAGCGGCGGACCGGGGGTTCGTAGTTCGGATTGTGGGAACACGATCACCTACATTCAGCTTGTCTAGAAGAACCAGTTAGTCCCATCGTAACCTCCAGCCAGTAGATCCAGCACTTACCTCTGTTCTTCCTGGCCTCCACCCTGACCTCCGCCCTGGGCAGGGCCTCCGCGCGGGGCACCCTGCTGTTGCTGCAGCTGCGCGAGGCGAGCTCGCCTGATCTGTTTCCCGATGTGAGCTGTGGGTGACGTCGGTCACCGGGGGACCACCTACCTCTTCGAGCTCTGCGTCGGCCATTCTGTGATACACGTGAACCGAGGTTTATGAGTGACGTTGCAGAGGAGAGTTTCCAATTTGTGAGGCATCTTAGTCAAGTTTGATTCGGTAACCCCACTTGTTCCGCCTGAGGCTGCCACGCGGGGGGATTTATGACATTTCTAGATACAGAGTGAAGAATTTTGGGATGAGACTTGGTTCGATTTCATTATCGGAATTGGTGTGGTTAAATGTGCTGTTGCGTTTCTCATGATAGCTTGATAAGGCTGTATTTGTCGATTAGAAGACTCGGTCATGGCGGAAAGGTTAGCAGCAGGAATACACCAGGGCAGCTTAGAGAGTTGTACCAATTATTATAGTGGATTAGAAGACAATCTTAGATGGGAAATTGTTGCTGACATATACTGGGAGGAGCCCTGCTGTTACTGGAGCTCTGATTTATTCTGAACTACCTACAAAGTGAAGAGCTATTTAGTGGTGTTAGTGGCGGGGTTGGGCATCTGTTTGGTTTGACATCTGGAGTCAACTAGGCAATGGATGCAATCAATTGATGAGTGACCGCAGAAAACATGTTTAAAGAGTTCTCATGTATAGCCCGACCAGGCATATGCATTAAATTTTACCAGATAGGCGGCCGCGCTTATCCCCTTAGATAGATTTTAAGTCATTTGAAAGGATACCTTGAAGGGATAGAAAGAGGTATGAAAAGAGCTTTCTTCTCGATCGGGCTGGATGACGGTCTGTTCTGTTATTTGCTACAGGGATTCTTCCAAATCCCGCGTCTCTACTCAGAAGAGACCTTGTCAGACCATGGCAGTCTACACGGCAAATTTATCCCCGAGAGATCCAAAAAGATACGGCAGATAATTATGCACGGACTACGGCTTTACCGACCAGGGAACTCCACTGGTGAAATTGATACGGACGTCCGCGTGTGCGTCCATGTCGAATACTTAGCCCAATCTCCCACGACTAGCGCAATCTACGCGATACCAGGGGCAACTGCTGCGCCTCCAGGGTTACTTCAAGCGGGGGGCAAATTCCCTTAGACTGATATACCCAGCTCGTATTCTGGCATCAGCAGGCCAAAAAATCAGACCTTCCAAAACACCCGACTTAACGAACAGTGCGCAGATCGGCTGGCAGTTCCGGTTTAGTCGCGATGAACTATTACTCTAGTTCCATGGAGACGTGGATCGCTTCAGGTCGCGGTAGCCCAAAACGACCGTGAAGAAAAAAGTCTGCTATGAGGTAATCCGCTTGCCTTGAGTACGTAGAATTGTACGAAACGAGCATAGGAATAGCAGAATGGAGTCAGAATCATAAAACTAATGAAAAATAAACCGGCACGTTCCAATCTCGCGACTCGATCACGCTTCCGGTGTGAGATGACTAAGCGCTTGTTCGCCTCCCAACATCGCTGCGACCCCCCGATCTCTTCTTGTCTCTTGCACTTTGGTGGACGTTATCTACCTGCGTCTTCTGGTTTGCCTGCTATTCTTTCTCGTCGGTCTTTTCTTCTCTTCTCCATCCCTATAATACTTCGACGTCTTCCGACCGTCCTCTTCCGGTCCGCTCCAGAGCTCCCGAACCCCAAACCGCTTGCGGGGAACATTCGATCATTTGCTGCCTCGAGTGAATGGCTTTGAGGGCTCGGTGTTCAGCGTCTGCCTGGGTGTGATTATCGGTTCAGTGGCCATCTGCAATAAATAAACCGGTCACAACCTCACATTCCTTCTACGCCGTCTACGTCACTCATCATGGCCGAGTAAGTTCCCCAAAGCACTCGGAGGAAAAGGAGTTGCCAGTCCGATTCGGATAACCACTAACATGGAGGATAGTCTAATTGCCTTCCAAACATACCACCATAGTAATTTACGGCCACCGAATTCGTCCACCATGATCTCGCGTCACGCCCATAAGCGGTCTCTTTCTTCAGAGCATCGCACTCTGTCCCCGGACAGGACCGTCACCAAGGCGAAATCTACCACAAACCTCACTGAAATCGCATCCGACCCGAAGTTCCATCCCAAGTACGAGGAAAGCAGCTTCAACACCTTACAGGATCCACGCTTGCTCCTCGGCAAGGAGGTTTCACCATCAACGTCATCGACCCATCATCCCGACTTGAGCAATGAAGTCGCGGCATTGAGTGTGAAACTGATCCAGGCGATCAACAATCAGACCTCGTTGGATGACAACCTCGTTGCCACGCGACAAGAGCTGGAGACAGCTCAGAGCAAGATCAAAGCCTTGGAGTTTCAAAATGAGAAACATCGTCGGGATATTAATGAGCAAGTCTACATCAAGAAATCCGACTCCGATCGTGAAATCATGCAATTGAAAGCTGCGCTTGCCGAGGAGAGAGCCGCACGCGCCGTGGCTGAAAAGGGGACCAAGACCATGGAGCAGGAGCTTGAGGCCCTGACCGCTGATCTCTTCGAGGAAGCCAACAAGGTGAGTTATTATTCTGCATCTCCCAGTCCACTGCTGGGTCCGGTCTGACGTTGGTTTTAGATGGTGGCTGCAGCTAAGAAAGAACGGGAAGCGGTCGAGAAGAAGAACGAGCAATTGCGCTCGCAAATCAAAGACACCGAGTCTCTCCTCGCATCTCACCAGGACCAGCTGGCGGAGCTCAAATCTGTCATGCAAGGGATGCACCTGTCTAAAGACGATGTGGATACCCGAACCAACGCCTCAACCGCACCGCCGTCCCCAGCCGGCCCCCCACAACTGCAGGATTCAGCCAAGCAAGTGTCCGAGGATGTCGATATTGCGGCAACTCCGTGCATTTCCGAAGAATTGACTCCCGGCCCGTCATGCAACTTCCCCGAAATGATCCGTTTGGTGTGCCGCACCGATCTACAGGCTTATGATGACTTCCGCGAGCTTCTGGTGCTTGCTCGAGGCGCGAGTTCGAAACCTGCCAGTCGCGCCGGAAGTGGCTCGTATTCGGGCTTGAATGTGATGAGCTTGGCTGGATTTGGCGGTGGTAACTCGAATACATCGTCGCCTACCAAGGGCTTCACACACTCTCCCAATGGGAGTCTGTCTTCGCAAACCGGCTCGCATATCCCTCTCAAGGACACTAGATTCTATAAGCGAGTGTTGATGGAGGACATTGAGCCTACACTCAGACTTGACCTCTCCCCAGGCATTTCATGGCTTACTCGACGCACTGTTTTGAGTGGGATCTGTGAGGGCACTCTTGTCGTGGAACCTATGCCGTCAGCGACCAAAGTATACGAATTCCCTTGCTCGGTTTGTGGCGAGCGCAGACCAGGAGTTCAAAACGACCGGACACACCGCTTCCGAACATCGGACAGTGAAACAGCCCAACGATATTCCTTGTGTATTCAGTGCCTGGAGAGGGTCCGTTCCTGCTGCGAGTTCACCGGCTACCTGCGTCTTATCCTAGACGGACACGTCCGCGCCGGTGACAGCGAAGAAGAAAAGGATGTCTGGGAAGAAACTGTTCACTTAAGAGAGCGCATGTTCTGGTCTCGAGTTGCAGGCGGTATCGTCCCGCAATTCGCCCGAACAGCCGAGTCTGCAACAGTTGAAGTTTCACAAGATAAATTCTTACATCCTATGGACAACAACTTCGTTGAGCCCAAAATCGAGGAGATGAATCGTATCATTGAGGCCTCTCGCCCTAACACATCATCTTCCATGGCAGGCCACTCAATCCGCTCCTTTGGTATGGCTAAGCCTGTCACTCCGGATCTCCCACACAGGGATGATGATGCCTCCGCAGATGAAGCACATTGCAGACGAGGCTCCGTCGACTCCGATGTCAGCGTCTATGAAGAAGCCAACGCAGATGTCTCCGCCGACAGGGAGCCTGTGGTCGAGGAGTCCGAATTCGAACACGAACAGCCCGTCACCGAAGCGCCTGTGACCGAGGAGCTCGAATCTGAAGAATCCGTGCCCGAAACTCCCGTGACGGAGAAGCCCGAGGTTAAGGAGCCTCTCACCGAAGCACCTGTGACCGAAACCCCCAAGGTCGTGGAGGCCGCCACGGAGAAGGCCGAGGCTGAACAGTCCTCTTCTCACGAACCCTCTAGCACTGAAGCCACGTCTAAAAATGCGGATTAAAGTAGTCCCAAGCCAAAAATGACCACGACCCCACGGCCTCCAGTGTTTCACGCCTGACGCATTTCATCATTTATCATTCCTTCGCCTTCAAGCATTCTCCTCGACAAGACTAATAGACACGCTGCATACGCCCTTTAATCCACCTTCCACATTCACCCCTTTCTTCGATATCCCCGATTTCGAGCAGCTTGCTCCCTCCATGTATTATTACTGTTCTCTTCGCCCTCATGTATATTAATAATGTCTTTGCTTCCCTCTTCTTGGGCCGTTCATCTTGGTCTTTACCCCTTTTGCTTCCGCGTTGCTTTTGTTTTCATCGGACATGTCTATACACAATTGGTGGCTCTGGATGGATGCTTACTTCTGGGTTTTTTTTCCTTTCTGCTTTTCGATATGCATTATTCTGCTCGGTGATGAGATAGCAGCTGCCGAGATGGCAAATGAAACTATATGACTTTTATATTTCTTCTACTGTGTGGCGTCCTGGTAGTCCAAGGCTTGACTCGACCTACGCTAAGACCTTTTTTAATATTTCTCAACTTAGAAATCAAATCACCTCTTTGACGGTGATTTAATCTAATCGAGTGCCCTTTTCGTCTCTCGCCGCTTTGGGGACCTTCAATGTTCCGAGACTTTCTTTCCAAACACTTACATCTGGATAGAGGTATATATTTACCAGTCTCCACATTTCCCGCAATATTGGGACGGCTCCCTAATACTTCCAGCATCTCTAGAAAAGCTAGTATAACTGTAAGATGATGGAGAACTGCTCTTTGGAGTGTAAAAACAACTTAGCTGGTAAGCCCAGAGCCTATTAGCCTCATAGAACGATCGTCTTAGGGGCTATCATACTTGCGTATTTGTATTATTCCCACTTATGGGTCTCGGGAACAAGCAGAAGAGGCATCTTTCCTGATAGCTGCAGATGGAGGTCTTCTTAACGCCTGTACAAATCTACCATACGGATTGTTTGGTCTTCTTCAATGGGTGGTTATCTTGAAAGATCCAGAGAGCTAAAGTAGATAGACTGCCTAACGAGATTTGTCACTGGTCGTATTCGACTACAGGATTTAAAAAATATTAGAAATTATGATTTTCTAGCTTGAATTTCCGCACTCTTGGTTGTTTGTTGGGAAAGGTCTAATACAGAGAATTATGAGATGTGTTTGTATGGCCTCATGTACTTTAGCCACTCGGGTACGAAGCAATATGACACGGGAGGTTTAGTTTCGCAGTTTTTATGAACTAGTAGATCTACTCATCTCGCTCAGTCTCGAGGTCTCTTACGTCCAAGGTATGGTTACACTCCGGGTTTCCTGTACTAACCTAATCGAAGGTCGCTCTTTCCACAGAATCATACAAAATATGACGGTACATCGCCAGGAGGAACGACGTAGAGACAAGAGCGCGACTCTACGGTTCAAGTAAATCTTCCAATGGGTGGATCTAGGTCACTGGTTATTGAACTAAATAATTTACCTTATCCAGTTCATACCGAGGAAGCCAACGACAGTCTACCAACGCTTTGCCAGGCCTGTCCCTGCTCTACTCTTTTCCACCTTGTACCTTTGCAAGAGTACCCATGCAATTCAACATTGAATGTACTCATTCTATTCCTGATCTAGATGGAACATACATGTAAATATATTACGGCGCAACTACAAAAATCAAAATGAAGCATTCATCAGAGGACAGGATAAGTCGGTGGCGTTCAGAAATGTTAAAGGCTATTTATTATACAAAAAGACATCGTCCATATCCCACGCCCAAACTCCGATACGTAAAGGTTTTCCTAACATTGAAGCCATAGCCTGTCCACAGAAGTAGATCATTGCTTTGCGCGCTCATGAATGTGTCGGATCTGATCTTCGATATTCATACTTTGAGGCAGAGGTACACCGCCAGGTCCCATCGCAGGACCAGGCTGCACAGGGCTGTCGGTAGCCATGCGTTTGCGACGATCTTCTTCGGGGTCGAGAGGAGCGAGTGAGGAGTCGAAGACGTCGCTTCGCTGGCTGGCGAGGCGCTTGAGGTTGTTGACCACATCCATAGTTGACAGATTGGTTGTGGCGCTGCGGGACTCGGCTTTGGCGCGCTGCTCTTTCCAGCGCGGGTCCAGGAGCTCGATGCGCATGTGCTGGTCCAGCTCGGCGACGGGAATTTGTTGGTGGCAGTTCGGACAGAGGGCCATTGCACCGGCGGCTTGGGCGCGGCGAGCCTGAGCGCGGGGCACGTAGTCTGAGCGGATGCGCATTGGTGGTTGGCCTGGGGCGCTGGGGATGGGTGACTCGACGCGAGCTTGGGCTGCCTCTGGCTGCGGGGGGTATTGCATATTGTAGTCTGCGCCTGGGGGAGCGTAGGGGCCTTGGGGGTAGGGAGAGACCGAGGGCATGGTGGATTCGGGTTGGACGGGGTAGGGGTTGTAGTAGGTAGGATTGTCGAGATCGGTGGGCATGGCCTCTTCGATGCGGAGGGGGTTAAGAGACATGGCGGCTTTTTGCTCGAGGGAGGCGGACTGCAGGTCCGCGAGTGAGGTCGGCGGTGGGAGGTCGGACTGGTCATCGACTTCCGTGAACGTGACGGTCTCGACGACCACAAAGTCGTGCCAGTCGATCTGCGCATACTCGATACGCTCCAGTTCCTCCAGCTCTTCCTTCTTCTGCTTCTGTTGTTCTTGGAACTTCACCCACTCGGCGCGCTGTGAGGCGCGCTCCATGATATGATATTTATTTTGCACATTTTGTTCAAGTTCGGCAATTCTCTTCTGTTCGGTAGTAGTGGCATCGATGCCTTCGGATCGGAACAAGATGGTGTACTGGTCGACCAGTCGGGTGAAGAATTGGTAGAGACTGTGCTGGGGACGAAGGAACTCGAACTGGTAGTTTCTGGCCTCGCGCTGCGACAGCGCGGTCACAAACGATTTACCTCGCTTGGCGACAAACAATGCTGTGAGCTTGACGACCTCTAAATCCTGCGCATTGATGTTGGGCATGCGTGCGGAGAAATGAAACGCGGCGGGTTCGGGAGGCCCTTTGGGCTTTTCAGGTTCAGCGGCGGGTGTTGCTTCGCCAGCTCGTCCTGCTGAGACGGCAGTACCGCGACCATCCTTGATCTCAGTGAGGCGCCATTGGTAAAAGGGCGCGTAGGCATCGCCCGGATTCAAGAAGGAGAATTTGGCATTGCTCTTTTCCTTGTCACGGACACGATCTAGAGAAAGATGAGATGTTAGCTCTGACGCAGCATCGATATATAAGGCATGTTCTGACCTTCAAATATATGACCATTGCGAGCAACGTATCCAGCAGTCTTCTCGACGATCGCTAGATTGCACGGTTAGCTGGATCCTTGCGCTAAAAGAACAGAGACGTACCTCGAATGTCCTTGGGGGGCAGTACCAAGCCCTCCGGAGGCTTATTCATATCCTCCGGCAAAGGAGTGTTACCATTCGACGTATCCATGGCGGCGATGGGGATGTGACTGGCGCGGCGAGTCTCTTTGGAGATAACTTTAGGAATGCGAGGCACTGCACTAGCCACACTTACATAAGTCATATTACGTAATATATGATAGAAAAACGTGGCTGAAGGCTGAAGGCGGCCAGATTCCTGAGGTTCTGTATTTGTCGATGTTTGCCCGCATTCGTTTCATACTTCGATGTTCCCAGAGAATCAATTGTATAAGTGTAATGTTTCAGATAAAAGAGAATAGAGTCATTTCAAACATCAAGCTGAATAAACAACGTCAATGTAAACCTCCATCACAAGCAGCCCCCAACAGCGAATACAACAAGACTAGTTAGCCGGGGGGCTGAAATCTAAGGGGGCGTTTGAGAGACACACGTTCCCTCCGCGTTGATCTGGCCTCACCCGCTTTCGTCTATTCGTCCATTCACTCTGCATTCCCTTTTCTTTTCCCTTCCTGCCCTGTATGGGGTCTTTTCTTTCTATCATCCACGATCTTTAATCCAGAGAAGAGCTTTGGGTTGTTGAGCTGTTTCCAACCTAGGAAGCTCTTCAGCTAGTGGCTTCGCCGCTTCCATTCTCCGACTTTGGAATCCCACTCCGCCGAGACTTTTACTTCTAATTTTTCTTTCGTTCGACCTGCCTCTCCTATTTCCCACTTTCACGACTCCCAATTCTCCGCCGCTTAATCGGAAGACAATGGGCCAACGGTCGAAAGACACGCTGGCCGTCCGGCCTCAGAGCCGCTCGGGCAAGCGCTCGCCCAGTCGCTCGCCGCGACCCAACAATCGCAAGCCCGTACCCGCGAAGACCTCCAGCTATGCGTCTGATGGTGTGAAGGACTATGACATTTTGAATCTCCCCGCCTCGGATTACAAGCTGCTCACATTGGTGACGCTGATTGCCACGGCTGTTCGCCTGTTCCGCATCTACCAGCCCACTAGCGTGGTTTTCGATGAAGTCCAGTATGCCTCAGCAGTAAATTTAACTTGAAAGAATTCGTCACTAACTGTATTTTCTCTGTCTAGCTTCGGTGGCTTCGCGACAAAGTATATTAAAGGAAAGTTCTTTATGGATGTGCACCCCCCGCTTGCCAAATTGCTCATCACGCTGGCTGGCTGGCTGGCCGGCTTCGATGGCGAATTCGACTTCAAGGATATTGGCAAGGACTATATTGAACCCGGTGTGCCGTATGTGGCCATGCGCATGCTGCCGGCCATTATGGGTGTCCTGACCGTGTCCATGATGTTCCTGACTCTCAAGGCTACTGGCTGCCGTACTTCGACCGCTGTGATGGGTGCTGGTGTTGTTATCTTCGATAATGCGCTGACCACTCAATCGCGCCTGATTCTCTTGGACTCTCCATTGATCTTCTTCACTGCTCTTACGGCACTGTCGTTTAACTGTTTCTCGAACCAGCAAGAGTTGGGCCCGTCCCATGCCTTCAAGGGACCTTGGTGGTTCTGGTTGGTTGCCAGCGGTCTGTCGCTGGGTGCTACTCTCAGTGTTAAGTGGGTTGGCCTTTTCACCATGGCTTGGGTTGGATCCCTCACCGTCCTCCAATTGTGGGTGTTGCTTGGTGACTCGAAGACTGTTACACCGGTATGTTACCACTCACGACTTGAATGTTTGGGATCTGCTGCTAACTATTAATGTTATAGCGTATTTGGTTCAAGCACTTTACTTCTCGTGTTTTCTGCTTGATCGTCATTCCTGTTGGATTCTATATGGCCATGTTCGCTGTTCACTTCATGTGCTTGGTCAACCCCGGCGAGGGTGATGGCTTCATGTCTTCTGAATTCCAGGCCACATTGAACTCAAAGGGAATGCAGGATGTTGCCGCTGATGTTGCATTCGGTTCCCGAGTTAGCCTTCGTCACCATAACACCCAGGGTGGCTACCTGCACTCTCACAACCACATGTATCCCACTGGCAGCAAGCAGCAGCAGGTCACTCTCTACCCCCACAAGGATGATAACAACGTTTTCATCATGGAGAACCAGACTCAGCCGCTAGGTCCTTACGGAGAGGTCGATGGCCCATACGCTTGGGATAATCTGACTACCAGCAACATCGAAGATGGATCTGTCATCCGCCTGTACCACCAGATTACCCACCGTCGCATTCATTCTCACGATGAGCGCCCCCCGGTGACCGAAGCTGACTGGCAGTTTGAGATCTCTGCCTACGGGTACGAGGGTTTCCCCGGTGACGCCAACGATCTATTCAAGGTTGAGATTGTCAAGTCTATGTCCGACGGCGCGGAGGCTAAGAAGCACCTGCGAACTATCCAAACCAAGTTCAAGCTGGTTCATGTCATGACTGGCTGTGTTCTGTTCTCTCACAAGGTCAAGCTTCCAGAATGGGGCTGGGAGCAGCAGGAAGTCACATGTGCTAAGGGAGGTACTCTTCCTAACAGCATCTGGTACGTTGAGGACAACAACCACCCGGCAATGCCCGCAGATGCCGAAAAGGTCAACTACCGTAACCCGGGCTTCCTGGGTAAGTTCTGGGAGTTGCAAAAGGTGATGTGGACCACCAATGCCGGTCTCGTTGAGTCTCACGCTTGGGATTCTCGCCCTCCTTCCTGGCCTACTCTTCTCCGTGGTATCAACTTCTGGGGCGGCGACCACCGTCAGGTCTACCTCCTGGGTAACCCGCTCATCTGGTGGTCTTCTACCCTGGCCATTGCTATCTACGTTGTCTTCAAGGGCATTGCCCTCATTCGCTGGCAGCGAAGCTGCAATGACTACAACCATGTCTCTTTCAAACGTTTCGACTACGAAGTCGGCACCAGTGTCCTTGGATGGGCTTTCCACTACTTCCCCTTCTTCCTCATGGCTCGTCAGCTCTTCATGCACCACTACCTCCCTGCCCTCTACTTCGCTATTTTGGTGTTCTGTCAACAAGTTGACTTTGTCACCAACCGTATCAAGTGCCTTGGTCTCGCCTCGAAGCCGGCGATTGGCAAGCTTCTTATGACGGTGTTCCTGCTGCTCAGCATTGCAGTATTCACTCTTTACTCTCCGCTCGTCTACGGCAACCCCTGGACTCAGGGTGCTTGCGAGAAGGTGAAGCTTCTTAGCTCGTGGGATTTCGATTGCAATACATTCCACGCAGACGTAAGTGTTCCAGAGTGGAAGCCTCCACGCCGAGGATATTGAGAGAATCAAGATCCCCAAGGCTGACACGATCTGTAACAGTTGAGCCAATATGTCACCTCCATCGACTCCCCCGTCGCCGTACCAACCACCCAGCCCGCCGCAGCTCCTCCCGTCAAGCAACAGCAGCCTAACGAGCCCGCCCAGGAGCAGTCGGAACCGGCGGCCGTGACTGAGCCCAAGATGTCCGGCTCCATGGCTCGCGTCGAGTACCGTGACCAGCACGGTAATATCCTGCCTGAGGATCTTGTCGCCTCGCTCCGCGCAGATGGTAAGGTCAAGTTCGAGACTCGCTACGAATCCCTGGCCAGCCACGAGAATGCCCAAGAGGTCCCTATCGTCGATGGAAAGCCCGTGTTCCCTGAGCCTCCGGCCCAGGCCCAGGCTCCTCCTCACCCGGATGTCGAGGGCCAGAATCCCGAGACTGGTAGCTCCCCCCGAAGACTCAATCGCGCCAGAGCGCCCTGCCTCCGTTGCAGAGGATAACACCCGCTCCGCCGAGGAGTCCAAGGTCCCCCAGGCCAAGCCCGCGAGTGAAGGCAATGAAGCTACTGCTGTTGAGTAATTGAGTTGGAGGTAGAGGAAGGGGACAAGAAAACTTCACACCATGTATCATGAAATTTATAGTCATTTCCTTCGCCGTGATTAGTTGATTTGTTAGTCTCGTCATCGAATATGAACGAGCGTTTCCGTCTAACCAATACTCGGGTTTGTAAGCCCACCTGGGCAATATACAGACACATGTAGTGGCATGTTTATACTAGCGGACATTAGTACCGAGAGCAATTTCCATCCCCGATATCACCCGACACCACGGTACCATAAGATCTACCAGACAAAGGAGACCAATAGAAACATAAGAAAAGAGGCTGATTCCCAATTGACTCTTTATCTGAACAATATGCACAAATCTCTGGTAATCGCAAAGTCCAGGCACTACTAGTAATCTCCTTTACCACATTTCTAGTATACAGCAGCCGACCGCACAACATTTGAAGTGACAGATAGCTCGCATCGTAGCTTAAAATGCTCCTCCTGGACCGTTTAGTAGTCCCACTCCTCCTTGCCATACTTGTTGAACTTCTCGTGGAGGTCCTACATCGAATGGTTAGCGAATCTGTAATAGCGGATAATCTTGCCACAACGCCTTATTCAATCCGGTCTTATTGGAGAACAAAGCAAATAGAGCAGCGTGGCAAGCGGCGCGGGGTTGTATAACCGCCACAGGGGACTGCGGATGCATACCTCGGGCAAGGTGACATTGGGGACAATGACGGTGTTCATGGCGCTAGGGGCAGCGCGGAGGGGCTGGTTCTTGTCGCCGTGAGGGTGGTACTGGTACTTGTACATCTTGCCATCCTCAGAAGTGGCGTGCCAGGGCATGGCGGACTCGCCGATGCGAACGTTGGACTCGGAGCTCACGGAGGTGGGCTTGGTGCCGAAGTACCTAATGATCGGAAACCAGCAAGTTAGCCAATTGCTGTTTGAAAAGCGATTCACTTGTGTGGATTGCGCATAGCTTCCTCGATCTGTCAAAGGTTTCCAGGCGAGGAGTGGCGAGCACGTCATGACAAGCTTGAAATCGGTTATATGCCGGGAGGGGGGTATTCACCAGCCAGCGATTCCGAGGGCACCGGACATAACACCGAGCAGAACCTGTAGTCGCGAACATTAGCCTAGGAGCTCTGAGACCGGTCAATGGCAGACGCGAATCCGTACGTAGAGCTCGGGGTCCTTCTTGGGGGCCTGGTCGAGACCGGCCTCCTCGACCTTGGAGGACATGAAGCGGCGCGGAGGAGCGCGGAAGATGGGCTGGCGAGCCAGAGCCCGGCGGGAAGCCATAGCAGCAATCGAAGACATGGTGGCAGCGGAAGTGCGTGGAAATGGGGTGGAAGGTCGAGAACGAGGTGGTGTGGGAGAATCGTGAGCATCGAATGATGTTGCCGGTCATGTGATCCGCTGACTCAGGCCGCTTCGGGTGATCTCATTTGATGCGCGACTGGTTCATCCGGTGGTTCAATGCCAGCTCGACCGTGTTGACTCCTGACTTCTACTGCTGTCCGAAGGACGGTGATGTAATTGGGTTTACATCCGTGTCTCGATTTGGTGATTATATCTCCAAAAGGTGCGTGCTCCGTGAACCTCCTTCAATATTTCCTATCAGGGGCTCCATCTAGGATCTGCTCCCCCCGGATTTCTAATACGCATGGTGGACGGTTTTGCACAACCCCCTACATTCGATGCTGATGATTCGATAGCGCACTGGATGATTTGATCCCATCTCTCCTTACATCACCTCCGTAACCGTCGCTCTTTACCTCTCTGTATCGCCCGTTGTCAATTCCCGCAGCCTACGGAGCTCCTGCGCATCGCTTGCCCTAGTTCTTCCCTCGTCACACCTGAAGAAAAATATGATAGCGTGTGCTACATTCTAGCAAACTCAATTATCATTCCTTCTAGAATCATGGCGAATTCCGCAGACCGCCCGGACACTAGCGAAACCACGCCGTCCCAGAACCAAAATCAAACACAGCAACATGTCCTGGGTATTCCTCGACCTCCCTCAGTGGGAGGAATATCTTCCCGAGTAACGGATATGGCTTCAGACGATGGCGAGCGAACACAATCTTTCGCGTCACCACCGTCTTCGGTCCAGCAGCGTCCCACTGCCTCGCGACGGGGCCCGCCTCCAACAAGAAACTCAATGGCTGCATCCAGCCAGGGCAGACCAGGAAGCTCAAATAGTCGACTGAGCAGGAGCCATATTCCATCCTTGACTGCTCAGGGATTCTTCCGGCCGATGAGCTCGCAACGACTGCAGGCGCATCGCGGTACGCGCCCCATGACGAAAGGAACTATCTCGTCCACAGATGAGTGGGCGGACCAGAATAGTCAGAACCGGAGGAGTGTCATCTCCAACAGTACTTTCCAGGCGGGGTCGGTCCCTGCAGAGGCTGAAGTTCCCCCTCCCTCGCGAGGCACGGAATTTACAGACCCCATCATCACTGATCGCAACACGTCCAATGCAAGCCCCACGGGAAATACAACGATTCGAAGCCTGGGCGAGAGTGTCAAGCTTCTCCGAGACCGAGACCAACAGGACAAGCCGCGTCCTACCCATTTGAACCTCGGCGCGAACTATGGTCATTCGGGACAAGATACCCACGCGCCGCCCAAGTCGCCGCTCTCATTTTTGTCATTGCGGAACGGTACCACAGCACAAAACAGTCATGATCATCGCGGACATGATCGGCTGTCCTCGGCTAATACGTCTCCCGGCCCCATGGATGTCAAGAACCCCCAATTACCGAAAGGTAGATTGGGCAAGAACTGGGAATACTTTGTTGGTAACACTCTATTCTGTGGTGGTGGACGGTTCCAAAACTCGAGGGATAAGCCCGTGAACATTGCTACAGGGTTTCTGGTTGTTGTTCCTTCGGCGCTGTTCTTCGCATTCTCGGGTCCATGGTTATGGCACAATATCTCCCCTGCCATCCCCATTTGTTTCGCATATGTTTTCTACCTCTGCTTCTCCTCGTTCGTGCATGCATCTGTTGTCGACCCTGGCATTATGCCCCGAAATGCGCATTCTTTGCCCCCTACACATCCCAGAGAAGATCCATTGTCACTTGGCCCTCCCACAAATGACTGGGTCATGGTCAAGCTGGCTACTTCCGAAGTGGCCGCTATGGATGTGCCGGTGAAGTACTGCAAAACTTGTAGTATTTGGCGACCTCCGCGCTGCTACCACTGTCGAGTGTGTGACAACTGTGTCGAAACACTCGATCACCACTGCGTTTGGCTCAACAATTGTGTCGGGCGTCGCAATTACCGCTATTTCTTTGCCTTTGTGAGTTCATGCACTGTTTTGGCACTGTTCTTGATTGGCGCTAGTCTGGCGCATATTCTGGTGTACATGTCGCGTGAGAATATCTCTTTTGGAGCTGCTATCTCGAAGTGGCGCGTCCCTTGGGCCATGGTAATCTACGGTATTGTCGCTGTGCCATACCCGACATCGCTTATGACTTACCATATGTTCTTGATGGGCCGAGGGGAGACCACCCGAGAATACCTCAATTCGCACAAGTTCAACAAGGCGGATCGCCATCGGCCCTTTACCCAGGGTAACGTCCTCAAGAACTGGATCACCGTTCTGGGACGTCCTCGACCTCCTACCTACCTGCAGTTCAAGAAACCCTACGAAGAGGGCGACCAGCGCTTTGCCATGCAAAAGCGCAAATATCTTGTCCCTGATGAGGAATCGCAAGCCGGGATTGAGATGCAACACGTTGGTTCCCATCAACAGGACTAAACCCAACCACCCAAAGAAGATTTGATTTTTTTGTTTATCTCAATTTCCTGCTACGACCCATTCAGACGAAGATACGACGTTTCATTTCTGGTCACAAACCTGACCTTTTCTTTCGGGATCATTGCCCGTCTTATGATTTTCTAATTGCTCTACGCATAGCCTCCTACGGTTAATCCGGTGATATTTCCTACTCTTGACGCTTGACCGGGATTCTTCTCCCGCTCTCAACATTCTCTGCCATTTTCTTTCTCTGTTACCCTTCTTCCATCCCATTCTTATAATGTGTCCCAGGCGCACCGGCCATCGTACTTCCTATTCATGCTCTTCTTCCCCTTTTTTTTTTTTTTTCCTTTTGCTGGATCATTCACCCGGGGATTTGCACATTACTCTGCATAGAGATTATTACCGGATAGTTTAATACCCTGTATAATTCTGGTCAAAATAGAATTTAATCCCGATACACCGAAACGCGTAGAATCCGGACTGCTTCCGCGGGGCCGAGCAAGTTATGAAGCAAAGCATTCCATCAACGATTGTCAAGTCACTAAACCCCTTTCTCCCTTGATTGAATTATTTCCCCGCAGCGAGTTTTACTCACCGCGAATTTCTGCCTCTGGGCTGGGAAAGTGTTGATGTTGCACGCGTCAGACATCCCCATCGCCCTAAATTGATAAGAGTCGCGCGGCTGCTGATCCTCCTCCTTCCACACCCCTGATACCTGATACCCTTGATATTCCCCGACTCTGCACCTGTGCCCCCTGCCAAGTCTCTTCTCTCAAAGGCGGGTCGTCCTTCCTCCTATACCTTAAATGGCGCGCCGTGCCTCCCGCCTTTCCGCGTCCGCGACTCCCGGGCTCGTCTCTGCACACGAGGCACCCGAAGACATGAGCCTCGACATCCCCGAACAGCTCCTCACGCCCGAGGCCAGTCGCTCTGAAACATCGAGCAACAATGAGAACGCGTTAGCAGAAGAAAAACCCGTCACGCGGCGCCGTTCAACACGAGTAGCACGCGTATCGTTGGCCGCTGACACCCTGGATACCGCACCCGAGGAAGATGAGACGCCGACTTCCTCCAGCCAGGCCTATGTGGATAGCCTTGCCAAGGCGAAGCGCACGCGCTCTTCGCTGCGGCATAGCCTTGCTGTGATAGAATCTTCTCTGTTCAAGGGCACCGCGGAAGATACCATGACGGACAACCACTCAATGGCCCCGGACACTCCCGTTTCGAAATCATCACAGGAAACCCCTTTGGAGGATATGGCTACCTCGCTTCAGCAACGGAACCTGCGAAAGCGCGTGGAGAAGGCACTGGCCGAGGATGAAGGAACCCCGAAGGCTAAGACGTCTAAGAGTAGTTCTCGCGGCTCAGTACGACGATCAACTCGTCTCAGTATTGTGGATAAAGCATCTGATCTTTTCGACCGAGCAAACAGTGTTTTGGGAAAGCGGTCGAGGAATCTGGGTGAAAAAGGCAAGGAACTAGGTCGACGCGCCAGCCTTCGTTCTCGACATGTCGCGCCTGAAAAGGAGGATGCCGGCCCTGCGCCCGCTGAGCCTGCATCAAAGAAGCGTCGAGTCTCTGAAAGCGATTTGTCCAAGCTGCAGGCTCAGGAAGCTAGCCGTTCGCAGGAAGCTAGCCGTTCAGAAGAACCAACAGCCCCGGCTGTAAAGCAGTATAAACCCAAACGCTGGCTGTCACATGGACTGTATACTGGCCAAGAACCGACCGATTCACCCCCGAAACAACGTCGAAGCAAGACCTCCTCTAAAGCGAGCGGTATTCCTCAACAGCGGAAACTTATGCCTATGCCAATGTTTGCCGGGGCACGTATGATTCAAAGCGGCCGGAATTATCAGGTTCCATTCGATATCTTCTCACCTCTTCCGCCTGGTCAACCCAAGCCGAACGAGTGGCGCAAAACTAACAAGAGTGAGTTGATATAATCTTTTGGGAAAAAAAAAGAAAAAGGATGGCACTAATAAAAGTCAGACGTATTCATTGGCGATGCCTCCAGTGAATGGAGAGCCAACAAGAAGCTGGAGCTTTCTACCTGCATGTGCGAGGAAGAGACTGGCTGCGATGAAGACTGCCAGAATCGCTATATGTTCTACGAATGCGACAGTGGTAACTGCCGACTGGGCCCGGAGTGCGGTAACCGCAACTTTTCTGAGCTCAAACAGCGAACCAAGGCTGGCGGCAAGTACAATGTTGGAGTTGAGGTGATCAAGACTGTGGATCGTGGATACGGTGTCCGCAGCAACCGCACATTCGAGCCCAACCAGATTATTGTTGAGTATACTGGTGAGATTATCACACAGATTGAGTGTGAGAGGAGAATGAGATCGGTGTACAAGAATAACGAAGTGAGTAGCCCTGGACGCATTACTTCGGATGATTATTGACTCTGGGACAGTGCTACTATCTGATGTACTTTGATCAAAACATGATCATTGATGCCACTCGAGGATCCATTGCTCGCTTTGTCAACCATTCGTGTGAACCTAATTGCCGTATGGAGAAGTGGACTGTTGCCGGGAAGCCGCGCATGGCCCTTTTTGCCGGAGAGAACGGCATCATGACTGGACAAGAGCTGAGCTACGACTACAACTTCAAGTTGGTCCTTCTTACACACCCTATGCCTTTGGATATACTGACATTGCAATTAGCCCGTATTCTAGCAAGAACGTCCAACAGTGTCGTTGTGGAGCAGAGAACTGCCGAGGAATCCTTGGCCCTCGTCCAAAGGATAAGGATCAACGTCCCAAGATTGTGGAGGAAAAGAAGGTTGTGATAAAGAACAAGAAGATGATCAGCACAAAGCGAAAGCTTGCAGATGAAGATGAAAGCACTAACGCTCGTGGAGGAAAGAAGCGTAAGATGATCACGTCCAAGTCAATCAAGGCTAGCGTCAAGAAAGTCATGGCCAAGGCTACCACTGTACGCGGAAAGGCGGTTGCGAAGAAGGCAACCACCACAGCCCGAGGCAAGACTGTCTCCAAGCAGGGCGTCAAACTGCCCAAGGTGAAACCAGCTGCCAGAGTCAAGGCTGCTGTTCGGGGACCCCGACGAAAGGCGGACACTGCGAAGATTGCACCAGCCTCCCCTGCCAAGAATTCGCCCCTCAAGCGGCCATCTGCTGAGACCAAAAAGCAGATTCTTGCTGCCGCCGCCAAGGGCTCCAGGTCACAGGCTAAGAAGTCGCCCGCAAAATCTCCTGCCAAGTCACCCGGAAAGCTTGGTCGGAAGCCTGGCCCCAAGCCTGGTCCCCGTAAAGCACCGACGAAGAGCCCTATCAAGGCTCGGATGACAACCAAAGATAAGGGCACCGTGGCAGCGTCAAGTCCTGCTAAGGTGAAGACTGCCAAAGGCAAGGGTTTGGGTGCGAGTGTGCGAAACGCAGCGAAGAACATGATGCGCGGCGTTAAGGGAATGAAGAAATAAAAACACAAATCCTCGGTCCGGTCTATCGGAATGAGTTGTAGGATGCTTTGTTCAACAGCAAGCCTTGCACTCGCAGTTGGACCTCGATCTCTCGACAATCCAGCACAACACAACACATCAGCTAGCCAGTGGCAGAACATCATTTTCCATTGGTCATGCTGTTCTTCTTTTCTTCTATCGAAATTTAACTTCAAGCCAAACGACTCGATTACTTGAGAAACTGCTGTCTTATTCTGTCAGGTTATGCAACAACCTCGAACCGACCCAAGTCAGCAATTATCATTGTTTCTTCCTTCTAATAACCCCAATCCAATTGTTGACCAATTTCCCCTTTGGCTCGAATCCGAGCACTGTTTTGACAACCCCAATGTTTTACTCCTTTGTTTATTCAATTCCCCTGTCCGGTGTCCGAACATGCCCGCACTACCTGTTTTATTCCTCTCTACTTGGCACCCCTGGTGGCGTTCTCACTCGATGCCCTTTTCCCTTGAACTTGTCTTTCGGCTTGATGTTTTGTTTCACTGTTCAATTCATCCCAAACATCTTGCTACTTTTGTCTATTTTCCTATTGAATTATGTGCGCCATGGTCACGAATGATACTTGCTCGGGTTGGCTCGGCTGGTAAGGTGCTGGTGCTTTTTGTGTCTGGTCTTTGTGTAGCCGGGGTATAAACATCAAATTCAACATGTTTCAGCCGATAGATCCTCGGTAAAGCGTACATGTATATAACAACCTTTAAAGCTGGTAGGGCAAGTAGCTAACCCCCACCGGATCCAAGACGGTGAAAGCCTCAATAACAGCGGTGCCATTATCCAACCGTAGAATAAGATTGTTCTAGGAAACGCTTCCAACCCACCTTTCAGGACACATTATAGTTTGGCACATCATTGTTTCCGAGCAATTCAAGTTCTGGGTGCCTTCCGTAGATCATCCGTTGTATCTTAACACAAGAATCCCAATTCAGTATTCTAGGATGGACCTTAAAATATACACAGCATACTCCATAGAAAGCCGACTACTGTCTTTAAGATAGTTTCAAAATAAAGCATCTCAACGAAATAATTTCGGAAGTACAGACCAAGAATGATGTTTCCTATCATGGCTAAATCGTTTAGCCCACCAAGCATGATTTCTTCTATGAATCTAAACAGGTGCACTGCCCGCCTAAAACACCACATTGGGGGTAGCCATCGTCGCAACAATGTATATCGGAGCATGCACTGGAGCAGATCGAGCAATCTGTAGATGCCACATAGGCCAATGAATAGAATGGAACGGATGTAGAAAGATGACCACGGTGCCATATCTTACTATTAGAGTGTGCGTAGTTCAACTTAGTAGCCTCAGTAGTCGCACCCATACTAGCTGTAGGGGGAGGAAACTACCTACGCTATTCTAGAGTTTGTCCCGTTCTTTTCGGGTGGAGAGCGAATCAGTACCTCCCTTGCTGGCCCGTTCAAGCACAGAGCCAGCGACACAGCACACAGTTAGACAGAACGCCATGAATATTTTCATGGCTGTGAGTGTCTCTTGGCGAATACAGTGGGAAAGTTACTGTGCTGGGGGCCAGGGTGCAAATCGAGGCTGCTTGGAGTTCGTGTTTCCGGATGCCCCGCATAGTAACAACTTTATATAAAGGAAAGTTGATGCTCAAAGATTTCTTTGCGATTAGTCCCTTGCGGAAATAGAAGATCTGGGTCACATATGCAAATGGCGCCATTCTGACAACGCAAGTATCGAGAGAGGGGCAAGGTTTAGAAGCAAGTATCCTAGACATTGAAGGTCTAAGTGGTTGAGAACAAGAATGAACCATGCCACCGAGATGTTGCCTCGGACTGATTCCTACCATGATATGCTCAGAAGGAGCCGCTCCCAAAGCCAAAATTGCTCTACACTTCCGGGATCGGTATCGTCCTCTTCCCGTTCTCGACCCAGTCACGAATGATCTCGAGAATCCGGGAGTATCCCAAGGACCCACAGCTCTCAGCCCCGCTGAGCATCTTGTTGACAGGTGGGTACGGTGCCCCACCCCCAAGAATAGTATCACCTTTACTTCGTCTCCTGCCTCTGCTGTTCAGCCATGAAGAGCTCATCTTGGATGTCGTCTGAAAAGCCTTTGTGCTTCTATATGATACTTCCTGTTTTGGCATAGGTCACCAAATAGCTGAGGTTTTGCCTTTTCCCTACTGATCTAGCTAACAGTAGGCAAGTGACATGACATGCAACCGAATCACCCTTCACCAAGGCATAGAGTCGACGCTATTACCGACCGCATGCATTTTAGGCAGCATCGAGCTGGGCATCAATGGTGGTTCCTTTCTTGAGCACAACGCTAGGGCTGCTTGTATGGGAGTTTTTGTCTAATATCATCCTACGGGGATCACATCCATACGACTGCGTAGATTACGATATATGGCTGTGATTTAGGGTCAAGACAATTGCCAGTATTATCGAACTATAACCGAACTAAGTTGTCTTTTATACTTGAGCAAGTGCCATATCCAGAATTGTGGTGATAAATCTTGATGTGAAGATCTTATCGGCTCTATGTGGAATTGGGGATGTTGTAATGCTGAAGATTCGCTAGGTAGGCTAAGGGTGATTTCTCAAGGCCATGTTCGTGGGCCAGTTCGCTGTAGACTCCATATCAGTACATTTGGAGTTAATAATCGGGTTTAGAGATAAGCAATTTGAAGCTTGATAACCTAAGTGTGCTACAGCCTAAAGAGGTAATATATTGCATGTAATGTTTCGACTCAGATCCATTTCACTTCAAGAGAGTTTACAAGAAAGACAACCATTATCGACTCCTTTACTCCGGCCAACCAATGATCACGCGTACATACATCGTGTAAGAAAATAAGAATGGTGGGGATATGTCCCATTCATTGTACAAAAAAGAGCTGCAGAAGAATTCTGATGACTTTGATTATGCGGATTCCGCGGGAGGAGCCTCGGGCTCATCCTTGTTCTCTTCTGGCGCGGACTCTGCTTGTGTGGACTCAGGGATAGGAGATGCTTCCTGCTCGGCTGGGGGCGCTGATGCCTCTGGCTCGGTCTCGGCAGGGGCTGCGTCTTCGGTGCTGGGAACTGGTTCGGGGGCAGATTCAACGGGCTCAATCTCAGTGGGTTGAGATTCGGATGGTGACTCGTCATCCTTAGCTGTGACGGGCTCGGGTCGTGGTGCATCACCCATTTCCACATCTTCTTGAGCTTCAGAGATGCCAACGTCCGCTTCGGGACTTGCTTCCTGGCCTTTTGCGGCCTCTGGAGCAGAGGCATCAGTGGATTCTTGCGCTTCTGCCTCGGACTGGGCCAGCTCGTCGACAGCGGGCTTAGATTCTGTTGTTTCTTCAGATGCTTCTGTCGGCTGCACAGGCTCTTCCTCCTCTGCGGGCTCTGATGGCTCATCGACAGGCTTCTCGAGGTCGGCAGATGGAGGAGCCAAGGAAGTCTCATCAACACCCTCGAATTGGGCCTCGGCTTTGACTTCACTGGTTGACGGTTGAGACACTTCTTGAGCAGGATTCTCATTTGCTGAAGGCTCCGCCGCGCTGTTCGTAGTAGGGAGTGAGGACGGCTCAGGAGCTTCAGACTCTTCTTTGGGCGCTTCATCGCCCACAGACTCCGTAGTAGTTGGGACCGGCTGTTCAGCAGTGATCTCTTCAATCGTCTCCGTAGGCAGACCTGGTGTTGCAGAAGGGGAGGCGGGGGCATCGGCATCGGTCTGAGGGGTTTCTGTTGCAGCTGCCGGTAGCTGCGAAGGCGGTTCCTGACCCGATCCAGCAACCTGCGCTTCAGGAGCCACGTCTGCCATATCGACGTCTTTGGATTCCGCCAGGGTATCGGCGGAAGGTTGAGGTGTGAATTCGGCCCCAGATTGACCACCAGGAGTCTCTGGAGTCTTCGCGTCCATCATGGACTCGTCTCCCTCGTCGCTCTCCTCACCATCCTCGCCATCCTCATCGTCGTCGTCTTGACCGGACTGGTCGACCGTCATCCGCGAGTCCTGACCTTCTCCGGAAGCAGGAGTACCCCCCTCAGCGCCAGGGGCAACGCCGTGCACTGTAGACGCATCGGCACCTTCTCCTGGGGCAAACATAACCTTCTTCTTGCGACCCTTCCCAATACCCTTGCTCTTTCGCTTCGGGGGAGGCGGTCGTCGCTTCGGAGGTTCCATCACAGCAGCTGAACCGGCCTCTGCAACCACGACACCCTCCGAGTTGACAATCCCAACGCCCTCTACGATGGTCCCAGGAGCAGGTGTCTCAGGCTTCACAGGAACCGAGCTCTGCTCAGCAAGAGTCTGAACATCTCCAGTCACCTCCCCCTCAATGCGATGCCCTTCAGGCACCCATGCCTCGTAGATAGAGATATTGCCAGTCTCCGGGTCAACCTTCTTAAACTTAGTTCTTCTCATAGGCAGTGATCCCGAGCTTCCATCGACCGAAGCACCGCCATAAAGCGACAACAATCCAGGACGTCTCTTAGCAAGGAACTCCGCCTCCGGCGGCTCCATATGCTTGGGAAGAGTCAGCCACTTGCGACTGGTGAAGCTGCGGTCCATTTGAACAGCGCCCGTGGTTTGATCATCGGTTTTATTCTGGTCGTTCTCCTCCTTTTCGGCGGCTGTAGTGTTCTGGCGAATATAAATACATCCTGCACGCGCAGCGCGCAACAATGCTTTGCTGACCGCAGGCAAGAGGTCGCTGTCGCGCGGCATGGGCAGCTCCGGGAGGACTGGGGCCCCGGGGCCTTGGACACCGAAGTCTGAGTCGTCGACGGCCTTGGGTGCTTGGGAGTAGGTGTGTGTTTGTTTTGACCAGCGGCGGACGGGCAATCCTTCGAAGACATCATGGTCAATTTGGCCGGTTCGGGTGCGGTTAGGGCCGTCGAGGTGTCGCCCTGAGCGCGAGGACCTGAACTGTAAAGGTTGTTAGTGATGAGACTCCCCAATTGACGGTCATTCTTTTTTTCGGTGCCCGCGGACCGGTGGTAGCTGGTCTAGTCCAGGACAGGGCGCGTGATTGCGGACGCAAGGTGAGAGAGACGTACAGTCGATGGCATGATGAGCGGCCCTGCGGTCCTTTTACCCCAAAGGAGCGCGAGATTAAGCGCTCAAAGTAACCGGAGGCGGAGGGATGGGTGTGAAAGCTGGGTGGAGTGGATTGGCGGAGCTGGAGCGGATGGGCGGAGCGTAGCGTTGCTTCCGTCGCGTTGCGATGGCGCAGGATCGTAGGGAGCATCACGTGACTTACAAACCGTCGCAAAATGAGTCTCTCAGTCAACAATACAAATAGATACTACTATTCCTTGCAATTCATATTAGAGCGGAGAAAATGTGTCTATTGTGATACTCGGAGAGAAATAGAATTGCCCCGTGGCTGCGCTCGCACTATATTACAGAAGAAAAGAATCCAGGCCCATCGTGCAGGTCACCACTGGCTCGTCGAGTATTCATTCAACGCGATGAAGTAATTGCAATTCTTTCCGTTTGTGGCTTTTTAGCCATTTAGTCCCAACTAAGACAGGTCAGCGACTGGACGCTGGGATATGTGATGCGATAAGATCAGAGCCTATGCGTACCCGGTGTCCTTCTGGCGAACGATGTTACCATGGTCGCCTTTCTCCTTTCCCTAGGATGTTGTTAATTGAGCTGTTCGGAGGCTTTGCAAATACCGGAAATGCTTACGCTCTTTTGACCCTCCACCACCATTTTGTCGAGTTGGTAGAACTGGCTGATAACCGTTTGCCTCTGCAATTAGTGTTAGCTTGATTTTTCTTATGCACCCAAGGCCAAGCGGGTTTCATAGCCATCCAAGGCGCGATTGAAGATGGGTTCTTTGGCTGCTCAGGGGGTAATGCAAACCGGGGTGGCCGGTGCGATTCTACCCCCATCCAAGGAATCCGTCTCAACCCCGCCTCGAATAATACAGTGACTAACCTTCAACAGACGCAGATCCTGAAGTCCAGTCTGGATCAACTCCTGTATCCGACGCTCCTCCGACTCATTCTGGTGCTCACGGAATGAGTCTCTCGTCTTGCGACGGGCATATTCACGGAAGTTGTAGTTGGAGAACTGCGAAGATTGACGCATAAGGGAGCGGAACTACACCAAGGTGAAGTCAGTAGACTGCAACACGAATCACGGACGGTCTGGTGTCGATCAACCCAGATATCGCGTTCCGAAGGCCACTTACCAAAGACCGGGCCTGGAAGGCGGTATCGCGGTGCAAAGATGCAACAGACATGGTGAATGGCAAGGCGAATATGAAGAGATCAAAGCTCAAACGACTGCGTTCTCTGAAAACACAGAAATCGTTGTATTTCGGAAGGCGTCGCGCGTAGCCGCGGAGATGTACGACGTAGACGGAGGTGGCGGTTCAGGCTTCCGCTCAAGTCACAGGGCGATCTGGGGAAACGAGAGACGCGGAATCGCACAAAAGACGTCAAGGGTGAAGTCGGCCACAGATTCAGGGCGCTTATCGACAGCAGATAACTCGAAGTGGTGAACAGTGAGAAAGTTGGGGATTTGAGCGAAGCGCAAGGCGGGAAATTCTTTTGCGTTCGGAGACGCCAAAATGACGGAGTTACCGGGGCCGAGCTCCTGCGCTCCACGGTTCTCTGTCTTGCAGAATCCCCACAACATTGGCACTTTTCTCTGCATTGCATCAGCTAGAAATCAGCTAGATCCATACGGCTCTACTTGATGGCTCAAATTCCTACGCCACCTGCGTCGCGACCGGGCTCGGAGGCCCCCGAGGCCAAGTTGAAGCCTGCGGAAGCTTCGTCGGAGTTGCTTGCTTCCTTGGATGCGCTGCTTGAGCAGTATCTACACCTACTTGACCGGCAGCAAAAGCTACAGTCGGGACTTTCGAAGCATCTTTCGTCGGTATGAACCCTATCTCCTATCAATGGACTCTTGCAAGATGCTGATCATCGGACTAGGGGTTTCTTGCTCTTGCCCATGCAAACTACACCTGTCCTCCCGGCCGCCGCTATGGCCGTGACTACTACGACGATCGGATGAAGACGAACCAGAAGATGTATGCAGCTCCAGATTTAGTGGTGATTGTGAAATTGCTGACCTTTCGCGAACAGCTCCATCCAACGCGATCAAGACGTGGAAGAGGCCGAGGCTAAGGCCACGAAAGACTCTCAACATGAAGCGGATACACCTGCCACGAGCGATCTCGAGTACAACTTTCAAATAGAACCAATCCTCAACCGCGAGGGAAAGGAGAAGATGGACGACAAAGACGATGCGGACAAGTCACCCATCGAAAACGAACCCACTGAGGCATTGCAACCAGAGGATACAGCGAAGAATGGAAGTGATGCAGCTTCCGCAACCGAAGACTCCAGGGCCGTCACCGAAACGGACAAGCCAGCGGAGGAGCCCAAAAAGCCTCGCAAGAAATTCCGTTCCGACGATCCCATCTACTGGTACGGCATCCTGGTACCGCTGTCCCTACGCAACGCCCAGAAATCCTTTACAGACGGTATACAGAGTCAAGTACCCGAATTGGCGGGAACGATTGTGGAAATGCGTGCTCTGGAACAAAGGATTACCCAAGTACGCGCCAATCTTGGGGATCTTCACTGTCAAGAGTGATCGTCAATGACGCTAGGTGGGAGATCAACAGTCACCCTGGGCATCATATATATCACATACATCTATAGTCACATCCTCCCACCCCCTGACCCCTGAGGGTGATGAATGCAATTTTGTATGCAAGCATATTAGAATCGTATCCTCTGTAGCGTGACCCGCCAATATCGCGCGGTGGATAGACCATGTGCTTCAGGACCACAATCACGAACGGTGGATTCGGATGGACGGCACCAGGGAGCTCCCTCTGGATCATGGTAGTAATTGTGTACCGCTTGTACGTTGACGCTCTACGCTCGTCGGACAAGTGCATTGTCTGAAAGGCGAGCCTCTTGCCCGACTCGAAGCATATTCTCCGCGCCCCTTTCCACCATTAGGAATCCCATCAATGATCCTTCAGACAACCCTGGCCGAGGCAACGGCGGCACTCTTATCACCCATTATTGTGTCGAATTTGTAGAATTCGAATGCCTACCCTTATTGGAAAACCTCTCAAACTCTTGACTTGTTTTAAGCGAAGGGCCCCTCAATATGAGACGTAGCGTCGGAGACTAACTCCTGGGACGACCCCCACTCTAAGGCCCGACCCCGAGATCTCTTAAAATGATTCGTGCGCTCGATCCCTGATTCCACTTCTCATTCGCCCAGGGTCTTAGCCAGACGGGCCTTTTAGTGCCTTTGTTGGTGGAACGATGTGAAACCCGCCGTTCCCTTTGTGATAGGATGTAACGGCGGTTCTGGGGGGCTGGAATCGCACCCGTCAGAACCGGCACATCAGCTAGGGACTGTCGATTGGTTGTCACACTGGATACTCGTCGATTCGCATCCTGATGCTTGCTGATTCTTGCTGGGTTGGGGAATGATAGGTCTCGCAGATTGGCGAGAATGAAGAACAAAATGGGAAGGAGTCATGAAGGGATCCCATATTGAATAGTAGAAGAGTAGCTTCGGCCGTTAAACCTGGACAGAGCACTCCACCCGCGCCTTCCCGTGCACGGGACGTTAAAAAACGTGAGGTTTTAATCTAGTCCGGGGACTGTGTCAGGCTGATTGCGCCCTCCTTTTCTCCTTCTTTCTTTGTCGCGACTCTCTCTTTCTCGCAGGGGCTTGAGGCTCTTCCCTTCTTTCTTTGTTGGTGCTTGGTTGTAAGTGACTACCTTGCTTGACTTCTGATTTCTCTCGGTACTTGTATCGGTCGTGTTGCAAATTGCCAACTGCAAACTGTAGCCTGCAGACTGTTTGCCCTGGGACCATGTTAACATGCTCTTGCAGGCTCCTGTTTTGAAACAGCGCTGGTTTGACACTGCCTGTTCGCCTCTCGTTGCTCTGTTACCGTGATTGTTCTACTGCTGTATGTGTTCGACAATGAACGACCGAGCTACTTGATATTGACTTGTGAACAGAGGCATTGACTGCCATTTCATTCTTTTTGATATTGTTGCTGGGATCCCGTTCGCAACTTCAATCGGCTCAGTCCAGATTCCACCGGTCTTGCCTGCATCTCGACCGCGATATCTTCGTATCGTTCTCTCGTTAACCCTGTATTCGTTCTTTTCAACTCGATCCGGAGATCGAGTATTTGATATACATCACTTCCTCATTTCATACACCAAGAAGCGATTCAGCCTTCTTGGATCTCATTGGATATTGATTACTTCTTGATGCCGCCGACAGCCCTAGCTTTGCAGACACGATATACCAACCACCGTCCAGTTCAAAAGTTATAAACCCGGCCAAGGATCAATGAGTTCCAGGCCTCCAAACACCCAGGACTCGGGGGCCAACCCATCCGGTCCCCAGCCCAGCAGAAAAGGGTCCGTTAAAAGAGCAAGAGAGCTGCTGGAGGCGGGTGTACGCCCAAATCGAGCATCGCCGTCGCCGTCGTCTGTCCCCGGACCTCCGCCGCTCAAGACCGTCCCTCCTCAGACTCAATGGCCTCTTCCAGCTTCTGGCCTTCAGCCACGCCCACTCAACCCTCAAGCGCACCCCCAGCAAGACCCTAGGTTCTGGCACCCGCGCGGTCCCCCACCGGCCAGGCCTCCACGCCCAAGCGAGGCCCCTTCCCAATTGCCTTCCCCGTCTATCTACTCTGAGAGAAGTGGACAGAGCTCCGAGACTAACGTGAACTATCGATCTCGACCAGCTCGCTCTTTTTCGCATCCTAAACCACCGCAGGCGCTAGCAATTCCTTGGCCTCGCCCCGGAGCAAAGGATGACTCCTGTGTGAGCCCTACCAGCACTTTTGATCTGACTCCCCGGATATCAATCGCCACAGACGATCTGTTCAGACATTCGACCGCTTCATCCACAAGCTCTATCCCCATTATGCCCCCGGTGCCCTGGCCAGAGCCTCATGTACCCCCCGCGAATCCCCGGACCAAAACTGCAGGACTTGCAGCGCCTAATTCTCGTTGCTCACGAGCCCGCGCATCATCTGTCTCTCCCATCCCAGAGTCCGAGGGGGAGTTCTCTGATCCTCGCCAGACATTGGGATCTCTCGCTTCAAGCCGTGCCATTCCCTCCAGCTGGGGCTCTAGTCCAGCAGAGTCTGAGATTCTAGGCGCTTATCTAGATTACGAGTCGGACGAGGATGAAGAAAAAGTGGAAATCGGCGAGGGCCAAAACGAAACACTAGTGAGAAACGCCAGTCTGGGCAAGAGGCAGAAGCCTACCATGCGCACGATCATGAAGTCCAACCCGAGCTCCGAAGTCTCAATCCCAGATTTGCCATCGTCCAATCCCCAGGAGGAGTGGAAGAAGAATGCAGCTGCTGGTCTGACTATTGGAGCTGCTGTCGGTCAAGCACTTCACCAACCTAGTCCTCTGGGGCGGCACTCTACTTCTACGACTTCGGCGGAATCTTGCGTGGACCCAGAGAAGCCTCGTTTTGCCAACGTCATGTATAATTCGGCTTCGGAGAGAGAAGTCGAGGCTTTGCCTAGCTTGCCCAAGGCTGCTCCCACCATGAGCGATAAGCGACCTGATGGACGCAAACCTCCGCGTCTTGATATGGGCGCTGTGCGAGACGCAGAGGCCCGCGGTAGTCTTTCAAGCTTGAGTGATCTGATTCGGCGTGCTACCAGACTCGCGTCGAACCTCGACCGTGGAAGAACTGCCAGCCGCGCCGACCTGGCGGCGGATCCAGAGTATAAGGGGTTCATGGGTGGTGAGTTTCTGCAAATAAATTTCACGAAAGAATCAATACGCTGACAAGATGCAGGACAACGCCGTCGCGGCTCAGGTTCTCTTTCCGATATCCTGACTTCATTCCCCAAGCCTGGATTGGCTACTCCAGACAATCGTGGCTCGTGGCCTATTTTCTTCGGACGGTCGAACCTTCGCAACGTTGAGCCTCTTAATTCCAACGACGAATTCACCAATGAGAAGCAGCCTGTCAAGCGCAAATGCTGTGGAATGCCGCGAAAATGGTTTATCGTCCTCTGCATCATTCTTTTCATCGTCCTGGTGCTCGCGATTCTCCTGCCCGTTTTCCTCATCGCCGTTCCCAAGCAAAACGCCGGCAATAACAACTCATGCGCCACCACCAACGCCTGCCAGAATGGCGGAGTATCCGTATCAAGCGGCTCCGAATGCTCCTGTGTGTGCGTGAATGGATACACTGGTTCACGGTGTACCACTGCAGGCGATTCCAGCTGTATCACATCCGAGGTTGACAACGGCTCAATCTCCACGAACGCGACCATGGGTGATTCTCTTCCGACCTTGTTCAGCGCTGCCTCGAGTATATTTGATCTCAGCCTGGACCCAGTCACCCTTATGGCCCTCTTTAGCTTGAGCAACGTCACCTGCAAGACCGAGAACGCCCTCGTCTCCTTCAGCGACGTCAATAGCAGCAGCAACACGCGCCGCTCCGTCCTCCTCCCTCTCGATCTCCCCGTGGCCGAAGAAATCCCCTCTCTCACGGTCGTACCTACCGGCACCGCACCCGCACTCGCCGCCCGCGCCGAGGCCACCAAGGACGGTATTCTCTACGAGAACTCCGGAGACAAAAGCACGACGACCCAAACGAATAGCCCAGCAACAGTCACCCATATCAGCGCAACCACTTCCACGACCACAGCGGCCGCGACGACATCCACCGCAAGCATACCGGACAAGGTGATTGAGTTCTCGCAGGTCGCGGTCCTGTACATCCTCCAGAAAACGGGCTCTATCGACTCTGCATTATTCTCCGAGTCGGAGATCAGCTCGTATCTCACGAGTGCAGATGGGTATAGTAACACGACGCAACCCGAGATCCACTTGCTAGGAGAGTTCGGACTGAACTTCAAGACGATGAAGATCAGCGTGGAGAACGGGACTTCGACCTGAGCGCCCAGTTGAGCCGAGATTTCTCATCTCACAGTTGATGTATAGTGTATATAGTACCCTGGTGGGATAGGATTAGTTATATCGGATATAGTTTTATTTTGATCTGGATATATTTTGGCCACAGGAGTCTCGGTATAATTCACCTTGTCGGAGATGACTACTCAATCCAGTTACTTACGCTTACCTAATGAAAGCCTTCAAATTAAAAATTTAACAATTTAGGCGCCAAGACCGTCTTTCCCAATTGGGACTGTCGATCACGACATTTGCAGCGGAGGTTGCGTGCTGGGTCACGTGGTGAAGTGCCGGTGAAGCCACCCACGTAACGGTATCAAGAGCTGCGCGAAACGCACGAGCATATACAAGACACGTTGATCTCTGAAATGGACTGAACGAAACTACAAGATAGCTCCATTGTATTGCAGGGGGTATATGCCGCCCCCCTGAAAATCACCTATCGCGGCCCTGAAGATCCCCGCCATAAACGAGTACGGGGAGGGGGCGCGGACTGGATTCAGCCGGGAAAGGGAAGGAGAAAACGGACGAAAAATCACAAGGACCTTGGGTCATCGTACTCTGGAAGATTGAAATGAGTGCCGGAGCAAACCATGCAGAATGGCATTGAACAGAGATGAAACCATGGCTCCTTTGTAATTCCCTGTATTAGATGAATCCGAAACGTGTCGGGAATTGAGGCGATGAATTGGATAATCATCGGGTTCCCCTGGGTTCCCGAGCGGGCCACGACCCAGGGCGTAATCTGGCTGGATGAATCGAGAAGGCCAAGACCCCAGTGACTCCACCACTGACGACTTCAGGGCCCCGGGGCACGGTGATTGTCCTGCTTTCTTACCTGGCAGGGAGACGTTTGCCTCGTGTGCGTCGTATGCCCCTCGGCCTAGATTGTTAGTGGACAGGGAAGGTTGGTAGAAGTCCGTAGGAAACTTGATAAGCATTCCCTTTCCTTCTCCACTCGTCTTTCTTTCTTTCTTTCTTTCTCCTCCATCTCTTCTGTACATTAATCAAGGGGAACTTACCCAGATCTACTATTCACAATGGCCAACGCTCCCCACGGTGGTGTCCTCAAGGACTTGCTTGCCCGCGATGCTCCCCGCCAGGCTGAGCTCGCCGCCGAGGCCGAGACCCTCCCCGCCGTCGTGCTCTCCGAGCGCCAGCTGTGCGATCTCGAGCTGATCATGAACGGTGGTTTCTCTCCTCTCGAGGGTATGTGCAATTGACTCTATTCTACGCTTCTGCCTTCGATTCTTGCGATTCCTGCGAACTCTGCGCCTCCAAAAATGGGAGTCCAGGGTCCAGGTTTTCGGTTTTTTTTTTTTCCGGGGCGGGCGGACACGCATTGGAGGGGTAATTGCTAACGCCGATCTCGCAGGTTTCATGAACCAGAAGGACTATGACGGGTATGTACTTGGATCACGCCATTGGAATGGGAATCGGTATGACACATACTAACTCTGCATAGTGTTGTCGAGAACAACCGCCTTGCCGATGGCAACGTCTTCTCCATGCCCATTACCCTCGATGCCTCCCAGAAGACCATCACCGAGAACAAGCTCAAGGCTGGTTCGCGCATCACCCTGCGTGACTTCCGTGATGACCGCAACCTGGCCATCCTGACCATTGACGACATCTACCGCGCCGACAAGTGAGTGCCTACATTTGATTTTCTTGAAACTACCCCTCCGGACTCCATCGCCGCATACTGCCGATCCCCGCATCCCTTCCATCCTTGGCAATTGATTTCCCCAATTGCATCCTATATCCCCAAAAATAATAATTTTGGGCTTCTTTGTCTTGGACGCGTGCACATATACTTTCCTCCGCTTTTTTCAACTCCTGAATGGTGGCGTTCGCGCCTCCTGATTCTGAATTACTTTACGCAATGAACGCCTAGAAGGCGGCTCGAGCTTTTTTTGTGGGTCTTTGCTGACGTGGATTGTTTCCCCCTAATTTAGAGAGAAGGAAGGCAAGCTCGTCTTCGGCGGTGACCCCGAGCACCCGGCTATCAAGTTCCTGAACGAGTCCGTCCAGGACTTCTACATTGGTGGAAAGGTTGAGGCTGTCAACAAGCTGAACCACTACGACTATGTCGCTCTCCGCTGTATGCGACCCTCCCCCGATCTATACAATTGGAATTGGAAGCTAATGAACCCCCCCAAGACACTCCCGCTGAACTGCGCGTTCACTTCGACAAGCTGGGCTGGTCCCGCGTTGTCGCCTTCCAGACCCGTAACCCCATGCACCGTGCTCACCGTGAATTGACCGTCCGCGCGGCCCGCTCTCGCCAGGCTAATGTCCTGATCCACCCCGTCGTCGGTCTCACCAAGCCCGGTGACATTGACCACTTCACCCGTGTCCGCGCTTACGAGGCTCTCCTCCCCCGTTACCCCAACGGCATGGCCGTCCTGGGTCTTCTGGGTCTGGCCATGCGTATGGGTGGTCCCCGTGAGGCCATCTGGCACGCCATTATCCGTAAGAACCATGGTGCCACCCACTTCATTGTCGGCCGTGACCACGCCGGTCCTGGTTCCAACTCCAAGGGCGAGGACTTCTACGGCCCCTACGATGCCCAGCACGCCGTCGAGAAGTACAAGGATGAGCTCGGCATCGAGGTCGTCGAGTTCCAGATGGTCACCTACCTGCCCGATACCGACGAGTACCGCCCCGTCGACCAGGTTCCCCAGGGCGTCAAGACCCTGAACATCTCTGGCACTGAGCTCCGCCGCCGCCTCCGCTCCGGTGCCCACATCCCCGAGTGGTTCTCCTACCCCGAGGTTGTCAAGATCCTCCGCGAGTCTAACCCCCCTCGCGCCAGCCAGGGTTTCACCATCTTCCTGACCGGTTACATGAACTCCGGCAAGGATGCCATCGCCCGCGCTCTCCAGGTGACCCTGAACCAGCAGGGTGGCCGCTCCGTCTCCCTCCTCCTCGGTGACACCGTCCGCCACGAGCTCTCCTCCGAGCTCGGCTTCACCCGCGAGGACCGCCACACCAACATCCAGCGCATTGCCTTCGTCGCCTCCGAGCTGACCCGCTCCGGCGCCGCCGTCATCGCTGCCCCTATCGCCCCCTACGAGGCCTCCCGCAAGTACGCCCGCGACGCCGTCTCCCAGAACGGCTCCTTCTTCCTCGTGCACGTCGCCACTCCCCTCGAGCACTGCGAGAAGACCGACAAGCGCGGCATCTATGAGGCTGCCCGCCGCGGCGAGATCAAGGGCTTCACTGGTGTCGATGACCCCTATGAGGCTCCTGAGAAGGCCGACCTTGTCGTCGATGCCTCCAAGCAGACCGTTCGCTCTATTGTTCACGAGATTATTCTCATTCTTGAGAGCCAGGGCTTCCTTGAGCGTCAGTAGATTGTTTGATCTTGCTGGTTTCTATTTTCTTTTGTTTTTGAGGCTATCTTACCCATAGAAACGTTTACTTGCTTTTAATTGCAAATGAATTCCCGATTCCCCGAAATTAGATTCAATATCAAAAATCTTGTTTCCTATACTATGCTTCCTCTTAAATATATAGTATTAGCAACCTTTGAAGTAGCACGAGGCCTAGTAATGTCGTCTGGGTTGACTTGAGAAAAAGGAATCACGCCATATTTAGCTTAGATGACATCAAGAGATCAGTATCCAAGACACGATCTACGCCTAGAATAACTTTAAATAATACTTAAAAAGTGGCCAAACCGCATCTTCAATCCCGTGAATCTAGACCGTGAAGAGCGTCAACCTATTTCTCAAAGGGGGCCAATCCGGACCATAAAAAGTGTCAACTTGGGAAGAAAAACGTTGCCAACTTGGGCCGTAGCAAATCTTGAGTCTGTGTTCAATCACTTCTGAAAGATGTCAAATCTCTCGTGAAAAGTGGCCAACCCGCACTTAAAAGAGGGTCAATCTGGGCCATAAGGGGCTTCAATTGAGGTTTCAAGAAGCATCAAGTCCATGTATAATCATGTCGAAAAGTTCATCAGCCTAAGCTATAACTAGCACCAACGTATACCTTAAGGAGCTTCAATAAAGACCGCAATAAGTTCTTACATAATACCAACCCGGTCTGTAACAAGCCTCAATCCGAGCCTTGAATAGGGTTGAACTGGACCGTAAACTAGCTTATAGTTACCTGAAACCTATTTAAGTAGCCTCTCATAAGAGTGTGTGTAGCCAAGATAGTCTATTCCTCCAGTAATTCATCACTCTTGCGCACATCTCCGTATCCAGCTATCCTCTTCTGACAAATGGTTAACCTGGGCCATATCAATTGTCAAGTTGATGTCACTTCGTACCTTCGGGAGCATCCATCTGAGCCGTAAAAGGTAGACTCATGCTTAATGATAAGTAATAGGTAGTATCTAATTTCAACATACACGGCGTCAATCGTTGGTGCCATTCAAGCCCTAGAATTAACTAGTGAAATGGGGGTGGCTCGATGGCTGTCTGGCAATGCAGACTATGCGCCAGCAACGTATACATACACTCCCAAAGACTCAGGAAGGCATAATGGACATGCTCTGTAGGTGGATATCTCGCTTTATCCTTGGATCTATATCTTGAAATAGGGAAACCGAAAAGTGCAGTCATATTCCGAATAGTTGCTCCGCCTGTGTGTGTCCATGTAGGAGAGAAGAATGCAGATAGCCCAAGGCATGTAAGGCACCTCAGGCATAATATATACCATGTCTCCGCTGTCACCACTACACTAGCTATCGTCCTGCTTTAAAAGTACTAAATTTATTAACTTTACCAACTGTCTCTGAAGATTGTGTTCCGGTGACTTGATGTGGAATCTTGAAAGCAGATAGGAGAATTCAAAATTACTGAAGCAACATCTAATTGAATCGATACTGTAAGGATAGAACGGCTTAGCCTGGTGTTGGAGTGAACACTATTCCTACTCTAGCCTAGTACTATAAACTAGTGCACGCTCAGAGATTCTCTCATCTCTGTCAGCTGGTCGACTCAATAGACAAATATCTCTTGGTTGCGTCTTCTCTTGCTTGCGTCATACTCTATACTGACCGACTCATCATGACGCAGATAAAGCTCAATTTTATCACAGGAAACAAACACAAATTGGCCGAGGTGCAGGCCATCCTTGGCAGTGCGTTTGAGATAAGCAGCCAACCAGTCGATGTCACCGAAATCAAGGAAGTATAGAAGAGATCGCGAAGGAAAAGGCCAGACGCGCCTGCGCAGCAGTGAGCAGCATTTCTAAGTACTCGCGTATCGACAGAGCATGGCTTATAAGCGAAGTAGATCAACGGCTCTGCTTTGACTGAAGACACGGCGCTAGATATCCACGCGCTCAATGGACTTCCTGGGCCCTACATGTAAGTTGCCCCTCCAGTCTTTGTCATTCTGGTTACAGGCTGATGTAGAGTAGCCGATATTTTTTCACTGCTTTAGGCAATGAAGGATTAAACAAAATGCTGGATGGCTTCAATGACAGAACGGCCGAATCAGTGTGTACGTTGGCCTTCTGCAGTGGACCTGGGGCCGATCCCATTATCTTTCAGGGAAGGACTAAGGTAAGTAAAATGAGCTGTTCCTAAGTTCCCTAATTTCTTGCATCTGACCTCATCATGAAGGGAATTATTGTGCGGCCAAGAGGCCCAGCAGATTTTGGTCAGTAGATCTCGAAATTTGTGTCTATGACTCTTCATTTTAATGCCTAGAACTTGTAGCCTACGATCCAATTTTTGAGGTTGGTGGAAAGACATACGCCGAAACGGAGAAGGAAGAGAAGGTAACGCGTCTTCATTATCATTTCGTTTCACTATTTGGCACAGATGAAGATGGCACAAAAGATGATACATACTAAGTTCACTAGAACCGAATCTCCGATCGATATAAGGCTGTGGTGAAGTTCCAGCTGTGGCTGGTTGAGAACCACCAATAACGGGTACACAAATGGAGTAGGCTATTATACAAGCGATGGCGGCTTACAAGGGGATGAATAGGGCGAAGCCTCCACAAGCAGACCCGCTAATTAACGTACAAGATAGCTTGATGTAATGATTTCATTCGCTTTCTGGAGTCGCTAGTCTAGGCAGTGTAAGCGCTTTGTATATATAACTGTCACCAACCTTGGACATGGGTACTTCTGAAGACTTGTTTTATTTTCTGAAGCCTTTGAGTCGAACCTCGGCACTAAATGAGAGAATTGAAATTTATCGAAGTGACTGCAATCATACGAAAGGCCGTAATAGACAGGATCGGTCAACCGTTTTATATCACGTGACTCGTCTTATGCAAACACTCCAAACTCGATGAAGTCAAGGCTTCGCGGACGAACCTCTCCTCCATCAAGCAACGCAACCATGCTGCCCAAACGAAATGCTGTCGGTCGAATACCGGTGCACATTCGACCAGTGTGTCCCCCGCGGGCTGCCGGCCCAAGCACCATCCACCTGCGTCCATTTACCAATCGCACTCGACTACTCCTGCTCTCACAACCATCGGGTCGCCCACAACTGCCTTTCCTATCACCACTAGCACCTACACGCCCACTCCCTCCTCTTTCCAGACATTTACGCCAGCATTTTGCGCGACTCGTCTCCACCGAAAGCCAGTCCCATTTCAAGAAGCGATTCTCTCGCGTCACCAAACTCTCAATCACCTTCTTTTCTATGATCGTTCTGTACCAGGTCATCCAACTCGGCATCTACCAAGAAGACATCGAGCATCAATGGCCTACACCTACGGAATGGTCGCTGAAATCTCGCTGGTGTCTGCGCACTGCGCAGGCTTTGCAGCACCCTGAATACATCGGCAAGCTGATGACCGATTGGCCCATGGTTCACGGGTTCCTGAAGGAGTTGGTGACACGCCTGGAAGACATGGAAGGTGAAGGCAAGGGAGTTGTGGAGCAGGATGAAGGCGGGATCCTAGTCGAGGGTATCGGCCGCACCGGTCTCGATATCTCGATGAAGAGCGAGCCTTGGCGCCGTGGTTACTTCCAAGCCCTCATGGGACTTGGAAAGGCCGCCGAGAACCTGGACGGTTGGTTAACCGACCGCAAGCAGAGAATCTCTGCGCCAGTGGAGTATGTTGTTGGTCCCTCGAACCCCCGTCCCAGGCCTGCTCCCGCGGGTGCTCAGGCGCCCCAGGAGGAAGACTGTGAATTGGCATCTCCGCCTCCTGAGACTTTCTATATGAAGATCTTGACAACCAGGGGCTTCGACACGCGACAGAAACTTGATGCTGCCCTAGCGTATGCCGATTGGCTTGATTCCAAGGGACTGGGCTCCACTGCCGGTGACATGTACACTTGGGCCCTGGACATTGCCGCTGGTGGATTGGAAGGCGATGTCAGCAAGGTCATCGACCTCAAGACTGGAGTTTTGAAGAATGGCCCGGAGCTGCCATCTGAGAATCTCATTCGTGTCTCGACCGCTCTTGCTGTGCACAACGCCAAGCAGGGTAACCTCCCAACTGCTCTTTCCCTCTTCACTTCTGTTTTGAAGGCCCGAAGAAGCCTACCCATCACCCCGGATTTCCAGCTCCCTCCACCTCTCCCCTCATTCAAAGCATCCAACGACATTTTCTCTTCCTTCTTCACATCCATAAAAACCGTCCTCGTTCCTGTGGAATACCCCGAACCTTTACCTTCAGGTGACACGCCTCCTCTCCGCACAGCCAGCTCTGCCTGTGATGAGGCTGGCCTAATGACTTACATTGGCGAAATTATCTACGCGTCGTCATCCCGCGAGCAAGGCCTCGCCTGGACGCGCGACGCAGTCGAGATGGCCGAAACAACAATGCTGGACCGCAGCAACTCCGAAGATCAAGAAATACGCACACGATGCGCACAATGTCTCAAGGTCAGCCTTGAGAACTGGAAGGTCATGATAGCCACCCTTGTGAAGCGTGCCAAGAAGGAGGAACAAGAGAGCCTTGAAAAGGCGAAGAAAGCCTGGTATGGTGGCGAGAGTGCTGCCAAGGCCAAGACTGCTGAGTTGCGCCGCTGGCAGGCCGAGGAAGCTATTCTTGAGGATCGGATCCGCAGACTCTTCCCTTTGCTTGAAGGGGAATCTGGCTTGGATAACCTTGCCCCGAATAGTTCGCTGTTCGTGTAAAAATATTTGCATATATTTGACCTTTGGGGAGATCATGGCATGTGGAGTCAGCTTGATATTTGGGGGTTTCCGCGCTGTGTATATGACGTCTGATCTATGAATGTACCAACAAATTTAACCATCTATTCTTATTGCCTTTCCTTGAATACCCAGACATCAAGCAACGTTTTTGAAAGATACTGTGCAACGGATCTCTTTAACGTACATTCGAAGTGATTTATAAGTGGGTTGGAAGGGATATCCGAGACACTCATACCTCTCGTGTAGATCCAACTAAAACCTCGTCAGCTCATCTTGGCCGCGCAATTTTCTCCTTATCTCCAACTAAATCGCAAGGGAACCGGTCTCAGGACATTCACAGGGTTCAAAATTACGTCAATGCCTTATTATATGTTCACGAGGTCTACACAAGACCAATCATGAGACTCAAGTATGCCATGATGCAAGCCCGAACCAAAAATCCATCCTCACTGGATGGAAACCAAGATAGAAAAAGCGCGAGAACCTCGTCTTGGCACTCACAGAGCTCCTTACTGAAGCAGAAAAGGCATGAATAGATCCAAGAGATCCCTGTCCCAACGTGGAAGCGGATGGACAAAGGACGCGTGAGAAGGAATCCGATCACCGATGTGCGCGTCATCCGCCATATGGGACGATCCAGCAATCTTGAAATCAGAAGCCCTACGTAGAGCAGGATAGCGAGAAACCAGCACATGCCTAGGGGTAATCTTAGGGAGAACTTTCTTCCTGTGGCCGATCTACACTCTTCCCGATGTTTCGGAATTCCAGCATTCTTGAGCTCCACTAGAGTCGTACGTCAGCGAGGAATGTTTCGGCGACCGGACGGGACTTGATTCAGATAAATCATTGATGAAGTATATAGTGATTGGGGCAGCTATTTGAGGTTGAGTTGGAAAGCAAAAGAGGCCTTGGGTGCGGCTGTTGCCATATTCCAAAAACTTTGATACAGTGTCCATTCGATTGCAATCCCAGATATAAGCCCTCATACGCCATTTAAATAACTTGCATACAATATTGCCGGCCTACGTTACGCTATACATACTTCCCAGCGTGTCCGACCTACATACACCTATACCGACATCCCACGAATACAAATCTCAACTACAGTACGTCCCATCTCTCCCCTCAAAACCTACATCAAAGCTAACACGCCAAGGAAATATACATCAACATGGCATTCTCACTCCCCCAAACTGAGACCGAGGTCTCCTCCCTCCCGCCATCCGACTGTCCCCGCCGCAACCCTAAATCCCGCATCCACGAATTTCTAATGGAAGACATCCGTGAAGACATCCTTCTAGAAGCCGAACTCCTTCTCTTATCTTTTGCAACAGGCATCCAAGATGCCGCCGCTTGGCCAGACTACATGTGTTTCGCCTCAAACCAGACAGGGAATACGCTTTTCCTCGCAATCGGTGTCGCGGGCTTAACGCACAACCAGTACAGTTTCTCCAACATTGGGGTCAGTTTGTCTATGTTTGTCGCTGGGGGCTTCATTCTCGGACAACTCGGGAATTTAATTGGCGTGCGCAAGCGTCTCTGGCTACTTATATCCAACCTGATCCAAACAGCGCTCGTTTTCTGCGCTCTTATCGTCCAATACTCCTGGCCTATACGAAGAGACGGGCCAGCTGCGATGGCAGTTATTGGGTTATTGGCTTTTTCATCTGGTGGACAAGTGGCCATGGGTCGAAGTTTGAAGATCACGGAGATTACGACGGCGATGGCGACAGCGGCATTTGTGGATTTGGTTGTTGACCCGGATCTGGGCAAGTTGAAGAATCGATTGAGGAATCGACGGGTTGGGTTTTTGATCATGTTAGTTTCGGGGTGTTTTGTCGGTGCATTTGCGGCGAGGGAGGTTAGTTCGAGTTTCCCGATACTGCTTTGTGCTGTTGGGAAGGCCTTGGTTTGCGTTGGGTTTTTGTTTAATCGACCTATAAAGGAGGATAATAGAAGTGAGGAGGATTTGAAGGTATAAATATTTTGTATATCTTGATTTGAAGTTGACCGAATTCAATACAGTGTCGTACCATGTACTAATTTCCAAGTCGATTGGGCTGACATCTCGATTATTAGGGGATATATTGATATTGTAGGATTGAATAAGTTGAAAAGAACCCCTAAACACGAGATCGAAATCGGCTACTTATTGAATAGTTATGCACCCATGGATTAATTATCCAGCACCGCTCATGAACCTAAGCATGATGTTTGATGGCTCGGAACAAAGCATAAAAGGCTTGGGACGAACATGCAAAAAGCCCAAGATACAAAATGCGCGGAAATCCCATATTCTCATTCCTAAGTGTATGTTTAGGGCCTAAGTTGCAATACGTCTGCACCTGTAGATTTCGATCTATGAAAGTGGATGATCCTTGGGGCGGCACAATGACATCGTTCGTTCGACATCCATTGTGCCGGAGAATTATCTGGACGACCCACTCTATGTTAGCGTGTATAGATCTTCGCACCATGCTTCTTTATCGTCTTTATCAAATACCGCAAAAAGGGTTTGATGCTCGCGTCTGACCATAGAATTGATCTAGGAGTGAGTCAAGGCCGAGAGTGATGCTGGAAAATACGGTACGCCCTTTTGTATTAAAAGGTTCTACAACTAAAACTAAACCACAATGGTAGATAAACACAGCGTCAACCACGGGTGCATGGACGGCTTAGCCGTAATCAATTAGGGGGCCGTGACAGCTGCCTCAAGTGTTGCCTTAAAATCGCGGGGCTCAACAAACGCTGGCTTTGTACTTATTCGTGCTCACGCTGTACTGCTTCATTAAAGGCCGCGCTTTTTGCAAATTTGGGACACTCATTCTTTGCCCTCACTGATCGGTAAGAGTTGTTAGCAATCACCGCCGTTGGTTTGCCTTTCTTGGGAATAACCAACGTGCCCCTTCACTTCTTAAATTTCCCTCATTTTCCAATTTCCCATATCTCCTTTGCGCCGATCGCTCAATCTTGTCCTTCTCTCACCTTGACTGAGACGTCCTCTATTTCGCACCGCCAGAGGCGTTGCCAGATCGCTATGGGAAAACCGGACTTTCTGAGAGACCTCGGCCAGGTCAAGGCAGCAGGTAAATTCAAATACCTGAGCAAAGTCAAGGCTGGCGATAGTGATGGTTCGATCTGTTTCACTTTCACGTGTCCGGATGCGCCAACTTCTATTGAATACCAAGCTATCACTGGTAAGACAATCCGAAGCCCGACTGTCTCCCTGTTACTGACCGGCCCGCAGAGCCTCAAGACTACCCCCAAAGCCACCAATACTTCGTGTACTCTACATCTGATCCTTCGCCCGCAGTCATCGAGGCTGTTGAGAATGCCGTCATGAATCTCTCTTGCATTTCAATTCAAGATCTTCTGACTGCCATCGAAAGCACAATTCATGCGGCGCTCAATGGCTCAAAGTTGCAGCCACACGAGCGATATCCGGATGATGACCGAAATACCATCGATGATTCTGATGGAAGTCTTGATGAATTTGATGACTCTGGTGAATTCGATTACGACGAGCATGCTTTCTACGATAGCGATGTTTCTCCTCTCCCCTACCAAGCTCCATCTTTGCTGCGCCAGAAGATCCGTGAGGATCTGCGAGCCGTCAAGAACACCGGTTTCAAGGTCGGATACGTCGGAGAAGTCTCTGAAAGCAGCTTCATTGTTTCAGTGGCCAGCCGCCTCAATAGACTTGGGATTCCCGAAGAAGTTATGGATGTTTGGAAAGTGTGTCCCAAAGACTACCTCGTTCTTCTAATTCGCTACCCGCGAGGGTACGTGAACATGGAGGACCTTTTTGAACGGGGAGACCCAAACTCTTCACTTATTCAAATGCACCTTGGACTCTGTGACTCCTACAAGCCATCGACCACGGCAGCTCTGATGGCATTTCAGGGCAGCACCCCGACCGAAAAGGATGGTCCACACCCACAAGAGACTGAAAGGAACAGACTCAGGCCCTTTTTCATCGGCTGCCAGCTCAATCGACTTATGAGCGAGCGTTTCATGGGCATTGTGAGACTTCGCCTCAGATGGGGGCTTTTCTGGACAGGTGCAGAAAACCTTTTTCAGGCCAGCCAGGGAAAGGCCCTGGATGACAAGGAAGCAAGTTCAGAGGAATATATCACACCGGATGAATGGGAAACTTCGCCTCCACCTTTGCTAATGACTGATCACATGGCTGATGAGGGCTTTGTTTTGTCGAGAATGTCATTCCCCTTACTCGCAATGCAATTCACCCTTCGTCACTTTGTCAGATGCACAGAATTCTGCCTCGTTTGCTTCTGCAAGAAATACGACGATTTTGAGGCAATGAAGCCCTACGTCTGCTCCAATGGACTTTGTCTCTACCAATACATCACTTACGGTTTGGGCCCAAGTTTGGAATATGAAGTCAAATCTCAGTCAAGTGTCGTCGACATGCTGGTCTCTTTGGCTTTTATCAGAGCAAAGACCGGGAAGCTTGAAGATTTTCCTACAGGGCTTGGAATGCGAATTCCAAACACACAGACAACTTACGCGGATGAGCTTCGAAGTGACCCCTCCACAGACAACTGGCTTACAAACTATCACACTGGGACAATGAATACACAGAGAATGTTTAGTTCCAACAAGGACATACCCAGAATTATCATGGAGCTTTCTCGAAAAGGCGAGCCTCGGCTTATCGAAGGACAATGGATCGCCTTTGTCGGCCCCGAGGGGGAAAGTGATCTTGCACATGGCCCTTCATGGCATTGCAGAGTCCAAAATGTCGGATTTAACTATGTTGAGCTCTCGTTTCCGCTCCGCTGGAGCAAACAGATGACAGAGCCAGAGCTGAAGCAAGCAACCAGCAACTGGAGAGGGAGCCGGAAAGTGCACTACGCGATTTACGACACAGATTTTGACGACTTGACCAAAGAGAGAAAACAAAAAAGTATAGTCATGCTTTTGGGCACACTTCCTGGAATCGACGAGATGATCAAGTATTTGACAAGCCAAGGGCCAGATGCAACTCTCTCATCCTGGCACGACAGAATACAGCCCGCCGCCTTAGATCTGTTGCGATGGATTGTTGCTTCAAATCGATCATGTATCATCCAGGATAACAGCAACCCTGAGCACTTGGTCAGTGACATGAAAGACTATGTCCAATTTCGCCTAGTTCAGGGTGCCCCCGATAAAGAACAACGTTTCATCACAGCGATCAACGAGAACTCAAGACCTCAGTACCCAACAATCTTCGCATGGCATGGCAGTCCACTGTATAACTGGCATAGCATTCTGCGGGAAGGACTTCATTTCAAAGACACGGCACACGGACGTGCCTACGGACACGGCGTTTATATGTCTCCGCATTTCCAAACATCATTGAGCTACGTGGGTGCACATCAGTCGTATTTCATGTGGCCTCAAAGCAACCTCGTCTTGTCATCTATCATATCTCTGAACGAGATTGTTAATGCCCCGACTGAATTCTTGCACACCCAACCACATTATGTTGTGACGCAACTCGACTGGATCCAGCCCAGATATCTTTTCGTTGGGATCAAGGGGATCAATGATGCAAAGACGTCTTCAAGCCCTTCCCTCCTTTGGGATAATGATGTGAAGAAGGGAGAATCTCCGACTTCTGTCACGTTTTACGCACAGGACCCTCAACACACTGCCTCTGGGCCATCGGGGGCAGCCATCAAAATTCCGATTTCGGCAATCAGCGCTAGGAGACGAGAAAAGCTTGCGTTGAAAGGAGGCGCCCGAAAAAGGACCACCTCGAAGAAGGAGGGAAAGAAGAAGACCAGTAAATCGATGTCTTCTCTCCAATCAAGCACCGATGCTAGTGACGAGCTTCAAAGTGTGGCTACGGACATCGAGGATCTCGAAATCCTTTTTTCGGATTCGGACATTGAAACGATCGACGTACCTCGTAAGAAGACATGCTGGAAGAAGGCCACTAAATACTTCACTCCTCCTAAAGAAACAGTGAAGGGGAAGGAGGCCATCAAACATGTCCCCCCGCCACCGACTTCATCCCAGGGTCTTTGACCGAAGGTAGTCTACCGATTATGGCACCACCTCAGTACGCCACTACCTTTGCAACCAAGCTCCTTCAGAAACAACTCAAAACAGCCGTCGAGGTCCAGCAAAAAGAGCGCCTGCATGAGCTCGGCTGGTTTGTGGACCCCGGCTTGACATCTGGAAACCTCTACCAGTGGATCGTGGAGCTCCACAGCTTCGAGAAGGAACTTCCTCTCGCCAAAGATCTCAAGGCTGCAAAGCTCACAAGTGTCGTTCTTGAGCTTCGCTTCCCACCCAACTACCCGATGGACCCTCCCTTCGTCCGCGTGATTCGACCTCTCTTCCTGGAATTCCAAGCCGGTGGCGGCGGTCACATCACCCTGGGAGGTGCCATGTGCATGGAGCTCTTGACCAGCACTGGCTGGTCGGCCGTCACCTGCATAGAGAGTCTTCTTCTACAGGTCCGTCTTGCTATCACCAGCACGGACCCACGGCCTGCTCGTCTCTCTCAGCGCCACGGAACCCAAGATTACACCGTGGGCGAAGCCGTCGAGTCCTACAAGCGCGCTTGCATCATGCACGGGTGGAAGGTTCCCCAGGATTTGGAGCTGATGCGCTGGTGAATACCTCAATGTGAGCTGAGTGAAAGATGGCGTCGGGATTGATATTCATGAAGGCTCATAGTTACTTGCTTTTTAAGAACAATAATACTTTGCTACCGATATGAGCCAACACATCGAATTCTTGATTGTGTATTATGTAAACGGCGGATGAAGAAAGAACCAGGAAGGCAGAAAGAAGACTTCAAACCCGGCTTACAAGCAGGGTAGGGACAAAAGATAACCAGGAAGATAAACGTAACAACAATGATTCAAGGTTATCATGCTATCTGGGGATCAATTTATATCTACCAGGTAAGTCCTGTAAATTCCACACCTGAGCGGTCGCTGCCCCAGTAGGCAAGGTCTACCTGCTATTACTCTGCGTCAATTTACATGTTCAAGTTTACAGCAAGGCTTTTCTTGGTAAGAATGAATGGCATTCTCTGCCCTTCAGCGACATGGCTTGTATCTATTTCCACAATTTCACAGGCAAGCAATCACGGGACAACATACAACCCACTCGACTTGCCATTGTCAGATCATCAGCAAGTTTCCGGCTCAGTGCTTGGGAAACTCTGTAGCCAATGCGCCGTTATCTTTGGTAACCACTGGCTGTGATTCGGTCATCACTCTCACCATGCGTGATCACTTTGTCTTGCTCGGGTTTCGCCACTGGTGCAGGGTCGAGCGTTGGATAGTCAGGGCGGTTTCGTAGAGATCGAGATCGTTGTCGGCTGTAAGGTTAACCGGCGGACGGTCGGTGATGTAGCCTATTCTCATCAAAGCACCGCCAAGATCGTTCACGACGGGCAGGGACTCGTTGACGGCCATGGAGAAAAAGAAGTTGCCACTGTCATCGTTGTCGGTGATGTAACGTTGGGGATTGGGAGCGGATTGGCAGACATGCTGGAATCTTCTCTGATCGATAATTGATCAATGTTATCAAGATTGTAGCGTGGGATAAATTGCGTATGGCCGTGAGTGACTCCCACTGCAAGGGCGAAATAAAGGCAACTAAAAAGCATTCGGTCACACTTTCCAACGGTTCTCGGGTTTCACATGCACTGTGACTTGATGCAGCCTTCCGAGCTCGGAATGGCCTTTTTTTTTTCTTTCTTTTTACCTGAATGGCCCCCAATTCAACCCATGAGTTCACGTCCCACGATCAAGATGCATCCTACAGCAAGCCAATCACGGGTGATCCCGAGCTCTAACGTCTCCGCTGTCGCCTTTCTGTCAGCGAAGAAGCACTCTAGATAGACATCCTGTGGGATGTTAACTGTTACAGGAGTATGAAACGTACTTTCTTTTACTTTGTCAAATTAGACTAAGGGCACTTTCCATGGCTGCTGAATGCTCGCTATATACTTTCGGTTTTCAACATGCAGTGTCAGAATTCAACTTAATCTTTTGGCCATCTTCTCAAGGTCGACTTTCGAAAGAAAGGTTAAGCTAGCGGTCCGCTAGGTACGGGGGCTAGTACAAGCTTCGGCACAACTCCAGACTCTTAATCTTCAGCTTTCATCTGCGACTCGTTGCCCCCGTGTGCGTGACCATTTGATTGTACATCATCTGACTCTTGGCTCACGCGTTCCTCTCTCTTGGCTTGCATGCGAGCCATGAGGACTGCAGCTTCATGTGCATATCTGCATCTCATTCGAATCTTGCCCCCATATTTATACATGACAAAGGGGAACCACAATCAACCCACGGTCAGGAAGGCTGGGATAGAGCTCGCCCAGTGAATCCCAAGGTTATCAAACATGTAGGTAGTAAAGAGAGAGAACCGTGATGGTGGGAATGTGCTTCCTCGTCGCGAAGTTTGAACGGATTCGGCTATCTCATATCTGCGGTGTGTCGTTGTAGATAGACGTAACAACTGGCTCGAGCAGAGTAACGAGCGATGCGTTGGACATGCCATTTTCATATGTCTAGGTATTCGGGTTGGAATTTACGTTACTCTATACGCAAAGGAACGTTCGGGGGTCGGGACAGTGCAGTGTGCCGAAGCGGCTTTGCACCTGGTTAGAGGTCAAATAGCGCGAAAGGGCCCTGGAACTGCCGAATGTATGTTTCCACGTCATTCTCCAATTGTCTGTTGCAGCTCGGCCTCAGAATTGAAGCTCAGAATGAGACTGGATTGGCAGATGCAACAAAGAGCTGCGTGAGGCCTTATGCGGACATCCCACTGAGGCCTAGGGACACTCGCCACCTACAACCTCCATCTGAGTAACCAGACGAAGCCGCGAATCGATGGGAAAGTCCTCCAGGCGTGCATTTGCAACACCCCATGTCTTCTGCGCCGATTAGGACTGCAGGGTCGCGGCATAGGAGATACAAAGCGACCCTCGCCTGCATCACGTGTCGCCGACGCAAGCTTAAGTGTGACAGAGCTCGTCCAGGTAAGGAAGAGAACGTTGAGTGTTAACCTGGCACAATTAACGGCAGCTATTGGCAGTGTGTGAACGGTGTCAAAAGACAAAAGGCCCTCGAGAGGAGTTCAAATACGTCACCCCGAGCTCTCAGAGTCGTGTGCAGCCTCCGTTAACACCGCACCTACCGACTCCTTCGGCGTCGACATTTTCCATACCAGAACCATCGGACGTGCATGAAGATGCCATCTATGAGAATTTGAATGAAATCGTCGGTGACGATGTCAATGAATTTCCCTCTGTAGTCAAGTCCACTATCAACACTAGACTCGGGCTTCCGTCCTGCAAAAAGCGATGCCCAATACCCCTCGCCGATGCGCCGATGTTTGGATCTTTATCAATTATGCAAGATCTAGGTGGTGAGTTCAATCAGACAGATGATGTGTTACCACTGCGCAAACAGGCCGACCGGCTGGTCTACCTGTATTGGCACTATCTGGGGCCCCTAGAGCTTCTTCTTGACGAGAAGCAACTTCACCGCTCCTACGAAACGTTCTTCACCGGTGGAGAGCTCGACGGGGATGCGCGTATCTTTCTTGCCACCCTGAATACAACATTTGCTTTTGCCATCCAGCTGCAAGAGTCAACGCCATCACAGCCGAGGAAAAATTCAAGTACGACGTTCTTTCTCCGTACCTGGCGCTTACTACGTCCGGAGGCGATACTCTGGGGTGCTGGGTCATTGGAACTTGTTCAATGCCTGCTTCTAATCAGTCGCTATCTGCAGTGTACCAGAAATCTACATCAGACGAGGATGGCACTGGGTTTAGCGGTGCGTCTAAATCAAAGTCTTGGTCTTCACGCTTCCGGCGACGCTTCGTCTAGTTTTGATCAAGGGGTTTTTGGTAGAGATGGACCTTCACAACACAGGGCTTGGAGGTGCTGTGTGTTATTGGACAGGTGAGAAATCCTTCGATATTAGTTCTGTGCTGTATGTCTCATTCAATTTAGAAGCCTATCATGGTCACTCGAACGGCCTCCGACCACCCTCACAGCCCCATTTTCCAACCCTTCCCAACATACTGAAGCAAGCCGACATGATACTCAATCTCTCGGTTTTATTTCTTAACAAAATGGGAAAAGTCGACGAATTGACCAGCTACATACTCTCCTCGCAGCGAAGCAACAGCTTGACAGACAGCTTAGGACTGCTCTCATTGACTCCATCTTCCGACTCAAAGGTTGTATCACGGCTAGACGCCTGTTTGACTGAATTGAAGAAAGAGCTTCCGCTTCCCATACTACTCAATTCCAGTCAAAATGATGCCGCCTCTGGGCCATTGACCTTACTTCACTTTCGGTAAGCACACTACCCCCGTCAAGCTAGTGATCAATCTTTTAAATTCTCTAAATAGGCTCTCCCATGCCCGTATTCTCTTATTTCGGCCAATGCTCGCTCGTCTCTGTCTATCATGTTCCCAAACAAGCGACTTTGTCAATGGAAGCCTAGAATATCGTATGTTACAACAGTGCGCCACTCTCTGCATAGAAAGTGCTCGAAACATGATCACCCTTGTACACGACAGCGCTGTGTTAGACCAGCATGGTATTGGTGTCCTACCTTGGTGGATTCGCATTTTCTACTTCTACATCGCAATTCAACACCTGATCGCTTCAATGCTGCGCCCGGATATTTTTGCCTCTACAGTTCCAGAGGCTTGGGGCACCGCTATGTGCTATGGGCCTTTGAGCCAATCGGTCACTCGATGTATGGCAAGTTTTCCGTCTATGTGGCAAAAGGTCATAGATATCATCTGTCAAGAGACCCTAGGGCAATGCTCTCCGCCTAAGGTTGAAGACCAGGTTTTCCAGGATTTTTTTGAACATCTGGGCTTTGATATCGATCTGCCTACCTTTGACTTAGATAATGCGGCGTGGCTGGGAAACGTGGATTGGTTTATATGAAATTATTTACCAATGTCAGCGATGACTGATGTTTCGAATGGGAACAAGCATAGGCGATAAGAATATTAATATCCTTAATAAGGTCATTTCGGTGACGGGGGTTTTGGTCAACAGGATACCCCGAAATGGCAATCTGTCGCGCTCCATCTGTGTGATTAATTGATGGGAAATGACACTTCAACAGGGGCGGCCCGGTGATTGGTCAAGTCCATAGAATTGTTACAAGCCTCAAATGGAAGCGATATCGATACCCATACTCTACCTCCCAAACCCCAGGCCATTTCAAAAGATCTCCAAGTGTTACGGCAATCAGTGTAAGAATGATCAATGATACAATTCAACACCTACATACGCTGTTGAGATTTTAGGTCCAAGTTCAATTGCGCTTTGCCAGCTCGATGTCGACATGGCGCGAGTCACGCTCTGTCCACTTTCGTTTCGAAAAAACTGCGTCCGCGTCATTTGCATTAGCATCATGTTCAGGGCTAGGCTTAGCATCTTAGCATGTCGATAGAGGGGTCAAATTTGTCACCCCAAAGACTGTGCGTCCTTCGATGATTTAGTATGATGATGAATCTTCTCAAGCCACCAAGTCTGAGCCATAATAGTAGCCAATGTATTTATAGAACTGGCCAATGATCTGAGGCCGTTAATGATCAGGTGACTTTTTCGATTATGTCTTGCTCCTAGCTTATTTCTCTTGTCTTCAGCGCTCATATCTACTAGTCTGAGCATGGTTAAGCAGAAAGCTGGAGAACGTATCACTCCATCCTTTGCTTGAAGACTATTGTCACTTCCTCGTTTATTCAAATCCATTTATTTTCGCAGGCCGCTATTGTTCGTAAGGTCGCTGGATTACTTAAGTCTGTGGTAGCTAGGCTCTGTATGAGAACTTTCAAAGCAACAAGGAGCACAAAACGGATAATGCAGACTGAATTCACATTCTATAGCCTCATGGCAAGGGAAACGCGAGCGTGAAGCTTCAAGCTCCGAGGCTAAGCACTGGATATGGTAAAACAAAGCCAATCAACGCATCGTTCCTGGAAAAAGTGGGGCTATACCAAATTACAAATGGACGACTTCGCTTACGGCCCCGACGGGCTCACCAGTCAGACTCCGCCATTTTGCTAAAACCTTGGAAAGGGGGCTTGTTGAGGGTCCATGCGGCTTAAATTATCAGAGCCTCCCACCTATCAGCCTGCGACCCCTTTCGACGAATGGACGGGCTAAGCGAATTCGTCACAGTCTCGTACAGGGAGTCTCCATAAAGACATGGTGCATCCCCGGTCATTCTAGGGGCTGTTAAAGACCCGGTTGGGCGTGGAACTGACCTTTCAAACATGATGGTTCGAGGTAACACCAAAGCGATCGCAGTTGCTCTGCTGGCAGGCTCTGCGTTAGCCATCAAATTAGATATCAAGGACGAGGGTGAGTCTCCTGTCGTCTCCGATGATTTGACACCTGCTAATGTCATATAGAATCTATCAAAGATGCGGCCGCGACTGCTGCGTACAATACTTGGTCCGGATACACAGCCAACCAGACCGGCCAAATCCCCGGCGCCATCCCTACCGATTGGGCAATGGGAGGTGCCCTGTTCGACACCATGATCCGATATTGGTACTACAGTGGCGACGCCTCCAACAATGCGGCAATCAGCGAAGGAATGTACTGGCAGCTAGGCGAGAACAATAACTATATGCCTGCCAACTACAGCTCATACCTAGGAAATGATGATCAATCAATCTGGTCGCTTGCTGCCATGACTGCCGCGGAGCTAGGTTACCCTGAAAGGTCATCTATGCCGTCGTGGGTTACGATCGCAGAGAATGTCTTCAATGATCAGATTGCCCGCTGGGATACAACAAAGTGTGGAGGCGGCTTGCGCTGGCAAATTTGGGCCTACGAATCGGGCTACGACATAAAGTCTTCTTTGACAAATGGCCTTTTGTTTGAGCTTTCTGCTCGTCTGGCCCGATACACCAGCAATCAAACTTACTCTGATTGGGCGGACAAGATCTGGACATGGAGCACTAGTACTGTCATCAACGATGAGTGGTCAATTTTCAATGATGTTGACATGGAGGATGATTGCGAATCTGCGAGCAACACCCAGTGGAGCTTCAACTACGGTCCATACATCGCCGGTACTGCATACATGTACAACCTGGTAAGACAATCTTCGGCCTTCAACTTAAAAACAAAGTAATTAACAATCACTCAGACTAACGGCAAAGCCGAATGGAAGTCAAGCCTAGATGGCCTTCTGAACCGCACCACCGCTACCTTCTTCCCTTCCAAATACGGTGGCAAGATCCTCTCTGAAGTCGCCTGTGAATCCACCGAAAACTGCAACAATAATGACATCTGGCTAAAGGGTGTCACTATCCAAGATCTCGCCATGGCTGCCTTAGTCGCGCCATACACCGCATCCGACATCATGCCCCTGCTACAGGGCTCTGCAGTTGGGGCCGCGAAGTCATGCACCGGCGATAAAAACGACACTGAATGTGGTGTAAGATGGTACACGGACTATGATGGCTCCGACGGCATGTCCAGCCAGCTCAGCGCTACCAGTCTCTTCACCGCCAATCTTGTTTCATTCAGCAAGAAAGCTCCTAGTAGCCAATCGGGGTCTGAGAATACCACTTCGGTCACGTCGACTGGATCGGCCAATGGCACTAGCTCCGGCAGCTCCGGCAGTGCTGGGGCTACGAAATCTAGCACTAATATAGCTAGTGTGCTTGCCGTTGGTCCAGTCGCTCTTGTCGCGGCTGTCGTTGCGGGTGCCGTTTCCTTGCTCTAAGCTGTACGACAAGTTTGGGGGTCCTCCCTTTCTTTGAAAACTGCACTATAATATTCCATTCAACATACTTTCATCCCACATCAAATAAAAAAAAATTAAAAATCATGAAAAATCATTGAAAAAAAAAGACCAAGTCAAAATGAGAGAGGTTGTGCTGGTTGCAACAACTTCATTGTTGGGGATAGAGTGCCGTTGATGAAAACAGGCAATAGGTTCCATATACATAAGTCATAAAAACAGGTAAGCTTTCAGATAACCAGATAGGATAGTATCCTGTACAGCTCCGAGGTTGGAGAATTTCGCAATTGACTGAGCATGGGCCTCGGGTGGGTGACAGCTACCCCAACGGGCTTCTCCACAGCCCCAACCCGTATTCCGGGGTGCGCATGACTCCAAAATAAACACTAGGATTGAATTTATCCGGGCAAACATGCAATTTGCATAAATCATGTATAGTGTAGTTTTGGGGCTTTATATATTGCCCTTGGCTGTCATCTAGAATGAGAGCGAAGTTGGATCGAAAGGCTACCTACCTCGACCGCTCGAATTCCGGTCACGGTTGTGTCCAAGCTGTTAGAAGTAAGCCTGATATAAGCCAAGGAAAATAGCCAAAGTAGTAAGTACAATTACTCACCGGCTGAACTAACTCTAAATGTGGTGGACCCAAGAGCTTCAGGGCTACACGTCTACTTAGAACAAAGGAGTCACAACGCAACTTTCGCATCTTGGAAGTGTTAAAAGGCCAAACATTTCTGCCAATCGACAAAAGCTGATGATTGCAGCGGACGTAACCTTGCGCCATGAAGTATTACAGCTCCTTAAATTTCGAATACTACTTGTGCTTTAAAAAGAATTGGAAAAGATGAAAAGATGAAAAGATGGAAAGGTGCTGTCTTACATCGCCAAGGTCACTGTTCCCCGTATAATGGCTGAGTAGATCCAGCATCGCCCTTCTCGTCGAGCCCAAATGCCATGGGAAATTAGAAAGGATCCCTCAGATTGACTGCGTAGTTCACAAACCCACTCTACACGCCACTCACTGACACAAGTAGTACACGACAGTCGACGGGAACAAATTCCGCGGCTATAATACGAGAACGAGCGCACACACAGAAAACCCCAGAAATAGCGGATAGCTATTGCGACCTAGATCGCGTTTGATTTGGCCAACCTCGGAAAACCATCATTTTCTCTTTTCTAGAGCACAACCTGGTGATTAGACTATGAACCGTGGTAATGAACATGTTCGAGCCGGCCTGCTCGGAACAGGCGATAGAAAGTGAATTGATTTATAATCATGTATTGAGCCTTTGGAGGGCAAATACACGAGCAGCGACTCGTCCAGATTGGTGCTGTGGATTCCAGGAGAAAATTCTTTGAGCCACAATTTCCGGCGATGAGAGTTGAATTAAGTGTTCTGCAAAACAGTTATCCTGGCGCCACCTAAAAAAAAATCCATCTTATCGGTCGGCATAACCCCTTTTCTTAAAGGAAAGGGTGAAACTTCGGTGGCTTTGACGTTATCAGTTCACATCGCGGCTAAAACCTAAAATTCGGGGCTCAACTTCCAGAAGGGACGATCATCGCGGACCTGCAAGGTGCCACGCATCCGTCGCCCATGGTTCTTCTAATCTTTCGACGCGTCTCCAGCCGAAGGGGCCTAGCTCCCGAGATGAGTTTTCTAGTTCCAATGCATCGAAGGCGTCCCCTGCGTATCAAGGCCAGTGGAGCCATCCGACCTACCCCGGGTCACCGGTGAAACACTATCTTTTACATAGGAGGATTTGGTGAGAATAGACAAAGATAGCGAGCTGGTTGGCCCACCATTGCAGCTCCACATCGACCCATGCCTATCGGGGCGCAGATAGGAGGAAACACCTATTCGGAATTCCTGGACCGACTGTGGCAAGCAAGCTGCTGGCCCTTCTACACCAGTCATCGGCCAAAATGAACTTCAAAGTGACATTGCTATGGACCGGCCATGGACGGCCACGACCTTCCCCATACTGCTAGCCTTAAAAAGCCGTGCCAAACTACCCCGAGATTAATCCCCCGCCCTGCCGATGGGCCTGGGCGGCCAATAACTCGAGAATGTTTGAATAAGCTCTGGGGCAGCGGGCGCGAGCCAAGTTTCGCCGGACCGCGCCAGCCTGACTCCCTGACTCCCTGATCGACATTCGGGTGGAAGGCTCGGTGAATGGCCGACATCGCCGGGGCTCGGTGATGTGATCCAATCATGGTCGCGGCAACCTATCGCCTTCGGGGACCCATTACCCCAAATCTGTTACCTAACAGCACCACTACATACTGAACTCCCCGCGTTAATCGGATATGGAGATGATTCGGAAAGTGAATGTTCGAACTGTCGTCATGCTAGCCGGAGGCTTTCTTTTCTACTGGCCTTTGTCCCCATCAGTTTCCGTCAGACATTTCATCTTTCCCTCTTTTCTGCTCCTGCATACTTGCCATCATGGAAGGCAAGGGACTTGATGATGACGCGCAGTTGGCCCAGATGGGCCACAAGTCAGAGCTGAAGCGCCAATACTCTTTGCTGTATGTGCTACTTTTCGGCTCACGTGTCGGGGCCCGACCGCCATGCTAACCAGCCCCATATGGTGTATAGGTCTATGCTTGGTCTTGCATTTGCTATTCTGAATGTAGGTGAACCCGGTGGTTTGGAATGATGCGATTGTCTGGGTAGCAGCTAACAGTTCTCTGTTGACAGTCATGGACAGCGTTATCCGCGAGTTTATCCCTGAGCTTACCCTCTGGAGGTCCTGCCAGTGTTGTCTGGGGTAGGTTGTTACTCGGCCCGGACTCAGTCGCGATCAATACTGACGATTCGTCCATTCAGGCTTGGTGACTGCTGGTATCTGTAGTTTGTGCATGGCAGCCTCGCTGGCCGAGTTCCTGTCTGCGTATCCTACGTGAGTGACCCTGGAGAGAATGCGTTGGAATATTTCGCATGACTAACGAGAAACAGAGCCGGAGGTCAATACCACTGGGTCGCTGTCATTTCCTGGGAGAAATGGATGCCCCTTCTGTCCTGGATCACCGGATGGGTGAACTGCTCCGGCTGGGTTGCCCTGGTGGCCACCGGTGGCTTGCTCGGTAGCCAGCTGGTCCTTGGTTGCATTTCTCTGATGAACCCCGTATGTACCCCCTTTCAATCTTGAAGATTCTATTTCTGATTTCACCAGTCCTACGAGTCCGAGCGCTGGCACCAGTTTTTGATTTATATCGCTTACAACATTCTTGGTTTCCTTATCAATACTTTCGGAAACAAGATTCTGCCTATGTTCAACAAGGCTGCCTTCACCTGGTCTTTGTGTGGATTCGCCATTATCTGCATTACAGTCCTCTCCTGCTCCTCCGGCGACTACAACAGCGGTGACTTTGTCTTCCGAGACTTCATCAATGAGACTGGCTGTATGTTGATTCCATTCTGCCTATTGAAATATAACAACTAACATATTTAGGGCCCGATGGCATTGCCTGGTTGCTTGGTCTTCTGCAGGGCGGTCTGGGTGTGACCGGATTTGTGAGTGATTACACCGATTCTATGAAATACACGGCAAGGATTAACAATTTACCAGGACGGCGTTGCACACATGATTGAAGAGATCCCGAACCCTTCTGTCGAAGGACCCAAGATTATGATTGCTTGCGTTGGAATCGGTACCGTGACTGGTGTCATTTTCCTGGTCGTGCTTCTGTTTGTGGCTGGCGACATCGAACCTATTATCAACTCCGCGGCTGGCCCTCTCCTTGCGATCCTCAAGAACGCGACCCAGAACAACGCTGGTGCCATTTGCCTGCTGATGTGAGTATTGCCTTACTGCCTGCAGCCTTTCCCCTTACAATTCTGACCGAACTCTAGCTTCCCTCTTGTGTGCATGCTGTTTGCTACAACCGCTATCATGACTACTAGCAGCCGCATGTGCTACGCTTTCGCCCGCGACGGCGGTCTCCCTTTCTCTCCCTACTTTTCCCAGATCCACCCCAAGCTGAAGGTCCCCCTACACTCGCTCTACCTCAACTTAGCGCTGGTCATCGTCTTTGGCCTAATCTTCCTGGGATCCTCTAGCGCCTTTAACGCGATTGTGTCTGCGTCTGTTGTCTGGCTGGATCTCTCCTACGGTATCCCCATCGCTATTCACATGCTCCGTGGACGTAACACTCTTCCTGAGCGTCCCTTCGTCTTGCCCAACATTCTTGGCTGGATCCTGAACACTGTAAGACACAGTCCACGACAACCAATTGAATATGGCTGACTTTATGACAGATTTCCGTTGTGTACATTCTTATCACCACTGTCCTTTTCCTCTTCCCCCCGGATCTTCCTGCCACCGGCAGCAATATGAGTATGTTCTCTATCTTGTGATCCTTAATGACTCAATATACTAACACCTAATAGACTACTGTGTTGCCGCCTTCGCTATTGTTGTCATCATCTCTTCGATTACATGGTTCGCGGATGGACGCAAGAACTACGTCGGCCCCCGCATCGAGGTAGAATTTTTCTCCGGACAGGCTGGCACTCAGTCCGATAATCCAGTGCCTGCTGTGGAACACTACAAGGCTTAAAATAGCATTCCAGAACCTAAATTAGTTATTATTTAACCAAATTGAGCTGTACATTTGACTTCTACATCGATCCTCTGTATACTACCACGTGACCCAGTTGCATTACGTCACTACCCTAGGGTGCCTGAGGCTATATTTCCCAACAATCCATGGCGGATCCACGACTCCGTTGAACATACGATGAGCTGATGCCAAAGCAGACGTGAACTTCAACTGTCAAGCAACTCCAACCACAAGGTCCGGCTGTATTTATTTGTCGGAAGGTACGAGCCGATATCACAGTGCGGCCGATTTATCCCTCGGGCCACACAGACTTCCCCACCATCGAACAACGCAGCTCGGAGGCGACGCCAGAATGTTCCAGATCTCGTTTCCGTCGTTGAAGTCGTTTAAGATATTCGGCGAGAAGCAGGTCATTAATATTGCGCCTGTCAATTCGCATGATATCGAGAATGCGCAAGAGAAGTCTGGTAGGGCGTTGAAGCACCTTCTCAAGCTCAATCATGCAAACCATGCTATTCTTTACAATGATCGGAAGTTCCATAACCATGCACCACATGTAAGTCTGGATATATTATCATCTCTCAACCTGTGAGCAACTAAGCTAATTCTTCTCCAGCTTCTGAGTTCGGCCTTTCTGCTGGGCGCAGAAGCGGATGATTTAACCCGTGTTTACGAGAATGAGTCCAAGTTGCTAGATGCATGGGATGATTCACCGGCAGAAGTCACGAACGATGACTGGAGAGATCATCTGGGTTGCCGAAAGTATGTGCCGCGGTCCACCCTTTGCACGTGTTGGTGTTTGGACTAACTGGCAATCGATCACTCCACAGATATCAGAAGGCCTTTGTAGATTTCTATGAAGATGAGTTGGTACGATTCAATTATGACTGGAAGGGGGTAGTGGAGGAGTATCTCTTTTCCGGCGAAAAGCCAGTATTCAATTCCCTTGTTGCCGACCGTTAGTCCTCTTCACTGAAACGCCACCTATTTCGGTATATGCTGACCTGCTCTACAGTTGGACACCCACTTATCCACCTCGCCTATGCATATGAAATTGGCAGCCGCGAGATAGGAATGGAAGCACTGGGTTTAGCATCAGTATGCTACAACAGCATACACAACTACACCGACGACCCTGTCGCGTCTCAACCCGCACCATCGTACCAATCAACATCATTTTTCGAAATATTCGAAAAAGTCCGCTCAGACAAACACTTAGATGGGCTCTTCGCTACACCAGGTGATCACAACATAGAAAAAGTGTTCAGCGACCGCGAAGCCGTCCTCCTTAACCACTGGAACGCATGGAAAATCGAGAACCCCGTCGAGCAATTCCGCGAAAGTCAAGAGCTAGCAGTGGCGCTTTTTGTCGCCTCGCACGGCGACATGTCACAGAAATATGACTTCTTCCTCATCCATGTTCTGACGACTAGCCATGCCGTCCGGGTCCTCTTACCCGTGATTCCGGCAAAGTTCCAGATCTCTCTCGTTCGACAATGGTGGCTTATTACGCTGGCCATCTTCATTGCTCAATTACGACCGGAGCTGCCACTGGATCGGATTAGTAATTTCGATCTAAAGGGTAGAGACTGGGATTGGACTGCTAAGCAGGCTGTCAAGGGCGAGTACTCCACTGATGCGCATTATGTTAAGGCTATCTGGGCCTTGAGGCAGATTGCAAGTACCTGGGGTGATCAGGATAAGTTTTATTTGAAGGCTGCTGTGAAGTTTGCGGAGGAGTTTAGTGGATGGGGTGGTTTTGTCTAATTCTATACTCTATGTAACCGTGTGTGTGTGCATTTATAGCCTCAAATGGGATTCATGCAAGGAGTTGTCTAATGGCTTTGAATTTATCTGAAAATGAGGATCATCTGACGCTGTAATTGCCTGAAATATCGATGAATGAGGGTATCTATGGACCTCTACACCCCCATTGTCACCGACTTTCCGCCCTTTGTCTGTGGCTTAAGCTGGCCAAGCATGACCTGCTTGGCGCGCCATTGAGCCCACTCATTAACCGAACGAGTCTCATCATCCTCGCCTTCCTCCACTGGCAGAAATAGGCCATCCTTCAATCTCTGCATGGAGGCGCTGTTTCTTGGACGAACCAAGTAAGCCACGCTTTGCCGAGCCACCAGCGCCTGTTCTCCAGGTGCTGTTACAACTCGGTGCAACGAGCTCCGCAGACGTCCACCCGTCCAATCAACAAGTGTATCGCCGATATTAACAATTGCATGCCCCGGCTCTGGCTTGATGTACAGCCAGTTTTCACACCTGTTTTAGCGATCTGCTGGGAGGATCTGTAATCCACCAACCATGTTGAATAGCAGCGTGATGGACCCGATATCAGTATGCCCACCGAGGCTGATACTGCCCTCTTCATGGCTAGGTTGAGACTGGCTGAGTAGCAATCGAATCGATGTCTCGGATATTTGGTCTAAGGGCCTGAGTGCACTGAGAGTTTCAGGCTCTAGCCCCAACTCATCATCAAAGTGAGATAAAATGATATCTGCTGTGAAATAAGAACATACATCGTGGCTTCGGATACCTTTTTGGGTGATAATACCTTTGAATGAATGGGGATCTTCAATGAACTGTCGCACATGGGGTTGGCGATTTTACGCGAAAGACAGTTGCCGAGTATATCATCTTGGCTTATGTTATAAAGCTCCGTGCAATCCATTTTACCATCATCTGTTTTGAGTTGGCCCTTGCACTTGTACACTTGTACCTTCTCACCATCAACGAATTGCACGTATGAAGTTACTTGAGAAGATATTGGTCTTACCCGGTTAGATCCCGCGGCGGCTTATAGGCATAGCTATCAAGAACACTGGTCAAGGTAAAAATTTCCTGTCTAAGATCAAATATGCGTTCTGCATCGCCTAGGAGCCCATTGCCTTGTTCTGACGATCGCAGATCCAGCGAGAAGAATCCCCATTCCTGATAAACTTAAAATAAGAGTCGGCTCTCTTCTCTGTTTCGATTTCGAAGTCCATCAAACGACAACTTTGGCAAGGGTACAATCTCAACCCCGCAGGGGAAAGGGGCATATTAGTCAAAGTACCTAGTTGTCGGCATTATCGACAGCAGATCGATGTCTAACTCAAACGGATACGCAAAAGCGGTCTTTAAACATACGGACTAGCAAATGTTTATCTATGCATTTACGAACCCAAGTTCCAACCCATGTCCTTACTCTGCTCGACCTTCGATGAAGTGCAGTCAGCCTCTAAATATTTCGCTTCCCTTCCATGGTTGCCTGCATACGATACTGCTCTGCACTTCCATAGCCTACTAACTCTCTTTCCCCGAATGCAATAGCCCGCTATGAAGATGACAGTTTCCAGTTCTCTTAGACTACCACCAGGGACGTTCCAGTCCCTTTGTATCCAGACTCAGACACTGGAGCAACTACCGCCTTCCAGTCTCCGCAGAGGGCAGCCAGTCAGGCTTTTCTCACCAGCTCTGGCAACCTCAAGATTGATGTACACATCGATGCTCCATGATATTACCAGTAACGGATTTGCCGCTATCTTCGTCGATCACCCGTATGATGCTGACATCTTGGAATATCCCGATGGCCGTACGGTCCTCGGCATACTCGCAAACATCAGTACAGATGCAGAATGGGTTTCAGCATCGAACGTTCGTATTCAAGACTTGATATTTTTACTCAACCAAACTCTCAACGAAAAAGTGGTCAGAGGCATATTCCCTTTGTCACGAGGGAATTCACCCCTACTCTCTCTTGATCGAGCAACTATCTTCGGTCATTTCCTTGGCGGAGCAATAGCAGCGCAGACGATGCTGCTTGACAATCGATGTGTCGGAGGTATCAATCTGGATGGTACACTATGAGGGTCGGATGTGGATAAGAGACTCTCGAGACCGTTTCTGCTTTTCAGTAACGCAAACCACACCCAGGAAACAGACCCCACTTGGGCAATATTTTGGTCACATTTACGAGGATGGAAACTTGAGCTACGATTCGCACGGTCGAAACACTACACCTTTTCCGATTTTCCAGTTCTTGTCGATGCTCTGAGTTTCTCAGATAAGGCTAAACAAATTGTTCAGGCTGTATTTATTCGGAAGATTGACAGTTTGCGGGCCAAGGACGTGATTGCTTCATATATCGTCGCCACGCTGCAGTACTTTGTTTATGGGCACTCGTCGGCTTTACTGAACGGCCCTTCTGTAGCATATCCTGATGTGACCTTTGTGTCATCCTGACTAGGTCTTACTCAAACATGTATCCATGGCTACGTTGAAATGTAGTAATAATTAGGATGGGCAGAAGGTCTATCTAATTCAAATTGTATTACTGGAGGATAGCTAGGAATTTCGTAGATTCATGATTTAATCTGAATTATTTGCTGTCAAGTGTTTCGGAAAATTTAAAATCCTGTTCGGTGGAAATAGATACATCGTAGGATGACCCGCCCTCTTACTTTTGTATTTCTTGAGTAGCAGTTCCGATATCATGGCTAAGAATTATCTCAACCTCGTCTAGAGAACAGAATAACTTGTCTAGAGCCTGACCGCGATAGGCACATCGACTTTGATTTTCCCTTTGCTATTTGTTCAAGTTGGTGTCGTAAATGGGTTGTGAAGATTTGAATATGGTGGGAAATGATCGGCGCAGTAGAGGTCGCAAAGTAGGGAGGCAGGCAGACACGATGCCAAGGCAGGGCTCGGTACATGACCACATGAAACATTCCCATCAATTCCGGATTATATGTCTACACAGGCTATATTCGTATAGCCTAGTATGCTGCGACGGCCAATGAGGTCAAGCGGAATCAATATAATGTGGATTGAAATGATTGATTGGTTGAAGAAACTCCGGAGACTGCTGTTGAGAGTAGTCCCCTTGCCCTTACGGGTGGGCTTGGCGGTCCGTACGGGATTGTCAGTCCGTACGACCGATACTTGGCGGTTACCACGCTCGAGTCCATGAGTAAGCAGAATTACATACAAAGACATAGGAAATGTGATCTTCAATGTGACCACTTGTTAGCGGTAAGTTATCCCTCCATGGGCTGACATTATATCATCGCTTCTTTCCATCCACTTGACAAAATGTAACCGTAGTAAGCCAGCCACAAAGCCACTGGGTAGTGAGAACAGTTCGTCAGTAGGAACAACCAAGGAAGGGCGGGGAACATACAATCCGCCTAGCAGAAAGATGCCAATTACTGAGAGCCTTTTGGCCGTAGGCATCTATAGTTTCAAAACAATTGAAATTGGGCACATTAGGATAATAAGTCTGCCCCGACATTCAGGGCACAATTGGAAATGGTGTAGTTTCTGGTACCAGGTAACTAAAATTGATGTGATGTCCTTGGGATGGCTATTTATGCTTTAAGAACATTCATCAAGGAGACCCTTGTCTGGTTGTAAAGGCAAGCTAGTCCAACAAGTCCACCGGTCACTCTGTTCGGGCACCTGGGGCCAGATCTTGTGAAGAACGGATACAATTCTATTGGAGAGATGGTGATCTCCATCACGAATGGTATCAGTCCAAGATTCCTGCATCGCTCGTTTTATCTCCCACGCCCTTTTCCCAATTTGCTCCATGACTGGCACTCCAGGATTCTCAAGGTTATAATATGTAAGCAAGTATGATCGCGCAAAACAGTTAAGCAAATAACACTCCTCAGCAGAAAAACGCTGGTTTCCGAATGGGAAAAGGCGTAGGTCTTTTAAACGGGAACTCTTGTTTCTGATCATACTCCAAATCTGGAGAGCCAGGCTTTGATCCATGGCTGCATTTATGAACGTTTGTCGGAGAGCGTCGAGATCTTCTGTTTTATGGCTGCCTAGTGCTGGTAGCTTTGGCCGAGCATCGAAATCCAGATCTAGAAATAGTCTTTGGAGATTGGGGAGGGTACTGAGAGCTTTGTATATCTCACACTCTGCTTGATTACCCATAGACCTTCTTATCTGAAGACGTAGCTCTTCCAAGTTCGGGCAACGAATCGCCATTTCAAGGAGCTCGGAAAGATGAAGTCTGGGGTACTCGTGGAGCCTATCGGGCACTAGTGCTAGTCCCCTCAATGACGGATCATGATGTTGGATGATTCTGTCCAAACCTTCAACAATGCGAAGACCCCTGATATAAAGATATTCCAACGAGCGAAAGGCCAGTACCCCAGTGATTGATTCTTCGATGTCAGTCTTAATAGTGGAAGTACGCGGATTTCTGGTATTGAGATCAAGAAAAAGTCTCTTGAGATTTGGAAATAGCCCAGCGATGTTGACTATTCTCTGGTTCAAGAACGCAACCAATCTCGAGTGTGCGAAGTTGAGAAAGATTTCCTGCGGTAGCTAATTTGAAAAGAAGGCTTCCCTCGGGCCGGTTGCTGGGGACCGTGACTGATTCTAACTGGGATATTGCCTTAGGTTCGTTTGTATCAATCAAGCTTTGCCATGTCGCTTTCAGTAGGTCCATTCCGGCTGGATCGACACTTTCATGGGGCTCTAGACAAAGGTGCTTTAGCCCCGGGCCGGTGAATAAGAAAGGCATCATCTCGTCAAGCTGCTGGTGTCTATTTGACCTGTCTATTTGACCGCTTATAAGCACGAGGAAGAGAGGTGGTCAGGGTGTGAAGGCCCGGTAGCTGAAGGGTATATATATTGAATTCGTAGTCCCCGTTAGATACGGTCTTAGCTTCTGGAGAGAGTGGACTAGATAGTGCGAGAAAGCTTCCATCAAGCTAGTTGTGAAGTCGTTACTCGTGACAAAGTCAAATTGTTCAAGGCGGTCTAAGCTAACGATAAGCGACACAGCCGGTGCCCAGTTTCGAGTTTCGCTAACCCTTCGGGGAACACTCGAAAGGATATATCCGCCACTTGGCGAGTAGCAAGAGGTCATATAATGCTCCAAGAAGCCTTTCCTCGTCGCCGGCTTTCGATCGGTTGCCATACTAATTGCCCATGGCTCCAACTTCCACGCCTGGGCTTGTTCGAATTCACAGTCTGCCGGCAACTCGATGCACACAACGGATAACCTCCTGGCATATTTCTTGAAATGGCTTCCCAGGGGAGCATCTGTCACTTTTGACAATGTAGCGTCTTGGCTTTGGATAGCCTCGAATGTAAGGGTAAGGTTTCGATAAAGAATAGGGACTCCCACCTGTTTGCAGATATGGTTGACCTGGCTGAAAGATGACAGGTCTCTGGGTGGACAATATGCAGGTCCCTCGAGCTAATCCTCATCAGCATGAGAAATCACTTCAATGAATATGAGCCCTGGAGGGCGTGTAGCGACGTACATTGAGGCATATTTGCTGTAGAATTTCATTCGGAAGGCGATCCATTATTCTCAAATCTGCCACTCAGCGCGCAAAGGAAACTCTGGCGGAGCAAGAGAAAAATAAAGTAGCTGCTTGTGTTTAAATCGTCGGAAATGGTGGACTCTTCCTAGCGCGTTGAACCCGGTGGGCGTTATGTCTCAGTCCCTGAACTAGCGTCTCCCACCCTTGGAAGCCTTGGTAAGCAAACGAGGCTAACAGGCTTCAGTCTTTGCGCCAAGAAAGCTAGTAGTTCCCTGTAGCAGTCTCATTACCACGGTTTACTCTTCTCAAAATACGGTGCCTTGTCTCGTAACTGTATTGGCGATCTAAGGGAGCTAAAACTTTCCATGCAAAAGCAAACAAGTCAAACGCTAGAGCTGGAGAGTGACTCGAGAATCTGGCGACCTGTCACTTCCCTCTTTCACTCCTGTGTCCAAGTAACGGTCTAGTCCTTGCAAATAGTGACTTGTATTTCTTGCTTACTGTATCTGCAGACTACTTATGAGCCTGCTTATCATAGTATTTAGCCTGTCAGCCATAGCTCTCTCTACTTGGCTATCTATAACACACTTAGTGGAAGCTAACACATAACTATGTTAATAAACTCCTCAGTGGCATCTTCTGCCTTAGTGGGATGATTACACTCCTTTTAACAACAATGATACCTACCGACCTGAACTACCTAATCTATAGGAATGGACTCCCTCGAATGCCCCTACCCCTAGTCATCTAGACCGCGAATAGACGCTATCAGTAATCTGCCCTTCACCCTAGCCCACGAAGTGTTTATTATACAGTACTAGAAAACTTTGAATCCCCAACCAACGCTCACGGCTCTAGATAAAATAAAAAAAAGGCATGCACAAGAATAAACCAGTCCGCAAAGAACAATTAAACCAAAATAATTATCCAATCCCTCATTTGGTGGCTGGACCTTTAAAAGTTCGCCGGCAATTGGAATGGCAATAAGTGTGCCTAAACTGACCAGAAAATAGGTTGTACCATAGCGCTTTCCAAATTCATCGGTTTTGGATATTTGCGCAACACAAACAGGGGAGAGGCTGATTGCAGAGCCACTCCAAAATCCGAAAAGCACCGCGTACGCCAATATGGCCGTGTGATTGGACTGGGATGGAAGCCAGAGCGCGAAAGTAATCACTGAACAGGCAAATGCTGTAATAATCATCACATTGAAGCACCCAAATCGGTCAGCGAAATATCCAGGGACAATCCGTCCAAAAATAGACGCTGCGTTCAAAATAGATGATAGGTTGTATGCAAGAGAATCACCCAGGCCGCGAGATTGAGCATAGGAGGGTAAATAAGTCACTGGAATCAGTAGAGCGAAATCGATTAAAACGATGGCAGCCGTCAACAATGAGAAGCGGAGCTCACTCAAAGATTTGATATCCATCTTCCCTTTCTGTATCGGATTTAACAAGGGTGCTCTAGTCCTCAGAAGTGCCACGGAGAGCGCACAGAACATAACACTTATAAAGCCAACGATTCGAATGGCCCATGGGAAGCCTAGGCTCCCAGCGAGATTAGAGACCAAAACAGGAAAGATAATACCTCCGATTCCTCCAGCAGTCGCTGCTACTCCCGTAGCCAGAGCGCGACGCCGAAGAAACCAATGAGCTATGCAACCTACGCTAGGGGTGAAAACCATAGACGATGAAATACCGCCAAGAACACTGAACCCCAGCATGAATTGATAATATTCTTATTTTTTTTTAAAAAAAAAAAATTAGTTTCGACGATGCAAGCTCGATTTTGGGAGTAGACACACCTTCTGCCACGCTGAAGACCATCAATGATCCAACTAGTCCGACACATCCAGGAATCAGTAAAGGCTTTAGCCCATGCGCGTCAAAAATAGGCCCTGCTAGACGTTAACTTGGAAAAGGAGTTTGAAATATTTATGCCGGGGTTCTGACCAACTTGGATACTTCCAAAATAAAGGAAAAATACGTAAAGACTAAATATCCAGCCTATGGAAGCTTTCGAATAGTCTTTTAACTGATGATCTGCCAGCCAAGCCTCAAACACACCAATCGAATTCATAAGCCCAAAAGACGGCACCATCGCACACCAGGAGCCAATAACAACGCCCCATGCAGGCCAGCCACCGTCTGGGAAAATCAAATTGCACTCTTGTTCCATTTCGTTTAAGGACGTGCTCGAAGAGCCGATGTTGGTACTCGCCAATGGCGGTGGAGGTGATAAGTCGCTGCGGTTGTTTGCCTTCATTGTGATGTCACGAATTTGAATAAACAAAAGGCGCTATACCACCTCTACCTGGAAAGTTTGCATTTATACCTTATCCCTTCCTATAAAAGAATCTTTAAATGTATCCACAAGCTAAGCTCTCTCAGGACGCCGAACACGCTAAACGCTTTTGGGAAGCCGACAACATAGGAGCTTACCGCCTTCCCTCAGTCCTAATGGCAACCATTCCCGCTCCTAATGGCAAAGGCTGTTCTCGCAATTTTTACAGTGGCATGAAGATAGTCATTGAACCACTGGTATACCCTCATATTATATCATTTTGGTACCTTGAGTTCACTTCCAACGAATGGTTTGAGGGAATTCTAAGGCGCGCCTCATTCCTAAGACAGGAAGTAACATAGCCAGTCTCAACATATATTCCTAACGACTGAAGGAAGGCCTCGAAATGCAGTCCGAGAGATTGCAAGCACCGACAGACAGAAATCACATGGTCATAAGAAGCTGTGCCTCCATTACTTATCTGGACATATCACGACTATCTAATAAATCCACCGGAAAACCCGTTCCGAGTCAACTAATCAAATTGAGTTCGAATCCTGATGTAGCCACGCTACATCTCCCTTATGGGTCACCGACGCCTGCGTGCCGGAAATGGCCCTCTGCGCTTTTCCCCCTTGCACCGACGACATTAACACACCATTCGAGGAAGGTATCAAATCCTTGGTCAGGATTGCCCTCGTAGGACTGCCAATTTCGCCGGATGAAGGCTTTCAATTCAGCAAAGAACTCCTCAATAGAATTTAAGTCTGGAGAATATGGAGGCAAGTACACTCACTAGCTTTACCCCGGCTTCTGAGTACATCTGTCCTATTCGTTCAGAGTAATAAAACGATAAATTATCTATAACTAAAACAGATTTCGACTCTAGCCACCTCCTATAATATTGCAGAAGCTACTTAATTAAATCCTCAAACACTAAGGCATCGATTGAGCCTTAGTGCGTTACTGAAACTAGGCCAATCGTTTACTTACAATATGTGTCATAAAAATTTGCACGTGATATCCTTTAGTAACAAAATTCAATTGTTCTCATTGATCTGAGTGACTCACATAGGAAAATCCTCTCGTGAAATAGTTAAAGCTCGCAATAGGCAACTCTTATGAACAGTCTCCATTTCAAAATGACTTTATCGTATGACGTTCTTGTCACCGGCTCGGCCGGTCATCTTGGTACGGCTCTTATGCTTAGCCTACCTTCTCTGGGCTTTAAACCCCTGGGCATCGACATTCTACCTTCCTCAACTACGACACTTGTGGGATCTGTTAGTGACCGCGACTTCATCGCCTCCATTTTTGACTCTTACCCCATCAAACACGTCCTCCATGCCGCGACACTGCATAAACCGCATGTTTGCAGCCATAGCAAGGAGCAATTTATCTCGACCAACGTTGTCGGTACTTTGATCCTGCTAGAAGAGTCTTCCAGATTCAGCGCACAGATTGAGAGTTTTATCTTCTTCAGTACAACCAGTTCTTTTGGTATGGCGCTCAGTCCCAAGCCGGGATACCCCGCTGCTTGGATCGATGAATCCGTTGTGCCCGTCCCAAAGAATATATATGGCGTGACAAAGGTTGCAGCCGAGGACATGTGCGCACTGATGCAAAAGCAAAGTGGAATGCCCGTTCTAGTTCTCCGCACTAGCCGTTTTTTCCCTGAAGAAGATGATGATGAAGACCGTCGCGCGGCCATGAGCGATGAGAACCTGAAGGCTTTAGAGCTGGCCTACCGCAGATGTGACATTGAGGATATCGTTAGCGCATCAGTCTGCGCAATGAGAAGAGCTAAGGATATTCGATGGGGAAATTACATCATAAGCGCTCCACCGCCTTTCAACAACGACACACACACTCTGGATGCGCTGAATCGGAACCCTGCAGAGGTGCTGCGGAAGGCATTTCCTGATGTGGATGTGGTTTTCAAAGAGAAAGGGTGGAAACATCTTGCGAGGATCGACAGAGTGTATGATTCAAGCAGGGCAGTGAAGGAACTAGGATGGAACCCAAAGTATACATTTGAAAAGACAGTGGGGAGATTAGCACGCGGCGAGCAATGGAAGAGTGATTTGACAGAGAGGGTTGGCAAGAAAGGTTATCATGCTGTGAGCACTGGGGTGTATACAAAGCGATGAGCAAATAGATTGCCCAAGGCGATTAGAAACAAGCTGCTCCAAGAACAGGGGGATCGACGGGCATACCATATATGTTTTTGCGCGTTTCTAATTAGGGGTAGAGTCTAAGAGTGTGGAGGTACGTCTGATTTCGAATATAAATGTACTAATAGCATCTTTCCATCTGTTAGGCGCGAGGGTAACATGACCAAAAATGACCCTGCGCCTCATCTGGAGATTACATTGAGTCCATACCTCCCCACTCCAGCTCGATCAGGACTACTGGAGTGGTATCACAAGCAGATCGCCTGCTGCACGTGTTTCGTTCATCCCTACCTGCCTCCTATATATATATATTCGGAGGAACCAGTTCAAGAGAAAAAATCCGGCTTTCCAAATGAAAGATCGACATTGCCATTCAGAGTATACAAGTCTTATTCAACGGTGGGGGTATTGATCCCGCGCAAAATCATCAACACTCAAGCTGAGGTTACACCCCTGCCACCGCCATTTCGTATTCCTGAAACGAGAACATATTCATGGGAGCGGACACAACCACGCGATAATGACGAATCAGGACAAGCAAGATGTCTTGGACGAAGAACTCCACGAGTACTATCCGATACATTGACACCGATGACTAAGATCAGAAATAAAAAAGTGGTAGGGGTAGTCAAATCTTTTAAATTCACATCTTACTAGGTAACTTACTCAAAATAGTTTAGACTCAAAAGAGTTTAGACTTCGTCGAGGCATTTACGGCCGACGGCAGTGGCTAAGAAGCAATCCAAGGAAGGTGAGTGGAATGGATTTTAAATAAATACCCAGGCACAGTGAGGAGATTTGTCAGATCGTTTATTCACGGAAATCTTTTAGTACGTGCTTCTAATATTTGTGTCTAAATGGTTCGTAGATCTTGTCGTGGAGAGCACGTGATGCTGTTTGTACTGTTTGTACAGAACCCACGCGTGGAGCTTCAAATGTTCGCACCTTCATATGTTACGAGTTCAACCATTTAACCCCGGGGCAGGAGGTGTTCCTCTGTTTATCATATCTATGGAAGCGAAGATTTCCGGCGAACCAGTGTCTAGGGATACGGGTGTATCTCTTTACCTGCACGCGGAGCTGCTCCCTAACATCCGCCAAATCACCCTTTACATCTCACTCGACCAAAATCCAGCTCTCAAGGGGATCCGGCCAGAGATTCAGCTTTCAGAGTCGTGCAAAGCAGTCACAGTCATTTTACCAGCCCCATTTGACCATGCCAGCGAGACGATTAAGCTGCCGGCACGCGTCAGTGACGCGACTCGGCGGACACTGAATGCCAACGCAACCCAAACGGCACCTTTCAGGCCGGGGTCTACTGGGTCGAGCCAAGACTACTCACTCAGGATGCAGATTGATCCTCATGAACAGGCTTTGACTCCCAGAGAAGAACTAACTGATGACCATGTGCCCTGGACAGCAGCAGACATGTCGTCTTCGACTCGCATTCGATGCTACGCGTGTGGAACCGCGTTCCTCAACGAATTAAGGCTCCAGGAACTTCAAGATCACAAAGAACTGGAAATTCCGCCGGGCTGGGTCTGGAAGGACCTTCCGAGTGGAAACTGGGCTGAAATGATGGACTTCTGGCACTGCCACAAACCTGATACCCATCAGGATGATGCAAAAGATGAAGCGACCGCAGCCCTCAGGATAGAGGAAGCAAATGCCCAAGTTAAGGGCTATGGAGCCTCGAGTCGCGTAGAAGCGATCTCTAGCAATGTTCTCATCGATGTGGCCACTTTCTTACTCGCAGAATCAGATTGCGTGGGGTTGAAAAAGGTACGATCTTCTAGTATCCCCTGTCATTTGTCGCGTTCCCAAAGCATCATGCATATTGAAATTGCACATTCATCATTTCTCTTCTTCACCTTTTCACCTGGGCAACTTAGAAGGAGACCACTTCTTTTCAATGGGGTGGCCTTCGATACTATTGCCCTAGATCGATATCAGTGCACGCTCGTGGCTCCTGCCGAGTGGTGATAGGCTCGACCTAAGCCAGAGGATTACGAATGGCAGTTATCCTCTTTCGCGAGATGGATTTCGCCTTTTGTCGCTTCACGGTGAGGGTCGTTCTGACTGCTGCTTTGCTGGAGTTGCTTCCAACGCATTCTTTTCGGTTCCAACGACAGCCTTGGGCTCGCCCTTCCCAGTGCAGTGGGAGGCTGCTACGAACAGAAGAGGTACATCATGTGCGAAGTCATTAATCGGCTTTTGACATGCCTGAATTAATGTACTATATTGAATTTCAAATCAAAGTTCGAGTGCTTCTATTCTAATTAACTCACCGTCGTCTCCAAGCATCGTCTTTCTTTATGTTCAGTGCCCTAACTCTCAATTCAGTGCAATGAAGAGGAACCGAAATCAGCTGCGAAGATCTCTGGGCAAAGAACCCTCGAGTGTGAGAACTGCAATGCAGTCATCGGCATGGAAGACCCATCAGCGAACGGATGGCGACTCCTAAAAACAAATGTGTCTCTTAACACAGGCAAAAATGAGGATCCGTGGACAACTCACTCAACAGAGATGATCGTTGCAGCACAGCTGCTAGAACTGATAGAAAGGGAGAGCGCACGTCGCTTCGTCGTCCATTGCGGTCAGAAGAACGGGCTACTGGTAAGTGCAGTATTCCGCTTAAGTCACCATTTATGTCCTAACCTCTGTCTAGCTTTGGGTCTTCAACCCAGATCTGCGATACTCCAATTCCAACCCTGGCCACACCGTGAACGATCAGCAAGCGATGAAAGTCTTGTATCAGGAAAAGGAGGACGTTGATAGGCTGCTTGCTCCTGAGATTGGACAACCTAGTCCTCTATCAGTCGAAGAGCTGGAACTTCCTCCAATGATCTTCCAGGCTTTGTCCGATGCACTTTTTAGCAGTAGCCAGATGTTACCTCTCTCAGCGCGACAGTTCAATGAGTGGCAGGTTGGACTGCTGAGTCGTTTCAGTCGTGAGAAAGCGACTTGAAAACTACGGGGCACAAATTTCCCTCCATATGGTCTTCTGTTCTGAGCCTGAAACTATCCGATAAAAGGGAATGGTATTCTTGGTACGATTTATGGCCACTAAACTCCAACTCCATCATCACATGACGAAGGCTCCAGCGTCTGCTCAACCCTCGAATGGAGTCTCAAACGGAGGCTCGGCTTGAGGCGTAAGTCTCGCAATATGACGTCTCTGCCCATCCTCCCAGTCAAAGACAGCCGAGTGGCAAGCCAAACGGTTATCCCAAACTACCACAGTCCCAGCCTTCCAGCGAATACGAGTCTGAAGGTCCTGCGATAACGCGATATGATCGAACAAGAACTTAAGCAGGAAATCGGACTCTTCCTTCTTGTATCCGACGATGTAGCGTGTGACTAAGAATCTCATCTTAGTATCTTGAAGAATCATTACAAGCATAGCGACTTACACTGCGGGTTTACATATAGAGCCTTCTCCCCCGTCACAGGATGAGTGCGGACGATTGGGTGCTCTGATGTGATAGGATCGCGACGCGCGATCCCCCCACCATTCAAGCTCGCATTCACCTGATCGATCCCAGAGTGCACAGCCTTGAGACCGTGAAGACGCTTGCGGAACTCGGGAGACAGACGCTTGTATGCCTGTACCATATCGCCGAATAGAGTATCTCCCCCAGTGGATGGGCCATCGAGGACATAGAGGAAGGTCGTGCCTGGGGGCTGCTTCTCGAAAGTGACATCTGAGTGCCAGGTGATGGTGTTTGTCCGCTGTTCGAGGAACTTGGTACCAGTGTGATCGTCTGCGCCACGGAAGACGAGGTGGATTTCGGGGAATCCTTTCGGGGCGCCAGAGGTTTGGTGGATGTGGTGGCGGCCGAAGTAGCCGGCATAGTCGACGGCCTCTTGGATGGGGAGGGAGGCGAAGTCTTGGTCACGGAAAGCTTTTCATAAAATTAGCATGTACGCTACTGCGAAATGCACGCGATTCACGAACCGACAACTCGTCGTTGAGCGACGTAGAGAGCTAACTGGTCTTTGCCGGCCTTCGATAGCTTGCTCAATTGCACTCCGTGAACTTCGGAGCCGATGAAAGGTGTGATTTCATCAATTTCAACCTGGCCTGTAGGGAATAGGTCAGGGAAGCTGGGGTCGGCATCTTTGCCGTGGTCGTAGTGCTCGAAGATTTCCAGAGGAGGGTATCTAATGACAGCTTTAGACATGTTTTCAATGCAATAACCCGGAGGGGCTTACCGCTCAGTCTCGTTATCCCATACGGGAAGATAGTTAGGAAATGACGCTGGCGCCACCTTGTCTGTGCCTTTCAACTCTGTCTCCTTCTCGTACTTGTAACCAATCAAGTTCTCCTTGTTCTGTCCGGAGTCTGTCTTCAGAGGAACAGTAAAGGTCGGGGCGCGGAGACCTATGGTCTCAGTAATAGATGGAGCCATGATTGATGCGTCTGTAAATAATCAAATAAGCAAAGGCTGTCTTAAGACCTCAAGACTAATAATGTTCTTGTCTCGATTGACTGGACCCTGCATGAGACGACCAGGGCGTCTATATACACAACTCGGCATCATCATCCGGGATGAAGAGCGACAAGATCCGATTAATTGCGCAATGACTGCGGGGTTATCATATCACCCGGTTTATATTTTCAACAAAAAGTTTCATTGCCAGCGAACAAAGCGAATTGCCACAAGTAGTAACATTCGCTGCGGGGTCGTCGGGACAGTGTTTGACATCTGTCTTCGTTATACTTGGCCAGGATGGCGTGCTGACATTGCGTGCGTCTACTTGGAACAGTCGCGACTTTAACATTCGTTATCTGATTACGTGCACTTTAACTGCAGATGAATTACGAATCTGGGGTTCTTTTGTTCCCGGCCCCTCAGCGCTGGTGTCAATGTGCCTGGTTATGGCGTGATGAACAACTTGCTTTGCGCCAGCTCATTTTTTTCATCGTGAGACCCTTTGAAACAACAGATAAGCAGAATGCAGTTTCATATTCATTAATAAAGCTTCTTTTTGGCAATCTAAACATGCACTGTCTTAGAAGCTAGATATGAATGCTCTTCTCAACGTCTGGAGGCCTCGACTACCGAACTCTGTATAGCTGTCTTAGCCAATGAGGAATAATGTAAATCACCGAAGCCACCAACCAAAAAGGGACCGTCTTAGAGCAAGAGCTCGGTAATTATAGCGCGAGACTCGCGGCAGTCCCACCTCGGTCTCCATGCAAACTGTGGCAGCTGCCACTCGCCCTGCCTAACGTCACTTTACCACGTTTTGCGTGATCTAGCCAAGCCATCCTTTCACTGGCGAGTTGTATCAACATCAGACCTGTTTTCCTAGAGGCGGTAATTGTTCGGAGCTAAAGTCTAGTTTTTCTTTAATCAGCAGCGACCAATTCGCTAGACCTGCGGCTTTAGTCCGAGATGGTCAGGTTGTCCTCGAAGAGACTCCGCTTCCACGTTAATATGCGGGGCGGAGGTGCAACGCCATCGGAGCTGGTGATTGCACAAATAGCAAGTGGCTTCAAGACACATTTTCATTTGTCGCATCGGCTACAAGCTCGTGCAGTAGCTTTGGCCGATTCGCATCAGATCAGACCAACGTGGGTAATATCGCGATAAAGGCTGAACAGGCGAACCTGCCACATTATGACGTGATGGAGATGATTCTTGCATGATTTCGGACCTTTATAGCTGGCATTTCCCATTCCGCTCCTAAATATCTCAATCGTTCTAGATCTCTTTTCCGATCTCACGCCAATATGACGATTGAGGAGACCAAGGATGTCGGCAATCGTGCCGAAGACCCTGATACTAAGGTTGTTGTGCCTCGGGTCTCTTCCACAAGTGAATCTTCTCTGGAGGATCCGCGTGGAGAGGTTAAGAATATTGAGTGCACATTTGGCTCGACAGATGATCCGCGGTATTCCAAGCCGATCCCGGAGTATGAGGGTGCTCATCGCTGGGACCCCGAGTTCGATTGGACAGAGGAAGAAGAGAAGGCCATTGTACGAAAGGTATGTTGCATAGTGCCTGTCAACGTTTCATGCGGCTAAACTGAAGCAGATTGACTGGCGCGTTTGTACATTCGCATGTATGACTTTCTTTGCACTGCAGCTCGATCGAGGAAACGTTGTGCAGGCCACTTCCGATAATATGCTGGGGGATTTGGGCATGACCACCAATGATTACAATACTGGCCAAACTATCTTTCTTCTCATGTTCCTCTTCGCCGAGCTTCCGTCTCAGCTCTTGTCCAAGTGGTTTGGACCTGATCGATGGATTCCTGTTCAGATGGTCACCTGGAGTTTGATCGCTGCCTGCCAGGCATTTGTCAAGAGCAAAGGAACTTACTTCACTACCAGAGCTCTATTGGGTCTTCTCGAGGGTGGATTGTATGTTTCCCTAATATTCTTGATAGTTCATTGGAGACTGACCCTGCATAGCATCCCTGACACAATCCTATACCTCTCATTCTGGTACAAGTCCAATGAGCTCCCAATCCGACTGGGTTTCTTCTGGTTTGCCTACGAGGCCACCCAGATTGTTAGTGCCTTCTTGGCTTTCGGATTCCTTCACATTCGCAACTCGGATGGCACTGGAGGCTGGCGATACTTGTTCGCCTTCGAGGGACTGATCACCGGTATCATCGGTATCGTTGCCGCTTTCTGGATGGCTCCCTCCCCAACTCAAACAGCCGGTCGCTTCCGTGGTAAAGACGGCTGGTTTAATGAACACGAAGAGAAGATTATGGTCAACCGCGTGCTCCGCGACGACCCCAGCAAGGGTGGCATGCATAACCGCCAACCGGTTACGCCCAAGCTCCTCTGGCAAGCACTGAAGGACTACGACATGTGGGTGATCTACATACTCGGCTTGTCCTGGATGATTCCAAGCATCCCCGCCGCCACTTACTTGAGTCTAGAGTTGAAGTCGCTCGGATTTAGTACCTTTAACACCAATCTGCTCAGTATCCCAGCTTATGTGATCTTCTCAATTAATTTGTTGTCTTGGACTTGGATCTCCGAAAAGTTCCAGATTCGCTTTATGCTTGGCGTTGGTGCTGAGGCATGGTCTCTTATTCTTCTGATCGCCCTTGAATGCCTTCCAGATAAAGCTAACGCGTGGGTACGCTGGGTTCTACTTATCTTGCTCATTGGCATGCCCTATGTTCATGCCATTCTGGTGGCTATCACGTCCCGAAATGCAGGTACTGTTCGGACGCGCACTGTTGCAACAGCCTTATACAACATGGCGGTGCAAGTGAGCAATATTGTTGCGAGCAACGTGAGTCAATCATTGCCTCTAGAGGTGTGGCAGTCAACTAACTTACTGTGCTAGATTTACCGAACCCCCGATAAACCATACTATCGCACTGGTAACAAGGTTCTGATTGGACTTTCTGTGTGGAGTATGTTCATGTTCATTGTGTGCAAGTACTACTACGTCTGGCGAAACAAGCAGAACGCTGCGGTTTGGGACAACATGAGCACCGAGGAGCGGGAGCGATACGTCGTTGAGAACAAAGATCTTGGCAACAAGAGGTGAGTTTCTCATGTATACTCTGCCCGCGAATCAAAACAGTGACTAACCTAACTCTGCAGAGTTGATTTCCGCTTTTTACATTAGAGGCCTTTTCTTCTTCTGCATAGCAAGCGTTCCTAGTTGAAACGCGGCGATGATTGCCATGCATCGTTTTGCCTCAAGTCCCGATGAATAGACCCATACCACAGCGTCCAACTGCTGGGCATGACAAAATGAACAAACATATGTATTCCATGAATCATGAATCCAAGACAAAATCTACTCGCCAATGACGTATTCGCATCCATCATCCCCAATCCAAACCTCATGAAGCTTGCCTGCCGGTACATCAACTCTAGCCCCAATACCAAAAGTCTCTTTCTTCTGCCCGCCATTGTTGGCATTGTCTTCTGGATAAGTGACTGTCATACTTCCTCGACGGATAAGATGTGTGGTGAGACCTCCATGTGTATGAGGGGAGTAATAAGCACGACTAATCCAGAGGGTCAACTTCACCGTGTTAGATTGTAAAACGACGACCACATACCTCCCATCCGACCAAGTAAAGACGTGCCGGAAACCCCAGTCTCGAACGAGGCGCTCGCTCTCGGAGCGGGAGCCGATCCGATATGTTTCCGACATCGTGTTTAATCTGAAATTCGATAGAATGTACAGACAGTAAGGTTAGAGGCTCTGAGAATATGTGAGCTGCTGTTATTAATGAAAGCAACGCGGGTGGAGGAATGATGTCATGCTTGATGAACAGGGTCGAGTCACGTGGAGGTGCATACAGACAAAGGACACAAAAGTACGAGGAAGGCTTCTAGAAGAAATGATAGACCGAAACAATACTACATCTAGCCTAGATCAACATTGGAGAGGTGCAGTACTTGCATGCATGAATGAAGGATCAAAAAGGTAGCATTTATTCAGCCATAGGGTACAGAGAAGTAAACGCCGAGTCCACTCGTGTATGGTGGAAACTGACAAAGTAGGAAATTCGTCATATGCCCTAAGTTCAGTCCTATATATGGAAACACGGGGCATAGGAATCAAAAAAAAAGGGATTTGAGGCCGCATAACCGAAATTTATTCCCCATTCGCTGTAGAACGATCCGAAGGGTCTCTGAGAACACGAGTATCCCAGAAGGATGGAAAACGCCATAAAGCACACACGCGCCGTGGAATGCCCGAAAATGCGCTATCTTTCTCACAAAGTTGTCTTACTTGACTTCATCTCTTCATCATCGCCGAGGAGGTCACGCGCACGGCGTGTGGCAGACATGGCAGCTCTTGCCTGGGATGACCCAGATCTCTTGACCCTTCGCCGCACAGTTGGGGCATCGCACACCGGGCATCTACGATTGTTAGAATAAGTTTGAGATAAAGGGACCCAGGACACTGGACCCGGGACGACGGACGAACCTTGTTCACGGCGCCCGAGCTCGAGCACGGCATCGCGCCACACTTGGAGTTGGCCATCTTGATATTGAGGGTAATGGATAGACCCGAAAGATAACGGAGGAGATGATCGTTTCAGTTTCGGGAGCTGAGAGAGTTCGACACCCGGAAAACCAGCTCTTATAAGGCAATAAGACAGGGGAGAGCAGAGAGCAGAGAATATACCCCCGCGATCCAGAAAATCGAAATCTGGTCGGCTAATCCGTGTCCAAACCTAGTTCAGCAGGAGCAGAGAGACTCAGAAGTTGCCGTTGTTGGGTAGAACCAGCGGATCCCCCCCTCCTGGACGAAGGGCAAGCTTCGACCTAGTCTTTCGATCGGCCAGTCACACGGGCTGAATGTACGTCTGATGAATGACGACTTTGAGGCGCAGGGATCAGGACCGAAATGCACAGGTCCAGCGTGCTTTCAAGGTACTGGGTACCTCCTTGGAACCAATGATAGGGGTCTGTTCGGTTCATCCCGACGCCTCAGGCCTTGTTTAGCCTCGTCCAGGGTGTTCATGATTTCGCGCTTGTTTGCTGATCACCATCGCATGTAGGCTGCGCGGGCTGAGATGCCTATGTTGGCTAGGCAGGGCGAGAAACGCAGACTCGACCCATTAACCGTACTCCGTGTTCTTCGTATCCATCAGCGCATCTATCGGACTGCGCTTTTTTTTTTCTCGATAGGGGCTATGGCCGAGTGTCCTGTACCCTAGAGAAAAGTTGATGTATCGTTCCCGCGGGCCCCCAGATCGCAGACGGGACCCGCTTCGGTCAACCTCGGTGCCGGATGGGCGGGATGATTAGCCAGCGGAGACACAAGAGATCCAATCACTTCACTTCAGCGGGCTGAATGGCAATTCGATGGACGCCGATTATTGGCCAATCGGGCCCCTATTCATCGATGCTGATTCCTTTTCCAGGATCTCGGTCCAATCGTGGCGGGTGATGTATACCAAAAAACAATCCCAGGTGTCGAGGGGTTCGTAGGCTGAACCTCTCCACATGATCACTGTCACTGTCACTGTCACTGTCACAGTCACAGCCCAGATACTTGGGCCTCGGAGGATTTACCGATCATCTCTACCAGTCTGACTAGATACACTAGTGTTGATCAATCTGATGCATGGCACTTGGCGTGCTGATCTCTCATTCTCCCTGGTCTAACCGCTCTAGGGACCGGAGTGTAATACCCCAACTGTCTGAACGCGGCCCCTCTATTTTGCCTTTCTCACCGACTTCTTCCACTCCACTTGTCACTCTATCACCCATCAAGCATCAGGCATCACCCGTGGGGCTCGATGGCGCGCATAATGTCGGTAAACTTTCTTGTTTGCTTATATGCAGAGGCACCGATGGCTTCGGTCACTCGGTCTTGCACGTTCGGGAAATGGGACTGCCTCTGTGACATGGTATACGATCCATCCCCCACCGCACTACGCGGTTTTTCTATTTTCTAACCATGGCGTCGATGATCGCATCATCTCGGATGGCGCGATTTGGAATTCTATAGATCTAGGAGTCGCAGGCTTAGCCGCGCATGCCGCATGGACCACACCCGAGCTGCGTAGAGTACAGGAGTACATACATGTGCACCGGTACGTGATCGTTGCTTACATCGAGGCTGCCTCAGCATGCGATCGGTTTGTTCAGGTTTGCCTTCTGACCCAATTCATGCGTGCTGCTGCAGCCAGCCCTTGATCTCCACAGGGGACCGTGGACTGTGGCACAACATCGTCTCGAGCCTCCTTGCATCAACCCAGTATCAAACTGCCCGTCTGATCTAAGAACTATGAGTGATCGACGATCGACGATTTGATCACACACTTACAGTAGTATAGACTCCTACTGTTGGAGCTTGGACAATCTGAATTGCGTCCCAGCAGCCCAAAATTCAAAGGCCGAGCACAGTGTCATACTGTGGCGTCGCAGGGTCTGCGCGATGGCTCGCATCCATCTCAATTTTGGGCATTGTAGCAGGTTTCTGACCTTGATATCTATCTCCAGAATTGCACTGAGAAACCCTCCATAGAGAAGGTGCTCACTCCTACGTGGTCCAATAGCATGAATGCCCAAAACCAATGATACGAAACGTAGTATATTGTCAAACCCCGAATCTGCTGCACATTCGACAGGGAGATCGTCATAGAGCATGATCTATCAAAAGACCACTGCTCAAGAAACTTGCTTGGAGATTCTCACCAAAAGCATGCCCCCGGTTTTCTCACCCGTCGTATCATGAAGATGCACCAATCTGTAACCCTCACGCAGGCGATCGACCCGAATACAAGCCCACGCAGCTAGCGCATCGCGACCAATTTCGTCATCTTTGATTTTAAATCTGCAACGGAGTCAGCCTCGGCACTATGCATGTAGAAGAAGGCAAAGTCCCCAAGAAAAAGCAAAATATGAGCTCAGGATAACGGGTTGAACGGCGCTGCACGTCTCCCAACTCAGTCCGATAAAAGCATGAGTGGCCTGAAAAGGAAGGCCGAGCGCCGTTTCTAGGTCACATGGCTGAGCATTTGCATTAGGCATCCCCGCATGGGCGGGACGTTGTGATACAAATGCAAAGCTCCATGCAAGGAAGGGATTATGCAGCACACGCAGAAATGCAGAGTGATTTTCTTACCTGAGGAAACTGAGCTCTTCAATGACGCCCGTCACAGTAGGGAAAATCAGTTTTTGGCCTTCAAAGTCCGGGTTTCGGCCCGAGGAGCTCTTCGTGCAGCGGCGGTAGCTGCTTTTCTCGGAGTCTGAGCTTGCGTCGTCCTTGTCTTTGTTTGTACCTGTCGAGGTGAGGGGTTCGGGTTCTTCAACGTGAAGTTGGCAGTTTACGTATGGGCGGAACCATTTTTCGACATGATCGCCTGCTGGGAGGGAGAGGTCCTGCGCTGCGAATATCTCTAGTGTGAGGTCGAGGGTGTGGGTTATGGGTTTGGCGGCAGGGTGGGCGCTTTGGTAGCTCGGAGGCTTAAGTTCCCAGCCTTGGGTCCCGGCGAACATGCCATGGTTTAGCATCATACCTTTGTCGAGGTTTTGCCAGTTCAGGGCTACGAGCTGGCGCCCCGGCGCCAGTAGAAGGATGGGTCGAGATTGGATGATGTGACTCGGAATGCGAAGGGGTAGATGCGCATAATGGACGAGCGGTTGTGCTCGAAGAGGGCGTCGCGGTTGGTCGCGTGGGCCTCGCGTGCTGCCTTTTCGGAGAGAGAGAAGACGTGCAACGGAGATTTTGCCTCTGTGAAAAGTGAGTAAGCTGGTAGTCATTCCTGTGGGAGCGGGAGCTGGCCATACCTGGTTGATCGAAATGACTGAAATGGTACGCCCGGGTATAGACAGCCATCTTTGCCAACGCCTCAAGAATCTTAGATGGCTTGACTGTCTTCTGAGCCTCTGTTGATTGCTCGCTGGGCTCTTCCACGGTTTCAAGCACGTCGGCCTTCTCCTCGGCAGCTTTTAGGGGAGTTGACTTGGTCTTGATCAATATCTTTCTCTTCAGCTCTCCGAGCGCCGGCAGCTTTTCCGGGGCCATTTCGGATGGCACCTCTACCAACATGCCCTTCCAAGCTTCGTTGATGATATCAACCATGATCTGCTGCTGTTCCAAGTTCGCATGGACTTCGAAGCTAATAATGATCGGCAGGTCGCTGACGACAAAGGCACTGTCGCGGATTGCGTAGCAGATCTCGCGGAATGATGTACCTTTGGTCAGAGTATGCCCGTGCAGAACACGAGGCTCGCCTTGAATAACTTCGTGGCTCATTGCTGATTCCGCGGTAGCTGTCGCCGCCACCGTCTTGGATGTAGATTTGGAGGATCCCCGGCGCAATGCATCTCCTAATTTCGTCGACACCGAGAGGCTCAAGCCTCTGGCGGGCTTAGCCTTTTTCTTAGTCTTGGATTTGATCTTCTGCTTGATTTTGGCACCGACACTCTCGCCTTCATCGCCGCTGGAATCACTACTGTCGCTGCTGGCGTCACCGTCACTTGAATCCGGTGTATGGGGCTCACCGTCCCAAACATCAATCTCGACAGAACGGCAGCCTTGTAAAAGGGCCTATCAAGTTGTTAACCTGCTGTTCAGTGCCCTTGGCCAGACTTATACCTAAAAGGCATTCCCACCTGCTGGAGGATACTCACCGACGTATAAGCACTTGCCGCAGCATCACTGTACAATTGATTCCCAGTCAAGTACGTATTATGACTCGACGAGATAAAGTAATCCGAAATAGGAGCACTAAGATCTGGCTCCGTGGGTAGTGCCTGGGCAGATGACGCATCATCTTTCATGTACGCCCGAAAGGCGTCCAAGGAAGCAAGATGATCTGCAATTGGCTGGCCAGCTGGAGACGAATCATGCTGAAGTTCAAGAAATTTAGGCGTGCCAGCGCTCTTTCGAAACTCGTAGATCTTCTTCAGGTGGGAGTCGATTGTCGCATGGAACGTATCGAAAGAGTGCGTCTGGTGTAGCGAGAGATGTCTAGCTCGCTCCACGAGGCCTTCGACAGTTTCCATCTTTGAAGTAGCACGGGTGGCCTATCGAGGAATTCGGGTGGAGGGAGATAAGGCTGGTAGACGGGCGTGGTGGGGTTGCGCGTCCCGAATGCAGAGGCGGTCGATGCCCCGCTGTGATCTTGGGGGATGCAACGTTGATATCAGGTTGTCATTAATGAGGCTGAACAGAGACTGCGAGAATTAAAGTCAACTACCTTTGAAGACAAAGGAGCTGGCACGTGCTGTGTCCCGCCTGAGCTCTCCACTCTCGACGTGGCTCCATCTGAAATCGGTGAGCGACGAGCCGAGCTTGTTGTATTCTTAATGTTGCTAGCTTAGCTCAATCTCCATGTTAGCTTTGACCTGAGTCTAAACTGCTGGGATGTCTGATCAGACTTCTGACTCGTGCACAATCGATGGCTGGATCCGTTGTTTCGAATTATGTCAGGCCGCAACACGCCAGTAAAGATATCGGACTAGCTCTCTACTAAACGCGCTAGTTCGCAGCCATATATAACTCATTGCGTCCATCGAGAGCATACGCTCGGCCTGAATCCCGGGCTCGGGTGAAACCTGCTGAGAAATCCAAACTAACACACGACCCACCGAGCAACTCTACAAGAAGCCCTCGAGCCTCTAAAGTTTCCATCAGATATTCAAATCAAACATTCACACCAATTTCACTCAGCCCAATCTTATTCAAACCAACATGGCCAGTCCCGAGCCCGTCCACTTCTTCGACATCACCTCCACCCTCCCGGGTAATACAAGCTTCCCCGCAATCCATCATCCCCAAGCTGACATCCAGAACAGGAGCATCCAAATCATGGTCTCCCAACACCCTCAAAGTACGAGCAGCGCTCAACTTCAAGGGCATTCCTTACACCCAAAGCTGGATCTCCTACCCAGACATCAAGCCCCTAATCACCGGTCTCGATTTGCCCCCTAACAAAGATGGAATTCCGTACACACTCCCCGCCATTATCCACAGTTCAGTTACTACCAACCCGCACGGCGCAATGATGGACTCTCTACCAATCATCGAACATCTTGACAAAGTTTTTCCCTCGCCGCCACTCTTCCCCTCCGGTGATGCGAGCTACGCGTTGCTAATCGCCGTGAGAAAGATTGTGAGTCTTGTTTGGCCCGCTTTTTCTTCGAGGGTTATCCCGCGCGTGCCGGATGGTCTGGACCCGAGGGGCCGAGAGTACTTTATCCGCACCCGCACTGAGTGGTTTGGGAAGCCTTTGGCGGAGGTGTTGCCCACCGACCAGGAGAAGATTGATGAGTTGTGGACGCTTGTGGAGAAGCAGACTAAGGCGCTAGTTGAGATGTTGCAGGGTCGGGAGGGCAAGAAGGGGCCTTTCTTGGAGGGGGAAACTCCTGGATTCGCGGATCTGTTTTTGGCGTGTTGGGTTGCTTTCATGGAGCGGTTCGATAAGGAGCTTTTTGAAAGACTTGTTGATCAGGGGAATGGAGAAATTAGGGCTTTGTATGTGGCTTGTTTGCCTTGGTTGGAGGGGCAGGGAGAGGAGAAGGAGTGGCCTGTTGCTCCGGCGACTGGTAAGACGACTTAATCGTGGTTCGGCAAACAATAATGGATGTTGGGTGTTATGTAGATCAGTATCATTGAATACAGCACACTTGACAATGTCAATCGACGTAATAATACATGTCGGATGTCCCCGACGCGCTCTTCTATCCCATATCCAGTCATGAGTATGATATATATGGCCAGCGCAAAAGAAAGTTTTCCAAACCAAATCGCTCCAGACGAACCAATGCATTCGCACAAATTTAGATGTGGCTTAGAGACCGCGCAAGAAGTTAGACTCCTTGATCGACTTGCGGCGAGCATCTCTGGCACTCTTGGTAACCTCCTGGCGCTTGTCAAGACTCTCGGTGGCATCGGTGATGCCGTCAGCGGGTGCGTCGCGGTTGTATGAAGCAGGTGTGATATCGAAGGCGTGGTGGTGGGCAGGAATCTTGGGAGGGAGGGCCTGAGTACGAGCAGCAAGCTTCTTCTCATAGCGCTTTCGTTGTTTCTTGTTGAGGGCTGCGACTGGGTTAATTTTTGCCAAATACTAGACGGGGTTTATTTCCACATACTGCTGGGGTCAACACCACCCTTATCGGTTTTCGACTGCTTGCTTGAATCGCCTAGCAAGTCCCACAACCACTCGGGGTACTCGGAGTCCTCCTTGGCGAGAACCTCGGGCTTGTTGCGAAAGTAGTTCAAGCCATTCATCTTCGTACCTGCCGGGCAGCTGCTCGGGGGGGCGCGAGATGGTCTTGCTAGGTGCTTCGGGATGCGCCTCAGTGTGGACACCTTCTGGGGTGCTGAGAGGCTGGGAGACGCCGGGGGTGGCGGATGAGATGGCGGACGGAATGGTGACATCGCCGACGGTAGGCTGGCGCGGAGTTGAAGGGGGAGGAGTAGCGGCCACAGAAGGGGTGGCGCCACCGTCGCTGTAGGGTCGGAATTGGCTGCGAGCAATTGGGAACTGACGGTTGCTTGTTGATACGGTCCATGAAACAGCTTGGTGCTGTTGGAGCCGGGACAGCATGCCCGTTCGGCAGCTTCTGCAAATCATTGTGGCGGTTCGTAGGGTATATTTGGACAAATCGGTGTTGATTGAGTGTTAAAACCGAAAATAGGCTCGAATAATTACCAGGGGCCTGGTTTTGTGGGGATTTGATAATGAAGCCGGCGCGAACACGGAGTGACAAAAAACTGCGGCGCGGATTTGATGCCAAGCCGGAGATTGTCACGTGATATGATCCGACCATGGCCCGATGAAACATTACCAGCAAGCCCTAGTGCAAAGTGCTGAGCAACAAGGAGCGTCCAGCGCATTACTTCTTCGACGAAAAACAAACACTAATTATGTAGACACAATCCTTGTGTCCTGCCTGGCGACGAAAATGAGAAAGTCACGTGATTACATTCTCCAAGGATGCGTTGCAGATGATTGGTCAATAACAATGTTCTCAGCTTTTTGGCGTTCTCTTATGGCCTTGTTGCGAATCTTGGAACATTCACTGAATGTTTACCAATTTTAGATCTACTTGGGCAGATTGACCTCGGTGGGACACAGATGATGGCGGGATTTTGGAGTAAAATCGTATAACTAAGACCGCCTTTGCTTTAGTCACAGTTTTCTTTTCGCCCATCGAGTCATCATAGAGGAAATGAAGGTCGACCCTTCATTCATGGAGCACACTATTTTCACTCTCGTTATTTTCATGAACACGACAAGCCGCAGGGGCAACCCGCGGGGCCCATAGATATTTTTACGTATTTCTATCCGGAACATCTTCAATCGTTCACCCAACCAACCGTTCAGGGTCTTATAGTTTCGAGTCCGAAAGTGATTAATCTAGCTACTCGCGCACTTATAAACCTTACAGCAACATCATGAACTCATTTCCCACGCGATGTCATTAACTCTAGCATTCTTCGAACTTCTAGTTGTTTCAGCTTACCAGATCTTTTGACTTGTGTGAGAAAATAATATATTATTATCTCCGCGAATTGGAACACGCTCTTTCTTTACAATAAAGGCTCTATTCCACCGAATATTCAATGAGCGCTAACCGAAAGTGTCGTCATTGTCTTCGTTCCTCTCAATTCAGGGTTACTTTGATCCTAGGAGTTATAATCTGCTATTATCGGGCGGATCTTTAGGTTTTCGACATCCTCTCGCCAGCCGAAAAACCCATATCCACAAAGCAAGCCTATCGCCCGCGTCAATCCCAGTCAGAGCCAGCCCCAGGCAAGATTGTCTGTGGAATTTCCTTTGGTTCTATCAACTGAACGAATGAAAGTAGACGGGCAGCAACTGTATCGGTCTCGCAGATAGTGTTGAAGGATATAATCCAAGCCGTTGCCACCGCGCCTTGTGTCTTACTGTAATGAGTCTCATCGCACAGGTTTGCACTAAATAGGTTGATCAAATTTTGATCCGTGTGATTGCAGAGCCGTAAAGATGCAGTGATAGGCATCTTATTCATGTTCATGTAGGCTGTCGCTTAGATCACTGTTAGAGGTAAGTACGTGAGCTTCTCCAGAAGCTTCGCAATACTATGGGCCTGCTTGAGCTGACTCTTATGAGCTGGGGATCTCTCTAGAAAGAGATTGGCCAACTCCGACGTCATTTCCGCGAGCCTCTGTGAGGGCCGAGTGGTGATGAGGATCCGTCCGGTGGGACTTTGTGGGAGAACATCCAAGAGGCCAGTCCACTTGCCCGGCAAGCCAACAAGTATGTTCATATGGTTCGCGTTGTCAAGGATGAACAGCCAATATAAAGCAGCCTCCGAAGCTAGATAACTCCGAAGGGCTTCTTTTGGATCGTCACCGCCGCTACGGGGGATGGCAAGTTTCTGGACGATTTCCGTTGCCGTCTTTTCAAGAGCGGGCATGCTCTGCACAGGCATCCAGAAGATAGAGTATTATTTTATCATGTGTTCAACTCTATGCGCAAGCTCAAGTGCGATTTGCGTCTTGCCTATGCCCCCGAGTCCCACCATAGGAAGGTTGGGATAGAATTGAGGCAGAAGATGGTTCATCGGATTTTCGAACAATCAGCTTGGTCTCAAACCTTCATTCTAGCGTAGACCTGATCATGAAATGCCGTGCCTCATCCAATTGTGGCTCCATAATCGCGACTGTCACGAAAGCGCCAATTTTGAGGGGGACGGGAAAGAGGAAAAAAGGAATGAAGGGGGCAGGGATCAATAGGTGGGGTAATCCAACTCTGGTTGTGGTCTTCCCCCCTCAACATTGATTTTAGAACAGAACGTCTACAGCATCGTGGAAATATTCGGAGCCTAAATCCTTTCTTCCTCAGTAATGCTTCCTTTCATGTGTCTGAGAGCAATGAGCGCATGTGCCTTGATAAAGGGGTCAAGCTGGTGCATCTATCACCGTATTCTCCGGACTTAAATTGCATCGAAGATAGCCTATCAGTTAGAGCGCGGTATGAAAAAATTTACAACATGCAATTGAACACTTCAATAAATTCCCCTGTACAATTAGAATTGTGTTTCCTCCGAGCCTCAATGGCATTCATTTAGTACTTGAGCAAACAGGGTGCGGCTAGAGAACGATGCCAGACGTAGCTTAAATCACTCAGGGGGCGAGTTATGTACATATGATGGATAATTACAAGTGGTAGTTGAACAAGTGACATAGCCGACTTTTAGCGCCTCCTCTAGCGTGTTTGCCTTTTGCCGATGAAGTTACGAGTCCCTGCCCCTTTTCCCCCGCCCTTGTGCAATTGACGCATTGTATTCAAACCATGTGCTCCTATGGAATTTTGTGATCCGAAATCAAATATGCAGTTCTAGGTTGAAAAATCAGTAGCTTCTTCTCAGTTTGGGGTAGCTTATGTGGAGGAGAATGGTGCCCATCTATCAAATCATGGCAGATACGCCATCAAGTCAGGACCCGTGCCGGATCCCGGTCAATTCATTTCGCGTCTCGCCTCCTAACTAGTTGGTGAGATAAGGATAGACTTTTGGATTATGCATATCGGCAAGCTGCCGACACTCGTTAGGAGAAACCTCCGGTAGCTGGCTGGCGCATCATATATTTCGATGGCGCGGGTCAAAAGTTTTTCGTAAACCGGTCCAACTTGGCATCTAACATGAGGGCCTTTCCCGCTGAGGCAATACTTCTGGCTGCGGCCTTGCTAGATCTAACTGTCGCATTTCCGTCCGCAGATGGCGCGAAAAGACAATCTGGGATTACTGGAGCCATGGAGGTTGTCCAGGCTCAAGTTCCTCCCCGCAAGAATTACGATAATCCCACTTGCACTCAGACTATTTTCAGCCACGTCTTTGCAGACAGCTATGGTACACCTTACGTCGGTGAGTAGCCAAAATCTCAGTTAATAATTATTCAAGGTCGCTAAGTGACGTTCATGGATGTACGAGCTAATCTCTCTCTTCAGGCACATACAGTCCGCCCAAAAACTGTGATTTTACTACAACTGTCTTTAATATCTCTATAACATCATCTGGTCGACAGTATGATCGCCTCGCCCTGCTTTTCTTTGGAGATACCGAGATATGGCGAACCTCTACTGCGATGCCTGGTGGCTACGACATTTACTGGAACTACCAGAAAGATATGACCATCTTTGATACTCTGATTCGGGGTGAGCAGAAGATAATCTTTGATCTTGACAATGTCTACTTAGGTCTATACACGGGCACATTCAACGTCACATTAGAGGCTCTGTACTTCAATGAACATTACACCGACCTTGACCCAGCCCATCTGGTGTATCCCATATCTGCTTTGGCTTCCTCGCAGAACATCTCATCAGTCATGTCCCTTCCTGACGACAATGGCACCGTGTCTATTAACTTTCCTCAAAACGTCAAAAGTGCCGTCGTGTCTATACTTGCCTCGGGAAACGGCAATGAGGAGTTCTGGTACACTAATGTCCCATCTCAATACACCAACACTTTCCCTAGTAACGCAGGGTGGCTCTATGGTTATAGTCCCTTCCGCGAGATTGAACTGCTCATCGATGAAAATCTTGCGGGGGTATCGTGGCCGTTTCCTATTCTTTTCACAGGTGGTGTTGACCCTGGTCTGTGGAGACCCATTGCAGGCATCGATGCATACGACCTGCCATCATTCGAGATAGACATTACTCCTTGGCTCCCATTGCTCTGTGATGGCCATGCCCACACATTGGGTCTCAAAGTCGTTGGATATGACAGCTCTACGAAAAGCCACATCGGGACAGTCGGAGATAATTGGTATGTTACTGGGTCGGTGTTTGTCTGGCTTGACGAGAAAGTAAGACATACTAGAGGAAGCGTACATATAAACTTTCTGACCTAGATGGCTCTATACTAATACTTTGCAGATCATAAAAAGTCATGTCCCAGAGCCGTCGTTCTCTTTTACCCCTGAACTCACGACGATGGCGATAAACGGAACAACCGCAAACTCCTCGCTCTATTTCTCTCTCTCGGCGAGTCGGAGACTATCAATTTCCTCCACCATCCACACATCCACAGGCCCGAAATTGGCGTCATGGACGCAGGATTTGTCATTTTCGAACATTCAAAATATGACCTCGGAGGCTTACAACCAATCCCTTGCCATGATCTCCACTGGAAGCTTCTCCAACTCCTTCTCGCAGGTCACCAACACGTATCACTACCCTATGAATCTTTTTAGCGCCTACGTTATTGCCCCGTCGCTTGCTTCGCTCTCCTCTGTCTACACTCTGATTGATCGGAGCCTCATCACATCAGGAGTCAATACCATACCTTATCTCACCGGGATATCAATTGGAAAAGAGACCTTCGGGACGAGACAGAATGCATCGAGCATGTACTACTGGAACGAGACTATTGTCCAAGGGACCAGCGCTGATACTGGTATTACGGAGCAGTGGCTGACGTTCGCCGGGAAGCCAGGAAACTTGGAACGTGGCGTAAGCGATTTCTCGCGAACGTTGAAAGAAGTCGATGATTACATGCTTGTTGACCAAAAGGGTTGGACGACTTTGGCGATTCCTGAGACGGAACCGCTCCCAGCCGTTGAAGGTGAGCCAACCGTCTGATTATACGGTTTACTGTAGATATATGTCTGAAAATGTTTATAGGTATGGGAGATATTATGACTACCTAGGTAGTCAGAACAGCAAGATTCAAAATCAGCTTCCATGCTTCACACGAATTTCGGTGAATAATTTGCCTTAAAGGCGCTAAATGTAGCTCGACGCCTAATTATTACTTTCACTTACTTCGGTGGCTAGTTAGTGTTGGATTGAAATCTCGAACGAGTTGCTTTCTATTCTAGCCTAGTCACTTCTTGGATACGAAGCCTTGAATAATTGCAAAAGACGACTTTTAACTCACGCATATGCATGTGCTAGACAGTAGGAGTAAATACATCAAATGGAAACAGTTAAATGAAACATTATAACCAAAAATGAAATAAAATATTGCTTAATGCATCTCTAGTCACAATGCTTATGCCGAGACCAAAGATCAAGTCTCAAAAATTTTAACAAAAAAAATTAACCCCTTGCCACTGTCAATATCGCGAGGAAATATTAGGAGGGCAAATCATGCAAAACAATCGTGGAACCAAACGGAAAGAAATAGCACTATTATGAAGACAGGCCACTAACATCAAGGAACGTGCAAATGTCCTGGCATGCATCTTTCAAAGACTTCTCTGTTTTCCACTTGAGCTCATCTCGGGACCTGTCAGCAACTGCCACGCAGGAACCCACGTCACCAGCTCGGCGTTCTGCAGCTTTCCTGGGAATAGGCCTGTCGATGACACTCTCCATGGTGTTGACAACTTCCAAAACGGAAGAGCCAGACCCGGTACCCAAGTTAAATGTACGGAAGTTCTCGCTTAAATTGCCCTCGTTTGCAGTTCTAAGCGCGGCAATGTGCCCACGAGCCAGATCGGTGACATGGATGAAGTCGCGGACTGCTGTTCCGTCGGTGGTTTCCCAATCGGATCCGAACATCTGCAGCTCGGCGTATTGGCCTGTCATGACTTTGACAACAATTGGGAGAAGGTTTGTTGGGGTCTGTCTTGGGTCCTCGCCCAAGAGACCAGATGAATCACAGCCAACGGGGTTGAAGTATCTCAGAGCGACAACTGTCCACTCAGGATCCGAGGCAGCGAGATCGGCCAGAATGGACTCGCAAATCCACTTGGTGCGTCCGTACGGGTTGGTGATTCCCTGACATCCGGGCTGCACGATTTTTGTTTGCCCATCATGGTCAACAGTGATCTCCTCCTTGTGAACACAGAGTTCTTCTTTCAGTGGAAGACCCGAATTCGCGAGAGTGCCATAGACAGTGGCAGATGAAGAGAAGATGAAAGTCTTGATGCCAAATTCGCCAAGATTGGTTGCGAAGTCGATCAAACCGCCGACATTGTTGGAGTAATACTTCAATGGGTGACTGATGCTCTCCTCAACAGCTTTATATGCTGCGAAGTGAATAACGCCGGCAATCTTCGACTTGGCAGCACGCCATCGCGAGGGAAGACGATACTCTTCCAAAAGAGGAATCAGAGTCTTTGTGTCACGGTAATCGTGAGCATGCAGTCTCATGGAGGGCATTTGAGATCCGTTTTGTTTGTGGAACTTCTGCGCCAAGAGATTGATGCGGTCGAAAACAACCTCAAAAGAGTTGCTGAGATTGTCGATCACAATCACATTATAGTTAGCCTTGAGCAGCTCCAAGGTTGTGTGGCTTCCAATGAAACCCAATCCTCCAGTGATAAGAATATAAGAATTTTCCGATGGGATTCTCCGAAGCAGCTCGTCAAGGTTGTCGAATAGGACTGACGATTCTGTGGCAGGGGTGTAGACAGAATGGGGCGAGTCACTCTCCGCAGGAGTGCTCGCATTTGATCGTCGGCGGCTGTCCATAATGGCCGAGTATAGACTGAAAGTCTGCTCGAACAGTGTGCAAAGAAATTGAAAAAAAACTCACAGGCCAAGAAATTCTCACTTGTCCCGGACAAATACGGCAGTGGATTTTATATGATATTTGAGACACTGGCTGAGATCCGCCGGGAAGTATCAGGAGACCGACGTCAGGATTTATACAAAATTGCGCACCCTGTGTTGCCTCACTGCCGCAGACTCCTTGTTTGGCTGTTATGCTATTGCTTCGCCTACCGAATGAGGAATGGTTCGATACCCAGGTGGTCACCGGCAAAATGGAAGACGGACTCAGAGAAGTCGCATAAGCCGAGCTCAAAACACGAACAAAGGTTCAACAAGGGGCGAACGAAGAACCATGGCAGACCAAGGAGCAGTCGGGCAAGACCCCCATGGATAGTGGGCCAGCCATGCAACTGGGCCTGGGATCGCTCTCTAGGGCCAGACATCTAGCCTGCTCCACTGCGGCGGACGGTCAAGGCCTTCAGGTCGGACTAGTGGCCGTATCATACTACAAATTGATTGTTTTTACTATACATCTGATCTAAGATCCCACCCGATTACTGCATCTCACGGTCGAGACCCGTCTGGTCTATTTCGGGGGCCAGGGAGTTCCATGGGCTAGACCAGGTCATTTTTTCTATTTTCTTTTCTGGCCACTAGTGTGTATCGAGGCAGACTGTCCATTTAGCCCGACATCCGGGTTATATGCTACAATTTGCAAATTCATTTCGAATCCACATGGTGGTTTTTCTCAAACCCTTCATCCCCAAGGTTAACCGATTTCCCTCACAATGTCGACAGCCGAAAAGCACGTGAGCAAGCGCGGTTTTCTAAGGTCCCGCCGGTCTCGAATTATTCTAGCCGTTGTTGCTTTTATCGTGATTCTTGCTGCCATTATCCCCGCCGTTGTTGTCACCACCCTACGCAAGAACAGTATGGGCCCGAAATCAAAGGTCTTCGTGCCACTCTACGTGTACCCTGCCCCGGGGGCTTGGTCTCCGCTTGAAGAAGTGTATGTTTCATCATTCCAATCCAGTCCAGGCCCCGTCTCCCTACTTCCAAGGAAATCCAATTCCAGCTATCCGGTAGGCCGCTCCATACACAAAAGGGACAATCTTGTGCTATTCAAGCGCCAACCATGCATAATGACTCCGGAGCGAAAAATTCAAAAAGCACCACGAAATTTTTTCAATGTCCAATTTGGAATTGTTGCTAATACGCCACAGGATTTCTGCTCATCCCAATGTCAATTTTACCGTCGTAATCAATCCAGGAAGTGGCCCAGGCCCCAATGCCTTGCCTGATGCAAATTACACTCAGGAAATTCCCAAACTTGCTGCCCACGACAATGTGCGTCTTCTGGGGTACGTCCATACAACGTATGCCACGCGCAACATTTCTCTAGTGCGCAAGGATGTCGAAACCTACTCGGCATGGCCGACCGCATCTTCCAACCCGGATCTGGCCGTTCAGGGTATATTCTTCGATGAAACACCCCAACAATACAGTGCCAATTCCCTGGCATATTTGCAAAACCTGACCGATCTGACCAAGGGTCTGAACGGATTCGGGTCTGTCCCATTCGTGAGTTACACTTCTCCGTTTTTGCATTTTTGCCATACTCCATGCCTCCATGCATCGTTTCCTGTACACTCTACCCCTTGCCTCAAGCCACACTCTTGGTCGTCTCCTCGCGTGGCTCTCATATCGAACACTTTTTTTTTCTTTTTTAGTCTTCCCTCTTCCAAAAACACTCATTTCCACCATCTGCCAACCACTTACTCCATTCGGGATTCTTAAGCGAATATCTCAGACTAACAACAACCAGGTCGTGCATAACCCAGGCGGCGTCCCAGACTCGCGCTACCTGTCCACTGCCGACTCGACAGTCGTATTCGAAGAAACTTACGGCACCTTCCAGGAACGGCATGGCGCGAAGCTGTTCACGGCTATACCGGAAAGCAACCGGACCCAGCTTTGTGCCGTCATCCACTCCGTCCCGAATACTGTAGAGGGGTCCAAACTACGCGGCCTGGTCAAACAGGTCCGGTCCGTGGCAGATGAGGTTTTCATCACCCACCTTAGCTCCGATTACTATGCTAGCTTTGGGACGAAGTGGGCCGAGTTCGTCGATCTGATGGCGGCGTAGGGAGGGTATAATCTCCGTGATGATCTGATGATCTTTGACGATGTGATTGGAATTTCTTTCTGCTTAGCTTTGAATGTTATTTTGTGATGACTCTACCTCAGATGCACGGCGTCTACCTGCTCATTCAGCAATGCAAATTTTCACCGCCCAGACTTTGTCCTGAAACTAGTACCCTGCCTGATCGGACGAGTCAGTGACCTTGCCAAGGAAATAATGCAATATACAAAGAAGTAAATGGAGGTCGGAACAAAAGTACGGGAACCGGCGCTTGATACCCGTTTGGGATAGCGTTGAGCGGGCCGTGTATTTTGTAATTTTCACTTTCCTGGCGTAAAGTATACAATACATAGAGCCCCAAGACTCTCAATACGGCATGCATCCATGGATTGCGGATGGGCGGCTTAGACAACTTTTTCAGTATTCAACGCCATTTCACCATTCCCTTGCAAGAACGAGATGCTTCGCTGGCTCTTGGCAACGGGTCGTCGAAGCGAGCTGCTTCACATGAGTTGGACGCTGGCGGGTAGCCCAATTGATTTGGGCGTATCGTGACTACAGGGGCAAGTACGATGCAAGATCTCACGATTCTTAGTTCGTATGACGAAATAGGGAGCTTACTTTCCTACTTGAGATGCCTCGGGTCATCATCGGCACGAATTGTAGATGATTCACATCCATTTCTACTGAAATCCATTAGGTGTGGCGATGTAGACCGTGTCTGCAAGGTCCGATATCCTCGGTGCACACTGGAAGAAGTTTTTCGTCATGGGTCATTTCATGTAAAATCTCATTTCATTTAAATGTCCGTCAGGGCGCAGTAAATGTCTCGGGTTTATCCTTTTCCAAGTCGCCAGTAAAGTCCGGATGATTTCAAATTGGGTTCAAACTGGGATGTCTGGAAATAGAATCGGAGACACCGTTGAGAGCAGCAGCCAAGAGAATACGATGCAAGAATGAGACAAGCAGAATAATACTACAAGGAAAAATTGCGTGCAGGCCTGTAGAGTACGAAAAGACAACGCTGCAATGGAACAGGAATGCAGTAGACCCTGGGCAGAATTACAATAGTCTCGCCACCAGAGTCAGCCTTGAAAACAGTAAGCGAATACAGAACATATGAGCAGCAATTCTAGTAATTCTAAAGATACACAACTCCAGATTAAATACCACTACTCTGTACGTAGGTAAAATCTATCTGTCCCAACCTCTGTTACCCCTCTTCTCTGCACAAAAATTCTAGTGAAAATTACATCAATCGACATTAGTGCCAGACCTCCAGACCCCCACCCACAAAATTCCCATGCCACCCCGGTCAACCCTGGTAAGCCCGGCGGCGAAGCCAGCCACCTCGTGGCATGACCCAGAAGGGGCAGGATCGATTGCACATCACCAGGAGACTTTTCGATCCATCGTTCGGCTCTCTCCCTAGCGAGCGAGGACCTCCCGCTCTGCTGTAGCCTACAATCGAAAGCAGTAATATTCCGGACAATCCAGATGGTTCTGCATATATTAAGCTCAAAAATAGGCTTGGGCCCCCTCCGCTGTGGATGGTCTACGCGTACGCCCTCAAAGCTGGTAAGCCGGACGGCGGAGCGGGACCACCTAGACCCGTAAAAGACGAGTCCACTGCGCACGGGGAACAATACATAGGAGTCCGTTCCTCGTGCTACATGATGCCTTTCAAAATTTTGGCTGCGGTCAAAAAAAATGGTAAATGTGGTGAGAAAAAAAAAATGGAACGTGGCCAACCTTCCTCTCTTGGAAATCCTCCGAGCAGGATGTTTCAAAATCGCAAAACCGAGTCATGAAAAAAAGAAAATCTAGCTTAGCGGAGTCTAGAATCCATGGTTAACATGGACCCGATCGAAGAGATTGACTCCCGATCTCGATCTCGCTAAACAAGGTACGGCTGAAAATCCTCTAGTCGCAGTAAGGTCAAGTAAAGGAAGCGGAGGCTGAAAAGGCCGTTTGGCCCGCAGGCCCAATCAACACAACTCCCAATGGTTCGTGATTATTTTCAGGAACCGGGCAGATCCGCATCTGCCACTGGCTCTAACTCTGTCCCGGACCGATTCCATGGATCGCAAACTTTAGCTCTCTCATTTGGAATACAACTCCGTCGTTTGTTAATTACGAGAGGCAGAATCGAAATTGCTGGATATTTGCGATGAATTAGTAGGAGAACCCTTGTCGGGTTGATATTTTAAGAGGGGCCGCCGACTCGGATGTTGGGGTTGTGAGTGGCTCGCCACCCGAGGAACTCGGACAGAGGGTGCTAGCCCCGCTAGGAAGGGGAAGCTGGAGCTCTAGGATGCTTCGGAGTTAAGTAAGTAGGGTAATTCTTTAAACTCACCGCCTTTGCCTTCTGGCTTGCTTTCTAGATAGATTGTAGCTTCTTCTCTTCTTCCTCCTTCATAGATTCAATCTATCGCTTTCTTCTCCCTTCCTTCCTTTTCTTCAGTAAAGGGCGGAGTTTTGAGCTGCAGGGACATGAAGTTAGAATAGCGGTATAGCAAGTGAAAGACGCTAGATTTGTGATATGTCTAATTCATGATTCGCAATCCCGTGTTCCTGAATGAATCATCCAGGCACGCAAACCTTAGTAATAAATCAAAGGCAAAAAAAAGGCATAGTAACTATTACGACCGCTGAAATAAAGACATGATGAAAATTACAATAGACACATCGAAAATTTACATCCCGCGATCTCGCTACCCCTCAGGGTTAGATGTTAGCGTACACACTAAACAACTATGCGCCCGCTAATGCGCACATTCGTCACATGAATACCCGACATGGAACTCTTGGCAAATTCCTCGAAACTTGACCAATCACTCATGTACCATGCAGCGACTTTTGCAGGTGCCAAGGATACCAAGACACAGGGGTATATAGCCGGACATATCACCGTCTGAATATCTACCGTTCGGATGTCATCCGAGAGACACGTCTTTTCTAGCCCTATATCATTGTTTGCTATAGGGCTCTCATCAGGAGACATGTTGTTTTTTTCCAATTGATTTTCCATTGGAAAAGATAGTGGTAGACTGCCAAGGTTAGACTATTTTTACTCGACTCTATGGTGTAGCGCGAGAAAAACAAAACTTGTCGATATTACAGGGATGTGCCTGCAAGAGACGGTGTTTCAATTAGTGTCAGCCACTTTGTCCAGGTCATGCAATTCTCCGGGAAGATACGAGCGTTTGGGTTCTTTTGCGTGAGACTTGGGTGGTTTCTGATTCTCCATAGATGGGAGGTGTGGAGTGCGTCGCATGGACACTTGGCGCTTGGCGGTGGCTTGTTGGTAAGTGTCTTCGTTGTCGTGGTAAAAACTGGCGACGGATGATTCGAATCTCGGTAAGTGGGTTGGGGTTCTCAAGGCTTACTGTCACTGATTTCGCAGTGAGGTGGCGATGTCTTGGGAAGATTTGAGGGAAGGTAGGATGAGATAGAATAATAGAAAATTGTAATTGTAAAATGTAAAGTTCGAAGCTCGAAATAATGGTATGATGCAATGAAATGCCAGCGCTTTTCGCTTTCTCGAGAAATCCAAAAACACCAATGCTCACTATAGATACAGACGATCAAGGGCAATACTCCACCCAATTGTTCAAGTTCATGTTCTTAATGACAGTCGAGAAATTACCGGCACTCGCCGCGTTGCAGGCAGATGATCTCTGTTTGGTAGTCACCTCGACATCATTATCGGTATCATCACCTTTGGGATACTCGATATGGAAAACGGGTTTGTTCGCCTCCGTGAATGCGGCATAGGTATCGCACTCGCTGTACTGAGCACACTGCTCATTGACAGACCACTGCATGTTTGCGATAACCGAGTCGATAATGTCTCCTCCGTTCTTCAGTCCGATGGACAGATTGCGGCTGTGAGCCTGGGTTGCCAGCCAGTTGACATAGTTGATAGCATCATTCTGGGTAAGATCGAGTCCGTTGTCGTTGTCGTACCCATCAATATTATCCGGGTCCACGCCATCACAGCCCTTCGTCACGGCGAGATCGAGACGTGTCTGCATGATTTTGCGCACGTTGGCAGAGTTGGTGTCGAGCCATTTCTCGCCGGGCCAGTCATCCAAGTTGTTGCCCTTGTCGGCGGACTTGAAGTCATTTGCATCAGAGCGCCAGCTCTCGTAGGTACCCGCGGAGAAGTAGCAAATGACCTTGCGACCCATTCCCTGGAGCTTGGAGATTATTGACTTGGGGTTATCGTAGAGATCGATATCGTAAATGTCCGCGTCGACGGAGGTGTCATTCAGTGGGTACAACAGCTCAATCTGCCACTTGACGCCCACTTCGGGCTGCCACTTGACAGTGGTGTTGCTGCTTGTCGTTCCGTTTGTGCCAGTGCCAGTGCCAGTGCCAGTTCCGCTTCCGCCTCCGCTTCCCTCGTTGCCTTCATCTCCTCCATTGTTGTTGAGGCCAACTCCCAGTCCAACTCCGAGGCCAACGCCGAGCGCGATGACGACAATACCAATTATCGAGAAAACGAGGATCTTCTTCTTGCGCGTCCAGCCCACGGAACCACCTTTCAGAGACATTTTGGGTGAATTCGCGGTTGAGACAAACAGATAGGGAAAGATGCGGGGGAAATCAGGGTCTGTCAGCTGCGACCGACTAGCATATTCATACAGGGACAGGAGCGACCAGACAGATCAAGTAGATCAAGTAGATCAATGCGATTTTGGGGAGATGAGATAGGAGATCAAGAATCTTTGAAGGGTCCGACGGGGCGGATCAGGGTTTTGGGGGCTGAGGCCGTGGCGATCCCGGGGTCCAACTTCTCTCCGAATGTCACCCTGAGCTGATTCTTTAGCTCTCTGCAGGGGTATGCACCAAATGATCCCAAACTTAGCACGAAAATAGGCAACCACAGAACCTCACAAACAAAGAAAAAAGGGTAGAGTCGAAAGGGACAGGCAAGCGCGGAAGCCTGGTGCGACAAGTCTGCCGGTGCCAAGAGGGACGAGCCCCGTCGTTTGTACCTTGGATTTCACCATTGATTCTGTGCAGGTCCCTAGGCTCTAGGCTCTTAGTCCCTTAGTTCCTTAAGTTCTTAAGGCCTGGATCCAGAATTACGAAATAAGGTGGTGGAACCAGTGTTGATCTACCGAGTTCCCAGGCGATCAAAGAGGCCCGTTCATTGGGTCCGAGGTCAGGCAACAAGATTCACTCAGGCAGAAAGAGGTATAGCCAGACTGAAGCCCAAAGGCGATGCCACCATGCAAAGCCACAGTTGCGCCTCCGGAGTAAACGAACCAGAAACAAGGGACCGGCAAAACAAAATTCCAAATATTGCGCCATCGCAGAGAAAATGACAGAAAGTACACGTCCCAGAAATAGCCTGCCAAGGATGCCAAGGAGCTAGCCGAACAGATGCGCCAAGAAATCATCGTTTCATACCGATGAAGAGAAGTTGAGATCAAGTTTAGTGTCTAACGCGGGATCCCATGGGGGGTCAGCTTCAGCAGTCAGCTTCAGCCAGCCCATTTCAGGGACCAACGGCACCCCAGCGCCAATTCTTAACCTAATGGGCATGGGTAAGAGAATTATGACACAGCACAACATCACTAGGGGGGAACTGGAACTCTACCAATCATGCCTGAGATCCGAGCTGCATGCGCTGGCAAGCGCCGTGAGTTCCTGTTCCCGGGCTTTAAGGTCATTCGGGGGCTTCGGGTGGAGTCTGCAGGGGTTCTTTTTAGGTTTAGACTTGCGATCTACCCGGCTATATCTGGGTAATTGCTGTATCTTACAATACCCTCGGATCAGATGCGTTGTTTGTTACTCCTGTATGGACTTGTATTGTATACAGGCCCGGGGCCTTCCATATCGAATGAACTTTTGCCTCGTTTCTTGGTTCGATTGTTGATCGGTCGGATTGCTAATTCACTGGACGATTCTCGGCGCTTCATTGGTGTAATCAGACCGGGATCCATGTCGTCTGACTTTTTAGTTGATTTTCTCCTACAGGCTGGAACCTTGGAAACAACATGGTTAGTATTCGAAATCACGGTGCAAGTGTCGCTTTGCATAATTTTTTCTTCCTTTTAATGTATCCGCAGTGGAGAATACTAGGACGGAGAGAAAGATATAATAAATTTTCTCCATCCAATAATCTTAGATTAACTCAATGGACTGATTCTCCTACCCGCAATTCCGCCCGCGCCACAACCGCCCGAAGGGCGGCTATTCGCTTCTGTATACGAGAAATAGCCCCTGACGGCGACTTCGGGTATTCCATGCCAAGACTATAATTCACTCACGCTTAGCCCCTTCGGATAAGCAGACAACACTATTGCCGTCTTGCCGTAAGCGTTTGGGCGTCGGTCTCTTGGGACTTTTCTTTGCGTTGTTTGTCCCCACTCCTGCATTACTCGCACAGGTTCGGGAAGGTCTCAGCCTCGGATAGGGATATTGTGGCTTGGACTATGTCTGAGAGGGGGTGCCAATGATTATGACACGGGATTGCGATCTCTGATAAAAAAAAAATTAATATCCATCCCGCCTTGGAGTGAGACCTTATGCGCGTGGCATGTTGTCTTGCGGCCGAGATGCATCTGCATGCTTGACATCGTATTGCCCGCCACCGCGGGGGCGACTTCCCGTCTACGGCATCTTGTGTGACATTTCTGCGAGAGCTGCAGTTCAGGTACACTGCGCCGGAGGCAATTAATTCATCCGAGGCTTAACAATGGCATGTAACAAGTATGTTAGAAATATGGGATGACACCTAGGAATTCAGGTATTTCGTAGACATGAGCTTTACAAAGATAGACTTTACTTATAGAACAGACCAAATATTGGTCCATGCCTGGCCAGATGTTGCCGGTAGCAGAGTGCTCGATTTCGCTGCCAAATATGTGTTTATTGATATTGGCCGTGCGAACCTTTCATCTGCGTTATTCAGAATAAAGCAATTCAATAGACACACCCATTGACAACGTCTATGTCTTGTAGTGCCACGGAAGCATAAGCTAGTTACGAAGAATGCTAAGGTTGCAATAAGGTAGGTGGTATCTTAATTTACAACAATCTCTACGTCTACCGACATTTGAACTACTTGAAGATCGAAGAGTGGTTAAGACCTATTGTATCAAATTAGAAAGGAAATCAAATTTTCATCACACCATTCTCCACCCAGGAAATACAATTATGGACATATCTAAATGGCAAATGCAAAACCTCAACTCTCAATAGAATAGACGAAATATAGAACAGTGATTAATTCCTCGTAAAGGCTTGTGGACGATGCATGTAATGTCAAATTAGACAAGAGCAATAGGAGTGGACAGTGTGAAAGTCACGGGCGAGCCAGAGAGCTGCACCCAAACAGTGAGGGGGTCGCTGCCGAGCTGCTCGGTAGTAAATCCCTGGGTGCTAGTAGGAGCAACTGAGAAAGTCACAGGAATAGGCTCAGCACAGCTGTTGTCGCTAGAGCCCACAGTGACGGCAGTTATCTTAGAATTGGCAGTGGTGTAGCTGAGAGTGTACCCACACTTATCACGGTTGTAACGGGCGAGGAAGCCAGCGGACATATCGGCGTGCGTGAGGGTGACAAGGGGCCAGTCGGCGAGACGGACGAATTCCTGGACCTGAGTTTCGACCCAGGCCTGGAAGATGGAGTACTTGGCGGAAACCCCATTGATGGTGATCTCGGCGACATCGGCGTTTCGCAGGTTGGCCTGGTGGAACATGTAGCCCTCACGGTAGAGACCGAATAGGTGGCGCATGGTGTCAGCCTTCTCAGTGGCGAGGAGGTCATCGAAGGTACCACTGCCGGCGGAGGTAGCGATCCACTCCTGCAGAGTACAAGCCGGAGTATCACAGTTGTAGTAGATACGGGTAGCCCAGCGGGGGTTGACCTGCATACCATTGAAACCGTCGGTTGCAGTCACGGTCCAGTAGGGCCAGTGAACGTTCTGGGTGTTCAGAAGAGCGGGACGGGTGTTGTCACCAACACAGTTAGTGATGCCATTGTCCCACCAGGCCTGGAGAGCGTCGCCGTTGTGCAGACCGGTGATGGCCGGAGGAATGATGCCGTTGTCGGTCCAGTGCGCACCCTGGTCGAGTCCGACCTGCTTGATCCAAGCCTGGTTGAAGCTGATCTCCTTATAAATATCGGAGTAAGTGGCATTATCTTGCTCTTCGTGTGTGAAAGTGTGAGAGATGACACCGAAGCTGTTCAGATTCTCGGCGGTGGTCCACCAGTTGAGAAGAGGATCCATCTTGGTGCAGGCGACGGTCCAATCGTAGACGGTAGGCTTAGCAGGCCACAGGTTAGTTCCGGTACCAAGGGGTTTCTGGAACTCGAGGGCAGTGTCCGCGGGAGAGTCGTACTCGATGGCACCGCCATTGCAGGCAGTATATCCAGCGTCGGTGTTGGAAGAGTTCTCAATGTTTCCGTTACCGTTGTGGCCAACTTCAGGGAAGTAGACACTGCCGGCGTTCATCTTGGCGAGGATAGTGGGGATCCAATCCTTGATGCCCTCCATATCCTCGGTGCGAATACGGAAAGTCTCAGCAGCCCCGCTTGCGGAATAATAGATGTCGGTCTCAAGGAACATGTCATCAATCTGGGTGTTCAGGTTGACCCGACGGTACCCGGCGTGCAAGCCGTGGGTGATCCAGGTAATCCAAGCGTGCTGCAGGTAGCTTGAAGTCGCACTCCAAGTAGTATCAAACGAGATGAAGAAGACCATCTGCTGACGGCCATCAAAGTCATTGATGACAGCAGCAACAGTTTCGGTGTCAACAACACTGTTGGCGGCAAAAGAAGCAATCTGCTTGGTGGAAGTGGTGTTGCTGATAGTAGCCGGGTAATGCCACAGACCCTCAGTGCTGACACCAGCGCCAGTCTTCAGACCAGAGGTAGGGAAGTCACTAACATCAGTGAAAGAAATCAACTGCTCAACACCAGAATTACAGCAGCCAGTCACGTCGGTGGCGCCGAAGTCAGGACCGGGGAAGACATCGTACTGAACCATGCGAACGCCGTACTCGAGCTGGTAAGCATAAAGCTGGTTCCACTGTTCAGTGGTCAAGGCACTGGCATATGTGGTATCATACTCGTAACTGACTTGCGAGGCAACGACGATACCACCGAAGTTACCTCCAGTGGTGGTGTTCAAAGTTGGGAGATCGACACCAGTCGAGGGGACAATCAGAGTAGTGAAAGGAATACCGTAGGCGTTAAGACCAGAGGAGGCAACACCAGCGGAAGCGGTGTCCTTAGCAATGACCAAAATATTGTTGGCAACGGTGGCATGACTGATGGCAGTAGCGGAAGCACTAGCCGAGGCAGAGATAGATACGACAGAGGAAGACATGGCGGATGAGGTCAAAGATGCGATCAAAGAGCTCGAAGAGATAGGGGAGCTAGGGGAGCTAGGGGCAGCGGAACTAGAAGCAGCAGAGCTTGAAGCGACTGAACTGGAGGCAGGGGTGCTAGAGATAGCAGAGCTAGAGATGACAGCGGAGCTCGAGATAGCGGAGCTGGTGGTAGCAACAGAGCTGGAAGCAACAACAGAACTGGAAGCAACAACAGAGCTGGAAGCAACAACAGAACTGGAAACAACAACAGAGCTGGAAGCAACAACAGAACTGGAAGCAACAACAGAACTGGAAGCAACAACAGAACTGGAAGCAACAACAGAACTGGAAGCAACAACAGAACTAGGTTCAACAGAGCTTGAAAGAGCTGAAGACGTAGGTGAGCTCGAGGAAGAAGCAGAACTCGAGGATGATAAGGTCGAGGTTACAAAGCTCGAAGGCGAAGTTGTAACTGTGGAACTAGTCTCGACGGGAATGGTAATAATGACACTTGTGTCAGAGGGCAAAGCGATTGTCACAGTAGTCGAAGAAATAGTGTAAGTCGAAGAAGAAGTAGCAATAGTCAAGCCAGCAGTAGTAGTAGTTGAATGAATGGTGCTGGTGTTGGTGGTGGCCGGGTTCACAATACTCGTAGTAGTCTTGAGAGTAGTAGTGGTGGTAGTCTTATGAGTAGTGGCGGTGGTCCTTGGAGGCTCATAAGCAACCACTGAAGGCTTCGAGGGCCAAACACCGGGGGATGTCTTGCAAGTTATAAGACCGTAGTAGCAAGCCACTTGCAGGGCCCAGGTGGGGAGGGCAACCATGTTGATAATGGCCAAGAGATGGACGATACGCGGAACGAGTGGACGCAACGCACCATGCAGCAAGTAACGACTGACGGGTAAGAAATGAGGCGCTGATGCAGGACCAACTTAGATTACATCTACTAGGAAGGACATGATCGTCAGCCTCTTTATGTACTTTGTGAGGGTCTAATGAAGAATTGGCGACCTATCGCCTGCTCTGACTATGATCAATGGGGTTAAGCGAGATAATCTCCACACGGAATCGCCGTCTCTCTATGGCAGACCATATGGCGTGGGTGTGCTAGCTAAATTTGATAGGGCAGATCCAGTGTTCCGAGAGTGGGAAAAAAAATCGGCTGAATTGCTGTGATGGGGGTCTAGAGACATCGATTCGGTACTATGGGCTACTTAGGGCCTTAGGGCTTACAATTGGTGATTTTTCTAAGGGGTCATGGCAAGATGAGGGGATCTGATCCTGCATGGAGCGTGATCACTCCAGGTCTTGGTGCATCTAACCCATGGGGGGAAAGTAAAAAGCAAAAGCCCTCCAAAGAAAAAAGTCTAAAATAGGAAAGCTGAATCATTACCTGAGACACCGAAAGCGCCGTCGGATTCTGGCAAAAAGCTCCGAGAATCTTGGAGCGTACTCCCTCGGGATTTTTGCCGACTATGTAAAGCTAATGTGGATGTCCTGGGCCAATGGAGAAAGGGACTGGTCCAGAGTCTCGGGTTCGTACAACTGGGGCTCATGGGAAAAGTTCGAGTGTTTCTGACGTGGGGTTGAGATGCATCCACAGGGGTCTCTGTTGGGCCCAGAACTTGGCGCAGCGGATGGCAAAGGGGAATGTGCGAAGGTGCTCCAGTGAAGCATAGAGCAAACCGTGCCTGGTAACGTATTGTATTTGTGAATTTGTAATTTGCAATCCGATATTATGTTGGTAATACGGTTACCGATTGTGATACCGGCTGCTCTACTCCACTTTTGGAGGGGCTACATCGTACCGATCGGCTCATCACCAACCTGTTAGCACTGGCGCTAAATTTGCAAAAAAAAAATAATAGAAAATGGAAACAAAGTAAATTGAAAGGGGAAAGCGGGAAACAACAATTGGGAACTTTCCCCGAGTGGCCAAAATTTTCCTTTTTCCTGCCCAGTGGATCAACCTATCCATCGGCCTTTGGAGAATCCCCGTCCATGTCCTACGCCAATGAATTAAACGTTTCATGATCAAGACAGAAGATATAGCCGATAGATTAATCAGGATCATTGCGTAAGTTGAGATCAGTCTAAAATGGGATAGAATCGAACACCCCTAGACGCATAGTCAGGAGACACAGCATATTCTCATCTGCATTCGCACCAGTCTGAGAGTCAATGCCACGATACTGGTCGCATGGGGAATGAGTCGTGGGGTCTTCGCCACACACATGGCATCGGGTACACATACGAACTGCATAGCAGCTACCATGACTCCACCCGGGTGTCTCATCAAGCCCGCCTAGTGCAGTTCTTAGTGGCAGTTCTTGGCCTGCATCTAAGAAAACTTTTTGGCCTGCTATTTTCGCTCACTGTGAAGGCTCGTTTCTAGACAGTGCCAAGAGTGCCACTGACCGTAAAAGCCCAAACCAGCGGGCGAGAACAACGAAGAAGCGAGAGGCGCAATCCGAGCCGTTTTTGATCTATTCCCCGGAGGCAAAAATAATCTTGAGATCGGATTCGTCCGTGTCAGTACCAGATCCAGCTCACGGATTTTAGATCTTAGCTTTCTTTACCCCCTTTCCCTCTTTACTCATATCCTGCCTGTTGGTCTGACCTTTGCTCTCTGTCTTTTGACTCTTTATCATATCCACTCGTTCAATCAGTCTTCTGCCTTTCACCCTTAGCATCATGCATTGATTGTTCCCTGGAGGGTTACAGTTTTTCTTATGGACCCACAGCTTGCCATTGCTGTTCTCTTATACCTTTCCGCTTTATATTGGGCCTTCGACAGCGATAGCAAGTCCAAGTCGCTCAGCTATTCGCAATGGCGAAAATTTTCTCCGTACACCCGCTTGGGTGGAATCTGATGAGGGGTTACTGGTGGCAGTCTGTATGGTTTCGAATCCTCATCCTTGCAACTCCCTTATGCCATGCGCGTCGGTAACCGAATACTGATTTTTGATAGGTCATGATCGGAGTATTACTGCTTTGTATCACTATCGGAGTTGTTCACATTTTATGGTCCGCGGTGAAAAAGATAATCAAATTTTACAAGGTAAGATGAGCCGCGAAAATCGACATTTAGGTATATTTGAGTATTTGAGCATTTGAGGCTGACTCTATGATTTACCGCAGACTCGGGCAAAGCCAGACAAAGTGCCCGCAAATGTTGCCAAGCGCCTCGAGCAATTGGCGTGTCGGGGGCTTAATTTGGCCAACACTTGTCTGAACACGCAGAAGCCGAAGTCTTTCGGTGTCTACCTTGGAAGTTTTGAAAGTCCTGAAAAGCCGTTGACCTCTACGCAGCGACTTTTAAAGCAATGGGATCTCCTCATTGTAGATCCGTTGCAAAACGGTGTAGCCGATGCTATCCGCCACACTGGCAGTCAGGTCCTTGGAAGAATAGATCTTGCACGAGTGGCCTCACCGAAGGAGACGGCGTTGTCGATTATTGAGTCTATTGAGACTACTCTTGCTAACAACTTCAACCACACTGCCTTCTCCGGCATTCTATTCGCTAACTGGGAAGATCTGGCTACGCCCTCGATCCAAGCAAAGCTCTTTGAGGCAGTCAGCAGGCTGGGCTTGGTAGTTTATGTTGAGACTGGATCACCGGATTTCTTGAAAAACAGAAAGGCACTCCAAAACAGTGCTATCTCGGGGTTGGTTGTTCGCAATGCCAGTATTATGCCTACAGGCGAGAAGCGCGACTATTTCCAGATGGCCAGCATGCAATCGACTATCAAAGCTTTCGTCTCCGAATCTTGCATGAGAGACTTTGCTGTCTTGACCTGGGAAACTGTCAATAATGATGTTGTTCTGTCGAATGCGATTGTTCGACGCTCATTGTCTTGGTGCAATTTCTACAGCGCCATCTCATGGGTTGGCACCGAGGCCTCCCTGTTCAATACCGATGTGAACATCCCGACTCCCGAGCCTCTCCCAGCTTTCGGATGGCTGAAGGATGCGGATGTCATGAAGTCGCATGATTCATGGCGATCGAATCTTCAGATTTCACGACACACCCTAGACAAGGCGAGATGGGATACACTTCGACCTCTGTTCCCGGTTGTCAATCAACTTCTTGAATCCGAAGAACTCGAAAGCAAGACTACTGATAGCCCGCCACGTCGTCTCCGTGATCCTCCCAACTGGGTAGCCCAGGTCAAATCGCAAGGAAACCCTCTCTCTTTTTCCATTTTTGGACAGGATTATGGCTATCTCGGTTGCTTCCCACTTGGCTCAGAACCTGCACCCATGGCCTTTGCGGAAATTCTCTCATCCCAGCAGCGTTTGAAGGAACTCTCGCTTCTTCATCCTGTTCCTTCGACAAAGGTTCACAGCATTGGAATCCTTCTCCGCCGTTTCCAGGAGTCCATCTCTTTCCCGGAAGACGATGGTGACCTGGCAGCTGCGATCAAGGAGCTTGCCGATTTGGCTGCGAATGATTCCTTGAACGTGAGTCTTGCTTTGGACTCTGGGCTCAGAAAAACTTCTGATTCTCGATTCTGGGCTGTCTATCAAATTGAAGATGACAAGGTTGACATCTTTGTGTCTAAGAACGCGCACGGTCTTGCCGGTACAGTGCTTCACACTTTTCTCTCGGCGAAGGGATTTCCTCGTCATGTGTCACTTGAAGCCGAGGCTGCACTTGCTGAGTGGTCTCAAGACTTGGCTCCTGACACTGGTCTTCCTCGTCGTCTGGTTCAAGATATCGATGTGCTCTGCCCCGAAGAACGCCTTCTTCTACTCCAGCATCTGTCTCTTACCGATGTTGACAGCAGCCTTAAGGACAAGATCTGTGCCTACATCCGCAAGCAATTGATTGATGCGCCCTCTTTCGCTCAACTGAAAGAGCTCAACACAGTCAACTACCTCAATGGATCTATTAGCCCCGAAGCTCTGGTCAAATCGCGAATTAATTGGTATAAGGATCAGCAATGCAGCTATCCTTCACTTGCGGCATCGCTCGAACTATTCCACCAGGTTGACCAGGTCTTCACCCAAGTCCTCAAGGGCCACCGGGAAAATGACCTAGCAAGTATTACCAAGGGTCTTGGGGAGCTGACGCAAGACAACGCAATTGATGCCTTTGCTGACATGGCGGCACTTGCATTGTTCTGCGCTGCACGAAAGGGGGCCTTCGACGAGATCTACGCTGAGGTGACAGACCGTAATCCTCTGTTCAACAACCACTCCGATCAAGCCGCTGCTTTTGCCGAGTCATTCGCTCTCGGTTCCCGATGTGAAGCTTATTTTGATGTTAATCCCAGCGTGTTCGGCAAGCTTCTTTCCGATCGCTTCAGAGCTTACTACACTAAGAACCAGCCGCCAAACTGGGTCAATGGTGCACCTGAGATGGCAACAGCTTATGCTGGAGCCCAGATTGACTGTGACCCTGATGATAAGACAGAGCCCATGCGTGGATACCAACGTTTTACATTTTTGAGTGTCTTTGCCGTTCCAGCTCTTGTCGATATCCTTCTGCTCACTCTCATCGGACGTGGTCTGTATCTCTCAGCATATATGACGTACGAAGAGCGAAGCAGCGCCACTATGGCTCTAATGATCTCGCTTCTGCTCTCTGGTGGTATCGGCACATGGATTGCATGCGGCGGCCCTTATTACCTAATTTCAATGGCTTTCGCCGCGGCTAATATGTTCGTCCTGATCCGTCTCATTGCCGGTATTGCCTTCACCGTAGCTGGTGGTTTGATCGGTTTCGTCGCCATCTCCAGTGTCAGAGGTCCTCGAGCAGGTATCATTTTCTACCTGTACTTGGTCGCATTTACCATCTACTTCTCGGTCTTTGCCTCCCTTGCAAGCTTCAGCTACCCCGGTTCGACCTTCCTGTCGGGTCGCAAGGGAATTATTGTTTGCATTCCGATCCTTTTCTTGGGCCCAATCATCACAACCTGGGCTGGACACGACTCCGCTATCTACCTGTCTTTGCTCTATGGGTTTATTGGTGTACTACTGCTTTGCCTTCGCTCAACTACCTCCAAGTGGGTGACCTGGTACCAGTCCATCCGGCGCACTGACGATACTGAAATCCGCAAATGGTACATTTCCGCCCATGGCAACAACGACGAAAAGATTTTCGGCAGCCTGAGTGACCCCGCCGCTCTCAAGCTAGCCAGAGAGGCTATGCTGAAGGATGTCAAGGCTGAGAAGTCTCGTGGCCTTTTCAAGAAGGCCACCACTGATCAGCTCGTTAAGGAGCTTGCTCGCGACTGGGAGTCGACAAACTTCCTTCTGGATTGGTACTGCCGATATGCCGATGTCCCACGTCCGATTCCGTTCAGCTCAGGCTGGAATATCCAGACCAAGGTCGCTTTGGACACTTTGCGTAACTCGCAGAAAGGTCTTAAGCTCCACAATGCTTTTGTTCATTGGCGTCAATCAAGCGAAGAAATGGGCTGTGGTATTCTATACTTCTTGATTGCTCTTCTCGACAAATGGATTTTGATGCTCAGCGGCGACCAGACGCTCAGCGGCAAACAGTTGCTGGGTCTGGCGACAGGTTTGAACGATACTACCCGTATGGCTGTCGGCTTTGCATTAGCCTATTATCTTATTGGTGCTGTGCTTATCGACACCAAGGCACAAGAGCTGCATGTCGCCATTGGGGGCAACACACCCACCGCCGTGAAGAATGCCAACGAGATCCGCCCCTCGCAAAAGTCAAGTGTGCATTTCCGACGGAAGGTCTACTGGCGCACTCTGGGTCGCTTCCTTCTCTGGCATGTCTGGAGTCTTGCGGTCTCCTTGGCCCTCATCTGGTCATTCCAGGAAAATATGGAATCCATAATCATTTTCTTCGCCTACGTTTTTTCCTATACTGGCCTGATCTGGTACCAGTACACCAAAATCTTCCTCGGGCCACACGCACTGAAGCCACTTTTAGTTGGTGTCTGCGTGGGTCTCCCAGTTGGAATTTCTCTTACGGTCTGCCTTCCCAATTTTATGTACGCACAGGTCATTGGTCTTGGATCTGGCACATGGACTGTCGCTATTCTAGCTTTCCTGAGCTCCAAGATGGGGATGCCAGGCAAGGTGCAGTCGCCAGTCGCTCTAGGAACATCATACCATGCCTTCACCACTCCCTGGGCGGATCCTGAGTGGTCGCAGCAAGAACTCCAGAGCTTCTTTGAGACTATTTCCTTCCTCCCTGATGACTCTCGTTTCGCCGTGCATCCTGCTGCTCACCCCGGTCTGGAAATTAAGAACATCCTGCTTTCGCGTCGAGAGGAGCTTCGGATTCAAGAAGCATTCCCCAACGCAAAAGAAATCGTTGAGACTACTCTTGCCAGATGGGAGAGCAGTGATATTACTATTGAGCTTGTGCCTCAGGGCTCCTTGGGTCCGGGAATCCGCGCTCTGAGCTGCAATGCAGGAGATCGACTCAGGTTGGTTGTCAGCATTCGTGGTTTACACGATGAGAGGCTCGATATCAGCGCCAACTGCCAAATCATCGCCGAGACTTTGCTTCACTCTGTTGCCGAGTCTATTGCGGGAATCCCCCATGAGTACGCAGTGCTTGCCGAGGCAATCGTGTCAGGAGGTGTAACCCACACCATGGCGCGCCAGCTCCGCGAGGAGGCCAATACATCGGTTGTTGTTCGCTGGGCTAAGAAGGAGCTTCTCAGACAGCTCTGCCTTGGTTTCGAAGCTGATATTCACTGGGACAAGTTGCCGGCGGAAGTCCGAGATGTGCTCCTGAATCGTTGTCTTGGACAATCTTGCGCTCTTCCTGACAGTCAGCGACAATGGCTCCAGTCGAGTCTTTGTCAATTCGATACTCCTAATCTGGACACCCATATTGCCCGATGCAACTTGGGAGCAGCCACAGCAATCAGTATCCTTGACTACTCAATTGATGGAACTGGCGATACTGCTATTCCTAAGGAGCCGGAGACAGCTGAATACATCTCGTACATGCCTCGGAAGCTGCCTGTTCCTCTGTCTATGGTTAGATCGCCCATAAGCTACATTTATCACAGACTGGGAGTTGCTGTCAAGTTCGTTGTCATTGCTTTGGTAGCCGATCCCGAGTTCCAAAGGGAGTTTGATCATGTCGCAAAGTCATTACCAACAATCATTCGAGTGCCATCAGTCTTCCTCTTGAACATGCTCTGGGTCTACTCCAAGTTCGCCCAAGATCTTGGTCTGTCATTCTTTCTCTTCCATGGTCGCAAGAACGTCAAGCGCCTGTGGGATGATACCAAGGGAATGTTAATTCACGTGAAGAAGAACAGAGTCCTCATCCAAAGTCTGGATGGTACTTTCACTGCATTCCGACATCAGGAGACTGACGGTGGCTTCAAGGTGTACCAGTACGCCGGCGAGCACAAGATCGAGCCCAAGGAAGCCAAGTCGCTCAAGTATGTTAGCAGTTATTCCAGTGAGATGCTGCTCCTCATCAAGCAGGAGTTTAAGGATGCTAAGGTGATCAATGAATATCACTACGACTATCGCGCACCTGAAAAGAAGGGCTTTCAGATGGGAAGATCCTCAAACACTCGCATTCCCCTTGGACGGCGCTGCGTGACAGGCGAGAACTACCTTCAGAGTGTCCAGTATAACAAGAAGGGTCTTATCGAAAAGGGTTCATACATGAAGGACGGCAATCTTATCCGCTTCCTCTACCACTACCGCAAGCACGCCTCTTTTGGTGATGAGCTTCTGCGCGCTGAGTTCTCCTTGTCGCACATCACCTGCAATGTGGCGTGGTGTGTTCCGCCACGTCGTCAAGAGAAGAAGGACAACCGATGGATTCCTCATGCCAAGGTGACCAGCGCTATGTTCGTCCAGAGAGATAGTGGAGACGTCTACCAGAGCACTTGGTTGTATGATCACAAGTTCCACCCCACCATTTTCACCCTGCTTCACGACAAGAAGGTCTCCACTCCTCCCATGATCGAGCACGACTACTTGGGTGTTCTCTCCAAGCCAAAGTCTACCAGTTTCGTCAACGACAATCCGTTCGTTTACTGCAACAGCCTCCACTCGAACTTCTTGACTCGACTCCTTGGCCTGACCAAGAAACGATTCACCGTCTCTACTTCTCGTGCTCGCTCACTGATGTGGAAGGCTTGGAAGGATCGCGTTGACTTCGATGGTATCATCGTCCGATGGATGGATGATCGAATCCTCCGCAGAGATGCTGTCCTTGCTCCTTACTGGCGCAGTCGCGACTGGGGTAACCTGAAATCAGCAAAGAAGTTCATGGATCTCCGTGGTGATGCAGTCATGGCCAGCGCTGATCTGGACGATAACATATCTAGCTGGACTCCTCTGGCTGTCAAGATCAGTGATCTGTTCAACTTCGGTCCCGGTGGTGACGCTGTTGTCACAACCCGCTCTAAAGAATCTGGCTCCGATACAAAGGACAACCTCCATGTCATGGCTGCTGATACTGGTACTTGGCCCAATGAAGGTGGTGGTGTCTCTGCCTGTCGACGAGACATGATCAACTCGCTGCGCAGCATTAAGTGGCACATGATTTGCGAGTCTGCTAACGACTTCGGTGTTCCTAAGCACCAGACCGAGCGGAACATTCAGTCGCTGAAGGTGATCCCGCTCTGGGGTCTGGACTTCCTGACGCCCACGCACGGTTTGTTTGAGAACAAGCTGGACTCTGAGGTGGAGAACGTCACTTCCGCCAGCGAATTTGATATCAAGATGAACTTCATCCCGATTCTTACCGCATTGGTCAAGGGAGCTCGTGCTGTCAACCTCTCCAAGGCTGACATTCACCAAGCCACTCGTGCCCTAGTCAATCTCAACACCTATTTCCAAGATTCTCGCCACTGGACGCAAGTCTGGAATAGCGAAATGGTCAAGCAAACCTGGCGTGAACTTTGGCTTACCCAGGATATGCCCAATGCCATCCCATCTTCGGAGTGGTTGGACACTGAACTCCCTACGCTTTCCTCGCTCGAAATTGCTCTGGAATTGTGGTACCGATATCTCTTCATCTTCTCAATCCCCGTTCCGGAGAAGATTCCCAGTGTTTTCCAGGCCTCCCACCACAGTGTCAGTGCTTCGTACGGTGTTGTCTGCAAGATCAAGCGAAACGTCACTTTGCAGATTTGGGACCACGCCATCAGTTGGCGTGAGACCAACCTCTGTCTGTCTTCGGCTTTGTGCAAGCTTTCACCCTTCGTGCGGAACGCGTTGCTAGGCTTGATGAGAATCACCTCGGTCTTGACTTTGCACCACGCAGATATTATCCTCCCCTGTGCCGATTTCTTCAACCCAGGCTGGGAGGTCGAGATCGGTACCTGCCAGGGCACAATCGAGCACCGCAACACGTTCCGCCGCAAGGTCGATCCCGTCGTCAACGGCATCACAGACATGCAGAAGTTCTCACCGGTCAAGGAAATCAAGTCCGAGCGTCCTACAGTTACCATGTTGTCACACGTCTGGTACGCCAAGGATATCAAGATTGCGCTTTTGGCTGCCGATATCATCGTCAACCAGTGGAAGTTTGATGATTACCATCTAGACATCTATGGTGCCATCGACAAAGCTCCAACCTACTCAACGGAATGTCAGGAGATCATCGCCTCTAAGGGTCTCCGTGGCCGAGTCACACTGCGCGGGACAGCCGACCCAATGAAGGTCCTCGAGAACACCTGGCTCTTTCTGAACTCCTCCCTTTCCGAAGGTCTCCCACTCGCGCTTGGTGAAGCTGCTCTGACGGGAGCCCCAGTCGTCTGCACAGACGTCGGCGCCTCGTTGCGCGTACTCAGTGACCCAGACGACTTCTCCCGCTTCAGCGCAGTCGTCGCGCCTAACGATGCCCAAGCACTCGCCAAGGCTCAGATCTCTATGCTAGCAATGCTCGGCGAATGGGACAAGTACACCGACAACACAGGCCCCTGTCCAGTTCTGACATCCGCGCCTACGCGCGAGGAAGTAGTCGCCATCCAGCGCCGCATGTACGAGCACAGCGAATCCCGCCGTAAGCTAGGCATGCGCACCCGCCAGATCGTTCAAAAGTCTTTCAGTGGAGACCGATACCTTCGCGAACACGAGCAAATGCTCTGGATCGGCAAGGCCGTCAAGCTCATGGTCAGCCGGGCCGCAGGAGACATCCTCGAGCCACAAACAGCCGCAGTTGACGAGGAAGTCATCACCATTCCCCCGAGCGCAATCCAATCCTGGCGCTCATCTGCTGCGTCGGGAATGTCAGGAATGTCGACCCTGTATAGCTCCGTCTCGAACTACCCACTTCAGGGAACCCGCAACCGACCCGACTCCAGCATCTCGGCTCTCAGTCTGAGCAACTTCTCAACCGATGAAGAGTCCTTTACTCGTCTTCCTGTGTTTGCACCCCGTCGCTCAGCCCTTTCTGGCCTGTCTGCGGGTAACAGATCCCCGAATCCATTCTCCAACCAAAGTTTGTTGCGCCATTACTCTCCTGGGGCGCGCCGTAGTCACCTTTCCGCGCGGTCGATCTCGACGACTGGGCGGGAGCAGGTGCGTGGTTTGCATCGCGAGGATTTGATGCAGTATCGCAATTCGGATGTTAGTACCATTATGCGAGAGGACTTCCTCCGCTCTGGTATGTTATGGAGCGGTTAAATATGGAAGTGGCTTGCACATACACCCTGGGAATGTTCAGTTCCCATTTTTCTCTCTTTCTCACTGGTTGATACCTATCTTTATTACATTTGTGTTTTGCTGCATTTTGAAGCGTTGGGTTCAAGCTTTTCTCAAAAAATTTCCTTGGATGAGTCTTTGACAACTTCTTTGACGTTTTAATGTCGAGTCTGGTACATAAGCATGAACATAATTGCAAATATTTAATGTCTTATAAAGATCAATTGATGTGCTTATCCCATTATTTAACACCATATATATTTACTGAGATGTGATATCTATAGCCCGGAAGAAGAAGCGAGTATTCACCATCCAGAGAGAAGTGGCAGAGAGCGCTTGACTCTATTCCAGGCCGACTCCTCCGGTTTGGGGTTCGCGATGCGGTGCCACTCGCCGTTGAACGCGTTGATGAGCCAGCTCGAGAGGCCTACGAGGTAAGTTAGTTCCGCGCTGCTTTAGGTGCTTGGGTTTTACGTACGTTCATAGACCAGCGTGTGTCCATTGTGGAAGTAAATGCTGTGGTCGGAATCAGGGAACACCTGCACGTCATAGTTGTCGATGTTCGCCAAGTCCAATTTGTCAAGCAAGACGAGCGTGTTCTGGAGATGAACATTGTCGTCTGCTATGCCGTGCATGACCATAAAACGGACATTCTCTCCTAGTGCTGCAGCGTCCGAGATGCTTGCGTTGTCGAAGCCTGCGGGGTTGTGCTGGGGCATGTGCATATAGCGTTCGGTATAAATAGAGTCTGTATCAAAGTAAGTAACAATTCACTAGTACTCTGCAAGAGATCACGTACCATAGAATCTCCAATCCGTGACAGGCGCCACGGCCATGCCATATTGGAATGTCTGACCTGCATCTTGCTCAAGGACCTTGAGAGTCATGAAGCCGCCATAGCTCCATCCCCAAATCCCCATTCGGGATGCATCAACGTATCCCTTGCTGGCCCAGATCTTAGCAGCTTCAATCTGGTCATGCGCTTCATAGTGGCCCAGGTTGCCGCGAACGATGCAGCGTGCTTCGCGTCCAATGAAGCCCGTTCCTCGGCCGTCGACCGTGACGACAATATAGCCCAGGCTAGACGCAATATAGGATTGGAAGTCGACCGTGAATTTGCGGTCTACCGTCTGGGAGCCGGGTCCACCGTACAAGAAGAATAGCACAGGGTACTTATTGGCCGGGTTGAAATGTGGAGGTCGGCGCTCAACGACTTGCAGGGTGTAGCCATCAATGGTGATGTTGGAGTAAACCTCAGCTGGGAGTGCATAGTCTTCGACCATCTCGGTGAGCCTGGAGTTATCCTCGATGACGGTTTCATAGACCACTTCGTCGCCCTGGGTGTTGATCACCGCCTGCCAGGGAACCGCCGGGCCCTTTGAGCTGAGCAATGCATAGCCAGCACCCTCGGAGAATGAGATATCGAAATAGCCAGGTCCAGACGTATCGGTCAACGATCGAAGGCCGGATCCGTCGAGTTTCACTTGGTATACATGACGCTGGGTGGGCGCCTCTTTCGTCGCAACGAAGTATACAAGATTCCGGTTGAGATCGACGGCGGATGGCGCCGCGACCACTTCCCAATTTCCCTTCGTGAGCATGACAGGCTCAGGGTTCTCGAGGGGCACGAAGTAAGCCAGATGGTCGTAGCCCTCGTGAATCACGGTATCCACGTAGCCATCATGCGGTCGGCCATTTTCGGGGTCAGCGGGGATGAAGCGTGTTGTCTGAGAGGGTTCAACCCAGCCGCCGTCGAGGCTTGCAATGTCGTCAGAGCGAATGAGCTTGCCAGTTCGGGCCTTAGTATCCATCAAGAAGATCTTGACCACATCACTCTCGCGGTTAGTTTCGCGGATAAGGACCTTGCCCTCTGAGGCCCAAATAACTTCAATGATGATGCGGTCGTCATCGGCGAAATCCTCAGGCATTTCAAAGGAGAACTTCTCGTCTTTGTCCACATCATAGAATTCCAAGTGGACAATGGGGTTCGGTGCCCCGGCCTTGGGATACTTGATCTGGCGAACCTCGGGGTAATTCTCAAGCCCGGGAAGAGGCGTCTTGCCAGAAGGACGAGAGAGGAAGTATTGGACGGGGTATTCAGGTACATCTGATTCATCTGTACGTAGGAATGCAAGATACTTGCCATCGGAGGACCACCAAGTGCCACTATTTCCAGAGAAGACCTCTTCCTCGTAGACCCAATCCGGTACACCGTAGAATAGGTCTGCACTCCCATCCTTGGTGATAGGAATCACTTTGGAAGAGGAAAGCTTGCGCAGGTATACGTTGTTCTCGCGAACGAAGACAATCGCATCAGATGAAGGAGACCACTTCGCAAGCTGAACGCGATTGCTCAAGTTATCGGGGTCCAGCGGCTCGGCGGTTTGCGTTGCCACATCAAAGATCCAATACTTGGCATAGAACGAATGCCTCCAATTCGACTGGACATCGGACGCGATCAACACCTTCTCCAGGTTGGGGCTCGGCCATGTCTTCTTCGGTGTGATCAATTCGTTGTTACCCCAGAAGTAAGGCTTCTTCATCAACACTCTGGTATCGACATCACGAACATCTTTGTTGCGGCTCCGAATATCCTCCACGCGCAGGTATCCTTCCCCACTTCCTCCCTGCTCAACCAAAAGTCCATCCTCGCCCTTCGGCCCCGCAATCCAGGAGATCGCGTGAGATGTGGGGAGCCATTCCCCCCCCAAAACCTGCTCAAGCGTAACAGACTTCCCATAACTCGTCCCACCAGTCGCGGACTCCGGCTCATGTATTTCGACTGTCGATGTAGAAGATAGCGCAGCAGCACTAGGTCGTTTCGCCGTGAGGAAGAGTACGAACGCGAGCACCCAGCCACCAACACAGAGGATACCCAGCAGCCAGAGGCCGCGACGCATCCGATTACTCGATGCAGGCTTCTTGCGAGGGTGTAGGAATGGTTCATCGGAGGTGGCTTCGGCGGCGCCGTCCTCGATATCGCGGTATGGGGCATCTGGGTCGGCCATCAATCCCTCCTTGTGAGCGTTAATAAAGGCTGCGGATGCGACCGACAGCCCGGAATCAGAGGAGGTTTGAGATGCGGCGGAGACCGATCGCTGTCGTGTTAGCGGCACAGCCTCGGGGGCCCCTTCGTCTTGGAGCTTCCCCATGATCGTTGGTTGTAGCTCTCGAGCTGAGGTTCCCGATCGATTGCGCTTATCGGGAATGTGGAGCCGTGATCACGGGTGTCCCTGCGTCTTTAAATAGCACCGTGATTATCTTCAGTCTATCTATAAATTGAGGACACTGGATGGATATAGGAGTGGTGAGTATCTTAACTCCAAGATACTTGAAGCTGGGCTGTGCCCGGCAAGACCTCGGGAGCGCACCTTGGCGGACAAAGCCTCAAGGCGCTATTGAGAACCAGATCCGTCTATTAACCCTGGTCACGACCAGCACAGATTATGCTCACTGAGATTTTATGGATTTTCTGGACCCAAGTTCGATGTAGTGAACTGCACAAGCAGCAACTCAGGATTATGGAATAATTACGTTGAGGCTAGAGGCCGAAGATCGGAAGAAGTCCTATACAATAATTGGAGAAATTATGTAGAAGAACTAGGCACCTATGCAACCCGCCAAAACAACATTTGAAGGCTTGTTCATTCAGCAAATTAATTCAGGAAATTATCATGATTAGGACTCTACTGCCTGTCTAATCCACTGGACTAGGTCCACCCATTCAGGCGGAATATCTTCCACATGTCGTAAAGTACCCAAGATCAACCTCCGACCCGACCCGTGGGCAAACCACTTTCGCGAAGATAAATGCATAGCCAGACCATGGAACATCAAAAGAATACGAGCTAACCAGTCTCCCTGCCTCACCATCTCGATAAATGCATCGCTGACCTCTAGAGGCCATCCTAAATTTCCATTTCCAGCTGGCCACCTATCAAACACTTCCACGAGCAGCTCGTACGTCTTTTGACAAATGTCTCGCTGTGGAGGGTGACTTTGATCAATGACTGCTTGGAAGTCTTGAACTTTGATTTTTGCCGACCTGGTCGCATTCATTAGCTTCGGCTCATCCTCACATGGCTAATTAGGTTGGGATTTTCTCACCGATGAAACTCTATTGACTTTGGATCTGCGCTATAGTTGAATGTCAGTTTGTAGCTCGGTAAAATCAACTTTTCAATCTTACCTGTTGGTTGAAAGATACTCTTCACTTTCGCTACTCCGATGGATCCATTGGTGCATGGATGCTTTCTCGCCTGGGTGATATTCCTTTAATTTATCGATCAAAATTGAACATCCGCCCAGGAACGAACGAATCATCAGAATCTCGTGCAAGGGATCATCTGAATGTCCGTCTTTGCAGACGCATGGGTATCCGGTGACGAAGATAAGTACCAAAATTGAGCAGGCAAAGGTCGCCTCGAGGTTCTGCGGATTGCAGCTCAGGTTATGGCCTAAGCCGCCGATGGCTTGGTTTTGATATGTGAGGGCAATTTCCAGCCATGAGGAGGACTTTTCAACTTCTAATGATGCAACATGGAGCGCGCCGACTGCTAACAAGCCGCTCATGACAAAATCATGGTTTGTTGCGATCTGGGGAAGCCCCGTTTGCCAAAAGTCCATGTCCACTTCATCCTTGGCTAGGGAAGGAGTCGTTGCAATGAAGGCGTGATGAAAGAGACGCATCTCTTGTAATCTCGACAAAGGTGCAACAATTTCATTTTTGGGAGTGTTTGGCTGACTTCCAATGGTTGTCTCATCAGTATCGCTTGGTAAGCCCGAAAAGGGTTTTCTTCTTGGTTGGGGTGTCTCATAAGTACACTCCTGCTCTCGTTTCAAACATAAACTGCACGCCGGCTTTTTCTCATCACACTAATAACACAAAGGTCAAAGTCACTACTCATGCAAACCTTCTTCACTGGCCCGAATCATGTCTCGGGGGCTAACGGGGGTGGGCTAACCTTGACGCGGCGTTTTTTGCATGGCACACACCCCTGTCGAGACTTGGAATGGCAGCGACGTGGCAGTCCTCGCATGTTGAAACTGCGCAATAGACATACTGCGCGGTCTCGGTATATAGCGAAATACGAAACACGTCGAGTCGGGAGCGGGCGTAGGAATCCCGAATGCCGAGATACCAGGTACGAAGTGGATCCGATAACATCCACATGTTGGCTGCGCCTCGTAACAGATGCATAAGCAAGCCCCCACGATCTTGTTCTTTGGCGAGCTGTTTACCGGATTCGGTCTTTTATGGGTGCCTGAAATGTTCAAGCGCCTCGCTTGTCTATTTTGAGCCCCGGGGGCGGTGCCATGGAGTTCCTGATCTTTGTATACAATCTCAATGCCGTTTCTAAAAAGAATCGAAATGCCCTGACCAATTCCACTCAACCCAAGGTCAATTTACCTTGACACATCGACAACATGGTGGCAGTAAAGTATATGGGAGAGTATAACTATATCCCTTCCATACCAGCAGCTGTGATCTTCGCCGTTGTGTTTGGCATAGCATGTATAGCACATTCATGGCAGATGTATCGCAATCGGACATGGTTCTTCATTCCGTTCATATGCGGAGGCATCTGTAAGGCTATCATCCATCGGCTACTTTGATAAAATGCTAATGTTGATTCAAGTTGAAATCGCAGGATACGCTGCCGTTCGAATTCCCCCCTATTGCACTCAAGCTCCCATCTACTGACACTGACACGTTCAGCGCGCTATTTCCTCAAACCAATACCCAAACTACACCATCGGCCCGCTCGCAGTACAGGCCATTCTCATTATGGTAGCGCCTTCGCTTTATGCTGCGACTATCTATATGACACTCGGTCGTATCATGATTGTCACCGGCGGAGAAAAATACTCGATCATTCGCCGATCATGGCTCACCAAAATATTTGTTTTCGGCGATGTGATATGCTTCCTCATTCAAGCCGGCGGTACGTCTTGCCCCTTTTCGACATCAATCTGGAGTAGTCGCGAACATAAGCTTATAAATAATCCATGAAGGCGCCGGTATGCTCGTCCAAGTCAGCACAGCAGCAACCGGCGAAAAGATCATCAAAATTGGCCTGATCGTCCAAATCGTCTTCTTAGCTCTATTCCTCATCACTAGTGTCAGCTTCCACCTTCGACTATCGAAGAACGGATCGGCATATTCGATGCAGGTCCCTTGGAAGAGACACCAGTTGGCGTTGTACATTACCAGTGCGCTAGTCTTTGTGCGCTCGATCTTCCGGTTCATCGAATACGCTCTTGGGAGTACTGGGCCGTTGTTGCAGCATGAGTACTGGTCTTATATTTTTGATGCGAGTCTTATGGTTATTGTCATGCTTGTGTTTAATGTAATTTATCCCGGTGAGATTGGAGATCTTCTCCGGGAGAGGAAAAAGGGGGATGATGGAATGGAGTTGCTTGATGAGCAGAGGTATGCAACTGGAAATTACCCATAGAGGATATTCACATACACAATACGGCGTCAAAGGCTACGGGGTTATAAAGGAGGCATGAGTTTATACAAGTCTCAAACATTTGAAATTTCTATGTGAAAGCCGGATTTTTTTTTTGGTAATTACTCGTCGCGATCACATCCAGATGTCGCATTTTCATCATACAGCCCCGGCGGTATCTAGACCGATTTACCGCGACAGAGCAATGTCATCAATTCTCATGATCATCTTCACAGTCTCTGCAGCCAGCTCGATAGCGCTGGTGCTGACCAGCAGGGGCTGCAGAATGTTCTCCTCGGTGATATCGTCCTTCACACCGCCGCTGCGGATGCTGACACCAGCGTTGTGCTGGCCCTGGGCGTGACGGTGGCGCAGCTCGGTGACGACCTTAATGGAGTTGAGACCGGCGTTCTCAGCCAGGGTGGTGGGGATAACCTCCATAGCATCGGCAAAGGCTTTCCAGCAGATAGACTCGGTGCCGGTGAGCTCACGAGCACGCATAGCCAGGGTGTGGGCAACCTCAATTTCGGGGGCACCACCACCAGCAATCATAGCGCGCTTCTTCACGAGACAGCGGATGACGCAGAGAGCATCGTGGAGGGATCGCTCGGCCTCGTCCAGAATCAAGCTGTTGGCACCACGGGCAACAATCGAGACGGTCTGGTTGGTTGGCTGGGCGGCTTGCTTGATGCCGGTGATCTTAACGTAGCGAGCGCCGGAGGCCTGGACCTCCTCGATGAGGTCGGCGGTACCAAGCTTGTCCTCGGTGAAAGAGTCGACGTTGGCAACGGGTTTGCAGCCAAGAGACTTGCACAAGAATTCAACCTCGTCACGCTCGATGTCCTTGATGGCCAGAATCTTGAGTCGGGAAAGGAAGTGGAGGGAGAGCTCGTTGACGGCGTCACGGAGGATAGACTTCTGAATCAAAAGCACGTTACACTTGGTCTTCTGGATCTTCTTGACCATGTTCAACAGGTACTGGCGCTCCTCCTTCAGGATCTTGTCCATCTGGCGGTAGTCGTTGACCACGATTTGGTTCTCCATCTGATATGGGTCAGTCTTGTCCTTCAATAATTGGAGGCTGTGAAACATACGTCGGGCTTAGGAGGGCTCAGCTGGAACTGAATGAGACCTATCCGGGCCTTTTCAATTCTCGTGGGGCCACCGCTGCTCTTGATGACGGGCTGGTTCATCACCAGACCGTCAACCATCTCACTGTCTTCAATTGTGCCTCCAACCTTCTTCACAATGCGAATGTTGCGCAAGTCGACATTCTCGGCGGTCTTAGGGTCCACAACCTTCAACACGGAGTCGACGGCCATCGGGCCCAGCAAGCCGGAGTGCTGGGAAACAATCTTGGACGAGAGGGAGGTAGAGGCGGCTTGCAAGAGGGTAGCGCGGTCGGTCAGGCTGATAGGGCGGGACATGTTGTGGAGGATCTCAACGGCGGCGTTGGCGGCGCGCTGGAAAGATTCGGAGATGACAGTGGGGTGAATGCCCTTGGCCAGCAGGCGCTCGGCGGCACCGAGCAGACTGCCAGCAATGACAACAACGGAAGTTGTACCATCACCAGCCTCAACATCCTGTGCAGCACTGAGGTCGACCAGCATGCGGGCGGCCGGGTGCATAACGCTCATGTCCCTCAGCATGGTGTTTCCATCGTTGGTCTGCGGGGGTTAGTCGGAACGGTCGATGGACGAGAAAAGGGGATTGCGTACGATAATGGTCTGTCCTTTGGGGGTTTGGATCTATGCGAGCATTAGCATCTTGCAGACCCTCAATAATGGGTGGTGTGGTGTACTCACCATCTTGTCCATGCCCCTAGGTCCCAAAGACTGTTTCCGTGTTAGCCCCTCATCTCCGTAGATACAAATGTTTTGGGTGGTCGTACTGTCCGGATGGCATCGGCAACAGCTATGAAATGTTAGCAGGAAGCTCACACGGAATCAAGAACACGTCACATACCTCGAGCAGCGAGAATATTGGATGACCGCACGGCCATGGGCTTCTCCTTGTCCTGCACACTGTTTAGCAACGGGCCACACACACAACTTTTTGGCGAAGCACACCTTGAAGGAGGCATTGCCACCAGATCCCTGAGACATTGCGGTCGCCATTTTGAATATCTTAATTCAAAGCAACCGAATTAAAAAAGGATAGGGGAAAGTCGAGTTGGCGGAGGTGGAGGACACACAGGGAAATTCTGCGAGTTTCTGGGGCGGTGATGAAGCTTGGCGCTGATTAGTGAGTTGAGCTCGGCCACCGCAGCTCTGCTACATCACCATCCATCACCTCGCGTTATACCCGATTCTCTTTCTTCAAATTCTTGAAGAACCAACCTTGCTCAATATTTGCATTTCTCATCCTTTCGCTTTCAATTCTTCTTGTCTTTGCCCCGATCCTACCTTCTCAGCCCTAGGCTGTCAACACCTGCAGCATGCCTAGCGCCACGGGATCGAACTGGGAGAAGTACCAGAAGAACTTCGCCGACGACGAGGAGCCCGAGAAGAAAATCACTCCCCTCTCAGATGAGTAAGTAACCTTTTACAATGTGATTACCAAAACCGAGTCCGGGCGATGGATGGCTGACGTCGACTGCAGTGATATCGCAGTACTCAAGACCTACGGCGCCGCCCCCTACGCGACCGCCCTCAAGAAGCTCGAGAAGGATATCAAGGACAAGCAAAGCAGCGTCAATGAGAAGATCGGCGTGAAGGTGAATATTTATCCAGCTCTCTGGACCCCCTTGGACCACCGGAGCTCACACGCGCCTAGGAATCCGACACCGGTCTCGCACCTCCACACCTTTGGGATGTTGCCGCCGACCGACAACGGATGGCAGAAGAGCAGCCGCTTCAAGTGGCTCGCTGCACAAAGATTATTCAGGATGAAAAAGACTCGGACAAGAGCAAATATGTCATCAACGTGAAACAGATTGCCAAGTTCGTCGTCAACTTGGGAGAGCGCGTGAGTCCGACAGACATTGAGGAGGGCATGCGAGTCGGGTAGGTTCAGCCTTTGGTGGGCCGGGAATGCTTTTGCTGATACGGGATTAAAGTGTCGACCGAAATAAGTACCAGATTATGTTGCCGCTTCCGCCCAAGATCGACCCCAGCGTGACGATGATGACTGTTGAAGATAAGCCCGATGTGACCTACGGCGATGTGGGTGGTTGCAAGGAACAGATTGAGAAGCTACGAGAAGTTGTCGAGATGCCCTTGCTATCACCAGAGCGTTTCGTCAATCTCGGTATCGACCCGCCCAAGGGAGCTTTGCTCTACGGTCCTCCCGGTACCGGTAAGACTCTCTGCGCTCGTGCAGTGGCCAACCGAACCGACGCAACCTTCATTCGTGTGATCGGATCTGAGTTGGTGCAGAAGTACGTTGGTGAGGGTGCCCGAATGGTGCGTGAGCTGTTCGAGATGGCCCGCACGAAGAAGGCCTGCATCATTTTCTTCGACGAAATTGATGCTGTCGGTGGAGCTCGATTTGATGACGGCGCCGGTGGTGATAACGAAGTTCAGCGAACCATGTTGGAGCTGATCACTCAGCTGGATGGTTTCGACTCCCGTGGTAACATCAAGGTGATGTTCGCCACTAACCGACCTTCCACACTCGACCCTGCGCTGATGCGTCCCGGTCGTATCGATCGTAAGATCGAGTTCTCACTACCCGATGTTGAGGGCCGTGCCAACATTTTGCGCATTCACGCCAAGAGCATGTCCGTTGAGCGGGACATCCGATGGGAGCTGATTTCACGACTGTGCCCTAACGCAACCGGTGCCGAGCTGCGCAGTGTTGCGACTGAGGCAGGCATGTTTGCGATCCGTGCCCGGAGAAAGGTGGCCACCGAGAAGGACTTCTTGGCGTCAGTGGAGAAGGTCATCAAGGGCAACCTCAAGTTCAACTCCACAGCGACATACATGCAGTACAACTAGAGATCTGGGTGGCTTCTTGCATGAGCGGGGTGGATAGGCTGTACGACCATTCTAGTTTTGTCATTTTGAGGTATTGCCTCGCTTGTGGACCAATTTATAATCTACAAATGCATATTGCAGTGTTAGTAGTCTGATGGTAGGGTAGCTTGCTAGGTTACTTACACCAGGGTGCCATGTAAGCTATGTGATCGTCAATCAAATGCAACATTGAACGATTGCTTTCGATATCGCCAATCCTCATCAATTGTTTCTCTACAATAGCAGTAAAGTATTGCTGCCAATGAGAAGACATCAAGGCCAGCTCAACGATAACCCTGGGGAATTGGTCATTTATCTATAAGGTGTTGCTGCTAGACTTTAATTTGGTGGTTTTTAAACCATCGTCTATTACACATATGCAGCATATACAATTTTCTTCACGATAAAACCTTGAAATCATCTGGGCAGTTGGCATATATGTAGTCGCTGGATTCCTCAATCCTAGCCTTGGAAGGTTGCTCTATGCCGGTGGAGCACATTTTGGCGGTGCATCTGGACCTAGGTAAGCGCATGGTTCTGTACAAATTAACAAGTAGCTTGAGAAATCTTCATAAGGAGCTGGGGAAAGATGTTTTAAACATGCAAAGTGGTCCGATCTATACAAAGTTTTCGATACCGACCTTCCTTACAGATCCTGAAATATATGTATTCCATGTCCCAGAGCCGAGATGAGCATGTTATGACCTCAATTAATATTATACCTAGGTAGTTTCCTGGAAGCTGTTGAAATCCAAAGGTGAAGCGTGAAAGACAGGAGTTACCCCATATAAAGAAGCCGATCAAAAAGCCGATCGAACGGATCATAAAATCGGGGGTTGCAAAGCAGGTCTTAACGACATCACGCTGACCCGTCTTCTTCCGAAGCCCGTGCAAGAATGCCGAAGGAAGCCCGGCTAAACCATAGGCCACGGTCACGTGTGAGCCAGAAGCCCGAGGTCATGTTCACTGTGGAGTCACACAACACTAATGCCTCGCTTTTGATTGGCCTACAGCCCTAGAAATCCCATCCCAGTCGACGTCGTTAGTCATCACAGACGCCAGAGTTGAACTTCTCGGGTTTATCCTGGAGTAGTTGCCGTGGCAGGAGTTCCCCCATTCCACCTCTCCCCTCATCAATCGATTCCCACCGACCTCGGTGTTCTCTCTTGTTTCGGGTTAGAGAAGAATCTCTTTTTAACCCGTCATCATGAGCTCTATGAGCTTGCGGAGCCTTGCTCCTTCCTCCAAGGTGCGTAGCCGAGCTGCGACAATTTTCGGCCCGGCTTCGCGATAGATCTCTAATTCCCATCTCAATAGGTCTCCCGGATTTTGAACAGCCAGAGACGCCTTTTCTCTTCTTCCCGGCCCGCCGGTACGCATTCCGCTCAATCCTTCCCTCCATTTCGTCACTAACGACTTGCTATCAGCCAAGATCTGGTCCAACGGACCGCTGCGCGCCAAGGAGTCCAATGGCTACATCTGGGACAAGTACCCCGTGATTGTAAGCCGACACGCCGCATCGATTGATTAGACGAGATGGAAGTCTGACTATTGCAGGACCACGAGTACGATGCCGTCGTTGTCGGAGCCGGTGGTGCCGGTCTGCGCGCTGCCTTCGGTCTGGCCGAGGCTGGCTTCAACACTGCCTGTGTTTCCAAGCTGTTCCCTACTCGCTCTCACACCGTCGCCGCCCAGGGTGGTATCAACGCTGCCCTTGGAAAGTAGGTTGCCTTTAATGAGATTTCTGGGCACGTGCCGAGCCGAGACTGACTGAAATCTATAGCATGCACGAGGATGACTGGAGATGGCACATGTACGATACCGTGAAGGGTTCAGATTGGCTCGGTGACCAGGATGCGATCCACTACATGACCCGTGAGGCTCCCGCCTCCGTCCGCGAGCTCGAGGGCTACGGTTGCCCCTTCTCCCGTACCGAGGATGGCCGCATCTACCAGCGTGCCTTCGGTGGTCAGTCCAAGGAGTTCGGCAAGGGTGGCCAGGCCTACCGTTGCTGTGCCGCCGCTGACCGTACCGGACACGCCCTGCTTCACACCCTCTACGGCCAGTCTCTGCGCCACAACACCAACTACTTCATTGAGTACTTCGCCCTCGATCTCCTGATGGAGGACGGTGAGTGCCGCGGTATTATTGCCTACAACCAGGAGGACGGTACCCTGCACCGCTTCAAGGCCCATCACACCGTTCTGGCCACTGGTGGATACGGACGTGCCTACTTCTCTTGTACCTCTGCTCACACTTGCACTGGTGATGGTATGGCCATGGTTGCCCGTGCTGGTCTCCCCAACCAGGACCTGGAGTTCGTCCAGTTCCACCCTACTGGTATCTACGGTGCCGGCTGCCTGATCACCGAGGGTTCCCGTGGTGAAGGTGGTTACCTGCTCAACTCCGAGGGTGAGCGTTTCATGGAGCGTTACGCCCCTACCGCCAAGGATCTGGCTTCGCGTGACGTTGTGTCCCGTTCCATGACCCTGGAGATCCGTGAGGGCCGTGGTGTCGGTCCCGAGAAGGACCACATCTACCTCCAGCTGAGCCACTTGCCCGCTGAGCTGCTCCACGAGCGTCTCCCCGGTATCTCCGAGACCGCCTCCATTTTCGCCGGTGTCGACGTTACCAAGCAGCCCATCCCCGTCCTGCCCACCGTTCACTACAACATGGGTGGTATCCCCACCAAGTACACCGGTGAGGTCCTCGACGTCGACGAGAACGGCAACGACAAAGTTGTCCCCGGTCTGTTCGCCTGCGGTGAAGCCGCCTGTGTGTCCGTCCACGGTGCCAACCGTCTGGGTGCCAACTCCCTGCTCGATCTGATTGTCTTCGGTCGTGCCGTCTCTCACCGTGTCCGTGAGATTTCCACCCCCGGCAAGCCCCACAAGGAGCTCGCTGCCGATGCCGGTGCCCAGTCCATCAAGGACCTCGACTTCGCCCGCAACGCCGATGGTTCCAAGTCCACCCACGAGATCCGCAGCGCCATGCAGAAGGCCATGCAGACTGATGTCTCTGTGTTCCGTACCCAGGAGTCTTTGGACGAGGGTGTCAAGAGGGTCGCTGACGTCGACACCTGGTACGACCAGGTCCAGACCAAGGACCGCAGCATGATCTGGAACTCCGATCTTGTTGAGACCCTTGAGCTCCGCAACTTGTTGACTTGCGCGTATGTGCCCCCGTGACCAGCTTATATCCAATCCAGCTAACCCTCATTGCCAGTAACCAAACCGCCGTCGCTGCCGCCAACCGTAAGGAGTCCCGTGGTGCTCACGCCCGTGAGGATTACCCCGACCGTGACGACAACGAGTGGATGAAGCACACCCTCACCTGGCAGAAGGAGGCCCACGGCAAGGTCGACCTCTCTTACCGTGCTGTTGAGGCCAACACTCTGGATGAGTCCGAGTGCAAGGCTGTACCGCCGTTCAAGCGTACCTACTAAGCTTGATAATTGGGACGTGTTTGGAGGAGTCCATGAAAAGACCGTGCTTTCTATTTGACTTGTGTTACTTTACCATCCTGTATAGCCATATTTTTCCTTTATCGGGCGAAGAGTTGGTGTACTGAGAGCTATTCCCTCAGTTGTTTCATATCACTGGATTTTCTTTTTTTTTGACTCAATTTCCTTGGCCTCTCGTAGTGTTCTAACCCGTTCTGCGTGCTCTTTGGAGGATGCTAACAAAGAAGACCTGCCCAACTTGTATTACAATTCTGTTTTCAGAGTGGAATGCAGATCTCCCTGGATCGTGCGTGCTAATTAGATCGAGCAGGCCCGGCCCTTCAGGATACATCTCGTCTATTTTGGGAAAGGGAATTCGTATCCCCCAGTATGCTATCACAGTCACAAAGGCGCATCTACGCCATGGCGCTCTTTTTATTCGGTCTAGAACTGGAGACATCATCCTGAACAAAGAGCTCCACTTCATTCACCAGGCAATACGAGATGCAACTTTCCAACTCCCCAATTGGGGATATTCGTCGAGGCCCGTCGAGTCTGGTCCACGGGTGACTTTGGTCTTATCATTCACTCCAACCTCAAGCATTTTGTTGTGATTATTTCTGCAAACACGCCCTTTCTGCCTTTCCTTCAACCCCCCTACTTTGCTGCTGGATAAGCGTATCTACACTCCATACTTGTCTTTTCAACAACCACTGCGATGCATTTTCTCTTTCCCCGAGCTTCGAATAATGGATGCTCCGAGGGCGAATCATACTATGTCTGCTCCGCGGGGTCTTTTCGTGGATGTTGCTCGACTGATCCATGTGCGTCGGGCAAATGTTCAGACTATCATTCGACCACATTCCAGACTACGTCCTCGAACTCGAACTCGCATTCGACCACTTCGGCCAGAAACACTCCGACTGCAGGTCGGACGTGCACTGTGACGGAGCAAACCATCTCCACGGCAATATTGACGAGCTCTGGAGTTAGCCTTAGCGTGGATAATCAGACCAGTATCCTATACGTTTCAGCAACGAGCACCCCCCCAGTCGTTCCAACCAGCGGAACCACCAAATCCACGAACACAGGAGCCATCATCGGGGAAATTCTGGGAGGTCTAGCAGGTCTAACCATCTGCGCAGCGCTGATATGGATCTGCCTCCGACGCAAGCAACAAGCAAAGCTCGACATCAGATTGCTCTCGTCGTCATCTGCCCAATCTCCACATGGTCGAGAGATATCTTCCATCCGCGCGATCACCCACCTACCACGAAAATTCAACACTCAACGATGGAACGCCGATCACAAGATCGTTTCACTCATCCCCAGACTCCCAGACATCGACAACATCTCAGACTCCGTGGTAAGCCCACCACTCACAAGAGGCACAGGAGGCACAGGAGCATCCCACACAAACACAACCATCTCTAGCATCAGCTCATCAAGACCAAGTCTAAGCCTACACGGCCCCTCCATCGGTCCATCAGAACGCTCGGCCTTCACCGCCGGCATCAGCAGTATCTCCTCAAGATCGACATCCCAAATCCCGCAAATGCCTTTAACCCCTCGAATCCAACCCCACACATTCCTCTTCCCCAAGCTCTACGATACACCAGTCAACTGCTCACGCGCTGAACTAGCCCCATACTCCTGCAGCGAACTAATTAAAATACCCCTCGAACAAAGATCGAGGAATCTGAGGCCACATGGACAACTACCCAAACTCAATTCAAAACCAACAGATCCCCCTCTCCCATCCGTTGATAGTATTAGCCCTCTAGAGCTGAGCAGCCCGACATCGATGCCTCGCGAAACACGACAAAGACTCGTCACGTCAGACTCGGTCGTTCTAGCTGCGAATCTGGATCGGTACTCTGTGCCCATTGTGCTGGCGCCTAAGCTCCAGGAAGAATGGTCCGGTGATCCGGAATCGGATCATGTTATGAGATTTCTGAAATATGAGAGGGGGCATGTTGTTGAAATGGCGGAGAAAGAGAGGGGTGGGGACTCCTAGGGTCGATGAAGATGTTTTGTGTAAGCAGGATCCATCGGGAGGACTGTTTTGACGATAAGAAATCTCCCGTATTGGGTGCTGCATGTCAGGCTTGGCTGAGATGGAGATGTGAACCACTGTTTTCTAGGGTTGATTTCAACTTGCCATGCATTCTCAACTATTCTGCTCTCAAGTACAGTAGATTTTGAGAACAGTTTACAGGATTTGTTTCATTTCTGATAAGGCTACATTTTTACACTATCACATAGTCGGTGTTTCGTGTCATTTCGCTTATGATTAGTGTTCTGATTGGTGGTAGAGTTTGGACGCGGGGGTACTAGGGACACCGTCTTTTCAGAAATGACTCTTTTTGAAATCTAATAAACAAACAACTTTTCTAGGTCCGTCTTGTTTAGCATTATACCTTGCAACCTTTAGACAAAACCATGAACTACATAATAGTCCTATTGGCTTAGTGTGTGATATATTTAGGGTTGGAGGTATCATCTCGAGGACATGAAAGGCGATCATGGTGACCGCTGTACTGTTTTATATTGGGAATAATCTTTCATGCATGTTTATCTATATAGTTGTTGTTATCACTAGTGTGTTAAAGTAATTGATCGCGTTAGCGCCTTGGCAGTGGGTCCCGAGGAAAGCAAAGTAGTAGTTTGGGCGAAAGGGGATTTCGCTAATGACCGTAATGAATGAGGCTTGCGAAATACCTAGTCTAAATCAATTCATTATAATCCCTCTTTTTCTCATTACCTCGGTGGCGGTGCTATGATTCTTGCTGTGATTCTCGCTGTTGGTATCAATTGCCAGCCACGGAACATATACTCACGTATCCTGGAGACGCTGCATCGATGAGCCAGTCAGCTCTATGAGATCGAAATAAAAGCCCATTCACAGCAGATATTTGATTGTCCATTTTAGTCAAAGTCCAACCCACATACGTTGCCAATGTCTTAGCAGCGAGGCACTAAGAATGATTTTGCGTGTTTCAGGGCGGAAGCTGATTTTGTACACCTTTGACACTCACTCTTTTTCTCGGCCTACACCGGAGATCTCGCTAAGCCTGATTAGATCATTCATAAATCAACCGAAGCTCCGGGGGCACAGAACGTATTGTGCTTTTGTGTCTAACGACTTATTGCAAATTACCATACAGCCCATGAAATATTCTAGGTCGGGGTCCCGACTCGGTATAGCCTTAGCGATCTTGTTCGTATCCGATGCTGAGTCATTTATAAACCAGCTCCTAGCAGTGAGAACTTTTAAGAATAATCTTGTCTCGCCCTGTTAACAGAGCTTGGAAAACATCGAAGCTTCATTACTGTCCTATAGCCTTCAATTAGCTCCTCCAGCCGGTCGCAATGGATCTCTTTCCACAAGAACCGTACCGTTCCGCTCGTCTCCTCTACCGTGCCCCAGAGGAAACCCCGGCGGACGATGTCTTCTTCCAAGCTCTCTACGGCGACCCCTCAATCGGGTCTATGGCCTCGCGTGCCCTGCAACGGCCGCTCAGCACCAAGGAGCGGAAGGAGATACGAGCCAAGGCCGAAGCTTCGATGTTCTTGTCAGTCCTGATATGCATCATCCCAGATGAAGGCTCCGATAAGGAGCCCGAGGTGATTGGTGCGATCTATTTGAAAGAACAAGCTCCCCTTTTCACACACAATCGCACTCACGATTTCGGAATTACTATTGCACGCCAATACCAGAACAAGGGGTATGGGCCGGAGGCTATATCGTGGATGCTGGATTGGTCTTTTTTGACTGCGGGGCTGCACCGCGTCGAACTGACGGTCTATGAGTGGAACGAGAGGGCACAAAAGGTGTACCAGAAGCTTGGATTTGTTACTGAGGGACGTAGGCGGGAGTGTTTGTGGAAGGGCGGGAAGTGGTGGGATTGTATCCATATGGGCATTTTGGCGCATGAGTGGGAGGCGAAGAAGAAAACTGCTGATTCCTGAAATGCTGATTGATGAATGCGACAAAGAGGGACAATTTGACAAATGAGATGGTATCAGCTTCCAAATTATTTAAGAACGTATAATGGTGGTTATAGGTTAGGCTTGCAGAGTTCGATATGTACAGACCTGGCTTTTCTAGAAGATGGTCACAGGGCACTTCTAGCATCGGTGGTGTTATACTTCGTCTCTGATCGACACGGGTTTGGCGGCACAGAGGTGTCTAAACAGTCGCAAGTTCCTGCGAATGTTTTTGATCGTCCGTTCGCTGCATTCTGATGCCTTGACCATTTGAGAGCAAGTTAGCGTCTGGCATTGCATCATATCACTGATGAAAAGCAGCTTAAAACGGGGGTCCGTCTCGGTACCATATCGCGCTGGCATTCTGGTAGACCTCAGGATAAGGGTGCTGAGGAGAATGCATGTCAGGGTATGTAGGGATATGAGCCGAGAAACAAAGCGAGAGTGTCTGGGGGTTGATTTGGTTTCGAATTCTACTCCAGGATCGTACCTCCCATATATATAAATCTATATATATATATATTTATACAAGTTGCCAAGGTTGACTGCCAGGGCTATACACAGAGTTCCAAAAGGAAAGACATACCTTTGAAGAGAATAGAGTGCGAATCCCGAATTTGAGGAATAGAGTATGTCAACCCCCCGAGTAAACCCCGTAGCGGGGACCCTGGGTGTATGATTGACCGCCATTTGTGCATCACAATATTTAACTTTACCCGTGGGACCACCCACCGTTGAATTACAGTAACCGCTTAACCATGGCGGCCCTTTACTGTGCGCCCCCCTCGAGGACAGTCTGTAGATGATCATAGAACCCAGCCAAGACGGAGCTATACCGATACGTACCCCTGGAGCCATCCGTTCCCACCAGTTCTTCCATGGGCTGACAAACCTACGTAAGCTTGCGGAAACCAAACCTATTTGGGAAATAAGCTTGAACTGCCAATGTCAAGCGGGAATCATTGACTTCAACAAGAGGGGCAATTCGAATCCCTATTCCTGATCGATTGGCACACTATTGGCACATCAGACTCAGACTTGACCATCAACCATGTTCCCCACACAGCATGGGTGAAGAAGTCCGGGCGAATGGCTCCCAGGGTCCATGTTTCATAAGCACAGCGATCGGCGGAGAGCGGAGTGGGGCAAGTGACGAAGAGATGATCCAACATTGACTGCAGAAAGGTTCCTGACCTATTTAAACGCTGCCGCAAGTAGACTTCTTTCTCTTCCATTCCACTCTGAACCCAACATTTCATCGTAATGTCTCCCAAAGTCCTCGTCGTCCTCACCTCCGCCAACGAGATCCCCGCGATCAAGAAGCCTACAGGCTGGTATTTGGTACGTACCCCGCGATCAACTTCCATACCTGGCAACATTTTACCTTGGGCCGAATGAATAAACGACTACCCCGGCCACCCTGATTATCCTCACACCACTGGTACGGAATAAAATCACTAACAAGATCAAAGCCCGAATTCGCCCACCCCCACCATGTCCTGCACAACAAAGTCTCCCTGACCATCGCCTCGCCCAAGGGCGGCGAAGCCCCTCTTGACCCATCCTCCGTCGAAATGTTCAAAGACGACACCTCGGTCAACTTCCTTAACAACCAGAAAGCCCTCTGGACCAAGACCGAGAAGCTATCCGACGTGCTTCCTCGCGTCAACGAGTTCGATGCCATTTTTTACGTCGGTGGACACGGGCGTACGTCAATCCTCTTCCTTGACAAAACATATCAGAACAGTAAACTAACAATTCACAGCCATGTTTGACCTTACGTCCGACGCCACCTCCATCAAACTAATCGAGGCCTTCGCTGCCGCTAAGAAACCCGTCGCGGCCGTCTGCCACGGCCCCTGCGTTTTCCTGAATACCAAGGGACCCTCTGGCAAACCTCTCATCGCCGGCGCGCAGGTGACTGGATTCTCTAATGAGGAGGAGGACCAGGCTCAGCTTTCTTCTGCGATGCCGTTTATGCTGGAGACGGAGCTTGAGAAGGTGTCTGGTGGACACTTTGTCAAGGCAGCCGAGCCGTGGGGGGAGAAGATCGTTGTGGCCAAGACCGAGGTTGGTGGGGATTTGATCACAGGTCAGAACCCCGCTAGTGCGACTGGGGTGGGTGAGGCTATTCTCAAGTCTCTTGGACTTTAAAAGCTTTTAGATTTATGGTTGGGTGAGGAAGGAGAATGATGTAACCGAACACAATATGATATGATATGTTATACGCACTATACACATCTACCGTGTATAGAGAATAAGTGTAAAGTAGGAGTGAGAGAGGCTTTCAAAATTCAGTAGCGAAAGGGGAATAGAGCAAAGCAAAGCAGAAAGAAGCAGATAGTGGGAACAGGAACAGGAACAGGAACAGGAATAAAATCAGTATCAGGAACAGGCCCAAATTAAAATTAAAAATGATAAAATGGGGAGAACGCAAATGGATATCGAATGTCTTGTCCAGCGAGCTGGGAATGGCTCGAGAACAAAACACAATAGATCAAAAATGTTGCAACCAACGTCAATCATAGCGCGGTATTTCGTTGGTCTCATATTCCCGGGTGATAGGGGACGAGACGTTTCAAGTGGCCGTGAGAGAAACCAAGCTCGACGGGCAATCGCGAAGAACAGGTTTGGTCCGATCGGGACAAATGTTCGAGATCCAAGTTAAGTAGGTGGTATGTTAAGGCGAAGGCGACAGAAGGAAATCAGAATTAGGGGGGGGGTGGTTTAGCGGCCCTCCATGTTACCAGTCAGCTCGGCGACTCGGGCCTTGATGCGGGCGACGCGCGACTCGATGGCTGACAAGAATTAGTATATGGGGGAGTTCAAAATAGGGTTGATGAATTACTTACTCTCTTCACCGCTGGTGTCTCCCTCGTCGGTCCGCTCGGACTGGCTGGTGCGAGTCTCGGGTTCCTCGCTTGTAGCAGCAGCACGCTCGGCAGCGTTCTTACGGATCTGAGCCCACCGGTCGTTCTCCTCAGCAAGGGCCTTTTCTTGGCTGATAAGCGCGGGCTTCTGCCCGTGCCCGTTGGCCAGGGTCTTGGGGGTCTCGACTTCAGCAGCAGCAGGGATAGCAGGGGTCAATGGGGATTCTTCGGGGACGAACGCGGGCTGGTCTACCAAAGGTCCCTGATCAAACTTGGAGAATTCCTGGTCGGCAGCGTTACGCTCGTTGGTGTCGACACGGGACAGAGCATCGTACTCAACACCGCGCCGGGTCTGAGGAGGACCGCGGTTTTCGGGAGAACCGGCCACTGGAGCCGACTCTTCCATCACAGGCTCGACGGGCTGCTGAGGAGTGGAAGGCTTCTCGACCACAGGCTCATGGACTGGAACCGGAGGAGGGGCAGAAGTAGGGGCAGCAGGCGTCTCCGGAACAGGCTTCTTCTTCACTACCGGAGCGGCCTTGAGCGGAGACGACTCCTGAGATTCCTTGGCCTTGGCCTCCAGGGCGGCGCGCGCAGCGGCCACCGAGGAGGTCTCCTTAGCACCAGTGCTCTTCATCGAGGGCTGCTCTGCCCGCTTTTTGTTCGTTCCAAACATGTTCTTGAATCCAGTGTTACCGGTCTTCTTCTTCAGTTTCTTCGACTCATCGGGCGATTGAGGAATAACCTCAGGTGTCTGCTCGTCCACCACTGACTTGGAATCCTTCTTGTTGGTCTCCGGAGGTGCCTCCTTCACAAGCTTCTTCGTCACTGGCTTAGGCGAAGCAGGAAGCGGGGTTGCCATGGCAGTGTCCTTGGGAGGCGGAGGTGGTCCGCTCTTGGAACTGGTGGGTGGAAGGGGAGCAGGCGGCATGGGCTTCTCAGCCGGGGGGTTCAGGAGCAGGCTCAGCCGGCTTCTCATCATCATTAGCAGCACCCAAGCCCGCCTGGCTGTCGCTCAGGTAGGCAGTCCGGTAGGCATTCTTGTCGTAGTTACTCGCCCACTTCATGGCCGAGGAGGCTTCGTTCACAATGCCCGGCTGGAGGGTCATGATCGAGTTAGTCTTAGTGGAATAGGCGTCACTGCGGCCGTTTGTCCTCGCCTCCCTAGCCTCTTCTTCTTGCTCGCGATTTTTCTTCTGAAGAGCAGCAGCAGCGGCCTGGATCCGCTTGTGCTGATCAGGGCCAATGCTGGTCTTGCTTTGAGGCGCTTGGTTGTTGGATCGTTTGTAAGACTCTTCAATAGGAGACACCTTCCTGGCCGAGGACTTGCTGCGGCTCAACTTTGTTCCCTTACGACTTCCAAAGCTGAAGAAACTCTTCTTCTCAACGATTTGCGCACCAGCCTCGGGCTCCGGGGCGGCGCCCTTGATTTGCTCTTCAAGAACGAGCCATTTTGTTTGCCGAATGATGGTCTCAAGGAGTGCGACACGACCGAAGACGGCCTTGCGGGCAAGAGGCTCATCGCCAGACAGACTGGTAATCCACACCCACCAGAACGAGTCATCCATGTCCAGAGTGTTGATGCTGGCCAGCTCGGCAGGCTCCAAGGACGGCTCAGTTTGCAGTGCACGCTTATGCGACTGCGAACTCTGGCCGCGAGCGGCAGCAATAGGCGGGAGAATCTTGTCCGGGGGCAGCAGCAAGGGTCCAACTGAGTTGTTACCTTCATCCGAGAAGCCTGAGGACATGAAGTCCGCCCAGGATGGAGTTGTGGGACGTCCCAGGTCTCCAGTCTGTGATTGAGGAGCAGTCTTGATCCTGGCAGAGATCTCATTCCTGGCGGGTGGCTTATTTTCCTCATCCTCGTCCGACTCAATTGAACCACCGAATCCGATGTCCTCAAAACGGGACCACGAGGCATCCCGCAAGCTGGTGGAGTGCTTCGAGGTCGACACGGTGGACTCGTTCGTTGAGGCAATACACTTCAACACACGCAGACATTCGTCGGTCAGGGCCCGGACGGGGTCTTCATAGTTGGAGAATTCCTGCAGGTGCCAGTGTTCATCGCGATATTCAAAGTTCTTTGCCCTGCGCAGCAAGGCAAAGGGAGTAGGCGACACTGTCTCAACAATCATGACTACTTTGGTGGTCGTAACCTGAAGGAGGGTCGGGGTTTCCGGGGGTACTCAGTGGCCTGCACGAGGCCCTGGAGGGAAATGGGCAGAGACGAGATACCGCTGATGCCACGGGGCATATCAGGCGAGATAGAACGCAGATAGGCGAAGAATAAGTGACTCGTAGCATCGGCGGCACTGCCAAAGAAAGTCAGAAATCGTCAACCAAGGGCAAGGAGAAGACATACGCTGCCCAGTTCTTGTAGGCGGCTTCAAAGCCTTTACCGGTGTCAACATGCTCAAAGGCCCACCAACCAGCGTATCTTGAGAGCTTGCGACCTCCCAGACCATTAGACTTGCCGTGTGCAGCAATGGCAGCCAGGAGATCGAAGAAATCGAAGATAATCTTGGTACGAGCGTCAGAGTCGACGCTAATCGGAATGAAGGTTGCGAAGGCGTCGCGCGCCAGATCAGAATCTAGGTTTCCTTTCAGATGTTGTCCTCCCACGAGTCCAGCGGTTATGTCGTACCTTGTTCGCCAACCTTGAACAGTTCGTACGCCTCCCATGTCACAACACCTCCCGGCAATCTGCTCCAACACCATTTCAAGACACCACAGAGAACCTGTACCAACAAGGATCAGCCCACGCTCGTTTGTAACACCTGGAAACTCCTCACCATCGGCTCGGTGAGCCGCAGCTCCTGCATGAACTCATCTCCGCTGACGGGGGCGCCCTTATCGAAGGACTGGTTGAAGTAGTTACGGACGAAGGTACGGGCGGCGCTGGGGTCGGAGCTCGGACGGAATGGCAGGAGGAGGAACGGGGTATCGAGAGCTACACGCGACGAATGATCAGCAATCCGAAGAATGCGCGTGGTAGCTGTAGCACCACCACATGGTTGAGAACAGAATCGACCCACCTCTGGCTTTCAATTCCTGCGAACAGCCTCTGATGAGGTCTTGCACCTCCTCAGGGCCAACCTCGGTGCGCTGCCAGGCATCCTTCCATCTGGGCTTTGCGGGGACGGGGTCGGCAGCGGTAGGTTTCGACTGCTTCTTGACGGCGTTGGAGTCTTTGCTCCGGAAGACTCGACTAAAGAAAGGCATCTTCGGAATGGCGCGACCGCTATAATTGGCTTCGGTGCGGCGTGGCTGGAGACGGCGAGCTCCGTCTGCTGGGCGTCGGTTCGGGACTTATTTTCTAGCGTCAACAAACCAATTAGCCGTGGATTTCTAACGTGAACTGGACCCGGATATGAAAGACCGACAGATTAATTTGACCGACAGAATGGAGGGGAACGAACAGAGAAATTATAGAAAAAAAAAAAAAAAAAGAAAAAGAAAAAAGAAAAGAAGAACAGGACCCGGGATGGGGGGTTTGTCCTGCAGCCCTCAGGCTCAGGCCAAAAAAAAGAAGGGAAGGGTCCCCTGGTCTGAACCGGGGAAAGAGTCTGTGCTCGACAATTGGAGGCTGCAGAGCAATAGAAAAGAGATGGAGGATCAACCACAATCCAGGACTGCAGAACTGACAGAAAGAAAAGAATAAACGAGGGGGGGGGATAAAAAGTTGAGGAAATGAAGCTCAGGGGTAAAACGGGAGGAAGATCTGGAACTTGGGACTAACCTAGCCGCGATGGTCGAGACCGCCCACAAAGAACTAGAATGGCAACGGGATTGGATCGGCGACCCCCTGGTAAAGCGAGATCGTGAAACAAAACGGAGGTGTGAATCTATCCTATGAGTGTTTGGAATACCAAGTGGTATGTGCTGTGCTGAGAGTGGATGATACTGACGTCGATCATCATCCAAATTGGGGTTATACGATCCAGGGTTCCCGTGCGGGTGCGAGTGACAGGTGATAGGTATTATGGACTCGCTTAGGCAGTACCTTCTACATATATTGGAGATAGTTCGATCGAACGGGCATGGATTAGAGGTGGATCTAGTGACAGGTCAATTGTGGTGGGGTATAGATGAAGTGGCTAGCCATCTATGAGGTATGAGGATGGGAGAACATAGATGCGATACTTGGGTACTTGGGTACTTGGGTACTTGGGTCCGCTCCTCCTGAATTAGGGAATGACAAAGCAATGACAACTCACCGTGGCACCCTTATCAACGTGTCCAATTGTACATAGTCGAATAGTTAGGTAGACATAATCAAAGACATCGACATCGACGACATAGACATGGGGTTAAACATAGACTCAGACTTCGTCATAGACTTGACTGTCTCAAACTAAAGCCCTTCCCCAGACTCAAACGGTTATCGACCCGCAGCCACAACTGTTGAACGTACTGTAGCCATAACTCTTCCAACTATTGAATGCTTAAATTCCTGTGCCCATCACTGCGGATACAGCCAATCATAGAGCTCCATTAGGCTCCACTGTGATGGCCATAAATAGAACGCCTCAGGCAGGGCTGCTGAGATAAGCGTCCCTTCTCCCCTTCTTTTTTCCCTCGATTCTATCTTTAGAATCAACCTTTTCTGCATCGTCAATCAGCCCCCCCATCTCTCCACGGTATCGCATCGGCGGTTCCTGTTATTTCCCAAACTGTGGTCGTCATTCCTTTCCCTGTTGGTCGCGTGGTTATCCACTCTCCCTCTCCCTCCGTCGCCTTTTCAAGTCTTTCTCGTCGCGACTAGAATCGCGCGACAAAGCCCAAGTCACAGTCACACCATAACTGGGAATAGCTTCGGATACTTACTGTGTGGCTGTACTCGCTTTGGAGTCGAGTCGCCTGCGTCTCCCGAGTCGCTAGAAAACTCGTGAAACATTCTCGAGGCGACTCTCTTTCCTGACCCCTCAGTACCCGCGCGCATCCTGCGCTCGTAGTCGTCCAAAATGGGTCGCAGAAAGATCGAGATCAAAGCGATCAAAGATGATCGTAACCGCTCAGTGTAAGCTATGCACTCAACATCCCATCCTACAGATTACTGACTTACTTCATGCAGCACATTCCTGAAGCGAAAGGGTGGCCTATTCAAGAAGGCGCATGAGCTCGCGGTTCTTTGTTCGGTGGACGTCGCCGTCATTATCTTCGGTCACAATAAGAAACTGTACGAGTATTCTTCGTGTGATATGCCCGAGGCCCTGGGGCGCTACCACTACGTGAGTTGGTTTTTTCTTGGTGGCGAAACAATAACTAATCTCACCATCCTCCAGTTCGGTTCTCCCCATGAACACAAAGGACCCGGTGACTTTGAAGGCAAGCGCGACGACGAAGACGAGGAAGACGAGACTACCCCCGCCCCTGAAGAGATGCAAGCCCAACAGAGCCACCCCGCCGTTCCGCCACATCTACAACAGCCCGGTTTCCAACACATTCACCATGCTCCGTCTGCGTCTCCTCCCATTTCCAACGGCCTTCCGATATCCCGACATGGCACTCCTTTGTCACAAGGTGTCTCCCGGCCCACATCTAGAAACCATACTCGTCGCGTCAGCTCGAACCTTGGCCCGCATGGACATGCTACCCCCCCGCCGCCACCTGCTCCCCAGAACGGTTTCGCATACATGTCCAATCCTTCTATGTATAACCCCAATGTTCACTCCGCCATGACACAGCAACGCCCCGGACAATACCAGCAGTATGGTCATCCCCAACCCGGTCCACAGGGAACACCACCTCAGGCTATGCATCACCAGCACGGTATGCCTCCACAACAGATGCCTCCCCATCAAGGTGCACAACATTTCCAACACCCTCACGCGGTAGCTTCGCAACAAATGGGAATGCCACCGGGGTCGCATGCTCCAGTACAGCAAGTCTCGCAGGCCTATATCTCGGAGCCAGGTAGAGGTTCGATGCCACCCGCATATGCACCAGAGTCCCAGGATCGTACGGTTCCAGTAAACGAGGGTTCACAGGATAATGCGCCGGGTGGTTTGAAGGTGGATCATAACCAGTCGCCGCCACAAGGGAAATCCTTCTCAAAGTCCCGCAGTATTTTCACCCCAATTGATGATCGTGGATCCGTTCTTGCCCGTCATTTCGGGGCGGGGGCGCCGACATACGAGTCTCCTCGTGGGAACCAAGCTTTGAGGATGGAATCACAAGGCAATTCACCTGATACCAAACCCACTCCCATGAGTGAGCCTTCACATCCCCAGTCAATGCCCTCGGCGGCCGATCTCAAACCCACTCGGAGTAATAGTGGTGTACACGCATCGAAACGCCCTCAACTAAAGGTCCAGATTCCAAGCGAGAACTCTGATCGGGGCAGTGCGACGGGCGAATCGGGTTCACGGGACTCCGCTGGCAATAACACGGCGACACCTGCCAAAGACAATCCTCCGACGGGAGTGGTCCTACCACCACCATCGCCCTCGGCAGGGGCAATTCTCAGCGCCGGCGCCCAGGGACCTCCAAATCCATTCGCTCGCCCTCCACCGCCGGGTACCACAACTCAAAACAATTCAAATGGGAACAATACCAGCAATACGAACAACGGAAACACCCAGAATAGACACGAGACCCCAATATCTGCTCTCCCAAGCCGATTCATGTCCGACGCTCTTCTCCCATCACCATCCAGTTTCTTTGCCGACGATTGGGCTGCCTTCGGCCGCTCAGGACCAGACTCAAACTTATTGCCCAGCCCATTGAACTTCCCGACACCAGCAGTACAAAGCGGACCCAGCTTCTCTCGCGATGACGAACAAGACAAGAAACGCAAGAGTCCAGATAGCGCATCCGGCGGAGAAGGGACCAGCAAAAAGCCAAAAACGGATGGAAGCTGAAGTTCCTGAATAATGGGTCGTCATACGTCCGGCAATTGACGCGGTCTGCAAAATCTCAAAACCAAAGGATATCCAGGTCGATATCCCCCTTCTTCTTCAATCCTTCTCCACACACCTCTACTTCGTGATCTCTTTCCCTGATTTTGTTGAGCCCAGGATGTTATGCTCTTTATACCCCGTTCTATACCTTCCACTTGATCTTGATTCCTATCTTTTACTTCAACTTCATGTTCTATTCGTCTTTGATATTTATGATCTTCTTATGTCATGGAATTTTGAGTTGATTACACCAGAACGCCTCTTTTCCTTTGTCTCTCTTCTATATTCCTTTGATTTTTCTGTACCGGATGTCTTTTTTTCGATTCTTGGGTATTTTGATTTTTTGGACCGGCGTTGATACGTGCGGATGATGTATATAGGCTTTTTATCACTAGCAACGGAATTCCAGTGTTTCTATGCCATCTCATCTTGTTAATCATTCTTACCAGTCGGAGCAAACAAGTCGCGGAAAAAGTCCTTCGACCACATTCGATACTTAAGACTGTCTGTGGCTGATCTACTTGTACTCATGTGCGATCGACAGGGAATCCCAGAGGATCTACTCCAAGTTCGACCTGAGAATGAAAATGACGTCTCCAGATCAGAAAATGTCATAACCGATTCCAATAACGAAGATGCGGATAGCACCTCTGTATTTGACGTAGACTACGAGTTTGAGGATGATACTACAATACTAAGGGAGTATTCATTCATTTCTGTCGGCGAGAATATCGCACTGCTCACTATGCATCAACTCGTTTAGTTAACTGTGTGCACATAATTGAAAATCCATAGACAACTCGAGCAGTGGAAAAAAAGGTTATCAATACTCCATATAATGAATTAGTTACTGACCGGTGAATATGAAAACCAATAAAGATGTCGCTCGCTCTTTCCACATGTTAATTCAGCGGTAGCACAGCGACCAGAATCATAAGTCTGTCTAAGAAAATGGGCTACACTACTTTATAGCGGGACATAGATTGCTCAGAGCCGAACATCCTAATACGCTAGCGAGTATAGTCAACCTAGCGTCAACGTATAGGAACCAGGGCCGGTATGAGGAGGCCGAGCCGCTCGAGGTGCAGGTTATAGAGACGAGCAAGACGAGGTTCGGCGATGATCATCCCGACATGCTCCTGAGTATGGCCAGCCTGTCTTTCATATGGAAATGTAGGGATCGAAATTTCGACGCTATCGAGTTTTTGAGGGTCTGTGTGGTGAAACAGCAAAGCATCATAGGTCCTGTTCATTCTATTACTGTTTCCAATGCCAGAGCCCTACTAGAATGGGAGACTGGGGATCTGGGTCTCGATGCATGATCAATTGGAACACCAAGATTCCACTTTTACAGCGTAAAATGTAGATATCACTGAATTTGGCTATATAGTTAAATTTATATGCCTCTTACCTACGGTACAGTATAATCAGAAATCATGAATTCAACATCACTCTCCCGTGAAGGCCTGAACACTTGCGTTGTATAAGTCCCGTATTGATGTTTTGTAGGTACCATACACCTTAAGTCAGCAAAACAGCGCCTTTTACCACACCATCTACATTAAACCTAGCGTGTTTTCACGCCAGAGTTCTAGAAGCGTGTCCTTCATGTGAAGTATGGAACAAAATTTCGAATATTAATGCAACACAATGTGACGAAAATTGTCCAGCGAAATGCAATTTTGAAGGTACTATCCGATAGGTTAAAAACTCACGCTTTTATTTCTCGACGCGTGCCCGAAGAGGCTAATATGATAATAAACCATGACTAGCAGTATAGTGGTACATAATGTATTGGGGTGTAAGGCCCAATGAGTCATTGTAAATTAGGGTGCTATCCCATGGAAACTTTTAGGGGCCTGCACGCTTGCCAAAATTTATGTTTGCAATTTATTTCAGACAGCAAGTCAAATGGAGACGGCGCGTTTGCGACTCGACCCGATCGGCCTGCACCATCTGGATGGATTCCACAGAATCTGGACGAACCCAGATGCAACACGCTGGGCGTAAGCCATTCCAAAATTATAACATACATCCTCCAAGACAAGGAAATGACAGTTTCATCAGTACAAAAGGCACCTTGAAAACCATCGACCAAACGTACGCCTGGCTTTCGGGGATGCTACCGGAGAACCGACCCGGCAGCGACAACTACGCAATCTTCATCAAGAATGCGAATAGCGACGAAAGAGCCGTCATCGGCGTGGTAGGTGTATACCGCATCGATCCAACCCCAGAGATAGGGTACATACTCCACCCTGCGGCCTGGGGCAAAGGGTACGCGACAGAAGCTGTGGCGGCATTTATCCAGCACTTCTGGCAAGCTAGACCCGATCTCGACACTATCGAGGCAAAAGTGGACGAGGAGAATTTATCTTCAAGACGTATACTCTACAAGTGTGGTTTTGTTCAGAGTGAAACCATTATAGGAGGGGCTGAGCGAGCATGGCTAGATCCCCCGAAGAGGAATATTGTTATTCATAGACTTAAAAGGACGTGATTGCACTTTTATAAGCAAGGGCACTGTATAGTTGGAAACACCCTTCGCTACGTCTCCTACCACAATAAACATGGCTCGGTCACATTGCCCCTTGTATATTTAATTAGCTGAAATTCAATGTTATTAAACACGATCCGGTCCCATTTACCGATGCCCAGTGCAGTGGAGTGTACCATTTGCATCCTTTGAATTGAGCTGCGGATGCCCTTCATCGATGAGAAATTCCACCACCCGCAGGCTCTTACACTCTACCACGATTGAGAGTGGCGTGCGCTTATCATTGTCCCCCATTTCAATCAAAGCCCCAGCATCTTTTAAACACTGTAATATCTCCAGTTGCCTTCTTTAGCCGCCAAATGTATGATTGTTGTGCCAGTAGCATCAGCCAGGCTCGCAACGTGAATGAGAGAACTTTCAAAATTCACCATCGCTGTAAAGACCCCAAAGGTTGGTTTGTCACGCATCATAACGCCCTCCCTCAGCCAAGCTACAGCACCCATGGACAGCTGGTATAATGACGTGTCTATGCTTAGGGAGGCTGGTATGGGTCCGTTGGGCTAATCACAACGCATATATGATTACATCCCTGTAGCCTCGTTACTTTGCTGTGCTTACGAGTAGTCTACCTAAAGTTTGCGTCAATCTAAGAATGCGCAGTACCGATACTTAGCATATCTAGAAAGAATAAATCTTTGATGGGTCCAACACGCCTACTGGAGAGGAAGGGCCGAGATAAACTGTAACATTGCCTGGTTCTAAGCCAGCCCACTACTATAGGCCGCTCTAATGAGAATGAGAGCCCTGAATTTATGAACATCCTGTTGCTAGCCCAGTCGAAAGCCTATCCACCGAGGGGCTGAGTGCAGATTCTAAGACGCCGACTGTCTCAGATGGGGGCTCGTGGTTCAATGGTTTATTTGGTGAGGCTTTGAATACCCTCCTTTGCACCTCTGAACTTGCAAATGAGGTGGGATAGTTCCTCGATTAGGACGATTAGGCCGGCGATGCTACCAGCTGTGGACAGCGAATCAGACATACCCGTAGGGAAACACCTGGATAAGTGCTTAAAGTATCGTCAGCGAGCTAGATGGTGGTCGGATGCGGGCGGGGGTTGCACATATTATAACGGCACTGCCCCGGCGAGGCTATCACAAGGCTGCGCGACAAGGCTGTGACGAGGCTGCATCTCACCTGCAGCATTAGAGCACGCATTACAATCATTCATCAACGGAATATGTCAATTTATCAATGCTTGCCTCGAGGCAAGCTGATTCATATTAAGACGTCGTAGAAATGAATTTAATGGGTGCAATAGATACTCTAGTACTGTCAACTCTCGTGAGCACCACACCCTGAAGCTGCACCATATCGTGAGCAGCACCCCTTTTCCATGGATGCCCCACTTTAATTGAATTATGCTATATCTAAGAAGGCAAAGCTACACCCATGACTGTGTGCAAGAATTCACGAGAGTTGACTGTATATGCTGTGCCGGTGAGAAAAAGGCAACAAATGGTGCGGGCAGTGTGTCAGCGGAAATCCATCATCCAGAGTAACCTACGTATATGCCTTACTGACGTCCCTTCTTGAAATTACCTACTCTATTCAATCAACCCAACCAAACCCATCAGAGCAAGGTTTTTATAAAAAAAAACCGAGGTAGGCAAGATACCTAAGAAAGAACCTGAGACTTTTTCAACCACTCATGCGCCTCTGCATAAATTGCCTGCGCAATTTCCTCCCTCTTCTTCCTACTATTACCCCCCTTCTTCCTCGGCGACGCATGGGTAAACCCATGCGGACACCCCCTGGCTAACGTCCACTTATACCTGCCCACCTCAAAGTCCTCCTCCTGCTCCACCCCGACTCTATTATCCAACCCGGCCAACCCATGAATCATCTCCTGCGTCTCCAACCGGAGCATATCCCACTGCGCCCCAATCATATAAATCCATGGCGGCAGCTCATCCCTCCCCGCATACACTGGACTGAGCAGTGGATCCCTCCGATTCTGCCCTACACTCACATACCCCCAGTCCAGCCACCAGGAGATCTTTTCTAGCGTATCCTTCACCAGACTAGCTTTGTACGGTCTCGAATCTAGCTTTTCATTGGGTGGGTGGCCGAAATCTACGATGGGGTAGTATACTACTGCTGCTTTGATCAGGTCTTTCAGACCGGGGGTTTGCGAGGCAGATAACGCGAGGTTGCCGCCTGCGCTGAAGCCGCCGATGGCGATGCGCGAGTGGTCAATTGGGAGGGAGTCATCTGCTAGCACGCACTTGGCTACCTCGGTAACATCAAAGGTGGCTGTTGGGAAGGGGTGGAGCGGCGCCTTGCGATAATTGAGGCTGACGACTAGCATTCCGGTGCGGTTAGCCCAGGCGCTGCAGAAGGGATCGTCGATGGTGGCGTCACATAGTGCGAAGCCGCCGCCGTGGATATTGAGGTAGAGTGGGAGGAGTTGGCGCTGGGCGGGGTTGTAGGAACGCGGGTAGAAAATGCGGGTTTCCAGGGTTGAGCGGCATGCGTAGCGCTTGGTGAGAGTTGGTTGGGTGCCCGGTTGAAGGGAGTTGATGAGGCGGAGATAGAGGAAGTAGAGGGTGGCTAGGGATTTCAGCAGCCAGAGTTGGAAGAAACAGCTTAGGCGGTGCGCGAGGGATAGTCGCTCTTTTGGGAGAGGAGGGATGGATTTCTCCATCGCTATTTCGTCCTTATCTGAATTCTCGATCATTGTGCTGGGCACTGATGGTGGAGGAGAAGGAGAGAGGCGGAGGGGCGGTGGTGAAAGGAAGAATCGAGTTGTTAGCGGTGCAAAGTCAGTCGGGCGAGAGCTGTGATGGATGAATGAATCTGTTGGGATACAGCGAGGATGACTAGTACGTGTTTGTCATAGCATGAGCAGTACTAATCGCTCTGTTGGGCTAGTCGAGTTCTTTGTTTTATGAACTCTAGGCCAACCCCACCAAGCCCTTATCCTACCGAGAAAAGGATCACCATCTCTCCATTCTCAAGAGTCATAGTCACCTACACTATGGGCGTAGATCATTCCTTGAGTCCCGAGGCTTATTTTTCTAAAGCCTTTGTTCATGCGTGCCATACCGGTGAACCGTCAAGGGTCCAGGAATTCCTCGCCAGCGGGCGAGTAACTGCCGAGGATCTCGATCAGGGACACGGGGCCGCAACTAGACAGGCGCACGCAGAGATCGTGGCTACACTCTTCGATACCGGTGCTAGCGTGTCAGACTGGGCGATAAGCGCTCTCCACGGCAGGTCGAAGCAGGACCTACCTGTTATACTACTAGACGCGGGTGCAGACCCTACAGCGCGATCTGCAGGCAAGCGCTACTATGGCGAACCCCCTTCAGCGGTCGCTAAGCATCAGCAAAATCCTGAGATTAAAGAAAAGCTACTTGATCTCCTCCGGTCTGAAAAATTGCAGGACGAATGAATGAAACGTGAATCGCTTATTTCGAGTTGGAGTATTTGGGCCGGCGCTTAGCACGACATAAGTGCAAGACATGGACCAAATCTGTGGACACACCTTTCCGCCCCAGGTTTATCTGTCGGTGAAGGCTGGTTGGCTGTTCGTTTTGGAATACATTCCCACAATCACATTCAGGCTGGCCCCTTAGTGTTGACTCCCTTTTTTGGCCCCAAAATCGCCAGTAAGTCTACTGTAGTTAGCCAATCCCGATATTTTTGGACGATCCGCCTGGGATCCATGCTTCAATGTTCAGACTATTCATCAGACCGTATTTCCCACTAATTGATATCTCCACTTATGATTTATACCAACTGAAAACCACAATCGTGATCGGTTTCAATGGCCACATGTGCCAAGGCTCCAGAGTCCATTCGGTTATTGACGGCGGTTAGGTAAAAGATCGGCCATTCTTATCAGATACCAAGAGACCAACACTATAACAGGGAAGAATTTGTTTCATGGCAACAGATAGGTGAAAATTCTTCTTGTATCGGCATTACCCGTAAGCACTGGATGAGAGTGGCATCCGGTGGCGAGAGATAGTTACTGGCTTCTTCGTGCCAGCTTACGCTTTAATTCGCAGCCAAATCGTCGCATGGTTTTATCACCTCCTTACATTGATTGTCACCTACCATCCACTAGCGCTCTACTTTCTTTCTCAATTCACAACTTCTCTCATGACTTCCACCCACACCAGTGCTGAACACCCCGAAATAAGCAACAAACGTCCAACGACAACCTACCTCTCAGAAGGGAAAGAAGACGAAGAACGCCACCTGGATAGACCATCTCCCCCTCACAAGATGAAGATGAGAAGCCGCAACCCAAATCTCTCAAATACTAATCGCGTAAGACTCGATGTGCTTGCTCAACCTGGCGTGGGCCGTTATGCAACCCCCAATTTAGCGTGGCAAAAAAATTCTCTTCGATCGCGTCTATAGCGGCCTTCCAATATAGATCGGATTCTGGGGTGTAGAAAAGTGCGATAGATTATATACCCCCATGGCCAGCGCTTATTCTCTTTTCTTAGAATTGAAGTGGCATCACATCTGCCGCTTTGGAACCCGCGCTCTGATTGGACTTTGCGTAGACTCTGTAATTGATCTGCTCAGTTTCGCCAGATAGAAGATCCCCGGACTGGGACGTCCATAGCGTGGCCCAGCTCTCATGATGGTATAGCCATTTGAAGAAGACAGGCTCTAGCGATTGTGGCATTGTTGAAGGAAAGTGAAAATTTGTAAATTAATCGTCGATTATTAGCAAGGGAAAGGAGTTACCTTTATAATACACGGCGGGCTAGCTATTCCTGACAGCGCCTAGCATTCAAAGTCCGTCTTCTTAGCATCAAGGGGCTTACAGGGCCCAGATGTAACCGTGAATATTGTACTCATTAGGTGCTTCACATTCACGTAGGCCTTTCCATCAGTTATGGATTAATCCATCCCATAAGCTAATAAACCTGACCAAACGCAGGCGGTAGACACTTTTGACTCATGCAGTATTTCTGTTGTCACCAGGTGGTGGTGGAAAAAAAATCTTCGTATACGAAGATCTAGTTGGTTTGCATCATCCGTGAATCGAACACGGGCCTCGTCGATGGCAACGACGAATTCTACCACTAGACCAATGATGCTAGTTGATATTTGTGGGTCGACTGATCAAATTCTAAACTCCTGACATCTTCGCATCTATTTGAATCTTTGTTCCAGTGGAAGTGGTCTGATTAATATTTCGAGCGATTGACAGAAGTATTGGCTACTTGCGGCAATATATCCGCATAGGGGTCTGTACCAGGTACATTCACCCCGGCAGCACAGATAGGTCTCAAAACGCACCATCGAACAACGCCAACCCCATTTATTCACGCCTTGACGATCCTTCAACAATATACTCATCATTAAACTGGGATTCCGTTCAACCGAACGAAGTTGATCAAACCAGCTCGGCCAATCGGCCAGAGGAAGTCAATTCTGATGCGGAGCCGCACACCCTGCAATATCCCATTCAATACATGTGTTTCAACAGACTGAAGACGCATTTGGCTCATATGGAAATGCAATCTATTTTTTGTCCTCTTGCCCCACCTCGAAGTTATGTCAATTACAAAATAGCAATGCTTAGCCTTAGCTTATAATAAATACTCACCCTGGGATCTGGAACACATTGCCAGCGCCTGACTTTGATGCTGGGGGAGAAAGTCATTATTCAAGGGAAAGATCTCCTAAATAGGTACCACCGGACTGAGGCGTTTTCTCTGTCTTTAGACAGAAATGAATCTTAGCTGAAACATGACCGCATGAGTTCTATTTCATCGTAATCAAGTAATGTAGCCGAAGGCGATCTAGTGTAACTAAAACAGCCAACTATAACAATAAGTCTCCAATTACAGTCAGAGAGGAGAACTCGGGGTTCGGTGATTGATTGATTGCGGGGTAACGAAGGCCGCATACGCCGAGATCAGTATAAAAGGTCATGACGCGGGTGGCCCCCGCTCATCCTTCTACACCTCGATTCCACCAAGGTACACATTAAGTATAAGCTTAATTCCCACGCGATGACTCTTACTGGTAGCTGCATGTGTGGTGGCGTCCACTATACCGCTGATGGTTAGTTCATTAGATGTCGAGATTCGAGATTGATGGGGCTAATTGCGTGCTAGTGGACAAGTACTTGTCGGCGCTTTGCCATTGCACTGATTGCCAGAAGGTGAGGGAACCAATTGATAATATTTTTGAGGCAATGAACGGATTCTAACAGCGAAAAGTGGACTGGAGGCGCATTCACTTCCAACGCTGTCGTGCCCCGCACCAGCTTGAAGATGACTAAGGGTAAGCTCTCTCTATGGCTCAAATGTCTCAATCATCAAGCTAATATGCAATTCCACCTTGCTAGGAAGCCCTAGTACCTACGATGCTGTTGGTGATAGTGGCAAAATCAACAAACACTTTTTCTGCCCTACCTGTGGATCGAGTCTGTACACCGAGCTGGAGCTCATGCCAGATATGACCTGTATCAAGGCCGGCGGCTTGGACAACGGCGAAGCCAACCTAGGCGGTAAGGTCGATATTGAATTCTATGTCAAGGACCGCCCTAGCTATCTGGCTGCTGTTGAGGGCGCCAAGCAGGAATCGGCGTTTGGTGGTTAAGTTATCCGCGGAACCGGCGTTTGATGCATGATGCGGGGGTGGAGAGCTGTAGGAGCGAAGCCAGTTTATGCATTCAATGTTTTGGTTTGGGTGCTGAGTGGGGTGGGGGAGACGAAAGGGCTTCGGGTAATGACGAAGGGTTCCTAGCCCACGCTGGGCGCTAACTGGTTCATCTCTTTCCGAGATCCTTTACCCATCGACCTTTCAACAATTACGAGATCCCCAATCTTGGGAATCTCTTGCCAATGGATTATACTTCTAGTGGCGGGTCAACTGATAGCGAGGAAATGGCCCTACGGCCCCATTACTACGCTAATTTACCGAGAAAATAGAGCTCATTCATATGCCAGCGGGGTCGCCTAATTTTGATCCGCCACAAGTCCAGTATATGCTGAGGATTCTTAAGTAATATCAGCGAATGACTCCCCTTCACTGTCTGCTCGCTGCACATTAGCTTGTCGCTGCGCAAAAGAAGGAAAGCTTGGCTCGGATTGATTCAGTTTTGCTTTCTCTGCCTCGAACCAGACTTCAGCAGGGCTTAAGGAAACAGCACCAGCTACTGCCCTCCTCTTTTTCTAAGCTGATACATCTTCCCAACCACTTCTAGGTTGCGCTTTCAGTGGTATAGAGGGGCCTCCGAGATAGTAAGAGTAGCATTCATCGTAAGGCAGCGTCCGCTCTTCACCTAAACGAGTAATCTCAAAGCCCTGAGTATCCAAGCTCTCAAAGAACTGACCCAGCACTGTTTTATTGTTTGGCATTCGAAAAGATTCGTCTGCTCTGTCTGGCAAAGAAATGTGTATCGTGAAATATGAGGGCGGCGTTATCTCAACTTCATTTGGCCACTCGTCATGTCCCGGGTTGAGATTCCCGTAGGCCAGGCTACTCTCATTGTTTTTAGAGTGGCCAGGATGCACATTGAAATTTTCATTCGTGGACAAGTCCATGTCCTCCATTCCCTCGAAAGTAAAATTGTTACTTGCTCCTGGAAAATCATTTGAAGAGTTATTCGGGCTTTGGATCGTAATGACGTTAAGATAACTAAAGAAAGCACGGAAGACTGCCTGTCGTACAAAGACCGCTGACATTCGGGGTTGCCCTGGTGGATCTCAGGTTGAGGCTGGATCAGCTTTTTCATCACTGCTTGGCCAACTTCGAGGTATATCCTGTCCTGGAAAAAAGTTCCAAGTGTTGAAATGGGATAGTGAATGGCTTTAAAGCGCTCAAAAATTCCAACCCGCTGCTCAGGGTCTGTAATGCACGGAAATATCCTATTTTTTTGCATCTCTTCATTCAAGTAATGTAAATCTTGGCTGGACACACCAGGAGCACGAGACCTGATTTTGCGCACGGAAACGGCGTCGACAGCTGCCAAGAGTGTAAGGTCGCGGTTCATTAATTCACAAAACGTCTTCTTGATGAGATTTAAATAGGAAATGAGTGGCTGTTCCATTAGTCTGCGTTAGTTTCCAAAACTCTAAAGTGGCTTTCACTTTACATTACCTCATTATATTTCATCGCCCCTAATTTGTGTAAAAGTCCAATATGCATATCTGCCCAAAGACCAGGTATTGGGAGGAGTGAGTCGAAAGCTTCGGCAAGTTCTTTGTTGCGTTTGAAGAATGCTTTCAGATATTGTCGTTTCCGGCTTCCTGAGCCATTTTCCAAGACAGATCACCAATGCTTAAGTGCTGGAACATTACGAACACCATCAAGACTCCCTGAATAAAGCCGAATCTTATGGTAAATCAGACCATCTGGCGGTTAACGATCATTGGGAAACCGTTCGCGAAGACAGCGAAGGAACTCTCTCTGGAGACCAGGATTCTCGCTCATAGCATTATTAGGATCACTATCTATCCCAAGAACCTTATCAGTCCTACTAGAGAGGCGAGTAATACTTCTTCACATAACGTCTACTCACTGCCTAATCCAGTCACGTAAACATCGACGACCCACCAAGGATCATAGCCCTCGAGTTGGCTCCGAGCTGCAAGAATAACATTCACATGGTCGAGAGCAAGAAGCCGATATCCACAGTCCACGTTTAATTAATAAGGAATGGCGCCATCTATTGAGCTCTTTCTTACTCTAATTTCCCAGTCATTAGAGTCAATCGAAACAAGTATATGGTATTCCTGGCTCAAGCGCAAGCACCCTTTGATTTTGAAAATCTTCTCAAGGCGCGCGATATTCCTGCGGTCATCCATCAAGCGACCGAAACTTAAGGTCTCCAGTGAAAGGTCACACAGCCGTACCCAAGCCGAACCTTGGAAATGCAGACGACCATAGTCAAAAAGCCTTGTCTCTTCTCCGGTGAGACCCTGCATATTGACAGAGCTATGCCACGAGAGTGAAAGCTTCAATAGAAGTTATTTTGTTGAGCGACAGAAATCTTGAAGTATCGCCGTGAATTATATAACTCTTCCTTAAGCAGTCGACCTACTCACTTCTCCAATTAAACCTTAAGATGAACAAACCACATTTGCACGAAGCCCTTTGACGTGTTGATAAGTTCTTCTTAAACTGAACAAACGCTAGCCTTTAAATCATTTAGGCCTCCTCTAAACGGCTCTTTGAATTCTGCTTATATATAAGCCAGTATAACCTTTATGATTAAGATTCTTTCGCATTGTCAGAGCAGTCAACTTTTATCTTCAGGGCAGTTCCCTGCAGTTCGTCATTATAAAGTCTCGCTCAGAATTGAATCTTGATGACCCTAATTACTTTAATGAAGCCCTTTTGCATTTCATCTAGCAAATTAGATTGCAAATAGCCAGAAGCGGCAGAAGAAAGAGCAATACGGTGAACCCAATATATGATTTCCCAGGCCCTATAATTCCTCTTGACACGATGCAAAAAAGCCTCCTTTCACCAGATCGTGTTAAAGAGAAACAGGCATACAACCCTAATCGCATGGAGGAAAACCTGATCAAGACGTGGATGTATCGAAAGATCAAGAGGAAGGCACAGGAAATTGCCCAGAAACAGATGCCCTTAGCGAAAAGATACTTAATAGGCCGGATCCAAAAACCAGATCGACGGAATATTTCGGGACTTACTAAAAACCGTCCTTTGGTTGCTCGATTGGTTAGTGATGCTCTGGATATCATTCCCTTTGGTGTAAAACTGCACAATTACCTCTGGAATCACCGGTCAAATATATTAGAGACTGGTTTTCACTTATTGAAGGAGCTCCATAATATCAAGAAAATTGATAAAGGCCGGTTATCATAGCCTGAAGACAGGCTTCAGCAAAGTCTTGTATCGTCAAGAGGTGCATAGGTACGTACGTTGTGGGCAACAATTAAGTAGGCATTAATCCTGGTGAATATTTGAAGATACAACTTGCAAATTGCAGCTCTTAATATTTTGCGTATGTCTGAAAGCTTTTGATTTACTGCATATTAGACAGGGTCAACAAAACAAGGCCAGACGCGTGCTTCCAGGCAGAAAGAATTACCACAGTAGCCAGAAAGTGGATCGATATTCTCATGAGACATCGCCGCCCGGAAGACGCTGGCGAACGTCGAGTTAGTGCAGGGCTCGCTCTTATCGCCCATGAGGTCCGAGGACTTTACCCCATATCAAACGAAGGGCTCGATGGAACTGTTCCTGTTTCGCAGTTCGAACTTGTAGGAAGCTGGGACTCAGGCAATAGTCAGTTGCCGTTGGCCTCGGGATGAACCCCGAGAAAACCGAGCTGGTTCACTTCACTAAAGAGAAAGACCAACAAGAACACGGCTGAGTAGTCATGAACGGTAAAGAGATCAAACCGTCGCCCACGGCTGAATCGTTAGCTTGATCCTGGATCGAGAAGTATCATGGGAGGAACACGTCCAGCAGCCAGTCAAGCAACCAACAGGAAGGCACAGAAGTGACAGCGAATAGCCTTGACGACGCTCTAAGTTCGTTGTCAGGAACTGGTAGAATCTACAGAATGTACCACTTCTTAGACGAACTTGGAGCCGCGTCGAGGCCTGTCGTGGCCCAACTGCCGTCTGTGTTTGCTGCCCTTATGGCGCGCGACTTCGAAACCGTTACGATGCCACCGCAAAATCTAAAGCGTCGCCCACTTTCGCTTGTAGCTCCCGTCGCAGACCTCTCAGATCCGGGCAATCCAATAGAACGTGAGTGACGCTCTCTCGTTCGCCGCAGACACACAGGTCGTCATCACGAAAGCGGAACGCTTTTACATAGGTGGCTAACCAACAGTGTCCCGTCCGCATTTGTGTCAGCAAATAGGCTCGATCCCTCGGTAGCGGTCCGTAAAGCCGCCTCGTGTACTTGGCCGGTAGTGAGTGATCGATCCTCCGGAGGTGGCTGCCTGTTCTGGATTCATTCCATTCCTTCTCCCATTGGGCGTGGATCCCTATCCGAATGAAGACCTTCTCGCGAGATACAGAGAAGTGCAAAACCAGCTTCACCAATTTGCACTCTTCCATTCTTTTTGGGCCCCACCGCCAAGACACCAGCTTGAAAAATGGGTACCAGGAGCGCAGGGCCAAGAGATGGGACTGGGTCGGTTCGGGCCGACATTTGAGCCTACTATGAGTACCCATTAGACAGGTTTCGTCTGTATTCTTTTGAGCACGACAAAAGTCTTGAATCTATCAGAGTCCTCACTTCTTGTGAACTCTATGATTGCATCCTTGGTCCCATCTTTTCACTAAATAGAGGAACGCATGATTAGTCACATTAGCGCCTGAATGCACTCTAGATCACAACCTCGCGTCAGCACCTAGTTTACCCCTCTTTATCTCGTCAGAAAAGCCCAACATATAATTTCAACCCCTAATTATCACAATCGAGTCGGCATCGCTTCTGCCTACGTAAAATACAAGATTTGTGACGTATTCTTCCAAATGGATGGTTTATCATCGGCAGCGAGCGTTATCGCGGTCATTCAACTGACAGGAAGCCTCGTGAAGCTCTGCGGGGGCTACATTCGCGAGGTGAAAGATGCACGAGACCAGATCCTCAGATTACAATATGCTTTTGCGGGCCTTCAGGGGACCCTTCAAGACCTATATAAATTCCTTCAAAGTACCGACGGAAGCGCCCTACCTACCTCTTCACGACTAGTCCGCAATATTACCGATTGTCTCACCGATCTCTGTTTGTTAGAAGCGAGACTTGATTTAGGAGGGGGAAAGAAAATGATGAGAAAAATGGGATTACGAGCTCTAAAGTGGCCCTTGAAGTGCGCAGAGGTGGAAGGCATCATTCAGAAAATGGAGAGATATAAATCTTCATTCCTATTATCTTTACAGGTGGATCAGACGTACGTTTATTCGAACACAGTATTAAGACTCTGTTGGCTAACTCTAAGCCTACATAGTTCTCTGATTGTCGGCGTGGCCCAGGATATCGATCGCATTAATCAAAATATAGATCTGGGGAAGTTGAAATGCGCAATAGAGGCAGGGTTTGAGTCATTCTCCGATCGAAACGAGGACCAATGTCTCCAAGGCACTAGGACCGAGCTCCTTCAGCAAATAATGGAATGGGCTACGTCGCCCTCCCAAAAAAACATATTCTGGCTAAAGGGAATGGCCGGGACTGGAAAATCCACGATATCTCGGACAGTGGCAAGATTGCTTAAGGACACCGACCATCTAGGTGGTAGCTTCTTCTTTAAGAGGGGCGAAGAGGACCGAGGCAACGCCAAGAAATTTTTCCCAACATTAACAGTGCAACTGATGAATAGCATATCTAAGCTAAGGTCTGGTGTGTATAAGGCACTCCACGATGACCCTGAAATTGCTTCGAAATCGCTTAAGGAGCAGTTTAACAAACTACTCCTTCAACCGCTACTCAATCTTAACCAACTTAGCGGACAACCTCAAACCTCCGTGATAGTGATCGACGCTTTAGACGAATGTGAATATGATCAAGATATGCGAAATATAATTCGATTACTGCCTCTGCTACAGAAGGCAAAAGCGGTTCGCCTTCGGATTTTCTTGACCAGTAGGCCTGAAATCCCAATAAGCCTCGGCTTCTCAGAGATCGCAAATCATAATTATCAGGACCTAGCCCTTCATGAGATACCCGAAGAAGTGACAGAGCATGATATAAATCTATTCCTACAGGACCGATTTACGAAAATTAAATACGACAGAAAGATTTCCCAAAACTGGCCCGGTGATGACGCTATCCAAGAATTGGTCACGATGTCCGTTCCACTGTTTATTTCGGCTGCCACTGTGTGCCGTTTTATCGAGAATTCGAAATGGGAACCCAAAAGACGCCTTGCAGAGCTACTTCAAGACCAAGCTCGATATACAGATAAAATGGATAAGACGTACCTTCCGATTCTCGAGCGACAGTTCGATGATCAGGACAGTGATACTTCAGAGAAGCAGCAGCTACTACAAGAATTCCAGGATATTATCGGGGTTATTATTCTTCTTGCTATTCCCCTTTCTATCAATGCACTTTCTATGTTTCTCGGTCTTGAGCCAGGCCGAATTAGCAATCGCTTAGATTCTTTCCAGTCTGTGCTGAGTGTGCCTATTGACCAAGATCTCCCCGTGAGGATTCTACACTTATCTTTTCGCGACTTTTTGATTCGAAGGGAAGGTAAGTTTGGAGTGAATGAGTCAAATAAGCATAGAGAAATTGCGCATCACTGCCTCAAGACTATGCGACGCTATCTAAAGAAGAACATTTGCAAGTTGGATAACCCTGGAAATTATCGGGCTAGCATCGATGCTCAATCACTTCGGCAATATTTACCTCAAGAACTCGAATACTCATGTCGCTACTGGATACACCATCTCTCAAAATACAATATCTCAGCCTACGAGGCTGAAGAAATTTTAGCTTTCTTACGGAAACATTTTTTAAACTGGGTGGAGGCATTGAGCCTATTAGGTGTTATATCAGAAGTGATAGGAATGTTAGACCTGCTTCAGAGGATTATACCGGTAGGTCCACCTTCCCGGCAATATATGATAGCACTAAAATATTCAGGACGACGACGATTCCGCTATATTTGACTTCCTAGAGGATGCACAGCGTTTCATTCTTATTAATCGTCAGATCGCTGATATAGCGCCACTTCAGCTCTATTGCGCAGGCCTTGTCTTCTCACCCCTTACGGCAACAATACGTAGAGTGTTCAACATGGACCTTCCAACTTGGATATGCCAGTTACCTCAAGTCAACGAGAGATGGAGCTCCCTAATGCAGACTCTCGAGGGCCATTCTGGCTCGGTGAGGTCGGTGGCTTTCTCGCCTAAGGGTCGGATCCTTGCTTCTGGCTCCCGGGACCAGACAGTGCGGCTCTGGGACCCCGCGACAGGCGCGCTACAGCAAACCCTCGAGGGCCATTCAGATTCAATTGTGTCGGTGGCCTTTTCGCCTGATGGCTGCCTACTGGCATCCGGCTCCGAAGATAAGACAGTACGGCTCTGGGACCCCGCGACGGGTGCACTACAGCAGACCATCGAGGGGCATTCAGATTGGGTCAGGTCAGTGGCGTTCTCGCCCAACGGCCGCCTACTGGTATCCGGCTCCGTGGATAAGACAATAAAGCTCTGGGACCTAGCGACGGGCACGCTGCAGCAGACGCTTGTGGGCCATTTAGATTCAGTCAGGTCGGTGGTCTTCTCACCCGATGGCTGCCTACTGGCATCCGGCTCCGAAGATAAGACAGTACGGCTCTGGGACCCCGCGACGGGTGCACTACAGCAGACCATCGAGGGGCATTCAGATTGGGTCAGGTCAGTGGCGTTCTCGCCCAACGGTCGCCTATTGGTATCCGGCTCCGAGGATAAGAAAGCAAAGCTCTGGGACCTGTCCACCGGCACGCTGCATCACACTCTCGAGGGTCATTCTGATTCGGTAAGATCGGTAACGTTCTCGCCTGACGGCATAGTAGCGACTGGCTCTTGGGATCAGACAGTGCGGCTCTGGGACCCCCAGACAGGTGTACTACAACAGACTCTGAATAGCCATTCAATTAGGTCGGTGGCCTTCTCGCCTGACGGCCGTTTACTGGCGAGTGGCTCCTGGGATCAGACAGTGCGGCTCTGGGAACCCCAGACAGGCGCGCTACAGCAGAATATTGAGGGCCATTTAGATTGGGTTAGGTCGGTAGCTTTCTCTCCCAACGGCCGCCTCTTGGCGTCCTGCTCTCAGGATACGACAGTGCGGCTCTGGAACCCGGCGACAGGCGCGGTTCAGCAAATTCTTAAGGGCCATTCGGGCTGGGTTACATCAATAGCTTTCTCTCCCGATGGCCGCCTACTGGCATCCGGCTCCGAGGATAAGACTATAAAGCTCTGGGACCCGGCGACGGGCGCGCTTCAGCAGACGCTGAGTGCCAATGGGCCAATCACCGACCTCGGATTTTCCCAAGATGGTCTATGTTTAAACACTAACCGGGAGACCTTTAATGTTCCTTTCCGGTCTGCGACTCATGCTCCTTGTTCAAACCTCGAGAACTTTGGGATCTGCGTTGAACAGCGTCAATGGATTACGCTACATGGCAGAAGGGCTTTATGGCTTCCTCCAGAGTATCGGCCTATCAGCTTTGCGATTAATGGTAGCCTACTTGCCTTAGGGCCAGCATCGGGGCGCGTCCTTTTCATAAGATTCCACGTATAGCAGCTGCCATTGATTTCCGCTAAATTCCAAACTCTTGGCAAAGGCCCTAAGAAAGAAGGAAACATGTTACAAATTCCACGACCTTCAAACCCCCCAGACAATTGCCAGTCTAGTGTTATAGCTTCCCAAAGATCTGGACCGCTAAGTCATTTTATACTTCCTGAAGCTTCTCAGAATCTGTCGATAAAAGAGGCTTGACGTCAACCATGGTTAATAAGGCTCCCAGCTAACTTACTAAGCCCACAATAAAAATAACCTTGCATCCTAGCTAGTGCTGTAGTCCTGAGGATAAACACGCGCAAGTATTCGATTGGCTATGTCCGTACTAGTCTGTATTGTACAGACTCAGTCTCGGAAAAATCGTCATGGCGATTTAGAATCTATAAACTCTATAATATACGGTACAAATTAATGGGACACAAATTTGGCTTAGAATCTTGGCTGTGGGCCGAGAAGTATGTAAGAAAACGGTGTAAAGCAGTGAACGCTCTTGACGTAATGTATAAAGGTCCATTTAGATACACCCATTTCTTAAGCTAGCGTCTTGGCAGCGGGGCCCAGAAAGATTGAAAGAGTGCAAATTGGTGAAGCTGGTTTTGCACTACTCTGTAGTAGCGGGGCCAAGGGATGGGGTTTTCCGGGTACAGCTGCTTCCCTGGCCAATTGATCTGCAATGTCATTGCCAGGCGCCTCACAGTTTCCGGGAATCCATTGTAGGCAAATCGCGATGCCGTGTGACTTGGCGTTCTTGGCCGACTTTAGGATGGATCTGTTGCGCTGACTTGGTCTTCGGGTTCTGGACAGCTTATAAAGCCGACATACTGTCGCTGAGGATGGTCGCATTTCTACTGTGCGAGCCGGTCAAACTCCATCGCTTGAGGGCAGCGCTGTTGATGATATTGATAGTATGCAGATCCCTAGTAGCTCTGCGACATGCACCGACCATCGGTCCATTGGCCCAACATGGATCTGTAGAGATTCCGTAGTCTCCGTGCTGTCATTGAGTGTCGTTGCAGTTGCGCCCAGGCGGCCTTGGCGTCCCGAGGCATCTGAGTAGACGACAATGTCTGAGGCGGAGCGTGCCGCCTCTGCTCGTTCCATGGCGCTTTCCTGGTGCGGCTCAATCTCGATTTTCGAAAATGTCTCGGGCCTCCAAGGTGGCAGCGGGGCGAGGTCGATCATTTCAATTTCGCGTAGCCTCTCCAGGTCCATTATCTTCAAAACTCCCGCTAGTGGGAACCGGGCGTACAATCCAAGATTATTTCTTCGTCTATGAGCGCGTGACAGGGCGTCCCAGATTGGATGTTTTCGTGGCAGGGTGTGGAGTCTGGTGATGGTACTCTGTGCATGATGTCGGAGACGAAGTTGGGTAGGCAGAACATGCGCCTCGACGTCGAGGGTGGATGTGGCCATTGCTCGGAAACCAGAGAGCACACGGATGAGTGCTGTACGCTGAGCAGTACACAGGTGCCGAAGATGAATCTTATCTCGAAACGAATCGTGCCAGACCGTTGACGCGTAGCCGAGGACAGGTGCAACACACGCTTCGTACGTGTTATGTCCTCGGATTGGATTTGGTCAGGTTTTCCTCAGCGATCCAACCAACCCGCCAGCGAAAGTAGTCGTCGATGAAGGCCGACGCCCCGCCGTCAAAATCGACCGGTTGGTCGAACAGATCGTTATTAAAGAGGGCGAAGAGAATGGGCGAGAGGAGATCCTTGTGCGAGCCCTGCGTTTTCCAGCGGCGCTACCGCGGTCTGGTAGTCGTTGAAACCAATATTCACCTGGCGTCCGCTCATGAAGCTGGAAATCCATCTCTTGGCCACCGTGGGAATGCTTTTGCTCGAAGACGAAAGTCAAGTCTGGTTTTGTTCACTTTGTTGAAGGCTCCCTTCAGATCGAAGGCAGCCAGAGTGACGATATTCCGTTGATACCATGCCCGATCAATTGCATTGGCCAGCACCAGGAGGGCTTGCTCAGTCGTGCGTCTTGGGCGTCTCCCAAATTGAGTGTCTGGCAATAAACCATATCTCTACGCAAAAAAAGACAGTCTTCGGGCCATCACCGCCTCCAACAGCTTGCCAAGCTTGTTGAGCAGGGAAATTGGGTGGCAGAGCAACGCCGTGCTCAGAGGCTCAATTCCAAATATTTTACTCGGCTATCCGAGCCATAGTTGTCATGGTAGAGATGGCATTTGATGAGTAGATCGGGCCGGTTAGTCACAGTCTCGTCGGTGGAGTTTTTGCTTATCTAATAGTACTCAATAACGTGGTTCACAAGCGAGTGACGCGCCCAAGCGAGTGACGCACCCAAGCGAGTGACGCACCCACCCAAATTTTCTACACTTTTATGCATATTAATCAACCACAACGCCTTTATATTGATTAATCTCTAGCTTTACAGGCATTCCTTCTATGTCCGATCACTCCGCAATTAGTGCATTGGGGTGGACGACGCGTCTTCGGTGCTGGTGTGTCCCGCGGTAGTAGGCTTAGTGGAGCTAGTATTACCTGAGGGGGCTCTTTATGAGCTTCCTCGAGCTCTAATACTTCTCGTACGGATAGACCGTTATCGTGGGCTATCTATCTGTTCTTGCGAGCACGTTTTTGCTTTTACGTAGCGTTTGCGGCACGTAGTTGCTTATTTTCTTGCTCGAGAAGGATATCGTTTTGTATTACGATCTGATAGTCTTTGATAAGCTGGTTTAACGCGGTTTGCGAAGGCGATAGTGGGCTTTTTAAGCGTCGCTTTAAGAAAGCTTTAATTGAGGATACTTGCTTTAAAAGCTCGTCGACGTTCGCGGGCGTATGTGGGTAAAACGCGCTTGATTGACTACCGCGGCTTATAGGAGGTGTCGGTGTCCGAAGTTGAATATTTAGCTTTAATAGCACTTATTGAGGATCAATTGGCACTAGTCCTGCTGCTCGGAAGCTATTTTATATTATAGTTAGTTTATAGGCGTCGACGCGAGCTTGTGGGTATATGAAAAGGAAGTTAAGTTTGTCGATATGATTAATCCTGAGCCGTATCTTTTAGTCGATTAAACTTGTGAGACCACGCAGTAGTCTCTAGGTCAGGATGGGTAAGCGAGGTAGACACCTTCATATGCGTGTAATACAATGTAGTGGATTGTAAGATAAACTGAACGCTGGCCCTTCTCAGGTCCAGCGGGGCTTCACTTAAATACAGACTGGCCCGGCTGCGGGCGGTGAAGCCCAACAACATGATACTGCCATGGCATCTAAGTATGCCTCAGGCCGTAGTTGGTATCGTTAGTCAGTGGTCCTGACAAAACTGCCGTACGAACGCTTTAATATAGCGAAATATCCGATATCAAGAGGCTAAAGTAGATACGAGGAATGCGGCGGTATATAGATTAGAATAATATTATGATCCGCGTAGATTTGATCGAACTCTGGCGTTAGATGACTTCCGTGTCCGTTAAGGACTAGTGAGATTCTGGAGGTGGAAAGGTGTGTCTTGCTAAGTAAGTGTACGAAAGGATAGAAATATGCCTTAAGGGCGGTGCCGTATGGCAGAAAAAGTAGGGTAACGTGACCGTTCGTATCCCCATACAAGGCCGTGTTATCACACCAGCTTATCAAAGGCTATCAGATCGTAATATAAAATAGTATCCTTCTCGAGCAAGAAAATAAGTAGCTACGTGCCGCAAACGCTACGTAAAAGCAAAAGCGTGCTCATAAGACTAGATGGATAGCACACGATGACGGTTTATCCGTACGAGAAGCATTAGAGCTCGAGGAAGCTCATGAGGAGCCCTCTCAGGTAATTCTAGCTCCACCAAGCCTACTACCGCAGGACACACTAGCACCGAAGACGCGGCGTCCCCCCCAATGCACCAATTGCGGACAGATCGGACATAAAATGAATGCTTGTAAAGCTAGAGATTAATTAATTTGAAGGCGTTGTGGTTGATAAAAGTGTCGAAGTATAAAGAATAGATGGGCGGGTGCGCAGCTCGCTTACATGCGAAGCTCGCTTACCGACCACGTTAAGTTGATTTGAAATCGATAAAGTGATTACTGGTGGATTTTCCGTATGGACGAAGTGACGTTGCTGAGAGATAGACTGACTGTTCGTCTCCACTTAAACCCCTCGGCCTGCGCTGGATGTGACTCTCACCGGCTTGACTATTTCTTCGAGGTTCAAAAGCTCACATTGAGCCACACATTTGTCCCAGTTTTCTATTGCCAAAAGATCTGACGATTTAGAGTGTGGCACACCACCCCGTCACTCCCAAGGTACCTTATCGGTTTCTTCCGGTTCGAGCTTATCGAACTTTGAAACTTCACACCTCACATCCAACATGGCCCAAGCAAACATGAGCCAGGTCCTCTCCAACAGGGCACAAGAGGTGAGCAATGCGACGGCTGCAAACCCCATGTGGGACATTTTCAGCGACATTTGGTCCCCGTCGACCAACCCGGGCGGATACGTCAATGTGGGAGTCGCAGAGAACGGTCTCATGCACGACGAGCTTCTCAAATATATCAACACGAAACTCGATCTGCCAGCCAAGTATCTCACCTACAACGATGGAGGTGGCGGATCGAACAGACTTAGAAGCGTCATTTGCCAGTTTCTCAACCGCCACTTGCACCCGGTCACGCCTCTAGAACCAGAGCAATTGGTCATTACGAATGGCGTTTCTTCTGCAATCGAACACGTCTCATGGGCATTCGCAGACCCTGGTGAAGGAATCCTTCTCGGTCGGCCCTACTACGGCACCTTCATTATGGATCTCTCGCAACGATTCCAGTCAAAGGTGGTCCCAGTCAACTTCGATGGCGATGATCCCCTTGGCCCTGAAGCCGCGGAAAAGTATGAGAAGGCTTTATTAGATTTTCAAGAAAAGACAGGCAGACGAGTTAAAGCCTTGATGCTGTGCCACCCGCACAACCCACTTGGCCGCTGCTACCCGCGCGACGTGATCATCGAACTGATGAAACTGTGTCAGAAGTACCAGATTCATCTGGTCAGCGACGAAATATACGCTCTATCGGTGTGGGAAAACACCATCGATCAACACCCTCCCCCAGTCAAGTTTGAATCTGCGCTATCAATCGATCCGAACGGAATTATTGACCCGCGTCTTGTGCATGCCCTTTGGGGCATGAGTAAAGATTTTGGCGCGAACGGAATCCGCTTGGGCGTTATCATCTCCCAACATAATGTCGATTTCCAAAATGCCTTGAAGGGGATTTCTTTGTACTCTTACCCGTCGGGTATTTCGGATCATTTGACGGCGCTGATACTGGAGGATGCGAATTTCACGAAGACATATATTGAGCAGAATCGAAGGAAGTTGTCGGATTCTTATGCATTCACTGCAAACTACGTGAAGGGTCATGGTATTGAGTATGCGCCGGGCTGCAATGCCGCATTCTTCCTTTGGGTGAACCTGGGCAAGAAGTATCGGGAGTTGCACCCTGACGTGTCTGAAGATGAGGATCTTGGCGAGCAGGTTATGCAGCAGTTGTTGAATCACAGAGTTTTCCTGGCTAGTGGTGCACTCTTTGGATCAGAGAAGAGTGGCTGGTTTAGGATTGTGTTCTCACACCCGAGGGACTACTTGGAGGAAGCTATGAAGAGGATCATTATTGCCCTTGAGGATTGATAGTTTTCGAGGAACTGGAGATAAATTAAAATAAAACATCAATGACAACATTATGCAATAACGCAACAAAGCAATCGCTCTCTATTAACCTAGGGATATAGAATCCAAATATAAAAGTTCCAAACGCTCTTTTCCGTGACGCAATACTCAACGCTATACATATCTCAAACTTTGACCTCCTCGGTCATGGCATACCGACTCCACCTGCGAATAACAGGTCCAAATTTGTAGAATACATATGGCACTGGAACCATGAGAGCGCTAATGCAGCCGAGAATGGTGAGCGTCCAGTGAACGCCCATGTTCTTATAGAACGGAATTCCAACGATAGTCATTCCTCCAGCAGCACAATAGCGCGAGACTGTCATAAAGCCCAGCGCCGAAGCTGCGTACATACCGTACGAGTCAATCACGTACATGTAAGAACTGATGAAGACGCAGATGGTACCAAATCCGAAGGCAGATGATGCTACGATAGGGGACCAGACAGAAATAGATGGCTGTTTTGATATTAGAAGAGGTTCCTAGTAAGAGGGGAAGTATTACTCACGAAATCAGTCCAGCCCATCCAAAACAAACTGATAGGGATGAATGGAGCGCCGACCATGGCGAACCAAAGCCGGATCTCGGGCTGGGTGTGCACGCCATCAAGAGCACGGGGGTCGACGGATGGGTCGGAGCCATTCACAGCTTGGGCAGCCTGCGTAAATTCCTTCTTGGTACCTCTGTAGATGAATGGGAGTAGAAGTCCGGACAACAAGATCCCAACGTACATGGCCACCCAGACGATGTTAGTCAGTCCCTGGGATAAGCCGTGCACGTCGGAGAAAATATAAGAGTATCCGTCGAAGAAAGTGAACAGCACAATATACAGCACAGTCATGTATAGAGAGATCAGCAAGATGATGGGTTCGTGGATGGTGATCAGGAACTGGCGCTCCATGGCACCGCCGATACGGCTAAATAGCGCGATCTTCTCCATATCCATTTCCGAGCGGAAACGTGGGTCTCCTGTCATCTTACGCAGGTGCTTGCCCTTCCATTTCAGGAGAAGTGGGGAATAAGTTTCCGGTTGGAAGAGGATGATCAGAACAAAGATAGCACCGGATCCGATGAGAATAATCCAAGATGTCCAGCGCCAGGACAGAACGCCCGTCTGTCCTATGTACGAAGCAACGGCTGGACCGAGCACAGGGCCACCGAAGGAGAGCACGGCGTACAGAGGGAAATGGATTGTTTTTTCCAACGGATTCCATAGATCGGCGATGGTGCCACCGGCGCAAGTCAAAGGCGGACACCCAAAAATGCCTGCCAGAAATCGAAAGGCGAGTTGGGCACCGATATTAGGTGCCAGAGCGGAGCCCATGACGAAAATCATGAAAAGGGTCAAAGAGCCCGCGTACACGGCATTTCGACCAAGAATCTCGGAGAGCGGTCCACTAACTAAAGAGCCAGCCGCAAACCCGAGTAGATAAAGGCCTAATAAAGTCAGCTACTCCGCACAAGGAAACACCCAGATGGTAAATAGAGATGGGCATGAGGAAATACCAGTCACCAGGGAACCCACGACTTCACTAACGTGAAATGCCTCTGTGTTTTGAGTCAAAACACCCGAGTTGATAGATGATGCCGCGCCAACAATCCATCCTAGCGCAGAAACCAGTAGCGTCGCTGTCAACTTGGACGCGAAGCTGTAGTTCAGCGGGTTTTGGGGATCATTAGGACCATCCCAGCCAACAATAAAGAGGTGAGCAGGCTGATCCGCAGACTCGGATTGCTTCTTAACGTCGATTCCGGCAATGGAAAAAGCTAAAGCGGTTCTGCTAGAACCCCAAGAAGCGCGTCGTGCCAGGGGGCTTTGACGCGGTGCAAGGTCATGTTGACTGATTTGATCTGGATTCGCCGCAGGGTCTATCTCTGAATCAGTGGGAGTAGGAGCCTCCTTCACAGGCGAGGCGTTTTCCAGCTGCGAGCGAACAACATTTCCCAGTCGTCGATACTGCAAATAGGACTGCATTTTCACCTCAGGATTAGACTGAAATTTGGAATCCCTGGGTTGTTTTCTCACCGGTCACCGCCGGTATTCACGTTCTTCGGGGTTTCAATCGGCAACGCTTCTGTCTGTTGATAAGACGAGGAAAAATATAACGAGAAATGAAATCACATTTCCAGCTAGGGTCTTAAGTTCTTTTGGTCCACCGTGCTGATAAATCGCATTGATTCAACGAAGCCTTTTCGGGTTCCACCTTGTGGGTCATTTGCTTAGGGCCGAGTATCCGAATCTCCGAGTTCATCAGGTATGTGCCACGCTGGATTCAGACCGTAGAGATTGTACTAGAATGATATTGGAGCGAATGAGCCTGCATTAAAGACGCCTCCTATCCATGGCAGTATTTTCTATCGTATCATCCAAGCATATATTGAGACTGAAGCAAGATCCGGAAACTCGGGCTTGGATTTCATCATTCGGATAGCGAAAAGTGGAGCCGCTTTTAACTCGGCCGCTAGCCTCTCGGGGAGGTGAGAGTTTATCGGAGAGTTGTCCGACCGTGAATCCTGCTAGTTGATGCGTGATAGCCCTATCTAAACTTGACTAGTGATGTTTGATCGACTACTATAAGCTAACCAAAGAACAGGAGTGGAGTTCCTTGCATGTGAGGTAAAGAACTACCGCCCCGGGTCACCCGAAGGAGGCGTGTAAGGAAAATCACCTACAGGGGATTACCTACAGGAGAATACCTACTTGTAGGTGAAGTCCTAATTGAATTGTAGATCAATGGGTTTTTGACCTCGTCACCATACAAGGGGTGCTGCCTATTCACCGACGTTTAGCCGTCATTCAGGGCGTCGAGGTAGTTGCATCTAGTCCTGCAAGTCTCACCAGGCCGACGTCATCTATGTTCCACACTGGAACTGACATCACGTTCTAAACCTAGCTCTAGACGGCCTAGCTGAAAGTTGCTGTCATGTAGAGCCACAAAGACTTTCTTCGAGATCACAGTTCGAACCTGACCTTCAAGCTGAAGGCTCTCGCACTCTTCGCCAATGTACTCGCTGGTTTGTGGAGCAAGGTGGGAGTACCAAATATGGCCCTTACCGGGCTGCGAACACAACTACCGAGGAAAGGATTAGATTACTCTGACGTGGGGACCGATACGCTGTCTTCATTTACATGGAATTATCTTTCAAGCGACTGGGGAATAGGTAAGGGGAAAGCAGGACTGAAAGGACTGCCTCATCCCTAGATTCGGAACCATTCTTAGAAATGACCACGAGGTACCTTGAGCCAAGGAGCCAATGAGACTAGAGCAGCTAATCGGCGAGAAAACCCTAGCTACATAGCTATACTACTATGATTTCAGGACTTGAAGGCAAACCAAGGTTTCCTGGCTAGAAGTGGCCAAAGTTCCTAAAGCGGAACTTGCCCTGAACCGTTCATGGAATGCATATAAGTGTCACGGCCTACCACATCTTACCCTGGACCATCTGGCGAAGGGTCTTTCTCTTCATCATGCACCTCGCCGTGATCTCTCTCCTCGCAATGGCCACATTTGCCACTGCGGACTGGTGGTATTTCGATGCATGGGATGGGTTGAGTTGTGGGGATGCCCCCCAAAATGGTCAGGTCTTCCTGTCTACAGAGGGTACCGGCGAAGATGTTTGCTTCAGCTTTCAGGCAGGCCAAAGGGCTTATTCCTATGCTGCTGGCTATGTCGGTGAAAACACAGAGGCCTGGGGATTTCTCTACGAACACTGCGAAGGACCGAGCAAGATCCTTCACAACAATTCCTGCACGAATCCGGATGTCGAAATTCCCTACATCCGCTCATGGAAAATCATCCAATCTTTAAGCTGAACGCCGGATATTACCGTTATGGTACGTTCAGAAGTTCTATATCTCAGAAATTGCAAGAAAATAGTGATTGACAGTTGAAATAGGCGCTTCTCACTCGATCTTGGCGATCCGATCTTCGACCTGCGTCTTTCTGTCTGACATTCCAGAAGCACGTTTTTTTCTCACATTCCATTCCACCTTTCACCGCGACGAAATCAACAAGTTGCGAACCGTCATATTGCATCTCGTTCCCACGGACATAAACGAACCAGTCATGTTTTTATAAGTTGAATGAATCAAGATTTCTCGATATCCCAATCGCTCCTTCGACATGAGCCTTAATATTTTTATGCCCGTTTTTGCGTAAAGGAGTATTTCTGGGGCCGTAGAAAAGCTCATTACAATTTTTGAAAATCAGTTCTCACTTTAGTAAGGTTCGCTCAAAGGAGCGTGTTGGTTTGGGCAGCAACAATGGTGAAAGCCGAAAGCACAGAAATGCAATGCTCGGCTTTGAGCCATGGTAGGAACGTATTCCTGCGCGCCCCCGGGTCGAGACATCCCTTCGGGCCGAAAACGGCATGGCACCACCGACCTTTAGGCCTCTCCACCTTCACAGCTTCAACATCTCAATACCTCAACACCTCAACACCTCAACACCGATGGAACTCTGCACAATAAATGACACGAACTTGATTCATGACAAGTTCGCTCGGTTAGAAGATCATCCTATTGGTAGATAGTTTCTAGTGGCAATGTCAGAAGATCTTGGTACCAGGACAGGTACCGATGAAACTCTGCATCTACTCTATGATAAGAATTAAAGTACTAAGAATAACTTCCCCACACCTGACACTCTAAGACAATTCAATAAAGAATAAAATGAACAATCATCCAGCCGATCTGTCGACTCAGCTTACATCGCGTCCATGGAACGTACGAGTCAAAGTGGTCTAGAGGCACCCGAGTATGCTACATTGTCCGCATTCGGCCACCAACATGGCCCGAAACGTCCCCGTGAGGAAATGATAGATAGATACCTTTCCCAAATGATGATCCCGCCGTAGAACGCCAAAAGCGTCTAAGCTATGTTAAGGTGCAATACTATGTCGTTATCTTGCCCGTCCGCGCTACTCTGTATAAATGGTTCCCATCACCACAACTCACGCCGGCGTCCCCCGATTTTCTTCCCAGGTCCACCCGTTGACCTGCTAGATAAATGACGGCTTGGAAAGTCCTTCCCTTGAATCATGTATAGGGGAAGCCCGTCGAGATCCTTCGGGATCTCCCTGTTCCGGAAACCGGTTCATAGTACCCGGAAGATCCTCTTCCTGGTTATGCTACCATTCGCGTTTCTTGCCATTTTGTATCGCTCACAGAGCTATGTGATGGTTCCAGAGAGCTCACAATGGCTGGCAAAGCCTGCAGAGCTTCAAGTCGAGCACATGCATGTCCAGGCCGAAGAAATGCAGCCCGAAGGTAGAGCAAAGATCCTCGTTCGAAGTTTGAAGATTGAAACTGACTTCTATTGAAGAAACCTCCATGGAGGAGGATCTAGCAGATACAGGATCTCACAAAATCCCTTTGGCCGCATTGACGGGAAATCCCCTGGATGTGGGAGAAATTGACGAAGCCGATCTTGCAGCAGCAAAACAGGAAACATCCGACACATCCCCATTCGACCAACTCAGCCCGTTGGACCTGGAGTTGCTTGCCCAAAGCTCAACATATGCCCCATACGCCCAACATGAGACCGCAGAAGACGTCACAATCGTCGCCGCGCGACAAGGCGCCGACTCCACTGATTGGATTGAAGAATTCTGCGAAGACTAGTACATCAACCTCCCCATCCTGAATTATACACACCAACTAATCCCTTACAAGTCCCTGCAACGCCTACATCTACAGCCTAGATGATGAACCCAACCCCGAATTCTTCGAACCCTACTCCCGCAAAGGCCATGAAGCAAGCGCCTACCTCTCCTACATAATCGATTACTACGACGAATTAGCCCCCTACACAATCTTCCTCCATGGCCGCTCAGAACAATGGCACAACGACATCGCAGGCCCAGACACAAAGAACGTCCTGGCAAACCTCCGCTACGAAGCCGTGAGTCTAAAAGGCTATGCCAACCTCCGCTGCTCAAACAGACCCGGCTGCCCCTCCACTCTTTACCAAATGCATCCCGTAACGCTGGATTTCGACTATGAGTACTTGATTGCTCAGATGCCTGAGATTCTGTGGCAGCTTCTTGGACTCGACGCTAGTGAGGTCCCCGAGGATATTGGGCATCAGTGCTGTGCGCAGTTTGTGCTTACTAGGGAGAGGATTTGGGAAAGGCCTAAGAGTGATTATATTCGAATTTTGCAATGGATTGCATATACGGATATGACGGATAATTATGGGATTGGGTGGTTGATTGAGAAGCTTTGGCATTTTATTTTTGGCATGCCTGCTGTCTAGTAAGTGGATCCTTCATGGTTCCTTGGGGATTGATGCTAACATGTGGTATTAAAGTTGTGTTTCAGAGGAGCAGTGTCGTTGTGATTTGTATGGGTGGTGCGGTCCCAATCCTTTAACTCATAACAAGATGTTGACGCCCGTTTCCTATCCGAAGCCGAAGGACATTGATGATTATTAAATTCAAACTGATTCTTTGGAGGGCGCATTTTATAATGCATTCCTTTTTTTTTTCGGCAACGGCTGCCTTTTCATTTCAGAGAGTTCGAGGAGATTATCTGTACTTATTTTGAGCAATGAGGGTCTTTGTCTACGTACGTAAACGGACTAAGTGGGCACATAAAGATCATTCAAAATTGCGTATCAATATTTCATTAAACATTTCTTTTCCAGTTCGACAATTCGATGTGACGTAACTTTTATACCTGCCAAAACCAATGGAGGGGAGTGACGCATCACAAAAATGGCCAGCCAGATTTGCAATGCGGATGCAAAGAAAAGTAACTTTGACTAGATACAAACATGTATTAAACATTGGATATGTGCAGCGAATACAGCAAATATAGGGAGAGAAGATATTATAAGGGTATTGGGAATCAGACATCAACCTCGGACTTGCCCTCCGTCTTGCGCTGAGAATCAATCAACTCCTGGCGAGCCTTCTCCTGTTGAGCAAGACCGGTCTTTTGGATTGTATGTGTCTTGCTGAGCACGCGGGGGCGGATAAAGCACGAGAGGATGAAGCCAACACCACCGATGCAGGTGTAGAAGATCCACATGCGGCTCAGAGCAAAAGTGAATGCTTCCAGCACGACCTGTTTCTGGTGAGAGTCAAGAGTCTCGATGAGTGTTTTGGAGGCACCAGCAAATGAGGTCGAGATTTCGGCTGTGAGCTTGGAGCCGATGGCGGCGGTGAGCTTCCCGGCTTGTTGACCCATGATGTTCTGATAGATGACGGTTCCTAGGACGACGGACATGGAGGTAGAGAGCTGGCGGATGAAGCCGAAGGTGGCTGTTGCGGTGGCCATGTCGGCGGGACGAATATTGGCTTGGAATGCGACCAAGGGCGCCTGGAAGTTGGGGCCGACACCCGTACCGGCAATGAGCTGGAAAATGACGATGCGGGACCAGGATGCGTAGGGTTGGAGATCGATGAATAGGCCGAATCCGAGAGTCATGAAGAACATGCCTGCGATGATGCATTCGCGGTAGCGGCCAGTCTTCTTCATGACAACACCTGTGCCGGCAGAGACAACCGAGAGGGCCAGGACCAAAGGCAGGACGTAGACACCGCTGAGAATCGGGGTTGCCAAAAGGACGGTTTGGAAGTAGAGAGGGAGGTAGTAGGTACCGGCAATGAAGACGAAGCCGTGACAGAAGCAGACCATGAGGATGAGGACATTGTACCATTCATTGAAAAGACGCAGAGGAATGACAGGGTACTTGGCGATCTTCCACTCGCAAAGCCCGGCCAGAGCCCAGGTGACCACACCGAAGACAATGAGGCAGATGACGGCGGCAGAGGCCCAGGGGTAGTTGACACCTCCAAACTCAAGACCGAAGAGGAACATAAGGGTACCGCCAATTATTAAGAAAGTTCCAGCCCAGTCGATGTTGCGCAGACCAGCCAAAAACGGTGTCTTGGGAGATTCGATGTGGAGGAAGAAGAACAGAATGACGAGTGAAACACCTCCGACCGGCAAGTTCAGGTAGAAACACCATCTCCAGGTTACTTCGGTAGTGAACGCACCGCCGATGATAGGTCCCAGCGCACCGGCAATAGCCCAAGTAGCACCAAATAGACCATAGTACATCGGGCGGTCTCTCATGCTGAACAAATCCGAGACACTGATATTGGCGAGAATGATAATACCACCACCACCAATACCTTGAATGGCACGACCACAGATGATCATAGCCATATTGTGAGCCAAAGCACAAATCAAGCTTCCAACGAGAAAGACGACGTTGGCAAGCAGAATGATGTACTTCCGTCCCCAGATGTCACTGATCTTCCCCCAAAGAGGAATACAAGCGGCATTTGCAAGAAGGTAGGACGAAGCAATCCATGAATACCCACTTTCAGAGGCACCAAACGCTGAAGCGATGGTCGGGAGGGCAGTTGAGATGATCGTCATATCCAAAGCCGCCAGGAACAGTGCCAAGCAAAGCGCGGCCATGACGATGATGATCTGCTTCTTGCCCATCTTCGCCGACTGCGAGGGAGTCCGGTCAAGCGCCGCTCCGTTGACTTCTTTCTCTAGTGCAGCATCATCTACCGCAGCCTTGATGTCAGCGTCCTGCTCAGTCTTCAAAGGCTCAGTGACCGGCTCAGACTCCTCGTGAGACTTAGTCTCATGCAGCTGCGGCGCGACCGTTGTATCGGCGCTAGACGTTTCGTGATTATTGTGTGAATCCGCCATGGTAAATGATTAGGCCAAAGCCAGTTGTAGCCGAAATAGACGGAGGGAAAAAAGTTGCGGGGGGCTGCAGAGCCAAGTCCGGGATTAATCGATCGATCGATCGGCTTTGCGATCGGCGCAAGTGGCGAGTATGTATTTCGAAAGTTCTCGGTAGTGAGCGTGTGGAATGAAATATTAAAAGTATGCTAGGGCGACATAATCGAGAATTTGTAGCGAAGGCGCGTTTGAAGAGTCAGAAAAAATCCTCGGAGTTAGTACTGCGCGACCCAATGGAGATCGCCCCACGGGAAGTTGGAAGGCCGAAAGACCGAACAGCCGCGACTATACCCTCTTAATACTAGCTCCCGAGATTCGAAGACCTTGCATCTTCGAGAGCGGTCTAATCTATGATGTTTATTTTCAAACTCTCCGTTACTCGGTAGAAGATGGACGTTTTCGGATTGGACTATGTGAGCTGCAAGCTGCATGAGAGTAAGGGGGTCTAGACGGCGGGTCCGTGATAACCGGGCTCTATCTTATTCTCCACTACGACAGGAGAAAAGGTGAGACGTGTAATCAATTAAAGAGATGTCGTCTCGAAACATGAGGAGTTATTTCTGGTCAAATAGCCAAGTGAATTAGTAGACGTGCGTGTATATGGATGATTCTACACACGTTCCAGGTTGACAGGTCGGCTAAGGCTCGGATTGGGGCTGTCACTTCGCCTAAATGCACAGATGTAATGTTCTGCAGGTTACCAAGGTTAACGTGGCACACCAAATACCCATCGGCAACAACCCAAGATTATGTGATGGCCACAGTGTACGGCGGCTAGAACCGTTTACCGGAAACGGAAGTGAGTTACTCTACAATCATCAACATTTTGACCAGGTGAGACCATTTGAAAACAATGTGTTTTATGGATTGCAGATGACGGGGTAACGGCCTGGTCAACATACAACTGCCTTTACTGGTAAGTCTATGATGGAACATATGGGGCAGGGGGTATATAATGTGGAAATGTCAATGGCCACGGAGACCATAAACGAGAAGTAACGATGACAACCAAAGATGCAAATGCAAGCCCAACGGATTGGGGTAGCCGAGAACAGATTAATCCTGCAGCTGAAGAATTTCTGTCGGGAAGTTAGCCACCCACTGCAAGTTGGCCCATTTCCATGAAAGCACATACCGGTCAAGAACTCTTCAAAGCTCACAGTAATATATCCATCCCGATCATCATCATACCGCTTGAACACATCCGTCATGCGCTTCAAGCTAATACACGCCTGCACAAAGAGATCAAAGCTCATACCATTATGAACCGGGCTCTTGGGCACACCCGACATCTGTTTCGTCTTGCTCTCGAACACCGTAAAGATTACCGAAACAAATTGCGGACTCAGGCGGTATCCGAACGCGACCAGCGCCTTCTCGAATTCCGGCAGACTGATCCGGCCGCTGCGGTCCTCGTCGAACCGATCGAATAGTTCTCGCCATGCGGCCAGATACTTCCACAGCGAGACGAACTCGTCAAAGTTGATGGACCCGTTGCCGTCCTTGTCGAACATGCGGATCATCACCTTGACGGTATGCGGGTGGAAGGACGTGTAGTCTCCGTTGACGAGCGCAGAGCCCAGCTCATGCTCTGTCAAGGAACCAGAGTGCGAAGAGTTCGCGGCCCGGAAGAGGGGCATCAGCTGTTGTGGATCATCGCTGGGCGCAGACAGCGGCGGGGGTTGAGGGGATTGCGGAGGGCGGAAAGAGGGGGGGAGGCCTATTGCGCTGAGGCTGAGGGGGCGGACCGAAGCCGTAATTCTGGGGAGGAGGTGAGGGATGCAATGGGTGCGGTCGCTGCTGGCTGGGGAGAGGGTTTGCGGGCGATGGTCGACCGTTGTAGGAGTGCGGAGCATGAGGTTCTTGCGGGCGCGGGGCAGGGCTGCCATATGGTTTGGGTGTAGTGCTGGCGACGGGGACACGGGGAGGCACGCCGCTCGGTCCTGACTGCGGTGGGCGAGAAGGGAGCGGTTTGTGGCTCTGGCTCTGGTTCCCTGGCCCTGACACCTGCATACTTCCAATCATCTGCGCGACCTGGGATCTTTAGCAAGGTGGATTTGTGGTCAGCGCGACGGTAGATACCTGCTCAGGTTCAGCGTGTCTGTGTCATTATATCATGTTAGCGATCAAAGAGCCTCTGCGTTTGCCTTTCGGGGCTTTCACTTACGCTGGCAGCGCGTCGGGGTTGTAACTCTTGTTGTAAGCCATGGTTGCCAGCACTGACGCAATCGAAGAAGCGAAGCGCAACGGGACAATGACAACCTTGCCTTAGCGAATCGGCGAAGCGGTGCGGTAAGGAGATTGGAGAGAGATGGCAAGAATCTGAGAGGAATCCGTAAGGGTTGTTCAGACCCAAAGCGGAGCCGTGGGGCGGAGGTTCATGAATTTTAGTCCAAGATCCGTCAAACAACGCTTGCGCAGCCCGGTCAGTCTCCACCAGGCTTAAATGAGGGTTAATCTCCCCCTTTTGTTCTTGAAAGGTTTGAAATTCTCAGCCCTATGCAATATGCAGGTTGTCACATGCTGTCTTTTCTGTTTTGACGCTGAAGACATCTCACATTGGGTTCAAGTACATACGGAGCTACCACGTTAGCGACGCAACGCCCCGAAACGAACCTTGGCAATTGCTACCTAACAGAGCCCCACTAGGGCTATGAATATATCATTCTAAATTACGAATACGAGACATGGGGCTGTAGTATTTACTTAAGACCTCGGGACGATATCTCTTACGTCCAGTGCCTGCTCCTCTAGCACTTGCAATATCTCCTCCCACGCCTTGGCCTGGAATTGTTTGCCTTCTGCTCCAGTCGTGAGAGCAATGGATTCGCTAAAATTATCAGTAACATTCATCGCAAGAAGGGCAGCAAGACGTACTCGAGGTACCCATCACTTCTCCAACATTTTCCCTGGGACTCGGGGCCTTGCACCGTCGCGCTGACCAAAGATCGACACCCCTGTTCAGTCGTGCGCGCAAACAGCTTATACATCACCCACACAAGCCATCGCTCGTAAAATCTGTTGTATTGCCGTCCGAGGGATGACTGGCACAGCCCAGGGCTGACGGTATTGACGACAACTTGCAATGTACCATCTTCATTTCGAACCAGGTCGGCAAGGTTCTTCATCATATATTCCAGCAGCAATTTCGAAATGCCGTACTGTTTTGGGCCCTTGAAATGCTGATCATCGTTCACATGCTCGAGCAAGGGGCCATCCGTTCGAAGACTTTCTGCTTTGACGCGCACAAATTGTTGACTAGAGACTACGCTCAGATGCGCGGGTTCAGTGTCCGAAGATGACTCCCTCAACCTGGGTAGAAGCAGTAATGCCAATAATGACGTGGACAAAGTATTGACTTGCAGAATCTCTTCCCAGCCTTCGGGTGACTTTGTGTATTCGCGGTTCCAGAGACCGGCATTGAGGAGTGCAATGTCAACCCGGTTAAGCTCATCGTTGACGCGCCTGGCAAAATTCTGGACGCTTTGGAAGCTGTTCATTTCGAGCTCCCAGACTTGGATCACACCGGGCCGGTTGGTGTATTTCTCAAGAGCTTGTTTGGCGCAGTGCCCTCGCTCGAGACTGCGGCTGCCGATGATCAATGATTCCACACCTTGGTTCAGAAACTTGATGGCGGCTTCGTAGCCCAGGCCAGAGGTGGCTCCTGTTAATATGACAGTCTTGCCGGCAAATGAGATCCCTCGTGGATCTGTTGGAGGGGTGTACTGCATCTTGAGCAGGCGGAAAAGGCCCGCCATTGTGACTGGCCGGAATCTTATATGAAGATTCAAGAGTTGTAGATATTGTCGAACCTTGTTTACCGGCCATAAAATTGATGACAGAAACCTGCTGAGTCAGGAGCTTTGGCCAACAGCCAATCACGAGACGCTATTATTTGTATACGAAGGTGTAGCGCACAGCATAGTCGCAGACCGTTGTATCATGAGATACCACTTGAGAGAGTACTTTCAAAGAAGTGATATGAGGTATGATAACGGATTTTCTTTGCAAGTTCACCCACTTATTAGCTTCAGTACGTATATCACCTATTTTAGTATCCAATCGCGCCCCGCACCCTATGAGAATACGGAGAACTTGCACAAAACCACCTATCACAAAGTTGGCAGCAGAAAACTATCTTCGGAGTTGATTTATAGTAGTCCACAATCCTCAGATCAGTAGACGATATGCTTAGAATATCTGGCATTATCTCACCACGTCGCGAGATGACGAACCAGAAAACAAACAATGCAAACAAATCGGACGAAACCGATTTCTCAGCGAAGCCGGAGCCACATTGAATCAAGTATACGCGGGGCGGGAAACCAAATACATAAACACCACCAACAGTGACATCTCATCCCGTTCACGGCATTGGCTGGAAGATCCTAGCCGCCGCCCAACCAACATACCAAGTCACCCATCGATCCACCATCGAACCATAGCATCAGCACATATCAACATCCCAGCAACCATGGCTGCCAGCTTGCAAGGCCACCAGGTCCATCCCGGCGGCCGCACATGGAAGAGCCACTTTCCTAATGGTGATCTGTGGGTCTTTGGATACGGGTTAGTTGATCAAGCTCTCGCCTAGGAGCGAGATTCATTGGAATACTGAACAATCCCACTAATGCCGTGCTCAGGAGCTTGATCTGGAAACCACCGCCGCACTACGGTACGTGAGATGTGATACATGTAAGATCTGCCCTGTAACTGACGGCTACCGCACAGACCAGCGGGTCCCGGGCTACATCGATGGCTACGTGCGTCGGTTTTGGCAGGTAGGAAATCCAAGATCCAACTTCCTAGCAAGTTCCAAGTTTCAAATTTCAAGTTTGGGAATGTCGATCGCAAGTGCCGTTATCATGGCATCGAGTCTAGAGCAATCGGAAGCTGACAGCAGGCCCGCCGTGGCGTTTTCCTATTTTAGGCTAGGTATGTTGCTGGTTGGCGGCTGGGGCTTACGGGTATCGCCTGTCGTTCCGGGACTTAGGAGGCTGATTCCACCCAATAGTACCGATCATCGAGGCACACCTGAGAAGCCCGGGAGGGTTGTTACTGTTATTGAGCGGAATTTTTGGGAAACGCTTGATGATCCGGTAGGGTTTTTATTCTCGTCCATCGAGAAGACGTTGATGACTTGATGGGGGTTGTGGAGACGTGGTTAACAACTAAATAGCTAGCGAAGGTCGAGTCCGAATCAGCCTCTACAGGCAAGGTCTGGGGTGCGGCGTACCACATCCCCTCTTCACATGCGGAGGAGGTCCACGACTACCTCGACGAGCGCGAGATCGACGGATATAGTGTGCACTACACGCCCTTCCACCCGTTCTCCGAGGGCTCCACGATGGTCGCCGGAGACCTCGCTCCGATCATCTGCATGGTGTACATCGGGCAGCCTAGCAACCCGCAGTTTCTGCGTGATCCTGCGCAGCGCGAGCCGCAAGATGTTGCGCAGTTTATTAGCGCTGGACATGGACAGAGTGGGAAAGGGACCGAGTATCTCTATCTGCTGGAGAAATCGCTTCAGGGTCTGGGGCTGGGGACGGCGGATGTACATGTCACCGATTTGGTCAGACGGGTGAAGGCGATAGAGGCTGTGGGTGAGGGCGAAGAGGAAGAGAGGGAGGCCGAGGAGAATGTCAAGCGATCTTTGGCGACAGCTGAGGCCGTGGCAAAGGGAGACAATATTGAGTGAAATATTAGATGACTACCGGGTGGTGGGGTAGATATCTCATTCCATGGGATGGATGACATGATAGAGCCAAATTCATCGGACATGATGCTGAATCTCGAAGACTGCGCTATGCCAACCTCGGACGAGCCATTATTCTCAAATGTGTAGGTACTGAAGAAACATTTCATCCACGAATGCCACGAAATACAAAGAGCACGCTGGCGCGAAAGAGACACGAGCCAAAAGAATCCCAAAATAGTCATATTTACCACGGTGGCATTGAGGGCAAAGCTGCCTCGTGAAAAATCAAAATCAGGAAAAACCCGTCGCGTAATTCATTCCATAACCAGATCCCGTCGTTTGCCGATCCGCACTGCATTAGATCCCATGTCTCGTCAATCCATTTGTAAAAAGAAAAGCATTCGATGATAGTTTTATGCAAGCAGGAGGAGACGCCATTGGGGGCAAAGCGCACTTCGCGACGTTAGTTGCCCTGCTCGGGGGCCGGAGCCTGGTTATTGTTGCGCCAGCCTGGGTCTATCAATTAGTTTTGAGAAACGGAAAGTACTTGGGGAAAAATGCTCACCACCACCGCCACCGTATCCGGCATTCTGACCACCGCCTAGAAGAAGGTTAGAACATTTAACGGAATTTGATAGATCTGGTTGAAGTAAGCAGGATATACTCACCATAACCGCCGCCATAGCCACCGCCATAGCCACCGTTGCCATTGTAGGGTTGCTGCTGCTGCTGCTGCTGCTGACCATATCCACGATTATAACCACCACCGCCGCCGAAGCCGCCACCACCGCCCTGGTAACCTTGACCAGGCTGCGTGTTGTACCCGCCGCGACCCTGGAAGCCACCCTCAGGACGAGGGGGGCGGTCAAAGGCCTTGTCGACGCGAATAGTACGTCCGTCGAATCTATAAGATGGATGAGTGGTCTGATTATCGGACAAAAAGAAAGGCGACAGCCTTAAGACAACCTACTCTTGGTTGTTCATGGCACTCATTGCAGCATCGGCTTCAGCATCAGTAGCGAAACGGACGAAGCCGAACCCACGGCTGCGCAAAGTGGCGCGGTCCTTGACGACGATCTGTGAGGATTCGGGTTAGGCTGCGGCTCAATCTGAAGGCTTGTGGGGGACTGTAGATCACTAACAGCTTCCTGGATCTCTCCAAATTGCTGGAATCCGTCGCGAAGAGTATCATCATTGGTGTGCCATGAAAGGCCGCTGAAGATCGAGTGATCGAGTCAGTATGGGATCACAACGGGGAAAGCGGGGAGAAAGCGGGATATTTTTTTGAGAAAACCAAACCCCCACAAGATGAAAGCAAAGTGAAACTTAAAAAAAAGTGAAAGTAAACTTACTGAACAAAAAGTTTAGCCATGATAGAGATATGAAAGCACCGAGAAACGCTGAATATGCGTTAGAAGCGAGAGGAAGGAACACTGGGAAGCAGGACCCACGGAATTCAGAGAAGGGATGAAAAGGTAGAGGTTGTGACGGGCGAGAAGATCCTGGTTACGAAACAAGTCAGCAGTCAAACCCGTGTAACAATCACACTGCCTTAGCCTCAAGGCTTCCGCTTCCCTGGGCTGGGCCTGGCGCCAATCGTAGGGCTCTCAAGGGAAATATGATGCTTACTGCTTCTGTGCTTGGGGACGAATGAGACAAGGAATGCGCAACGCAGAGAGGAAGGTGCTAGGACTTTCACGAGCTGGATAAGAGTGGGGGAAGCCGCAGTCTGCAGCTGAAGATAGTGCTCTTCTGGCCTTTAACAGCGAGTCCCGCCCGTCTAAACTCTGAACCGATGGATTCTCGGGACCCAGTGGCGTATTCAGAATGCGCTCAATCAATCAGATGTTACCCGAGGCTGGATCTAATTGATGAGCCACGCTAGCTTGGTATCGGCTGATGCTGAGCCCCGTGCCCCTCATTTAGTTGCTTTTTCTTTTGCGTGATGGCCTTGAAAAGGCGCACATTCTACAACCGTTGCGGATCCCGGGTTACTCAGATTGGGTATATCAAATGGCATGGCCGAGTACGGATCAGAAATGACGACTAAACGCCCCAACCTTGAGAACACTGGGGGCATATCGCGGGTTTGAGCGGGGCCTCCACAAGTCGCGATCTGTGGAATCGCTGGCGTGCCTCAGCTGGAAAGGTGTAAACCGTAGCTCACCAAGCTCTATGCATTGCGAGTCCCGGTGTGCACATCTGCAATGCTGTTAGATTCTTTGACAGCGCCCCCTTTTTCTTTTTGCGAGCTCGGCTGCACGTAGAAGGGTCTGGCCATGCACAATACAACGCACCTGGGACGGCTTCGCTCCCTGTCAGGCTTGGACTCTAGTCCGACCGCGATCCCCGACCAATACACGCGATGGTGGAGGGGTAAGAGTGGCCCACATGCCGTTTAGGGCCGTACATCGGCAAGACTCCGGGAGGTAGACGATGATCAGTGCATGCTTCAGTTTCCAAAGTAGACCATTCCAAGGTTGTCTCGCTTGAACCAATGCCAAGGTAAGTTAATCCTGATGATAATTTCAGACTGGCATTGAGAGCTATGTTGGTCGTTGACTATGTTGCTTGCTGCACGAGTAACCCGTGGGAGGACATGGTGTGTACCTCGGTGCATGTAAAATCAAGGATAGCCTGAAAGACCCTCTCCCTGCGGTGGCACGATGGCGAAAGTTGGAACTGGACGAGGGATCCCGGTATGTGCATGTGGAGGGGTGTAAGAAGGCACTACCGGCCGCAGCTTCCCGAACACAGCTAGCTGCGTGCCCTCTGTTTACTCAACTTTGTTACGAGTTTTATCAGAGTTCGAACTTCAAATGCACCTCGCATCTTGGCGATGGAGAAAATTGACGATGCAGAAATCTAACAACTCAATATATCGATGGTTGTCAAAAGTGACAGATGGTGATCAAGCTTCAGGCACATCGGGTGCAGGAGTGTCGGCTGGAGCGCCATACACATGTCCTACTCTCACCGAATTTGCTCGTTATACGGACGATAATGGGCTAGAACATCTGTTGACATGCGTCCCAGCGGTGCTGGAGTCGACGGATTTCACTCCACAAGTTCGATGGTTCCATTCCAAGAAGCGGACGAGGGACACGCCTACTCGCGAGGTACTCCCTCGAGACGAGCCACGCTCGGTGAAAGCGATCAACGAGTTTGAGCGCAAACCAAGACGTATGACTCGGAAAGATCGGTTCAAACTAAAGACAACTGGTTCTTCAATAAGGGGTCCGTCAGAAGTCCCCGAACAAAGGGCCAAAAGACAACGCCGGAGCAGGAAGCAGAGCATGAACGATGGTTTTCATGCGTCCAATGTTGCTCGGAACAGACTGACGGTATGAATACCGCCAGCTTGAATGTATTGATGTCTCTCTAAGCAATTCTTCAGCTCACCAATCCCGCAAGCCTGGGAATTTCAGCAAAGGCAGGGCATCATCTCCTATTAAACTTCGCGATGGTGAGTTCTCATTTATTACAATTTTTGATATGGGGAAAGCTAGCTAACTCGAACTGAAAGTTTTCAATGCCACATTCTCCGAAACAAATCTCCTGTCGCGGAAGACTCCAGGCAACGGGCGGGTCTCTATGTCTGCCGTCAATGAACGCAGAGAGCCAAAGCAAACAAGCGATATTTACGACTCATTCAACTTTCGGTCTCATGATGTTTCAAAACAGCTGGATGCATGTTTGACAAATGCATTCATTGGGCGAATTGAGCGGATTGATGCTACTAGGCCTCGCCATAGGCTCTCACCCAACAAAACAACGGAATTTGCAGACCCGGTGAAAGCGACGATTGCTTCACCAGGTGAAGGAAACCTTGACAGACAGGCAGCAAAAGCTGCACATGAAAGTCGGTCTTTTTCGCCATATACGTGGTCTGAGAGTGGCCGGGCAACAGCATCACTGAGTGCCATTGTAGAGGATCATTTGCTTAACATTCTACATGTCGGCCTGTTTCCGAAGCCCCAAACGAGCCCGGAAGTTGAAATCGGCTCAAAGCATTACTACAGCCTTCACGAGCTGAAGATGCTCCTGGAAGCCCGCAAAGAATCTTGGCAGTCAAATGTCGGTGGAGTAGAAGCAACCTTTCAGCCTGCCTCTACTCTCAATTCTCCGCAAAAGCCAGGCACACAAATTTCTCATATCGAGGAAGTAGCGGAGAATTTGGACTCCGAACTCAACGTTACAACCGTGAAAAGGAACACAACTTCGGATATGAGCAAAACATGCACGGGAGATGTCGTTTGGGACTCGCAACTTCAACGTGATTTCAACGGGAATGACCTCAGCAACCTCTCTTCATTGCAGTGTCCAAAAGTGGGCAACCCCTACATGACTGATGCCGATGCCTTCTTTCGAGCTTTAGATGCAGAGTTTTGCGCAATCATGGAAACTTCAGATAATTACCTGGAGCCCGCTCGTCAGAGTTCAAAGACTCAACCCACGTCGGAAGTCGATCAGCACACAGTTTTCTCAGCTGAAAGACAACCCAAATTGACCGTTGATTCAATACGCTCCCAGCGGTTAGATCGATTAGATTCTGGAATTACACATTCCGCATCACAAGCGATACCATTGCATCACGCACTGGACGAGCTTGCAACACGTCCAAATGACCCCCGAATATTACCCGTGACCAGCTCGAGACAGCCATTTTCTGTTCTGACAACCGCCCCAGTTCTCAAGCATACAACATTGCCATCCGGGTTCTGGCGCCGGAACAAGCTATATTGACCAGGGCTGGGTCTTCTTTCTTCCAAAGAGAATATAGTAAATATCAAACCTCTAAATTTATATGGGATTCAGATCAGCTATGGTACGAATGATTCACTAATTACAATGCTGGCGCATGACGCTGGGTCGCATTGTCTCCGAGACTTTTACCTGTTTATCTTTCCAGCGCACTCCGCATTGCCCATGAACATGTAACTTTAGGCGAGCTAACGCTACAATAAAACTTGCAGTAATTTAAATCCCATTCAATCCTTAATATGTCATTTTCTGCCCATGAATCAAAAAGCCAGCTCTTTCGTGACTCCTGCGATCTTCTGACGACGGTGAAACCTACCCTATCCAATCAAAGTCCGAACTTACTAGATATACCACCCACCTTTATCTGTGCAGCCTTATGGTGCCTGTCTCCAAACCCTAATCCAACCATTCCACACCCAGAGAAGTGGGACAGTCTTTCTTGAGTGCGCTACCACTGTCTAAACTCACGAATGGCTGCATACCCTGTGTCCACATGATCATGCAGGGCCAAACTTTTCGGCAATTGCCAGAATTTGGGCACATTTACATAGGCCAAGCGAGTAATGAATTTTCGCTGGGATGGATGACCCGCTGCAAATCTGATATTACAGTCCATGGTGTTAAGTTACAACGAAAGCCTGGAGGGAATGAGCCAATCATCCAAGAAATGACATTTAATATAGCTCGGAGAGAGGGAGCAGCTTGCTACTTGAGCAGAACCTGAGCTTGCCTGACGGGGTAAGCGATGATTCGAAGCATAGCTCAGAGCTGCACCGCACCACCATCGTGGCCACGTACAAGGCCCGCATTCAAGCCGCAATGAGTTGTCCCTCGAGAGACGACCTATCCTATAGAGCATTCCGGTGCCCAATATAACCATGCAAAACGAGACTAATATTAGAAATGCAGACCGCCTTGAGGTATTGCTGTGCTATGATTGATCGATCGTGTGCAACGCGAAGCTCAAGACACGCAAGGCTCCGACACTAGGGAATATATCGCAAAGCTTGTCTACCAAGCCAAGCCCAGTTTCTGTAGTCCTCTCACGTATGAGGCCTACTGCGATGTGCCAACACACTACTTGTTCTGCAAGCGGGGCGCTTCTATCCCGCTTTCTATAAAACAGATAATGGCAGCTATGCCCGGGGAAGGGGTTGTGCAGACACATGAGTGTGAAGCGGGACATTGCGTGATGCTAAGCATACCGCAGGATTTGGTTGATGTGATTCATAGCGCCGCTACAGAGAATAAAGCGTGAACTGACGTCGTTGAAGAGAGTTGGAAGGAGCTTAGAGATACATGATACTTTGACAGAGGAGGCTGCTGCCTTATTTGCAATATATGATTTGATTGGGTATCAAACAATCTCGATGGTGTAACATCTGAAAAAGGAAGTATGGAATGTGCAAAGAGCTGAGTACAGGTTCTCCGTGCTTAAGATCTGAGGTGCCAGTCCGATGTAAAGGTTGGCCACTAAGTATCAAAAGAAGCCCTGGTTTTTTTTCCTAAACGCCAGTTGAGGTGTGTTGCAAATTATTCACCAAGCTTTATCTCGGCCGAATAGCTGGTGGGTGGTGATCGTGGGTGGGACTACTGTACGGTGCAGGTTGTGGGATTCGTGTTCCCGACTTGGGTGATGAATGTGTGACCGTTCTTCTGAAATCAGATGGTTGCCGCAGCCTCGATCACACCCGCAGCCTTGAAGGCGGCTGGGTTCCTCATGACGACCTCGACCGGGTAGTTCCATTGCATGAAGCTAGTCCAGCCTGAGTTGAGGGCCAGGTTAGCAAATTATCCCGAGATCATCTTCAAAAGTGCAACGTACCCCAGTATGCGCATTTCCTTCCCAGGTATTTGCCAATAAAAGGCACAAGGACCATGGACAGAAGCAACTCCAACTGCTCAATGCTTTCCCGCCATTCTGCCTCGGCATCGGAGAAATCATCTGACATAGTGTCTAGGTCCGAGCCGGTGGTCGATTCTGAAGGAAGCGAAGCGATATCATCGTCGGACTCTGAGCCGTAGGCGTTTTGTGAAGGGACCATGTAGGCGGAGTAGGAGAAGGAGGGATTGGACCCGGCAGGAGAAGCGGAGGACATGGTGGGCGGTTGTATATTGAGTAATCTCAGAGGGAATGAATGAAAGAAAAAGGAGCAGCGGCCTGCCTACTGCTCTGGCGAAATCAAAGCATCGGCGTGTTAATATAGATGGGTCTACGGAGACGCAAGCTGTTGACTGTTGATGTTCAACGTCAGGTCAGGTGATCCGGATCCTGACTCATGACCACGTGACCGTCCCGCGATAACAATGGTCGCCTCTCCAGTGCTGCGGATATCACTGTTCTGCGTCAAATTCGACATCCTCGACCTCTTGCTTTATTTGATTACCAGCGATACCCAGCGCCGGTCAAATTCACCCCAAGCTGTGTAGTGAATCCTATATCACAACCACACAACATGGCGGACGCCGTACGTCACACCCTTTGTTCTTTTTTGCCGATTCTCCCACATTTTCTTTGACTCTGCCCAATACCCCTCGATCACCCGGCGGAGCAAAAGCACTTATCGGAGCTTCGATTGCTTGCCCCAGCTGAAGGATCTCTTCATTCATGCGTCTCATTTTCAACACACTTTATTTTTTTTTACCCCACCGCTAACCTTGTGCTTCACCGAAACAGGCAGTTGAGCAGAAGCAGCGCAAGTCAGTCGCATTCGACGAAGGATCCGTCATCATGGATACCAACGGCCAAATTCAAGACGCCCCGGCTGCTGAGAAGCCTGCTGGTATGCATCCGATCTCTAAGAACCCTCGGGTCGATTCCCGCACATTGGACTCCGGACCCGCTAACACATCATACCCACATACAGAGAACGATGTCGACGAAGTCACCGAGATGTTCAAGGGCCTCTCCAAAAAGAAGAAGACCAAGAAGAGCAAGGATACCGAGGCCGGCGAAGGCGAAGAGACCCCCGCCGCCGACGGCGAGTTCGACCCCTCCGCGTTGAAGAAAAAGAAGAAGAAGCCCAAGAAGGAGACCACCGATTCCGAGGCCAAGACCGAGGCCGGCGCCGCCACAGAGGAGGGTGATGAGAAGGCTGAGGAGCCCGTGCCTGAAGGCGACCCCGAGGCCGGCACCGGTATCTGGCAACACGACAACACGCAAGCCGTCCCCTACTCTCTCCTCGTCTCGCGCTTCTTCTCCCTCATCCAGAGCCACCACCCCGACCTGCTCTCCAGCGGCACCAAGTCGTACAAGATCCCCCCGCCCCAGTGTCTGCGTGAGGGCAACCGTCGTACGATTTTCGCCAACATCGCCGACATCTGCAAGCGCATCAAGCGTTCCGACGAGCACGTCACCCAGTTCTTGTTCGCTGAGTTGGGTACCAGCGGTTCCGTCGACGGCAGCCGTCGTCTCGTTATCAAGGGTCGTTTCCAACAGAAGGGTATCGAGTCCGTCCTGCGTCGGTATATCGGTACGTATCTCTCAACCTTTCCCCCCATGTTCCCTAGCTAACAACTTCCAGTCGAATACGTTACCTGCAAGACCTGCCGCAGCCCCGACACCGAGCTCAACAAGGGAGAGAACCGTCTGTACTTCGTCACCTGCAACTCCTGCGGATCTCGTCGTTCGGTCGCCGCCATCAAGACTGGTTTCCGTGGACAGGTCGGCCGCAGAAAGCGCACTGGTTAAACAGGCATTGTACTGGTTTGGCATTTTTCGGAGGAGGGAGTTTCTTGTATCTCTTCTTTCTGGCGTGTCACTTACTCGGATTCTGGCGGATAAAAGTACGGCCCCGACACTTTATCTTCTATCAAGATTAGGGGGTTGAGATGAAGCAATGATTTGAGGATAGAAATAGTTTGGCATGAAATGGACTGATATGACCTCCTATTATATTATGCTAGAATTCTAGAACTTATTTATCGCTATATTATTCCTAGGAAGCTGAAAAGTGACCATCTCCTTCCTACGATTTGATGTAGGATAGTTCTTGAGAGCGGGTGAATCCAGCAGCAGCTGAATAGCTAGGCGATGAGACTGGGCAGTTTCTTGAAAGAAATTTCAAAGCCAAAAGATGGCTCGGTGTTCTGACGCGGATGCCAGGCAGAGGAGTATTCGGCCTTGGAAGCGATTATACATGGGGTTCATTAAATAAAATAAAATAAAAAAACGAGAGTGGAAAAAAGAGAGATCGGCTCTAATTTGCAGCTGTACATATCATGAATTTCAACTGGTAGGAAACACGCTAACATAAAGTATGATCGGATCCAACGTATGCATATTGAGAACCAAAAAGGCAAGTATACCAATCAATCGCAGCTCATTCTCAAATCGTAATGCAGCTCTTGCTGTCACCTTAACCACTTGCAGTACTCACCTTCATCTGCGCGGCAAATGCGTTCAGGTTTCGGGTTTGCAGGTACACCGTTCCAGGACCCTTGAACTTGCAAGCGAGACCTTCGCCGGAGCTTAGACCGGACACAATACCGCCTGATGCGACACGTTCAATCTCGTACTTGCAATTCCATGCCACGAGATGACCGTTGTCGATGAAGTATGTTTCTCCTTCCTTAAGCTTTATACCATTTCATGTCAGCAAAGACTAACTAGCGTGTATTAAACCTAGGTACACTTACATCTTTCTTGATGATGGCGCCGAAACTCTGTAGCCAGAGCAGACCAGTGCCACTGATCTTATAAATGAAAAGACCTTCCCCGGAAAAGACGGCCTTGGTAATACCCTGTGCCTGGTATTTGTGCCTCACTGAGGCTGTCGATGCCAAGAAGGAATCCCGTCCGATCTTCCATTCTTCCTCACCGTTCAAGCGAAGAACGATAATGTCACCCAGCACTGAAGGCGCAATAAGCAGTTCACCGGGGCCCGTATATTGTGACATGGTCATTTCGCCACCAGCGAGGAGTTTCTTCCAGCCGAAATGAACGGTTCCCCTAAGGGTCATGGTTGTAGACATGGCAATCATTACGCCTATGAGAATGGGACAAAGGAACATTAGCAGGTTTCTATTTATTTTTTGGATGCTAACAGGCATACCGGGCTTTGCAGTAAGTGGGCAGCCCATTGCTAGCTGCAGCGTCAAAAGCGAGTTAACATCACGGTGACTGATCCGGTAACTGCCTCCGTTGAATGTTCCAACATTGTCATCGCTTGTCGATGTGGCACCAGTAAATTGTCCTGGCGGCGGTGCGCCAGGCATCATTGAATGATTGTGCTGGGCAGCAGCAGCATTTTGGTGGAAGTTTTGGTGAAAGTTTTGTTGATAAAGGTTGGCCTGCTTTTCATTCGGGGTCGTGCTCACTGCAGGGGGGCTGACTGATAGCGGAGGCCCAGGATAGTGCGTATTTGCAGGAGGTGTTTGTGTGGGCGGAGGCGGGTAGCTGAAGTTAGGAGGAGGTGCCTGTGGAGGGCCCGGGAATGCTACTGGACATTAAAAAACTGAACAGATTTACGACTGGGAGAGACACACAAGTCACATGCGCCGGTGCTGTTCAAAATCAGTATGAATCCCTTGGAAGCCTCAAACGTGATGCTGATGACTTACCCGACATGGGCGGCGGGGGGTAATGCTGCTGTTGCGCCATTTTAGGAGTAAATAGTGACCATAGAACTATAACTAGTATTGTCAATTCTTCTTTTCTTTCAATTCCTTTCGTCGCTTCTGGTACGACTAACTGGTCTCGGTGCGGGGCAGGGAAACCGCGACGGCGCAGTTGTTTAGGTATTCGTGTGGATGTGGACCGATGCCACCAAGATTACCTGGCTGTAAGGACTCGATTCCGCTTCGATTGAAAGTAAGAGAGAGAATGGAAAAAAGGAGTCCGGTGGTGCTTGGGATGGGGCCTTGGTAAAATGAGAGAAAGAGCTACGACTCCGCACGGGGGTAGCTCCCCGGGGCTATATTTAGTTGTGCCGGGCATGGGAGGCGATCAACACATCAAAAAAGCAGTTAGATTGGCAGGTGATGACCTGCCGCCATATCACAGCTGACTACTGCAGAGTTATCCCAGCTGGCGCCTACAAGTCGTACATACGCAACCTGATGGGCCAGCCTCACTAGCACAAAGTGGAGTACGGCGCGATCATTGGCCATGCATGTTAGCGCCGACAACCGGCCAAGGACCTCCAAGAAACCTTCCGTAGCATGACCGTCGTTTCAGTTTCAGACGTGATATGCGCTTCGGCAATGTTGATTGAACTTGAAATGAAGACGGGTCTTTATATGGTCAAGTCACGCTATACCGATGTGTATCTAGATCCGAGATGTGAGTATAATTGGCCCGAGGGGTAGGGTCAAAACATGGTAGCCCGCAGAGTCTAGGATAAAATTGTCACTTCACTATTTGCAAGACCCATTTCTTGAAAGAATTAGCGAGCACTAGCTACTTATACTGCTACCTAGTCTATCCGTGCCTCTGGAAGATTAATGGTCCATGGCATCCTCCAAAATAGCCGCTGTCTCTTCACAATCACACCTTCGCGCCCAGTCCAGTGCTGTAAGGCCTTCATCATCTTTTGCATGGGCATCGGCTCCTTTAGACAGTAAGAGCCGAACCAGGTCGGCTTTTGATGAAATGGCCGCCCTCATTAGCGGAAGATTCGAGGTTTCATCGGCGGGATTGACATTAGCACCTTGCTCCAGGACAAGGTGAATCATCTCCATTTGATTCTCTGTGATAACACCTGTTATGGCGGAGTGAAGAGGTGTAGAGCCATCGACACCCCTGTTGATATCTGCTCCATGAGAGAGCAAGAAGCGAGCGGTCTCCACCTGATTTTCACTGACTGCCCAGTACAAGGCAGACAACCCAACAGAATCAGTCACCTCCAAGGTAGCGTCGTATGAGAGAAGAAGTAATTTCACAATATCAAGATACCCCTTCATGGCAGCTAAGATCAATGGTCTCTTGTCCCGGACTCTATCGTTTCCGTTAGGGTTCGCCCCATTCGCAAGGAGCGTTTGAACGGCTCCAAGGTCCTCGAGGACAACGGCTTCCATCAAAGCTGAGAATCTGTTGGCGTTGAGAGTCTCAATATCGGCCTGGCGCCGCTGGAGGACTTGAACTCCCCAACCTGAGTGGCATTTTGCTGCAATGGTGAAGGCGTACTGGATGAGGGGCGGGCATTCTCCTCCCAGCTCTATCAATCGCACAAGAAACATGTACAAAAGAGCGTTGAATCCTCTCTGACGTGCCCAAGAATAGCATAAAACATCTGATGTATCCGTGGTTCCGCGTTCAAAATCCAGATGGTCTAATGTGAGCCATTCTTGCATAGCGCGCACGCCAGCCATAGTCTCTTCTGTACCATGGCTTGCCCCAGATGGTGAAGCCAAGTCGTGATCAAGATTGATACTATCGAGATTGAGCTGCACCCAGTCCATACCTGGCCTATTTATCGAAATATTCCATGCCATCCATCCCAGCTGTTTGGAAAAAGTGTCCCACCATTGTTGATTCACTTGAGACTGGGACAAGTTCACTTTTCGTGACTTAAGAAAACTAGTTCGAGGATCTGAATCGAGCAAATTGGTCACGTACTTGAACCCCTCTAGTTGTGCAACCTTGTCGTTTGTCAACAGTGCTCGACGGCAGAGATTTCCGAATTCGTAGACGGAAAATTCAAATTCAACGCCCACAGAGCGCTGACAGATCCATTCCACAAGGCGAAATGCTTGTGCCCAGTCATTGTTTTGAACGAATTTGTCCGTGCGGTTTCTGAGACTGATGAAATCGGCTGCCAAAGAGGGCAATATATGATTATGCTCAAGAGCAGGAACTATGCACAGCAATGCGTCTTCTCTGGAGCCTAGATTGCAACCCTCAAAGCAGTGCACCAGCTCGTTGATACGCGTATTCACGGCCACATAAGTGCCCTGAAGTCCCACGCTCATATCAACATCTCCGCCAAGCTCGGTAAGTTGACTGAAAACATTATGAAGCAAACGGATATAGATGTCCTGAGCTGCCATTGTTTCCAAGTCGTTCTCTCTCTTGACAACCAAGATATCCCTGCCGTGTGCAAGACCATTAGACTCCAATCCAAAAAGACGGCGTGAAGAGTCAATCGTCGTTAATGAGACCATTCTTGCTTCTGTTTGCCGATATATCCATTTACAAAAGTAGAGATACGTCGTCTCTTTTTCTGCCTGGGCTTCGTCAAGCCCAACAAGACGACTAAGTGGTCGACGCCATTCTTTCTTTGACTTGTAGAGGGACCAAGTCCAAAGACCCAGAATGGCCTCGAGCTCATTGGGATTTATCCACCATCTGAGGGCATCACCGCATCTCACGAGGTTGATGATATATGTGGTTCTTGATGGAGTTACCGACTTCGTGGATACTGACTTGCATTCAAAGGCGAGCGGGAATTCGAAAGACTTGCCGAAATCAATTCCCCAGCTCGACATCAGGTCCATCGTAGCCTCGATGGTTCTAGCCAGGCTGTAGGCTATTATGCGAATTGGCATGCCTTCCCATGCAACGCTCAAGCCGTCTTCTGAGCAGGAAGTAAGCTGGGCCAAGCGGGCTCTAGTCTCAATCAGTCTTTTAGCCAAGGAGGCCTCCGTATTCCCTGTTCCCGTAAGCGATGAGTTGTCTGGCGTGTCCAGAGGAGACGAAATCAGGCCAAAACACCGAACATCCTCTAGATAAAATGCAAAGCAATCCAACTCTTGATTTTTATGAGATGTGATCTCTCGGTCATTTTTCAATTTGTCCTCATCTGGGGCCATTCGCTCTGTCCTAAGACACGTTCGCAAGATAGACATGAGGAGTGTGGCTCCCAACGAGGCAAGAATGACGGAGGCGTGAAGTGCACGGAGTCCAATAAATTGAATGATAAATCCAAACATTGTAGAGAGAACAGTCAAGTAGATATTTAAATCTTGAACCTTAAAATTTTGGTCGCGAACCGATTTGATATATTGCAGGTTTTTCGTCATTGTAGAGTTCATACCCTCTTCCACGGCCATAAATGCACCAAATACCTGGTCACCGACATTTTGGTTACCGGGTTGAAGCCAGTATAATTTACTCGGTTTCGTGGGCTCGATGGAGTATTCCTTCGAAGATCGCTCGATGACGATCGCAGAAGAAAACATGCCAATGAACAAGAAAGCCGACCCAATAATAAAGAAAGGAAAAGCGTAGCTTGGCACAGCCTTTCCGTCCTTCTTGAAGTCGCTCGGAAAGATGAATACCGTAATCATAGCATAAACAATGACGCCTAGCAAAATGAGCGATTGCTATCGATAAGCGTCTCGAAGCCGGAGCGACTGACCTATCTGCAGGGCAGTACCGAGCACAACAGTACAGATGAACCAAACTTCATTCCTCCTCTTGATACCTTTGTTTAAAGAAAGATTCGGGATCTGACACCAGTCTTCAAGCGAACGATCTGTCCCTTTGATCGACCACGCGCCTTTCGTTATTGCATCAAGCAAAGTCCCATATTCCACGGACCGTTCCCCAGATATGGAATCTTCATTCTCCCATGCCACGATTTCTAGGACCTTTGGTCGGCCGAAGACTCTTGAAATGCCACTATCGTTGAAGAGCTCGGCGGTGGACTCTGAAACACATGAAAGGAGTTCGCTTTCGGCCTCTGCAGGTCCTTCCTGTGCACGTCCGACAAATGCACGGAGAGAAGATCCACCGCAGACTCGAATGAGGGATACGACGGTTGTCAAGACTCCAAGCGGCGAGAGTGCGAAAATCACATTATCAACGAGGCTGATGGATTCTGAGAGGAACTGTTTGGTGAGTCGTTCGCCGAATAAAGTAATCAAAGGTGCCTGTAATGAATCTACGCATCAGTATCAGTTCCAAACTGGTGGTTTGCACGCGAGTATGCGCAACTCACCAAGTCCGTCGCAAGGTTATTGGTAAAGTCGTCCCAATCATCAGCTAACACGAAAGGCACCAAAGAAAGTACAATCAACGAAGTTAAATGCATCGTAACTTAGCATCATATCATAAGTTCATTAGCGTCAGAACATGGGAATAGCACCTATTTATTAAGAGCCACAGTCACAACGAACCTCCGCCAATCCTTCGTGGAAAGGAGGGTGGCCAGTGCGTCCTTGTCCTTATGAAGCGCCTCATTCAGTAATCATAGCAAATCAAGTCGCCACATATAAACTTTCGATGCTATTATTGTCTAGAGTTGAAACCACTAAAGTACTAGCCGGGTGCCTATAAGCGCCGCACTGGTGAGATGTCACTGCGCTAGTCGCGGCCCGCATAGGGAGCGGCACGGGCGGTGGGTCTAGATTATCCTCTACTTCTGGCGACAAGTCATGGATCGCTGTTTGTATCTGTACCTCCAGTCCGAGGGAAACTTCATTTTTCAACACTTGGGATTGCAGTGTGCGAGGTATTGCGCTCTACAGCCATGATGCACGCAGTGATATCTCTTCAAAATATAGCCGCGCGGTGCTAACAGTATTTTTGGTCGTAAAGGTGCCATATTGGTGAGCATCGTTGGTTTGAGCCTGAGCATGGATATTCATAGATCTCGTGGTATGAAAACCCGTCGCGAAATAATAAGCATAGACTTGGACCTTTCCAACATTTGAACGAGGATATGTAGCGGAGAAAATGGTCTTCATCTCCATCCTCCCATGTACATCTATCAGCCACATTCCAATTCACCACCTCGAAGAGTCGGTATAAATACCCTAGAGGCCAGCTGCGTAATTTTGGGGATCAATCCCGAGCTGGAGCAGCTGGGTAACTAGCAGAATACCCGGCGATGGACCCGTGAAGATTGAGTAATTACCAATGGCGTTGAAATGCCACAGATCAACCATCGTGCCTTCCAATGGCGCACAAGTGGCCATATCAAGGACACCCCAGTAGAGCCTTGAAGGAAAACCGACTTGACCTTCTGTCATATCTCAACGAGGCACCGGACCGGGGCCAATTATAGGGGCCCGCGATAACCCCGAGGGTAAGCACACAGGTGTTGTTCTGGAGTGTTCTATAAAAGAGAGCCTTGGCCGGCAGCTCAATTGTGTTTTCACTGGTGATGAAGTGGTCATGACTTCTCTTGTTGTGGTGGAAGGTCATTTGTTCAGCATGATGGGAACAGCAGGCGGCCGGCCTATATTTGAGCGCTGGATCCAGTCTGATGAGTTTGTGTGCATAGCTCAAATGACTTTGAACTAGAAGCGTGAATCATGAAACTGCGAAGAGCGAGAGATGCATTGTGATACAAGCATTCCTAAACGAGATGATGAGGAGTAAGTAGTATAATATGACTCTATAAATATCTCACATGTTGCTACTTTGGATTACGATATATGATCGTGTTTTAAGCATCACAGATCGATATGACATTTGGATCGAGGAAGGGTATTCCCTTGGTGTCAGTTTCTGACATGTTGTCCTACAAGATGTGGAAAATAGTTCGAATATTGCCAAACATTTCATGGGATGACCGGGAGGCGTTTATCCACAAGGCCAGATATAATTAAGGACATGTTCTCAGTTACCGCCCAGAGATGAAAGGGTGCATTTAAAAAGACCATTGACTTGGAAATGGGCTTTGCCTTCGAGCCCCATTGTTGATTGAAAGCAAATCGCGCCACCAACGCCGTTTCAATGAAAAATTCGAGAACCGATGTCTGTTCATCGCAAACCGAAAGATGATAATCAAGGATCCGACAAAATCGCAAATTAGAAAATGCTGTTCACGATGTTGGAGCCAACTGTAGCACCGGCACCGAAGATCGCTAAACACAGATTTAGACCATCGATCTTTCATCATTATAGGGGATTACGTACCGGCATTGCCCAACTTCTTGCCGAACTTCTTACCGCCCTGCTCAAACTTGCTCTTTTGAGCCGGGTCGTTCGGGTCCGCGGAAGCTCCACTCTGGCTAACATCCAAAGGCATGTTTCCGTAGTTAGATTGAGGAGGCACGGCTCCGGGACCCTTCTCTTCAATGACAATCACGTAGGCTCTGGGGAAAATACCCTCCATGCCGGTACGCTCGTTGCGACCGCGCCACCCTATAAACGTATCAGCTTTGATGTTAACTTAACCATGCGCGTGAAACTCACAGTCCTCGTTCATGTGCTCGATGATTTGAACGCGATCATTCGGCGTCAGCGCCAAGTCGCCGGGGTCAGTAGGGGTATAGGCATACAAGGCCGTGGCGAGACCAAGGATCGGCGGGACCTGGGGGTAGGCCGGCGGGGCCTGGGGAGGTGGGGAGGCGTATTGGTTGTGCAACGGAGCTTTCTCATTAAACGAGGCATTGGACATCTGCGCAGTAGGAGGCGAATATGGAGACTGGACAGGCTGAACGGGCACGGGCGAGGGCAGAGGCTGCAGTGGTGAAGTCTGTCGAGGCTGCTGGCGAGCCGCGGCTACGCGAGTGTCGGCCTCGTCGGGCAAATGCGCAAGAATGGAGTTAAGCTGGGAAGAGGTAATGACAGAGGTGTCGACTAGGAACTCCAGCTCCTGTTCACATCTTGGTTAGGAACTTGGAAACCTTCAGGTACCGTGAGAAGACCTACGTTCCGGACAATGCGGAGCGACCGGGCGGTCATGGCGGAGGTGAGCTCGTTCGCCATATCGAATGGAAGGTCTCGCGAGGGAAGCTTTTCAATGATGAATAGAGGTTGGCAAAGGTAGGATCTGGCTCAAAGAGGGTGTAGAGGGAGAGACAAGGAAGTATTTGAGACAGGGGAAACCGGCGACTTGGCGGAGGTGGAATTCGGCCCTGGTGCCTGGCGCATTCAAGTCGCATAGCCCCAATCTCCATTTCATGCCCTGTTCCCACCACCAATGCCTGTTAATTGAATTGATAGAAAAAAAAGGGAACGATTACACTCAGTCCCCAGGAAAAGGCATAACAAGCACAATAACATCGCGAAAGACTATTTCCTTCAAGTATAAAGCTGATGTATTACGATTACTTATGTTACCCCGCACACTGGTTGAAATAAATTATATTACCGTATATTTCTGAAAGATCGTGACGCAGCTCAGAATCTACTATTTAACCTCCCTCCTCCACCTTCTTCTCTCTGCAGGCAATAGGAATTGCCCACACCAGAGGAAATCTGTGCGCGAGAGAAACTTGCCTTGGATAAAGATAACTATCAATTTTGAGTAAATATTAAGAGAAATGAGGGACAATGGTTGTCCAACTCATGACATCTAAACTTTCGCAGGCATAGAAGAGAAACAGTAAAAGATGAGACCAGTCAAGCCAATCCGCGGGATGATATACACAAACATATGTAGCTCCCACCTTGCCCCAGTTTAGCAGTAACAGTCCCGATGATAGTAGTACCAAGCAGAATCACAAATGGCGAGTAAATTGAAATGAGAATGAAGGTTCTTCATATGAACTGAGTGATTGTATTGGGAAACCTCAGCTCCAGCAATCAAATGAAGCCCAGTAAATAGAGAACTTGTTATTTAGAAGACAGGTGCCACGCCAGTCTTCTATTCCCCTTAAGGTCGGAATGCGATAGAATCGTCCGGGAGACAAAAGCAACAGACCATATCTACTACGACGCTGTCTCGTGAGTGAAGATGGACAGCTGGGCTTAAGAATCAGAAGATTCCTACCAAAAATTTACAAAAGTGTCTCCTATTTCGGCCCTGGACATGACCTTGGCTTTCAGCACAGCCTACAAGCTAGCAGATTACCTCCAGAAATAAATCAAGGGAGAGAGCCCGTACCTTTCGGCTTCACTTGCGCAATACAATGAGCAAATACGGCCTATGATTGTGGATGGGCAGTATCTGGCGCCCGGCCAGCCGTATATTACCAAACAGGAGACCGCTTGGGGCTTCTGGGTTATGAGGGTCCTCATCCGGTCACTATCATATCCCAGAATCACCTTCATTGTCGTCAAGTTCTTTGGAAAGATTCTCCATTTGGAACCTCAAGCAGCGTATTACTTCCGAGTTGAGGACATTTGTTTTAAAGAGGTGTCAGTATGGAAGGAAGAGGATACTGATAACCAGAGTTAAGGAGTGGAGATCATTCCTTATGAACCGGCCTTAATGATTTCGTAAATAATTGATACTGTGGAACTTGACTACTAGCAGTTGATGAAGATCTATCCCATTGCGTCACATCTTTTACCTTCTTGGACCTTCTTCGCCATATCTAGGAGGTTTAGCTAATTACCATTAAAGGCACACGCGGTAAGCCGTAATTTTGGGCAGAGGCATATGCATACCTCTTGAATAACCGAACTTCAGGCTCTACAACAATGGAGGTATGGGCTTTTTGAAAGGTAAAGCGAATCGAACATTTGAAAGCATTGTCCTGAAACAAGGAGATTCATTAAAAGAATCATAAACGCTACAATACAATTCCCAGGTCCCGGATCCCTAAGCATGCTGCAATTTGCTGTTGCTCCGATCAGAAGGAACTTGAGGTATACATCGTCGAGCAATCGTGATAACGCATACTATCGCACAAGAGATCATCAGGAACTCGGCGGAAGGAAACAAGCGAGCACGATTGAAATCGTTGTCGTCTGGCAGAGTTGACGTTTCCTCGTATATTTTTTCCGTCGCAGCCAACAATTGGGACTCTGCCTGTGCCGCTTCAATCGAAGACCGACAAGCAGGAACAATGCCGGCTTCGCAAAGAGAAAGCTCCTTTTCTCGGTCATCCTTCCCGTGCAAGGCTATTCCTTGTTGCCCAAGGGTCGGCAGTCTTTCATTCAATTCCGGATTATATTTGGCTTGTCGAGATTGAGCAGATGAAAACGGAGACTCGGTATCGATTCCCTGGGAGGATAATTGGCCATGGACGCTGGGTTGTGAATTGGCAGAGCTCAAGGGTGCTGCGATTGCGGCCTGCGATGCGACGAGAAGTAGGAAAGGGACTATGGACCGGAGAAACATGGCTGCTACGAACTGAGCACTGCAGTTTCGACGTTCGCAAGAGAGAGGTGAAAGGCAAGAGAATTCCCAAGATCTACTGATATTTCAGCAAAAGAGGAAACATTTGTCTTATAACCTTGCCACAGCCTGGTTGGCATTATCTTGTGGATGACGAGGACTCAGGCCAAGGTTCAAAATCGAGTGGGACCCAATGTGGAGCAATGTAAGCAGGTGGCATGAGAGCCTGGCCAGAAACGTACTGGGATACTATCAAAACACATCGGTCAGCGCCGGAGATAAGAGGCTGGTATCCGAGCTGCTGACAAAAACCAAACGGAGCCCTGGCGGATATCCTTGGCGCTGACTTGGCGCCCTTGAGTCTCGTTTATCAATTCTAAGCCACGCTCCAGCGGTAGGCAACATAGTTTCTCCTTCGCCTGAGCTATTGAAGGTTTCTTGTCAAATGTGTAGCTGTTCACTTTATTTATCTGGCCTAGATTTATCGATGTGCTTGATTCCATTTAGCCTATTGAAAATATTTTGCAAGCAAGGCGTGAGTACAGTAAATAGTTCAATTATCTCTGATGTATGAGAGTCGGTCTCAATTCCCTGCCTAATTCATCATTCTATTTTGCGGTGATGCTAAGCCTCTCGGAAATCCAAATAAAGACACAGTGGAGATCAGCATTATCGAAGCTACTTCCCGTAGAGGTGAGATTGTCTATTTCGTGAAAAAGTGGGGGAAATAAAGCAACAGGTGTATTTGAATTCTAATTGGCTGAATCACACCTGATCTGAAAGTTCAAACACTCTCTTTCCCCACCACTCTTGTCACAGCTATACCATCCTTTGATCGATAGATTAGCATCTTGCATGAAGAAATCTTGATGGAACCCAGACATACCTTTCCGAAGTCAGTGTCAAACTCAGACACACTGGTCTCATACACGAGGTTAGGGTTTGGTGTAAGCGAGCCAACGTCCAGCTTCTTGACTAGCTCTCTTTTTTGCCTAGTCGTTGCCTGAACCCACTCCAAATACTCAGGTGCGCCAGGCATGATCACATTATCAGCAAGAAGCACGGATTTCCCGGGAACAAGGACGTCCAACTCCTCAAGTAACCACAAGTCTGGTTGATACAGTTTTTGCCAATGATCAATGAAAATCATCTCCACCTGGGCGATTTCCTTGCGATCACCAACAAGCTCCCGCAATACCTCGTCGCTAGCACCGACAAGGACGCGGACAGTATCACGTAATCCAGCAAGGTCAACGAGCTGATTAGCAACAGCCGCCGCTTCGGGATTCTTCTCGATACTTAAAAATCGCTTTCCTCCGTTGGCTCTGATCGCGTCGCCGAAAAGAATGGCCGAGTAGCCCACATAACCGCCCAGCTCGATCATCACTGACGGCTTGCGCTCGGCGATAAGATTGGTCACGAATGCACCTTTGACAGAACCAACATTGATGAGAGGGTTGAACTTTGTGTGATATTCATCAATAGCTGAAACGACTTTTTGCGGGCTTCCTCGCAGTTGCTTGATATCGGGTCGGCTGTGGATGTAATGAAGGAGGTCGACCTCGCGTCCATCCTAATCATAGTTAGGAAGAAAGATCCATTATTTACAGATAGTATATGGGCATACCAGAGCAAATGTCTTCTGGCCTAAGGAATGGGCAGGCGGTGCGTTTGGTCGGTTGGACATTGTCTCTTATGTATCGCCTGCGGGTTGGTAAGAAACGAAATATGATGTAACTGTTTATGTGGATGACTCTGCTTATTCTCGTTGTATCCTACTGATTTCAATCGGTAATCCTGAGATTCTTATACTTCTTCAGGGCCAACCATGTCGCTCGGGGTTTCTGGAGATACTGCCGTTTAGGGTTCTCGGAGATATGCAACCCAAAACGGCAATCGCGGATCCGAGCTCAACCTTACCTTTCCGTTCGGAGATAGCGATCCCCCGAGCTGTACCCTGAAGATCATCACGCATCAGAATAAAAGGGAATTGCGCGTATGTAAAGTCCAAAATGGAAGTAATCGCCCCTTATTTGACTGCTGCCTGCTCATATTGAATGTGTTACAAGCCATTTGCAGCTCGGATCTTGTCCAGCAGCACCATGATCCGCATTATCTCTTGCAGGGGTATGATAGAGCTCTCCTTTCTCTTTGCCAGTAAGTCTTCGCCTATGGCATCTTGTTCATACCAGAATCCCCAGCCCTTCGTATGAGATTCTCTCCTTTCCTCATGCTCTCCTTTCTTCCGGATCATAAAGAACTGCGGCTTCGATCCAGCGACACCTCCGATAGATACACTTCCATCTGAACCCTCAATATGACAGAACTCAGATGCGGATCGGAAACGGTAGCTCCCGGTACAAATAGCTTGAGCATCTAGTGCCCGATAGTTTAAGATGACGCTGGTCAGTTCATCAACCCCATTGGAGAAGCTCATGCTGGACACCACTTCTGGCTCTTCGGTCCTTTTCGGGGGTGTGGCTTGCATCTGACGGTCCAAAATCATAGCAGCGCAAGTAAGGGGGTAGATACCGATGTCAAGAAGTGCACCGGCGCCAAGCATAGGATCTGCAGAGCGAGATGTAGGAGGTAGACTTGAGATGGGCGAGTCCAACCCGAAATCAACGAACACCCTCGATATGCTACCTATCACTTTTTCCACGTGAAGTAGGTTCTGTAGTTCAGCAACAATTGGAAAAAAATCGTGTCCAAACAGCTAGACTACATTAGTTTGGCTTGGATCAAAATGCCAGGGTAGAGAGGAAGTGACTGCATACCTTCCACCAAGAGGACCCCATTTACTGGGCCGCTCGCATGAGGATCCACGTGCCAAAAATTACTGAAAGAAATGGAACAACAGGTCAAGTTTCAAGATATCATCGGCCCGAATCCGACTTTCGTGGGCCAGTCTGGTACATTCCCGAAAGAAAGTGGCGTGGCCTCAATCTGCTCGGGAGTCATGATATCTCCGCCATGCGTGAGGTACTTGGCATGCCTCAAGCAGTCCTGGGCTCGTATCTCGGTTTCCCGATTTGGAAGTAAGTCGCACACCATTCAAGAATTTGAATCGAATCTTCCTGTTCAGTGCTAAAAGCTGTCGAACGAAACAGTGCTCTTTTCCTCTACCTAAGTTTCCCCGTTTCTTATGAGTCTGGGCTTGATCAGATTCTTCGCTTCGTGGCCCACATAGAAATATATAGTCCAACCAAGACCATCCGCGTACATTACGATTCAGCTGACATAAAGGGGCCACCAGTCACACTACACATTGCGGAAACTATCGATGGCACCTATAAGGAGACAACCCTTCGGAAGACTTACGAGGACCCTTACACATCGGTATTGAAGGAAATTTACGCAGCCGTCGTAGAGGGCAAGAATATCAAAACCACCGCCAAGGATGCAAGGAAAGATCTTGAGATTTTTGGCATGATTATGAGATCTGAATTACCTACCATCGATGATAATGTTAGCGAGACATAGAATGTGCTGGTGGATTGTGTTTAGTACGTTTGTTTTGCATGTATTCCGACTCAGCCTCACTGCGGGGCAGTCGGGGACCCAAACGGGACTGGTGATCAGGCCTTCAACAACATAGGAATCGATGTGACTCAAGATGACTGAAGAGAGACTCTAATGGATCAATTGCACCCATAGTGGCCTTTAGGGTATCGCTTTTGAGGGTTGAGTGCAATGGCCCTAGGGGTATGACATCAAGTGGGTCGGTGAGATCACAGCGCTATAACTATGATTTCATCTGAAGTATGGCTGATCGTTGAATGGAACGAGATACTGTAGACCCAGGAAACTAGTAGGGAAAAGAAAGCGACTTGAAGGAGATGCAGTTGAGTGCAACACTTAGTTAGAATGTCTGAGGACAGGGTTCATTGAGTGTTGAGGCAAAACGAATGTGGCAACATCGCAGGGTGCCCGAATCGCACCATAACTTTTGACATCACCCCCAACTCATACCCATTCAGTTAACACCATGAAAAGAGGCGGAATCACTCGTGGAGTTAAGAAAAACCATACTCCTTAGCTTCAAAATACAAATAACGACGGAGATAAGTGAACAAACCGAGCATTAGTGAGAAATGCCACTAATCCCAAACAGGTTAGCGTCTGACTCCCCTCCCTCGAGAAGCTTCTGTGCCGCCAGTATAAATTGCATCTTCAACCGCACGCGAGCATCGTCATACCCCACAACCCCCTCCAACCACCACACCCTCTAATCACCCTCCAACAACTCATACAAAATGGAAGACTGGAACTCCGTCACCAAAATCGGCAGCAAGACCCGCGGCGGCGCCGGTGGCCCCCGCGAGACCGTTGTCAAGGGCAAGAGCGCTTTGAACGCCGCCCAGCGTTCCGGCGGTATCCTCGCCACTGAGAAGAAGTACACTACCGGCAACGTCGTATGTTAACCCTTTTCAAACAATTCCATCTATACGGCGCACTAACTCTCCATTACAGTCCGCGAAGTCGGGTGCCCCCGAGGGCCAGCACTTGACCAAGGTCGACCGCAGCGACGACATCATCAAGCCTAAGACCGTTGGCTACGCCGTCGCCGATGCGATCAAGCGCCGCCGTACCGAGGAGGGCTACAAGATGACGCAAAAGGAGCTCGCCACAAAGTGCAACACCACCATGACCATCATCCAGGACTTCGAGCGGGGCACCGCAACACCCGACCAGAAGGTTCTCGCCTCCATGGAGCGTGTGCTCAACATCAAGCTTCGTGGCACCGACATTGGCGCTGAGAAGTTCCCCAAGAAGAAATAAGAAAATAAAGAGCGGGTGAGCCCACGGCTTTGATTTTCTTGGGATGAGACCGGGACAAATCGAAGTTTTCTTGCTTTTCTGGTTATTTCTGATGAATGATATGTCCTTTTTTTTTCCCACGAGATGAAACGAGCTGTCTTTTTTGGGTTTCCTTTTCTGATGGTCGGATTAGCGCTGGCCTTGCATGGAAATGGGCTTAGAGAAAATTTTCATAAAAATGTATAAATGAGATACCTCGAATTCAACTGGATTTATTCCGCTTCAGGACAAACATTAAGCTCTTCTGAAGATGTCGCTATGGACATCCCGGACTTTTCGGGGTCCAAGATTCTACCCAGCCTGGGGCTTGTTATAAAATCAGTATTAGAATGCTGCATATCTTCCTTGTGAAATATGACGGCGTGGGTTAACAAGCTACGTAGAGACGGTCGGTTAGAGCAGCACCGAATGACCCTCTTCGCCGCTTGGAAGTAGATGCCGAGTTGAAGATCCCCAACTTTAGTCACTCATGTCTTGCACATGGCGTGCCTTTGCATCCGATCCAGCTTCCAAGTGCGGTCACCAACCTATAGGGCCTAAAATGCCTAGCTCGGGCCTGATCTACAAATAAAAAGCCTAGTACTCTGACCAATGGTTAAAGTTTTGCAAAGCTTCGTATTGTCTATGTCGTGATATGCATATCCTCCGCGGTACCCTAGGGTAGCCCAGGGTGGCTTCACACGCACCTCAGCAGGAACTCATATCTGGCGAACCCAGAATGTGAAGCAAGCCATCTTTTATTAAACCAAATCAATAAAAAAGGGGGTACCAACTCCGGTTGATCATGTAATCAAGAAATGAGAAACCGTGCCTCGAAAGGTCATCATCTCATCTCGTATGCCAGACTCGGGAACAAAGCGTCCCGAGTCTTGTTCGCATCATAAAACACATACACACAAGCGCATGACTCGAATCTCCTGTACTTTTTCGCTCGTATCTTCATTCCCTTACTTCCGCAGCTGCTCCCGCTCCACCTCGTACATGAAGTCGAAGTAAGGCTTGTCGAAGTGGTGGATACGGACGTAACCGTCCTCACCACCAGAGGCGTAGGCGGTACCGGCCGGGTGGACGTCGATGGTGTTAAGGGGACCGAAGTGGCCACGGACACGGCCGATTTCGTCTTCGAAAACCTTGTGGTAGAAGCGAGCCTCGAATTTACCTTGGCGGGCGGAGGTGGTTGTGACATCCATGGCGGCCTGACCACCACCCAAAATCACGTATTCCTTCTTGGGAGTGATGGCGGCGGAGTTGAGGGGGGTGTCGGCGGGGTAGGTCTTCATGATGGCGAGGTTGCGAGCGGAGATAAGCTAGAAGTTGTTAGAGAAAGCCGTAGGTAAGGAACGGTTCATGTGGGCGTACCTTCGCGGACTTGTCTTTGGAGGCAGTAAGGAAGTAGGTGCGATCAGGGGAGAATTGGATGTCGTTGATCTGGTGGTCGAACTCGTGGGCCTGGACGTTCTCCAGCTGGTCACCGGTCTGCGCATCATGTCAGTTTTGTTCCATCGGGTCAGAATCCAGATAGTCGTACCTTGGGGTCGTACTGGCTGACGCTGCCATCCTCGTGTCCCGCGATGATGTACTTCGCCAGGAAACTCCACCCCGCGACTGTCGCCTTGCTGTCCTCACAGGTAATCTTCAAGCTAGGCTCATCGGCCTGGTCCTCAAGGTTGCCCAGCTGGTCATCACCGTACTTGATATCCATGACGACAATGGTACCGAGGAAACCCATACGCTTCTCCGTCACGGCCAGCAGCTTGCTGCCATCCGGGGAAAATGCGACGCGCTTCACGGCAGTCGGGAAATCCCAAACCTTCACGCACTCGCCAGTCTTGATGTTCCATAGCCGCACGGTGTTGTCTGCTGATCCAGTCGCGAGGAGAACGGTGTTGGGGCTCACGTCGACAGTCCAGATAGCACCCTGGTGACCCTGGTAGGTTCCGAGACGCTCGCCGTTGGCGGACCACCATGCGCACACATGCTTATCCTTAGCCACTGAAAAGAGGAGGTCGCCATCCTTGTTGAACTTGATCTGGTTCAGGGACCGTTCCTATAGAGCAAAAGGTCGGTGTTAGTTTCGTTGTGGATCCGGCAGGAGAATTCGAACGCACATGGCCCGAGAGCAAAATAGGCCTCATCTTGAATTGGTCGAAAATGTCCGACCGGAGATCGCAAAGAAGGGATCGACTAAGGAGGGGGTGGTTGTAAAGAGGGCGGGTATACCGGGGGGGGGTCAATCTCGTCAACCTCACTTTCTTTGACTAGTGAATTTGATCGCACACTCGCCCAGTCAGCGCCAAGACTTGACCGTATCGAATCCCGCTTTCCGGACTTAGAGTTGTTCCGGTATCTACACGTGACAGGTGCCCCTCTGCCCTAACCCTACACCCGGCGTTACTTTACTCCGGTAAGACCGTTATGATGACTCATCTGAAGATCATTTATGCCTCAGGCCACAATCCCGTGCTACAGACCTCCTTTCGGGATCCGAGATTCGTACGAGGATAAAAAGGAATGAAGGAGCACCGTGAGCGTGAGGGGGAAATTGCGAACTTACTGAGGAGGCATCGTGTTTTCTACCAGTTGCTCCAATTTGTTCCATCCTGTGCATCTAGCTGGTGAGGTTCCTTGGGATCCCGATCGCAAAGAAGGTGACCGAGGGTTCTCGCCCCTAAAGAAGCAATAATATTCATGCCGCTCTTCCCCGCCACGGGTCCCCGCCGTCACTTTTCCCTTCAGGTGCGCGCGATCAATTTTCGTCTCCCCACCCCGCGGTCTTCTTTCTCCGTGAACCACTTCTCCTCCGCACGAGGGGTTAGAGCAATTGTACGATCGGCTCCGTCTCCACCGAGTGGTTTTTTAATCCCGCCAGCCGCTGCTTCCCATCGCACCTTTTGCAGCTCCGCAATAATGGCGTCCAAGATCGATGGCACCGCCATTGCCAAGAACATCCGCGCAGGTCTTAAGGAAGAGATTGTGAAGACCCAGGAGACCAACCCCCGCTTCAAGCCCAATCTCGTCATCTTCCAGGGTAAGCTCATCGCTGGCATATGCGGATTAGGAAGGACTCAATGGCTAACCACAATTTTAATACACAGTTGGAAACCGGTCCGATTCCAGTTAGTTCCGATCTGGGGAGGAGTGCTCGAGAGAGCCCAACTAATGTGATTTATAGGTACTTATGTGCGCATGAAGCTGAAGGCCGCACAAGAGGTATATCGTGCCCTCTTATCAAACCCCCACCTTGTACTTCGACTGACACCAAATTTTTCTAGGCCAACATTATTTGCACTCTGATCAATATCCCTGAGTCAAGCACAGAGTCTGAACTCCTCCAGGAGATCACCAAGGTCAACAATGACCCCGCCGTGCACGGTATCCTGGTCCAATTGCCCCTCCCGAGCCACATGTCAGAGCACGCCATCACCTCGGCGGTCTCTGATGAGAAGGACGTTGATGGATTCGGCGCAATCAACATTGGTGAGCTGGCCAAGCGTGGCGGTCGCCCGCTGTTCACTCCCTGCACCCCGCTTGCTGTGATGGAGCTGCTGAAGGCTAGTGGAGTCGACCCCGCTGGCAAGGAGGCCGTTGTTCTTGGTCGCAGCGACATTGTCGGCAGCCCCGTTAGCTACCTGCTCAAGAATGCCGATGCTACTGTCACAGTCTGCCACTCTAAGACCCCCGACATCGCCCGCATCGTGAAGAACGCCGACATCGTTGTTGCTGCTATTGGAAAGACCGAGATGGTCACAGGCGACTGGCTGAAGCCTGGTGCTGTCGTCATTGACGTCGGTATCAACTACAAGCCCGATGCGACCAAGAAGTCCGGTGAGCGTTTGGTCGGCGATGTTGAGTTTGAGTCTGCGGCCGCCGTGGCTTCGCAGATTACCCCGGTTCCTGGCGGTGTTGGCCCCATGACTGTGGCCATGCTGCTTAAGAATGTCGTTGGCTCTGCCAAGGCATACTTCGAGAAGCAGAAGGACCGTCACATCACCCCGCTTCCCATTAGATTGGAAACCCCCGTTCCCTCCGACATTGCGATCTCCCGCGCTCAGTACCCCAAGGCCATTACTAAGGTCGCATCTGAGGTCGGCATTGCCAATCACGAGCTGGAGCCTTACGGTCACACCAAGGCCAAGGTCAGCCTCGATGTTTTGGACCGCCTCTCTCACCGCCGCAACGGAAGATATGTGCTGATTTGTGGAATTACACCTACTCCTCTCGGCGAGGGCAAGTCAACCACAACTCTGGGCCTCACCCAGGCTCTTGGTGCTCACTTGAACCGTATTACCTTCGCCAACGTTCGTCAGCCTAGCCAGGGCCCTACCTTCGGTATCAAGGGCGGTGCCGCCGGTGGTGGTTACAGTCAGGTTATTCCTATGGATGAGTTTAACCTTCACTTGACCGGTGACATTCATGCCATTACTGCCGCCAACAACCTTCTTGCTGCGGCCATTGAGACCCGTATGTTCCACGAGTCTACACAGAAGGATGGCCCTCTGTACAAGCGTCTTGTGCCTGCTTCGAAGGGCAAGCGCGAGTTCAAGCCCATCATGTTCCGCCGCCTGAAGAAGCTTGGTATCGAGAAGACCAACCCCGATGAGCTGACCGAGGACGAGATCCACCGTTTTGCCCGTCTGGACATTGACCCGGAGACCATTACCTGGCGTCGCGTGCTTGATGTCAACGACCGTCACCTGCGCGGTATTACCGTTGGCCAGGCCCCTACTGAGAAGGGCCACACCCGTGAGACTGGCTTCGATATCTCCGTCGCCAGCGAATGTATGGCCATTCTCGCGCTGAGTAACGGCCTGGAGGATATGCGTGAGCGCCTTGGCCGTATGGTCGTGGCCACCTCCCGCAGTGGTGACCCGGTTACCTGTGACGACATCGGTGCTGGTGGCGCCCTTGCTGCCCTCATGAAGGATGCCATCAAGCCCAACCTGATGCAGAGCTTGGAGGGAACTCCCGTTCTGGTGCATGCTGGCCCCTTCGCGAACATCAGTATCGGAGCTAGCTCGGTAATTGCCGACAAGCTAGCCCTGAAACTGGCCGGAACTGAACCCGATGAAGACCACGATGCTAAGACTGGCTTCGTTGTCACTGAGGCCGGCTTTGACTTCACTATGGGTGGTGAGCGTTTCTTCAACATCAAGTGCCGATCATCGGGTCTATCTCCCGATACCGTTGTCATCGTGGCCACGGTCCGTGCGCTCAAGGTACACGGTGGTGGTCCCGAGATCACCCCCGGTGGTGCCCTGCATGAAATCTACCGCACCGAGAACGTGGAAATCCTCCGCAAAGGTTGTGTCAACCTGCGCAAGCACATCGCCAATGCCAAGCAGTACGGCGTCCCGGTGGTCGTCGCGATCAACAAGTTCGAGACCGACACCGAGGCTGAGATCAACGTCATCAAGGAGGAGGCTATCGCTGCCGGTGCCGAAGATGCTATCCCGGCTAACCACTGGGCTGAGGGCGGAGCCGGTGCTGTCGACCTGGCCAAGGCTGTTTTGGCCGCCAGCTCCAAGCCCAAGGACTTCAAGCTGCTGTACGACCTGAACGGCACCATCCAGGAGCGCATCGAGCGCATCGGCCAGGCTATGTACGGTGCCGATAAGGTTGAGTTCAGCGAACTTGCCCAGAAGAAGGTGGACACCTACACCAAGCAGGGCTTCGCGAACCTCCCGATCTGTATCGCCAAGACGCAATACTCACTCAGTCACGATCCGGCCCTGAAGGGAGCGCCGACCGGCTTCACGGTCCCTATCCGCGACGTCAGATTGGCCGTTGGCGCAGGATACCTGTAAGTTTCCCCACTCTCGACTCTTTAAATCTACACATACTAACCTCGCCGTAGCTACGCTCTGGCAGCCGATATCCAGACCATCCCCGGACTGCCCACAGCACCGGGCTATCTTAATGTGGACATCGACACCGAGACTGGGGAGATCGACGGATTGTTCTAGATGGTACCTACATCCTTGTAGGCATTTTACTTTATGATTAAGGTTGGATAGATTGGAGCTTGTATATACACCCACAGGTTATTGCCGGTGGACTTTCAACAAATACATTACGAGGATACCCTGGCGTCCGATCGGAGCGGGATTCTTAGATGCAGAACATTTTCAACACTGGGAGAGGCTGGAATTCGAATCAATTGCATATTACACCTTCAAATTCTTTCCCTCTCATTAAAATGCAATGGTGCAATTCGGGAGATCGTTTCCCGAGGTCAAATGAAGATCTTCGGTGAAGCCGCGGAGGGACGCTCCGAGCTCCGGGAAAGCTCTAAAGCAGGGGCGGGTCAGTGGAGGAAGCTCTGAGGACTCTGACTCGCCTGAACACAAGATCTATCGTGAGTCAGGATCATTCTGGAGACCAAACCCGGGCAGTTGACTCCTACGAGTTCCCTTTAAGTGAAAATAAAATAAAAAACCCCACGAGTCACGAGACTGTCCGGCTTCGGCGGTTTCAACGGAGCCAACGGTTAAAGAGGAACAGTCGCGCTGATTTCCCCGGACAAGGCTTTTTCCTCCTCCCCCTTCGCCCCAGAGCTATCATTTGCATTACTTGCAAGGCTTTTCGGTAAATCCCTCCAAGTCCATTTGCCTTCTCTGCTTCCGGGAGCTCCCGTATTTCCCCGGTCTTCCCCCAGACGGAAGGGAAAAAGGGTTGGCCGAGTCCAACCGTGACGTGCATCGCGCCGAACCCGCTCCACTGACTTCCTTTCTGCCGAACATCGTACCCTCGGTTGTTGGGCTTCGGCGCTTTGCGAAAGCTGCCGACACTGGTCTCCGAACCAAACAGAGAGAGGAAATTGCGCTGACTTGTACCCGACCAGTATCATCATGAACGCCCTTCGGTCCAGTTCCGCTTTCGCACGCCGGTCCCTGGCCCCTCCTGCCCCTCTCTCTATCTCTTCTCGTCTTCTCTCTTCTTCCTCCTCCCCCTCCTCCAAGAGATCTATCTCCTCATCCTCTCTTGCTCGCCCTCAGAGACTCGCTACTGCTTCCCGCTGGTCCGGACAAATTCCTTCCCTGTACCTCAGCCAAACCCGCACGATGGCGACCGAGACCAAGATTAAGGTTAAGAACCCGGTGGTGGAACTGGATGGTGATGAGGTACGGAAACCTTCCTCCCTTTTATAGTCGGAAGACTACTTGCATTGGCGGCGTATCACAAGCCTTGCCTCGTGGCTTCGGGTGCATTTTTGTCTCGTCCGTCATCGAACGCGGGGAAAAACGGGGCTCACACGCTCTTTCATGTGCCAATCCACCTGAGCCACGGCATCGCCCAGTGCCATTGCCTGTTTGGGTTATCTCTCGCTGTCGTTCAATCACTAATTGGCTCTCTTTATCTTTGTAGATGACCCGTATTATCTGGCAAGACATCCGCAACAAGGTAAGCCGAGGAACTTGACCCCTTGTCCATCCTGGTCCAGACCGTGCATGATTAGCGTCCCCTGTTGCATCTTGCAGACTGCATGCACTTCCATGCATGGCAATTGGACCAGTCCATTCGTTGAGACTAAGGCTAACCTTTATTTTTAATAGTTGATTCTGCCGTAAGTGTCCCCAATGGGAAATATGATCTTCATAGCAGACTTCTAAAATTGCCTAATTAGGTACCTCGATATCGACCTCAAGTACTACGATCTCGTGAGTCACACCCACCAATTACGCCTGGATATCTTGCTGATCCTTCTGTCTAGGGTCTTGAGTACCGTGACCAGACCGATGACCAGGTCACCATTGATGCTGCCGAGGCTATTAAGAAGTACGGTGTTGGTGTCAAGTGTGCTACCATCACCCCCGATGAGGCCCGTGTTGAGGAGTTCAAGCTGAAGAAGAGTAAGCTTTTTTGCAATCTGTGTAACGTATCGGAAACTAACCCCCGCCAGTGTGGCTCTCCCCCAACGGAACCATCCGTAACATCCTGTGAGTGAAACCTGCTCTACAACAGACTGCGGGGTAACCAACTAACAATCTTCATAGCGGTGGTACCGTTTTCCGTGAGCCCATCATCATCCCCGCCATTCCCCGTCTGGTGCCTGGCTGGAACAAGCCCATCGTTATTGGCCGTCACGCTTTCGGTGACCAGTACCGTGCCCAGGACCGTGTCATCACCGGCCCCGGTAAGCTCGAGCTCGTCTTCACCCCCAAGGATGGTGAGCCCGAGCGCATCCAGGTCTATGACTTCCAGGGCGGTGGTGTCACTCAGTGCCAGTACAACACTGATGAGTCCATCCGTGGCTTCGCCCACGCCTCTTTCCAGATGGCTCTCATGAAGGGTCTACCCTTGTACATGAGCACCAAGAACACCATCCTCAAGAAGTACGATGGCCGCTTCAAGGACATCTTCCAGGAGATCTTTGAGAAGGACTACGCCAAGGACTTCGACGCTAAGAAGATCTGGTACGAGCACCGTCTCATCGACGACATGGTCGCCCAGATGATCAAGTCCGAGGGTGGCTTCGTCATGGCCCTTAAGAACTACGACGGTGATGTCCAGTCCGACATCGTCGCTCAGGGCTTCGGCTCCCTTGGTCTGATGACCTCCACCCTCGTCACCCCCACCGGCGAGGCCTTCGAGTCCGAAGCCGCTCACGGCACCGTGACCCGTCACTACCGCGAGCACCAGAAGGGCCGCGAGACCTCCACCAACCCCATTGCCTCCATTTTCGCCTGGACCCGCGGTCTCGTGCAGCGTGGCAAGCTCGATGAGACCCCCGAGGTCATCGCTTTCGCCGAGGAGCTCGAGCGCGCCTGCGTTGAGGTCGTCAACGACGAGCTCATCATGACCAAGGATCTTGCTCTGGCCCGTGGCCAGAAGCAGCGTGAGGCCTGGGTCACTACCAGCGAGTACATGGCCGCCGTTGAGCGGCGCCTGAAGGCCAACCTCAAGGCTCGTTTGTAGATTTTTTGCATTTGCCTTTTGCCAACCTTTCTAAATGATATCTCTTCCTCCTTAGACACCGGGGGTTCTCGCTCTATCTGCAATGTATAGCCCGCGGACGAATAAAATTTGCTTATTGAATACCTATAAAACTAGACCTTCATCGGAAAATGCCATCGACTATGGCTGAGGCCTAAGCACGCCGTCTCTGATAATTGTAGAATTAGACCTTCATCAGACAACGCCATAGACTACGGCTGAGGCCCAGGCACGCCGCTCATCCGCCACATCTTCTGTAGAGGAGTGGCTGAAGCGAACCCCAGGATATTCTCCTCCTCTCGCCCCCGTTATCGCATTAACGTAGGGGTTAGGATAGGGTAGGTTTAAAGTTTCCCCTAGTCGTGAACATTAGCCATTTCAGCCTCACCGGCGACTCCGAGCACCCAATACCTAGACGATAATAAACCCCACAGCCACAGTGGAATCTCTACCCCAAACTCGTATTAATTAACTCCAAATTATGAGGTGATCTTCTACACAGCCTACGACACGCTCTTTATTCGCAGACCCAAGCCCAGGATGCAAACCTAGAAGCCACCAACCCGACACTTCGCACCAATGTCGGGCCTGACCATTGAAATAGAGTTCATGATCTGTTCTCTGGTTGGTCAATTAGCCGGTTATGTAATGAAGTTACCAGGCGACTGATATCTGGAGTTGCCTTTGGCGAGCGCAGCAGAGATGGGACGAGTTGGGTTTCGACTCGGCAAAATTAAGGCTGTGGATCAAGATCCACAGCGATATTTTGCACGAATGACATGTGTCAATTGGGGGCCTTGTGGGATAAGGTCTGATGGGGTCCAGTGGAATGCCAAATGTCCTTGACGCAATGGGGAGGAAGACTTGCCTATTGCGGCGATGGAGGTTGGTGGCTGGGGCCAATGCCAACTTGGCGGTGATGGGAGGCCACACGGAAAGTTAGAGTAAAAGGAGATGGTCATTCTGATGTTGCAGACCTTTGAAGAACTGATTTTGGTTTTGGTTTTGATTTTCATTGTCCGCATTCTCATCTTCCGGTATTCACGCGGTTAAATATACTGCGGCATATCCACACCTCGACATCGCATACTTCACGGCATCCTGGTTTCACTCGGTGATTAGCGGATCGCCCCTGTGACTATCGTTATTTCACTCTAGCGAGGGTGCATTCGTTGAGATTTCATCTTACCGGCCACACAAATGGACTGACCCTTGTCAATACCATCTAGACCCACCACTGGTTTGGTATTGTCGAAGCTCAAGTGCTTGATCCGTGGAGATCATGCAGGTGTTGCCTGTCACGACTGCACTCACTATCCTTGCTATCTTGCTTGTCGCCATCCGTTTGTGGACGCGGATTAGACTGATCAAGAGCCCTGGATATGATGATTTGCTTGTTACGCTTGCATTGGTATGTCTCCCATTGATCATGACAAGCTCTGGAATGGAGACTGAAGGTGCACTCATTCATGGCAAGTGCGTTGCTAACCCCTCTCCAAGGCGACTTCTATCACCTTCTATGCATTCATTCTCGCCGGTAGGTTCATCCTCAATGGTATCTCTATATGACGAACTAGCGAAACTAATCCTCACCAGAACGCGAAAATGGCCTTGGCATCTCTAAGCACGACCTGTCATGGGAGATGAGAAGAACGCAGATGCGGGTAAGTCAATCTCTTCAACCTATGCCACCTTGTATTAACCAAGACCAGATGCTCTGGCTCTCCATACCATTCTACAACCTCTCCTTGACCCTTTCCAAGCTATCCGCTCTCATCCTCTACGGCCGCATATTCCATCACCGAGGCTTCCGAATCGCAAAATACGCCCTAATGACGTTCATAATCATCTCCGGTCTCTGGATGGTCATAAGCGGCTTCGTATTCTGCGTCCCAATCCATACATTCTGGTCCGGTCACATCCTAGCCGCTGAAGCCCACTGTCTCCCAGTCGGACCAGTTTGGTATGCCAATGCAGCAATGCAAATCTTCAGCGACGTCGCAATCCTAATCCTCCCCATGCCTCTCCTTTGGAAACTCCACCTCCCCCTCCGCCAACGCGCAGGCATAATGATCGTATTCGGCGTCGGCATCCTGGTCATTGCAACTAGCTCCGCCCGTCTCTACGAGCTATGGAAGATGGTAAACGGCGGCGATTTCACTAAAACAAATGAAAACGCAGCTGTCTGGTCTTCTCTCGAAGCGAACGTGTCTATCATCTGCGCTTGTCTTCCTCCCCTACATCCATTCATCTCGAGGATATTCTCACTCTGTTTCCTGCCTCAACCACTACATTCCTCACCAGTTTCAAAAGAAACCAAAAATGAAACACAACTCACTTCGGCGCACCGCAGCTTTCGAAAGGAATCCTTCTACGACCCGGGAATCGGTCCAGATGGCGGAACCTTCTACAACGACTTCTTTTACTCGGGTCCAGGCGCGTACTCGGCCAGTATCGCCAAGACAAATGACACTGAGAGAACGAACTCGAAAGAGAGAGATCCGGGAAGTGACCCGGATGCGATTCGGGTGGTGCGAGAATTGAGGGTTGGATCCGATTGTATGGCACCTAGTCCGACGCTTGTATCGGATCAGACACAGGATCGGGATTTTGAGGCGGAGAGGAGCAATGGGAGTGGGGGGGTACAGGGAGTGGTACAGGAAGTGGAGCGGGGACCTGGAATACGTCTATTGAGTGGGATTTGGGGGATTTTGAGTTTCCGGATTATAAGGAGAGAATGAATGCTCCTATCTAGGGAGTTGTATATAAAGATCACGACTTATGATTGACTAGGTATATATATGAGATGATTTAATGTTTTCTGATTGCCTTGGCTAAGTGTGATATGCCCAATTAGGGGGACGACGACGGCAATATCTCCAAGGGCCCCTAAGCGATATAGTTTGTGTACTCTTCGAAGAATATGTCATTGCCGGCGACTGACGAAGAATGATGTAGCATGCTCGAAATAATTGATCCGGCTGAGACAAGCGTAATATCCAGGCACCTCATCCTGTGGACTACAACTTCGCCTGGCGTGCCATTTGCTTTTTCTCCTCTTTGCGTAAAATCTTCTTTTGGATCTTTCCCGTATTGATATTTGGCAGATACTTGACGATCTTGATCTCAAGTGGTACTATGAACCGGCCCATCCCTGAGATCTGGAGAGCCCAGGTACGAATGTCCTGCCCTGTCGCCTTGGACTCAGAGCGTACTGTGATGCTGTGATGAAGAGTTTGGGTGTCTATTCCCATAGACAATCGGTCAGTCAAATAACTGCAGCCTCAACGATTGCAGAATGCTTTATGAGGGTCTTCTCGACTGTAACAGAGGAAATATCCTCGTGACTTAGCATAAAGGCACGTCAATTTAGGACATTCTTTCGCTCCCGCACGAGCCATCACAGAACATTTTTTTTGGCTGAGATTTAATAGTTTCAATCTCCATTTATTGCTATCAGTGTGTTACAGGGCGTAACCAGACAAATCGCTTGTAGCCAGATTTTCGGCAACTTCTAGAGAAATCTCTCAATGTATTTAAAAGAATCCCCTTCCCAATTCGGGATGTCTGAAATCGTATAGATAAATCCTCATTTGAGGGAGACCAATCAGGGACATCGTAATATGTTCAAATTCGACATAGCTCAAGTCCTAATAATCTTTGCCTCGGTTATAGGCATTGAGCAACGGCAGCCCCTTATCTATCCGCTCGATATTGATTTTCACAATACTCAATGAGCGTGGTAGATACTCCTTCCCCAGTCCACTCACATGAGGGCTAATCTGCACATTTGGCGCATCCCAGAGTGGATTATCAGCAGGCAAAGGTTCCGGATCAGTGACATCAAGCGCGGCACCACTCAAATGGCCAGATTTCAAAGCCGCAATGAGGGCACCCTGGTCGATAACTTTGCCACGCGAGATGTTGGTCACATACGGCTTGCTGATCGGGTGCTTAGAGCTGCCAGATAGCAAAGCAAATTCTTCGTCGCCCAGTAGATGGGTTGTTTGCTTGGTCAGCGGCAGCGAGACCACGAGGTGATCTAGCCCAAGGGACAAGAATGAACGAACCGATTCCTTGTCTGTGCCGTGGTGCCATGATGCTGGAATCGACCCATCAGGATCTCCAGTTCCAGGAATGATAAAGCCATTATCATGCCGCGACTCTGGGGTTGGGCGTGGGGAGGCAGTGTAAGCGTGGACTGTCATTCCCACGGCTTGTGAAAGACGGGCAACTAATGACGGTCAATCGTGCTTTATAGAAGATTGAAGTCCAGCATTGGACGCAAAATTAAAGATTCATTGTACGTACTTTGCCGCCCAATACTTCCATATCCGAGAATTCCGACCTTTTTGCCAACCTGGTCATGAATAGTTGTCGTGAATACATCTTTTTTGATATCCCATCGTCTTTCTTTCTGGGCCTCGTAGGTTCTGATATACTGGCGAGATGCGATAAGCCAGTTCATGAGAGTCCACTCCGCGATCGGCGGGCCATGGACTCCGGAGCTAGTTGTAATTGGGATATCGGTATCTGTCAAGATCGGATGACTCAAAAGATGGTCCAGGCCAGCAGACAACGTGTGAATCAATTTCAGGCTAGGTTGATACATGGGTCAGCGCTTATACATGTCTATGAGTCGTGACTACTCACTTCTTCGCGTCTTTGATGTCCGGCAGGTCCGTGAAGGTCACCAAGATGGTCGCGTTTTGGTATAATTCTGTGACAACACCCAACTTAGCTTTGGCATATCTTCAAACCCTTCATTGAACCTCTTCACTTACCAGCTGGGACTGGAACAGCTTCTTTCGGCTTCGATTGGTAGACAGTGACATCGTCATTAGGGAACACTTGCTGAATTTCCGCCACGACCCACTCTGGGAGTTGCAGAGAAACAATAAAGAGCAACCGCTCGGAAGGCAAAGGGGTTTCACCCATTTCAGCAACAATATACGTAGTGAATACCTTTCGACAATGGTGGTGGGAAGAAAGTATTTAATGATAGAGCGGGAATTTTATGGCAGGTGTCAGTTATGGGGCAGAGTGGGTGTACCGGCAAGGGTGCCGGCGGGAATAACAATCAGTAGACCAGAACACCTTATCGCATTTTGATAACGTATTTCCTGAGCGCGCGAGAACTAGTGAAATTGTATTCCGTACTACTAGTAAGGAAGCGGAAGCTCTTATTGGATACCCGGGTGAAACTGGCGAATACCTATTGGTTCGCGAATAATGGTGTGCGATTGCGATAGTTTGCTTATGAATCAAATGTTTGCCGCGCAACCCTATTGGTAAGAAAAGCCGTGAGAGATACTGGAAGGCTTGTCAGTTGAATTTTTACATAAGTCATTAGAGGGGAGTAAATATTGTAACATAGCTTCTTTATGACGGACATATGGAACAATATACTTATCTCACTTTCTGACGTGAATACTCTCTTTCAAGCAAGAAAATGGCACAGTGTAAATATATCAGAAGTAGACACCATATTCTAGCTACCTAGGTATAGACAAAAACAGAAAACAACAAATTCAGTGGATCATATACAGGATTCTGTTCCTTGTTGAAAGATCTAGTAATTAAAAATATATAATATGGAATTGTTCCGCAATGTTAAGACTGAACACAGTCCCCTTTACCAAGGGCCTCGAAATTCAATCTCACATCGAAGATTGATCGTCCTTGTACACTAAGAGCTGGTGTTGAGCTCGCTCAGGATCTCATCAGCAGCCTTCTCGGCAACCATGTAGGTAGACACAGCTGTGAAAGTACCCGGAACCTTCGGGTACACGGAAGCATCAACAACACGGAGACCAGAGACACCGCGAACGCGGAACTTAGAGTCTAACACGGCCATTGGGTCATCATCGGCACCAATGGGACAGGTGCAGGAGGCGTGGTGACCCCAAGCGCCATCCTTGACATAAGTCTCGATGTCCTCCTTGGACTGAACGGCGTCACCTGGGAGAACCTCAGTGATGTTGATGAGCTGGCGCTTGAAGGCGTCACGGGCAAGCTCAACGGCTTCATAGAGAGCAGTAAGATCGGCTGCGTAGTCGCCGACTCCGGTATCGAAGTAGTTGAAGGTGATCTTAGGCATGTCAAGGGGGTCGGCGGATTGTAAGGCAACGGTACCGGCGGTGTTGCGGGGATGAGCTTTGAGGATAGCCCAGGTAAACCAGTTATGTTCGTCGGTGGCGTTGATGCTATAGTCAGGGAAGTAGCCGCGGAAGTTGACCGGTCCACCAAAGCAGAAGATGTCGAATTCATCATCGGCCACGGAGCTCTTGTAGAGCATGGTAGCAGCGAGACCGGGGGATGAGTAGATGCCGCGGTCGCCGAGGATAGGAGACTCCCATTCGTTGATACAAGGGTCGGCCTGGTCGTGGATGCTGAAGGTGCATTTGTTCAAGCAGGAAAAATCATGTTCGATCTTGCCCTGCACGGAGATCTCATAGTGGTCTTGCAGGTTGGTGCCGACACCAGGGAGATCCTTAATGACCTTGATACCAAACTTGTTGAGTTCATCGGCGGGACCAATACCACTCAATTTAAGGATCTGGGGCGAGTTATACACACCACCGGCGACAATAACCTCACGGGATGCACTGGCGGAGCCGGGAATACCAGCAAGGGCAGACTTGGACATTGGGCTAGCTTTGTAAAGATGCTCGCCATCGAGGAACTCGACACCGGTGGCACGGGGTGGGCTGGCGGTCTCATTGAAGGTCACCTTGGTGACGTGGGTATTCATGCGGACATCAAGAGGGTACTTCTTAGAGCCATCATCGTTCTTAGCATCCCGCACAGCGATGATGAATTCGCGAGCACCGTTGCGGTGGGCATCATCAGTCGAGATAGGGATCTGGTAGTAGCCAGGATTGGTGTCACGGGCTTTGGTATCCGCATTGGCATCGCCAGCCAGCAGAGTGCCAATGTTCATGATGTTATCGGTCAAGTTACCAAGAGCAAAAGCTCCTCCCGTCAGCATATCCAGCAGCTGGGGGTCCTCCAAAACAATGCTGAGGGGCGCGGTCTCGGTTGACAGCCAGCCTTCGTAACCGTGGCCCTTAGCTCCGGGGAGCAAGTAACCATTCCTCTCCAGCTTGACAAAGTACTTGCGCATGTTTTCAGGTGTCCAAGAACTATCGCCGGTAAGGGTCGAAATGTATTCAAAGTCAGACTGGTGGGGATAGACTGCAATCAAGGCGTTGTGAGCAGTGCATCCACCAAGGGTTCCTGTACGAGGATAGAGGGTTCCTTTCAACGTTGAGCCCTCAGGAGGACTCAGGCCGGTGTATATACCGCCATCGGGTGTGTCATAGCTCGTCTTCCAATCGAGAGCCTGGCGTTCATCATCTTCATAGTGGTGCACGAAGAAGTTCCACGAGAGCTTCTCATCCTCTGAGGCTCTGGCAGAGTAGGCAGGGATAGTATAGTTGTAGTTTTCACCCTGGTCATCACCAGCCTCGAGCAGAAGTGTCTTATGACCGGCCAAAGCGAGGCGGGCGGCCAAAGGACCACCACCAGCACCGGAACCAACGACGACATATTCATAACCGGTGATGTTGACGGCCTTGGCCAGGCCGGCTGTGGCGGCCAGCAGGCCAAATAGATGGGAAAAAATCATAAGGAAAAAAAGAGTGACTATAGGTGAATTGACATTTCAAAAGGAATGTCATGGGATTCCAGATTTTATATCCAGTGTTTGTTTTCCCCCTGAGAAAGGATAGTTCGTATCTTGCATTAAAGCATTTTCACCAAAACCGTTGAAGACATGCCGTCGCCTCCACTAGCTCGTGGCGATCTACCCGCAGACAGCTTGCACAGCTGAACCTAGTACGTTTAGAGAAGCAATTCCCGAACGATCATCGATAGTTTAATAGGGACTCCGCAGCGTTACCTGTCATCCCTGTCGATCACCAAGGGGCTCCACCTTTATCGGGGGTTTCTCCTTTCTGAACTAATAATCCCTGACAAGTTTGTTATGCCAAGAAATTGTGGATTTTCTTTTTAGGGGATTCATTGCCACTCTGGCGATCCGAGGCTCACTGTTTACACCGTCTTTCTACAGTAACCTTCCTCTTCCTCCCTACAATCCCGATTTCCTCAGTTTACCTGTACGGCCACTTTTGACCAGTAATATCTGCTAGGGTTGAAGATCTATCCTGTCAGGCTGAGCGATTCGCACGGGACCCCCGACCTTTTCTTGGAACGGGTTGACAGTTGTATTCGTATTGCGGCTCGGATTGTGGGTTCCCGAAGTGGGTACCCTATGGGGTGCCCCAGTCTTCGACTTGTCAAAACTTGTCATAGGCCTCTTTGCGTTCCTTGATTTCTCATTCTATTCATTGGCTTTCATGTGGGGTCACGAGGAACATTCGGTGCAGAAAGTTCGCTTGGAAATTGCCTCGGTCGCTTTTCTTTCTCTCGTTCGATTCGAAAATGATCCTGCTATCTGACTTGAGGCCGTAATAAACAATCTTCTGTAGCTATGGTCTTAGGCTAATCATTGGCACCACCAAGAAAGAGCAATAAAGTAACAACCTATGTTGGGATTCTGCCTTCAATCGATCTTACAAAATTGCTAGGATTGCCACAGGGATATCAAGGTCACGAGCAAGCGGGGTAATATGTAGCATGGTCCACAAGTAATGCCAAAAAGTGTTGACTAGACTTGATAGGGGTTGAAATCTGTTCATCGTTCTCATAACGTTGTTTTGCACTCCTTTCATTTCAAGCTCCAGAACCAAAAAAAAAAAAAGATCTTAAAACATTCCTTGTTTTTTTCTTGGTTGTTCCTGACGTGAGATATCATGACGGAGATGTAGAATAACATTGTTCGCTATAGGATGAAAGACCGTGTTCGACCAGATCAAAGACAACGGGCTCAAAAGTGAAGTCTTTCCCATTGATTAACTCTCGAAGAGCTAAGTAGTCTAATACTTTCTCTCTTGCCAGCAATGAACACAGCTTTCAGTCATAAACATCAACTGACTCCAATTGACGCTAGCCAACCGTGTTTCGTAGAGCCAATTCAATCCTCACTGACGAGTGCCAAAAAAGACCAATTCTGGCTTTAAAATCGGACTTGGATAGATCCAGAAGGCGGTATAGTTGTTGTTGAACGGCCAAATCTCATTCGATCCAATGATCTCTAGTTATAGATCATGGTTATTAACTATAATTCAAAGCCCGAGTCAAATAGATCAAAGTCTTTTGCCAGCCCACTCCCTTCTCTTTCTGCTTCCAAATACCCCGTACCGAGCTTATTTGGCTTTTCTTCTATCGTCTCCCGATCATCCTCCAGAGGGGTGTCGGTCAACTCCCTATAAAAATATAAGACACCCAAAAGTGGCTGTTTCATCCCGATTATATGAGCCAAATCTATTTTAGTTCTTGTTTTGTTTTTTCTTCTTTTCCACTGGTGCCGAGCTGACGCTTCTTTTCTTAACCAGTGTTTCGGATCATCTGGAGCCATATTAGACTGAAAATGTTCCATTTGGTCCTCAACACTTTCTCCTTGGCCTTGAATTCGCACACAAGGATCAAAAAGGTCCAGAAAACGGACGCGAGAGAAATCATCGAGACTCTCACCAAGGCCAAAGATCGCAACAAGTACATATCCTGTATTCAAGGCACGTTTGTCCACGAGCATAGCAGATTCATGATAAGGGTCAAAAGAACTTGGCCATCGCTGTTTAGCTTAACGATGTTAAAATTGGCAGTCTCAAGAACCTGGTACCGCTTGAAATTATCAAGAATAATAGCCTCATTCTTCTAAGGAGATAGAACAAATGCTTCATAAGCAATATGGAGCTCATTTTCAAGTCATAGCGCATTAACAACATTTTCAACCATAGCGCCCAGTTTGTTGATGGTTTCGGGGCCTCTACGATAAGGTAGCAGCTACTCCATGCGCAAACGCCATCTTTACATCCATATGTGGAGAGTTCCTAGAGGGTGTTAGACTCAGCTTAGATATGAAGGAAGAATTGAGAGCGAATCTTTTCCTCATCTCCTTGCCTCACGCGTGAACCGAGGCTCTGACTCCGGGGATTTATCGGTATATATATACTTGGCTTTAGCCTCCCCATTGTTTTGACTTTAATACCCGATGCAACTTACATCCTGAAAGTCCTGCTCTGTGGACGTCCAGGTCATTAGATCAAGGATCGACGCTGGAGAGCCTTAGAATAGTCCCTCTCCTCATTGCTAGAAACCCAATTATCCCGGACAAACCGGTGCCAGCCCTTAACAATAGGCGGGAAACTCCACACCTCAACTAGGCTCGTCTCGGCAGGATAAATGATGGGATGCCACCTGGCCAGAAACTGGCTTCTGTCGTCAACCCCGATTTGTCAAGACGACGGCCCAGTATCCCAGGTATGGTAATAATGGTGGAAGGAGAGAGAAGGAAAGTCGAATAGTGCGAGGCACGGAGTTTGATGTCCTTCACGTGACTGGATGAGGCTAAAAGATGTCCGCCCCGCGTTTCCCGCCTCCTGGAGAGGAAGGAATCACTGCTAGAGGTGTCCAGATCCTTCGCAACCTTGCTCACGTTGACTTTGGTGTGTTCGTATTATGCCTTGATTAGAATGTCTGATCCAAAAAACTACACTATTGGCTGGATTTGCGCGATCACCTCTGAATATGTTGCCGCTCAAGCCTTCCTCGATGAAGTGCACGAGGGCCCAGAATACTTGCCAGCTCACAACAAAAACGACTATACATTGGGCAGGGTCGGAAAGCACAATGTGGTAATTTCTGTTCTACCTTTAGGTTTATACGGCACCTCCTCGGCAACGCGAGTTGCCGAAGATATGTTGCATAACTTCCCAAATGTTCGAATCGGTCTGATGGTCGGTATCGGTGGCGGAGCGCCAAGCCCAAATCACGATATACGCCTTGGTGATGTTGTGGTTAGCATTCCTTTCAATGGCCGAGGTGGAGTGATCCAGTACGATTTCGGTAGAACGATACAAGGCCAAAGCTTTCAGTTGACGGGCTTTCTCGATCAGCCACCTATTATCCTCCTCGCAGCGGTTAACGGACTTAGAGCGCGGTATGAGAGCGAGGGCAATCGACTTGAAGAGAAAGTTAACAAGGTTCTTGAGAAAAAGCTAAGGCTACAGAAAAAATATAAACGGCCAGAGCAAGAAAGTGACCGGCTTTACCAAAACCATATCGTTCATCCAGAAAAAAGTGGATCATCTTGCGCAATATTTTGTGGTAATGATTCAACAAGTTTGATGTCGCGAAATCCTCGAGCTGAGGATGAAGACAGCTCTGCCGTGCACTACGGGTTGATTGCGTCAAGCAATCAGCTAATAAAGGATGCTTCGGTCCGTGATAGACTTGCCGCGGAAAAGGGTGTTTTATGCTTTGAAATGGAAGCGGCCGGGCTGATGAACAACTTTCCGTGCCTTGTGATCCGTGGTATTTGCGACTACTCCGATTCGCACAAGAGTAAAGAATGGCAAGGGTTTGCGGCAATGGTTGCGGCAGCATATGCGAAAGACCTGCTTTGTCGAATTGTCCCCCAAAAGGTGCAAAGCGAACGAAGTATTTCAAAAATCTTGAGGCCACGTCATGGCCATGTGGCCGAAGTCAAAGACCGCAATACATCCAGGTTACCAAAAAGCGATGAAAAATGCGCCACGAAGTTGCAGATCCTTCAAGGCCATTCTGATTTGGTACATTCGATAGTCTTCTCTCCCAACGGCCGACTAGTAGCCTCTGGCTCTGAGGATCGAACTGTACGGCTCTGGGATATCGACACAGGCTCTCTACAGCATACCCTCAAGGGACATTCTAAAGGGGTTTTGTCGGTAGCCTTCTCTCCTAACAGCGGACTAATAGCGTCGGGCTCTCAGGATCGGACTGTACGGCTCTGGGATACTGCCACAGGCGCTTTACAGCAGATCCTCGAAGGCCATTCATTTCGTGTTGATTCAGTGGCCTTCTCTCCTGATGGCCGAGAATTAGCCTCGGGAGCTCCTGCTAGTTCTGTCCGGCTCTGGGGTACCGCCACAGGTGCTCTACATCAGACCCTCAAACTCCATTCTAGTCCGGTAGTCTTCTCTCCCGACGGCCGACTAGTAGCCTCTGGCTATCTTGATTACTCCGTTAAGCCTGTAACTCACAATTTCAGGATCTGGCAGAGATCCTCAGCACATCGATTTAACAGTGGCCATATTGGTGGGGTTCTGTCAGTGGCATTCTCTTCCGACAGCCAATTAGTAGCCTCCGGCTGTGTTGACCACACCGTCCTGCTATGTGATAGTACCCCCACGGGCCCTTCGTCAACCATCTACAGACGGACTCTGAAAGGTCATTCTGATTCAGTTTTGTCGGTGGCCTTCTCTCCCGACAGCCGACTAGTAGCCTCAGCCTCTAGGGATCATACCATCCGGCTCTGGGACACCTCCACGGGCACTCTACAGCACATTCTCAAAGGCCATTCCAGTATAGTTTTGTCGGTAGCCTTTTCTCCTGATGGCCGAGTGGTAGCCTCGGGCTCCTACGGGTCTGTCCGGCTTTGGGATACCGCCACGGGTGCTCTAAACCAGACCCTCAAAGGCCTTTCTAGCCCCCTGGCCTTCTCTCCTGACGGCCGACTAGTAACCTTGAGCTACCTTGATCACACCCTCCGCGTCATACCAGCGCGAGCGATCTATTGGATACAGTGAAATGCACGCATTTTTACGCGACAATCCATGGTGTGGTCCAGGTAGACACCGTGTGGGCTAACCCATACGTACAGAATGCAGTATGATTGGCATGTATCACAATTAGCCTGTGGCAAGCGATTTCTGCTGTAATTGTTCTCCACCAGCTGGAATCGGGCCCACCATAGAGGCTGGCCTGTGACTTCGAGGGTCTCTATGTAGGGCACGTTAGCTCAGAAACACAGAGAATGTATCCGGACCAGGGTGTTCAGGGTGTTCAGGGCGCCCATGGTGTAGAGTGCTGAGGATTAGTCACAAGCTCAGGGGTGACCAGCTCTCAAGTCAACGTCGATGAGCATATGATCAGGTTTACTACAAAGATAGATAAACATCATGTTAAATAGTGAAATGGGGATGGCTCGATGGCCGTCTGACAATGCAGACTGGGGACATACCCTGACCGAATTTGGGTCATGGTTTATTATCCCATGCGGAACTTAGCACGTGGACCTCCACAATGAATTAGCCTGAACCTACCTATCCCTTTTGCGGCGATATATCAGAGTTTTCTGCCGCAGCTGGAGATGAATGTCTACGAGCACATATAGTGAATTATTCTTTCTACGCAGCTTTAAGTTATCTTCCGAAAAGAAGGCAAGAAATGGACATATGGAATAATCTAACATAATTCAAAGGAATTCTTAAATCAAGATTCAAATGGGGAGAAATAGCCTCTTTCTATGTAGAATAGTCTATCCAAATACAGTGGATAGATAAGTGAGAATAGGTACCGTTGAGGCAAGTCTCAATCTCAAATCTACCAGGATCTAGTACAAGGGCAGCTTGTATGCATCGAAATTATAGTCAAAGGTGTCAATCGAGGCCTGATCATACTCGCAGGTCAAGGTCTTACCGTCCCTCCAGTAAGGACGAAGAGGCCAGGCACAAAGCTGCTCGTTGTCTCCTATATGCTCACCCTGGAGAATAGTTGCGTTCAGAGTTTGAGGCACAATGCCATTTTCAACCCAACGAGACATGACCTCGAAGTTGGTCTGAGGGAAGGGTCCGTTGGGCTGAGCGGTATTGGTAGCACAATGGGCAGCTCCAGGGACCAAGAAAAGGCGATACCATTCCTTTAGAGCGCTGGTGCTTGAGTTATAAGTCATTTTTGGATACATAGTTTGGCGAACAGAATCGTAATAGTGCACCGATGACCCAGTGGGAATTGACTCATCCTGCTCACCATGGAAGTGGATGATCTTGCCACCGTTCTCATAGAACTCAGTAAGATCAGGCAGGGTAGTCTGCAGTGAGTCCATATATCTGGTCATTCCCTGCTTCATCCAGCCTACGAGTGTGTCATAGGTGACGCCCTCTAAGGTGGAAAGGTTGTCTTCATCATGCAACTCCAAAAAGCGAGCAACCCATTCACCACCAGCACCAGCGATATTCTGTTTAAATTAGCATAATGCTGCACAAGCCCCCTCAGCTAAGACTAAGTCGAGAACATACCAATTCCCATTCGCCAGTGGTCGAGTTATAAGTGGTCGCAGCATCATCGAAAGAGGCACCCATTTGATAAGATATATATGCACGGCGTCCTTGCGAGTCGTACAGGCCATTCAAAATTGTCTGAGCAACGGAAACAGCCTCGGCCGTCACAGTGCCGTTTTGGGCTGGCTCAGTTGAAGCCTGACGTTTGCCAAAGCCAAGGCCAAGGGTACTGCTGGTAGAGGCAGCACAATAATACGACTTTCCGATGATGGAAGTCATATTGAAATAAAGCTGACAGAGATCAGAGCGAGCAACGACACCATCAGCGCGTCCGTCCAGAGGATCACAGGCGGAAATTGTCTCATTCACAATCTTTTCCAGCTCGCATGGAGGAGGGTAGTAGTCAATGGTCCTCTCCACAACGTTCGAGTAGAGGTGGTTAGCTTGCTGCTGTGCGTAACGAATGGCAGGTGCGCCGATGATTAAGCCATCGTACTCCTCGCCCGCGCGCTGGCCCTGAGACCAACCCTCGCGACCACCTTCTGAGCAGCCCTGGTAGTAGGAGTACAACTTGCTGTTATCGGCAACGTCGTAAAAAGTCTTGGTAAGCTGCTTGCCGATGATGGTCATCTCCTTAATCGCTTCGTAGCCAAACATATACACAGAAGGCCAATTGATAGTTCCGTTGTGGAGCAGGAAAACGTCGTCAAAGTCGGTATCCATGCTGCCAAATCCTCCATCTGTAAAGCCAGAGACAGCGCCATACATTACGCCACCAGGGGCTGACATAGACCCCGACTGAATGGCGTACGCACCGCCTCCAGTAGCGAGGAATCGGTTCTTGAAGTTCTCAGGCGAGGGCATATAGTATCCGACAATCACAGATTGATCAGATCCTGTGTGGGTGTAGGAAAACGTGATATTGCAGTAGTTTATAGTCGCATCCGGGAAGAAAACCTCGCCAGAGTGAGAGGCATTGTAAACGGGACTGGCAGTGACCGAGGAATGATCAAATATAACGCCGAGAATGTATCCGTCTTCGGGCAAGGAATCGCGAATATGGGAGGCAGTGCATGCGCTGCGCAAAGAAGTAGCATAGGCTGCGCATGACCATGCAAGAAGTGACAGAGCTCTATGCATATTGAGTCCGGCCGTGTCGGTACGTCGAGTCTTGTTTGAATGTTCTTGAGCAAAAGTGGCTCATCTTGGAAAGTTTATATGCTCCTCGTAAACAATTACCAAGTCATGTGTTTCATCCCGAGTGCCATGGTACCATCAAGCTATACTGCTGACAACGCCATGTTTTTTTCACTCATGACGCGTCTAATGATAGAATAACGGGGTGGGTAGCCCCTGAAGAGTTCATGCCGATCGTGGTGAATACAGACAAGTACCCACCAATTAGCTAGATCCCCGACGAAAGGATCAGGGCTTAAAAAAATACCCGCTATGGTAACCATCCAAATATGGTAATTTAGCCCTATGATATTCTAGGTCTCGCATCTTGACAAACGCAAAGCTCTAGGAACCGGTTTTTTCATCGGCGCGGGCTGTTTCGCTCGGAGTGGGTACGAAACAGCTTATTGACCTTCGTATGCCGAGTCTATTTTCACGTGTTTTTGGATCAGGACCTTATCCAATCTGGCTTCTTTCCCGGTGTCATACTCTGTAACCTTGCACGCTATCTCCCTTCATCCTAGACTATGCAGCACGTTAGTGAGAGGGCTATCATGGAGAACCCCAACATTGAAAGGGCCACGTCAGCGGTATCTCATCAATCACGGCGGTTTAAAATTAAGGAGCGTGTTGCGACGTATGCTCTCGGGCCGAACTGATTCTTCACTAGGATTGGGGCTCCCGACCGTTATATCCGAGCAACGCTAGTCCCGCAGCAGCAGCTAACTCCGACGTATGCGTATCACGGAGATCGGGATCTGCATATCTAGATGGATATTAGAGGATTTTGCCCAGCTTCAATTAAATTGGAGAGGAGAAAGAGCCTTCGGAGGACGCGTTGCACAGGTTAATCTTCTTCGGGTATTCCCGACACGCCTCGATCGAGAGAATGACCGAAACATCGAAGACAAGAAGTTATTATAAGACTCCATGTTGATCTTCCTGAATTCGAATTGAAGAACCAATCCACTTTCTCTTTGTCGAATCAGCTACTATGCGTGGTATTGCACTCCCCGTTGCGTTGGGCCTGGTGCCTTTGGCCTCTGCCGCTCTTTATGATACCATCATCGAAACCAAATATGGCTATGTTAAGGGATACCCTGCCTTCAACAGCACCAACACCGGTAATATGACGAACTGGAAGGACATCACTGTCTGGAAAGGTATCCCATTCGCTGCTACCACCGGTGGTGAGAACCGCTGGAAGTCTCCTCAGCCCGCTAGTGCCTGGAATTCGACTTTGGATGCGCGCGACTGGGGTCCTGTGTGCCCTTCCGCCACTACAGGTAACAACGACTTCACTATTGACGAGGACTGTTTGAATCTCAACATCTGGTCTCCCGCCAATTCCGTCGATGCTAAGCTCCCAGTGGTTATGTGGAGTTACCCGGCAGAATCGACTGCTGCCGATCCTCTGTTTGACGGCGGTGGCATGGCCGACAAGGGTATTGTCTTCGTCAACTACAACTACCGTACTGGTCCCTTCGGCTGGCTCGCTCACCCTGAGCTCTCTGAGGAGTTCAAGAAGGTTACTGGCTCCAACAGCTCGGGAAATTGGGGTATGCTCGACCAATTCGCCGCTCTAAAGTGGATCAAGGCAAACATTGCCGACTTCGGTGGTGACCCCAATCATATCACCGTTCAGGGCCAGTCTGCTGGATCTGCCGCTACCCAGCACATTCTGTACAGTCCCCTCACTAAGGGATTGATTGTTGGAGCCATCATTGAAAGTGGTGTGCGTGACCCTCACGATCCTCTCTGTACCAGCCTGGCGGAGGCCTACGGCACTCTCGATACCGCTCTCGAAGATGGCGTGACTTATCTGTCAAATATCAACGTCTCTAGTATTGCTGAGGCCCGTATTTTGACTACGGAGGAGCTTCTGAATGGTGCCACCGGTACCACCAAAGAGGACACTATTATGTTCGAGGCTACCCTTGATTACTATGCAATGCCCGATACCTACCTCAATATATTAAAGAAAGGTCTCGCCCACGATGTCCCTGTCATTACCGGAAACAATAAAGATGAGAACGGCGCCACCTACGGTCTCGAGCTCACCCTCGAGGAATACTACGAGGACCTCAATGAGACCTACAGCGGTGCTTGGGCCGACCGCTTCCTTGAGCTCTACCCCGCCAACGAATCCACTGCTGCAGGTGCTTACAACTCTATGTTCACTGACCGCTCCAAGGTCGGTACCTGGTTGTGGACCCAGATGTGGCAGAGCTCCAAGACTTCCAAGGTTTGGAACTACTTCTGGGACCACGCCCCCCTGGTCAGACCTCCGGTGCTTACCACGAGTCTGAGATCAATTACGTCTTGAACAATCTATACGCCACTACTGACCTGCCGTGGAAGGCTGAGGACTACGAGATTGCCAAAAAAATGAACGACTACTGGGCCAACTTCATCAAGACTGGTAATCCCAATGGCGCTGATACCACTGTTGCTTGGCCCGCAGTCAGCTCCAAGAAGCAGGTCCAGCACGTCGGTGATGGTTGGGGCCAGATTCCTATTGCTTGGAGCAAGAAGGTTACTCTTTTCAAAGAGTGGTTCGCTACTCTTGTAGCTTACTAGACAATAATGTCTTGTATTAGCTCACGATTACCATGTTGCTTGACAGCTGCGTATATCTACACGTCTGTGGTATGCTACTAGGATAAATATGCTTCCAAATATATTAAATGTTCACTATTGGTCTAGCCTAGGCCGGAAAATGTAATTATGGAAATTCTGGTGACCTACAGGAAATAAACCAAGAAACAGCAGTGGGACTTTCCCTAGCCAAATTCAGTTCAGCTTGATCCGAATGCTATGAAAGAAATCGTGAGTATTAACAGCATATGTCCTTAACGATCAGTATGATAAGATCCTGACTAGGTACACCCTTTAAACCTAGATGCGGATATCGTAGAATAATTTCGAAGAACTGCGTGCTTTTTGTGAAGATAGCTGGAACTCTTACAGCCTCGCTCTAGACTTCGACATTTTAGTAGGGCGTAAAATTCAATCCATAGCATTCATGCGGGCACAACGAGATCGGGCACAACCATATATTATAGCATGAAAGGGCAATTTTCCAGGAGACTAATAGCCACCCCTTTTTAGCTAATTAAGCATCGGCTCTAGATTTCTCTGGTTCAGCGACATATCTTCCCAGTAAGGTGTCCTATTCTCTTAAGGCAAGGTTAAATGAATTCACACACATACATAATGTATCTAATAGGGCTAATTCGATCCCTTTAATCCTGGAAATGCAATATCTATTCGTGCTAGTTAACCACCATGCCCCGTACAAAACTTTTTGCATATTGTAGTAGTGAAAGCGATGACATGGTATATAGTGTGCCTGGGGTGTCTTACATGCCTTGGGCTACCTGCATTCTTCTCTCCTACATGGACACACACGGAGGCAGAACAACTATTCGGAATATGACTGCATTATTCGGTTTCTTTACTTCTAATACAGTTTCAAGGATAGAGCGATATCCACCTACAGAGCATATCCACTACGCCTTCCTGGGTCCTTGGGAGTGTGGGTTTAGATGTTGTAGACGGTGTAGAAGTGGGTCTTTTGAGGTTAATGATACTTTTGCGCTGTCAGCGTTGCCTTAAAAAGGCAAAATCTATATGAAGCTGCTTTGTAACATGTAGAACAACCTTGAATGTGGGAACCCGCATCTATTGGCTACAATAAGACTACAATGCCAATGATTTCATACAGCCACCATCGCTCCCATGTTTTCTTACTCGCTCCGCTCAATGACCAATGTCGAAAACAAACAGCTTACACTCCAGTCTTCACAGTAGAATCCGATCTAAAATCAATCGTCTCTTGTCACCTGATGCCTTCTAAACCATTCCTGCAAGCCTGGCGCCCCATCGTTGCATCTCAGCTTGCGTGAAAGGATACAATGTTTCGTAATCAGGTAACCAGCCAAAAGTACTCTTTATGAGAAGGCCATAACCAAATGCTACCGCCCCAAGGGTTGCAAAGATCCAATCTCGGGTTGTCAGCATGCCAATTTCTTGCATATGTCGGATATACTTGAGTCCAATTGGAACAAACCCTAGAACCACAGCTGTAAGTCCAGGGTTGTAGATACTGCCAAGTTTTATGTTGATCATTATGCCGTGGATCCACACTTGTGCAAATCCAAATAGGACAGATGTAAGGCCGAGCCAGACGACGTCCGGGAAGAAGATCACAGGGAGATATAGACCATAGGTCGCGATGACATTAGTGATCATCCCAGAATAGGCATTAAGAGGGTATCGATCAGGAGCATCGCTTGACTGCACAGCGATGTTCATAATAGCGGGAAATCCTCCTGGGAATCGGTACTCTTCGAATTGATGGAAAATTAGGGCGAGGAAATTGGCTATCAGAAGTTTTTGAGATGTCTGAAGAGTTCGATAATTGGCACGATAGTATCTGATCATGATGATACCAGATATGATACCAAGGTCGTACCAATGGTAGATGATCAGATCCATCATGGTGGCAGATTGTCTGTATGTCTTTAGAAAAGGCCCTTCTTAGCCGATCAGAAGTACACTTACAGCTGAATTAACTGTTATTGAATATATTCCGAACTTAAGATTTTCTTCGAAGTTGTATGCGGAAAGAAAAACAATAAGAGAAGTCTGTGATGGAGAAATGGTGAGTGCTTGCAGGTTTCCGTGCTGTATGTTAAGCTTACCAAAACGTCATTCCAATTGCACCCGGAGATAAGCAACACGGAATGAAGATGTTTAAAGTCCGGCTATTAGTGGATAATTTATATCAAGTAAGGATCACAAGATACTACCTAGCCCCGGTCTTCTATCGGCGGACGGACCTCTTTTCCCCGCGAGGCTGAAATTTAGTTGACCAAAAATCTATCACGGTAGCTAGCATAAAGAGTCTGAAGAATTCTGTCAAGAAACTAATCCAACCTCCAGCATCAAATTTCTTGATAAACGTGCTAAAATTGACGATGTCAATGAACACCTCTTTGCATGCGAGGGCTAATTTTGCGTTTCGTAAGATCTTTATTTCACCGCGATCGGAAAGTCGGCGTTCAAAGGCCCGATGAGCCGACATCTGAAGGTCTTGGCGTCAAGCTAGTGACATCAACGACGAATAACAACTGGATAATGAAATGGCCTGGTATGTTACATAACTTAACTCCGGTTACAGATAAAACGAGAATACTTAATATATATGACGAGGTCGTTGAATTTTCCCTTAAGTCTTTTTCCCGCTAGTCACTCGCGTCATCAAAATGTCAGTTGATTTCGAGACCGACATTCTTCTTCTCACTTGTGCGAGTGGCAAGCAATGCTCTCAGTTGATCCCTCTCCTCTATAATCAATGGAAGCACTTACGGCTCGTCGTGAACACTGTGTCTTCCGAAGAGTCTCTGAAGACAAAGTGGCCCAATGCGACAGTTGTGCGAGCTGATATGTCCCGCAGCGAAGATGCGCGGCGCTTATTGTCTGGAGTCACAACCGTGCTTTATATTGGACCATCTGTCCACTGCCATGAAACTGAAATCGGCTATACCATGATAGATGCCGCGCGACACGAGTTCCAACATGGTACTCTAAAGCACTTCATTTACTCCTCCGTTCTCCACCCACAAATTCGCAAGTTGATGAATCATGATTGCAAGCGTTATGTGGAAGAATACCTGATTGAATCTGGGCTTGACTATACCATTCTTCAGCCGAGTCATATTCTAGATCAATTTCCTGTGGAGAAGTTGCTTCAATCAGAAGACCCTGTCTTTCCTGCCAGCTTTGATCCGCAGGTAAAATTCTCCTTTACCATACTACAGGATCTGGCGGAAGCATTTGCGCACATAATCAACGAGAGAGAGAAGCATTATCTGGCTGAGTACACGGCTTGTTCCACTGCACCAACCTCCTATGCCGACCTGATTGCAATGCTGAGCGAGGAAATCGACAAGCCCATTCAGATCATAAAAAGGAATTCTTCGAATCCGCAGACCAGTTTCAAAACATGCTGGCTGGAAAGTACGGCGGCGTTCCACCAGGTACGCGCGATACAATCCATCGACTGCTACTTTACTACAATATTTATGGCATCAAAGGCAACCCGAACGTGCTGGGGTGGCTGATTGGGCGGACACCAACAACTGTAAAAGAATTTCTACGTCAGAAAATTCTTGATGTCAACAAATCTCAAACCTAGTTTAGCAATGGAATTATCAGAATGCTAGGCGTTACATCATGGTGCCCCGGTAATTTCTATTGAGAAAATAATTAGAAGAAACCGAGATACCACAAGTTATTCGACGTGTGTCGATCATTGGCATAACCTTTCCTTTCTGTGGTTTCTCTATAAAGTATAAGATACAAAATACAGTTCCAAGGGTGTAATTATCCATCCCATTTGTTAACTCCGATATACGTGACTCTAGCAGTTCCAAGGCCCCACCAACAAGAATTTAAATGTTAGCTCAGGTGTGCTCCGATATTCAGGATTTGCGAATCACCTTGCGTATCTCTTACCCACTAGTCTTAGTTGTAAACTAATTTCGGAAAGTGGCAATTGCCGTTTCAAATTCTAGATGATCTGTAATTATTTGTATTTAAAGCTCCCACTCCCAATTGAATTGTCAGCTTCAAAACTACCCGTGATTACAGTGAAGACCACATCTCCACGCCGCGATGACTTTTCCCTACAAGCATGTTCTCCTTATCGGAGCCACCTCTGGCATTGGATATGCCATGGCGAATAAAATGCTTGAACAAAACATTCAAGTGACTGCTGTGGGCCGCCGCAAGGAACGCTTGGACGCGTGGGTGCAGGAAAGTGGCAGCGAAAAAGCCCATGGCAAGGTCTTTGACATCAGCAATCTTGATGCCATTCCTCAATTTGTGGCGGAGTAAGTGACTTGCCTTTCACTCTTGATTTGCCTTTCCTCTTTCTAACCCAGCGGTATTATGAAACAGGGTAGCCAGCCAGTTCCCCGATATCGACTGCGTCTTCATAAATGCTGGCTTCCAGCTTCAGAGCGATTTTTCGTCCCCGCAGACCATTGACCTGGCTGCTTATCATCAGATAATGCATGTCAACTACACCGCTGCTGTGACTCTGGCCACAGCCTTTCTCCCATTTCTATCAGGGAAGGCAACACCGACAAGTCTGGTCTTGTGAGGCGCTCCCTAATATGTTTATTTTGGACACAAAGCTAATAGGGCACAAAAGTACGGAATCTAATCTCGCGATTGTACCCGCGTTTATCATGCCCGGTTATTGCGCATCCAAGGCGGCTTTGAACACATTCGCCATGTGTCTCCGAGTTCAATTGCGAGAGGCCAAGTCCAATGTCAATGTGATTGAAGTCTTTCCTCCGGCTGTTCAAAGTAAGTCATTTTTATTGCCCATTTCCTTTACCAAATATACAGCGACGAATTATAAGATGCTAATAAGCATTTATAGCGGAGCTCCATGACTACATGGGAGCCGAAAAGGGCCGCCAAATGGGAATGCCCCTGGGAGAATTCACGGAAAAAGCCTGGCAGGGACTAGCCAGTGGTGATGATGAGGTCTATGTCGGGTGCGTTGGGCCGGAGGACCGCTTCTTCAGCATCGCTCGGCAACGCCGTTCTGCTTGCGAGGACTTTGCTCAGATGATGCGAAACAGACACTAGACCTCACATCTTAGGAGATTCAGGCAGCTTCCAAATTGCATATACAAGTTGACGACGAAAATAGAGTAGGATTACATTCTGTAGAAGATTTCTTTCGAAAGACAGTCAAATATCTAAATTGCAGCCACCTTGCAGCGTCCGTTCCTAACTAATAGCTATTTGTCAAGGCACATGGTGGGCTTTTCGACCAGATAATCGCGCAAGGTATCGAGCATGATAGGAGTAATGCTAGAGAGTCATGTGCAATTGAAATCATTAAAAGCGACACTGACCGATGGGGGTAAACGTAAAGTTCCCAGTCCTGCTAGTACCATGGGATCTATCAATCAGTATCATATACCTAGGTTGCCCGATCGAACGCCAAGATTTACAATGGAAATGATTTCTTTCTGTATTAAGCAAAGAAGTGACTACTTCATGGGTGTATTCGCAGACCTCCGAGCTGCCATGTGGAAGCTAGGAGATTGTCCTCCGGTCCACTGGGGCACTGATTATAAGGATTCTACTGGAGTCTTTTTACTAGTCGGTACGTATCGCGTGTTTAAGCCTGACAAATTTATTGACGATAAAGACAGAATTCGACGACATAAAGTCTGCACCAGTCTAGACTCAAGAGCAATTCCACCAGCTTGTTCAAAAATTTGAAACTGCATGCAAAGGCGTCATTCAAGACCTATCCCACGCTCAGATTCCTGGACCCCAGAAGCTGGGATTTCCCTCGGATTTAAAGATTATGACTTTCCATGTCCCAGATCGCGAGAGTGACAGACGCTCATTTGAATGGACTTATCATAATCTTATGCAGTATGGCCGTCTTTCATTTTTTCTCCTGCTTCCCTTTTTAATGTTCCACCGCTGACGACCGTTTCTACCAGAACAACATATGTCTACGATAATCCCGGACTGCCAATCAGCCACGCTAAAGCCTCTCCGGCATACAGCCATGGTATTGCCTATGGCCCTGGAGATAGAAAGTACGAGAAAGATCCAAATCAGGCTAGTTCACATCAGTCTGGTTCTGGAGCGCGTATCAAGCCGAATCAGCGAAAACAACGTGGTACGCTGAAGTTGCCGAGCGTGCTCAAAATGAGGATGAACATCTTGGGCATATCGATGACTGACTTTGGATCCTCTCAAAAAGGGTTGATAGCCTGTTTATCGTTTTTGAGGGAGATTATGAGGTGATTGAGCTACTCGAGAGTAAATATCGTCGTACAAATTATCTACCACAGCCCGGGCCAGGTTACGGTGGCACATTGTATATATAGAGAACAGTTTCATCCATTGTATTATACATCTTTATTAAAGGTTCTACGAATCTTGGCTTGATATAGGACTCTACTTCAATCCCTTATAATAGAATGAAGACTTAGCTCCGCCTTGAAGCAGAGATATCTATACCCGAGGCAGTAAGAAATAACAATGTGTATTTTTAACGGTCGCAACTTCTTGTTTTGCTTATATCGGAACATAAATATCTAAATCAATCCGTTGAATAGTGCCCGAAGACTTCGATCCTCAAATCAAAATAAGCTCATGCTACGTGTGAGTAGCTAGGCAAGAAAATGTTAGAGACATTCACGGGCTTTGCATCTACTAAGGTGTCCATATACTATCATTATACTCACACATTCGATGTACATTGAAAACCACTGGATATTTGTAGATATAGTCGACAAAATCTAAGTTGGTGAATGGCAGGCATTGAGCGCAGAAATACCCTTCACAGAATCCTCTTAAAGGCTGGAAGTGGCCCCGTTCTTCCACCTCATAGCCTGTTCAATCGCCTTCGCGACGGCAACACATTTCTCCTCTCCAAATCGCCCACCGACAACCTGCACGCCAACCGGCATGCCATCTACCAGTTCAACATCGTCTGTAGCATGATCAGCACTCCGATTATGACCAAAAATAATGAAAGACTTACACTGCTCTTTATTGAACTTGTCGCCTGCATTCCGCGGCATATATTCCTGCCACTTTTTGCTCGGCAAATCCTTCTCTTTCGAGACAGAGGTAGCAGGCACAGTCAGGGCAGCATAGCCAAGCAAGTTCCAGATACTGGTATACCCGACATATGCATTTGACTTAACCCAAGTCCAGGGCTTGTATCCAACCCAGGGGGAATTCGGCATGATGATGGCGTCGATACCGGAAGAAGCCCAGCGGTGAAGGTACTCTGTCTCATACAAGTACTTATCGGCGTTGAGCTATGAAGTGTTAGATTGTTTCAAATGATCGAGGAGCGACAGGTCTTCTTACTTGATGAGTCTCAGAAGTTGTCAAAATATCCTTCTCCGTCCCGACCAACATGCCCTCAATTAACGGCTCACCCGTCATCTCAATCTTTTTCTTAGCCCCCTCGCCCCCATCAGACAAAATAGCCTTTTCCCAAAGCTCATACGCATACTCATGAGAAGAAGCGTCCCACTCGAAAACTATTGGCAAGTTAACATAGTCAGACCACGAACCCGGAATCGCACAACATACCTTCATGCCCAACCGCTCTCAACGCATCAACAACCTCCTGAACCGCCCGTTCAACAGGAGGCTGAACCTTAACCACCCCATCATCAACCAAAAACGCAATCTTCAACCTCTTCGGCCTTAGAGATGCCAAGCTCTTCCGCCACGGCACGGGCGCGATATGCTGATCGAACTCCCAAGATGCTGCAGAGGGCAAAGCCTCCATATACCGCTCAATAGTCGCCAGACTACAGCTCATCGGTCCAGCGACAGACCTCACGATATCCTGGCCGGGACTGTGCTATAATCAGCGCGTCTACTCCCAACAAATGCAGACATGGAAGACAGGCAAAGGAAGGACGAATAAGGGAGACACTCACTTTCCCCGCTCATAAGGGTGTCTTCCAGGACTAGGCGACAATCCATAAAGTCCACATAGACTAGCAGGAATGCGAATCGAGCCACCCAGATCAGTCCCGATGCCCAGCGCACTACCTCGCGCCGCGACGAGCGATCCCTCGCCGCCGGAACTGCCGCCAGAGATTAAATTGCGATTGAATGGATTGACACATTGGCCGAAGACATGGTTATAGGAGTCGGACATCATCATTGATTGAGGGAGGTTGGTTTTGGCGTATAGAACGGCGCCGAGGCGGCGGAGGGTTCGGGCGACGGATTTATCGGCTGCGGCAGGGTTATTGGTTAGACCAACCCATCCTAGTTTATTTATTAGTTATGACTTTGCGTTCTGGATGGATGTATTGGTACCGATTGAAGTATCGACGCCTTTGACGGAGAATAGATCTTTGACTGAGACCGGGAGGCCGTGGAGTGGACCGAGGGTTTTGCCTGTTTTATTGAGATGCTCATCCATCTTTGCGGCTGTTGCGAAGGCTTCTTCGAAGAGGATCTCTGTGCAACATGTTGTAAGTTGGTGGGCTAGGGATGTGCGTTTTGCGAAGGCGCGTGTCAATTCTAGGGAGGATAATTCGCCGGATGATAATTTTCGGAGGAGAACGGTGATGTCGGTTTCTTCTGTCAGGGCTAGCTCTGCGGAGGTCAGGCATTTGCGGATATATGGGAGTGCATCTGGTGTAGATTCAACGGAGGGTATCTCGGCAAAGCGCCATTCCGGAGGGATAAGAGCTAGCTGTTCGGCGCGCTTCTTGGCTGCGAGATCTTGGTATGTTGGGGCCGCAGTCATGATAAGATTGAATCTTTAGATGAGGTGGGAGTGTCTCAAGGAGGATGAATTATTTGGGTATAAATATAGAAAGATAGAAAGGTACCAAAATCAAGATTGCAGGGGTGTAGATAAGAAGAGCTCCAAGTGCGGGGTAAGATAGCCTTCCCCATTGGGAAGGCTATCTGAAGGCTATCTAACCTTGCAAATGGAGCTCTTTCCACCTCCGCTCGCACTGCTCCTCTCCATCCGGGTATCTCGGAAACTCACAGGACTGGCAGTTTCGCCAGTATCCTCGTATAATCTCGCACTGTGCTGGTGTGCATGCGTTCATTCCTGTTAGAAATGCCGGCGTTGCTAGATGGACGTAGTACCTCGATGTGGTCGGCAAACGTGAAATAGTACCACAGACCCGATCTACCATGGATGAGATTGTGTTAGAATATATTGTCGACCTGTTATCATGCTTCTCCCCCGCCTGGCTATATGCGACTATCGACCCCGCGCCACGGTAGACAGTCACAGCCAGACCGCGATCACTCGAGTCCGAGTCAAGGGCCAGGATTTGATCCATAGCCAGGGAGCACAGATCTAGGCCATTACCGAATTCCCCTTTTGCAAGCCTCACAAACAGCCTGAAGGTATCATCTGGACACCCGACCGACTCAAAGAACACCGGAGTAAGAATCTCACGATGCCAATCGTCAAACATCAAGCCACTATCTCTCACAAGAGCACCAGTGACATCGAACCATACCAGATAAGCCAAAACATCGCCAAGACCAGGTATGCGCTGTGTGAGATTGTCGAGCTCGGATTTATTCCGACAGTGCATATCGAGAAGTGACCGTGCGCCTTGCAGATGGCGGGTCCATTTCCCAAAGGAGCCACAGCAGACTTCGAAGATAGCGAATGTTGCAATTCCGAATAGGGCGATGGGGTGACCAGTGGCTATTATTTTGCTGAGGTTTGAGAGGGCCACGAGGTGGGATTGGATGGATTGTTTGTTGTCGTTCCCTTCCAGTCGAGAGCGCGCGAAGTTGATTGTGCGGGAGATGAGTTGGATTGCTTCGTTTGGGAGGTCTGAGCTGCTTGACTTGATTTCTTGGTAATAGTGGGAGAGCATTTCGATGAAGCCGTAGAGGTTTATAGGGATGGCGCTTGGCTGGGGATGCGGAACATCTTTTGTTGTCGCGCTTGGAGGCAAGACACATGTTGATTCGGCAGTTGTCTTTGAAATTGGACTGGAAGGGATATCTGATGAGGTCTTTGCTGCGGTACTCTCCTTCTCGCCCACCCATACTACTCTCTGCGGGTAGTGACACGCCACTCCACTTTGTAGACATGCTCGACACCGCGGACGATTGAGATCGCACTTAATACTTTTGGATCGACAACTCTGACAGTCTCGATCATGCCGAATACCGCGCGGTTTCTTGATACCAGTCATGACATCTCGATGCTGATGGTCGCGGAACGGTCGAGAGCGATGAGAGATAAGGGTGCGAGGAGTACATGAGTCGCCCGATCGGCGCTAGTGGGGAGATATACCTCGGGAACATCTCCGACTGCGTGCATGCACGGTGAACCCCGGAAGATTTGAAAGAATGTTGATCAACTGATAGTGAAAGATCTAGCTATTGAAGGAGTGGCAACTAATTTAAGAACGGCAAAAGGCATTGGGCATAACAGCCGCAGGACCCGAAATCGAGCTCGAGACATCAAAAGACAAGCATTGAATCACAGACAAACATTCAACGAACGCCATGGGAAAAAAAGACAAAACATGGGAAGGCTCCATGAAGCAGACGTATATACTTTAGAAGCAGTAATCTCATATCAACGATGGGCAACGCCGGACCGCCCATGAGGAATCCAGGTCATATTGTGGTAATGACCGTGAGAATTTGACTCGCACTGTCGCCGTTGCAATTTTTCCCGCCTGTCACGTCGCTTCGTATCCGAGTTGACTTGTTCCTGTTTACCCCGTGCGGGGGTAATGTTTCCAGAAGATTTGGGCTTGCGCCTCTTCGCCCTTGCAGTACGGCGACGGCGACCTTTGACGCGTCGTTTGCCAGCAGCAATTTGAGCCTTGTGAACTTTCCCAATGGATAGATGAGTCTTGAAGTCTTTTTCAGTTTTCAAGCTCTTCTTCCGATGCAGGCTTGTACCCCGGAAAGGGGATGTGATTCCCTTCCTTTTCTTAAGGAACTCAACAGCAGCAGTAAGAGAAACCTCCGAGGCAAGACTCTCAGCTGGAGACTGCCCGCAGATGGATGCAGCGATAGCATCCGCAATTGCTTCAAGCTCCGCTGGCGACTTTACAAATGGGTCTATCGGCGCCGGTGGTCCATTGTGATGTTCTTTCTCCAGTTTTCCGATCGAAGCACGGCGGGCGATATTCGCGAGCGAGGCAGTGACACTTGCTTTTACATCTGGCTGGGAACTCTTGGAAGAGTCTGGGGATATTCCTGGTAATGGCTCCGACGCAGATGACGATTGGGTGGGCAGGACGAGTGACTTTGTGAATGCGGCTGATGCCCCCAGAATATTTGCGTTGAGAGTAGCTAGATTGTATGTGTAGAACCCACCAAATGGGCTCTGCATAGACGGATCGCGAAGCGGCTGTCTCATCAACGGGAAAGGATCCGCAAGTGGAACTTTGATCCCAACGCCCGGTAGAAGTGCATCTGCAATCGGTGGGATAAAACCACCCGTGCAGGGCTTGGATTGCGCGGCGATCGATTTCGGGGAATCGTCATCTCGCTCGGATCTGCTTGTATGGTTCAAGTTGACACCGGGAGTACAATTGTGGCAGATAACATCGTATTCACCGTCGCGGGGAATGTAAGTAAGCGTAGCAGGCTGCAGCCCCATGATCATGTCGACGCCAAGGTTGCAGTACACTTGGAACCACGAAGGCAGTTCATCGAGGGCAATCAAGGGTGCGATTTGGCCTCCTGGGCGAAAGATGCAAAATCGAGGACGCGGGCGAGGGAGGTCATAATAGGGGGGATATTCCGGCATGATGCGAAAAAGAGAGACAGTAATGGGTATGGTCGTAAGAAAGTGAAAGTGAACGTATAAGTGACAGTAAGTGTAAGAAAGTCTGTAAGCTTCCAAAATGAGAGGATGTCACGGAGGACAAGTTGAAGGCAGATAGATGGGAAGAGGAAGAAGAGGAAAGGGTATACACGAAAGGGAAGGACAAACAACAAGGTGATGAAAGATGGTGAGAGGGAAAGTGCAATCCCATTGTCTATTCAGAGAGCGGAGAGAAGGTGCCATTGCGACAGTCGAAACCCAGTTGTGGATTCAGTTGGGCAGTTGCGTTCATACAAATCACGGTGGGCGATTGCATGTTCTGGGGAATGACCTCAATATTGCGCAGTTGGAAGTTCTTGCAAGAGGACTCCGTGTTGCATTCGATGATGACGACCTCCGTATGTTTGAGATTGGGCAAGCCATCATCGTACCAGCATGGGTCGGAGACACACGAACCATCACCAGGCCTCCAGGTGTTGACAGTGCCCGTAAAGTCAGACCAGACAAAGTCCTCCATCACGACAGAGGCATTGTTTGTCCGTCCAGTGGTTACTCCGCTACCAAGCTGAGTTTGAGAGGAACCCTGATTGGAATAGCTCTGAGTGACAAAGATGGGGAAAGTGACATTGTAAACACGAATGCTCTTCCAGGTAATATTTTTGGCGATACCCTGGCCACCCATCCACGACTTGAAACGTGAGGCATAGACCGCGTCAATGACTGTGACATCTTCGAAGTGAATGTTCGAGACATTGGCGTACTCCGACTGGTCTTCACCAAGAGAGCCGATACTCATGCCGTGGCTTTGGTAGCCGATTGTGTTCCTCTTAAAGACTATATTGTGTGATCCTGACTGCACAGCAATCGCATCGTCACCATTGTAAATCATACTATCGGTAATTCGGACATTGGTTCCAGTCACATCGAAGCCATCTGTGTTGAACGGGAAAGAGCCTGTTGACTCGGCATCGATGAACGCGTGGCTGACCTCAATGTCATTTCCCTTCAGTTGCACATTCCATGCAATGGGCTTCCGAGATTTGAAATATTTCAATGATCCGTGCGTAGTGTCGAAGCTCATCAGATGGGGTCGGTCGTCGATTCCAGTGCCATTCACTGGGTTTGCATCCCACCACGCCTGTCCGTAAGAGTTGATCCAGCCATTGTTGACGTCTGATGAGCCAATGTAGTCAATGCCAGGGCCGGAGAGGGTAAACCAGTACTGTCCATTCGAGTATAGGGCCCCGCCAGTGCCGTTGACAATTTTCTGGACTGTTGCGATGCTTTGAGGCAGATGAAGGTTTCCTTTCATCTGAATTTCAACGTTGCTCAGGTTTTTTGCGCTGATGGGCTGGAAGACATTGTAATCAACGCCTTCCTGGAAAATAACAACCGCATCGGAGGAGCATCGTGCGAAGGCTTCGGCAATGGATTTAGAATCATCGGCTGTGCTATTGGAAGATGGAATCACACAGCGGTGGATACGACTGTCCGAGCGTCTAGTGCTGGGAGCACCGAGCACAAAAGACAATAGTGTAATGAAAGCTGTTGTGTGAATTAGCATCGTGAAAGCTCTGAGCCTGGAGATCTACTACATGATTGCTGGAAAACATTATCCTTTTATATCGTGTATGCACAGACTATGTGTTTCCAAGGTTCTCGGCAATGTATGTGAGATCGGCGTAACCCCGGATGAATCGAGCGTTTCCTTCCCCACAATGCGGAGAATCGTGGGGGCCCATAGCTTCGAGTGGATGGATTTATATTTCAGCGTCTAGGGATGAGACCATTATTGGTGGAAAACCAATTGCCATGCATGATCGAAAAGAGCTTGTCACGTGGCTGTAGCCGCAACATTGAATGTTTTCACGATAACTCCATAGCCGAGATATCCAGTCTCTCTCAGATGAAGATGACGCTGAGACTGAACGGAGGACTAACTGAACTGCTAGATATCTTCAAATCCGCACGAGAAGGTTGATTATAAACCTACCTTTACCTAGTAAAATAAGCACTGAAGGCTGTATGTGCTATGCCTCGTCTAGAATCGTTTCATTGCAAACAATACACATGGCGTAGGCGGCAGGGGCCTAGGCTATCTGGCCACCTTTCATCTCACATTCCTGGTTTCGCTCAACCATTCTTTAATGTAGACTAGCGTGTATAACAGAAGAGTTTGGGGGAAATGGAAAAGAATAAGGTGGTGAAACTGAGTTCGAGCGGCTCTGTACACATCGATGGGTGTCAATCGTTTCATTGTATGTGTCAAGATATGCGGCTGTGACGCGTTTCGGGCCATTGGTGGTCTTTGATGGGGTCCTACCATGACTGGTGATACCCCGGTACCAGCCGAGGCCTGATAACATGCTTATCGGACGGAGCGCAACAAGCCTCCGTCATCACCCCAGCTTCCAAGGTTCCCTCAAACAACACATCTACATCTACATCTACACATCCACTATGGCCTCCCTCACAGACCCAACCAACTCAACTCGCTCAACTCCAACCATCCCAGCCACCTCCGCCACCCTCCAACTCGGCAGCTCAACCACCATCTCCGCACCTTCTTCCAAGGTCTGGTCCGCCCTTACAAACACCTCAACATGGCCCGACTGGAACTCCTTCGTGCCGCGTGTAACCATCCTCTCGCACCCCGGCTCTGAATCCTCTGATTCACCGCTCTCTCCAACTCTGCAGAAGGGGACGCGAATGATCTTCCACGTCCGTATGGATCCTACCTCGAGCAAGCCCCAAGCTGCAACAGATGTCAATCTTGTTGTTACGGAGTTTGTGGAGCCGAATGTCGAAGAGAATGGTCCTGGAAGAATTGTTTGGGCTTCTGATTTCGATGCGCCGGGGACTATGGCGCGTTCGCTTTTGAATGCGGAGAGGGTTCATGAGATTAAGGAAGTGGAGGGTAGGACGGAGGTAAGGAATTGGGAGTGTCAGGTTGGGTGGGTGGTTTATGCAGTGAAGTGGATGTATGGGGGGAAGCTGAGACATAACTTTGATTTGTGGGCGAATGATTTGAAGAAATTTGTTGAGGCTAGTTCTTAAGATCTTGACCTTGAGGACTTGAAAGGTTTGAAAAGTGAGGACGGGTATTCCCTACATGCCCTAGTTGGCACGCTTGGACATACAATTTGAAAATGGGATTTTGGACAATGCAATGATGTAGCGTCAATATCACAATTGAGTTAGTACACCTTTCATTTCTCTCGTACAGATCTTTCTAATTAACTGGGTATAGTTTGACATGAATTAAGCGTATGAACCCGAATGCTCCCCATGATGCACCCTGTATCCCGACAAATGCGATGCGAATGCGACAAAGAAATATTAAGAAATAGAAATAGAAATGGCGGAGATCAAGAGCTCAAGATCAAGAGCTCAAGATCAAGAGCTCAAGATCAAGCTCAAGCAGCAGCAAAAGCAACCCAATCCTGCGCGGATATCCGCTGTGACGGATCCTTGACAACAGCGGGCTTAACCAGCTTCTCAACAAGTCCGTTACGCGAAACGCGAGCTCCATTCGCGCCGTTCCTCGTGAATTCGAGAATCTGGTGTCCATCGCACGCCATCAGCTGGCGCCGTCTCCGGTCACCTGGATACAGGAGCATATCCCCCGTCGCGCAGGCAATCAACGTCGCAGCGAGAGAAAAGACATCCGATGCGGGCGATAATGCGACATTGCCGGAGATCAAAGACTTGAGAATCTCTGGCGCTGTGAATGGAACCGTGACAGCGTACATGTCAGTAATCTTGCTGTTGATATCTTCCTGGTCGGAAGGAATATCCAACGCCGACGAAAAGTCCGCATAAAGCGGGTAATACGGGAAAGCACCCGTGTCCGCATCGGCATGGGCACAATCATCTGACGCGATGGGCCGGAGTAGGATATTCAACGGTTTGACATCTCCGTGAACTAGCCCAGCCTCATTATGAAGCCAAGCCAAGCCCCCAATCAACTTCCGCGCCAGATCGGAAAACGAGTCCATTCCCATAACAGGCTCGAACATGGTCGCTGTTGAGAAGTTATTTTTGCGCAGATCAGCCTGGTCTTCGACATATGTCGACAAATCGAGCGGAACTGCCGCCATAACTAGGGCTTCAGTTGCGGCCTCTACACCGAAGAATTTAATGACGTGGTCATCATGGCCTGGGGTTCGGTTCAGGCGGGTTAAGGTTAGGGCTTCGGCTTGGAGAGCTGCGCGCGCATCGCGGCGGAGGGGTATCTTGGCGGCGAGGACACGGCTGCTGAATGCTGGTGAGGTGGGAGGAGTGTCGGCGCCAATAGGCGGTGCAGGTGGCGCTGAGGTTGCTTTGTAGACGATGCTGAGGACGCCACGGCCGAACTCGATGGGTATGTCATCTGCGTCGCGGCAGATCTTTAGATCGTCGATGAAGCGCAGCGGCTTGGTTATAGTCTGTTTGACTATTGATGCGTCTGCGCCACCTTCCAATTGATCTAAGGAATCGTGACCGCTAGGCTTGCCTATTGGGGTCACTGGCGGGGTGAGGTGTGCCCGTAGTGATAGCTCATCGCCACCGGTGTTAAGTGACAATTGCATTGGAGGTGTCGATGTCGGTGTCTTTGGGGGAGTCATGTCGTATTTGCAGGAATTGTCCTGAAGAGCAATAATAATAAAAAAAGCAAAGGCAAAAGGCGATAGGCAAAAGGCAGCCTGACCAGGGCCCAGAGGCCGAAAGGCGCAGGTAATCAAAGATATGGACGCCACCGGCAAATAGTCCTCTGTAGCTAGCCTCAATTCACTGGGTCACTGGGAAGTATGACGCAGTGGCAAAAAGGGCAACGACACGAGTGACGAGTTCACGACTTGATTAGTCGGATTCGAAGTACAGCTTATACTTCATGTTGAGTGCGATCGAAGAGCCGAAGGTAACAAACAAGAAAAAAGAATAGGAAACAAAGATCCGGGCGCATCGTAGCCACGACGGACTAACAAAGGGCAAAAAAAAAGAAAAGAAAAGAAAAACCCACGGGGGCCGATGGCCGGTCTCGGCCAGAGCGGGAAATGACACTGACAGTAGACTGATCGACTGTAGATACGACGGTAACCGTGGATTGGAACATGAAAAGGCTGTGGGAAATTACCGGATGGAGCCCGTATGGAGCCCTGGTTCGCGCTCGGGTCCACCAGTTCATTTCCTCTAACTGAACACCATAATGCTAACATCATGATTTGATGATTTTTTTTTAGCCGTTTCTCCCCGATCTTTTGCTCCATTTGCTGGGGCTCAGCCTCGCAGTCAGAAGTATACTCAATTGTTTCGCGACGGATGCGTTTGCACGGCTCCGCATGCGTCTCTAAACGCCTGTTACACGTCTCGAGCAATACCAATGCACCTAATGCCGAAACTAAACTAATAATATTATGAATAATATGAAATGCGTCTGAGCAAGGAGCAGGGGACTCACGTCCAAAGGATAAGGAATCTCGTGACGACTAGGATGACTCCTAAAATGAGCAATACGCCGCCGACCAATCCATCGGCCCCGTGGGGGGTTTAACCCTTGACTATCAGTCCGCGCCAAAATCCGTTCCTGTTTTGTTGGTATCGACCCATGCTCAATTAGGGGTTATCAGCATTATAGTTCAGGGTTTTCCTTTATCTTGCTTCCTGCTTTTTAAAGAGACGGGAACTCGGGAGATGACGCCTGGGTGCATTGCGCTACTGCAGGTGTGGGTCTGTACCCTAGGGTACATTTCAATGGATTTCAATCCTTTGTTTGTATGTGTCAAGAGATGCGACTGGGACGCGTCTCGGGTCATCGATGGGGTCCGAGTAAGGCCATTTCCCTTTATTTACAGTGTGACCCTCGTGGAATGGCTCTTTGGAGGGGCTCGCTTACTCTCAGTTCGGCGGGGCATGCGACAGACCGTTGAAACAGTAGTATTCGGCGTGACCTAAAAGCCACCGAGCGGGGCGTGGGGTACGTGGGCTAGGGCCACTCGCTAGTGTAGGTGGTAGATAGGAGTTATTGTCTATGTCGGGTCTATAATTATATGCAGTAGTGTATATGTACACGTGGTATTGGGGGTGTTGGTATTGTACAATCCGGGGATTAGCGCAGTTTGAGGGCATGCCCCGATGAACCCCCGGTCACGGCCCCGGTCAGAGTACCTCCGAGCAGTCGATTGAATTGCATCGGAGAAACATCCGGCCCGCTGTTTTGATACTGGAGAAGAATGTCCCAGATAAGAGAGACTGGCAGCCTCCTTATCCGTGCATAAGAGAGATCGTAGTCGATGTTCTCTTGGAAACAATCGTTCGGATCCAATGTAGGGTCCGGCAGCGGCATGGTGCCGTAACCTGGCTTTAATCGCTTCATGGCGTACTTGGCGAGGATTGGGAACTCCTTGACGATTTCGTTGGCTGTTCGTAAGGGGAAGATGAAGTTGTAAAGCTCAGCCAAATTCAGTTGGTCGCGAGTGCTGGAAATCGACGAGAGGGTGTCGAAGAGCTCGACCAGCTCGACGCGCTTCTCGTCTGAGAGCTGACTGAGTTTCTGTACCACAGGGGGGTTGGGATCTGCTTCAAAGTAGACAATGGTTCGCGGCAGACGAGGGAACTGGTCATCCGGGTGAATACGCAGCGCTTCGAATGGCCGCCGGTCGTGGATGAGCATAGAGTTGTCGAAAGAGCCGGCGTCATTCAAGACACGGCCATCGTCTGCTACGCGGTCATGACCCCTCATCACGCGGTGATGGGTGCCTTGGAGCAATTTCTCAACAGTATCCCGCATTCCCGCAGATCGTTTATCAGCCCTCTCGAGCTCTTCCGGATACTTGCTGGTGTCGGCAGCTATGCGTGCCAAACTCCGACTAGCTTCGTCCTCTTCGAGTTCGATTTTTGCGACGTGGTGGCACCACCACGCCTGTTTATTGTCGAGGTTCAGAGAGTATAAAGCGACTTGTGCATCCCGTCTGACGACCTTGTTCGTGCTCGACTCCTTGGCAATACGGTCCATCACAGTGTCATGCCATTCCACGCGTGGTCGAAGCATGTACATCTGCGAGAGCTTTCCTGGTCGGGGACTCTTTGGTGCCAATTCGAGTGGAGGTATCTCCCGACCAGCTGGGGTGATGATGTTGTTTGCAGCGGTTCGCTCAGCGACTCGCTCCCTGTTGAGCACGAGATTATCCCAGTGCTTTAAGCTCTGCCAGGTTTCGTTCTCGTAGGTGCTAGCCACTTCAAACGCGTGCTGTGCCACGGTCTCCGTCAACATGGATGTCCGTCTGCGGTCTATGACGGTGCGCGGGAGAACGCTGCATTTGCTGTTACCCGGAAGTGAGGCCAGTATTCTAACACTGCCATACATATGCACTCCTCTCTGGTTCAAACAACTCTCCATCATTACGCTCCACCATCGCGACGGTGTAAAATGGTCTCTTATGCTGCGCTGCTCAGGTATGTTGGCCAAGACAAGCAGTGTGTCGTTTCTGGGCAACACTTGGCCTTCTGTATTTGGAGGCCCCTGTTCGGGTAGATGTTTGGCGAACACCTCGCTCCAATCATATAATGAATAGGGATCCAGGGAGACCATCTCGTACCCTCCTCCGCCCTTGACAAGCCGCTTCAGGCTTTTTCCGTAATTTTTCTTGTTCGGTTCAACGAGTAAATGGCGACGAGGTTTGAGATATTTGTTGACTTGAGAGGAGAAAACTCCCGAGGAAGGCCATAGATCGAGGATGTCGACTGGGGTGTTTTGCTGGAGGTACGGTGATAGCCGCTTCAAAATGTCGTCTGCGCAGTTGTTCAATCAGCGTCTAGATCTTTAGGCTTGGTTCCAATAGCTGCGACTCACTGGTAAGTTCTTCATTGATAATTTCTGCTTTGGCAAGCTTCTGTATCCCGAGGTCGTTGTACACATTCGTCTTGAGCTCGTTCGAGAGCTTGGCGAAGCGAGTTGCGATCGCCCATTTTTTCGCTGACATGTTGGAGTCGCACAGCAATAGGCAATGCGAGTGCAGTCGGGGATGTTATAAAGGGCAGATTGATTGGCCTCTGAGCAGCACGGGCATCGTGGGTGGCTCAGCGTTGAATTGTAGTTGAGTGGAAAACTGAAGCGTGCATCTCTGCGAACTCCGAGGCGGAGTCGACCTTGGACCTTGCGGGTTCCGCATTTCATCCCGCCAGGCACCGATTTCCTTTCAATCCACCTCGAAACCTGACCGCCTGGATGCGGCAGCCTCGACGCTGATACTATCTGGTCTCTGCTCCAGCTCCTATTCTATTGCCTAATCTGCGCCAAACATGCCCCTTCGGACCCGCTGCGGGTGAGGGGTCTTGATCTGGAACATCCCACTTCTCTGCACCTTCCCTTTGACAAAACGACACACGATATGGCTTCCAACATCCCGGCGGTTGCCACCGGTGGAAGCCCTCCGCAAAGCGTGGAGAGCATTACAAAAACCGCCCAGGACTACGAGTACAACGAGAGCGTCCCGCTACGATATTGGTTGAGAACCGCCGCCACCCTCATCCGCGAGGTCAGTATGCTGCACTTCCTTTGTGCCGGTGTTGAGAAGCTGACGCCTCTTGCAATTCTAGGCCCAAATTTACGAACGCGAAGGACGTGATGAGCAAGCATACCTCCTGCTCTTCCGACATGCCCAACTTATTCTGGTACGCCTGACGAACCATCCGGACGCTGCAAAGGACGAGAACCGGAAAACGCTCGTTGCAGCGGAGAAAGAAGTCGCGAAGAATCTTGTCAAATTGGAGGTTTTGAAGCCGCGGATTAATAAACGATATGAACGTTATACTCAGTTGATGCGCGAACGCCAGTCGCGAAAGGTCTCGGAATCTGTCATTCTACCGGAACAACAGAAGCGGCCTGCGGATGCTGCCCTGACTGGCGTGGTGGAGCCATTAGAAGCTGGAGAGAATCGGGACCTTGCCGTTCGATTGGCACAATCAGAGCTCACCCGCAGAGCGACTCTTCGGCAATCTCAGAGCGATGAAGGCCGACGCGCTGCCGGTGTCTGGGGCAACTGGGAGACTGCATTGAAAGCAGATAATCGGACAGGCGATCGTGACTTGAGCCAACGAATTCAAGATATCCGACTCAACATTGAGCACAAGCAACCTGCCCAGCAGCCCACTGCGCGTCAATTGCCCTCGGGTGTCGCGTCAGTCACCTCGGCCTACAAGTACCCAACCGTGCCACGGTCAAAAGCCCTGGAGCCCAATGTTTCTCCCGGCCAGATCGCCATTTGGGATAAAAATGCCGAGAGGCAACCGCCTCCGGTTCTTCCACCCAAAGAGCATATTGCACCTAGCAGAGCTAGTTTTATCAACGGCTCAGAGGCTCTAGATCTTCCGCCACGTCCGTCCAAGGTATCACCTGGCCCGCCACCTCCCGAGAAATTACGCCCTTCTGAAGACACAACTTCTACGCGATCCGATCTCGACCCATCTAGTTACACCTTTAAACCCTCTGCATATCTGGAAAATGGCACTCCCCTGCGCTCTGTCTTTCTTCCAGCCAATCTCCGCTCGCGCTTCCTGTCTCTTGCCGGCCCTAATACCCGTCGCAATCTTGAGACATGTGGTATTCTCTGTGGTACCCTCGTCTCAAATGCTCTTTTCATCTCTCGACTCGTGATCCCCGAGCAGATCTCCACATCTGATACCTGTGAGACGACCAACGAATCTGCCCTTTTCGATTATTGTGATTCAGAGGATCTGATCATGCTTGGATGGATCCACACACACCCGACGCAGACCTGCTTCATGAGTTCGCGTGACTTACATACTCACAGCGGCTACCAGGTCATGCTTCCTGAGAGTATCGCCATTGTGTGCGCACCGAGCAAAGACCCCGACTGGGGCGTTTTCCGGCTGACGGACCCTCCTGGTCTGAAGACAGTACTCAACTGCACGCAGACGGGCCTGTTCCATCCACATGCTGAACAAAATATTTATACTGGGGCCCTAAGACCCGGACATGTTTATGAAGCCGACGGATTGGAATGTGAAACTGTAGACTTGCGTCCGAGTGACTCGCGAAACTGATTAGATCCAATGTGTTTTTTTCATATTTGGTCATGTCATTATATGAATATGATACCCTCGGCATTTGATAGTGCTTTTTAATCTAAAGTTGGAGCTAGTTTCGAATGCCTTTTTTTTTTTTTTTTTTTTTCAATCCAGATTTCTTTGGTACAGTGTACACGCGTCTTCTCGACGTTGAGCTCGTACAGGCTCTCCTTTTCCACTGTCAATAGCCAAATGTTACTCTTCGGGCCCATGTGAGTGCTCCTTCTTGGGATTGTGCCTCTGCGCAGCTGAGCCAGAGCTGGCTTTTGCCATATTTGACGGGGTGGGAGAGCGACGGTCTCGAGACTTACGGTGCCTATGCGTACTGGCACTCTGGATGAATACGTGAATCGGTGAATGTTCGCAGCAAGGATTAATAGTGGACGTTGAACTAACCAAAAGCCCGCGGTCTCGAACATCTTGCTCGTGGCTATGGAGGCCTCCCTCCTCCATTTTGACGATTTCATCGCGATATTTGTCCGAACGGGGGATCTTCTTAGACATAATTGCAGTGAAGACTTTCTGGATATATTCAAAGTTCGAGAATTCGATAGACAGAAATGGTCGCCAGGTACTAGATTCAGCCATCATATGTTGCTCAGAGTGTCATGTTCTCCCCGACTTGGGCGATTTATATAGCATTCTGGTCCGCCACGGTTTCGTCATCTTGTGATTATAGATGGCGAGCCGGAAGTTTCCCCCGTTGCGAATAGAATATTCGAAGATGGTTATCCGGTAATCAGATTTAGGAACCAAGACATACTTATAAGGTCAGGGGAGTAGACAGCTGCCTTGACGCTCCGCGATTGTGCTTCCAGCATCTCGAGTGGCGGTAGACATGGGACAGTCTAGATCTAGATATTCTCGGCTTCAAATGCCTCAAGCCACGACTGTGCGACCTTATCTGGCGGAATGATGCAGCATCACAGTCTAGAATGTGAAGCTAACGTGGCCGACTTCCCCACATGATAAGCGATAAGTTTCGACCTTGAAACATGAAACACGAAACACGAGACAACCTACATCATACAACCTACATCATACAACCTACATCATACATAACACAACACACCCCCTCACTTTGGCCTCAGCAATTGGCAATTGCCCGTATGTCGTCCTCGTCGCAGGGAGATTTCCCTTCAGAGACCCCCCACCACCTCCAACTCCTCAAGATCCGGCTCTCACACGCCCCAGCAAACCCCTTCCAATTCTTACAGTCAAGCCGCCTCTTACTTTTCCTACCCAGTCAGCCACGTCGTCTCGGGCCTATACCGTCGCCTGACAGACCCTAATATCGCCAACGCTCCCTCAAACATGCCGTGGTCCATGTCATCCTCCTCCTCCTCGGTCTTCACCCCACGCCGAACAGCCTCACCATTCCAACCTCCACCCCTCACACCCCTCTCCCTCATAATCCCTAAAGGGCAAGACCTCCTCCAACAGCAACTTTTGACACGCGCCCTAGCAGAGGAAATCCGCCTCCTCGTCCCCGCACGTCTCCAACTCGTCGAGAACTGGCGTCTAGCATATAGCCTCGATCGCGACGGCGCCTCTCTATCAACCCTCTACGACAACTGCGAGGAATTCTCCCACCGTAGCCCGCGGGCAGGCTACGTCCTAGTCGTACGCGACTCCTCCCCCGCCGGCGCTGTCTTCGGCGCATACATGACCGATCTCCCGCACCCCGACTCCCAATTCTTTGGCACCGGCGAGTGTTTCCTCTGGCGCGCAAGCATCCTACCACCCCCCGTCTACCCTCGGTCTTGCATTCACCAGCGACGGACCCCAGACGGAAGAAGCTCTCGAGCGCGCTGGTCTCCCGCCTCCCCCTTCTGCGGATACCACCCACGCCGGACGATGGAGTACATTCCGCAGCGACCCCGGGGCGAAATCGAGAACCGCGTCCCCGGCTCACAATCTCAATATGAATATTAAAACTAATCTTGCCGCTGCTAGTGGCGGTGCGCTGGCGCCTCCGTCGCCTTCGTCTGTTGGTACACCTTCCCGCAGTGGTGCGAGCACCCCCTGAGCGTATTCGCTTCAAGGCCTTCCCGTATAGTGGTGTCAATGACTATATGATGTTCTGTGAGACTGGGTTCTTGAGCTTGGGCGGCGGGTAAGTCATTCATCTTGCCGTTTAAAGTGACTAGACTAACAATCATCCTAGCGATGGACGGTACGGCCTCTGGGTGGACTCCGGCCTAGAGAAGGGCGTCAGCTCTCACTGTCAGACATTTGGAAACGAGCCACTATCTGATGAGGGAGAGAAATTTGATATCCTCGGCATTGAGGTGTGGTACGTTGGCTCATGATCTGCACCGAAATACCAAGAGCGCACAGCACAACATATAAACTTGGAAACATGGAGGGGAAAAGCAAAGTGCGGGCATTAAGAAATAAAAATAACCCGATGCTGGGAAGCAAATATCTATCATTGAGGAATTGGTGGAATTGGTGGATTTACCCTCAATGGCGCATCTTACTGCATTTACTTTCTAATACCTGAACAGTGGCTCTGCCGCTGCTCTTGTTCTGTTTCTTTCATGGAATCTTTATCTATGAAATCTTCATTTTTCTTGGCTCTGCTGTTGAGGTAAAGATACCAGGGCGTATATCCACATTCTTTCCATTGCGCCAACCATTGTATTTAGCAGGAGTATTGGCGTTTAATCTATAGCTTCGCCTGGGGATGAAGCATCTTCTCAATATCCGCAAACTGGTAGTAGAAGTCCAGGCTTTCTGGGTTCAACAAGGTACCAGATGGCTTGATCTTCTTTCCAGAGACAATTTGCTTAACGGGTAATTCGACCTTCTTCAGGTTCACGGTAACCTGTATATCGTAATTAGCGAGGCTCTCCTCAGTCTATTTCAGCATTTCAAACTTTCTGATACGTACCGGGATAGCAGGGGTCTCAAAAATGTATTTCGGTACATGTCGAGCACTAAGTGCCTTGCGAATAGCGTCTTTGATACGCGTCATTAATGCCTGGTTCGCCTTGAAGCCAGGACGCATGAGCAAGAACAGCATCACGGATTCATCTGTATCTTTGGGTCTCCGTTGACCAACGCAAACGGAGTCGACAATCTCTTCTGAGAATTGGGTATCGATCACGTTGTAGATCTCCGCAGATCCAAACCGTACACCGGATGGATTCAATACGCCGTCTGATCGACCGAGGAAGAGGACCTGGTGGGTATTTGGGTTAATAGCGATAAAGTCGCCATGTGTCCAGACATCTGTAAAACAAACGTTAACCACTAATTTCCGCCGAAAACATAAGCAAAACTCACTATCAAATCGAGCAAAGTAGGCATTGAAGTACTTCTTCCCATCTTTATCACCCCAGAACTTTACAGGCATACTAGGGAATGGCGCAGTCGCGACAATCTCACCGGGTTCACCATCTGGTGCTTTCGTGCCTTTGACCTGGGTGACCCCTTCGTCTACTTGCTCAAACGCAGCGATAGGAATACCCAAGCTAGGGCCTTGGCATCCACCCACGTAAAGGGGAGAAATCGGATTCTCGAGACCGAAGCACGCTGCAAGATCGGTGCCTCCAGAGATATTGGCTAGGAGTACATGTGGTGGAAATCCCTCGTCGTAGAACCATTCGGATAACGACTCGGAGAGAACCATTCCGGTGCTAGTGACTCCTCTCAGGTGTTGAAGATCGGCAATCTTGCGAGGACTGATCCCGTTTTTGCGTAGTTCCTGCATCCATCGAGGTGATGTACCGAAATGCGTGACCCTGGACGTTTATTAGGACGAGTGGAAAGATGTCATCGGGGTACATACTTGTGTGTTTCCAGTAACTTGACCAGAATTGTGATGTCAGGCAAGAACGGACTTCCATCGTAGAGAATCGGCCTCGCGCCAAAGATCAGCGCAGAAACACAGGACATATACATAATCCATCCGGTCGTAGTATACTGCAAGACAGTAGCAGTGGCATCCATGCTGCGATTAAGTTTGGCCTCTTTGTTTGTATTTAGTAGGACACCTCCGACACAGTGAACGATACACTTCGGTTCACCAGTAGTTCCCGAAGAGTAAACAATCAAGAACGGGTCACGGAACCCGACTCGAGTAAACTCCAGCTCATCGGAAGATGCGGTGGAGAGGAACTCTGCCAGTGTTCGGGTTCGTGGGATGTGTTTCACATCCGCAGGACGACCTCTGAACCTGGGAATAGAAATAACGCCCTGGAATTCCTTGATGTGATTCAAACCTTCCACGATCTGAGTGATCTTGGGTCGAAGATCGACTGTTTTCCCATTATACACGGTCGTATCATCGACGAAGACCCATCGAGGATCGATCTGTATAAGACGATCTAGAATCCCCTTAACACCTGTATCAGTAGACGTGGATGAGAAGAGAGCACCGAGGGCTGTGGTCGCAAGGAAGATCGTCATAGTGTCGATACTATTGCTAGCAACAACAGCAACTCGATCTCCACGCTTCACACCAGCGACTTTCAAAGCCTGAACCACTCGACCAGTTCGCTTCCTCAACTCCTTCCAAGTAAGATTAACAGCAGGCTCAGCATCACCCTCTCGAACTTCCGTGATAGCAATTTTGTCATCTTCCTTGCCAACTTTCGTAATGGATTCACCGGGACCCGAAGTGAAGAGAACATTCTCAGCAAAATTGAGCCGAATTCCCGAGAACCAGTCGGGGATACTGTCAATGCGAGCTGTTTCATCAACAACACGCTCGTAGGTCCCTTCGTGGATGATGGGGAAGTACTTCCAGCAGAAATCCCAGAATGAGGTACGATGTGTGATGGACCATTGGTACATGGCATTGTAATCTGGTAGTTTCACGCCTTTGGATTGTTCTAAGCTTCGCTTGAACTGGGCCATCGCTGTTGACTCGGGGTCAGGGTGCTCCCAGAGCTTGCGAGAGATTGCCGAATAGGCCGACATTGTATCTGTCTGATGAGGTAAGGAAGTTGAGGTTGATAAGTGAGTCAAATATATTAGTCGTCAAAATGAAAGTTCTATATATGCCGTGGCGGCAATCGAAGTGCGCCGCGGCTTAAGTTCGGCTACATCAAATGCGGGGTTTGCGACGTGCAGTGAAGTAAGATCTTCATCTCTAGTGAATGCGAGCCTTTTGGCACCTTGAACAGCTAACTAATCTGCATTTTTTGGCGTCGTCTATCGCATTTCCACGAACAAGTCTACCCTGCGCTTCACTCTAAGATATGTTCGAGTTGCTCACCAGCTAGCAGTCACTCTCCACGATACACTGCGACTCATTGCCCGAGTGCCTAATCTTGGCAAGATCACCCCATAAAAACGACATTGAGTAACATCCAGCCTTCAAGTTGGTAGTGCCTTGACAAAATATCTAACTTCAAAAACACGCAAGGTTGTGCTGGGTAGATCCCGTACAGCTCTCAACGGCCCAATGCTCCAAAATCGAGATTATGTGGAGAACCAGGATTCAAAGTGTAAGAAAATGAAGAGTGAAGGAGGACGAAAGGAAGTGAAAGATAAAACACGAGCTGAATGTTTACTCGTGAGGTGTAATTATGCGACGCCAAAATTCAAAACAAGAAGCATTCACTGGAAAGTATCATGGTCTGTCCAGAGACATCTATTTTAAAGAAGTCTAGACATACATATTAATGCCAGTAATTCGGTGCAACGCTTTTGACCAAAGCCCACGCATTCTCAACGACCTCGACAACTTCATCAGGCAAAGGTCCTTTCTCTAAATCCATAAGATTCCCCTCAAGATGCTTAATACTACTCGCCCCCACAATAATAGCATCATCCAAATTCTTTTGCAGTCGAGAGTGATGCTTCAACCATCTCAACGCCACCTCAGCATCCGTAAGCTCATACTTCACAGCCACAGAGTGAACAGACCCAATAGCATCAAAGTAAGCATCGTTCCAGTAACGGTTTCGATGAACAGTACCCTGAAGAATCTTAGGATCGAACCTCGATCCTTGCTCAAACTGTGTCTGGTCCCTTGTATAACGCCCAGTGAGAAGACCACCGGCCAGTGGTTGGAATGCGTAGAGAGAGATGCCGTATTTGCGCAGACAGGGGAATAATTCGCCCTCGATACTGCGCTGGAGTACATGGTACACTCCCTGGTAGACCGTTGGTACAATCCAGTTGTTGATTTTGCAGATTTCGCAGATCTGGGCGACTTCCCAGGACATGTAATTGCTAAGACCGAAACGAGTGAAGTGGCCTTCCTGGTGGAGCTTATTGACTTCTCGCAAAGTGGCTTCGAAGGGACTATTGCGGTCTGGGGCATGAAGGTAGAAGATATCGACCTTTTCGGTCTTGAGAGCCTGCAGGCTGTTGGTCAATCCGCGCCGCACATCTTCGGGGGAGTGTGTGTAGCCTTCTCCTAAGGCTGCGGATGCCGCGTTTGGGTAGAGCTTTGTGTCCATTAGGAGGCCTCGCTCTTTCCATGATAGTGAGGCTAGCATCTCCTCAGACGAGCCGCCTCCGTAAATTCGAGCAGTATCAATCTCATTGTGGCCGTGCCGTTGAAATGTGTCGAGAATGTTGCCTGCGACTTCCAAGTCATGAACACGAGGTCCCATTGTGTCTATCAGTTGTCAGTCATTGATGCATAGATGGGGGTCATGTCTTGCTTACTCGGCTTGCCTAGAGACATGGCTCCAAAGACAATCTTAAGATCGTTGTTGCTCATTGTGAATCATATATCTGGTACTGCGCGGATGACTGTGTATATGCAATGTATGGAAGTGGATTGGACAATGTTGATGGGACGAGAATGATGAATGTCTGCTCAAGATCGATCCGCTATTTATACAGAGAAAGAAAAGTCCTCATGCTGATGCAGCTCCAAGCCTCCTGCAGAGTTCGTTTTGGCCCACTATGTCCGAGTCTAACCCCGGCGCGGCTGACGAGTGCCACTCCGATGCGCTGCCCACAATTACGAGGTGCAAATTACTTGGTTGCCATGGTTGAAAGGTGGATTCCACCTAATGCAATCTCGAATTAAAATTGATGGTGGCAGGTTAAAGTTGTATGATATGCAGGTCGGATTTAAGGCCGCGGGATCACCGGCATGAGGCTAAACTTTGAACTGCAAATTCTACATTATTTTCCGCACCCGCTCTGACCCGCGATGACTTGGTTTTCTTTTTCTTTCTGAGTAGAAATCATAATTCCTAGGGTTGGGTCTCTGGAAGCTATGTTTGGTTTCCATGAGTGGTTTCAGGATATGGCTTGTATTTCCTAGCTAGCTACCTAAGCAAAAAATTCAGGCCTCCGTGCATTCCGAGCAAAAATCAAGACATAAACGTCGCATCACTACCTAAGCAGCGCGACGGGTCCCCAAAGAATAGTAAGAAGCCCAAACAACTGGGGAAATGAAACAACAACAGGGGGTATGGAATAAAATCAAAAGACACGCAGGAATTATCAAGAATCTAGCGAAAGCTTCGAAAATAGGGGAAGCAGCTTTCTAGTAAGGAGAGTTGACAATGTCCTCTCTTCGGAGGTGACTGTGTCTGCCGGCGCTCTTGCGGACAGGAGTCATGGGTCCAGCGATGCTCTCGCGAGTAGGCTTCTGGAAGCTGCGTTTAGCGACCATGTTGACCTCGTTGGGTAGCGCGACAATAACGTTCTTGTCGGAGTTAAAGCGGAAGTTGTCGGCCATGACGTTCTCCTCGTAGCGCTTGATGGTGTATGGGTCCTTGCGGCCGGCAATGACCTTCTTCATGCTCCAGGTGATGATGAAAGGACCGGTGGAGGTGATGATGGATGTTTCCTCGGAGTCAACACCCGTGTTGAAGCGAGCCTGGGTGAAGGACAGGGGCTGCTTGGTCTCGTGCTGGAACTGCGCAACGTGGGCGGGCTGCAATCCCAGACGGCGAGGCTGAGGCTTGGAATCCTTGGCGAAGGGCTTCTCGAATCCGAGCTTGCCTTCGTTCTTGCCGTCCTTCTGCTCAGCGTCAATCAGGAGAAGATAGGTGCGACATGTAGCAAGCACCCAGCGTCCATCGGCAGAGACGTCCAGACCGACAATGGCCTCACCAAGGGCTGGGATGTGTGTCTTGGCGTTGATGCCGAGGCGGTCGAACATGCGAATATCTCCCTTGTTGGAAGCAACAGCGATGTAGCCCTTCTCAGTCGTGGCCAGAGCAGAGAAGTCGTTCTTGCTGGCATATTGCTTAAGATCAGCGTCCACCATCTTGTTACCGGTGACACGGGGGTCAATACGGTAAAGAGCATTGGAAGACGCGCCAACAAATGTTTGAGCAGACGTCAATTGTGAGAATTTCTGCGAGGTTCATTAGTAAATTTAATGTAAATGTATGTTTTGACCGAGGAAAACTCACGCTCTCAGGACCAAATGTCTCTACACGAATATCGTCGTGGACCTTCCACTCATCGACAACCTTTCCGGTTTCAATATCCATGCGGAAAAGGGAGTTAGGATCATCTCCGTTCTGGAGAATCAGGTTACGGTCCTCTGCGTGAAGCATGACTTTCTTGGGACTGAAGAGCCTGCCCTTGGGCGTTTCCACCTTGGAAATATTGGTAGAGAACTCGAGGTTGTTGTTGTCGGTGTGCTTGAAGACACCGATCTTGGAGCCACGAACGACAAACGAGCGGTCATTCTTGAAGCCAACTGCCAACTGAGAGTTGACGTTGCCATCCGCATCCTTAAGGTTAACATCCTCTTCCTCCTCGTCGCTGTCGTAGTGCTCGCTGCGCTGGCCATCATCTTGGGACTCATCCTCAGATTCTTCCTCTTCCTCCTCCGGCATATCAGGTGCGTCTTCCATGGTAAGGTCCTGGAATGCCTCGAGAACATAATCCCGATCGGATTCCTTGGCTTTGGTCCACTTCAACTCATTGAGCTGTTCCCACAGAGCCTGCATGATACCCTGTTGAAAACGCTCCAGAGAGGCCTGATCCTTGAAACGAAGCAACCAGGAGTAGACCGAACCATCCTCGGCAAATTGGTTGAAGATGAAGGAGATGTACTCAAAGTTGAAGACGGGATTTATATCTGCCACAACGGCTTGTCCCATCCAGTCCTTGTCTTTGCCGCTGATCTGCAGCCAGTACTGCCAAGTGCCGACTTCTGACACATTTGCAACTACCTCGTCCTCCTGCATGATAAATGTTCCAGTGGAGAAGTCGTAGAGATGTAACTCAGCCGTCTCTTTCGCGAGTTCTTCCTTGCTGTCAGGCGCCTGGGCAGATGGTGGGGCAGCCGTGGTAGTTTCGTAGATTTCATCCGACTTCCCCTTGCTCTTAGACTGGGCGTACTTGACTTCTTCCGCCATCGCGGCAGCCGAGTCTCCAGAGGTGGGGGCATGGACTGGGCTTGCAGATGGAATAGGCCTTTCCTGTTGGTAGGCAAATTCTTGCAACTCAGCCTCAGTAGCCTGCTGACCACTGCGGCGGAATTTGCGCTCGTATTGGCACTGCAGAGCAGCGATCTCGAAAGTGGCAACCTTCTCAGAGGGAACTGAAGGGTCACAAATGAATTCAAAGAGATCACCCTCGTCACCGCTCAGATCGTCCCATGCAAGCACCTTGTTACCATTGTCACGGACTGTGGAGCGGAAGTGCAGGCTCTGGTCCAGCAGGAAAACCTTCTCGTCTTTGTCCAGACTATCTCCAGCACCTTGTTCGTCCTCGTCCTCCGCAAGGTCCTCCTCGCCTTCCTCGTAGGCTCTCTGGATCACAAGTTGGTATTGGTATTCCTGGCCAGTTCGGCGGATGGTCGCAGCGGCGTCCTTAAAAATGAGCTCGGAAACGCCTTTGGGAGAAAGCGGTCGGACAAGGAACAGCTGGCCTTGGGGGATTTCGATGATTGATTCTTTGGAAGTATCACCAAATATCAATTTGCCCACTACAATTACAAGTCAAATGTTAGTTATTTATGCCCTTCAGTGGCAAAAGGATGAGCGTCGGTATGGAGGGGTTCGGCGCGGGGCACGCGTTTTTCTTACCATTGCGGAGCATAAACATGGTCGCGAGGGGCAGCAACCGAGCTGGTTTGTTGTGGTTGAAAAGGAAAGGGTAGATAGGTGAGAAAAGGCGACTGGCGGCAAACAGAAACGTGAAGCAGAAGCCTTATATGCCACCTAGGGGACCACGAACGAAGTTGGAAGGAAAGAATAGATAAGTTGCGTGAATCTAGAGAAAATCGCCTCCGTCATCGAGGGTGGCGCTGTGGCGGATGCTTATGTAATAATAATATAGATCGCCTAAATAGGCAACCGATGTAGATGCTATATCTAATCTTCCTTCTCTTCATCTTCATTCACTTCTTCGTCCTCCGCTTGTTCATTCATCCTCTTGAGAGTTGCCTCATCATCTTCTTCCTCCTCCTCTTGTTCATCCTCCTCGGCAGCCCCGGTATCCCCGGCATCACCCTTTGCATTCCGGAGTGTCCCACCCTTTCGTTGAGGCATAATCTTCATAAAGGCTTCACCCCAGTCACCACATTCCAGCCACGCCAACATAATATCGACCACATGGTTCGTAGTCATAACCGCGCGGGAAGACATCTTAATATAGTCACCGATCGGCAGTTTGGCTGTCTTGACCCCAGCCTCGAGCGCACTCTTATAGCAAACCGCCTTGTATCGGTTCTTATCGACCAGCCCACCGATAATGTAGGTATCATATGGCCTGAGTTCATGTAACGTGTTGTCACTGTCACTGCTGAGGTAAATGACTTCTCCATCTTCAGGTTTGGCATCCGCCTTTTTGGCGAAGGGACCTTCGAGCTTGCCTCCTCGTGGTGAGGCCATCTGCTGCGTCGCAAGCTTGGCAGCATGCACGAAGTTTTCGGGGACGAGCTTGATTCCCTTCCAGTTCTTGTGGGGAGTGAGGACCGTGTCAAATCGTTCCTTCAGTAATCCGCCCCATGAGCTGAACATCAGGTGTCCGCGCCAGGGCGCACGACTGTTCTCCGAGTAACAGCGTGTGAGCTGAGATGCGAGAGAAATACGCTCCTTAAAATTCATAAGATCATCGTAGTTGCAATCAACGACAATGGTGAATGGTATCAAAGTCGATCGCTTGTGTCGGGATCTTGTGGACTCCCACTGTTTGCGCAATGCTAATACAGCTTCCATGCCACCGGTTGCCAGTGCATCATCACACATCTTTCGTCGACGTTCCTTCTTCGCTGCCATTTGTTCCCTTCTCCGTTCTTTGCGCAACTCGCGTTCTTGTTCGTATTTCTCTTTCCGGCGGAGCTTTTTGAGTGCGTTCTTCGACATCTTGGGCGCGGCATCGGCATCGTCGGTCACGGTTTTAGCTGTAGAATCATTGGCAGCAGCTTCATTGTTGGCCGGGAGCTCAGTAGACTCGGGCTTCGAGTTGTCGGCAGCAGCGGCCTCGGTTTCCTGCGGCTTGTCGACCGCCACAGCGCCCGTCATAGCGGGGCCAAGTTCTTCAGGCGTAGGCTCATCATGGCCAAGTTTGGCCATTTTCATAGGTCTCTCTTCCTCGTCCATGGTGGGGACAGAAACTCGACTTGAAATGAGAAGCGGGTGGGCAACTTGTGTAGATCGGCGGGAAAAAAGTGCATCCACGGAGGTCAACCAATGATGAGCGTCTCAGCCCACATTACTGTACAGCACCACGTGACCACATGTCACCAACTTCTCCGGCGACTCCTCGATTTGCATCCAGGAACCCCAAAACAGCCCATTCCCATCATCATGCCTCAGGATATGCCCCCATCGGGGGGCTACGCCCAAGTCCAGTACAAGGTATGCCAGTGATGGGCAATTTCCTCGAATCCCAGCGCCTTCCGAGCCCGCGAGCTCTCGATGCTAACCCTCGTTCGATCTCTAGCGGAACATCCCCGCCCGCGGTTTCAAGCCATGGCAGTACATGCTCGGCATGCACGCTATTATGGCCTATGGTTTCTATAGATACTTTCAGGGTGTCCGTGAGCAGCGGTACGTTTCGTGCAATGGCTTCCTCCGATCGAGCCGAGCCGCGAATGATCGGGAGATCGAAATTGCAGCCTGAGCGTCAGAACATTGAGCAGGAGACTAACGTGGTTTCTTTTTTCATCTATAGTGAGCTTGCGCGCGAGAAGATGTGGTCTCGCCTGCACCTGATGCCTCTCCTCCAGGCTGAGGAGGACCGCGACCAGGTCCGCCGCTACTACGCAGACAAGGCCCGCGAGAAGGAGCTTCTCGGTGAGGAGACCAAGGTTTACAACTCCGACCGGTACGTGCCCAGAAAGACGGCTCCTGCCTTGATACACTAATGGTGGTTGCTCATTTGGTATTACAGTTTCGTTCGCCCTACTTTCGGCTACCTTCCCGCCAATGTCTCCAAATAAACACATTTAGCGTCAATTTTTGCCATCGTGTCTTCCCTGTAATCGGATATGGACAGGGTGCCTTGAGCGAATCCTCGATTCTGTTACTGGAGGGTTGGAGTTGATCTGGTTGGATAATGATCTAGAGATCATGGTGGCAGAAGTGCCTTGTCTCGAAGGGATCGAGAAAAACACTGTAGATATTATGTTTTCGAAGAAAGTTTTAGTTTTGTCTTGCAGCACATCTGGTTTCATATGTTTGACTCTAGTGAAGACCCCTACATTGTGTTCGTAGTAGCAGTGCTTGAGGAGATAGGTACTTGCATACGAGAGCTCTGGTGATATTAATCTTTAAATGTGCTTGAGCACCTCTGTATTGTTTCTTTTGGGTTTCTTAGCCGTCTATGCGGTATAGAGGCCCATCTATAGAATGCTCAAAGCGCCGCCGCTGGGGGTAGTCGGTGAAGTTTGCAAATCACAAAGTAAAACAAAGAATAGAAAGGTACGCTCAGGATGCAAGTCGCGAGAACTAGTCCTCCAAAAGCCACCTAAGATCAAAAAAGGAACAACATCACCAGGATTAGTGATGAATGTTTGCTGTCAAGTCTCGCCATGTTATTTTGTTCGGGACGATGCGTGCAGATAAATGCCTTGAAAGGGAACAAAAATATGTCTGAAAAGACGATTGAAGAAAGGCCCGGCAAATTGTTGGGAAGGGATAAAAAGAGAGCTGTCAAGGCTCGTTTAGAGTATCTCTTTGGTCTGTCTGAATACCGCCAGTGTGCGTCTACCCGAACATATCAGCGACACCGGAAAGGTCCGGCCCGTCGTTGATATCGACACGATGGCTCTCCTGCTGAGTCTCCATCTCGTTGGTCATATATCGGGATTGAATTGCGGAGCGGGCCTTGCGACGCTCCTCGCGCGAGCCAAGGATCTTTCCTTGCTCAGCGACGCTGACGCCACGCAGCGGCTCAAGAAGCTCCAAGATCAAAGCACGTTGTTGACGAGGTGACACGCAGCGCTGGAGGGCAGTCTCCGTGTGAGCGACCTTATCTTCGGTAATGCCAGGCAATGATAGGAAGGTAGCACGTGGTCTCTGACTGGCAGTCCCATACAGAACCCAGATAGCCGCAATAAGCTGTGCCAGGTCTTTCTGCATGTCGACGAAGTAGGATTCGTGAACAGATGTGATGCACGCCTGTAGAACATCAGCGCAGATGAACTCCCGAATAGTCACTATGGTCGGGCTGTTATTTGGCGGGGCGAAGTCGGCGAGAATCGATCGAACCACCCGGGTGATGATGCTACAGCATCGAGTGTCGCGCATACGAAGGGCGTGGGTACAGAAGAGCATGACAGGTTCGAAAATTTCGGGCGATGAGAGAACAAAGTGTCGGATCGAGTCAGACTGTTCCGGGGTCGGTTGCGGTGCACTGGGATCTGCCTCTGTCCTGTCGGGGTCTATTTAGGGAACAGTATTAGCATTAGCTTCTTGATGATCTTGCTAAGTACGGCTTTCCAGGGGATAAATGTGGAAACCGTTTTGCTCGAGTGAGTTTGATGAATAGCGATGGGTCTTCTCACCTCCTCTCTGGGGGTCGAACAAACTGGCGACCATAATGACCGCCGAGTAGGTCAATTGCCGAAGGACACTCTCTGATTTCATCTCATCGGTGAGATCACCATCTGAGAGTCCGTTCTTTCTTTGTTCGATAAGTTCCCACTCGGTAGTGATCTTAGTGTCAATGCTCTTGAACAGAGTGGATAGCATAGGGGGAAGAAACTGGCTGCGGTACTGCACCGGGCAGTCATCAATTAGGCAGCGGGAGATATTGAGCAAAACGGAGTACTGGTGAGAAGACAGATGCTCTGCATCTTTGAAAAGAGCCTCAGAAAGAGGACCAGGAAGCTCAGTGAACCCGTAGAATTGATGTCGCATTCTGCTCATACTGAAGAGCATGGAGTAGCCTGATTCACGAACAGCTCTGATCTTGCCTCGGACCGAGGACGCAAATCCTTCAAGGGTGGCCTTGGACGCAGTAATCTTGGCATAGAAATCATCCCGGCTGCCACTGGAAATTCCCGCTTGCCAGAAGCGATCGGTTAGAATCCGCTCAACCACGGCCCGCATATCATCACTCACAGCCCAGTTGGCAGGATTGTGGAATGCATGAGCGTGGCTGAGAAGATGAAGCAGAGTGGGAAGAATTTGAGGCATCAAATCCTGCCACATATCACACGCCACCCGATACGCCGGAGCGGATTTCTTCAACTTGTCAGTGGTCACTGCTAGCATGGTTTTGGTGCCACGCAGAGGTAGCATTTGGAATTTCCGGGTCATCTCCTCTTGGACAGTCTTTCCCTCGTTATCCAAGACAACATCGGCCCAATCTGCCAGCCGGTGTGCTTGTTTGGCTTGCATGTAAGACCCGACATTCTCGAGTCCGAGCATTGCACAGAATCCCTCAAAGGACGAGCACATGCGCCGGAATTCCTCGTCCTGCCAGGCTTCTCTGATAGGGCCGAGGAAGGTTGTCAAACGAGCCTGGCGCAGATTTGGGTCAATGTTGTTTGCTCGTTGCATGATGATTACGAGAATTGAGGTCAGCTCCATCTTGAGCTTGTCATCGACCTGGTTGGCCTGGGTGATCTCCGTGATCTTGGGCTCGAGCAAATCGTAGAAAGTCGAAAAGTAATCGGCATAGCGAATCGCAAGTCGTCGGAGTTCGTGGCTAGCAAGCCCATGAAGTTCTTTCACAGCCTCGGAATAGACGGGACATGAGGGCTGATCTGGAAGGCGTGTCATAAGGATGTGTTCAAGGACCTTGAGAGCAAAGGCCGGGTGGTTGTCCAACGCTCGAGACGAGATGTCAACTACCAACTTGATCACTCGTTGTTTCAAAACAGGGTCCTCAAACGACCGTTGCATCAAGGTTGAAGCCCAATTCTCCACAGCATGCTCCAATTCGCTTCGTTCGTGCTCATCCCGCTGAGGGGTCTTGCCATGAGAATCGAGCCACTTGTTGAAACCTTTGATGACGGCTTCCACAACAGCAAATTGAGCATCCGCGCGCATGAGTGACAGCGCAGACTTGCTGAACGTTTGCATGCTGAACGGCTCAACTCCATCGTACAAGTTGCTTAGGTTATCGTCCACTCTGCTCAGGATCTCACGCACTGCTTCCTGCGGACGCTTGATGGTAATGGACTCGATGATTGATGAGCAATAGCGTCTATAGTTCCCGACAAACGCGTGTCTCTCGGGCGTGGTATCAATATCTTCAATGAGGAACTGTACAGTGGGATCTTCGGAATCTGTTGGGAGGGATTCCCAGCGGATCAACCTTTGGGTGCAGATGTTCAGGAAACTGGGAGTCTGGCTCACCACGAAATCATCGGTACCGATATTTCGAATTGGAAGTAGTCGAGACCAGAGATGCAGGACAGGAATAGATACTGTCAAACTCTGGTGCTGCATGATATTGATCATGAAGTTGAAGAACGGTGGAAGATCCAGCCGGTACATCATATCCAGGAAAAACCTTTCGTCCTCCAAGCAGCCAGCCACGTAGGAGACCATCTATCATCACTGTTAGCCAAAAGTTAAATAAATTGTGCGATTAGTGTCTTTTTACCTCCGAGAGCTTCTTGGATACCAAGTACTTCGGCTCATCAACATCATCTGGCCCTACAATCGACCATTGATATAGATTTTGGAGAGTGTTGAGGTATTCGGCGTCGAAGATCAGGAAAAGAAGATCACGCGAATCCTCGCTGCCCATATTGCTTCTTCCGTAGAGCGCGTGCAATGCTTCAATAGCGGCCTATTTCAAATTAGTGTCTTGAACGCCAGAAATGTCTTCCATGCCGGTCTTACCAAAAGAACCTGTTCGTCTTGACAAGTCAATGCTCTGAAGATGCTGGAAACCGCCTCGGAGGCCGCAACAGCTTTGTAGATGGACCAAGAGAGCGCTGATCGCAAAGCAGTAAGGGCCTTGACAGCCGCATCTCTGGCCTGGGGCGAACTCGACACATTCTGAATACAATTATCCAAGAATTGGCAGATCCGAACGAGCCAGCCCTCATCACCACACCGCAGCGAAGCATTGGTGTTCTTGTCGGGGTTTATCTGCTCGACAATGGCGGCGGGTGTGAAGATCTCCACGAGAGCCCTGTTGAGCTCCGATCCGCGCAACGAAGATACGGTATCTTCACGGAAGAAGACATCCTCCGACAGGGTCTCAAGCACCGCGAGGACTAGCTCATTATGTACCAGCGACGATCCCCAGAATTTCACGAGCGCAGCATCCATATCCGTCCAGTCCAAGCCCCAGCTCTTCTTCGCGGCCTCCGACCATAGTTGCGGGATCTTGTTGCGGAGATAGTTGGGGTCCTCGGGGCGAATGTTCTCGGCGAGCTGGAGGATCATCGATCGAAGGTTCGCGGATTCTTCGGCCTCGGCGTCGGTGAATGAGAGATGGCGCAAAACATGGTCCAATAGTGTGAGACCGAAATATCGAACCACTGGAGCATGGTCGGCGCGTGAGGCGAGGAGGAACCCATTGCGGGCTGCCGCGTCGGTTTCTTTGAGAGACTCAACAAATGTCAAGGCTTGTTTGCGGAGCTCGTTCGTAGACGTCGGACTATGGATCACTTCAAGGGCTCGAACAATATCGGCCATGCCGGCCTCCGAAAGCTCCTCGGCAGCCATGTTGTTGGCGCGCCGAGTGCAAATGCCTAGGAGCGGAAGTATGCGAAGGGCGCGTTATGCGAACGAGGAGTAGCGGGCCAGATGTGAGATTTGCGCGTCTTCTCGAGATCAAATTAGCAGGCCAATTCTCATGGTCTGGAAACTCAAGGTCGAAAGAGTTGGCGGTGTTTGGTATGGCCGTTGACTGTCCGCGGGTGTTTATTGGCGGTACAGAGCAGCAACGGCCATTCGATTGTATTAAACGGTTCGCGTTAGCAAATATATCGACAAAAGACAGTGATCGGAATCGGAGGAAGATCAAAGGGTGAGTGTTGAGTGGGTAGTGCTTCCAGGGCGTGGGAGAACGAAGTTGCGGGAAGGCAGCCGGCGAAGTTTGGTGAGAAGAGCGGGCTGAGAATTTCTCCACGGCTGTGATAGACACACCGCTCCCACCTTCTCTTTGGTCTTTTATTCACCTCATCGGAGGTTTTACTTCTTGGACCTATCTGAAACAATGGACATACATGTGAATTTCCACTAGCATCTTTTTTCAGCCGCCATGTCATCATTTTGACCCCTCAATCGTCACCCGTTGTTTATCTTATCTACTCTGCACGCGATCTATTTGTTTAGCGCTATACGCGAGGATTCAACTCAATTGTTAGGTTGCTGATAGTTAACGAGCGATAATAAACTAGGATAGCATCACATAATTATGCATTGGCCTCGCTGGCACTGTTCCAGATAGGTCACGTCGTCAGAGGTGTTGGTGAACTCGCCTGGTTGGCGCTTGGCCCCTTCAATCTTAATATCTTGCTCGCCTTCAGCATGCCACCATCGCAGACGCTGGACCTTGATAGACTGAATTTCTTGACATTCAATTTCCCACTTGCCTCCGCTGACAGCAACGGCGGTGCTCGTTTCAGGAAAATGGAAGTCAGGGAGGTATATCTCAGTCGGTGTGTCAGTGGCAGTAGCCATATTAGCGGTCAAACTCATGGTAAATGTGCAATTCTGGAGATCAAACACGTGGCTTTCAAGGTTTCCGTTGACGTATATAGGACTTGGCCGAATGTATGCCTGCGCGGCACGGTAGCCCTTTGGTGGTGGAGCGGAGTCACTGGACATCGAAGGGGATACAAGAGCCCGCTTGAGATTGCGTGGCTCAACCTGTGATTCCTCTGCACTACTGTGGCTTTCAGAGTAGGCTGGAGATTGGGTATCGATTGAGCGAAGTGTCCCACCACATGGTAATTCTAAATCGTCATGGGAAAGGATGGACAAGTCTTCCCCGTTCCATTGGTCTCCCCATTCATGATTGTTCTGACACAAATTAGCTGGATGAAAATTGAATTTGAGCGGGATACAAACCTCAGTTTCGTACACCCACAAGGTAAATCCATTGGATGTGCTACCCTCCAAGGCAAAGTGGTTGGCATCCATGGCACTTGTCTGGCTGCTGTAGTCACCAGTCTGGTAGGCATGCTTATCGTCCATGTCATATGGAATGCCGATTTCAGTGAAAAGGAGGGGATGATTCCCCATGTAGTTCAAGCTCTCGTCTCGGAGGAATTTGAGTTGATCACGCAGACAATTTCGGATGGCTGTCTCACCAATCTTGACTGCAAAGGCTGGAGCCCAATATTTGCCACGAAGGACACCGATAACGTCAACGTTGTAAAGTCGGTTCCTATCACGATTAGCCTGGATAAGTCCAAAAAGAAACAAAGACCAACCAATGCTTAGTCAAAAGAGTCAACCCGTCATAGTAATGGACCGCATGAACCATGTTGGGATCGTCATCGACTGTTCCCTTCAGGTCTGGGGGAAGCTCCATAACAGGCGGCTGGCATAGCAGGATGGCCTCTGGCCAAACATCCCGAATGGCATCTCGATATGAACGATAATGATTCAAGAAATAGGTGTTGGTAAATATCTCATAATTCAGTTTGTCACCAGTCTGGGGAACCTTTGAGAAATAGTCCTTCTGCAACAACGTATCTGTGTTTGGATCCCAAATTCCATGCTGAGCCCAGATACATTCACCAAGTTTCCAATCAGAATCACGTTTCCAACCATATTTGGTGTCATCATGATCGGCTGGCAGCCAGGCACTTTCACCCACAGGGTCAACAAGCTTTGAACCAGTTTGGTGCGGACCAAAGCCGCCAAAGGCCCATGTTGTTACTTCACAAGCGCGCCCAGAACCTGTGAGCATAGCCTGGAAGGCGGTTGGGGATGTTCCAAGCTGAAGCTGTTGTTCGGCTGGGACGGCAGAGATATCTTGGAAACCCACGAGACCACGGTGAGGCTCATTCATGCTTTCCCAGCCAATGACCACATCATGTTCCAGATCACCAGCTTCATGAATCCTCTGAGCCAGGTACTTGCAAGCCGCAATGAAGTGGCTCTGCAAATAATCCTGGATGTTCACGCCATCGATGACAGCTTTAGGTGCAAAGTCTCGTCCTGCCCAGAACAGTGTGAACATGGTCTGACAGACAAGACGCGCATAGTTGGTACTCCAAATCATCTTCGGAAACTGGGAAGGATCATCATAAGTGTTTTGGACAAGAGCTGCTTCGGTCTTCTTGAAAGCCTTGGGGTTCAACCCTGCAGCGTAAAGTGTCCACATTGGGGCTCCGGACCCTCCGGACAATCGTGACCACTTGGCAATGTTAGTAGCCACCAACGCAAATGAGAGATGCATCACTTACCACATCCTGATGCGGATCCATGAACACATAGAATTCATATTGCTTGGCTATTCTGAGGATCTCGATGGTAAACGCGATCCACTCCTGATCATACATGCCTGGTCCCGCATGCTCGATAGCCTCCCAGGTAAAGATGTATCGGATTGCATTATAGCCCCACTTACGCAGCCTTTTAAAGTGCGTGTGAGCCTCTCCCAAGGAGAATGGCCGTCCCACAAACGAGACGTCGTCGGCATCGAAAAACTTGTCGGACACGAAGGAGGGGACATCAGGAGACTTAGGGTATTTAGCGTCGCCGGCGACGTTGATGCCTCTCAAAATAATCTCCCTGTTTTGGGGATCACGAAACGACTTCCCATCAACGTGAAGACGTAGTGCACCCATCGTGGACGTTATCACAGGGCAGGCAATGGACAGGCTTCAGTTGGGTGCTTTGGGGCAATCGGGTCGATGCTAAAGAGCAGGATCGGAGTCGAGGACTCCGAGCAAACAGCTTGAAGCCCTAAAGACTCGTGGATTCAGGTCAGCGGCCAAAAGTCGTTCAAGGATCTCGACTGGTAGGCTCGATAAGCTGTAGGTTAACCCCGGAGCGGTCAGCTGCCAGCGAAGTCGGCACCAAACAGTGATCAGGGACAGGTAAATGAACACGTGCCACCAATGCAGACAGATGGTCGGACTTATACACTTTCTAAATCGGTCGCAATGAGCTGCACGTTCAATAAGAAGAAGGGTGAAGCTGGGGATGATAGACGATAGCGATAAGGTGACGTATCGGCGCTAACCGATAACCGCCCAGCTCCACCACACGAGAACCTCCCCGCTTCAAGCTTAAAGGCGCGCACGGGGATCATGTCGAGTAAGGCCGCCTTGAAAGCTGTGCGAACAGCCTTGGATTCCAAGGACTTTGCAGCTGCTGCTGAGAAAGCAAAAGCTCTCGTCCAACAGGATCCCAAGAACTACCATGCGTATGTTTGAGCCTTCCTCCAGCCTGGCCGTCCTAATTCATTCTTTCAGCAACGTGTTTCTCGGCTTAGCATATGACAAATTGAACCACAGCGATGATTCGGAACAGGCGTACCTTGCAGCTACTCGAATTAAGCCCGATGATCGCACCGCCTGGCAGGGCCTGATTACCTTGTACGACAGACTTGGCGGTCCCAAGCTGGGGGCCTATCGTGAGGCCATCATCAAGCTCGGCCAGATTCTTGCAGATTGGTTGGTCCAACTTACGAGGCTATGGAGCTACTGGCTAACACGTTGTGCAGTGACGAACAAGGACGTTGTCAAGATATTGTGGACAAGTACACGAGTTTGGCACGGAAAAGCGGCACCAAAGCCCAGTACAAGAGCGCTCTTGAGCTCCATCTTCCCAGCAGTCCATTGTACAGCTTCCTCGAAGGTCGACTCCCGCATCCCGCTCACACCTACCTCCGTTTGGTCGAAATCACCGAGGCCGAAGAGAAAGAATACATCAATCACGAGATTGCAGTTCGCAAGACGCGTCTTGGTGCAAAGAAGGACCAGGTCACATTGGAGGTAAAGCGGGAAGCCTTCAAGAAGTATGGTTTGGCCGATCTTTATCGAGGTTTGATTGATTGGACCAATGACGACGAAGTTCGACGTGAATACGAGGAGAAGCTGCTACAACGCGCATGCGATGAGCTCGAGGTTGCCTCTTCAGGTGAAAAAGGTGCCAAACGGGGCGTGGCACTCCAACTAGCCCGTGATATGGTCATCATAAAGCACCCTTTCGAGCTTGCTTGGACAGTTTTTCTCGAGTGGCAGGATGTCGAAAGCTACAAGCAATGGGATGTTGGGATCCTTCGGGAGTTCATTGAATTCTTCCCGGACAATGGTCTTGCCAAGGTTCTCAAAGGATTCCTTGCGAGTGAAATCTCGCCATTTGAGAAGGAGGAGTCAGCAGAGGAGGACCTTGACTCTGCATCCGTCAGCAAAGACACCGATATCACTGATGGTACTGGCGATGTTGCCGCCCAGGAACGATTGATCCTGATGGCCGAAGGACTCGATATGGCTCCCTCCTCGCCCATTGCTCATCGTATCATGGCTGACCTGTACCTCATGTTGGAAGAGTACGAAAGCACCGTTGACGTGACCCGGAAGGGTCTGTTTAATGTCAATGAGCTTATCAAAAGCACTGGCGCAAAACTCACTCATATTCGCGATGCCTTGAATGTTTCTCTTGCCAACTCTCTTATCTACCACCAGTCCCCTCGCTATCACCCAGAGGCCAAGGGGATTTTCGAAGACATCTTGAAGAGGAAGCCCAAATCTACGATTTGTCTCCTCGGTATTGGCTTGGTTCTGAAGGTTGATGAAGACTATCCAGATGCAGTCAGCTTCCTGGAACGTGCCTTGGCGCGCGATCCTTCGAACATCAAGATCCGTGGTGAGCTGTATTGGTGCAAAGCGCTGAATGGCGACCTGGGGGGAGGTTTGGACGGTCTCCAAGACTCTCTTGCAAGTCTAGAGGAAGAGCAGCCTCAGAACAAGACCTTCAAGTCAGAACTCCTATATCGTATTGGCTATTGTCAATGGGAGCTCGATCCTTCTCTAGCTGCCAGGAAAGATCGAAATGGCGCCTATGCAAACTTCCTTGGGTCCATCAAAGCAAACATGAATTTTGCACCAGCCTACAGCTACCTTGGCTTTTACTACGCGGACTACAAGAAGGATAAGATCAGAGCACGCAGGTGTTTCCACAAGGCATTCGAACTCTCCGCGTCCGAGACAGAAGCCGCCGAACGCCTTGCTAAGGGATTCGCCGACCAGAAGGAGTGGGATCTCGTGGAGGTGGTTTCACAACGAGTTGTCGACTCGGGCAAGGCTAAGCCTGCGCCAGGTTCCAAGCGCAAGGGCTACAGCTGGCCGTACGCGGCACTCGGTACAGTGCAGATCAACAAGCAGCAATATCCCAAGAGCATCGTCTCATTCCAGGCGGCTCTTCGGATTTCGCCTGAAGATTATCACTCCTGGGTTGGTCTTGCTGAAAGCTACCATCACTCTGGTCGATTCGTTGCTGCTACGAAGGCATTCGAGCATGCACGAACCCTAGAGGCCAACCTTTCCAGCGACGAGCAAGAGCAAATCTGGTTTGCACGGTACATGCTTGCGAACGTGAAGAGAGAACTGGGTGAATACGACGACGCTATCGCTAGTTACGAAGAGGTCCTGGCCACCCGACCTAATGATGTTGGTGTGACCATTGCCCTTCTCCAAACACTAACCGAAAGTTCATGGAAGAGCTTGGATCATGGCCTTTTCAACCAGGCCGCCGAGCTTGCTTGCCAGGTCATTAAAGTGGCTGGTTCACTCGTTAATATCCGAAGTGACATTTTCAATTTGTGGAAGGCTGTTGGCGATGCTTGTGCAAACTTCTCCTATATCAAGAAGAAGGTAGATAAGCTGTCTCTGACTGACTGCAAGGCTTTGTTGTCTACCGAATTGGATCCAGTTGCCCTTGATATCATGACTGATGCTGATGGAGTGGGTATGAACTGTCTTGAGTCTAGTGATGTGCAAGATGTTGCTCCGTCTGATTCCTGTCTATATCTATCTATTCTGGCATACAAGCGTGCGATCCATGTCTCTTTGCAAGACATCCATGCCCAGGCTGTGGCATGGTACAACCTTGGCTGGGCGGAATATCGGGCCTACCGAAGCAAGAAGTCGCGCAAATTCTTGAAGACGGCAATGCGGTGCTTCAAGAGAGCCATTGAGCTCGAGGCCGGCAACTCGGAGTTCTGGAACTCGCTCGGTGTTGTCACTACCAGCATGAGTCCCAAGGTGGCGCAGCACGCTTTTGTGCGTAGTTTGCATCTGAATGACAGAAGTGCTCAGGTGTGGACCAACTTGGGAGCGCTTTATCTCCTTCATAACGATATTCAGCTTGCCAATGAGGCTTTTACCCGTGCTCAGTCGACTGACCCAGACTACTCGCAAGCTTGGGTTGGCCAAGGATTCCTTGCACTTCTCTTCGGAGATCCCAAGGAGGCACGGGGTCTCTTTGAGCACGCATTCGACATCTCTAACTCCTCCGTCATGCTTCCTAAGCGTCAGTACTCGGTCACCCTTTTCGACCATCTGCTCTCTGACCCGAGGTCGTCTAATGAGGTCTCCGAGCTCATTCAGCCATTCTTCGCCCTCCATCAGCTGTGTATTCAGGACCCTTCGGACCTTCCATTTATGCATCTTTCTTCATTGCTCGCAGAGCGAATGGGTGAAACTGCCGACGCCGAGTCTAGTCTGGAGGTTGTCTGCTCTGGCATGGAGGCGGAGTTCGAAGAGTCTGAATCTCCTGCCTCGCTTTCAAAGTTCGCACAGGCTAACGCAGATATGGCTCGCGCTCTGCTCGCACGTCATGAGTTCGAGCAGGCCGCAGAGAAGGCCGAGCTTGCGCTGACCCTCTCTGGAGAGGAAGATGCTGAGAAGTTCGATCCTGAGGCATGCAGCAAGCTCCGTGTCTCGGCACACTTAACCGCCGGTCTCGCATACTACTACACACAATCAATGGATCAGGCCATTGATATGTTCCGCGATGCTCTTCAGGAAGCAAACAACGCCCCTGACGTGGTGTGTCTCCTTGCTCAGGTCCTCTGGGCCAAGGGCGGCGAAGAGGAACGGTCAGTTGCACGCCAGCAGCTCTTCGACTGCGTGGAGAACCACCCCGACCACATTGGGGCCATCACGCTTCTTGGAGCCATCGCACTCCTTGACTCGGACAGGGACGCCATCGAGGCCGTCCAGTCAGATCTTCACAATATGATCACACGGGATGACATCGACATCCATGACCGTGCCAAGCTTCTCAAGCTCCTTTCTGCAATCTCAACGATGGGATTCACCAACGATGCTGCCCTTTCTGAGGACATGCGCCAGATTGGAGAAGCCACTGCAGCCGTTATGCTGTCTCCAGGCCAGCCACAGGGCTGGATGGAGTTATCCGATGCTTCGGAGAACCCGTACCCGGGTGAGATGGCCATTCAACGGGCTTTGCGCTGTGTGCCTCCGCATAGCAACCTCGAGGCTGCCCATCTCAGTCAGGCTTATTCTCAGACAAGCAAGACTGGAGACGCTTTCCGTGCTATCATGGTTGCGCCGTGGAGACGCGACGGGTGGGAACAGCTAGAGCATAACTTGTCCAGTCAGGCATAGTCAGCTTGTTGTATCATTTCTGAAAAAAAATGGGGATAAATGCAGTATACAGCTGCGAGACATAGATTAAAGAAGATAGAGAAATAGTGCATACCTGATAAGTCCATGTCTATCGTAAGACAGTAAAAGAGTAAGCATTTGTATGCATTTCGCCATACAAGGCGTTTCACTCTCAACCGCACTGCAATCATTCATTTTGCATCGCGGTAATTCTTTCCAGCAATCGTGCCTTCCGACCCTCCTTCCACGGTTTATCAAGCGCCTCAATCTTCCCACCAAGGAAATCAACACTCGCAGGGTTCAATAGAATCATTCCCCTTGCAACCGTAGCATTGCGAAGCACTAATTTAGCACCTATGGAAAGCTTTTCCAGAGAAATTCCTTCAATGCGCTGCATTTCGATCGCCACTGCCTTGGTACCTGCCGCATCTTGAAGTATCAATCGATGCGGTCCATACCCACTACTCCCCGAGGCGTTCGGAGCTGCAGAGTTGCCATTATTGTTGGCACTGCTATTCTCCTGTGCTTCCTGGTCTTCGCCGACAGCTACTGTGCGCACAATTTCGCGACCTCGAATAGCTTCTCCGCGCTCGACGCGTTCGATTGCCTCGACCTGGCTCCAGAGACTCGTGCCGATGTCTTCAATGTCGAGAATTTGAACGGGAATTGGGCCTGAGAGACGTCTTTCTTGAACAGTCGGGTCGTAGATATCAACAGGCAATCGTGAAGACGAATTGGTCAACAGAGACCCCCTGAAATCGGACGCGAGTACGCGGAACAAAGCTGTCTTGGTGAGTGCCGAGGTAGGGATATTTCGCTGCGTCTGTCCAGACGACGCCAGGACCGCAGTGAGCCACGAAGGAGATACAGGAAGAGCCTTCGTGCTCTGAATCTGCGCTGCAATCTGATCCGCGCTCATCGTATCTGTGAATGTTGTTAAAAGAGTGTAAAAGCGGAAACAGCTCGTAGCTCCACAGCACGGACCACCGCTTAACGGCGTTGACCTGGCCTCGCGCATCCCATCCCATTCCCTCCACAGCGCCACCATGTCAACGCTTTCCTCTCCTCGCCCATCCATCGCTTCGTCGCGTGCACACTCACCAACTCCCGCATCGTCCCGTCCCTCCCTCGATGCATTGAACACAAACCTGGGGCCGAGCCTGAGCGCTTCCTCGACCCCATCCACCGCGCGAGCCATCTCGCCCAACCCACGCCGCAACCGCTCCGCTCTACGAGACTACTATAACCTCAAACCTCCGGGCCTAGACGCACTCGGTCCAGGTGACGCCCGACGGTCACGCAGTGTCCCGCGCAATACGGATGCAGGAGATATTTCCAACCCGTCTATACTGGCCTCAGGGACGGAGCTGGATAGCGCGGACTTCGACCCCCAGCGGTATGTGGATACTCTATTATCCACGTCGTCATTAAATACGATCTTGAAGGCGGAAAATACCTTGGTTGGAGACGTCCGCACGCTGGACGGAGAGCGCAAAGCGCTCGTCTACGATAATTACTCCAAGTTGATTCGCGCCGTCGAGACAATTGGCAAAATGCGTCGCAGTATGGATGAGCGCGGCGCACCGTTGACTATGACGAAGACGCTTGGTCCTGCTATTGCCTTTGTGGCGGAGACGGCGGGTGGGTTGATCAAGGAGGGGGAGGAAATGAGGAAGCAGATCAAAGAGGCGAGGGGGGAGGAACCGAATAAGGCACAGAAAGATACAGTGCGGTGGGTGCTTTCTGCGCCACAGAGGTTGGAGAAGCTTCTTGAGGAAGAGAAGAGGGAGGATGCGGAGGAGGATTGGAAGGAGGTCAAGCAATTACTTGATGCTTGGGGTCAAGTTCAAGGTGTTGCTGAGGTTCGGGAGGCTTGTGAAAAGGTCATGGCCGAGCAAAAAGGCGACGATTGAGCTTTTCTTAAGAGAGCTTTGATCATGTCAACCTCAACTGGAGCTGTTATGGTAGGAGTCATTGTAAATAGAGATACCCAAAACATTCATCATCATGGCATATTACATATCAGTGCGTCATACTTCATGAATCATAGTAGTCATAAATTCAGACGCCTTGGCATATTCACATCTTCCCGGAAAGCACATCTCGACTAGAAAACAAGCTCGCCTTCAGCCCATAGTCATTCTTCGACTTGATATCCAGATACGTATAAGCATCGCACTTGTAATAAATGGGCCTTAACTCCTCATCTACCAACCCCATCGCAACGAGTGTCTTCAAGACACGCTTAACATCCTCTTTGTCCGAGAAGTCGCGCGTGTAGACACAGAGTAACCGTGCTTGTCCTGAGCCATCATTTGTAGCAACCTTTGCTGCATCGCCTAGCTTGCCTTCATCCATTGCCGTAACGACTGTCTTCCAGGTTGCATCGACTTCCTTCTCTGACGGAAAAAACATCCATTTACCCGACGTAACGCTTGTTTCCTTGGCTAAATCAAGGATACTCTGTTCCAGAGTCCGGCGGATAGGATTCAATTTACGGGTCAGAGCAGCGGTGGTTTTTGCGCCGGATTTATCATGTGCAGCGCGGAGTGTTGAGCTCTCCTCTTCATATGCTTCTAGAAGTTCGGTTCCTTTTCGCGTAAAGACTGGGAAATTACCTCCTTCTGTAGCATGGGGCGTTGGTCCCCACATCCAAATCCAAGGTCCTGCTTCTGTGACATGTGTTGTGGAGGGTGGGAGGCGTGACAAAAAGGAGGATATGGATTCTTTGGGTCCGCGACGGTCCTTGGCTCCGAGTGTGGGCGTCGGTGCATTGTCTTGGGGCATTGGCTCAGTTTTTATTTGTGTAGACGGAGCTTGTAATTCATGCTGTGTTGTGGAGAGGAGCCTGGGGTGAATCTCTGACCAGAAAGGCTCGGGGTCGTAGGTCGCTGCTAGATGCTCGAGGCGCGCTTGTTCGTCGTCATCGCCTGCTTCAGGTTAGTTGGTGATGCCGCGGGGTTGGAAAGTGTACTTGCCGTAGAAGCTGGAGTCATCGGAGAGGATATCGAGTTGTGTTGCACTTGACATGATGGGGTTCGTTTGTTGGAAGCTGTTGAGAAAGAGAGAGCATCTGGTGCCTGCTCGATAAGAGATGGAGCTTATCGGTGTGGGGAAACTATGCACTGCACCAAAGACGTGATCCTCCTCACCTGCTATTAGATCCTTTGACATGGCTCCGGAATGTAAAACATCTAGAGAGGGCTTTTTAAGGTTTCTTTTCTTTGGTCGTGTTTTCGAAATACGTACATTCATTCATACTCTTTGTATCTTCAACGGGCACTTTTACATATTTTGAACGCTTTGACGCCATTTTCATTGTTTAATTGTTTCTAGTTTTTCTAAGTTTTTCCTCTGCTTTTCTTTATACAGACCTCTTGAACAACTAAACTGATAAAATAGCAAGCTCAAAGATAGATGTCGGACTATAGGAATTTTAACGGCGAGGCGGGCAACACGACGACGGAAGGCAGTTATCCTCGTTCTCATCTTCTTCCCCCTCCTCCTGAGCAACAATCTCCATATCAAACCTGATGCTCAACATGTAGAGGCCCCCTGTACAGTAATACGCGAGATGCGTCGAGTGCCCGGCTCAAAGGCACCGAGTACAAGGGCTGCAACAAGTTTTCCACACTTAGTGCCTAGCAACCCCTGATAACTCCCACGTCCTATAAGTATAAGTATCATATCAAGAAAGGCGAGTCTCCTTTGTATACAGGTAATTTGTGCAAGAATTCCAAGGTATCTCTGTTCGGGATCTCGTGAACATATACAATTCGAAGCGTGTCATTAGGGAAGTCTCTCGCGTACACAGCGTGCGAAACAACTGACGAACGCGGAGGAGGAGGAGGAGGAGGGAGGGAAGATCGCCGCTTCGAGCTGCCTGAATAAAAAGCATGCCCTCTCTTCCTCGTCCTTCTCAATAAATAAAGTCCTCGGGGGTATTTACCTCTAGCTAGCTCTCTCGCGGTAAATAGCATCGTTCATACCTGGCTTAGCTCTGGACAATTCAATGGCGACAGCGGCGTCATGAACACCATCACGCCATTGGCGGAGATTTAAGTGCGCTTTTTCCTCCTTCCAAGGAGTGCTGTGTTTCATTTTCCATTCGAGGCATTGAAGCTCTCTCGTGGTTGGGTTGCATCTGGACATAGAGCATGGAGTATCGGATGGGAGTGGAGTATTAGAAAGCGGTCGCTGGCGTCAAGCACCCTAATCCTCATAATTCGACATAGCGCGATCGGGGCCATAGCTCGATGATGCTGAGCTCGAAGAAGAGCTAGATGAGTGTGTGTGGGTCTAGTTAGATATGTACTCAGCATATAAATAAGGTGATATCTTTGTTAGCTTTCAGTATTAGTGGGACCTTGAATGTCCGAACACTTGAAAATTAGAACCATCTGCTTGGAGGAGGAGGAACCGAGGAACCGAATGGTGCTTAATATACCTCAAGTCGAACAAAGAAGTACATGCATACTTTTCCCGAGTTTCACACTCATCACCAAGATCTAGTATTGAAAATCAATAAACATTCGATAACATGATACAGCGGGACAGGGATAAACAACGAATTAGAAGTTCTCGGATATTTCTAATATTGTTATCTCAACTATCTTCACATTTTATTACACCAGAAAGATAGGTAACATTTAATGGGTTTGAATTCATCACTCTCATCTGGCAAGTATAAAACATATTATAGTAGCTCCGTAACTGAGAGAGGACAACTGATACAATTTTAGCCGTCAATCAAGCCCGTCACGCTCTTGCTCCTGGAAGCGGTGATAGAAGTGTTTCTCGGATGGTTATCAATCAGCATTACCACCAATTCTCCTAGATCAGCACCCCAGAGAGAAATTTCTTTTTTTTTTCAATATTGCTCTACGCTTTAGTTTATTCTTTGGGTTAGCATTGCCCTTCAAATGGGAATGACCCTTATACTGTCTTCCCTGGAGTACATTATTGATTGAGCATAGGTAAAATTGTACACAAGAGGAGAATTTCATGGCCCGCAACTCGCCTACCGAGGATTATCTCAAGGGAAAGGAAAAGACTTGAAGAAAGCAAAGCAAAGTAAAAAAAAATTCCATTTTAGTGGCAGGTTATTCGCGACTAATGGGGTAAAGCAGCAGTGATTACTCACCACCAGTGATACCTAGCCACACCTTTTGCACAAACTCGGTCAGGTCAGACTTCAATTCTTCGGGCTGCTCGAGTGCTGCAAAATGGCCGCCCTGATTGATAGAATTTCAGTTAATGCCCGCCTCAAAGATACTACTATCAACCTTACCTTGTCATGCTGTCCCCAGTAGACTAAATTTCCGGTAGACTCTATCCACGAGCGAGGAAGACGAGCCAGCTCCATAGGGAAGGAGGAGAATCCGAGCGGCTTCTTGATGTACCATCGAGGAGTATTGGTAACTGGGATTGGGGGAGGTGGGAAGTTCTGTGGATTCTGATTGTTAGCGTTTTCTTGGTGATTAATTCATCAATCGGTAGTACACACCTGGCGATAGGTATAGATCGACCGAGGGAAAGTATCGGTAAGCCAGTAAAGCGTAATTGACTCAAGAATATGATCCGGGGGTAATGGATCATCTACCCATTCGAGAAACTTTTCGCCGACCCTGTATAGTTGGTTACCATGGTGTTTTCAATATTTTTGCCATTCGTGTCTTACCATGCCAGAAGGGCCATAGGGTTTGATGAAATAACGTGACCGATGGTGCTGGGCCGAGTGCCATGCTCAGTCGAATAGCCACTTCCCATCGTCCTGAAATTATTCATTCGCTCGATGCCTTCTCTTTCATAGGAATCTAGAGCATCATCAGTCATTCCATCGGGGCGACCCATAAATGTTACGTTGACTGTTTCGTGTAAGCAACACTTCCATTTCCTTGCATATTGGAGGCCTGTAACACTCACGATGGACGGCTAGGAGGAAGTTAGTAAGTAGTAAGAATGTGGGACGTGAAAATTCAATGCATACCTTTGCAGCTTTCATAATCCACTGCCAAGGATCTGGCAATTCGACTCCCAATGTCACCACCCTGGGCCACATAACCGCTTTCGAAGCCAAGATCTTTCATGAGTTGATCAAAGATACGAGAAATATCCGCAGTAGAAAAGTTCTTATCTAGCGGAGGGCCAGACGAAAATGTGTAGCCCGGTAGTGAAGGAACAATCAGGTGGTATGGCAAAGTACTCGGTGTATACTCTTTCTGGAACAGCTCAAGGATGGGGAGGAACTCCAGGAAACTTCCTGTAGAACAAATAAGTCACCAATCACAAGCTGATGTAAGAGTGTTATCTCACCAGGCCATCCATGAATTAAAAGAATAGGAATCGCGTCCTTCTTTTCCGAGAAAAGTCCAACAAAGTGAATTGTCATCCCCTCAATCTCCGTCGTCCACTGAGGAAAACTATTGATTCGATCCTCGGATGTCTTCCTATAACGCGGACGTTAGCATCTAGTTGAATGCGGGGCCAAGCACCTCTCAAAAACTCCAATACCATTTATAAGAGCGGAGCCACAGCTCTCTCATTGTGACCAGCCAGTGTGTCGTGATCCCGTAGCGACAATCCGTTTGCGAGTTCTCATATGTAGGCGGGGCAAGCTTCGCCAGCCTAATAAGAGTCTCCATCTCAGTCAGCCGACCCTTAGGGATGGCGACTTCGAAGGCGGTAGGCTCTACTCTCGCCGTAGAGGGCAGCGTACTAAATGGCTTCGACATGATGTGGATCACAGAGCTGAGGATTCGGGGGACGCGTGCCGGGTATTTAACACGGGTTTCGTTTTTGGAACTCTAGGCAGAATGGGGCTACAAGGGTCCTAGCTCACCGGGACGGCTTCTAAGTCAAAGTCATGTGCTCGTGCGGGGAAACTTTGCGCGCGTCGATCGAAGACGCGTGAGATCGGAAGTGGCTGTGAGAATCAAATGAAATAGGGTCTAATCGTGCGATATAGTGTCGTCATAGCGGACTTTCGGTGGGCTGAGGCCGTGGGCAGCTTTTAGTGTAACACGGGCCCTATGTAACACCCATGTTTGAAACTACTGAAGCATGTTATGGCAATACTTACATGTTGGAGAAAATAAAGGGAGATGGCATGTAGAAGGCACATCGACTAGTTGCCATTTGACGTTTTACTCCTGCGTTGGTGGAGATTCACCGCCCCACTTTGGCTCCATACACATTTTTTTGGGTCGACAACCAATTCAAACACCAATGCAGCCTTGGGTCCCAGCACGAACATTGGTTGTATTGCCTTCTTTCTCTACATTCCTTCTGAGTCTCGCTTTTGAGGTGCACAAACTTGAATTGCCGTCTATTCTCGTGATATAAATCTGAAGATCATCTTCAACTCCAGACCCCCCCCCCCATCATTCATTGATTTCATATAAATCAAGCTCCAAAGAGCTAACAGCCGCGAAAATGGCCGAGAATATGCAGCATCCCAAATCAGCTATAACAGTCTTCTTAGACCAACCGCCAAGCTGCCTCGAGTTCTGTCCCGAGATCCCAGACCATTTCGTGGTCGGCACCTATCTCCTATCAGAAACGAAGAAGGACAATGGAGAGATCCAACAAAGCAAGACCGGAAGTGTGCAGCTCTGGAAATTGGATCCAATCACGGACACATTGTGAGTGACAAATTATCCGTTACTCTCCTTGAAAAGAGCCTCACTAACAAACACCAGAACCCAAGTCCAGAGACTAGTACTACCATACGCCGTCTTCGATCTCCATTTCCACCCCAGAGATAGGAGCAAGTTCGCTATTGCTAGCAGCACAGGAGCAGTCGCACTATTCAGCGTCACCACGGAATCTACACAGCCAACTATCAATCAAATCTGGACAAAACAAGTCCACGAGGATTCCTCCATCCCAGCACTCTTTCTCGCTTGGACTCCAGAGAACTGGTTCTCTCAGACCAAGACAGATGGGTTCGCGGTCACCTTCTCCGATAGCCGGACAGTAGTCTTCGGCACGGAAGGCGATCTCTCCGAGGTTGACAAGATCACAGAATGGGGTGCATTCGAAGCCAAACAGATGATTGAGGTCTGGTTTGTAGCGCTGGCTGCCATGCAGGGAGAAACAACCGAGAAAAAGGATATCATTCCTTTTATGTTCACGGGGAATGACTTTGGATCGTTACACACACGCCGATTCGAACAACATGGGATGGAACCGCGGGATCCTGAAGAGCCACTTGCGCCGATGCTACTTGAGCACGATGATCGGGCTCGTCATCACACAGCCGGCGTGACGAGTATTTTGCCGCTTCCTGTTCCGATGGTGGATGATGCTCCTGTTCTGTTGACTGGGAGCTATGATGAGGGCGTGCGGGTGTACCATGCTACTCGACGTGGAGAGGTGCTCGCTGAGGAGGGACTTGGTGGCGGTGTGTGGCGGCTTCAACTGCTGAACTCGACGGAAACCGGCACTGCTAACTCGGGGTCTGTGGACAGACGCTTCTTGGTGCTGGCGAGTTGCATGCATGCTGGAACTCGAGTTGTGCGAGTTACTCAGACGCAGCAGGATCAGAGTTCTGAGTGGAGTATTGAGGTGCTGGCGGACTTTACGGAGCATGAGAGTATGAATTATGCCAGTGATGTGTGGAAGGGCTCTAAGGCCGAGACGACTGATGCATCGGAGCTGGTTTGCGTGTCTAGCAGCTTCTACGACCGTCGCATGTGTGTCTGGAGAGTCCAATTATAGCATGAGATCAAGTTCCTACGAAATGCAAATACACCAAATCTCTAGGCATGAGTGTTGTCATAAACCGGCTAGGTCAAATCACAATGCAATAGCGACAGGTATACAAGTACATCCGCACCCGAGGACCGATACCAAGAAAAATGAGTAACTATTCGTATCTAGTAAGAAACCGCAGTGCGGCAATTAAACAATCGTCTCCAGTTCCCGAGCGTAGCCCAGTGTATTCTCGATAACTGTGCCACTGGCCACCAGGATATCCCTCTCAGACCGTGTGGCCGCCTCGGGCTCAACAGGGAAGTATATCCGTCCATCGCGGAGAATCCAGCCGCGCTGCTGGGCAAACTCAATAACCGCACCTTCGGACTCCAGGAAGAGAAGATTCTTGGCGTTCGAAATGGGAAGGGAGGGATAGGCCTTCTCCGAGCAGTCGGCGATTTCGCTGCGGATGGTGCCAATTAGAACCTAAGAAGAGGCAAATTTAGTATCAATCTGTACAAGAGCTGTAATTCGAGTAATGGCAGGCGCAAACTCACGTTTGAGAACAGACCAAAGTCCTCGGAAGGCACACGTTCGGACTTCGTCTCCCTCCACACCTTATCATAGCTTCCCTCCATCAAGTTGCGCTCCAGCTCAACGGGGTATTTAATGTATGGGTTGTCTTCGACACGAGCGCCCTTCAAGCTGGCCTCTTCCACCAAGCCTTCAAGCACAGTGTGGAAGTTGGCGCTATCACCCATGCTCAACAGCAGCAAGAGGTACAATCCTGTGATTTTGCTACGTTGGCTGGTTGTCGAGTCCACCTCGGACGAAGTCTGACCCGGCAAACCGGCATGTCGCTCAAGGTCGTAGAACGGCTGAAGTTGCTGGTAGTACCTTGTGAAGGTCTGCGCGTCGGTCTGTCGAATGGAGGCGATGGCGCCCAGCTCGAGAACTGTGCGGGCGAGAACGACAAGCTGGGGAGATGTGGAGGGGGTCGGGATCAGGGCATTTTGCAGGAGAAGGGCGCGCTTGGCTTTGCTGAGGAGGTCGTTGGCGGCATCCAGTTGCTTGTGCTCGAGAGCGTTTGTGAGCTGCGGAACGATGGTCTTGAGGTCGGCCATGGTGCAGGGATGTGAAAGAGAGGTATGGGAGAGATGAGATAACGCTAAGCAATAAGAGGAAGCCGAATGACTGCACCAGCGAGCAAGAGAGTATCGGAATGCCGAGTTGGATGATGAGAGATGGTGAAGGGCCATGACGGAGCTGCCGTAGGCGGTCAACATCGCTACACGTGACCCTAATAAATAGAGCTTCCAACGTGGTCGTCGAGCTTCTTCTCTAGCTACACCTATTTTACACGAAATCATTTTATTTCCAGAAAAAGGACCTTCATGACTACATAAATGACTTCCGTTGCACACAGTCGCTGTATCAATATGAATCTGAGGAAAGGACCAGCTCGGCTAAGGTTTGGAAGAAGGGCGTTCCCAATCCACTGACAGGATCCCATCCTTCCGTAGCATTCCAGCTTGCATAGGGAACATAAGGAACACTTATTCCCGTCTGGCTTAACCCGTAACACCCTCGGGATCCTCCATTTGTAATGTCCGTGAGCCCAGCCTTACCGATAGCATACAACCATGGATTGAGGAAACCCATCCGAGGCTTTCCTTGCGCAAGACGGAGTGAATTCAACTGAGACACAATGCCTGCGAATACTGGTCCCGCAGCGCTAAATGCTATCAGTAAACCGTAGATGTTATTATATTGGAAATACATACCTGGTTCCGCTTATTTTGAACCATGTCTTATGGTCGCGAATGAGAAAGTTCTTGGCCTGAGCTGCGACATCTGGGATTCCTCGGCCCTTCGGATTATACAGCCCCTTCCATTGATCGTTGTCTAAGCGTTCAAAATAGCCTTGTACTGCTTGATCCTGGTATGCGGGTCGAGGGAACAAATCGGAGAATCCACCCCCTGAGAAACCAGCGGCTCCTTCTGGGTTAATCCCGGATGTTCCACCGACCGAGGTAACGAATGGACAAGATGCTGGAAACCCTGGAATGAATTTGATTTTCTTGGATCCATCATTGCTCTGGCATGAACTTCCCACTCCGGAGTCCCCACTGCTGAAGATAACCGACACGCCTCGGGCGCCAAGTTGGGCAAAGAGACTACATACTGCACGTGCGTATGATGGAGGCACACTCTGCTCAGATTCTCCGTATGAAGTCGAAAGAACCGCTGGGAGCTGGTCACCTGGTAGATCGATGAGATAGTGCAGCTGTTCTAGGAAAGGCTCGTTTCCTGAGTTACTAGCATCCGGCTGGTCTGCATCAGGTACAAGAGGACCCCGACCACCCGTGCTGTAAAAAGTCGTCAATGTACCGTGTGCCATAGCAACAGCGTACTGAATATCCAGACTTGCCTCGGTGGCCATTTGAGGGGATTTCTCATCATTGATTCCGCTATTAATGGTGACCACTGTGAAATCATCCTCCATCTCACCTGTCAGGAACCTGTTTCTGAAGTGATTGAAATCACTGTGACGGGCATATTGGTTCAAAAATCCCGAGATACCCAATCGATTCCATGGAGAAGGTGTTGCTGTATGATCATTGAGACCATACAGCTCTCTGAGGCAGTCTGGTCGGATGACTGTTCCGCACTCTGCCTTTAGATCCTCTAGTGTGGCGATAATTGGTTGATCGATCGGTAAGGCGCTCAGTGGATTGAAATTGCCAAATCGCGTTGTTGGTTGAATCAATTGAACGTGAGGATGTATATCATTCGGCAAGGAGTAGCCAAGTGTTCGGAGAACCGTGCTATTCGCTGTGTGGTGATGGTAGTGAAAGTATTCTGTCTTCAACATATGCTCTGCTTGAGAAACAGGCGCTTTGAAAGAGACCCAGTTACCATTAATCTGAATGTCGTTGGAAGAGACGTTCTCTGAGTGTAGCCATGATAGAATCTGACAAGATACGATAGTGTCCGGTCGCAAAATCCTTTGTATCTCTTCTTGTTTCATATGCTGTCCGTAGTGCATGTGACCTGGTGTTGAAATATCGATCACATTTTGCTCGAAGGTGGTAGTACTTGGCTGAATTATAGCAAGGCGAAAGGTTAGGATGGTCGAAGGCAAAGGCTTGCTGCCTCTCAGCCATCCTGATGGCGGTCCCTCCAGCTGTTCCACTATTTGATAGCTGGAATTAATTGATAAGGCCCACTGAACAAGACAAAGAGTATGTATTAAGAGTTTCAGAATATAGATGGCGACGATCATGGTGTTTGTGCCAGCAGCTAGGCAGCACATAGGAGATATGAATTACTGGCAGCCTTCTTGTTAACGGATTGAACACCAGGCGATGACACAAAAATCGACACTTGGCCAGTAACTTAACTGGACAATAGGACGTCCGATTTGATTGCAGCAGAAAGTTCGACTACGAATCTATGAAAGAATCCCAAAAGCTGTTGTCAGATAACGGATGTTGTTGATTGGATGAACCGAGCATTCCCTTTTCAGATGTCAATAGGGCTCAATAGGAAAATTTTCTAAATTATTTTTCAAATTAGTCAGTGCGTAATCTTAGATTATCTCGACATTGCCGATAACAGATTCTACGTACAGTAGTCGTCTAATTCTAACACAAACTCTCACGGATATGACTTGATGCCGGTAGAAATGATCTATCATCTTAAGAATTATACCGTCATGTTCTTTAAAATCTCGTAGAATCGTGAGGCAGTTCTGCCGAACTACTACCTATCATGTCTTAAACAACCACATAGGGCGAATCTAAGAAGACTAGGTGCTATAGCAAGGCTGGGCGCTCTAAAAAGGCTGGTGGGGCTGACAACGCTGCCTGTTCTATTGGGGACAAGTTTATCAACTCTTTGATATTACCATACTCACTATAACGTCTAAATCTTGCTCATTTTGTCAGGCCCGGGAGAGCAAGTGATTTTCTCTCTACGAAACAGATCGCTCCGGATGTATATGCAGATACTTACCTTATGTGGCTCTACGATAAATAAAAAGCTTCCAAGCTAGCCCCTATTCATTTCCCGGTAAATCCATTCAGGAAAAGTTCAGTTTATAATAATACAAAAAGTAGAGAGTAAATCATGTACAGTGACCCATTCACTCTCGGTCTCCCCCGAACTCAAAGCGAAGGAATTGAGCTGCCTTTCTAAGACTAGGTATCCATGACATCAAATACATGATCACACGATTGGAAAGTGCAAATTTCTCGACGCCGCTGGCCTCAACAAAACAAACTGACTCGGCCAGTCTCACGCCAGTATAAATTCCCTCCAATGATTTTGGATCGTCAGTGGCCCACTGAAAGATAGCCCCAGTTTCACTTACAACCTTGAGGGGCGTCTCCACCACGCGCTTCAAAACTATTGTGCTGATGCATTCAAAAATCATCTCGCCATGCTTGAAACTTTGGCATAACTGCAACAAAAGGCCTTTTACTTCGTCTTCAAGGAGGTAGGACAAAAGCCCCTCCATAATTATAAGAACCGGCCTGTCGTTTGGAATATTTTTTATCCATGTGTGTTCAAGAACGTTGGCAGCAATCAGAGAATAATCCCGATCAGGTATTGATGTTGGTAAGACTTGTTTTCGGAGCTCGATGACTTTGGGCAGATCAATGTCAAACCAGCGTGAAGTATTTGTCCATGGAACACGTTGCATGCGACTATCAAGACCACATGCCAAGTGCACAACAGTCGCGCATGGGTGTTTCATTAAAAATGCCGTTGTCCATTTATCAAACTGGCTCGTCCGTAAACAGACGCCAGCGCACTGAAATGGTGTCATGGTCATCGCATCTTGGTCAAAACTGAGTTTGTCGATTGTGTTCTGGGCGTAGGGGTCGCCCAGAATAGCGTTTGATGAAACTGCGTCGGACGCGCGTGCTATTAGAGGTATAAAAAGCGTCTGTGCAACGCCGGAGAGATTTATTCGCGCTTTCGCGTGCTCTTGAGGCTGCCCGTTAAGGTCATGGCGAAGTTCGCTCTGGGTATGGCCTGGAGCCTCAGGTTGGCAAGTCTCAGTCATCTGGTCTGTCCAGCTTCTCTAAGGCGTTGGGTCTTGGAGAATCTGTTTGCCTTCAAGACTCAAGACATTCTTAGGACTCTTCGGCCGCAAGAAAGCAAACCAAGAGGCTTGTGCGGTGCCGAAAGTCCCCGCCCCTTATTAAAACGCGTAAGCACGAGATTCGAACTGAGCATGACGCCAACGAGCATTGCCTCATTCCAGATCCTCAATCTGGGGAAACTTGATTGTGAATAGACGTGATGGAGTCTTATCGTCAAATGCTCTAAAAATGGATCAAATTGGCAAGCGCTTACTGATAGTTGGATGTTGACCCACTTCACCGAATCACTCATCCAAGTGAACTTCCCGCCGCCTCACTATTCCACCATCTCAGATTCACCAACATGCCAAACACCTTAATCGTGCTACCGCGCCCGGGTGCGACTATTTCCGGTAAGGCACGGTCTATCCAAGCTCCATCCGAAGCTGCCTTCGTCGCAACTTTTGGGAGTCTGCTACCTGCAGCATCTTATATGCAAACCACCCACGGCAGAGCCGCATATTATGAGCTGTCCCCTTCATCTTCCGTACCTGCAGATTGCAAGAAGCCAATCACTCGCGTGATTTTCGTGCACGGTGTCCAGACACCTGCGATCGGCCTGCAGCCGTTGGCAAGCACCTTGTCTTCGCGTTTCCCATATGCTCAATGTGTACTTGTTGATCTGTGGGGCCACGGTCTTACGGAGACACCGGTTGTGCCTCACGATGCAACCCTCTTTCATTCATTGCTAGAGGCATTGTTGGGGCATCTTGGATGGGATAATGCTCATTTCGTGGGTTATTCGTTTGGTGGGTCGACAACGGCCTCTTTCGCGGCTGCCTACCCCGAACGGGTAGCGTCCATGGCGCTTGTTGCACCTGCTGGTCTACTCCGCTCTGCGCAATTTGACGACGTGGAGAAAAGTTACTTGCGTGGTGGCGAGGGAGTAGAGGACAACGCCCAAGAGTGGATCATGGAGTGGCTTAACGGAGGGAAATTAGTTGTTCCCTCGGATTGGAAGGAGAGGGTTCAACGAGGTGAAGTAGTCGCTGAGGCAGTTCGCAATTGGCAAATGAAGGAGCATGAAGGGCATCCTGCGAGTGTAGTGGGTATCTTCAGAGATGGTGGGGCTCTGGATAAACATGCCGACTTTGCTGAGGCGGCAAAGAAGGATATTCGGAATCTATGTGTCCTAGGAGAACTAGATGACATATGCAGCATGCAGGACTTGAACAGCATTGGGATGCACAATGTACATGTCGTTCCACAGGTGGGCCATGGAGTTGTTAGACAGGAGGTGGCAGAGGTTGCTCGACTCATCGAGGAGTTCTGGAACAACCTATAAATTTCAATCAATTCAGAATGAGATCCATGGATAGACTTCAAAGGTTGTATGGATCTATATATTCTGCAAGTACTTTCAATGTTTGCTCAGCTGCCTACAGCCCTATCGAGAAGATTGTCTAATGGGTCTACAACTTGCTTTTTACAATTCAACTGTTTCCTCTCAGCATTGTTTTGGGCATTTCCTTGAAGGTGTCCAAAACTGAAAGAGATTGTCCGAGGCGGTGGAATGTCTCAGCGGAACACCCTTGAGGGTGAGAGGGCTATTGTGGAATACTATGCACATCTGAGCAATTACAAGTTCGATCTGTCATGGAGTGTAGCATGTTTCGGCCGATTATACCAGGTGCCAAACTATAGTCAGTGTGCTCTTGGCCATTAAAAGTCAATATCAAGTGGGCTGAATCTCATCAAGGCGAATCCAGCCAACGAAGTTGATGAATAATGGCATCCTAAGATCGAACAGTGTCGTTAAACGTTGATGCCTTGGCGCCTGATATATTGATGTGGATCATTGAAATTCCGAGTGCCGAGATGCGGGATGATCGACGTCACTGAGTAGCGTGCGCAATCGCCAGTGAAAGAGAAGGACTGTTTCTCCACTCTCAAAGAACTCCTATAGTGAAGCTGCAGATATCTATCCAAGTGTTGTATTGTTGACGAACTGAGTGGTGCCGAGGGAAGTGTAGCTGTCATCCCCGCATCTTTCCAGATCCAGTGGAGATTGCTGGTTGTCGATTGGCAGCTCTTGGACCCTGTCCTCGTCAAACCCTCTGACGATCCTGTCTCGGTCTCCCAGAACGTCTTTCTCTGAAACAGGAAGGATACCCTGCTTCCTGCTTCGATCTTACTCAGAACTCAATTGAGGGGGTGGCATGATTCGCTAAGCTGGAATCGACGTCATTCCTACATTCCAGCTATCGCGTGATATACTCCCCAGCTTCCGACTCCGAGTTCACACTTTACCCCCCTCGTCTCACTCCACCCCGCATTCACCATGGCAGAGCCGGATATCCAGCATATGCGCCGCATGTCGGCAGACAACCAAACCATCCTGAAATCCGAGATCCCTTTGAAGGAACGGTTCTTCCGCTACTTTCAGCATGAAATCACCGGTATGTCTCTTTCCTGTCTTTAAACAACCCATGATCGTAGCGAAAGGGGATATGCGATTGCTAACCTGAGAAATATAGCTCTTCAACAACAAATGGACAGTCTGGAGGATACATCTCTCGTCGGTGGTGAACGTGCCGATGCGACTGACCACTGCCTCGCCGGCATCGTGCGACTGTCAAACGAGGTCAAGGATGCAGCGAGCTACATCCCAACCTACGACCAACGAGTCTATGCGGAGGTATACATCTGAAACATGTTTATATCACAACTTCAATGCTTATTTCCACAGGCTATCAAAGCCTTGCAGGACAAGCTGAACGAGACACGCGCTGCCTTCGAGCCTCGAGCGAAATTTGCCTTCAAGACTAAGAAGAATGCATCTGCCATCTCCCTGACCGATGCAGCAACACTGGCAGCGGAGGGCCGTCGCAGCATTCCCGGCTATCGCTCGCCTGGAGCCTCCTCGGTCGGCTCATCCGCGAATCACACCCCGAACTATCCCTCCACCCCTCTGAACGAACCTGACAAGCAACATCAAGAGAGACCGGAACTGGCACCGACATCATTCCCGGGTATTTCAATCGGCGAGCTCGAGCTCAAGCCTCCCTCTGATTCTAAGCCTGTGTCCGCCTTCGCTGCTACCGGTATTACCTCCGTCTCAGTGAATAATCACTACGGTTTACACATCATGCTACCCTCCTCTGGCTCGGTATCTTCGGTCCCTGCGTCAATTACTTCCTTGGAACACTGCATTGTCGACATGTCTATTCCCACGGTCAATAGTAAGCCCTTCGCCAGCTTGACGATCAAGGGCGTCGAGGAAAGTCTTTTGATTTGTGGCCAGGTTGCTGGCCCTGCACATATCACGGGCGTAGAACACAGCATCCTCGTGGTATCTTGCCGACAGTTCCGCATGCACAACTGCAAAGACGTCGATGTGTACCTCAGCTGCTCGAGTAATCCCATCATTGAGGACTGCTCAAACATCCGGTTCGGTCGGATACCGAAAGCATATGTGAGTGTTCCTCCTTGTAAGTTACTTTGACAATCAGCTAATTCCCTCTTCAGTCTTTCCGCCACGACCGCCCCGACCACGAAGATCGCTGGAGCCAAGTCGAAGATTTCAAGTGGATCAAGCCGGAGCCCAGTCCCAATTGGAGTCTCCTGGGTTCAAGCGATGCTGTTCCCGAGGAGGTCTGGGCGGAGATTGTTCCCGGCGGGCCGGGTTGGTCACTCGATGATATTCTGCATGCCATCAAGTTGGTCAAGTAAAGATTAAGCGGTCTTCAATCTTCTCTGCCGTTCAATTGAAGTTTTCTTTTACCACGGAAATCAAAATTAACAATCTTCCTCAGTCTATCTGTCAAATTAACTCTTTTTTTAATTCTATTCGAGTCCAATAGTACTATCAAGTTTCTCAAGCCTCTACTTTAAGTAGCACGCTGCGCGAAAACGGGTCACTTGCCTTGTTCACTTGTGAAGTAGGCGGTCATTAGGACCATTGAATGCAAAGACGCCTACCCGGCTTTTTCCTTTTCGATGTTTTATTTGAATCTACCAAGGACGACAAAATAACAAAATCTTGGAATGAAAACCAGAAATCTAAAAACCCCGGCGGCCACCTGTCGAAACTACTGCCTTGCCAAAGAGATTATTCGAATGAGTCCCATTTAGCAGCGATGACTTATGCTTCTAATCGTGTTTCAGCTCGAGGCTGAACATCATGTAGCCAAAAAACAAGATACATATACCATATGGGTCTCCCTAAAGGGGCCGTGCTCGTTCAAGCTACGCAATATAGGATAATTGACATTTAGTAGCCTTTGGCAATATCTACTATCATCCGATATGTACCATGTTAACCCACATGCTTAGCCGAAACCACTGTTTTCTCTGTACAGTAGATCAAAATTCCACCTTGAAAGCCAAGACCTGATTATCAAGATTATACCCAGAGGCATCCTTGTAGGGGAACTTTCCGAAGTTCATGTACCCTGCAAAACGTCAGAACCAACGGTAAATTATCAATAGAATCCAAACTTACCATCCTGAGTGATGAAATCATTATCACTCCAACTAAAGAGGAAATACTCCTTCCTCCCACCAGCAGGCACAAGAGCCAGCGACTCCCATTTCTCATTCAGCAGCCACTGATCCTGCGCACCACCATTGTGAAGTCGGAACTTGCCCAGCTCCGAGTTAACATTAAAGTCCAAGAAAGTACAGTACTCAGCCGGAGTGATACCGGAATCGAGCACGCCCTCTGAAGAAGCAATGGAGCCAGTCGCGGTATCATAGTCATTAATTGCTTTCAGATCTGTGGCATCTGCTTTCTTGCTCAGGACGGAGAAGACATCCGCGTTTCGGTATACGGATAGACTCTCGTCCTGACCGTGTCCGAAGCCGGAGTCGCGCGCGAGCACTAGGAAGTCGCCTGACGGGAGTTGGTGAATTTCAGACTGTGCGGCAACTTTGTTTGCTTTACTGGCGTGAGATGAGGTGTAGTCGAAGTACTTGGGGAGCATTACGACCCATTCGTGGATGTACTTGGGCTTTTTGCCGGAGATATCATACGCGAGCATGCGAGCAGGTTGTTTTGTTTGCTTGTCCGGTCCGCCCTCTTGGTCGAGAGCGGACTGCATGAGCGCGTATAGGGTCTTTCCATCGGGGGAGATGGTCAATCCTTCGAGACCTTGGTTGTTTGCCCGGCCTGTAGTAGTGTCCTCGGGGTTTGGGACTTCCGAAGGGTCGTATAGAGGCGGCGTGTCTGAGTTGAAGCTGAGGGTTTCGTTGCGGCGGGGGAGGTATGCTTGTGGGGGTTGGATCGCGAGCTCCATCTTACCCTTGGCGCTGAACTTGTAAATGTATGGGCCGTACTCATCGGATACCCAAAACCCGCCATCTCGAGCAAGTGCCAGGCCTTCTGCGTCGACGGAGATTCGACGTCCGCCTTTCCCGGCGCCGCCAAATCCATTTCCTGTGTAGGTTGCCACAGGAAGAGGTGGGAAGCCCTTGTAGGAGCCGTAGCCGGTGATATCAGCATCTAGGCCAGTGGTTGGCTCGCCGTCCGGTCCAGTCAAGAGGATCGTGTCGAGATATTCCAGCTGAATGTTGGGGTCAGAGGGGTTCTCGAGCGTCGCATGGGTAGCAAGCTTGAGCGTGACTGCGATCTTATGGATGCGACTTTGGAAATTGAGAGTACCATTTGTGTTCCTGGGGATATGTCAATATAATGTGCATTCGTTCATAAACGTATAGTGAATCTCACCAGCCGCGGTCAGGGATGGCCCAAGCCGTGCCATGATAGGCACCATTTTTCTTGTGCCAGGATGACTGATCAATAGCAACAGAGCTACCAATGCCGCCAATCGTGTCACCGTATTTATCAGTCGCGTTGGCTGGAATGAATCCATAGCCCGCCAGGCCGGTATACTTGTACGTCGTACCGGCACATGTAGTCTGGTTGACAACATGCGCGGCAGATGCAGCCACAGCCAGGCATGAAACCACCAAAGTCGACTTCATAATGTATGATGTTTGTCATCCTCAAGTGGGAGCCCCGCGCTGCTTTATGCGAGCGCTCGACTCCGACCGACTCCGACTTCGCATGGTCGGATGGTAGGACAGCGTGATACACGCTAGACCCGGGGCTAAGGGACGGGGCCAGTCAACGTGCGAGGAGGCGTGACCATCATTCGCTGATCGACACTGCATCGCCAAGATTATCGGCGACATCGGTTATCAATCGGGGATATTGTTCGTGGAGGTCGAAATTAAATGCAGGGGAAAATGACAATCCTTGCCGACCCGGGCGTTTATAGCTCTTAGTGGCGTTCAGGTGCGATCTCGTCTACCTATTCTGACATTCACATTGTTCGCAAAAATATTGCTGCTGATTTTTACGCTAAGTAGAATTGACGGCCTTAAAGAATTACAACTAGGTGTTCCAAGTTGTTTGCAGCGTGGCATACTTTTTCCCATGCATACCCAAATCTTGGAAGATGGTCTGATCACCTATAGACAAAGTTAATGACCTGCTTTAATGAGATGACGCAGGTATGGGGCGACTATTTCTTACCCTGGAGGGCCTCGACACGATGTTCATTTTCCTTTTCCAGTTTTTCCAGTTCCTGCCCTGGCTCCTGCTCGTGAGGTTCCTTGTTTCCTTCGGCTGTCGCAGCTTTGCCCAGAGAGCCCTGTGCCTCGCCGACCATCAGGAACTGGGCATTAGGATATTCAACGAGCTCTGGTTCCAGAGGAATCCATCGGAGATCCCCGAACTTCTCCAGCACTCTAGTCAAAGTTAAAATCGACAATCACATCTCAAGACATGTTCAAAAGTGACTTACGGTGCGGGATACTCAGGATCTTTCGGTAGCTGCGCAAAAGCGGGACCGGGATATTTTGGATTTTTCGATGAAACAATCCAGCTACCTTGCTGGTGTATACCAAAACTATTCTGAATCTCACCTGGCTCGGCTGGGATGGTCAGCACGTAGGCGAGGTGGGAGGTCCGCTTGGTCGACGTGATCGCATAGACACCCTCGGCATAAGGTCTAGCCTCGCCAACGGTTCGTTCACCCCGAGTGGCTGTCTGATAAGTCTTGGCCGCAAAGAAGTTTTCTTGCAGATCTTTCATGGTCTGGCCAGCCTTCTCCACAAATCCCATCTCTCTTTCGCCGGGTTTGTTGGGAAATTTTTTCTTTGGGAGCATCATGAGACGACATCGAGCATCTTTGTCAAGCGGTTCTTGGTCATGGTCTAGTTCACCACCGAGAGGAGTAGGCCGGAGCACAAAGAAGCTTCGGGCAACATCTTCGACGCCTTCAGGATCTTCGACGTTGACTCGTGGGCGGAAGAAGAAGTAGATTATTCCCTTTTCCACGATGTTTGACGACACAGCATGTTCTCTCTCTTCAGATTTGTAGACCCCCAACTCTGTGTCGCCTTCAGGCTTTGGTTCCTTTTTTGTCTTTGTTTCCAGGTCACTGTGTATCACAGCTCCTTGTTCATCTGCATTCCTCACCTCAGGCTGCTTGTCAGCGGTAGTCTGATTCCCGGGTTCAGGTGTAGGCTTCGTTTCAGGAGCTTCATCGACTCGACTGGGTGTGACTTCGACAGGCTTTGCCTCCCGTTTGGCTTCCTCAATTTTTTTCTTTCTTAGGTTGGGAAACCTTTTCGCTCGAAGCTTTGCGTTTAGACCCAGGAATTGCCCTATCCGAAGGGTCGATTGAAGAAGTGATAGCCTCCTTTGCTTTTTGGGCGGCCTGGCGTGTAGAGGTTCGAGCAGGCATGGCCAACTTTGGCGTCGTTTCTCAGAATTGGTGAATAAGTCAATAGCGATGTATCGATTGATGGTATCGATATATGAAGAATGGAAGAGACATCCATCCCCGCGCTTTGCTTGCAGTAGAGCCAGCGCGTGTTTGACGACTCATGAGATACAAATGACGTCACCGCTATTTCCTATCACGTGCACTCTTGCACATCGACAATGAGCAAGTCAGGAGGATGGGAAACGGTAGTAGTAACTTCAATCAATGTCCATCTCGTCGGTCAAGGTAGGTTCGTTGGGTACGTCGGTGCTGTAATCATCGGTTGAATGTACATCGGAGCTCGAACTATCGGTGGAGTCGGTCTCGCGGAAATCGTATAGAGAGGCCGCGCGGGTACTTTTGGCAGCATCATCCGATAGCTTATTTCTTTTCCGTCGTCGTATCGGACTAGGTTCCGGTACAGGCATTCGTGGCTCATCGAGCACGGACTTGGCCTTGGTCCGAGACGGCGAGCTCTGGACATGCCCGGATCCGCCGACATTGGGTGATTTGCGCTTTTGGCCTCTTCTCTGGCTTGGAGGCATCTTCACTGTGGGTTTGATGTTGGGAGAGCTGCCTATGCCGTCCATCCACTCTGTCAAGTCGCGCTGCCACCGCTCGAATGAATCCGGCAGACAAGGTAGCTCTGTCCTTGTAGGGATGGGTCCTGGTTCATCGTCGGGTTCTTCAACATCGTATGGTTGAAAGATCTCGTTTGCTGCGTCCTCAATATCTGCAACTTTGGGTGCGCTTGAGATGCTCTCGTGAGTTGGTGTCGAAGGTCCCGAGCCATTCAAGCTATGACCACTGACGTCTGTCGGAGGATAAGTCGCAGTGTTGGTAGTCGAAAATGGCGGAGACTGCAAAACTTCAGGTACTTCATGTAATGGGCTAGTACTTTCCACATCCTCCATTGAAAGATCTTCGTGGGGATCTTCCATCATGTTGAAGTAGGATCAATGTCGATGTACATATCCACACCTCAGTAGCCGTTAGGACAACACGTTGCCACACTAAGGTCGTTATGATTAGAATAGTGGCATGTTTCAGATTGCACAGGGGACTTGAAAGTAAGTTAAAAAAAACAAGGGATCGTCAATTAAGACCGAGAAGGAAATCGAGAGAATCACCCTGCATAGGATATATCGTTGGTCTTCCAGACGTTTCCAGCGGGGAGAGGTTCCTTCCCCCAGATCGCCAATAATAGACACTGACCAACATTCACCCCCACCATGATTAGAAAAACTATGAGCCTGTGTCTGTTGAACCTCAAATGTTCTTCGCTTATCATTAATCAATCATCAATAATTAAAAGAAAACCAGTATAGATAGCTCCAGACCACGTAGCGCGGACCCCTGGCTCACCGCCTTGGGCATGATTGGCTGCCGCGATTCGCTAAATAGAGTCCACGTTTAGTTTACCTTGCTACGTCTACGTTTACCGCTCTAGCACAGGCATCAACGACTGCAGCTTCTACCTTTTTTCTCCCTGGTGGATGCGGTGGCTGCTTCTGTGATCTATCTCTAACTCTGCGGAGCTTGCTACTGCACAGTGCGGCTCCGGCCAAATCTTCAAGATGCAGTCCTCTCCAAACATGCTCACCAAGGTACGCCCCTCGATCACCGCGAACGCTTGCTATCCCATCTCCGCCACGCGTTTTCGCATGATCTCGGTCAATTGAGATAGCTGACCCTCTTCCCTCGCGCAGTTTGAGTCCAAATCCTCCAGAGCCAAGGGAATCGCATTCCACCCCAAACGGTCAGTCTGTCCCGCGGGGACACCTACACGTTGAAAACAACGGCACTAACCCCAAGCAAAGGCCATGGATTCTCGTTTCCCTTCACTCCTCGACCATCCAGCTATGGGACTACCGTATGGGAACACTCATTGACCGATTCGAAGAACACGATGGTCCCGTCCGAGGAATCGATTTCCACCCTACCCAACCCCTGTTTGTGTCCGGAGGCGATGACTACAAGATCAAGGTCTGGAACTACCAGACCCGGAGGTGCCTTTTCACATTGAACGGCCATTTGGATTACGTGCGCACAGTTTTCTTCCACCCCGAGCTCCCATGGATTCTGTCGGCGTCCGACGACCAGACTATTCGAATCTGGAACTGGCAGAACCGTTCATTGAGTGAGTGACGCCGATGCTATGGCTCCACGTATCTGCTACTGACAATTGGCTTCTCATAGTCTGTACCATGACCGGTCATAACCACTATGTTATGTGCGCTCAGTTCCACCCCACCGAGGACCTCATCGCCTCCGCCTCTCTCGACCAGTCTGTCCGCATATGGGACATCTCCGGTCTGCGAAAGAAGCACTCCGCCCCAACCTCGATCTCCTTCGAAGACCAAATGGCGCGCGCCAATCCCAATCAGGCCGATATGTTTGGAAACACCGATGCCGTCGTGAAGTTCGTGTTGGAGGGCCACGACCGTGGAGTGAACTGGGTCTCGTTCCACCCGTCATTGCCTCTGATCGTGTCGGCGGGTGACGACCGACTCGTCAAGCTCTGGCGCATGAGTGACACCAAGGCTTGGGAAGTTGATACCTGCCGTGGCCATTTCCAGAACGCTTCGGCCTGTCTGTTCCACCCTCACCAAGACCTCATTCTTTCCGTCGGCGAGGACAAGACAATTCGTGTGTGGGACCTGAACAAGCGCACATCGGTGCAATCTTTCAAGCGCGACCAGGACCGATTCTGGGTCATTGCTGCCCACCCCAACATGAACTTGTTTGCTGCGGGTCATGATACCGGTGTGATGGTCTTCAAGCTCGAGCGTGAGCGCCCAGCATCCGCCGTGTACCAAAACCAGCTGTTCTACATTACCAAGGAGAAGCATGTCAAATCTTACGACTTCGTCAAGGGCGTCGAGTCGCCGGCCATGCTTTCATTACGCAAGCTTGGCTCTCCTTGGGTCCCCCCGCGCACTGTTTCCTACAACCCAGCCGAGCGTGCCATCCTGGTCACTTCACCGACCGATAGTGGAACATACGAGCTGATCCACCTTCCCCGTGATGCCACTGGAGCCGTCGAGCCCACCGATGTCAAGCGCGGCCAGGCTACCTCAGCGGTCTTTGTTGCCCGTAACCGTTTCGCCGTCTTCAATCCCGCCTCTCAGCAAGTCGACATCAAGGATCTCAGCAACTCTACTACCAAGACTATCAAGCCCCCTGCCGGCACAACAGACATATATTTTGGTGGCACTGGTTGCCTCTTGTTCATCACCCCTACCACCGTTGTTCTCTTCGATATTCAGCAGAAGAAGCAGCTGGCCGAGGTGACTGTTAGCGGCGTGAAATACGTCGTTTGGTCCAACGATGGTCTCTACTGTGCTCTGCTTAGCAAGCACAATGTTACTATTGTCACCAAGACTCTTGAGCAGGTCAGCACATTGCATGAGACTATCCGCATCAAGAGCGCGACCTGGGACGATGCTGGTGTTCTGATCTACTCTACCCTAAACCATGTCAAGTACTCGCTGCTTAACGGGTATGCTACAATCCTCCCATTTCGACTGAAAGAAGCAATGACTAACTATTCTACAGTGACAACGGAATCATCCGCACTCTTGATCAGACCGTGTATCTTGTCCGTGTCAAGGGACGCAACGTTTACTGCCTCGACCGCAACGCCCAGCCCCAGGTTCTCCAGATCGACCCCACCGAGTACCGATTCAAGCTTGCCCTGGTTAAGCGGAACTATGACGAGATGCTGTCGATTATCAAGACTTCGAGCTTGGTTGGCCAGAGCATTATCTCCTACCTCCAGAAGAAGGGCTACCCGGAGATTGCCTTGCAGTTCGTCCAGGACCCCCAGACTCGCTTCGACCTGGCTCTCGAGTGTGGTAACCTTGAGGTTGCCATTGAAATGGCTCGTGAATTGGATCGTCCCAACTTCTGGAGCAGACTCGGAGCCGAGGCTTTGGCCCATGGTAATCACCAGACCGTTGAGATGACCTACCAGAAGCAGCGAAACTTCGACAAGCTTTCCTTCCTTTACCTTGCTACCGGTGACCAGGAGAAGCTTTCTCGCATGGCCAAGATTGCTGAGCATCGTGGAGACTTCACCTCTCGCTTCCAGAACGCCATCTACCGCGGGGATGTTGAGGACCGTATCCAAATGTTCAAGGAGGTTGACCAATATCCATTGGCTTATCTCACTGCCAAGGCTAGTGGCTTGAACGAGGAGGCTGAGTCTATCCTTGAGGCTTGCGGCCTTACCGAAGATCAGATTGCCCTGCCTTCAATGGACGAGCCTCTCAACGTCCCGCGCCCCATTGTTCCGACCTTCAAGTCCAACTGGCCTGTCAAGACTGCGGGTCACTCTTCCTTTGAGAAGGCCTTGCTCGGTGAGGTTGATGCTGATGAGGAGACTGCTGCCGATGCTTTCGAAGTCGAGGAGGAGGACCAGGAGGCCGTCCTTGCGAAGGATACCATGCATGATGACGAGGAGGATGCTTCTGGCTGGGATATGGGTGATGATGTTAATGTCGAGGAGGACGTTGAGTTTGTCAACGTTGAAAGTCCCGAGGCTGGTCCTGGCAGCTCAGAGGCCGATCTGTGGGCTCGCAACTCCCCGTTGGCGGCTGATCATGTCGCCGCTGGCTCATTTGACAGCGCCATGCAGCTGTTGAACCGCCAGGTCGGTGCCGTGCACTTCGCTCCTTTGAAGAGCCGATTCCTGGAGGTCTTCAAGGCTTCCAAGACCTACCTCCCCGCAAGCGTTGGCCTGCCACCTCTGGTCAACTATGTGCGGAGAACCACCGAGGAGACGGATAGCCGCAAGGTTCTCCCCATCATTCCTCGGGATCTCGAGACTGTCGCCAACGTCTACCTCCAAGAAGGTTACGCGGCCATGCGCGCCAACAAGCTGGAGGACGGTGTGGGAATCTTTAAGAACATCCTGCACACTCTCCTCATCAACACGGTCTCTTCCGAGGCCGAGGTTGAGCAGGCCAAGAAGATCATCGCCACAGCTCGCGAATACATCCTCGCTATGTCCATTGAGCTCGAGCGCCGAACTCTCTCTGCCGACGATCCCGATAGCCTCAAGCGAAGCCTGGAGCTGTCCGCCTACTTTACTATTCCTAAGCTGGAGGTTGCCCACCGACAATTGGCTTTGATGGCTGCCATGAAGTTCTCTTTCGCCAACAAGAACTACAACTCTGCCCTGGGCTTCGCCAACCGGATGCTGGCCAACGGAGGCTCCCCCAAGCTTCTGGAGCAGGTAAGATACTCTTCTGTCATTCAGTATTTCCATTTTCTAACAATTATAAACAGGCCAAGAAGATCAAGGCTCAGTGCGAGCGCAACCCGTCAGACCAGATCGAAATCGAGTTCGACCAATTCGCCGAGTTCGACATCTGTGCCGCCTCCTTCAGCCCGATCTTCAGCGGCTCCCCCTGCGTCGTCGACCCCTTCACCGGCGCCAAGTACCACGAGCAATACAAGGGCAGCGTGTGCCGGATATCCCAGGTCACCGAGATCGGCGCACCGGCCAGCGGCCTGCGCCTGTTCATTCCCGGCCAATTTTAACTCCCCCATGACGAAGTCTGACGGTTTCCTCCACCTTTTCTTGACGCGAAGTTCTAAAATGGGTTCTTGCTTCCATCTTCTGGTACAAGAAGTTAGTGTGTTTGGCGGCGCTTTATTCCAGGAGCTCAAAAACTCCTGCAGTTCCATCATCTCCCTGTCTAGATGTCTTTGTACCCGAGATTTTATAATTGTTAGCGGTCTTAGTTTGTATGCAATTGTTTTACATTTTCTGAGTCCAATTTATAGACCTTTTTGTTCAGAGTCAATGCAGTGTAATCGTAATCGTAATCGTAGTATGCAGTAGGAGTACAGTCTATACAAGTCCTCTCATGCAAAAAAATAGTATACAAAGGGGAGAGAGATCTAGATCACCAGAAAAGAGCAGAGATCTAAAAGCTACGAACGCCATATCAATATCATACAAGCATGATCAATCCCTTCAATGCCTCAATCACAACGTCCATCCTTCCACCCAGTCCTCCATCTCTCCTCCCAAAACCGACAATCAAACTCCTTCTTCCCCAGTTTGCGATTCACTTCATTATGCGCCTCGCAAAGCCACCAGCCGAAATCTTTCCGACCACCCAGCTTCGGTTGGTTGCGCCCACTCGGATGCGCCATCCACGTCTGGAAATCATCCGCGCATACCCAACATGGGTATAGCTTGGAAAAGAACTTTAGGAATCCGCTCATGTTGTCTTGGTGCTCGGTGTTCGCGGTCTCTGGGTAAGTGGCGGCCATAGAGTGCAGCAGGGTCCAGGTTGAGCGGCCTAGTTGTTCAACGTCGGGTGGGCATTCTGGGGGAATTGTGCTTGGGGAGGGGTTTGTGGGGGCGGCGAGGGGGACTGTAGGTGTGGTGCTGGTGCTGGTGCTGGTGCTGGTGGATGGGGAGCTGTCGGATTTGGCTTGCCTGGTTAGGTTCTTCCAGGCTGCGACAGAGGTACAGGTGCGGCAGCTGGTGATAATGTTAGTTCTTTGTTTTTGTCTTAGACGACGGATAAATGTAGAGCGTACGGCTTGCCATCCTTGTCGAGGACAACGCCCTTAGGCAACGGGGCCTTGGAGTCGTCCGACTCTTTGCGCGAAGAGCTGGCGGAGGCCTGGTTGAACGAGAATGGTTGGCTCCCGTTGGGGAGCACCTGCTCCGGACGGACTTCGGTCATTCTGAATGTGGAATTGGGCGTTGATTTGGGTGGGAGGGAGATTGCGCAGAAAGTGAAGTTCTTCAACTTGATTTCTAATACGCGGAGGCGGAGATCCGGAGATCGTTGCCGATGATCAGGAACCGCCAACTTTAACTACTCCCGTTTCTGAGGTTGATCTGGAGCGTGCAGGCACATTCATTTCAAGTACTATTTGAACTGATCTTTTTTCTTTCCTGTGAACCCCATGCTTTTTAGTGAATAGCATAAACTGGGAGCTAAATCTCAACTGGGACTATTCTCTCGGCCTGGAGCAAGCAAGAACCTAAATTCCACATTCATCAGGCCTGTGGGTCTAGGTGAGGAACTCATGCTTGTTAGTGAGCTGGCTTATATTGACGAGCGTGCATTGAAGCGAGAAAGGCTTTACAGGGTGAATACGGATGAGCTTTGTGTTATTACTGAGAATGATAGGGCGAATACGGACCCTCAAATTACAGCTAAGATGTGAGATTGAAAGGAAGATAGTGAGGTCGAATGGTCAACAATATGCCGGTCACTTTATACTGGTTCTAAGTTACTGTCTTGCCTTGTAAAATTGGTGGCACCGGGTTTTCATAGCCATGCAGTTCAAAGCGGGCTTTTGCAGACCAACGAGGCAGAAAATCACGAAAAGGTTCAAATTCCGCGATGTGCCAGGGAATAAGATCCAACGCAGTCGCCTTGGTCTCTGGATCTGGGATGGTTGGATCCGCTCCTGCCAGCAGAAGGATCTTAACAATCTCGATGTTTCCGCGATAGGCGGCAATAAAAACAGGCGTAGCTCCCGTACGACCGCCAGGCGCATTTATGTCAAGCCCTGAGTTAGACTTGATCATGGCTTTGATGACAGAAGTCATGCCGAATGATGCAGCATAATACAGCGGCTGGGTCTTTTCAATTACCTCGATATCAACTTCGAGTAACAGTGCTTGCACCCATACGCCGAAGTTTCCGCGGCAGGGTAAGCTCTTGCTCTCGAATAAATGATTTACAAGACTTCTCTCGTGCTCGCCAAGCACACAATCTGCGGCGTGTATGGCCCAATAATATGCGGCGTATTCCAAAAATGGGTACTCTTCCAGGCGTGCGTAACTTTCGTCAGCAGTGGGCACGTATCCCGATTTGAAATTATCGAGGCACAAGTATGTGAGACAGCGGCGCATGATCGTAGCATTTGCAGTCGTTGGATCCAAACTGAAGCATTTCACACTGGATGTGCGAATCCACTCGGACGTCAGAAATTCCTTCACGGACGAGTGGGCAAGGCTAACGTATCCTGATGCGTCTATTGTTATCAACCCCTGGCTGATATTCAGGAGGATCTTTGGTGGAAACAGCACCATTTCTTCGTCAAAGAATGTCGAGCCCTCGTCGACTACAACTGCGTCATTGAGCTGATTGATCGTGACGGGCGTTTTCACGAAACTTAGCCAAAAGAGAGCCTCGCGGACAAATATTTGGTCGTCTGGAGCTATCCTCGCCAATGTGTTTACGTAGGTCTCTCGCAGTGTTCCCGGCAAGTTATGGAGAGTTTCGCGCATTGCTCTTGCGGTTCTTTGTAGGCTCAGATTGTCAAGTGATAGCTGGACCCAGCGGAATCTAGCATACAGTTAGGCGACAGGATCACAACTTTGAAGCATTATGCACGCACGATCCATCAGCTTTGTACAGCAAGGTCTTTTCAATTTCAGCTTTCAGCTTTCGTGGGAGGCTTTTCAATGTCTCGTCTTGTTTAAATCGGTGCTGTATGAAGGTATCGATATCCTCTCGCATCATCCCTGCGCCAACATTGAGCGTTTTCGCGTACTCTGGGAGCGTGGAGGTCGACACAGCCGTTGTCGTGACAAGAATGCGAAGATTCGGAGAAATTTTGGCAAGTCGTAAAAGCAAAGGCTCGACGAGGTCTAGCTCGGAGCTTTCATTGATTGCGTCAACGAGCAGAAGAACCGGTTTCGTCCCAGAGGCGCATTTGACAACCGCGTTCTCAAGAGCTGAAATCTCGATAGGTTGCCTGTGTGCTTTATTCTGGGCGACACTTTTAAATAAATGTCGGATTTCATCCAGCATCAACGGCTCGTAGACAGAAAGCTGGGCTACCAGTGATCCCAGAATGTTTCTAGGATCTTGAGAAGCAGTATCGCCGATAGTGACATAAAAGTACGCAAAGTATAGAGCAGTATGTTGCGAAGCAAGTGTGAGCTCTTGAACTGTTTGAGCACTACAGAGAGTTAGCATAACATTAGAAGCCAGCATGTGCTCTTGTTTACTCACAAGAGTGTGGTTTTTCCAAGTCCAGCTAGAAGGCCCAGTTAGAACAATAATGGCTTGAGGGAGCAGTGTGGGAGAGATCTCGACATACATTTACCAACCAGGAAATGTATCTTCTCAGTGTTGTCTTTACTTGATACCCAGTCCTGCAGGTAACCATCGATAAACCACCTTCCCGTGCCAATGTTTTGCACTTTGGATGCTCGCAAGTGGGATTTTCCCGGGTTGACAGGGGCAATCCACTCGAAAAGCGCCTGATTCGCCATCTCGTTTCGCTCTTGATGCCGAATGCTCAAATCTTCTTTCAAGCTGCGGGCTAAGCTACTTATCTCACTGTTTAATGCCCGGTCTACCGAGACATGATCCGCCGTGAGGACCAATATCAACCACGACTTCACCCTTTCCAGTCTTGCCAAGTGCTCGCTGGTTTCTTCTTGGGTGAAAGGCCATTGTAGCTTTTGTTTCAGTCGCCTGAACTTGGTCTTTGGTGTTTCCAGGTCTGCGAGCAAAGATTCGAGGAATTCATTCGTCGTTTGCAATACCCTCATCAAAACATCCCGATCGAACGAATCGGGCAATTCTGTCTGCTCCGATTTAGGTTCATCTCGGGGAGCTTCTTTAGACAAATGCTCCAGGATACCTTTTAGAGCAAAGAGCTCTTCGCTTAACTGGCGAATATCTGACTTTGCACTCTGCACGGCTTTGGCGTAACTGATCAAACTCGCTATGATTGTGCTGACATCCGTAATGAGACCGACTATAGAGATAGGATCGGCCATGCTGGCGATATGTGCCACTTGAGAGCCGGCAAGGGTTGAGACTGGAAATAGCGCCGGTAAACCAATTGTATTTTCAAGGCCTCGAGAGGGCTTGGTCGATCTGTGGTAGAGTATTTTGCGGCCTGGTGCGGCGGGGTAGCGATCCTGTTGTGTCCTCGTCGTATAGGTCAGCATCTCCACCATGCTGATATCCTAATGCGAGTGGATTCTCTCGCTAGCCCGCCCAAGCCTATGCCTATCATTTTAGGGGCTATCAGAAATTCTGAATTTCTGCAACAAGCTGCATGTACATGCGCATGCGCACCTTTGCACCTACATCACTGTATGGTAATCTACTTATGAACTGCGGACCCTATCTCTGAGTACTACTTGTTCTAGCTCTATTTAGTGACTTAAGTGTTTCAAGGATCCATCAAAATACATAATAAACCAAATAATGGTAGGATTGATTTCGGGGCTACAAGTTGCGTGGTAATTAATCTCTTCAATTTGAGGATTGACACTCGGGCACCTTAGCATTCCGCTCGGTGGGTTCTGAATATATTCTTGCAGCTAAAGAAGTGTGATAATTTCTCAATTACCACAAATGAGGAATGTCTCGAACAAACATGTCAGGTAATAGGAGGGATACATTGGCTCATTTACAATATCGACACTTTTTAAATTAGATTGATAGTCATTCCTTTGCGTTAATCCGAAGCTGTCAAACAAACGGGCAGATCGCGGTCTTTGTCAGCCTTCCTATGAAGGTTCACAACTCCAACCTCAACAACCACACAACCGAGTGCGCCCGAAGCTGTGTACCGACAATCAATTAATTACAAATCTCCCAACCTATTGACACGCGTCAAATACCTCGATTCTTGTTCGCAACTCCACGCCAACACTGCAAATCCACGCGCCCTGCGAATGAACACGCGCCGGCCGAGAGCCCAATAATATAACCATGGCGCCACAGTATAAACTCTCAGACTCGGAGTCTGAATCTGACGATCCTCTCGCTGGGGTTCCATCCGATGAGATGCTGGAGAAAGGGCTACGTGATGAAGTTGCCGGGATCTACGCCTCGGGTAACATGGAGAACCTGACCGTGAAACGCGTGCGCCTCGCCGCTGAAAAGAAATTGGGCATCACAGAGGGTTTCTTCAAGACAACAAATGATTGGAAAACGAGGAGCGAACAGATCATTAAGGATGAAGTGGTAAGGTTCTACAATTCGTCTGAGACGTGCCAATAGAATCACGCTAACTTGCAATTTGGGTATATAGGAGATTCAAGATAATGAATCAAAAGAGAAAGAAGAACAGCCTGTCGGGAAATCACCTTCGCCTCCACCCCAGCCTAAGAAGGCCGCTAAGCGATCAAAAGCTGAAAATGCTCCCAAGCCGAGGAAGCGCCAGAAGACACAGACTCGCATTTCGGAGGGTTTAGAGGATGAAGTATCAGACAAAATGGATGACGAAAGTGAAGAGGAGTTTGCGAAGCCACAGAAGCGAAAGGCACCCGTGAAGAAGGATACCAAGTCGAAATCCGCTAAAGAAGAATTGCCCGAAACTTCAGACGTCCCCGATGAAGACCCCGACGCTGCCAAGCCGACTGTGGAAGCCACGAATGATGAATCTGAAAGTGAAATGTCTGTGGTTCTCGACGAGGAGCCTAAGCCTGCGCGCAAGAGGTCAAAGAGCAGCGAAACCGCCGGAAAGAAAGAGAAAAAGAAGGCCGTGCCCAAACCCAAAGGTAAAGACCAGGAAGTTGACCCAGATCAGGAAGAGATCAAGAGGTTACAAGGGTGGCTTGTCAAGTGCGGTATTCGTAAGATGTGGTGGCGAGAGCTTCAGCCATATGAGACCCCAAAGGCGAAGATCAACCATCTGAAGGAAATGCTGGAGGACGCAGGAATGAAGGGCCGGTACTCTTTGGACAAGGCCAAAGCGATTCGCGATGAACGGGAGCTCAAGGCAGATCTGGAGATGATCCAGCAGGGGGCGAAGCAATGGGGGACTGACGGAGAGCAAGCTAGCGATGAACCTCCGCCACGTCGCGCTGCTGCGCGAGGCCGACAGGCGCTCGCATTTCTGGAGGATGAGGATGAAGAAAGTGATTGATGTGAACCGCTTTTCGAGCAGTACAGTCGGCGATGGTCAAGGGGATCCAACCATGTTATAACATCCATAATCAAGATATATATCCCTCAACCATTTGTACTTTGTCCGGGGATCTGGGGCGTAGATTCAATTATTTGACGGATTTAGTCCCGCTCATGCGCTGGGCGGCCAAACTGAATACAGCGACGGAGGAGATGAAGAGTACCAGGTTATAGAACTGTCGTCAAAGTTAGAACATCTCCTGAACGAGCAGTGGGAGGGGTTGTCGTACAGCCGTGCGGGAGTACTCGTTCTCCTCGACCTCCGTCCGAGCCTCGACGAAAAGGCGCCGCAAGTTGGGGAGATTAGCCTGCAGGTGTATTAGCCTTGGCGGTATCACAGATCACTGAACGGTTAGAACTCACCATGAAGACAAGTAGTGGGAGAAGTCCAAGAGGGAAGGAGTGACGGAGTAGGGAGGTAAAACGGGAAGGCCCAGAGCCCGCCATTTGTGGACAACTTTTGACCCAAACACCCTTTCTCTCCCTCTCCATCGTCACGTTCCCTCATCCCCCACACATCCGCACTCCTTTCTCTCTTTGTACTCGCCGAGGGGGATATGGTTTAGACCTGCCGTCTCCGATCGCTACCTACCACCTACGTCGCGCGACCGTGACAGCTCATTCCCCGCAGTCGCCCAACGACTTTCCACTTCCCCCATTGTCATTGGCGGAGGCACGACCTTGTCGTTGCTGAAGCTTCTTTTGCCTCAGCATGGCGATGAACAAGATCCGAGGCGCCTTTGCGGTGCCCCGGAAAGGAGAGACGTTTGAATTGCGAGCTGGCCTTGTGTATGGTTTCCCCTCCGAGAACATGTGGCCGTTAGGCCACGATGAAAGAACGACAATGCTGACCATTGGAATAGTTCCCAGTACGCCTACGAACGGTACGTCGACTCTCCGAACCCTCAGTCGAAGTTGATGGTATAAGGAGATGAACGTGGTGTGACTGACAATCCGATAGGAAGGAGTCCATCCAGAAGACAATCATGGCCATGACCCTGGGCAAGGATGTTTCTGCTCTCTTCCCCGATGTGCTCAAGAACATCGCAACTGGCGATCTGGAGCAGAAGAAATTGGTCTACCTCTACCTCATGTGGGTATTCCCCTCTTACCGGGAATTGAGCGCGCATGCTGATGGGAACCCCCTTCCAGGAATTACGCCAAATCGCATCCGGACCTATGCATTCTCGCCGTCAATACCTTTGTACAAGACTCGGAAGATCCGAACCCTTTGATTCGCGCACTCGCCATCCGGACCATGGGCTGTATTCGCGTGGAGAAGATGGTGGATTACATGGAGGAACCGCTTCGCAAGACCCTCCGCGACGAATCGCCGTATGTTCGCAAGACCGCCGCGATCTGTGTCGCAAAGCTTTTCGATTTGAATCCGGCTATGTGTCTTGAGAATGGGTTCCTAGAGATGCTGCAGGAGATGATCGGTGATCCCAATCCGATGGTGGTGGCCAACTCGGTCACTGCGCTTTCGGAGATCTCCCACACGGCCCCTGAGACCAAGGCGTTGCAAGTGACTCCCAACACACTACGGAAGATGCTCATGGCGTTGAACGAGTGCACGGAGTGGGGACGAGTGACCATTCTCTCGACCCTCGCAGAGTACCGGACATCGGACGTGAAGGAGTCGGAGCACATCTGCGAGCGTGTTGCACCCCAATTTCAACATGCGAACCCTAGTGTGGTTCTTGCGGCAGTCAAGGCCGTCTTCTTACATATGAAGTTTGTCGGCCCGGAGCTGGCGAAGGCCTACCTTAAGAAGATGGCTCCTCCCCTTGGTATGTCACAAGTGTAATGATTGACGAGGAAGAATTCCACTAACTGAGAACAGTGACATTGGTGTCTTCAGCCCCCGAGGTGCAGTATGTGGCTTTGAGAAACATTGATCTTTTGCTGCAGAAGCAGCCTGATATCCTTAACAAAGAACTTCGAGTGTTCTTCTGCAAATACAACGACCCTCAATACGTCAAGTTCCAAAAATTGGAGATCATGGTGCGGATAGCCAATGACCGCAACGTTGACCAGCTTTTGGCTGAATTGAAGGAATATGCCCTTGAAGTTGATATGGATTTGGTCCGCCGCGCTGTGAAGGCCATTGGCCAAGTTGCGATCAAGATTGAGAGCGCCAGCGAGAAGTGCGTGAACACTCTTTTGGACTTGATCAACACCAAGGTCAACTATGTCGTCCAGGAGGCTATTGTCGTTATCAAGGACATCTTCCGGAAGTACCCTGGCTACGAGGGCATCATTCCTACTCTGTGCCAGTGCATTGACGAGCTGGATGAGCCTAATGCCAGAGCTGCTCTGATCTGGATCGTGGGTCAGTATGCTGAGAAGATCAGCAACGCCGGCGACATTCTGGGTGGCTTCGTCGATGGATTCAACGAGGAGTTCTCCCAGACTCAACTGCAAATCCTCACTGCAGTGGTCAAGCTCTTCCTCAAGCGGCCCGAGAAGGCCCAGGGTCTTGTCCAGCGTGTCCTTCAGGCTGCCACTGCCGAGAACGACAACCCTGATGTTCGTGACCGTGCGTATATCTACTGGCGTCTGCTGTCTAACACTAGCGATTCGAACGCCACCAAGGACATTGTCCTCTCGGACAAGCCTCCTATCGTCACTACTATCTCCTCATTACCACCAGCTCTCTTGGACCAGCTCCTCCAGGAACTGTCTACTCTTTCTTCAGTTTACCACAAACCCCCGGAGCAGTTTGTTGGACAAGGCCGCTTTGGTGCCGATGCCGTCCAACGGGCCGCCATCGAGTATGTTTCAAATCTCCTACATTTCCATGTCTATACTAATATTCTGTCACAGGGAGCAAATTCAAAACGCGCGCGAGAATCCTCTGGCTGCTGCGGCCGCAGCCGCCGCAGTCAGCGGCGACACCCCCTCTGCGCCGGCGCAAAACAACGTCGAGAACTTGCTGGACATTGATTTCGACGGTGGTGCCCCGGCATCCGCACACCCGGAGGCGTCAGGAGGCATGTCAGGCCTCGAGGGTCTGGCTGGCACCCCAGTTCGAATGCAGTCCCCCGCTGTCGGTGCTCCGGCACCCCAGTCAAGCAACAACCTGGACGACTTGCTTGGTGTGTTCGGGGACTCTGGACCCACGCAGCCATCATCTAGCAATGCGAATGGCAGCGGCGCTGCCGGCGATCTTATGAATGGGTTCTCTGGTCTCGATCTGTCCGGCAATGCACCCGCGGCGGACGGCCAGGCCAAGAAGTCTAACCAGGATATCATGGACCTGTTCTAGAGTTGGGGTATAGCTGGTTGTATTTCTTATATCCCGGTGTTTCGCAAGCGAGGATCTGAACAGAATGAGATAGAATGGTTGCTCCTACGTGTTTAATTTCCCCCCCCTCCCCCTCTTTTTGCATTCCTACGCCGGAGTACAAAAAGGCTCATGTACATCTTTTCACCGAAAAATCTGTTCTCTTCTAGGATCTCCTGTCCACTCAGCCCTGGTACGTAACACGGCATGACGTACCATGATGCACTGTCAGCCCCGGAGCCAGGGGAGATAAAATAGATAAATCCGATAGAGGTTAAAAGGTTAAAATGATAAGGTTGAAGAAAAGACACAAACCCACAAAAATCCGCCATGTTCCGTGGCGGAGACCAGGACTGATCCGAACATGCGGTCTGTATAGAGCCAATTATGGCCACCTCTCGGGACCCATGATTATCAAATCCAGTTAGTTCATGTATGCAGTAACTACGTGACGGGGTTAATGAAATCAATCCACTTCCCGAAAAATCACCGACTCCGATGACAGTGATAACCTGCGGGTTCATCCCGGTGGAAACCGTGCTTACCAATTCCGAATCGAAATTTCCACTGATGGTTCCATAGAACTGTGGGTGGATATGGGCCCGCTGGAGAAGGGGCGTGTATAAATGGACCGGTGGCCCCGGGAAAGAGGGAGTTTCAACATCTCTGAACTGCAAAAAAATAAATACACAATGGCACAGACCGACTACAAGTTTGAGGGCTGGATGGGCCTCGACCCCAGCGCCGGCGAGGGCAACATGGTCTGGCAGGAGTTTGAGCCCAAGGCGTGGGAGGAGACCGACATCGACATCAAGATCTCGCACTGTGGCATCTGTGGTTCGGACATGCACACTCTCCGCAGTGGATGGGGGGTGAGTTTGATATCTTTCCTGTCTAGGTCCGTATACTGATTACTTCGAAGAATCCTACTACCTACCCCTGCTGCGTCGGCCACGAGCTCGTGGGAACCGCCGTGCGCGTGGGTTCCAAGGTCACCAATGTCAAGCTCGGAGACCGTGTTGGTGTCGGTGCGCAGAGCGACTCGTGCCAGGGCCGCTTTGGCGACTGTGAAGAGTGCGCGATGGGCTTGGAGCAGTACTGCAGCAAGAAGGTTATCGGCACTTACAATAGCACTCACTGGAACGGTGGTAAGACGTACGGTGGCTATGCCACCTACAACCGTGTGCCTGCCCACTTTGCTGTTAAGATTCCTGATGCTATTTCCTCGGCTGCGGCTGCGCCTATGTTGTGCGGTGGCGTTACTCTGTACAGCCCGCTGAAGCACAACAACTGTGGTCCCGGCAAGCGTGTTGGTATCATTGGTGTTGGCGGTCTTGGACACTTCGGTGTGCTCTTCGCGAAGGCCATGGGTGCCGACAAGGTTGTTGCTATTTCGCGCAAGGCTGGCAAGGCGGAGGATTGTCTGAAGATGGGCGCGGATCTTTACATTGCGACTGATGAGGAGCCTGACTGGGCGACCAAGCATGCTCGGTCTTTGGACCTGATTGTCTGCACTGTTTCGTCTACTAAGGTAAGAGACTTTTGTGGAGTTGAGGGTTGGGTGAATTAAAGTGCTGACATGCAGTAGATGCCGTTCACCGACTACCTGGGACTTATCCGCACCGGTGGAACCTTTGTCCAGGTCGGTCTTCCCGAGGACGGTGGTCTCTTTGCCCCTGTCCGCAACCTTATGCGCCGTATCAAGCTCGAGAGCTCGCTGGTCGGCAGCCCGGACGAGATCCGTCAGATGTTCGACTTGGTGGCTCAGAACAACGTGCAGCCGTGGATTGAGGAGATCCCCATGAAGGACGCCAACAAGGCCATTGTGGACATGGAGGAGGGCAATGCGCGCTACCGCTACGTGCTGGTGAATGAGTAAATCCATATATTCGGGTAAATAAAAGATAGATAGATAGACCTATAGAGACGAGAAATGAGAGACGCAAATCAAAGTTATAGATACACGCACGTGACGCCGCTCTCGGAGACGCTAGAGCCGATTCGGAATACCAGATCGGAGTCGAGGCACCCTCCCCGCCAGATGATTCACTTCTTTCCTTTTCTCCAGTCTCACCTCGTTTTTTGTTCTCCTTTGGTCAATTGGATCCATTCCTGACCTTGCAAACATGGCTCCTACTTTGTCGCAACAATACCTTAGCACACGAGGTGCCGAGTACGGGGTGAGTAGAAAAAATAGTGGGGTGGCTCACGCATATGACTCTTGCGCTTATGCGACATACCTGCGATACTCGTTGTACATGGCTAATGTGGCCTTCCAATATAGCTTTCGTTCGAAAATGTCGTCCTCAAGGGTCTTGCCAGTGATGGTGGCCTGTTCGTCCCCGAAGAAATCCCCGCACTGCCCGCCTCGTGGGAGACCGAGTGGCGCAACTTGAGTTTCGAGGACCTCGCGTACGAGATCATGAGCCTGTATATTTCTAAGGATGAGATCCCTGCCGACGACCTCAAGGACATCATTAAGCGGTCATATGCTACTTTCCGCCACCCTGAGCGCACCCCACTGTTCGATCTCGACTCCAAGCAGGGCCTCTACTTGCTTGAACTTTTCCACGGCCCTACATTCGCCTTCAAGGATGTTGCGCTTCAGTTCCTGGGTAACCTCTTCGAGTACTTCCTTGTTCGCAAGAACCAGGGCAAGACTGGCAAGGATCGGTGAGTGTGAACTCATATTGATCAATCTACTGAGACCTAACCTACCACACAGTCATCACCTCACCATTGTTGGCGCCACCTCTGGTGACACCGGTTCCGCTGCTATCTATGGACTGCGCGGAAAGAAGGATGTCTCTGTCTTCATCACATTCCCCAATGGCAGAGTTTCAAGCATACAGGAAGCTCAGATGACCACTGTGTTGGATGCTAATGTGCACAACCTCACTGTGGAGGGATCATTCGATGATTGCCAGGATATCGTCAAGGCTCTCTTCGCTGATAAGGACTTGAACTCCACCCACAACATTGGTGCTATCAACAGGTAATTTTCCTGATTTCCACTGAGATGTTTGACCCGATACTCATATCTCAATAGTATCAACTGGGCCCGTATCCTGGCGCAGATGACATACTACTTCTACTCCTACTTCTCCCTGATCAAGTCCCCCTCTTTCGTCCAAGGCTCCAAGGTTCGCGTCGTTGTCCCCTCCGGCAACTTCGGCGACATCCTCGCCGGCTGGTTCTCTAAGCAGATGGGTCTCCCCGCCGACAAGCTCGTCATCGCCACCAACGAGAACGACATTCTCGACCGCTTCTTCCGCAGTGGCGGCCACTACACCAAGAAGGCCCTCGACGCCCCCACCGACGGCGTCAAGGAAACCCACAGCCCTGCTATGGACATCCTCGTCAGCAGCAACTTCGAGCGTCTCCTCTGGTTCCTCGCCTTCCGCAGCGCCAACGGCAGCACCGACTCCGAGCGCCGCCAGCACGCCTGCGAGAGTGTTGGCAAGTGGTTGAACGAGCTCAAGTCCCAAGGCGGCTTCCAGGTTCCCGCCGCCGTTCTCGACGGCGCCAAGGCCGACTTCGAGAGCGAGCGTGTCAGCAACGATGAGACTATCTCTACTATTCGCGACACATATCTTTCTTGCAATGGCTACGTCCTCGATCCTCACACCGCTGTCGGCATCGCTACTTCTCGCCGCTCTATCCAGCGTAACCCTGGCGTCAGCCACATCTCCCTGTCTACCGCACACCCGGCCAAGTTCGCCAGCGCCGTTGACCTTTCTTTACGCGCTGAGAAGGGCTATGATTTCACTACCATCCTGCCCGAGGAATTCATTGGTCTTGAGCAGCGGGAACGTCGCGTTATTGCCGTTCCGGCCGGTGCGGGCTGGGAGGGTGTTAAAGAGATTGTTAAGGCTGAGGTTGAGAAGGAGCTGCAGGGCTCACACTAAATTTATCCCATACAGCTTTGATTTTATTGCATAGACGATCGCTTTGATTTGTCTCCATGTGTGCTTGGTCTTTCCGTTTGGCATTTAGTGTCGGCTTTGAAGTTCATGCACAGACCGAGACAGGCATTTATGACTGAAAAATTCCATGAGTTTCGTTTCTTACACAGTGCTACCCATATCGGATGTTTCGCATACACACGCATATACATGTGAAGAATAAGATATCAATAGTTAATCTTCTGCTGTGCTACCCCGGCCCAGACGCTCTTAGCTCAGCCGAGACCGTAAGGTGCCTCAACTATCTCGGCGCAGGGCACTGTAGGCATAACCAAGGCTGGTTCTTACCCTGGAAGTCCATGTTAGGCAATGTCGCAGATTGAAAAGTTTCCTGCATGTAGGTGTCATGAATCGAGCTAGAAAAAATTGGCTTGGCAATTGGCAATTACTATGACCTCTACTTTTCCAAATCAATAAACAGAGGCGTGCCCCGAGGGGAAGGTTACACGCGAGTGCTACCTTGATATGGTACCTTCCGAATTTTCAGAACCTTGAAGAAATTTAACTAGCAAGACTACCGCAAACGGCGAAAATGCCCAAGTGCTCGCAATTCCGGATTTCCAGAGTCCCAAGGCAAGATAATTTTTACAAATATGAAATTTACAGTCAAGGATTGGCAAAGAAATATGAATAAAGCTTTTATATGCTGACAGATTAAGGAACAGAGTAAAAACAAAAATCCAGCAAATGTATTACCATTAGAATATAATATAGATCTGACTCGTAGTGGAAAACAAACAAAATCTCGAAATGGCCAAGCAACTCCATCCCCTCTGGCCCTGTCAAGGCAGAGGAAGACCAAGCGGGTCATTATCGCGCACAACAGCCAGAAAAGCACAAAAGAGCAAGGATACTGAACCGGTCCAATCTCCGATCCCCACCACGAAGAGCGAGAGAAAGGGCGGAATCAGGAACGGGTTTTTCAAAGTGCCCCAGGAGAGGCAGCTTCCTCAATGACTACCTGATTTACAGGAGAGCCATGAGGCCGACGATACCAGCCAGGAGACCAGCAGCGGGCTTGACAGCGGAGGCAGCACCGGTGAAGGGAACGGAGGTGCTGGGCTGGGACTCAGCGGGAGTGGAGGGCTGAGCAACAGCGGGCTGGGACTCGGCGGGAGTGGAGGACTCAACGGGGGTCGAGGACTCAACAGGGGCGGCGGACTCAGCGGGCTTGGCAGGGGTGGAAGACTGAGCAACGGCGGGCACGGAGGCAGCAGGCTTAACGGAGGCAGCAGGCACAACGGAGGCAGCAGGCACAACGGAAGCAGCAGGCGCAACGGAAGCAGCAGGCGCAACGGAAGCAGCAGGCGCAACGGAAGCAGCGGGAGCAACGGAAGCAGCGGGAGCAACGGAAGCAGCAGGCGCAACGGAAGCAGCGGGGGCAACGGAAGCAGCAGGGATCACAACGACGGAGGTAGAGCCACCGGGGACCACGACAGCGGAGGTGGACTCAGCAGGGGGGACCACAACGGAGGTGGACTCAGCAGGAGGAACCACAACGGAGGTGGACTCAGCCGGGGGAACCACAACGGAGGTGGACTTGACGGGAGGAACCACAACGGAAGTAGACTTCACAACGGTGGCGGTAGTGGGCTGAGTAGCGGCGTGGAAGCTCACGGACTTCTCGCACTCGTCACAGACAATGGTCGAGGTGAGAGTAACGGTGTTGGTCTCAGTCACGGGAATAGTGACGACCTTGGTGCCAGAGGTGACAACCTTGGAGGTGACTTTATATCGAAGTTAGCTGGAGATGCATAAGATTGTGGATATCAAAACTCACCAGGGCAGGTGGTGGTCACAACAGTGATAGTCTTGGTGGTGTGGGCAGTCTTGGTGGTGGTAGACTTCACCGGGGTAGTGCTGCTGGACGGGCTGGTGGTGGTGTGGTGAGGCTTGGTGCTGGTGGTGCTAGTAGGGCACGGGGAGGTGGAGGGAGTGGTGCTCGTGTGAGGCTTGGTGTGGGTCGGGGTGGTGCTGGTGCTGGTGGTGCACGGGGTGGTCGACGACGCCGACCAGGAGTGAGCCTCAGAAGAAGGGCGCTCCCACTCCTTGCTCCAGCCCTCGATCTCCTTGTGGGGAGCGGGCTGAGCAACACCGGCGAAGGCCGGGCTGGCAGCAAGAGCCAAAAGAGCAACGTTGCGAATCATTTCGAGAGATTGAAAGGATTTTCCTGGAAAACTTGGACAGATCAAAAACGAGTGAAGGTGAATGATGAAAGAGATAATGATGGAAACGAGCAGCGGGGTGCCGGCTTATATGCCCTTTTCGACGAGACTTGAAAGTCATGACGGAGATGGTTGCCATGGTCGTGAACTAGGACCGCAAAGGCTGCCCTGGTCCACATCTGAATGTCTTTTGACTGAAAGCAGGAACTGCAACAGATGTCCCATGGAAAGCAGAGGCACCGTTGGATGGCTATAGGATGAAAAGAGTGGGCAATGATACGTCCATATGGTGGTATCAGATGCAAACGTAACATCCTGCAGTATCATCTTGGGAGAGAGTGTCCGGGGAGTCCACAAGGTGGCCTAATGCGGAAGGGATTCGAACAGAAAGCGTTCGATCAGAGATCATAGATCTGCAGAGGGCGTTAGGAGGCATGTGGGATTGACAGGCGCCATGTTGATCAAGAATACCAAACAGAGCCCAAGTTAGTGACTTGTGTTTAGCAACCAGGAGAAGGTAATAATGGCATAAACTAGGCTTATTCGCCAGGGCAGACACCCGACTGAACAAAAGCATTGACAAAGGGCGGGTTTAGATGCGGCGGACTTTACAAGACGAATCCGGACAGACGACCAAAGCACTGGTTAGAGCCGGGGCGACGGGAAGCGGTCGATTGAGTGCGGGAGATCAGAGATCTATTGTTCGCTCATCCCGGCGATCACTCAACTCGTGTAAAAGGCCCGTGAGAGCTCATGCCATGCGACAGAGGGACAGCCATGGCGATCAAAAACAGCCGCAAGGAGGCCGTTGCTGCTAATCGGAGCGTTTCCTCATCCGCCCAGGAATGTAGGCCACAGCAATCGCTTGCAGATCAGCTCTTCTAATTGGCTGTCGCAAATAGAAAGGAATGTGAGATGGACGGTCAATCAGGTCGAAGGCAAGCAGAATCTCATCTAGGAAGTGATCTGTCAAGTTAGTGGTTGAGGATCGATTTGACAGCAGCCAAAAATAAGCAAGTGGTTACACGTCCATGACGACGTGATCGTGACATTAGACCGGATTTGAATCAGAGTCCACAGCGATCAAAGTGGGTTTGCACAAAAGAGGCAATTGAGCCCTCTAGCATATACCAAAGCCGGGCAAGGAAGAAAAACAGTAGAGTGGACCTTGTACCTTAGCTGTACACAAGATTAGCCACTGGTCGAAGTCTTGCTGTCATCCAAGGTTCCACCATCAGTGGCAGATACCGCAGAGATTTCCGCGCCGCAAACGGCAAGGGGCAGCTAGCAGACCCGGGTCAGTCCAAGGAGACAGCTCTGGGGGCCATATTGGGTCGAAGTTGGCTGAACTTGACTGAACTTGACTAAACCGTCCGTTTCCGGCATCATTGATATCCGTCACGTGACTAGGGCTTGGGGCGCGACGCGTCGACGACGCGTTGTTGCCGGTTATCGCGGTTTCCCAAGTCGAGACGGGCCTCCCTCATCGCATCATAAGACCAATTTGATCAATTTTACAACATGCCGCACTCGGTATCACCTATTGGCTCTCTTGAACGAAATGATGAGGAAATGACAGATGCCCCCGTGGCGCCTGCCCCCGAGGGAGGTGTGAAATTGGAGGATATGTTTGACGGTGACGACGATGAGGAGTTCCCGGCTTCCAGTGCACAGGATGTGAAGATGCAATCGTCTCCAGCTCCGGCGCCAGCAGAGTAAGTCCATACGTGCTTCCCTGAACCAGCAGATCGTTGACTTGAAGACTGGCCACAGCCCTGCCCCTGCTCCGAGCGGTGTTGACACCGACGTGATGCTCATGTTCTACCAGCGCCTCTTCCCGTTCCGATATCTGTTCCAGTGGCTGAACCATGGAATTGTGCCTACCCGCGACTTTGGCAATCGAGAGTTTGCTTTGACACTCCAGAATGACGCGTACCTCCGATACCAGTCCTACCCCACTGCAGACCTGTATGTCTCCGCGCCTGTATATCTAACACGATTCTGAGCTGATTCACTTCATTATAGGTTTCGAAAGGATATTCTAAGGATGAATCCATCCCGTTTTGAAATCGGCCCGGTATACAGCACAAACCCCCGAGACCGCAAAACACTCCGAGGCGGCCAGATGAAGCCGGTATCCAAAGAACTGGTGTTCGATATCGATATGACGGATTACGATGACATTCGAACATGCTGTCAGAAGGCGAACATTTGCCACAAGTGTTGGACGTTTGTGACAATGGCAATCAAAATCATCGATACCTCTCTACGTGAAGACTTCGGGTTCGAACATATTCTCTGGGTGTACTCCGGTCGACGTGGTGCTCACGCCTGGGTTTGCGACCCACGTGCACGAAATTTGCCTGATGATCGCCGTAGGGCGATCGCGGGATACCTGGAAATTCTCCGCGGAGGTTCGTCAAGTGGTAAAAAGGTCAACCTAAAGCGGCCGCTCCACCCGCATGTTACGCGGAGTCTCGACCAACTCAAAAACTCCTTCGCTCAGACTACCTTGATCGATCAAGATACTTTTGCCAATACCGAGCAGGCCGAGCGACTTCTCTCATTACTCCCAGATAAGTCCTTAAACGAGGCCCTGCGGAAGAAATGGGAGTCATCCCCAGATCGCCCCAGTACCAGTAAGTGGGCAGACATCGATGCCTTGGCCAAGACTGGAAAGAGTAGCACTCTGAAGCCCGCTACCCTCCGAGACGCGAAGCAAGACATTGTTCTCGAGTATACCTACCCCCGCCTCGATGCCGAGGTCAGCAAAAAAATGATTCACTTGTTGAAGAGTCCCTTTGTTATTCACCCCGGCACTGGCCGAGTCTGTGTACCCATCGACCCTAAAAAGGCCGACGAGTTTGATCCTCTTGCCGTGCCTACCGTGATGGAGCTCCTCGCAGAGATTGATGCATACGACGCAAAACATCCTCCTGGCACACAGGAGGTCGAGATGCCCGATTTGGAAGGAAGCGCAATGAACTCAGATGCCAAGAGTACTCGCAAGCTGCAGGATTACGAGAAGACCCGTTTGAAGCCATACATTGATCACTTCCGTTCTTTTATTGCCGGTTTGCTCAAAGAGGAGCGTGTGGCTAAGCGGGAACGCGAAGAGACTGGGCCGGCTGTGAAGGCTGATCCGATGGAATTTTGATCTGGAGCGGTTCTAACCTTTCTCTTTTCAAATCGATTTTGTCGAATTATGACCTTATGCTTTTTTTTATTCCATATCTCCCTGGTGGCTCGGGTAGTTTTCATCCAGGCATTTTCTTTGGTGTTCATGAGCCTACATCAGTCATTTAACAAGTTGAATTATACCCTCGATAATTCAGGTTCCACAAATCATATTTCAGTCCTGATACACCACAACGCTAGGTGACGGTAAATTGGGCGCCGAAAATGGCTGCTTTTGACACCATTTTTGCGTCCTATTCAATAGGATCTTAGTTATTAAACAATACGAACTCGGTTCGGCCCACGTTTGTTATATGCTCATGGAGTGCCAAAGGAGCGCTCCCAGAGCACTTATAGTTGCTTAGGGATTAGCTCACCCTTCACTTAGGGTACTTAGGGTAGAGAATCAAGGATGTCATTCTATTCAGCCCTCTATGTTACCCAGAGAGTCAGAAAGCTTCCTAAATAGATACCATAGGTTTCTAAAAGATAGAGCGCATAATCATAGGCTCTCGAGAGCTATTACTGAGAGGTTTGGTCGGTAGCTTTCCCGTCCGATAGCCGGCCATTGGCATTTAGCTCTAGTGATAATTCAGGGCGGCAGTTTTAGTCACCTGGATTACTACATGTAATTCTTCCAAAATCACGCGCGGAAACTATTCTATGTTAGGGATAAAAGGGATGAGAGCAAGGTCTGTTTGTATATTTAGAGATATTGGTACACATTGGATTTAAATGGGAACACCATTCATAGCCAATTGGCTTGGAGTATTACAACACAAGGAAAGAGAGAGATGAGAGGCGGAGAGTATCAACCATGGATGTTCCTGTCCATGGCGATTCCTAGGAGCGGTTGATGTAAGGGGAACGGATCAAATCATCACTTAAGCGGAAATGAATTTGCGGACGTCTGGAATATAATGTTAGCAACAGACCAGCCAAATCCACAGAAAAAGAAAAAAAGAAAGAAACTTACTGTCCAACCACCGGACGTACTCCTTCTGCTCCTTGAAAGCAATGTAGTCGGTGACCATGTTCTGGAACTCGAGGTTGAGACCACGCTCCTCGAGGTAACGGCCCCAGAAAGCGAGCAACTCGGGGTCGAGGTTTTCGGCAGGAGGTCCGGCGTAGAGGCTCTGGCGGGCCCAGTCCTTCTCAGCGGTGCTGGCGTTGGCAACATCGGCGTTGCCGAAGTGGGAGACTTCCTCGATCTGGAGGTCACCGTCCTGGATCACAGCCTGGATCAGGAGGGCACCGTTGGCGGGCTTCTCAACGGTGACATTGACGCGAGCGGGGAAGGTAGGGGGCAGGATCTCGTCCTCGTTCTCGGCCTTGTTCTGCTGGCTGGGGAACTCGCCTTCGTCGCCGAGAGCCTCATCGTGGAAATCGTCCATCGGGTCCTCAGACAGGTTGTTAATGTCGGCGACAGTGAAAGTAACGCGGATACTAGATGTAGAAGAATGTTAATACCATATAGAAGGTAGAGCTTTGTAGTTGATTGAACTTACGTCTCGTTGCCGAACTTCTTGGTCAGGACAACTTCCTGTTCGCCCTCGACGTCCTTGGCAGTCCACTCGCCATTCTGCAGAGTGTAGTCGATGCTGGCCTGCTGCTCCTTCGCATCCTCAACACCGGAAGCCTTCTCGTGCTTGACTTCCTCCTCAAGCTTGGCGATAAGCTCGGCGTCACCTAAAAAAAAACAATCGATGATCAGCAAACTTTCCTTCCAAACACAATACCGAACTGTTCGGAATTGATAGAATTGCTATAAAGATCATTCACATACCCTCACCAGCGGGCTCACGGAAAGCGCTGGAAGTGGAAAAGGCAGCGTAGGCGGGCTTAGTGGCCTGCTTCCAGGGCTGCACGAAAGCAGGCTTGGGGAGAACGGCCGGGCGCAGCGAGGTACGGGCGACAGAGCGCGAGAAGCGCGGAACAGAGCGGGTGAAAGCACGAAGGGACAACATTGTGGATGGAGATGATAATGTGAAGTGATGAAGAAAGCTTCGAGGAGAAAAAGAAGCTCCGATGATGCCACGCCAAGCCCGGCCTTTTTTGGCACCGCCCGGAGGATCTGCCGCTTTCTACTTTTTATTAAGAACATGGACTACACTTCATCATTCGAATGGATTGAAACTATTTGCAGGACTTTTAAATACCCATAGATGCCACCCAAATACGCCAATCTTCCAGTCAGATGAGAAAATAGGAAGAAAATGTAAAAACGCAAGATCTAGAGGATATCCGTAATCATGAGATGCTCTTAGGCGGGAAACTTGAGGACTGCTTGTCTCCTGCTTGAGTCAAGCGAACGAACTTCAACTGGCTCAGACCCGACCACTGTTTGTTCCAGTTCTTAAGACCCAGGAACACATCGAGGTCACTCAGATCCGGCATCCAGAACCCAGTCTTGAATTCCTTCTGTTCAGTCTCGACCCGCTGGGTCAAGGCTTCCTCTCGTCGGACGGGCGGCCGACCCTTGCGTCGCTCTTGCTGAAGCTGTGTGAGCTCTTCCTCGTCGCGGTTGATGTACCTGCGTTGTGTTAGACATAATCTCAAGTGGGGGTGCGGGATCCCACATACTTGATGACCATCTCGGACAATTCGGTCTCGGAGAGGGGATCTTCCAGCGATTCAGCAGCTTCGTAGAAGTACCAGATTCGATCCACTAGTACAAGTCAGTAAATGTGCAACTTAATCTCCAGAAAATTGCGTACGGTATGGCCGACGGCCCTTGCCAACGTTTTGCCCATGCTTGATCAAGCGCTCGTCACGGGCACCAGCACGACGTAACCGGTGGGCATCACGGCTGTTCTCGTGCATGGAGCCAACGGCACCACGCTTCTTCGTGATGTGCTTCTGCACCTTCTGGAGATTGCGTTGAGGCATGGTTGTAATCTTCTTGTCACTGCAAGATTCAGTGCAGCGCAATAATTATTTTCAAGGGCCTGCAGAATCCGGCGGTGAGGAAGTGAGTACCGCCTTCCTGATTCTGCCCAAATCGCGTCTGCGCGTCGAAGGGAACAAACGTGAACAAACATTCCCCAGCGATGGCGGTATTTCCCTGGTGATTTCTTGCTCATGTGTTTCATCCTATCTTCATGTTATTTGTGACGCGTGTGCCTTTATAAACTTGGATCCGAATGTTTACGCTTCTCGAGTAAATACGAGGACCCGAGGACCCGCCCGTGCCTCAAACGGTGCCCGTCATGGGTATTAAAGGTGTGTTACCATGGGCTGAGAGCAAAGGGGGCACGGACTGACCAGATCTAGGACTGCATGGTCTGTTGAAATCTATTCAAAAGCCATGCCATATCAAAAAGTTCAGTGGACAGACCCTTGCGGTCGACGCCTATGGCTGGCTACACCGCGGTACAGTCGCGTGTTCCGTTGACTTGGTCCTGGACAGACCGACCAGGAAGTTAGTGGTCATAGAATGACCTCGCATGTTCGGACGAAAGCTAATCATTGTGATAGGCATATCGATTTCGTCCTTCATCGAGTCCGCATGCTCCTCTACTTCGGCGTTACACCCTATCTCGTGTTCGATGGCGACAACCTCCCTAGCAAAGCAGGCACGGAGCAAGATCGGCACCGCAAGCGTCAGGAGAGCAAAGCTTTAGGGTTAGAACTACAAAGGAAGGGTCGAATGCCCGAGGCCTACCAGGAGTTCCAGAAGGCTGTCGACGTCACGCCCTACATGGCCCGTCAGTTGATTGAGGAACTGAAGCAAATGAAAGTACAGTACGTGGTAGCGCCCTACGAGGCTGATGCACAGATGGTGTATTTGGAACAACTGGGTTTAATCCACGGGATTATTTCAGAAGACTCCGACTTGCTGGTGTTCGGAGCCAAGAGATTGTTGTCAAAGTTGGATCAACATGGTGAATGCATTGAGATCAGCCGAGCGGATTTTACTGCGTGTCGTGAGGTTAGCCTCGTTGGATGGAGTGATGCAAACTTCCGTCAAATGTGTATTTTGAGCGGTTGTGATTATTTGGCGAATATCCCCAAGATGGGATTGAAGACTGCATACCGCAGCATTCGCAAACACCGGACGGTTGAGAAGGCGCTGCGCATGGCTCAGTTCGACGGCAACTTTCAGGTTCCTGCCGACTATCTTGCAAACTTCAGGCAGGCTGAGCTCACCTTCCTCTACCAGCGAGTGTTTTGTCCCAATGCTAAGAAGCTCGTGACTCTCACAGTTCCAGAGGAAGGTATCGACCTCGACGAGCTGCCCTTCATTGGAGGAGATGTGGAAGCTGAGATTGCGGCTGGCGTTGCGTGCGGAGATTTGGATCCGATGACCAAGGAAGCGATTGTGTTGAAACCGATGGCTGCAGGTAAATTACCCCTGGGGATCAGTCGTCGTCAGACACTGGGTTCAGAGCTGAAGCCCAGCAAGTCCATCAATTCTTTCTTCACCCCGAAGCGGACCCCGCTGGCCGAGCTGGATCCGAACAGCCTCACCCCGTCCCCAAGCCAGCAGCGCCTTCTGGAGCGGAATGCGAACAACTCCTGGCAAGCCAACTCGGCTCCCTTACGCTCTAACACAGTTAGATCTACCCCTCTTCGCGCATTGTCAGACCAGGGTCTTAGCCCTATGATTCGCAGCGTCGAGCGTAATTCGTTCCTGGCTAAGGCTGCGCGCGCATCGACTTTGCAACCTACCAAGCGACAAAGACTATGTTCGGAGACCGAGGACGACCAGCTCCCAGCTCGTCCTGATAATCGCAGTCGATTCTTTGCCCCCAGCACGGAACAAGCAAGCCCCAGTGGCCTGAAATACTCCCGGTCCAAGAAGCAACGAAAATCGACACTTGATGTCTTTTCCGATGAAATTGCAGAGGACATCTTTTCCAGTATCCCGGATCCGGCTTCTCAGAGCGAGGTCGTGGAGACCCAAGCGGAGACTGGTCAGAGTGGAGCCGAGGCCCCATCTGATCCCCAGATTGCTAAAAGTGGACCATCCACAGAGGGTCAGATCGAGCAACTCGAGTCCACTCCCGAGACGACCAAATTTGATCGTGCTCTTGATTATCATGTTCAACGGCAAAACTCGACGGTCATGTCGAAGTACATGTTCAACTCTGGCTCCCGGCCCGAGTTGACACCTCGCTCACCCCAAACTAGAATCCCTGTGACTATATCTGGGAACCGGCCAATGCCAATGTCTTCTCCTTGGACACCTCGCACGGCCACTCCAAGCAAAACTCCTCAGCGCCAGCGTATGACTCCATTGCAGCGCATGGGGCAAGCCGCTCTCACGCGGTCGAATACTATCAGTTTTCCCACCAAGCTTCGAAAAGCCGACTCTCTGTCAACTGAAGCAGACAGCTCTCAAGACACACCGACATCACCTTTCGCACCGAAGCACGTTGCACATGGAAGCGAGGACCATATCATACCGGACAGTGAAGATGAGGACGAAGATGAGCCGTACACGTCTCAGCGCACACCGCTTGACCTCAAGCGGTTCTCATTTGCGGCGAACTAGCTATTATGCATATTTTGGGATTGGGCAGGCGTCTTGGAGCAAATCCACGTGGAAGGTGCAAATTTATTCTTTTGGTCTTTGGTTAGACCTGTTCAGGAGTGGAAGGGCATATCTATTCATAGCTGTTCATTGGGTGTAGCATTTAGTTTTACAATCAACTTAGCGGTCACGCTGTTGCCAGATGTCGAGGTTCCGTGTTCCCAGCTTGATATGTGCCAGATGGTTGTAGCCTGATAAACTGGAGGCTGGGTGAGGCGGAGGCGTCGACCCGCGTGGGGTCCCAAATCTAAGCAGCGATGATGATCAACGCTAGTCCGGGTTGGGCCTAGGTTTAGCCCCAGGGACCGAACATTTCGTCATATCAGGAAGGCGGTCGGATCTGGTTACCTGGGAAGCGGGAAAGTAAACAAAGACGGTTGGCCCAGCCTCCCAAATTCCCATACTTGGTCTCCATCCCCAGCCTCCAGTGCTACATGCGTTATTGGGTTTTCTGGATTGCAGCTACGATCTTTCTCCCTCCCCCTTCCATTCCTTCTACACAGTCCTCCCCTTGTCACCACTTGCTATAAGCAAGATATTCTGACCCTTGAGGCTTACTAGGTGCGACCCGGAGAAACGCCTGTCCTCTGGTGTGCTATCGACCTCGACCTCGACATCACCAGATTCAATTCGATCTTCAATCTTTGCATCTTATCTTCCGCATTCCTCCTTCGCATTCCATTCCGGCTTGACGTCCCGGTCGATCCACGGCCATCTCCTTCTCGCTGAGCACAACTAAGGCCGCCTGAAGGCGTACTACGGAGCTTTGACTCTGCCTTCGCTTCCAAATACTCCTTCTCGGAGAGTCGAGAAGTGAGTCGACTGACGTCCGATAAAGAGACAGGCCAGTTGCGTGCCTTCACGAGCCACCATGGCCACGCGTTTTGCAGAGGGATGGGCCCGTACGTGATAATCATAACAATAAAGACAACAATCGCTAACAAGGCCTACAGGATTCATTCCCATGATCGGGTACCATCATGTGTTGATGATTATCATTGCTGTTGCTATTATTTTGCTCTGTAAGTTTGACATGTTTCGGTTGACTTCCACGTGTGCCTCTGGAATGTTTCTAACATTGCGCAGCTCTCTTGTTGGCCGGATGCTCTTCATCGTCTCCACAGATCCCCGATATCTTTTTGATCTCGATGTACTATGAAAAGTACTCACCTGTCTTCGATAAGTCGCAGGTCGACCCTGGCGTGGTAACGGCCATGTCGAATATCGTCGGTGCTGCTGAGCTAGAAGTTCGTGTCGGATACTTCGGTATCTGTGTTCAGCCCGATCACGGCTCGTTCATCTGCAATGCAAATGCTACGGCCCTGGCTGAGATCGTTACTGTGGACCAGGATCCACTCAACTTGATCTGGGTCGCCTCGACCTTTAAGGATGCGGTAGTATTCCCGTACCTCTTGTAAGTCAATCATGTACTCACTGCTTGCCATTGAGTGATGCTAATCAACAAACAGAATTGTGGCCGTTATTCTCGCCTTCTTCTGCTTCATCCTCCTCGCAACTTTCCCCGGCTGGCACGAGGAGCGCGATGATTCCGGCTCCGATGTCGAGGTTAAGCCTTTCCCATCAAGACCCGTCTCCCAGGCTGCTCTCGCCCTGATATTCGTCTCCTCCGTGTTCGTGCTCGTCTCCGTACTATGGCAGCATACAGCATCCGTGGCTGCGAGTACAATCGCTCAAGATATGGGTAACGGCAGCGTTAGGAGTGGCGTCGGCACTTCAGCGATGGTGCTCGGCTGGTTCGGATTCGTCCTGCTAGTCGTCGTAACCATCGGTCTACTCTTCATGATCCTCAGCATCAGTCTAATCAGGCAATTGTCTGATGAATAATGATCAGTTTGAGCAATGATCTGAAGTTTTTCTTTTGTTGATTTTTCACCCTGCATCTCTTTTCTCGTCACTTTTTACCTCTTATATCCGACGACACGAATGGGAAATGAATAATATCTACGAGCACACGGAAACGGCTCCTATATGAATATGGAAATGGTATGGAATATGGAATACGAATCAGGAATATGAGTTCCTATGGGAAACGGGGTTGGACAATTGGGATCACACGAACATAACCCGAGAATCGGGATCCTCGCCGATTTTCTCAACTGCCAAGTATATGGCAAGCAAGAGAAGAGCTGCACTGGCTATTCTGTTGATTCTCTTGGAATATGCCGATGACATGAAACGAATGTCGTCGTATCTCTTTTTTGTACAGCCTTATGGCCGGTGTTCATGGGATTCGTTTGTCTTTCGTTTGCAAGGCGTTCTTCTTCCCATGTACAAAACATGTTTTTTTTTTTTGAGTTATCAATGTATCTCCGGCGATGCTGGTTGATTCACTGCTATTCTTTTCTTGCATAGATTTGTCGTGCCAAACTGCACAGTGCTAGATAGTCCTCATCCAGAATGGTATATGAAATCACCTGAAAGTCTTCCTCCCAGTATTATCAGTAATGTCGTTCCTTCCAAGGCCGGCACGGCTTTTCGTAAGTCTAGGGCAATTTGTGTAAGCCATTGAACAGCAGATACTCCAATGAACACCTGAGAGGGACGCTCAATTATGACGTCAAAGGCCCTGAACAACGAAACTTACCAAGTTACGGGGTACACCATCAGGTCAATCACTTTTTACAATCTGTAGTCACTACAGCTGATTCCCTCTTATTAAGCGGAACGTCAATAGCAGCATTCTTCTAGAACGTCGTCCGTTGCCACACCCTTCGGGTCTACGGATATACGGTTCCAGGATTGCATCCGACGGGACCATGGAAGATAACCTTGTTTCCAACCGGACCTCGACATGAAGTCATTGACTATAGTAATCCGTGGATGCTAGCTTACCGATGGAAAAAAATTTATGAATCTCAATTTAAGAAGTCGTGCGTCGCCTCGATTAATCTGAGCGATGTTCTCCAGCAATTGCTTAGAAAACGAACCACAATGGAGACTCTACGGGACACGGCATTCGGTAAACTGGTGCGACTATTCAGTCGCTATCGATGGATGCAATATCCTGAAGAGCAGGATGCGTCGGTCTGGACTGAATATCTCAAAACTGAGACTGAGAAACCGGAAGAAGAGCCTTCTACGCCAGTGAATGAGAACGAGAATCCCGAGGATCTGGAGGCCTTCGGTCTCTACACAGTCAGGTCGCAACTATCCAGTCGGTCTCGGCGAATGTCCTGTGCATCGACTGTGCAAGATGGAAATCAGGGTCGATCAAATGGCCAACCTCTTGTCATTAGCTGGCGAGGTCCCGATGATAGTGAGGTATGTATATTGAACTAAATCTATGAGTTTTAAGCTGATAAGATGCAGAACCCGCAGAACTGGAGCACCAAGAAGAAGGCCTTCGTGAGCGGTTTGATCTGGTTGCTTACTTTTTCCATCTATGTTGGCTCTTCAATTTACACTCCTGGCATTACGGGTGTCACGGAGCAGTTCAACGTGAGTAGTGTCGCTGCTCTATTGGGCCTGACCCTTTTCGTGCTTGGATATGGACTTGGTTCGTTACTTTGTACCTCTCTAAGATTATACAACTAATTTTCTCCAGGTCCGATGGTTTGGTCCCCTCTCTCCGAGATTCCCATGATCGGTCGAAGTCCAACATACGTCTTAACGCTAGTCGTATTTGTCTTCTTCCAATTCGCCGTCATTTACGCCAAAAACTTCGGCATGCTACTAGCCTTCCGCTTTCTAACAGGCTTTGTCGGATCACCCGCCCTAGCCACTGGAGCTGCGTCAATGGGTGATATCTGGTCCCCCAAGGTCCGGGACTACATGATCGGTGTCTGGGGCATGTTCGCCATTGCAGCACCCGTCCTAGGCCCAATGCTCGGCGGCTTCGCAGCATCCGCCAAAGGCTGGACATGGACAATCTGGCAGCTACTATGGGTGTCAGCATTCACACTCATTCTGCTGTTCTTCTTCCTCCCGGAAACATTTACGCCGAATATCCTCGCCCGTCGAGCTCGTCGAGTGCGTCGCATCACAGGCAACTCTCAATACATGTCCGACTCCGAAATCGAGATCAGGGAGATCAAGTCAAGGGTGTGTTCTCATACCTTATCTTCCAAGATTCAAATCTAACTTATGCACCCTCAGGACGTCCTCTTCGAAGCCCTCGTCCGCCCCTTTCAACTCTGCTTCTTTGAACCCATCGTCATCCTTCTAAATCTCTACATCTCCTTAATCTATGGCATTCTCTACATCTGGTTCGAAGCCTTCCCAATTGTGTTCGAAGAGATTCACGGCTTCAATCCCGGCGAAAGCGGCCTCGCCTTCATGGGCATCCTAGTCTCAACATGCTGCATCACTATCCCAGCCTACTTCTACTGGAAGTATCGCTACCAGTCTCGCTATTTTGATAAGAACGGAAATATAGCACCCGAGTACCAAATGCCGCCTGCCTGTGTTGGCGCATTTGCGCTCCCCATCTCTCTATTCTGGTTCGGCTGGACAGGTAACTTTGAGAGCGTGCATTGGATCGTGCCGATTATCGCGTCGATGTTATTCGCCGTTGGGGGCTGTTTGATTTTTAATTGTATTTTCTGTTATCTTGCGCATGCGTATCCGAAATATGCGGCTTCGGTGTTGGCTGGGAATGATTTTATGAGGTCGTCGTTTGGTGCTGGATTTCCACTTTTCGCGTCGGCCATGTTCCATAATTTGGGTGTTGGTTGGGCCTGTACATTGCTTGGATGTCTGACTTTGTGTTTTGTGCCGTTTCCGTTTATTTTGCTGTGGCGGGGGAGAAGGATTCGCATGACGAGCAAGTATGCGAGGCACGATATATAGTTCCTGGGGCTGAGGTATGAGGCTAAGGACACGAGGATATTCCCCGCATTTCCAAGCCTATAGATATGTTGTAAACTCTCTTAGACGAATTTACATTACAAAAATGCCACTTGCAATCATTTCCTTGTCCCAGATAACCAGAAATTTCGGTGTTCATCAAAAAGCAAAGACCCCCCTATCACAGGCTTGGCAACCTCGGCAGCTAAATAACTATATCGGGAACAAGTCGACGCCGATCACATTAGCGATGTCGTATTCGGACACCGAATACGCCTGCCCCAAGCGAGTTCTGCTTCTACCATGTGAAGTGGACCGGCGATCGACACTAGAAGAAGCCCCCATGGGGTATAGTGAAAGGGGGTCCAACCCGACTGGCTATCACTCATCGCAAACTTCTTTTCGCTGCCACCACCGTTGATCGCGAATGTCTGACCACCGCCACTCACTATGAGGCCATAAAATGGGTAGCTGTCTTTTTATTGTCACTTGAGATCTCTGACCTTGAATCTTATTCCTATTACACTCCAGGGGGGTTACCGGAACGAATGATAGAACTGCCCGATCACACTTATCCACCATGTCCAAGTCCGATATCGAGAGTAGCTCGGATTCAGACGCGAACGCCGTGGTTACGCCAGTCAAACCAACAGTATGGCAGCGATTTAAGGCACATATGAAGAAGTGGTGGTGGTGTTACTTGATCGGACTCTGCATCGTCGTCCTGGTGGTCATCTTACCACTGTAAGTCAACCTTGCAAGTATAAAGGCCAAAACACTTACCTTTCAGATTCTACGTGGGAATCCCCCACTTCGCCAACTCCTACATCAACAAATACAAGTACGACTACGAAGGCCTATCGATCACAAATCCCCGTCCAACATCATTCCACGTCCGCCAATCCCAGAAAATCAGCATGGGCGGCGGGTTCAGCGGCAGCGGCCACTTATCTGCATTCAACGCAAGCTGTAAAATCCTTTCTACTGGGGAACAATTCGCCATTTTCCCCGTGCCGACGATTGATTTCAGCAACGGTGCGACTCTGGATATTGACCACGATCTGGAAGTGACGTGTGTTGATTGTATGGCGCAGTTGGCTGTTGAGGCGGCGACGAATCAGAGCTTTGGGGTTTTGGTTACTGGGACGCCGGATTTGAAGTTTGGGTCGCTACCGACTGCTCATTTGGATATCCATAAGATGATGAATATGAATGGATATAATGTTACGGGTGAGTTTTGTGAGAGGTTTGTGGTTGCGTGTCTAACAAGTTGCAGACTTTGTGAATGAAAATGGTGCTTTCAATGTCACGAGCGTTGATCTGTTGGATACGCCTGTTGATGGATTCAATGTGAATGCTACAATTAGCATTCGTAATCCCACGCCCTTCATCGTTGAAATGGTACGTGTGCTTGTTTTTATCAGGAGCAGCAGGCTAATCAGTACAGGGTCATGTAACGTTCAACCTCAGCATGGGAGGCTCAGATCTGGGTTATGTTGATCTACCCAATCTGATGCTTCAGCAGGATATCTCCAGTACCATTGTCCTCGGAAAGATCAACACCTCAATGTTGGTAAACGAGGCTATTTTGGGCAGTGGAGAACTCGGTGAAGTCACTCTTGACATCAAGGGTCACAGCTGCGACTATAACGGGCACGATATCCCGTACTTCGCAGCAGCAATCAAGGCTATTCAGGCATCGGCAACCCTTGACTTGCTGCAGTATGTCTCAAGCCTCAAATCGCTTTAAATATTAGATGTGCCACGATTCTGAAGATTTCAGATAAAGAGATAATAGTATTCAAGAAACTGGGAGACCTGGAAAAACAATGATATCTCCGATACGCCAGAGCCATCTATGATGCGCCATAACCAGATGCAAGCTTGGAACAAATCGAAAAATAATAGAAAGCTCACAAAGCATGAAGCATACTACCATCCTTGATGCTCAAATATGGCTCAGTAGTCCATTGAGAACCCACCACCTGCATTGCCACCCTTGGAATCATTCGTTGGCTCATGTCCACTTTGATCATCCAAGGACTTGTAGTAGGGGTTTGACCCGCCACGACCTCGGCCACGGCCTCCCCGAGCACCTCGCCCGCGCCCGTTTCCACGACCACGACCACGACCCGAGCCCCTGCGGGGACCGTCGTCGTGGTTATTGCGGTTATTCTGATACGGGTGGTAACCATGCGATTGGCCTTGCGCTTGCACATAGCCTTCGTATCCGTTGGTCTGGCCAGACTGAGGGTATAAAATCTCCTCGTTTCGGTCTTGGAAGCGCCTCTTGTGACCTTTATTCATGAACTGGCTCTCCCATTCGCCCTCCTGAGGGTTGTCTGCCTCGACCCGAAGAACCACCTTCTCACCAATAATAGCTTCAAAGGTCATGGCCATTTCGGCAGGAACGGGGTGCCAGTTCTGGATTTTGCCTGCATCAATTGGGCGTGACCCTTTGCGAACAGCTAGGACAATGAGAGGGGTGGAATTTTCAGTGTAGATTGTCTCTGTAGCTGGAATGGGCCTCACACGAGCCGCCCAAACTCTGTTCTCATAACATCCGGTTCCAGTGACCTGCCAGCTTAGTTTCTTTCCCATGCCTCCAATCTTCTCCAAGATGGACTTGGGAGCGGGACGGGGTGCGATAAGGATGCTATTAGCCATGTATTTTAAATTGTTTGCTTCAGACATCCCTGGAGGCAAAAGCGGTACGAGCAGACTCTCAACCATTTTGTTTGAGTCTTGTGCAGAAAGCAAGTACCCAGTGTAGAAAACTGTCCGCTTAATGCGCATCCGATTCTTGGTTCCGGAGAGATTGCCCAACGCAAGATTGTGTGAATTAATCATTCGCTGCACCTCCGCAACTTCGGTAGCCGGGTCGAGATATCTGGTATCTTCTGAGACCTGGATCACTTCAGCCGTCGTGGGCGTTCGAGGAGCATCAGGTTCATTCTGCAATTTTCTGTTCACATCCTCGAAGAAATCCCTGAAGCCGGACACACTAAAGCAACATTAACACATGTAATACTTTAAGATGCCTAACCAGACTCACTGTTTGACACGGTCCTCGTAAACACGAATTTCTTCAGCCTGTTTGTAAGTGAAAAGAAGATCCTGCAGGAAATTCTGTTTGAACGCCATGGTAGAAGTGAAGCGCTGGCCGTTGGGCCCAACCTCGGGCTTCAGCCCGACCAAATCAAAATCGAGGTTCTGACTTGCCACCATGCGTTTGATGGGCTCGCCAAATTTAGCCTCGCCTCGGCCGGTCAAGAGCACAGTCAGGGCATCTTTCTGTTCCATACTAAGTCTCACCAAGCGGATCTTGTATCAGTCAGCCAAGGGCGCATTGCAATTGGAAAAGGAGTGATATACAATCTGCTCATTCCAGCATCCTTGCCATCCTCGAGGCTCCTCGATCTCGGTTCCACTTCCTGTAGCAGCCAGGATTGTAGGGTCGTGCCACCAGCCGCCATTTGCGAAGCTCTCATATGCCTGAAGGAATCCAATCGTACCTCCGTTCCATAACTGCGGGTTGGGAAGTGGGCTCAGAAAAACTAGAGAGGTGAAGCGTCAGCGTCAGCATCTTGACTTGTGAGTCGAAGAGATGCGGGGGTCTCACGGGTGTTGTCAAAGTCATAAACATGGATTGCTCGAATTTGAGAGACAGCTGGATAGAGTCAACGAATACTCTTCCTTGCGGCGGTAAGTGTAAACTAACAAGGAAGCTCTTTGTTCAAGACAGACCAACGCTTCAGCGAGGTCGTGGTGTATGATCGCGGCGCATTTGCGGTCATGCTGGATGTTGTATTGCCCAACTGGGCTAATCTCTCAGATATGACGGCCTTTGCAGAACGCATCAGAGGATTCTGATCTAAGCTCTCAGCAGGTAGAGGACTATCAATAGCGAAGCATGTTGTGAGGCTTGGGGAAGGCAATCGCAACACCGAAGCAGTCGCCATCTTTTTCTGCCGCGGGCGGTACCGGTGCGGTAGCGGCCTCCTGCCTCCATTCGCCCGTCTCTTGCTTCCTTTGCCCATGGAGGGGGACTTGCAGCGGGAAATTCTCCAAAGGACACTCAAAGAAGTGGAAGATGAAGAAGCTGAAGGTGATCCTTGTGTGATTTGCCTGGAGACTATAACTGAGCCCTGTGTTGCTGTGCCGTGCAAACACTCCAACTTCGATTACCTGTGTCTCTTGAGCTGGCTGGAGCAGCAGCCGAACTGTCCACTATGTATGGACCTTGATGACACGCAGGAGTGTGATTCAAGAACATTGACTGATTCAAAAAATAGGCAAGGTTCAACTTGCGAAGGTGCAATATGACCTGAAAGACCCGCGGGGCGCCAAAACATACAATGTTCCTCTCACGCAACCGTCGAAAGAGTCTCACCAGACCTCTGGAACTCATTCGCGAGCTCTCGCAGGCGGCCTCTTAACGGATCATTCCCGAAGGCGACGACACAGACCTCCTCCGCGCCAGACTTTAGCTCCCTCGGATGACCCTCTCGCCGTGCGACGAAACGTCTATCGCAACCAACTATACTCCCTCCGAGTCGGGTCAAATCGGCTTTCACAATACACGGAAGTGACACCGGAACATTTCAACCGCGACGAAACGCTCGTTTCGCGCGCTCGGAAATGGATCCGCCGCGAGCTACAGGTCTTTGCTTTCCTGAATCCGGATACAGAACACCAGCTAGCCGGCCCAGCTCGACCAGGACTCCAGAGGCTGGAAGAACGTAGAGCCAACAACGCCGAGTTCCTCCTCGAGTATGTGATTGCAATTCTGCGCACCGTCGACATCAAGGGTAGCGCGGGGCAGGCGGAGGAGCTACTTCGAGACTTTGTCGGTCGTGAAAATGCGCGCTTGTTCTTACATGAATTACTGGCTTGGTTGAGGAGTCCTTACTCATCGTTACAGGACTGGGATCGTCATGTGCAGTATCCAAGGCTTGCGCGTAGCCGAAGCCCTGCGCAGTATCCTCCTGAAGGAGGTGGCGGCGGAGACAGGTCAAGGCTAGAACGTCCGGCTCGTCGGCCATCTCGAGACCAAGAAGCAGCCCACCGTCGTAGTAAATCCCCAGACCGTGAACATGACCGAAGTCTCTTCGATCGGATCTCGAGACCTGGAGAGCGCAATCCTTCACATGCTCCTAGAGCCCGTTCAACCCGCCGTCCGAGGCCACCGAGGAACCGAGACCTTCTAGATCGATATATACCAGATTAAAAGTCCAGAAAGTTTAGAAATCCATGCGATAGAATAACCTCACGACAACTACATACGAACCATATGACAATGCGCCTTATATCCATCTTCCGAAGTAGCTCAGTCCATTACTGCCCATAAATCAATGCTAAATAGAAAATGCAAAGAATAAGTTGCCGCCGATGAATAGTAAGCCTATCCATGATAAAACAAATGCAATCGTGACTTCATGAATACAAGCAAAGCTGCATCTTTAAACTTATTTCCTCCGGAAACGTCCCCCGCCCCTCCCCCTCCCTCGATGAATCTTCAATGAGCGATAGTTTGCATGAGCCTGGGGATTGACCTTCTTAGGAGGCTTCGTCTTCTCCTCCTTGTCGTCTGTCTCAGGCTCTGGGGCCTTCACCGGTACTACCTTAGCCTTCGGCATAAAGCCTACAGCCTCCTTGATGCGTTCCGAGAAGCTCTTCGCCCTCGCCAATGGCTTAGGCCGCTCATTCAATCCAGGATCGTCATCCGAGTCCATATCAGGCTCAGTCCCATAGTCCGATTCAGCTTCGATGCTATGCAAAGAAGCAACATCGTCGGGGATCTCGATCCCTTGCTCCTCGCCCTTGGAATCTGCAAGCTGTGTCTCAGGAATAGCTACAACTTCATCATCGCTATCGTCGACGGGTGCAGCCTCCGGCTTTGATTTGGGACGAGGCGCAACGGGTCGCATGATGACTCGGCGAGTCGTGCGCTTCTGGCCCTTCTTCTTATATGGCTTGCCCTTTTGTTCCGGGTAGTGGTCTTCTGGGGCCATGTTGACGGCTTCTTGTTCTGTTTCTAATTCGCGGAGCATGTCCCATTCATCGTCGTTACGTTCTTCTTCCATTGCGCGAAGACCTTGGACAATGTGCGAGAGGCCTCTTCCGGCGTATTGGACTGGTTTTCTAGACGCGATTGGACTAAGGCCACCGCTGTTGTTGTGTGTGAGCGGAGGGAGGCGGTTGAAGTTGGAGCGGCGGAGGAAAGATGGTGTTTCTGAAGGATGTGGCTCTGGTGACGCGGCGGCTGCTGATAGTGATGCATTTCGCTGGTCTGCTTTCTCGTCTTCCGCCTCTACCATGGCGGCATAACGCATTGTGGTCGGGGTTGCGAATAGATTGGCTAGGTAGAATTGTTTCGTTGAAGATGCTGGGGTGCGCGACAATCTGGAGCTTTCCTCCTCCTCATCTGGGGCTTCTGCGATGGGTTCGAATGTCTTGCGCTTGGAAGGAGTTTGGAATCCTGCTCCTAGCATATCCTTTTGCTTCTTTGCGGAGGGTGTCGCATGACTTCCGCCTGACTCGGACAGCATATCGAATAGACCGAGGGTTTTACCATCGCGCTGGGGCGTAGGGCCAATGACTGCTTTCAAAGGAGACGGTGCGGGAAGACTTTGCCGGTGTGTGCTGGGACTGAACAGTCTGCGGAAGGTCGAGGGCGAGTCGTAGGGATCTAGCTGCGAGGGATGGATCTCTTTGGTGCGGTTGTTGGATGGAGTCGCAAAGAGTCCTTTGGATGACTTGCGCGGAGTTCCTTTGATATGCGATCCAGCTGGACCAGGAGGCGACGCATATTTTCGCTTTTTGGAGTGGCTTTCAGGGTGTTCTTGTCGACGATTTTCGCGTCGGGCCAGGGAAGCCTCGAGATTTTTAAGTCGGGTATACTCTTTGTATTTCGCAGCTACAAGCAACAGTGAGTTTCAATCGCATTGGAAAACAGAATTCCAAGCTTGTAGACCCAAGCTCGGGACCATCCTCACCAATTTCGTGGTTCTGTTTGATGTCGTCTCGGCCAGCCTTTTTCCCGCCGTGCGTTGACGCGAACTCTTTTTCCCAGACCTTTAATTCGGCACGAACTGCAACTGCCTGGTCTGCGATCTCAGTGCGAAAAGTGAGGGCGTGGCCAGTCATTGTTGCATTGCGAAGGTGTAAGAAAGGAGACGCGACGCGAAACCAATTAACGCGGTGACGTCGCGTCGGCCCGCAACCCTTCCAAGGCTAGGGTCCTTGATACTTCCACCCAAACTCCATTTACCATGGGAATAGATTGTAATTTAAAATATACTATATCTTGCCTCACATATCTAATGGCATACGAAGATGTCTGCTGCAATGCTACCAGAATGTGTGTGCCTACCAGGCTGCAGCATTGTACACTGCAGCCAGACCATGAATGACAAAGCATTCTAGATCAGCAGCTGCGAATTATCACCTCAGACGTATTTGAAGTCATTTAGAAGGAGGCCTTGAAAATGAACAAAAGAAGTCTAGGAGATCTCTAAAGTAATGCATAGACAGATGTCAGAAAATAGCCGAGCAATCAAATGCGGAGGTCCCGTCAGATTATCTTCTTGGTCGAGCTGTACTTCCCCGCCATGATGACCTAAGAGGTTGCATATGATGCTTGTCCGCCGCCTAGTGGCCTGAATCAAGGCTCAGTACTATAAAGTGGCCGGCCCCGCCTGGTTAGAGCTGATAATACCCATTCGAGAACCTGCCTAGTATGACTATCCGCTCTCTAAATATGACTGCTACTGGCGAACAGTCCCCATTCAATGCCGAATTCGATCAACTCGTCACTGATACCCTTGGAACATGGAAGATCCCGGGATTGTCTATCGCTATTGTGCACGGAGCTCACACTCATTCCAAGGTAGGAAATCGCTTGGATGTGAGTGGCTATCAATCCGTTAATGAATTATAGGCCTATGGACTGGCAGAGTTCCCGAACAAGAACATGACAACCGATGCACTATTTCCGGCCGCTAGTACCACGAAAGCTTTCACCAGTGCAGCCACTTCTATGGTTATCAAAGATAGCAAATACACCGAGTCTCCAATTGACTGGGACACGCCCATTTCTTCTCTGATCCCAGACGATTTTGCCCTGGCGGATGACTACCTCACTGCACACACCACGCTAGAGGACGCGCTCTCCCACAGAACAGGGCAGCCAGGCCACAACTGGATGCTAAGCTATACGCCAGAAGATGCAACCCCTCAAGACCTCGTTCGCTCGTTGCGGCACTTGCCAATCTCACACCCCCCTCGGACTCATTTCCAGTACACCAACAACATGTTCATCGCAGTGACACATGCCCTGCACGAAATAACAGGCATTCCTCTAGGAAGGATTCTTAAACAGCGAATCTGGGAACCACTTAACATGAATGAAACGTTTTTCGGAGTCCCCGAAGCCCAATCGAACCCATCAGCCGCAGGCAGAATTGCAGAAGGATATACTTGGTCACCCGATAGCGAGGGCGGCTTTTACTCCAAAGAGAGCCAACCAAGCTGGAGAGCAAACACTGGCGCTGGAGCGATAGTCAGCAGTGTCCTTGACTACTCTAAATGGATCAGAGAACAGATTGAGAAATCTGGACCTCTGAAAGACCACGATTCCCTAATCAAGCCCCGAACTTTCCATTTCGAGGAAGGTGATCTGAACTTACCCTCACCATACCACGCATATGCTCTAGGCTGGTTCGTGGATAACTACCGCGGTCAAAATCTCTATCATCATACTGGTAGTTGGCCCGGGTATGGAAGCTTCGTGGGCTTCATCCCCGATAAACAGTTCGGGTTCGTCATGATGGGGAACTCGGCCACCGCCAGGAACGGGACCCTGAAACTGGTTATTCATCTTATCGATAAATTGCTTGGACCTTCCACTGACCCTTTACTCAATGAACGAATGACTGCTTGCTTCAAAAGACAGATGGAGGAGCGCGAGCAAATGATGGAGGATTTACAGCGGAGTACGGAGGATGTCAAGAAGCGGCTATTTCTTCGACTTCCTGATCCTCCAATTCCTCATTCTCTGGACCTGGAGAAATATGCGGGGACGTATAAGCATCCGGCTAATGCCTCGGTCACTATCAAGTTTGAAGATGGAAAGTTGTTTACTGAGAAGACTCAAGGCGCTCTACCTAGTGTCTTGGACCTGACGCATGCTAGTGGAAATTTCTTTGTTGGTAGGACGAAGACCTTTAATCTTGCTTTGATGGTGCCGTTCATCGTGGAGTTTTGGATTGACTCCACGGGGAGTGTCAGGAAAGTTGGAATGGATGTGGAGCCAAGCTTGAAGGGAGAGATGATCTGGTTTGAGCGTTGTGAAGTTTGACAGCGTCAAACAGTGGTTTGAGCACCTCTTAATAGTCTATATGATTTTGTAAATGTTGTGATTTTGCAAATGAAAAGCTGTGAAGCGACCTTGACGCATGAGAATGAGTGTGCAGTGAGTACTTGGCTGGAGAACAAATAATGCCGAGTCTCAGTCTCACAACGCATCACCAGCTCGTCAGCCCCCGCACCCTGTCAAACCCACCCCTCAACTGTGACTCAGGATGGACAACCTTCCCCTCCAGAATAGTATACTTGACTAGACCCTCACAATGTTCTGGTTTTACTCGCGCAAGCCAGATCATCTGCTGATTCTTCTTCCGATAAACAAGCACATTAGCAGAAAACTTGTGGCCCCCAACATGCGAGACAAAGAAAATGCCAACACCACCAGGCCGTGAATCATCCGCATCACGATCAAGACCCAGGGGGCGAAGATGGCGCTCGAGCTCACGTTTGATAAGAGGCGCTGTAATTCCACAGCGCGCATCTCGTCGTCGGTGCGAACACAGTAGAACCACGTAGTCCAGTTCGCAAGGGCGGGCGTTCATGCCTGCGTCTGGTGTAACAATAGATTTGTCGATCTTTTCGTCATAGTTGTCGATGTATCGGTTGACCAAGTCCGGGACGTCTGCTTGTGACACAGAGTCCACGAATGTGAATGCTGGGAGAATGAGTACCGTTGTAGGGGTCGAATTGTCGCCTGAGTGGTCTAGGGGTTGGATATTTGATGCCGAGACCATGATGCGCTGCAGGATTATCAGTAGAGGAGCGGAAATGAGGACTGGAAATCCGTACGCCGAGTCTGGATTTGGCTGAACCTTCATCAAATGCCTCCATCAGACTCCCTTTCTCCTGTCCGACTTTCTCCTTCCAATCGGACCGCCCCGTCGCGACCAGGACGTGGGAGTGGAATTCTTTGATGTGGCCGTACAATGGTCTTGAAGTTTCGATTTTCACTTTGTCTGGGAACTGCGTTGTGCAGTCGGCGCAGTCTTTGAGGCAGTCAGGACCGTCCTGCGTAGGATCCACCTTGGGGAAGAGATAGTCGGGGGTCCGACCCAGTGACAACAAAGAACGTAACATGACTACGATGCGAAGTGAATTGCCTCAGGTCAGCTAAGTCAGAGTAAGAGATGCGCGCTGGCTAATTGAAAAGTGAAACATCTCTGTTCTGAGTTGTCGGTGCCTGGAGTTCATATACTCCAGTATCTCCGAGCGGAAGCTCCGAACGCTTAAAGCCGAGGAAGTCCCGATCACCTTTGCTTCTTTGGGACTTGAAGTCGGATATTAGGACTTTCCGCTGACTAACTACTGAGCATTACACCTTATCTGCATTGAATACACTTTTAATTATCTCGGTTTATTTGCTTCCCTTTAACTACCCATGGTTACTACCTCTCGCTTGCAGAACGGCAAATTCGTTCTACTCGGGCCGGTCAAACATCTCGAAGATTGACATGTTGCGCGGAAATCCTATATTCAGCGGAGAAAAAAGTGATAAAGGCAATCAACGTAGAATTTCTTCTCCGAGGCGTCCTGTCTGAATGTGGTTGCCTACTCCATGCCTACTTAGTAGTAATGTGTAGATTAAACTACGGGCTAGATAAAGTGTTTAAACAGCGCAAAGAAGGCTAAAAAATGGGAAAGAGGCCTAATTCTCTACATCTGGGAAAAAGCCATTGAGAAATTTACAACACTCGAGAAAGGCATAATCGATACGATATGGAATTTGGTATGGAATACACAAAAACAAAGACCAATTGAAAGGAAAAGAATTCTACATTACGAAGGCGGAGTGGGAAACTCTTTTCTTGTAATATGCTTCTTAGAAGATCATGCTGCAATGGGAGACTTCGCAGATAATTGCTCTTGTGTAAGCGGCTGCGATGCATCTAGCTCATAAATTGCGCGGCCATTCTGACCAGCAAGCATTTTATAGACTGTATTTTGTGGCCCGGAGCCCAGTTCAGCAACCTTTAGAGGCAATTCTGTGTCGAGCTCATGATTTCCATTTGGAGATCCATTGGGCTCATTGGGTAAAGCAGCAGGCAGCTCAGCCAACTGCTGATAGGGGGTAGGAAGAGCATCCATCGACGATACCCCTGGCTGTGCATAGAATTGCTCTGAATTGAGAAGCCGCATGAGAGGCTCAGCCTCCGGTGGTGAAGAAATCTTCCCACTGAGCAATTGCTTTGCTGTGAGCTCCGCGCCATACATCTTTTTATTGGTCTCGAGTCGCTGGCCAATGATTCCGCCCTTGAATGACCTCCCACCGAATTTACCGCCAGTCTTCGAGTACGCAAACATACCCACCATGCTCTGAGAGCCGACAGCGCCAGCGATCTCGCTGCTACGACCCCAAGGTCCCAAAGCGACGGAGACGTTACGACCGAGAGTGAGATATCTAGATTGGACAAATGTCTTCATGACCGCATCGCTGTTCAACACAATTACAAAAATCTGGCCGCCTAGCCCGATGCCGCCTGTCGCCATGGCAGATGGGGCGGATCAGCTGCCATCAGGTAATTGAGCGACTATCAGCCCTGACCCGAACCGAATGGAGCCGACCGCTCCAAACCTTTACGGCTGTGAAGATAGCAAGGCCCTGAAGTCGTCAGTGTCGTTCAGCTCCAGGCTGGAAATGGCCTACCTTTGCACGGGCGACCCTGAATTCTGAGATCGGCATCGCCAGTCTTTGAAGATTCTGAATTGATAAAGGAGACTGAGACTTTCTCGGCTTTCTTGCATTCATTTTTTTTTTTTTTTGAGAATTAGTCTTGGTGTCGCTTTTAATTATCTGGCAGCCAAACGCGCACTGGCCAGCGACGAGGGTAATGGGTTATTCAATCCGGGCATCGAGGTCCACTTGCTCAAAGCTGAGCTTGAGGACCCGGAATCCGAGCTAGCGATGGGGTTGTTCCGTTCTATTGTGTTCTGTGTAAGTGTCTCGGAGCTGTACTTGGCATTTTGAAGTGCAGAAAAGGGAAGTGGGGGTGAGATTAGCAAGGCTGCATGATCCTTAACCATGTCGAAATTCGGCTAGCGCTTGTCATCTTGTTGATATCGTATCTGTTTCAGTACGAAGCGAATGGCCCGTCATGTGGAATTTGATCGGATAGCAGACAGCAGAGAGCGTAACTTGGTTGACTCGTTCTCAATGGACCCGCACAACCTCACCATGAAATCATTCGGCACACCGAGAGAAGACTCGCCAAGGCATTCGTGCAGATCAGATACTTGATCGGATGATTTCAATAAGAGCAACGCGTTCTATAAGGTCAGATCCTGAGAATCTTACTCATCCAACTCTTAGGGAACCGGTACACGGGAGACAGACGGAGTGGGTGGCCTCAGCGTGAGATCTCCCAGTCACATTCCCTAGACATAATGTCTTTAGAATGCAAGGAAGAATAAATCTCGTGCACGTTACATAGTTTCTCAATCGCCGTGAGGCAGAGAAAATCTATAGTGGGGGTGGATCGGACACACTTTCCGCATTGGGGAGTGCAGAGCGGGCCTTTCCACGTAAGCCGAAGCTCCCTAACTCAACATCTCGGATCTAACGATAACCCATTTATATGCTTCATGTCTATGATTGTATGACTTCATATATGGCAGACATTCAGATGTTTGACACTCCGCAGGCCGAGCGGCCGCGCAAAAGGCGCCGCCGCACTATGGCCTGCACTCAATGCCGCAGCCGCAAATTGCGATGTGATCGTGAGTATCCGACGTGTAGCCGTTGTCTTAAGAGCAGAACGCCCACAAAGTGTACTTATGAGGATGGCTTCCTGTGGCAGCAGCCCGCCACTGTACCTGCTACGGCATTCGCCTCTGACCGAGGCTCCACCGTCTCATTGCCCCAGAATGAGCAGACTCCTATTCAGACATCCCCGAACCCGGGATTAGGACCGACCTCAACTCGGTCGGAGACTCTTCTTTCGACAGGTGACCCCGGCCCCGCGTCAAACCCATATGAGGGCCCGCATCATCACCATCACGGTAGGGGAAGAGGACATCATGGCCGTGAACGTGGCTTCCTCGAGACTGTGCTAGGTGCCCCTAAAGCCGCCGTCAATCAAGAACCGTATGTTAATGCGGGCTTTCTGCAGCGGCCAAAACGTGCATTACCTGAACTAGAGATACCCTTCGGCTCGCAGGTCGACGGTAAAGGCATTAATGACGAGGATTCTGAGAGCGAGCTTTCGCCGACGCAGCAGCTTGATCTGTCCCCTCGGATCATGATGAGAGGCCGCGAAACTAAGACTCGTTTTAGTGGTTCGGGCATATATGCGAATCTAATAGCCCAGGTACGTACTTTGCAGGTCATTTGTTACCCACTTCAGTTCTGATCAGTGTCTAGTTCCCTGACATTCGATCCTTCGCAGAGGAAATCAGATTATCAAATCCCATTCTCTCAAGAGTCCGGCCTGACCTGGAGAGGGTCAAGCGTGGTTTATGGAAGGTCAAGCCACTGAACACACCATTCCCCGAGCCTACAGCGCTATCATTGATTTCTTTACTGCCACCGCGCCAGGTTGTCGACGAACTCATTGGCCTGTATCTGACTTATATCGAGTCTACACACCGCATCTTCCATATCCCTACTTTTCTGAAGGAGGTGGATGACTTTTTCTCCATGGTCGATGACCCGAACATGGTGTCAACGGCGTTTGTGGTGCAGCTCCTGCTGGTGATTTCCTGCGCATGGAACCTTGCAGATGCCAGCAGTCTGCAAGAAAAAGCTCCGTTCCGCTCAAATGCTACACGGCGGTGGAGTGGGTCCTGCACGCGGAAAGGTGGATCGAAAATGCTCGCATTAAACGCTTTGAAATCAGTGCTTTGCGACTCTACATTCTTTTGGTCACTGCTCTGAATGCTCATGGCATGAAACGCAGCAAGGCCTGGGTTACTACTGGCTCACTAGTCCAAAATGCCATGCTGTCGGGGTATCATCGCGATCCAAGCAAGTATGCACGTATATCCCCGTTCAACAAAGAAATGCGACGGCGGATCTGGACGACGATTGTGGAGTTGAACTTACAAGTTTCCTTTGATCGGGCTATGCCACCATCGGTTCAAAGCTCGGACTTCGACACCTTGCCCCCTTTGAATATCGACGACGAAGAGATTGACGAGACCTCTACCGAGGCACCGGAGGCTCGGCCTCTGACTGATATCACCGACTGTTCATTCCAGGTTGCCCTCACGCGGTCTCTGCCTCTTCGCCTGAAAGCCTGCCAGCTGATGCACTCTCCTCACATTAGCTGTCGATATGAGGAAATCCAACGCCTTGACTTGGAGTTAAACCGACAACTTTCTCGGATTCCTATCTGGGGTGCGTCCGACGCCAGCGATATCGTTTCTCAGCACAAAGTCAGTCTACGGAAGGCCACGATCGAGTTGAAAATTGCGCAAGCTCTGCTCTCGATACACACTCCATTTGCGATAGAAGCCCGACGGGAGGCGCTTTTCGCCCCCTCGGCTAGGTCCCGCCTGGATGCTGCTATTATGATACTTTCCACCCAGCGCCAGCTGCACACGACCTCGCTGCCGCTTTCACTTTGTACGCTTGGGGAGTGGGTACTCCAAGCCTACATATCCATCTGCCAGCATCTACATACCATGGACCACCACAATTGTATGTTTTGCCAGCATCTGACCTCTCATCTTCAACTGACCAATCCATAGCTCTTCCGTCACATCCGTCATCCTCTATCTTTACGATGCACACCCTGCCAGGCCTACCCGACCCCTTTTTGTCCCTGGTGGAAGCTGGCCTCATCTCTCTCGAAAGCCGATTTCTACTGGTCGTCAAGGGTGCCAAAGACTATTTTTTCCTGTCAACCATTATCGCACTGGTCAAGGCCAAGCTCTGGCCCGCCCAGGAGCTCGTTTACAAACAGCAAGTGGTGGAGCGGGTGCTCTCCTTCGCGCAGACTCTGTTTTCGCGACACGCGACCTGTGAGCACTTGGGAACCCCAGGTATGGGCAGTTTTAAGAACAACCAGGTTTGTCTCCCCCGTAGGACACCAATTGAGTTCCCTTCTGACCCACATAGGTGGCTGCCTTTCTCGCAACCCGCGGAATGGCAGCCGTCCTGCCCTCCGACTTCGACGGCATACTCCTACAGCCTGATCTCGCCATAACCGTAAGGCTTCTACCCTTCCGGCGAACTGTGAACCCTCGTGCCTTTCTAACCATGCTGCAGCCACCCGGAGAGTTCGACCCCTTTTTAGATGTATTCGACTGGGAGGATCTAACAGGAATCGCATTCGGCAACTAAGACCCCGCCCGAACCCCCCGATATGTACAGTACGATAGGTACAGTGGATCAGGAAAAGCCATCATTGATTTGGACTGTGTAATGAATAGCATGATTACATCACCGGACCATGTCATCGTAGATTAACATCCAAATCAGGTCCCAAATGTTGGTCAGGGGAGCTCAGGAGCTTGGCCGGGTCCACAGTGAGATCATGATCCGACTGACGATCGGTCGCGGCTGCAAGGGCATGCCGATCGGCTAATATCAGCCGCGGTCGCAGAACCGGAACTATTCCAATAGACCATGTACGGTATCAATGGCTCGCGAGGTTGATCCATGCGAGTTGATCACTGCGAGCCTTGCGACTGAACCGAGGGGGGGCCAGGCTGCCAAAGTCTGTGGGGCCCTGATAAGGGTCGGGTACACATGAGTTGTACATACACTAGGGCCGAGGGTCTGGGTCTGGGTCTGGGTCTGGGTCTGGGTCTCCTGATCCAGGAACAAATGATGTCTGCATATGCTCGGCATGGAAATTACAGAGTCAGTCCGGAGATGGCGAAGTGAACTCATTGGTGGGAGAGGGGTCGAAACCAGAGGCACAGCGACAGGAAGAGACCAGACACGGCCAACCAGAGTTGCTCGATTCATCGCGCCAACAGTCTGCGAGTCCCGTGAGGAGACCTGGCGCTGTGACAGGCTGGACGGTGGGGTAGTGCGACTCACAAGGACTTATGCTTCTGCCTGTCCCACTACGTGCCCACAAGTACCACTAAGTAGATCCCAAAATGGCAGCCTAAAACACTTGGCTTTTGTTTAGTTCGATCGACGTGCGGACCCTGCGGATTTTCATGGCTGTGTTGGTCTTTTTTCTTTTTTGATTTGCTTTGATTTTTTATTACTCAATCAGAGGCTACTTATGTAGCCTGCCATGTGCCCGGATGTTCCATATTTATTCCTCGTTCGCTTCCTTTGATCTCTCTCAAGTTGTTATCCTTCCCCAGCGCACCATGCGCTATCCGTCTCGATAAACGCACCAATTCCTCACCTCCATGACCTCCAAGGCAGCAATTACAGCCTCTTCCCTCAATCGGTGAACCCGCAGCGCGGGATATACCTGTCCAGATCTACAACACAAGGAGACGAAAACCACCTCGCAATGTACCCATCCAGGCCTCTACCCCATCTCCGACTCCTTATTCTCGCATTGATCACTATAGTGGGGGCGAATCCAGCGTCCGAATGGGGCCCCACAGTATCACGAGTGTACGACACAACCGACAAAATTCCACTCCCAAACCAAGGCCACCTCCAAGTCCACGACCCAAACATCATCCTGCACAATGGCAGCTACTACCTCTTCAAAGGCGGCCCCAGCGTGCCCATATTCAAGGCAACCAACATGACCGGTCCCTGGTCTAAAATCGGCACCGTTCTCGACGGCGACAGCATCATTCACACAGGAAATCGTTCGCGACCTTGGGCACCTACGACAATCGCGCGCGACGGCACGTTTTACTGCTATTACACGCTAAGCACGCACGGCTCGCGTAAAAGCGCCATCGGAGTCGCCACTACAACCACGCTAGACGGGAGCCCATGGACGGACCACGGGGCTGTCATCCACACAGGCGACGGGGAGGGTTCGAAAGTGTGGCCGTTTACGATTACGAATGCGATTGATGCGTCCTTCATTACGGATAACTCAACGGGGAAGTCGTATCTCAATTACGGGAGTTTCTGGCATGATATTTGGCAGCTTCCGCTCTCGGATGATTTGCTGTCGATTGAGGATCCTGGGGATCCGGATGCGATGCAGTTGACTTTTCTTCCACATGAGCGGGTCAAGCCGCAGGAGGGATCGTGGATGAGTTATCGGGATGGGTATTATTATGTTTGGTTTAGTCACGGGAAGTGCTGTAAGTTCACGGAGGGATTCCCTGTGCGCGGGATGGAGTATAGTATTCGGGTTGGAAGGTCGAAGAATGTGCGTGGGCCGTTTGTGGATAAGGACGGTCAAATGCTGCTTGATGGGGGTGGGTCGATTGTGTATGCGTCGAATCATGGGAAGGTGTATGCGCCCGGTGGGATTGGTGTTTTGGATGGGAATGAGACGACGCCGGATATTCTTTATTATCACTATTTGAATACGTCGATTGGGTTTTTTGATAGTGTTTGTGTTCCCTGATCAGATTCTGGAGTTTGGCTGTACTGACTTTTGATGGCAGGATGCTCATTTGGGCTGGAATTTGCTCAATTACTCGGATGGGTGGCCATTTGTTGTTGATGGTATACTTATGTCGGCGGATTCGGGCACCATGGCGTATCTCCCGAATTGCTTCTATCTGACGATCGTGATGTGTAGGTTGGATTTCCTGGGATATTCAAGATCTCTGCTAACTGGCCTAGTTTCATGGCTGTACATATGGTCATAGCGGATGCCCTGGCATGGCATCATCCACTGCTTCCCCTCTCTTTTTAGCGATTGCACCATAAAGCTCATAGAGATGGCGTTTTGCTTTTAGACACCGGGTCATTTTCTTTAGCGTGCGGTTTTCTGGGTAGTATGTTTCATTTTGCATGGCGATCTGATAACTCCGCATTTATACCTGCAATATTCAAGAATGTTGCATCCAATCACCGAATCACGTAACTCTTCCAATGGACTCGGTGGCACCGCGTGATGACCCGTCTTATTCAATGAGGCTATTACCGATGTGGTTTGCTGGGATGAGGAGTGGACATGCAAGTAGAACAGGGACCAGAGCCAAGACATGAAAACATGGCGAGACACTCAATTCGGGTATAAAGCTTCAAGCCACCATGCTGCTTCTGGGTCACGGCCGTTTTGGATCTTCTCAATTGCCATATGACCGGCTCGTAGTAGCCGTCGATTACGCGGGGGTCTTTACAATCGGGAAGATTACTCCCAGAGTGAGATTGAGGGGATTTCCGGTTATTGGCGGGGGAAGTTGAATCGGTCGGGAATGATGTGGCTTAGTCTGAGAAAAACGAGTGTAGGTGGCGTGGACCCGGGCGACTTCCATTTCTCCACCGGGTTCCTGGTGACGAAGCTGGGATGACATGGTGGCGGTGTTAGTCTCATTTAACCAGAAGTAGTCGAGGGAGAAGATGAGAGTGAATGTGATCGAGATCTTCCGAGGCGGCGTTGGACGGGAGAATTATTTCCGTTCTGATTCTTGCCTTTCTGTAAAGAGGAAGGAATAGCAATGTTGGTGGGTATTGTCCATGTAAGTCACTCGTCTGGATACCGGATTTTTATCCAGGTCTACAAAGTCCTCCCCTCATGAGATTTATGAAATGGAATTCAAAATTGACATAAAGAGCTAGCAAGCCCGAGGGCCGTGACTATACCTCTATACCTTCATCCCATGTGATTTGTAAGAATGATGCGCTCTTGGCTCTCGTTTACACTTTCCTCCAGTATAGACGTCCCCATCCCCAAATGTCCCTTTTTCCTGCTGCGTTTGATCTCACCAGCACTGACTTCCCCGAGCTCATGTGGTGTGTTGCCGGTTGATTCGGTGTCTTTCGAGTTTATACTTGACCCGAAACGGCGGAAGAATGGGAGTGGTTTCAGAGATGAGAGAGAGCCGGCGACGAGACCTAGATTGAACTCGATGACCATCCAGTATAGAGACGATGCTGAATCGACTGTGATTGAGTGTTGTTAGCGAATGATGAAGGACAGGTGTTTGAGGTAAGTTTTCGTACAGGTCAGATCCGTAGTCCCTTTGCGCAGATAATCTAGCGTGCTGAAGCGAACGACGGGGGCAATACAGGCGATTATACCTGAAGTTGAAATCAGTATTGAAACCTGTTGGAAAATTTATACAGACCTGTTCCGAAAATTGCCATCAAGGCAGCGATTTTCCTCGTTGGCATCTGCAAGCCGTACAGAATTGGCACGGGCGCAAGCAGCATGATTATATCGGCGACAAAAATGAGCACCGCTTGGTATAACACGATTTGGAACAGCTTGAACTGAGAGTAACAAGTCGCGTTTTTGATTGTCAAGTCAAATGCAGCCCTGTCATACTCCTGGTTAATAGACGTCGGTAGACACTGCTTGGGTATTGTGCATGTACCTTGGAGGATCACACTGGAAAGCCAGAACCAGAGATCCGGATACCGAGAATAGAACTTGGAAGACCATCAAGCCCGCCGTAAGCCATTTAATCCAGGCTAATTGGGTGGTGATGTGGTCAGCGTCAGGTCATAGTCAGGGTCTGCAGATCTTGCCGAATCTTTGGCAAACGTACACTTTACGAAGATCCGTCGTAGGAACAACAGCAAGCTCATCTTCACCGATAGCGAGGCGTAGAGATAGATGCACATCGCCGCATAATAGAGCTATTAGAGAATCCCAGCTCAGCGACATGTTTCGGTAAATCGAAATGGAGAGGCTGTTTTGATTCTACCTTTAGCCAGGTTGCTCGATCTTCGGCAGACACGTTCTCAAAGTGTCGGCCTTCTCCATAATAGACGACAGCAACCCCTAGCCCGTTGAAACATTGCGTCACAACCTAGTGATCTACGTTAGTCTTCTCGGCGATGAAAAAAGGGATCGGGACATACCAGCGCGATGCAAACGGCAATATCATCCAACCCAAATAGCTTGATAATGACCGCTCTTGTGTAAAGCTGTAGGGGTATTAGGCTGGCCGGGATTCCGACGTTAACACGCGCTCCAGGCGGAAACTCACTCTCAAGCTGACGACAATCAGGGACAGAAGTGACGAGCTAATAATCAAACCATAAGTGAGCGACTGTATATGTTGCTCATCTGCTGTCAGGCTAAGCTCAGCCGCTGAAGTAGACATGGCTCTCAAGAAGATTGGGGATATCTCTGCATAGTGGTCGCGCCGGAGATATGAAGTGGGTGAAATGCGGACCTTTAATCCGTAAACCGAACGCAGTGTGATTCCTCTGTACGGAGTACAGGGAGTGAAAAAAAAAGGACATAGTTGATTGATCTCTCCAAAAGTTTCAAGTACTTTTGGACACTAATCGCAGGCCGCATATCCAGGCCAATGAATTGAGTTGTCAACACGTTCCAGACCGTTGACAGTTGCCTATCCTCATTTGGTCCATGAATGAACTAAATGCGGGCGAAGTGCGATTGGAAACACAGCCGTACTTTGGGTGAGTGTCACTATCCAGGTTGAGTATAGTAGAGAACTAGATGACGTGAATGGGGTCCTGTCCGTCCACCAAATGCCACCAGACGGGATGGCGCCCCCACTGTCCAGTGCCTATTGGCTGGGAGCTGAAGGATTCAAGGAATGCTCGACTTTGCGAAACCGTTTCAAGGAGCTGCATAAACGAAGAATTGAATTATCGCAGTAGCTGCATATTAAGCAGTCTCTGATCTGAGCTATCGAGTGGCAAGTCCGGTGACAAGGATGAGACTAAAGAAATGATCAGTGTTGTCGAAATTGTACCTTCGACCCCTGGAAATCACGACGTGGCTACAGGATGGCGGAGAGATTGTTAAATAAAAATAAATACGAAAAGCTGAGACCAATCCAAGAGCCGAGAATCTCCGGAGTCTCCAGCCTGTCTGTGGCAGGCCAGGCTTACTCCGCAGCGTGCACAAATCCCCTTCGGGTGGGTGGGGCTAACTGCTAGTCCATCTTGTCACTTTTTGGCCAGACCTTTAGTATGATCATATTGCTACATAGAGACAGGTTCAAGTGATAAGATATCACATTTTCTCGACTGAAACAGAAGGTCCATGGTATAAGCGTCCATTTTCTCCTCTGTGGGTCAAGATGATGATCGTATCTGAGAAGTACTTTTGCAAACTGTCCCTGACAATCAAGAAGAATGACCGCCTATTGATTCACCAGTTCAAACGCGATGCGTAAAATAGTAATAGTACTAGTATGCTGAGATACCATTCTCTAGGTTTGCTAGATTTTAAAGACCGGCCACAGTCAACTATATCTGACTGGTGAGGCTGAGTAGGAAAGGCGTCCGACCCTGTTGGGCCCCGTGCGGGAGATAAGGGGAGGGGTTTAAGATGTTATAAATTACTATTATTCCTTTTCGACCGGGTGATCGAAGCTATCAACTTATCCGCACGTGTGAACTACGGGTCACTTTTTCACCTCTGACACCTCGTTAACAAACATACTATCAACTCGATGGCTTCGTCCAATCAAAACACGGATCAGTTCAAGGTCCTCATAGCTGGTGGCAGTCTTGTGGGTCTTGGTCTGGCCCTAGCTTTCGAGCGCGCTGGAATTGATTACGAGCTTTTTGAGAAGGGGGGCTTCGCACCGCAGCTGGGGGCCTCTATCGGATTTCACCCGCACACCATACGGATTCTAGAGCAGCTGGGGGTATGGGAAGACATTGAGAGGCAGGTTAAACCATTGAAGCACCGAAAGCATTATGATGAAAACGGGAACTGCTTCGAGGATTCACATGTGCTAGTCAATATCGAGGAAATGTAGGTCTATATTCAAATGGACAACGTGGTGGAGCGTCCATAACCAGCAATGAGGCATTCAAGAGATTGACGCTGATATTTTGCCCTTTTCGGAATCATTTATAGTCTTCAACGTCCAATTGTCTTCATGGAGCGATGTAAGGCTCTGGAAGTCCTGCATAGCCATGTGAAAGAAAAGTCAAAGCTGCATCCTCAAACTGCTGTCGTTGAATATGAAGAAACTGCGGAAGGTATTATTCTGACTACTGAAAATGGCGCGCGGCACCATGGCCATATTCTCATCGGCGCGGATGGAATTCACAGCAAAGTCCGACAGCTTATGGCTGATAATATTGGTGTGACGAATCCAAACCTCGCTAGAAAGATCAACGAAGGTTTGTCTGATCTGAATCAACTAGGTTTTAAGCCCGGCTGACTGAATATAATGGAGCCTTCACTAGCGAGTACAACTGCATCTTTGCGGTTTCCCAGAATGAGAAATTCTTACCTGATGGCATGGTTCACAATGTGTACTACAATGACTACTCTGCAATTGCGGCTGCTGGTGTGACTGGCCTTGTGTTTTGGTTTCTTTTTGTCAAAGAATCCAAACTCACGAGAACGCCCAAGTGCCCGCAGTTCACAGATGAGGATGCAAAGACATATATCCAGAAGTATGGAAACTCTTTAGTAGGCCCAGGGTATACCGTGAAAGATCTCTGGGAATCTCGAGTTACGGCCACAATGGTACCTCTGGAGGAAGGTATCATCCCACAGTGGTGTCACAACAGGGTGGTTCTGATGGGCGATTCCGTTCATAAGGTTTGGATTTCTTTGATTGGCCAAAAAATGAACTAACATTTTTCATCTCCACAGGCTACTGTCAACCCTGGCTTGGGTGGTAACACAGCCTATGAAGGTATTGCTCGTTTCACCAATGGTCTCATACCTTTGTTGAAAGAAAACCCAACACCATCCGTTGAGCAGTTGACCGAGGTTTTCAACAAGTATATTACCGGGCAAGCCCCTCGAGCCAGAAGAGTCGTTGATATTTCCGGCTCAATTACGCGTTATGAAGCCCAAGATACATGGTTCCTCAAATTCGCAGCTCGTCACATTGTTCCATGGTTTAGTGACAGAATCAAGGCCAAATTATATGCCAGTTTCTCGAAAGGTGGTCCTTGGTTAGAATATCTCCCATTACCCGCTCGGGATATCGATATTGGAACAGCTGCCGAGGAACCCATCCAGAGCATTGCTCCAAGGCTGATTGCAGGCACGATCATTTTGGGAGCTGCTGCTATTATCTGGCAGACACGCCGAGGGCCATTAGCCTCTCTTTAGATCCGGCGGCCATTCACGGTTACGGTGTACATAATATCGATCCGTTTGCTCAGATCCCTATTTCTTCCAACAATATTTATTTCCCATAATTGGAAAGGAGACCCTTCCCTCCGCGAGACTCGCGGTGTGTTTCGCAGCCCACACCCAGAACGACGTTAATGCGCACGAAGATATGGCGTATGTAATCTTTCCCTTCAAATAGAACATTTTGAATTCTACAAAGACTGTTTCATGTAAAATACCCCTTTTGAACTATTTTATACGAAAATCGTATACACTCCTATCCTCTACGCCCGAACATCCGTCTCTCGCAGTACATATTTGCGAAATGGTAGAATCCCTGCGCACTATAGCACCGAGACTACATCTGCGACTGACTATAAAAATAAATATACAGCTACAAAGGCATACTGAACAATACTGAAAGTCTGACGCTTAGCTATGGGGGCCTATTCAGCGATACGCAACGCGTCCCACTTCTCTAAGAAACTGTCAAGCTCCGCTTCGTCATTCGTCTTCGACCTAAGATAGATCGCAAAATTAGGGTACAGGCTGCTTATGTCCTCTTCTCTCCTAGAGGTCCATTTGCCCTCAAGGTCTGAGAACAAGGCATCTGTTTCGGGAGGAAGCGTGACATCTAACTCTTTTGCCGCCATTTGGATAGCGCGCAACATTGCCTTACATAAAGGCCAGCGCCGTGCAGCGGCCTTGGAGGCGATACAGAGATTGATAAAAGCTTTCTGGCTCTCGGGATTGTCGAGGTCTTCTAGAAGAGTGCTCTCTGCCATGGAGAACGATTGGACGTCTCCAGCTGTTACTCGGTCGTATCCCCATGAGGCCCGCTGTATCTCTGCCAAACTTGCGATTTTCCTGGCCGCCGTGAGCCTTAATTTTTTCACAGACTGATAGGTTCTAGGGTCCAAGTCTTCTTGAATAGCCTTTTTCTCCACATAGCCATTGGTACTCATGATAATCTGGTTCCAGTACATGCTAGATACAGTGTAAGCACCGAGATTAGATTACAAGGGGGATAGTAACATACTGGAGACCCAGTGCATGAGGTGTAGTGTTGTTTTCCTCTCTCATGCAATCGTCAAGTTTCGCCTTCCATGCTTCTAGACGAGCATGTAGTTCGTCCGTGGCGTCTTGCACTTCAGAAAATGACATATTTTCCAGATGATTAGACCCTTGAAAAAGCGGCGATGATGATTCGAAGGTGATTATATTGAGATCAGCAAGAGCCTTAACCGTGAAGGCTGTATGAGCAGGGACACCGCCGACTAGAGATGGATACGGAATCCAAATGTCACTGGAATCGCTTCGAAGACTCGAGTCCATTCCATATGGTGTTTTTGGAGCTCGGATCAATGGTCGTTTGTGAAATATAAGGGATGTCGCCCTGTGCCTTATGGTCAGTAAGCGTGAACAGCAGACTGAACTTGGACGGCTAACGCTGTAATGTTGTAGAGGCCCCAGACTGCGAGATTCACAACCTCTGGTGCGTACGCCGACTCTTTTCTTAAATCATGTTGCTCGATTAGGTCGTCCGCTACAAAGGCCAGTTGGCCTTGATAGAGCCACCCACGTCGGTCCTTGCCATTCATACAAGCACTGCAAGACATTAGCCGAATGGTTCCTTATCGTGAGCAGAGTCACGTACGTTGAAAAGAGGACACATAGGCCTTGAATCGTAGTTAAAGTCACCTGGCCATCTTCTTTCTCATAAAGATCTTTGGCCTCATTATAGAAATGCTGGCCTCTAGAAGTCAAGTCTCCCGGGTTAGCAAACGCTTCAGGATAATCTGAATAGGCCTAAATAAATTAGTTCAAATCAATTATTTTAATCGCGGTAGGAGCATACGCAAGCATCTGCCAAAATGGCATTGACAAGGAAAGGCGAACAGTACAGAGCATTCTCTGGATCTCCGGACTGCATGTCTTTTATAAATCGATCGCGGTCCATGTAGTTGAAGTATGGATGATACCATGTGAACCAGAGCGAAACCAGGTGGGACACGAATTCATCGTCATCCGACACTTTGGTCCAAGGCCTAGCTGGAACTTTCCACAGCGGATCATCAGAGAGTGTTCTCACATCCATGACGCTGCGCCGCGTTTGAGCTCCGGATCCCCGCATGATTCGAGCGAAATCCATCAATTCAGGCGTCTTTTCAATTTCATCATGCATCTTCTTGTCCATGTAGTCTTTAATTTCATCTAGTGGTGCGTTACTGCGAATGAGATTGAGTAGTTGAATGACTTGACGGTTGCTGGAACCGCGGAGGTTGCTGACAAGTTGCAGTAGGAGCTCGCGGTCGTCCTCGAGACTGTCTATTTTGCGCTTCATAATGATTCGGCGCCTTTTATCTGAGTTCTCATCGAAGACACATTCCGTACGTCTCTTGGTACAGGCTTCGCAAGGTCGAACGCCATCGCACTAAATCGCTATTGCTTAGAAATTGTGTAAATGGGCAGGAGATTGGTAGCCATGGTATACCTTTGACTTGCGGGCTTTGCAGCCAGTACAAGCAAGTGATATGTTTTCTCTCTTCGGTAGCTTCATATCTGGATTTCTGCTGGGTCCTGCCGGATCGGGAGCCAATTGCTGTAATGACGTCGAGTCCATTGCCAAAGGATGAGCCTGTATTAAAGCTATGGCGATTGAATGGAGCCTTGGTGGCAGAGGCGCAAAACTAACAAAAGTCGACTCTCACTTGATGAGAAACAGCGAGAAGAGAATCATGATTTTGCCCGGCGAACGCTGTGACCGAAATAAACTCCTACCCTATGGATCAGTTTACGGCAGCGCATTGGTCATTGCCTCGGGCCCGATAGCTAAATAGCTTTGCTTGAAACCCACATAGGAACCCCCTTTAAACCCGCCGGGACTTGTCTCCGACCATTCATGTTCCCGGAATTTAGCCAAATCAGGTCTAGATGCTACGTTTTGCAAGCCTGGTCAAACATCGCCAAAGCGGTATGTAAGGCTGCGCAATCAAGTAATTGCCGTTATGATGCGCGAGGTGATTGGTTAGTTAGTGTGGGGTTCGCACTCAAGCAACGGGGCAATAACGTATGAAAGTGGAAATACAGAGCAAGGGCTAATTATAGGAGGCATGAATGGGAAACGTGGATGAGAGATGAGAACAATTTTGGCCTACTAGGCTATGTCCTTTACAGCAACAGCACTTTTTTTTTACATAAGAGGTCAATGAAACCTAGAACGATGGAAAAAAAATTAAATTAAATTCAGCAATCAAGTCGGAAGGGCGTGGAATTAAGCCTGATTTTGAATCTGACTGTAAAACAAGACTGGGCAGGCCTATTCACCAGGTAGCTTAATCATGAGCTGACCATTACGGATCCCACCCACCGTCGACACTATACACCTGCCCAGTTGTATACGACGCCGCATCGCTCAGCAAGAACACTACTGTGTGCGCTACTTCATCGGGCGTGCCAACGCGTGGAATGACCGTATCGGGAACGGCAGGCCCGCCTTGGATAACAGCCGCCTGATCAAGCATCGGGGTCTGGATCGAACCACTATACATCAAATCAGCAATTCCTTCTTTAATGCCAAACAAACAGGACTAAGACCCACGGCGCAACAGAATTAACCCGAATATACGGCCCAACCTCCTTCGCAACAGATCGTGTCAACCCAATAACCCCATGCTTTGTCGTCGAATATGCCGTATGTAGCGGGAACCCACGCAAACCCTGAATACTTGACGCCGTCACAATACTTCCAATTCCTCCGGGCGCAGACGCCATGATTGCCTTTACCTCTGCACGAAGACAAAACATCATGCCGGACAAGTTAACTCGAACTAGCATGTCCCACTCATCATCTTCCAGGTCGATGAACTTGCCCACGCCGTGGTTCTTCCCGATAGCACCAGCCATATTCGCCGCGCCGTCGAGTTTGCCAAAATGCGAGACTGTAGTCTTGATCCAGTCGTTCACGGCAGATGACGAGCCGATATCTACGACTGTCGATAGAATAGAAGCATGTGTGTCGGAATTGGTGATTGTGCGTACGGCATTGTTGAGTGTCTTTTCGGATATGTCTGCTAGGGAGAGACGTGCGCCGTAGGCGTGAAGCTGCTTTGCAACGGCTAAGCCGATGCCACCGAGGCCCGTTACAACGTAGACTTTGTCTTTAAAGGAGTCCATTATTGATGTCGCTGTGTATGTGTGGGTAGGAGGAGGGAAAGTACACTCTACGCGAGGTCGCCGGTTCTCAGTTAAATTCTTTCCGGTGACGTGTGTTGCAAAATGAGATTGTGGAGCGAACCGGGAATTTTGCGCTACAGTTACTTAATGATATCCCTAGAGCGGATAAATTGCGGTGGCTTCGACAGGCGGATGCGACTTGCCCTTGCGGGGTTTCTCCACTTTCGTGGGGGTAATCTACTACATTAACTTACGGAGTATACCAAGGGCCCTTTTGGTCCCTTTCATCACCCAGGTCATCTCTATAGGTTCAAGAACTCAATTACCGTTTGAAATTGAATATTCTGAAGCTGGACAGCTGTCTTAGATTTTGGGGAATTGCCTTGGGGGTTCAATGATACATAGCGAGCTATTCAAGTAGAGCTTTGATCGTAGTCTCAAGGTATCCCGAATCAACCTCATAGCGGCCTCTCCGTACCTGAGAATTCATATAGAAATTGACATTACCACTTTATATTTTTCCAACTGGCACTTCATCGGAACAGCTCACCAAGATTTCGGGCGAATCCCTGTGAGAAACGTGCAATGAAGCCTTCACATTTTCTCTCACCACCATAATGTATGAAGCCGATGACGTAAGACTCAATGTGTCACCTTCACCCCATCTGATAACCGATGGAGAGACACATAAAGATCACGAGCTCCTAGGCTTCGAATCTGTGGCGCTCACTACGACCGGAATGTAAAGACAGTCTACTAGGCTAGAGTTTCTACATTGACTACAGATTGTTCAATGCTTCTTTACCCTCATAATCTAGTATCGCCTATTTCATTCAGCTGCTACCTCTATCTAGAGAAACATAAGTTAATTGCAGGCTTTTCTGTGGATCCACCTCGCTTTTTGAACAGCAAAGGTCTCATTCAAGGATCTCAATGCCTGTTACTGCGATGTTTCGCCCCTGACTGATTACGCTGTAATCTGTACATATCGTCCAATCATATACATTCTGCGTGGGAAAAAGGAGATAAGAAAGGCGGTATCTGCTAGGTCGTTGTTCACTACGAAGGTCATTCAGGTTGCCTCTTACCGATCATCTCTCTGAAGATGAGAACTCATGTTCGATTGAGCTTCAACCTGATTCTCAAGAGAAAATTCGCTTTCGGGCCCAGTCCCTACTTCGAAAACCGCCAAAATGACACAAAGTTAGCTTCCCTAAGGAGCTTAGAATGTCTCAACCGGCAAAATGTTAAATTGGGTCTTGATCGGCGGCATGCTCGTGGGCCCGGCCGCGTTAAGCCCAGACCGATGGGGGGGGGGGGGGTCAATGCACAAGACGAAAATTGTCAGCACCGAAAAATAATTGGGGTTGTCCGGCTCCCATGAGGGTACACTGGGTCAGAATTTGAAATCATTGCCTAAAAGGTGGAGAGGTCACTTCTGATGCTGAGGGCTGTCCTGGGCTATCGAATCTACTCGGTAGTCTTGAATAGCATTCCGAGGGTCGCAGAGTCCCCGGTATTGGCTTCAGGGCTAATCCCTCCACATGATCTAATCACCAATTCCGCACAACGAGTAAACGAATTGCTTCGCAAGGCTTCCATTAAATCAAAAAAAATTGCCATGGAGGGCGCGAATTAGCATCCGCGATCATGCGTGGAGTAGGCGCGGCCTTTAATCCGGCTTCCTCAATAGTGGGATTGGCGACGATCGGTGATCGTTAACGACCATTCGTTCTTCCGCTTCTCACACACCAATCATGAACACTCTTTAATTCTCTCATTCACCCCTGCAGATTTAGGCTGGCGACTATCTTGTCCTAAAATTCAGCGAGGAGCGTCGGCGCCAGTCTTTGGTCTTTGATCGGCTTCATCCACTTCTCCAACACCCAATCATGTTAATGAACACGGGCTATTGACAAATTTGTAGATGTACCATGAACCACCTATGCAGGAACGGTCGACAGCGCCAAGCTAAGGATGAGTCCTTTGTGAGAAGCAAGGTTGCGCTCGCGTTATACTTCGGATATAAAGCATGTAGCTCGCACATTCTCATGCCCAGGAACGGACCGCGTGCAAGCTGTGTCACTCTCTTCACGGCAAGATGCTTCAAAAAATGGGACTCTGCGCCTTAATGGTCAGCGCTGTCTCGGCGAAAACGTGCTACAACATGACCATCCCCATCACTGCTACCGCTGAAAATGCGAATTTCGGTGGTGTTGAAACTCCTCAGAGCAACATGGATGTCACCGCGTTCATTTTGGACGCTAGTCGACAGGGTGGCAGCGGCACTGAAGACTTTTTGACCGGCTCTAAAAATGTCTCTGGTCGGTATGAAATTTCGGCTCGGTATTGCATGCCGAGTACCGCTAGCGGCAACGCGCCTACTCTTCAGATCCTGACCCATGGCATGGGCTTTGACAAGTCGTGAGTTCACATATTAAGATTTATATGAACCACGTATTAAATAAGGGTAGCTACTGGGAACTGCCTTACAACAATTACAACTACTCCTATGTCGACTATGCCCTCTCCCGCGGCTACCATACTTTTGCCTTCGACCGTCTGGGCATTGGCATGTCGTCCCACGGCGATGCGAAGGAAGAGATCCAACTTCCTCTGGAGCTTGAGTCGCTCGTCCAGCTGACCAAAATGCTACGGAATGGCGCTATTCATGCAGGCCACGGCTATGGCCACTCTCACCAAAAGCCCGGCAAGATCGTGCATGTCGGCCACTCCTTCGGGTCTATCCTGACCTACGGCCTCTCTGCCACTTATCCCGACCTCTCTGATGCAATTGTCCTGACAGGCTACTCAATGAACAGTACCTTCATGCCCATGTTTATGGCAGGGGCCAACCTCCAGCAGGCCCGTTTGAACCAATCTCCAGGTGCCTTCTCCAACTCCGGCCAGAACTACACCTCAGGATATCTGACGAACGCGGATATGGGCAACAATCATTACATGTTCCTTTACCCAGGCAACTTTGATACCAAGCTCCTCGAATATGCGGAGAAGAACAAGCAACCTCTTACCGTTGGTGAGCTCTTGACAGTTAGCAGTGTTCCCCCATCCAGCAAGTTCACCGGCCCCGTTCTCATTGCCACCGGCTCCAACGATGTACCTTTCTGTGGAGGTGACTGTCTCAACACTGGTGGCACCCATATTTCCATCCCCGCCGCTGCGAAGCCCGCATTCCCCTCTTCCAGGGCATTCTCCGTTGTGATTCAACCCGACACAGCCCACGGCCTCAACTTACATTACAACGCCACCGCTGGCTACAAGGAGATTGCGGACTTCTTGCATAAAAATGGCTTGATCAAGGAGAGTGAGGGAGTGAAGGTAGAGATATCGGTATAAATATTTCTTGGATTGGGAATCTTCGCAGTGATTATAGGTTTAAATAGGCCTTTCACGGTTACGAACTATGTTCACCACACAGCTGCAGAATAAAAACTTTTAATACGTCGATTGAATCACCTAAGAATTTGAACCTTGGATCGAGTCCTGTGCCAGGACCCGCAGGTAAGAAACAGCCCCCTCAGGTGGGCACTTGGCCCCATCTTCAACCTGAACATCAACCCACTCTATGCAGGGGTAAGCTTACGTCGGGCACCGTCCGAACCCAAAGCATGAGAGGATTAAGTCTCATCGCCTTAGAGTGAAAGATTTATCCTGAACTGGCTCCCATGGTCTGCCACGTAAATAATCAATGCAATTTTCAGCTCCGATACATCGACACACCGCTCATCCAAAACCCACACACCTTGAAACCCAATGGGTATCAAACACAGATAAAACCAGAGACCAGGAATTAAACAGCCCGAAAAGCCCCCCACAACATCAGAAACCACACCATTCACATCAAAATGCCACTGAGAACAAGTCCACCAAGTAACAATAACCAAGTCCTTTTCTCCACGACCTCCCGTCCCGCCCCACTGGCATCACCACCATATTCAACATGCTCCGCATTCAAACAATACTGTACCTGCTGCGCCGCCTTCGTTGAAGTAGAATTGCAAACAGCAGTACACGGCTTTGGATTCGAGTATGTCCACATTCGACCACTGGCGCAACAGTCGTCTAGGATCGAGTACATATCTTTATAATGGTTCGCCGTTTGGTAGAGCGGGACAGCGGTGTAGTCTTTCAGGTTGCCCATGGATGGGAAGGCATCGCGAGAGTAATAGCATTCGGCGGGTTGTGTGAAGTTTGTGCTGTTGCTCACGTCCATTTTGAGGCGATTAGGCGCGGAACCGTGCTGTAGAACAGTATTGAATTGGAAGACGGCCAGCTGTACTCCTGGGCGCAAAGGGTGAAGGAAAGCGTAATCTCGGGGTTAAGATGATCTGATCTCCTTTCAATCTCGGAAGCCCGAACGAGGTGCTCGAACTCACTATTTAAGGACCCTCGAACCCCTCAAACCCTGAGGCTCCGCTAAGACGCTATGGGAGCAATATCTTCCTAATAGGGCTGGCCTCCGCAAAATCTGGCTGACGGTGGCTTCAGCCACAGTTTCATCAGCTGGTCAATATTGGGGCCGATCTTAATGCACACCTTTCAAGTTTGGGGATTCCTTCTTCGATCATGCCGTCACTAACAAGGTGATACAATGCGCCAAGGGGGCTGAAATCTTGTCCGATGCAAATTGCAAAGGCTTACAGGAGACTGTCAGTGATACGATCTAAATGTATTTTAAACGCTAAATACGAGGCTCAGGCATGAGATATGCGGCTATAGCTTCCCCACCGCATTGTTCCGTCTCCACATCTTCTTGCGACGTTCGTGGCCGGCGTTGAAGTCATCGACCCATTTCTCTTCAAAAGGAGGGAGCGGGCGTCCGATACCATTCTGCGGCTCGCCGGCGAGTAGGCGCATGGCCTCGAAGTAGGCCTTGAACTCCGGGTTGATGACTGTGAACGCAGGCCCATCGCCTCTCTCTGCGATGCGATCTGTTTCCCACTTCTCTTGCTCGGAGACACTGGGGAGAGTGGCTTTGCCTGCTAGCACGCGTGCGGCGGCCACGGCTTGCCACTCGAAGACTTTGAAGGTGAGACCAGCTCCGACCTGTTAAGCTCGTTAGCGTCGTTTCGGTTGGAAGTTTGTGGCATGTGACATACAGCTCCGACAAACACTAAGGTGGGATCGTGGCGGTAGAATGTATGCTGATACAGATCCGGGACACGGTTATTGCGCGTTTGCACTGCAGGCAGGAAAGGAAGTGTCCAGGTGAATCCGGTTCCGAAGAGAATGTTATCCACGCCAGTCTCGGATGTACCATCTTCGAAGTGAATCGATCGATCCTCGACACCGATATGCAAGATCGGTCCCCGTTCTTGAATCATCGGGTGCTGGAATGCATCGTTGCCGAAAAACACGTTATAGCGACCGCGGGTCACGCAGTGAATCGGGGATTTAGCGGTGCCAACCAGGCTCACTGCTGTGTCCGCAGCCGATACTGATGCTCCGACTGTCACGACTTTCTGCGGAGAATTAATATAGGTCGAACATTAATTATAGCGAGTGTAGACATACCTTGCCACGGTACTTCTCCGGTCCGCGGTAATGCTTGGTGTGTTCGATGCTGCCCGGATACCGCTCCGCAAACTCTTTCAACCCGGGTATGGCAGGGATATATGGCACTGCATAGTGACCAGAGGCAACCACAAGTGCATCGAAAGTCTCGGACCACCAATAGTCAGATTGGCTATCATTGAGGCTTTCTGTGCGTCGAAGAGTGAGGACCCATTTTTGGCTGGCCGCGTCTTTGATTGCCCGTTCAACAGTGGTATTGTACTGCACAAGATCTGCGTTACCCTTTTTTGTGAACAGGTCCTCAATATACTGTCTCATGACAGAATGATGCCGGAACGGCGTATCCTCGCCATGGCGCTCGATTGACCACTGCGACCGAACTGTGGGAATTTTCTCCTGAGAGTACTCCATGGCACCTGCATCCACGTTCGTCTCCAGCCCAGGATAGACCGGTGAATCAGTAAAACGATCCTGGCCCACTACCGGTGTACGGCATGGAAGCTGCTCAGGGATCTTCAATGGCACATCTGCTGTGCGTGCTGCTAGACCATCAAGGTCGAACTTTTGCGGCGGCGCATCATCTCTTGAGACCCTGTAGTCGTTAGAAGCTATACGACGATGGGACTTGTGGGAACATACCAGCATCCACCGGCCTTCTCTTGTCTTTCAAAGACACGAACATTGAACACCCTCTCCTGCATCAATGCGTCGACGGCAATGGCTCCTGAAGGCCCAGCGCCAATAACGGCGACGCTCTTAGCCATGGTTTAGATACTTATGCAAACTGTAAACCCGACACTTTGGAATATACGTCGAAATAACGCTGTCGCTCGACTTCTTCGCAACAACACGCAAGTTCTCTCGGCCGAACTTGGGGAATTGCCTTATCTGGGATTTTCTGGTTAGACTTCGTCACGCCATTAAGGCTTCTCTTGCGCAAGTACAGATGACGCCAACCAATGGAGTTTAGCTTACACAAGGTTTCACGTGTTCGGAGTCTGGTATGCAGGCGTTCAGTGTCCAATGCGCAATGTTAATTTCTGGGATTGATTTTTCCCCAATGCCCCGGATTGTCATATGCCGAATTTCGGCTTCTGGTCTGCAAAAATCTTTTTTTTGTTCCTGGCGCCGCCGAACCCGTGCATTTGATTGGATACGTACTTGTGGGTCGCAACAGGAACCGCCACCCGTTAAGTGGTAGTTAATATGTGGCAATTTTTATAGCCTTGAGGCGGAGACTAAGTGACCAAGAGATGCCTCTAATCAGTCTCGAAGTAATCTCAGTGAGCCTGACTGTGGTTCTGCTCCCCGAATGGCCGGGTAAAAACCTCATATCGGGGCAGGTTTTCACTAGAAGTTCGATCCAGCTCTAGAGGGTACTGGGGTGCTATTGGCCAAGGTCGTAGGTTCTTCTGTTTGTGATATTGGAGGTATCGAAACTCGATAACCCCCTTCGAGAACACAACTAGTTGCACAGTTTCCATCCTTTCTGATTAACACATCTGCCACTGCACTTTCAAACAACCGTCCTCCGCTATCACGAGTCTTTCCAAGATTTTCAATATGATCATCTATAGAATTACCTTTACGTTCTCGGGTGAGAGTGAAGAGCAGTCTTTCGAGTGCGACGAAAACACCCATCTTTTGGATACAGCTGAAGAATATGACCTAGACGCTACCTATGATGATGAGACGCAGTCTCTGCCACTTATTCAACAATATTGGTTAATGCTCAAGGTTTTTGTCTAGCAATTGTCATCGAATCATTCCTCTAAGGATGCAGGATTCCTTGAGACCGGCTTATCGGAACCTTTCTATGTGTCAGTGACTTTTCAACCCGCTAGCAATACAAAGTGCTTCTATTTGAAAGAACAAATTCTGTTCTTTCTAATCACGGAGTTGGAACTCGCCATAGATCGTATAGAAAAGAGATTGAAATGTTACTGGAGAAGAAGCTATGACCTAAGATTGGCGACATCTTTCAATAATTTCTTGTGTGGCTAGAAGCATGTAGACCTACGATTTTGATAACCACGCTTTTAGCCTTGCCGAAGCTTATGCGACCTAGTTTGTTCCATACGTACTTTGTGGTGCTGGTGACGAGAAATGGGGCATTCTGGGATTGTAGCAAGATGAAGACAACACCTAAGTGCATGAGCTGGAACGGGCTCTGAGAAACATATTCACAAGAAGAACAAAGAAATCACCAGGCTTCCCTTCACAATACCTTGTCTAAGGGTTTCGAGGTGAATTATTCCCAGGACAGGGACCGCTATATCCATGGGACCGTGGGGATGGGGGGTGGAACCAGACTTAGTCCCATGGTAGCACCATGCGGATGTCCAACGGTAACTTTTTTAGAGCAATTAGAAGATGTAGCCTATCTAAAAGCCATATAAATTAGTCTATTAATAAGAAATTGATCCAGATTGGAATCGATAGCAGCCAATCATATCGGTATGAGGCCGACCAATCAGCGTTTGTCGTTGACTATGAACACGTTGATCGATTCTACCTGTTTTCCGCACGCGGCAAAGTTGCCTAGAGTGAAGGTAGCCGTCTCAAGCTTAGCTTAATTTAAACCATCCATATCAACCCAAAAGACGTCGTACCTCAATAAAAATCTGCACTGCATCAAGCAAATATGCCCGGCCCTACTGCTAATGCTCTTCGCTCATACTTGGCCTACAAACCCGAGGCTCTCAATTTTGGGACAAGCGGCCGCCGTGGCTTAGTGATTCACTTGACTCAACTGGAAATCTACACGAATGTCTTCGCGGAAGTTCGTTATCTCCAGTCTCTTCAGCCCTCCGAGGGCGGCATTCAGGCCGGCGACGACTTCTATTATGCGCACGATCTCCGCCCCAGCTCCACCAAGGTTGAGAATGGTCGCGGCGGCCTCTGCCAGGCAGTCAAGAAGGCCTTAGAGGATGCGAACATGCATCCCATCAATCTAGGCGCGATACCTACGCCTGCACTCACCTATTTTGCCCTTCAAAACGGCAAGGGCAGCATCATGGTCACGGGAAGTCACATTCCTTTCGACCGCAACGGCTACAAGCTCAATACATCAAAAGGGGAGTTGTTAAAAAAACACGAACAGCCCATTAACAATGCTGTGTCAAACACTCGCGAGGAGCTTCTTAACAAGCCCTACGACAAATCTCTATTTGACAATCAGGGCATGTTTCGTAATGGGCTACCCGACATTCTGCCTGCCGTGTCTGAAGGAAAAACAGCCTACATCCAGCGCTACCTGGATTTCTTCGAGGGCCTAACGCTCCAGGGCATGAAGCTCCTCGTCTACCAGCATTCTGCCGTGGGCAGGGATCTTATGGTTGAACTTCTCCAGATGCTTGGCGCTGACGTGACTCCTGCCGGCCGCAGCGAGACTTTCGTGCCGATTGATACCGAAGCCATTGACCAGGACCAGCTCAACACTATCCAGACTATCTGCAATAGAACCGGAAAGACCTTCGACGCAGTGGTGTCGAGCGACGGTGACAGCGACCGTCCGCTCCTCCTTGCTCCCGAAGGAGACAAGCTCCGCTTCTTTAGCGGGGACCTGCTAGGCATGATTGTCGCTGAATACCTGCGTGCTGATGCCGTCGTCGTCCCGATCAGCACTAATGATGGTATCGATCGCGGCCGCTTAGCCCATATCACCGAGCCGAAGACGAAGATTGGCAGTCCTTATGTAATCTCTGGTATGCAGCACGCGGTCTCTAAAGGACGCCATAGTGTCTGCGGCTGGGAAGCCAATGGTGGTTTTCTCACTGGATCCAATATCGAACACAACAGCAAGATACTCAGTGCGCTTCCTACGCGCGATGCAGTGCTGCCTCTGCTCTGTGCTTTGTTCGCGGCGCGCAACAAACATTTCACGCTACCGGAACTGTTTACTACACTACCCGACCGTTTCAGCCGCGCCGCGTTGATTCGCAATTTCCCTCGCCCGACGAGCATGAAGATCATGGAGCGCTATTCACCTCCTGAGACTATCATGCAGGAGATCTTATACGAGACCGATGAGACCATCGCCTTTGACCCCAATCACGCTACTCTTCAAGTAACGAAGCTCCATGCCCAGCAACTTGGCCAGCTCCGTCAAGAATTGCATAGTATATTCTCTGCCGAGGCTGGATTTTCTTCGATCTCCCGGATAAATTTCACCGACGGAGTCCGCATGATCTTTGCCAATGGCGATGTCGCTCACATCCGTCCATCTGGCAACGCAGATGAGCTTCGTATCTACTCTGTCTCCAGTAGCCAGGAGCGTGTCGATGCCATCATCTGCCTGGGTATCGCGGAACCGGATGGCCTCCTAAGGCGCTTGGAACGCATGGTATAAGCTACTAGTAGACTTCTTAGAAGCATAAACTCTAGATATAGGGCTATTTGGTTCCCGGCTTAATAGCTTGTGGATACGGCAAATGTTCAAAGTCGCAACCGCATCTCACGCCGCAAATGGCCCTGACGCACACCAAGGAAAAGTGTACATAACTGAGACTAGGGATGGTTTGAGTAGATTGCTACCGAATATCAATGTTAGGAACGCAAGGCCAAGTCGCGTTTGGTATCCCCGCCCATCCCTCCACCCTCCCGTTTTCGTGCCCACCAATATGGTATCCCTTTTTATAAACGAGGTGCAGGGCCCCTTTTTGGTGTACCCATGTAGAGTTCTTAGACCGATGGCATTTATGGTCCGTGCCAAGCTTCGTCTTGCTCGTCTCCATCACCTGCACCTCAAGCTGCTCGGCCTCCTCCCAGTGCCCTTTAAGCTCCGAAGTACCTGGCCAATGAGAGCAGTACTTGCCCCGAATTTTGGCCAGTGTTTCTCGCAGCGTCAATTCAGCCTTCGGCTTGCTACAAGAAGCAAAGAAACATGACACTCCAGTATATACGTGTTGTGTGAACGAGGAACTGTGTTCATTCGGTGGATCAGCGAGTACATAATCATGAACATGACTTCTGAGCCAGCAAAGTTTCTGCGGGGAACCGCTGAAGAATCCCCACTACCCCGCCTCCACACTGTTTACTTTTAACCCAAATGTTACCCAACTACGGCCCTTTTAGCCACCTGCGGTCCTTTTAGCCAACTGCGGTCCTTTTAGCCAAGTGCAGTCTTTTTAGCCAAGCGCAGTGCCGAGATTGGTGGCTGCACCGGAAACCCATAACTATAGAGCTGTCTCTGGAAATAGGCTCAAGCTCGTTCAACCACCAAAGGTGATGCGGCAAAATGCACATAACCGAGCCGCTTCGTCGTGTAGGGAAAAAGGATAAATAGTCAATTTCGCAGAATATAAATAGAGGTAGAACAGGCTCGAAGCAACATTAACCAGCACAGGCTTCTCTTCCAGCTACACACATCCATTCACTAGCATTCAACTCTCTTCAATTATCATGAAGGTCACTGCAGCTTTTGCAGGCCTCTTGGCCACGGCATTCGCCGCCCCTGCCCCCGAACCTGTTCTAGTATCGCGAAGTGCTGGTATTAACTACGTCCAGAACTACAACGGCAACCTTGGTGACTTCACCTACGACGAGAGTGCCGGAACATTTTCCATGTACTGGGAGAATGGAGTCAGCTCCGATTTCGTCGTTGGTCTGGGCTGGAGCACTGGCACCTCTAAGTGGGTGACTATATTCTTTAAAATAAGTCTAGGATCTAACGTTTATCAGCTCTATCACCTACTCTGCCGACTACAGCGCTTCTGGCTCTGGCTCCTACCTCGCTGTGTACGGCTGGGTCAACTCTCCTCAGGCTGAATACTACATCGTCGAGGACTACGGCGATTACAACCCTTGCAGCTCGGCCACAAGCCTTGGTACCGTGTCCTCTGATGGAGGCACCTACCAAGTCTGCACCGACACTCGGACCAACGAGCCGTCGATCACAGGAACAAGCACGTTCACGCAGTACTTCTCCGTTCGAGAGAACACGCGCACATCTGGAACGGTGACTGTCGCCAACCATTTTAACTTCTGGGCGCAGCATGGGTTCGGCAACAGCAACTTCAATTTTCAGGTCGTAGCGGTGGAGGCATTCAGCGGTGCTGGCAGCGCCAGTGTCACGATCTCTTCTTAAGAGATGAGGGCCTTGGTAGTCGAAAGACTTGAAAGCTGAGCTCTCTTTCAGGTGATGTGATGATAGGATTGGGGGTTTAACGGTTCCATCGAGGTTGTATATAGTGTGGCGGGGCGGAGCTGTCGGCGACTACGTTTTCAACTCGCACATACAATTAACTCTCGTCTCCTCCCTCTTGCTTTTTCTCGCTTCTTATTCTACCCCGCGACAATATATTACCACGTAATTATTATCTCTATACAAGTTGTTCGTTCGCAGTGGTCACTCAGGGCAAGTGGTTGGCAGAATGGGGATTCGGAGTCTTGCGACATCCTCAAATGAGCAGACATCCATCTGTTTTGCATCTTTGCTGAATCAACATTCTATAGGACTTGGAGGCCTTACTAGTTTAATATAGAAGCTAATTTCAGGCTGCTATTTACGACTGTACAGGGATACTGCCAAGAAAGAGACTCAGGGGTAGAGTAGCCGTAATAGTATCGCGTGCTTCGGGACAGGGTTCTAGAAAGAATCTCTGTGTGCAAGTGGTGAAACTGATTTAGATCCACCCTGTACACAGAATTCACTGAACACACAACCTTGGGATTGGAAATAAATTAGATCGATAAATGTTGATAATTCTCTGAATTTTCCCAGTATCCACCAACCATCCTCACTCCTTCTCCAAGAATACCACTATACTTCCCACATCCGTATCAAATGGGAATTGCAGCCCCATGTTCATCAAAGTCGCACCAGAATAAACACCCTTTCCTTCAACCTTATACATCGCTGCCGAATCCAGACCCTGGAATCTGACCCGAGGGATAGAGTTATTGATACGAGGAGCAGTCTGGAAGTAGAACAGCACCGCCTGCGACCCGTTTTCAGAGATGAACAGAACGGCAGGCCAGTTTGAGTCTTCTGGTAGGCTGAGACGGTACAAATCCCCTTTCAGAATAAGCGGGTTGACCTTTTCAGCAAGCTTGATGAGACCAGGTAGAGCAGCTTTATCATCTGCGGGCATGTCGGCTGGGTCGAGTTCCAGTCCAAATGAACCACCCATCATAGCCACGTGTCCGCGGAATGAAATAGGCAGGGTGCGCCCAGTTTGTTGATTGGGAACTGCAGAGAGATGAGCCCCCATAGCGCTAGGCGGGTAGACAAGAGACGTTCCGAGCTGGATGGTGATGCGCTCCATGGCGTCGGTGTCATCTGATGCCCAGATCTGAGGGAAGTATTGTAGGACACCGGCATCGAAGCGGCCACCGCCGGAGCCGCAGCCTTCCCAGAGGACATTGGGGAATCGGGTAGTCAGGGTATCGAAGACACGGTACATTCCAAGCATGTACTTATGGTCGGTGGATGGGGAGGGCATCTCGTGAATTCCTCTGTTATTGTCCCATTTGATGTAGGAGATGTCCGCGCTGTTGAGGAGTTTCGTCATGAAATCGATGATGAAATCTTGGACCTCTGGCAGGGCCACGTTAAGCACGAGTTGGTTTCGCTGCAATGTGCGAGGGTAAGATCCAGCGTGCATGGCCCAGTCTGGGTGCTCGTGATACAGGGTAGAATTGGGATTGACCATCTCGGGCTCGACCCAAATTCCGAATCGCAGATCGGTCGATGTATTCGCAGCTTGAAGACCGGTGATTTGGTCTACGGGAGAGGCGAGACCATGGGGGAACTTGGCGGGATTAGGGGTCCAGTCACCGAGGCCGGCGTTATCATCGTCGCGCGGATACTTGACACCAAACCAGCCATCGTCCAGGACGAACAGTTTGATGCCAAGGTCTGCTGATTCTTGGGCAAGGTCGACAATTGTGCTAGCGTTGTAGTTAAAGCTAAGACCTTCCCAGCTGTTGAGCAGAGGTGGGCGGTCCGATGTCGCGAACTTGCTCTTGATGAGATGATTGCGATAGAGACGGTGGAACATGCGGGACATGCCGCCGATGCCATTGTTTGAGTACACGGAGACGCACTCGGGGGATGTGAGGGACTCGCCAGGCCCAAGCGACCATGACAGCTGATTTGGGTTCAATCCAAGAAGAGCACGGGTAAAGCCTTGAGATCCCTTTTCTACATCGACAGAGAAGGAACCAGTGTAGACAAGCGAAAAGCCCCATGCTTCACCACTGGATTCCGTAGTGGCCGGGTCCACCAGTGCCAAGAAAGGGTTGTGGAGATGCGAAGAGTAGCCTGCGCTGCTTCCAACCCTATAATGTGGAATATCAGTCAAGAGTCCTGGATCGAACAGCTGGCGAACTAACGTACCCCTGTGTGCCATACTGGACCTTTCTTCGCTGGGGATGGGCCTCTCGCGCCCAGTCGCCACTCAAGGTGATCATATCAAGATCCTCGAAGGGAAAGTCCACACTCATACTGGCAAGCGCCTCGACGGTGATATTTCCCTTGCCCATGTTGGTGACATTGACACTTCGCACAACGGCGTCGTACTTGGAAAAGATAGAATAAGAGAGGTCGGCAGCCACAGAGCTATAGTTGTCATACAGACGAACAGTCAATGTAGTTACATCGTCTCCAGTGCCGAACGTAGCCGGTAGGCCCGGCAATTCTGGTTTCCCCTGAATCACGGTGTGAGATTGGTACTGCAAGTCTGACACCGTGTAGCCGTCGGTTTGCCGAACACGGATCGCGGGGGTACGGAAGTCACCACGGCCTTGATCGGGGAATTCCCGACGGACTCGGCCTGGCTCGCCAACCCAGCCATTAATCGAAGAGACGATATCGGCGGGGATATCCCCTGTTACAATACCTCCGAAATGATCGGATATCAAGTCGCCTGTACTGTTGTCCACGTGGAAGCGATAGGAAACATTTTCGCCATTGAGGGCGAAGCTTGTGCCGTCCACAACAACTGGTTGAAGCATACTCAGAATTTGATTGCATATAGGGCGAGGATGAGGAGGCATCCATATAACTTACCATTACTAGAGGCAGCTTGGGCCACGGTTGGGCAACTGAGAAGCGCCACCAGCCCTGCAGCAGGCGCCAGTCTGGTTGTGAAACGGACCATCGAAGCCGTCCTTTCCTTCTTGGGATGAAGATGAAAGTTGGAAAACACGATTATCCGGTCCGTCACATACCCTTTTATAAATTTGCAAAGATTAAAAATTAACCGACGGATGATCTCGAAGTCGGAAAAACAAGCCCAATCAAGAACGATCTGCACATTGGCCCCCCGTTGCATGATGTAGTATTTCCCCGGCTCTAACGACCCTTTTACACGATGCGGGGAGCATCTCCAGCATACGGAGGAACACCGATCAGGCCGAGCTCATTGGAGTGGATTGAAGTGTCAATAGCGGCGGTTTTGAACGTGTCTCATTGGCTCACAGGCGATGAATTCCGCTTCTCCACGAATGCCAAGGCACAACTGGACTGAAAAGAGACTAGAGAAGGCCCCTGGCTGTTGAACCCCCACTGTGGAGTTCGGCATACGGCATTTCTTGCAACTCGCTGTTTTTGCAGCCACTTGTTGTGCAGCCACCTGTTGTGCAGAAACCCCAGAATGAGGAAGGCCAAGGCCTGTGCTGCTTGTCGGTAGGCGGAGCTCACCTGCCGTATCCGGGCTATCGGCTAACGATATTAGTGAGCGGCGACGGAGATGTGAGAGTCGTACACCGGGCCTGCCTTGCACTTTCTGTGTTGCTCGAGGCTTGCCATGTTCGAGTGGTGAGCCGGGTAAAGGAAGACACAGTCATGACCAGCCCAAGTTTGCAGGCTCTTTCTATCCACGACAAGCAGGCAATTGCCCATTACCCACAAAATCTCTTTGTGCAGAGCTAGTGCAACTCTACTTCGACTATGTTCATGATCAATTCCACACCTTGTTCCACCCACCAAGCTTTATGGAGGACATAAAGCGAGGGCAGGCCCCGCGTATTCTAATATATGGCATGATGGCCCTCTCGGCAAGGTCAGCTTTCCTTCTCTTGCTACAAAATCGGAGTACTCATTTTAGCTTGTTCTAGATTTTCGACAGATTCTCACTTTGCTGGGATAGATCCAAGGGAGAGGGGGCAGGGCTATGCAAAGGAATGTGAAAAGTTGCTAGACTGGAATGCTGTCTCATTGACCACTATCCAAGCCTGTGTCTTGCTAGGCGCCATCGCCATCACCAATGGCAAACCTGCTTCTGAAAACATACACTATGCTGTTGCATGTCGAATGGCCCAGCTTCTTGATCTTCCGAATTGCCAAGCGACCAGTCGGGTTGAGCAAGAGGTCAATATTCGCAGTAAGCGCTAATATTTTAAGTGAGCGGTCTCGAAGCTAACAAGCTACAGTGTGGTGGGCTCTTAATATGATTGACGTGTGGTCTTCATCTGGTGTCAGGCTTCCAAGGCTTCTAACACCGAAAGATGACGTGCCTCTACCCCTAGATGAAATCGCATTCCTGAAAATGACCCGGAGTCAAGGGTTTGATGTCACCGTTGACACGGACCGGAAATCATCACTACTTGCTGAGATGGTCCGCTTAAACCGTATCCTATTACAGATCAATGATTTCAACATTCGTGCATCCGAAGAGGAATTAGACCCTGAGGCTATCATCAGCAACATTGAACATCTTTCAGGTCAGCTTGACGTGTGGCTTGAGGAACTTCCAGATCATATACGGGACACCCGGGAGAATATGGCGCGGTATGCCGCCCAAGGTCTCGGGCGCATTTTCGCGGCCATTTACCTTGGTTATTATCACTATGGCCAGATGTTGTTCTACCGATTCCTACATGACGACTCCAACGGATTTAATACACAGGCGCGATACTACGCAGATAAATGCAAACAGCATGCTAGCAGTTTATGCGACATAGTCTATGCTTCTGATGAAGAACCGGGCTGCGATGTCAAGTATAACATGATCGGGCACGTACTTGTCATTTCTTCCACCGTGCAGATTCACAGCTTGCTGTTCGACTCTGACGTCTCCAATGTCACACTGGCGAAGATGCGTTTGGAAAAAAACTTCTGTGTCCTCACTCGCCTCCGAGACCTTTGGCCGACTTTGGACTTTTGCATGGACCGTTTAATGGCTTTCCACGAAGCGTGCAGGAATTCTGCAGATACTAGCTTCCGTATGGACCGGTGGATGGTACGCTTTCTGGTTGAGTTTGCCAGTCCGGTGAGTGACAGAGCATCGAGATCTAACGGGGAGAATCCGTGGTCCCTTGCTGGTCTGGGCATCACTCCGCCCGACATGAGCCCGATCTGCCCATGATCCACGCTACGCTACTTTGGAAACTCGCAGGATCTGAATACACATGTCTCTAGGAACTGTAGAATTAACATATTGCCTATCTGCTATCAACCAATATTAAACAACCTGCAAAATCCGCAAAATCACAACATTCGACGGTTTCCAGTTAGTATACAGATCTGATATCCTTCTCGGATTTGGTATCGAAGCGTCTGAAGTCAATCCCGAGTCGTGGAATCGAATTGCAATGCCGCAACGTCTTACCTCTAGCGTGGGCATTCTTGGATCATACAGTAATTCATCCAACCTTGCATGGCTCCAGGGAATCTGGCATTATCAAAACATCAATGAATTTTCATGTCCATAGTGAATACATTCAATGCGTCATATCCCGCGTAGCAGACCTCTGATGAAGCCTCCCCAGCCAGGATCTGGCCGTATACCTCCGAATCCTTTTTCCAAAAAGAACAAACACAATGACCGCCAGGTTATTTGCCAGTAGCACACCCCCAAATATTCCCGCGATAACAACTGCATATCCCCTCGTCAAGATCCAATCCAGTAGATATGAGCCCATGCCAAATGAGATAGCCTGTTTGCCCAGATTCATGGCAATTAGCATCTCAGACGTGTTCGCATAGTATGAGTCCACCGCATACGCAAGCGTAAAGGTAAAATAAAAGTATGACCCGAACTGGTCCATGACGACCCCGGCGAAATATCCGATCCAGTGGAGATCGCGCTGGGCCGTGAAGCCGTAGACTACCAGTCCAGCCGGGGCGAGGAGAAGTGCTGGGAAGAGGGCTGGGAGACGCATTTCGGCTTCGCGGATTCCGTTGTTGCGTTTTGTGCGGTAGGCGGCTAGTCGGTCAGAAGTCGAGGTGAATGGGAGGGCAAGGAGGTAGCCGATGAAGGAGGCGACTGCTATGAGACCGGAGTTTGTCTGTTGTTCGTCAGTACTATTACTCCATGAGCCAAGATGTCAGTGCCGGTACCTCGCTCCAGTTATAGGGGGGCTCGGTGATTTTGATTGGGAATGTGTAGTTGAATGCTAGGGCGCCGAGGCCAATGTATAGTCCTGAATTAGAGATTAGTACATAAGGTTGACTCATATCTATTGCTGGAACTCATACCATAGGTAGTGATGACCCAAAACACAGCAGGGACCAGGAAGTATGTGAATGACCGGGCGATAGTCATGAAGAAATCGGGCTCCGGGTCGATAGCACTCCATGGCTTGAGAGTAGACAAGAAACTCTTTCTCCGAGGCACCAATACAGATGAGACATCCTCAAGCTCTGTTGGTTCTTTTTCTTTTTCCTCTGTCTGATCTGCTTTGAGCGACTGCGATGATGTGTTCGTTCGCGACAAATGCCCAGAGCGGTGATAGGTAGATTCCTCGACGAAGAAAAATGCTGCGATTAGAAGACCGGCAGCAAATGCTGCTTCAACGTAGAAGAAGAGTCGCCAAGAGTAACCTCCTGCCAGCATATATCCAGCGTACAGAGGACCTGTTGATCCCAAACAAAGACACACTGTATCATGTTAGAAATCACGATAAACGGTCACCCGGTCGTTTCGACTAACAGGTGTAGTAGCCTAATTTCTTTCCGCGCTCGTGGATATAAAAGACGTCGTTGACAAGCTGCACAGGCAGACTTTCGCAGACGCCGCTATGGAAGAGTGGTTAGAATGTCAACACATATGGCCGAGACCGACTAACCTGCCGAATCCATGAAAAACACGGGCAACCATTAGGCCGGTATAGCTCGTAGCCCTCGAGGCACCAATCAAGCCAGCGACAAACTGTAAAATATCAGCGTCAAGGTATAGAGAGATAAAAACTGGGCTTCACATACCACAGACATTGACAAAAGGGTCACCGGACGTCGCCCGATCTTCAAGTAAAGGGGTACAAGGAGAAGCGACCCTAAAAGCCATCAGTAACCGTCGCATTTTCTCAGTGCTCAATCATACCAAAGCCAAATGCCAAATTCGGATAAGAGATCAATCCAGAAGCTATAGCCGGCGAGATTTCGAACTCTTTGCTGTATAAGCTAATGTAGACCGATGGCCCAGTCAAGGAACTGTTCCCGAGAAAAGAGTAAAATGCGACAATAAGGAGTATGATATTCTTCTTCCAGATAGGCCACTATGTATTCAACAAGAGTTAGCGCGGGTAACTAAAAGCAGGAATTGTCAGGATAAAGCATACTTGAAGAGGGTCGTTGGGATCCTCGGCCGGAACAGGGTACAGCGCTTGGCCATATGCCGTGTCATCGCCCTCAATCGCACTCAGATCCACCGTCCCGGGAATATCGCCTTCATGAGCATGGCTGTAAATTATGGTTAAATCTCTGCATTAGTGAATTGTGAATGTATTATACCTTTGCACAAGATGCGGCCTTTCGGCCGTTGTTCCCTTGCTCGGCATGACCAAAAACCAATTGAGGTAGGTCAGTCTGGAGCCCTATTTGATATAGTTGGTTGTCAAAAGAGGGTAGATGCAGTAGCTGTGACTAATATAAGGGTTGAACGAAAGGGAGGAGCGCCCAAGCTCCTTTTTATCTCGAGCTATCTTCTTAGCGATGGGGCTAAACCCCCGAACTTGCTCTTCCCCGCATGGCTCCACATATTCCCCGGAATTCAACCTGTCATCGCCACTTTTGACTTTATTCATGGGGCAGGCCCCACACGCCATGATCTGGGGCTGCAAGATAGTAGACTGATGTGAAGAATGTTGATGGTTCCTGGCTGGAAGTCTAGGCCTGTGAGTCCCGCAAAGTCTGTGATTCATCGTTTAAATGAGAGTTGGATTTACTTCCGGTAGATGTGTTGTTTGCTGGCTTTCTGGGGCGCCTAGGGTGAATGAAGCAACCTGCTTGCGGGATCTGGACATACCACAAAACTTCTGGATCGAATCTCTAGTCAACTGCTCTTTCTCAAGGAAATTCGGCTTTCCTCGGCAAATACTCTCAACTTCGGTAGAACGGTGGCAGAATCATTGAAAGACAATCTACCGTCAGTTTAGAATCCTTGTTCATCGGAATCTACGAAGAAATCGACAAATATATCATTCAGAAGAATCTTCTGGCCATGCTGTAAGCTTGCCACACGCACTTCCCGGCGTGGAAAAGCGTGACGTTTCAGTTCAATACGCAGTTTCGTACACTGTCAAATATTGAAATCACCAATGGAGATACAATCTATGGTTCGAGGATCTAGTAACGAAGTGCGCAGCAAGAGATATTCAGCTAGTGGTAGTGATTAGGGTGAAATGTCCAGCGATGGTGCCAAAGCATAGTAAAGTCTGATACTGATTAAACCTTTCGGGGGTTGTGGGCCTCTGTCAAAGCCTATTATTTCATATAGTAGGCGATTCATCGTGCCCCACATCATGAAGCAGGCGAACAGAACTTTGATTGATTGATAATTGATTGATTAAACCTTACCGCTTTGAATAAATCTCTCAGACAGAACTGTAGCACTGCTCGATGATCTGCGCAAACGATGCCACGTGAATATCCTGTTGAAGACTAAATTTCCTATTCTTTTTTTATTGTAAACGGCACTCATCAGACATCAATGAAAGCTCTATTCTGGAAACCGTCCCATGTTCTCCTATGGCGGGATCTCTGGTGAGTTGTATGCACGGGAAGGGCTAGGTGTGCCGACAGTATGAAAATTCGGAATGACAAACATTTGAACTCAGAATTAAAATCTTAGGAAACATACGAGAAATATGGATTTAAAACAATCTAGTTAATCAAAACACCCACAATGCCCAATCCTAGCCCCGCTCAAGTAAAAACATCAGTAGCAAACCGCTCCTTCGTTCTCAAAGCATCGAAGAATCTTTCAACAGCAGTCTCCTCATCCATTCCAACTTCACTATACTCAAGCTCAGGATCTTGACCTGCCTCCTTCGCTTTACGGATAGTCTCCGCTCTCCGCTCAAGGAACACCTTCTTACAAACATCCCTCACACCATTTCCAACGCCAGTACTACCACAGACGTAGATCCGAGCACCCTGATCAAAGAGCGTAGTCAACTCCTCTCGATCTTCGAGCATGCGGTCCTGGACATGTTGACCCTTTCCTTCCTCGGGTCGACTAAATGCCCAACGGACATCAACGGCACCTTGCGCGGCCCATTCGGCTAGCTCGTCGGCATGGATATCATCTTGGCCCTTCACGCGGCAGCCGACGTACAGGACAGCCTTGGCAGGTTGTTCGAATCCAGCGGATGATGAACGGCCGCGAATCTTCTCTGCACGTTCCATGACGAAGCCGCGGAATGGAGCGAGGCCGCTGCCGGCACAAGCCATGATCATGGGGGTTTGGAGGTCGGGTGGGGGCTTAAAGCCGTAGTGCGAGGGGCAGACCGAGATGTGTGCGCGTTCGCCAGCTTGGAGCTCGGAAAGGTAGTTTGAAGCGACGCCTAGATACTCTGATGTTTCGCCGTCGACGAAGCCTGAAAGGGCGGGGTCCTTGAGGACGGAGAATGTAATTGAGCATTCTGAGGGGTCAGAGAGGGGGGATGAGGAGATGGAGTATTGGCGCACGCGCATTGGCGGGAGCATAGCGAGGAAATCGCCGATGCGCAGCTTGATTGCTGGGTAGCGCATAAGGAGATCGAGGGGGCTAATTCTTTTGCGGACGATCTCGGTGTTGAAGAGGCTTGGGCTAGAGGCGAGGTAGCGGAGCTCAGCTTGAGTTTCGGCATCTTCGGTTGCTGCGTCGGCGAGGAGGTTCATGTCACGCTTGGAAGCGGGTTGGGAAAGTTCGACATAAGTGGAAAGGAGCTCAAAGGCGGAGATAGGAGTGTCGATGGGAATTGAACGTGGGCCGGCACTTTTCTCTGGTTTTTGAATGCGCAATACTGCGTCCCAAGGGAGGTCGAAGCGACGGATTGCGCGACGCACGACGGTGCTTGGGTTGACTGGGAGTACGGCCAGGTAGTCACCGCACTGATATGTTGTGTCTGATGGCAACTTGAACTTCAGGTATCGCTTAGCAGACACGCCTGGCGGTGTGAGGAGCTTGTTCTCGACGACAAAGCCTTCTTGAAGCTTGAGGCCAAGAGTAGATGCGCGCACACCCGAGCTCACATCAACTTGCAGCGAGGACTTGGGCTTTTCAGTTTTTTGCACTCCACCGAGCTTTTCGGCGACGGCGGGCCAGAACTCTGTTTCGCCCCAACTGTCAAAGGCAGTGAACATATCGGAGTTGGCTGCATCGGCTAGGCCCATCTCACAAAGTCGTAAGGCGCCGTTCTTCTCGGCGAGCTTGTTGACTGCCTTGGGAATGCGGTGGAAGGTTGTCGCCCAATCGTCTGGAGTGGTTTAGTAGAAGCACTTTTGGAAGATATTTACAATGATACTCACGGTGACCACAGCCGAAGACTGCATAATTAACACCCTCTAGGTTACTGCCCTTGAGCTCGCTGAGCCACTCAAAAAAGTGCGCAGCATTATCCGGTGGCTGTCCCTCATAAGAAGCCGTGATGAAGACAACGGGGTCGTTCTTGGGGATGTTTTCCCTCGCCGAGTCCAAGGGATTAGTTTCAGCGGAATACCCGTATTCAACGGCATCGTCCGCCAACCGGCGTGCGAATGCCTCGCAGGTTCCCGTATTGCTTCCGTAGAAGATGTGCATAGGCTTCAGGTTGGCACCGGCAGGGGCAGCTTTATGCTTCCTTTCGCTGTCAGTAGCCCCAGCCGCCTTGTGAAGATCCGGGGTACCACCCAGAATCAGACTCAGATTAGTCGGGTCCATGTTGTGACGGAGAGTTGCCCGCATGTAAAATCCTTCGGGCTTGATAGTAAGTGTCTGCTTGAGTCGGAGATCATAGCTGGGGTCATCCATCTGGAAGTTGAAGTTCTGCATCAGCATTGCGACGAGAATCAACACTTCCTGCCACGCGAACGGACGACCGATGCAGCCGCGCATGCCGTTACCGAAAGGTTTCCAGGCATTCTTGGGTAGTTTGTTGAAATTCTCGTCGAGCATCCGTTCTGGGCGGAATTCGTCCGCATCTTCGCCATACACCTGAGGATCACGTTGCATCTTGCTCAACATCAAGACGATGGGTTCGTTCTTGTGCAAGACGTACTTACCACCGCCCAATGTGACCGGGTCTTCCTTGTTCTTCTCTGGGTGCGCATGCATACCGATCATCGGGGCTGTCGGCTTCAGGCGAAGAGTTTCACGCATGACAGCCGTAAGGTACGGGAATTTTGACAAGTCATCCACGGTGACCTTGCGTCGCTCAAGAACTCGGTCGACCTCTTCCTGGAGCTTCTGATACGCACTGGGAGTTTTGAGGAGGTAGTAGAACATGAAAGATAGCATGCCCGAGGTGGTTTCATGGCCTAGAACTGTTAGCACGTAATACACCCTTTATAGCAATAGACACTTACCGGCAATGAGGAAAGTGATCATGTTATCAATAATCGAGGAATCAGACATTCCTTGGCCCGTCTGATGATCTCGACCCAGGATAAGAGCATTAAGTAGATCCTTCTTGTCGATGGGGTTGTTTTTCCGAGCATCAATGAGCTCTTGAGACAAGTTACGGAGATAGCTGATATCGTTCCAGTACTTGGCGTTTTCACTGGTAGGAAGACTATTAAGGAGAGCCGGACGGCGAGCCCGGTTACCAGACCCGGAAAGAAGGCCAGTCATCGCCTCAATGAAGGGGTGCATCTCATCATGATAAAATGAGTTGAAGCGTGTGCCCATGGAGCAAAGAGCGATAGTATCGAGGGTCAAACGAGTGAAATCCTCCGTAACAGTGATGGGTGCATTAGGCCCGTTGCGCGCCCATTTCATGACGAGCTGACTGGCAATATCGTACATATCTAGTGGGGAATTAGAGCTGTATGCCTTTCCTCTAGAGGTAGATCTTACCATCGAACATGCCGCGAATCATCAACGGTCCGAATGCGGGGACAAGGACTCGATGCGCGATAGCCCAGTTCTCCTCTCCGGGGTAATTCGCGGTAAACAAGCCATCGTTCGTTCCATTGCGAATCTCCTTTAAACCGGCGACAACATATTTGGCGAATCGCTCCTCGTCGCAGACCTCGTCGACGAGCTCATGTGAACTGAGGAATACGCGTGTCTGGCCAAAGGTGGTGAATCGGAAAATAGGGCCTACAGCTAGATTAGCGGTGATCTCCTCGGCAGAGCGCATGTAGTACCATAGGTCTCGGCGAGTCGCTCGAAGCTGTTGAGGGGCACGTCGGCCTCGATTTCCAGGAGGTTGCCAATAATAGGGACACCCCTTGGTGCGGGGATAGGGACCTCTGAGCTCATTGTGATGGTTGAATGCAATGGACAGGGAGGAAAGGAAGCCTAGGAAAAAGATAAGTTTATGAGATCCCAGATCGAAGATCATAGCGGGACAGGGATTCACCAAATCCGACTCGGTGCTGTCCGCAGATCGGGAAGTGTACCCGCCGACCCGTTACTTTTTGAAAGTTCGGTGTGAAACCAACGGTCAGTGTAAGTGTCCGAGGTCGCGGCTGAGAATATATGAAAAAGATTGGACTTTATGCATATGGGTGCCTCTCCAAATCATCCTCGTGTGTTGTCATGCGTCGAATTTCAATACATTCTCCACGACAAAACTGCCAAGTTGCAGACTCCACTAACCTCGGCTCATTCACGAGCCAATCCAGTACTTGGCATTTCATGGATGTTTTTCCATTATAAGCCTCTGATCCGTACATCTAAATCTATTCATGGATATTTACTATACGCTAGACGGCAGTATAGGCGCCAACTCCGATCGTGTTGAATAATCTTTTATGAGTTATACACTTTGTGCAATTTGACATTCTGGATGCCTAAAGCCCCCTAGTCAATGACCTCACCATACAGCGCCCGCGGCTGCTGTGGCTTCAGGCTGGTGGCTATGCCTAATTATAGTGGGGCCCAATCTAAGGGGGGTCATTGCCTCAGTTGGATCACGAAAGTGAATTCTCGATTCAGAGGTTGATTTTACGACGTAAATCGGTAGAAGAAAAAAAATGAACAACCAATGTTGATGAAAATATGTACATATCATGCATTTGCGAAAGAAGGATCCCGATGTGTGGGGACAATGGCAGCCCAACAGCCTGGAACGCCGATGGTTTTGACCGGCATAAAAGAGAGACCGATGAATGGATATCAACAAAAGCCACCTAGCGAGACGGCGGTAAAAGGGTTGCGAGAGAAAGGTCGTTAGGGCGGTCCCAGGGTCACCACAGACACTCCCCGAGAGAAGGACAGTGGTCTCATCAAGTCGTGGCGGCGTCTGCGAGACTGGGACGAGTGGTTCGCAGAACCGTTCATGAAGAGGCAAGGTAGAGTGCGAGGTTTACTTGACTTGGTGATAGCCGCTGGTTCGCCATTCGCTTGCCTTCCAGTCGTTCTGGTAGTTCTGCATCTCGTTGCGATCGTTGTCGTACTGATCGTTGCCGAGCGCCTGTTCGAGGCGGCCCTGACGACGCTTGCGCACGCAGTAGAGTCCCAGTGCGACGAGAACGAGGGTTCCGGCGGCCGCGGCTCCGACGTAGACACCGGCGTGGGCGCCTGTACCTAGGTCATCCCACTTCTCGGCGAGAGACTTGGGCGGGTTGTTGATGTCGTTGAGAGCAGTAGAGTTTCCTCTGTGAAACTAGTTAGTGATGATCGCAGCGCATACCAGGAATGGAACTTACTCTGCGACGTTGATGCTCTGCCAATCTCCGGAGTGGTCCCCATAACTATACTCCTTACCGGTGTGGAAGTCCTGGATACGGATCTTCTGCACGGTCATAGTGAAAGGTCCTTTGCTATAATCAACCAAGCCACCAGCCCATTCGATGGTACCCGGGGCCGCATTCTTCGTACCAGCGGGCCAGTTACTGATCTTGACCTGGCAAGGCGTCTGCGGGTAGTTCTTGCCCTGGAGGGTGCTATCTGTCGAGTAAGGAACAGTGCGAACAAGATCGCCATCGATCCACCACTCGAGCTTGTCCGAGTCCCAGTAGGTGGTATAGTTGTGAAATTCGGTATCAGCGTTGGCGACAGCGTGGAAACCGCCACGGTTGAAAGTAGTGTCATTACCCTTGCCGAAGAAGTTGCTCTGCACCTGGCTGGTGTTGTATCCAACCCATTCCCAATCAATCTCATCCAGGTCATCCGACTCCAGCACCACGCTGCTAATGACACCGCCGCCCTTGGCCATCTTGACCCAGGACTCGACAACGCCGAAGAAAATATAAAAGTTCGATTGGAGCAAGGTCGATTCTCCTTCCTTGCTAATGGTGAATTCGGCTCCGTCATCGGTGGTGGTGTAATCACCGGTTGTCATGTTCCAAATGGCAGTGTCGAGTGTGGTGTTGAAATACCATTCGTGCGTCGTACCCAGTGCCGGGTCGGCTGGGCAAGATTTCTCGAGCGGGTTACAGAGGGTAGATGTTTGAGCGAAGGCATTGCTGGCCAGAGTCGCCAGCACGGCGAGGTTGAAGAAGGTCTTCATGGTGTATCAATTTTCTCAAGCTCCCCTATACTGCTCAGGCGATCCGAGAGTTCACAAAGAACGGCTACGAGGTAGAACCTCGAGGTATGGTTGAAAAAGGAATGGATGTGCGAAACAGACACACGATTTAAGGATCGGAAGGTGGAAAGCCACCAGCAGCACAGGGTTCGTGGGAGAGTTATGAGAAGAAGAGCATCAAGAAAAGGGAAAGTTGGGAGGGAACGACGCCACTTGAGACCAAGTGGGCTCACGACATGGCGACTAGTGCTCGATTGGTGTTTGGCTCCAGGGACTTGGGATAACTGAGGGCCCTCGGGGCCCTCAGGGCCCCAGTAAGGGGAAACACTGGCAGCGGATTATTGTGATTTTGGCGGTGCTAACCAGGTCGCGTTAGTGGTGTCTGTAGCAGTGTGTCCCCTTTCCCGAATCGGGAAATGTGGCGGCCCCGTGCCTGACACTAGACTGCATTCGGTTCCGACCGAGTTGGCACGGGTCTCTGGGGTTGGTTATTGGTCGATAAGAGCGAGATCTACGGCTGGGAGAAGCCATTCAGGGAACACCAGGAGACGGAGGTTCATTCGTATCGTGTTATCTGTGAGCAATCGTTTTCCTCGTGTCGTGTCGATCCCCTGAGACCGTAAAAGGCACAGAGCCAAGTCAGCCAAGTACTTAGTACCCTTTTCGGCTTGTGTTAGCTCCGACGATGACCCGGTCTAGACTTGTCATCTTTCTCCTGGCGACCTTGGCACGAAGAAAAGTAAACAAAGGGCCACCTGCATCGATCATAATCAAATGATGAAATCAAATCAAATTAACAATAGTTCCTATCGCGCTCCCTTGGATCTATTTCAAGACCCTACGCAAGAACGACCCCTAGTTTTTTCCCACTTTTCGCACTTGTGGCACTACGAACCCACTTTACCCACCTTCAAGCTAAGACCCTGTGGACCCCTCACTTTCCAGGTTTTTCCCTTGCCCGCTTTCTTTCCCGTACTGTTCGGCACCCGTTCGAACAGCTTTCGCGTGAACTAGCTGCTAGTTACCCCAGAGCCCGCCACTGCATCTTGCCGTTCGTGTGGTCCGTACCTGACACTTCCGAGCTTTGCGGCGTCGGCCGTTGCGTGCCTAGTACCGTATCTCAAATTAACCCGCATCAAGTTTCGCACGGTCTCTGCCTAGTGTGAAAAAAATGTATCCACGGGTTACACGGACATTTATCGTCGGTCTTGTACCTTGCCCGACCCATGTACTTACTTCCGATCCAGGGGTTGGCAGTCAGTGTACGGAGTAATAGAGCATGTGTGACATTGTAAGCAGCTAAGAAATAAACTCGGAACTACGTTGTGAAGTATTGTTTTGGGTAGCTTTCATGAGTGATACAGTGTCCTACTCGTTACTCGATCGCGCCACTGTGATCGAGGGGTCTCTAGGAAGGGGTTAGCCCATCCCCGTCGGCATCATCATAAAGCTTTACCTTCCCTGACTAGGTGGACGATGGACGACAGGTATGTATCGAAAAGGAAGATTTCGATAACTGGAGAAAGGGCCAATGGGCACCGAGTACTCATAAAGAACTCGGACAGAACGCTGAGGTGTCCAGGTGAATTCAACCCCATTTTTCAACGCAGGACAAAGAAATGCGCGGCCCTTTTTTTTGGACTTCAAAGAGAACTGAACCAATACAGTAAGTGACAAGTTCGGCTTCTACAGAAATTGCACCCTTCCGGTTTTTCGCTCTTTCTTAGCGTCACATCCGAGGGTTAGTCTATTATGAGCCTAAGTCGTTATTTTCTTACTAGACTCGTCGTATTCAACAGGACGATAATAGAATGACTGTGTATGATCCAGGATATTTTGTAAACCAAGCTGCTTTTGTCAAGCAGACCTATATCTCTTCTAGGTAGGAGAGAAACAAAGACACGATTTCCGCACCCATGAATAAAACATCAGTAATTGGGCAGTCTACCACACGTCACCTGGCAACGATGCTTAAAAAATACTCCTCTATCAGCTAAGAGTTAGACAGCATTCGCAAATATTTCCGACACTGGATATACTCATCACATACTTGTTCGTACAGTTCAAGACACACTGTTCCCTTTTCTAGAAGCCAGTAGTGTAGAGTAAATTCTAGTTTCGAGGATATCTAATATTCCGGCCATACCGTTGGCATCCCAAGGATATTTCCTTCCTTCGCGCTGACACAAACACACTCCCCGGTATGTCCATTCTGCAAGAAAACCTGGAGGGTCTTTCGTCTCCCACCCCATCCATCCCTCCCAAAAAAGTCATTATTACAAGGTACCTCTTTCCCTTCCCTCACAGCCCTGCCAAATCCTTTCTCAGAAACAGGTTGTAATCCCCACACAGCGGCCATCACTTTGATATCTGATGTGATTTCTATAAAATTTGAAAAGAAAAAGTTCCTTCTCATCCGATCCCCCGGCTCAATCATAGCGTCGCCGGAGTCTTCACCGGTGACGAGTAGTTGCATTGGCTCCACAGACCCGTAGCGATACAGAATGGAAATTGTTTTCTGCCATCCAGGTAGCGGATCGGGGGATGCAAAGGCACAGACATTCCTCGTATCGAAGTGTAATGTCTGCTGAGACGTGATTTTCGCTCGAACAAGATTCGTAATGTCCAATCCGCCCCAGTTCGCACAAATAATATCAAGGAATGGCGGGATTTGGGCCGAAGAATCCTCAATGACAGTCTTCGCCTCACAATGTGATAGTGCCGCTGCGGTGTTCGAGTATGCCCACGTCACCGACATGACTTTCTTGTGTCCATAGCACGGATCTGTTGCGAAGAACTCATGATTCGATGCCGTGATGTTCGGTCGAGGATCGTCCGCCGTGATTAATGCAACATGGTCCGTAACGTCGACATTATGCCAGCTAGCGTTCAAGATATAGATCGAACCCCGTTCATTTGTCTCCGGGCTCTCATGACAAGGGAGTGGAATGGAGAGATCAAGGGTAAGCAGTTCATCTTCCTCGGCGAAGAGTTTCTGAGGGGCCGAATAGAGGTTTCCGTAATCGAGTCGAATCACTTTGCGCCAAACCATGGAGAATGCCTTAATGTTGTTCAGCCAAGGATCTCCACCAAATGTGTCGTTCGTAACCGAGAAAACCACTTTGGTCATCTTTAGACCTGCGTGCACATGGATAATGTGCCTGACAATATCTGTGACAATTTTGGGTCCGTATACGGCTGAGATGACTTCAATCTCTTCCGTGTGCCCTCCTAAACCCAAGTCCGCACTTACACTCCCCACAAGAGCGTTTGCGTTTGGTGACTGTTTGAGAGGAGATGAAGCCGCGCTCTCGTATGCACGAGCTGACCATTTCATAATGAGATCCTGATTCTTCTCTGCTTCTGCTTCGGATATACCATACTCGGTCATCCGACGGACTAGCTTGGGCCACTCCGGAGTCACCTCCTCTTCGATTTTGGGAACAGTCGGGGTGTTGGAACTGGTCACGGAGATAGTGGATGACAGGTCATCTCGGTGGAGACCTAGGAGGAAGTTATCCAACTTATCCAGGATCTCTTGTTGTTTGTCGACTCTACTTTCAGTCAGTAACTCATTGCCAAAAGAAGGGAAATGCCTTCAATACGCCGCACTAGATAAGGATATGACGGGACTCACACTGGATCCCTCGATGCAATATTAGGAAGGACCAAGCCACTATTAAATGCTCCAATGATTGCACAAAGAGATGTGATTCTTGACCTCACAGAGTCTACTTCCCCCTGTGACCACCTAAACCGATTCAATCCTCTTGGCGCTGATGCATATCCTTGTTTTTGCTGCAATTCCTCTAACATATTTCCAGCTTGTTTGACAAGCTGCTCCAGGCCCGCCGCTTCATCAGACGATAATAAAGATCCTCGGGAATTTTCGTCGGTAACATCACCCTGTTGAAGAGCAAGTCTGTTACCAAGTCTCCGGAGGAGGATTTCAAGTCCTTTGATGTCACCTGCGAGATCCTTGAATCTCTTCGGAGCACCTTTGTAGGTGTCATAGACTTGGTAGGCAAACGTTGCTAGGGTCAAGACATCTGGGGAGCCTGGTGGAGCGAACATATCTCAATTGGCTCCGGTGAATTTCTTGTTCGGCCCACGATGGTTGTGCCTTCTGTCTCTGCGGATCTAGCAGTAGGTTTATTTGCGCTTCTAGTGACGATCGCAACCAGATCAATCTGAACGTGTACGAAGTCGCTGTTGACTGCGGGGTTCACCGTCAGGTGACACTGTAATTGCTTCGCAGTCTTTTACAAACTGACATGCTCACTTTAATTGCTGGATATTGACTTGATTTTCCAACAATTTCGTACGATTGAAGCGATATACATCAATTGGATTTCCTCTTGAAGAGCTCACATTCAATGTTTTAGTGATTCATCGAATATTCACTTCTGTAAGCTCCTGCCCTTCTAGCTGGCGCCTTAGGCTGGCATGAAGGTCCAGTTACATCGTAGCGCTCCTTGGTAATTATCTATTTCTAGTCAGTATTCTTCGAACAAATAACTTGGCAATTCTGATAAGGTGAGTATTCACGATCTTGGCTGTGTCAAGGCCTCGCTAGCTACAGTACTCTCCACCATGCTTGCATCATGGTTACCTTTTTCACTTCTACAAGCCCTTACCCTTTTTACTCTATATACCGTTTACGCCCTACCCTCTTTATTATGATGCACCCAAGTCATATACGCTAAAGACCAAGGGCGTGATGGAGGAGAACGAGAACAGGGACATATTTTGACTAGTGCATTCCAAGGATCAGGCACAACTACAACACTATCCCTGACCAGTCTGTCATATTCACATTCAAAGCATAATTCCATCCAATAAAATCAAAGCTGGCCCATTACTCATTACTCATTTAATCTCGTATATTCCCAATCCCGAGGCAATTTCCTCACTCGGCAATGTACACCTTCTGCGGCCGCCGCACATCATCACGATACCGGCGCGAAGGCGATTTCTCAACATAGTCCACATATGCGCCATGACTGCGCCGTCTTCTGCGGTTGCTGGAGGTACGAGTCACCGGAGGACGGTAGCCAACATCTGGCTCTCCACCGCCACTCCAGGCACCGGGCAGTCTGCAAACACGCCACAGCCATAGGACGAGCAGGGTACCTGCTATTGAGCCGATGACGATTCCAGCGATTCCACCGGCGGAAATTGTACTGGGGCATCCGTCTGGAGCACGAGCCACGAGGGGAGAATTGATGGGAGCCTGTTCTGGGTGTTAGATGCGATCGCATTCGGAGCCGTGGTTCACGGTCGGGCCGCTCGGCAATGTGGAAATGGGGCCGTGGAATGTAGACTGCACTTACCATTGAATTGAATTGAAGTGGGGTTGGGTATGTCCTATGTCCTTTCTCCGTTTCCTTTGACCGTCTTTTCTGGTTCGGTTCTGGGCTTTGTATGGCTGTGATGGGATCTCGATCTCACACGATAGAAAGTGGGTCTGCGACGATATGCCTCGATCGCGTCGAAATGCGATTAGACCCAGAAAAAAGAATCCGAGGCCGGAAACAAAAGGAAAGAGACGAAAGCCCGCAAAACAAGATCGTTCGGGGATTTAAAGACTAAAAGAAAAAGGGCCGCAAAGTTCCCCAGCCTCCTCCTCCCGCTTCTGACGTCAATAAAGCGACGACTTGGCAGCCACGAAAAGCAACGATCACCGGGATCGTGAATTCTTGAAACTAGGCAAAGTTGTCAGCATTCGACTCATCCATTGGCTACCGTCGAGTCCGATTGGGGTGCTCGATCGGTCATTGGCTGGCCGGACGTTCGGACTCTCCGGCTGTGTGGACATCATGCAATCCCCATGCGCGGCACGCATGTCGCGAGGCTGTCATACTACGGGGCCGTTGGAAAGATCTAGCTTGGCGGGGTTCTATAAAAAAGGCGATGCCCACATTCCTGAAGTACAGTGTGCTGCTTTATCTATGAGGAACGAGCCGCTCTTTGTTCACCTAGTTCCGATCCACATGCCCGGGTGAGGGCGGCGCCTCGCCGGACTCCCAGGCCTTCTCATCCTTGCCAAGTTCGAACTCGATGTGTCCGCCCCGCGTCATGACATCGTCGTGCTCGAACCAATTCTTAGTCCACTGCTTGCCGTTGATCTTCACGCTCTGCACGTAGTAGCCCTCGTCCAAACCCGTGGCGGAGATCCGCAGAGTGCTGTTCCCGTTGATTGTCATGTTGAGGTCGGGGAACCAGGGTGAGGAGAGCAGGTAGTTGGGCTGTGTGACGATTGGGTAAATACCGAGCATCTGCCATAACAGCCAGGAATTCATGGCACCGGCATCGCTGTTACCAGGGATGCCGTAGGCAACGTCTTTAAAGCTGTTTCTTCTTTAGTATGTGGTCTGGTGTACTGTGGTGGTCATCTTACTACTGAGTGGCCAGGCTGCGGGATTGATCCACACTCTTGGACTGCTTGTTGATGTAGTTGTATAAGTAGGGAGTAGCAAAGTCAGGCTCGTTTCTATATGCCCATTCTTAGCATCAGTCGTACCATCTGGATCTCATTCGAAACATACCCTATATTGATCAACGTAGTGATTCCCGCACCATTGGCACCAAGATTTTGGACCGACATGTTCGGTTTGAACTAGGTAGCTGTTAGTCTCGGTTGCAGGGTTTCGCCTCGGTTCACCCACCATCAAGTCCAGACGATTCTCGAAGGTATCAGCACCACCCATCAACTTGACAAGTGTCTGTACATCGTGAGGAATCACAAAGGAGTATTCTACCCTCGAGATCAGTCATCGTGCTCCAACTCCAACTTATTCCACAACTTACCCCACGGAATCCCCTCATAAGTAATCGACTGCCACTCACACCCATCACAAAGCAGCGGATCATAGTCACTAGAATTGAACTTCCCATTTGAAAGCTTCGGGGCCAAGAATCCGGTGAAGTTCAAACTCGTGACACTGGGATCCCAGATATTCTGCCAATTCGCCGACCGATTAAGATACGTCTCGACATCACCAGGCATCTCGCCCTTGGCAACCTGGCTAACGGCAAAATCATTGAGAGCGTATTCGACGGTTCGCGAGATACAACGGGTGCTGCGGTCTTGCGAAACATACCCCAGCTCTTTCCAGTCATCCAGGGCACCGCGGCCTTCTTTCGTACTGGCAGTCAAGTCTGTAGGGTCGAAGGTATTATAAGGTGTTACTTCTGCATCTTTCTTCATCGCAAGGTATCCTTCGGTCCAGTTAATTCCGCCCCGTAGTCCTTTGACGTATGCGTCGGCGAGGACGTTATCGGCGTCGGAACCACCTTGGCTGAGACCGTTCCAGTTGCCGGAGCGGCCATCGGGCATGTAACCTTCGTGTCTGCTTCCGTTAAAGCCAAGGTATATTGAGAGACCTGGTCTGCTTACTTGTAGATATCGATGACGCCACGAATCATAGACTCGTAGTACTCGGGCTGGAAAATATGATAGAAGCTAACCGTGCAGCGGAAGATATCCCCTAGCCGAAATCAGTATGAGTGCACCCAAACTAACAAAGGCAGGACTTACACATGGTATAAAAGTCATCCCAGTACGGCTCTCCCGAGTCCCAAAGAGGGTTCTCGCCCGTGCGGTCCGAGGGCATCATGTGAATGAAGTACAGCGAGCTATATAACAACCGAACATGGGTCATATTCGCCGAGTCATCTAGCGAAACTTGAACCTTACTGAAAACATCCTCGTTCCACTCCTTCACGGAGTCGGTGACAGTGTCATTCAGTTTCCAGGACGGGATCTCCTTCTGGATATACGAGCGAGCCTTGTCAGCTGAGATGGAAGAGATTCCAACGCGTGAGATGATGTGCGAAGCAGCGCCGTCTTTCCAGCTAAGAAGGAGACCGATGCGGTCATTCATGGGACCTGATGTGATTGTTTGCGATTTTCCGAACTTTGCTTGCGCGATGCCGCCGTTGTCATGGTTGTGGTAGCGTGGCATGGGAGATGTGTTGTCTCCCGAGAATGCCTGGGCCTTTTCTGGCTTCTCGGAAAATTCTCCCCAGAAGTAGACAGTGAAAGGTGCACCTCATATCCGGGTTAGGTTGAGCGACTAGGGCTTGGCGAGAGACTCACCGTTGTTGAATCCGCCGATATAGGTTCCATATCCAGAGTAGGCCTTTCCATTTTCCTCAATCCGAATCTCGCCGTTGGTGAAGAACTGCCCATTGGGATCACCAGGAGATCCAGGAAGATAATGAGAGACATCAACAAGGACGTGTTTCTCACCCTCCGGGAAAGAATAGTTCATAATACCACTATGACGTGAAGCAGACAACTCAATGGTGACACCACTCTTCAACTGAGTCTTGAAATATCCCACCGTTGCCGTATCTTTGCCAACCTAAAGCCAGTCAGCATCACCCTATCCTACATGTATCAAACTCAGAAACTCACTCTCGGCTGACTATAGGTCAAGTTATCAAGCACGTTAACCGGCGCATCAACCGTGGTCAACGGCATCTGCGAAATCAATCCATACTTCGGCGAACCACCCGTACCACTCTCATGCATCATACTGACACCCGTAACATTGCCATCGGGGGTCCATCCACCATTCAAAACAGCCGTACTCCAATCCACCGCAGTCGTGTCAATCCCGACCTTCGCAACGCCAAATGGACGCGTCCCGCCAACAAAGATATCACCACCGCCGAACCCCGTGCCAGCTTCTGGTCCTTCGGAGCCAATAAACACGTTGACATACTGCGACAGGTCCTGCGAAGCTACGACGGTGCCTGCAAGGAGGGAGACTAGCCCCAAGGGGGAAAGTCGTGAACGCATAGCAGGCCTTATAATACTAGGATCTGCAAGGCCGAAGAAAAGAAGCTAAGCAAGGTAGACACTGCTAGCCAGTGATACTCGAAGAGGAAAAAAAAAAAAAAAGTACAATTGAAAGTAGGTAGGTCGCGTCTGCCCGCCTTTATACATTCCACACCGGACCCCGATCCTTCCCTCATGCGGTGTAAGGTGGAACCCTGAGCTCGACGTCGGCGAAGATGCCGAGCTTGGAGGTAGGACCTGTCGTTACAGGGTGGCCATGGTTACTGCGTTGGAGCTTCTACCCCGCATGTATCGTGCAGGTGCGCTGTGGGGGATTTGGGGTGTTAGGGGTCAAGGGTCTAGCGGGCGCCATGACATCGTTGATCGGCGGGCGAAGGGCCTATTGTCTGGAACAGATGTAACATTCGATGACACGGAGATTGGAAGAGCCGATATGTGGGTTTGTCTGAAGCTTGGTCGGTGCTCTGTGCGGGGAGTTGGGTTAAGGGATCCGCCTACATTGGTTTCGGAGTATTCAAGGCCGAATGCCTGTTTGGGTGCAGAGCTGCAGAGTCCTGAGCAGAGCGGTCCGCGGCCATTTCCATGGTCCCAGCATACGAGCTACATTACGAGCCATGGAGTCATGGGTTAAGGATTGGCGAAAAATATTTATTCAAATCCAATACTCCCGACCCATGATATCATCAGAAAGAGTAGGCAACCCTATCCAGCCAGGTTCCTATCCGTTGGATGCAGGCAAATAAACACGAACATGCACACGCCAGTCCAACTCATTACCGACTCTCAATATAGTCTCTGTTCTCGATCGTAACACTCTTAGTCATGTGGTTGACCTTGTAGACGCCGACGAGACGAGAAGCCAGTTCGAACTATCGCCAAATTAGTATGTGCGGATGTGGATAACAGGCTGCCAGGACTTACCATGTTGTTTCGCAAGGAAATTACAATGAATTGGGCATTCTTCGTTCGCTCTTTAATGTAGGAGGCCACAATAGAGACCTAGATGTTGTTAGTTGGGTGACAGATCAAAATAGCAGACAAAACTTACGTTACGGAAATCCAAAGCAGCGTCAATTTCGTCCATGACGTAGAGCGGTGTCGGCTTGTAGTGGTGGAGGGCGAACACCAGCGCCAAACTTGACAGTGTCTTCTCACCACCAGACAGGTTGCCAATGTTCTTCCAGCTCTTCTTCGGGGGCATGACCGAGAAGAGAATACCTTCAGAGAAGGGATCCAAGGAGTCGACCAGTTCCAGCTCGGCATTACCACCCATAGTGATCATTTGGTACATCTCCTTCAGACGGAGAGAGATAATTCCGAATCCCTCCATGAATCCGTTCAACCGAGAAGACCGGAGACCATCCAGGCGGGCCTTTGCGCTGTCGCGGGATGTCAGAGCAGTGGCCAGGTCGGCGGATCGGGCTTCGTGCTCCGCAGTTCGACGGCGATATTCCTCAAGGACTGACAAGTCAACAGAAGCGTTCTGGACCTTCTCCTCCAAAGCGGCAATGATAGCCTTCAGAGACTCCTTGTTCATCGCGTCCAGCTCGTCTTTGGTAAATACTTGCAGCTCGATGGGGTCTTGTTCTTCGCCCAGATCGTTGACGTTCTGCAAAGATAGCTTGGAGTGCTTCTCCTCCCAGTAGCGGCTGCGCTTCTGGTTTTCCCCAAGGGCCTTCTGGTTTTCTTCCAACTTGTTGCGCATCTCAATCTCGGTGGCACGGGTCTCGTTGAGCTCGGCTACCTTGTCGTCGAGCTCCTGCTTGAGAGCCTTCAGCTCGCCCTTCTTTGTCTCAAGAGCCTGTAGTAAAGTTAGTTGCGTTCAAAACAGGACAAATCGATGATGCTTACCTCTTGGGCCTCGTCGGCCTTCTGTCGCCAGCCAGAGGCGTCGTTTGTCTGGCTCTCCACGTCGGCTTCAAGCTTCTCCAAGTCCTCGGTGACCTGGGCGATCTCCTTTTCAGATCCATCACGAGCCTTGGTGTGCTTGTTGGAAAGCTTCTCGTTCTTGGACTTCTGGACCTCGGCGTTAGAAATCTCCTCTGCCAGCAAGCTGATCTGCTCCTTGAGACCGTCGACCTTGGCCTTCTGTCCGCGGAGACGAACACCACCGACTTCCATAATCTTGCTTTGAAGCTCTTGGATCTCCTCCTCAATACCACTCTTTTGGTTGTTAAGGTCCTCAATTTCCTCATTCATGGCCTTGATCTGCTCCTCGAGGGTAGTTGCCTGAGCTTCATCAGACTTGGAAGGTTTGTGCGCCGCGCTCAGCTCCTTGACACGTCGCTGGCCATCGGCAAGGCTGCGCTTGGCACTGTCAATCTCGATCATGATCTTCTGGATCTTTGTCTCGACGCGCGGGATCTCCTCAGTCTTGTCTCGCATTTGGGATTCGACATTTCGCTGTTTCTCTTGGAAGTGCTGGAATTTTCGCTCCAGCTCCTCCAGGTCTGCCTCCAGACGAGTGACTTGCTCCTTGGTAGTGTCGGCCACTTGCTTGGAGGACATGCCACCCCGTGCAACTCGAGTACCACCACCACTCATGGTTCCAGAAACATCAATCAGCTGGCCATCTAAAGTGACCACACGCCACCGACGGGCACCGTAGGCAATGCGGTTTGCTTGTTCGAGGTCCTTGGCAACCAATGTGTTTTGCATGACGCTGTAGAAGGCCGGTGCGAACTTTTCGTCCTTAGGTTTGACCAGATCAAAGAGACGAGGGACACTCTCGGGAGTGTAGATTGTTGACATATCACGGCGAGGCAGTCGGTCGAGAAGAATAAAGTTGGCTCGGCCGAGGTTATTCTTGCGCAGGTAGTCAATGCACTGTTGACCAACTTCGACCGTCTCCACAACCATATTGTCAAGAGCTGGGCAGGCAGTGGAAATCGCAACGTCGTACCTCTCGTCGATGGTTCCCAAGTTACCCAGACGGCCGAGGAAGCCGTCGATACGACCGGACTCCTTCAGACGCATCAAGCCTGTCAAGACACTGCCGCGGTTCTGGGTGCTTGCAAGGCTACCTCGGGCCTCGTCGGCCTTTTGGCGAGCGCTCGAGACGTGAGCACGAACTTCAGGCTCGCGAGCAACGTATTTCTTGAGGTCGCTCTTCAGCTTCTCCACTTCAGCCTCCAGGGTCTCCTTCTGGGCTTGGCGCTCCTCGAGGTCATTTTGTTTGGCTTGCAAAGTCTCCTCGATTGTGCCCATCTTGCCCTGGGCCTCCTCCAGCAGAACGGCGCCGGCATTACTCCGCTCACGAAGTATATCAAGTTCACTCTGCGCGACGGCAACAGCAGACTGCTTCTTGTTGATTTTCTCGTTCCAGGGCTCCAGGGATTTTTGCTTGGTTGTGATCTGATCGGAGAGACCCTGGGTCTTGCCCTTGAGGCTTTCACGGATGGAGTTGAGCTCCTTCTCCTCCTGCTGCATTTCCTGCTCGAGATGAGTCGTCTCTTTCGTTTTCTTCTCGATATCGTCGGAATGCTTCTCGACCAGGCTCTGACACTCGGAAGCCGCGAGACGGCTTGTTTGCATGGTCTTCTCGAGCTTCTTCAGCTTGCCAAGCAAGAACTTCTTTTTTTCTTCGAACTTGACGTTCTCCTTGTCATACTTGGCCATTTCTTTCATCAAGCTCTGCGCTTCTTTATCCATGATCTCCCATTCACGGACACCGCGTTTGTAGAGCTTTTCGAGTTCCTTGATACCAGATTCGTTGCCTTCGTGCTTCTCAAGCTCCATGTTCAAAAGCTCTTGCATCTGGAGGATGGCCTCTTCGGTGACACGGACATTATCAGCGCACTCGTCGATGTAGATCTGGTAGAGAGCTGACTGCTTCTGGGATAGTTCATTTTCGTCGCGTAGATAGGCGAGGGCTTTGTTCTTCTTGTCCTCCAGTGCATTCTTCTCCTTTTCAACATGCTGAACTCGGTTATTCTTCTCAGCGCAGACGTCGTTCAGGGATTCCAGCTCGGTCGCAGCCTCGTCGATGGGAGTCTTATATTTGGAGGTTCCAATGATATCCTCCAGATACTCAAGAAGGCCTTCGTCGTGCTCATTGGTGGCTTTCGCCTTCATCTGGGCGATCGATTCGACTTCACCCTGCAAGATCAGGAATCGCTTGTGGTCGAGATCGATGCCTCGTTCGCGAAGAAATGTCGTCACGGCGGTGAAGTTGGTTTCCTTCTTGTTCATGTAGTACTTGCTGGTATTGTTCTTGAACGCGCGACGCGAAACAATCAGTTGGGAATCTTTGACGACTTCGTGGCCACCTTCAGGAAGATCGAGGACTTGCTCGAAGTGCACCTCCACTTCACAGAAGGGGAGGTCGGGATGTTGAGCGGAATTGTGGATGAGTGCCGAAATCTTGCCCTGTCTCATCTTGCTAGCACGGAAGCCAAATACGAAGAGCAAGGAATCAATGACATTGGACTTTCCCGATCCATTAGGCCCAACTACAGATGAAAAAGAAGCGTGGAATGGGCCAACGACCTGCTTGCCCGCGTAACTCTTGAAGTTCACCAAGATTAGGTTTTGGATGATCATGCGAGGCTTAGCTTCCGCGGGCTCTTCGGGGATAGTCGGTCCTGCCATGTTCCTAGACTTCATCACAATATCCATAGGCTTCTCTAGCACTGTCGAGTTCGGGTTGATGTACGAGATGGTCTTCGGGGTTTCCGACGGCTTGGAGGGTGACGGTTGGTTGACAGCCGGCGTATCGGTAATATCGGCGAGGGGAGGCACGCTTTCACGGTTTGCGCGCGGTGTCGCTTCTGGAGATGCGGACGGCTCTGGAGTAGGGAGTGAGCCCTTTCCCGTTTTGGGCGTGATTGAGCCACGACTCTTGCGGGAAGCCATACTATGTCTTTTCAACGCCGCCTTATTAGAAGGAGAATCAGGATCCGCCTCCGCGGGCTCCAGGCTTTTCCTCTTCAGCGCCGCATGGTTGGAGGGGGAATCGGGGTCAGCGACCACGGATGCCATGCTTTCGTCATTTTCGTCGTTGTCATCGTTATCGTCGGTATGTTCCTCCTCTTCATCCTCTTCAACCTGTGATGCGTCCGAATCCTCGGTCGCGACGGTCGATTGTCGTTTGCGTGCGGGTTTCGCTGTGGAGGGGGTCGTGGGTTCTAGTGCCATGCGCTTTGCTTGGGAAGCGCGCTTGGTTTTCTTAGGGACGGGGGTATAATCTTCCTCCTCGCCTGTCTCGTCATCGTCGTCATCATGAGTAGAGACAGTTGGCGTCACATTGCCGGGGTCCTCCGACTCGGAAGTCTCTTCAACAACGTAGCTCCTGCGGGGAGCAGCACGGCGCGATCGCCGGCCTTGAGTGAGTGAAGCCATTATGCGCAAATGAGTGGTGGCGCCTGCTTCATGGGCGCGAGGGGTGATGCTTAAAGAGATAAATGGAGTTGTTTGGCTCTGGAAAGTGGGTTGTTTACCTCACGCCAGAACAGGACTAGCGTCCACCATTCTGCCATAACAGCGCCTCCACCGCCTTGTAATTTACACGTAATTTTACCTAATCAATACCCCTCCGCGGAGCTTCCTGCACCTGCGATTCTTCAATTCGACAAACATCTCAGGCACAATGGCGCTGTGGGAGGATTTCGATCACATCTTCAGCTTTAACAAGAAGTATCACTACGATGCAAAAGTCATCGACCAGATTGTCAACAACCGAAAGGCGCTAGAGAACCGACTCTTCGCCGATCGGCTTCTGGGCCTGCTCGGCATCAAAGGAGGTATGCTTTGAAAGTCGCCGATATTATCTCGGGCTATGAGCTGACATTCATATAGTGACCAAGGTCTACCCGCCGAGAACGAATGCCGATCTCCGATCACTTTTCAATCACATTATCTCGTCCGAGCTCGACATCCATCATAAGCAAGCGTTGATCTATTACATCCTTAAAGATTGTCGCAGTGCGCCAGATGCTGCAGACCAGTTTGCGCAGACATGTCACTTACCGCAGAAGTATCAGCTCTTCATTGATGGTCTCTGGAACATGGACCGTCTTGAATTCCAAGTTCGTGATTGTATCTTTGTCTGATCCGATTGTGTGTTCCTAACGGTTCGTCAATAGCGCGCACTTGATTACCTCGCCGACCCCTCCCTCATTCCCACCTTTCCTGACGAGATTCTCTATGCTTTGACGCTATCTCAGCTCCCGAAGCACGATGACAGTCTGGCCATTGCGTATTATCTCACTGCTGCACCACCACTGGCAACTGAGAAAGTGCAGCGGGCGTTTTTCGAAGTCATGTGTCGGTCCAATGTCACAGAAGCATTTTATTTCACCCGCAAATACGATGAATACCACCGTCGCAGCTTTTTCGAGCAGTTAATCGAGTTTGTCCACAAGACTACTCCCGGTCAGACTCGGAGTAAGCGTGCTATGGAATTGGTTGGGCTCCCGCTGGACGAGGACGAGGAGACCTGGTTCGAGGAGGCCTTGTTGCAAGGAAGCGCAAGCTCACTATCAGGGGCAAAGGACACAGTCATGATGCGACGTCTGTCAATTGGGCGGATGGACGGTCTCAGGACTGAGCTGGAGTCCTTGGGAGGCAAGAAGGTGGACGGATTAAACTGGGATGATCTGAGGGAAAGCATGCGACACACGCAGACCATATACCCGGAATAATTCGTTATATTTGTGATTTGGATAGGTAATGGAGTTCGGGAATTTTAAGATCGGTATTTTCTCAAGGTTCTTAAGACAATTGTAAGAAAGTAAGAAGCCATCGCACATAGAACGGAGCTTTGTCGCATCAACCCTTGAGATATATTTCGGCCTCGGGTTGCACACATGCAGGATGGTTGAACAGAGCTGTACAAGAAAAGACACCTAAAATTCCACAACGGATGTGAAATAGCCTTGCTTTACGCACTTATTTTTTTTAATGTTAGATATGAGCTCATGTATGTAGCACTTGAGCACTTGAGCACTTGAGTTGAGGGGCTCGAGGGCTGGGTAGCTCGACTTCCCTCCCGATAGAGGGCCGATAAGGATAACGGAAACCGCGAGTCGGAAAAACAGCTTCACTTCACTTCACGCGTTACTACTCCCAGCCACGTCTCACTTCATCTGCCACTTCTCAAGTTTTCATCAGCCTACTTGGATCCTCGTTGTCTTGGAGTGAATCGTGGATCGGCCATATATATAACCACAACGTGGCCCACAGGGGCGTCGCATTTAAACCACTTCGACAAAACTGAATCAATGAGTTGACAGCGCCAAGATGGTGGTGTGTACTTTCTTCCAGCAGGGTCGCTGCAAGTTTGGAGGTTTGTTTGTCTTCGATCCAACCAAGAATTGGCCGCTGACTGCCATGTAGACCGCTGCAAGTTTGAACATCCTGGACGAGCCACTTCAGGCTCATCAGGCAACCGGTTTGGAGCTCTTTCCGGAGGCTTCGGAGGTAAGTGCGAACAAGACATTTTCTTTGATAGTTTTGCGAACTGTGGGAGAACACCAATGCAGTGAATGTGGCCCAGCCAGTATTCACTTGTACCCATCACTTGTCCCCGCTGGTTTCTCAATCCGCTCCATTTTCCCACTTAACTTTACCTCCGACTTTGGTCTTGTCATATCCTACTTACCGAACCCATGACCTTGTCGCGATTTTCGAGATCGAAAGCTAAGAAGCCTCTGACTCCAGGTCAAAATTCGGCACAGGCTCAACAAACAACAGAGTAAGTGCCATAAGTGCTGTCTGATCCGATGCCATATTGACTCGGTTCCAGCTATGGGGTGACCGCAAACGATATCAAGCTCGACCTTACTGCAGGTAAGGGTCGACCAGAATGGGTCTTCTCCGCCTATGCACCAAACAACAAAGTCCCACGGCAACTCTTTGGCGGCCCCCAGCGTGAGCTGAGTATGGAGGAGCTGCGTCTCCGTCACTATGAAGCTACAGCAGCTGGGAATATGAACCAGGCCGTGCAGGAAGCCCAAGCTTTATGGCAAGAGTCTGTGAAGCAGATGGATGTCGCCCTCGCCGATATCAACGGCGCAATCAAGTACATTGTCGACGGGGCAAACGAGCACCCCAACCGTATCGATATATGTCAGGGACAGACTGCCCCCCAGGCAAACCAAAGTACACCGTTTGGCCAGCCTTCAGCACCTGCCGCGCCTACGGGTGGCTTTGGTACTCCTACTCCCCCCGCTCCTTCGGCCTTTGGCAAGCCTGCATTCGGACAGCCTGCACAACCTTCTCCATTCGGACAATCTGCGGCGCCTGGGAACCCAACTCCGTTTGGGCAGCCATCTGCCCTGGGAGGCTCTTCCGCCTTTGGGAAACCATCTACTCTGGGGACGGGAACTTCTTTCGGCCAACCAGCTGGCCTTGGAGCCCAAGGTGGGCTTGGTAAGCCAACATTTGGGCAGTCTGGATTCGGTCAAGCAGCCAACCAACCTGCCTTCAGCAACTCTGGCTTTGGGAATCCCTCCCAGCCAACCACAGGAGGAGCTGCACCCTTTGGTGGCCCATCTGCTGCCTCACCTTTCGGCCAAATTCAACAGCAACCACAACAGCAACCCGTTCCGTTTGGCCAACCTTCTGCCCCTGCAAATCCATTCGGAGCCCCCGCACAGCAACCAGCAGCATCCGGCTTCGGACAACCGTCTGGCGGCGGCGGGTTTGGGCAGCCTTCGCAGACTGCGTCACCATTTGGCCAGCCCCAACAGCCCCAGCAGCCCCAGCAGCCCCAGCAGCCCCAGCAAGCACAATCATCGCCGTTTGGGCAGCCTCAATCTGCTGCGAATCCATTCGGAGCTCCGGCTCAGCAAGCTGCAGCTTCGTCGCCCTTCGGTCAGGCCGCGGCTCCCCAAGACGTGCCGGTCCAAGGGACCAGGACTGGCCCGCAGGCATCCATCAAGATCGAAAAACCGAACGAACTGAACCCTCTGCCTGTATTACAGGGCCAAACGATGCGTAACCCAAGTACCCGGCAGCTAACGATGTGGAAAGGACGTCCTGTGAAGTACATTAACGACAAACCTTGCTATCTTCACCCGCAAGATAACCAGACATTTGTCCGCATCAACTTCCCCGATGGTCCGCCTGAGGAAGCCGCACTGCGCGACTCCCAAGGAAAACCAGAGGAGTACACCCCCGAGATCCAGCAGATGTACCAGTTCTATCTTGACAATGGATACTTCCAGGACGGTATGATCCCTGCAGTGCCGCCAAAGCGAGAATGGATCAGCTTCGACTTTTGATCACGTCTTTCGGGGGCGTGTCCTTTGCTTTTGTTCCCAAAGACATGAGCATGCATCTGAAACTGATGGAAAAGGCGTTATGAAATTAGATGGGCCAAATCGGACCCATACCTACTGTTTATTTTTAGGTCATCACGAAATGGATCTACATTTGACACAAGTCTACGATAAAAGAAAACCAATGATTTCTCAAGATGTTTCCGATTTTTTTTGTCACCCAGGTACAAGCGGGTATCTACCAGACCCGGCATTAGGTTCATAGTAAATGACCGACACGATAGTATCGGCGCAAGCACGACACCAGAGATGTGCGGTCCATGACCCTCCCTGATCCAATGCGAGCTAACTAATTTAAGCAGCAATGGTGACCTCAACCTCAACACCAGCCTCGATGTTGATGATGATCTGCTTGACGGTCTCGGTGGGGGCGAGAAGGCTGGAAGTCCGATAGTTAGCGACAAGCTCCAGTACCACACGTGCTGGGGTTAACTCACTCGATGAGACGCTTGTGGATGCGCATCTCGAACTTGTCCCAAGTCTTGGAACCCTCACCGTTGGGGGTCTTACGGGTAGAGATGTTCAGGGTCTTGGTGGGCAGACGGACGGGGCCCTTGACCTGGAGGGACTTGGAGCGAGCGCGGTCGATGAGCTCCTGGCACACCTTCTCGAGGGAGGCGACCTTGCGGGAGGTCAGGGTGATGCGGATCTTGTGGACCTTCTGCAGAGCTTGTTAGCACTGTTCAGAGTGAATAGACTAGAAAAGCCATTGAAGATTTTTTTGCGACAGCGACAACGACGTTCCCCGCCATCACGGCGAACGTTATCTGTGGCTGTCACAGTACTTAGGCGTGCACGTACAGGGCCCTCGCCGAAATCCTTCTCGGGCTTCTGGAAAGACATCTTGAGTTTTGTGTTGTTGTTAAGGCGGAATTGCCAATCAAGAGCTGAACTGCAGGGCTCGGTAAACTGATGATGGCCGGGTTGGAGTTTGTGGGTGGAGCGCGAAACGCGAATCTTTTTTCGTGCGAAAGTCTTGGCTCTTCGGTTATCTGGCGCTAGGCTGCTTTGGGTTGGTGCTGAGTCAGCACCATCTCGGGGACCAAATGCAGACAGATCGTGGCCTTGTTTGGGAGGTGGTCATGGCTATGTTGTTTCTCTTTCTGTCTGCTGTGTTTTCTTCTATTTCTTCTTGATAGCCTAATTTTTCATTTTCATTCTAACAACCGTTCATTGCAATGGCGGAGTTTCCGCCTTTGGCCCCAGTGCCCTCCCCCGCAGTGCGGAAGACCATTCCATCTGATGACTGGGAAGCCTGTCTCGATGCATGGATGATGCTGCTTGGTATTCGCTTGAGTGCTTCTGAACAACAATTCAAAGCTGTCGGTTCCGAGGACCTCCCAGTGGTCTCATTTCTGGACTCATTCTACCAACATGCCGCAGCCGGGGACCCTGGTCTACAAGCTGGACCTAAAGCTCGACAATTACGGAAACTCTGCTTTCTTGCTACAAGACGATATATTATAGGACTTTCCAGACCGCCAGAAGGACTTTTGAATTGGCAGCTGCTGGGAAACCTATGTTGCTGCTATCCATCGAGCAATGCGTGGAAGACGTCATTATCAACTGCATGGGATATGCACCATGAACAGATCACGTCAAGCTTAGAAAGAGCCAAGTCTATGGTCACCAGCCAGTTATTACTTGGTGGGAAGTCAGCAGACTCGAAATTAATATTGGACATTCGACGTCTCACGATCCTGGCCTCGGTATTGCCGCCTTCTGGCCAAATTCTAATGGCAGGATCGGACTTCTTGGATACCCTCGTTGAGGCCTACGAGGCGCAGCCCCGAGAAGAACTTCGGAAGATGATGGTTGCCAACGTTTATGTTGGCCTGGTCTCATTGTTGAAGGAGCCATCAACCAACTTATCTCTGCTTCTTGACCAACTGTTCGGCCTCAAAGCAGGCGCCGGAGTCGGCACACCCAGGATGAAGAAGGAAGCCACCCTTTTGTCCGATCTTGTGTGCAGCTCAGACCTCCTGCAACGCCTCGAGAAATATCTCACGAGCCACCCTCAAAAACGAGGAGAGGACCTTCTCGCCAGCTTGCGAGCTTATCAAATGGAAACGAAACCCCTTCACCACCGGTATCAAAGACGAAGAAAGATCGACAAGGGCAAAGGAGTCTCAACAGGCCCTCTTATTCCCGACGAGCTTCACGCACACAAGATGTCACTCGTCTCGCAAGTGCAAGATCTCTTCCCAAATCTCGGATCCGCATTCGTCGTGCGCCTCCTAGACGTCTACAACGACAATCCGGAAACAATCATCTCTCACCTTCTAGACGACTCGCTCCCCCAAGAACTCCAATCTCTCGACCGATCCGAACAGCTCCCACCCCAAGCTGAACCAAGCCACCATCTGGCCCCCCGATCAACCCCACCAGTCTCACCCCAACTAGCTGGGGTCCCAGCCCGCCGAAACGTCTTTGACGAAGACGTGGACATCGCCGAACTAAGCCGCACAGGCGACACAGAAGGCAAACTCCACTTCGGCCGTGCAGACGCAGACCTAACCGCCGACACTGTCCTAGCAGACCGCAGCCAACACGCCACCAACAAAGCCGCAATCTTATCCGCCCTGGCAAGCTTCGACTCAGATGACGATGAGCGCGATGACACATACGACGTCGCCGATGTAGGCGGCACTGTCGATGCCGTCACAGCAGGCACAGATGCCGAAGCGGATGCCGAAGCTCAGACCCGTCGCGCGGCTGATCTGGATATGACTCTCTTCCGCGCGTACAAGGGCAATGCGGCGCTATTTGGTCGGGACTCGACGACGCGCCGCTCGCAGCCTCGTGCTACGCTGAAGCGGGAGACCAATATGACGGATGAGGCTATTGAGGGATGGGCTGTTATGTTGACGCGGGATCCGAGGAGGCTTGTGAAGTTGGAGGACAGGTTGGCTGTTGATGCGGGCGATGCTGGTACTGGTGCGTTGAACCAGCCTTCGTTGCCTTCGACATCGTACAGGAGGCCACAAGGCGATGATGATTCTGGGGATGATGGGGAGACTGGACATGGAGGTGGCCGTGGAAGAGGTGGTGGCCGGGGACGGGGTAGAGGTCGTGGTGGTCGGGGGCGAGGAGGTCGGCCTCAGGAGCCTGATAGTGCGGCGGCGCATCAGAGGAAGGAGCAGAATAAGGCGAGTCGGGCGAATCATAATCGGCGACAGCAGAGGGCGAAGAAGATTGCGCGTGGAGGTGGTTTGCCTGGTTAAGTTAGGTGACGTGGGTTGCATTTGCATAGCAAGCCGATTTGACTCGTGCTAGTATTTCTACCGATTTGTACAGGAAATAGAGAAAATATTTCGATTCATTGATGTTCTTGAAGACGCACTGAGGTCTGTATGTGAATCATGCTTCATGACACTAGGAAACTCGTTGATAGGCTGCATGAGAAGGATATGGTCTACTGGTGATGCGAAAAGACACCCTCCTGCGCAATTGACTTGCGACACTCCTCCATGAGACGGACCTGCTTTGCAATATCACCTAGCCGGCCGATGACTTCCTTGTTTCCATCATAAAAGGTAAAAATGGCATAGGGGATACCTGTGTCTTTGCAGAATTCCAGAATGTGCTTCTGGGCGCGACGAAGGTTGTGGCGTGGCATGCGAGGGTAGAGGTGGTGAATTGCCTGGAACTGGAGCCCACCGTGGAAGAAATCCAGCCAGGTAGGGCAGTCAACATCCATAGTGGTGCGAAGCATCTTCTGGGGAAAGGACTCGTGAACACCCAGGTCGGCAGTGGACATGGCGAAGTGGGATAGTGTAATTTGCACATGCAAGGGCGAGGACACGATGTGAGACACCATGAGGAAGATGAAGCGGCTGCTAGCGTCCGGAATCGACTTGTACAGCACGAGGTAGACATACCAGTACCAGAAGAAAATCTGGCCAGCGATCTCGAAGTAGATGTGCCACCAAGCAGGTCCCTTCCTTGGGGCCTGGCCCTTCAACAGGTATTCCCAGCTAAGGCGGTAGAGGTTGAAGCGGGCCAGCGCCATGATGGGGTAGTATGAGTAGTTCTGAATCTTGAGCATCCATCTGGACGGGGCGTCGAAGGTCATTTGCCGGTCGTAGTAGGTACTCTGGAGACTGGTGAAGAAGCGGTGGGAAATGGCGAAGAAGGGCATGTGCTCGATGTCGGGGTCGTGCTCGGGCTCATTGGTGACAATATGGTGCACATTGTGGCTCCGCTTCCACCATCCCAGACTTAGTCCTCCAATCCAGTCAGCAATTATGATGCCGATTGTGGTGTCGATGTGGAAATTGTGTGTGATACCCATGTGGCCGGCATCATGGGCTGTGAAAACAAGCTGTTGCCAGAAGCATCCGAGGAAGAATCCGGAACTGGCCCACCAGCCAATTTGAAGAAAGAAGTATGATAGGCCTGCGAGGAGTGTATATCGACAGAGTTCGATAAAGTAGGAGAAGTAGTTGCATTTGAACAGGCCCACGGCTTGGAAATGGTCATGTAGGGCGCGGTATTTCTGCTTGATGCTTTCCTGGTTTGTAGTATCCAGCGAAGGGTATTTGGCAATGTCAAAGTCAATTTCCTTTTGTGTTCGAGCGTCCAGGAAGGCCGGCTTCGGCTGGGAGTCTTGAGTTGCAGGAGTAGAACTAGAATTGTCGGTTCCTTGCGATGCGTTTCTGCGGCGAACGGGCTTCGAATCGATCGCATCAAAGATTGGGGAAGGCGGAAGGGATCCATCCTGGCTAGAGTTGTCTCGGCTGCTCAAGTCCTCCTCACTCGAGCATGCGTCGTCTGTGTACAGGCGGAACTTGCCGCCTTGAATCGGGGGAAGGAAGTTGGACCAGAGGCCTTCAATCCGTCCGATCTGGTAGGAAGGCATGCGCTCGGTAGCTTCCTTAGAATGTAATCTGATTGAGGTATTAGCGTGAGTCGAGACAACCCTCGTGGGTGACGTACGCATTGATCTCGTCCGTTGCATCCCTGCCGACCATGTGCTTGATCGCCTTGTCTCCGCCGGGGTGGTATTTGATCCAGGCGTCTACCTTGAGGACGCGACCTTCATAGATGATGACATGCTTGCCCTCTGCAATCAAGCCTTCGATGAACCGGCGACTCAACAAAGTGTCCTTCCGGGACGAGCGGAGGGCGGGCTTCTCCATAGTAAAAGATGCGGTGAGAGAATGAGCGAGGTTGCGAAGGTTGGGTGTTTGGGAGTTTGAAATTCAAGGAAACATAGTTCCGAGGCTGGTATAGAGCATTCAATCGTGACAGACAAGAGTATGAAGAAGGGAGAGTCCAGGCAGAAACGAGAAGAAATGTCGCAGGGGCGGAGGTGGATCAACAAGCGGGGACTGATCGGCCGCGGTCGCCCGTGATTTAAATACCTTCACACTTCAACATTGCATGATGGCTCAGGTATTACCGACTACAGTTCTCTCTTGAGTGAGCACTAACTCAAATAGGTTTCGATCTCATCGTTGGTTCAGACATGGCTTCGGTGGGACCAGGTACCCGCCCTTCCTCGTTCCTGGTGGCATGATCTCATGAATTCGGATATAGGATCCCAACACTCGCGCGGAAATAGAGCAGTTGCGCGATGCTGGCTCTACCAATGAGCTTGAGCTGCGCCTACGGAATCGTATGCACTCACTCCGTCGCTTTGGATCGCGTTACTGATTGAACGTTTAGGTATCGAGTTCGGAACAGCGGGCCTACGCGGCCGTATGGCAGCTGGCTTCTCTTGCATGAACTCATTAACAGTGATCCAGGCATCCCAGGGACTTGCCAAATACATCCATAGACGCCCGGAGATTGCTCCGAAGGGCGTAGTCATTGGACATGATGCGCGCCACAACTCCGATCGGTTTGCCGTGCTTGCGGCCAATGCGTTCATTGCTCTGGGAATCCCCGTCTGGTTCTTCGACCAGGCCGGGCCGACACCGATGGTTCCATTCGGCGTGAATCATTTTAAAGCTGCCGCCGGTATTATGGTGACTGCGAGTCATGTAAGCCAGTACTTTATCTCATGAGGTAGAACGTGTACTAATAAGGAGACCCGCAGAACCCACCCCAAGACAATGGTATGTCTGTTTCATCTTCCTCCGTCGGGCATAATCCTTTGCTAACCCCAACAATAAAATAGGGTACAAGGTGTATGGTGGACTCTCCGAGGACGTGTTTTGCTTTTCTTGACTTGGCTAACCCACATACTTATAAGTTACTCGACCAATGGCGCTCAAATCAATCGACCTGAGGATGGCGAGATAGCCCGGTCGATCCGTGAGAACTTGGAGCCTTGGCCAACTGCTTGGAAAGACTTGCAGCCCAGCGACCTCCTACATGCGGACGCTTACCAGAAGCTACTTCCTCATTACATCGGCTGCGTTGAAACATATGTGGTCAGTCATCCATCCAGAGCCTGTCGAAATCCAAGACTGACGCCTATTAGAAATCAACGGTCCCAAAGTGGCAATCTCCAAGACCAACTGTCTACACACCTCTTCATGGCGTTGGGGGCTTGGTTTTCCCCTCTCTATGTGAATCGCTAGGAATCGATAACTGCACAGCTGTTCTTGCCCAAGAGAAACCGGATCCCGAGTTCTCTACTGTCAATTTCCCGAACCCAGAAGAGGCCGGGGCATTGGATCTTTCGATGGAGAGCGCCGATAGAGAAGGGAAGACCCTAATTATTGCCAATGACCCAGACGCGGATCGGTTTGCTGCGGCAGAAAAGGTCAAGTAAGTGTCAAACATTAGCTGTCATGATTTACCGCTTACCTTGCCCTAGTGGGGAATGGGTTTTGTTTACAGGAAACCATGTTGGTGTCCTTCTCGCCTCGCATGTGTTCGATTCCCTCGATGGTGCTGCCGACCTGTCAAGATTTACGGTTTTAACTACAACCGTCTCCAGTGGTATGCTCGATAAGATGGCCAAGGCCAAGGGCATCCAATTCAAGGAAACCTTGACTGGCTTCAAGTGGATGGCAAACGTTGCTCGAGACCTGGAGAAGACTGGGCAGACTGTGCTATTTGCTTACGAGGAAGCACTCGGCTATATGTTCCCTTCTATTTGCTATGATAAAGATGGCATTACAGCCGCCTCGGTTTTCCTTGCTGCGGAGGCCAAATGGAGGTCCCAAGGCCTGACAGTTCATGCCAAACTCCAACAACTCTTCACTGAGTTTGGCCACCACGAGACATTGAACAGCTACTTCCGATCTCCAAACCCCGAGCTCAGTATTGCGCTGTTCCGAGGTATCAGGAGCGGCAGATTCCTTGCCGACAAACAGTTTGGGAAGTTTAAGATTTTGCACTGGCGAGACCTGACAGAGGGATATGACTCTGCTTCGCTCGACAACAAACCCGATTTGCCCGATGACCCTACCAGCCAAATGCTGACTCTGTGGCTGGAGGGTGGAGTGCGCTTCAGTTTCCGGGGCTCAGGCACAGAGCCCAAGGTCAAATGTTAGTTCCAGCCGCCCAGTCGAGACCGAAAAAGTACTCACAATTTTGCAGTCTACATTGAAAGTTGTGGAGCTTCTCGCGACCAAGCTGTCCAGGCTGTTTGCGAAACATTCTCCGTTATCCTTAAAGAATGGGTCCAGCGCTACACCCCTTCCATGACACACAACGCGCAGCTATCTACGTCGTCAGGCCATATTCTCAATGTGGAGTGAGCTCTCTTTGTTTGTTTTTGTGAAGTCATGCGACTCAGGCGCTGCCTTCCAGGAGGCCTCAGACTAGAATCGGGAAAGAAGTTGCATGAAACCTAACATAATGAATGGCTCTTCACTTCTCAAGTTGCCTATTCGAACGGTCCCATGATGCACTAGCGAGCAAACGCTTCGATGTGGTGTAACTAGAAGGTGCAAGGTCCCGTCGAGAATACAACACCTAGCTATTCGTTCTTTGAAGACGTCTGAACAAAGACTAGCGCAATACGAGAGTTGCAGGCAAACTGCATACCATGTTTCACTAACCGGGTGGTGGGTAGTCGGTAAACTTGATTCTTGACTTGGGCCCGTGGACGGCTATATAGCGAAGCCTCGATGCTCGGCTAGGCCTTCGTTGGCCTAGAGATCTAGCACAAATCAATAAGATGCCTCAAAATGTCTCTGATCAGGATCCGTTGAGGATGTACTATCCGGTATACTGTCGAGACAATACTCAAGGCAACCTAGCGCACAGGCTGTATCATCAACAGAAAAGAAACAAGCAACCTTTCTACTTTCATGACACGAGAATGGCACACTCTAATAGAGCTCAACCTGCCCAAACGGCACCAGCAAATCGGCCAAATGAACACAAGCCAGCCCTATATCATCATGAAAGGGAAGACGATCCGGAGCTTCAAGATTTACATGAAGAAGACAAGATGAGAGCATGCGCTGTAGTCCCATGTTTGGTCTATCCCTACATACCATACATGATGGAGCAGCTATCTCGTGATGATCGCCGAACTGATCCCAAAGATATACCTACCAAAGACCAAAAATCCCCCCAAGGCCACAACCATGACACTTGCCCACATGCTCACCATTACGACCACCATCATTGCCACTGTCACTGTCATCACGTCAACCCTCCACCGGTAAAATATGACCATAAGAGATGCTACCACGGCCACAACCGGTCTGCGAACTTACCCCCGCCCCAGCCTAGAACCTCAAGTTCTGGAAATGAGGCCAAGCAGGAGAATAGTAATAAGAGAAATGATAACTCTGATGGAAAAAATCAGAACCATGCTTCGCCACAGGCCAATATGAAGTGGGTTTGGGGACCTCCACTCCCCGGACTCGTTGTGGGTCGGCCGATGGATGTTCCAAAGTACAAGCGCACTTGATAAATATTTGTTCCTAGCGCGATAAAGAAACCATACAATTGTCTTGCTGATACTGTCTGTTTTCTCTTGATTGTTGTGGCTTGTCGGATGGTATGAATGAGGAAAGAATGGTTCTCGCGGAAGGAGACCCTCCCTCGCTCGCAAATAGACAAAATCAGTTTTCCATCCGAGATTTCTTTCTTTCCAGTGGATGTTTCACGCCATGGCATCTACAGCCATTTTAATTTGCCATTCGAAGCGTGGGAGGTATGATATACGGCGATCAGTATCTATCTTACACATTACGACGCTCATGTTCCTGACCATCTTTAACAAAGTCCATTTCCATCCCCTCGTACGATTATCTGGCCTTGATAAACCTCACCTCACTTGGGAGTACCCCTGTGCGCAGTACAGTAAGCATCCTTCAAGACCTTTGAAGAAGGCATGGGGTGGAGAAGTAATCATTTTGATCTTCACGGTTCCCGGCAATCGCGTGAACGAGCTCACAATAGTCCACTTCCATCAGGTCGCAAGCACGAGCTGGGTTGTTTTTTAGATCCTGTTGGTGGCTGTTGCATTGATTCCACGCCCCCTTGAGCAAGGCTCCGACATTCCAGGTTCCCTCCCCCCGCCGATTCTACAACCAGTTCTATCTCCGGATAGCTTTGGGAGCTTCTGGTATGGTAATCTCCCATCTGAGGAATTGCAGATGTGGAATACATCCTATTGTGCTTAAATGATGGTCACGAAACCAATGGCAATCAAACAAATGGCATTTCATTGGGTGGAAACCCAGCTAATAGGCATGTTTACCTCGAATGACACCATGCCCTACTGGCCTTGCTCTTACCCATTTGTTGAGCTTTCAGCCAATTACGATGAGAAGGGCACCTACCTCGTTCGTCTTATTCATCTTCAATAGGGTGGAAGCTATCTGGCGCATTATTCAAGACGTACGGGATCTGCAGAGCCAGCTCTATGTTCTTCACGGATGGAAGGGCGGATCCCTTTTTTTATCGTTATGAATCATTAATAGTACATTTAAGTGATTTCCCCTCAAACAAGACTCTTTCAAAAGTCTGTATTGATATACTTCTAGACGGTTTTCTAGATAGACATCCCAGGGCCTCTTTGAACGTGCTGAGCTGGCACTTGGCCATATAAATATGTTTCTCTTCCCTCAAATCTAGTTATCATGCCAAGCGTAGACGCATTGCGCACCTCTGCTCAGCCGGCAGACCAGCATCAACCTCTTGATTCATAATATCATACAACGCCGGCGTCAACTCATATGCATTCAATGTCTTAAATCCCAGAGACTTGTAGAAGCCTTCATTCCAAGGAATCTTTTGGAACGTGGTCAGAGTAATGGACATGCAGCCCCAAAAGACTGCCCGTTGCCTCGCCACCTCCATCAGCCGCCGACCAATTCCCTTTCCCTGATATTCCGATTGAACTGAAACCTCACAAATATAGAGGTCTTGGTCGATGAAAATGCCATTCAGGAATCCAACCGGCACGTCATTAGAACCGATAGCGACCCATGAAGCACCGCCCTCAATCAGTTCGAGATGCTTTTCTGTAGATTGGACATCTCCATTGGCAATCCATGCAAGATCTGGGAATTGTGTGAATGCTTGAGCCGCTGAGCGCTCCACGGCTGGTAGGCCTGGTGCGTCTTTTGGTTCTGTTGGTCGGACTGTGATGAGTGTGGCAGTGTCCATGCTGCTTTACATACAAGTAATGGTGATTATGAATGTATATCTGCTCAGATACGTATCCAAAGGTGAAGGCTCTGATGCGTCTTAGAAAAAATAAAAAAAAGGCTTCGAGCGTTAGCACGTAGTTAACCAGTAGGCTGCAATGAATGAGAACAGATTGCATACCTCTAAGAATGTCCCAGGATTTGATTAACCGGGCATATATTGTATGAAGGTGGCGGGATACCTTGGAATGAACACACAATGTGAAGTTGAGCAGGGGTGTCAGCGGGTTCGTAGCGTCCTAAGGCCCCATTGGATGCTGCGGTAATTAACACTTAGTAAGCACTTTTTGGGGACCGTAAATGGATTAGGTGGGAAGAGCCCGACGGAGAAGCTGATGCAAATGATTATAAAGGGCCGGTCGCAACATCAAGCTTAAATACTCAGACGCCTTGAAAGTCATTGGAATATTGTCTTGGTAATGGAACAAAAAAGAGACATGAAGAGCTTCAAGAAGATGTCCCAATGATGTCGAGAAAGAAGTGAAGAATTAAGTTCATAGGTCTACTTAGTTTATCTTCTTGTTTGGATTGCAGAAACAAATTTTCTGGTAGAATTCTAAATCAATTTTAGTACAGGGATAAACAGCTTGGTTAAACAGCGTGCTTTAACGGGCCGATAAATAAACGAAGAGACGAACAAACGAAGAGGTGTGCATGCTATAAATGCTTGAATAAAGTTAGAGTATTTGACTGAATTGTGATAGATCCCAGAGGTGAGTAATGGGTCCTCTGAACTTCGGGAGGTAAACGGAAAATGAGAAAAGTTTTGATGTGAAGATCGATACCCGCGCCTGGAACCCAAAAAGTGTGCTACTCCAGGTAGCTGACAGCCTAGGCAAACCAGCTGGTGTGTTCATCTCACGGACGTTTTCAATGCCTACGTGTTGTCCACTAACCGGGAAAGGCCTTAAACCGCCCACTACCGATTCAAAAAAACGACGAATGAATTTGCCAGGCAATATGAGAAGCGAGGTATCTCCGTTGACGAAACCAACATCCTTAGTTCAAATGAAAGCGGTATCCAAAGCGTTGCAGAGAACAGCATTACGGATGGCCTGGTGTTATAATTTCTGGTGAATGAAGTTCAAAGTGGAAAGTGCGTGCGATACTCATTCCGGGAGAATTCAGATCTTAGCATAGGTGACTAGTCATTATCAGGCAGTGGGGTCCGAAAGTGGGAATGTAATTCTTGGGGCGGAAGGTGATAGTTAATTGAGCTCCCTGACAATTTACCCCTCTCAGTCTTGCCCTATCTCCAAGGCAGCCAGGTCCTCCCGCATACTCAACCGAGTCGGTACTGTTCGGTCCATTCGCACCACTAGACCCTCTATATCAAGTGTATCCTCAAACGGCCGGGGCCTCAGGGTAGAGGACAGGTGGGCTCGCAGGAGGTGGGCACTGGATAGATACTTCCCCCGGAGGAGTACTGGAAGTACCCTCAGAGGGAAATTTTCTCCTCTGGGTACTTCCCAAGGAGAAGGTCTCTTCTCGACTGCCTTAGGGAGAAAACCTCAGCTCGTCTGACACTGCCGCTATTGCCATATTCGGAGCTCCCAAAGAGGGAACCCGATGGTAGGATGGCCTTGCCCGTCGTATTCGCGATTCAAAATGACCTTCGTTCGCCATACTAGGGCGGCACCGGCCATCCTTAGCCAGCCTCGGCCCTGTACAGTGTCAAGATGTGGAGTTTTCTACTACTATGGTCGGCCGTTGTCGTCTGCTCAGCCGTGGCTAAAGATGTGTCGTTTACGATCAACTTAACGTGGGACTATGGCGCCCCGGACGGCTTCAGCAGGAAGATGATTCTCATCAACGGCACCTCGCCCGGTCCAGCCCTCCTCATAGACCAAGGAGACAACGTGAAGGTAAAAATAGACGCCAGATAGGCATGATGCTACAGCCGAGGAGTTGTTCGCCTAGGGCTGACAGCGCCTTGTAGTTCCTGGTCCACAACAATCTGCCGAGCAACACCACCATCCACTTCCACGGCATCACTCAGCTCAAGACACCCTGGTCGGACGGTGTCCCCGGGATTTCGCAAAATCCGATTCTGCCGGGGGAGTCATTCCTCTATCAGTGGACGGCTGATGACTATGGCACGGTAATTGGAATTCACAACACACCTTGTAACATCTTCTAAACAGCCGCAGTACTGGTATCATGGCCACTACCTCTCCGACATTAGCGATGGTCTGTTGGGTCCGATACACGTCAATCCTAGCCCCCAGCAGCCTCTGCCATACAGTCTCATCAACTCGTCGCCGGCCGAAGTGGCGGCAATGGCAAACGCAGCGACTAATCCCCTGCTCGTCACGATATCAGACTGGAGTCATCTGGACTCGGCGGCCGTGTTACAGGCAGAGATTGACGCCAACCTGGACTTGTACTGCACAAACTCGATCCTGATCAACGGGCGAGGCAAGGTGAGCTGCCTACCCATATCGACGTACATGTCGCTGGCAACGCCCTCCACCCTACAAGCCCTGAACGGGCAAAACATCACCGCGCAAGGTTGCTCACCTCCTGGAATTGCCGAGATTGAGGGCAACTTCCAGTTCAACCTGAGTGCGCTGCCACCCGCGCTGGCATACTCGTGCGAGGCTACCAACACCACTCCGTCCGTCTTCTATGTCAGCAACACCGACCGTTGGGTCAGCTTCAACTTCATCCTCGGCGCCTCCGTGCAGACCCCGATGGTCTCCATCGACGACCATGACATGTGGATCTACGCCGCAGACGGCCAGTTTGTGCAACCGCAGCGCGTCGACGGGATGCTCATCTTTAGCGCGCAGCGTTACTCGGCCCTCGTCAGACTCAAGGACAAGCCCAGCTACGACGCCTATACCATGCGCTTCTCCAATGTGGGAGGCAACCAAATCCTTTTCGCCACGGCCCTGCTTTCGTACGCTCCGAGCGGCAAGATTGAAACCATCGCGCCAGACTCGCACGCACTCTTCAACCAGGCTGGCAGCGCGACCAATAGCTCAGTCGTCACCCTTGACATGAGCTCCCTCGAACCATATCCCGCTATAAAACCCGCGCAGGACGTAGATGCGACGCACATATACAAGGCCGGCCGTGATGGCGCCGCCTGGAACTGGACCCTGAGCGCAAGTCCCATTCCCCTTCCCCCTCCCTTCTCGTAATCTGAGAAGCGCAAGCTGACCGAAGACCAGGGAAACATCTCCTACCCAATGTCCATAACGGACGGCTATCCCCTCCTCTTTGATCCCAACAGCACCGCAGCTCTCAACTCCAATCTCACAATCCGCACCCTCAATGGAACTTGGGTGGACATTATCGTCCTCACTGATCCCGGTAGCCAGAACCCTACGCAGCCGCCACATTCGTTCCACAAGCATAGCAACAAGTTCTTCATAATCGGCAGCGGTACAGGTGACTTCAATTACACCTCCGTCAAGGAGGCTATGCAGGCGCAGCCCGAGTCCTTCAACCTCGACAACCCCCCATTTCGCGACAGCTTCGTATCAAGTGCCGTTGGTGAGTCTTCCTTCTGAGTCTTTAATATTCTTCCCTTGAAGCGCAGCGGTCGCGTGTGTAGACAAGCTGGCTGACCCACGCACGTAGCGCCGGGCATGCCAACCTGGATCGTGATTCGCTACCAGAGCATGAACCCTGGCGCCTTCATCCTGCACTGCCACATCCAGCCTCATTTCGCGGGTGGCATGGCCATGGCAATGCTCGACGGCGTAGATAAGTGGCCCACAATCCCGGCAGCGTACCGTCCGGATGGCAGCGGCACCGGGATGTAGGGTTGTGAGTCGCCATCCGAGCACTGGCGGTGTCTTAAGAGTGATATTCGTCCAATGCAATGCAATACAACCGTTCATTCGTTCATTCATTCATTAGCTTGAGCGCGTGTGCTCAGCAGTCTTTATTCTAAGGGATTTGTTAATTCTAGCTTTCTGTGTTTATTTATAATCGTTTGACCTGCGCAGGCCCATCGTAATCCGTATCATCCCGTCGTCGCAACCGTTTGGGAGTGGCAAGCATTCGCAGTTGCAATCCTTCGTACTGTTGCAGTAAACCCTTCCGTACCATGAGCGCCCAGAATGATAATGTTCGCTTCTTGCCTCTATTGAGTCCTTCAAGAGGCGGTGGCGTGGTGGTGGATACGCGCCCAGGAGCTAGCCTCAAGAGTCGCCAAATTGCATGGTCGCCGAGTTAAAGTCGGGGGTGTTGATTTGCGAAGCTGAAGGCATGAAGGGTGAAAAGAGCACGCTGCCATAGAGATCGTTGGATGAGGGGGCGCTCTCAAGGCCGGCTGAGGACGTCTGCTGCTCCTCGAGCAGCGACGCGAAGAGGTCCCAGCCCATTTGTTCGTCATTGGCAACTGCGCACGAGCCCTGCGTCATCATGTTCTGCAAACTGTTTGCGAGCGACTGAACAATGCCCTTTGCGGAGAGAGCGGTCGGGCAGGTTGGGGAGAAGAACTCGAAAACGGCCTGGGCGCGTGTGAGGGAGTCGAGCGCCCGTGGTACCACGGAGCTCAGCGAGTTAACAGAGACATAAGCCATAATTGTCAGCGTCGCATTCCAGAGCGGCTGCAGGACCTCTGACCAGCCATAAAGGACGTCAGACATGGAGCAGATGGCGAAGACCGTGTCGACGGTTATGGTTGCGTGGTGTAGGGCGCTGGCAATGTGCTGCTCCACGTGCGGCTGCTGAGAGGAGGGTGGCAAAATTATGCCGCTAGCATCGTTAGAGTGGGCGTAGCGGAGACGTATGAAGGGACGCTGGATCAGGGTATATGCGTTGTGATAATGGAGTTCCAAAAGCACCGCTTGCCGCCACAACCAGCCGGGCAGGGCCAGGGCGCGATTAAAGTCAAGCATCTCAGTATTGCCAGAGCTGTTCCCAGACTGGCTCAGCAGCAGCTCTGAAGGTAGCTGGTTGCGCCAGACCTCGAGGTTTTGGAGCGCGGATGTGAGATTGCGGGCGTGACCTTCGAGAGCGGCCGGGCTATTGCCATCGTCATCGACGAGGTCCGCGGTCGAGACGCACGCGCCAATGTCAGTCACAATAACGGCGAGGTTGACCAAACGAGTGGAATAGGTGTAAGCGTTCGTGCCTTCGCGATAACCGGGGGGGGAGAAGTAGCGGGCGAGGGCGTCCTCGGCAGGAAAGGGACATTTAACAAGGCTTTTCTGGCTGGCGGGGGGCATGTCGAGCTGCAGCGAGCACTGGAGATCTAGGGAGAAGACCATCCACCACAGTTGCATACGAGCAGTCTTTCCGACCTCGGGCAGATGGCTCGGTGGTGGTCGGTGGAGTTTGGCGATGTAGGCCTTGCGGACAGTGATGCCGAGCAGGTTGTATGCGTCGCGGAAAGCATTGCCCTTTATAAGGTAGAGGACCATGAGAGCATGGCATCGTAGGACCTCCAATGTCACATCTGTGTTTGTTCTCATGCATTCACGACAGCGATGGAAGTATTCAAAGCCGGGCCAGGTGGCTTCCGGCGAAGGCGCTGCGTGGTAGTACTGCCGGGATGGTGGCTGCTGGAGGCCCAATATCCGCCCGTTAAGGCCAGTGGCACGGCTATGCTGTATGCCCAGAGCGATCATGGAATCAACTAGGGCGGTCCTTGCCGAATACTCATCAAACATAGTCGGTGGTGGCAGGGCATCGAGTTCGGCGAACTCTGTCTTGCTTATAATCTGCAGAAGCGGATGGCAGTCGTCCCAAAAAAGCCGTAGATAGTAGCTCCATTGGTTCTTAAGCAGCGCGTTCGACGCGAGAGGGCGTTCCCCCGAGGGGACGGTGGGATGCGGGAGCTGAGGAAAGAGGCAGCCGCCAAGGGCAGAGGTATGTGAGAAGACTGGCTGCCCGCTGGCAAAGAAGCCCTGGACATGCGCGAGATTGAAACATTCCTTGGGGACATTATCCGGTGGAGTTCTTGTCGCCCATGAGCTATCCTGGCTCATGCTCATGCGAGAGGCAGGAACATATGGGCTGTTCGGACTGGTATTGGCGGTGGGGCTGCTGGTGCTTGCGCTGTTGTCGCGACATGCTGTGTGTAAAGGCGAGCGCGAGGGCGATCTTGGAGGAAAGACTGACGACGACACACCTCTCGTGTGATCGTTGTCGTCGTTGTTGGTCTGAGAGGAGCGAGGAGGGGCGTAGGAAACGATGCATTTTGCCTTGATGCTGACGCATTGTGCGCAAGGCTTCTGCTCGTCACACTTGATGCGATGCAGGCGGCAGCGGTGACAGGCTCTGGCGGCCTTTTGCCGCTTGGCCAGCGGATGAACTGTTTGCTCGGCGCTGGGGTTAGAGTCTGTGCCACTAATCTTCTTGTTGTTCTTGTTGCTGGCGCGAGCTGATCCGGAGCCTTTGTTCTGGCTGCGTGCCTTTGCAGGCGCGGCAGAGAATCTGTGAAACATGGAGGCTCTGTTGCGCTCTATACGTTGACCGCGATGCTCATCGGTCTCCTCACGAGGAGAGAGGGGTTCCTGGTGGACGCTTGGAGGAACCTTGGAGGTATTATACTTGCAGAAATTGGGGGCCCTGCAGCAGCGATCCTGCAGGATGGATGTATGATGCCATGGTCTTCTCGTGTCTACGATAAGACTCGCCGAAACCGTTACAGGCGCCACGAACTTTGGAACCCACCCACGAGTATGCTGACTAAGCCCCTTCCCTAATCGGGTCTGGAGCCTCGGTACCCGCATCGTCGCTCGGAGTAATAATATACTACACCTGGCAGCTTAAAAGCGGACGTCACTAAAGTACGGTGACTGCCACAACCTGCAAAAGCAAACCATGTAGCATATGGCATGTCGGTCTACATTTCATTATTTGTATTTTCCCAATCTTCCGGTGTATTTACTCGGTTCAACGATTCAGAAAGTCATGGGCTTTAAAATCTAATATGCTTAATACTGACAGATCATTTGCGGACAGAATGATGTACTCATACTTTTTCTGACTGAACCGGCTCGAATGCATCTGGCACCGTCATCCTATCTGAAGGTTTTGTCTGACATGTATCACCCAGTCGGACCAATGGAGGCGGCAGGAATGGTTCTTCATCGTAAATCACTTTTCTTCGGTACATCCTATTTATGGTCATTCATAGAGGATGATTTTGTCACTAGACTAGATCAATTTATTCGCTCGCCGACGGAGTGATCTTCAACTGCCCATTTTTCACATTTCAGCGGGGTGAGAATCCAAGGACCATCTTTGATTTTCGGTCGTCCGTCTCTAAGCGGTAGGCGGTCATATTCCATGCGAGGGTCTCACGTAAACATAGCGATGGATGTAACTCAGGGAATGACAAATCTATATTAAGTACCACTATGGCTGGCTTTAGACACAAGACGTAGCGCATGGAAGCAAAGAGGGGCGGCTTCCCCGTATTCAGTGGAACCCATAGTGGGTCTTGGCATATCAGGCCGCCACGGCGGGTACCTCGGCCGGTTCCGCGACCCTCCCTCCCGGTCTCCATTTGGCTGCACGGGGGGCCCGGCCCTACCGGTCCCACCCATCCTCCATTTGGAGTATGATGCGAGGGATAGGAGGTTCACCCACCAGTGGTGGCGAGGTCTACCGGATATCCCGTCCCTAGAGCTGTAGCCTGCAGGTCCTCTGCGAGCCTTACTACCTCTGGGAGAAATCAATGTTGTGCCTGGAAACTTTCTAAAGGGTCCCGATGCTGGGTATGATCCTAGGAACATGAGGTCTTATTGGCAAATTGAGAAGAGAATGAGTGGTCTTCCCGGACTTTTTAGAACTAGCCATTCTTCGACTTTAAAGACGTCATAGGCTCCACAGTGGGATGAACGCGGTGGAAAGATAGCAAGCCTGTGGTGAGATTTGAATCCTCAAGATGTTTTTCAGAAAAACCGGGTAACCGTTGTCTTTGCGAGTAAGAGAGGGATAGTTCACGAGTTCAGTACCCTTTACCTCGGCTTGGGGTCCGTGCACTTCGTGATACAGTGCTAACCTCTAAATCTTTCGCGCTATGTTTCCACTACTTCTTAAAGCATGTTCTGGGCTTACAAGCCACCCCTGGGCTGCAAGCATCTCGCTGGACTCACCGGTACCGCTTTGGTCCGTGGGAGCATATCAACCCTGCCGATCTGCCGGGAAATAGACCCTGAGATTGGTGGCGAACTGCGCCCAAATTTTTAAAGAAGATGAACTTTTTACACGCTTTGATTCGTTCCCGAGGGGGGGCTTAAACTCTTGATCAGTGCGTCATTTGCTGCACCGTGCGCTGTCATCGCTCAGTCTAGCGGTTGCATTAGCGCCTTGGGATGAGATTGTGAAATATCTTGGCTACTCAGCCAAAGTTCCAATTCTAGTTAGCCGGTTATTTGATGCAATTCGCTTCTTTTGGGGTGGTTAGCTGACTAGTCTTATTGGAACCAATGGTTACACGCCAATCTCAATATCCCGAGAAATGGAAGGAACAATTTATAAGCAATCTACATACTGAATTTCCGGCCGTTGAATTTGAAAATTAGGAGAGATACCGATCACTTCCTCCACATATTAGGTCAGCGGTGTTATATCGACCGAAATCGCAAGGCTCACCACGAAATTGGGCTACGCTACTTTACAGAGGGGCGCAGTATACGCTAGAATGTTGTAATATAGAGGAACTAGAAGAAATGGCATTTATACCGAGGGATCAGAGAATCAAGATTGGTGACACCGAAGATAAAGACACACTTACCGGTACTACGATATTAGCAGATGTATACTACTTATAAGACGAAGCTTGACATAGACCATCCTGACACGCTAAAGAACATGAACAGTCTAGCGTTGACATACTGGAAATAGGACCAATCGGAAGAGGCGGACCAGCTCTTTATCCAGGTCTTGAAGAATCTCAAGACGAAGCTTGGCGCGGACCTTCCCGATAGGCTAACGAGTATGGCCAACCTAGCGTTCTCGCATTGGGGCCTAGGCCGATGGGAAGAGGCAGAGCAGCTCGGGATACAAGTCTTGAAGTCTCGCAAGACGAAGCTTGGCAAAAAGCATCCTGATACGCTAAATATCATGAAAAATCTAGCGTCTACGTTCTGCAACCAGGGCCGGTGGGACGAGGCGGAACAGCTCCAGGTCCAGGTTATGAAGGCTTACAAGGCGAAGTTCGGCGCGGACTTTCCCCACACGCTGGCGAGCATGGTAAACCTTGCCTTGACCTGAGAATCTACAGGTCGTCGGGTGGAAGCAATCTATTTGCTTAGAACCAGCGTGATCAAGCAACGACGGATTTAAGGCCCCACTCATCCCAATACTATTACCTGTTCTGATGTTTTGCAGGAGTGGTTAATGGATCTAGCTACCGAGGCATGATCAGTTTACCTTTATACCTTTAGGCCTCAGTATATTCGGTAGTATAATCTGGATTACCATTTGTAATGATTCATTCCAATAAGGCCAATGCGCATCGGCCTGCGGCATTTCCCATACAAGACCAATGACATGGAATCATATCGCTATGGTGGCGACTTGGGGTCTCAGACACTGAGAGGCGTCTTGTTGCAGTGCCCCTCTATACTCTAATCTACGAAGAACCAGGCTCGACAGGATCGCCCGCACCGGACTTGGAAGCACAACTGGGTACGATGCAATCGTATCTCACCCGTTGGTGGCCTGCTACGTAGCCGGAATGATAAACCGAGCTGATCTTCTTCGCCATTTCCGCCAAATTGAACCGGAACCTGACGAAAATGACCACAAACGAGCCGACCTTGCGGCCATAGAGTAGGTGCGAAGACGATGCGCATCCAATGTCGAATGCAGAAAGACCAGGTCACCGAGAATGGTCAAGATGCTCGCACTCTGACGAACCCCTACGACAACGCAGTCAATTGCAAATGTGGTGGCTGAGGTCCTGATGCCGAACGGGTAGAGAGACAGGGGTACGGAATGCAGAAGAATGCAGTGAGCATTATTTGATCTACTTTGAAGGGATTCAGGGTTTCTAGGATTGTTACACGTTCACTTCTATGTAAATCTCGATAAGCTTTCCTTTGTATTGTCTTTTTCTGCAATATATGGTGTTTAGGACATCGCGTTTTGCTTCGATTTGGACAGCAGCACCTGAATAATCTGACCCAACTAGTTAGGCACCGTTTGATCAACTGCCCCAAACACCTGCAGCCTTTGCTCCAAGGGAAGCTTCTGTGGCTTTTCTCCTGGCGCGCTACCATCCTTTGGAACGCCGAAGACCATTTGTGCTTTTAGCTTCCAGTTCGACGGGACACTCCACGTCTTCTGCACCTGGGCATCGATGAGAGGGTTGTAGTGCTGCAGGTTGACCCCCAGCCCCAGGGCCTCGAGGGCGGTCCACAGGTAGTACTGGTGCATGCCGTTGCTCTGCTGCACCCAATCGTCTGTCTTATCCTTATAGATGTCCGGGGCGTTCTCTTTCATCGCGGTCGCGCATGATTGGTCGTCCCAGAACAGGATAGTTCCGTAGGCGTTGGCAAAGTTGGCGATGCGGTCCTTGGTGCCCCCGTTCCAGCGCTCCTCGCCAATCTTTGCCAGCAGTGCATCTGCAGTGATTGACCAGAGTTTCTTGTGGTCGTCTCCGAAGACAACCGTCAACCGGGCCGACTGGTTGTCAAAAGCAGATGGGACGGTGAGGATGGCGGCTTCGGCTAGCTTGACTATGGTGCTGTCGGGAACCGTCGTCTTTGAATCGAGGGCGCGGATAGTGCGACGCTTCTGGGTCGCCTCGGTGAAGCTCATTGTGACGATTGGAGATGCCATTGTGAGACTGGCGAGACGGGATGATGCTGATGCTCTGGTTAAGGTTCGAAAAGTTGAGGGAAAAATGAGAGAGGCCATGACGGCATGAGCCAGCCTTATAGTCATGAGGTAAAACGGTCAGATTTTATGAACACGCTGTGATTTCGTCAGCAGCGGAATTAATATTGTTGGTAATGGGAAGCTGATGGGTCCAGCGCTGTATAGAGTGTTCCGGAACTGAGCCCAGAAATTACCGCATTTGGGAATCGGCCCCACATCGGCCCCGGACCGAGGATTGCAGAATTACCAAATGCGGTAATATGTCTTCCGGAATGCTTATGTATACGATCTTAGACCTGTTGGATTGGAAACTTCGATTAGAAATAGTCGCTATAAACTCGATTCAAATCTGCATCAGTGCCACGTCATCACCCTACAGATGATCAATCGTCATGGATGTGACTTAGCAAGGTATACCTTTCGGCAGCGAGCCCCTTTATAGTCCTCGTCGAGAATGTGACTGTCACCTCTTTCAACAAACAGCAAGAGCAATGGACTTCGTCAGACGCAGCTTCAGAAAGTCCACCTCGACGTCCGTCGTAGAGTCGGACGAGGAGCTTTTCTTTGACAAGGATGGCCACCTCGAGTTTGCACCGAACGACCCCGAGAACCCAAAGAACTACTCGTATGGACGCAAATGCTATATTACCACTATCGCCATCTCCCTCGTCATGAACGCCACATTCTCATCTTCTGCCCCGTCCGGCTCTTTCCAGGGTGTCAGTGATGACCTTCACGTTTCTGTCGAAGCCGCTGGCCTCGTCACCACCCTCTTCCTCCTAGGCTACTGCGCTGGTCCGTTCTTCTGGGCGCCTTTATCCGAGTTCTATGGCCGTCGCTGGATCTTTTATATCTCCTTCACCTTATACCTTGCCTTTGGCTTCCTCTGCGCCTTTACGCCTAATTTCGCCGGACTCTTGGTCGGTCGTTTCTTGACTGGCACGGCCGTCAGTGCTGCCCTGACGAATGCACCTGGCATCCTCGCAGATATATGGGGGCCCGTCGAGCGAGGCAACGCCATGATCTTGTTTGCCACAATGACGTTCGTGGGACCCGCGCTTGGTCCCGTGGTCAGTGGATTCCTCCAACTCAAGGAGACGTGGCGTTGGACCTTCTACGTCCTCCTCTGGATGGCGGGTGCCACCGAGCTTCTGCTGATCACTCTTCCGGAGACCCTTCCCATGATGGTCCTGCGTAATAAAGCCCGCCGCCTACGCAAAATACCCGGTAAGGCGAGCGTAAAAGCTCCAGTCGAGGCATCGGATCGCTCCCTGGGAGGTATCTTCAAAGTCGCCCTGACAAGGCCTTGGAGACTTCTCTTCGACCCAATCAGCTTCTTCGTCGCTATATACTATGCCGTCGTCTATACTCTGCTGTATATGCTTTTCAGCATCTACCCTATCGTCTTCCAGCAGAAGCGTGGCTGGAACGCCGGCGTCGGTGAGCTGCCACTGATCGGCACAGTCATCGGCGCGTGTCTAGGCGGCCTAGTGCTGTTCATCAATAGCCAAATAAACCAGAAAAAGTCCACTAGCGACCACAAATCGGTCCCAGAAGATCGCCTTCCTGGAGCGATGGTTGGCGGGGTTATGTTCGCCGTGACAATATTTTGGTTCGCTTGGACGGCGGAATACAACTCAGTCCATTGGGCCGTGCCAACTGTGGCAGGCACCTTCCTCGCAACGTCAATTCTGCTCATCTTCGTCGTCTTCATCAATTATATCATTGACTCGTACCTGATGTACGCCGCATCCGCCGTGGCAGCAAACACGGTTCTGCGGTCCGCCTGCGCCGCGGCGTCCCCACTCTTCACACAGTACATGTTCGACGCGCTCGGTGTGGGAGGGGCTGGCTCGCTAATCGGAGGCGTGGGAATACTGATGATGCCCATTCCTTTCGTTTTTTATAAGTACGGCGCCGCAATCCGGGCGCGGTCCAAGTTTGCGCCCACGGACGAGACGCCACACCCGCCTGCGGATGAAGAGAAGGCCGTAAATATTAGATCGCCCAGCCACACCTCTGAGAAGGAGTACGAACCGGTTGATGAGAACACTGGGGGCACGAGCGAGTGATCGGCTCGAGCGAGTTGTCCTTGACGCGGTACGCAGAGGCGTGTCTGATTTTGCAGTCCGAGCATCGGAGTCTAATAAGTATACATATCATATTGAATTGCCAAACTCCCATAAGTAAGGGTTGGCGGGGCCGCAGGGAGGCGGGATTATTGGTAGCTATCGATGGTTACTATACGTTAATAGCATAATTCAGCTACCATGATTAATATCCTAATAAAGTGAAATCCGTAACTTCAATGATATCGTATGTTCCCCAAAATCTCCAAAGTTGCCTGATCCAAGAATAGCACTCATTTTCACTTAAAAGACCTCTCATTCCGCCCTTTCTTCGACCTAGTAACCCACTTCCACGCACTTGTTTCCACCATATCCTCCTATGCTAGCTATCTCTTCTTGTACTTGCCAATATATGACCTCTTCGTAGTGGGCGTCTCAACCTAGCCAGGCCACTAGCTCTTCATGCGCCTTATTTTGGTCTACTTAACACTTAATCGAGACGTTGATCTGGAAGGTATTTGATCTACTACCGGCGACATTAAAAACCCTAATTCTCTAAACCCTTTGCCCTACGATGGTTGAGTTTTCATCTTTGGTATGAGCTTCAATTACTTCAATTAACGACGAAGATACTACTCTACGTGGGTGAAGTAGTAGGTGATAAAGTGGGTTGGAGTGAGAGCAGAGCGGTGAGCTTAGAGGAGTAAATGGCAAAACATCTAAAAGGGGTAATACGCACTAGGTGTAGTGGGACTCTAGTTAGTGGTCGTTTTTCCGTATTTCGTCGCAGGTCACTTCCCCCTTCTAGGCGTCCGAAGATGCGAACCGGTCTCGGGTGACATATGAGTCATGTGTGGCTTCAGACAGCTTACAACATGTCGGATCATACATCAAGAGGCAATGGCTTTGAAGGTTGGTTGTACGTTGCTCCGTCTGTTCTATTCGAGTGGACCGTGAGGTGTCGTATCATGTTAAACTAGCTGCCATGAGCAACAACACATCTGAGGAGGGCGCGAGCCTGCATTGGCCCCATGCAGGTCCTGATGCCTCTGCTGCCTCTATTGCCTCTGCCGTCATCAACGAAGACTACCACATAATGGGCCAAGATTCTATACCAGCAAAGAGCCTGGCCACCTTGGGCCAGTCAATCCAGCAACCCCAGCCTCCTGCAGTGCAGACGCTATCCCCAGCACGCGAGTCCGTCTTCGTGGCCGTAATCTGCCTTGCCCAGTTCCTCACGCAGGCCGGCGTGGGCTCCGTCCTCGCCATCCTGCCCGTCCTCAGCGCCAGTCTTGGCATCACGAACCGCGGCATCCAGGCCTGGCTGATCGCGGGCTACAGTCTGACGGTCGGTACCTTCATCCTCGTATCCGGCAGGCTTGGTGACCTGTACGGCCACAAGCGCGTCCTGCTGGCGGGCTATGCATGGTTCGGCGCGTGGTCCATCATCGCGGGTCTCGCAGTGTACTCCGGCTCCGTGCTTTTCGTCTTTGCGCGCGTTCTCTCGGGCATCGGGCCGTCGCTGATGCTGCCAAATGCGCTCGCCATCCTCGGCGTCGTATACCCGCCGTCGCCGCGCAAGAACCTCGTCTTCTCCCTTTTCGGCGCCGTCGCGCCAGGTGGCTGCGTGGTAGGCGCTGCACTTGCGAGCTTGTTCGCGATCACCTGGTGGCCTTGGCTTTTCTGGGTAATGGGAATCACGCTACTTGCGATTGCTGTGCTGGGGTATCTCGTGATCCCCGAGGACCCGCGGGTGCTGAGTGGGAGGTCGCTCTCGGTGCTGAAGTTTATCGAGGCCGTGGATGCCCTGGGCGGTGCACTGGGGGTTACGGCGCTTGTGCTTGTCAGCTTTGCGTGGAACCAAGCCGGCGTTGTGGGGTGGTCCGAGCCGTATGTCTACATTCTATTGATCCTCGGCGTCCTCCTCGTGCCTGTCTTCTTCTGGGTCGAGTTTCGCGTAGCTCGGTCGCCACTGCTACCATTTGACGTCTTGAATGGAGAGGTCGGGGTGGTGCTCGTGTGCATTGCGTGCGGTTGGGGCAGTTTCGGTGAGACCATCAAACCTTAACGGGACGGACCCAGGAAGGCTGACAATATGAAGGTGTCTGGATCTTCTACGTTTTTCAGTTTTTTGAGCATACAAGAGGCGCAAGTCCCCTCCTCGCGACAGCATGGTTATCACCCGCCGCAATAACGGGCGCCCTGGCATCCCTCACTACTGCCTACCTCCTTGGCCGTGCGCAGCCTGCGACGATCATGGTAATCGCCATGACCGCCTTCACCGCCGGCAGCATCATCATTGCCACTGCACCGGCAAACCAGACCTACTGGGGCCAAAGTTTTGTAATGAGCTTAGTGATCCCGTTTGGCATGGGTAAGTGCGAACTTCAGACATGATCCAGCGGTCAATCCACTAACACGATGCCCAGATATGAGCTTCCCTGCCGCAAGCCTTATCATCTCCAACGCCGTACCGCTTGAGAAGCAGGGTGTCGGTATGAGTCTCGTCAACACAGTAGTCAACTACTCCATCTCCATCGCGCTCGGCTTCGCGGGGACGGTCGAGATCCAGGTCACGAAGGGTGATCCGGGCCCAGGGTCGGTGCTAAGAGGGTACAGGTCAGCGTGGTACCTTGGTATCGGGCTTGCGGGACTCGGGCTGTGCTTCAGTGTTGTCAATCTTGCGATAATCAAGATTAAAGCGAGATCGAAGCTGCTAGGAGGCAAAGTCGACGGCAGGTTTGATCTGGAGCGTGTCAAGCCGAAGTAAAATCCGGAAGCCTCGTGTTAAAAATGGTTAAATGAGTAAATGTCGAATTGGAAGGGTTAAAAAGTGAGTGATGAAAGATTATGAATGATTACAGTAGTATTCGAAATCAGATTTACCCCTACACTTTTAGACTTTCATTCCCGAACCCTAGCTTGAAACACACTAGTCTAATTTTAGCCATTCCTTAGTTATCCCTGTTAGACTGTATTGTATTCCTCGGTAATCATGGATAAGTTATTGTTATAATACCGTAATTTGATAGAATCTTCTGTGCAATGAGAACAAATAAAGGGCTAATACTAATAATCTAGTAAGATCCCCTCTATCCTATTCCCTTGCTATACGTCTTGATTGTATCGTCTCGTTATACGCAGTCTTCGCTTATACTCTTTTGATATCTAATAAAAGGCTGCAGTGGCTATATAGAGAACTAACCTTGGTAGGCAAATATGCTTTTTCTTCCTATAGCTTCTATTATCTACTACGATTTTTATTCGCTGCCGTTATCGATCGAAAGCTGGTACCTCCGGGAAGCTAATACGGACCTTTTCAGGACTGTTGTATATAGAGATCATATAGAGCTTAGATTATAACGACTTAATCTATTAGCCTAACGCGCCCGAACTATAGGAAAACGGCTCGCAATACGCTCTGACTCCTAGATACTTTAGTAGTCCCTACGCAACGCGGTCTAACTATATTCCTCCCCTATCTATGCTAGAGAATTAGTCGTAACCTAGTGCGCTTAGGCTGCTTCGTGGTCAGGGTTATCGATGCCGGTGTTTTGACCATATAGAGTTCAGGCAAGAGGGCGTTTAATGTATTGGCCCTGAACGCCTAATTAATTTTGTTTATGGAAAGTCAGCCGCAACAAGAGGGTCAGGGTCGATGACGCGGCGATTTCGTGCCAGTCAATGATCGCTCCCAGCGTGATCAAACCAAATGCTTCAACAAGACCGAAACTGTTTGGACGAGGGTACAAGGGGACAATATAGTCTTGAAGCCTACATACGAATTCTTCGAAACGGGAAATACTAGTACATTAGGCTGGAAGGCTGGACCAGGAAGGCAACTAGATTAACAACGCGGCAGAATTCAAACCATAGATACATTGCCAAAAGTTGGGGATTGGATATCAGCGTTCAACTGAGCGGGTCACCTTCTGCATGAGGCCCACAGCTCACTTACTCTCGATTGGTTTATCGGCGTTACCCTCCAATCTGACCCGCTTTTATCGGCGATAATTAGGTATGTCTGAAAACGGAGATAGAGACGCTAATATGATTGGAAATTTGTAGTGTTGTCCATTGAATCCAATACGTCATAGTTTCATAGGGCCTACGGTAAACTATCGGAGGGGCCTTTTGCTGTGGCATAACGCCGATGACCTTTGGTTATTTAAACCGGCCAAATTTGACGCTTAAGAACATCAAGGTCTTTACAATCATACTTCAGAACCAGTTTTTATTGAATCGAATTCAAAATGCCTTCCCACGGCCAATACACCACTGAAAAGGTCAAATACCTCTCTCATGGGGAGACTATCAGTGCAGTCTTTTTTCGTCCCACAAATGTCACGAAACCACCCGGTATCGTTATCACTGGTCCATATTCTTTTGTGAAAGAACAAGCGCCGCTGCAATACGCAACCCGTCTCGCAGATGAAGGGTACGCCGCATTGATCTTCGACCCCCGCACTGTGGGTGAAAGCACCGGCGAACCCCGACGACTGGAAAATCCGAAAATGAAAAACGAGGACATGGTCGCAGGACTTGACTACCTATCGGCCCGCGGCGATGTCAACCCAGCCCGGCTCTTCTTAGTCGGGATCTGCCAGGGCGGCCCTGAATCCCTAGATGTGGCATCCTACGATGACCGGGTTGCAGGCGTGGCCTCGATCTCGGGATACTATCGAGACCATGAAACCGATATCTACATGATTTGCGCTGGGTGTGTTGCATGGACACCCGGCGCGGATATCGCGACGATGAAAATGCCCACTCCCGAACAGGGAGAAGCCCTGTACAAAGCACGACTTGAGCGAGCTAAACAAGCCCGTGAATTATACGACAAGACCGGGGAAGTGGTGTATCAACCGCTGGTTGATCCGACGCCCGCTGACCCTGATACCGGGTCACTAGCCGGCCTTCCAGGACCAGTAGTTTGGTCCTGGTATGGACCGTGGACATTGAAGGGATTTGAGAACCGATACGCGGTGATGAGCGACTTGGACCACTTTGACTATACCACCGTTCCTGGCGTTGCGAAGCTGAATAAGCCGGCGCTGCTGATCCACGGCGACAACTGTATGAATGCGGCGGCTGCTAAGCGCCACTACGAGTCCATTCCCGCAAGTCAGAAGAAGTTGATCTGGAACAACGAGGTTTCCCACTTCCAGCACTATGACCAGCCGGATTGTGTTGATCGCAATGTGGGGGATATCGCGGCCTGGTTCGCGGAGATCAAATAGAATGCAATTGACAAGAGGTACATTTAATGATTAAGCTCATTCATCACGCCCCAGAAGCTAGCATCTGAGAAGGTGCCTTCAAAGTTCCAGTTATCTGTAACGTCCACAGTAAGCGGGTCCAAGGGCAAACCGTCCGATGGGTCCATGAGGGGGATTTGGGTACTTGAAATATGATCGAAGAACAGGTCATGGGTTGGGCGCGGAGGTAAAACAGCATCAAAAGAAAATTCCGACAGTTCCCTATTAGAGTAATCTGTATCGATGTTGGGAGAGATCCATTTTGAGTTACTGAAAAATGCCCTAGCGTCCTCGGTTTCCGAGATACCGAGCCGACGTCTTAGGCGAAGGTACAAGCTGCAGACGACGCCATGTGCTGCCTTTGCCATGGAATTGGATTGACCAATGATGTCTAGCCTTTGTATCCCTCGTTCAACAACATTGATACACTCTGTTCGTCTTTCGTGATCCTCATTCGGAAAGACGAGACAGAGTGCTGCAATGAGAACAATCGCATCAAAAGAAGCGTAGACCGGATTAAACACCTTGCGCTGGTGCGGCTCCGACTGTTGAAATAGTCTTTCCTGTGCATGAAGAATGGATATTCCAGCTTTGACGGCTTCTGTACGACTGTTGGCAACGGAGAATATGAACGGTCGATGAAGTGCGAGAAGAACAAGGTGGATGAGCGAGGACAGTCCTTCTCGGGCAACGGGTAGCCATTGGCATCCGTGTAATTGATCAAACTTCGTATCTGGGTTTCCTAGACGGCACCAAGAGGGTAAAGATTGTATATTGTTCTTGATTGTGGCGTGAATACGTTCGACCGTGGGGTAATCTTGGGAGTTAGTACCGTTTTGTTCTATTTGGTGAATGTCCTTGAAATATCGATAGGCCACATTATAGCCGGCGAGGATGATGTCAAATGGTCGAGGGAGATCAATCTCGGTTTGCCAATGCGAGAATAATTCTCGCCGTCTTTCGTCGTCCTCTATAGTGTGAGAGAAGCGGTCTATCTGGAAATCGGTGGCAATCGGTCGACCGAGAACGACAGCCATATGGACGTCCCAAATATGCAAGACCACCCAGGTTTTGTGAGCAACGAGACTGACATTGTGCCTCTCGCGCTTCGGCTCAACTGGAGATTGCTCGGATATAATTCGCCCGGTATGTAGGCCGATTTCCTGTGCATCGCGGATTGTTGTCCCAAGCGTATGCCAGGCTTCAACAACTTTGCCGCTACTTTTCAAAAAAGAGGCTCTCAGCAAACCTGCTTGTACCATGGCGATTTTGATATTCTTTTTCCCCAGAAGTGCGAGTAACTCAGCGCCTGTATCGCTATACTCAGCCCCAAGATCATGGAAGGTCATACCAGCCATGGTCATGAGAGAATTGATCATTTTATCATGAGGAGGGTGAAAGAGAAGGGCGTGTGCAAGGACTTGAAATAGTAGTACTGGAAACACAAGGGTTTCTAGCGCCAATCTTCCGAAGCTCGTTTGAAGGTCAGAGTATGAGATCATTCCCCACGCCTCTAGGCGTTCTCTAAAGGATTCCTCGTCAAGCAGGTCATACTGCCAATTGATGCCGGAGAAAAACGTTTGGACCAAGATGTCGATGCAGGCCTGCGAAGGCAGCTGGCGGACTAATTCTTTATACTTACGGTCGGCATCGTTTCGGAAAGGGGGCTGATTCGTGGCAGGGAATTCAACTAAGCTAGCATCCTGACTGCCATATAGCTCTGCAGTCCGTAAGAGGCTCATGGAGTTATGATTGCCATGGCTGGAATATCCAAAGTCTCGGATCCTGTCCTGAAGCTCTCTAGCCCACTCAGGGCCCGGTCTAGCAGGCGGGCACAGATGCACCATATTGGTGCTACAGCTGATTTCCGAGGAACCATTCTGACCGGAACTGCTTCGCGTGGCTTGGCCTCCCTTCGGTCCAGCGTCATAATGGCAAAGATCCTGCGGTCGCCAATTAGACCAAAAGCAGTATTGCGTTTAGAAGTATGAATACCTGCGCTTCTCGCTTGATGCAGTTGCAACATGGATACTGGCGGTCGCACTATCCAATCTTTAGTAGGTTTCTTGTTTAGCTCTTTCGTTGGGCTCCCTACTTTTTGCTTGCGCCGATGGCATTCGCTACAGGACATGACAATTCTCCTCCTTTCTCGAGGTTTATATTTTTCGGTAATAAAGTCTGTCTTTGACGGGGGTAGCCTCGGTGCCATATTGCACAGAGATTCTAGCAGTTCTCAGATTGTGGTGCTGAAAGGATAGACGTCAGGGTATGGAGGGGCACTGAGGTAGAAGTGTATTGGGAGTTTTGTGTAAAATACGGTATTATACGTAATGCGTTCGAAAGGATTATTTACGCCTTATTTTAATACGCATTGGCGTTGTTTCGGGTACGGGCCAAGAAACAAAGCGTGTGTGTCTTAAGGGGTAATCTGTTTTCGAACTCTACTGTATTAGAACATACAGCTCTCAGCTGCTTAAATTGAATTTATGTCATTATATCCCTGATTTATTTTTATTTTATTTTTTGAGTTCTGCGATTGGACTTGTTTCATTTTTGAGGGCTCTTGCGCAAACAAAGCAACCCCAGCAAAGTTTAACAAAATTATATCGCCAGCATTTTTATGTGCTGGGCGAAAGGCGGGCACAAGGTCAACAATCAACTATCGCCTTGGCCACGATCCCCACCGCCACTTCCTCCACTCGGCTCAGTGCAAACATTTAGAGTAACAATCAAAAGCTGTTTACGTTAGCTGTTAAACCCTTTGCTGCGATACTGAGAGTGTGAGTCGCGAGAATTATGTAGATGAAGCTAAGCTAACCTCAACTATTCTGATCGTTATCCTGAACGTTCGCACCGCGCTAAGTGGAGGAAGTAGTGCGGGCAACGGTGGTAGCTATGGCGGTGGTGGAGGATAAACAGTTTCTCAGGTACAATAACCACCAAAAATTGCGTTCAAGTTTCGTAGATTTCTATCTTCAAGCCTGAGTGCCGAAGATGACCTCTAGCACTCTCCGTCTTTGTACCAACCTTGTAAATACACTAGGCGAGGAATACATTAAATCCCTGACCTGGATCTACTTTATAGTAACACCAGTTTCGTTTGATAAAGCTTTTTAACTCAGCAAAAGACTCCTCAGTCGGATTTAAGTCTAGTGAGTAAGGAGGCAGGTATACTAATTTCACCCCCGCGTCCGCGTATATCTACGAAATCTATTCTGAATTATGGAATGACGTAATATCTATAACTATAATAGATTTAGGTCCCGGCTATCGTCTATAGTGTTGAAGAAGCTAAGATAAAAAGTCTTCGAATATAGTGCAATTAGTTATATCGCGGAATACACGCGAGAGGACGATCCTATCCTAGGCATATAAAGGTAGTATCTGATATCGCTAGTCGCGATAGAACTGCGATACCTATACGCCTGAACCTAGCTCGCTTATTATATCCCGATTTATCTGTATAAACTAGATAGTACGATTGAAAATCCGATAGATTATAGAGATAAAGTTCTCGTAAATTATTATTACGCTCCTTTATATACTGCCGGGCCACTTAGCCTTTAGCGATAAGGGCTCTTCTAATACTAGAAGCTATAATAGTATACGAAAATTATCCCAGAGGAAGATAGCCATTAGAATGGGGATGGCTCGATGGCTGTCTGGCAACGCAGACTGGACAACAACAACCAATAGATAACACACCAACAACCAACACGTACTGTAGGTCGTCGTAATGGAGATCACAAGTGTCCTTGGTGAGGCCGTGAAGTCGTACGGGTTGGGTCGTGGGACCGTACGGGCAATCCTGAACGCAGCAATCCTAAGTGAGGCCGTACGGTTTTCCGACTGAGGTCATATGGAATGTACTTAATACGGCATCATGAATCAAAGAATGTGGTGACAACTGGAATGAATTGGATAGATGCTGCTGCTCTCCATCCTCCTGTAGAAGCTATTGCTTACACCCAAGATATTCGTGATACCCCACGCCGCAACTATATTCATTATGTCATGCGTTCCACCACTGCACTATCTTATTAAGGTATAGGCCCGGTTTCTCTGATAGGTAGTCGCAGAGTGCGTTAATTATTAGAGGTATTATAGTTAGTTTCCGGCCTATGCGAGTTGGGGGTGCGTAGACGCTACTAAATAGCTATAGGTTTCTGCGAACATTTATGATCGTGATCTTGCTGTATTCAGCCTCTTCGGCTATTTGAGTTGTGGTTAGTGACTGGCTCTCTATTATATCACGGATAAGATGTAGCTTTGAGGGGATAAGTCACGGGGCCATATTGCAAGCCTAGTGTAAGGTGTCGGTCAAGAGTTATTTACAGAAGCAGCCTATTACTTAGGGAAGAGAAGAGGGGTGGAGTGGTATAGCAGCTTCCTGTAATTTACAAAAGGCAAGGTTCCAACCGCGTCATATAAAATACAGTTTCTATTCTAGGAACAAGGGGATCGACGGATATACCATATCTGGGCTAGCGTACCCCATATTAGGGTTCGGGAATTGAAATCGAAGAGTGTAGAGGTAAATCTGATTTCGAATACTACTGTAGATGTATCCTGTATCTAAATTAGACCGGCCTAAACATGTAGCTACTATACTTGACTGGAGAGATGATAAGTGACCAAGGCAATGCCATGTGAAGACCTGATGAACAGTCGTCCGGGACCTGGTGTGGCGCAAGACCGGAAAGGTTGAAGGAAAGGTTGAAGGAACAAACGCGCAATCTGGGCAACAATATCAAAGCATTCGTTCCATTCCAAAGACTAAATGTATAAATTATGCAAATATAAGTTACTGTTTTTTCCAAGTGATTTCCGTTATTACTACTATCGGAATAGTCCAATAACATCAATTTGGCAATAGTGTAGTGGAGATACATTCTTTTAGTTGTGTTCTTTCGAATAATTCAAAATTTGCATGATAGACAAGTTATGCGCTAAGTAAGACAGCTGATGTCTTCCCAAAGGTTTGCGGTGTTGAACAAAATCCACGTGGCCTAGTGACTTCAACACGTACTTACGTGGGGATCCAATATAACCCTCAAGTATTTGCGCAGACGAAACCTTTACCAAAACTCCATCAACATATAAGAGCAGCCAAGATGAAACAAGCAAAACAAAAAAGCAACGCAGTCCCCCTTTTTGACTCAGACAGACCCTTCCAACAACGCACACGCCTTTACCATAACCTCCGACACAGCCTGAATGTTCGCCACGTCGAAGACCTGGAAGTGGTTACCTGGGATGTCGAAGCATCGCACTGTGGTCCCAGTCACTGCCTCCCAATCCTCCGTAGCCGTCCTTACATCCGACCTGTCCTGCAGCCAAGCGTTCTCGATGGATTTGGGGTTCATGACACCTCGCGGGTTGCTAGTGTCTCCATCTCGCCGCCAGCCGTCAGCGGAGCGGAGCAAAATGGCAGGCGGTGCTGGGCTATGCGAGAAGTGCGTAGGCTTGTGCGCACCCAACAAGGCTGCGCAGGACAAGAAGCTCCGATGCGTAAGTTGTCGGATTGCTTTGCCCAGTGCATTTGGCGAGGTCTTTGCGCTGCCGGTGACGGCCTCGATGATGTCGGCTGAGAGAGGATGATGATCCAATGGAGGCGGCGAGTCAATGAGGATAATGCCTTTCACGGCATGGTTCCTCGCCATTAGGATTCTTGCCGCCTCGAAGGCGACGACGCCGCCAAAGGACCAACCGCCTACGAGGCAAGGGCCTTCGGTGGTATGGTGGACCGTGTCAGCGTAGTTTTCTGCCATCTGACGGAGGCTGGACCATGCTTCGGCTGTGTTGATAAACTTGGGATCGTGAAGCGCGTACGCCTGGCGGTTGAGTGACTGCAAGCGATGATACTGCATGCAGACACCACTACCATCGTGAACCAAAAATAATGGCAGAGCATTGGGGCTGGCAGACGCGCCACTGATGATGACTTCAGGTTGTTCGGAGAGCTTGAGAGCGCGTGTCACCTTCTGCACCATGACGGCATCGAGCTTCAGGACAGTGGAGAGGTTCATTCTAGAGACTTTGCGCGAGTTGTTCTGCGAGGGGAAATACGTTGCCTCTTCGACTTGCTTGTGCACGTTGCGCTATAATAATCCAAGCATTAGCCAAGCACGAACCTTACTCGATGGACTCAGCTTACCCCTAGGAGGTCTCTGGCATAGCACATACCAATCTTTCAACATCGCCAACTGTGCGACAGTTTAAAAGGTTTGCAGCAGATGCGGTCTTCCCGTCTTTGAAGATCTCCTCGAGGCGAACTTCAAGCTCCAAGATCATGAGAGAGTCGATGCCGAGATGTTGGAGGTTCGAGCTTGACGAAATGGTGTCTGGGCTGGTTCCACAGGCATCGGCGATGATCGCAGAAACATCTCTCTTGCTGACTGGCGTGGCTATCGCACTGGGGGGAGTGCTGGAGGAGCTGGTCATCGAGCTAGTCGACAGTCCTGAGACCGGGGTGATTGACTGAGAGGGAGTGCCTTGAACAGCGCAGATTCGCTCAATGTCTCCAACCGTCTGGCACTCCTCCAACTCTGAGACACTGGCGTGGGGGAACTTAGTCGAAATCTCAGATTGCAGTTCGATCATCATAAGAGAATCAAATCCAAGACTCTCAAGGCCTGTAGTCTCGGAGAGCACTGATGGTTCCACTCCACAAGTGGTGGCAATCATGGCCCTGACCGATGGTCTAGATGTATCAGGTATCGGAACCTGGACCGGGTCCTGAGCCGAAGGAGCATGGGATTGCACAGCCGCTGCTACTGCAGGCTGATGCGCGGAGCCCCCCGAAAGCTTCTTTGCGGTGATGGCGAGAGCCCTGCCGATTTTCGAGAGCTCAATCTGCTGAAACGCCATGCCTTTAAACACTGCCAAAACTCCTTGGGAGTCAAAGGCATAGGCATCTGCAATCGTCAAGCCCTCGCTGACGACATTGTTGAGGGTGCCTAAAAGGTTAGATTATGCTCGAAACAAACTGTGAGCTGCGTTACTTACAATATACCTCGAAGGTTTCTCCAGGAGCGAGAGAACTTCGAAGGACAGTGGCGGATATAACCTCCTTACACATGCACAAAATCTGGGTGCCGACTCTGATGTTGGCAGCGAAGCCTGCGACGTGCAACAAGACATCCATGAAAATGGCGTTCGCAGCGGGCAGACCAGCAGTGCCAAGGCGGTCATCGGGATACTGGCAGACGGCGTGGGTATCCCCACTGGCTCCATCAATTCGAATCGACTGCACCCGCTGGTACGGCTCTGAATAGGTGACCACCCTAGTGAAGACCATTTCGTACATGGCTCTCTTCATGAGGATCTCTTGCCAGGCCTGAGCCGTGTTTGAGACCATCTGCTCTGTCTTGCGAACCAGCATGGGGGCAACACGGGCATACTTCATCTGCAGCGTCGGACTTGACTTGCGCTTCAAGATTCCCTTGCAGTGCGACGTGCCATGATTTGCACCAATTGTATTGTTGTAAGAGAGTATCTCAAACTCATAGGATCCCTGAGAGCCGTCAAGAGGCTTGAGTATGGCTCGCACCTGCAAAATTGTTAGCGAGAAATGGCTTGGAGGATTGTGGTAACTGAATAAAAAAAAAAACAGAACTTGCCGTTGCAGTGGGCTCGTCATGGTGCAGCAATGGTGCAACGTAAGTCACCTTGGACAAACTCCAGACATGGGATGTCCCCGATTCGGGCTCGAGGTCTTTTACTGCCGACAGTGCAATCTCATGATATACCGATGCGGGACAAAGAGCGTGTTCGGCAACCAAATGCCCAGTGATGAAGTCTTTGAGCAGATACAACGGCGTATCATAAATCGCCGATCTATCATCTAATGTTGGCTGCTTCACCCTCTTGGCGATGAAACTGTCGCTTCGAATGACGGGTCGGACAACCTCGGTATCAATTCCTTTGGCAGTCAATTCGGATGGGTAGTGGACGCCGAACTCTTGTTTCGAAAATGGGATTCCAGGTATGTCAACGAGACGAGGTTTGGACACGCCATCGAATGGTTTACGCCAGTTGATGCCGGTGGAAGTAGTATAGAAATTACACAGAAGCTGTGCCATGGTGCTTGAAGGTGAATTACCTTTCCGCAGAGTAGGAAGAAGGTCGACCGATCCTTTGTCAACGCACGTACCCAGCATGGGCAGCAATGACGGGTGCGGGCCAATCTCTATCCATCTCGTGGCCGTCGATCCGATTTTGGTGGTAAGAAATTCTTGAACTCCTTTGTGGAATTTGACCGTCTGTCGACAGTGTGACGCAAAGTACTCTTTAGTAAAGGCAGTTTCGCCGGCTTCAATGGTACGTCCGAGAACGTTCGAGACCACGGGAATCTTTGGTCGGCCTAGATCAATCGTGGAGACGAATTGGGTAAGCTCGGGGAGGATGGGGTCCATTGCATTTGTGTGGTAGGCCAAGGGCACATCGAGCACCTTGCTCTTGGCCTTGAGGTTCTCACGAAGATACTCCTTGAGCGTTTGAAGCTCCTGGATTGGGCCACCAACAACGCAATCGTTTGCGCTATTGTCGCATGAGATTGACAAGCAGGGGAAGACCTCTGAGTTTTGGATCAGGTCTTGCACAGTTTCAGCGCTAGCATTGACAGCAAGCATGGAGGTTGTTTGAAGCTGGCATTGACCCATCATCAATTTCGCACGACGAGCGACCAAGCTGAGCCCGCTGAAGGTGTCGAGAACTCCAGCAATAACTAGAGCAGCATATTCCCCAAGACTATGATTTTGATAGTCAGTAAGCATTTTCTAAACACACCTAAGCATACTCACCTGTGGCCTACGACCGCACTTGGAACAATGTTCCAAGACATAAGTAGTTGCGCAAGGGCAACTTCTAAGACGAATATCGCTGACTGGAACGCTTGCAGTTTTGCACACTCCGTGAGGTGCTCGAGTCCGTTTTCTACATCGGCAGCAGTGATAATTTGGACACACCCGGGATAGTTGCGTTCTTTGAGATAGACGTCGCACTCCCACACGGTCTTGGCGAAACTTGGGTAGATTCCCATAAGTTCAGCGCCCATGCCCAAGTACTTTGAGGTTTTTTCAGTAATGCACACTGGAGGGGAGGGAAATTTCCAGGCTTACCTGTGAGCCCTGACCAGAGAAAACAAAAACGGCTTTCGGCTCTTTGACTACTGAATCGGAGATGTGGTGAGGTGTCGCTTTTTGGAGCTTCTCTACCAAGTCATCGGAGGAGGTTGCGACAACTGCGATGCGTATATCGTAGATCTGGCGCCGGCTTGTGCTTGTCGCACAAATGTCTCGGAGCGATTCGAACCTGCCCTTATTCATAATATGCGAGATGAGTTCATCGCGAAGCTTTGTTAGCGAAGCCATGCTCTTGGTGGAGCACCCAAATACGTAGCTGAGCAAGCTACTACTTCCCAAATCGGTCGGTTGTTTAGCTGGGATGTACTCTTGCAAGAGGACAGCTCCGTTGGATCCTCCGGCACCGAAGTTGTTTAGCATCGCCATACGTGGCTGACCATCGATTTGTGGCCATAATGCCCCTTCTTTATTAATGACAGCACCATCATCACCAAGGTTTTGAATGCGTGGATTTAGCACCTTGAGGGAGATTTGAGGGGGGATGCGATTATGCTTCATCATGAGGACCAGCTTCGCCAGCCCGGCAGCCCCAGAAGCAGCCTCGCAGTGGCCAATATTCGCTTTGATGGATGTCAAGTGAAGGAGATTATCCGGTGATCTATCCTGACACAGGACACGCCGCACACTCTGCAGCTCCACTGGGTCTCCAGCTTGGGTACTGTCAAAAGTTAGCATCAATACTGCACATCTTTTTCACGGCGGAGACTGACCCAGTGCCATGCAGCTCAACAGCAGTGACCTAGTATCGTATTAGTAAACGAGCACCTTTCAGAACCAGGTTACAATGCTTACCATGTGAGGGTCAATTCGTGTTTTCCGAAACACGTGTTTGAACAGCTCTTCTTGTGTAGGGACGTGGGGATGCGTAATGGAGTGGGTGTTGCCGCTCTGGTTAATCTCCACAGCTTTGATGATTGCGTCAATTCGATCGCCGTCTGCTATGGCATCGCTGACCTTCTTAATGACAAAAGCGCCGCACCCTTCACCACGACAATACCCGTCGGCAGATGCATCGAACGCTTTGCATTGACCCGATGGGCTCAAAAAGTGTGCACGGTCAAGGCCAAGGTACATCTTGGAAGTGTCAGCGGATCCAAACAACACGGTAGAAAGGACGTACATCGGGACTCGTGATCGTATTGACGGCGCCAACGAGTGCGGCGCGGCAATCTCCGGCGATTATCGATCTGGCGGCTTGGTGCAGGGCAACTACAGAAGACGAGCAAGCCGTGTCCAGGGTTATGGACGGGCCGCTCCAACCAAAGACGTACGAGATGCGCGCACTTTGAAAGGTGCGCAGTGTGCCTTCTCACGTTAGAATGATAGTCTATGCATATTAGAAGATTCCATATAAGCATACCTGGGCTGTAGTAAACATCAATGTCGTCCTTCATATTCGCAGGGTAATCCAGCGTGGCATTGCCGATCCAGCACCCGAACGTATCACGATTGTTTGAAGGCGTTGAGTCCGGCACGTAGCCTGAATTTTCGAGTGCTCTGAATGCTGTTTGGAGCATTACACGCTGCTGCGGGTCCATTGACCGCGCTTCACGTGGGGATATATCGAAAAGGCCGTTATCGAATTGGAAAGGGTTCTGAAGGAAGTTGCCGTATCTTGTGTTGAGGGTGCGATTAGCACTACCCTTCTTCAGCTCTTTTGCATGGTAAAAGTCATCGATATGAAATCTCGACTCCGGTATCTATTTGCGCATTGGGTAAGTGACTGTGGAGAATTTAACATGGATTTGACAGACCTCTGAGCATGAGTTAATGCCATCAACCAAATTCGCCCATAATGAGTCCACATCGGACGCATCCGGAAGGTCGACCGCCATGCCAACAATGGCAATGTCGCCTGGCGCCAGTCTGGAAGCTTTGCGGTAGGAGTTGGGAGCGCCAGCGAGTGACATCACATCGCGTATTTTCACGTTGCTTGGTAATTGGAAAGCAGATGTTGACATGCCATAGCCGGGACCCATGTTCAAAATGTCAATCGTCGTTCCAGCAGTGGAAGAGGCAGAAGCCTTATTTACACCAGCGAAGATTGAGTTTTGAACCGCGACCCAGTCGACAGGATGAAGCATTATCATGTCCAAAATGGTGTTGATGACAGTACCTGAGTCTTAAATTAGTTCCTGAAAGGCCACAAGACGGGAGGAACAAATGATGTGTAGGAGTATTCCCTCGAGATACAACTCTTGTAAAGCATGTATACATTCCGAGAATGACCCACGACGCACGCGAGATCTTGGGCTTACCTAGAGGTCCTGCCTCGACGCAGTTGATTGGTTGCCCGTCAATTGTGGAGAGCAACGGGGCAACAAAAGCCACAGAGGTTGACATCGAGGGGCATCGCTGTTGAAGATCCTCATATATAGTTTGTTTAAGAGGAGCAAGCCTGTCACAGACATGGTAAAGCGAGCGCACGTTGGTTGCCCGAGTGCGGCACTTGGGAGGGAGTTGGGTGGAAAGGAAGTTCTGGAGCTGTTCTCCAGTCCCGCTCAAGGTCACGCAATTGGGCGAGTTCAAAGCAGTCACAAAGACAGTTTGGTCGTTCTTGTCACTGGTCAGCACAATTCAGGGACGATGCGGATGAATTGGGGGATGTTTACCTGCGATGTCGAGGTGGCGATGATTTCTTTGGCACGTTCGGCATTGATGCCGTCGACAACAATGCTCCAAGGAAGGCTAGGCCCACAAGCGTGAAGGGCCAGGTAAGACCTCCGATAATTTTCGCTACGGATACCGAGCCAAACGGAGACGTAGAAGAGGTCTTGAGCTCGTGACAGAAATTCAATAGGATTGCGGGATGTGGAAACGACCGTAGCGGGGAGGAGGCCGGCGCAAAAGGCAGCGACCTCAAGCAATTCGCTTTGTTGCGGTAGTTGCCCGAGGTATCTAAGGATCTGCGAGAGATATAATGTAGTGTGTTGTACCACCACGTTTCCATGGTAGCGTTCGTTGGGTGAGAGGACCTTTTCGGGTGTGTTAAAGTCCTGAAGATCAATGTCATGGGAGAGGATGCCGGAGCGGATGGCGTGGGAGATTTCAGTGTGGAAGATGGCATGGCAAGCCTGCAAGAGAAGCTGAGACTCGGGCAGCAACGCATCACGCGCCGATGCGTCGAGGCTAGACTTGGAGAAGAGTACATCGGAGCCAAGGCCGGCGAATACGGGCGTGTGAAGTGACATATTTCAAAAATTGTTGTGAGCCTTGTCTCTTTACCAGACCAACGTGAGAAAAGGGCTTGAACATTGCCTGGACTGCAATATATACAAGCATGGCGGCAAATAATCTGTGTCGGCCATGATGCCATTTGAGCGGACCCTGGCCCTGCACAAAGGCATGCTAGGGTCGATTGGAAAGCATTTGCTTCGACTGCGAAAGGGAAGATAGATATGATTGCCCGATCGGGTTAGCCTAGAGTAAGCATGGCTCGGAAGAGTGAAAAGAGGACAATCGAGGACCCCGTTCCCCAAGGAGTAAAAGGAGTAGGGCGGCGTGAGACTTCTGAGAAATCGGCTCCGTAAAACGGCCTCAAAAGCTGCCGAAAGTGGCAGCCAGTTTGCCGTTCCCTATTTGAATATAGTAATATCGCGATATGACAGAATTACACGTATTGTATACTACATATCATAAAATTACAGTTTTTATTTTTATTTTTATCTCATTTATCTTGATTCTAAGTAGACCGAGAGAGATGCGAAGCTAATGCACCAATTCCTATACTAAAAGGAACTAAGACGGCTAATTATCCTATAGCTATGTCTCTAAATATAACTAAAAACTAAGAATGAAAATGAAAATACAAAGATACAATAAATTAGTATCAGATATAGTAATACAAATACTCCGCTAAATACTCCGCTAGATTCTCTTACACTCTCTTTGTGATATTAAATCGAGGGCGATACCTTACTAAAGCTAAGTCCTGACTCTGATACTGTGATTTAACATATTAGTAATTATATGATGATATCACCGAATCCCAAGACGACAAGTATGGTTATAATTCCATAAAATACTTCATTTTAAAATACATATATTTCCCGTATTTTATCGCGAAATTCACTTCACTTTCAAAGATGAAATCGCCCTCGTTCTGTATTCGAGTCTGAAACGGAAGGGCGATGGCACCCGGATTACCCAAAGGAGTCCATCTGCGTAATTCGAGCGTCATTTGAGCCTCGAGACGCTCGAAGCCGTCGACATGAGTACTGCCGTCCCGGCAAGCTTGGTGCGTTGCGTGAGGAAGCTCTGGTCTATCTGCTATCGGCCTCGTCTCTTTCAAATACGTTTGATAGAAATTGCATCCACCCTCTCTCTTCTTCTATCTTTCTCGCCGTTATCAAAGCATAATTTACCTCCACGCAGCCATGGTAGGCTTCGGGAAAGTCAGCAATGGGGACAAGCCATACCAGCTCCATCTCGTGGTCATAGGCGCCGGTCTCGCCGGCCTTTCAGCAGCAATAACTACAAGTCTTGAAGGCCATCGCGTCACCGTGCTCGAGAAAGTATCGCAACTTCAGGAGGTAGGCGCCGGTCTTCAAGTGACGCCAAACGCCACGCGCCTGTTGAAACGCTGGGGTCTTTTCGATGAGCTACGCAAACGTGCCGCTGCGCCGTCGTCCTTGACTGTTCGCCGGTACGACGGTAGCGTGGTGCTCGCGCAAGAGGACAGCTTTCAGGAGAAGATGCAGGATAAGTACGATGCGCCCTTCTGGAATCTTCACAGGGCGGACTTGCAGACGGCTCTCGTGGGCCGAGCAATCGAGATTGGTGTTGAGATCCGACTCGATTCTGAGGTAATCGATTTCGACTTCTCCGCAGCAACGGTGATGCTAAAGGGGGAGAATTGGTACACGGCGACGTCCTTCTGGCTGCAGACGGCTTGTGGTCGCGTAGCAGGAGCCTCTTCATGCAGAAAACAACCCTCCCGAGCCCGACCGGCGATCTCGCCTGGCGCATCATCCTCAACCTCGAAGACTTGAAAGACCCGGAGCTCGTCGAGTGGGTATCGAAGCCGACGGTCAATTTCTGGATCGGCCCCTATGCTCACGCGGTGGGCTACTCCGTCAAGGGCGGGAAGCAATTCAATCTCGTCCTGCTCTCGCCCGATGATCTTGAGAAAGACTTGAGCAGAGCGGAGGGCAACCTTGATGAAATGAAGAAATTGTTTGCAGCGTGGGATCCAATGTAAAATTCCCACTTTACGCCTCCACGGACAAAGAGCTGACCCAAAAAGCTTGATGAAGTTCCTTAAATGCGTGCAGAGTGTGGACAAGTGGAAATTGATGCACTGTAAGTCACATCCCAAATGCCACAAGAATATCTCTGATGGATCTGCAGGTCCCACACTCGACCATTGGAGGAATGATAAGGGGAATTTTGTCATGGCGTAAGTCACCATGCGTCCACTTTCAAACACTCGTGCGATATCTACGCAGTCAACCGTCTCTCTTACACTTTTTTAGCGGCGACGCCTGCCACCCGATGCTCCCCTACCTTGCCCAAGGCGCCAACTCCTCTCTCGAGGATGGCGCCGTACTCGGACGCCTCCTCGGCCACGTCAGACACTCCGCCGACGTTCCTCACGCCATTAAGCTCTACGAAGACCTGCGGAAGGAGAGAGGCCGCACCATTGCGCTTGAGACGTTCAAGCAGGTAGGCACATCGGTTCATGTTGGTTCCCACCGTGCCATTATATGCTGACATGCACTTCGCATCCCCACAGCGCGAGGCCTTCCACTTGCCTGACGGGGAGGCGCAGCGACAACGCGACGCCGTTTTCGCCGCCGCCATGGTCAGCGAGCCCACACCCGCCTTCAGTAGCCGCTGGTATGCCGAGACACCCCTGCTTTGTGCTTGAAAATGTTGGAATTTGTAATACTGATCATTTTGTGTCGGCAACAGGACGTGCCCAACCTTTCAGCCCTGGCTTTATGGCTATGATGCGTACGTTGAGGCCGATCGGGCGTTTGACGTGACGAAGCAGTAATCTGCAGTGGGGTCTTATACATAAGCCATATGTGGTTGAGATGCGACGACTAGATGCATATTGTGTTGTTAATGAATGGATGGCATTATTCTACACAAAACACCATGGCATGGACTTGACGAGCGCGTTATGCGATATCTCTATAGTCGAGTGTAGTCCATCATGAAGCCTTTCGCCAACATCTGGGCTGAAGACGCAAACTCGAAGTGCTAAGTCCTTCGATCTGTAGATGATTATCTCTTATGTTGAATCTAGGATCGTCTTATAGTTCTTCAGTATCCTATCATTGCGATCGTCTTCTCCTCTTCATCTTAGGCCGGCATGTGTTGATGAAATACCACGTGTGGAATGGCTGCAAAGCACCTGCAAGAGACTGCAGGGGAAGAGCATTGTATGTCAACGAGTGCATTCTGCGAGTAAGACTAGAAGTGCAGACAAAATACCGCGCAGACGCTGGCCACATTAGGAGATTGCACCCGGTGAGTGTACCCCATCAGGTTTCGGTGGACTTTTGTAAATGCCCTCAGGATTCCGGACACGCCTTGCCTAATGTGGTAGTGGGCCTGGCTCTGGAATGGTAAAGATTATACGCAGCGTACAGTATTGTAACGAGCACTGCATACAAAACTACCCTAAACTCCGAGGTTTGCATACCCACTTCGTACCAGACCCCGCGTCATTCCTTGAAACAATACTCTGTACTAGTCTTATCGCTGTCACAACCTGACAAGCTGCGGGTCCTGCAGGCCCGAAGCTTCAGCCTCGTGTTGCTACATCCGGAATAGCCATAAGGAGGACCGAGGGATTCGTCAACCTCCATAAGGATGACACGATCTCGGGAACTGCCCGCCATGTTTCGTCATCGATCGGCCTTCTTGAGTCTGAGATCTTCCCCTTACAGTTAGAATTCTCTCACGCAAGACTATGATCGACAACGGCCCCCAATATCATCGCAATATAATATTCAAGTAGAGTAGACATAAAGGGCCCCTTAATGACATTTGGGATAGATTGAGAGCCAAGCATCCGTTCAAGAATTGTGCTTCTCATAACCATGGCATTCAAGGTCGTATCCGCGCTTACAGGCTTGTTTTCGTTGGCTTCGGCCTACGATCCAGGCGGTTCATACACTCCCGGTGCTGGCGGCATCTTAAAAAACGCCACCGACTATCTGCCTTATCCCCTTGCAAACTTCACAACTCCAAATGTAAATCCCGCGAACCTGCCCAAAGGGTGCCAGAATGGACCTCACTCCCGAGGCTGCTGGGGCAACTACTCCATCGACACAAATTACTACGAAGACTCGCCTCGTACTGGAGTGACGAGGGAGTACTGGCTTGAGGTTCTCAACAGCACCGTCTCCCCAGATGTGCGTCCGTGTTCGCCTTTTCCCATCTGTCGACACTGACCGATTCCATCAGGGCTACAAAATGGGTGCTCTCACTTTCAACGGCAGCATGCCCGGACCGCTGATCGAGGCTGATTGGGGTGACGAACGTAAGAATCTTCTCCCTCCACAGCGAGGTCATTCACTTACAATGCCACAGTCGTTATCCACGTCACGAACAAGTTGCAGACCAATGGCACATCTATTCACTGGCATGGCTTTAGGCAATTGAACAACAATGATGCAGATGGTGTTCCCGGTGTCACCCAGTGCCCCATCGTAGGTATTCTCGCGCAAATATAAATCCAATCTAACGCGACGCAGCCACCCGGAGAGACGTATACCTACAGATTCTATGCCGAACACTATGGAACAGTAAGCTTACTTCAATCCACGCAGATGCGTTACTTACGATCTCCAGACATGGTACCATTCCCACTTTACGATGCAGTACTCCGTAGGTCTTCAAGGTCCGATAATGATCCATGGACCTGCCACGGCCGACTATGATGAAGACTTGGGAACTGTCATCCTACAAGACTGGGCGCATGAGTCGTTCTTCGCCTTGTGGTGGTACGATCGGGTCTTCAAGCCCCCAACGCCTCAACTGCCTCCCTCGCTGGACAGTTCTCTCATCAATGGCAAGAATATATTCCCCTGCGATACTAAAGATGCTCGATGTGTCGGTGGTACAAGCCGTCCTGAGTGGCACTTTGAGAAGGGCAAAAAGTACCGTATGCGCCTCATCAACACCGGTGTTTACTCCAACATGCGATTCTCCATTGACAACCATACTTTGACCGTCATTTCCATGGACTTTATACCTATAGTCCCCTATAAGACCGACAATGTAGGTCCATTATCCCGCGCATTCACTCTCTCATACTCACAATATTCAGGTCGCCATCAGCATGGGTCAACGTTACGACGTCATTGTCGAGGCAAATGCAGACGTCGATAACTATTGGCTCCGGTGGGTGGTTGCCTCACATTTACAGATCTCTAAAGCTGACTTTCTACAGCGGGAACTGGCAGGAGAAGTGCTGTGCAAACCAGCAGGCCAACAACACCCTCGGCATTATTCGCTATGACTCCTCCTCGAAAGAAGATCCCAAGACGAAGACAATTGTCAACACGTACCCTGACAACTGCCGTGACGAACCCATGGAGAGTCTCGTCCCCCACGTCGCCCTCGACGTTGGCAAGCCCAACGAGATCCAGCAGCTCAACCTCAGCTTCGTCACCCCTCCTGCGCCCAAGGAGTTTTTGTTCACGCTCAACGAAAACTACCTCTGGGTCAACTGGTCCGCGCCGACGAACCTGCTCCTTCTCGACGATGTTAACAAGTTCCCCGACGAGTACATGGTCTTTGAGAATCTTTCCAACGACAACTGGGTCTACTTTGTCTGGAACGACCACTCAGGCCGCAACAGGTCGCACCCCATGCATCTTCACGGTCATGACTTCTATGTCCTCGGCACCGGCCCGGGCAACTTCACCTCAAAGTCGCCTCTCAATCTCAAGAACCCGCCGCGCCGCGACACGGCCACTTGGCCCGAGAGTGGTTACATGGTCATGGCCTTCAAGACGGACAACCCGGGCACCTGGCTCGTCCACTGCCACATCGTATGGCACTCAAGCGAGTCTCTCGGTCTCCAGTTTGTCGAGCAGCCGGGGCAAATGTCCGCCCTGCACCAGAACGCATCGTACATCCGTGACACATGCGACAAGTGGAACGCTTTTTGGCCTGGGCCAGGAACGTACGAGGAAGAGGACTCTGGCATATGATCGGGGAGAGGGAGAAGAAATAGTTTGAAAAAATAGGCCGCAGACAGACATGGACGCGCGACTTTCATCTCACTCCTCTCGTGTTCGTGCTGGTGTGAAGAAGTTGTGCACAGCCTTGTATAAAGTTGACAATTAGAACGAATACATTCATTCAAATGTGGCTTGCGTAAGTAGCCAAATCTAATAGCGACTTTGAGAATTCCATTTTATCCTTTCAGATTCGTCGTCAAGTCTGAGAGCTGCTCTTGAAAATAACGCCAGGGCATCGCAAGGCGTGGAACCCGTGGTTTGACTTGATTCAAACCGGGTGGGAAACATACAAACCTTGCCGTTGTCTTAATGCGTACCATGTCATAAACCTGTTGTTTGCGCAGGTATAATGTATTATTTGTTTTGTAAGAGTGCTTCAACGGGCTCCCTTAACGAGCTGCTTTCAGGCTTACATTCTTATGACCTAAGTATATAGCAATATTGTGGCTCCTCACTTCTGCTTACTACGCATACTTTTATTCGAAGTGCGATTCCTAACACCACGAAAGGTGCCCTTTATAATTAGTATATAGGGTTAGGGGGTCAAAATGGTCCATAGTGAACGTATGGATCTTCAGATAGAGGAAAGTTGAAGTAGGAGATAGCGAGGTTGGAGTTAACAGGGTGTAGAAAAAAGCCGCACGGAAGTGATTCTTGGGCTTTCTATATTTTAGGCGTCATTATCTCTTTACACCCGTCGCACTATAAAGCGAAATGTAACAAGATCGGTAAAGCTTTCAGCTCCATAGCCAATGCAGTTGAGGCCTATAGTAGGTGACGTAAAAATCTTTGCCTAATGTTGATCGTGTTTGATGTTCCTAGGATTAAGCCAGCCCCATATATAGAGATTCGAAGGTAATAAGGGTATTCTATTAGAGTCTATTGAATAGATGCCGGTATAAAGCCTATGATGTGAAGGAAAGAGTGGGTAGTGAAATATCTAAAATCTCACATAGGTTGAAAGACCGGTTGAGTCGATCAACTGAAAGTTCGAAGACCGAGACGAAAGTTACTATAGTAACGTGGGAATACGTTATTTCCTAGCTCCGTTCCCAGAAGCACGAATAAGCAGCAGTGCGGTTATCTTCGAAGTTTGTGATAGAATGAGAGGTAAGATGAGATTGAACGGGCCGGTTGGCCTGAGCATTGGGGTAAGCGATCAGGCCGCTCAGGGAGCAACTCATGGCCACTTAGAGGGCAGCTCAGGGCGGCGGGGTGACTAACTCACTCTGTGCTCCAGGGGCCGATCACTTCCCGAGGCGGCAGTTTTACCGTCACTATTGTTACATCCAAAGTTTGGAAAAATGGATCGATTTCTTATTAAAACTGTAAATTTCAGAATACTATATAACTGAACTTTGCTAAGCCAGCCTTGTGCAGGTTAGAAGAGGTATTTTGAAGCCAAGGGGGTGGTGTTTATAGCAGTCCTGGACTATCAGTTAGCCTTCAGGAACGACTCAACGTGGTTCTAAGTGATATATTTGAGGACAAAGGCAAGAGAATAATTCCTGACTACACAGAGGAAATTGCGTGGATGTGAAAAATAGCCTATCCAAAGAGCGACTTGCGTAACTATCGCGGATCCTAAAAATCTTAGCTAAAATGCCTGACCAATATGTTTCTCCCATTTGCAGACTCACAAGGAGCTTAAGCCCCAGTTTACGAGATCCTCCGTGGCCGGCTTGATGCAACGCACAAAGATTTTAGCGCAAGAGTCAATAAAGCAAAGCTCAAAAAACAGGGTGCCATAGGCGTGCTCCACGCTGGGTGGAGCAACTCAATGGCGCAGCGCCCATGGGCCGGGCATGGGAGCGGACGGCCCGCCCTTATCCCCGGCGACGGGGCCCGTTGGATACAACGTTTGAGGAAGCGCAGTAAAGAGGCTCGACCTCCTGTCAATAATCAAATTCTTAGAAGACATTGGAATGTCTTCTATCGATATTGGGCCTTAACTATGTAAGCCGAGGAGTTGGACATGAAGTTTGCACTTTGTCAACCACTTAGGCCGCCGCCGAGACAATTTCGGGAAGTCCCAATGGGGTTCCGTTCGGCGCTCTATGTAAGCCACCAAAGGCCGTGTCCCAATCGGATCTTCCAACCCCGCTCCCCCCTTGTTCATAGAATTGCATCAATTTCGCTGAAGCTGACCTTGGAATGTTGCTTATTTGTATTAATGTAAATTGTTTATTTCATTATTCTTTTAACATGGAGTATCTAGAGGGTCAGAGATCTTTCGTCACCCCCGTTCCAAGGCATTTTAAGGCCACCCAAGGCAGCGGATTTGTCTGCAAAGTTCTCTTAGTTAAGAATAAAAGTTTTACTTAGGTACAGATGCCCTATCCACTAGTATTTGAATGTAGAACGCGGACATTTGGCCCCTTAATCCCTGGAGAGAAAACGCCAAGCGAGCCTTGCCGAGTCCCCGCTGTAGCTTGCTAGGCATGCATGTTCGTACATTGGCCCAGGATAATACGGGCTTATGCCATCGGGCGGCGCCACTTCGCTTAGAGATCGAAGAGATTTTTTTTAGCGGGTATGGATGTGAATGTAAATATTACCCAGGGGGTAACGCTGCAACAAAGCTAGCTCATCGGCTCCGAAGCGACCAAGGCGGCCCGTTTCATCAGCTACCTAAGTAACATTTGGAAATCTTAAAAGAGGTCAATCCATCTACACAGGTTTTGTTTCTCTCTGTGCATCTTGATTCTTTAATTTTCTGGCATTTGGCTATAAGGTCTCTTGATCATGTATATCTGGACCCTTGTGGGCGGCTTATCCGCTGTAGGCGGAATAGGCCTGTCGTACGCCAGTGCGATCGAAGCAGATAACTTTAATGTGACCAGTGCATTGGAAAACCTGGGTGTGGATGTTTCGAAGATTCCTGCATTGCAGTCATTCTCTGGTCTCCAGTCACGATCGAACAGGAATGGCTGCGCCGCTGCAGTAAGTGAAAAACTAGCTTTAGTTTAAACCGCTCTTTGACTGGACCTGGACCATCCTCACCTCAATTCATCTAGTGTGAGAGTCTGAGCTTCCTTTTCTCAACAAAGGTCTCGGCTCAAAATAGTACCGGTTACAACAATTTCACCGGCTCTTTTTGGTCCGTGCAGCAAGAAGAGGTTCAGCCTCATTGTGTCTTTCGTCCCACCGTAAACACGGAGGTCAGCACTGCTGTTCTGCTTTCCCGATACACCGATTGTGAGTTCGCTGCCAGGAGTGGTGGCCATGCTGCATTTACGGGCGCGTCTAGCGCTCCCGGTGGTATTAGCATTTGGTTCAAGGACATGAATGAAGTCGCTCTTAACGACGATAAGTCAGTCGCTTCTATCCAGCCTGGAAACAACTGGCTATCAGTTTACTCTGCACTCGAGCCATATGGTCTGGCTGTCATCGGAGGCCGAGCTGCTAGTATCGGGGTTGGTGGTTTCATGCTAGGAGGTGGAATCTCTTACCACTCAAACTTGTATGGATGGGCTTGTGATAACGTGCAAAGCTTTGAGGTGAGATCTTATTCAAAATCTCGGACTATGACTGACCGAATCTAGGTTGTTACTGCCAGTGGCGTGATTGTCACTGCAAGTGAATTTTCACACTCTGACTTATATTGGGCTCTTCGTGGTGGCGGTAACAACTTTGGTCTTGTCACCAGGTACAACCTATACACTATCCCTTGCCCTGAGATGCGAGGGGGAGCTAGAACCTTCCTCCAGACTGAGTTCACGGATGTTGTCAACGCCTTCATCAATGTCGCCAACAATGCCTCCGCGGACGGTCACGCGCAGCAATATGTCGCTTTCCTCCAGACGGGGGGAACCAATCTTGCCTTAGCTGAGTTGACATATACGAAGAACGTCACCAACCCGGAGATTTTCAAGCAGTATCGAAGCATCCCCGCGGTTGCCGACACAACCACCGCCAAGACCCTTGTTCAGTACGTGGAATACCTCGAGGCAGATAATCCGTTCGGTCTTCGTGAGGTGTACTGGCCGATCACCGTGCACTTGAATGAAGATTTTGCGAACTGGATCGTGGAAGTATTCTACTCGATGATCCCACAGGTAGCCAATGTCACCGGTTCTCAACCGGTGGTTATTTACCAAGCAATTACAGAGCCAATGCTGAAGAAGATGAGCAATTTCGGTGGCAACGCCCTAGGATTCGACGCTTCTACTGGACCTATCCATCTTATGCACCTTTCCTGCTGGTGGACGAATGAGTCTGATGATGCTATTGTCTATTCGTTCGTCAATAGCTTCTGGGATAAGGTCATCACACAGGCCAAGAGCTTGGGCCTCGATAATGATTATATCTACATGAATTATGCGAGCATGTTCCAGGATCCTATTGCTAGCTATGGTGATAGCAACAAAGCTCTTTTGAAGAGCATTGCGAGCAAGTATGACCCGAAGGCGATTTATCAAACCCTCCAGCCAGGATACTTCAAGCTCGATGGTGCTCCCGTGACTGGATCGTTCTAGGTGCTTGGGTGAATACGCCGTTGTTATGTGCCGCCATTTTCAAAGAGGATTTAACATGATAATGGGGATTTGGAACATCTTCTGCATTTTCGGGGAAGAAGGCTTGGTTTCTCGGGGATTGAAGCGAAGATCAGAAAATGCTGGTGTCGTTCAATAGGATTAGAGAAGCCAAAGACCCTTATTTTGTTGTCGCAAGACGAAAATATAAACTCAATTCAACGTCCAAACAATTTGATTGATTGAAATTTCTTGTTTCTAAGCTTAATTGTTTCTCGCAAAATTATTCCAAACCTGTAAAGGCTAACCATTGATAACATGTACACGGCGAGGCCGCCGCCACTCGGGATATCCGTAAGGTTTATGACATCAACATTGCTCGGGCCCGCACCTTCTTGCCCTCAGTAATCCGTGATTATCGGCGAACTTTTGTATTGAACCATGGATCCAACCGAAAATTCACAGTCGACCGGAAATACATAGTCGACCGAATCAATCCCGCGCTCGCATCCGGAATGGCGGAGAGCAACCAGTAAAGCGTTTTGAAGGCAAACGTCAAAATAAGAATTACTTAAAGCCACCACACCTCTTGGTTGTCAATGTAGATCAACAATGCAAATTGTTTCGATGAAAATTTTTCACTCAGATTAAGCTGGCCAACTCGACATTAAACATCCCTCATCGTTACCATGAATCATGTCCAGCCACCTCGCGACATTGCTATCGTGGGCGCCGGGTTCGCGGGAGTAGCTTGCGCCCTTGCCATTACTCAAGAGCTTGGGCCATCTGTTCCTAATCTGAAGATCCGAGTCTTCGAGCGAAGTGATTATCCCTCCACGTCGGGAGGTGCAGTCAACTTGACACCCGTGGCCCAGCGGCATCTCACCAAGCTTGGAGTTATGCAAGAACTGAACCGAATGGGCACATACGGTGGCGCCGATATCGATGCCGTCGAGGTTTTCTCGATGAACTCCGCCCGTCCCATCGGATCCGTCGATTTCAGAGACCGAGCCGGCAAGAGCTACTGTGGATTCAAGGGTCGTCGGGTCATGCGCGTAGTTCTTTTGACGGCGATGATAGCCGTCGCCGAGCGCGCCAATGTGAAGTTTGTCTATAGCAAGAAAGTCATCGGTGGAGAAGAGATTAACGACAGCGCTGTCGTACACTTCGAAGATGGCACTTGTTCTCACGCCGATCTTGTTGTCGGCTGCGATGGGGTTCATTCCTTAACGCGCACCACCTGGGTTGATCCCGACTGTCCGTCCGAGTACTCTGGGATGTCATTTTTGCAGACTACTGTCGACACCAATGAGATATCGTCGCCTCTACCTTGCGATTCGGCTCTTCATCTTTCACGCTACGGTTCCTTGATCACAACCTACTGCGATCGTGATCGTGAGCGAATATTCGCTGCCGCCATTGTGCAATTCACTGAAGAAGAAATTGACTGTTACCGTCTGAAGCCCGGCCAAGACTGGGATACTCGCAATCGCATTAAATCGAGCCTACGAAACCAACTGCAATGCCGCTTCCGGAAAAGTGCAGAGCCGTGTGTTAAAGAGATCGTCCACAGCGACCAGGAATGGATGTTATATCCTGTTTACCTGATCCGTCCGGGTGGTCGCTGGTGTATGAATCGAGTAGCTTTGCTTGGTGATGCAGCTCATGCAGTAAGCCTTCACTCAATGCCTAATTCCTCTGAGTTCAATCCTGACTTTACGTATAGATGCCCCCGATCTACTCCTCAGCGTCTTACGCTCTTGATGATGCCATTCTCTTCGCCCGGGTACTGGCACGTTATCGGCTCGAGCCATTGTATAATGTCTTCGATACATACGAAAAGCTGCGTCGCGATACAGTTGATAACGCATTTGTGGAGTCAAACAGGATTTGGAACCGAATGAAGGATCGGGGTTCTATGGACGCACGGGTGAGAGATTGGAAGATGGCATCTTATCTTAAGCACGACAGCCACAAGCTACAGAAGACCTGGAATGCCGACGCGGCTATGATTCCAATTCCGACTCCAGAAGCCACTGGGCCCCTGTTATCAATGCAGACTTTCTTGCGAGCGTCCGTTAAATAAGTGGACCATATTTTTGATGTCGAAGCTCCTAAGCGTCACTGGGGACATATGGCTTTTGTGTTATCTCTACAATCAGGGCATACAAGACAATGGGAAGAAACACTATCAGAACATGAACTAAATATAGCCATATTAATCTGATTCTTATTCTTAAGACATTCCAACAATTCCTCCTGACTGGCGTGATCTTCAACATGAATTTTCTATATTCCGTACCCCGGGATATATGTGGATCTCTTTGCTTGAGTCTGTTATTTCGATGCACAGAATCGCAATTCTATCACTGAAGTCTACGGCAGCGCTGACAGTACTTTCTCTAGCAAGGACCAGCTATCTCAGGCAGTGAACCGCTGTGAGACCATGACAAGACAATCCTGCATGGGACTTCCAGGTACGGTCAAGATTCAGCCTGCAAATAGTGCATCAGGGAATTGTAAGCCGCTTATCAGTCAGGCTGGTGGCGTGGCTGGAACGGGCGCGGTGACTTCTCAACCCAGAGGCTCTGAGCTCGGTGGGACCACAGCATGTTGATTCGAGAAAGTTCGATTTAGATAAATTCAAATAACTTGTCATTTCCAGTTGTAAGCTTCAACATCATAGACAATCATAAATAAGAGAGGTACCGTGTTTATTCTAGAAAGTCACTAAAGTTCTTATCTGAGATACTTAGCAAGGAGCCTTAAATGCTGGTACTGCCGTAATAATCATCCCATGAAAACCAATCAAATACGCGATCCAACGTCGGCCTTTGGAGGTATGTTGGATTTTTCTCCTTTTCGCTGTTTGAGTAATTAGGTCCTGGGAATTGAAGCTCAGTTTCAAGTATCCGCGATGTAGCATCCATGTCAACGGGCAACAAATTCAAGTAATTGATGAAGTCATTATCACTCAGATCAGCATCAATCAGATCGCCCCATGACTGTATACCATCTTCACCAAGCCCAGAACTATTCCAATGCTTCGATGGACTGGTTGCATTAGTTGCGGGCTTCAATGAGGTGCCGTGTCGGGCGTGAGATTGAGCAAGCTGAAGGAAAACAGTTGCAGTATGCTGAAGCTTTGAACAGACACCAGCTAAAAGTCGCATTTGGGATCTCATTTCCGTAAAATAAGTTACCGTCGTAGCCAATAAGCGTAGATCCTGCTCAAGTGCCGGGTATTGGCTAGACTGGTGGATGATGTTTTCGAATATCACAAAGAATGGGGCAAACGGGTAATAAAGAAGCTGCCTGTATCATTTTTCGTGGTGAGCAAACTCACAATTTCCAAAACTTTTCAGTAAATGAGCCTCATACCATATAACACCATTGTATACCGAGCCCCAGTTTGATACCAAGGATGGAAGAAGGGAGATTGCTTCGCGAGCAAAAGAGAGACGGATATCAGAGGATCGATCACCCTTCAGTAAAAGAATGAGGATGTGCAAATATTGAAACTTGTTATTGTTGATTCCTAGGTTCATTTCACGGATTAAGTTTGCATCTGCCGGCATGCGCTCGCTTTCCATGGCTTGTGTCAATGCCTGAACTCATGTGTTAGATATCCTTCCATCAAATATTTCAATCCAGTGCGGAACTCTTACCGTATTTGTGGTTGAGAACCAGACTTCCAGCTGTGATCGTATTCCATTCTTGGCATTGTTCGAGTTGCCCATGCCCAGAACTTCCAAGACATCGCTGGTCAGCTTAGCCAGCTCAATAGTATTTTTCAACATCAGGGCACCGAAATCAGAGCGCTGAGAGCTCGGCCGCTCACTACATATTGCTTTATTATCATGAGGAGAGAACTTTTGCATGTAGTCCTCATCAGGCAAGGGGACCTGACGGTATAGGTTCAATGGCAAAAAGGTTGGTCGACCAAATGCAAGGGCACAAGATTTGTCAAGTGTGAAGAGCATCCAGAAGATACACAGCTTGTGCTGGTAATCGCCGACTGTATCCTTGTTCGCCCTAGTGTGCAAACCTAAAGCTTCAGCCTGGCGACATGCGTGACTCAAGAGCATCCAAGATATGTTAGGTGCAGCAAAGTCCTCGCCATGAATAGCGAGCAAAGATAAGGCTTGCACATTAGCTAAGGATGGCTCGAGAAATATTCGACTATCATTAAGGGCAAGCTGAGCATTTTGCCTGAGTTTATCCTCGTTCTCATCTTTTTCGGTGGTGGATATGGCGGCAAGTAGAATGTAGTTGAAGGTGACAATCCAAGCCTTTTCCCGGACCTTGTGGGGCTCGAAAATGACCTGTCTCAATATTTCGTCGGATGGAAAGGAAAAGAATGGCTCTCCCAGCTCTGCCTGCTCCAAGAATTCTAATGAAGTAAATCAAATGTTAATGGGTGATCAAGGACAATAAATGCGGATAGAAAGGGAGTGAGCTCACTGCTGAGCAGGGCATACCCTGCAGATCTTGATGGCACATGGAAATTTGTTGACAGTCCCACCGGGTTCTCGATTCGTGCGGTAGTTATACTTGATGACATGTTTTTAATTTCCGAAATGGCACCTTCCCGAGTATTTCTGAGTTCTTGCCGAGACAAACACTCGATGCCTGCGGGTGCCTCTTGGAGAAAGGAAAAAGAATGGGATGGACCGATGTAAAGCTGTGGGTTAGACTGAACTTCTTCACTCGGACCTGTAAGGTTGGATGTATTGAGCGTTTGATTCGAGCCCCTTCGTTGGGGTACCGCGGATAAGTTGCGCAAGGCTTCATCAACGGAGCTATTCAGAGACTTGACTATGCATTCTAGGCGATCCAGGCGATCCTCAATGCCAATGCCGGACCCTTTCTCAGATGTCTCAGCCAAATGAAATCTTTTCCCGTTGTCTTTGGAAGTCGACACTTCTCGTGAATAGACGCAGCTACTTGGCCACGGCCTGCAAGTCCTGCATTTCGGTAACTCTCGCGTACACCTTCGGCTACGTCAGTAAAGCACACAGTCCCATATAAGGCCGAGAAAGTGCGAGAAATACTTAAGTTTCTTTTGTCGACAAAAGTTGCACTAGATATGTCAGTTTCCGCAGAAATCCGGTCTCCGTGGTCCTTACTTACGGCGTACCGAGCCAAGCTCGGAGCAGGGGCTTCCAGTGAATGACCGGTAACTTCCATAGGGCCTCTGAGATGATCCACGTCCTTGATCAATAGTATCGAGGGCTAAATGTCTATCATCAAATGTAAGTCCAGAGGAGTCCGGGAGTCCGAGAGGGGGCAAAGGTTGTGGTGCTGACTGGCTGTCCCCGGAAATCGCTCCGGTTGGATTCCGGACTCGGCCAATCAGAGTGGACGAATCCGCAGATCGCGGTATAGAAAAATCCATAAATGCGTTAATATATACTTTGCCTCGTCTCTATAAAGCTGAATGGTTCTGAACAGCTGTTGTCTGTCTCATTGATCATTTCAACTCATTCATCTACTACAAATACATTCGATCATGCATTCGCCACCATCCATCGCAATCATCGGCGGCGGGCCGAGTGGTCTTCTCTTCGCACGTCTACTCGAAGTGAATGGACTTAAAGACTACGTCGTTTACGAACGTGATGAATCTTTCACCCCAGGCCCCTGGCAGCAAGGTGGCTCTCTGGACCTGCATGGTCCGTCAGGTCAACTTGCACTCAAGGAAGCAGGTTTATACGATGAATTCAACAAGTTTTACGCACGTTGGGACGCCTCACGGATACATATCGTTAAGCCCTCCGGAGAGACAGTAGGTCGCTTTGGGGAAGGCCGCGACGCACCGGAAATCGATCGGCTGCAACTGCGTCAGCTTCTACTTGGATCTATTCCCTCGCAGAAGATTCAATGGGGCCACGGTGTGCGCTATCTTGAGAGAAAGGAAACCGATGACCTCGAGAAAAGAGACAATGGTTGCACTATCCATTTTTCCAATGGTTGCTCGGCTACTGGATTTGATCTTATTGTTGGAGCTGATGGGGGGTGGAGTAAAGTCCGTCCTTTAGTAAGTTAACGGCGAAATCAATCATGAAATGGTGTCTCAATTGAATTTTACTTTAGCTTACGCCGGCACAGCCGGTTTATTCCGGGAAGATGTACATCGAAGGCAAGATTTCGCAAAGCAATCCGACTTACAAAGTCGCCCACGAATTAGCTGGACCAGGGATGATGATGGTGATGGGTCCAAGCAAGAGTTTGGCATTGCAACAGGTGGCAGACAGCACGTACAGGATGTACTTCGGCGTTGTTGTGCCAAAGGACTTTTATCAACACCGCGATGGCGGTGCCGTGGAGAAGACCGAAGCTGTGCGAGAGCTGATGCTATCGTCTGAGAGATTCTTCGCAAGTTGGGCACCACACCTCAAAGATATCGCTAAAAATGCCGAAGGTCCTTTCCGTGCCTGGGCTTTGCACCACCTGAGGCTAGAAGACGTTGGTTGGAAACGGGATACAGCCCCTGGCGTGACACTGCTCGGAGATGCAGCACATCTTTCGACACCTTTCGTCGGCGAAGGAGTCAACTGTGCAATGTACGATGCTGTGGTACTGACTAAATGTCTTATCGAGCTATTTGGGAGAGGCTCTGAGGTTGAAAATGTCCAAAAAGCGAGTTTGGAAAATGCCCTGGTCTCATATGAAGCTGACATGTTCGAACGCGGCCGGGACCTAATCCGACGTAGTGCGGAAAGTGAGGCAGTGATCTTCAGTGAGAATGCAGTGGAGGATGTTCTCGGGTTTGTCGACCAGGCGAAAGAAGATCTGCTGTATGATGTGAAAGCCTCTAGTGGCAAATAATTCAACTCGCTTAGGCAGTGACAATTCGCTATTAACTTGCTAGGTTTTAATTCCGTTAGCCTGCCAAGCTATGCTGCCGTGCTTATCATACAAAGGCGAGAACAAATGGCTTTTTGGAATGAAACAAAGCAATTTCAAGATAATTTTTCGGTTTCAAAGCAAAATTCATTCTCATTGCGCCAATAACTCTCAAAAACCAGGGTCATCCAGCCCATTAACGCTGCAAGAAATAAATTCACTAGTAAAAGAAACGACTCTTACACAAGCCCATTGAAGCCATCTCTGATACCATGGACGCCAACTGGCTGATCGAGCTTGTCCATGAGGTGCAGTGCCAATATTCCTTGGCCCAGATGCTGTCTACAAAATTTTCACAATAGCATCCAAATCATATTCTTACGGCTGACCAAACATAAGGGATCTCTCAATCCGTGGGCCGGTGTCTCAGATCTGGTTTTTAGGATTGTTCAATACCTATGTGACCTGGTCGCGAGCAAAATCTATCTGATCGCTTGCGATTCTTTACTTCTGGGTCGTATGTTAATAGGACGAGCTGGCAAAAAGAAAGCATTTCAGTTGAGTGATTTCTTCTATTGAACAACAGCATAAAATATCTAAGTTTCTCTAGCAAAAGTCTCAGATTCAAATTCTGTAGCCCTAACCAGTGCCTCCAGAGCAAGGTATTCCGGAGCATAATATTCGATATCATCTGCCAGGCTAGGTGACATAAATTCAGACAGGTAATACGCTTTGGCAGTTTCCAAAATCGCCATAATAATGAGATCTATATCGACTCTATACTCGTCAGCAACAAGCCCACGTAAGGAAAAAGAGGAAGGCTCACTTTACTCGCAATGGCCACGCTCCAACGCCGACCAGTTCTCATAGAGGATGCTCACGTTCCAAATGGGGCAAGACATATCAAATGATTGGGCCTTACCAGTCCTTCCTCCATCTTACCATAATTCTTATAATTGACAATAGAGAGAAGTTCTTGCCCAGAAGCTTTCTGATCAACGCCATAAAGAAGTAGGCGCCTGTATGGTACGTAACCTTTCCGATTCGCGTCATAGATGTGTCTAAAGTCTGCATTTTCTAGGTACATCCACCATGCTGCATATTCTTTCTGTAGTGCAGACAAGGATAACTCACCGATAAAGACGAGGGGATGCTCGGGGTCATCGGACTAGAAATTTGATGTACGGTCGTCGATGAGAACGATGAAGTTGAGCATGAGCTTGATACGTGACAGGGTTTTATCCAAAAAAAAGGTCAATCGCGAACCACACGCAAGGATCAGAGATGAGGCTTAGAATCGGGACTCATCTGCAGCCGAACAGAGCTTGATCGGCCATCAAGGCTTCAATGAATCTCGGTAAAGTCTCGTGTAATCAATCACAGAGCACTTCGGCCTACGGGCAATCGATACCCAATAGTATGGAAGTAAGTCTTTTGTTTTGTTAAAATATTGAAATGAAACTAAGATAAGAAATGGTTCCTTAAATAGAACTCAAGTAATTTTTTCCAAGTGATTTGATTGAATTTAGTGATTCACATTAATATCTCCGAAGATAATGAAATAAAGGATGTGACGCCCTCTCCCCAACCAACACCCTAAGGCTTTCCCGAGGGGAAGCACTAGCGTAGAGAGTGTCTAGGAAAGAGAAGCGACTTTACTCTCCAGGACCGGGAACGGAAAGAAACCCATGAAGGCCGAAGCCATCGAGTAACCTTCAGCATGCCACATTGTGGAGCCCCAATGGATTTACATCGCAATGTAAACTGTAGATGGAGAGAAAAGAGAAAAGGAGAAGGGGTGTTCGGCGGGGGCCGAACTTATTTATTGAGAATTTCCGCGCTAGAGCCGATTGGGCCCCGGCGCGGTAGTTCTTCCGGAGCGTTACCCGTTGTCTACGAAAGATCAGCCAGGCTACTAGTTGAATTACGTCGGCATTGAAATACAGCTTTTGCTCGGGCTACAATTCTCTCGGTGGTTCATTCACGAAAAATCTATACCAATCTCTGTAGAATATATCTCACTTGATATTACCGCCCCCTTGCCGATTCAACAATGTAAGCTCATGTGCTTATCTTGCTATATTTCGGCTATTTCATAGCCCTATAGCCTCGAAGACGAAGTTACGCCCAGCAAGACAAAAGCTTCCAGCGGTGCCAGGGTTAATGTTTCGCAAGCAATGGTGGAGGCCTTTGAACGAGTATAGTTAGATAACAAAACCTCAGCGGCCTGCCCACAGAATAGGTTCTTTGGCATGGTCCAGGAGACCTCTCGGGGTTCAAAGTTCAAGACAACTAGCGCCGTGTTGGTCGAAGAATGTCGAGAATATGCAAAAACTTCAGCATCGTCTCGAGAGACGAGCTCGAACGATCCGTAAACAAAAACGTCGGGGCAGGACTTGCGGAGTCGAAGTACGCTAGCCCAGTAATGGTATACACTCTTTGCATCGGCGACCTGAGCGGTGGCGTTCCAGACGGGGTAGTCTTCATGGACTGAAATCCACGGGATTGCTGAGGAGAAGCCCGCATGCGCAGAGCTGTCCCACTGCATGGGCGTGCGAGCGTTATCCCGTGACTTCTTCCGGTATTCTGCCAGCGTAGCCGTATGAGAAGCGGTTTTCTCCCCTCTAGTCGCCAGGAACCTATTAAGGCGACGACGTTAATACCTCGATAGGGAGAGATGATTTGGCTTGCTTACTCCGCCCAATGATTCAGAGTTTCAATATCTCGGTAGTGGTCGATGGTCCAATCATGGGGAACATTAGCCATGCCCAGTTCTTGGCCTTGATAGATGAAAACCGTGCCGTTTTGGAAACCAAGAAAAGTTGCCAACAATTTCGCCGACAAGGCGCGATACTGAGGGTGATCAATCGCGAATCGAGATACTGCGCGAGGTTGGTCATGGTTCTCGAGATAGAGGGCATTCCAACCGCTCTTCTCATGCATGACCTTCTGCCACTTGGACACGACTGATTTGAGTTCTTGCATTTTCCATTTTCTGGGCGTGAATTTTCCTCCAGCTCCGTGATCAAGCCCCATCCTGGATAACCCTTGTCAGCTTCACGACAAAAGGTCCGCACTTGAAGCTGAAGCCATAGTGATACGTACAGTTCAAAGTGAAAGATCATACTCAATTCTTCTCGGTCAAAACCAATGGCCTTGAGAACCTCATCGCAGTCGTTGACCTCAGGCATCTCTCCAACCGAAAAGGCATCGTACTCTTTCAGAATCTTGCCAATATTATGAAGATATTCATGCAGGCGCGGGCCACAGGCGTAGTATTTGGCACCGTTCTGCCAAACCGAATTTTTGTTGGTGATAGGCGCATCCGGAAAGTGCATTTGTTTGCTAATGAAATTAATCACGTCCATACGGAATCCATCAACTCCTTTGTCGAGCCAATATCGCATGATATTCTCGACAGCTGCCCGCACGGTAGGGTTTTCCCAGTTAAGGTCCGGTTGCTGCTTAGCAAACAGATGGAGGTAATATTCCCCAGATGCTTCATCGTATTCCCAGGCGCTCCCTGTTGTCTGTATCAGCCAGCTTCTGCGTTCAGGTTTGATGAGGATCTCTGGCTTACCTCCAAAATAGGATGCCCAGTTATTTGGTGGCTGTGATTTGCCATGTTCGTCGAAGGTGGGCTTTTTCCATATATACCAGTCTCGATGTTCGCTGGCTAGGGAAGACCGGGATGCTTGGAACCAGGGGTGCTGCGACGAGGGGCGAGCGTTAGCTAATTGAAACTCATCCAGAGAGGGAAAGTAGGACTTACCTGGTCCGAAGTATGATTGACAACTAAGTCCATCACCAGCTTCATCCCCCGCCGGTGGACAGCCTCAGTCAATTCGTCCACATCTGTGGCCGTTCCGTACGGCGGATGAATATCGAAGTAGTCCGAGATGTCATAGCCCATATCCACCTGCGGTGACTTAAAGACCGGGTTTAGCCAGATCATGTCTACTCCAAGGCTCTGGATGTAATCCAACTTGCTCATCACCCCGCGAAGATCCCCGATGCCATCGCCATTCGAGTCTTTGAAGGAGGGAGTGTAAATTTGGTACACTGAACACTCCTTCCACCATGACCGACGCGCTTCCGTGCCAATAGAACCCATGATGAAAGTTCGTGATAGGGTGAATTAAGAAAACAAATCCCGAGGAGAAAATATGGATTATTTTCGTTCGATAACTACAGATAGGTTCCAGATGCCTCTTTAAATGTGTTATGCGTTGTCAGGGAACAGGAGTCTTGGACTGGAAATTGCTCAGTCTTTGCTCTCGGACAATTTGAAGACGGGTCTCTGCAGGCCGTCAGCTGGTTCTCGTTACATGTCTCCACAGATACATTTGATGCGTGGCATTTCACCGGAGCTTCTTCGGAGTACTCGATATCGGAGCGGGGCTGATGGATGTGATGGGAATTACCTCCGCTTTCTCATCCCGCAAGACTTCGGGTACCGTGCTTGACCCTGAAGGGCCCAAACGTAGAATTGGAATTGGATCGCCGGCGGTCGATCTATCGGCATGTGAAATATCCGTGTTCTAATTTGCTGAGACTCAACTCTTTGATTTAGTTCGTACTGGTGCCCGAGGCTAATTAGGGACCTAGTGACTACTGCTTGGTACAGGGCGCTCTTTGCTCCATAAATGCAGGGCCGAAAGGCGAAAGAAAATTAAAAATCCAACAATGAATTGAGTAATGTAATGAATGATTCCTAATTTCTGTGAGACTTTCTGCACTACATACGTACTGTACTATATACTGGATGTATAGCGTATCCTCCGCCCATAATACATGACCTCCCCTGTCATCTACATCACAGAAATCTCCAAGACATGCACCAACTACATCAGCCTCTATCTCATCCATTGATAAGAGAATAAGTCAGAGGAATATCAGTTCAACAGGAGCGACAGGCAGAACCTGCTACTTCATGTTTAGCAAAAAGCAACGAACCTCATCACGCCTGAATTTCTTTAGGACGCCTTGGTCACCTCGTGCTCCACAATCGCAGACTCTTCAGAGAACAAGCTCAGCTGTGTCGATTTGAAATTCCGAGCCGGTACCTTCTGTTCGAAGAGCGTATCCAGCTCGGCAAAAGTCCGTCCTCGAGGTTCTGGAAGGCGGAAGAAGGCCCAGAGGACACATACGACAGAAAAGCCGCCCCAAAAGAAACCGGCTTTACCCTTCCAATTCCAAGCGTCGACATTTAACATGTAAGGGATGATGATACCGTTGAGGATGCTCAGGCAGTTGTAAAGATTTCGGGCCAGCACGACGGTTTTGATACGAAGTCGTGTGGAAGGAATCTCCGACACCAAGGAGTAGCACACAGGGCCCACAGAAGAGTCGTAGAAAAACGTATAGACCAGAAGCATGGAGCCAGTAGCCCATGATGTGGCCGTTGACATTGTCGGAATTGAGATGAAGCCAATGACGAAAAGCAGAACGCATAGAATGGCCAGTCCGTAGACGTAGAGGGTGCGGCGGCCGATGTAGCTCATCAATACCCAGGATAAGAGAGTGCCACAGATGCCAATGGCGTATTGGCCTAACGACATGTTAAAGGACTCGGAGACGGCGAGTCCGGCGCGTTGATAAAAGAAGGTCGAATAACTCATTAGACCTGCGCCGCATAGGTTCTGCGCCGCCCAGATGAGGCAGGCCACCTCAGTTCTTCGCAGATCTACACCGCGGAAGCAGTCCCAATAGGTGGTGCCAGAGGTAGTTTCCTTCTCAATTTCATTCGTGTGGACCATCATGGCAACCGTTTCATCTGCATCAAAGCTATCCTGTCCCCGGGTTGTCAGTCGTCGAAGAGCCTCCTTCGCTTCTGTAACTTGTCCCTTGCGAACGAGCCACCATGGGCTTTCGGGTGCCATCCAAACACCGATAAATATAGGAACAGGCCATACCCACTGCACAGCGAATGGAATGTGGTAGGCCCATTGATCCGTACGATCGGAGAGCGCTTTCAGCACACCTGAGGCGATCAACTGGCCGACCACCCAGCACAGGTTGACGTAGGTGGTAAGATAGGCGCGTAGCGCAACAGGACACACTTCAGACGCGTAGGTGACGGTCAGAGTCTGATAAACGCCGAGCGGAATTCCCATGAGGATCTCGCCGACAACCAGAGTCTCGACGTTGTGCGCGAAAAATAGAATAAATATGAAGGCGACAGTAGCCACTAGAGACACCATCATAGTCTTCCGGTAGCCGAAACGCTCGGAAATGATACCGTTGGCGAAGAGGCCTAGTATCTGTCCGCAGTTCATGGCGTTGGACAAACCGGCCTGCCAAGACGCCGAAAGACCGTACGAACCATCCTCCATGAGTTGACCATATTTCTTATTGAACGCAGGAAAACCGTAGAAAGATCCCATGAGGACAACGTCGTAGCCCTCCATGATGATGGCGGTGGAGATGAGCAGCGACCAACCGACTGCCTTGGGATAGAGTTTCAGACCCTGCCAGAGGGACATGCTATGCTCCTTCTCGGTGGCCAGCCTGGCATCATGTATCACTCTGTCCAGGTCTTCGATATGGTCAGTCGCGGACTTGGAGTCCATGTCTTTCACCTAGTCCGACTATGAAGGGTTTGTAAGAGAATAGAGAAAGTAGGATATTTTGGTGAACAGTCAAGATAAAACTAACTCGCTCTACATTCGTGTTGGAGGCTGCGGTTGATACTTATATAATCAGGTCATAACAAGCGTGGCTTCAATTTCCGCAAATTTGTTATAGGTTGTATCTCAACCCAAGTCCACTTGAGTTCCAGAAATCTGTCGGAGGATTATTGTGGGGCAGAGGACGAACTCGAAGACGCATTCGAAATGTACGGAATACATATCCAGGGCCTGACTGAACGGACCTTCTTCGGAGTGGAAACATTATGAACCTTGTGAACTTTTGGCGATGTTCCCAATCATCCAACTTCAATCCGACCCGCCATCTCCATTGGTTTTATCTCGCGGACTTTTTTCGGGTGCGCCCAGTACGGGCATCTGCGGGGAAATCCTATGCTCGGAGATGCTACCAACCACGGAAACTCGTTACGGATTCGCTTCGGATTGCCTTGTGTCAAGAGGATCAGGATCAGGATCCACCGGTTTTTTTTGGAGCGTAGTAGTGGACGACTACTGGAAACGGTTATTAGGGGTACTGTATGTACTTTACATTGACTGCTCATCATTAGTCACCAAACATTATTTCCAGAGCATTGATTCCTCAATCAATTCCGTCGACGCCTCGTTCCAGACTTGTCCCCCGACCCCAACCCCGTCCCCAGATTTCCGTCCCCAGGGCTTTCAAACTCCACGCTGATCTGCTTAAACCGTACCTGCAGGTGGAGTTTGCGGATAATAAACAGTTGTGGCTGGAAGTGTTGTGCTGTGACCTCAAGGCCCAGTGACGTTGGAGAGGGGTATAGAGTCATTTCAATAAGCATGTAGTCCCTAGGGTCAGGGGTCTAACACGCCCAGCCATGCTTAGAAGCTATCCACGATGTGTGAGTCACAGCAAGCTGATACAGTATGGCATTGTATGCAAGAATGGGGCTAATACACCAAGGGGGATCAAAAAAGTATGAGTTGAAATAGTTGAAGAAATGATCAGACGAGCGGATAATGCGAAGTGGACACATTAGGGTATCCTTGCTTTCATAGTGGAATGCAAGTCCCAATTCTCGGAGTGTCGAGATCCCCCTAGTATAAACAAAGAAAATACGACACCAATGAAACTAAACCATTTCCAGTGTATTTTCATATCCCATTTTGCTCGACAAATTCTTCTGGGAAACTGGGTTTTTACCTCTGAGTGTCAAGACTTTCGTCATATACCTCAATCGCATCGTTCGTTGAATAGCTAGTCAGGAGTGATTCGTCGTTTAACTAGACCATCTGTCCAATCTTAATCCTGCAGAACCTTTTCACAAGTTTACTAACGCATTATTTGTTTAAAGCCGAACAGACAATCCGCAATGCGAGGGGATCCCCACGAAAGGCTCATTCCCAGCCGAATTCCAAATCATATCCCTCATGGAATACCGAAGGAACGACCAGAGGCCGGGTTTTCGATATGGTATACGGTCTCCTCGTGCTTATCTGCCACAGGATGGTTGTCCAGCATGGTTTTCCACTCCCCAAATCTGCTGTGGCAATCCAGGGCTAAGGGCATGTCGAGAGTCATTTCTTGCGGAATGGCATCTAACCCCAAGATGCTCTCGGACTTTTCCAAAAGCGACGAGAACAGATATGATTGCGCCCCGCGGATCCTCCCTAGAGACGTGAGGATAGTGAATAGCAATTCCGCTACATTTGCTGTCACATAACTTAACTGTGCGGTGGTGCGCGGCAAAGAGCGTTGGGTGAAATGCACTAAAGAACTTCCGAGATCGTACAGCTTCTGTTCCTAGACGAGCTATTAGTTGACTGTATGGCTCTATGCAGGCTACATAGAAGTGCTTACGATGCCAATGCCATGAGCGTCCGATGATTCGTGGGATACTGAAGCCAGGAAGCTCATCACGGCTCTTCCTGCAGCTGCAGGAGCCTGCAGGGGCAGAACCTCCTCACAATTGGAAGGATGATCGGTGATAGTCTGCCATAAGCGGATTTGGAGCCACTGTTGAGTAACGACGAGGTCTACTTGCTGTGTTTCGGGGATCTCGGCCAGGGGTGGCAAGGGAATAGCGAGAGATTGGTAGATGTCGGAAAGGGCGTAGATGTCCATGGAGCCACCTCCGTTGCAAGAATTCCAGTGGTAAAACTCTGGTGTCACCTTCTCAAATACATTTATCAGGTTCACAAATCCATAGAGAAGCGCTGGCGCGGCTGACGTGAATATAGCTGGTTTACGGATGCTACCACGTAGCATGACAGGTTTTCCGCGCTGCAAGGCATATGCTCTGGATCTGTTAGATCTCGATCTTGTTCTGAAAAGACTTCACTATACTCACCGTTCTGTGATGAAAAGCAGCCAGAAGACCCGTCGCCTCAGCTCGGCCTCAGCAGAGGGCAGCGAGGCATAGGTTTGCTCTCGATGTAGATTGAGTGCATACGCGTATGAAATGCTTTGGCTCAAGTAGAACCAAGCATGATCCTGTTGGTCCATGTTTCCGTACGCGGAAAACAGGAAGAAGGACGAGAGGACGCTGTCTATCTGGAGATTTTCGATCGGATCAAATTCCTGCAGCGCGCGCAAGGCTTCGGCGACAAGAACCCTGCCATGTTCACTGTACTGGAGCACGCCATGATCTTGCTTAACGTCGAGATTCAGCTGTAGATGCGTCGCAGCGCAGAGCGCTAGCAAGAAGGCGTATCGCGATCGTGACAATGTCTCCACCTGCTCACAGTCCTTCACAACCTGACTGGAATCGAATACAGGCATAATGGGGTACAAGTGTTTCAAGAAGACAGTGACATGGGCGAGAAGAACGGCAGATGATTCCCTCTGCGGCCGGCAGGGCAGTGAAGGAGACACATCGCAGCGCATCGGAGGGGTCACACAAGTCGATGATGGTGATGACAATAATGGACTAGAACCAGAGCATTCATTATAAATGGGAAGGGATGGCAGTGTGCTCAAAACTCGAGCAGTGCGGCCTTTAGGGCCTTTACGTTGCGGGACGCTATGATAAATGCATTGCAGGTTTGCCTCGAGGCATTTCGAACAGGGCTGGCTGCGATTGCATTTGACCTTGCGGCGCCGGCAATTATCGCACGCCATCTGACGACCGGTACTGACAAAACGTAAGTCTATTCCAGCGCTAGAGGAGACAAAGGTCGAATCTGGCATCTCTAGTCAATCTATGCTACCCGGTGCTATCATGGGGTGGTAAGTGGGAGAAGTCTGGGGAAGGGTCTTTGCGATCAGGGTTCCCCGCAAAGTCTTTTTTTCAGGACTTTGGGTCTGGGGGTCTTTGGAGACTCTTGGACCTTCGAAATACCGGGTATCACCATTATAACTGGTTCGGATCTTCTTCGGGGTGGCTTTGTTTTGTGGCGCTCCACTAGGAAAGTGTATCCATAAGCGGTGCCCTTAAACGGCAGCTTGTGGAGCGGCACGCACGCAAAAAAGTGCGTCCACTAAGTACAATATTAACACACCCGGCTAGAAAATCTATGCTCGTGAGTGAGAAATTTAGAGTAGCCTCAAAACGTAGCCCTTCCACCAGATGAAACTTACTATAGTAGACGTCCAAGCGGCCTTCTCGGCCACGTTATCTACACGATTCATGAACAGCGAATGAACGGAAGAATTGAATTGAGATAGTCGACCAGTCAGGAAAAGAGAAACGCACATTTCCACACCTAGTAACAAACTCTCACAGACCTTGCACTGTCCCAGACCTTACAGAAGCTACTATATGGTGTGGTAGTAGAACGCATGACATACTAAATATAGTTACGACCTGAGGTACCACGAATATCTTGGGTATAATCAATAGCTTCTACACGAGGATAGGGAGAGGGAGGGCGGCATCTACCCAGTTCATTCCAGTTGTCACCATATTCTTTGATACATGATGCCGTATTAAGTACATTCCATATGGCCTCAATCGGAAAACCGTATGGCCTCATTTAGGATTGCTGCGTTCAGGATTGCCCGTACGGTCCCACGGTCTCAACCCGTACGACCTCACGGCCTCAACAAGGACACTTGCGACCTCCACCAGGACGACCTATACTACGGTCGGGTTGTGTGTGTGTTGTCCGTTGGTTGCTGTTGTCCAGTCTGCATTGTCAGACAGCCATCGAGCCATCCCCATTTCAATAGGAAGCACTTGAGAAAGCAGAAAGAACAAAGATAGATAGTATAAGGAGGGACTATGTGAAGCAAGAAACATTATAGAGTGCAAAGACGATAAATGCGAGAAATCTGGCAGAGCCAAAGTGCCTTTATCTCAAAGGTCGACAACTGTAAGCAAGCAGGAAAATAAGGAGATGGTTTCCAGGTTGCCTGGCTTCCGGCAAAATGAACTTCAGATCATGGGGTAATACTCCACTTCCCCCAGTAACTCACATCAATGTTCAGTTGACCAAGACTGTCCGACTGAAAGTTATCCATAGTAACATGATCTCCTCCGACAGTCCAATTCGCTATCTTCAGGTCCATCACAACTCCAGGGGAGGCTGGGATATAACTTTGACCGATTTTGAGAGGATTTTTCAGCAGGCCATCAGGGAAAGCCAGATTCTCCAGTTCCAAATTCCGATAACTTTGCAGGGGCGTAATTCGGACCAAGGATGGGCACGGCCCTTCACAGACCAGGTTCGACACTCTGATACTGATTGCCTGATTCGGATCCGGAGTAATTCCGCTCATATAGAAAGGAGATCCGCCGATAATCGCAGTTGGAACAACCATGTTGGCATCCCTGTAGCGAGTGTGAATCACGTTTAGCGTGTCGACAGTAGTCCCGCTGATGTTCCGAGAAGACCAACCCATCTGGATAATGGGATCATTGAGACACTTCCAGATGGTCGCACGGGTGACTGTCGCGCCGCTATAGTAAAGCTTGAGAGCATCGTCATTGACATGCCAGAAGACGTCTCGGACAATGCTGTTGGGATAGATTTCCGGGCCATCAGTCTGGAAGAAATACGCGCCAACTTGTTTGTAGTCCGTAATTCGGCTGCTGATGGCGTAAACATCGCCATTGAAATCCATAGTGTTGAACGGGGGCGCATTGAGTGTCGGACCGTTGCAGAACCATACTTGGCCGCTCTGGCTACTGTTATGCCACCACATCCGCAGGCTTGTACTGTCACTCTTCAAGCTGGTATAACCCTCGTCCACATTGGCCTGGTAGACGTAGTGCTCACCAGAGAGAATACCATGACCTGTAGCGTAGAAATTTTGCGCATGCGTGGTGTACTCAATGGCGCCTTGAACGTACGCGCCAGGGGCCAAATTCACCCAGTACGTCGTTGGGTCGAGGATCATATGATTTGAGCCCAGGTTTCCAGTGACGCCGTCGGTATTCTCGTTCATGTAATAGACGCCAGGGGGGAAATAAAGGATGGGCTTAGAGCCCCAGTCTCCATTTTTAATCGGGCCAGGCTTCATGGTCGTCGTAGTTTCCTTTGTCATTCTGGGGACCATGTCGGAGGGGAGGAAAGGACTCGCAAAAATGACGAGTGCATTGGTGGGTTCAATTCCCACAACATCGCCTCCAGAAGAAACATAGTTATTTCCGTCAGATTGGAAAGCGTAGAGGTCATTCTTGAACTCCACGGAGAACTTGCGTCCCGTCTCAACAAAAGGAATCTGGATAAAAATCCCACCGTCATTCGACAGAGCGATGGAGTATTGAATGGAGGTCGGTCGGACGATCACATCCTCTGGCGGCCCCAATGAAGAACCGTCGATCGTGGTGATCTTGAGCACAACATCTTGGCTATACTCAAATTGAGTCCAAGCCATGTTGAGGCCAATACTAGGTTCGATGGATATCCCATCGTCAACTGAACTATCGAGCGTGTTGCTATTGGGGGGATCCGAGGGAGAAAAGATCCGGCCGTTGCCATTGCGAGGGATTGATTCATAAACGAATGAGTCAAAAAATTCTTTCTCTCTAGCGATGCTGACCTGCACAGAATATCGATGGGACTGGCGAACATTTCCGGGCTGGACAGGGGTGTGTTGGTTGATTTCGCCGGTGTCATGCCACCATGTGCACAAGTCGTGTCCACAGTGTGTGTTGTTTGTTGGAGAACTCCAGGCCGTAGCCAGGAAAGCGGCGGAGAACCAAAGTGAAATCGACCGAAGAGGAGACATTTGAAAGGCCTGAAACGGCGAAAGGGTCTGTGGGATGGGTGGTGAACAGATTTGGGATGGGGGTTCAATAGTTGCTAGGCGTTTGGCGAGAAGAGGATCACTTTATATACGCAGCCTTCGAAGAACTGCACACTGTCCATGAACGGCATGTGCCATTGAAGTAATACTTCATAAGGTGAGATTGATTTTCCTTCTGCCGATCGATTCATGGCCCGTTGCGGTGGGGAAATAAGCTCGACAGCGCCAACCTTGCGGTAGGCACAGGGGACAGAGTGCAGTAAAATCCAGCGATCTGAGTGCGGGGGAGACCATGGAAGCGCAGATGTGCCGTTGCCAGAGGTGCCCCCACACAATTTCGAAAATTAGTGCGGGTGGATTGCTTGGGGAGAGAGGGGCTGCAGACGGTATCAATGCCCTGGAAACACTAGCATGGGGAAGTTGGGGTGAAATCCCATAATACAAAGCTGGCAAATGCCAAGGCAAGAGAAATTCTGATAACGCTAGACTCACTCCGACGAACCAAACAGCTTAAACCGTTGGAATTCTGTCAGGTTCCCGAGCTATGGGTAGCGCCGTTCAATGCGCCGGCTCGGAATTTAGCCACTAAGAGTGCGAAGAATCCGATGAATCCGCCCACGTAGAGCGAGTGCATGTTCAAGCTCTAACGGGCCTTCTTCGGGCGTATTCCGTTCTTGAATGAAACCAAGTTTTGCCGGACATTCTTCGGATGGGGTCATAGCGTTTCGGCGACATCCACATATTGCCGTCTGGGCGAGCCTTACGAGGGGAACGTACGAGAGGGCCACAAAGCAAACTGGAAAGAACCGCTGGGCTCCTAATTTTCGTTCACCAATTTAGGATTGCGTTATTGCATTCTGGTCTTGGATGATCACAATAACGATCAGCAATATTTGAGGACCTGCCATGTAAGCAGGCAAAATAGCTTTCATCTGTTCAGCTGTCAAGACGTCTCGCAGCTCGCTCGCACCAGTCGAGACCACTAAGGCTAAGTTAATGCTCGGTGTGGTTGCGGCAAGTTTGATGATAATCTGGTTGACGAAGGCAGCTTGTGCTGCAGCTACGAAAACCGCACCTCCGACAGTTTGGAAGACTGAGAGATGAGGTATGTTAGCAGGTTTTTATCGGATAATTAAGAAGTAGTAGGCGAACTACTCACAGACGATAACACCCGTCACGGTTGCAATATCACTGAGAACCACTATACCATGCACCGCATTGATGGGAACCTGATAGGCCAATCCCCATCCAACTCCGCCGACGATTCGGTATCCAATCCACTTATCTGTACTTGTACCGATGTCCAGCGAGTACAACAGCCCCGAACTGATAGTTGCAAGGACACCATCGATAACAACAAGAGGAGCAGCATAGCCAGTTTTGGTGATGCTGCCACCAGAGACAATGATAGCTAACGATATCGAGAAAATTAAAGGAAGTTTTCGTACACCAGACATCGTAAGATTGACGTTTCAACACTCTGTAAGTAGTAAGGAAGGCAACAGACTATAATAAAGTACGAACTTACAAAAAGAAACGCGTAGATTGAATTCACAAGGATGAGGCGGTTCGATATCAAGCGTGGCGGAAAAGCAGCCCGTTCTCCTTGGGTCCATTCCCACACCATAAAAGCAATAACAATAAGAGAGAAGCCAATAAGAAGACCTATCACATTACTGGAGTTCCATACCTTCGTCTGTCCACCAAACTACAGTGGCAAGCCATATAAAAAGATGGTATAGATTAGAAGGATCGTCCCGATAGGATCTATCTTTAGGAGCTTCTCCTTTAGCGTAGCTTTGGCTGTCGAAGCTCTGTCAGGTGTATGTAAGAAGAACATAATGGAAGCGGCTGAGAGGCCTCTAACGGGCAAATTAATGTAAAAGCCTAGCTGTGAAAAAAAAAAAAAAAAAGTCGGCGAATTCCAGCGTCTAGTGAAGAACAACTACTTTAGTTGATAAAGTGAATAGCAGAAGTACTCACACCACCTCCAAGTTATTTCATCAGCGAATGCTCCACCAACAAGGGGCCAACGACCGAGGCTATACCGTAAGACATGCCAATAATACCGGTGAAGAGTGGCCGCCTTTTTGGACTGGCAGTGAAAGTGATGATAATGAAGACTCCACTTCCAATACCAGCTGCACCGACTCCAGCAATTACACGGCCGACAATCAATGTCACGGAATTTGGAGACACACCACAAATCAAGCTTCCAAGCTCGAAAATAAAAACCGCAAGTAGGAACGAGATTTTTAGCGGGAAGAATTTGTATATCTTTCCCCAGGTTGACTGGAAGCCTCCAGTAATCATCAAGAAAGCCGAACCATACCAACTGGCATCATCAAGGCTGTGGAACTGATCGGTGATTTTTGGAATAGCCGTCGCTATAATCGTCTATTTATTTAACATTAATAGTAGATGATGATGGCACTTTGAAGAGAGGCTCCTCTCCTCTCTAAGCGATTGTGAGGCATACCATGTGGAGGGCAACCAAAAAGATGCTCATACCAAGAGCCACAATAATGATGAGTAGCTTGAGACCATGAGGATACTGTGCTTCGTCATCCAGGTCCGATTCTTCAGCATCTACCTTTTCCGGTAGTTTAGAAATCTCTTGGTCATTTTTAGCGTTCAGACACCAGAAAGTGCAGCGTTGCAGTCAAGTGAAAAGACAACGGCGTTGTTCGGGTACAAATACCTTACTTTGGCATCGTCAGGATTGCCCGTCAGGGCGTTGTTTCCAAGGAAATGGCCAACGCACAGCCTCCTTTAAGTAATGGCCAACCCTACGCCCCGGTGATTGGTATGCATGAGACCATGCACTCCCGCTATTGAAAAGGGGATAGTATTTTATACTATACCTTGATTTTTAAAGTAGTATACCAAGAGTGTCCTCTGCACTTAATTGCCTTACTCCAACAGTTTCGCGATACTATTCAAGGAAGGAAATAAATACATTATCTATGTGTGTTGCCCCCGTTCAGTTGCCAGATAGCACTGCGGAAATGTCTTTCTACCCTTTGCTCTCCTTCTAAGCTTAATACATTCTAATGTTTATATTATTTACCACTTAAGGCTACGGGAGGCTATACTACGTTGAGATGCACGTAGATATAAGACAGAGTAAATGATCCCTAAGTAGTGGCTTTTCTCAAGATAAGGTCACGTATATAGAGCAATCATAAATGATGTCCTGTCGCAAGGCAATCGAAAAAGGTAAACGCGATTACTAAAACGTGGCACATCTTCCCAGAAAGATCTTCTGTACCCCTAATGGCTGTTAGAACTATAGCTCGTCATGTGAAATATAACATCATTATAGGAGTGTTTAGGGATCTTCAATAGCTATGTTTGCTACTCTGAGACCAATTAGGAGTCATGGAGTATTACGGGGGCAATAGCCTATCATAGGGTACATTTGATCCTAGGAAATTCGGGGAACACAGAGAGTTGTGACCTATCGTAAAATAGGTCTGGTCCCACGATAGCGCGAATCGTATAATACTTAAGGGCACTTGGTATTAGCACTGCCAAAGAATTGTTGAACTGCCACAGGTCAGGTTGAGTTGAAAAGTTGAAGATATCACAAGAGCTGGTGGGGACACTGTGTAAGCCGAACAGTGTAAAAGTGAGCAGTGTAGACGATATGAAGGAGACGCGGCCGAAGATATATAGACACAGGCTTTTGTATGTCCATTCCCGAGATGGAGCGCACTACATTGCTAGACCCCATGGCCTTGCTCAAGAGCAAATCATCATACAAGGAACCTAGAATAGATTGATTGATTAAGTTGAAACTGCCACGGAGGATCAAATCGACTCATGGAGACCCTTCGATTCTGGTTATTCCCACAGTCAAAAGGGAGCTTGCTTGGTGGCGGCTAGCATGTGAAATACGTTAATGCACTGATAACCTACCAATAAGAAACCATGCGATCCTTACAGTATCTGAAGCTCAGGCCAATCTGGTCATATGATTATATCTCAACAAAGTATGAACGGGTTGCTGATCTATGACAGGTCTATGACACCAGTGGATGTGTGCGTGTCATAGTTATCAATCCCGAGCTCCCTCCTCCCGAAAAATATTTCCTGTACACGCCTTCAAGATATCAATTGAATGAATGCTCACCATGACTCGATGCCCTTGTATACCTTTTTGCAATGTTTTACGACTCCGTGATCCACTCCCCCGGGTCGAGCCGGCCGAGCCTAAGAGATCTCAGACACTCTGGAAGATCCTACCAGAAGTAGTGGAAATTATCTTCCAGCTTCTTTCCGATCTAGACCGGGCTTGTTTTGCACTGAGTTGTAAAAGGTTGCATGCCTACTATGTCTCATATAATAGACAACGTGGAATATGTGTACTATCCAAATTGCCCAGGACGTTGCTACTTCGTCGCCTTCAAAACGAACGCTGGGTATACTGCTGTAGATGTCAAAATCTTCACCAGTACTCTAGATGGCAGTTTCTTCAATTTGGTTGGAGATGTGGTCCAAAGCCTGCTACATCCGAATGTAATGCTTGGTGCGACGTCCAACACGATGACAGAGTTGACATTTGTCCATGCTTGAGTATCACATTCCATCAAAAACAACATCGAATTGAGTACTTTCAATCTCAACGGGAGACTTTAAGACATTCATCTTATCAGAAATCATCTGAGACGTTTACACATCTCTGCACTGTTCAGCATCCTCTAGCACGGGTGTTTGTCCTAACTCGAGCTTGGTTCAACATAATTTCCAAGACTTTCCAGGTAGAAACTCAGTTCGTGTTCCAGACTTCCAAAGAAGCAGCTTTGTCAGGGCTCTTCCAAAAGATCAGCTCTAGACTAAGCAGGTACGAAACCGAATTCTGGTTAAAGAAGTTCCTTGATGAAGCTCAATCCTACTTCTTCATTGGGGAAGGAAGCTCTAACTGGTACCAATGCCATGGCTGGAACATTGCGGGGGGCAAACCGTATAATTTCAAAATAACGCTAAATAGAGATTTGGGGGGCGATAGGAGGCCCAACAAAGGGTGGGAAGACAATTGTCATAATTAGCGGATTGTCGTCTGGTAGATTGCTCATCTTGCTCCTCCCTTTTCAAATTGGTTGCCATGGGCTGATGTAATATCTGCCAACGTGAATTGTTCTCCGGCCTAGAAGCACTTAGATGCCTTAATACCAATATTTTAGCTGTTTTCAATAATGTTTGAGTTACATTGTCATTACTGCCACGCCATTGTGTCTGGTTTGGCTACTGGAGCCGGTAATTCCCAGCAGCTAGTGTCACCAATCTCTTGTGTATGGTGCCAACTGCCGATGAAAAGGCTAAGCAGAGCTTGACTGACTATTCCGTAAATTCAGAGCGCAACTCTTTCGTGGTCTGACTAGCTTAGATACCGTTTTGCCTTATACATCATCTCTTAATGCATCGCTTTCCATGCCTCGCTCGCCTTACATAGTATCTCGAATATCTTCGGAACATGGCCTCTCTTGTAGAGTCCAAAGTCATCAAGTTCGCTGAGCGGCATGCATGCAAATCAAACTTCTTATCAACAAGCGATATATTGGGACTCAGGTTCTCGTCTTGAATAGCCTTCCAGCCAGACTCCCACTAATGGAGTTGAAAATCCCTTCTCTTGCAGTGTAACGCTGCTCGGAGTCAGATACCCCCTTCCACGCTTACAGGAAGGCAATTTGCTTGGCACTGATCAGTGCAAATGTTGAATGGATATCGCGTATTCCGAAAAAAAGCCAATCAAGGCTATGCCAGCCTTTTACTGTCAAACAAGCTTCCCCAACTTATTTATATCGTAACAGACTCGCAAACTACAACATGCATATCAATATCGCCTACATAAAGCGGGCTCCCAGAGCTTTCGTCAATATCTGACATACGTTCTTTTTTGACTCTAGGAGACATACAGACTCCAAATTTGCTTACTGTACAACAAGTTCTCGAACGTCAGCATAGAAGCCAAAGTGCCTCGTTGGGTTAAACTCTCCGGCTTCTTACTGCTGTAATGGCGCTTCCAATTATGCTACTACTGCTTCTCCCATGGATCTCGCGGTGTCCATCGCAACTGGAGAGGATACTCAAACCATCTTTGCTTTCTAGGTGTCGATATTGCACAGTTTTACCAGTGACAGTGTTTCGCATGTCGCGCCAGTAGCCTGAATAGATATGCTCTTCTTCCTCGCCGTGAAGAAGCACCACACAGTGTCACTGCCAACTCCGCGTCTCCTGTCGATGATGGTTGTCGAAAGCCTCTCGCGACTCCGCTCGGCCAGTTGCGTCACAAAAGCTGCGCAGTTTGACTTAAATGCTAAATTCCAAGCGCATATCCATGAGATCACTCGAACAAAAATGGGTCTAACGTGACCAAGAAATGCGTACAAAAGTTATATTCGTTTAACCTGGATAGATTATCCAATAAATTATCACCTTCTTTCAAAAAGTCTCTACTTAATCTCGTCTTAGCTTCACTCGAAGGCTACTAGTCACCGACCCTGCGCAGAAGGGCCAGATTCGCGTCGGTGTACTACGGCCTACGGCCTTCAGAGCACATAAATTAGCTACCTAAGTTATATACAAATGGTCCCATGGCTTTCGACAAAAAAAAAAGAAACAGAAGAAACAATAACACCAACGCCTGAGAGATAGTCAGCAAACCTCCAGGTGAGGGGAGCACTCGCCTGAATAAAAATAAAACGGACCTAGAAGATATAGTCAGCAAGCCAATTTTGGAAGACCCCCGGGAGGGGGTCACTCAGCTCTTTTTCACACAAGATCCTCGGGCTGGGTGGTGGTCTCATCCAACCAATCCAACAAGCCCCACCGGGCGCTGTACTGTTGGCGCAAGTGAATCTGCCTCATCGCAGCCGCAAGTTCGTCCAGCTCTATAGCATTGGCGTGATCATGGCGAGTGCAGAACCAGTTCCAACTACGCACACCCCAACGGTACAGAGCCCGCCACCCACGGACTATCGTAATGACGGCCGTAATGTGGGCAAGGACCAAGAGGAGGACAGTATCAATGGACGTCATTTTATAAAAGGTTAGCAAAAGAGAACGGGGGGAGATGACTTACCAATGGAGTTGCTCGGGGGAGCAAGTGTCGGGGGTTCTTGATGAGATAAAGTCGAGAGAACCTGACAAAAGGTCTTTGTATCCATGAAAATCCATTGGGAAGGCGCGTACATGGGTACATGCTCAATTTTCTAAGAGCATACTTGCTCATGGAAACGACCTCTTGTAAGGAAAGAACGTGGAGCTACGAAGGTCTACTTGGGAATGATACTCAGTAGAGTTACAGCAGTGGGGGCGTAGGGTTCGGACTGCAGCGGACCCCTGCTAGCGGCTATTCAAGATGCCTGAACAGTATAGGAAGTCTTGTACTGTAATGTAAATCAATCAGCAAGTAAGTCAGCTATGGAGATTATACCTCTCTCGTTTTACTTTTTTTTGTCACCAGACAGTCAAGTCAAAAGCCACTACTGTTCAGTGAGAAGTGAAGTCTCTTGGATTTAGTTTCCCATCTGAAAGTAAGGAGGGATCTGTTAGATAAAGCTCCCATGGCACCCATAGTTTCTCATCTCACCCTACAGTTCATCCAACAATGCATTTTGACGTCTCTATTATTTGTAGATTCATTCTAATAGAATCATACTGTTCATTTCCTTTGTCTCTGTTTCTCGATTCTGAATGACAGCTTTTCAGCATGGCATATGATACAGAGCCATTGCATTGGACTTTTGATATTAGGTACTATGAGCTCAAGAATTGGAAATGTCTGAGCTTCCACTTCAAACATGTATTTGCACAGTTGGATATTTGCTATATCCACCTGGGCCTTAATACGTCTCTATTAGATGTTGGTTCTTTTGAGACTCACTGACTTGGAGAACGAAATGTATTGAATAAAAACAGGCAGCCTTCTTTTACTCCGTGGCTCGAACAGAATCTTCGGTCAACCGTCAAAGTCCAGAAAAGTCTATCAACCTAACTTGCCGGAAGGCACCTAGGTGGGTATCGCATGACTAAAACTTCCTTTCTTCGGTGAGCGCCTTGCCAACTTGAATATGTCTCAGGCAAATTCCAGAATGTGCTAAGCGTGTTGGTATCAATTATCTTAATTGAACCTTCTTCGAAGGGATTGACATATATTAAATATGGGCAGCTTATACTGCAATCAAAGAACTCTATGTTGTTTGGTGGAATGCGGGAAACGATTTGTTGAACAGCCACCAGATACACTCATTACGACATTCTGTATGTAGTCACTTCTATCCCGACTGGAGATTGGAAGCCTAAGGAAGGATAAAGAGGAGAAAAAGTATTTTTTAAATGACACATAGTCCCGTTCATCCATGTGTAGTCCGGTATTTTGTTTTCGTGAAGACGGTCAAGCGCACGGCGTAGTTGTCCGGTTTTAATTACTCGTATGCACAGGGTAAACATGACGACTGATGCGATGTTTTACATCCACAATCACTAAGAAAGAGGCTGTTGCCATTCAATAGGCACGCCAAGCGGAAGCCACGTCCTCGCTGACACTGTTGTAGAGAAACATTTCGCTATCTCTTCCGAATATCTGGTCAAATCGGTAGCTAGTTAGCCCTTGAAGGTCGGGTTCTCGTCCAATGGTGTATTTGTTTGCGAAGGACAAGGCGTCCTCTGCTGGGTAATCGTGTTTCGTGATCAAGAGATTTGTTGGAAGGGCTCTACAATGTAGGAGCTGGAAAGAGAGGAGAGAGAGAGTTGATTACTATAGGGAGCAAGTCTCTGGGCTATCTATCCACTTAGATAAAACTAAAGAATATTCAGCCGTAACGGTCCGATATGGTGTAGTGGCTAACATCGCCGTCTCTCACACGGCAGCCGGGGGTTCGATTCCCCCTATCGGAGATTTCTTTTTTTTTCTCCTCCTTCTTTCTCTATCTGTGTCTCTTCTGTTCCCATTATTTTTCTTTCACGGATTGGTTGGTCGCAACTCAACCACGTAGATTTTGAATTGCTCTAAAAATGGTGGATCCAGCTACAGACAAGAACCTACGCATCGGGAAACAACTTTTGGAAAGTCTAAGATTATAGCGGGATCAAGGGGAAAAAACATGAAATGCTACATGTAGTTTGCTAGCTTAGCTAGACTAAATTCCAAAAAAAAGTAGTACAGGGTGTAAGAGGATATCGGCAACAAGTCTAGAAGTGGATGGGCTTGGAGTAGGTGGCCATAGCAGCCTCCTTGAAAGCCTCAGAGAGAGTAGGGTGAGCGTGGCATGTACGGGCGACGTCCTCGCTGGAAGCACCGTACTCAATGGCGAGGGTAGCCTCGGCGATCATCTCACCGGCACCGGGGCCGATGATGTGGACACCGAGGATACGGTCAGTTTCGGCATCGGCAATGAACTTGACAACACCCTCGGTGTCAAGGTTGGTCTTGGCACGGGAGTTGGCACTGAAGGGGAAGGAGCCGACGTTGTACTTGACACCGGAGGCCTTGACCTCGGCCTCATTCTGGCCAACCCAGGCAACCTCGGGGTGAGTGTACATGACGGAGGGAATGCAGGCGTAGTTGACGTGGCCGTGGCCGGTCTTGATGTACTCGACGACGGCGACAGCCTCCTCCTCAGCCTTGTGGGCCAGCATGGGGCCGAAGGTCACATCACCGACGACACGGATGTGGGGAACCTTGGTGCGGTACTCCTGGTCGATGACGAGACGGCCACGGTCATCCTTGTCAACGCCGACGCTCTCGAGGTTAAGACCCTCGGTATAGGGGCGGCGGCCAATGGCGACCAGGACAACATCAGCATCGATGGTCTCCTCCTTGCCACCCTTGGAGGACTCAACGCTCAGGGAGACGGTAGCACCGCTGTCATCACCCTTGGTGACCTTGGTGTTGGTCTTGAACTTGATGCCTTGCTTGCCAAGGATCTTCTGGGCCTGCTTGGCGATCTCGGCGTCCATACCGGGGCCACCAATCTGGCCGAGGAACTCAACAACAGTGACCTCAGCACCGAGGCGGGACCAAACGGAGGCCTAAATTTCAATTGCGGTCAGTTCATAACCTTCAAATCAACAGTTGTGGGACCCACCATCTCAAGACCAATGATACCACCGCCAATAACAACCATCTTCTTGGGGACCTCCTCGAGGGCCAGGGCACCCGTGCTAGTGATGATGCGCTTCTCATCGATGTTCAGACCGGGGAAGGGAGTGGACTCGGAGCCGGTGGCAATGATGATGTTCTTGCCGCGGATAGTCTGCTCACCACCGTCGAGCAGGTCGACCTTGACGGTGTTGGCATCAACGAAGGAACCGGCACCCTTGATGTAGTCGACGCCGTTCTTCTTAAGCAGGAACTCAACACCCTTGGTGAGAGCGTCAACGGAGGTGTCCTTAGCCTTCAACATCTGCTGCAGGTTGAGCTTGACATCGCCAACCTCAATACCGCGCTTCTTGGTGTCGTGGAGAATCTGGTGGTAGAGGTGGGAGTTGTTGAGCAAGGACTTTGAGGGAATGCAGCCGACGTTCAAGCAAGTGCCGCCGAGCTTTCCGCGCTTCTCGATACAAGCGGTCTGTCAGGTGTTCAGTTAGTTCCAGGTCACGGTAAGTCAGTTAGCTTCAGTTATGAACGTATCGCACCTTCAAGCCTTCCTGGCCAGCTTTGATGGCAGCAACGTAACCAGCGACACCACCACCGATGATGACGAGATCATGATCCCCTAATGACCGGCAGGCCGGATGTCAGCAATCACGCCCGGGAAAGCTTGGGAAAGATCGGAGAACGATCTAAGCGGTTACTCACCAGCCTCAGCAGCATAGCCGCGTTTTGAGATGCCAATGAAGAGGGAGGTGGGAATAGCGAAGTTGGAGGCCTTGGGGCCAGCGCGGAGCGCAGCCCGCGACGTAGCACGGGGAAGGACGGCGCGGAACATGACGAGAGGAAAGGTAGCAGAAACAATGAATTATAATAAAAAGACAGTCCTCCAAGGAGTCCGGAGGAGAGGGGGGGGATTGCGCAATTGGGAGTGTTTTCGAGGTTGACCGGGAAAGAGAGGACTGAGCTTTCTGCGGTATTTTGAGATTCGCCGCCGCCGTCGGTTATGTAAGCCGATCGGGTTGACTCGGTAAGCCCTTACTTTTCCCGGATAACGATGCCGATTTTTGGCTTTGGCAGCTCTAAGAATCAATTAGAATAAGGATTTGTGACTGGTAAACACGTTGTGCTGAATATCTTGGTGAACTCGGTTCTCTAAATAGTACCTTAGGGATGCGTCACGGCGCCGGGAACCTAAAGACCTTTTCCGCCATCCGCCCGCCCAACCACATCGACCCCGGAGAGACCTTTATTCCAGTGGCTCTTTAGAGTTAGCTCATCAGAGGGTTCCCCAGATGCTTCTCAATGCCCGCGGGTTTTCTATCAGTGGGTTAGGTTTGCCGGGCCTCCGCTCGACCCCTCACGGTTATACTCGGACCCAGTTGATATCTGCTTGGCTACGTTCCCTGCGCGAGAACTGAAGGGAATTGTTGATTATATTATCAACCACATCCATCAAGCATCTAGTGTGGCTGACCGACTGAGCGGCTGAGAATGGTCTCTATATCCCCATCTTCGGTCCTTTTGGACCTTACCGAAAAGGGATGGTCCCGCTCCCGATGAGATCTGTTGGGAATGATGTTATCCTTTCTGCTCTCTTTCCCACCGATCTGAGCCTGAGCTACAGTTGTCCGTGAGTTTTTCTTAAGTGAAATTTATTTGCTGCCGAACCTTCAATCAATATCGTCTACGGTAGTATACTGGGGTCTTGGCGGGAATCAAAGGCTAGCTGTTGAGGTGGGCCAAGAGCTAATGAGCCTATTCTTGCCAATAGTAGAATGGCACTATAACGTATCCGCACTTCGCGATGATGTAAATATTAGCAAGCAGGGATGATAATGATTACCTTTTTCTTGCATTGTGTTCATCTTGACCATTCTTTCTAGGTAGGTCTGCTATGCCGAAGAGAAGCGGAACCGCCCCGCGTCCACCCTTCCAGGCTGTGAATACAATAATGGCGAGGCTTCTTTCTTCGGTCGGTCTTTTCAACTCCGATTTCCGACCGCCTATCTGACGCTTACATTATGTTAGTGATAAAAAGGTCTAAATGAGCTTCGCCAGCTTTGTAGCCTCGAACGGCTTTCCGTGTCGGCCGCGGGACCCCGCGCCCGACCCTAAGCACAGCATAAGCAGCAGTGTTATAAGAGCTTGACCAGGTCGATTCATCTCATACTGCTATCACCTCATCCACATTTATTATAATTATATACCACATTCTATCGTACTTGCCCAGCATGCACCACCTCGCATCTTCCATCATCGAAGGACTTAAGGGCCGACGGTCCATTTACGCTCTAACAAATGAATCGACAATATCCGATGATCGCATCGAAGAGCTCATCTCTGAGGCTATCCTTCATACTCCCAGCCCTTTCAATAGCCAGGCCACCCGCATTATAGTTTTACTCAAGGAAGAACACGAGAAGTTATGGGATATCGCTCGAGAGGTCGCCATAGCTAGTGTACCCACGGAGCAATTCGAGAAGCTATATCAACCTCGAATTGCGGGATTCCGTGCAGGATACGGAACGGTGGGCCAATCTTTCCGAAGTGGTTGATGAAGTTACACTAACAACCACAGGTATTGTTCTACGAGGACCCTGCTCCCGTCAAGCTGCTCGAGGAGAAATGGCCAATGCTAAAGGACCAATTCCCCATTTGTATGAATTTATCTTTTCCGTGTGAGGCTTTGATTCTAATATATGTTAGGGTCCAACCACTCCAGTGGAATGCATCAGCTTGCAGGTAAGGAATGCGAAATTTGAGACCTTACGAACCGATATAGATGCTGACATCTATTCCAGTGTGGACGCTTTTGGAAGCTGAAGGACTCGGATGCAGCCTACAACACTATGGTTCGTTGATCAGTGTACAGACTTCAGAACAGTGGAGTATTCCCATAGAATGGAGCCTGAAAGCTCAGTTGGTTTTTGGAAAGCCTACTGGTCCTCCGCGAGAGAAGACCTTTGAACCTCTCGATAAGAGGCTATTTGTTCACGGCAAATGAATGGCAATTTGGCTTCCTTTGAGAAGATGTGTCTAACTTAATTCTGTCCATGACAGATGGCTGTGAAAGACAATTGTTGCCTACTTAGCCCTAGAGGGAGTAGATTGGGGGAAATTTTTAAAGTTGTCTCTGTGAATGTTGTTGGGTTGGTCGTGTAGATATAGTGAGGACCCATGAGTGTGCAATCGAACCAGTTATTCTAATATATGAACAACCTTGGAACAACCTTTTTCATTTTAGTATCACCCAAAGGTGAACATACGAAGTTCGCCGGCCAACTACGGTCTGAACTCGGGATAGGGATACTTGAGTGGAAAGACATGCGATATTTATATTTGTTTTGTCATGTGGGCCTGCCCCCTCGAAGCGTGAAAATCCTTACATTTTCCACCCCGCCCGACTTTACTTTCAATAGCTTCCAATCTTTCTAGTCCAGCCGTGTGTCACATATTATTAAAAGGCAGACACACAGCTAAACACCACTGTATCGGCCCGAAAAAGACCTTCACGAACCCCCGCACACTGGAATCAATAGTGGGGGCACCTCCTATCCAGTTCCCGTCAACAATGGATCCCAACCAAGTCGACAAAGAGCTTTACACAACAAAACTCAAAGCCCTAGTTGAGCTAGTCGAAGAGGAGAAATGGCCAGATTTTGGATTTCTCCTCTTCCGCACCTATTTCGACGATGAAGCATTGTGGGACAACTTCCAGGAACAACAAAATCTGATCATGGACGAAGCTATCGAGGCTGCTCCCACGGAATCTGGCTTATCGCGGATTTCGGACAAGATGTTCCTCAAACAGGTGTCTGACGAGGCAATGAAAAACACGCCGCCCGAAGGAGTCGCGCTGGCGTATCGGATTTGCGCAGAGCCTGATGAAATCGAAGGGCCTGAGAATGACCTTGAGCCGGGTCTTCACACGAGTATGTGTCTTCTGGTTGATGAGGAATGTATGCGCTCTGTGATTGATTGGAAGAGAGAAGGCGCCCCGCTGCCGTTTGTGAAAGCGATTGATGTTACGCTGGGCGAGGAGATGTTATCTTACTCTGGTGCATTCAAGGTGGCGATCGCATCGCTTTTTACTAGATTCTACTGGGCACAATTTGAGTGTGATGAGACAGCAGATTTGGTGCCAGACGGCGATACGGTGTGGGATGGTACCTTTGATGCACAAAAGGATTGGGAGAAGATTGACAGACTGCTGAATAGGTGAGAGTATAATCTATTGGGTATCCTATCTTTTTCCATTCCAATTGCTACACTGCTATTTTGACCAAGCCTATACTTCTGGTACTCGCAATGTAGTGTAGACCAAGTGAGAGAGCAAGGACAGAGAAGGCTGGGGGAGGTGGCCTATGAGAGAAAAAGACGTCGGGAAAAGGCGATGAAGCATTCCGATGGTATCTGAAGGGAGCGGGAAAGGAGCATTTGAAGTAAAGCTTGGTGAGTCAGGCAAAATTTTTAAATTTTTAAGTAGACAGCGCTGGGGAGAATGCGATCATGTTCCCCGATCACATTCCAAATCTGAAGGCCTGTAGAATCCGAAGCCAAACATCTCATGTACAGGATCTTACGAGAGCCTAGTTCCGGGTTGAACTTCCAGATGTTACTTAGGCCATGATCGGTCCATCAAGAATGACGTCGTTAGCGTATAGTCTGGGTATGGCTTGGGAATGGCTTGAAGTAGCGGCTTGGATCGGCGAACCTCCGACCGGCTGCAGACCGACGTTACTCTCGGAAAACTTCAAATATCGGCATCTCAAGGTAGAAAGAAGCGAAAGACTGGACATGTCAGATACAATTCAGTGCTCCTAATACCCCAGGCTCCACGCTCGCTCAAGTTGAGAATTATAAAAGTGTCACTAGAGCGAGCCTTGAATGGAATCAGATAAGGGGGCGCCTTTTAATTACCCGAGATGGGGCGGCTTGCCGAGCGAAGGGGTAAACGTCTGGAGTTCTCCGCGTGCCGTGGAATAGTCCCTATGGGGTGACCTTGCGTCTCCGGTTTCTGTGCCTGCGGAGACCCGCCGAGCCCACCCGTTGGCTACTCGGCGCGGAACATGGAGTGAAGACCGCTTTCTCCCCGACTTGGCTGCAATACTCCAATGTAACCGAGACTAGGAATGATGGAATCAAGCCACGATCATGCACTGGAATTCACAGGTTTAAAGTGAATGCAAGACCCGAAGAAACAGGGTCTCCCCTTCTCTCTCTTTCTCAACTCCCAGGGGCAGCAATGTGAGTCTGTCATATTCCTCTCGGATTGACGATTTCAGCATCGGTTAAATGCCCAAATCGGCGCCCCGCCGTCCAACGTTCTATAAGCATCCGGCGCCGACATCTGCATGTCCAGACCCAGTTTTTCTCGTGTGGAGAAATCTGGAGTCCCCTCATGACCTGGACCTCACTCGCGTGTCATCGGAATGTAACCAGATCCGAAATCTGCCGCTCTCTGCTGTGCCTGGGGTGAGAGTTGGCCGATCCTCGTGGTGAAGTTTCCGGCATTGGCCATGGCAAGTCGGACTCACCCCGCTTGGACACTCTTTAAAAGGGCACGGTGGACCCCTGATGTCGCAAAGCTTCTGGACTTGTTGGCTCTTGCCTGTAAGGATTTTACCCCGCGGGACCAGGCTTTTCTTTTAACCGCATCATATACTGGTGTCTTTTCTCTTTTCTTTCTTTGCCCGACCCACGCGTTATACAAGTTCACCTTCAATTGTCATCATGAGCGACAAGATCCCTTCGTGGAATGTCGTCCACAAGCTGGAGAAGCGGAGCCTTCTCATTGCCATCAATTGTGTTGCAGCGCTTTCAATCCTCTTCTTCGGTTATGATCAGGGAATGATGTCCGGCGTCAACAACGCCAGTGACTATATCAGCTTGATGAAATTCGGGTATACAAAGGATGTGGACGGTGAGCCGACTCCCGTCGTCACGAATTCACTGCTACAGGGTGGAATCGTGGCCGTCTATTATCTGGGTACACTCGTCGGCGGACTTTTCGGTGGCTGGCTGGGAGATCGCACGGGAAGAATCAAGTCTATCGCGGTTGGGGCAGCTTGGGCCACTGTCGGTGCGGCTCTGCAGTGCTCTGCACAGAACCACGACTGGATGATTTGTGCCCGGTTCATCAACGGTATCGGAACTGGTATTCTAAATGCCATTGTTCCTGTCTGGGCCACCGAGACGGCTGAGCATACCTCACGTGGACAGTTCATTGCGATCGAGTTCACTTTGAATATCTTCGGTGTCGTCTTGGCCTACTGGCTTGAATTCGGCCTGTCGTTCATCGACGGTGGGAAGTCCGCTTTCCGCTGGAGATTCCCCATCGCCTTCCAGATCATCTTCCTGTTGGTCCTTTTCGTGGCTGTTTGGTTCTTCCCCGAGTCTCCTCGATGGCTGGTCAAAGTTGGTCGCGAGGACGAGGCTCGCTATATCCTGCAGCGTCTGCGCGGCAGTAGTCCGGAGGATCGTGTGCGGGCAGAGGCCGAGTTCCAGGATATCTTGAATATTGCGGAAATGGAGAAGACGGTTGTTCATGGTGATTCGTATCTGTCAATGTTGTTCGGCTACAAGTCTGGAGACTTGCACATTGGCCGGCGCGTGCAACTAGTAGTCTGGTTGCAAATCATGCAGGAATGGGTTGGCATCGCAGGTGTTACCGTTTATGCACCGACCATCTTCAGTATTGCTGGGTTTGACTCAACCAAGAGCCAGTGGATTAGTGGCCTGAACAATGTTTTCTACATGGTATGTTCGATTGACCCCAGACTTGAACTCACCGCTAACACATCCAGTTTGCCACGCTTGTCTGTGTCTTTACCTTGGATCGTATCGGTCGTCGATGGACCCTGTATTGGGGCTCAGTTGTCCAGGGCATTGCCATGTTCCTTGCCGGCGGCTTCTCGCGTCTCGCCATCAACGCTAAGGCGGCCGGCAACATAAGCTCCGCCTCCTCGTACGGGGCTGCTGCCGCCTCGATGATCTTCATCTTCACCTCGACCTTTGGTGCCACCTGGTTGACCGTGCCATGGGTGTACCCCGCCGAGATCTTCCCGCTGGCCGTCCGCGCCCGTGGCAATGCTTGGGGTGTGGTTGGCTGGAGTATCGGTAACGGATGGCTGACTCTTCTGTGCCCCGTGATGTTTGAGGCCATTGGCGAGAAGACTCTGTATGTGTTTGCTGCGAGCAACGTGATCACAATTCCTATGGTCTGGGCTCTTTACCCGGAGAGTAATCAGCGCACTCTAGAGGATATGGACCTCTTGTTTGCGGCCCCTACCCCTTGGACCTGGGATGCCGAGAAAAACTTTGCGCGCCTGAAGGCCGAGAATCCGGGGATGGTCCAGAGTCTCAGTCGCAAGGGAAGCGTGATGGATCCCGAGACTGGTAAGATGTCAGTGGACGCTGCCAAGATTGAGAACGCCACAGCTGCTGAGCATGTGGATCACCCTTGACGAAGATTGAGATGAAGAGGCCCCCAAGGGATCATGTAATTTATGCAGCATGAGTCATTGATGAATTCCAAGTTATGACACTTCTGCTATGTCGTCTCATGAAAGTGAACAATAAGAATCCACGTACATGGGCGAGAGCATTTGAGCGCTCTGATTGGCCACTTTGAGAACAATGTCTTTCGCTGCAGTCGAACGCTATTTAACCCTCCTTCACAGCCCCTCCATTCGTAATATTTCCCTCCATCCTGATTCTCACATCACATTATCCACCAGCAAAGCTCTGAACCGCATCAACTTGATCGTGAAAGATCGTCGCCCCTGACGCGTCTGAACGCGTCCCCTCAACCCCGGATCTCGCGATAAGCGGGCTGATAAATCAAAGCACTCATCCTACCCAGCTTGGAGGCGTCACCAACGGAACACTCGCACCAAACCACCGCATCATGGCAGACACCACAGCTCTCCCCGCAGTGCTCGGTCCAGATCTGAAAGGAAGTCCATCAAAAGGCATAAAACCAAGCTCAAACGCCACACTTCAAAAATCCCTCCGTCGCATCTCGCTCCACCCAACACTAACACCCTACCGTCGCCGTGTCTACCGCGCCCTCCTCTCCGTACCAGAAGGTCGTTGGACCACATACTCCGCTATGGCAACGTATCTGAATTCCAGCGCGCGGGCGGTGGGCAATGCGATGCGCACCAACCCCTTCGCGCCAGAGGTCCCGTGCCATCGTGTGCTGGCGGCGGATAGGTCGTTGGGGGGGTACAAGGGTGAGTGGAAAGTTAGCAAGCATATTACGAATGGGTCTTTTAGCGATGAGAAGAGGACGAGGCTTAAAGAAGAGGGGGTGTTTTTTGACGGAGATGGGAAGGTTGGGGGTGTTTGTTTTAAGGAATTTAGAGATTTGGGGGCTAAGTGAGGGTGTACTAGGTCTCTTTTAGACTTTGGTTTTTCTTGGGATCTCTAATGATTTGAAGGAGTCAAAATTGTCTTGTTCTTTCTCGTTGGGCATGGTATTACGTGTACTGCTATTCTAAAAGCGCATTCAATGCATTTACTCAACACGTCTTGATTCCGCTTCATTAGGAACAGTGGAACAGTCGGGGGAACATGCACCCAAGACCTAACGCAAAGCTTAGTTCTTAATCCAATTAGCATACCATGAGTGGCACCACTCAAAGGCAGAGGGGTCCTTGGGCCATTCTTCATCCAAGGATACCACCTGGGCTCAAGACTAAAGCAGAGCTCGTATATGCGGCTTTGCTGCCCGATATGCTTAAAAGTCGTCATATTCAGCTAGTTGCCGAGACATGTATATGCCATGCCAGACTCATATAAATGGGTCCAGATTGCGCTGAGTCATTGGGTGCCTTTGGATCAGAACGGGGTGATGTAGTATCGGCAGAGCAGCTTTGAATCAAGGCCGAACTTGATTCGTATAGGTTGAACTTCAATTGCATCTGGTTAAACGAACTGGAAGCCCCAATAGCTCATCGCAGCGCGGAAATGAGAGTCTCGAGTCTATGTGAAGGAAACACTGCAGACACTCGACGGCAGTAGGGCTAACTTCGACATCAACACCGACCACATAAACACTACACCGAATGCCGGAGTCACCGGAGAATTCTGGCCCGAACTCGATCAAACGAACTTAGATTCGTAGTATAATTCATCGAGCGGGAGAACAGTATACAGAGTCCGTTGAAAGGGAACTGGGGCGAGTCAGATCGAACCATAAGGAGACCTATCTGAGCTAGGACGCTTATTGGTACTAGAGACGGGACACGGGGTGTAAGTGTCGTACGAGCACCGAAGTAATGTTCGAGAAAATAGCATGCAGAGGATGTGCGATCTACAAGTCATGTGCAGGGACAGGTACGAAATTGAAGGATTCGAGCTAGGAGATCCCCGGGTCTAGCCGCTCAGGCTTATCAGAATTTCGTAATGGGTGTGGGTTAGATTCAGGAAGGATTCATGATGCACTAGTGGGCAGGGAATAATTGGCGCATCTGCGGTATGGGAAGGGGTGGAACAAGTGCTGATTTTGGCCTAATGATCTTGGCTACTGCTGTGGGAAGATTAATTGGGCAAGTCTGGGTGGAGACCGGCTCTACTCCGGCGTGGACTAGCGGTTTTGTGTACGTGGTACGGCTTATGGTGCAACGAATCCCTTCCAGGGTGTTCCTCGTTCCTTGTTTGTTAGTACTTACAGTCTAGTAGTTTCAAGTGATGTATGACTGGGTTTGATTCTGTCGATATGCGAAGCTATTGATGAAAGTGGAAAAAGGAAAAGCCGGGAGTTAAGCTTTAAAGTAAATCGCAAAATGCGATATTTCTTCATGATCGTCGCCCATTGAATTCATCCCGCGGAAGAAACCTAAACGGGTAATAAGACACCGTCTATCCTGTGACATCACAGCCAATCAAACCCAAACTAGGAAAAAAAAAGTCTTCTATGCAGAACATGACCCAAACAATGCATTCTATCAAAACATGCGAGGTAAAAGTATTCGTGAGAGCGATTGTGTTGAACGCGCCGTAGCCGCGGTAAATAGCGAATGTAAATAAACAGATAGTCGTTAATCATAAGATGCGATGAGAAGATCCGAAGGCGACACTTATGCGTCCTTAGAGGACCGCTTCAGGGCTCGACGCTTCGGCACGTCCATGTGGTGGTAGGAACGCAGATGTTCGACCAGGTGGTCTTGGCGAGGGAAGCCATTGCTGCCTTTGCGCGAGCAGTTCTCGACAGGGCAATTGCGGAAGACAGGGAAGTGCACGCTGGACTGATGGCGCTTCAAATCTGCGAAGCGAGTGAAGGACTTGCCGCAGCTGTCGCAACCAAAGGGCTTGGCAGGTCTAGTAGAGCGATTAATGTTAGCTGCATTGATTCCTAAGATTGCGCATGTAGAAGAGAAGCTTACTTGGATTGAGAGGAGTCGGAGCAGGAATCGTCGAACGATGACATTGGGATGTTGGGCAAAGGAACCTCTTCCGCTTGATTCCATCCTCCGTAGTTACTTCCGCAGCTACTGCTTGCGGAGCTGGGCACGCTGGTGGCCATGGCGGCCGGTTCATAGACGTGCCCGTAGTCATTCATGGCGGGCACCATGTACGGGGAGCTAGTAAAGGAGTTGGGGAATGATGAGACATCGGGCACCATCTCGGGCACAGTGAAAGGACTGGCGGCGTCAAGGTCACACAGGTTGTCATAGACAGGAGGAGGAGGACCATAGAAGAAGAAGTCCATCTCCCCCGGAGAGGAGGAGTAGGAGTCTGTATAGCTGTAGTGGGAAGCCTGCATGGTGTTGATGTCGATGGGAGAGGAGAAGGAGAGTGGCAAAGAGGTCTAGTTTAAAAGGGTTTCGGGTCAGACTTCTAGAAGAGCGGCAGAAGGTGTCTAAAGTGGGGAGGGAGAGGGGGAAACCTACCATGGTGAGACGCCGGTACTGATCCTGCTGAAGGGCTTAAATAGTAAGATGGGGGCTAGATACATGTCCTTTTGTTTTCCCTGTTTTTGTGGCACCTTGCTCATTTATACTATCCCATTTCGACTATGCTTCTTCTATCCAGACCAAAATACGAGGGCCCCATCACCGGATCTAAAGCCCCGACTGGCTCTGTATCGCTTCACCCGTAATGATCAGGCAGCCTACTGGTCGAACAGCCCACCACACAGCCCCCGCCGGCGCTACATCATTTGGGGATCGCCTGCGGGAATTCCTGCAAACATTCGCGGATCCTCGACCATGCAGTAGCGTGCAAGTGCGCTGGCTCTAGTGCCTTTCCATGGAAGTTCCATTATCCTTCTAGCGTCAGGCCCTAAGCCTCCGAGATACTCGAGGATTGATGATTGGTGACGTCGTGTGCCCCCCCGGTCCGCGATGATCCATTTAGGACCGCTAGCGGGGAGACTGGCCACCAGTAACAACCAGTGATAGACGAGAATAGGCCAAGGGGACCAATCCCGACGTCGACGAGGCTGCACGATCGAATGTTGCGGTCAGACGGGTACGCTCGAACCTCGCACCAACCCCCTCATCACACATCTTAACCAACCCGTGTGAGCGATCCTGGCTATTTCCGGGTCTAGTGCGGCTTCCAGAAAACTTCTAGCGTCTCGCCAAGAGCAGCGCTGACGGAGGCAGCGTCTTGTAGTGTTCCCTTTTTTTGGGCTTTCTCGGCCCCCTCGTTTCAAGTTGCTGCGTGGCGTGTCTCTGTGTATCTTCGTACGCACATACACCGGTCTCTAAAAGGAGGACACAACAAAGTGTCCTCAGATCCCCCCCCTGAAATACCCATTTATCTAGGTTTCCTAGTGGTGGAATGGTGAGTTGTCGTCTCAGGTTGCGTTGACCAGTGTTCGAATCGGTAAAAGCGTGCCGAAGCGTCATCGACCCCCGATCGCTAGCCTTGCGAACAACGATAACCGGATCGCCAAGAGAATACCCTAGCAGTTCCCGTATCTGGGGTCAATGCTGGTCGCACTTGATCGACGTGATGATATAATAGGTGAGCCGCCTGCACCCCGTGTGGGGCCACGCTAGCCACTAACCACGCACAGCCCCTGTTCCATCCCTTCTAGAAAGATAAATCCCGCACTGGGTGCTGTAGCGCCAAGCTGGCTGAGTTGCTAGTGCGACTTTCCATGCATCATGCAGCCGGTTCCTACAGTGAGGCTTCGTCACTGCCCCGGGGCTTGTTCCAGACGAATCAGTCCCAGGTGTAGGTGGGCCCAGTCAAGAGAGTTCTCGTTTGCTAGCTTGACTCGTGATGCAAGCACGGCCGAGGTACCGGTTACTTATGTATGTTAATTGTCCGGGAACGATGGCCGGAGAGCAGGCGCAGGCACCCCGGATGAGACACGTAGAGCACAGGGCCAAAGTTCGAAGTCCACTTCAATACGCCCATGTTATCTGGATAGTACACCCCATGTGCTACATAATCCACACTTCTACACTTCACGTCTATAAGGGTTTCTGTGGTTCAAGGATGTCTGAGGATGGTTCATTTCACAGGGATTAACTAAAATAGCACAGAACTCCCGTGTCCATGAGGCCCATTTCATTGTACTCATTGCCCGATGCAGGTACCTGCAAAAACAGAAAACAGAAACTAAACTCCCCGAGGTCCCCCATGACACAAATCCACTATTCCACCCACGCTGTCAAAGCGCGGGAAACGAAAAGACGACAAACGCCCTGGAGCCTCATGTTGAAAGAACGCATTATAACTCGTCCTCAAGGTATTTGTACACAAATTTGAAATCAGCCTTGCGCCGGTTCATCCTGGGGCAATCGTTAGCGCGTGGTCAATGGGACATGGTAAATGTTCTTGACTAACCATGTACTTTCATAGTCGAAGAACCGATAGGTGCCTTGTTCAAACTCCTCCGTGATGTTCTTCGGCTCCTCGTGTCGCTGGAACCATGTTTGGTACTGCTTGTGGAAGCGCCAACTTTGGTTCTTAAGAGCCTTCGCGGCCAGATATTGTTGATATGACCCTTGGCGATAGTAAAAGAGGTAGAACAGCGTATCGGTGTCAATCCGGCCAGTATCGTACAGTCGGGGGTCATCGAAGATAGATAAGGGCTCTTGGGGGTAGTAGAGGGGTGTGTTGAAAGGATTCTGAGGCTTGTAATGACGGGGCTTCTCAGCATCACCGGGCTCCGGACATGTCGTGAGCGAGCTTGCAAGAAGGCGTTGGATTGCTGGCGAGGGATTCGTCCCTGCCCGTTCCTTCGTCACGTCGAATGATTGAATCAAATCTTGCAACCCGGGAGGCAGATGGAATATCGCCTCTTCGCTCTCGCCATCTCTTGGTGCCTTGCCATTTGTCGTCGGTGTCTCTTTGGCGACCTCTGCCTTGGAGGGCACAGGTGACACTGTCCCAGAAGCCATACCGGCCGGGGTTTTCGATCGCCCCACAACAACCTCATCAGATGACGCAGCCGCAGCCGCAGCCGTGGCACTCTTGGCAACAGGATTTACGGAAGACACAATAGGCGAAGCAGTCGAGGAAGCCCTGGACACGGGAAGAGCGGCCGAAAAGGCCGGACTAGTACCGGGAGGCGGTGGCAGAGGTAAGATACCCACTCCACTCTTGTCGCTCGCGGCTGCAGCGGCCGCGGCCGAGGCATACTTGAGTGTTTCACCGGGGAGTCGGGTGGGAAGCGGCGCAGGCTTCATGCTCGGTGTCGTACTGGCAGACACGGACGGATGAAGAGTAGCGAGAACAGGGAGCGGGGATTTCATTTGCGTTGACGGGCGTCGTGTCATCGTCGGTTCCGTCTTCGGCTTGGGTTTGGGTTCTGGCTCGTCATCTTGAACAGACTGAGCGTCCTGTGAAGACCCTTGATCGTTTTCTGCGCCGATGCCGAACTGGGCCTCGACATCTTCACCGATATTCAAGTCGTCATAGAGCGTCTCATCCTCTCCGGAGTAGTCTACGTTGTGCCCTTCGTCAACGTAGTACTTGATGCTCTCCTTCAAATCTTGTACGGCGCCAACCTCCAAATTGCCGTTTTGCAACGATCGATTGAGGAACTCGAGCTTGTTGACATGCCACTTATGACGCTCTGTCAAGTGCGAAATATCGGCCATGCGATCTGCCTTCTTCAAATCTTTCTTGCCCTTTTTCAATTGTGCCTGCAATACTTCTTCCTCGGCTTCCATGGCCTCGATGCGTTGTTGCAACTCGTCTACCATATTAGACAAGAAGTCGCTGGCTTCCACTTTTTCCTTTTCTTTTGGGTCGAGTCTTGACGCGGCGGATAGGCCTTCTTTGGAGTAGGCTTTCGTCTTCATCTCCTTCTCCACGGCCTTGAATTGCTCCATACACTGTAATCTCATTAGCCCTCTGTCGGTCCCCGTTGCAGTCAATGGGAGCGCACTGTCTCAATCGCCTTTCGCTGCTCAAGCAATGGGCCCTTATCCTTCACTTCATTGCCGGACGCCCATGATTTGATTTGATCGCGGGATCTTTGAAGCTTCTTGATTTCGCGCTTGAGATTCTCTTCGAGCTTATCGCGTTGGGTGGGATTCGTAGCTTGCTTCACCTTGCTGTAGATGCTCTCAAAGACCTGTATCCCTTCGGATACCTTCTTGAAGGTCTTCTCGATCTCTTGTTGTGTTTTTCGAGACGTCATGGTGGTCTGGATTGGGTGTGGACTGTGCCGTCCACTGGCGTGGCTTCGAGTCGGTGGGGGCGGATTCGCGGTGCACGCTCGGCCGTCAGGGTCGATGCTGCACAGTCAATCGGGAAGAAGGGGTGGTTAAAAAAGAGTGGTGTCGCCCTGTTGAGAGATCAAGAGGAGAGGTGGAGATCAGTGGAATGGCTCGTCTCTGCTGCGAATGGAAAGCTTCGTGGTTGCCGTATCAGGAAGGCGGTAGCATTCAAGTGCAAAGCCGGGGAGGGCGCAGAATCGCGGAGAGTTCCCCTCGAGGGAACACGCGCTCTTTTACCTTGTCCTCACCTGTTTCTCTTCCAAATATCTCGGGGATCACTTTCCAGGATCTGCCGATGACGCCAACGTCGCTTTGAAGGCTTTTGTGATTCTTCCAACTCAAGATGTGAGTCTGCGCCACAGCACATGCGGGGTGTGCAAAAATGGCTAATATTCTGCAGATATTCCTCGACAATACGATGAAGGGTTCGGCTCGTCTCCAAACTAGTCGCGATATGCTCCAGCTAAATCCCCAATAGTCGTCATCCAACGAGTCAAGTCGGCCTCGGTCAGTGTCGACTCGGAATTGATCTCCACAATCGGCAAGGGCCTGTTAGTGTTCGCAGGTGTCGGCAAAGAAGATACACAAAAGGAAGCGGATCAAGTGGTGAACAAAGTGCTCAAAGCCAAGTTTTGGCCTGATGAGGATGGGGGGCAGGTGAGAATATCGCTGCGTGGACTCAGCCTCAGTATTGACTGGTACTGGTATGCAGTGGAAGAAGAACGTCCAAGATATCGAGGGAGAGATCCTTTGTAGTATGTTTTCTTGCCAATGACAATGATCATACGGTTGCTAATATCCGGACAGTCTCCCAATTCACCCTCTACGGCAAGATGAAAGGAAACAGGCCCGACTTCCACGATGCGGCCGACCCCGATACTGCGCGCAACCTCTACGATTATTTCTATAAGAAAATGAGCAGTTCATACAATTCGGATAAAGTCAAGAACGGCGTCTTCCAAGCAATGATGGAGGTCGAACTCAAGAACGACGGGCCGGTGGGTGTCGACTACCGCAATGAAGATGCGGCGGTACATTTGCCTTCCTGGCTCCTTTTCTTGCGCCGCAGTGGGATCCATACTGACATATTTGTTCAATAGGTCACGATTGAGATCAATACCAAGCTCCCGAAAAAGGAACCCAAAGAGCCCAAGCCCAATACAGGCAATGGGAAGGACAAGGATGAGGAAGGAAAACAAATAAATCAGACGATCGAGTTTACGATCCCACCAGAATTGCTGGCCTAAAGAGATGGAGCATTTGTGTATATATACCCGTTGCATGGAAGGCGTATCTATTTTTTGGGGCGGCGTGGAAGCTTCTTGAAGAACCGCAGTTAGAACTCTCCCCACAACATTTGTTCTTCCCCTCCGTACTCTTGATTCTCTTTGCTCTTTGCTCTTTACGCTAGAAATATATTCTCTCCCTTTGCTCCTTCTCTCCTTCTCCACTTTTCTCCCCAGTTACCTCTCAATACTTCGTCATGGCTGAATCCAGTATGTGCTTTCGAAACGCTTCAGTGCGGGGTCCGATCTGCCCTGCAAAGAAATTGACGGCTTGCTAACCACCTCCTCACAGAGCGCTCCCGCGTCTTCTTTGACATTCAGATCGGTGACAGCAAGGCTGGCCGCATCGCTTTTGAACTGGTCAGTATTCTTCGTGTTCAGTGAATGTGCGCGAGATTGGGAGCTCGGAACTAACGTGGCGCATCCTCGCACAGTTTAACGATGGTACGACATGCCACCCTTCGCTCGGTTGATCCGCACCTAACCGAATAATAGTCGTTCCCAAGACCGCAGACAACTTCCGAGCTCTGTGTACCGGCGAGAAAGGCACTGGTATCCAGGGCAAGCCACTGACCTACAAGGGTACGTCGATCCTCTCGAGATCCAGCCAAGACAAATGCTAAGCAGCTCGAACCAGGCTCAATTTTCCACCGTGTGATCAAGCAGTTCATGATCCAGGGTGGTGATTTCACGGCATTCAACGGTACCGGCGGCGAGTCGATTTACGGCGAGAAGTTCGAGGACGAGAACTTCGACCTCAAGCATGACCGACCCTTCCTGCTCTCCATGGCCAACTCCGGTCCTGGCACCAACGGCAGTCAGTTCTTCGTGACCACCGTTCCCACTCCCCACCTGGATGGCAAGCACGTCGTCTTCGGTGAGGTCATCAACGGAAAGAGCATCATCCGCAATATCGAGAACATGAACACGAACTCCGACAAGCCCGAGGTCGATGTGACTGTAGTTGACTGTGGTGAGCTGACTGGCAGCGACTACGAGAATGCCAACAAGCGCGTGCAGGATGCGACCGGCGACCCCTACGAGGACTTCCCCGAGGACCACCAGGGTGAGGAGCTGACCGCTCCCCTCGCCTTCAAAATCGCTTCCGATCTCAAGGGCTTCGGAAATGCCGCGTTCAAGAGCGGCGACTACAATCTCGGTCTGGAGAAGTACCAGAAGGGTATTCGCTACTTGAATGAGTTCCCCGAGCCCGGCGAGAACGACCCCAAAGAGTTGGCTGAGCAGATGAAGTCTCTCCGATTCACCCTGCACTCGAACTCTTCGCTCTTGGCCAACAAGCTCATGCAGTTCCGCGATGCCAAGACCTGGGCCGGCTATGCGCTCCAAGTCGCTGATGCCGCCAAGGCCAAGGATGCCGATAAGGCCAAGGCCTATTTCCGTCGTGCACAGGCCCAGGAGGCTCTCAAGGAGGAGGATGCCGCGCTCAAAGATCTTCTCGAGGCTCAGAAGCTGGCCCCCAGTGATGTCGGTATCACCAACGGAATCGCCAAGGTCAAGGCCACTGTCAAGGCTCGGGAGGCCAAGGACCGAGCTGCTGCTCAAAGATTCTTCTCGTGAAGCCTTTCTCGTTAATACCTGTTCACTGCAATATGATTCACGATTTGTCAACCGTCTTATTCTACAGATGCATGGTGTATGATAAACCCATCCTTTTTAGGGACGCTCAGAAAGAATTGCGAAGCTCTCTGCTCTACTTTTTGCTCTTCGCTTGATGATCGTAGTATCCATCTTCACTATCAAATAGACCAACTTCCGCGAGAATTGCAGCGTTCCAAGGTAGGCGCATATGTACCCTCTAGTTATCATATCACCGCGACTTTAGCGCCGGTATATGCAGTCCATCTCCCCGCCATTAAACCGTCACGCATATGCAATCGGACCGCAGGAGACGATCAAAAACGGCTCAGATGGCTCTTTTCACACTTCATTCTTATCCAAGTGGAAGTCCGGTGCGACAAACTTTTACCTATTGAATACCATTTGTCTCCAGTACTGCGGGCCTCAGCTATGAAGCCGACGGACTGAGCCGGGTAAGCCCAACATCGACCAACACCGAGTTACTGCGACATTGTGCTCGATCGCGATCGTCATGCCCAATTGGAGGAATGGCAAGAACTGTTGGTCCTAGTGGTGATAGGCGGTCCCGTAGTTGCATATGCTTGGGGCCGGATGTTGCCACTCGGTCAAGCTAGTCTCCAGAAGCGTAGTGCGCTTGGCCAACTTACCCACCTGTTTAACGGAAAGCATTGGCTATGTCGCTATCGCGAGTCAGTGGTTGCAGGTCGGATCGGAGACCCTCTATTTAGCGGCAATAAGCAAGGGAGAACAAAGGATCGGTGAGCGCTATATCTGCGTGAGGGGAACAAGAGGTGGATTACTAGTGGATCCTTGCCAACATCGCTGCTGCTTCTCTTCGTTTTATTGGTGTCTCTAATTTTACTTCTTGGCGTCTTTCCTATTCTAGTAGTTCCTTGATTTCCGCATTATTATCCTCGAAAATTAGTAAACCCGCTGGGGTCTACGATACATTGCTGTCGGGGCCGTTATGTGTCCGCCCATTTCCACCACCAGCTGGCTTCTTTATCCGTCTTGGGTCATCCTCCCCGAGTGTGAGAACTTCGTGTATATCTTTCTTTCACACTCGAAAGGATGGACATTGCTTCACAGGTAAAGGAAGTAGCAAATATGACACCAGGCGCTATGTAAGCCCAAGATCTCTCTCAAAGACTCCTAGGGAAGCCTCTAACAGCTCGGCCATTATAGGTTGACATTGGCAGACCTGGCAAATGAGATTCTTTATCTCGTTATCGAAAAGCTAGTCCTCGAAGACAGACTGAGTTTGTGCCTAGTGAACAGAGATATTAGATATCGTCTCCTCTCGGTAGTCTTAACGAGTGTTTCATTGAAGAGCGATCGCCAACTACACGAGTTCACGCGCCAAGTCTACCAAAATCCACATTTTGGTAGCCTTATTCAATTTCTATCGTTTGAAAGGAAATACGACAGCCCAATTAAAGCCCAGGAGTTTCTTCCAAAACAGTTCCACAAAACCGTGGAATGGCTCACTAAGGATACATACGACGCGACACTAAAAAACGAGCCCAGCAGACATCTCAGAGAAGGGAGCAGCGATTCATGGCTGGCTATGCTACTTCCTTATCTCACAAATATCAAAAGCCTCGATATGAATTCCCCAATATGCGGAGACTATTTCCACACGGCCATTGTTCGAATCGCAACGGAAAAGAATTACCCGAAAGGGATATCAGATCTACCGCTGCAATTTTTGCAAGAATGCACAGTAACACCATTAAGCACAGATGAATCTCACATCCCGCCAAGGTTCTTTTTTCCAATCTTCCATCTACCGAGACTGCGTGTATTCCGCGCGCGGGAGTTATACGATGAAACCAATACTGGGCAAAATCCACTCCGCATCATATCGCCTCCAAAGAACTCCAAAGTGAAAGAACTACATTTTCAACAAGGCTGCTATAATGTAAAGGGATTTGCATCATTCATTAAATGCTGCACAGATCTTGAAGTTTTCGAATATCAACAATCCCGTCGGGACGAATCATCACTGGACTGGTGGTTTGGACCTTACTATGCGCAACCCATATACGAGGCTCTCGTGACCCAGAAAACCAGTCTTCGGGTTCTACAAATGAATGATCACGGAAGTATAAGTCGCGTCTCTAAGAATCAGCCAGAGCTGATATCCGATGATCTATATGATGGATTCGCAAGGCAAGAAAAATGGCTTGGATCACTACAAGATTTTACCTCATTGCGAGAAATTCGGCTTCCGTTTCTTGATCTACTGGATTTTGACAATCCACAAGGACCTAGGTTGACCCTTGTGGATGTTCTGCCGCCGTCTTTGGAGTACTTGTGTCTTGCAAAGATTAAAGCCGGATCATGGCGTGTTTTGCAGACAAACGTCACTAGTATGCTTGAAGTGCACCAGAAGAACTTCCCGAATTGGAAAATATTGGAACTCCGCCCATATATACGTGCTTATTATAGGACAAAATCCGGCAGAATGGTGACAGATTGCAAGAGAATATCCGATGGATCATTGCCGCCTTCAGCTGATCGGTATCTCGAATCTGTGAAGATGAATTGTCAAGAGAAGGTTAAATTGGTTGTTCGTGATCAAACGGATGTTGATGTTGAGTGGTGGACGAGGTTGGATAACAAAGGGTGTTATAAGACTCGAGAGTGATACGATTATCTAGTCTAAGTTATGTTCTGTTTGACTACTTCATCACATATCCAGGCCACGCTATAAATATCTTTACTCTTCTTTATCTCTCATCTCTGGTATCTCTTACATTCCACTTTCTTTGACTCATAACCTAATGTATGCTCAAACTTCCTCCAACATGTGTTCAACACTACATATGTTTGCTCTCAATTCCCTGATGATCCTTGATTTGTTTGATGGGCATGAAGTCATAATGGTGGCCCGATCTATCCTTGTTATGTCTGTGGTGTCGATAATCTTATCACTCCTATAGGAACTGACTTGATGTTTCACGAGTATCCACCACTTTTCAAACTCCATGCTTGCATTTTGGTCATCATGACGGTGCCTATCATATGGAAATCTAGTAATTGCGAGACTCTAGACTAAGATGATATCCTTCACCGTGATTAACATATTCCCTCGTTGTCCTACTCCCTTCATTTTGCGAGAGAGAAGATGGCTTCGAATGAATGTGTATCCCCTTAACCATCGTAAACTTCTCCATGACTGCCCAGTAGAGAAGTGATCTGGGAAAGGAATTTATCATATACTGGGCTACGGAAGGAAGAAGGAAAGAAGAAGCTACAATCTATCTAAAAAGCCGGAGGGCAAAGGAGGACAGGCCTAACAGGACTGTTATCTAGAAACCGATCTTACCAGATTCGTGACAACGTACATAATCACAACTTGAGCTTTTCCTGGCAGGTTCATCCCTATTGAACTAACTATTCATTGCATGGAGGCATTTCCCCGCCTAGTCTCAGCCAAAAACTGCTCATATCGAGGCTTGCAGTTCCGTCGCCATGTCTTTCCCCAGATTATCATGGGGCCACCCATACAGACGGATAAAACCACCAAGATCCCATAGAAGGTGAATGCCCAACCATAAGATGTCGCATCAATAAATGGCTGTACCGAGTATGAGATGGCGAAGTTGATGAGAGATGAGCAAATGGCTAGGACGACGACAAGTTCACCCGATATCTAGAAGGAAATGAGCGATTGGATCCCTTAAAGAAGCTGAAAAGAACGAAGCAGGCCTCAGGAACTTACCCCATCAAAGCATTCCATCGCATAAGCCGTTGCCATACTCGTGATAGACACCTGCTGGGCAATCAGACAGCACAATGCGACCGCTATGGCCATCCAGTGGTCGGCATTCGTAGCAGCCCAGCCATAAAGGAAGTATCCAACAGCGCCAAATATCAATGGAAAGATATACGTCCAAAGCCTCATTTCCGGCTCCTTGTATCCCTTATTACGACGTGCCAAAGTGAGCACCACCCAGTCAGACAAAGATCCGACTCCCATTCTAGTAGATTTAGCAAAATGAAAAGATCATTTCTCTAGAAAAATGAGCGAAATGAAGACTTACCCGAGGAAGTTACCAACAAGGGCAGCAAGGAAAAGCAATCCAGTCGATCCCGCGCTCCAATTGTACGGCGCATCGGTCATGATCTCCGAGATTGTGTTGAAAGAGACTATACCGGCAGTGCAGCCAAATGCAAATTGGATGCCGGCAAGCACGATATTTGGGAATGCAAAGAGGTAAAATGGACGGCGGAAGTACTGGAACCATGTAGTCGCATCGTCGGGATAGTAGTGAATCAATGTAATCTTTTGCCGGTAGGTCCGCGGTGTGATATCTACACCGAGACCGTTACTAGTGACTTCTGACACGGGAGCCCCCAGCTGCCCATCTTTTTCAGGCTCGTCTTGGCTGTCGGCCTTTGCGCTAGCTTGGAATGGATCTAGTCGTGCGTTGAAGCGATACCTGGGGAACATTGTATCGTCGAATGTGAAGACGAAAAACAGAATCAAGACGCCCTTCAGTGGTCAGTTGGTCCGTTAATGCATCAGAGTGCACAACTTACACAAGCAATCGCCACGATAGGGGAGCTCCAACGCCAGCCAATTCCATCGGAGATATAGCCACCCAAGATAAGGCCCAGAATAGAACCCAGCTGTTGGAAGAAAATGTAGATTGCAACCATGCGACCACGTTCATGTGTGAAGAACATGTCAAAGATCTGCTTATAGTTAGGAAACAGGCTCAATGACCGTTGATCTGGGCAAAAGACTTACCGTAAGCTGAATCAAAGCCTGGTATGCCGCAGTTCCAATACCTTGAATTGCCAACATGATATAGTACTGGCCCGTGCCAGTATAGAAGCCTCCCCAGACACTGCCCCCTAGGAGACAAATCAGACTGAGAATATAGACTATCTTACGGCCCAGCTTCATCGCCGTGGGAATCCATATGATGTTGAAGAAACCCAGCAGCAGGTAGTTCACCGCGCTACCGCCATTCATGTTGGTCAGACTGACACCGGTACTATCCGATATCAAAGTCCAGCTTGCACCCCAATTATTCTCGCCGAACGAGAACACGCAGGCATAGAATGATATCAAGAAGAGGGACCATAATTTCTTCGCGCGTGACCAGTTCTATGGTATGTTAGAATGCGATAATTGTGTGCGAGATGTAGGTTAGAAGGCTTACCAGTGGATCAGCTGGAGAGCTGGTTGGCTGTGGAAGGAGGAGAATATCCTGCTTTCCAGCGTGGGCAGCATTCTGGAGGGAGTGGGATGCTATGATGATATCAGTGAGATTGCAACGCTAGCAACTTTGTATCTATTTACCATCTACCAAGTAAACAGTGCCCGGGACATCGGTGAGAATATCATCGTCGCGTGCCATATTTTTCAATCTCCAAAAACGGTATCTACCTAGTTCTGGGGGTCACAGTACCTTATATATTACTTCGATCAAAGCCTCAGATATCGGAGGCCCCAGCTATAAACTTTGTGATACCCGAGCCCAAGACAAGAATACGGTTCTGCAACGATGTCCCGATTGGTCGGAACGAGCCGATGAGTCGCGATCTTCATTCTGATGGGGGTAAGATAAGAGTGTCAACGAGGGGTAAAGTGGTGCGGAAGCTCCAAGCGAATGTGCAAGCGAGATAATTGCATATGTCGAAGGTTGGCGTCTCATAGTTCCGAGGGCCAGAAGGATCGCTAATAACGGCGGTGCGGAGAAGCTTACCCCAGTTAAAGGGGCGGGAAGGTCCACGCGATGACTCGCACTTCGATAAGCCTAGTACCCATTCGGAATGCCCGAGCTCGACTAAGCTAGTACATAAGAAAGGCACTTGTGAGTGGCCCGGCCGCCTCTAGCTGTCCTGTAGTATCGGAGTTGTTCTTTTCCTCTACCATCTCGAGTCCTTTTCGCACTCGACGGGCGCCATTCAAAATGTTACCACCGCCTCTCAACCACACGTCTTCGATTCTGGTAATCGGAGCTGGAACCTGGGGATGTTCAACAGCTCTTCATCTGGCTCGGCGAGGGTACAAAAATGTCACAGTTCTAGATCCATATGGTGTCCCATCACCCATTGCTGCCGGGAATGATGTCAATAAAATCATGGAACATAAAGAGCTCAGAGGTAGGAGAGGCCATTATTAGTATTGAATGAGAAACATGAGCTGATGAGTACTAGACTCAACCCCAGATGCCCGAAGCATAGCATTTGCTACATGCACTCGAGCGGCGTTGAACGGATGGAAGAATGACCCCGTTTTTATGCCATTCTTTCACGAAACTGGAGTCATCGTGTCAGGCAGTACACCCGACCTCATCCGACACATTGAAAAAGATGAGATAGACTCCTCTAAAGGCGATTTCATCACTCTGAAAACAGCTCAAGATTTCCGCAATACCATGCCACCGGGTGTGTTGACGGGCGACTTCCCTGGCTGGAAAGGATGGTTTAGCAAGGAGGGGGCAGGATGGATCCACGCCCAAAAAGCCATGCTATCTGCACACAGAGAAGCAAAGCGTTTGGGCGTGAAGTTCGTGGTCGATGACCCAACGGGCAATGTTGTGGGACTCATTTACCAAAATGGCGATGTGACGGGAGCAAAAACCGCAGATGGCACAGTCCATCGCGCAGACCAGGTCATCTTGGCCGCCGGCGCTGGAAGCGACCGTTTATTGGATTTCAAAAAACAGCTACGTCCCACTGCGTGGACCTTGAGCCACATTCGCATGACACCGGAAGAAGCCAAGCGCTACCGGGACCTTCCAGTATTGTTCAACATTGCCAAGGGGTTCTTTATGGAGCCAGATGAGGATAATCATGAGCTCAAAATCTGTGACGAGCACCCAGGATACTGTAACTTCATTCCGGATCCTAATCACCCCGGCGAGAAGAGAAGCCTTCCGTTCGCAAAACATCAAATCCCGCTCGAAGCAGAGGCTCGAGCAAGGGACTTTCTACGCGACACAATGCCACATTTGGCAGATCGACCATTCTCATTCGCACGAATCTGCTGGGACGCTGACACCCCCGACCGTGCGTTCTTGATTGACCGTCATCCGGAGCACCCGTCTCTTCTGATTGCAGTGGGCGGATCCGGCAATGGAGCCATGCAGATGCCGACGATTGGTGGTTTTATCTCGGATGCCTTGGAAGGTAAGCTACAAAAGGAACTGAAGTATGTTGTGCGTTGGCGACCCGAGACGGCCGTTGATCGTGACTGGCACTCTACGCAAAACCGCTTCGGAGGACCTGATAAGGTGATGGATTTCCAAGATGTGAAGGAAAACGAATGGACACGAATAAACGAGACTGAGAAGAGCAAAAAGAGCATTTGATAAGTCAAGAATCAACATTTGATTTCAAGATCATGACATTATTTCACAAACATTAGCAGCAGACACTATTCGCTGGTCAAGGCACAGGTACCCATATCAAGTGTAGCCACATCAGCCTCGGGCCTGATGTCAAAGTCGAAGATATCCATGGGTACACTGAGAGTAGTGCATGCGTTGGGAATGTCAACAATACCAGCAATATGGCCCTGCACAGGGGCACAACTCAATAACAGATAGATCTGTTCATCCGAGTAGCCGTAGCGTCGGAGATACTCAATGACTCGCAGGCAAGTTTGTCTGTAGGCCACTGTAGCATCCAGGTAGTGCTGTTTTCCTTTCTCATCAACCGAGAATCCCTCAAAAGTGAGGTAGCGCCCGGGTCCAAACTGTGGTTCAACTGGGCCAGCATGGAAGATAGGTGATTTCATGTTCAGTTTCGCCATTCCACCCTTAATAACAGTGAATTTAAGTGTGATCACACCTGCCATCTCGATGGCTCCGCAGAATGAAATCTCGCCGTCTCCTTGAGAGAAGTGCAAGTCTCCCACGGAGAATTTAGCGCCGGGGACGTGAACGGGGAGGTATACTTTGGAGCCGCGCGACAGGTTTTTGATATCGCAGTTACCGCCATGTTCGGGGCGACCCTAGAAAGCGATTAGAGCATGTATGATTACATTCGAAATGCTCTGGTAACCTACTGGAATGGTTCTGGCTCCCTCTTTTGCTACTCTCTCCTTCACATCGTCGGCAGAGCTACCGGCGTGAGCATTTGTGACATTCGGTGGCTGCGCCACAATTCGATCGGTGACTGTATTCGCAGCAATCAGCTCGCCTTCGCGGCGGTTCCACTCAGCCAGAACCTCTGCTGAAGGGGCACATCCCAGGATTCCCGGATGGATCAGCCCTGCGAAGCGAACATGAGGAATGTGCCGAGATGAACAGAAGATGCCTTCAAAATCCCAGATTGCCTTCGCGCTATGAAGAATCCAGTTAGCGACAACTGATTTGACAGGAAGGGATGAGCGTACGCTTTGGGATAGTGCTCATCCAAGAAGCCACCACCGTTGTTGCGATCGAAAATGCCTGTGAATCCCCATGGCTGGTCCTGGAAGGGCTGGACGTCCTGGATCTCGACGAGCAGTACATCGCCAGGCTCGGCAGTTTCGATGTCAAAGGGACCGGAGAGATAGTGAATTTCTGTCAGGTCAACGTCTCTGACATCGTCGGCCGAATCGTTGTTCTTGATCTGTCCGCCTGTCCAGTCCAGACATTCGATCTTCACGACTTCATTGTTGGCGATCTTTCCACATGCGGGAACTATTGATATTCTTAACACACGCTTGATTTGGGAGTAGATTTAGAATTCACCCACTGTCTGGATGCCACCGGTTCTGTAGAATGTCAGTTCTGCTCTGCCTGAATGATGTTGGGAGGGTCCACTCACATGCAGTCCGGGCTGCTCCCGGGCATGCTTATCGAGGTCGACCTTGAGAGCTGTGCGAATACCCTTGATACCCATATTTATCGTGACTCTTTCTGAGAGATATGTAACCTTGTCGCTAAATGATCGTTTTTCTTCAAGAAAAGAATGGGCCAAAAAGGCGCAGGCAGAAGAGGAGGAGATAAGGCAAGGTTGCATGCTTCTCCGCAGAGGGGTAGACTCCTACCCGCTTGATAACCTTTATCTATTCTCCAATTCGAGCGCCCACCAGGCGCCACCAAGGATCGGGTTGGGGAACTAAGTGAGACGTTATTGGCTGTCCGCAAAGCGACGGCTGTGAAGATGGATGATTGACACAGCTTACCCCACTGGAGGTCCCGAGGCTGTGCGCGGTGCGCTTTTAGCCATTTGTCCGACTTCATTATCGTATCTGCCGCTCCTAGATATCCGGTCTTATCTTGAGTCAAGCTTTTGGATAACCTCATCCAGTCTTACTTCTCCGCGGCATGGGCTAGGATGATGAGCCAAATGTTATCGCAATTTTTCTGCGCCACTTGCTTGCTTAGCTTCTGCGATACGGCTCTGTGGCCTGTCCACCTCCCCCATGCTGACAAAAACGCACAACAGTTTTTCCACTTCTCGAGCTAATAATATACATCGTACCAACATTTCCGATCGGTCTCTTGACTGGTTTTGTTTCCTGTTTCCTGTTTCCTGTTTCCTGTTGCTCTGAAGTAGGTTCCAGTACATGTGGTCATCCCAGCATTAAGTGCCAATTCCCACCTCCATTCTGCTGTCCCTGTCTTCCCTCTCGACGACAAGTAGAACAACAAGCTTAGTGCCTCCGCTCTCCCCGCTCATTCAAGCTCTATGTTACCAAATTGAAGATTTGGACAAATTAGGGACAGAAATACCAGGCAAGCATTTCCTTGCGAGGAGCCAGTAAATTTGGTTCCCCGCATGAATATTTTCATATTAGTCCTTGCTTTCGCGAGGTCCTTGCGTCTCTTCCAAATCCCGCATTGAGGTGTATTTATAGTTCCGAAATTGCTTGAGATCTTGTTTACCTGTGGAAGTGTTGGTGCGATTGTTATACTTGTTCGACAGTTGACAGAAAATGGAGTATACATATGTGTACTATCGCTCGTTCACAGCCATGCGTGGGCATAGTCCCGAAATTAAGGTAAGATCTAGATGAATCAAGGTCATACCATGCAATTCTGACGAGGGCACCGGAGAATGTATTGCTCTACCGACTGGATCAAACATAGAATATGTAACCATGAGCTCAAACCTATCCAGTATTGAGGCAGAACCATAATATGAACACAACAATTTTCAATTGTTGATGATCGTTTCACATGTTTGCTTCCACGATCTGGACCTCAATTTGACGCCGTAGCTGCAGATACCCGCCAAATTCACCTCGCACAAGATCCGAGCAGCCCGGTCAAGCCGACCTGTTGGCTTCAGAGCTTACTCTATCTACCAGCGTTCTCAACTATAAATCCAAGCCTTATTCTGCTTCGGGCTATTTCTCTCCATCATTTCCCCATTGGATTCCCTTCAATATCCAAAAAAATATCGAACATCAACCCCATTTCCGAAAAAGTATGTCTCCCTCAATCTGCAACGTGGCTCTAGCCCTGGCCTTCGCAGCCACCGCACTGTCGGCTGTTCCTGGGGGATATGTGGGCTCTGGACGTTTGATGGATACACTGGTCGGTAGTCAGGATTATGTTGGGAGCTGTAAGTGCAGATCCGCCTGAGCATTCATGATGACAGCACTAATAAGAAAACTTTAACAGGTTTGGCCCATTATGCCGTTAACTATTCGGATACATGCATGTCCATTGTCAACTTGCACCCCGACACCTTGAGCCTGAATGAATTCTACAAATGGAACCCACAGGTCGAGAGCGACTGCTCAAATCTTGTCCCGGGTGAGAATGTCTGCTTACGCGCTGGTACTCTGCAGGACTGTGGCGCCTGTAGCTCTTTCTATAAGTGCTAGGACCGGTTCAGATAGTCGCAGCTTTGGGAATTATCTGCCAGCAGCAAGCGGGGAGCACATTATGGGTTCCTGGTTGAAGGTTGATGAGGAGCTTCGATAACTGAGCTATGTGTTTCACTTTATTTGCTGGTCTAGTATAATGTTGAGTTTTGCGGGAGGGTTCGAATTGAAATGATTTGATTTGGAGGATATGATGTGCATCGTTTGTAGCGTGGGATAGCCTAAAGACCCCACTCTGGCGCTTACAATAGATAGTAAAAAGGCATGTGGGTTTCTAGAATAGTACTTTATCTAATTCAGCTCTGGAGGTTGGTAGAATTAGTCGAGGAGCGGGACTAATCTCCTCAGCGGGACCGAATCTTTTCCATCGGTGGGACTGGATTTCCCGGTCAACGGGACCGTAACCGACCCACCCCCGGAAACAGACATTGTTTTCAAACAAGGAGTAGATCGAAACATTCAACGTTCATTAATTCCCTACATTGCTTGAGTACGAGTCCCGTATCTTAGATGCGTCATACACTTCCAAAATGTCGAGTCGACACAGTCTTGACCAATAATCATGTCTTGAAGATATCAGCAGAGCTTAGTGGTGCCTATTCAACCTTTGGTAAAGTACCCACAAAAGCCCTTGTTTTCAATAATCCAGAAAGTGTAATTTGGAAAGCCGATCTAAGATAGTAAGTGTACTCACTTTCAAGTGTTTTGATTAAAGCTTCTAAGTTGCTCTTTGAAAGTCTTCTTGATTCTACTCCAAGGTTTTCTTCTAATTGACTATTGACTTAATTCAGAAAACTAGTCATAGCCACATGCGTAGACGCATTAGCATTATGCATCCAAACATTGGTCCGGGCCGTCCAAATGGAAAACCCGGGGTTGCGGGGAAAGGGTGGACTTTACGGGGTTCTTGGTCTGCGGGGCGGTGGATTAACTAACCGATGTATACCCAGGTAATTGAAATAGGATCATCCCTGTCAGGAAAGTGCTTATTGTAATCTCCTTTTCCTGACCAGATCTTCTGGCTTCAAGAGATTTGCTCTTTATTCAAACAATGTCTAGCGTAACAGAAAAGGTCCACGAGGCTGTCTCACCCGAAGCATGGGATCCTTCGGAAGCTGAACATGTGGAAGACACCAAACAGCCGTTGGAGACGAATCTTGTTTATGAGGAGGATGAAGAGCCAGAATTCCATGCGCAGACCTGGTTCGCTCTAGCGGCGATGTTCTTCCTCAACCTTGTTCAAGTATTCGGCTTGATGGGTCCTCCAGCAGGGGTATGCGAATCCGCGATACAATCCCAGAAAAGAAGACATTGACTCGACCCGCTAACCTGCTGGCTCTTAACTGCAGCTATCCTATATCGAAAAAGATCTAAACAATACCGTCGCCGGTACATGGGTCCCCAATGCCCTTTCGCTCGTCCAGGCTGTTTTGTCCCCTGTCATCTCTTCGGCGTCAGACACATTTCAGGCACGAAAAGCCTTTCTTGTTGGCCCCGCAGTTATCTCGTTTATTGGATCTGCGATCGCGCCCGGATCTTCCAGCATCTATCGAGTCATCGCGTCTCAGGTATTAATTGGATTCGGATTTGCTACCGTGCCGTTGGCATATTGCGTGCCAAGTGAGATTCTGCCTCGAAAATGGAGACCCAGTAAGTGAAAAAAAGAAAGGAATCTCACTATATGAGGTGCAAAGATTAATGAATAACCCCTTGCAGTGGCACAGGCTGCGATGAACGTTGCGGCAGCAGGTGGTGCTTGTTCAGCGCCATTGATCATTGGTGCTCTGACCAAAGCCAATGCTCACACAGGATGGCGCAATTTCTATGTAAGGGTTCTTCGATATAGCCGGACATTACATTTCTCATGAAGCTTCTAGTGGGTTCAAATGGCTCTATGGGGAGTGACTGCCATCTGCCTTTTCATCGGTTATAAACCACCAAAGCGACACAATCACCTCGACCACCTGTCTATTTGGCAAAAATTAGCTCGACTCGACATACTAGGATTTATCCTGCTTACTATTGGCTTGACATTGTTCTTGGCTGGACTTAACTCCGGTGGTACATTGTACCCATGGGCTTCTGCGCAAGTGCTGGCGACTCTAATCATCGGTCTCCTCTGCCTGGTTGCGTTCGCAATATACGAGTGGAGATTCACCAAGACAGGCATCCTCCATCATGATCTCTTCCGTGGAGGCAGGAATGGCGGCAGAACTTTCGCTATCTCTGTCGGCCTCATTTTCATCGAAGGAATTCTGCTATTCAGCTACGTGATTTTCTATCCTGTTTTGTAAGGCTCCAACCTGAATGATCTGCTTTTTGGGAATATTGCTAACACCGTGGCTCTAGAACCACCTCTCTATTCACAGATGATCCTTTTTTGATGGCTGCAAGGTTACAACCCTTCTGGGTTGCCTCCGGACTAAGCACAGTGTTCTACGGATATTGGAGTACCAGATTCAGAATGATTCGGGCGCCATTATTCGTCGGATTCCTCTTATTCACAGCAGGAATAGTGGGCCTTGCTACTCTTGCGCCAGAAGACGAATTGAGTGCCTTGATTTTCTCTGCCCTTGCTGGGATGGGTTTTGGTGCGCCCCTTATACTTCTCATTGCAGCGGTTCAACTTTCTACACCGCACCACCTCATCGCAACCGCAACCGCAGCAACGACATGCTCTCGAGCCGTAGCCGCAGCCGTCTTTACGGCTATATTTTCGACTGCGTTTGAAACGCGTATTGGAAAGAATCTTCCAGCGGATGTCGCCCAGGCTGTGTTGAAGGCGGGGCTTCCCAGCAGTTCCGTTAAAGCTTTCATCGGAGCGTTATCATCTAACGATACAGCCGCGCTTTCGAAGATCCCAGGTGTTAGCTCAGCAATAGTTTCCGCCGGAGTAGCTGCACTAAAGCAGGCATATGCTGATTCACTGAGAGTTGTTTACATTATTGCAGCTCCCTTCGGTCTTCTGGCTTGCTTGACATGTTTTTTCTTGGGAGACCTGAAAAAAGTCATGGACTACGCAGTTGAAGCGCCGGTAGAGGATCTGCACGCTAAACGAAGCCATGCCCATGGCCCCCATGTCTAGGTCCTGTGATGTAACCTTTGGCAGAATCGAGATTTTCGGGTCAAATTCGCTTTCTACAATATCCTGGACTGACTTCAATTTGAGACTGAACAATACACTGATGGATGCCGTAATGATATACTACCTCTGGTCCTTCTAAAGAATCTTTTGATGCTGAATGTCAGATGATTGCCCACATTATATGGACATTATCAGAGAGATCCAAGATATCTCAGCGGCTTAAGATAATTTTTTGCCTTCAAAGCTGGCATTCTGAGCCTCCTTCTCATCCATGTCAACGTTGAGCTTATCAATTTTATCCAAAGAAAGCTGCAGGAAATCGTGTTTGTTTTTCCACGTCACCTGGCTCTCTGCAAAGCCTTCGCTTTCCGCGGGGGTAGGTGGCGGGTCAGTGATCTTGGTGACCAGATACGCAGTGGAGGCCTCGGCAACGCCGTACATGAGAACACCGAGGAATGGGAGCTTCAGAATAACGGTGAATCCGAAGGCAAACCCAAATAGAACACCCTCACGATCCCGGAACCAGCGTTTCTTCTGTTCAGGAGTAAATCTAACGCGACGGAAGTATGGTTCGAGCTAGGAAATTGTTAGCAAGGCATTTGATTTTTTGGCAATGGACATAAAATGACTGACCAGCTCTCGCATCAGACTTCTGGATGCGAAATAGGTGTGAAGGAACCTGACAATGTATGTCTTGGGCAAGATAAGACCAGCGCCGAAGATAGCAGCGGCAGGTGCGGTACCCACATGGGTCCGGAACGTGTAGAAACTTGCTGCGGGCATCACAAAGCGACCAACGATTGGGGTCAAAGAGATAAGGTAGATTCCAAGAAGCATCCCCATTCTCTTGGCGTATCGGTTGACAAATGCCATGATGGCGTCCATTTTGGGCTGCGATGAACGAGGACCGCCCTTGGTTGGGAACATCACCAGGTGAGGATAGTACATGGCCCGAAGTTGGTTCGGGTCCTCCGATTTGTGCTTCTGGATATATGTCGCATCGACCCACTGAATAGACTGCATGAAGCTGGTAGGGTAGTCAGCGGTGGTAGGCGGAGACTTCCTAAGGACACCTACATCTCGTCCAGAGTGGGAGTGACGTATCCCATGAATGTCATCAGTAGGAAAGGCACCTGGAGGACAGACTTGGACAAGAATTCCAAGCCATCGAGGAGCTTGTCATCCCAAGTGGCATGGTCAAGATTGATAATCCATGACAGCAAGTACAAGGTGAACTTGAGGCCGATAATCTTGGGTCATATATTAGCCACGTAACAACCCAGGTCAGACTTCCCAAGCATACTGGAATTTGAATGATCAACTGGATGACGATTCCCACGGCTATAGCAAGCGCTGCTTGACGGAAGTGTTCATATTTGAAAAGCTCGGGGTTTGTTAAGGCCCGGACAGCTGCAAATCAAGGTTAGCAACAGATCAACGTCACGTTCTTGACTAATGTCTGCCTAGAGAAGGCATTCTGTACAACGTTGATCTCAAAATCAGACACCAAGGCAAATCTAGACACCAAAAGTGCCAACGGGCAGTTGTAAAGATCGGGATCTTGTAATAAAGCTTCACTTCTCGAATAGGCAGCAGGTCAAGTGGGAAACGTACTTCCTACCACAGTAAGCTGAAAGCCGCGGATCACGGCATTGGGCTCGAAATTCGACATGATCGAGCCCTTTCCTTGTAATTTTCTGATTGTTTGTCGGTTGGCTCTTGTCAAGGATGAGACAAGGGAAGGCAGCGTCAACAAATAAGTCCAGGCATCCATTTGTTGCGTCATGTCACATGACTTTGTGCCTGATTAATAAGGCCATAATTCCGTCTCCGCGCAAACACGCGCGAACACGGGGGAGAGATAAGCCTCAACTTTCAGCTCCCCACCATGCGCTCTCAGTGAATCTGGTTCTGAATGCCGCCCTCCCTAATTCATCCCTTGATATTGTCCCGCGACGATGCCCGAGCCTCTAAGTGAGTCCTCGGGCCCGATACAATCCATCCGTCGCTCGGTCACTCTCCCCACGAAGTTAAACCCCCCGGCGCAACCGGCGCAACGTGTTTCAGGCGCGCCAAACATCAGAGAAAACGTCATTTTCTATCATCCTTCGGCAAAGATTGTCCATTTTGCTCCCAGGGCTCTCGTGCCAATTCCGTCGAGTACCGCGCCTACCGATTTCGATTACCCCGTGGACACCATCGAGACACTCCCATGGCGCTCAGCCACTGAACGGACCGTCGCAACTGCACCCTTGAGGCTGGAAATGGTGCACGGACTGACTGTCTTCCTCAAATGCGGAAATGTCGTCCATGCGATCCTGAAGAACTCCCAGTGTTGGTGTGTTGACGGCGTTTCGAAGTTTGTTTTGCGCATTCGCCCGCTCACTTATTATCGCATCGAGCTGCCGTATGAATTGAACGAAGAGAAGATATTAGTGGAGGATTTGAAAATTGCATTGCCTACTGTACTGCGATACGAAGTCACGCCATGTCCTTTCAAGCGCGCTTTCACTGTCGAGATCCCCGAGGATGCGATGGCGCCACGTCGCAAAAAGGCCTGGCAACCGAAGGACCGCAAAGACAGTCTTCTTTCAGTCCCGGGGAGTAACCAGAGCTCGCCTTCGGAAGGCAAGTCAGACTGGCTCGACTCCACCAGTACTGGAGACGACACCGATGGAGGCGTAACGGATGACAGTATGGGCCCCAAGGCGGCTAAGAGTACGACACCAGAGCCTTCACCTTCTGGCGATCAGTCACCCGTGTTCTCCAATACATTCGAGCTTCCCATACAACCGAAACCCACTAGGCGCTCGGTGACTGAAATTCCGCAAACCTTCACCAGCCTTCGGGCAAAGTTTGATTCGAGTCCTGTGCCAGAAGAACTTCCAATGTCAGAGGAAACCCAAGCTCCGGAAGAAGCCGTACTGGTAGAGCAGACTCCTGTTCCAGAACCAGTTCAAGCTCCGCCTCCAGAGGAAGGTCAGATGGTGCAGAACGCGCCTGTTTTCGAGGAAGTTCCAATTCAAGAAGAGACTCCTGCCCAGGATGATACTTTGACCCCAAGAAACCCTTCGACTCGAGAAAATACAGTTCTCCCAGATGAGCTTCCAGCTCAACCGGAAATCCCTACTGTGCACGTAGACACAGAACCGGTCGCTGATTGTCTTCTTTCGGACCCTCGGGAGGATCTTGAAGCATTGAAAGAAGCCCAAGGCGGGGACACTTTAGCTTCGGAACATGGCCTATCGACAGAACCTGGATCGCAGGTGGAAGGTCTGACCACAGAGGCTATAATATCAGAAGTCTCTCCCGTTTACAGCGAAAGCCTTCCCCCAAGAACCTTCGAGCCTTGCAAGAAATCTCCGATTCCAATCAGAATGCTGTTCCAGATGCCCATGCTGCAGACAAGGCCCGTGTCGCGGCCAAGGCCACCGATGGCTGTGCTCCGGAGGTCCCGACCTTGACAATCCCGATTTCAAAGCCATATTCGATCTCCTACCGTGAACCCGATACCGAGCATACCGATTCGTTCTCATCTACGCCTGATTCTTTCCACTCGGCGGATCCTACATCGCCCTCGGATTCGATCTCCACCCATACAACACCTGAAAAACATCGTGACCTGTCTCAAGCAGACTCCTACCTATCTGGGCCAACGGAAGGTTTTTTACCTCATAAGCTGGAGGTATTCCCAGCCCAAGACACTTCAGCGAGCAATGGTTCTCCTATCGCATCTACGAATTTTGTCTATTACGAAGCGAGAGAGAGACCCCAAAAGCCTTCTTTGGCGATCTCTTCGGGTATCAAGACGGACTCGCAGACTGTTGCCAAAGGTTCGTCTCCCCCAGCGGATCTCAGCCTTATGAGCACAGAATTCCGCCGCCGGGCACAGGCAACAAGAGAGCGCGACGTCTCTCCGATGCCCCCCTCTTCCGCGATCTATCAACCAAACCGGGGCATGGAAGCCAAATCTATACTTTCAAAGACCCTCGCACTTGTGCTCGTCCCGCCGATTTCGCTTTTCATCATCTTGCTGCACATTACAGCGCGTATTGTTATCAGCCCTGCTGTTAGTTCCTCTCCAGGCGAGCCCACGTCAGGCTCGCGTTCAGCAAAGAACGAGCCTGCCGCCGAGGATGATGATTTTGATTTCCCTTTGGAGCGTGAAACGTCTTCTGAATACGAAGATGCAGAGATAACCAGGAAGTTAGACCCCTGGGAGCTCGACTAAGTGACGACACCGTCAGTCTGTGATACCACCCCTCCCCTGTTTCTTATATCCCATTTTTTGCTACATTACCATTGATTTAATTTGTACTCTTTCCGCATGTGACCCCACGATTTGATTTTCTGTTTACGAATATTTGGACATTGATTTGCATAATTATCACGGTGGACATAGTGGCTGGATGGATTTCCCGGGACTTTCTTTTCTTTATTTCAGCGTTTGCATATACCATAGTGGGACTGGGGGTCGTGTCAGGACTATGCCTTAGTTAGGTTCCAAAATTTGCTTTCTAATTTTTCAATTGAAGGAGTAATTGACATGTTCTGCGATATCAATTATCATTTCGTCAGTATATGAGCCGTCGATTTAGCGCACTCGAGTGAAGCCACGCGCTTATGATTGATTGCAAGCTCGGCCCCTTCCCGCATTCCGCACTGGCCTCCAAAAACATTCCCCTAAACCACATCGGGCTAAGTATCACTTGGTATTTCAACAGCTCAACAGCGAGCCTGCAGGCTTGCTCTAACTCCTACCCGTGATCATTGTTGAGCAAACCCTTGTTGTCCAGTCAGAAATATGCTCGACCTCAGTCAGGCCCTGCTCCTGGGCCTCGTCGCCGCAGCGGGCTACATAATGTATCGTGGGTCCAGACACGATCCACGTGAGCCGCCAATACTGTCGAATGGAATTCCTATAGTCGGACACATGCTCGGTATGATGTGGTACGGAGTTGGATATTGGACAATGCAGGCGTGAGTCGCTCAGCACCCTGAAGAAACCCCAACACCTAGCTAAGCGCATCTTCAGAAAGCAGAAAGCATCCTATTCCATCTTTGGAATTGACCTGTTGTTCACTAAAATCTACATCATCACTTCGCCAGAGCTGATGCAGTCCATCCAGCGCAGCAAGTCTCTCAGTTTAGATCCCCTCTTGGATCTTGCCGTGCTCAGATTCTCGGGTATTACCAACAAGCAGACTTTGGATCTGATGCTTGACGCCAGTTCTGGCGGCCAGGGCTTTGCTCAAAAGCTCATGCATGCATTGGCACCTACGATGATTGGAAAATCATTGGATCAAATGAACATTCGGATGGTTCGCTTTATGACGCCTCTCATTGATGAGTTGGGAGATAAGTCCTCTGTCGATCTTTACAAGTGGTGCCGGGATGCTATCACTGATGCTAGCAATGATACTATGTTTGGGCCCATGAACCCGTTTAAGGATAAGGAATTATCCGATGCATTCTGGTGGGTTTGGTTCGATTCACAAATAAGTTTGACAGGGCTAACCCGGACAGGGACTATGAAAATAATTTGGGCGCGCTCGTGGCCAACGCGTTACCCTGGCTCACTGCACGCAAGCCGCTGAAGGCCCGTGAGAAGATTGCCGCTGCGATCTTGAAATACCATCAAAGCGGAGGGGTCGAGCAAGCATCTGAGTTGGTTAAATTGAGACACACCTCGATTCTCGGGGCGGGAATCTCGCCGGAGGAGTATGCGCTTCTAGAGACACCCCTGCCAACAGGGTTTCTCTCGAACACCGTCCCGGCAGCATTCTGGTCTTTATATGATATCTACTGCCGTCCAGAGCTCCTAAACGATCTTCGTAAAGAGGTGGAACTAAACGCCCTCTCTATTCGGACCAATGGCACTCATATTATAGATATCGGCGCTCTACGGGGAAGATGTCCGCTTCTTCTATCTACATTCCAAGAGATTTTACGGACGCGAACAATGTCATCACCTACGCGATATGTAACTCAGGATACACTGATTGCCGACAAATATCTTCTCAAAGCAGCCAGCCTCGTTACTATGCCATCCATTGAGATGGGGAAACAGCCCGAAGTCTGGGGAGAAACAGCAAATGTTTTTGATGCTCAGAGGTTCATGAAAGGGGTGGCCTCGGAGACCCGCCCAAGTGAAAGAGAGCCCCGCCGTCTTGGTGGGTTCATGACATTCGGTGTCTCGCCCACAATCTGTCCTGGTCGTCATTTTGCCAGCTCTGAGATATTAGGAATGGTTGCCACCATGATTCTGCAATATGATATATCCCCCGTGTGCGGGACCTGGGAAGAACCAGAGAAGTTTTTATCTTCCCTTGTGTCTATTATGACTCCCGTGAGGGGTGCGTTCCCAGTCAACGTGAAGCGAAGGCGGCAATATGAAGATACCAAATGGGATTTCCATGTGGAGGAAGGCAAAGGGCAATTTCCGTTAGTGATTGGATAGATGATCTGATCAGAAAGAATATATTGGCTCGTGGTTCACAAGTGCATAAGGATATGTACACCCGGGAATAAGCTCGTAAGGAATCATTGACACGAAGTTTTGCAAAAGGACCACCGATGAACGCCAGTAAAATGCAAGATGGGCGATGCCAAGGGCATTGAAACCGTAATAGAAACAAAAAGCAGTTCACGCCTTAATGGCCTTGGATACACCCTTGCCCTTCGCCTTGCGCTTGCTGCGGTCCCGCTTCTTCAGGCCTGTCATGCTGGCCTTGCACACATCCGCATACCGAGTGTAGAACGCCTCAAGCTGATCCGCAGGAACAACTGTCGAGAATTTGACTTTTGAGGCCTTAGAAACCTTGGTCTTATCGATTTTGCCGTCTTTGTCAATAGGCTTCTTTGCGTCGGTGTTGCCATTGGAAGCGCGGATAAGAATAGATGGTTGGCCACTAGTGACACCGTCGATCAGAGGCTTTTGAGACAAGAAGACAGAGCCTCGGGATTTCTGCGAAGTCTTGGAGAGGAGCTCGGTGAGAGCTGAGAAGAACTGCGGTGACGGAGGTGTTAGCGATACCGTAGGTGGTCTCGTGGCTGAATGTGCGGAATGCTCATGTCAAGAAGGTAGGCAAGACAAACCTCGTCGGTGGCCATGTGAGGCGCCATTATGATTTTAGAAGAGTGCGACGCGCACAGGAACCGTATCAATGCAATCTGGAGCAAGAGACAGCGCAATGACCAGCGAGGCTCGTGGGAACGAAACTCCGCTGTGGGCGGGCTCGCCGCCTTCACGTTTTGCCGGCGAGAAAAGTGGCCCTGGAAAAAGTTCAGTCACCGCCCGCGTAGCTTCGTCTTTTGGTCTCTGCCTCTCAATACTTCTAGACCCAAGTCACCATGCCGCGTCGAATGCATAATACGACCTCCTTACCTCGGGGCTTGCGCTCCGAGCTGGGGATCAGGGATACTTACGGGGAAAAGAAGCGCAAACAAAAAGGTCCCGCTAATCGGAAAGACCGACGAAAGGCAGAGCGCGATGACAAGAAATCAAGAAAGCAGGTGGCTCCGGCACAGAAAAAGTTTCAGCGAATTGAGGAAGGCGATGAGGAGGAGGAGGAGGAGGAAGACAACATCGATCTAGACGAGGACGACGATATTTCCAGCGACGATGCAAGACCTACGAAGAAATCGAAGCCCACTCCCGAGGCAAAGCCGAAGCCCGCGTTAAAATCCAAGAAGTCTAAGGACCCTGAACCTGCTTCCGATAGCGACAGCGACGACGGACAAGGCTATGAAGATGATGATGTCTTGGATGAGACTACCCCACAATCACCCGTCCATGTGTCCGCCGGCGTCAAGTCTAAGTTGGCCCAGGACGATGCGGAAATTGCGGCGCTGGAGAAGAAGCTTGGCTTGAAGAAAGGGAAGAAGCTTCCAAAAGCCTTTGCAGAGGATGGATTGGAGGACTTGATGGGAGATTTGGGCGAGGAGTCAGAGGACGATAGCCGAAAGCGCAAGCGCGAGGCTGATGAGTGGTTGTTGAGCAAGAGGCGAAAGGCACAGGCTCTTCAAGCGCAGGTGTCTGAAGATGATGATGACGATGAAGATGATGACGAGCTCGACAGCGACGAAGAAGGCGACAACCTCGACGACGAAATCTTCGGGGACGAGAGTGATGAAGACGACGAAGGCGAAGGCGAGGACAGCGACTTCAAGGGATTCGATGAGAAACTGCTCCCCAAGAAAAGGGAAAACCCTTACATCGCTCCGGTTTCGAAGCCTGAGACTACGCAAAAATATATTCCCCCGTCGATGCGAGCTCGTCAAGACCCCGAATCAGAGTCCCTTACTCGTTTAAGGCGCCAAGCCCAGGGACAATTGAATAAGTTGTCCGAGGCCAATTTGATTTCTATTGTTGGCGAATTTGAGAAACTCTATCGTGATTACCCTCGTCAGAGTGTGACCTCTACTTTGATCAATCTATTGATGGGCATGATCTGTGAGAGAGCCGTTCTACAGGACACTTTCATGGTTCTCCATGCAGGATTCATTGCGGCACTGTACAAGCTTCTGGGCATGGACTTTGGTGCTGAGATTGTCCAGCATGTGGTCGAAATCTTGGATGCGGGTGCTGATGAACGCGGCAAATTTGAGGGCAAGGAGGTCGTTAACCTTGTTTCCCTTCTGTCGCAACTGTACAACTTCCACGTTATCGGCAGCACATTGATGTTCGACTACATCCGTCTCTTCCTGGCGGAGATTAACGAAACCAACACCGAGCTTTTGCTTAAAGTCATTCGAAGTAAGTGGTTCTACGATGTCGATATTGGAATTCATCTAACAGCTGCATAGACTGTGGTCCCCAACTTCGACAAGATGACCCATCATCACTCAAGGACATTGTCCTGCTCATCCAACCCGCTGTGGCTAAGGCTGGCGAGGCTGCCCTTTCGGTTCGCACTAAGTTCATGATCGACGTTATCACCGATCTCAAGAACAACAAAGTCAAGTCTGCTATTGGCGCCAGTGTGACCTCAGAGCATATTACCAAGATGCGCAAGGTTCTTGGCTCGTTGAATAATTCTCGTGTCATTCGTGCTTCCGAGCCTATCAGCATCAGCCGCGCCGACATCCACGATTCTTCGAAGAAGGGTAAATGGTGGTTGGTGGGTGCAAGCTGGAAGGATGATCCTTTGGTTGCTGCCCGGAAGGAGTTAGCCAGCGCGGAAACAAAAAAGACCCACGTCGAGGACGATGACAGTGAGGCCGAGCCCGACCTGGGAGACCTTGCCAAGGCTCACCGTATGAACACTGATGTCCGTCGATCCATTTTCGTTGCGATCATGTCTGCGAACGATTTCCAAGATGCGCATGTCCGTCTTCTTAAGCTTCGCTTGAAGCGGGCCCAGGAGTTCGAAATCCCCCGTGTTCTTTTGCATTGCGCAATGGAAGAACAAGCACACAATCCCTACTACACTCTCATTGCCCGACGTCTCTGTGGTGAACTAGGCCGACGCATCAAAATGTCCTTCATGTTCGCCCTTTGGAACATTTTCAAGCGAATGGGCGAGAAAAGCGACCTTGACGAAGATGACGATTTTGACCCTGACGATGAAGAGAACGGAGTTAGCATGAAGGCCGTGGTCAACGTGGCCAAGATGTTCGGTATGCTTATCGCGGACGGCTCCTTGACTTTAGGCATCCTGAAGAACCTCAACTTCGCCTACCTCCAACCCAAGACCAAGACCTTTGTTGAGATTTTGATCATCAGCATCATCCAGCAATCGCAGAAGACTAAGAGGGCGAAAAAGAGAGCCGATTCTAGCGAGTCTAGTTGGGATGAAGAGTCTTTGATGCAGATCTTCTTACGTGTGCAGGAAGCGCCCCAAATTGCTAAGGGTCTGATTTACTTTGTCCGCAAAGTTGTCGCCAAGAGTGATATCGTCTCGGGCAAGGAACAAAAAATGGTGCGCTGGGGCTGCAATGTTGCTGTAGATACCCTGAAGGCTGTGAAGGACTAAGGCTTGCATAAAGGAGGCATTTTGTCTTGTTATGGATTTGTAACTAGAATATACCCATGGAAATATCGGTTGAAGTTGCATTGCGGCTTTTAAGAATTGAAAGTTCCATTGCGCATAACTCATATCGGACATGAATGTTACGATTATCGTATAAGTGCCCTTTTCATGGGTCTTCTGATAGTAAATCCCATTCCATAGCAACTAACCAGCGCTGGTTTGCATCGTATGTGGGACCGCTCTCAAAGGCAAGGCCTTTAGTGACGCCAAGTGCGTGGAGATCATGCAGTTCCATTTCCCATGTTAAGCCACGATGAATACCCACCAAGTCGCCTGTTTGGACTGATGAGACATGAGATTGGTCAGTATGCGAGCCATCACTTGTGTGGGGTCGAGAGCGAGGCAGTCCCATCGCCATAATATTAAAAAACTCGCCCTCTTGTTCCAATTCTTTGGATGGCTTCATATTTTCAGCCTGGATGAGCGTCAATGGGCCAGAGTTGCTCAGTGTTCCCTGGCTAACATGGACAACACGAGCAGTCACAAGGTACTTGCTCGAAGCACTTGTTGCTTCAGAAGACCTACTTTGGCCTATGCCTTCATGCTTTGATCCCATCTCAAGGATCCAACTTCGCACCTCGGCTGCCATTCCGCCAGGCGTGTAGCCCGGCTCTCCTGTGCGACCTCGACCGCGACGGCGAAGAGAACGCGAAGAAGGAGAGAATGGTGCCGGAATATCTTCGGCAGCCGCGTCTGGTGACGGTTCACGAGGAAGGACAAAAGCCGGCTTTCGTCTCTCGGGTGGTGAAGTCGGCTGTGTTGCGAACGGCGTCTCAGCTCTGAAGGGAGCCGGATTGGAAAGGGGCTTTTTGGTTGAGAGCATGAAGCGAGGTTTGCTGCGAAAAGGTGTCGTCATAGTCCCAGGCGTTGATAGTACCGGGCCCGTTGGTGGAGCTAGCATGCCTGGTATTGCATGTGTATCATTGTCCAGACCTACCGGCCTCGGCGCGACACGAGGAGCGGGCGTCCTCAGAGGATCGGGAGTGGCATACTGAGGCTCAGATGATGCCGATGGTATCACGCTATCGTGGTTCAATTTATCATCCAGAGACTGATGCCCTCCGGAGAGTCGTCGCCGCTTGTGATTGTCTCGCACGGGTGCAAACACCGCGTCGAAATCGGTGCCCAGGTCGCCGGGGCTCGCCTGTGTTGGTAGAGAGCTGTCGATGACATCGTCTACTAATTCCGTTCCCTCGGCGTCTCTAGGTCCAATGTCTCTGAAAGGCTCGCCATCATCTGAATCCTCGATCACGTCCCTTTGCCAACGAGGTCGGAGGGCATTCCGGGATGGGGCTGGGGTGTGCGTGCCAGCCGGGGCGGTCGAGATGAGGCCATCATCGTCGTCGATGTCGATTTCATTATTCCGCTGTGATGTACTCTGTGAGATCAAAAACCGAGGGGAGTTGGCGAACTGCGGACCGGCGCTACGGCGCGTCGATTGCTGGCGGCGGGATAGGCGGAATGGAGATGGAGTCTGCAGGGCTCTGTAAACATGGAGGTTTTAGATATTCACAAGGGAGGTATACTCCTGGGAAAGGCATTGGATTAGGTCCATTCACGGCGCCCTAATCATATGGCGTATGGCGTTGAGTTAGATTCGCGTAGTTGGAGACGATCGGAAATTGCGGGGAACAGCCAAGTGGCCATCCCGCGAAATGCATCGGTTACTAACGTCCAAATCCTGAATGCCAGCAAATCTAGATTTTGGAAGGCTTCGATTCTTACTTAATGATCTAGAAATACGTAGACCTACGTAAAAGCACTATTTGCTCTGTGTCTTTCCATTACCAGAAGGAATGAAATAATCCCTGTGATTGACTTAAAATTTGGAGGGACTTTGCCGTTGTACCATGTGAATGTCTAATCAGTTGGATCTATCTGCCTGGTGGGAAGGGAAAAGGAGATCGCTTAGGATGCTGATGAACAAATTGCAGACCTATCAGATATTATACACTAACTTTTCATGATATGAGAATTGGCCGAGTGACAATGCAGCCAAATGTACTATACACCTCATACCCAGAAACTATATACAATAAAAAGCGTTTACCACCTGGGCAAATGTCCCTGCATCTCAAGTACTCATTCTTCTCGGACGTAATAAGTCATGCAACATATCAACTCATATTTATGCCAACTTCGCATCACGCGTGGGGCTACTCCTATACACAGAAAGAGTTACTTAGTAGATATTTCTTGGGTCTTCAGGTCATCATGAGTCTCATTTCTGCAAAAAAAAAAAGTGAAAAAAATAAGGGATGAATATACATGAGAGTTATACAGTCCAAGAAGAGAGCGCCAAAAGTACAAATCAAACAATGCAAAGATAGACCGCTTACATCTGCTTAAAGTACTCATCGAACTTCTCCTCAGTGACCTTGGTGCAGTCGAAGCCGTAGATCTCACGCTGGACATCGGCATCAGCCCACTTGTCGGGTACGGGACCCTTGCCTTCACGGAGAGCTGCGAATTGACGGTCACGCTCCTCCTTGGCCGCACCATCTCCCAAGTGCAGGGCACGGCCGGAGGCAGAAGCCATGTTAACGAGGGCCTCGGCGCGGCTCTTACGGACGCGCTCGTAGACGCGAAGAGCCTTGTTGATGGACTCAGGGGTAGTGTCGGGGAGACGGGAGAGGGCAACGCCGAGAACGGCGCCGTCCTCGATGGCCTGGGCGGCACCCTGGGCCAAGTGAGGCAGGGTGGGGTGGCAGGAGTCGCCGACCAGGGCCACAGAGCCGTGGACCCAGGTGGGGAGGGGATCGTGGACGCGCAACTTCCACTCGCAGACCTCACCCTCGGGGACATAATTCAGCATGCGCTGGACCATGGGACAAAAATCGGAGAAAACTTCCAACATGGCCTTCTTGTCACCCTTGGTGGTGTAGGTGGCGTTAGTTGCAGCGGCGAAGTTGGTATCGGGTTGGGTAGTGGAGAGGTTGTAGATGGTGTTGTTGGAGACAGCATAGGCGATAATGTGGCGCTTCTCTCCGATCCAGCGGGTAACGCGGGTGTTATTGATCAGAGCCAGGAGCTCAGGGTCGTCCTTGATCTGGTCCTTGTGGATCATGATACGGTAGGCGGCCTGGTTGGTATCCTTGACACCGACGTCAACGCCCAATTTCTTAAGCATCTCGACACGGGTGTTGGACTTGATGCCGTCGGCACCGAGCAGAATGTCGCATTCCACCGTGTACGAGGACTTGCTCTCATCACGAGGCACGGCAGTGAACGAGGGACGCTCGCTGGAGACGTCAACCTTCTCTCCAGTGGTTGCAAAATGGAACTTGATGGCCTTCTCGTTCAAGCAGCCCTGGTAGAGACCGTCGGCCAGCGACGCGCGGTGTCCCACCATGTGCTTGTAGCCATAGGTCTTCTCAATGTAGCGCAGCTCAACGTGAGCAAGCTCAGCATCAGTGGCACCAACTGTTCAGTCAGTCAGTTCTTGTTTCTCTCAACTATGCATTCACAGTCACATACCTCGCACGGACGTATCGGTAATGTCTACAGCCTCGGCCTCAATGGGCTTCCAGACACCGAGCCCGTCAAGGACGCGGGCCATGTTAGGGGCCAGCTGGATACCAGCTCCAACAAAGCCAAGGTCGTGTGCGCTCTCGTAGACATCAATGTTCTTGAAGCCACGCTGTGCCAAAGCAAGGGCGGTAGTGAGGCCACCCATGCCGGCGCCCAGAATGGCAATCTGCAGATCTTGGGGAGACTTGGTCATTGTGTATGTCTATATGAGGGGACGGGATTTGAGGAAAGGGAAAATTTACAGAGGAAAGGGCAACTTTTAAATTTCCCCAGCTCGAGCCCTCGAGCCATCGTATTCGGTGCGCGGTCTACAAAATGACCAAGGCGGAAAAAATCTCATCCGCTCCCACAAGCTCCCCACACGCCCGACTTGCTGGAGAGTTGGGGTAAGCCAACCACTAAGAAGTTTCCATCGTAGCCGGTTGGGATATTACCCGCCGTCCCTCCCTTGACCACTCAGAGTATTCTAGGGTGAAGTTATTGCCAGGACTGAGGATAGACGCCGCTCTCGTTATGCTTCTGGCCAATCAGCGCAAACAATTTCATCGAGACCTATGAGAAAACCGAACAAGACTATCTTAGTTTAATTCGCTCGACTGCTAGTGACTCTTCCCTGCAATCGGATATCTCTAATAGACTAAATGTATTGCTGGCGTGTCGGCCTGGTGGATCATTGCCCCGCCACCCCAGTCGTTCCCCACATTCGACTCTGGACTCTCGGAGTAAGTCTGGTTCTTAGGGTGGCCAAACTGCCGACATCGCCACTCTTTCACTCGTTGATAACTTGCCCGTATACTCCGCAATGATGTTCATTTCAAAACAGTCATCTATCATTGGAGATCACCTCTGTATCCCACTTCTAGTTATTATCGCCTTATCCAGCGTGACTACAGGCGGCGTCATCGGTGACTCCAGCCCCACAGGATCATGCGGAGAATCTCTAGCGCTGCAGCGGACGATCTAATAGCCATAGCACACGTTATACGCATAGTCCTGTTCGAGAGCATGGGGCATTTCCGTAATTCCGTCTCGGATGTGATTCGAGAGCATTTGGAGTCCTAGTATCACACCAGTCACAAGTGTCAGTGGAAGAAGGAGCTTTCTCTTTCGCATGGCGACCCCACAAGAGAATTGAGTGAGTCGGCAAGCTCTTCATGTGACCTTCAACTGCGAATAAAAATCATCGATGAAGGATCCTTGCATTTCTCACGTCCAATGTTCGGGTTACAATACAATAGATATCGCTTGTGACCGGGAAGAAATATCATTTGAACCCTTCGAGCAAGACCTGGATGCTCGCAAATTATCTGTGCATCAGTCGGTAAAAGCGAGATTATTTGAGAACTGACGGATTCTTCGGGATGGACTCGAACTTGAGAGTAAGATACGGTTTCCGTGCTGATTCCAAATTGCGGACCAAAATATAATCGCCTCATACATAGCAAGCTGAATGAAGAAGTAATATTTCAATAAATAAACCAGGTTGGAGCTTGTGCCTTCAACATCAGCAAGCTATAGCTTCGAAGAGGACAGATATCGAAGAGGATCGAGCCTGGGCTGAAGACTTTCGAGGCATCATACTCAAAGTGAGATGGTATACTCAGCCCGTGCGATTAGCGGCAAACGCTTGCTAAGCATTGTAGTGCACCTTCCCCTTTTGGTTAGACGACTAATGTGAGGCTTTACATTGATCAATGAAATGGCAAGAGTTGATGTCTTGCATGTCTTTCTTCAGAAAGAACTATCCCGTAAGCGAACGATGTCAAGGGTCGTCTAGCCTAGATATAAAGCCAAGTGGGTGTTAGGGATACTTTCAATTTAGTCTGTCTTTCTACAATCAATTCGAGCACAGCAACTGTATTGCAGAGCTCTACTCTGCAATCAATTCCGGATAAATGTCCAATACTCTTAAGTCGACTTTCAAGACAGTTCGGTTCGGCAAGCTACACTAGTTATGAATTAAGGATTCTTTCAAGCTCTAGGGGCTGTTTACTCAACAATTCTTTGCAAATCTCTTGCCCAATCCGTCTACAAAGGCCGGACACTGAACTGTAGCAAGCGCCCGCAACTTCACCTCGTTTTATACTTGCCCAATTGGCCGACCGTGCTGAAACTGGGCTTGGATATCGCATCTCAAGAAGGAATAACCCAGGCTGTCTCTGATACAGCCTTGAAGATTAAACGCATTGATGTTTGCAACAACAATACAGGCCATGGTCTGATAGAGGCATGGAAGGTACCCGGGAAGCAGATGCGCGACATTAACTAAGGACCAACTTCTGGGAACCGTTTCATGTCAGATAAGAAGCAATCTGAATATTTCGAGAGATCAACCCCCTTGCCAAGATGACACCGTTGTCCAAGTCTCTTCAATGGGTGGATAGTTGACTGCTCCGGGTTACTCATTCTACCGCGCGAGGCAAGAACAACTGATAAGAGAATAGGGGTTTCTGCTAACAGCCCTGTGCATAGTATATTTGCTCTGAAGGGCGTCCAGGGTCAGTCGCCAAGGAAGTCGGCTCTGATTGGAAATTCAAGTTCCCTATCGTCGTGCCAGGGGGTGTACGGGCCATTTTTGCTGGATTCGGTTTTGAAACTGACATCTTGACATCCGGCGTATGACGTGCCTGCTGGATCGATCGGTTAACTTCTACGTTATGTCGCCAATCTTATATCCCAATCTGCTTGCAGTGCGAGAATTTGTGCTCGTGCGCTATTTGACTGTGTGGTTGGGCTGCACCAACGTCCGATGCCCGTGCACCTGCTCGTGGGCGTGGAGGCCATCCCATTATCTAGGGAGGAGATTTCAAAAAGGACCCTGACGGACATGGATACATGGGAGGCTTAGAGTTTGCTGTGTACTGTAGTCAAAAGGGAGCCTATCTTGAGAGATATACGTTTCATATATTTCATTCAACGTGATGATCGCACCTGACAGATTCAAAGTTGAACGTCAATTTACCCAATTCTTTGAGTTTCCCCCGCGTATACAAGGTTTAGCTTGAACTCTTCCAAGCACTTGAGAAGACATTAACAGATGAATCCACAATTTCCCCAAATGAAAAACGGTTTCTCGTGGGATCTTCAGGGGGTCAACACTCCACCTTGGGCTGGACAGTGGAGTGAGGGATTTCACTTGCTTCACACCTCATGTCGGGTTAGACGTGATTTAAGAGTGTGACAAAGCTCTTCTGGAAGCCCCCCCCCCCCCCCCCCTAATTTCCCCTGAACCATGCAGGGGTCCTCACCATGAACCGCTGACCCTATGACGCATTCTTCTTTCGGCTCGGCAATCCCCTGGCTTTTAGGCATTTTACGGGGAAAGCGGACGGGTTCCACTTGTGGGACTATTCAACTTTAGTACGAAGCTACCACCAGGCCAGCAGCCAACAGCCAAATTGCAATCAGCATACGAAGTTCCTGTTTTGTGAGGTCCGACGTCTCGGCGAAACGTGTTTGGGCGGCACAGTATTGTCGATCCGCAACGTCCCAAGCACCAGGGTCACAGCTGTCATTGGCGGATGTAGCGGTTTAAGGCGGTGCCGATGTCGATCACTCGGGCTTCCTTGTGTTGATTGAGGCGCTTTCGACTCCCGGACCCTGACATATCCGCACCACTTGCTGCGAACCGTCGGACAATGAGCATGGCCTGTTGACCTGTCGATACAGTTCTCATTGACGCAGTCTTGGTCTCTTGGTTACTGATGAGAGAGATGACTTCCCTAGATTGATACCACTGTCCAGCTCAAGCTGCTACTTGTTATTCCACGGTGGAAACCTTTGTCATGGACGTCCGAGCCTGAAGTGGAGGTGCAGATCCGCGAAGTGGCTAATGAAGACGGGCCTCACCACGAAGCTTATGACCGACTAGGACATGCCTTCCCCTGCGCGAGTTCATCCACTATCCACTCAGCAGTGGAGACTTCTCTCCTCTCCTTTTGACGTGAGAGATTGACATGTACCCCTCTGACCGTCATTGGACTATGTTGCCCATCCACACCAACCCCCGCTGTCTGTCGTGTCTATCGGGCTGAATGTGGAGTTCATCCGACTCCTCGACGTCAGGAGCTTAGGTCCATGAGCGGAATGAAAGTTCGTTTCCCCCTGAGAATGACATCTATAAAGAGCAGTCCATGCCAATTGACTTTCGATTCTTCGAATACCCCAAGAATCTCTTTCTGTTTTTAATTTACTCCAGTCACTCTTTACCGGTTCAATACCGTCCATTCTTTATTGCTTCAAGCAACAGTCACTCCTTCAATCCAAGATGAAGTCCTTTGCCATCGCCGCCTTTCTGGCGTCTACCGTCGCTGCTCTGCCCACCGGCACCAGCACCTTCAGCTGCATTCCTTCCAGTGCCGCTCCCACTGGCTTTGTTCCTGAAATCCCCTACTGCTCCTCTACCCCCACTGCCATGCCCACTGTCACCCCTACCCCCAAGGTCAGCGGCCTCAGCTCCTTCACCGGCGGCAGCAGTGCCGGTAACGCTGTTCACAGCGTCTTCTCTGTGACCAACGGCGGCAAGAAGATGCTCGTCGAGCTCGAGCAGGGCTTTGCCCAGAAGCTCACCGGCCTGAACCTCGGCAGCGTCACCGACTCCATCGGTTCCATCTTGGACATCGCCGACTCCCCCAGCCAGCTGAACACCAACAGTCTGACCTCCGGTGTCCTGACCGTCGCCACAACCGAGGGCAAGTACGCCCTTGTCCAGCTCACCTCCGAGGTTGAGACTCTTCTTTCTCCTCTTCTGTCCACCCTCGGTGGCGTTACCCAGGTTGTCGGTGGTCTCGTTGGCACTCTTGAGGGACTCGGCAGCCTTGCCAACCTGAAGCGTGACCCCATCTCCGACGTCATGAGCATCACCGGTATGAACGGCAACAACATCCTCGTGCAGGTTGAGCCCACCGTCCTCGGCCTCCTCGGTGAGCTGAACCTGGGCTCCCTCCTCGGCGGTAGCTCCAGCCAGTCCTCCCCTCTCGGTTCCGTCGTCGGTGAGGTCCCAGTCGCCGGTGACCTCGTTGAGCAGGCTACCTCCCTCGGCGCCGACCCCACCCAGCTGATCGGTGTCCTCAGCAAGGACGGTTCCTCCGCTCTCCTCGTCAAGGTTGAGAGCACCGCGACCGGCCTCTTGTCCACCCTCGGCCTCTCCAGCCTTGGCCAGACCGTCGGCAGCGTCGTTTCCTCCACACCCCTGTAAAAGAACCTGTCTCACCCTTGAAGGGATTTGATCATTCGCTTCTATGGGTCCTCTGTGGTTCAGTTTGCCATTGGCGGGACTGGACGTCACGCCAAAATGATTTGACACGAGGAGTTACCCTATATATATTTTCGTTATTCTGTACCTACTTTATACGTGAAAGCGTAAACCTTGAATCTCGAACATGGATTTTGCCCTGCTGCAATGTCCAGTGCTATTTACTCTAGGCAGAGATTTGAGAATAAATAATACATCCAGAGATCTGCATTGAGCGGGAGTGAAAGTTGGTGGCGCGTATTCTCCTACGCCGATAGGAGGTACGGGGCTAATCAATCCATTGATCGTACGGTGAATGGATGAATATTGAATAGATGAATATTGAAATACAAGCAGATGTTCAGATTGAGTGTATGTTGATCCCGAGACAGTGGAGAGGCACTGCGAGATTGCATGTTTCCCGGCGAGACCAAGATGAGAAGACGTAGGTAGGCATCCCTGAGTCGGTGACCACGGAGCCGCTGGTAGCTGTGACAGTGGCATATCCGGTCTCTGCTTCAGCGGTATATTGATGTGCTATCTGCGCGTCTTTGAGCATTGTGGTGACTGAAGTTAAAAACCGAAGTATTGAATGATTTCAATTCCAGAATGGCAATATCAATTGATGAAAAGGAGTATTAAGAAGTACTAGTAGCACACCTGTCCCCTCATAGACATCGCTATCGTGCTCAACGTTGCATTAAAACACCAGAAACATCCACGAATCACGGATGCATTCCACCCCAGTAGTTTTCCCCGTTTCCATCATAGGGATTCGACGCCGGCTTGCACTGGGGATTGTTGTAATCCTCCACAGTTCCCATCGGCCAGATTGGAACGACGCAGATTTCATTAACTTCACAACCCCGGCACTCCTTCCAGGTAGTCCAAGCCAGATCTCCGATCAAGGTTTGAATTGTATTCTGGGCAGATGCAAGCTCCTGCTCGACCCATGCCTCCAAAAGCGTAGAGCACACGGTGTGAGCAACGTTGTAAACAGCTCGCGCAGCCATTGACTTTCCACCCTGCAATTGCACAGGCAGGAATTGCGTCGCACACCTATCATTTTCGAGCACAGCATCACGCTCACTGTAGTCGATAAAAGGAGACAGAAGCTTTTCGATGTGTTCATGCAGAGCATCGATTGTCGAGATCTTAGTCGAGGCGAGATAGGTCAGCTCATCGCTGTATCGAATGACGACGGCATCTGTAGTGGCACGCCAGTTCCATGACGATTCCCTAGCGTCGTGGGTAAGTGCAAGAGCAGTAACCTCTTTCTGGATCGGCTTCAGCTCCGAGTATGTCAAGTGTGAGAGATGGGGAAGCTTTGGGTCCTCGGTGAAGAGGTCGACGTCATGCGCAAAAGCAGTCACAAAGTTCTCATAGTTGATAAATACTCTGTTTGCGCCGATGTCATCGTACCGCGCAGTCACAGCGCGCATCCAGCCGGCCGAGTCTCCGCCACCAGGTCCGCCACCAGGTCCGCCACCAGGTCCGCCAGGGCCTCTTCTCTTGCCATCCGGGGGTCCGTGGTGCTCATCCTTCTTCCAGCCACCTCCGGTCTTTTCATGTTCATCACGAGCTCGCGATTTGACTTGTGTAATGCGCACGGGAAGGAGGTCGCGCTCGAACTTGCACAAAATGATCTCAAATCCAGCCTCCATGCGGAGGACACCGTCAATACGGCCAGCCCAGTCATCCTCTGCCATATCACACGCCTTGCGGGCACGATCACCCTCTCCACCTGGTCCTCTTCCTGCTGAGTTGTCAATAGTGCCATTGAACAGGAGTACGTCCTGCGAATCGAGGGTTCCCTTCTGCGTCTTAGCCGCAGACATGCCATCGATGTACAAAAGGCGGAGGTCCTGTACTGCTGCGTATGTGTGTAGATATCCTGTGGAACTCTCTTCGAGGTCTTCAAAGGACGGGGGACCGAAATCTTTCTCAGTTGAGCCATGAGGATGTCTCCGACGCAGTTCCTCGCGTTCACCGCGGTGTTCATCATCCTCATTATCACCACCTTCACCTGGCGGGGGCCCACCAGGGCCATGAGGACCGCCAGGGCCTCCGGGGCCATGTGGTCCTCCACGTGGCCGAGCAAATACCATAGCATGTTCTGGCTCAAATGCCAGCCATTCTGTCCCATTTATCGGGTCCGACTCAGAGGTGCCGTGATAAAGCTGCGTACCAGCCGGGACAGTCGCAAGGAAGAAGGAAACACCATTATGATGGAGCGAAGAGCCCCATTGGCGCATAGAGTCGTGAATCACGTTAAAGATGTGGTTGGCATTTTTGACGACCGGATCGGAGTCGTTGCTTGTTGAGGCTGCCGAGAGGCCCAAGAGGGAGTATACCGCGAGCGCGGAGCGAGCACGCATCTTGAATGTATGATTATTTTCCCCTTGGACCTAAGAATGAACCGGGTATCGAGGAGTTTTAAGCTTGAAAATTGCCGTAACCGCAATCTTATCATGGCCCCGTTGAGCTTAGGGCTGTTCGGGTCGTTAAGCCGCGTCATCGCGCCAGACGCAATCCACCAGTCGTTTTGCGTAGTCAAACCCGAATTTTCGGGGCTAACTATGTTCAGGGCCCGCATGCGCAATGATGCATTACGTATGGTGTGTGGCTTGCAACTTCTATGGCCATAAATGGTCGGTTAAAGTTGTCTGTATATTGAGTGCAAAACCTCCACGTGCAAGTACATCCCAAGCAGAGAATATAGAGAGTATGGCAAATCTACTCCAAATATTGACGGGATAAATAGGACTAAACTAGTACGAACTAGCATCTAATCATTCTGAATTCAAATCCCATTAAATGGTACTAAGAATGGATACTAAAAACAACCTAAAAATCAACACCAACGCGGCCTAAGATCGACAAGATAAGATCAACGATCTCCAATCGCCCGCAACGCGTCACCACCAACACCCAACCCTCACAAATGAACCCCCTCCAAGCACGCTCCGTTCCACTCTCCACCCCGCGAAACCTCCTCCTAACCCTCGACGCCTTCGGCACAATCTTCTACCCTCGCCCATCCGTCCCCGAACAATACGCCGCGACCGCGCACGAGTTCGGCCTTTCCGCCGTCACCGCACCCAAACTCAAGACCGCCTTCAAACACGTTTTCCGCGCGCAAAGTAAGCGTTACCCTAATTACGGGCGCGCGGATGTCCTCCGTGGGAAATACGGAGGTCCTAGACAATGGTGGGAGGAGGTGATTCGGGGTAGCTTCGCGCATGTTCTGTCTGGGCCCGGACATGCTTCTAAAGACTTCGAGCTTCCGGTTGGGATGGTTGATGCTCTGCTTGATCGATTTGCTGGAGAAGGAGGGTATACATTGTATGATGATGTCGTGCCGTTCTTTACAAGGATGCGGGAGCTGAGGAGCTCACCATCACTGGCAAGAAACTTTGATCGGGTTGTCCTCGGCGTGATATCTAACTCCGATGACCGGGTTCCTGCTGTCTTGAATGCGTTGGGATTGAGAGTTGGTGATATGCGTGCTGATCAGGATCTGTCTAGTTTGCAGTTGCCTGGGTTTGAGCAGCGCATTGCGCATACTGACTTGGGTGGCTGGTCAGATGATGATGTGGATATGGTGATTACTAGCTATGAGGCTGGTGAAGAGAAGCCTCATCAGATGATATTTGATATCACGAGACGGCAGGCGAGGTTGTTAGCGAATAATGCGCAGACTGGCTCTGCTCTTACCGGAGGGGACGGGACGGGTGATTGGGTATGTGTGCATGTTGGTGATGACTATGAGAAGGATTATCGTGCTGCGATTGACGCGGGCTGGCAGAGTTATCTGCTTCGAGGAGATGGACAACAGCATACTGCGAAGAGTATTGACTCGTTAGTGGATTTAGTTGATGAACTCAAGATCGGGTGAAAAGCATCTGGTAAAGGGAAAAATCGAGACACTAGTTAACACGATATAATACAAAAACTCTGTGACTCGTGATCGAATAGGATACACGGTCCCTCATTCAAATTACATACATATAACTATACGGGGTAATGTCTGGCAACTCTTGGCTTTTCCCTTTCCGTTTGACTGTTCACCCTCGCCGCTTTTTGCTCACTGAGTAATATTGGGCATGCCCTTTAGCGGCCTAAGTTGCTCAGTGAGCATTACATACTCGTAAGTTCCACTCACTGAGCCTGTCCTGAGTGTCTAGTTTCGATTTTCGAGCCTGCACCTCGGGTCGAGCTTATCAGGCCCACGCCCACAGCCTTAGTGCAACGCCTCCATAACTAGCGTCGTCTCTGCGAAGTCCCACTTAGACCCTGACAAGAAAATACGCTGCCCCTACACGTAAATTAATATAAGGGTAGGATTCCGCTAGTAAAATTGACTCGGTATAACCCATCGGGCACCCTAATATCGGGAATAGATCTTCCCTACTCAGACTCAGTACTGGAATCATCTGATTCCTTCGTTCAAAAAGGTTCCTCTGCTCGATATTTCCTCTCCACACTACCTAGCTGCCACATCATATTTCGATATATTGCCCCAGGGATCCAGATTCAACGTCCAACGGAATTCATAGCCCAGCCTTTTTCATCTCCGAGGGATGATCTTCGCCAACCGATACTGTACGAAGAGGGTGACAAGAAATGTGAAGAAGAGGAAACCTCCATGCCCATTCTTCTGTTTCGAGGTGACGGAGAGAACGAGTCGCCTCGGGTTCGACCATGGTTTTCTGATGGAGTTGCAGGAGAAATCCCGACTGGACTATACATTAAATAAGCCTATTGAGAATTGGTGTGCACAGGATTCGGATATCGAAACTCGACTACTCTTACCGTTCAATATCGGTGCCAACAAATATGCTCAAAGCAGTGAGGGATTTCTTATCGCCAAATGGAGTGTAAACGAGGTGCCCGATGGGTTATACCGAGTCAATTTTGCCAGCGGAATCCTACCCTTGGATTCATTTTGTTCCCATATCCACAATTTCTTGCTAAATTGGGCAGAGCGTGTGGAAGTGGGTGATAGGGAGGTGAATGAATTTGGTGTTGCTTTTGGGATTGAAAAGTTGAAGGGTGCTGATACCCTAGAACATTGGCAGAAATACTTCATACCTCGATAAAGCTAAAAGCAATTTGTAACCCGAGACGCTAATCTATCCTATAGGGGCTTCTAGTAGTCGAAAGCGGCTTGAAGAATATAAGGTACTGGCCTTATAGTAGGACGGGTTGTCAATGAGTCAAACAATGAGGTCACTACAGTACATCCGGAAATCGGCGTCACCAACTATACTCTTTAATTGTTTCTCGAACCCAATGCCAAGGTTAATTAAGCTATACTGAGAAATTGCCCGGAACATGGTTTGAATCCCGAAACTCCCATCCCACTACAGAATATCAAAAACGCCAGTTCGAAGCATATGTAGATCCCACGCTATGAGTCAAAGCAGCCATAAACGTAACGAGACAGAGAACCCGCTCAATCCCATTGTCCCTTTCCAGCCAGTGCACCAAGACTACCACCTGCATGCTTATTCAACAGCTTCGTAATATTAGTACCACCACTCCGCTGCTTCATACGCAGCTGTTTTTCGCGCTCTTGTTCACGCGCAGCAGTGTAAGAGTTAACAGCACCGCCCTTTTTCGGACCAGAGGCACTAGGCTTGGAGACGCGGCTTGTAGAAGAAGAGCTGGAGTTGGATGAAGTTGAGCCTCCAGTGACGCGACGGAGGAGCTGTGGCGGACGGAATCCGATGGGGCCGTCCGAGTTGCCACTGTGGAAAGCCTGTTTGGTGTTTGAGGATCCTGATGTCGTAGCGGAGTTGGATGATGCTTGGCGGAGGAGGGCAAGGCGGTCGACGACTGGGCCGCGAGTGCGGCGTGGGTGCGTGGGGACGGCGAAGCCATCCTTGGGTTGGGAGCCTCCGTCATCTGAGAAAGCCTCTTCTGTGCCGGATATGTTTGAACCGCCTTCTTCCTCGACGCCTTCGTCATCAATAGAGGCGTCCTCGTGGAATGAGTCGTATTCGGGGGTCTCTGTCAGGAAGGACAGGGTCTCGCGGATCTCGGCCAGAGTGGCGGGCTTCTTGGACATCGCACTGGCAGGAGTGCGGCGAAGGTTGGGCGGAGGTCGGTTGGTAGCATCTTCGGCAGTTGGCTCGAGAGGTCTCTTGCGCTTCTTGCCGTCATGTGCAGTTTCGACTTGTTCCTGGGATGCAATATCTTGTGATTCGACTTGAGAACCACCCTCCTTCTCTTCCAGGAAGTCCAACTCGAAATCATCCTCCATTTCACGATCTTCAATGGCCTTGAAGAATGCAGCCTTCTTTGGGTTCTCGGCGAGTGCACCGATCTTCTCATCCGCAAGAAGAGCACGGCGCATCTTGGCAAACTCGCGTTGCTTCTCGCGTCGACGTGCTAGTCGTTCGTCGTCCGAGTCGTCAAGATCAAGGTCATCATCGGCATTGCGGCGACGTCGCAGAGCGCCCGTCGTGATATCTCTCATCAACTTGTTGACATCCTTCTCGTCCCGGTTTCGTTGGTGCTCACTAAAAATCTGTCAGCAAGCAATCATTAAAATCTGGCAAGCGATACATACGCGTTCAATGCGGCAAGTTGTTTTTCATCAACAACCTCGCCACTCTGGTCATTGATCATTTGGTGATCGTAGGCATCTTCTTCCCCGTCACTGTCATCACTGGCTCCTCCAATACCGGCGTATTCATCTTCAGATTCCTCCGCAGCCTCATCAACAATTCCCTTGGCTTTGCTGTTCTTCTTATCAAAGGCAACAGTCGATTTCTTAGTGGCTTTCTTCATGACATTGAAGGCATTGGCGTTAATCTCAAAGTCGCCTTCATTGTCCTCTTCCTCAACAACAGACATATCGGCTGCACGGCCCCTTCGGAGCTGCTTGCGTTTTCTTTCAGCGACTGGCGATTGGCTCTGTCCTATAAGGACGGTATCTACAGTCGACACTGGTGGCGTTTCTCGGAAACGCTTGGCAGGGTCGAATGGCGAGAACACAAAGCCTTCGTCTTGGGTCGGATCTGGAAGCTGGGAATACTGCGAGAAGCGGTGGTTGGCAGGGGATTCGGACACTCTGGCGATGCTTGGATTGTAGTTGGACATGAAGTCATGATCATTGGACTGTTCCTGGCTGTCTCGAACGAGAATTTCGGAGTCTTCGGCCTGGAGCCTGGGAATAGGGCGGCCTGGGTCGGGAAGAGAGAAAACAGCAGCCTCTGACCTTGTTTGGCTGGCGCCATCGTCATCTGCCAGAGTGCCAGCAAATGCTTGGGTCAATCCCATAGACATACTAGGAGACTGCATGCCAGGGAACTGAGGTCGCTCGGCAGATTGAGGCGCATCGGATGGTGGTCTGACCGGGGTTGATGGTACTTGTGGTTCCTCATCATCTTCGTCGTCGCTGACCACGCGAGTCCGACGCTTGCGCCGAGACTCTGAGACCTCCTCTTCAACATCAGATGGCGCCATTTCGCTCTGCTCGTCCGCGGAATCGTCGTCTTCATTGGCACCCTGGTCAAGGAATTTTAGTTTTTCACTGACACACTGTCCATCATCGTCATCGTCGTCTTCGCCAGATCCATTGTCGTCAGAACCGGAGAATACAAAGTCGTCATCATCCTCATCATCTTCATCGAGACCTTGCGCCTTCTTCCTGGCCGCTCGCTCTTGGCGCGCAATTTCATCGCCCTCCTGACGAGCCTTCTCCACCAGGTTCTCGAGGTTATCTTCCATGGCAGCACGTTCTTCGGCAGTCTCAATGACAACGCCCTTTGCCCTAAGCTCATCCATACGCTCACGCCTCTCTTTGGCAGCTTGCTGTCGGGCTCTATAGAGCAGACTGACGGAGAGTTCTGCGGAAGTCATAGAAGTAGTCTTGCGGGTTGGCGATGTCAAGTGTGCTAAAGCCTTCAGTCTTGTCATCGAAGATGATTCTTGCATCTGCCTAGAAGGCAGATTCTCGAAAGCAGCAATACGACGAGCCTTGGCAGGCGACGTGACCACCTCGAGATCATCGCTATCGGAATCATCCTTGTTGTGCTGGGCGACATCGTGTCTAGACATTAGAACACGAACCGATGGTTGAGTCATCTTGCGTGACTCGCTCTTGGGCTTGGTGGCGTTTGATTTGAGCTCTGAAGAGTCGACAGTAACGGCAACAAATGGTTCTTTGAGTTCCTTAGGCGCATCATTAGCTTTGATGAAGCGGTCAGCTAGAGTAGATGTAGCGGTCTCCGCAGACGTATCGTCCCCACCGATCTCTGATTGATTTTGTACAGAGACGTCGGCAATCGGCTTGTCTGAATCGGAAGGTCCAAGGATTGGGGAAGTGTGAGGTGTATCGTTCTTCTTTTGAGTGACCTCGCCGTCAGATGATTGTTGCGAGCCAGCCGTTGATGATGAATTCGCGGTAGGAGCCTCGACAGTTGGGACATCGGGTTGCATAAAGTTGAATCGAGCAAACAAGCTTTCCTTGGTGATTTTCTTAATTGTTTGTGCCTGATGCGCCAATTGCATATTTCGGCTCATCCGCTGGGTCTCTCGGCTCATTTCCTCTAATGCTTTTTTGCTGGCTTTCCGTGGTTGACGGGCAATTTGGCTCAGCTTCTTCGCAGAGCTTGGATCATCAGTTTCGCTATCCTCCCCAGAAAGCATCTCAGAGCTAAATTGTTCCATCTGGGCACGCTTGGTGGCCTTTTGCTCTGCCTCGATCTTTTCACGTTCTTCGCGCTCCTTGCGTTTTTGGGCGACGAGAGCAAGGAACCTGGCGTTGGATTTCGGGTTTCTGTCCATCTCTTCGTCTGAATCTTGATCGCTGGCGGGTTCATTGTGTGGCGCTGCTGGGGAAGAGACGAACAAGGGAGAGACGGTGCGAGCACGAGAGGGTGAACGGCGAGACTGATCGCTTGGAACTGATGATTGTTGAGCTTTGCTCTTGCTCTTTCTCTTAGGCGCTGCAGCGGGGAGATCATCTTCGCTGGAATCCTCGTATGTGGGGCTTTTCTTTGCTTGCTCTTGTTCCTTCCGCAGAACGTTGGACAAGTGAGAGAAAGCCGTGTCTCTTTCAGAAGCATTGGCGTTTCCTTGCATGCGAGCCGCCATGCGGCCCTTGGGTCTGACAATATCATCTGCGTCTTCCGAGTCATCTTCTGAGTCGGCAAGATGAATTCGTTGACGCGTCTCGGTAGTCGATGTATTGTTAATTGTGAAGTCCAGCTTCGAAATGGGGCGTGATGTCTTGGTGAGATGGGTCTCAGTTTCCGAGTCACTGTCGAACTCTGCCATCATGGCTTTGATCTTCTGCCCGGGTGTTAGAATGTTGGGCGAGTTGCCGGCTGGGGACGCGGAGCGCGTCGACCGCGGCGTAGACGGCGAGGACATTGTGGATGTGAAAGGAAGGGTATCAACGGGGTATCGTAAGAAATGGACTAATTTGAGGGCTAACCGGTCATGACGGAGCCACTATGAAGAGGAGGGGAGGAATTGAAGAATTGCAGTGGGAGGATCCAAGGGCGCATAGCCCAGACGCGATGCGCGTGCTTCGCGTTGCTAGGCCGTCCACGTGACTTTCTTTATCTTATCGCCACTCATCTATATGGACCGTGACGGTATGGTATAGTAGGAACACTCTGTCGTTGTTCTATTAACAAGTCGATTGTATTCGCAAACTGTGCTGCTCATGCTCCATAGCCATTTGGCTCGTAGTACAAAAAAAAGAAGTTCCCATAATAATTTTCTGAAAAGACGCCACGTCCATGCGCCTATTCCTGATAGTAAAAAGAAAAGAAGCCATCTGCCTCCACCGCTAGATTCTCTAATGTGTACACGACTGGCCAGGCTGATTGATACGAGAATATGCCTGCCAGTCCGGATTGATCGGATGACAGATTCTAAATGTCGATGTCAATGCCTAGGTCCATATCTCCGATGGCCTCGTCGTCGTTCTTGCGGTAGCTGATCATAAACCCGCTCTTGGGCTTCTTCGGGGTCAGACCGGAGTTGGGAGTCACCACCGACGGAGTGCTAGCCTTGGAGGCTTCCTTGGGGGTATCGGCAGGACTGCCATCAGCAGGCACGATCTCTTCCTTTTGCTTGTCGGAGAGATCGTGGTGAGTCTTGGCGATGGTTCGAACACGCATGAAAGGATCGGTAGAAGCCTCGCCACGGGCAACTGCGGCGGCAGCCTTGCGAGCGGCCTTGCGCTCCTCAATTTGAGCACGACGAACATTCTCGTGGTTGAGTTTCTGGTTGCGGAGATTGATCAGGTGGACACGCTCTGCCTCCGAGAGCGTCTTGTCGGCTGCTGGCTTAATAAGTGTTGTACCCCAGGAGAGGTTGGGGTTAAGGATCTTGTCCAGTTCCTTCTGCAGCTTCTCGACTTCGTCTTCATCGCCATTTGCCTTGGCATTCTTGAGGTCACGCTCCAGGTCAACCCGGCGAAGAACGTCCTTCTTGGAGTCAAAGGCACCCTGCTTGCGCAACTTCTCGTTCAGTTCAGCGGCTGTGAAGTGGTGATTGATCAGCCGATTGATGTCTGCGACCTTGGAGGCCAGTTTTGCCTGAGTGGCCATTTTGCCATCCTCAACAGCTAGTGTCTTTCGGTAGCGATTGTACTCAGTCTAGACGTGAATCAGTCATGAACGCGCGATTATATGAAGGAACAGAATAACGCACCTCTGTGAACGCAGAGTCGGAACAGGCGATGAAAGGGAACTCGCGGATGGCCTTGCCATGTGCCATCTTGGCATACTGGTCAGTAACAAAAGGCCGACCATTCGTAGCCTCCAAAGCGTACGGCTTTCCCGTGGTGAAGCCTGTGATCAAGCAGATGCGGTACTCATTCATGCCAGTTTCCGCATTAGGTCCAATGTTGACACGAGCGTAGCAGCCGATGATAGCATCTTCGAACCCGGGATAGAAGCAGACCTGAGCAAAGTTGCTTCGTCCAACACGAGCACGCTGAAGATCACGAAGTTCAGCAGGGGGGTCATCTTTGGGGATGGAGGGTGAACGGCGATTATCCAATTCGAGGTCGCTTTCGGCCTCAGCATCCTCGTCAGACATGTCAGAGCCAACAGAACGAGATCGGCGGTGAGATTGAGGGGTATCGCGGCGGCGCAATTCATCTCGCTTGCCCTTCTGTTCACGTTGGCGCTTATAGGCGTCGATAGCAGCAGAGGTTTCTCCCACTTTACGGCCGCCCAGAGTCGTCTTCTGTCGGGAGCTCTTCCGCTGGTTCTCGTCCAAGCCGGCAGAGCCGGCCTTGCGCTTAGCTTTACGCTGTTCGTCACGCTCTCGCGAGGCTAGGAGGCGACGCAAGGCCAGATCCTGATTGTGGCGATCAACTTGCTGGGCACGCTCGGAGAGCAACTCCTCGCGCTGGATCTCGGGCATCGCCGAGATCTCCTGCTTCTCCTTCGCAGAGTAGTATAGCTTGTCATAAGGAAAGATGGCGCCGTCTTCTTCATCACTGGCATCTCCCGCCTCGGAGTCGGACTCGGACATGGCTGCGGATTGCAGAGAGTGTTGGGACTCGGCTTCGGATCTGTTGCGCATACCGACAAATTAGTCAATAGTTCGCAGGCGGGTAAGAGAAGTGAGACTCACATTTCACCATCCTCTTCATCTTTCACCTTCCGCGGCCTGCGAGCCGGTTTGGCATTTCCTTTGGTACCCATGGCTGGCGAGCGGTCACCGTCTTGTGATTGAGGAGAGCCAAAATGTTCCGGGGATTCATCCTTCTCCTGCGGGGAGGGGAGTTTTCTTCCTCGGAGTCACCAGCCAGAGCCAGCAGCTCAGCGTCCAAATCGTCGGCCATTTTATAACTTTATCCCGCCTTAGGGCCTTTCTGCGCTCAGACAGCAATCGCAATAGATATGAACACTCAATAAGCTGCCCTTTCCAAGAACCAGGGCAGGCTGCGAGGCGGAATCACTCCTGGCGAGGGGACGCAAAGATTGTAGGTTCCCGAAGGATCAGACCGGAATGGTCCACCAAACACCCGTATATTAAAAAAAGCGTGATCCGGAGGCAATCAACAGACTGTAAAAGTAGCAACGGCGCGGAGGTTAGAGAGTCGATGGGAACGCGTGAATGTCAGTCGCAAGTTGGCCTTTGCCGTTCATGACGTTCGGGTGCCAAGACCACAAGCGCGCGCCTGCGCCAAGACCTTGCTTTACCAGCGACTTCGGCACCAGCTGTCTTGCTTTAGCTTCAATACGAACAATGGAGTCCCTTCCTTCGCTACGACGATGCCTCCTGGCTCAGTGTCGTCGTCCATCTCGACCACTGTCGCCACTTTACCTTGATTTCCTCGCCCCAACAGCTGTGCGTGCCCAGCGCCGACATGCATCTACCGGCACTTCCGGTGGCACTAAACCCCAATACACCCTCAGCAAGAAGCAAAGAGAGTTCCTTGAAAGTGCTCTACGTGTCAACCAGGCTGGTGAAATCGCCGCGACCCTAATCTACACCGCACAAACACCCCAGATCGTCCGCTCGCACCCTCACCTTCGGCCGTTGATGAAGCATATGTACGATCAGGAAGCAGGCCACCTGAAGATATTCAACGGACTAGTCGCGAAGCACCAGGTTCGTCCAACGGCCATGTATCCGCTATGGGAGGTGGCGGCGAGTTTCCTCGGGTGGTCAACAGCCGCCTTAGGCCGTGAAGCGGCTATGGCGTGCACCGAGGCAGTGGAGACGGAGATCGGATCACACTACAATGATCAAGTGAGGGAGATTTTGTCATGGGAGGCAGATGCTGTGAGGCGGGGGGAGGAGCTGGATGATGAGTTGAAGGAAATGCTGTCCATCTTCCGGAGGATTCGTGATGAGGAGCTCGAGCATCTGGATCATGCTGTGGCGAATGATTCCAAGGAAGCCAAGCCGTATGATCCTCTAGTTGATGTTATTCGACTTGGCTGCAGGACTGCCATTAAGATCAGCGAGCGGATTTGATGGGTGTCAGATACGATCGCTACGGCCATGGGAGCATTCCATCCACCTCAAGTGCTCATCCTGATGCCCATTCAGATGTCCCAGTCTATATATTCGCAGTCCGTGGCTTCTATTTTTCTCCCACCTGCAACCACCTGGGCACCTGTCATACTCCAGCATATATCCTGTGCTGTATAATTATCTTGTATCAATACAAATTACTTTTTCTCCAACGGGCATTTGACAGTTCATAGTACCACAAGTGCATCTAGCCAAAGCCCATGGAAACGACGCGCTATGCCCAGAGGTTACGAGTAATCGGATTTCGATCCATCACTATATCAGCGGAGAGCTACACATTGACATCTAGAAGGCGAGATCTTGATGTTGCTCAAACAGCAGGGTATCATTGAAGAAAGTATCCACCTCTCGTCTAGGTCTATAGTGCCCAACCCCTGTTAATGACCAGACCTGGTCGTATATGCAGTGAACTCGTATAATTTTACTCCTTCTCAAGGTATTCCAAGAAGCCCTGAGAGAACCGGAACACCTGCTGGTAAACCTCCTCAAACCCATTAGCACCACCATAGTACGGGTCCTTGACGACCTCGCCCCCGCCCACACGATCATGCAGCTTCCCGCCCTTTCCAAAATCACCAAACAAGCGCACCTCGGCGACCTTGGCGTCCTCGCCATAGGCACCAATCTCAGCATCCTTGGCTGCGCGGGTGTTCTTCGCCGAAGACTTGGCATCGGCCTTCTTCCGCAGCATCGAAATCACGTATTCTCTCTCATCTAGCAGATCCCGCAGGTTGTATTTGTCCATGGCCATTAGATAGTCAAACTTGAGGAAATCATCTCGGTTGACCTTCCGGGCGGCGTGGGTGTAGTTGGTGATGTTGTGGCGGCGCAGAGTCGACATTGTACGGGAGTCCGGAGGTTCATCAGTGTGGTAGGCGCCTGTGCCGGCCGAGTCGATATCGCCAATGATAGAGTTGCCTTCGGCGACGTTGCGGAAGACCCCTTCAGCCATAGGTGACCGGCCTGCGGAATGTAAGCAGGGAACCGAGCAAGGCAGGCCAGGCCAGGCGAGGCCAAGGCAGCGTGGGGGGAGGGGGAGGGGGCTTACAGATATTGCCTAGGCAGACGAATAACACGCTGACGGGGCCATGTTCCAAGGGGGCCATGGTGATTGTGCTTCAATAGAAGAGGGTGTATGTGTGGCAGTTCGCAGCATCAGGCGGGGGCTCATCGTTATCGATAGGCCCTAAGCTCCACCTTGATTTGTGCCCTTCGAGTCTATACTGCTACTACGTCATAAGCCACGGTTCTACAATGTCTCACCTATGCCTTGATCAATCCGGGGTAAAGAAATCTCTATACTATTCATAGTTCACCTAGTGACCGAATGTCCCTCTTCAGGCAACATAATAGCTAAAAAAAGAAAAAATAATCCTTGACAGCCACAGAAGGCTGAGCCGTGGCGTGGCGAGTGGCTCAATGCGGTTCAATGTGGTCCAAGTGCCTGCCGTTGGCCCAGTGACCTGAGTCGAACCCACCACAACCACAACCACAGGCCACCACTTCAGAATCGCGCCGTGGATCGTCCTCGTTTCAGGATTCATTGTTGGATCTTTTCAAGATTGCTGGTTTGTGTTTTGTGCCTTGTGCCTGGTGCCTCTGATCTTTTTTTTCATCTGCTTTCTACCTCATTTCCTCTTGAGTACGTGTTATCTGCAGCCCGGGAATTAATCCACAGGCCAGTGTGGGCCCGATACATGAACGCCTATTCGCCTACCTGCACTCCATCTTCATCGGCGATCGGGCGTCGTAAACAGAGTCCTTGGTCACTTTCTCATTTACCTTCGCCATCGTGTGACAAGCTCCCCTCGCATCTTCCCAAAAATCCCCTCCCCTCATCTTCGCTTGGGCCATTCGCTCATTCTGAAACTACGCCGAGAGTTTGGGGTCCCGTCCGTTGCGACTAGTGAACCAAAGCTTTCCACTCGCTGCTCCTGACGCAATCTCCAACCGTGTCCGTGTCCCCCTGCTACAGACTAGCAGTAAGCCTGAGGGACGGGCTCAGTTCCACCAAACTCAAAGCCGAGGCTGAAGATGGCCTACAACCGAGTTGGTTAGTTCCTTTCTCCTTTTCTTGTGTTTGAGTCCTACGCGCGCACCACAGAGAACCTCGAAATTGTGCTGGTCATTGATCTTTGCATGGTTGCCGTGCGATTTGTTCTCCTGGTCTTGCGATTGGAAAACTTGTGCTCTGGAAGCGCCGTCGAACAGAAAAACTAACAATGCGCACTCCAGATCCCTTTGGGGACGAGCATCACCATGAACCTATCATGAACCCTTCTCAGGTCACCAGCTATACCAATCGCAGCCCCTCTCCGGGGCACCCTCTGAACTCATACCAGCTTGAGGATAATCCTTACGCTCCTACAGGGCACCTGCCTATGCCCTCAAGTGATCGCCTCGCCGACCAACCCACCGTGAGTAGCTTCGTTGCGCGCGCAAGCACATAGCGCTGACTTTTGGTCTTAGTATTCGGTCGAGAATATTCAGAACTCTTACGGTCACAATGAAGCCTACGAGGGTCATCAACCCTACGGATACAGTCATGATTATGCGGTCGACACTGAGGCGCACCACGACGCTTACTATACCCAGCCTTACCAGCCCGCGCTCGGCCGGCACGAAGACTACGACCTAGGCTCATACCCAGAGCCTACCCCAGAGCCTATCCATACCCCTTATGATGACAATGCGCCCATGTTACAGACGGGTGAAAACCCCTTCGGGCCGGACCCGTACAGTGCTGATTTCCAGGATGAGCCGCGCCCAACGCCGAGCCCTGCACCTATTCGACGATGGAAGACCGTCAAGGAAGTCCAATTGTTCAACGGCAATCTCGTCCTGGATTGTCCTATTGCCCCGAAGCTGCTCAGTCAGATCCCACACGCTGAAGCCCCCGGCCGTGATGAGTTCACCCATATGCGTTATTCCGCCGCGACTTGCGACCCCGCGGATTTCTTCGAGGAACGTTTTACTTTGCGCCAGAAGCTTTTCGCAAAGCCGCGCCACACTGAGTTGTTCATTGTCGTGACCATGTACAACGAGGACGATTTCCTCTTCGCGCGCACCATGTCCGGTGTTTTCAAGAACATCGATCACATGTGTTCGCGCACCAGCAGTAAAACATGGGGCAAGGATGCTTGGAAGAAGATCGTGGTCTGCGTTATTAGTGACGGCCGTGCGAAAATCAACGCGCGAACCCGTGCGGTCCTGGCCGCTCTGGGTGTGTACCAGGACGGAATTGCCAAGCAGCAGGTCAACGGCAAGGACGTGACAGCCCATATTTACGAGTATACTACTCAGGTCGGTTTGGAGGTCAAGGGTACTCAGGTTCACCTGAAGCCTCGCTCGGGTCCGCCTGTGCAGATGATTTTCTGTCTGAAAGAAAAGAACCAGAAGAAGATCAACTCTCACCGCTGGTTCTTCCAGGCATTCGGTCGTGTTTTGGATCCCAACATTTGCGTCCTTCTCGACGCCGGTACCAAGCCTGGTGGTGACTCGATCTACCACCTGTGGAAGGCATTCGATGTCGAGCCCATGTGCGGTGGTGCCTGTGGTGAGATCAAGGTCATGACTTCGAAGGGAAGGAAGCTGCTCAACCCGTTGGTGGCTGGCCAGAACTTCGAGTACAAGCTTAGCAACATTCTTGATAAGCCGTTGGAATCTGCATTCGGTTTCATTTCCGTGTTGCCCGGTGCTTTCTCTGCGTACCGATTTGTCGCTCTGCAGAACGACAAGAACGGTCAGGGTCCGCTCGAGAGATACTTCCTAGGTGAGAAAATGCACGGTGCGAATGCTGGTATCTTCACAGCCAACATGTACCTGGCCGAGGATCGTATCCTGTGTTTCGAGATTGTCGCTAAGCGCAAGTGCCGCTGGTTGCTTCAGTATGTCAAATCATCGACTGGTGAGACCGATGTGCCGGACCGCATGGCCGAGTTCATTCTCCAGCGCCGTCGTTGGTTGAACGGTAGTTTCTTCGCCGCCGTCTACGCAATCACCCACTTCTACCAGGTTTTCCGCAGTGATCACAGCTTCCTGCGCAAATTCGCCTTTATGATCGAATTCATCTATCAAACGGTGGCGATGATCTTCGCGTGGTTCGGTATCGGTAACTTCTTCTTGGTCTTCCACATCCTCACGACTTACCTCGGTGACGACGACCTTCTCGGCACTGCCGGTAAAGTTTTAGGTATTGTCTTCGAATGGCTCTATCTGGCAACCTTGGTAACGTGTTTTGTTCTTGCTCTCGGTAACCGACCCGGTGGATCGAACAAGTTCTACATGACAATGGTGTATTTCTGGATCGTGATCATGATATATTTGTCTTTCGCAGCAGTGTTTGTCACGGTGAAATCAATCCAGACGGAAGTTGCAGAAGACAGTTTCACTGTCAGCGATCTGTTCACCAACAAGACTTTCTTCTCGATTATCGTCTCCCTCGGTTCGACCTACGTCATGTGGTTCATCGCGTCCTTCATCTTCCTGGACCCCTGGCACATGTTCACCTCGTTCATCCAGTATATCTTGTTGACCCCGACCTACATCAACGTGCTCAACATCTACGCCTTCTGTAACACCCATGACATCACATGGGGAACCAAGGGCGACGACAAGGCCGAGAAACTGCCCTCCGCACACCTCAAGCCCGGCGGCAAGGTCGACGTCAACATCCCTCAGGACGACGGCGATCTGAACGCACAGTACGAAGCCGAGTTGCTAAAGTTCTCCATGAAGCCGCCGAAAGAGGTCCAGATCATCTCGGACGAGGAGCGCCAGGCTGACTACTACAAGGGTTTCCGCAGCGCAGTCGTGTTGGCCTGGGTATTCTGCAACTTCGCCCTCGGCGCAGTGGTCCTGTCGGCTGCTGGTTTGGAAACCTTCGACAAGACGAGCACGACCACCAGCTCGTCCGAGGATCTCACGCAGAATGAACGCTCGCTCATTTACATGGAGGTGGTCTTGTGGAGTGTCGCTGGACTTTCGATGTTCAAGTTTATCGGTGCGATGTGGTACCTGGTGGTTCGGATGGTGAGTTTTCCTTTTCCTGCTGTTTCACATCTCAAGGTCAATATGCTAATACCACCCCTTACAGTTCCGAGGCGTTTGATTCCATCATCTTGTTCCAGCCTAACGAACTATACTGCTTTCTTGATGTTTCAATATATCCCCTGATGAGTTGAGCTGAGTTGATTACCACGGCGGGCCCGGTCCGGTATGAATCCACGGCATGGAATTCGAATTCGTGTAATATGTGTGACGAACCCTGAACGGCATTTTGTCTGACGTTGATATGTTTGGTTTTTTCTTCTCTTTTTTGTTATGTTCTTTTCCTTCATCTTTTCCTTTCTTCTCGGACATGGATGCATGGTGCGTGGAATTTCAGCTGTATCTGTAGATAAGGGTGGTATAGATGGAATTGACTCGTCAAATTATATTCAAAATTGATGCAGATTCGTGTAAATCTTGACTTGGCTGCTCTGTTGTACTAGTATCCGGCTCCTGGTCAAGCTCAGGAACATATCAACCAGCCTTGTTTTTTGAATGCACGCATACAGCGATACCGCCCAAGACCAAGAACAACCCCAGCCACGTTTCCTTCGCGATGACCTTGCGCTCCACATACCACTCTCCAAGCACAGTAAACAAGAAAGCGCTCGAATTGGCAAGCGGCACAGTCAAGGAGAGCTCTATAACACCATCAGCAAATAGTCTCACACCGATACCAACCCCAAACCCCTCGAGGAAAAGGAAGAAACATACCATGTTTCCCAACGAGCAAAAAGAACCAAATACTTCCCGTCAAGTTAACCACCAACGGAATCGAATAAGCCGGCGTCTTAAGCAAATTCACAACCGTCCAAAAGACACCCACAATCTTCTCTCTCAGCCAAGACTTCTTTCCCTCCCTCTTCCACGCCGGTGTCGGAATATTATCCTCATCACCATCCCTTTCATCCCGTGCCGCTGCCCGTTGCGAACTCCCACTCCTCCTCCTCACACCCTCGTCTTCCGTCGGTAGCAATTCCTGCTCTTCTTCGCCGTCAACCAGTTGGGGTTGCGATTGCGATCGTCCGCGAGGGGATTGGGATTGCTTCTCTTGTCGCGCGTTGAAGTCGGCGGCGGCGCGACGGATAAAGGGCGTTGTGAAGCCCCATGCTACGCCGACTAGGAGGAATGAGAGGACGTAGTTGAAGACTGAGGGGGCTGGCTCGGGGATGCTGGCGTCTGGGTCCATTGTGAATTGGGACTTTGGTCTAGGTCACGAATTGAGGTTGGGCTTGGAGCTTCAAGGTCGGGGTGAGTCGGAATTTTGGGGTCCGAGCGTTGCGATAAGAGCAGATAAAGATCAGTTGCAGATGCCGGTTCCAGCTATGTAGGGCCTCGTCTTTGATCTTCTCCATGGTGGATCGATGCGGAATATAGCCGTCTTCTATTTCTAATTATGGTTCTCTACATCCACTTGCGGAGCGAGTGGATTATCGGTTCCTCTATCAATCGATATGAAACTTTAGACGCGGAGATTCGGCTTTGGAAGTGCCGACATTAGTAATAATCCCGACCTTAAAGCCAGGGCTACTACATTCTTGACTATATAGGACGTATAACGTGAGATTCCAAAACATCTGTAATCCGAGCCCTAGTAAGATCAGATCTTATTTCCGGAGCGGTTTACACTTCGATCCCCGAAGATCGCCCCGGGGGCGGGAGGGGGAGGGGGAGGGGGGGGGGGGGGAGCAAGCAGTATAAAAGCTGGTCGCGGCAACGGCCGGACCTCAATTTCAAACACATCCAACTTCCATATCACACGCAATGGCAATCCCCTCAAGCCCTAAGCTCGACGGCTTCGACGTCCTCCAGACAAACTTCAAGCATGTCGGAGACCACCCCATCCGAGCCGACATCCTCGTACCCCAGAAGCCTCACACAGGCAAACGGCCAGTGATCCTCCGTTTCCACGGCGGCGGTCTGGTAAGTTATATATCTCCCAAAGCCAGCCCAGGAAAAACAAATTCTTATCCAAGCGCAGGTCTTCGGAGACTCTCTGTTCATGAATTTCTGGCCTCACTGGGCCTCAGACCTAGCACTAGCCCACAACGCCATAATCATCAGTCCAAACTACCGCCTCATGCCAGAAGGAACCAGCGCCCAGATCTATGAAGATATAGAAGATTTCTGGTCCTGGTTACACTCTCCTTCTCTTGTAGAACTACTAGCCGCGCATTCAACGCCTACAGAGGTCGATCTTGACCGCATCCTCACAGCGGGCGAGTCCGCCGGCGGCTTGTTAAGCGTCTACCTAGCCCTGTCGCATCCAACAGACATCCGCGCCGCGACAGTCGCCTACCCAAGCGTTGATCTAGGTCCAGACGAATTTGGACATCCGCGAGCGAGTCCATGCTTTGGAAACCATATTCCGGAATCGGTGATTCAAGCCGAAGAAAGCGCCGCCAAGATCGGGACAGCTGAGTCTTCGATCACTGATGAGTCTCGGTTGGTGTATATGCTTGCTATTGTGGAGCATGGGACCCTGCACGGTGTTTATGAGCGGGGCGCGGAAGGGGTTCCGCAGAAGGTGTTGTATCCGATGGTGAAGTTGGAGGAGCCCGGGTTGGATATTCCGGTCGGTGGCATTGCCGTTATTCACGGCCGGCAGGATAGTGTTGTTCCTATTGGTGGGGTTGAGAGGTTTGTGGAGAGGGCGCGGGAGGTTACGAGGGGTAAGGCGGGGAATGAGGGGGTGGTGCTCACTGTCAGGGATGGGGAGCATGGGTTTGATGCGGACGTTAGATATAGTGAGGAGTGGTTGAGCGATACGTTCAAATTTGCCGTCGATGCTTGGGTGAAATAGAGGTAGTATCCTGTCCTTAGCAGAATACAATGTGGCCCTGCGGAACTTGGGTTGATACATAGTCGTTTTAATTGTGATTTTATCTCAAGCAGTGTTTGGTCCGTTCATTATAACCCTTTTTAGTTCTTTAGATTCATGATGTCTTGATTTTAGCTCCAGAGGTAGGTAAATCTTCGAGATAGTACAAAGATAGATGAATGTGTAAACGGTAAAAATTAAATGAATATTGCAGCTTCGGCGGCAAGTCTAAATCTATAACGATGGTATCAACAAAAGGAAACAAAAATCTAAATGATAGCTGCACAAGGAGAAACATAATGAGAAAGAAAACAAGAGAGTGAAGTGAGAATATCATTTGCTGTCCTTGGAAGGTTTGGAAGGCACAAAGCGCGCAAACTTCTTCTTCATACCATCCATGTCCCACCTCTTAACACGGAAAAGGTAGTAAAGCAAAGTGGCCATGAAAATGTTGAAGAAGATGAAGGCCCAGACAATACCAAAATTACGCCATCTCTCGCTGTATTGGATATTATCAGACTCAAGGAACTGATCCGCGACAGTGAGAGAGCAGTATTCACAGCTTGAAGTTGCGTTCATGTTCATAACCTGTCCTCCGGCCGCGGTGGCATATTTTTCGAGATACTCCCAGCATGTCTGACCAGAAGGAGGATCAAATATAGAGAGCTCTGACGTAGAGCACACAACTTGGCGATCGTGGACTTGAGTAGCAGCCATGGCTGCAACCCAGTAAGTGAAGGGGGAGACTCGGTACATGAAGATCCAGAAGCCTGGCAGAGCAGACACGGGCTGCATCACACCGCAGAAGGTGAGGGACATGGCGAAAAGAAGGACGACGATGGCACCAGCGGTTTCGGCGTCGGGAAGGGCAGCAATGACCATCTGACCGAATGTGCCGGCGTAAATGAAGAACTGGATGCAGAGCAGAAGAACGGTCACTTGGCTCACTGAGCTGGGAATGCCGACAACAGCGTAGAAGTAGCAGGCGTAGATTAGAATTCCGGTGACGATCATGTATGGGACCTCGACAATGACGTTGGCGATAAGGAAGGCCTTCCATGAGTAGGCCTTGCTGGGTCGCTCGCGAACCTCATAGAGGGATCGTTGGGCCACAAAGAGGGGCATCAATTGTTGAACCAAGGAAGTGAAAATGGTACAAAGCATGAACACAGAGTAGACAATGCACTGCATGCCTTGAAGCGATGTTTTGGCTTGGTAGAAAGAGAATCCAATGAAGAGACCAGCTGCGACACCAAGTGCCCATTTCGACATAATGTAGGAGGGCATTCGCCAGTATTGCTGGAACACACGATAGGTGACCTGCCACAGCTGGAACCAGAATGGCATTGCGAATTCGGATTGACTGGCCGCGGTGTCGTCGTCAACAGGCGCTCCCTGTCGCTCTTTATGAATGCGATCAATCTCGGTTTGAACGGCTGTGCTCTCATTGCTCTGCTTCCAAACGTCGAACCAGTCTTCGCCTTTGGAGTTAGTTCCTTTGTTCACGACGTCGAGCATGTATTCGGCCGGGTTCTCGCTATCGTCGCAGGTTCGTGCACCATTGGCCTCGAAGTAGTCCAGTAGAGTACGAGATTGTTCGCCAATCGGTCCGAAATAAACCGTCCTTCCACCGCGAGCTAGGAAAAGCAGTTGGTCGAACTCCTGGAACAAGATAGCCGAAGGCTGGTGGATTGTGCACAAGATTGCTTGACCGTGAGAAGCCAGGCGACGGAGGAAGGAGCAAATTGCCCAAGAACTCTGGGAGTCAAGACCACTTTTTCAAAGTTAGCAATTGCAGAAGAATCAGATTAGAGATAACTTACCTTGTAGGCTCATCCAAGAAGAGAAGAAGCTTTGGCTTAGCAGCCAATTCGACTCCAATGGTCAAAAGCTTCCTCTGCTCAACATTCAAACCCTCACCAGGAACACCAACAATTGCTTCAGCAAAGTCTTCCATCTGCAACATACCAATGACATCTTCCACGTAGTCGTACTTTTCCTTGATGGAAACACTGGCCGGTTGACGGAGAAGAGCACTGAACCGCAGGGACTCGCGAACAGTAGCCGTTTCAAGATGAAGATCCTGCTGCTGGACATAACCAGTCTTACGCTGGAAACTAGCATCCAGGCTATTGCCGTTGACAAACATATCACCGGTGACAACACCGACTGATGTTCGATGAGCCAGGACATCCAGGAGTGTAGTCTTACCAGCTCCACTGACACCCATCAGCGCAGTAAGTGTTCCAGGCTTCACCCATCCAGAGACATGATCCAAAAGCTTGCGAGGCTCTCCCTTGATTTCAATATCATAGGAAACATCGCGCCAAGTGAAGATGTCAGTCTGTGCCTGAATCGCACCCATGCCGCCATCGCCTTCTTCATCGGAGGTTGATTGCTTCACGGGCGCGCCATCGGTGTTCTCGACATCAGAGCCAGACTTCTCATGACCACGGCGCATGTGAGCGGGCTCGTGGCCACGTCGGAAAACCAATGCTTCGGCGGTGCTTGTCGTGGACGAGTTCAATTCACAGGCCACGAAGTAAATGGTCATGAAGCCGATCAGGAAAGCAATGAGGATACCAAAGTTTCTCCAGACATGGCTAAAACTATAACGGTAATTTTCCCAGATATAGCTATCGCCATTGACAGTCAAATCGCCTGCCACGGAGCCAAGGGTGGAGCAAGAGAACGATTTGCCAGACCTATCCGCGTATGAAGGGATGAGCTGGGCGCAGGGGAAATCGCGTCCGTGAAATTCGTTGGCGATCAGAATCTCAAAGGCGTAGTAGATGGGGTTCAGGTAGTGGATCCATTCAAACCAAGGATGCATGGATGGGCGCGGCAAGACAAAACCAGTGTAGACGACCAGAGCGAGGATCATGACTCCAGCCAAAGCCATTGCTTGAGATACAGTTTGGGTGACTGCAGCCAAGGTCCTGAAGACGGCGGACATGACGAAGGTGATGATGAATGTGATTAGGAAGTAGAGGAAGAAGTTTCCAGGTTCTCGTTGTAGGTTGGCCAGGAAGTAGAGGATGATGTTGAAAGCCACTGCAAGACAGAATTTGACCGGGACATCGGCAATTACACCCGCAATGGCTTCTGTGAAAGGATGGTAGAATGCATAGGAGTTGTGTTTTTCCACAATCGGTCGTTGAGAATAGAGACTGTTGATTTCGGACATGGCTGTGAGGGCGTTTAGAAGAACTGCAAAGAAGAGAGTGGCTCCTTTTTCCTGGAAGCCGGCGGTGGTATTCGGAGCATCGTAGAATACAGATCCAATAATCAGTGCCATGATGATATTGCTAACAACGGTCGAAACGGTTGCAGCCATATCATTCCATAGTCGTTGATACGCACGTTTGGTATTGAGCTTGATTTGCATCGGGACGCTGATAATGTATGGTGACTTGGGTCGAGTGTGCTTGGCTTGTCTACCACGCTTCTTCTCCTGGAACTCGACAGCAGCAGCGGAATTATGCTCGACTGGATATTCCTCCTCGTAGGCGGCGATCTCAGCTTGCAACTTCTCGTGCTCGGGGGAGTTAAGCCATGCTTTTTCAAAGTCCTCGGCTGTGCGAGGCACGCGGCTTTCCATGCCCGGCTTGGGTTGACGCTCCCCTGGGTTAGTGACAGAAGTGAGGAAATCACCAGTTGTCTGTCGTGGCGGGCAAGTCCAGCCCTGATTCTCAAAGTAGGCCTTGGCAGAGGCAGCGGAGCCAAAGAAGATCTCTCGACCTTCATAGAGAACGATGACTTTGTCAAAAATATCGTAGATGTTTTGACTGGCCTGATAGGCAGCCACGGCGTGAGAAGCGCCAGTCAAGTCCGAAAGCAAGCGGAGAGACTCGACAAATTTCAGTGCAGTGGCAGAGTCCAATCCACGCGTGGAATTATCCCAAGCAGCCAGAGGAGAAGCAGCGAGGGCCATTTCAGCAATACTAACTCGCTTTCGCTCACCACCAGACACACCACGAATGAAATCGTCTCCGACGCGAGTGTTATAGGTATGGCTTAGACCGAAGACAGCCATCGTCACTTGTGCCATGTAGCGGGCATATTCTTCCCGGGCCATGCCCTCTAAACGGCGAGCAGGTGTTCTGCTAGCGGCGGCAAATTCCATAGTCTGTCCGACTGTAAGGTGGGGGAAGTGTCGGTCAACCTATAGAGTGGACATTGTTAGTAGATGAAATAGCAGTTGAGTCGAGCTTGCGTACCTCTTGGTTGTAAACAATCTCTCCTTTGAATTCCTTGACCATGCGCGATTGGGGGATACCTATAGCTTCCCGTTAGCAAAGTACTTAAGATAGGTAGCCGAGAATACAAGTTTGCCTCACCATTATAATGAAGGACACTGTTTGAGTCAAGCTCCAAACCATGAGTTTCTCCACACATTGACTTGAGAAGAGTACTGCATCCGGCGCCAGGTCGACCTAGGACCAGCAATAATTCGCCTTTCTTGAGCAGACCGGAGAAGTCTTTAAGAATCCGCCTCCGTGGGGCATGCGATTCACGGATCTTCTGTGGCAACCGAAGGGGTGAAGATAGCATTGACGACACGGTCTCCTGGAATTGCAAGGCAGCGCCAGATCCATAGACGTTAAGGTTCTTGAAGACAATGCCCATATTCTGGCCCGTTCGGCCATCCTTATCGGCATCGGTCATAGCCGCAGCTAGCCATTTCTGCAAGTTGAACTTTGGGGACTGAGGATCTAGGGAGGGATCGTGTTCGGCGACGGATGCTAGACGGTGGGTAGGCACCATAGATTGTCGACGCGATTGTTGCGTTGCGATGCGTGTGAGGGTCTCGATTTCATTTTGTTCGATGAGAGAGATAGGCTCGTAAAGGGGTCCATCTGTGTCTGAAGAGACCCTGCCTACTGAGAGGGTATCTGAAGACATGATTACAAGATAGGCACCTTAGAATGCCGATCTTGGTGGGAAGAAAATAGAACAGTTATTTGAATAAAAGAACTAGATGACAAGTGGGCTGGCAACCGATTTAAATAGAAGTTGTCTGTTCCGGATCCGATCCTTTTCTTCGACATTCTCGCAAAACCTAAAAAATCAAAATCAGAAAAAACGTGGACAGCATTATTGATACACCATCGGCTGTGCTATTGACTGGCACCTCGGGCCCGGGGATCGATCCCGGAACCTGGACTGGCCGAACTCCACCGCAATTTCAAACGTTGCCATTTGGCTTCGGTCACCCCGTACCCGAACCGATAAGCTCCACCAGGGCCGATTGCGGTTTTCGATTGGTTGAAGAAGGCTCTGCTTCCTCCCTGATGACTCAGCGGATATCGATGCAGCTTCTAACGGACGAATTTGCCACCGATTTCGTCCGGGGACGGACTTGGCTGTCTCACAACGGAGAGGATTGCGGTGGATCCGAGACTAATTCAGTCGCGCCTTGCCCCACAGCTCGCAAGGTTCATAACTACGCAAGATGCACAGATAGCCGCATAAATCGCAAGAGCTCAGTGTGGGAAGCAAAACACCATCCGATCTAGGGATCGATTCTTCAGAGAAAGAAAGGGTTCAACGTCCAGGCGCTTCTGGAACAGCAATAAAAATATATCCTGAGGTCAAGAATTATTTTGCCCGAAATCTCTGGCTGCCCAGACGTCTTAAGTTCTAGACCTCCAATCTCAATCCCTGCGTTGCATAATTTGAAGGTGGAACTCGCCCCACGGCAAATGCAAAAAATAGATAAAGTTTAAGTCATAATGCGCCGACGAACAGACCAGCTTCTAAGTTGCTAATGTGACATATCTACGCACTATGACAGCACAACAATTAAACCCTGGCGCCCGGGCTAAGATCGCACCCGGAGCCCCGCTGATAGGAGGCCTCCACCGGAAGGGAACCAATTCGCTGTTGAATGACGTTTGAGGCTTAAGATCGTTGAAATCGGGCCTTCGATTTCCGCCTCCCAAGAACTCGGCATACGAACGCGCACTACAATTAATTCCCGCCACGCATAAAACACTGTGGGTCCAAAATATGAGCATAACGGCGGAGGTAAGCACTTTCCCGCTGAGTAAGCATAAAATATTCCCGATCCAGTGGTTGGGTCTTGTTTCATTAGTAAGATCATATCTTGGGGTACCGTTGGAGAGAATCTTCGAGATAAGCCCTGTAGGCTTCCGATCACCTGAAGTGAGGCCGGACCAGGAATATAATAAGAACAACTCTGAACACGCGACTGTGACTTATGTCCCTAGGCGTATTCGAATTATCTTAAAAAAAAAAAGGAAATGAGGATGCAAAGAGGTCTAAAAAGAGATGTAAAAAGAAAAATAAGAAGAAAATCGCGCAGTCTATGCAGATGCCCAGAAAAATGGTGAGAAGGAAGTGAAGAATCAAGCATCTCGGCCCATTTAGACTATCTTCTCGGTCGAGCTATACGATAGGTTGACGCTCAGACCATTTTATCAGCCGATAATATATTAGTGACAACGAGCCAACATCGAGTTTACCGGGTAAGGTTTAGCTTTGTCCTTCGTCGAGCCCCAGATTTCAGGCAGCAGTGTCGGGGATAACTAGGAGGAAATATCAAACTTTCCGTTTCAGCTACTCATGCAATGCCCTGCCATTGGACAACACGAGGTCCGTATTTAATTGTGGAACAAATGACACGACAGCTTCCCGGATTTGCGTATGCGCCGCCTCGTGCTCAGGTGGTCCGAGGCCCGCCTGCTGAAATGGCACGCCTTATGAGGCGCCCCGATAAATATAGCCTGATATTCCCCACGCGCAGGAGACAAGTGTCCAACTGTTCAACTGTCCAACTTTTGAAACTTGTCATCCTTCACTGTTGTTATGGCTGCTTTTAAAGTGATAATCGTTGGGGGTAGTATCGCAGGGCTCACATTAGCCAACATCTTAGAGCGATATGGCATTAACTACATTGTTCTCGAGAAGCATGATATTATCGCACCCCAACTCGGAGCGAGCTTGGGCTTAGCACCCCATGGGGCGAGAATCCTGGACCAGTTGGGGATCAATGACAAGCTGAAAACCCATGCAGTGCAGGTGCAATATACCTGTGACTCTGGTCCAGATGGGCATCAAATAGGAGCTGCAAAAAAATTTGGTGATCTCATGGAAGAATTGTCAGTGGATCTTGTCCCTTATAGGTAGTCGAGCTGACCATGAGCGAGGTAGACTTGGATATCGCATGTGGTTTATGGATCGGCAGCACATGCTACGGGCCTTGTACGATAATTTACAGGACAAATCCAACATCCATACTTCCATGGAAGTCTTCAAAATCGAAGAGCTTGATAATGGCGTGCGGGTCGCAATGAAAGATGGATCTATTGTCCGTGGAGATATCCTCATTGGCGCGGATGGGGTCCGCAGCCGCACAAGAACTGAGATGTGGCGCCTTGCGGACATTGAGAACCCCGATTATGGCGCAGCACGAATGAGAAAGTGTATTATTGTCTCCTTGTGCGATCTATTGACAATGCTAATAGCGTCTCCTCAGCAATTTCTTGCACGTATAGATGCTTGTTCGGCATTGCGAAACGTCCAGATGGGATACCGGATGCAACAGCATACAAATCCTTTTTCAAGGGTCGATCTTATCTTTGTCCAATAGGGCCCGACAACAAATTATACTTCTTTGCATTCTTCAAGAATGCCGAGATGAAGACTCACCTGGACATCCCACGCTATACTGAGAACGAGGCAAATAAAGTAGCTGCTGCCTATGCCAATGACCCCCTATTCAATGGTCATACATTTGGCGACATCTATGAACGTCGCATGGCTAGCGTGCTCGTGCCAATTGAAGAATTCGTGCTCGAGAAATGTTCCTACAAGAGAGCTGTACTGATCGGGGATTCTTTCCACAAGGTACCTATACATGACCCCTTGAAGCAGGACAAGACATCTAACCACCCTCACTTGAGTGTAGGTGAATCCATTAACCGGACAAGGCGGAAACGCTGCAATCGAGTCCGCAGGATTCTTCTGCGATCTTCTGAAAGAAGCTCTCGATGAGAGTCCACATCCGGATCATGATAGAATCCAACGCATCTTCCACGAGTATCAGAAGGAGCGCGGCCCAAGAACAAAAAAAACCATGGAACATGTCAAGAGTGTCCAACGTATGGAAGTTCTTGACAATCGCTTCCTGAGATTTCTTCAGCTCAATGTCGTTTCTAAGCTGGGTGACTTGCACATTGCTCCGCTGTTCGCAATAGGTTCTACCCCGGGCCGTACTCTGAGATATCTACCAAAGAGCTCTCGGTCGTCCGGGTTGGTCGCGTTAAATGAGCAAGTCCAGATAAATGCGCAAGACCGGTCGACTTTGGCAACCGTGTTCTGGATGGGATTGATGCTTTTTATTGCATTGCTGAGCTCGCTTCTGTCTCGAAGTCTTGACATTGGTCGGGGCCTTGACAGCGAGTCTGAGCCACTACAGCTCTACATGTCTTTCGTCACGATCGCCATCAGTGGATTCTGGGCGGTTGAATCTTTTCGACCAGGTCTCCTCATCTCACCTTTATTCAGGTACGTGGCTCTGAACAATCTACAAATTGAGCGTGATTGCTAATCCCTCCAGCTCAATCCCGCATTTGATTGCCTCGTTTTCATTTGGTTGGGAGATTGTCCTGCCCGTCTATTTCGCGATACACATCTACATGAGCGGACAACAATCATTCTATTATCCTTCTCCCAGAGCAATCGACCCCTGGGCCGCGAAAGCGCTGCCACTTGGGATATTAGCCATGTATATCCCAATTATGGCTTGTGGTGCGACCATCTTAGGACAAAACCCAGGGGAAACAGGACCCATGTGTGTTGAGCGGGTGATACCGGTGGTCCATGCTAGTCTTCCTCTTCTTCTTCGCCTTGGCAAGCACTTCTTCCAAACTGACACCGAGGAACTCTCAGTTGGTCAACTGCTGTTTGGAGCCCGAGATCTAAAATACATCTCACGCTTCTTTAATATCATAATCGTTGTTTCCAGCACGTCGCATGTGGTTCTTGTGAGCAGATTGTTCCCCGAGGCTGTTTCCGATATCCGCAGCTTGACTATAACACCCTCTGTGCAGCTTTTGCAGGTCGGATGCTTGGCTCTTGTTGTTGTGGTATGGTGTACTTTTACAATTTGGGATATGCGCCGTGTGAACCTGACCAAGATCTCACCTCTGGTAACGTTCTTTTGTGCTTTACTCGGTACTTTCATTTTTGGCCCCGCTGCAGTGTTATCTGGGCTTTGGAAGTGGCGTGAGGGTGTGTTGGAGATGGGTAGGCAAAGAAAGTGAGAGATTTCATCGAAATGAACATGTGAATTTTGAAGTTATTCCCCATTAGGTTACAATAGATAAGATAGCGGATGAAATTTTCAGAGTCTAGTGATCTAGCGGCTCTCCGCAAAAATAGATCGGTGCCTTGAGACGTCAATGGGGGCCAAAAAGGACACCTCCATCTAAAGAAAAAAATAACCATCCAAAAACACCCATTCAGCTAAATTCCAGCTCAAGAATGGCTTCTACAACACCGTCTCTCGGAACTCGTCTCTACGCAGGTGTCTCCGTGACTCTCCTCTCTCTGTGGGCCACAACCGCTTTGAGCTTTACTGCCCTCGACATTCTGAACACGAACCGCAGCCTTGTGGAACCAATCGCCTCCATCAGCCTTTTGACCTACTTGATCTGCCGCGTAATTGTGTTGTTGCAACCCGGCCAAGATGACTCCATCGCACACTTTCTCACCGTACCTCGCCGCTCCCGCGGTGAGGCATTTGCGATGCTCCTGTTCTGCGGGACCTGGCTATACGAACTGGTCTACAAAGCCATGATGATGTTCTTCATGACCGTATTCGGTGGGGCTATCGCGGCAGTTATCTATAATGACGGGTTTGAGTCTACGGCTGAAAAGCCAAGTGATCCAAGTGGTTCGGATGTGGCCGGGACTGCGTTGGTGGAGATCGATGAATTCACGGCGATGGTGGGAGTTGACCCGATTCAGATCTTCAAGCGAATTCCTCCCAAATTTTTGGCTTACTTTGCAGTCCTTGTTTGGATGAACTTTGGGTCTCTGACTCTCTTTGTTCTTCGGCTTACGTGGAAGTCGGTGAAGGTTGTCTTGGGTACGCCGTCGGCTACTACCTCTGTGGAGAAGCAACAGGAAGATTGAAGAGTTATCTTTTCTGAATATGGTTCATATTCGGGTGCCTGGTCCGGAGAATCAAGATTACCAATAGTAATAGAGCTGAACTTATCATGTGGCTGTCTGCATGATGATCATTCCCCAGCAGTGCGACTGTCACAATGCGGGAATTTTGTTGTGTCGCCCTGCTTCTTTGACTTTCCACGATCTATCCGCTTAGGCAGCCAATTTGTTTTATTTTCCCAATTTTCGTTCTGTCTCACTTTTGCGGCAAAGTTTACCAAGGCCGCCTATGATGTCCAGGTCTGTTGGTTCCGACCCTTGATCCTCCGCTGATCATGCGATTTGGGTGCCCCCTGTCGCCCCACGGCGTCCATCGAGTGACTCAGAGCGACATAAAGGCAGTTTGATGCTGACGTGTTTGTCGCCTCTCAGGCCACGAAGAAAGCCTGAGGGTTGGAGACTGAGTGGCGGGGTAAAGCATTGCTGCAAATCGGAGTTCCGCCCAAAGCTACGTATTCTACTTATAGGAATTCTCATTTATGATTCTTGTGAGGATTTCCTTCATACGCGTCGTTTCGCATGTGTCTATTCAAGTTTCACGTATATACTACCGCGCATCTGTGCCTTAACGCCTACAGGGTTCCATCACATCGATATCCAGTTCGTCAAACCTCCCCCACAGCAGGCTGTGCGGGCCACGGCCCGGCACGAGAGGCGGACGCGGGGCGGTACCGTTGTCTCCTGGCCAATGTATTATGTCACCACCTCTACCCTGCATTCCTAATGCACTCATGCCTTGGACCTGAAAATCATTCCTCGGTTCAGCATAACTGAAAGAGCCTTGCTCGTGATGAAGAGTCAAAAGTTCAGCATATCAGAATATTGACCGGCTAATCTGCTGCTCCGGTCCTTCTGCGCGTGTTATTACTCCCCGACGTGGTACAATTATCAATGAGTCAAATGCTTCGCCTATAGGAGTATACCAACCAATAAGGTAAATATCCTCAAATACGCAAATTAGAGCTCTTATTGGGTAGCTCGATCATCTTCCGGCTGCGGCCCTCATGATGACTGCATCGAAATTTGCGATTATGTTTGTCACCTCTTTTGCAGGGATTGGGAGGATTCCTATATAAGACAGCTGCTCGATGCCCCAAATTACAAGACCTCAACCTCATCAAGACCAATTCCGCCTGTGATTATTTGATCGACCAATGCTCCAAGCCCTTCACCATGCAGATCACCAAGGTTTCCCTTTTCCTGTTCGCTGCCATGGGTGCGATTGCTAGTCCCATTGATGCCGAGTCCGACGGCCTCAATGCTAGAGTTGAGAATGCTGCCAACATTGAGTACACAGGAGTGAGTCTTATACAATATATGCCCACATGACACTAAAACTAAGTACTCGGAACAACTCCCCAGAAATGTGTTGCAAAGGACAACAATTGTAGATACGGAATTGGTGGGAAGACACACCTTGTCAAGTGCCCTAGCGCCGCCAACACAAAGGTATCTCTTCTTTATACTTAAGTATAATAACCTCAGCTAACCATGAGAATTATCTTCAAAGTGCGAGAAGGATGGAAATAAGTGCACGTATGACTCCTACAACGGAAAAGTTAAGTGTGACTTCCGCCATTGATAGAACTATTTCAAATGGCTGTTACTGGCCATTCTTCTTACCAGGAAGTGTGAGATGACGCGTGATTCTCAATGCCTACAATTCGCGTCAAAAATGGCTAGGATCAAGTAATATTGAGTGTATGTTGGGTTGATACATATGTGGTGTGCATCCCGAGTATCTCGTTTTTTTTGTGATATTCTGCTATGGCCACACTCATTGAGTATCTAGCTAGATATTTTGGCTTATCATCAAATTGCTTACTGACTATTTGATATTTTGAGCATCTCTGTCAAACAGAGAATATCCTAGCCGTCTACTTATTGCTGAAGTAACCTGACGCTCTAGTAGCTACCATGTTCTTCACAAATCTGACACGAGGGATTCTCTGGCAGTCTGAACGATCCGGAAGTCAGACGATTACCATAACACCAGAACATATGTATTTCATCTGCCTCATCGAAGTGGTGTAATCGTATCTTATTTGTACACCTTCGAAGATAGAGCAGACATGCGAAGGGCTGCATTGGGACAGAAAAGTAACATTGAACTTGGGAATAAAAGTAGGAGAGAAGTGAGAAAAAGAGAGAGATCTGATTGATAACTTCCTTGACATCTGCTTTGGCGCCTTCCTTCGCGTCTTACTTATTTTGCGCCATCCTTCGAGTCATTCGAGTCTTCATTCTCCGTAGCTTCACTCTTCAAAAGACTCTTCCGGCAAAACAGATGTTTTTCCTGATGCAAGTCATCTCCACCGTTCTGGTATGCCCGTAAAATTTCAGAATTTCGTTGCATAACGGTACTGACCATGTACTCAATGGCATCTGTGGCGTACTCTTCTAAGAGTTCCTCTTTGGCCTCTTTGGCCTCCTCCTGGATTTCATGGAGTCGCTTGAGCCAGTATATGTATCTCCATGGCGAGAATCCAGTGGGTGATCGCCGCCCAAGCTCTGACTCGATGAATTTCTCGCCCCCTTGCTGATGATACTAGGGCAATCGTTCCAATAGACCTCTGAGAGTAGAACAAGATTGTGGCCTGTATGGCGCAGCCAAGCCACGGCAGCTGGCAACAAGTGAAAAATTTCAAGCTGATGCATGCTTCGCTTTGGATCTTCATCATCCGACTCCTCCCCGCTGCGAAGTCCCTGTCTCTCCTCAAACAGATTGCGGAATAGAATGAGGGCAATCTGGCACAACCTATCCTTGCCGACGCGGGTTGATGCCAGTTTGGCTAGGAAAGTCGCAAAGTTAAGTCGGTGTGTACCCGACATCGTCGGAAAGTCGCTGTTCCAGAAGCTGGTCATATCGGTGGCTAAGAAGGGCAGATCATTCCACAGTATACCTTCGGCAGTTCGTGCGATATCAACACCGTAATTTCCTCGCACGGGCCGAGTAAGCGGTCCCATTCCTTGAATGCGGACGATGTCGAGGATAAGACCCTCGTGGTCGGGCGTTTCGTACGAGATATTCCGACCGAGCTGGTAGTACATATACCACATAGAATGAATGTAAACTTCGAGGGAATCCACCCCATCTCCAAGCTCGCAGTATCGGGAGGTAGTAATCCAGGTTCGGTTGCTGAAGGCCGCGCCCCTAATCTCCTTGAATTCTCCCCGAGCCATGCACTGACGGATGTCTTCCTGGTCTATCCGAAAATCTTCTGATGTGGTGAGGTGAGGGGTGCCTCGTGGCGAAGGGCCCAGCAGCGAATCACGGAGATTATGCATTATAGGGTGTTGTCGGTGTTGATTAATGGCTTGGTTCGGTTGCAATAATGAGTCCGAAGATGGATGAAGATGAAAAGAAGTGCCAACCTGGTAGAACCCCAGGCCTGAAATCGCGGGGAAGGGAAAAGACGAGGGATTTCTCTCAGGGGAACTCCTAGGCAGCAACGTACGGATTATGCTGCTAGTCGGTATCTGAATCTTTGAGCTCGTGTATGCCCTGTTCGAGCGCGGTTTTCTTTATATCTTGTCGATCACCCGGTAAGCGGGGCCATCCTGCAGCCTCTGAAAAGTTACATTGGATGGGGCCATCCGATGCAACAGGGTTGATATCGCCAGGTATGATGGTATGGCACTAAGGAGTGCTCTGCTTCTGAGTTGGATTGAGGGGAAGGCTCTGTTACTGCTTCCACCTACGCTACTAGCTCATATTGACCGAGACGAATCCAAGATTTGTACCAGAATCACATCCAATCTCGTTCTCTTCAGGTAACTAATAGTTGAGAGCGGGTTGGCGACAGGCTTTGTATCATATCAATTATACACCGAGAAACTGTTTCTTAGCCTTATCGCCAAGGCCTTGGCGCAGATGATCTATTGAGCTACCCACGTAAAATCGAGGACGCAGATTCGGCTTGTAAGGTACATTACAAGCCTTAAACCCTCTTATTACATTACACTTACAGTCTGAGGAGCTTTATGGAATCTGGAGGCTTATGCCCAACCTCCCCGCTCATCAACCCCGCCCACTACTATTTCTTCTTACAAGCCGGCCGTCCACCCAATTTTGGCTCATCCTACGCTTAAGCCTTCATCGACGCCTAGCGTTATGGAGTCCAAGGCCCACCTATCTTATAACGACTACACAGTCGGATGGATATGCGCCTTGCCTGTGGAGATAGCAGCTGCGAGGCTTATGTTGGACGAAAGTCACCCATCATTACCTTCCTTGCCGAACGATCGAAACACCTATTGTTTTGGACGAGTTGGAAAGCACAACGTCGTTATTGCTACTTTGCAGAGTGGCGAATATGGCACTAATTTGGCCACAATAGTTGCGGTTCAGTTATTGTCCAGCTTCCAAGCTGTTCGCTTCGGTTTAATGGTCGGTATTGGCGGAGGGATACCAAGCAAAAATGTGGATATACGGCTGGGAGATATAGTAGTGAGCAAGCCAACGGACACGTTTGGAGGGGTGGTTCAGTACGATCTTGGCAAAAAGCCAAGCAGTGGCCAAATCGAACGAGCAGGGATGCTACATCGACCTCCACGGATTCTGTTAAATGCTCTCGCAGCCCTCCGAGCATATCACTTGACAGAAGATAGCCACGTTGATGAATTTATTTCCAACCTCCAAATGACGCCTCGCCAGACGAGTTTTTTCACGAGGCCAACGCAAGACGACCGTCTATTCCAAGCAGAATATGATCATCGTGTAGATGGTACATGTATAAATTGCGACCAATCCAAGCTGCTTCCACGACCCCCACGAGAGAGCAAAGAGCCAGTCATCCATTACGGGCTTATTGGATCTACAAACCAGGTAGTAAAAGATGGCAGGGTTCGAGATCGGCTAGCTAGGGATTTAGGGATATGCTGTGTGGATATGGAACTGGCTGGACTTATGAATCATTTTCCAGGTCTGGTTATTCGCGGTATCTGTGACTACGCCGACTCACACAAGTCTAAGGAATGGCAACCATATGCGGCACTCGTGGCGGCGGCCTATGCGAAAGAGCTTCTCTTGATGGTCCCAGACGATCAAGTTCACAGCACCCCAACGGCACGACTCACTCTGGCAGATGCTGCAGAAAGCAGCAAGTCTAAACTGACTCCCGCGGATGCCGTTATTGTTGTATTGGGTCCGACTGGGGTGGGCAAATCGCACTTTATTCGAGCGGCTACTGGAGATTCATCAATTAAAGTCGGTGCAACGCTGGAGTCTGGTAAATGCAGCTTAACATTCTTCATCCAGTGTGTATATCAGGCTAAGTGACACAGTTACCGATAGGCTTAATGTTTACCGTACTGAAATCAACGACCAATCTGTTGTTCTTGTCGACACCGTTGGCTTCGATGATACCTATCGAAGTGATACAGACATTTTACGGGAAATCGCAACCTGGCTCGCTGATACCCACGTTGAAGGGGTCAATTTAGCTGGCGTCATTTATATGCATAACATCAAAGTCCCGCGTTTCACTCGCTCAGCGGCGAAAAATATGCGGATGTTCGAAAAGCTTGTTGGAGAGGCGGCTCTGAGCAACGTAGTGCTCATCACTAATAGGTGGGACGGGGTCTACCTTGAAGAAGGCGAAAGGAGACAAGAAGAATTGACACAGAACCCCAACATGTGGGGTACTATGATTGAAAGAGGGAGTACCGTTGAGCGCTTCTCCGGCACTGCGCAAGATGCTCAAAGGATCTTGAAATCCGTTCTGGACAAGAAGCATAGAACACTTCTGAACATTCAACAGGAACTAGTTGACCGGCAGCTGGATTTATCCGAGACTGAGACCGGTAAGACTTTAGTTGAGGAGATTAAAAATCTCCGCACAAACCACATGCGACAAATGGCCAATCTGCAGAATGAATTGAAGGAAGCCTTGAAGTCGAAAGATATTAAATTGTACGAGATGATAACTCAGCAGCTATCGGAACTCAAAGAGCGCTTAAATGAGTACGAAGCTCAAATCTCAGAACTCAAACACCAAAGAGGAGCACTCGAAGAACTTCAGCGTGTGCATGTCGAGGAAATTAGACGGTTACAGGATTCAATCGGAGATCGACTTGGATTTTTGGAAGAGCAGAATTCGGCACCACCTCCAGCATACGCCGAAGCCTCAAGTGCTGTCGATACACAGCCTAACATTGAATATACGAGGATCGAGCCGGCATCAGCAAGGTCTTATTATGTCTGGATCCTGCTAAAACTACTTTGGGAAGTTGGCCAGAGGCTGCTTAGGCCGCGGCTGCGCACTGGATACAGGAGACTGGTGTGGCGATGTGTAAGAAAATCATGATCCCTCTCACTCTTCTCAAATTAATATCTCAGACATGCGGAGATCTTCTATACGGCGACTTTCAGGATAATATACCAGGATCAATCGATAAACTAGCGGCTAGGTTAAAAGAGCACTCTAGACAAGAATCCCAGCATGAGGGCTCAACATCACGACAATCCTCAAAAAAAGCGCCTTCGAGACCTCCCAATTCACTTATGGGTTGGAATATGCCACACGATAGTGGAAGCAATGATCAGCATGATCCAGAAACCCCAGTCGTTGCTGAGGGTCCTTCGACTTCTAACACTCGACAGCGACAGGCTCTCCAACTATGCATAGAGACTGGAAAATTCACATTAGAGTTGAGTGAGCTTCACTTGGACCAGCCGCCTAGTGATGGACAGTTATTCGAGAGGATCCGAGAAAAATACGAGCATGTCCGTCACTCTATGCTCCCAATGCAATTTCGGTTCAGCAAGCCCGGGAAGGCGATATTTATAAAGGCAAGTTGCACAGCTTTACATACTAAGGACTTTAACAATGGCTGACTTTCAAAACAGTTCCGGATCGGGAAAAGACCGCTAATTTCGCCAATCGCCGGTTCAATAGTTATGCCTTCCATACCCCCCGAAGCAGAAGTAAAATCCGGAAAGTATAGATATATCCCATGCCCGATTGACGAGCCGCCTATGGACTATCGGACGTTCCTCCACCACTTTTACGCCCCTGCATCAAAGCACCCTGATATAATGTGGGGGCCACGTCTGCCTTGGAAAACTGGAGCTGATCTAGAACCAATGGCACAAGGATGGGGTATTCATCTTGAAGAACAGCCAGACTGGCCCCTGTTCGCTGCTTACATGTTCCTCTTCCTACTCCTCAGTGGCCTAGTCACTGGTATCTATTCCTGGAAGACAGGAGACCCCCAGACAGGAGTTGCGATCGGGTCTTGGCTTACAGCCGTTCAAGCGATGGGAATGACTGCATTGTTTTTCTGGTGGAAATGATCACAGCTAGGACCCCTCCGGATTCCTGCGCACAATGAAGCGTAATGTATTGAGCATGTCTTGCTCCTAGGCGAGTCCCATGAAAAGATTCGCTCTAGCCTTCAAGTAGCTAGGCTCATGATAAAGACCCATAAGAAGACAAGGGACCGTTTCCAACCAGGCACAGCTCCACGACGGTGTTCCATACAATCCTTTGGACTTTCCATACGCATAACGTAATATTACATAGCTCAGTACTGTAACATACAAATCGCCTTTTACGACGCCCTGAATTTTAGGCAGACATCTCAATAAATTATATACGCTAAAGCCTTGGCAGTGGGGCTAGGAAATAGCAACACAGTGTGATGCGGTCAAGCCGATTTCGAGAATGACTGTATAGGAGCTCTGTGTAAGAGACGGTGTTTTACGTAAAGCAGTTGTTCTGGAACTAAGAGGGTTCTTATCTTAGGGTTGAATTGTTGACGCCTGATTTTAAAACATATTAGCTTAGTTCGAAGTACGGGCCGAGAAACAAAGCGTGAGTGTCTGGGGGTTAATCTGGTTTCGAATTCTACTGTACAATCTATAGTAAGAGACTCAAGCCTTCGTAATAAAAAATGGTTGCATGTGATCCTTTTTCAATACAACTTAACAGTACTGTAATAAGAATCGCATCCGGACAAGAAAGCGCAACGAACCTCTTCTCATGGCATCAACACCCACTAAATAGTAGAATCGTGGTTTTGTATGTTCCTAGATATAGCCTACCCGCAACAAATATCACGCTAGTACATCCGATTCAATTTATCCCCGATTCTTTCAAAGACATGACTTTGCAAAATCAGACTGGCATTGTCTTTTGGCTATGACATGAAGCATTGTTGATATCTTGAGGCCCATCGGGGCTTCCCTCTATCTCACACATCTGACATTCAAAAAGAGTCCTGCCAGAGAGCAAAAGCCTTCACATGTTAATACGCGGACTGACCAACACCTTGCTCCGGTAACGCGTCCCCATCCACCTCCTTCACAATTAAAACGCCGGCACTGGTGCCGATGCGGTGCGCACCAGCTTTTATTAGGTTCACACAGTCACTAGCAGACCGAATGCCTCCACTCGCTTTGATCTTAGTCTGTGTTGTTCCACAATGATCAGCAACAAGACGCATAATGGTGACATTTTCAACGGTAGCACCACCGCCCTTGAGCCCGGTACTAGTCTTAACGAAATCCACTTCCGCCATGCAGCAGATCATAGTAGCAGCAATGATCTCATCCTTTTCAAGTTGAGATGTTTCGATAATCGCCTTGAGAATAACCGGTGGAGGCGCAGCCTCGCGAACAGCCAAGACATCCTCATAGACCGCTGTATATTTACCCTGCTTCAACAGGGGATAGTTGATAACCATATCCAGCTCCTTGGCGCCTTGTGCCACGGCCTCCTTGGCCTCCCGCACTTTCTCAGTCGTTTCGTATGTACCCTCATGAAAGCCGACCACGCAGGCGACGACTGTCTTTCGCGCGTCCTTGAGTTTTTCAACGGCGCGAGAAACGTTTTCCAGGCGGACACAGACGGAGGCGAATTCATGTTCTTTGGCTTCGTCGCAGATCTTGTTTACTCGGTCTGCTTCGACGCCCACGGTCAAGAGCGTGTGGTCGATCATTCCTGGGATTTCCAATGGGATTGCAGGATGCAAGTGGGATCGGGCTGGCAACACCTCTTGGAAACGGGTGATTAATATCGCCCACTCGGCGTCCGTGGAAGGAATGGACGTCATCTTGGATTCTCCGGTCGTTCAGGGCCCAAGGTGTTGACTTTGCTTGCTTCCAAACGAGGGGAAGAGTGGGGTACCGTCACGTGAGCATGTTGTATGTTCTTCATGATGACTAGTCGTGATACATCTTGACATGATCTACCTTGGGTAAGGCGGTGATGTGTGGCATCGGTGGCGTTGGTCTGGGTGTGTTGATCGATGATCGGCGGTGGATCCATCGATGTTGATAGGAGCTGATAGCCAGATAACAAGACGCAGATACCCTACTTTATAGCTTTTTTGTGATTTGAATTCCAGTTATAGAGTAAAAATAGCACTGCGCATATATTCAAGTGCACAATTCGCCGAGTCGAGGCATTCTCAGTCCATAGGTGAAAGCCACCATGGCCGCTTGCCTCAAGTCTTCACTCTCGTCTCTGGTATTTGGTACCTCACATCCAAGCAACCACCTTCTCACCCACGGCATGTCCCGCCCCCACACTCCGGGCCTCGAACATCGTCCACTGTTCCGATACGCCTGCCAGGACCCGACCCCGGACCGGGAGGACCACCGCCACCACCACCACCGCTTCCACCCCAGGTGCCTGAGCTTACACCAAATCGAGACTTGGACTTCGAGGCAGATTGACGGTTGTAGACATTGAACTGGGAAGCCTGGGCCGCAGCGTAGGTGTCGAGCTGCGAATTTCCCGAGTTAGCATCTCCAGGCAGCAAAGAACGGGGAAATCCCTCCGGCCTCGCAAGGCGTGGGTATCCGAGTGAAGGGGGCTTCTCATACCGAAAACAGGCTGACAAAGTACAGTCCAACAAAGGTGTAAGCGCTCTCGAAGAAGCGAACGGCGCGAACGGTGAGCGGCGGGCTGTTGGGGTCGCGCCGAGTTAGCAGGGTTTTTCGTCTAGCTAAACGGGGTCTCAACTGGCCCGAGCGGAGATCTCACCTCTGAAGAGCCCGGCCGTTAGAAAAGTAGGTCTGTTGGGGCTTCTGGGAAGACATGATGGGTGTGGTGATGGAAAGAGAGAAAGACAGACGTTGAAGTTGAGGTGGAGTCGGCCTGGTATCAGGGGCCGATAAGGCAGCGATCTCCCGTCAGCCGCGGGGGTTCCTGTTCTACTTCTACTGGTCCGAGACTTGTTCTACAGTAGAGAATGACACTAAGAGCCCTGATTTTTCACATCGCTTACAATATTTGAAGAAAGCCCGACAAGTTAGACATAATATAGACTCTCACTCTTCCACAACCTCCTCATGCTCATCAACCGGTTTCATGTCGTCATCTTCAAAAGGCGTACCACGCAGCTGAGCCTCGATGCGCTTAATGCGCTTCTTCTCCTCATGAGCACTCGTATCACCAAATATGAGATCCATATCTTCAAGAGTCTTTCCGCGTGTCTCGGGAATACAAAAGATCGTAAAGACCAACGCCACTAGACAAAATGCTGCGAAGAAGATGTAAGTACCCCAGGTGATGGTATCGAGCATGTCCGGAGTAACGAGGCCGATGATGCTATAGAGATAATTAGAAGAATCATTTCCATGGAAAGGGGAAATCAACTCACAAGTTGCACATCCAAGTAGCCGATGTCGTAATAGATATTGCTTTCGAACGAATTGACAAGTTGAAAATCTCAGACGGCAGCACCCAGCCGATGGGCGCAAACGAATATGAGAAATTGACATCGTAAATGTATATGAATGCAATCGCTGCGTATCCAGCGGACTTGTTTCCGGATAGGCTGGAGCCATATCCGCCGAGGATACTCCCGACGATAACAAGCGAAATGCAGGTTCCTGTGGCGCCTGCCATGAGAAGGACGCGACGTCCAACCTTGTCGATGAAGAAGAGTGCCGGTAGAGTACTAAGGCAGTTGACGATACCATATACACCGGTGGCTAGAAGTGAAGTTGTGTTGCCGTCCATGCCCAGCATGCCGAATATCGTGGGAGCGTAGTATATCATGGCTGGAACGAATTAGAATCGTTTGTGGCTTGAAAGCAAGCGGTTGTACTCACCGTTACAACCCATGAATTGCTGGAAGAACATGACGCAGCAACCGATAGCCAACCGCTTGAAGCGGGACCAACTTGTCACTAGTGACATGTACTGGCGTAGATCATGTTAGCATGGGAATTAGCATAGGGCGTAGGAAAGTTACCTGAGCAGCATGTAGCTTGAATCCTGTCATGTTGGGAAAATGCTCCCGTGCAAAGGTGTTCTCGAGCATGATGGACGCCCGAATCTCCAGATATTCGTTCTGAAGCGTGGGACTATCCCGAGACTGGCGACGCAGTCTTGAAAGAGCATCAAGACATTCTTCGTCGCGCTCCTTCATAAGTAGCCAGCGAGGCGAGTCTGGGAAAAACAGCATTCCAATACCTAGAATCAATGCCGGAGCTATCTGGATGGCTAGTGGGAGTCGCCATGATGCCTCGGATTGACCAGTGCATCCGCCGATGGGAACATCATGGTATGGGTCGAAGGAAGGCTTTGAAGCTGTTCCTCCTGTGTAAGCCATATTCGGGGCACAGCGCGAGCCTCCAATATAGTTGGTTCCATAGTCGATCCAGTAGCTGACCAGGATGCCAATTGTGACGGACACTAGATAGGGTTAGTCGAATCATCCAGGGATATCCATGCAGTGTGGGAAGCTCACATTGTTGTGTTACCACAAGGCCTCCCCGGATCTCAGGGATGGATACTTCTGAGATGTATAATGGGACCACCATAGTCAACATGCCGATAGCCAGGCCGGCAATCGCTCGACCTAGGAGAAATTAGTGAAGGTCTCGAGTTCACCGTGAAAGACATACCAGCAAAGAGCATTGGGATATCGACCGCACCACATTGAATAGCAGATCCAATGACGAAGATTACGACAGCCATATTGATTGATAGCTTTCGTCCAATTCGATCGGCGATGGGTCCATTGATCAGAGACCCAGCCCATGCAGCTTCATCGTGTTAGGTTTCGATTTCCAATCGTCCGAGGGAGCTCACCAAGCAAAAGAGTTGAAACAAACCACCCTTTGAAACCAGAGTCGCTGTAAACTCTTGGGAACGCAGCGCCAAAGCTCTCCATGGTGATGACACCAGAGATCACGCCCTGGTCATATCCAAACAAGAGACCGCCCAGAGTCGAGAACTACCCGAGTTAGCCATTGATTATTGTCACAGATTTGATACTTACTGATGCCACACCGCAAAGATATGGATTCTCCAGCACTAACTTGAATCCGCCCTTCGGCGGGCTATCTATCATGGAGCCCATGATTGTCACAATAGCAAGAATACAGAATAAACAGCCCCTAGAAATTGACCCTCCCTTGTGACTATATACTCCCCACCCCCACGCGGGGAAATTGAACTTTAAGCCAAGGATCACAGTGCTCCGAATATGAGGGCTACAGCATTGCGGATCCCGAGTCCGGGAAGCATGCCATGGCAAGGAAAGCCGAACGAAAGGCGGAGCGATGTGCTCCGATTTAACCCTACCAACTTCGAAAAACTGGGGAGGATGGGGGGCCGTTATTTGCTGGATGGACCGATGAGATTTAAGTTGTCAGGTTGATGCGGGGAAGCTTCCCGGTTCCCCTGAGCCCTGATTCCCTGATCCCCTGATCCCTGGCGCGAGATAAGGCTGGTGGCGGTGAAGATACAGCCGTTGACCATGGTTGTACGACCAGAGAACAGTAGTCAAACACTCACTGCTTGTGTTGCCGGGTAGTTTGGTAACAAACTCTATAGCCACTGTTAAGCCTCGACCGAGAGGGATCGGGAGGCTGCCAGTTGTGGAGCTTGAATTGTGGGGGGGTCCAGTTCGGGATTGTCCCCTTCGGCTTTTGTCCGAGTTTCCAACATCATGGCCTTCCTACGCAATACTCCCATGCCCAGGGGAGGATGCCGGTATCTTCAGTGGAGTTACGGGGTCTAATCTGAGCAGATCCATTCAAATCCCGAAGAGGTTGTGCAGGTGCAACTTCCACAGTCATGAATCGGTTGATGACAGATCGAATCGAACCATGCAATACTACTGCGTCGGACTGCGCTCGATTGCGCACATTAGTGCATCGACTCGAAGAGGCTCGACACGGCCCAATTGCGCAAATGCGCTCATCCGTCGGAGCCGGAGCTTACCGATACCTGGACAGTGAATGCAGTTGGGCTTTATTTACCCGATGCCTAGATATTTAGCTATGCTATCACCTACACTGAATAACTACTCCTCCGGACAGATTCCAGCTTCCATCATGGTACCCCTCCGCATCGGTGTCCTCCTCGTGGATTCCGTCCAGCTCCTAGACCTAGCAGCAGTGGACCTAATCTTCATGGCAACACCCGAATACATCGAAGAGATAGGAATGCCGAAACCACTCCAAGAATTAGGTCGACCGTGCGAAATCCACTATATCGGCCGTGACGGTCCCAACGCCCACTCCTCAGTGACATCGCAAATGTCTCTCCGCCTGACAGACTCCTTAACCGACGCAGCCGTGGCACCAGGAAACCTCGATCTCCTCTACATACCCGGACCTCCGCCGAAATCCATGCCCCCCCCGATCGAATACCTCGACTTTGTCCGTGAACACAACGCAGCAGCTACGACGATCATGACAGTCTGCACGGGCATCTTAGTCGCCGCCCACGCAGGAATCACCAAAGGAAAGACAGCAACAGCACCACGCTTCCTAATCCCACTCCTGAGAAAACAGTTCCCCGAAACGACGCTATGGAGTGACGCACTGCGTTTCACCAGTGATGGAAACCTGTGGACTAGTGGTATATTAACCTCGTGATCAGAACCGCCAAACATTTGAGAACCCTACTCACTACAAATTAGGCGGCATTACAAACGGCCACGATATCGTCGCTGCATATCTATACGCTACATACCCGACCCCGCTCGTCAATACTATCCTCGCCGTCGCTGATATTGCACCCCGTCCGGCGGAGTATCAGACCACACCCTTTGGCGATACGATGTACGTCCTGGGTCAGATCATTCGAGCGATTCCGAGCTTGATTGCGCAGTTATTCACCAAGTGAAAAGACGATCATTTGAGATAGAATCAGTGAATGAATTACAAACAGCTCAATCCAAATCAATTCCTCACGTAGGGCGGACCCACCCGATCTGGAAACCCATCTTCCACCGACGTCATCCCGAGGTCCCGACGCTCGGAATTTCTTTAAATTCACATTCACCCATTTAATTCTCGTGAAATTCATAGTCCATAGTCTACGTTTGTTCTCCATTTCTTATATACTCAAAAAGGCTACAATGCCAACCCACCTCTCCGTTCTAATAACCGTCGCCTCTCCACTCGACTACGCGCGCTACCGACACGCCTCACTATATCTCGAATTCGAGAACGGCGAACGCCTCAAATCTGCCCTAATGGAGGTCGTGGGATCACCTGGATTCTTCAGTTTCTTTGAACGTGCTAATATCGAACTTCCTGTTTCTTCTACGAGTATGTATCACATCAGATTCACAGATCACGGATCTTGACCCGGGGTTCAGTTCAAGGTCCAATATCCAAATGGTGAAAGATGGCTAATTAAATGCAGATATTGCACGCGTGATACGTATCTCATCACTACCAGACACAGTGCCTGTATCATCATTACAACGGACTATTGCCGAGACGCCTATTATGAATGATGCGGACTGGAATAGTCAGAACTGGGTGGGTGATGCGCTAGCGAGGCTTGTGATGGCAAGGTATTTGGATGAAGAGGCGGAGAGGAGGGGGTTAGATGAGATGGTTGATGCGATTATGGAGGCGAGTGATGAGAAATGTTAACGCTACATGCCCTATGTACCTACTCTAGTACCTGTTACTTATATCTTGTGTACCTATAAGTGTGTATGTTACTGTATCATAGATCAAAGCATTCGTTGTTCATTTCTCGGTCCTCATTTCCGAGGAAACAATCTGAAGACGCAGAACGCTCGAACTATGCATCATACTGCCATGCGACAATAGGGTCATTGGGCAAGGGTAAGGGTTGAAGGGGTAGGGGTAAGGATAAGGGCAAGGATGTCCGAAAGGAGAAAGACGCTGACTCCCAGTTCGGAGAAGGGCAAATTTTGATTCATTACTTCATCGGCGAGAGTCACTTGGTTCCCAGTGAATTGGCTCAAAATCTTGGTTCTGGAAGTGCGCTTGGTTGTAGGGGGAGCTTCTCAAATTAGACATTAGCGGCGACTAGCTAGGTGGTGGGGGGAGTGCTCACTTTTTAAAAGGCGTGGTCACTGGGAGGGAATGGCTCAGGTTTGGTTTCATCACCAATGGATTCAAGCGGATCTGCGGGCCATCAGATCTGTTGGGCAGAGTCGTCATTGGGGGTGGAGCCGAAGGCATCACAGGTGGAGGTGATGAGACGGGAACTGGAACGTGGTTCTGGATGGGCGACTGGTACATGTCCTGGGGGGTGGATATTCGAAATGGGCTTGCTGGCGTTTGAGGTACCGAGGGAATTGGAGACATGGGCATGCCGAATCCAGATCCGGGGTCCGCCATCAGATTGGGGATGGACATCAAACTTGAGTTGACGTCGAAGGAGAGAGCGCCTTGGTCCCAGGGGGTATAGTTAGAAGTCATTCCGTATTGGAGGTTGACCATGGGTGCCATATTCACAGTCTGTTCGGCGCGGTAGAGAAGGTCATAGTGGCCACTAAGAAGGTTAGAGCGGGCTTTCAAGGCTTTAAGGCACAGGGAAAACTTACGGTCGATATAGCAGGCGGATGGTAGGTCCATTGGGAGTAGATCCAGAAACCAGCTGGTGAGGCGTCACCGCGTCGCCCTCACTTCGATCGAGATAGAGAATCTCGACTCCAAACCCAGATCCTTGGATGATACCGTCGACCAGGGCTTGTAGTCCGACTTGATCGATTTCCGTCTTCAGCGGGTCGATGTGTTTAGCACAGTACTCGTCCAGGGGCCCGGAGAGAAAGGCTTGGTATTGTTGAGGGTTGAGTTTCATCCAGGTGCTAGTGAGTAGCTAGAAAAGATTTTAGTCAGCCTAGACTTTGTATATTTTCAGGGCTACATACCCTGAAGTGAGTAATGATGGAATTTGAGTTGAATTCATCATTGAAGGCATTGACCAGGTATGTCTCATCCTGCTCGCCATTCTGGATAGCCGCCAAGGTTTGTGCGAATGCGTCTTCGGTGGCATCCACAAAGATCTCGTATAGAGTGGGATCGAGGCCGACCTGAACAAGCAATGTGTTAAGGGATTCGATGCGACTCATTTCTCGCTGAACACGCATGGGGTCTCGCAGGGCGTAGAGGGTTTCAAAGTATCCGAAAGTCACCGCTAGAATAATCAGATGGATTTCCTCTCGAACGGACGAAAAGCATACCGCGCCAACCGCAATTCCCATCGCCTTTCATGATACGAGTCATGGGGTGGGTGATTGCCAGAGCCTGTGGACGTCAGTATGACCGCGTGCTCAACCGGTCACGATAACTAGGTAGACATACACTTGTTTTTGTTGCAAGGGTAGGGTCAGCATTGGCATAGTCCATCGCAATGCTATGACTGGACTGCTTCGTCGACACTAGGGGCCCCTAATCCGGTCAGCCTCTATCTTGGGCGGGACGAAGACATCGTACCTGAACATCCGGCTCGAACTCATTGGACAGCTTCTGGAAGCGCTCCATTTCATCTAACGGCAAGGCGTTCATATTGGCATTACTCATGGTGGGATCAGGGGCAAAGGCCGCAGAAATAGAAAATCCTAATGGAGGAAGAAGAGATGGGGGGAAAGGGTCCCGGTAATAGTTCTGTTTTTCCGGGAAAGGATGGTGAGGACCGAAATGACTCCACGGTTTTGATAAGGACATCGCATACAGCCTGGGATGGTTTAGGAGCTCAGAGGCATCTGGGAATTGGGGTAATATTAGCATGAGAAGGTGATAGAGGGCGGATATAAAGGGCCACACCAGCAGAGAGGTCCAAATATGCGTCTTGTGCGACCACGAATGGTCCCGACAGATTGGGTCGAATAAACTATTGGCATGGAATCAGCACGAAGATCTCACGGACTTTGCAAATATCAACAACATAGTTGGTGGCTGTGTGACTGGCTCCAGAATAACACGATGATTGGCCGAGCAGAAATGTGATGAGAAGTCTAGAGTAAGACACTGATCATCAGGAGCCCGGCCAAGACCATCACATCGAAAGTGCGCCGCAAATGATGTCAGCGATGATCGGGGGGTCCTTCAACGGGCAAGTAGTTGACAGTGCGGGAGGATCATCAAGGCTGCCATGTCAAGGAGTGGATGAACCATACACGGCTCCACCGGGTGCAGGGATAGCAAAGGCTCGGAACCCTTCTCCGGAAAAGAACGCGAGTACAGAGGGGGATGGCGGATGGCAACACACGCCGAGACCAGATACCAGAAACCAGAAACACAGCGATCGGGGAGCTCAGACCTTTGTCAACTAGCTTTCACGGGTCATCCAGAGTGGAACGCCGAGTGAGACCGCGAATAAGAGTTTCCAAGCGGTTGGAAACGGGAAAATTGAGAATAGAGGGTCAGGTTTCAAGGAAGGTCGGATGTTGGAGGTTGAAGGTAAGTCGAAGAACGTTTGAAGGTCGAGAAGTGGGGAGCAAAACGATCAGCTAGTAACTAGGGAACCAGGGAACCAGGGAACCCAGAAATCGAAGGAACCTGAGGACTAGGGACTTAGGACTAGGGAGGGGGAAAAGGGAAAAGGGAGGGAGAGGAAGTAACACAAGCCCTCGGGAGATCGTGAGTTGTCACCCCTCAGCAAACATTCGACCCTGCAGCGTGGATTCTCGATTCGGGATTTGGATTTTGAATTTTGCATTTGGGATTTGGGATTTGGGATTTGGGATTTGGGGTTTGGGATTTGGGTATTGGGATTTGGGTAACTAATTTGGTAATTTGGTAATTCGGTAATTCGGACTTGGACTTGGACTTTGGACTTTGGCCTAGGACTAGGACTAGGACTATGGACCTATGGACCTATGGACCTTCTCTAACTTACCCCCAAACACATCCACATCTGGTTTCTGCAAGCGCGAGACGGAAAAGAAGAAAAGAAAAGAAAAAAAAACAATCGATCCCCACCGTCTCCCGATCGCCCCAATGGTGCTCCGGCTCTATCTCGGGTTAATCGGACACGCCCAAAACTCGGCTAGCTCTTTTACCCGTCTGAAAAGCGGGGTTTCGTGATGTTTGATCGTGTCACCTATGCAGTTTTCCAGGGTTCCAGGGTTCGAGGTCTGAGCATCCACATCACATCAGACCTCAGCCCGGGCCCATCACCCGACCTCACCAACCGGCTTGATAGGTGAGATTAGGGACTGGGTTTGGGGCGTTGAGGATGAGGATCGTAATCCCAACTGGAGAGATCATGGGTGTGCGATCTGTGCGGCTTGCTACGGAGAGCTTCCGAACCAGCGTCTAGGAAAGTACCTGCTGCACTAGGGTGCATCACCAAACTCAGATAGAAGGGCCAGATAGCGGGATCTCGAGTTCTCGCATTCACCTCCCTTGAGGGAATTGCACCTTCACATGCGCCGCGGAGCTCCTTTCCCAATCCTGATCGATGGGCCGCGTAGCAAACTCTAGCCGGCCAAGCAGATCCCAGCTGTCGGGTTTCGGAAGGTCTGTTCCAAGCGCCCTGATCCCGGGGCTTTTGAGGCGTGTACGTCGGTGCTGTACTTTGGTAGACTAGCGTAGCATGGTAGCAAATAAACCCTGCTAACTCGTCTCATCGTGATATTGGATTTTAGCTTATGTTGCTAGCTATAAGTAACTCTAAATTGCGGGTCATGTGTCTTGTAGAATATGGAAAGAGAATAGACCGCTCAACGGGCAACGCGAACGGGCCGCTGCAGGCAGCAAAACTCGGTGTGAGATGGGCAATGCGCTTCCACGTGGGTCTTCTGTGTTTCTTTGTCGCGGCTCAGCCGCAGGTACGCCACTAAACAGCTAGCTTGCCTCCGAAAGGCTTGCCGCGCTCCTTTCGCCGGGTCCGCATGCCCATGGGCCCGTCATCATATCCCGCGAACATGGAGCCGGTGGTTTCCTCTGACCGGAAGCCCTCGCCGTTGAGGGCGGTCTGCCACAGGCTATGCAAGGATGAGCTCCACTCCTCCAACGCGCGCAGCCGTTCCACGTCGCTGGAACTCGCTACCTCTACCGTACCATTCTCCTGGTCGATCTTGGCATTGAGTTTCTTGTCGAGGATCAGGTAACTCAGAATGTCGAGCACCTCGTGTACCGAGATCTTGATGTGCTTCGAGATGAACTGCAGGGAGAATCGGGTGTAGGGTGCAATCAACTTGAGCACCGCCTTGGTGCGCATGTTGCGGCTGACCTCGTCGATGTTCTCCGCAATGAACGGATCTGCCAGTACGTCGGGATGCTTGCTAAGCACCGCCTCGTAAGCATGGATGTCATCTCGCTGGAAGGCATCCACCAGGTCCGTCATGGCGGATATGCGCGGATCATTCTTGTACGGCTTGGTTTCCTGACTGTCGAACGGGTTGATATCCGACTTCATCAGCATGGTCGTCAGCACCAGATACTTGAGCACCTGGATTCGTTGCATCGAACCCGCCTCGTCATAGTTCCGGAATGATTCAAAAAAGTCACTCTGCGCCTCCTCCCAGTTCTCCTCGCTCATGTGCATCTTGCCTCCGCATTCACGGATGATCCCCATGATCTTCGGGTGGGGCACGGCTGACCGCACGCGCAGCGCTCGCTGATAGAGTGCTTTCAAGCGTTTGTTGTTCTTCGTCTCGGCGTACATCTGAATTTCAAGAGCATAGAGTTCGAGCAAGTATGTTCCCTTGCTGGTGTCGTCCGACCCATCCTCGCGTTGGCACGCCCGGTGTAACTCCCGCACTTTTTTGCTGAGCTGGCCATACTCTTTCCGGTCCAGCCAGAGTCGAGCCAGTTTAATATTCGTCTTCAACCACAGGCGTTCATTGTTGGTATTCTGGAATGAGTCGAGGGTGAGCGAGTAGAACTCCTCCATACATTGATAGGCTTGCGTATCGTCGGATCCCTTTTCGATGAAGTCGAGCATATTATTGATGGATTTCTCGGAGTAGTTGCGTGTGACGGCTGATTTGACATATGTGAGGAGTTCGCGATAATGTTCGACGGCCTGTGAGGTTAGATAGGTAAACACCTGTCGCATGGACACCACTTACATCGCCGTATCGTCCAAGCTTGAATTCCAATTTTATCGCCTGTTTTAATCCTTTGAATCCCCTGGTCGCAATCAGTAATGTCCATCTCCATCGAGAATCCGCCACGAACCATTCGCTCTTGTCTTGTTCCATCGCTGGTAACCCCAAGAACTCGTCAACGGCGTCCTCGGGGTTATCCACCTTCATCTGCTTTGCATTATAATATTTGTTCTCGATTCCAATGTCGCCAGACTCGTCATCGTCGGATCCTTCGTAATCAAAGTCGTACCTGCGGGCTGTCAGTCTAGGTAGCACACCAACACCGGGCAGCGAAGGGATACCCACTCCTCATCAGAGTCTTGCATGAAATCATCGTCGTCCGACATGTTAACAGAGGTGTGAGGAGAAAAAAAAAATGAGTGCGGAGGGAGTTGAGTGGGGTGGGAGAGGGTGGTGGTGAGTGTCGCGGGGATGTGTTGGAGAAGCTGTGGTTGGAAGATAGTAAGAGCTGCCTCCGCCTTTGCTGTCGGTAGCTCCCCGCCAACTGGTCTCGTAGCACTGTCGCGGCCTGGAAGCCGCCACGAATTTGCCAAGAAACTCGATGCTGTCGTGAGTAAACTAAACTATTGAATAGTACCGGGGGAATATAAGGGTAGGTTTGGCCTCAATAATTGTTGATCTGGAGCTATTTGGGCCAAGCATGTACGGTGGACTATTGACCCGCCCCTGTCTCAGTCGAACCTGGGTAGCTCTCTATCACTTTTTCACTTGAGAACTAGGTATAGAGCTCTTCAATAAATAATTTAAATCAGTCTATGTCATTTCCCCGGATCTCCAAGTTTAATTGATTATCCCTAGCTTTATTCCCTGGCTGAAATATCCGATGATGCAATACAAGTTACCAATCGAACCAAAGTCATCCCAAACAGCTATAGCTGATCACTCATTCAAACCCGAGACCAGGGCAAGATGACAGCAGGGTCACAGGCCTCGAGTGATTCTAGGAACATTGCAGCCGTGCTGAGTGGGCCAGAAGGGGAGAGGCGTACCTTATTTGCCGATCCCTTTCAGGGCGCGATGTCATCGACTCTGGCAGTGCTGGATTCCTTCCCGTCTTCCTCCCACCTTCCTCGTCCCTTGCCAGACCTACACTATCCGCAGTTCCATGACCTATATTTTATACTATACCACCTCTCCGCGATCGCAATCCCCCCTTCGAGTACCCACCAGTCGCAATGGAGCTGTGCGGGCGTCAGAAAGTCGTACAGCGCAAGATGGTGCTCCTGTCAGTTTACCTAGAGGCTGGACCTTTCGCGCGAATACTAACACTTCCAAAAACAGCGGCGACGGTGCCTGCGGCAAGACTTCTGCGTTGAACGTCTTCACAAGAGGGTGCGCACTCCCCCCTCCCCCCCTTCCCCTCCCCGAGCTGACCCCCGCGTCTCCGAACCAATGCTGATAATTCCCTTCGAATAGATTCTTCCCTACGGTTTAGTAAGGGCCTCCCTTCATACCCCACACTTGGCAGATAGAGAGTAAAGCTACTAACCGCTGTGATTTGCTGCGCAGTGAACCTACGGTCTTTGGTATGCGCCACCCCCGAGAAGGTTGAACGTGTTGCTAACCAGATGAACAGAAAACTACGTCCACGGTATGCCCTTTGCTCTAGTCGGACATGTCTCATTCTCACGCACTTAGATATCTTCGTCGACAATGTACATATGGAACTTTCGCTATGGGATACGGCTGGTCAGGAGGAATTCGACCGCTTGCGCGCGCTATCCTATGAGGACACACACGTGCTCATGCTCTGCTTTAGTGTCGATAGCCCGGATTCTTTTGAGAATGTCGGGTCTAAGTGGATTGCTGAGATCAATGAGAATTGTCCTGGCGTGCGCGTGTGTCTTACCGCGCTTAAGTGCGACTTGCGGAAGGATGATGAGATGAATGATAACCCCAACACGATCTCGTTCGATCAGGGCCTGGCTAAGGCGAAGGAGATTGGCGCTGTAAAGTACTTGGGTATGTTATGTTGTGGTACGCCTTGTGGACAACTCGCTGACGATTATAGAATGCTCTGCTGTCCAAAACCGCGGTATTAGGGAAAGCTTCTACGAGGCGGCCAAGGTTGCTCTTGAGGTCAAGCCTGCCGGTTCAAAGAGCTCGGGTTCGTCATGTGTGATCCTCTGATCGACATGCGTAACGCTCTGTTTTTATTCCCCCCTGACTTGTTGATTCCCCATGCATTTTGTCATTTCTACGATGTACCCTTCATGTCTGATCTGGACACCCAGATGTTGTCAGTGACGACGCATATTAGCGAGGTTGGCTCTCTACTTTTCACGTCCAAATATACTATATAATTTCTATTACATTGCTCATCTGGCTCATTACCACATCTACTCCCATTCCTCCCATACCTCCTGGTAGATACCTAGATACCTTGTAGCATAAGATCCTCTTCCCGAACAGAATACACCTCCTCAATCTTCTCTCCAGACGCCCCATCACAAGCAAAGTCCTCATTCACCCGCTTAACAAAACACTCAGTAAAGCCACTCGCAACTTCATCAATACCAACGGAAACACCAACTCCCTCAAGACTAGTCGCCTCCTTCCCCTCCAACCCGCACGCGACAATCTGTCTAAAGAACCACAGAGGCTCATTCGTAACATTCAATCCAACTCCAAAACTGCTAATATTCCTCCTCAAATGCACCCCCACCGCGGTAATCTTCTTCGCCTCGCCATCATTCACCCAGACCCCCGGGTCCTCAGTCACAAAGCCCTTCACCCCGTATCTCTTCAACAGATCAATAACACTGTTTTCCAAAACCCGAATATGACACCGTGGCGTCAATCCAAGTCTTTTTAAATCCAGGATTGTGTATGCTACCATTTGCCCTGGTCCATGGTACGTCGTTTGACCCCCGCGCAGCGTCGGAACGTACTCCGCTTTTGTACCGAGACCAGGTGTTAAAAGAGACCGGATTGGTTCGAGGGCCGGCGGGAGGGAGAGGACTGGGGAGGCACAGGTATTTGAAGGTGGGAGGTCACGGCGGCCGGTGGTGTAGACCGGGTTTGGGGTGAACGTTATGATTGTCGGGTCCGGTGGTGGTGGTGGGTGTGATTTCAGGGTTGAGGTTGTGTTTTGTGAGGATATTGAACCTGGAGAAGCGAGTTTCTTGTATGCGAGGAAGCGCGTTGTCAGGGCTTGTTGGAGCTCGGAGACCCGTTTGAAGGGCGTTGTGTGTGGGAGGTGGAGGTGGGCGAGTCTCATTTTGAAGAAACTAGTTGTGGTTTTGAGGTTTGAGATAGAGGAAAGAGGAGGAAAGAAGAGGAAAGAGGAAGCTAGGTGCTCATTTCTTGTGGAGTTTTCCGAGGAGTTTGAGAGGTTATGGTTTTTTGAGTTGCGGAGAAGCTGGGAGCTCCGACTCCGATAAGGTTGATATCTGAACCGCCTTTCCCGGTTTGACTATTAGACATTCACTTTAGAGAGGTATGGAATGAACCGTTGGTGGTGTATATTTTGTATATGTTGCTTTTTACTGATATCCTACTCGTGCTACTGGTGGTTGTGTTTAAACTAGGCGAATTACCAGCCTATGGCATCTCCAAGTCACATCCATTTCGCAATCTGTCATTGGTCTTCCATCCGATATCAGTCATCTCTCGATATAATTTCCAAGAATTCGACATCATTGTGTTGCGACTCATTTTGTAAAGATAATCAAATGGCACACGGTCCCGGCTAGACGCCATTGACAAGGCCTTCCCGGGTCTGCTCAAGCGGAAGCAGAATCCAGTCACGGACTCCGCCCTTCCAGTCCGCAATGCGGCCCTCGCGGACTTGCACAGTCACAACCCGAACATCGCTATCGATAGCCAGGCTAGGCCGTCTCAGGCTCGGGTCCTGAGCCTGCTGCTGACCAAAGAGGGTCATCTCCTCTTCCTCAAATGTATTGTTCTCCAAATGCCGCTCCTTACACCACTTTTCTTCTTCCGAGTCAGGCTCGAGGAAGCGTGCCTGGCCGGTGATGGTGGTAGAGATGCTGGATAGGGCGCTAGTGTTCAGGTTGAGAAGCAGGCTTGCCAACGATGAGCGGGTCGCCGCGGGCGGAGGAGATCCATCACGTTCACCGTGCGGGTTAGTAGTGCGAGTCGGCGGACGGTGAGACACCCAGTCATGGACCAGCAGGGACACACGCGGGTTGGACAGCAGGTGGTTGGTCTTGCGCGATGAGGGGTTGGTGGTCATGATAATGGTCGGGTAGGGGTCAAAGGGGGTCGAGGGGAGATAGGTGTAGGACATGAGGGAGATATGGGGAGTGAGATTGTCACATGTTGCCAAATGAAGCTGATTGAAGCCATAGTCAGTGGGATCGTGGTGATGAGGACGGCGGGAGACCTACGAAGCGAGAATTCTTCAGACATGAGACCACCTCTGAGGGCAGTGAGGTTGCCTCGTGCTGGTGGGTAGTTGTGGCCGAAGCCTCGTAAGAAAGAGGAGGATTGCAGTCAGCCATGATGTCCCAGAGGATGTCGAGGTGAACGATGGTGGGATGATTGAGAGATCTGCCGGGCGGTGGCCAATCGGCTGTCGACGTCATGCCGGATTGGTTCGTCCTACATACATACACCTGAGCTCATCTAGCTACATCTAGCTACTAAGGTATTTAATGATGATCCGACCGTGTCCACTGGCGTACAGTAAGTGAAGGACTGTGGAGTATGATGGAGTACAATTGGAGCCCTTCGTCATGATGGCGAAAAGCCATCAACGACGATCGTCCTGTGTTCAGCTTGGGAGGAGGCAGATAATCGCCGATATCCGCTGCAGTACGCCGTCCAACGGCAGATACTTCGATGCGAGGGGGTCGAGTGTGGGTAATAACATAGCCAGGAAGATATGGGATTGGAGGAGATCGCCATAATCCATAATCCATAATCCACAGTACATCGATGGTGGAAATCCGTACCAGTCTCGATGTCATCATTACCCACCCTGTTTGCCCGTTCCCCCGATGCCCCGGTTTGGGACAGCTTCACCTTTCCCCGCACATGCACTGCAGCTTGCCATACTCAGCCCCAGTCTCTGACCGTCTCTAGTCAAATCAATACAAGTGGATTCTAAACACGGAGTCTTCGAGGAATTAATTACACGAAACACACTCTAGCCCCGGAATTCCAGTCGATCTCGCGTGCCCTTTCCTCCCTCCTTCCCCTTCAGCCTAATCCCTGTCCGATCATCTCCTCTTTCTTCCCCCTCTTCATTCTTGTCTCTTCGCTCTACCCTCTATTCTCTGTCTTCTCTCTTCTCCCCTCCTCCCCCCTCCTCTCTACGTTCTACACTCTCCTTATCCCCCACCCTTTGCATGTGCGACTCTACTTGGTTCTGTCGTCCCCTTCCTTGAATCCGTCGTGGCCACACCTCCCCCCTTCCTACTTTCAAACACAATTGTCTTTTTATTTTTGTCAATCCACTTCCTCCCCTGACCACAATGCTATCTCCGCGTTTTGTGAGATCGGCAACGTCGCTGGCGCGCCCCTTCAGTTCCTCCGCGGTGGCCTACCGGGCCCCTTCGATTCGAGACCTGACAGCCAACTCGGCTGATTACAACAGACGGCAGAAGGAGTTTCGCGAGAACCTCGAGGAGGCTCGTAAAAGAAAGGAACAGCAAGAGAGTCAGTCTGTCAATGCTTCTGCCTCTACCCCTTCCCGTGAGTCCGCTCCCACTGCTCCGCATGTGAGCAATGCGAGCTATTATAATCAATCCCGCCCTGTTTTTGATGCGGCCAAAGCTCTTGATCACGAGGCAATGGGCTCACTCGCCATGCATTGTTCTATAGGAGAAGAACAGTCGCAAGATTCCCAGTCTAAGCGCAATCCGCTGTCCTCGTTGATCTACGGCACTAAGGAGGGTCAGCACTTCGACAAGGACATCCAGCGCTCCTTTTCCGAGGTGTTGGCTCGTGGCAAGTATGTCCACTCGATCGTGTTCCATGATGTCAAGCCCGACAAGGTGGATGAGTATGTGGAGCTGGTGGGCAAGTGGTACCCCCGCATGGCCGGCACGGAGGAGAACCGGGTCAACCTAGTTGGCAGCTGGCGCACTCAAGTGGGTGACAACGACACCTTCAGTGAGTCGACCCTCCCCCAAACACTGGAACAGACCTAACCCAGAAAGTTCACATTTGGGAATACCAGCGCTACGAGGGCTACCATGCCTCCCTGCACAACATATCGGAGCACCCCGAGTTCCCCGAGTTTGATCGCAAGTTGAAGAGTCTTATTAAGAGTAAGAAGACCTCACTGATGCAGGAATTCTCATTTTGGCCTACGACCCCGCCGCGCCAGTTGGGTGGAATCTTCGAGCTTCGATCGTACACACTACACCCGGGCAACCTATTGGAATGGGAGTCACACTGGCGGCGCGGTCTGACCGCCCGTCGCGAAGTCATGGAAGGCGTTGGCGCGTGGTTCGTGCAAATTGGCGATTTGAACACGGTTCACCATCTATGGCAGTTTGCCAACCTGGAGGAGCGCAAAATCCGCCGAGAGCAGTCGTGGGGCGTTGAGGGCTGGGCTGAAACCGTGCACAAGACCGTTCCTCTGATCCAGACGATGCAGAGTCGGATTCTGGTTCCCATGCCGTGGAGCCCAGTCGGTTGAAGGGCCAGAGCAAAAGGGCTGTAGGGCTAAAAGCTAAAGGGCCAGGCACCCTGGCCAACTCCTACTCCACCTCTCCGACTAGCCTCATCCGGTGTTGGGTTTTATTCCATTTTTTCTGCAGCGCGTACTGTATGGCCTAGGGGGGCATCGAGATTATCAGGCACCTATACTCTGTATCGTGTATCTAGGCATGGAGTCACCAGCATACATTCTACTTTTCTTGCGCAGTACAATATCCGTACTCTCTTAAATCTCAACCGAAAGCAACGGCCTCGGGTAACCCCACTTGTTGCATGGACGATCATTCGGTTGTGAAGCATCTCATTGGCACCGCGGAAAGAAACCTCCTCAGAGCGATTCGCTGTCGCACGTGCTTTGCCGAGAGAATCGTAGACGTCGAGACGAGTTCAGATCATCAGGGGAACGGCAGTCAAGGCAGTCGTAAGGAATAACGCAAATCAAGACATTCGCATGTTGATCAATATCGAAAATAAACTGTTGGGGTATACTCCGTACCCGATCTCCACCGCCGACAAAGTGGCCTCTTTTTTTTCCGCTGTTTTGTTTTTGGCGCCGATCTCGACGAATCCCGCTCTTGCTCTCCAGCGGGGCCTTCTTTTCCCTGTAAATCAGTTGGCACCGACCTATTTTCCTTTCCCTTCTCTTATAAACCCAACTCTCCCAAGCGTCGCTCTCTTCGTTCGCAAACTCGTCCCTGAACCCGCACCGCATCCGCGCGTCCACTCCTCGGCCGAAGCCTCTGATTTCCCTCGTCCTTCCTGGACCTAGCGATCCTCGAGCATATGCGTTAAGACAGATTCGTCGGACACAGTCGCCAGAATGGTGTACATTCGCCAACATCACCTTCCCAACCTTCGCAACTACAAATATGCCGGCGTCGACCACTCGCTCCTCAGTCGGTTCGTGATGAAGCCGTTCTACAGTAAATGCGTGATTGGTCTTTTCCCCATGGGCATGGCGTGAGTTCTACCCTCGATTCGGCAGCTTCAAACTCGCGCGTGGGAGCTTTGCGGGCTTGCTGGAATTTGCGCAGTGGCTAACCTTTTGCTCTCTTTGTTCCTTTTCTTCGCGACAGTCCCAATGCCGTGAGTCCTGTCCACGAGAGACTCTTGTCTAACGCACTCGTTAATCTGTGGTAGATCACCCTCACTGGATTTATGTTTGTGGTGCTTAATTTCCTCACCGTTATGTGGTACAACCCCAATCTCGACACGGACTGCCCGCCTTGGGTTTACGCCAGCTGCGCGCTCGGCTTGTTCCTGTATCAGACTTTTGATGCCGTTGACGGCATGCAGGCGTACGTTTAATTTTTGCTTCTGGCGTTTGGATCGCGACTGAACCTTGGATTAGGCGGAGGACGAAACAGAGCGGGCCTCTGGGCGAGCTCTTCGATCACAGTATGTTCGAGGATTACTTGATTATTGAGATGGGGACAGAGATTGACTGTTTTATAGGTGTCGATGCTTGTAACACTGGACTGGGTGTTCTGATTTTCGCGTCGGCTATGAACCTTGGCCAGTCGTGGATGACTTTCCTGGCTCTTTTCGGATGTAAGAAACGTGCCCGAGTGCTTCGCCTCGCATGCAGTTCTAACATCGTCCAGCAACTATGACTTTCTACGTCCAGACTTGGGATGAGTACTACACTCAGGTTCTCACTCTAGGAATCATCTCCGGTCCCGTCGAGGGTGTTCTGACTCTCTGCTTGGTCTACGCGATCACCGCCTACATGGGCGGCGGCAGCTTCTGGCATCAATCGATGCTGGAGAGCGTCGGAGTGTCCAAGCCCGGCTTCCTTTCCGAGCAGGTGTACAACATGCCCTGGACACAGTGGTACCTGGTGTACGGCGCGCTCGTGCTCTTCTTTGCCACCGGTTCGAGTATTATGCACGTCATGCAGGTCCGTCGCGAGCGCGGTCAGGACCCTCTCGCGCCTCTGTATGGCCTGCTGCCCATGTTCGCCATCTGGACATTGGTCCCTGCCTATCTTTACCTGAACCCGGCCGTCCTGGAGAACTACACCATTCCCTTCGGTCTGTATGTCAGCCTGATCAATGCTTACGCCGTTGGTCGCATGATCGTTGGTCACCTCGTTCAGTCCGGTTTCCCCTACTATAACGTCCTGCTTTTGCCGCTCGCTCTCAGTGTTGTAGATAGCGCCGGTCCTGTTTTCGGGCTCTGGTCGACTCCCGTGCTTGGCGATATCTTCAGGCAGACAATGTTCGTCTTCGGATGTCTTGGTATGGCCGTCGCCGTGTATGGTAGCTTCGTGGTAGGTTCCCTTTGCGTTCCTGTTATGTATCCCGCTAATTCTTCCAGTTCGATGTGATCACCACCATCTGCGACTACGTCGACATCTGGTGCTTGACGATCAAGTACCCGTATGTTGAGGGGACTGAGAGCAAGAATGGCTCAGCAGTCAAGGCCCAGGTCGAGGGTGCGTCGAAGAAGACCCTCTAGAGAAGGCGAGGTCTGCGTGGCGAATAGTTCAACCTCGGTCACGCGATCGCGGGGCGAGGTGGGAGAGCTGCTCATAAAAAGAAAAGGATAATGTGGTGGCTCATGATTGAATTCAGCAGTACATAAGTTTTCAACACCGGTACTTCTCTCCGAGTGGAGTTATAGAATATGAGACGTAATGTGTGATGCAAATGGAAAGCTCCTGAAGATGCGTGTTGATGCGGGTAAACTGTAGAAGGTTCAAGCACTTGACTGCCTGCCCGATTCTCCAGGCAGAACCATGTATCTGCGAAGGCGGAGTAAATAGAGCATCTTGATTGGCGGGTGCTTCCCCTCGCGCCTGCCCGAATCGGGGAGTCAAGCGAGGGCACAAGCCCTACCGCCCCATCGACAAATCCCTTCAGACTTCTCCTGGGATCCATTCCACTCACACAAGGCCATCGCCATCAGCGCCATTCATCAACTCCCTCGCTGATCTTCTATCGTCAAGATGGTAAGCTGCCACCCTCGTCGTCGCTCTTCGTCCCGGCTCTCGATTTTTCTCGATGCACACACAACAGAGGGCCCGGACGGGGCTTGACACACGCCCCTGTACAAAAATCATCAAGTGCTAACAATCATCGCCAACAGGTTCTCGCGGTCGACCTTCTCAACCCCACGCCTCAGGCTGAGGCTCGCAAGCACAAGCTTAAGGTACGAAACCCTCGAAATTCGATATCCGACGCACAAGGCACAAAGGTGGACAAGGGAGATGGATTGGGATGACCGAACATCGAACCTTCGCCACCCCCGCCGATGAGAAGGAGAATCACTCGCCAGGAAAATACGAACAGAACGCTGACTTGGATATCGCTGTGCAGACCCTTGTGCCCCAGCCCCGCTCCTTCTTCATGGATGTCAAGTGCCCCGGCTGCTTCACCATCACCACCGTCTTCTCGCACGCCCAGACCGTCGTCATCTGCGCCGGCTGCTCGACCGTCCTTTGCCAGCCCACCGGTGGCAAGGCCCGTCTGACTGAGGGCTGCTCTTTCCGCCGAAAGTAAACGAGACGCGCAAATGAAATTTCTTTTTTGTCTTGTTGAAACGCACAGAGGATAGCATGGAGCAACTAGGATGAAAATACCAGTTCCGGATTTTCGACCTTTGCTTCGGTCCGGTTCACGGTTCTTTTTTTACGGAGACCGCCGTTCAAAATGTCACATACCACCTTTTTCTCTTTTTCTATAACCACCTTTCACGGGGAAATCAAAAACACCCTTGACAAGGAAAAGTGTCGGGGGTTAGAGGAGGCAATGATATGATACGATCCATACCAACTTCTTTCTCTTTATGCCCCCGGAAAAACCAAAAATTGAAATGTGGCGCTTTGATCGTCTCCGTTGTCCTACTTGCTCCGCTTGATGATGCACCACAGCGTCTTTTTTTGGTTTAATGTTCTCATTGATGACAGATAGAAGATGGAATGACTCGCGCATTCGCCAAAAGCACGCAGCATTCAGCTCAGGGAGTTCCGGATATCTGGCACAAAGGGCACCTTGCTTCGCTTGTGCCGTGTCCTATGTTTTTAGTCTTTCTCATGTACTGCATTTCCTGTATACTGGTTCCTCAATCCGAGTTGTACCTGGTACTGGCACTGCGTAGAAGTAGAAATAAAAGTAAAAGCAAAGTACATTGTAGGTGCCAACCACTCATGTCGGCTGTAAAGGGCATAGACCCTGCTGGTATCTTAGATCCATCCAAGGTCTAATATAAAAGGATACATCAAATAGAAGTTCCCTCAAAAGCCTAGTGGTAGCCAACGGCGCTCGATACCTTCCAAGCTAGCCTCCATTACACCACCCAACCATCCCCAAACCCATGCAAAGCCAGAGACTCTAAATCTCATGCCAGCCCTCATCCGAAGACTCCGTCCTCTTTAGGTTCTCCCCTGCCCCGCAGCCGAGGACGTGCATTATTACTGTCTTGGGTTCTCCACCCCGGCTACGTAACAGTACGCGGCTGGTTTCCTAGATACACCTATATGCATGACATCATTTTCTTCATATCCACCTTTAGGGTCTAACATATTGGAGAACCGATTGGAATGATCGAGAATGCAACTGTTTTATGGAATGGCGCTGATGTCAATTTGGAGATTTACTGGGTATTCGAGGGAGTCCCGCGAGAAAATGACATTAATATTCTTCAGATATGGCCCTAGTGTATATACTTCAAGATCCTGGCATTTGAATTTAGAAGGTTGGAAGCCAGCCTTGAAATAATAATTGGGAAAAAATGCAAATGCAAATGCAGAAATACTTATTCTCTCAATTTAAATCATAGTATTAACGTTTTTCTCTGATCGTGCATCGCGAAAGACAGGACAGTTCATCAACCTTACAGAAAATTAACGAGAGACATAAAAGAGAAAATAAAAAGTCATCACATGAATCCTAGGCGGGTTTTCTTCCTTTTCCGTGGGAACCACTGGACTCGATCCTCGCTGAACGGTCAAACAAGAACAAATGAATTAGACAAGCCATAGTTAACCCTCCGTCAAAGCCCGTGCCTTAGCCTTGACATCTGCGCCAAAGTCAACGGGATTGTTCGGGTCACTGCCCGTCATGAGCGACAGCCTGCCAGACGAGTCGTTAAGAAGCATGCAGGCGAACTGGTTCCGTCCTATGACTTCCTGCACTTGTTCGCGCGCGGCTTGGTCGCCGGCTGCGTATTTCTGGGCGTCGACTCGCTTTAGCTCTTTTTGTGTATTGCGGACAAAGTCCATCAGGAAGAAGACGGTGGGATGTGTTGCTGGGGGTTGCATTTGGGGGTGGGCTTCGAATGCGCTGTGTGTTTTATGTTAACAGTATTCTTTGAAGTAGGGTGTAGTTTCGCAATGGCGACAGAAATATGCCTCAATAGCGCATGGCGTTTCTTTCTCTGTTAGGACGAGAGTAAACATACTCGAGAAGCTCGGATATTTGCTCGTTCAGGCTCTCGAGGTCGAGGTTACCGGCTTGTCCACTCATGGTGTACTTGACGGAGTATGTGCTTGGATGATGTGACGAAATACCCAGAGTGAGTCGAGGAGAGTTCTATGTTTCGGCGCTTATCTCTTATCGGAAATCCGATACTCGCGCCTCACCTTGACTCACTCTCTCTTTCCCCAATGTCCAAAGCCAGCACTCCTCTCTCTTTCTCACCACAGCCAATATAGCCAATCGATCTTTACCAATGGCTCCGAATCCTTCATCGGCGCGCCAGCCGCTCAAGTTGCTCATGCTGCATGGCTACACGCAGTCCGGTACCCTTTTCCACGCAAAAAGCCGCGCCCTGGTCAAACACATCCAGAAAGCATTCCCTCTACACGAAGTCGACGCCGTTTACCCGACTGGGCCTTTGCGTCTGAGAGCGAGTGATATCCCGGGCTATGAACCGTCCGATAATGCGGAGGAAGAGGAGACCGAGGCTTACGGCTGGTGGCGCCGATCAAACACAGCAGACCCGCCATTGTACCAGGGTATGGATGACGGACTTGCAGCCGTGGCCAAGGTTATTGCCGAACAAGGTCCCTTCGACGGTGTGATTGGGTTCTCGCAGGGTGCGACCATGGCTGCGATGGTAGCGGCGTTGCTAGAGCCGGGTCGGAAAGAAGCATTCGAGCATTTTGAAAAAGACACATCTGACGGAGCGCCAGGTATTTCTTGGCCGATGGCTTTTGAACAATTGCAGAATTCGCCGCTCAAGTTTGCGCTGTTGTATAGTGGGTTCCGGGCGCCTGGGGCGAGGTATCGGGCTTACTACGAGCACCCGCCTATTCAAACCCCGGCGTTGCATATTCTTGGGACTTTGGATTCGGTTGTGGATGAGTCGAGGAGTAGGGCGTTGATGGATTCATGTGCTGGGGAGCCGGAGAAAGATGGGTCCGTGGTTTTCCATCCTGGTGGTCACTTTGTGCCCAGTCAACGGCCTTACCTTGATGCTGCGGTTCAATTTATTCGGAAACAGTTGGAGAAGGATAACATAGGCAATGGTGGAAAGTCGAAGGACGAGGAAGATGTGAATGATATGGATGTGCCATTCTGAGACGTATCGGGATGTATATAGTTGGGTGTGGATGCTACCTAGATTAGAACCCCATTAGAACCCCACGAATATAGATAACCTTTTAGACAATACGGAAGAATCTTACAATCAACAGATGGTGAAAAGCCTCAGGACTGACGCGAAACATAGACAATTTCTATCAATACGAATGAACCCCTGGAAGGTTTAATCTTGATATTTCCAGCGAGTATACATACGAACGTGCAGGTGAACGAATCTCGACACAATGGTGTAACGGTTTAGGGTCTACCGATTATTTTACAAAGGCAGTATTCCCATCCATCCCAAACGAATCAGCGAGCCTTGGCCTTCTCCTGAGAGGGCAGGATGCGAGCCATCATCTCCTCCTTGGTGATCAAGTGGTCGACCCGCTCCAACAGACCGAGCAGGCTCTTCATATCACTGCTCCACTCGTTCAGCACATCATCTGCATCCCGGGGCTTAGCAAAGTTGACTAGTCGCGCAGGGCGGTCAATCTTAGCATAGATGGTCTTCGAGCACACCAGCTCGCTGATATACTTCTCCGTCTCCTCCTCGGTCAGATCTAGAAGCTGGGTCAACCGGCCCATCTGGATGCGGGTGTAGTATTTGGCAACCACGCGCACGTTGTGCTCAATGACCCGCTTGCGCAGATCCTCCCATCTCCGGCTGGCCTGGTTCTCGGTAGACTGCTTGGCCTCGGCGTCGAACACGTCGGTGCCGCACAGATGAGGACCAAATTGCTCGGCGACCATGGGCCAGCGCATAAGCTCGGGAATGGTGAACAGCTTGATCAAACGGGCCTCCTCGGGAACCTGGGGCAGGCGCGAGTCTTGTTGGATACGGTGCAGAAGGTCTGACTGCTCGTTGTCATATGGGGACAGGACGATATAATAGACGATGCGAGCAAGGGACTGTCATGCTTGTTAGTTTATGGGCAATTTGAATCGCGGTGATAAAAAACATACTGCACGCAGGTGCTCGGGGTTGTTCTCGACAGCCTCGGTATCCAGGACTTCTCGGTAGTTCTTGCAAACATCCAGATACTTGTAGTCGTGATTGGCGAGGGTGATTTGCTGGTCGTAGTAACGGAGTTTGAGGTCGGTCACATCGTCGTCCACCTCCATCGGCGGCTCATCCGGTCCACGGGTCTTTTCGCGCTCTTCCGCTTGCTTCTTGAGCTTCTCGATTTCCTCGGCGCTCTTCTTAGGCTTGCGGTTGAAGTATCGCTTGTTGATCTTACGGATCAGGATCGAAGCCTGTGTCCAGTCTCCACGCTCGATACACAATCCAACCTGCTCCAGGATGAACTCTGTCTTTTCCCTCCGTGTCATCGATCCAAAGGTCTCCACTTGCAGCTCGCACAGAATATCGGCCGCAGCAGTCAGATCACCTTGTGTCTTCTTGATGTTCGAAAGAATTCGGGTCACGCGGGCACGCTCGACTTCAACGAAGATCTGCTTCTGTTAGAAACGCCCAAAGGTTGGGACGGCTGACATACCTTGCCCTCGGTGACTGTCCGCAAAGTCTCAATGACGGACAGCTTGACATCCACGTTAGGAGTATCATCAAGGAACTTCATCACCGCCTGCACCATCCTCGTCGTGGCCTGCTTGAGCTGGGCATGTTTCTTGGAGAGGAGGAGCACTTGGTCGTTGAGGAGATTCCAGTCGCCGGAGTTCTTGGCGATGGTGACGATGGCGATCAAGAGGCGCGATGTAGAGGCAAGGTCGGAGGCCTGGTTCAGAGAGTCAGCGTGTATTTGGATGGTGGTGGAAAGGAACAGATCATACCTGTCGTGTCTGCTTCTCCAACGCCAACAGCTTGTCGATGGCACCCTGGGCATCGGTCTGCAGAAATAAATGTCAGAAATCAAATCAAGCTCCAGGAGATGCGGACCGGACCTTTGCGAGGGCCTCAGCCTCCGGGATGACCTTGTCGGCCTCCTTTGTGAAGTCCTTCTCGGGCTTCAACAGGCCGCCGTCGGACATGGTGACGGGTGTAAAGAAAATTCGTTTGGGAGTCGTGAGAGAAAGGTATCAAAGGGGAAATGGAAATCAGATGGCACGACGGTGTGCCGAGGAAGCAATTCGTTGAATGCAGAGCAGGAGATGATGACGCCGGAGCTCTGGGGCGTGTTTCCGCCCTTGGCTGAGCTGCCAGCTCCGCTGCACGTGACCTGATCAACACTTAGCTTCAATACAGTAGAATCGATCGATGTTCCAACATGTTTGATTGTTTGATTATCTCTAGTGTTGTGTCTTTGTTCAACACATACTTTCGGTGCCTGACCAGCAGTCTACCGGGGCCAAATTGTATAGTGGTCTGGTAGATCAGGTCTTCATTCATTACATGAACCCAAAGGGTTAAAGCAACACTGGGTTGTCTTGAGCAACATCCGATCATCTAAGCATTTCATCTGGCCTTCTTTGGCTAGCCTCAGGTTTTACCTCTTATGAGAGCAAATATGAAGTGCAATTCTGGCTGCCTCAAAATTCAGGTCACAGATTAGCTAAGCCTCCAAAGCACGCAATTTTGCTCTAAGCCGCTTCGGGATTTCCAGATGTATAGAAAAATTTCCGTCAAATCCCATTGTCGATCTCTATGTATGCAGTCGGCTGTTGATATTTACGCCCATAGCTGATCACCAATATCGACACACCCCAGGACTATTGCCCGCAAGTTCTGCACGGTGGCGCAACAATTGTGAACAGGTCCATTCCTTATCAGCGGTTATCACCAATCGTGACTGGCCTGTTACTCACTCCGGAGTAATTCGTCTTTCTCCGCGGAAACGTCGAGAAATTGTGCATAGGTCGTGCCAAGCAGCCTATCGAGGCCCTGCTTCAAATATTTGAGTATTCCATATTTGGAACCCTCCTAGCTTGCTTGTTCAACAGGCTTGGAGCATTATCTTTAACCCCACGATTTGGAGGGGCAACCCGCATTTTGCGGCACACGACATTATGAAGGACGCTTCAAATGACTTGGGCCCAGCGCCATTGATGGCTGCATGGGATGTGCAATCTCAAGTTCATTTGATTGTTGGTGCCAATCCTTTGGCTGCTGCTCGCTGTACCAAGAGTCTTGAAGCCGGCGCAAAGCCCATTATCATTGCGCCGGAGACCGCCGACATGCATTTTACCCTGACAGAGCACATTAACAATGGCTCTGCTGAATGGGTGCGCCGCGAGTTTCAAGATGATGACCTGACGACCCTGGGCAGAGAGGAAGTTGACCGTGTGGTGGACACAGTCTTCGTCACTTTGGGTGGCAACAGTGAATTAGGTAGGTCCTCTCGATCCTCCGCTGTGCAATGTACCGACGTTAACGATGTTTCTAGCATGTTCTCATATTTCAAGGTTGTGCCGGCGTCTGAGAATTCCAATCAATGTGTCTGATGCCCCGGAACTATGCTCATTCACACTGCTTTCGACTTACTCAGATGGCCCGCTGCATATTGGAATTACCACTTCTGGCCGCGGCTGCAAGCTTGCCTCTAGATTACGACGAGAGATTGCTGCTTTCCTCCCCGCAGATCTCGGCTCTGCTATTGATCGGCTGGGCGCTGTGAGGCGGACGCTCTGGGAGGAGGATAATGCTGCTGGACTAGGTGAGGTGGCACCAGAGGGCGACGACGACGATGCGGCAGGCCAGACCCACACCTTCAATGCATTGATCACGGAGGGCGATGTCGCTGCTGCAAAGACAAGACGGATGCGCTGGTTGTCACAGATCTGCGAATACTGGCCGCTGCGGAAATTGAGCTCTATCACGGATGCTGATATTGACGCCATCTTGAAAGCGTATTCTTCCGGCAGGGAAGACCCACAAGATTCTAATGGAATCAATGGCGTCTCGAAGAAAGGCAAGATTGTACTTGCTGGCTCTGGCCCCGGACACCCGGACCTGCTCACTCGTGCCACATACAATGCTATTCAGAGTGCGGATATCATTCTGGCTGACAAACTTGTTCCGGCTCCAGTCTTAGACTTGATTCCTCGCAGAACAGAAGTTCATATTGCGCGCAAGTTCCCAGGGAATGCCGATCAGGCACAGGAAGAGCTTCTGCAGATGGGCCTCGCTGCGCTGAAGAAAGGACAACAGGTGCTTCGATTGAAGCAGGGTGACCCGTACCTCTATGGCCGCGGGGCTGAAGAGTTCGAATTCTTCCGTGGCGAGGGCCATATCCCTGTAGTGCTGCCGGGCATCACTAGCGCCATGAGCGCATCTCTATTCGCAGACATCCCCGCGACTCATCGCGGCGTCTCTGATCAGGTCCTGGTCTGTACAGGAACTGGCAGGAAAGGTGCCGCGCCAAATCCGCCGAACTATGTTTCTACTCAGACTGTGGTTTTCTTAATGGCCCTCCACCGCTTGTCAGCCCTTATCGACTCCCTTACTGCATACCCTGCGGAGGACACCACGCGCTCTAGACCCCTCTGGCCCAAGGAGACCCCTTGCGCAATTGTTGAGCGTGCGTCCTGTCCTGACCAGCGTGTTATCCGCTCAACACTGGAACACGTCTGCATGGCCTTTGAAGCCGCTGGCTCACGGCCACCTGGCTTGCTGGTGGTTGGTGCCAGCTGCCATGTCCTTCATAACCCGGACGGCCAAAAATGGGTGATTGAGGAGGGATTCCATGGATTGGATGAACTTCATGGAGAGGTGGATACAGCATTGACACCCTCAGAATGAGTTTTTATTGGAGGATAAAGGTGCATAAGCATGATTCAGAGCGACGGGGTTTGACGATCGTGTACATAGACAGTATTCAAATACCCCATGTGTAAATGTGAACAAGAGCTATTGACTATTGACCATCGAAATGATACCCATAGATAGAAGCTACTAGATCATAATTGATGCAACATTGTAACAATGCCATTCAACTGTAGAAAACAATAGAGTATAGATCGATCCGATCTGCAATGACGTCATCTCCGCACGACACCGCCTCCGCACCAGATTCTCCATCACTCACTCACCTTTAACGCATTACACATCACTTAACAAACACCATGGCACCAACATCACACCTCCCTCTATTCGGCGGAGTTCGGTACGTCTCAAAACATCACCCCAATGATCCCCTTTAACATCCTAGCAGAGCCTGGGACTCCAAGGGCTGGACCTCCTCGGATGACCGTGTCCGCGGCGGTGCCTCTCACTCAACCCTAACTTGCTCTCCATCCTCTCTGGTCGCCAAATTCCATGGCAACCTCGATATCACCACCCTCGGCGGTGCAGGCTTCGCTTCCCAGCGTACAACCGGCGAACACCGCACCTGGAACTTGTCGCGCTACGACGGCATTGAACTTGTCATCGACCACGCAGATAACAAGCTCTATACCCTTACTTTGAAGGATGAGATTCTTCCCAAGCGATCCGATGGTCGTGAGCAGAGTACTTTGAGTTGGGAGTTTGACTTCAGGTCCGAGGGACGCAAGACCATCTTTGTGAAGTGGAGTGATTTCCGTCCTACGTATCGCGGCAAGGAGAAGAAGGATGTTGAGCCGCTGAATTTGAAGAATGTGAAGAGATTCGGAATTATGATTAGGAGGTAAGTTACTACTCCATTATTTTCCATTGTAGGCTGGTGTTGACTGTTCCTAGTTTCTTTGGTGAGCAAGATGGTGACTTCGACCTTGGCGTTGTCTCAATCGCGGCTTTGCGAACGGAACGTTACTCGGATAACCCTGATGAGGAGAACCAGGAGGAAGAATTCGATGAGAAGACTGGTGCTGATCGGCGCAGGCGCCGGGGGTTGTTTGGGTGGTTGAGTGGATGCCTCGGATTCTAAAAGCACAAGTCTACGCATTTAGGAAGTTCAAAATTTCGATAATATACGAAACAAAAATGTTTATTTCCTCCCGTTCTGTTTCCTCCCGTTCTGTTTCAAAAACAATCGCTATTGATTCGGGAAGTTCACCCACTCTGAAAAGTCCATGCCTCCTGGTGTAGGCATCTGCTGCTCGATCGGGAATAGGTTGGCCCCGAAGCCGGGGGGGGTTGAAAAGCTGCTCCGGGAATGGCATGAAGCCTTGCTGCTGCTGTTGTGGCATCTGTAGCTGTGGATTCCGAGGTTGACCCTCGAATCCAAACTCACTCATCATTCCAGATGGAGAGCCTAGCAGTCGGTTGATTACTTCCGAGCACCGAGCGGCGAACCGATTGGTGCCGAATGATGGGTGGTTCAGAAGGGCTTTGGTGGTTTCGATGTCCTGTAGCCAGCTTGGAGCGTCGGGGTTTGAGGAGTCAGTCGTGAGGAAGACGATGGGGATTAGACCGGCTTGGAAAAGGAAATATCTGTAGAATGTTAGAGGCTTGTGCTAAATCAGAGGTGGAAAACATACAGCATATACCACGCTCCCAGCCTCGTGCAGACATGACTGTCCATGTATTCTGAAATGGAGGCAATGGTCAGTCGCGCATTCTGTAGACAGCGCACTCGGCACTCTGTCTCGCACGGATCTTCGACTCCTCCCTCTGAGGATACTGATGATCCATCGGGGCTGCCACTGTGGGGTGCCCAGCGCCGGGCTGCCCAACGGAGCAGAATTGGGCGGTAGATGAGAATAATCAAGTTCCAATTCCGCCAGAGCATGCGGTTGCGAACGAGTGCGAGATTGTCGGCATCTGGATGTGAAGGGTGCATAGGAAGGGGCTGTAGAGGATAATGGAAGTATGAAGGTAGCCCGTTGTACCATTCTTCCATGGGTTTCTGGAGATTTAGGGTTTCTTCGGGCGTGATGCTAGGGGTAGAGATGAGACGCTGATAGACGCTGTTTGTGATGAGATGGAATCGTGATTGTGCTATCAAGCCGGAGTAGAGGGTCGGACCGAGTGATTCAGAAGGGAGTGAAGTTGTTGCTGGTGTCAGAGCCTAAAAAAAGTCAGGTATGAGTCTATCACCGTTGTTGCTGTTTGAACATACGTCGTCTTGAATGTTAAGAACTTGCTTGGCGTCCATCACTCTTTCATCCGGAAGCAGAATTGGTCGGCCAAAGGTTTTGGCGGCGCCGCTGTCGAAGATGAAGACTCCCCACCATAAGCGGCGTCGAATTTCCCTCTGGAGGAGACTGATCTTCCAGCCGTGGAACTCCTTGTGAAGACCTAGGCTCATGGCCATCCGAACAGCAAGTCCAAGGTAGTTCCAACCAGTATTGGGCTTGTTCCGTTTTTGAGCATAGTTGCTTAGCAATAGCAACGCCTGGACCAGTGTTAGGTTACCAGTCTCGAATACAGATGCCTGTTGCAGGCACGTTCTGGCTTCTTGATAGAATGTAATATCAAGATCTGAGCTGTCGTCACCAATACTCCAAGCACCAAGCGCTAAGATAGTATTAAGCAAGATCTGCCACGCTGTGCCATGAGGACGCAGAGATGGGTCATTGAATTGGGCCCGGAAGGTAGGTTCGTGAACAAACGGGTAGCTGGAGTGATAGTTGAGGAAGTATGCATCAATGAAAGCTTGCTCAATCAAGCCAGATGGCGCGCTCTCAAGAAGCTGTGCTTTGAGAGGCACTCCACCTGAGCTTGCGGAGCGGACTGGAATATTCAAGTCAAATCCGTGATCGAACAGTGCTCTGAGCGGCACAACACTGGACGAAGCCCCAAAATAGCCAGCCCCTTCGGGTTTGATCGATAAGGCGGCCATGCCATCTGTTAAGTCACCAAGAGTCAATTCCTTCTCGGCCCAGTCGAACCCATCAGCCTGCTGCGGTAGAGCTTCTGGGGCAGGTTCGGTTCGCTCCGATTCGAGTCTAGCAGGAGTCGAATGTCTGGAAGAAGTCTGGGATGAAGGAGCTTGTGGTGGAGCTGGTTGGTTTGACAAAAGAGAACGAAGAGTCGCATCCAGATCACCCCCAGGAAAAAGCCTGCTTAAAGCAGTTTCAAATGATGACAGACGATCTTCAACATATGTCAAGTGTCTACCATACGTTAGAATATTCTTTCTTCTGAGCCTGGTTGATCACATACTGTCGTGTGAGAGGACTTCTTGACACTTTCGGACTGTACTTGCATTCCTTGTTCAACTGCCGGCATTGCACGCACGTCGGGCGCTCTTTAGAGCACTTGGTGATGATTAGTTACCTATACATAATCTGGTCCGTGAATGAACTTACCCGCGACTTCCGAAGGCGGCATTCATCGCACTTTATGTTATCAGTTCAATCTGAATCGAGTACATGGCATCCATTCAATACATACAGCGAATGAATGGGAATCCCGAGTGCTAGCCATATTTATCGAGGCAAGCCGGATTCTTGAGATCGTGTGTCCAATGCGCTCTGATCATGACAGTCCACGCGAGTCATCTGCTATGGAGTTAGTCTATCGGATCATCCGGATCTTATCCGCGATAGGTGTCGCGCGACTTGGGTACGCGGATGTATAACAGATCCAACGGCGAAGTGGGGTATGTATATACAGCACGGTGGCTGGAGAACAACCTTGGACCTGGTATAGAGAAACTCACGATTGGCGCTAAAGCAAACATCGATCCACTCAGAGCAGGCAGACTTGCAATGCGATGAGGATGCCACATTCAACGCTCCCCTCAATGGGTGGGGAAATGGTCATGTGATGCACGGAAAAAATCTCACGCTTGCCTAAGGCAGAGAACCGCATTGGGCACCTAGTACTTTTGATTCCCTATTACAATAATCATGTTGAGGGTTCGTAAACAGTTAAATAAGCTAATGGCTGGGTCAAGCCGATTCAATTGAAGTAAATAGAGGTAGACTTGTTGATGGGTTTTTTTTCTACATAGAACGACCAACCACACATATATTACTGGCCTATTTATACTTCCGAAGCTCAAAACATTTCTTACAATGGGAACATTATGTTCCGTAGATCTGAGTGGTATAAGAAAAGAGGAAGAATTGATTCCAGCAAGTCCTCAGGATTAGTAGGGAATACCCTCGGAAGATAATGGCTGTTTCGAGTTCGTCGCGTGCAACAGCTTCGATATTCTTGGCGCGGAACGTGAGCGCGGCCAATCATGTCCCCGCATATATTTTTTCCCTTTCACAATCACCAGACTCACGCGCAGAATACGAGAAAACACGAGACTCCAAGAAGCAGAGAAACCTCATTGGAAGATAATTAAATATCAGAAAGATCTCATTAACCTTTACTCCAAGGATCTGAGGCGCAAATCATGCCCTCGCAACCCCCGCTTCCGCCCCTCCTCGCGCCATATCTATCAGCTCAGCCAGAGGCATCGCTCACACTAGTCTCCTCCATACTTGGCGCAACGTCAAATTGGCTGACGTTGAGATTTCTTCATGCATCATTGAGCACTTCATCAAACCTTAATGCTTCGCTTGGACTGGGAGAATCACACAATGGATCCAAGAAGGTCGTGCTCGTGAGCTTCTTGCGCGGCTGGGAGTTTTGGAGAGCAGAAGCCAAACGATTGGTAAGTTTTGATGGAACAGTCTCCCTTGAAGATGTCAGAGCATGTTAGATTTTGCACATGGAGTCATCGATTATGGGCACGCGTCATATTAACAACCACTAGGGCCTTGATCTTGCGCGTTTGGCAGATAAGAAACAATTCGCATTTGTGGACGGTCTTTCAGAGCTATTCTCTGCTCCTCAAACAGTAAATGCTATGCCGAGTGTACCTTCGATTGCAAGTGGCCCGACGCGCACATCTCTTCCATTTCGGTCCCAGCCTGGCGCTGTGCCCGGAAGAGGACCGCCATCAGCAGCACCAGCATTAGCCATGAATAACGACAATCTAGCCCGCAGCCAGACTGAGCAAGGCATTGTGAAGAAACTCCATTTCTCTGGACGAGGCATTGCCGCCCTTGATGCACTTGAGAGAGACATTGCATCGGTGATCCAACTGCAAAAGAGCTCAATGGAAGATGGAGAAGAATTACTGCTTATTATCGACCAACCGGATTTCCTACTTGCCGCTACGGGACCGGTGATGGGGATCGGAGCTACGGAAATGGCGGAGTGGGTTTCGGGTCTACAGCAGGTAAGTCCATGAATGCAGATGGACTAGGCGAGGGCTGACATTTTTATAGCATGTGCACGCGACAATCGTCACTCTGGCTGCCGATTCCCCGCTGATCCACAATGCATCCACATCTGGGCATCAGATGGCTACGCCAGTGGAGTCGGAGCATGCGGCATTCGCTATCAGTTTGGCGCATCGGGCAAGGTCGGTCATGCAGCTCCGGACTCTGGAGACAGGAGCCGCAAGAGACGTTAGTGGCGTGCTCAGAATCAGCCGAGGAGGTGGCGCAGACGATTCAGTGGAAGAGAGGGAGTTGCTGTACTATATCCAGCGGGATGGCGGATTGTCGGTGTTTGGGCGTGGGGAGTCGTAAGATGGGGAACTAGATGTTAGTCTAATCAAAAGGCAGAGACAATTTACATGAGGAAGATCTCGGCTAGTAGCCAAATCCCCCCGTAAGAGAAGCCAAGTAGGAAGAGAGATATCTTCACATTTGAACTGTCACGACATGGTATATTCGCCAGCCATAAACGAGGAAAAAGGAAATTCATGCATGATTTCCCTTGATTTTATGCCTTTTCACTCCGCGCAAAACACATTCCAAAATTTCCCGTTCGATACGAGGATCGACTTCACACCAACTCCACGGGAAAGCGTTCAATATTTCGGAATTGCCAGTTGCATTTCGAGTTAGTCTATCTCGCGATGCTAGGCCATATCATGCCAGGATGTCACCCCTCATATTCTTTTCCAGCCTCTCCGAAAACGAAAACGCGACGCCGAATCGGAAAATATTTAAGCGGTCTGGGGGCCACGGGCGCCCTTGGGGGTACCGGTCTGGAAGCCGTTCAAGAAGCGGCGGTGGACATCACGCAGGGAGCGCATGCGGCCGGAGCCGGTGGTCTTGCGGCGCTTGGCCTTCTCGCTCCAGTTGACTATTGCGACAGAAATGTAAGCCTGAGTTCCTCCAATGCCTTCAGAGTATGAGGGTATGCGTACACTTGCGGGTCTTAGCAGAAGGGTAGCCACAGTTGGCACAGGTGGACTTCTGGATGTGGAAAGACCGCTGGCCTATTTTCGAAAATAACACTATCAGTACTCGTGTCCGAGGTAAAAAACATCCAGTCATGGTATCCTGATCGCCCATTTCCATTCTCAATGTATGTTTGCGACTTCGGGACCGGATTGTAGAGGATTGTGGAATACTAACCACAGCGGCGGCACAGAGTGTGCGTCTTGTTGTGGCGCTTTCCGAAGCTGGAGGTACCCTTAGCTGTGGTGGTTGTTAGTTTCGATCGCTTCGATGGTGCGGAGATTTGCGGTGCGAGGTTTCGACTTCGAACGTACTCATCTTGAATTAAGGGAACTGCAGGAAACAAGGGGTCAGTAAATGGGGACGAGTAAAAGACGCAAAGAGCGCCAGGACAGCATGCAAGCGTACCTGGCAATTCCGTTGAAGGGCTGTTGTCGGTGTCGTCGTCGCTAGGCGTATCGAAACTTCCCGCTGGGTGGTGATGTGTCGGCTAAGCGAGATGTGGGCGAGTCACGGGATACCAGGGCACAAACCCTGTCCCGTGATCTAGCATCATGTGATGTTCAAAGTGGGACCATCGATGGCACGTGATACAGATCTGGATCGAACTATACGAATTACTCATTCAATTCCCCAGACTTGGTGAGAGTTCATTTCAATTTTAATTTCGTACACTTTATTCATGCAGTATAAAAGGGGTATTTTGGTACAACTGAACGCCGGAGATAGTACATGCTGGAAACATTATTCCTCATCTTTTCCAAGGAAGTTGGCCATCGGATCATCCGCAGCCAGTCGACTACGCTTGTACGATTCTATCTCTTCCTCGGTGATCCCGGATTTCAATTCATCGATCGTCCGCTTCTTTCCATTCATCGACTCCTGATCTTGATTGCGTGCGCTGACGGGTTCGAGCTCATGATTTACTTGAGCGGGCTCTTCATCATCTCCCCCAGTCAGCATCAGCATGTTGCCCTCTTCTTCAAACGCCTTCTTTCCGTCCTCGCCGGTACAGTAGCTGTTTTTCACCGTGGAGTAACAGCATGCATAGCCCCATTTGAACTCATACCACCAACTGCCGAAGACAGAAGTATGGTTGTTGGGCATGACATCTTCAGCGTACTTGGACTTGGTAGCATTCTTGGGTGCACCCTTGATAGCACCGTTCTCATCATACTCAACAAACCGCTCATTTTCGACAACCATGGTGTCTCGTAGAGGTGTTGGCTGAAGATGTTCACTGCCTCCATATTTCTCCAAGAGGGCCCTGCGGTGGGCCTCGCGTTTGATATCACCCTCCTCCTTTTCTTTCTTCCGGAGCACCTCTCCTGATGTGGGGTTGGCCTGAAGGTGGATTTGAGCCATGCCTTTCTCCTGAGAATCCCAGGCGTACTGCTGAGCCTTTTCGAACTCGGCCGCATCACCAGAGGCTCGTACAAAGTTCTCTTCAGCCACGAGAGCAGAGGCCTGATCATCTTGTGCACCCATATCCACCATCCGTCGGGTCTTCGGATCGTACTTCGCAGAATCAAGATCGAGGTTGAGCAGATATTTAGCGGTATCTTCTCGGATACGAAGGTTGCGCGTGGCCGTGCTTTGTTGCCGACCCATGTCGGATTCTTCGGCGTATCGAATATCTTCCTCCAGACCCTCATTCTCGTCGTCCCCGTCCATAAGCTTCTTCAGATCTGCGCCTTCCTTTGCTGAGCGCTTCATCGACTCCAGCTCTTCGTATTCCTCGACAACTTGGTGGTACTCGCTAGCATCGTAGCCATTCCACCGATCTCTTTTGGCATCCCAGCCCATGTCAACCTTTTGGATGACCTCGTCGGCCTCAATATTCTTTCCAGTCCATTTGGCACCCTGCTTTCGGGGTCGACTCAAGCATTCTTTGGTTTTATGGGTCATTGCGCCGCAGTTCTCACATGCGCCTTTGCGATATTTGGTCACCGCTGGACCCGCTCGTTTCCCTCGGTCGTACCATTTGGACTGGTCTTGGGTTGTCTTATTCAGGCGTTGATGCTCGAGATAGTCGTTGCCCGAATCATCGTCGACGTAGAACGGCTTTTTCGAGATGAAGGAGGGAATGTATTCGTTGCGCTCCTTGGACGCCACATCGGCCGGTTTGCGCGACATTGTTGTGACGGTAAATATTTATGAACAGGCCAGCTGCCAATAAGGATATGGTGATGTAGAGAAATGATTCAAAGAGCTCCCGTCAAACCGCGGAGAGTGAGGTGAGATCAAAGGAAAAAGCCCGAGGTTGGTGATAAGTGGTCATGTGACCTGGCGTATCAGGCGCGTTGTGTAATGCGGGCGCATACCTCGATATCCGATCAAGGCGCGTTGCTCTCGCCGACGGAACATGTTTTCATGATACCGCTCCGAAACTCAGACGACATGTCGCTGATGCCACCAGCAAAGCAAAATCAGCCTGATGGAGCCTTTTCGCGTACGTCTCAACTGCATCGATCACTACCAGGCGACCGCGTCGGAGCTCGACCCTGCGTTGCCCTTTCGAGATGGTGCCTCTGAAAAAGATTTCAGGCCAAAGGTGCCTGTGATAAGGGTGTTCGGAGCGACTGAGACTGGTCAGCGAGTATGCGTTCATGTCCATGGCGTATTCCCATATCTGTATATTGAATACAACGGTTCTTTGGCACCCGAAGCAGGTCAGTCCAATACGAGCGTGATGACAAGATCTCTGCTAAGCTATACATTTTAGTTAACTCGGCAACACGCACCCTTCACCTCTCAATAGACCATGCCTTGGCAGTCAGCTACCGTCGCAACGCCTACGACCGGAAAACCGCATACGTCGCACATATTACATTGGTTAAAGGGATCCCCTTCTATGGCTATCATGTCGGCTACCGGTCCTTCTTTAAAATCTACCTTCTCAATCCTTTCTATGCTGGCCGGCTAGCCGATCTTCTTCATCAGGGTGCGGTGATGAAACGCCCCTTACAACCATACGAAGCCCATATGCAGTTCGTTCCCCAATGGATGTGCGACTACAACTTGTACGGGTGCGCATACATGGATTGCGAAAAGGTCAAATTTCGATCCCCCGTACCAGAGTACTTAGAGTTAGCCAATCCCGACCATCGATGGCATGACCGCTCTATCCGTCCCGAGGACATACTCGATGGCCCGGCCCTCCAGAAACAGAGTCATTGTCCTCTGGAGGTGGACATCTGCGTACAGGACATCCTCAATAGGTCTGATGTCAAAGAACGTCCCCTACACCATGACTTTGGCGAGCTTTTCAGACCCGCTGCCTTCAACGAACGCCTTGTACCTAGCGTGGCTGGACTTTGGCAGGACGAGACTCGGCGGCGAAAGAAACGAATGGGTATAACTGACCCCGGCAGCACCCCATTCGGCCCCGACGAACTGATTTCGATGTCCGCTGATCCTAGAAATCAATCCAAGGGAGGCTGGGTACATGAGGATGAATTTCAGGAGTTGGTCTTCCAAATAGCCGAAGAAGAACAACGGGCAGATGGTGACACAGAGATATCATTTGAAACATTCTCAAATGTCAATAAAGTACAGGAAATGGTTCAAACTGCCTTGAATAGCGTTGAAGATTTCTATCCAGACAGACTGGACAGGTCAAAACAGAGTTTTCGCCAGGAGTTCGATGAGTTGGCCAAAATTTCCGTCGACGAAGACCTCGCGCGATCTTCTCAGCCTGATGGGCAATATCTACCAGATGGCGAGGGTAGCACAGAAGAGGACATGAACGAGAAGCCAAGAGTTACTGAAAACCATGCCATTCAAGAAAGTTTCTACGATGGTGTATTCGACGATATCCTTCAACCAGAGGATGAAGCACCCGAGGACCTTTTGCAGGAGGCTTTTGAAAAAATTTCATCCGACGACGAATTGACAAGCGATCCCCCTGTCTCGAAGCCAAACCCGAGCCACGAAGGCCAAATTATGGACAGGAATGTTGATAGTTCCCTTAAAGGGAGCTTCACTGATCATGCTCACCACGACCTCCCGCCAAGAAAAAAACGGAGATTCTGGTGCAACCCAGATTTGTCTCAAAAGGACAGTCACGGTAGCCTGGGCAAAGAGAACCTGGACCTGAATCTGGAACCTCCATCATCAGAACCCACATCATCTTCGTCTCAAAAGACAGTCCGGCCAAAATCTCACATCCCTCTACCTAATAGCCGACTAAACTATCCAGTTGTCAAAGACCCCAATGACCCTTTGACGATTCTACGGTTTAGCCAAGATGACGGCCAGTCTAAGAAGGGAAATGAATATTCACAGCATCTACCAAGCTCTTTCCCTGGTGGGTCTGCCACCAGTCCTTCAGGAAATGGCAGCGGTGGAGCAATCTCGTCTATCCTTCGGTCTTCTTCTACTGTAGTAAAATCGGCTGCTCTCAATCCGCATGTCGCCAAGATCAAGCAAAACCTGTGTGGCTCCTTCAACTTCCCCGAAAACACCACTATCTCTCTGTTTAGGTTCGCCGCCCCGGGCGCAGATGAAGTTGCTTCGACGATGCTTGACAATAATCGCCCATCTGTTGTTTATCAAAAGGCATATTACAGCGACGAGACAGATGTTCCCGAAAGACCACGACAATACGCTGGCCGAGAATTTCGATTAGAAAGCGACACAGTGCACTACCTCCCGGAATTCGACCCATCAGCAAATCTCTCGGCCATGTTTGGTGACCAATCACCGATTTTATTCGATCGTGAGAAGCAAGAAAAGGTTGACCAGGAATTGCGGGAATCGTGCACCGCAAGAATGTGGGAATTTGCACCCCTTCCTCCTAGTCGCTCTGAAGTTGTCGAGTGGTTTGAAAATCTCCAAGCATCCCAAAAATCCGCCTCGTCCAAGCCAGCAATTCCCAATGCAGAGGCAAAGCCTGAAGCAATGTCACAAATTGAAGGACCAACACAAAAACCCCACGGTTTCAAATACTCTCAAAAGGCGAAGACTACCAGCGTTAAGCACCAAGCCCAGTACATGAGCACGATGAGCTTGGAGGTGCATGTGAACACCCGCGGCGCTTTTTCGGCAAACCCCGTGGAGGATGAAATTTCGTGTATCTTCTGGGGTCTCCACTCTGAAGACGAGGATATCGAGATCAATAGCCACCTACCTGGTGTCCACGTCGGAATGATCTACCAAGGCGAAGGCGAAAGACCCGAGTCCAAGATCTCGAAAGCGCTCCGAATCGACATGGAACATGAACCCACAGAGCTTGATATGATCAACCGACTGGTAGATATCGTGCGCTACCACGACCCAGATATTATGATTGGGTATGAAGTTCATAATGGCTCCTGGGGCTATGTCATTGAACGAGCTCGGAAAAAGTATGACTTCGACCTCACTGCGGAACTTTCCCGGGTAAAGTCGCAGTCTCATGGGAAGTTTGGTAGGGAAGAGGAGCGTTGGGGAGCCGATCACACCTCTTCCGTACATATAACTGGCCGACACGTCATCAATATCTGGCGTGCGATGAGAGGTGAGTTGAATTTGCTAGGATATACGATGGAGAATGTTGTTTTTCATCTGCTTCATCGACGGATACCACACTACTCAGCCAAGGACCTCACAAAGTGGTATCAGAGCGGAAAGCCTCGCAACGTTTGTAGGGTTGTGGAATATTTCACATCACGTATGCAGATGAACCTGGAAATTCTTGAAGCCAATGAGTTGATCCCGCGGACTAGCGAGCAGGCTCGCTTGTTGGGCATTGACTTCTCTTCGGTCTACTTTCGAGGTTCCCAGTTCAAAGTTGAGTCGCTCATGTTCCGAATCGCCAAACCCGAGAACTATCTTCTAGTATCGCCTAGCCGAAAACAGGTTGGCCAGCAGAATGCCCTAGAGTGTCTTCCCCTGGTTATGGAACCGCAAAGTGATTTCTACACCAGCCCGCTTGTGGTTCTTGATTTCCAATCTCTCTACCCTAGTGTGATGATCGCGTATAACTACTGCTACTCGACCTTTTTGGGGAGGGTATCACAGTGGCGTGGCCGAGACAAGATGGGCTTCATGGATTACAAGCGTCAGCCAAGGCTGTTAGAACTGCTCAAAAACAAGATCAATATCTCGCCGAACGGCATGATGTATGCGAAGCAGGAAGTGCGCCAATCACTGTTGGCAAAGATGCTTACAGAAATCCTTGAGACTCGCGTGATGGTTAAGACGGGGATGAAAGCAGACAAAGATGATAAGATCCTTCAACGTCTATTGAACAATCGTCAATTGGCCCTCAAGCTGATCGCAAACGTCACATATGGTTATACGTCTGCGTCTTTCTCGGGTAGAATGCCCTGCTCCGAGATTGCAGACAGTATCGTGCAGTCTGGCCGTGAAACACTTGAGAAGGCTATTGCCTTTATCCATTCAGTGGAACGGTGGGGTGCTGAGGTGGTCTATGGCGACACTGACAGCTTGTTCGTCTATCTCAAGGGCCGCACTCGCGACCAAGCTTTTGACATCGGCGAGGAAATTGCGCAAGCAGTAACAGATATGAATCCTCGCCCGGTGAAGCTCAAATTCGAGAAAGTTTACCACCCCTGCGTCCTTCTGGCCAAAAAGCGATACGTCGGCTTTAAGTACGAGCACCGGGACCAGAAAGAGCCCGATTTTGATGCCAAGGGCATCGAAACCGTGCGACGCGATGGAACACCTGCAGAACAGAAGATCGAAGAGAAAGCTCTAAAGATCCTGTTCCGAACAGCAGACCTAAGTCAAGTAAAGTCTTATTTCCATCGCCAATGCAACAAGATCATGCAGGGCCGTGTCTCCATCCAGGATTTCTGTTTTGCCCGAGAGGTCCGTCTCGGAACATACAGTGATCGTGGCCAGCTCCCCGCCGGTGCAATGATCAGCACAAAGCGCATGCTTGAGGACCCCCGCCTGGAACCTCAGTACGGTGAGCGTGTGCCATACGTTGTCATTACCGGTGCACCGGGCTCACGCCTTATCGATCGGTGTGTAGCGCCCGAGGAACTCTTGCACGATGCTCAGCTCGACCTCGATGCTGAATACTATATCACCAAGAACTTGATCCCACCTCTGGAGCGCATTTTTAACCTGGTAGGCGCCAACGTGCGCCAGTGGTACGATGAAATGCCCAAGGTCCAACGTATTCGTCGCGTCGAGGCGTCTTCTTCATTGGCTCATCCGACCAAGGGACTTGGCATGCTGAAAAAGACTCTCGAGTCATATATGCGCTCATCTTCTTGCATCCTCTGCAAATCCAAGCTGTCCGATGCTGCTGTGCCTGTATGCAGCGAATGTCTGCAGCGTCCACATCTTGCCCTACTGGACGTTGTCTCGCGGCTACAGCGGGCAGAGAAAAGAGTCGTCGACCTTGAGGCTGTGTGTCGGTCATGCATGGGCGTGCCGCCTGGTGATGAGATTCGCTGCGATAGCATGGATTGTCCTGTTTATTACTCTCGTACCCGCGATACGGCCCACTGGCAACATTCTCGGGCTGTCCTAGAGCCTGTCGTAGCGCTGCTAGAAAAGAAGGGAGACGAGGGATTGGATTGGTGATTATCTAGGTTCTGGAGTTTTTTTTGTCTTGACTATGATATCCAAGGGTGGCGTTGGAAATACCCCAGAGCGAAAGCCTCAGCACGAGTAGACGAAGTCACAATACAGGAACTATTGGTTATTGGTACATTGTCACCTAGCCTCGGACGATCATTCCGTGGACCGAGCCGCACTGGAGTTACATAGTGGTACTGTAGTTCCCCGTCAGTTGCCCACAAATAGGTACTGATGAGGGGTCGACATTTTGGCCCCATTTTGGCCATTGCAGTTGCCCAGCGAGATCACCCTGCAGCTGAAATGAAGCCAGAACCACCTGTGGACAAGGAAGTCGTGAAAACTAGTTCTTGCTAGTCTTATAGGTCCACGATCTACCTACATTCCCTAATTATGTAGGTTTTTTTTCCTTGGCATTAGGCTTGATCGTTATATTTGCCACACCTCCCTTGGCATCAAATATTGAACAGTTACCCTATCCACCTTTTATCTACTCTCAGAGCTCTTTACCTATCTACAAACTCGATATACTCTACTTTGGTCTAACACAAAATGCAAAGACAGATCATTGGAACGCTTAACGTCCGCTTTCTTGATCACATCAAACAAGATATCCTCGAGCATCGAAACGACCCAGAATACGACATCTTGTACTTGACCGCAGTACCTGATTCCAAACACAATTTCCGTGTGCGTATCGAGGGTTTTCAAAGTCTCGATCTCGACAACTACGATCAGTGGTCTCAACGTTTTCTGACCGCGTTCGTCCACCTCAACCAGCCTCACCCTCGTGGAGTGCCATTTATCGTAAGTCAAGTTTGCAAACCAGGATGTACTCGGGATCATTCCCAAAACTCGTCGTCGGCTTCCTCCTAGGCGCCGCGCTGGTGCAAGGAGCGTCTATTCCAAGCGTCGACCAACGCAACAACACCAGTGCCTTGAACACTCGAGCTGCCAACGGTTACCGAATTACAGGTTATCAGAATGCTCAATGTACCGGCGAGGCCATTCCTTACTCTGGTGATGACGAGGATTGCCACACTGGTCTCGGTAACGGCGGTGTCGGATTCCAGCTCTTGGCTCTAGATGCTGACTGCCAGCTTGCTTTCTATGGCCAGGATGGAATTTGCTTTACAAAATACGATGTTTTCACAGAAAATTAGTAGTAAACACGATTTTGTCTAATTGTCAAACCATCAAAACAATGCGCTCTCCCATTTTTTTTGGTGGTTGAATATTTTTTGTCACTTTTCTAGTAATCCCTTGCACTGTCCATTCCCTTGTTATTATAACTTACCAAAACATCTTTGCAAGCAATTTCTTCTTTCTTTTCCATCAAATGCCAACCAGACCCAGAAGGTGCTTCAAAATGGACTGTGGGGTGTCCGCTTCCACGATTTCTTGAACCTTGATTTCGACCTCGTCAGCCTCTACGTCCTCGTTGACCTCCTGGGCAAATGTCTTGGGCTCATCTGTTCCATTATGGTCCTTGTCGTTATCAATACTCAGAGAAACCGCCTTGACTTCATCTGATCTGTTGTCCTTCTCACCCTCGCCAAAAGTCATTAGAGAGACTTCTCCATCAACGGCATCGATGAGATTGTAGGATGAGAGACTAGCGCTGGAGGGTGAAGACTCGATAGGATCACTGGAATCAATGAGACTGCCAGAGGAAGATTTATTGGGGGAGAGTGAACACTTGCTGGGCATTTCGATGGGCGATTCTTTCACTTTGACCTCATCTTCACCTAGAACATGCTCGCCACCATTGATCACCTTGTCCAAGGGAGCACTGGAAATATTACTGCCTCCCTGCTCCGGGTCAAGGAGCATATCTTCGACTTCCGCGTTGGTGTAGATTTTGCCAGAGATCTTTCCATTCTGGTATGTCTCGAGTCTGTCCTTCTTGAGCTGGCCTGATGCAATCTTGCCCAGATACTCATGGAAGATCCATGGGAAGCTAATGAGAGGTAAGTCTGGCTTCTCGTTTGTGTTCGGATCGGGTGCAAGTCCATCAGGGGAGAGGTCATTGTCGTCAGAGAGGGCCGACTTGTGACTTCTTGCCAGTGCCTCAGTTGCCAGTTCATGAGTCACACGATACATGGCAATTACCAGCGGAGCAACATCTTCGAGACTGCGCCCATCAACGTGGTCGAAGCACTGCTGACGGAAACCCTGCCGAAGAGTCTCGGTGATATGGCCCAGGTCTTCATGCAGCTTGTAGTCGTGAACGATGCGACTGTGATTCAGGACAAATTTAGACCAGACCTCGAACTCGGTCTTGATCTCGAACTGTGCCATGATTTGCAGCATCGCTGCGTCATACTCATCTTTCAACCGTATCGCAAATCCCATGAATTTCTCGCTCTCTGGGACGAGATCAGATTCCAGAATCCGAGAGTCAAATGGGACGGATAGATTGGGTACGAAGTGGACGGTCTCTACTGCATCGTAGAGTCGACCTAGAATCTTCTTGGATTGGTAACTCTTCCGCGGATCCCTTTCCATGAAATGTGGCCACCGCCATGGTTCAAGATTCCAAGTCATCTTGGCAGGTCGACCGGTTTTATTATAATCGACAGCTACGGAGTGCATGCCTGCCAGTTTAATACACTTCTGCTCGTAGACGCCACCTTCCAGTCTGTCCGCCCAGGCCATGTGGGCATTCGCGATTCTAGGGAGGCAATTTTCCTTCATGAAGGTAACGAAAAACGTCGTCATGTCATCAACGGTAACATCGCGGTCTAATTCAGGGGCTATCTCGTTGTTATCCACCATTGGTTTCATAAACCATCTCCCCGGAATTAGGTCCGGATCCCACATGATGAGGTAGTCGTCTCCGTCTAAATCTCCCCCTGAACACATGCTCGCAAGGTCTCTATCTCCAGTCTGGGGGAAAACAATCACATCGATGAGATGTCGCAGTTTTGGCGCATACACTGCGCGCACCACCCGGATATCCCCTGGGTGAAGAGATGGATTGCGGGCAAGGATGCACACCCCTTCGATAATTTTGGGCTCTCCGTTCTTCTCCCGAGGTGATATTTGGACAAATACCTCGGGAAGCGCTGCTAGTTTGTCGGCGTGCATCGCACCGATTCTCTCTGCTCTCTTGACCTTTGTATCAAACCAGCCTTGCAAAACGCCGCTTTCATCCAAGACACCAAAGAGACTGGCGCCTTTCTCGACCACGATCTTTGCTTTTTCCTTTAGAGACTTGAAATGCCAAGCCTTCCAAAGGAAAAGCATAGAGCTGACGAATGGCTCATTGACCTGCCGGAACCCATTTTGTATAAGGTTTGCCAATGTCAATGTTGTCTGGTTTGGATCTACAAATCTCTGAAGCAGAGTGATTGCCTGCAAGTCATCCGTCATGGCGTCATTAAAACTCTGCAACATTTCATCCTGCTTAGCAAGAATCACTTTCATGGGGATGTCCAGAGCAGCGAGGATCAGAATCAACTGGCGATTCAATGTTGCCATGGAGTACGAAGATGAGCGAATGATTTCTAGACTGCCATGGGGGGAATCAAACTTGTACTGACTAGGTCGGATGTGTAACTTGTTCGGCTGAGGATCGGAAGATACGACCAACATCCCTTTGCATCCCCCAAGACGGAACTGAAAAGCTGACGGGGGCTCGCCATTCCGGGTCTTGAGCTTCAGACTGTTCATGGTCATCCGAGCCAGGAACTTCGAGATCTTACCGACACCATCGGAGAAATTGTACCCATTACGCTCAATATCGGGAATTTTCTCAATCTGGACAGTGTAGGTCCCGATAGAGCGGGTGGTAGAAAAGCACTGACCTAGTCGGGAGGTGTACCTTGCAACATTCCGGATGTGATTGAACTGGCCCATCCAGGATCGAATGTCTGCGGCAGACAGGCTTGGAAGGGATGCGAAAAAGTAAGCGCCCTGTTCACGGAACTGGGAGTTACCAAAAGCTAGGAACTCATAGTGGCAGTCTCCCACAGTGATGCCTTTGGTGAGGGTTGCCTTGACCCGTCTGTAGACCTCGTCATCTACCTGACTGATGGTTGACCTGATTGTCCCGAGATACACTTCGTCTGAGAACCGAACCCGAAGGAAACGGTTAACAAACTCACTGTATCTTCTCGTGATGCGATTCGAGGTATCAACAGTGGGGGTATTGAAGTAGATGGTGGAGGGGGTGACCCTGGCAGTCCGCATGAAGCAGCAGTACTCCGGTATCCTCGAACCAGTAACGCCCCTACCAGCCTTGATGTTGAATATTTCCATAGGGTCAAGGTACTTTTGCTTGTGTATTGCAACGTGCTCAAGTAATCGCTGAGCCTTGACATTCCCATCCTCCATCAGTCTGAGGATGAATTCGCGAGTCATGTTGAATTCAGATAGGTAGCCATGAGAGACGCAAACCTCAAGCTGATAACGAACAGGGAAAGGCAGTAACACCGTGTGCTCATCGACAAGATCCCCCAGCTGTCCCCATTTTGGATTCACTTGTCTATCAATACATCCCCACACCGGTCTGAGTGTACCCTGAGTCTCCTGGAAATGGGCCCCATCTTGGAACAGGACGTTATGATCTCGAAGAATATCTTTGATGACCCCCCGGCTCTTGAAGTTGGGATCGCTAGGCTCAAGTGTGAGCTTCAAGACGTTCCACCGCCCTGCGAGCATTTTTAGTCTACGTAACAACCAAGAGACCAAAAGCTGAGCTCACCAATATCCATGATATCGCCCGAGATCTGTAGATTGGTCGGAAAGTCAACTTCCCGTGATGCACCATAAGATATGCGGGTTTGCCGTATCCAGGTATCCACTTCTTTCCAGGTGAGACTTTTAGTGAACGTAGGTGTTATATCAGATAACTTGCGGTGGTAGATGCCAGGGTGATCCAGAATTATGATAAAAGAAAGCTCCGACTTGAGGCCATGAGAGCTAGGGTGATTATGGACCTCCCACACATCATTCAACTGACCGAACGGGATCTTCAACCGAAAGGATATCTGGGGGTTGAGTAGTGGAGCTTCTATCTTTGAGGCATTGAGCGCCGGGAGCTCCTCATTAAAGCATATGTAGAGTGCCCGTTCCTGAACGTTGATTTGGAGTCTTACTAGCCGAGCGAACCCTTTGAGAAGCTTAATGGTAGACGCCTCTTGCAGGATACCTACCGCAAGCTGGGACGCACGGAGCTCCTGGTTGTATAAGTTAGCAAAGCACTAAGCCGGTGGCCTCGCATGAGACTCACAAGCTTCTCAGGATAAAAGACGTTTGAACGAGCCAGGTTTTGGACTACGTCCTCTTTGAAGCCGGTATTTAGGGATATCTTAATGGGCACAGGGCGGCCAGAATCAAGCTTCACATAGAAGACGCCATCACTCCAAAAGTTGTGGTATGGTGGAGGCCTATAATTCATGTCAATACCATCGGTATCCAGCATGTAGCATCGCCCCTGCGCAATGAGACAGGCTCGGAAACAAAGAGAAAGAGAAATCAGACATACGTGAATCGAACGCGACCCTTATTCATAGGGCGGCCATGCTGGTCGTCAGTAAATTCAATAAAGGTGATGTTTCCTTGCTTGTAGAATGCCTTCCAGACTGCCCGGGTGCTTAGGGGCGTAGGAAATCCAAAGAAGGATATGGAGACGGATTGCCACTTTCGCCAACGGTCATCGGCTAGTCTTTTGAGATTGTCTTTGGCATCTTTGGGGTTCTGGATGTGAGAGCGTTTTGACATGATGACTTTTGGCCTATTGCAAGACCTTCGAAAAAGAGAAGACGAGGAAAAGAGGCTATTATAGATCTCGGAGACATCCAATAGAATTGAGTTTGAAGTGATGAGAAGGTGAAGTGATATAGAAAAGAAAATGCCCCAGACGCGCTTATTTATTATACCTTTGACTGCGGCAGTGATGACGGCGTGGACGGTTTGAACGATGCTGGTGATGATGGGAACGATTTCAGGCCAGATATAGCCAGAAATAGATAATCTGGTGAGGTGGGGCTTGGATAGATGGATGAAGGCCAATAGGGTTGGAGTTGAGAAATCTGGATTGAGGCAGAACTAAGACGATGGGCAGGAGTTGTAAAACAGCTCTGAAGATGTGGCGATGACAGTTGAAGAGGAAGAGAGGTGATCAATATCGAGAGAAGCTATCAGAGGAGGGATGGGTGATCAATCCAGAGTGACTCCGTGGAAACGAATACGAGAAAAGGAGAAGAAATATTGAAAGAGAGCCATTTAGATACAGGAAATGTTATAAATAGTAATAATAGCACGGCAGTTTCTTCGATCAAGGCTTGGAGACAACTTGAATACGACAGCGACGACAGTGGAAACGTAAGCACACGCAAATTATATTGGATCACTCCTAATAAGAAATTGTATTCATGTCAAAGCAGAACATACACCTTTAAAAATGTACATATTGAAAGAATCGTAATAAAGTGTAGCTTCAACAATTTATTGCGGGGGTGCCCGGTCGTTCGAGCCAGAAAATGCTGTACTGGTAAAGATGAAGTTTTTGGAGAATTCTAAATCCATATCCAGATCAAAGTCCTGTAGATGGTTTCCATCTGACTGGGTGTGCTTGAGAGACTCCCGTGGTGACTTGGCCGGGGTATTGAAGTCAGTTTCTGCAAGCGGATGACGGCTCGAGGATTTGGCTGTGGAAGGCGAAATGGACCTAGGGGCTGCCGCAGGAGCCTTGGGTGGTGCTTGTGGCAGAATCGTTGATCGTCGGTTACCTTTTGGTCGCTTAGGGCTGGGTCCTTGTAAGTTGGAAGCAAGCGAGTCAAATGATTCTGCGAGTTGTGTAGCCTCATCGTCATAAACTTCTGACTGGCGTCTAGTGATGGAATGAGCTGCGTCGGTAGTTCTGGTGTGGTGATATTTATTCGCGATTGGAGGCTCAGTCGTTGGCGCGGTGAAACCCATGACACCCATGAGGCGACCAATATGTTGCTGTGCTTCAGAGAATTCGCGGGCCTTGGTGGCACGCTCATTGCGCAGCGATTGAATCTAGAGTGAATATCAGAGGCGACCTTTAGAACTGATAATTTTATTTACCATACCTTTATTTCCAACTGGTGTATGTGCGTATCCTTGGCTTGGACAGTTTTAGATGTATCGTGCACGGCAGCAAGCATCTTGGCCTGCAAACGAGAGTTTTCGATTTTGAGCTTGGCGATCTACAGGAACGCGACATTAGTTAGTTACCGGATGTATGCAATTCAACATAATGCGTGACATACCTCTGATTCCACCTGAGAAATCTCAACTCCATGTTTGCGCGTCAAATTTTCCGTCTCCGATTGGAGCTTTGCCTCAGTCTCTCGTAATACTGAGTACAGCTTTTCAGCTTCGGCAGTTTGCTCCTCCACCTAGAAATAATTGGTCAGTATTTAAACACGATTGAAAGTGGAATGGAACTGTACCGTTGCTTTCATAGTCCCAATTTCCATCCGCAAATATTCATTGTCTGTCAGTAGATGCTTTACTTCATCCTTTTTCTGGCCGCAAAAGATCTTATTTTCCGCTAGGAGAGATTTGAACTCATCAAGCTCATTTTGCAATGACGCACTCGTTTTAGATGACGTGGTAATCTCTTTTGAAGCAGTATCCAGGGTTTGTCGCATCTCTTCATTTTCAGTTTGAAGTCGACGAGTCTTCGCTTGTAGCTCTTCGAATTGATCATCTTTTTCCGTAGTTGTGGCAATAAAATCAAGCTCTTTAGATCGAGCGGTTTCTCGTTCCATATGAAGTGTATTTTCAAAATTGCGCCGCTGGTCTTCAAGTTCCTGATTCAAAGACCCAATCGATGCAGTCAACTCTTGTACTCGGCATGAGGCACTTTCGGCATTCTCTCCCATGCGTGAGAGATCGTGCTGTAGGCAAGCGACAGCGTGGGAGGATTGGTTTAGTTGCTTCTGCAACTCTTCACTTTGTTGCTTCAGTTTTTGATTTTCGGCGATATGACAATCTCGTTCTTGTTCCACTGAGCGTAAGGGACCTTCAACTTCGTAGCAGCGACGCTCCAGATCAAAGCAGATGTCTCCGATTTTCTTCATCATGTTATCATGAGAGACTTGGGCGTTCTGCATGAAGGTTTCTGCGACGCCAGAGCGCCAATCCCTAGTCGGAGGTCCGGCGGACGAAAAATCTTGCGTGCTGCGCAGGAAAATTGAACCTCGGAAATCTCTCGAGTTTGCTGTCGAGAACGAGCAGCTCTTGTCGGCAAAAGACCTTGCTGAGCGATCGACAAAAGACTTCATCAGCATAACATCTGTAGCATTTCCATTGTTCGACAATGAAGCAGCAAAGTAGATTTCGAATAGGTTGAGTAGAATCTTGTTCTTCAAAGCCGCGTAAGCACAATAGCATACTTCGGAGCCGCGGCACTCGTCTTGACTCTGAGTGACGGGGTATATTCTGAAAAGACTGGCAATGGCTTCTTTCGTGGACACCGAGTTAAGAAGTGAAGATACGACTGGCTTGGATTCAGTTGACTGTAATCCCGAAAGAAGCAAAGCGGCCGTATGCAAGCTCGACAAAGAGCCTCGATTTGGGCTGTCATCCTTCAAGGCATCCACAGTGAAGCGAAGGACTTCGTAGACGATCGACTCATCGCAGTTTGCCAATGACGCTGTGAGTCGTGATACTAAATAACGTGGCATATTCCCAAGCGCTCCACGGCTATCACTAGAAACAAGCATACGGAGTCCGAGGTCTCGGATTTGAGAAGGGAGTGCAGCCACTGGACGGAGAGAAAGCAAGAACGTCATTCCCATCACCTGGGTTTCCCGGTCGAGGCCGTCCCTGGCCACCTTTTCACATAGCTTGGCAATCTTAGATGAGTTGCTCGATACCCAAGCATACTTCTGCTCTAGCTCAACCGCATCTAACACACAGATTGCGAGGCCAATGCTCTCAGCGATCTGGGATGGGGCCAGGTTGCAATTGGAGGAACAGGCAAGGATGACACGCAAAACAACCAAATCTAAGGTCTTTAGGCCTCGCTTGGCGCCAAAGAAATGTTTAATGTTAAGAAGCCAAGATGGGGGCTCCGATCCGTGTTGATTGTGGCCATGGCTTTTTTGGTTCGATGCGATTCGTGCAAATGTGGCTAGACATAGTAGGTTGCCCATGTGGTCGTCGAGGTTGCGTAATGTCTTGGTAAATTCAGACTGCAGGTTGGACATTACTTCGGAGGGGACTTCATCCAGGATTCGCGGCGACGTTTGCAGTGAATTCATCAGGCTGTGTAGGGGCGCCAATGTCTCTGTGCATGGCTTCCCTGCCATTACATGGACTAGCTTCGTGATGAAGCTGGCCAGTCGAGCAGGTGCTACCACACCGGGTGGAAGTGGCGACGATAGCAGAGCAATACATGCTGGGTCATACTGCGACTGTCAATCTCTGGACGAAAACCTGATAGACATTGGCACTCACTTCGGATTCTTCGGCATCCACTGCCTTTTGGAGAAATGTATCCAAAATGACCGGATGGCGTTGCAGCAGGGCATCTCGAAAGACCGTTGTGTGAGCTAAATTAATTAGTCACTATACAAATTGCATCATCTGGACATTGGGGTCCTGAGTTTCTCTTACCAAACACAGATAATAGAGGAAGAGCCACTCGCGATCGCGATAATCCTTCAACGAAGGCATCGGCCAAAAGGTCGACTTGACAGGGTTTCTGAAGCGCCCATGAGTCAATCGTAGAGGTGGTAACCCGCTGAGCAAGGTCGTTGAGGCCCTAAGTCTCATGTTATCACGCCGTGCCTGAGGGCCAGATCACGGTTAGCCGTACCTGCAACGAGGGCGCATAAGGCGCGGTTACGACGCATTCAATCTCGCGGACGAGGAACGCGCTCTCAGTCATTATTACTCTCTACAGCTGATTTTTTCGTGGGCTGTAGGCGGTGATTGATGTCGTTGTCGTCGATGGCTACGACGCGGCAAAGAAGTGTTGTCGTGGTTGCCCCCTCAACGGGCAGTTCTGCCACACCAAGTTTAACCATGAGTCTCTTTACGGATGACCTACAACCCACATTTTTTACAAGATACCAGAGTAGCTTTACGGACATAGTTAATTATCAAGGCCATTGTCTCGGTGTGTACCTGAGATCAACCCCCACTTACCCCCACGTTCGCGGAATTGCCAGCGTCTAAGAGAAGAGCCGACTCGGCCGAGCTCCGAAGGCGGGGGAATAAGAGATGCGCACCTCATCGGAGTTGTTTATGTCGTGAGCATTTGCTTTTCTTTTGATTTTAATTTTCTTGGTATCTTCCCGGAACTTTCTCCTCGGCTTCAAAGCCGTGATACTCGTTACACATCCGGTCTCTGTCCTTCATCACAATGCGAGCTCCATTTATAGTCCCGAGGGGCTTCTCCACTCCCCGCATGCCCCAGTGCCGACCCCGGATCTCACAATGCCCAGTTGTCCGGACTAGCGGAGCAGCTCGAACAAATGCTACCGCCAGCAAAAACAGCAGCCAGAGTCAAGATAGCTCCTCGAGCTTCAGTTCCAGTTCCGCGCCCTTCTGGACACCCGCCAAGACTCTTCTCGTCTCCGCATTTGCTGCGGGGTTGGGCTACGGCTACGCTTCATATAGCCAGGCACCACAGGCGCCCAAGAAAGTGCAATATGGCTCAATGAAGGATTTTGACAAGGTAATTCCTCATTGAACCACTACGGAAACAGAGATTTAACAATGGCAGGCCATCGCGGAACTGCGCGCCAAATTCGGCGAAGACACAATCTCCACCGACGAAGACGAACTCGAGCAGCACGGATACTCAGAGTGGTCAAGTCTCAACGCAGACCGTCTCCCTGTCGCTGTCGCATATCCCACGTCCACAGAACAAGTTTCCGAAATCGCCAAGGTGTGCCATAAGTACCGCATGCCCATGATCCCTTACTCCGGCGGCTCAAGTCTGGAAGCCAATTTCTCCGCCCCATATGGTGGTATGACTATCGATTTCGCATTCATGAACAGAATTCTGGAGATCCACGAGGATGACATGGATGTCGTGGTTCAGCCGTCGATCGGGTGGATGGATCTGAACGAGAAGATTAAGAGTACCGGCCTGTTTTTCCCCGTGGACCCCGGTCCGTCAGCTATGATCGGGGGTATGGTCGGTACGAATTGCAGTGGTACGAATGCTGTTCGGTATGGAACCATGAAGGATTGGGTGATTAACCTCACGGTTGTCCTGGCCGATGGTCGCGTAATCAAGACTCGCAGGCGCCCGCGGAAGACTTCTGCTGGGTATAATTTGACTGGATTGTTTGTTGGATCAGAGGGAACTTTAGGTATTGTAACTGAAGCCACCCTGAAATTGACTGGTATTCCTGAGGATACTCGTGTTGGTGTCGTTGCGTTCCCGAGTATTCGTGATGCCGCGTCAACTGCCATGCAGTTGATTAAGAAGGGTATTCCTGTACAGTGCATGGAAATTATGGATGATATTCAGATGGATGTTATCAACCGGGCCGGTGGTACTGGGCGGACATGGGCAGTGTCTCCCCATTTGTTCTTCAAGTTCTCTGGCACAAAAGCCGGCGTCGCAGATAGCGTCGACTTGACGACGAAGCTCGCAAAGGACAACAACGCGGATGCCTTCGAGTTTGCGAAGAGTGAGCAGGAGGCTCATGACTTGTGGTCTGCCAGAAAGCAGTCTCTGTGGAGTATGTTGTCTCTGCGCAAGGAAGGCTCCGAGGTTTGGTCAACAGATGTGGCCGTCCCCATCTCTCGATTGCCCGATATCATTGGTCTGTCCTCCAAAATCCGGTTTTTACTATTGCATTTACTAACTGTCTCAGAAAAATCGAAGGAGGAGTTGGAGAATCTCGGAATATTCGCCAGCATACTCGGACACATTGGCGATGGGAACTTCCACGCAAGCATCATGTACGACCGCACGAATCCTGAAGAGCGTGAGCGAGTCGAGAAGGTGGTCTATGACATGGTGGACCGCGCTCTTGAAATGGACGGCTCCTGCACAGTATGTTCAGCCTCCAACCCGGTGTTTAACGTCCACGGTGCAGTGCTAATGTGGTTTTTTGCAGGGTGAGCACGGTGTCGGCCTGGGTAAGAAGGGTTCGCTGAAGAAAGAGCTGGGTCCGGAAACCATCGACGTCATGCGCAGTGTCAAGCGATCTCTTGATCCTCACTGGCTATTGAACCCTGGCAAGATCTTTGATTTCGAAAAGGATTCTTGAACATGGGCTATTAAACTTGGGTCTTATCAACTTCTACATAGACAATATGTAATTAGCACCGATTTTATACACTTCTTACATCCACTCCAAATAGCTAAGTTCGTGGTGCAGCCATGGTCCTCTTGCACTCGCGAACAGGTATTTTTCGGCCCGTGCCGTACCCAACCCCATTCTACTGTTTTTAGAGGAATAGATGATATTCTTTCCAAGAGATTTTGTAGCTGAGATTTGGCAAAAGCCGTTTTCTATGTGTATTGTCTTGATGTTTTCCCGCAGAGCTTTCGTACTGACGAGAGTCGCAGTAAAGGTCTCTAGTGAAATTAGGAACCCTTCCGATATTATTAATTAAGGTCTTGAACCTAGAAGCAAGACCTCGAACGAAATGACCTCAGAGATCATTGAACAAAGTCCCCAATTGGTCAATTCACGGAAAAATGCTACGCTCACAGCTCAAGTTCCGAGGACCTTCGCGCGGCAAAGCACAAATGCGTTGTCGAGGTGCGCATTGATAAGTTTGGATCCCCTGACACTGGAATGGATATGACACGGCCTTAGTCCTTGCTTGCCATGATGAAGTATCAGTGGGATATAATCGTTCATTCAGCTAAAGCTTGGCATCAAAAAACATGTGCCTCTGTTACCCCTTCGTCAGCCTATTTTTCATATATACTTTCTAAATGGTCTTTAAATCACATTTCTGAGGGGCTGTGACGCCAAAAATCGGCGTAGATTATCCGCGACCAGCTCAGTGCATCCCTGGGGTCTGCCACCTGCCGCATGAGGCGAAACAATCAGATTGGGAGCCTTCCAAAGACGGCTGGACTCGGGAAGAGGCTCGGTCTTGAAGACATCAAGTGCGGCACCGCCAATTTCGCCCTTCTCGAGGGCATCCACCAAAGCGTCCTCGTCAATCGAAGTTCCGCGGCCAACATTGACAACCCAGGCATGCTTAGGAAGCAGCTTTAGTCTCTCGGCGTTCAAGGCGTTGTTTGTCGATTCGGATCCGGGCAGAATCATAACAAGGGCGTCTGTCTTGGGGAGAAGCTCACTGAGCTTGTCTTCGCTGAAAACCTCGACGCCGTTTCGAACTCCGGAACTGCGAGCGAGACCTTTGACATTGGCTCCGAGGGCTGTCAAAAGCGGAGTGAGGGTCTTTGCGATGCTGCCGAAGCCCCAGACGAGCACGTTTGCGTTTTGCAAGGTGGTGAAATCATTGCGAGGGAAGGATCCACCCAGGTGAGCGGGCCATTTCCCCTGCAGCTGATAATCGCGCATCTCGTAGAAGTGGCGGGCGCTGTTGAGGAGGAGGCCGAGGGCGTGTTCAGCCACGGGATGGTCGTGCAGACCGACGCCGGTACAGACGGCGATGCGGGAGGTGTCGAAGCCTGCGTTCAGGACATCATTGGGCCCTGCGGCGAGCGATTGGATCCATCGGAGGTTCTTCATGCGCTTCGCGGCATCCTTCAAGTTGTCCGCGGCATTGGCCCAGGTCACCAGAATGTCCGCGTCGATTAGGTCCTCCGGGATGGGATCCTTGACATTATAGGGGTGAAGAGAGACAGAGAAGCCCTTGAGGCTGTCAACGTCGAGCGGGACTGAGGTAGGGTAGAGAAGCTTCATCGTGAGAGGTGATCGCAAGCAGAAGTTGGACTGTCGCGGAAGATGTTAACCCCTCCACCCCACGCTCCGCCCGCGGCGCCCCACGCTTATCGTCATCGGTTAATGCCCGGCGGGTAATCGAGTCGGTCGGCGTTCAAGCCGAAACTTCGTGGGATGCTTCAATCAAATACTTCAGTCGCTGATAAACTGCTACTGCATATATGCCAAGCCATATTGACGCTAGAGTATGCTCGTACGCGATTTGATGGTTTTTAGAGGTTATCAATGGCTGAAAGAAAATTCCCATTTGTGCCCTTGAACTGTCTTAATCGCTGGCCTCTGCCCTAGGCGGGAGGTATCCTAGATGAACAATTCGGGGTGATTAAAAGGCTAATATAATCTTTACCGTCATGGAGAACTCATTTGTAGGACTTGTACATATGATATGGGCATCATCATTCGTGGAATAATTAAACATGGTTACCCCGGATTTATCTCCGATAGCCGCCCCCACGCTAATCCCCAATTCGTGCTTTATTTCCCCTCTCCGTCAATGAGCATATCAACATCGGTCCGAAACAGTCAAGCCAAATTGACCTTTGAAAAAAATTCCACTTAGCTCAATGAAAGCTCGTCAATTAGTATGGCCGAACAACATGTATCATTCAAGGTCGAGGACCTATTCTCCGTGAAGGGAAAGATCATAGTTGTGACGGGCGGAGGCTCGGGCCTTGGAAAGGCCATCGCTGAAGGGTTCGCTGTCAATGGTGCGAAAGTGTACATCGTGGGCCGAAGACAGGCAATGCTTGATACCGCCGCGAAAGAGATCCCGGGTGATGTGCACACGTTAGTAAACTCATATATGCGATGCCTTCATACTATTGGCACAAGATAACTGACTTTGCGATTATTTAGAATTCAGGGAGATGTACAGTCTCAAGCGGGTTGCATCAAGATTGCAGATGCACTTAAAGCTCAAGTATCCCATGTTGATACCCTCATCAACTGCGCAGGAGTGAATAGTCCATGGAGGGTTCAGGTCAATGATCACAACGATTGTAAGTGGGGTAGTCTAGCTGAAGCCGATTTCTTGCTAATGAGTTGCAGCTGATCAAGTTGAAAATCTGTTGATCCACGGAGTCGAGGAGTGAGTAACATCGTGAATGGGCCTCCGCGAATGGTGTCCTCAATGATCCGTGCTAACCAGTCACAGGGAAGACTTTGACCGGGGCAATCAAAGTATGAGATGTCTTTAGATTGATCTTACTCAAAACTAACTTATGCCAATAGTCAATGTAAACGGGGTCTATTTTCTGACCGTCAACCTGCTTTCCCACCTGAGAAAGTCCGCCGAGCCAAATGTTTGCGTGATCGCCTCGCTCGCGGGTCTTGGAAATCAAAGGTAGAATGTGCCACAAGATGCCTTACGAATTTTCTTATCTGACAGTTTACAGGTCAATGGGAAGCTTGACCTACGCTGTCTCAAAAGCGGCCGGTAATGTTTCAAGTAATCGACCACCGAAAGCGGTTTTTCTAACTAAGAGTTATAGCGATCCATCTCGCCAAGCTTCTTGCTGGTCGTCTTCACCCGTGAGTGTCATCTTCCCATTAGCACATCGGCCAAATACCTGACAATGGCTGAAATTGCTATGTTCTAGAATGAGAATCCGTGTAAATACAATTTGCCCTGGTATTTTCCCGTCTGAAATGACAGGAACAACTACAGGCAAGCACGAATACGCCATCAGCCACCAGGCCGAAAAAGCTGGTAAGCGCTGTACTGCTGGACGGCCCGGTCGACCCGAAGAGATTGTTGGTCCTGTCTTGCTCCTGTCAAGCCCGGGCGGTGGCTATATGAACAATGCGCTGCTGACAGTCGACGGCGGACGACTGATGGGGATATCCATCAACGACGGTCTCAGAATGCCTGAAGATACATACACGTAGGTCTAACCCGGTAAAATCTACTGGGAACAAAACTGACAGTCGCAGAGAATTCATTGAAGGCTAGAAGTACAAGACTTCAGAATAGCCTATTCGATTACATCATTCCAGCAGCATAGGATAATGATATAAAGTAGCATCTGCTTGAGTGTTGCAAGATTCTTCAATTCATAATGTTTCATCATCAGTGACGTCCGCTGCACTATCCTACCTCTTCGAAGCCTGCAGCAAGACATCCACCAGACGGTTGGGCATACTCGAGAATGGCGGGTGAGAGCTCGGCAGTCAAAAAGTATTCTGAGGACCGCCACACTTGGAAGCAAACAGTTCCTTGACTGGTGGGGGGAAGAGCATGGCCCTTCTCACAAATAATGTAGGCACAGGGGACATCTTGTCAGGGCTCGTTCATAAGTAACCTCGCAAGGATAGACATGTAAAATTGAGACTCAAAACCATGGCGCGTCATGCTGTTCTGAATTTAGAACATCGAAATACTGCTCAAAGAGCGCAGCACTCCACTGACAAGCTGTGCCTGAGCTAGGAATACCTAAAGGCTCTCTAGCTGCTTCTGCACTTTGATCTTCGCTTGTCCGATTAAAAGAACCTTGAGGTTGCACCGAGGAGTCCAGTCGCTCAATCACTTGAGATGCTGGGTATAATGGCAGTGAAGCCATAGTGTCAGCTGATGGAATTGGTTCGGGTTTGTTTGTTGCGATCAATTCAGAGTCTTCAAGCTGGCCGTCCCCATTCGATGATGGCCTGAATACACTGGGATTGCTCAAAGCCATTTCCCTCGCGGTCAAAGCCTGTGTGTGAAAGCCTACGATACGACTCCAGCGTGAACATCCGCGAGAGTCACTAATCACGTCCCAATATTGAAAAACTTCTTCAGCAGCCGTCCATGCCGTGTCCACTCCATCCCCCAGCGGCGAAATAGATAAGCTGATGAGCAGATAAGTCAGAGCATCCCATTCAATGTAGGTCTGAAATATCCATAACCACCGCTTGCTCCGCTCATGGAGACGAAATTCTTTAGCTCGCTTGAGAATCTCCGTGCAAGTTTCACGAAAGCTCTCTTGAGTAAGAACCTGTTGGCTTTCTCTGTTTTGTGGCTTGGTTACCGTGAGCTTGAGTTTTGCGATGATCAAACGACAAGATTCAGCAGTGACAAAATCCAGAGGGATGGAAGTGTCGCAATGCGAAAGGTATTCGAGCTCTATGCGTTCTTTGAACCGATCAATTGCTTTACACTTCTCTTGGGAGGTTGAAATGGTGGGATAGGAATTCTTTTCGGTAAATTGATCCGAGAAAAGTACCAGGCGTGTGAAATAGCTGGTTTCGAGTCTGACCAGACTGAACAGCATCTCACTCTTGCCGGGTTGGGCTTTTGGTATTTCACTCATATCATGGTCGAGGTCAGCATCGCTGATGCTCGATGGAAATTTGTTTTGGAACTGAGACTCCAAGATGCATGGCTCTGAGATGTCGTCTTCTGCTATCCGAGTGTCAAGAACGAAGATTTGCCACCATATTCGACGTCGCATTTCAGCTTCAAATGGCGTGATATTTATGCGTAAATTCTCGTCGTTCAGTCCAATTTCAAATGCTATTGTTATGGCAAGCCTGGTTAAGCTCTTAACTTCGGGGCCTTGAGCGTTGAATCTGCCACAAATCTGGATGAATCGATTAGTTATGAGAAATGTGGCTTTAGGATATGCCAGGGCCCTACAGTATAGAGGGTGAGTGCCTGCAGAACGGTCATGTCCTTTGACACCTGAACTTCTGCTCGTGAAAGAGCCGTTTCGGTTGACTCTCCATACCTTTCCCCGTTAGTTCAAAAAATAAGTCATTGTATGCCAGTTTGGGGTTACCTTTGCAGTAATATTCGTCTCTCATGGTCTAGTGCCTTCTCACATTCTTCAGTTGATAGAGTCACTACAGCCGCGTAATAGACTGCAAATAACAAGCAATGAATTGAAGGGCTCTCGGACCTTCGATCTTGTAAGAACTCAACGATTTGGCATTGAGCACTCGGTGCATGGATTATTTTCAAAACTGGGTGCACTCGTTCTAGGTATGTCTGCCATAGGAAAAAGATCTTCTCCGGCGAGGGATGGGATTTTGGATTTGGTGCAGGATGCTCTCGAAATACAAAGCCCAGACGTCCAACTTGACGGTGATCTTCTGGGCTCGCCTGAATTCCAAGCACGTTACTTGCCGCCGAATGGTCGACTTCATTATCACTTTGATGGGGCGGCTGTGCCTGGGCAGGCTGAACGATCTGCCAGATCTGTGACAGACTTTGCTCGACAGATTTCAAAGTACACTCGATGCTCTCAATTCGAGTAGTGAGCTCTTGGCCCGGGAGACTTTGACTGTTATCTCTGGGCACACTCTTCCTCGGTGGATACGTGCACCGAACTTTGACCTTGACACAGTACGAGCACGGCAGGGCTTTGTCACATTTGATCTTTCGGCGTCGGCACTCCAGGCAGGATTTGCTGGTTGGTCGGGTTTCCCTCTGCATATTGCAGGTGAGCTCGCAGGCAACATGTGGTCAAGCAAGACCGTAGCACTTGGCTGGTGGCGGCGGTGATTCGGAGAGTAAAGCCCGCATTTCTAAGCACAAGGTGGGTCTATGTGACGGTGGGGCTTAGCGGACGGCGAATGTCACAATTGGTGCATTGGGGCGACTTAGTCACTCCAATTGGCTACGGCGGAGAAACGGTCAAAAAGACCGCTTTATTGACATCGAGGATCTACCGTAAGCGTCAATCAGGCCCCATACTATCAACATTGGAAATCATAACCTTGGGGAGCCGGTGTGAGGAGGAATAAACATATAAATTTGCTCCTCTCTTCTGTCTTGGTGCATCAACCCGAAAACCAGAAGTTAGAGGAATCAATCCACCAGAAATAAACAACCCTTCCTAACCTAATTCCACAATGGTAACCATTCTGAAGAACGTCGCAATCGTTGGGGTACGTGCACCCCAATTCTATATCTCTCAAATCGATTTTCAGCAGGAGTTAACAAACCTCAAGGCCAGCGGCAGTATTGGAAAAATCATTCTTAGCAGTCTCGTCTCCTCGGCCAACTTTTCTATCACTGTCATTTCCCGCAAAGGGAGCGAGGCGGTCTTTCCGCGAGGGGTCACGGTCCTCAAGTCCGATTTCTCGAAAGCCAGCCTCGAGGCTGCCTTCCGGGGACAAGATGCCGTGGTTTCAGTAGTAGGAGCCACGGCTTTTAATGAACAAAAGGCACTCGTGGATGCGGCCATTTGCGCTGGAGTTCAGCGCTTCATACCCTCGGAGTTCTCGGCTAACAGCCAGAGCGACGCTGTACTGCAGTTGCTACCACTGTTCGGGCAGAAGAACGACTTGATCAAGTACCTGAAAAGTAAGGAAGCTTCGGGCTTGACCTGGACCGGGATTGCCACATCTGGTTTATTCGACTGGGTAAGTGATTGGCTATTCCATGTACCTTGAGAGCCAGCATTTCTGATACTCATGTCCTTTTCAGGGTCTTCAGAACCGCTTCTTGGAATTCGACATTTCCACCCGCACCGCGACGATCTGGGATGGCGGTGACAAAAGCTTCACATTGACCAACGAGAAACAGCTGGGACAGTCGGTGATCTCCGTTTTCGAAAATCCACGGGAAACTAGCAACCAGTATCTATATGTCGCTTCTGTGGAGACCACCCAGAATGAGATAGTCACGACTCTGGAGAAGGTGACCGGGGGTCGATGGACCATTAATAATACCACCACGGATGAGCAGGTCAGTGCCGCTATCGAGAAACTCACTGCTGGTGATTTCAGTGGTGCCTTTACGTTGGTCCGGGCCACCTGTTTTGGGAACACGCCGGGCCTTCGTGCAAACTATCTCAGGGAGGAGAAGCTTGCAAATGATATGCTGGGCCTGGAGATGGAAACTGTCGAGGATACCATCAGGCGCGTTATACAATAGGGTGTCCGGCCATAGATATATCGTCATCAATGAAATTGATCCACCGAACGAGAACAATTCGGAGAAGAGGAGCAACTCCGGTGAAAAAACTGGGGCAGAAATAGTGTATTAGCCAATCAAATGGCGGAAGATTTTTCTCTGCTGAGAACATATGATGAGTCAGCGCGGGGCAGGCGATTGGCCGCGAGCGACATCGCTGTTGAACGCGCTTGCCACACGTCGTTTCATCCGCAACAACACTGTCAAGGGGTAAGTCATGGTATTATGTCCTTTCTAAATATTCTAAATGCGCAATTGGGCTTGAAATTCCTCTCCCGGGAGATCGGTGAATCAATTGAGCTCCAACGCTTCTTTATCCACTTGGCGGGGCACTGGATGAAGCCTTGACTCATAAGATCTCCGTGGTCCAAGTTGTAATTGGATACATCATGCATGCATATTTGCTCTCTCTGAGACTTTAGAAACTACCTTGAAGTGCAAGAAGCTGACATTGTCTAAGATACCCTCATTTTCCACACATACGCAAGATGGCGCCCTCGTATCCCAAGAAGAAGTGCGGTATGTCTTTGAACCTCTCTCGCGACGATGACGCATGTCTTAACGTTCTCTAGCTGTGCTCGGTGCCACCGGCTCTGTTGGCCAGCGCTTCATTCTGCTGCTGTCTGACCACCCTTTCCTGGAGCTCCATGCTGTTGGTGCCTCGGAGCGTTCCCTTGGAAAGAAGTACAAGGATGCCGTCCGGTGGAAGCAGTCCTCTCCTATGTCGGAAAGTCTCAGCAACCTTGTTCTGCGCGAATGCAGCGCCGAGCAGTTCAAGGACTGTGACCTTGTCTTCTCCGGATTGAACAGTGACATCGCCGGCGAGACCGGTAAGGTTCCATGATAACCATGCATTTCCTGGACCATACTGATTATCTACAGAGATGGCATTTATCAAGGCGGAGATCCCTGTCTTCTCCAACGCAAAGAACTATCGCAAGGACCCCATCGTCCCCTTGGTCGTGCCCACTGTCAACCCCCAGCACTTGGATCTCATTCCTCATCAGCGCAAGCACTTTGGCTTAAAAAAGGGTTTCCTGGTTTGCAACTCTAATTGCGCCGTCATTGGTGTTGTCATTCCTTTTGCTGCCCTTCAGGCCAAGTTCGGCCACGTCTCAGAAGTCGAGGTGTTCACCGAGCAGGCTATCTCGGGAGCTGGCTACCCCGGTGTTCCCAGTTTGGACATCGTCGACAACGTCATTCCCTACATCAGTGGCGAGGAGGACAAGCTCGAGAATGAGGCCCAGAAGATTCTGGGCAACTTGAACTCCGATGCCACTGCCTTCGACGAGCAGACCGGTCTCAGCATCGGCGCTACTTGCACCCGTGTCGGTGTCACTGACGGCCACATGGCTTTCGTTTCTCTTCGTTTCAAGAACCGTGAACAGGTTCCCAGCGCCGAGCAGGTCGTTGAGGCCCTTCGAGAGTACCAATCCGAGGCTCAGAAGCTCGGCTGTCCCTCTGCACCCCCGATGGCCATCAAGGTATTCGATGAGCCTGACCGTCCGCAGCCCCGCCTGGACCGCGACATCTCCGGTGGTTATACCGTGAGTGTTGGACGTGTTCGTGAGGGTGCCAAGGGTGGTCACTTCGATATCCGTTTCGCTGCTCTCTCTCACAACACCGTCATTGGTGCCGCCGGATCATCCATCCTCAACGCCGAGGTGGCGGTCATCAAGGGTTACATCTAAATATAGATACGAAAAGTCAAGTTTCTCAGCGATGTCACATATTACATTTTCTTTTCGACGACATTCACAAGCCAGTGCATAGAATTATGATGCCTCAGGTGTAAATATTTCTTAAACGGGGTAGCCCTATTGGTGACTAAGCAGAAAACTATCAACTCCTATTCTGGACTAGCGTGCTAGGGCTCAGCCCACAAGCACCGAGCTAAGCGAAATTCCCTTGATTATCACTGCTGCTCGTTCCTCATCGCAGTTCTTCGACAACCAACCCCGGGAAACAGGTCGACAATTTCAAAATGGGACGCGGACCGTAAGTGTCACACACTTCCTCAATCGCTCGCCAACGATGATCTGGACTCGCCGACCACCCTCCTCGGACCCAGCTCCTCGTTTTTCACGAGAGTCGAAAATTTTTGCTTCACAAAGGACTTGAACTAACCATCATGTCTCTGCAGTAAGAAGCACCAGAAGCGCCTTAGCGCGCCCTCGCACTGGCTGCTGGACAAAATGTCCGGCACCTATGCCCCCAAGGCCTCCCCCGGTCCTCACAAGCTCCGGGACTGCCTTCCCCTGATCGTCTTCATCCGTAACCGGTACGATTTGACACGCCTCCCTTTCTACACGCGAAAGTTTCGAAACTGACAGGTTCCATAGTCTCAAGTACGCCTTGAACGGTCGCGAGGTCAAGGCCATCATGATGCAGCGTCTGGTCAAGGTTGACGGCAAGGTCCGCACCGACACCACCTTCCCCGCTGGTTTCATGGACGTCATCTCCCTCGAGAAGACTGGCGAGCACTTCCGTCTCATCTACGACACCAAGGGCCGCTTCACCGTCCACCGTATCCAGGCTGAAGAGGCTGAGTTCAAGCTCTGCAAGGTCAAGCGTGTTCAGCTCGGCAAGGGCGGGATCCCATTCTTGGTTACGCACGATGCGCGAACGTGAGTGCAAACTCCAAAAGTTCCGTGTCATTCAGTCGTTGGACCATGATTTGGTTGATCACTGGAGGACCTGGAATTTTACTCTGTTCCAATTATGGATACAGTAAGACCCCGATATTAGAACAAGGTTTTGCTAACTTGCGCTCTACAGCATCCGCTACCCCGACCCCGCCATCAAGGTCAATGACACCGTCAAGGTTGACATTACCACTGGCAAGATCGTTGACTACGTCAAGTTCGACTCTGGTGTTGTCATCATGGCCACCGGTGGTCGCAACATGGGTCGTGTTGGTGTCATCACTCACCGTGAGCGCCACGATGGTGGTTTCAACATCGTCCACGTCAAGGACGCTATTGACAACACCTTCGCCACCCGTGAGTCCAACGTCTTCATCATCGGCCAGGAGAAGCCCTGGATCTCCCTGCCCAAGGGCAAGGGTGTCAAGGTATGTTTTTAAGTCCCCAATCTACATTTCCTAGACTATAACTAACATCTTTGATAGCTCTCCATTGCTGAGGAGCGTGACCGCCGTCGTGCTCACGCTATTGCCAACTAAATGTCTTCAGACATTGGCAATTAGCATGCGCACCATCTCCGTTCGGGGGTGAAAAAAATTAACCAAAACAGTAGCTGGGAAACGGCGTCTTGTTCTGCATGATGCTTGTTCCGTAGATTCGAGCCATAGCAAACAAAACTTGGGCGGGCGTACCGTCTCGTTTCCGAGTGATATGATGATACCTATTTTACGTTACTTCCCTCAATGATTAAATGATCGTACTCCGGATCCCGTCTCGCAGTCTTGTGTCTTCCATGTTGTCCACTCTACCTCTTGCCCAACTGCATATGACTAGATCCAGGCTCAATATGCATCACTGGGTTCGATCATCGATTCTGGATACCTAGGAGAAGGGCCAACTGTTTCATGATCTCGTCCTATCTAGGTAACGGCCTCGTCAACTGGTCCCTAGTGTACGTGGACCTTATGACCCCAAGATATCGGTACATAGATCGGCAATCTGCCCTGGGCACCTTCAGATGTCAGGATGTAAATCAATTGATACTTGTAGACTGCTTCCTTGATCTAGTCTACAATGTCTTGTAACCCACACATTTCTCTGATTCCTGGAATTCTTAAGACATTTGAACACGCCGGAGTATGTAAAATTAAATATCAGTCAGGTACGAGCCGTTTTAACTTGAAACAAGGATCTCTCTGAAGTCGGCTTTCTCGATACAATCTCGGAAGTCTGGTCAAGATATGCTCATATCAGTAGTACACATAAAATATGTTATTCCCGGATACACCTCGAAAATAGCAATGCCGAGGTATCAAGCCCACGGAGTATACGGTGTACACGGGGTACGCGAGAAATACTTTCGACCTCCGGACCCGCGGGAACCACTATCGCGGTAAGGATTGCGACGACGGTGGTTGGAATATATTATTGAAACCGGAAGTCTCTCGAGCCAATCGCATTTAGTTGATGAAAAACTCGGAAGTCACCGACCCTATGAGGCATTACCTACGTAACCGGAGGTTGATGCATGTACATATACCCGAGACCCTTAGTTGATCGCCGCTGCGTTTAAAGAGCGGGGAGTTCCATTGGGCCAAACGACCCGCCAGTTAATTTCCTCAGGGCAGCACGGCGTTTGCTAATGCGATGCAACCGGCACCAACTTTGAGGTGGGGGATAGCCTGGCTGTCCGGAGTACCTCATGGGTCGGAAACCCCTAGGGTAGGAGACGATCTCCGGCACCGCAGGCGAACCGATATTAAAAGGCATCCTAGTGCAGCTTACCAAGCGATTATGTTCAGGAATACGACAAGGCACTTCCTGGTCTGTCTCCAGTGGACGCATAGCTTGCAACGATCGATCGCAATCGATTAGCGTATGGGAGGGCGAGGAATAGGCTCTCACGACCAATAGCACTGATCTGCACGGCTGTCCAGCTTAATAGAGCAGCCCTGAGCATGGTGGACACGGCACGGGCCCAACCGCACCCCCTTGTCCTAGCGCGAGTCTATTGTGTTCAGCCAAATGCGGCCTAATGAAGGCGCCCCCATGGTGGGCCTGGGAACTTGATGTATCGAACTTGGCGCGGCGTGACGCCTTCGCCTCCCTACAGGGAGAAGGTTTCCGGGGCCACGAAGCCGAAAAATGCACGACAGCATAGCGCCGTGGATTCCTGGCTTATCGTGCAACCGAGGGAAGCATTTCATTTGTCGCACATTTCTGAGTGGCTGGCCGGCCATGCAAAAACTATGCCGTCTCTGGCATTGAGAAATTCGTGTATGCTACTTCGTCCTCGGTAGCTGGGGAAAGAAAAAAGCGGCCCCTCCTGCGGTGCTCGGTCCCCTCACCAGGATGATGATCCCTCGCTTGAAGCGTTGATGTGGTGGCTTCAATTCATTTATGGGCTCCGATCGACCACTGACGAGGCTACACCAGCGTCATCAATGATAGAATGGATGAAGCTGTTGCTAACAATGGCCATGAGGAGAGAGTGTATGTGTGGCAGAGCGGGCTGGAGACTAGGGCAAATAAAACGAGTGGGGTCTAGAACATGCTGTGGAGGAGCTCGGAAATTGTCGTTTCCCCCTCCTGTTTGAATTACACAATTTGAGTCCGAGTAGATTCAAAGTTGTCGTCTTTATTCAAACATTGAAAATTGCATGTCAAATAACTGCCATGCTCTTCTGATCCACAGGAAGCTCTGGGAAATGTGGATCTCTACCGAGATCCGGTGTCCCAGTGCCTTGGACCTGGGTTCCTGTATCCGCGACCATCGAATTCTTGAGCTTTCAACGTTCACCTTTCACGTGGCGCACAGAGATTCAAATGACGTCTTCGTGAAGTACGAGGTATTGCAATAATTCGCCCCTGGATAACAAATAATTTGTTACGGACTGGCCTGGACTTGTTCACGGGCCGGGCCACTGGAATGAACTCCTAGTTCATTCATAGCGGTGAGTGAGTCGTAGGGGCTAACATCATGATGATGTTAGCGTCAAGGAAAGTGAGTCCCCTCATATCAGCCTGGTTAGAGTTTTGATCGTCTTCGTATAGAACCAATTTTGTCTTCCAAAGGCTTTGTAGGTGTTTTGTTTCCCCAGCGGTGTGAAGTTCATCGTGCTGGTCTTTGCCATCTTCCCCAGACCGCAACGACCGACGACTTGATTAATGACCGGCGGATAACAATTAGGCCAAACTGGGTTGATTGGAGCACGAGAAGCCAATGGCCATTCTCATAAAATTACCCACCATCGAGGGAGATGAACGAACAAGAAAAAGAACGAAGAAAAAGAAGAAAAAGGGAACGATACAATACCATACTAAACCCCCAAAAAAGGATGACGGGCAGAGGGTGCCCACTTGGGCGCCTTCAAGGTGCCCGACATCGAGTAAATTTGGATTCCATCATGATCGTCCACGGCACCCTCGCTACGGGCTAGTGTCCTTGGACTAGCGTCCCCACGGGCTCTGCATATGAAATCATTGGCAGAGATTAATGAATCACGATTGGAAGAGTGAAATGAATCCCAATAACACCCCCCTAGATAGGAAAAGATGGTTGATGCATAGTTCCTTGAATCACACGTCGCATGCCTGGCCACATACTAGGTTTCCGGCCTGACCGTCGATTGTGTAGCATCGGATACCCGATTAGAATTGTTCCAGAAGGTCCTGGGGGTTGACCGCTTCCCAACGATTGACCCATGGACCAGGTAGCGCTTCTGCAGAGACGCAAGAAAAGGCCGTCATATTGAGAACCAAGCCGCCCCAACGGGTGTTCGGCATGGACTGTAAGACGGGAATCGAGAAAGCGGATATCGAGACAGGAACCCGATTTCTCGATTCGGAAACTAGCAGTTTATACAGTAGTAGCATAGAGCAGCAGAGCACACATACATCAGACCATTCCTTACGGTGGAGACCTCCCAGCCGATCTGGGGCCAGTTCCAGGCGCGTACGTGTAGGAGGTCAATAATTGCCCCCTTTTTCCCGACCTTTCCTGGCCGTCGGGTCTCCCAGTAGCCTGGAAACTAAGATTTCCCCCCCCCCCCCCGTTTTTTTAGTCCCATCCAACTTTCCCCCCTCGTGATGTGTCGAACGTGGCGGAACGGTAAGGACAACGCTTAAAATCAATCGCTTCGCCCCTTCCGAATAATCTGGAGACCCTTGTTATTCCTTTCCCCTGCTTATCCTTATTCTTGCATTGTTTCGTTTACGTTTTGGTTATTTACAAGCCACCGCGTCTAGAACAGCGCCGACCTATAATTCATTCTTTTCTTCTTGTTATTTCTTGCTACCTCTTCGCGACGTCACATGAGGCTCGACTGGCACCTTGCCCAATGTGTTGGCTACCGGGTTTCAGAGTGATGAGGTAAGTGTCGCATTCGCATCGCATAAATGCAATCCATCGGCACTGAGTCGAAGTTCGACCTGGAGAAGAGAGGGTATAACGGGAATAAGACCCCGCTAGCCGAGATGTTGCAAAACCTGCCTGGACGACCCTCGCCAGAACCGATTCTGTCATACCAGTCTCTATTTCATCCTAGCGCGGAGTTTCCTCGCTTCGCCCCGACTTATCGCTGGTGGGAGGATGAGGCTACGACTGTGCTGTGGGCATTCAAAGTACCTGAGATCCGTCAGGTTATTCGTTATGGACTCTTTCGCGACGAGAACTACGCACGTAGCTCATTGCTGAGTCGCAACGCGGACGCAATTGATACGTTTCTTGTTGCGCTATCGGAGCCTTATGAACACCAAGTACTTGCGAATCTCTCCCACATGCAGAGGGTAGAAGAGATCTTACGACGCTCGAGTATTCCGCCTTTTCAACCGATTCCATGGGGCTGGTTCCCTCTGCCCCCAGAACATTCTCTTGATGCCCGATCGATCGCTGCGGCAATCGAGGCTGAGAGCCAATTCCAATTTAGCAGAATTGAATTTGAGGAAATCGTGCGTGCCTCTCTTGGATACAACGCCGTCTCGGTCGAGTGGTTTCTGCTCCAGCACACCCATCTCTACATTCATCTCTTGGATCATCTGCAGACTTACCCTGAAGAGATCCCTCTTTACATCGACGTGGAAAAGGTAAGATTGACCTTGTTTCGGCTCGGGGAATCGCTCTAATCCTTCTATAACTAGCTATTGCGAAATCGAAGCCCATTCGCCCATCGAGCCCTAGTGCAGTGTATGGCCACTGTTCAACCAGAAGTAACACTCGACATGCCACAATCTACAAATCCAGGATTCGAATTTATTGCCGGTCCAATCCAGCGCCTTTTCAAAGATCAACCGCCCAGTTTGACGATGATCCTGAGGATCTTCAGTGTTTTGGCTATCCGATTCCGAAAGCAGTACATCCACACGTCCAAAATCAACTGGCATGCGCCCTTCAACACGGAGATCCTTTTCTTAGAAGACTGCTTTAATTCGACATCACCCATGGATCTTGCCCGTACCCTGACAGGCACCGACGAGATAGACTTTTCCAGCTTGTCGCGGCAGAGTATCGTGGCAGATGACGTTGTGGTCAAGAGACTACTAGGCAACTGGCATTCTCTCAGTGTTTCCGTCTGGGAATGCTGTTCCTCACTTCCGGATATTATGATCCCGTATTTGCGCGAATGTGCACAGGTCAGTTTCAAGCGGTCTGCAATTTGAGCACATTAATCTCTAACCGGTGGAGCCTGCAGATCCTCTTCAATAAGTGTAATTACCATTCTCTAACGGCAATCTTGCATGGAATGCACCGCTACAGAATTTCTACGGCGCAATCCCGCGGCCTGAACAGCACTGTAGGAGGAGGGGTCGTTCTCGATCCTATCCTCCCACCCGAAACAACATTTCTCACCATTTCGACTCAGAACTATGCTGCCTACCGCCAACACTACCGCGAGTACCCGGGCATCCCATTCCTACTGCCACATCTTCGAGACCATCATCAAAATGGCGAAGGCGTCCTCCAGCCGCTCATCCAATATCTGCAGAACGAGTACATGTCCAAAGGATGATGATCGACAACCAATTCAAGCTCCTCGCCGATTTCGGTGAGCAAAACGAAGTGAGAATGGCCCGTGGCGTCCGTGGCTGCAGGTGATTATGCCATCCGGCAGCGGTGATCGTTTCGAAAGTTTTCTTTTTTTTTTTTTTCTTGAACGGGGAGGTCGCAGTAGTGCGCTGTTTGAGATTAGTCGATCTGCGTTCAAAGGTCCCTCATTAGATTGCCTCTGTTTCTAGGGATCGTATATCTCTACCCTATACCCATTGCTAGCATCTTGCAGCGCTGGGCGTCTGGCGTCGCTTTTTTTTTGTGTTTTTTTGTTCAATACGAAATCTATACGGGCACGGTGTTTTGCCGTGGCTATTCATGGAGGGGTATACTACACCATGTTAAGATATTGCGACATAATCGTGATTAGTCGTCCGGTGACAGTCCCCAAAGAGGGGTCTGAACCGAGTTACGAAGAACTCCCACACCTTCAAGGAATTGCATTCAGCCGTTGGTTAGCTCCGGGTTTGTTTACATTCTTGCAAATCAGAGTCGATCCAGTGCGCCCAAGCCACCAGCTTTATTTGGTTGGTTGAGCTTCCAGGAAGCATAATAAGAATTTCTGATTTTCACAACACATTTAGACCAACCGTTTCTTTCCCCTGCATGTTTTACTCCTTCTTCGCTAACGCCTTAGGCGCCTTCGCAGTCCCGAATGCGCCACATAGATATAACAGACGGTTGATGAACAGGAATCCGGTCGCTCCGATGTTTCCCCACGTCAGCGCGTTCCATGCCCCGATATTAGCAAATGCTCCCCAGCCCATGGCCAAGTACGTGGCGTAAACATGCCCGACGTCGGCAATGGCCAGCCCAATCAGGTAGTTGCGAAGCACTTTGGGCTCGGTGCTCGTGTGCAATACCCCAACCCCCACTAACGACAGCAAGAAGTATACATTTCCGAGTTGGTAGGCCAGTGCGATACTGCTAGGGTGGGTGATCGGAGCCTCGACGTGCGGAGTTTGGCCGGCGATGAATCCGTTCAGGTCGTACAGCGGGGCGAGGGCCCCAAGGACACTATACAAGATAGTGAGTAGCTGATATGATTGGAGATTTAGCGGTTAAAACCTACAGTGAAAGAGGCTCAAGCACACCGAAGACGAGGTGTGGCCATGTTGGGAAGATCGTAGGCATGCTGATTCTGCGTAAAGTTAGTGCTGCCGCTGCTGCCGCTGAGCACCCTAGAAGCTTCGAGGGCCGGGTTGGTAGCAAGACTCACTTCGCTCAGGGTACAAGGGGGACTAGTGGTGAAAAGGGAAATATTACAGGCCCAGGCGGAGCTCACAGGGTCACTGAGAGCACGAAATAGCATTCGAAAGTGGATCTTTAACCCCGAGCGAGGGCTGACGTAGGCGCAATGGATCCACTCACCGCCCGTCGAAAACGTTATCGTTATCAAAGCTTCGTCACTTCTTCAAACCAGGTCGAGGGCAGCCATCATGAACGGCCCAATGAATCAAATATCTTGCACAACCCTTGCAGTCCGCCGGTGACTGCAGATGCCCAGAGGATGGATTCCAACGGGTCTTTACGGCCCCTGGATGAATCCCCACACCGCGAACTTCCCCAGCTCCCTCTACGTATCGCGCCTCTACGTGAGCCGGTTTCATCTCGCACCCTCCGCGCCCCTTCGCCATTGGAGCCAAGAGCCAGCGGAACACGGGAATCGAATAATATATCTAAGGGTCCATCGAATGGTGGAAATATTCCTGCCAATCCCAAGGCGGGCCTTCCAACGGTCACCGAATTCCTCAATGCCGCGCGAACTAAGAACGCCGAACCTGCAGACCCCCATTCGAACGTGGAATTACCGCCACGACCAATTCTCCCCGCATTTGTAAATCTTCGCGCGCTGGAACGCTTCCCATTTGCATCTTCCTTTGACGATGACGCACTTCATGGACAGCGAAAGCGGCGGCGCTTAGACCTTCAGCCCGAATCTTTTAGCGAACACCTGCAGCTTCCTATCCCTCAAGCCCAGAAAGAGCAACGCCCTCCACCATTTGGCCCGTTTGCTATCCTGAATGGCTTGAACGAGCCGCCGCCCAATGCTGCCCTTCTCCCCCCATCGAAGCTGGGTCCATCCCTCAACTTCTGACAAAACCATCCAGAGGAGATGCTGCCGTTGAGCCCGGTAGCTTAGTCTCTGCAAATGGTCCGATACATGAAGGCCAGCCGACAGAGAGGCGTGAAGCCCGGATTGAAGAACTCCTCGGTACTACTCTTGATGATAATGACGATGACGACACACATGACCAAGAAGATACAGAACGACCTACTCTGCCGGACATTGAACACATTTCTGTAAAGGGAATCCGCGAGAAAGAAATTATCCAGGATGACAAGACCCCAACGCCCACCGATGGCGATGCGCCTTTATCCCCTAAAACCCGCGGCCGATCCCGCAAGAATTTGCGGAAGTGGACTGAGGAAGAGACGACTGATTTGCTTCGAGGAGTCGTCAAGTGTGGCATTGGCAATTGGACAACTATTCTGGCACAGCCCGAACTCAAGTTCAACAAAAGAACTGCTTCCAACTTGAAAGATAGATTCCGAGTCTGCTGCCCCTGGGCGTATCGTGCGTCCGATCCGAATGAAGCGACCAAGCAATTGCGTGACAATCTCGCCAATACCCTTCTCAAAGCCCACGCCCAAGGCTCCAGTGATTCCCTTGGCAAGGCACCGGGAAAGATTCATATTCCGCCACCGCCAAACCTTGCGCATATGGGGTCGGAGCCAAGCTCTGCGACGGGGAGCTCTGCCAACAGCTCGCTTAAGGCCTCCGCCTCGAGCAGCCTGTCTTCAGTGACCCCAGACACGGATCCCGGGACCGTAGGTAGCCAGTCTATGCCCTCTTCGACACAGAGCACACCTCACTCGGAAACGTCCCAAACGACATTGGAATCTCTCGGTTTGCCAGAAGCACACGTCACAACAAAGTCGAAGCGACGTTCCCGCCGTCCTTTCACTACTGCCGAAGACGAAGCCCTTCTGAAAGGCTATGCCGTACATGGGTTCCAGTGGACACTTATCCAACAAGACAAGCGTCTCAATCTAGGTCATCGCAGAGCGACCGATCTTCGTGACCGGTTTCGCACCAAGTTTCCCCACGCTTATCGTGACGGGGGTTCTGTCAGCGGGAACTCACTTCCACTAAGGCAGGGCCCGCCGACCGGTACGCCTGGACCGGCGCCTCGTGATCGCCTTCCCAGCGGCGAATCCACACCGACGAAAGTACCTTCTATGGCGCCTCGTCCCACGCATAGCCGCAATTCATCTGGCGTACCCCACAACAACCCTGGTCCAGGTGATCCCGCACTCCTTCCCCCTCCTCAGGGATTCTTTGAGCCATCTGTTTCCAATATGCCTGCAGTGTCAGGTTTGCTGTCTTTTCCTTTGGATGACAATAATGCAGGGCCGTCCTCGCCGTGGGAGGATAACACGCTTGCTCCAATGGTCTGGGATGACCTAGGCTGAAGGGCCGCAGAGAAAAGCAAAGGTTGTTTCTGTTTTCTTGTCAGTTGTTTGCCTCTTTGGTCCGTTTGGACATTTGATTTAACTTTCGGGTTTGCATTTCGGGTGTTTTTGATTGTCATTTGATATCCCGCAGTACACGATGGCTCTGTTTAAAAGGTTTTGAATGAATTTTTTCTTATATAGGGACCTTGGTACTCAGTTCCTGAATATAGCCCTATATTAGAGAAGCGCTCATGAGAGATGTACAGAAGGGATCCACACCGTGGACCTGGGTGAGTTGATTTCCACAGATACAAAGTACCACGGTAAATGTCCCGTCAACTTGAACTGGAAAGTTCAAGGCTAGTCCCGTGCTTCTAATATTTCCAATCCCACCGGATAAAATCATGTCACACAACCTTGAAAGAGTCCCGAGATAGAGACAAGAGAAAGTCGAACCAAACAAAATTACAAAAATCTCGACGGAAAGGACGATCACATCTCATACAAGTGTTTATTGGCTCACATTTTGCTTTTCAGGTAGACAAAGTTATTGGAAAATGCCATGGCCAAAAGAAAAGCCTCTGAGGGTAGTCAAAGAACAGCAAGGCTTTAAAGGGACTAGGACAGGATTTGAAAACAAAGAAGCCACGCTCAAAGTTGCTAGGGTGGATGTTAAGAGAACAGAAAAAAAGAAAGAAAAGACCCTGGATGGAAATCACTCTACCACGAATTGCGGTCCCAATTCGGGTCTACAATCATCAATTAGCATATCACTCAAGGAATTCAAATAGTCCAAGGATCCGATGGAAGGGAAACTCACCTTGTATAAAACTAGCCAGCACCTTGCTCCCCGTCTGCAGCAGCGGGTGCCCCGCCACAATCTGCAGGAACCGCTGAAGCCCCTCGCGTCGGTGCTCAATGACGTCGTCGCTGAACCTGTTGGTGAACACCTTGCCCGGCAACGGCGGGATAGTAACGCGTGTGCTCTCACGCTCCAGGATGTCGCGGAAGTACTCAAAGTCCGAGTATCGGCGCCGCACGACCGAGTGCTTCAGCTTGAAGGCGGGGATGTTGGTGCGGCACACGATCTCATATGAAGTGTACATGTTTCGCGACGTGCCATGCGTTTGCGGGTTGCGCACCTGGTGGGTCGGGTTATTAGCCGTTAATTTTGGGGGGAAATTGCGGGTATAGCTTTCGGTGAGGGGGGTGGGCACGAGACACTTAGGAATGGCGCCACACATGGCCGTGGAAATATATAGGAGAGCGGTGACTTACTTCGATCTCGAGGAAATTCTCCGGTGGCCCGTAGATCTCCTCAAAGGTCTGTTGGCGCGACTCGGGGACGGACTGCATGGTGGGGTTGAGGGGGTGGGTTGGGCTGAGAGGGGATGGTGCAGACGAGGCCGAAGTTAGGATTTGACCGGACGGAGGGGACAAGTGAGGCCTCAGTCGCAGTCTCGCACAGTCTTTTGGAGAGTCGTCACGTCGTGCTAATGAGGAAGCGGGGATCCAAGACGGAGAATCATCTGGCTATCAGTGACGACGATGCGGGAAAATATTTGATCCGCGCTCTGGGACTTATCGCCGGTGTTCTGCCATTTATACTCCATGAACTCTACAAATTCCTGTTTAGTTTGAAGCTGCAAATTTGTCCATATTTCGAATCGCAAACTCAACCCAAAACTCAACCCAAGATACTTTGGAAATATGGTGTTAGCTTTGTCCGTCACTTGAAAGCATGATGCAGCCTGATCTGTTTCAGAGACGACCGAAGCCCATACCGCACAAACATGTATAAAATTTTTGCTTGAATAGTAGGTATCTATGAAAAGAAAGGATATTCATTGCGGCGGCTGAGGCATATGTGAGCTGTGTTTCATTGTTTACGGTAATAAGACGCCACGCGATTGACCCTGAGCCATGCGCCACGATCGGGCTGACCCTGAAGTTGAAGTCGAATGTCTTGACAGAGGAAAGTCGTTGCTGGCTTGCTGGATGATGGACTTGAAGACTCATACGATGCCCTTACACCTCTTCTTCACGGAAACTCGATCACTGTCAAAATCTTTGTATTTGGCTCAAGGGCGCCCGAAAGGTGGGATAAGGAACAACGAAGACTTGGTTCGGTGACTTTGCTTTAGTCTTAAGGAAAGCAAGATTGTGAAACTCGATGACTTGATCAATAGAACTGCGCTTGTAATCCACACACGAAGCTGGAAACCAGAAGTAAGCCTTTGAAAAACTAGTGGTAATGTATTAACCTTCTTTCGTCGTCTTGATTATACACAGTGAGCTTTGGCAACTCGAAGTAATGAACAAGCAAAAGTTCTTCATCGCAAACCCTTTCTGTTTATCTCGTATCATATGATATTTCTTCACTTAGTAACAGGTAAAATAGTCCTCAATTATGGTTCTTCAATCGATGAAAGAGCAAAGTATCTAGTAAAGAGTTGAGCGAAGCCGACCTGCGGAGCCGACCTGTCCCCGAAGTGAGGATAAAACAAGTATTTGCCAATGTGACACAGGATTCTCCGCTCTGATTAGCATTGTGTTTATCTCGTATCATATGATATTTCTTCACTTAGTAACAGGTAAAATAGTCCTCAATTATGGTTCTTCAATCGTTGAAAGAGCAAAGTATCTAGTAAAGAGTTGAGCGAAGCCGACCTGCGGAGCCGACCTGTCCCCGAAGTGAGGATAAAACAAGTATTTGCCAATGTGACACAGGATTCTCCGCTCTGATTAGCATTGTGTTTATCTCGTATCATATGATATTTCTTCACTTAGTAACAGGTAAAATAGTCCTCAATTATGGTTCTTCAATCGTTGAAAGAGCAAAGTATCTAGTAAAGAGTTGAGCGAAGCCGACCTGCGGAGCCGACCTGTCCCCGAAGTGAGGATAAAACAAGTATTTGCCAATGTGACACAGGGCTCTCCGCTCTGATTAGCATTGTGTTTATCTCGTATCATATGATATTTCTTCACTTAGTAACAGGTAAAATAGTCCTCAATTATGGTTCTTCAATCGCTGAAAGAGCAAAGTATCTAGTAAAGAGTTGAGCGAAGCCGACCTGCGGAGCCGACCTGTCCCCGAAGTGAGGATAAAACAAGTATTTGCCAATGTGACACAGGATTCTCCGCTCTGATTAGCATTGTGTTTATCTCGTATCATATGATATTTCTTCACTTAGTAACAGGTAAAATAGTCCTCAATTATGGTTCTTCAATCGTTGAAAGAGCAAAGTATCTAGTAAAGAGTTGAGCGAAGCCGACCTGCGGAGCCGACCTGTCCCCGAAGTGAGGATAAAACAAGTATTTGCCAATGTGACACAGGGCTCTCCGCTCTGATTAGCATGAATGACACGTGAGCTAAAGTACTGAAGTATATTGTTCCACAAAGCTTGGCTTCCCCGCGTATTCCATCCCAATGTGGCGTGCGGGGATCAAATCACACCTTGCGGAGTGAACTACGCACACTCCCCGACGTATCCCCGGCAGAAGTTGATAAATAGCAATTCATGTACAGACATATTAGCTGATAACACTGCGTCATATAGTGACCTCTTAAGCTCAAATGTTGACTCTTACAGGAATCTTGGAAAATATATCCCCGGGGATCTGTCTATCCGTGCTTTTCATTTTGGTGAGCTAGATAAAGGTTCTTGAAGCAACGTGCCCAATATTCTAAACTGTCATCCGAGCCAGATCATATGCCATGGGCTTTATATTTCGCTGCTGGGTCCATTATCCCACATTCCCGGTCCTCTTCTAGGAAAGTTTTCGTCGCTATGGATCGTGCTTCAATGCCGATTTGCAAAGCGCTCTGAGTCTGTTCTGAAACAACACAAGAAGCATGGAAAGTTTGTCCGCATTGCGCCAAACCACGTCTCGATATCAACCCGTGAAGCTTTGGAGACAATATATGGACATAATTCTGGTTTCGCCAAGGGTCCCTTCTATGAAGATAAGTCGGTCCTTGCTAATTGAACTTATCAAGCTGACCTGTAGCGACAATTTACCCTTTCACCAGGTTGAACCAGTTCTATTCAATACCAGAGATCAACGTATCCACCAACGCAAGAAGAAGTATTTGAGCCCAGCCTTCTCTGCGAAGAATTTGCATGAGTATGAGCCGTATATGACGAGGACAATTGGGAAGTTCATGGCTTGTCTGAATCGTCAAACAGCGGTCTCTGACCAGGCTCAAATTGATTTTAATGTGTATTGTGAGTTGAAGAAGCGAACTCAAAGAAGTTTGAATGCTTACTGGTAATAGCAAATTACTTGGCGTTCGATGTCATAAGTAAGTGACAGTACGCTAAACAGTCATAATGTATGTTGGTTGACCCTATGCAGGTGACTATTCATTTGGAAAATCATTTGGATTCCTCGACAAAGAAGAGGACTATATTAACCTCATTGCTACCATCGATGCAAGAGGAGAGGTTCTAAATGCCCTAGGCCATCTCCCACAATTCATCAGACCGATGATGAAGTATTTCCTCTTCGATCCTTTCTGGCCCAAGGGCTTGCGGGCTACCTCGAAGCTAGCTTCAATTGGCAAACATGCCTATTACCAACGCAAAGACTCGGAAGACTCGCGAAAAGATCTACTGAGTTTTCTATTCAAAGCCAAGGACCCAGAAACAAAAAAGCCACTAACAGAGCAAGAGATCATTGCCGAGTCCATCTCTTTCATTGTTGGCGGCAGCGATACCACAAGTACGACAATGACAAATATTGTGGATATCGTCTCACGCCTGCCCAATATAAAAAAGCAGCTCCAATTGGAACTGGATACTGCATATCCAGGTCGCATGTCAGATAACTGGGTCGCCGATTCCCAGACCGTGAATCAACTTCCAGTTCTTAATGCCGTGGTTCGAGAGACAATGCGGCTTAAGCCTACTAGCTCCACAGGGCTAGAGCGGGTAGTACCAGCTGGAGGAAAGATCATTGCAGGAAAGTTCATTAATGAAGGAGTAAGTAATACCGACATGTCTGTATGCAACACGTACTCACCAAGAAGTAGACCCTCGTGAGTGTGCCTACCTTGAGTATTCATCATGACTCTGCAATTTTTGCTGTAAGAAAGCCTTTACTCTGGAAGACCTATGGTCTAACACAATCCCAGGAGCCAGGCAAATTTGAAATTTCGCGGTGGATGAATGGTAGTGCTTCTGAGTCTCTGGATTCATTTTATCCGTTCTCATTGGGGCCCCGAGCTTGTATAGGAAGAAAGTAAGTTATTTCTCCATACGCTAATATTTGAATTGGTAGCTAATCCTTCATAAGCTTTGCATGGATGGAGATTCTGAAAACCCTAGCAACACTCTTTAAGTTATTTGACATTCAGAGAGCGTGTCCTGTCGAAACACAGGTGCGAGAAGGCTTCTTTGTCAAGAATAGCGAGTGTCAAGTGAGAATCACGCGTAGACGTGGATGTGAAGAGATCCGCTAGGAATTGTATTGGGTATATACCCAGTAAATTCAAAGAATAAAAAAAAACCCGCTCATGATTAACTGAAGTTGTAGATCCTGTTTCTCCGGATTTAAGGGAGTTAGGCGTGAAGATGACATAACTCGGGAAGCAGCGGTGACTTATCTATGGTCGCGCTATCGATAAGCCCTCTCCTCATCAACCCACATCATGAGCTCACCAGGGTCGCCCTCTGAGTCAAGGGACTCGGCCGGAGATACACCAGCCTGGCATCCGGCACACGAGTGGCTGGAGGAAGACGACGAGGTAGACATGGATTACCACCCTGCGCTGGAAGGAACGGAGGACGAAGACGGCTGGGAAGAGATGGATGCCGAGGAAGAGGATATGGGCCTCGGCGTTTCGGACGGTGAGATTGCAGCGAGCTAATTGGTGCTATTTTGAACGGATGATTCTAACAAGGCTCTCGGTAGACAATCCGCACATCAGCATCGGCAATATCCAAATTGAGCTCACTACAGATGGTCTAGACGACGAAGAAGAAGAGGAGGAGGAGGGTAATGGTGGCCAGGCTCGTAGTAAGTTGAAAGGCTTGGATATCTTTACTCCCTAGAGACTCTTCGCTTACCATCTTGTAGTTCCAGCGTCCAGGTTATTCGAATTACTCGCATCAAGCGGCCTGCAGCATATTCTCCAGCACAATGGATGGCTACACAACCCGGCTGGGGAGGAGGAAGAAGACGAAGAAGAAGACGATGACGACGACGATCCAGATTACTACCTGCCTACATTCCGACACCGACTAAGAGCAAGACGAGCCAGAGGAGATTCTCAATTTCCCAAGGTCCCTAGTGACGCGGGGACCGAACTGATGGGCGAGGGCCATTTCGGCACCGATCAACACTATGTCGACCGACTCAAGAAGCGCAAGATGGGATTTGCTACAAACTTGATGTGGCGGGAACTCGGTGTGGATGCATACGGGGTTCGGCGGAGGGCCGACCAGGCGATCTCCCAGGTAAGTGGGTTGTGGATACACCCCGAAGCGCTATGAACTACGACTGATCCAAACATCCCATATAGAGAATGATACCTAGCTCTGCGGCTGATAAAATAATTCATTATGATTCACGCAGTTATTCCGGCCAGTTTTCCGACGATGGCAACTTTTTCTTCTGTTGCGCGCAGGATTTCAAGGTTCGGATGTACGACACATCGAATCCATACGAATGGAAATATTATAAGACTGTCCGCTACCCACTCGGTCAATGGACTATCACGGACGCTACGCTAAGTCCCGACAATCGTTTCCTGGCCTACAGTTCAATACGCAGCCAGGTCTACCTAGCTGCAACAGATCCAGAGGATGATTCCGATCCGAGCCAATTAGATTTTGCTCTTTCAGTCAACCAGGGGCGACGTCAGAGCTGGGGTAGCTCCCATTTCGGAGTATGTTCATATACTGCGCATATAATGTCATTAGCTAACTACTCAACTAGATATGGTCTTTACGATTCTCTGGAGATGGGCGCGAGATCGTCGCGGGCACATCCGAGGACTCTGTGATTGTGTATGATATTGAAACGAAGCAACCAGTCCTCAATCTGCGAGATCGTCATCAGCATCACGTTAATGCTGTCTGCTTCGGCGACAAGTCATCCCCTCACCTGCTTTACTCTGGATCCGATGACTCAACGCTAAGAGTCTGGGACCGTCGGTCAATGGGCGACGGGCGTGAAGCTGGTGTTTTCATGGGCCACACAGAAGGCCTGACTTACGTTGACAGTAAAGGCGATGGTCGATACGTTCTCTCCAATGGCAAGGACCAGACTATGAAGCTCTGGGATCTGCGAAAAATGATGACGACTGCCAACTTTGACAATATCGACCCCAGCAGCTTCACAACTGGCTTTGACTACCGCTTCGAGAAGTATCCTGATAACTTCTATGAGCCGCATCCGTATGACTATTCAGTGGTCACCTTCCGCGGCCACAGTGTCCTCAAGACCTTGATTCGCTGCCATTTCTCACCACCTGGTAGTACAAACTCTCGCTATGTCTACTCCGGCAGTGAAGATGGGAAGGTATACGTGTATAATATGGATGCCACGTTGGCTGGTACGATTGATGTGGGTAAAGCGACGCTCAACTCGCGTCCCCGGGAACCGGATGTCTTTGCGACGGCATATGAGATGAGTGGGGAGATGCTGTGGAGAACTTGTGTTCGTGACGCGAGCTGGCATCCGAATGCTCCAGTATTAGCAGGTAACGTCGCCCACTCTGAGCCTATCTGATCAGACGAACTGACATACGCATAGCAACCTCATGGAATGGATGGGGATTGTCTACTGGAACATGTACTGTGCATTCCTGGAATGATGGTGCTTCAAACGATGAAGGTGACCCACCGATTGGTAAAAGCTACGACGACAGGCTTAGATACGTGCCCGAGTTCAACGACTACCAGGAGAATGCCCCAGCAGCCCGCACCCGACGACCGCTGCGTAGCCGGCCAGTACGTCGGGTATTTGTCGAGGAAGAGGATGAAGATGTTGAATGGTGACTTGGAAGACAAAAGTCTGGTCTTCTTTTCCAAAAGATTCATCTGGGCTCATTTGCGTGCAATTGGGAAGGTGAATATCCGCATATAGGTCCACGTTCAATTGTAGGCATAATGATTCATGACACGAATACAATCGCAGTTTTGTTTTACATAAGCCGCGTTTGCGTAAGCTGCAGTGTTGGTGTTGGTAAATACCAAGATAATTTGAAAGGGCCATTGATTAAATCAAGATAGTAAGAACCCCTATTGGTACAGGAACAATGGAATGTGGTATCTCAAGGGTGGCGATGAGGCACTTCTCTCATCGCATCCCAAAACAAAGTGCCAAAGTGATAAAATCACCGGCAAGACAAAATATGGAACTGCTCGAGTTGGATACCGAGATATTCAGATCCGCCCCTTGCCAACGCCCATCCAACGACATCGCCATTGGATATATGGTTATCAAATGCGCATTTTCGGGTATATGGGCGCTTCCTTCCTCGTGCAACGATTTGTTCGGTCGGCGTTGCCCGATTCTTTAAAAGTATCGATAAGGCGACACGTTTATGCGCCACCGACAAGAACCTGGTTGACAGGGATGTGGACTGTAGAGATGCAATGTTAGTGCCGTGATTCGAAATGGTATGTTCCAACAATGCGATGTGAGCCATCAGTAGCGCATACTCAGCTTGACGAAGTATCCAATGGCGCCCTGGTTTCCAAGTTAGTCAATCTGTCGGTGCGATCGATCGTCAGGATCCCGCGAATGGAAGAAAACATACCATAACCAAGAAGCCCATGCCGACGGCCTGGCTGATCTTAATAAACTCGCGCTTGTCGGCTATTTACTGTGTCAGCATGATCGAGTTCCAGCGCATTATGACTGTCACGGAGGGATCGACGAACGCTTGGTGCAGCGGCGAATGAAGAGGGTACCCTCCCGGACAAAGTCCTTGGGGATATCAGCGAGTTCTTGGAAAGTCTCAGACATGGTGAAGTGTGAAAATGGAAAGGAGAGAAAGGAGGAAGGGGAGATGGATAAGAGCGTCTGGACAAATGGCCTTTCTGGGGTTTCGGAGGCGCATCGGAGAAACGTGGTTCCGAGACGCAGCTAAGCTCAAGTCGCGCCGTCTTTCTCTCCCCTTCTTCTTGTTCCGACTAGTTTACTCTGCCTGGATTGCTTCTTTTTCTCCCCTGTTCCACAGCGATTTGTGCCTCGCGCTGCTGTGACAAATCTCTCTTTGCCTGTATTCCGAGCTCGAAAGAGCATCTCTGCATCTCTGTACGCGCCCCTTCACCTGGGCCTGCTAACACTCGGTACACCATTGATCGCTTCGGATTGTACGTATGGTTGTGCTTTTGCGTGTCTTGCGTGCCGATTTGCCTTTATGCCCTCCTGCCATCGCCTTGGGATGACCGCGCGATAGGCGATACCTTCATATCTGAATGTCGCTCGAACATTGGAATAGGAATCATTCTCCATGCTAATTGACGGCCTGTATCTACAGACATGTACTCTCCTTGAAATCCGGAAACAAGAGGCAAACGAAAGAGAAGGGCCTGTGTATTATCCAACCTCGCTTTATCCAAAATCGAAATTCTTGCTCAGAGCCTGTCCGCCCGGACTTTCTAGTTCACAATGGCTACGGAAGATGATAACTTCGATATTGATATCTATGGGGATGGAGGCAATGAGCAGGGAGATCAGAACCATGACGACTCAGAGCTTGTACTAGATGCTCCGGAGCCTGCGCCTCAGAAGCCTCAATCAGTGCCTCAGAACCAGCCTGCGCCTCAGGCGCCATCGGAAAGTGCGACACAAACGAAGCCTCAACCCCAACCAGTTCCTTCCTCTAATGGAGATCACGACATGGCGCAACACAACACCCCCCACCAAGGCGCCCCGACTCCTCAGCAAGGCGTAAAGCGCAAGGAATACGACGATCGCCCGATGGACGACGCTGCTACAACAGCTCTTCTCATCTCAGACCTTTTCTGGTGGACAACTGACGATGATGTTCGCGGCTGGGCAGTCGATGCTGGTTGCGAACTTGAGCTTAAGGATGTGACTTTCAGCGAACACAAGGTCAACGGCAAGAGCAAAGGGTAAGGGTAATGTCGTTTCGATCGCAATTGATCCACTGACCCTGTGAACATAGTCAAGCTTTCGTGGAGTTCACCACCCCCCAGGCTGCCACAGCTGTTAAGCACAAGATCGAAGAATTCGGCCTAACAGGCAGGAAGTACATGGTCAACTACACCAACCCTCACAGTAACCCCTTCCGAACCCTTCCCAAGGACGCCCCGATGCGTAAAGACGGCAACCGGGGACCTGGCGGTGGCTTCAACGCCGGCGGCAACACCAACAACAACATGAACTTTGGCATGAATAACAACATGGGCGGCGGCGGCTTCCGCGGCCGTGGTGGCTACAACAACAGAGGAAATTTCAACAACCGAGGCGGCATGAACAATTTTAACCCGATGGGCGGCTTTCAAGGAGCTGCCCCTCCCGGCGGAAACATGATGGGCGGCTTCCAGGGTGGTCCTATGGGTGGCGGCATGCAGAATTACGGCTTTAACAACCGCGGCGGCATGATGGGTGGCGGCATGCGCGGCGGACCTGGTGGTATGCGCGGTGGCCGCGGAGGAAACATGGGCGGGAACATGATGGGAATGCCTGGGATGAACCCGATGGGCGGGATGGGCATGAACCCCATGGCTGGCGGTATGAATCCTATGATGGGTATGGGTGGAAACATGGGCATGCAAGGTGAGTAACTAGCATTACGTCTTGTTACACTCCTTTCGTCCGATCCCTTTTCGTCCGAACCTGTATCCCTCTTTACATGATCCTGTACTGATATGTTTTTGCTTTTCAGGTCAAGGTTTCCAAGGTCCTAACCCTGCTTTCAACCAGGGCTTCTTCAATAACCAGGGAGCTGGCGCTGGTGACGCATCGTGGAACCCCCATGGTGCGAAGCGCAGTCGACAGGAGTAATTTTCTTTGTCGCCTAACATTTTCTTTGCGATGCTGGCTACGGCGTTTTACCAGTCCTCAATTACTTGCTTTATCAGCTCTTTTTCGCTCTCAATCAGGTTTATGGAATCATCACTCGGACCGGCTTTTTATTTGATGGGAATCTTCTTCGCGGCATCGGGACGAAAATGGAACATCTACCTAGGTAGGGCACGTTCTGGCTCAGGTGGCTTGGATCTTTTCTTTTCTTTGATGTATTAGATGCAATTCGATGGTGTTCTTTCTTTCTCTTTATGTACTTTATAACTACCAATTGGTTGATGTACCGACACCTCGACTTGATGTGGTTTGATATGATACTTGCTGTCAATGACTCGAAAAGTCTTGTTGGAATAGCAGGCTGAATTTGATACGACTTATGAGATGAACACCTACACACGTGGAAATACTTATTACAGTTCTTCCGACGACAAAGGCGTCACTCAATCTGGGCAGTGCACAGAATGTAGGCCAGCAAAAGCCCGGATCATATTAGAATCAACTATTTAAACTACGTGAACTAGGTAACATACATCGCATGCAAATCATTTGAACCAGTCCGGCAAAAAGAAAAGCGAGAGACGTGTGCTGAAGTCTGGTTACTCGTGTTCGTCCATCCTCCTTCCGTGATCGTGTTCATGTTCGTGATCACATATCCCTCAACCAGACTTGCCCAGACCAAGACTACCGAGAAGGTTATCAATTCCTAGGCCACCAAGAAGCCCCCGAACCAGACCTCCGAGACCAAGACCATCAAGGAGGTTACCAAGAAGTCCTAGAACTCCGCTTAGAAGCAAGCCAACGGCCGCAATGATCTGGAACAAAGGCTCAGATAGCAAAGACCAAAGTGGATTGATCTTCTTCTTCGCATGAGGCATGTCAGCGATTCGCCGACGGCCATTCTCAATTGTGGTAGAGATCGTCTGCGAAAGTTGTTTCAGAAGATCAGCCAACTGGTATTCTTCCGATGTTGCTTCGCGCGCTACACTTCGGGCTTTGGCGGACGCTGCAATTTGACCATCGGGGTCCAGAGCTCGTAAGGATCCTTTGCATTCTTGCAACATGTTTCCAGCTTCTTCAATGATAGGCTTCACTGTCTTCACTAACTGTTCTTCGTCAAGCTCGTCTCGGGGTGTGCGATCTGCCCGTTCAATATGCTGGCCATTTTGTAAGTGACATGTAAATGAGATCAAGCAAAAGGTCTTACCTCGGTGATCTGCTTGCAAAGAGGCTCAACGGAATCCAGTGTCTGCTGCACAATTGACGACATCTTCTTTGCCAAGTCTCGATCATGTTCCTCCTTTTCCTTCTGTTCAAGTTCCTCGGGAGACAACTCGGGCTCTTCTTGCTCGGGCTCGGGCTCGGGCTCGGGCTCAGGCAGGTGCTCCAGCAAGGTGCATTCGCCGATCTTGTTGCCATCGTTATCCACGATGTAGCCATTGTCATCAATGGCCTTGCCAGCCAGAGATTTCAGATTGCCCTCCGTAAGTTGACCGATAAGATTGCCATCTTCGTCGCGCACTTCTCCCTCTCGGTTAACTTTCCGGCCACTCATCGGATTGATATCGCGCGGCTTTTCCTCTGGAATCCAAGGCTCTGAACGACCGATGACATTTCCGAGTTTGTCGATCACTTCTCCATCTTCGTCGACGGCTCGACCTTTCAATCGAAGCGCATCTCCTTCAACAAGCCTTCCGACGATTTGACCAGTGGAGTCTGTGACGGTGCCGTCTTTGGTGACCACTAGGCCCTCGAGCCCATAGAAAATGCCCTCTGCCTGCTCTCTCTCTGATTCAGGAATCAATTCGACAGAACCGAGCACTTTCCCATCGTCACTCCAGACTTGGCCTTCAGCGTCGACTTGCTTGCCTGCCAGCTTTTTAGGATTGCCAGAGATGAGGCGTCCCCACACGGATCCATGTTCATCAACGACATTTCCTAGCTTGTTGACCTTCATACCTTCAAGACTGGATAGATCTTCTTCTTCCTCCTCTTCCTCCGGTGGAGTATATGGCTCAGCCCGTCCGATGACATTGCCTCGCTTATCGATAATGTCACCATCGTCGTCCACAAGGAGGCCCTGCAGTTTCTGAGGATCGCCTTCGATGATCTTACCAACAATCTCACCGAATTCGTCCTCAACAAACCCGGTTTTTCGAGCCACCAGATCTCCCGTGCCCCCAAAAGGCGTGATGGCTTCGCGTTCATCTTCGGGAATCAAAGTAACCCGTCCAATGACTTCGCCACCATCACCCCAGATCTGGCCTTCAGCGTCGATTTTTCTGCCGGCTAGTACTTTTGGATCACCTTCGCTTATTTGAGCAACAGGGACTCCATCTGGACCTATAACGTTTCCAATCTTGTTAGGGGTCAGGCCCTCCAATTCTGAAAGATCTACGTCTTCCTCTGGTTCGGGCTCAGGCTCTTCCCAGGGCTCTGCTCTTCCCAGAAGATTACCGCGTTTGTCAAGAATATCACCGTCATCATCAACCGCTCTTCCAAGAAGCTTTCCGATTTCACCTTCGACAACTTGACCAACTGTGTTCCCATTGGCGTCGTGGACCCAGCCTTCCTCAGCGACAAACGGCTCATCAAAGTCCGCAAATGGGCCTTGCTCTTCCTCGTCTTCCGCAGGAAGAGCCTGAGCTTTGCCGATGATATTCCCTCTGTTGTCCCAGAATTGACCTTGATCATCAAGCTCGATGCCTTCCCGAGAGAGCTTTTTGGGGTCACCCTCGACAAGTTCACCAACAGGGATCCCGTCCTCATTGATAATTTTGCCAAGCTTGTTGCACTTGAGGCCTTCAAGCGTAGACAGAGGTGGTAGTTCCGGCACATTACCTTCTGCGGTTTTCTCAGGTTCTTCAATAGCCTCTTTAGAAACCAGTCGAGCTTTGCCTAGGATGTTGCCATCGTCGTCTAGGACCAGGCCCTTTTCGTTCACGGTCATACCGAGATTTTCCGATAGATCACCATCTTCGAGTTCACCGAGTACAGTGCCACTCGAATCAGTGATCTGTCCTTCTTCGTTGACTTGAAGGCCATCGAGAATCGATATATCATTTTCGACCATTTGTGCTGCTTCTTGCTGTATTGCCATTGCCTTATCGGCAACCTCCCCAGGTACCACCTCAACCTCTCCTATGATCTCTCCATCATCATCCAGGATCTGTCCTTGTTCATTAGGCACTTTACCGGCCAGAGCTTCGGGGTCTAGGTCTTCTTTGATCTGACCAAGGACGCCACCGTCTTCATCCAGTATCTTGCCTTCTTCATTGATGGTTTTGTCCTTGAGGATGGAAAGGTTTGGCAGTGACTCGCCTACCAAATCCTCAACTTGGTCAAGTTGTTCACCGGCATCCCCAGAAGATAGCAGCTCAACGCGGCCGACTAAATCACCATCATCATCGAGAATCTCGCCATTTTCATCCACTGTCCAACCGACTAACTCCTCAGGATTGCCTTCGACGAGCTTTCCCAGTACTCGACCAGACGAATCTTTGACCGAGCCGTCTTCCGCAAGAGGCAAGTTTGCGAGCCCTTTCAAGCCCAAGGAATCTTGGTCAGGAAGGGCTTCGGTTTTCTCGGCCAGATCTTCGTTGACAAGCTCCACACGCCCAATCAAATCGCCGTCTTCGTCCAAAATGTTTCCATCCTCGCCGACAGTTTGACCGGCCAGAGCTTCAGCCTCTCCCTCAGCCAGTCGCCCGATTTGATTGCCATCACCATCGAGGATCATACCATCTTCTCCAACTTCCAGGCCAGACAGAGAAGACAGATCGACTGGAAGGGCTGGAGCTTTCTCCGTTATCTCTTCCACTTTACCTCCCGCTCCATCAGCAGCTGGCTGGAGCGTGGTCGTGATGCTCTGCACCCCCGTCTGCATGCCATTTGCTGCTTCTTTCTTAACGGGGTCAGGCAACTGAGAATGGAGCTTGTTGGCCTTACTCGCAAAATTCGCAAGACCCGATGCAGCGTCTTTACCGCGTTGGAGGTATGATCTTCCTGCCGATCTAGAAGCCTGCGGAGGTTCCTTTACAGCATCTTCTCTCTGCTCCTCATTCACTTCATCTTCCTCTTCGATTGAGCCTGGTGCATTATCGACCAGCTCTAGCGGACCGTCATTTTTTTCGATTGACTCGCTTGGTATATCCGCGTCATCAATTTTTTCGATATCCTCTGCTTCGGTCTCCTTTGGCATTGAAACCTTTTCGGCCGGCTTTGGTGGCTTTTGAAGACGATTGGTTTGTTTAGCCTTGTCGGATGACTCTGAAGTAGGTGCTGGAGATAGACTCTTCAACCCCGGAGACTTGGACGATTTTGTAGGAATCCCGTTGGGTTTGGACCCGGCGGTCGCTTTCCGCGCAGGGGATGCAGTTTTTGGGACGTCTGGCTTTTTCCGTTCAGGTAGAGCGTCTTTAGGAGTTTGGCCCTTTTTTAGTGGGGTGCTAGATGCCCCCGGGGCTTTCTTCCCTAGCATAGGTTTGGCTTCTGGCTTTGCCATTTATACCGTCGTACTTTTGTTTTAGCTTTAGCTTTCGCTTTCGCTGTGTTCTATTCTTCGATATGAGTGATTCAATAAATAAGATATAGTTGAAGATAGTATTCTTAGTAAATAGAATTTTTTAAAACAGTTGATGCTTGATAACGTCTTTATAGGTCTTCGGCTCGAGTGCTAGCCACACGCCACAGCCACAGACGTACCACTCCACGCGCGATGAAAACAGTAAGCGAAGCACCTGTGGTATGATGGCAATATAATAAACCAATCACTGTTCATTTGAAGGGATTGAAAACTTGCGAGGAACATCTTTCGAAAGATGGCTGGAAGCTCTGGTGTCTTGTCGTCATTCCCGCCATCAAGCAACCACGGATATAGACGTCGGAGAGTGGCTGGAATGTCTTGGCAGTATGGCTCGCCACGGCACCATTTTTTTGCGACAGGATTGAGAAGCCACTTGTATTAAATTTACTGGATATTTCGAACTGTCAGAACACGTTCCTCGACTACCCAGCGTAGGTGGCTTAACTGTGGCTAATGCTCCATTATCCCCATCAGCGCTTCCATAGTTCGGGCTAAAGGAGCCAGCCATTCACAGGAACAGTGGACTAGAGAGCTATTTGTATTCAATGGTAGATGCTAAATTAACAATAATCTTGTTTAAACAACGCAAAGAAGATCAATGAAGCCACAATATCAAGCGGATACAGGTAGCCGTCACTTTTCCATTATTTCGTAAATCAAGTCCTTAATGGGTAAGCCTAGGATTTATATGGCAAGATGGCGCAAGATACACTCACAAAAGAGAAAGAGTCAGATCACCGCGAATACTAGCCTTCAATTCGACTTCAATGTCAAGGTTAAGGTCTAATCTCAAACTCAATGCAGTATTTGCCGGCTTCTCTGGACTTTGAACTGGCTGGAGTGGATCCATCCCTCGCCTTTGTACTTCACCATGAAGCTCTTGTACTGGGGGGACTGGCTGCACCAACGAAGAAGTCGAATTTAGCCGATCAAATTTAATTCCTCGAGCAGGCGGAGCATGTTGGGCGACAGTGGCTGTAGGCCGTGATTCCATTCGAGAAATATCTTCGATGTCCGAGTCTCGGTCGTATTGGTCGGAGATCACGCTAATGCTCTCGCCATCCTGCGAAATAGCTTCAGAAACCGAGTCACTTCTTCTTTTCCGATCGGTTGCTCTCCGTATATGCCCGTGGTCTTTAGATGGGACGGTTTCGGTAGTCGACTTCCGGCTCGGAGCCATTCTTTCCAAGCTCTCTGGGTGCAATGCGTGAAATTATGTAAAAGGAATAATTGAAAGGAACTTTGACACAGCGCAGTTTGGATTAAGAGAAATTGCGACTCTCAAATTCGCGTCCCTTCCATGAAAAGGCTCATCTCCGCATATCATGATGGGCCCACATATTGGAAAGTTTGGTACTAGACATGCTGTTTCCCCGGATCTTCATGAGCCAGGCCATCGAAATTTTCTTGTTTCCTGTCTGCTTTACGATTTTTCCTTCTGATACAAGTCTCCACTACCTCATTACGCGTCATATTGCCGGATGCAGAACGCTCGGCCGTAATACGGTTACGCCTCGGCCATCATTTCTAGCTCCAACAAAGCTATGTAGTTGACGTCAGGAGGCGAATCCATATGGTACTGTAAAGTGGTTCAAGGTAGGATAGCACGGCGCGCGCTGAATTGCGAAGCTTTCAACATTATTTTCACTGCCTTTATCGTTGTCATATCTCATCAATCGCCTAAAATGAAAGCGCCAGAAGACACTACACGGGGCGAAGTCAGTAATAGTAGCGCAAATGGTGCCACCCCTTCACAAAACCGACGACCCCGAAAACTCCGACCTCCACCGAAGCTTGGAAAGCGAACGACTCCCTCAGACGGACAAAGTGAAGGAGGCCAGCAGAGACAAAATGGGACTTCAGAAAGATCAAATTCCAATGAAGATCTAGAAATACCGAATGGTGTTACCTATGAGCAACGCGAGGGTAGTTTGAATATTCCGAATCAAGGGCAACCACCCGAGAAACGGAAGACATCCCCACGACCCAGGACACATCATCAGCGGACGACTGTCCGCCGAGAGTCGGCCCAATCCGCCGAACCAGATCAAACTCAAGTGGTCGAACGCGAACAAAGATCCAACAGCCCAGGAGGCCAGGTCCGAGAGACACGCGTTCAGCAAATGCTTAGTCCTAAAGTAAACGGTCAAGAAGTTGTTCCAGCCCAAGGCCAACATCCAGGGCAATCGGAAGGGGTTCTTTCAAATGGGACGAATGCAAATACTGGCCAAGTGATAGAAACCACTGAGGCAGTTACGGATTCCAAGAGCAACGATCAGTTGAAACTGAGGCTGGATTTGAATCTTGACATTGAGATTGAGCTGAAGGCTAAGATCCGCGGAGATTTGACCCTACAATTACTACAGTAAATCTTGGTCGAATAGAGTAATTCAGAGTCATTTCGACTATATCAAACAAAAATCTACTATGATACCTCCATTTCACACCAACGCCGCTTCGGAATAGACAGAAAGGTCTTGAATGATGCCAGTTAAGTCACCACACATAACGGAAATGCTAGTTCATTGTTAGCAAAGTCCACGATTCAAGGAATCAGCATGTGTGCCCTCGAAGTACATACTGAATTTTGCTTGTCCGTTAGATCTTTGAAATCTGTATCGCGGTGCACTGTTTCTCTAACGGCAGTCTCTCGAGCATCACGCCTCCTGTTCTCAAGCCAGCAGACCAACATGTAGGCTACAATAGTCAACAGAGATAGAACATAAGATCCAAGGATCGCGCCAGTGCCGAGGGGATAAAGAGGCGCCTGGTCGGACTTGAAAAACTGTGGCGATATAATGTTAGAGATGCAGTAGGAAATGAACATCATCGCGTTTACGGTGACTTTCTTAGTATGTCCCTATGAGAGCGAAATGTTTAATGGAAATCGACAGAATAAAGACCTGCTTTTTCATAGTTACTGAAACGTACCGCAGTATTGGCGCCAACGATGCTCAACGCCACAATATATGGGCCAAGGTAGAAGAAGCTTATGAACAAAGCTGCAAGTCGACTATGCAAAGAAGTAATCGGCAACGTATACAAAAATATAGCTGCAATCATGCCAATAATAATACCGAACATGATGAAGACACCGCGGAAGTGATACTTAGGGTAGTACTTTGCTGCAAGGAAGACGCCTCCATTGCAGATGTAGCTGGATGCAGTTTGAACCATGCCGTTGGGTATAGTCAGAAGTGCTGATTTCTGAGCGCTATAGCCTAGGCCTGAAACGATGAGTGGGCTGAAGTTTGTCAGTCCACCATTGGGGATGCTAATCCAGAGATTAAAAAGGAACATAAGCCAGACGCGGATATCGAGGAAGGCTTCGATGACTTGTTCTCTGCGGAAAGTCTTGTTTTCGATTCCTTGGGAATATTGTTAGTAAACTAAGTGGGGGCAATTCTCGAAGGATCATACCTGTCTGGTTCACTCTAATGCGATCGATGGCGATTGCTTTTTCACGCTCGGTGATAAATTTCGCACTAACTGGATTGTCTGAGAGGAAGATTCCAACCACGAGGCCATAGACTATGGTCATGCCGCCACAAATCCAGAAAAAGCTTTGCCAGATGTGAAAGTGGTCTGTCTTAATGAACCCAATGCTAAAGTCTTGAGTTAGAGAAGTGTATATGAGGAATGTAGGCTTTTGACCTACGCATAGCCAATGGGACCAGTGAAGCAGGTAGAAAGACCAGTGTACATGAGCCCATACCGGAGAGCTTGCTCCCTGTCCTTTTTTTAGTTCCATGTTCATTCCTTGAGTGGGAGAGTCAAGGGGAACTTACGGACGGGTGTACCACATGGATAAAATCAACATATTTCCCGGCACGATCGGGGCCTCGAGCAGGCCGAGCAGAAATCGGCAAGCCATGAGTTGAGAGAAGTTCGTTACAAACCCAGATCCAATGAGCACGCCTCCCCATACAAACATTGCAATGGACATTGTTTTAGCGACAGGCAATTTCTGTAGTAATGAGCCCGACGGGAAGCACCAGACCAGGTAGCCGAACTGAATAGATACTATTAGGATTTATCAGATGACGAGAGTACGAATACCCACGTAGAATATACTACCGATCCATGAATATTGATCGCCACTAAGATTAATATCGGTTCTGAGGCCATAGAGGGCGGCAGTGCCGTGGCTGACTTTGTCCATGGCTGGAAGCAAGACATTAAACCACAGGAGAGGGATTAATCGAATATCAAGCTTCCAACGTAGTCTTTGGACTTCTTTCTTGGAATATCCCTGCCCACCCTCAAACATTTCTGCCAGGCCGGCAGCGACATCTTCATTGCTTCGATTATGCTTAGAATATCTCTTGTCAACTTCGTAAACCTCGCCGACCATGTTCTGGGCATGGCTGTCAGCAGGCTCCACCCCCGACATAGACGACTGGAGCTTTTTGTCCATTCTGCTTCGATGTGAAAAGCTAGTCCAGACAAAATCCACTTCTTATTGATCCATTATAAGGCGGGCCACGTTGAGAGTATTTGTCTTGGTTAGCGGAGAGCTCTGCAGCATGCATGGCAGCTATCAAGGGCATAACCGGCCGATCACATATCGGACTTTGGAGTCCGACGGCCTTGGCAGACTGGAAGTAGAGGCGAGTTCTTGATAGTGAAATTGATTGGGAACTGCTTATCGTCGCGACTTCGTGCCGTTGGTCGCTAAACCGAGGATAAAGCCGTTATCTCCCACCTGACTCGAAAGATCTAGATTATTCATGAAGCTGGTTGCGCCCTTAGATTAAGATGGATCTAGGTAAGAACGGCTATGCTTCTTACCCCGCCCGGTACTAGGTCTAAGTTGAGCTACCGGGGTCTTTCCGTGGAATTGTTTCTTTGTTTGAATTAACTCAACCTAGACTCCTTTGAGCAAAGCTTATCGACCATCCAACCACAACTGACATTCGCTCCTCGCCACGGGCCTAGCTGACATGCTATCGGCGGATTTCTCCCGCCTGCACTTTTCCATCTCTTTTACTTTTGCAGAGTCCTAGAAGTTTCGGTTATCGGACTCCTCAATCTCCGCCTGATTCATTACGCCATGTCGCATATGATCTCCTATCTTCGCGAAGCAAGCGAGTTGATACCGGGAGATGACGACTTGCATCTAGACATAGGGGCGGCTTTAGACCGGCAGATCTGGGAGAGTAGCTATGTCCCCCCGGCTAAACGCCAGAGGATCCTAGCCTGCAAGAGATGCCGGGGGCGGAAGCAGAAATGCGACGGGGATGGTGAAAGCCCCTGCTCCAACTGTACGAGAGCAAATGAGAGTGGGTGATCTAGCGGAGCAACAGGCATGCGTCTAAAATATTGTCACTGATCATGATTCAGGATGTGAACCAACGGAACCTGCAGGTCTGCGAGCTCGGTACAAGGCAGTGTAAGAGTCCCTTTTTCTATTCCATGGTCTAGAACTTGGTTGACAATAAGAAGTTATGTTCAGTTACTAGAAGAACGACTGGGCCAACTTGAGAATTGGAGATCTGGGAATGCACCCACTGTGTCGGACGGTCTTCATGGGAACATGGCTCCCGTACAGCGAGCTGACGGATCCCAACCAAGCCGTGACAGGCAACAACCCACAAGTACACTGGATAGTGCTTTAAACACCGAAGAATTTTATCAACAGCCAACCATCTATCAGGCTCCAGCTTATTCAAGAGATGATTGGCACCACGATCAGATTAGACCGCCGGGCTATCGCTCGTCTTTCTCCTCACAATCATCTGTGGCTCGAAGCAGCCACTCACAAAGTTCTCAATCAGCTAAACATAAAATCGTGAACTCCCCACTGCAACCCCAAGCAAGTGATGAGAATGAATCCCAACTACCAAACGCCTCACAGAGCAGTGCAATCATTGCCACTCTGCCACCCATCCAAAGTCTGCTTGAAATTAACCAACTCACTGAGCCTTCAGATCGCCACGGATCTCTTGATATCCGTGTCGATCATCTTGCTCTATGGCCTGATGTCCTTCCGAAGTCTGTTGAGCAAAATATATGCAATACGTATTTTGAGAGAGGCAATACACGCTGGCCTTTTTTGCTAAAACGTGAATTCTGCTCATGGTATGCAAAATGGAAGCAAGCATTTAGCAGCAAAGAAGATTGCAAACTTTGGGAAGGTTTCTTTGTCCACATGGTTCGTTCTCCACAAAACCTTCCAAAAGTTGTCTGACACCTATATTTAGTTATTTGCAGTCAGCTTACTTCTTGACCCCAAGAATCCATCGACTGTATCATATGCATCGCAGGTGAGATGGTCTGTCCATACTACAAATTATCATTCAAGTGCTAACTTCCAAAGAACTTCTACGATCAGGCTGTGGTTCATTACCTGCCTCTCGTGCTGAGACATCCAAATCGTTTGAGGCATGTCCAAGCTTATCTAATGATGTCTATGCATTCGTTATTCTCCCCGTCCACGGACCAAATTTCTCTCATGACATCTGCCGCTATGCGGTATTGCGTCGTGTCCAAATTCCATCTTGTGGAATCTGAGCCTGAACCTCAGACCGCTGCTGCACAAGCGGATATACAAATGCGTCGCAGAGCCTTTTGGGCTGCTTATAGCTTCGATCGACTGGCTTGTGGTGTCTTAGGAATTCCATATTCGATCCCAGATGACAGTGTCACGGTCCCAGTAAGTAGAATTACTGCATTGCCGAAGCCGGTCTAATAGCTACAGCTCTTCGAAGATTTGGATGACGAATTATTAGTTGAGGACCCCATCCAGTATAGAGAACCATTGGTATTTACCACAGTCTCGTGGGCGCTGCACCGAGAACGATTGTTCTTGATTCAATCCGAAATTTTGAACCTCACATCCAGGAGCGACTTTTCACCAGATAGCGAGTCCTTTACAATATGGAGGGCCTCTGTCTTATCAAAACTGGAAAATTGGAGATTAAAGCTTTCGAAAGCAAGTACCTCGGAAGGTAGACACCCTGTGGATGAGCGTCTTATTTTAATCACCTACAATCTCTCCCTTCTCCTTCTTCACAAGCCTACCAAGGCGAATGTATGCGGTCAAACTGGTGACTGGGCTCTACGAGCAAGCCTTCAAATCATCATGATTTTTCGCAAATTTCAAAGTGGCAAAAAGATTCCTCACCCCTGGCTTGGAGTAAGTCTTGATGATCCTATCACAGATGATGACGCTCACAGGCCACAGCTCATTAATCAATTTTCTGTGGGAATAACCATGTTATATTGTCTCTGGGCTACACCACCACAGTCCCGCAGCGAGGCATACAATTCAAAAAATATTTTTCAGGCAGTCAGGTGCTGTTCGAACAACCTTGCCGTTTTTGCTGAGCGCTGGGAACAAGCTAGGGACCTCGTGGATGTTTTTGAGCTCCTAGCGACCGAGGTCCCTCTGGTGGAGGATATTCCTGCGAATGACAACCATAATCCGCGACCAGTAAAGCGTATTCGAGTTGAGATCGCAGACGAAATTTTGGGGAAGCTTCCCAATGTTCAGTCTGTGGTTCTGAATGGCGATACTTACCGCATGATCAAAGAAATGATCAGCGACGACTTGCCAACACACGTCGACGACCAGAAGACTCCCGCGACTGAGGCGGGTAGGGGGCTAGAAAACAGCATCAATAATCGATCAATGTTGACCGGCCACGTGCTTCCCAACGAGCCCAACAGCTCACCGGAATACCCTCTCTTTGGTTCCTACGTCCCGGAAGTTCAATCGGTTCCCCACTGGGAAAATATATCGCTTCAAAGCTTCAAGTTCCCGGGAAATGTCCAGGGATACGAGCCCCTCTGAAACATTACAAGCATGACGGGAATGGGATGAATGATCGACCGTAAATTCACGTACACCGAATGCTCCAAGGAACGCAGCTTTAGTAGTAGCGCGTATGTATGTAATGTGCTATCTGAACAGGAGCAGTTAGATAATTCAATCTATTTAGATTAATCACCCGCCATTGGTTCAGGATGAAACATGTATGAACGCCACCTAGGCCGCTTATACAATCCCCTCGGCATTCTCAGCAGAGGGTCCCATCTCACCCTTACCAGAAGTATCAACCTCAACCTTCTCCTCCGGTTCCCACATAGCCTCGCGCATGAAAGTGCTACGAGCCCGAATCTGCGGCCCCTTCAAGACCAAAACCACAGGCACAACCGACAACGCAATACCAATGAATCCAAGAAGAGTACCAGCCCAGCCGAAACCGAGGTTACTGAACAGTTGGGGCGAAGCGAGCGGTAAAAATGCACCAAATGAATTTCGTCCAAGAGAAGCAGCCGACAGGGCAGACGCAGCGTAGCGCTCATAAGCGTCGGTCAGGTAGTTAACGACAGCCATGTAGATGGAGTAGATACCGATACCGGCAGCGGTGATACCGATTGTTGGGACGATCCAGTGAATATCTGGCTGACTAGCCCAGCCATACCAGAACAGACCGGCCGCGAAAAGAATACTGCCGGGGATAGCGGTGTACAGTCTGGCCTCGGGGATTGGGGTACCGGGCTTCTCCGTGTTGCGGCCTGCAGAACGCTGGTAGAGCCAGTCCTGGAATGGGTTGATGATTGTACCGATGATGGCACCGACCGATATGGCAAGCTGGACCAAGCCAGTTGCGAGACTGCCCCAGTTGTAGTTTGTGGAATAGGTCTGCACAACACTGGAGAAGAACAGATACAGGATTCCCCAAGCGAAACTGATCCAGAGCGTAAAGAAGATGACCACAGGTTCAGAGGTCAACATGCGGGTTGGTCGTTGGAACGACAACTTCACCAGGGTAAGCTTGTTCGGCGCGTCAATCTCGGCGGCTGCGTACACCGGGCGGCCAGTTTCCTTGCGGATCTTTCTGGCGCGCGCTTTGAGGATAACGTCGGGTCGGGTTTCGCGGAGGATGAACCAGAACACGGGGATCAAGGCGGCATTATAAATGATCTGAATATAGAAAATCCTGAACAATGGATATATGAGCATGAATGATTGGAGATCAGATCTTCAAGATTCGGGTCAACTTACCAACGCCAGGGCTCGCTCTTAGGGATCTGTACGATAGCAGAACCAATGAACGGACCAAGTGCAATACCCACGACACTGGTGAAACCGAAGATTGACATGGGCAAGCTGCGAGCCTTGTTGCCGAACCAGACATCACTAATACTTCCACCGACGATGTTAATCGAAACAGAGGAAGCACCGCCGCCAAAGAACCGCGTCACGACCAAAGTCGCAAAGTTCTTTGCGAACGCGGATGGGAAGAGTGAGATGACTAGAATGATATAGGCGACGAAATATCCGGGCATTCGGCCGGAAGATTCGGTGAGAGGCACGAATATCAGAGGCCAGAAAGCCGCTCCCATATTCCAACTCGTGGTAGCCCAATAAAGGTTTGGGAAAGGTGAGTTCTGCACGTTGAACTCTGTTTCCATCCAGTCGTTGCCGGAGCCATAGGTTCCTGCAGGGAGACCGGTCAAGATAGAGCTATCATTCTGTCAGCGAGGTCGTGTTGAAGTATGAGAATCTTTTCGTACATGAAGCAGACAGTGAGGGTCAAAAGCCATTTGTACTTGGTGCCCCAGTTGAAAGGGTTCTCCGGATCATCAGGACCATTCCAGGTGTGAATCTCAATATCCTTGTAGGAAGGTATCTCCTTGCGAACATCACTATTAAAGAATCCCATCACCCTGCACGAAAGTCAGATTAGCCCAGGCACACGAGATCGTGCGAAGCAGGAACACCGACTTTCCCATGAAGCCAGACTTGGCCTTCGGCTTCTCAAAAGCAACAGGTTTCTCGACACCAGACTCAGCAGTCTCATAGACTGAGTTACCTCGAATCTCATCCTGGTCGGCCATGACGTGCAAAAATTCAGGTGACAGACCGTACGTGTCAAACGTCAACGTCAGGGGTCAAAGTCAACACCAGGGAGGAAAAGAAAACAAATAAGGCACGCGGAACAAATCGGTATCACAATTTTTTTTTTCTGGAGCTTCCTGTTCAAAGATTGGAACATATTCAAAACACGGCCGGAATATGCCCAACCCCGGCATGCCGAAAGCCAATAACAACGGCTCGGCATGCTTGGTTCCCCTTTCGGGTACTCGGTCGGGATTTGTGGCGAACGTTTCTGGCCACTATGTCATCGGGCCCGCTATATCCTTGGAAAACCCACCTTTCTATGCTACGGTGTGGAGCCTGTTCAAGGGAGAACTGCCCTTGCTTGACTTCGCCCGAGCTTTATCTGGTTTGGCCAAACCGGTTCGTCCTAGCGTTATATCCGTTGCATGTTTCCGTGCGCTCTAGACTCAGTTTTCACGGCCGAGGTTTTCGCGTACCATGGCACGGCTCTGCGATCTTTTTCTAGCACGATCTACTACTTATTCAGATATTTCATTGTTCGCGATCAACGTCATATGATCTAAATTGCTAGCCCATCCGGGCCGCGCCACCCGACATGAGCCTGAAAGATGCTAGTGGCCAGTAGTGTTGCAAATTTAAATCCATGTCAAAAAGGAAGGAGCGTAATGGCGCCCTCTTCTGGAGGATTGTAATTTGGTTGTGCATGTCCGAAGGGATAGAAAACCCCATATGACGACTGGTGCTGCTGGCCTTGACTCTGCAACTTCAAACTTGGACCTTGGGGCAATTCTGGGATAGTCCACAATCAATGGGCAATCAAGGGAATACTAAGTGCATAATTTAGTGAACAGTTGTCTCATACCGCAGGAAGGGATTTGGAACCCCTTCATAGTCTTGGAATATGATGTCGAGGCGGAAAACGGTAAGGAGATGAAGTTGGAAAGAGGGAAAGAGGAAGGGAAAGAAAGGAGAAGGAGGTGAGCCAGGTTGGCACACAAATAAGAAAGTCAACGAATACGCGAAAAACAGCGTCGCTGGTCTCAATTGAAATCTCATTACATCAATTTTCAATTTCTTCAGTTCACCCAAACCGATTTGCCCTGGGGCCCTTTACCACGCCTTGGCCCATGACAAGCTCCTTATCAACACCGTTAACCCCCATAGTTGCCGTCTCTAGAAGGGCGTCAGCCAAATAGGCACCACTAAACTTGAATCTTGCATAACCATCCTCGGGGTTCGTGATCCCATCCGCAGCATATTCTCGGCTTTCAAGGCCAGGATACCTTTCACCCAATTCCTGTCCTTGAACCTTGTTCATATATGCTGCGATTCCACCTTTCTGCCAAAGTCGGCTGAACTCTTCGACAGCACGTCTCTGGCCCTGGAGAGCCCAGATGGGCTGGACATGCCATACGACACCGTACTTCTTCGCGCTCTCCCATGGGAACTCTTTGACTTCCTCTGCAGTCCATCCAGCCTTCAACCAGTCATAGCCGCCCGTGTATCCGAATCCAAACTTTCGGTCGTGATGGACCTTCCGGACTGCCAAGTGAAAGGCCTCGATATCGGACTTGACGGGATAGTCCATGCGAGACCAGGTTATCTCCCCAAGGCCTGCTGCGAGTAATGCACGGCTTACAACGGCTTCTACATCCGGTGCCCATCGATAGGACCCCTCAGGCGTGCGAGGAAGATCCCAATCGAAGAACAAACTAGCCATGAGAGGTTGCGGAATATGCTTTGCAGCAATAGCCCGCCTTTCATGAAGAGACGGCGTAGAAATCTGGGTGGTGACTTCAGCAATCGCCGCTTTGTATGCTTGTAAGCTGCCTGGCGAGGACTTGGCGATAGCTGACACGGCATCATCAAATGTCTTCAAGTCGGCTAAAACAAGCCACGCCTTCTGTGCGGACAGAACATCCTCTCCGTTGAGCAAGGCGGTCGAAAGCACCTTTGCTAGTGGCTCAACATCTTTCGTAGCACCCAAGACCCAGGCATGATCTCGCGTGTCAATTACAGAGCTGATATAGCTGGAATGGTCGGTATCACATCGACACATCAGGATCTTGAAGAAGATTAGCCAATGCAACTCCCGTATCATGGAGCCTGGCTTACAGTTTCAGCACCCATAATGTCGATCTGCATCCGAGCAGCGGTCAGTCGAGAGAGGTACTCGCTGGTCGGAACGACGGTTCGGCCTTCACCCGTGGTGAATTTCTTAGCTCCTGCAAATACGATCAGCTGCCCGGCTATTCGCCTCTTGAGGACAAATCCAGCCTACCGATGGCCAGGTCATCCAAGTGAAACATTGCCACGCCTGCTTCGACGAAAGCACGCGTCAGCTTCATGGTATGCGTGATACCGCCGAAGCCCATGTCTCCATCTGCGACAATCGGCGTAAGGAAATCCCAGTTATCAAGAGTTTCCCTTTCTTCTTTGGGATACAGGAAACGGAATTGGCGCTGGCGTTGGTCTTGCCATTGCTGCGAGCGGAAGATCTTGTTCACAGTCTCAGGAACCGTGTCCCAAGGATAATCCGCATGATCCATTCCTGGTTGGCTCACTCGAGAATAGCCGCACAATGCACCCGACACATATACTGTCTGCACCATGGGTGCTGTCAGGTCGCGACACTTTTTTGCAGAACTTCCCACTACATACCTGCTGATACTTCGCCATGACACCAGCTTGAAGTGGGTCAGTGCATCCGAACGTCAGATCACAGGTGCCACTTTCATTATGCTCGTTCATTTGTTCCCACAGCTTCAAAGCCATATCGCTTGAAGGATAATGCTGCTTGATGGAGCTGCGAAGGGCGGCAATCCGCTCTGCTGGATACGGTCTGCGCCATTCCATCATCAGAAAGCGTTATAAGAGACTTAAAGAGAGTTCACCATGACATACCGCTTCAGCTGTCGCTGTTTCACGCTGGAATCCCACCATGCTTTGATGTCGGCGACATCTTTGTCGAAGATCGCCTGTTCGGCATCAAGGGAGAGGTTGCTTTGAGGCATCATATGAAACGCTTTATTTCGAGACTTAGAGACAATTCAGATGCAATGAGAGATTTGATTGACCTACAGAAAGATAACTTGACCTGTATGACTACTTTACAGCGACATAATAAGTCGCATTCATCCGGCTACGCCAAGACCCCCTCCTCGACTAGGCCCCTAAACCGTCCCCAAACCCAGTGTATCCTATGCCGACATACGGTGTTACAGTCCGAAACATTGAAGCATACTGCATCACAAAATGATTGATAGGACGGTGTCCGATATGAACAGGGACCCGTGCGAGGACCTCCAAGTGGGTCGGCCGTTCGGACTCGCTAGGACTTTGTGATTCCTAGTTGTCCGATGAACCCCGCACGATAGCTACCTGCCGGCATATCCATGACGGGCGCTGAACACGCTATCTCTGAGTCTAGAACATGACTGTAATTTGCAATTATGGTCCGGAAAGGAAAGCTTGTCGTGTAGAAACCCGAACACTGGAATATCTTACCTAGCTGGTTTCCCACATGGCAAAGAATGATAAGCCTGTGAGAATCAATTTCTCTGCATTCAATTATTGGAAATCTTCGAGTTCTATCAAAATGAACATCCGAGCTGAAACACCTCCTCGGGTACATATAAATCTCCAACGGGGCTGGCCATCAACCCGCCTTCTTCCCACACAAGCGCTGCTCGCTGCGGCGGATGCGACTCTCCAAAACACCACTCGTGCAAGCGAGTCCATGTTATATGGGCCGGGACTCGGGGATCCTGCTTTACGAAATGGCATGACAAAATGGCTCTCGCAGCTTTACCGCTTACGATCCCCGCCGGTCACTCAATGTCCTCCCACGAACGCCAAGGGCGGAGTTCAAGAATATCACGCAGAATCTATCTCATCAGAGAGGATATGCATTACGAATGGTGCATCCGGCAATCTCGCCTCTGTAATGGCCGCATTCACAGATCCGGTCTATACGCGCCGAGTATGGATGGTCGAGCCGACATATTTCTTGGCGTGCACGATCTTCGAAGACGCGGGTTTCCAAGATCGTTTAGTCGGAGTCCCTGAAGATGAACAAGGTCTGGACGTTGAGCTTCTGAGAGCTCAAATCGAGGTCGTGGACCAGCAGGAATATGCCAATACTTCACCCTCCAAACAGACGGAAAATCTCAAAGGACCACCGCAATATGAAAAGCTATATCGACACGTTATCTATCTTGTTCCAACATTCAGCAATCCAAGTGCCAAGACATACACTATTAAGCGGCGGGAAGCTCTGATTCGTCTCGCTCGCGAAACTGACGCTTTGGTAGTCACCGATGATTGTTACGATTTTCTATCATGGACAGTCAACTCTGAAGCTCGGGGTAATGGGGAGATATGTAGTGTCAAACCCCACGACCAAGACCCAGAGTGTTCATCATTACCGCCTCCCCCGCCACCGAGGATGGTCGATATTGATGCTTCTTTACCGGGAGGCGATCTCGAGTGGGGTAATGCTGTTAGCAATGGATCATTCTCCAAGGTAATTGGGCCTGGAATGCGGTGCGGGTGGGCCGAAGCCACACCGGCATTTATCAAGCGATTGAACAAGACGTATGTTGAATCATTTTGAAACTTACTGAATGATTTTGCTAATAATATGACTAGAGGGCCAACTCTGTCTGGCGGAGCGCCAGGTCAATTTTCATCCGTATTGATCGAACACGTCTTAAGCACCGGAGCTCTAGAGTATCACATCCAGAACATTCTCGCTCCAACGTATCGAGACCGGTCTGTCGCTTTACAAAACGCGATCGAAGAGTTACTAGTGCCGCTTGGAGTTGAGATTGACATTGGCCGACCGTTCAAATATTCAAGTTGTCAGGCAGGGTCGAAAAGTCCTGAGAAGCTCTCTGGGGGTTTCTTTCTTTACATTACTTTTCCCGAAGGCGTGTCTGCAGACATAGTTGCTGCAGTGGCACTTAAAGAGTATAACCTGAGATTCCTGTCTGCTGGGGCGATGTGGGTTCGTGGTAGTATGTTGAAGTACGACAAGAAGCTTTTGGAGAGAGGTGCTAGACTGTGCTGGGCGTGGGAGGAGGCTGAGGTACTTGTGGAAGGAGTGGGAAGAATAAGAGACGTTCTCGTTGATCATCTGTTGCGGGGAAATGGTGTTTCTCAATTCTGAAAACATCAAAAGAGGGAATACCTTGATCAATGATTTTATTGTGCAAGTCCAGCTACTGGTAAAGTTGCCTACTGGGCTGTCAGGTGCAGCAGGCCGCCAATGTACATCAATAATCACTATACATGGATGTGGATATATGTAACCTCGCCGCTTACGAGCAAGTTATCTAAAAGTTACAATATAAAGCAACGCCTCAGGTATTTATAGATAAGTGATTTTACTAATTAAATAGCATTGCACCCATGCTCGCTAAGGCGCATTCCATTCGTATACAGGAAACCCCTCAGAGCCGGGATAGACAGAATCATATCATCACCAAAAACAAGCCGAAACATTCATGTTGGTCGTGTAAAAAAGGACGCCAAATCGTATAAAGTCCATTGTATGAACACGCGATCTCGTATGCAAGGCCGAGAAAGGAAATTTGAAGATGAAAAAAAGCACGTGCATTGTGTGGACTATATTGAATATGCTATGAACATGATCAAATGTAGTCGGACACAATGACGGGCTGTTAGGTAGAAAAAAGAAAAGATCAGGAACGTCACTGTGAGAGAAGATGAATGTGTCCTGGGGTATTTTCATGAAGGGAATATAAGGAGGACACTGAAATGTGTTCCAGCGAATGAAAAGGAGAAATTTGGGGTAAGATAAGGAAGCGAATTTTCAGATCAGATCAGGTTATCTGCCTTCGTTCACTCTCCATCCCATCCGTCTCCCACTCATCCAACAGCCGCGAGACTTCCCTAAATGACACAGGCTTGGTCAGGAACATATCCACGCCAGATGCCAGGGCCTCAGATTCATCTCGCGAACTGCTCAGTCCAGTGAGAGCAATGATGATAGCCGGCCCGCAGCCATCACGCTCTCGTTCAATTGCGCGGATTGCGCGAGTGGCTTCAAATCCGTTCATGACTGGCATTGAAATGTCCATGAAGATGACATCGAAGCCATTTGATACGCGCTCGACTGCTTCGACGGCTAATTTCCCGTTCTCAGCTGATGCGAGTTCGATGAGGTTGCGTTTCTTCATGAATGTCATCATGAGGTTCAGGTTGATGTAGTTGTCGTCGACGACTAGGACTCGTGCTAGTTTTGTGGAGCCGGTGTTATTCTCTCCGAGAGGTGGTGGGACGGGAGCTGCCGCGATGACCTCCGGTGGAGAGAAGATCACAGAAGGTGCAGCGGGTGGATTGGCCGCAAGGGAAGCTGCCCGACTACGGACAGCCTCTTTCAGAGACATGTTTGTATCGAAGGGGTTTTCGAACGATGCGCCAACAGGCGACGTTATTGCGGAACTTATTGGTGGTGTTCGCATGGGCATGTCCATTGGATTCTGAAGTACGGCAGTTGACGGACTGACAACTGTCGAGCGGGCGTTCTGGAAACATTTCGTCACGCACCGAGCTAGCTTGTGGGGACCACAAGGACGTCGAATAATGTTGACTGAAGAAGCAAGACCTAGCCATTCTGACTTTGCCTTGCTATAATCCTCGGCTTTGCTGCCCAAAATCAGGAGGGATGGCAATGTCGCCGAAAGTGCAACCTGTCGAAGGACGGGCAACTCGGATTCCTCCACGATAAGCATGTCCAGCGGAAGATAAGTCGGCCATGGCACGATTTCAACGCCAAACCATTCTCTCAAATATCGCCCAATCTCGGCCCAAGTAGAGTTTTCATCGATATGATCCGGGTCTGCACCCCAGATTGCAGCACGTCTACCGGGATATTTTTCACGGAGGGAGACGGTTTTCGCTAAAATCTCCCTTTGCTGGACTTGATGGCCATATGGTTCAACAGGTGGATCTTCTTCGCCGACGGGGCGGGCAAGAGGTAAAGACACGCGGACCATGGTGCCCTCACCAGGACGACTGCGGACACGGATGTTACCATTCAATGCCTTCACGAGACTTCGAACGATAGAAAGTCCCAGTCCTGTTCCCACTGCGAGAGAATTTTCCTGAGCGAAAGGCGTATAGAGACGATCGCGCAGGAATTCTTCCGAGATACCCCGGCCAGTATCCGTAACTGTCAACGTAACCAGATCCTCTAAGCCCTGTCTCCGAGATCGGCCTTCAGAATGACTCGAAGCTTCGAGACTCAAGGTGACACGGCCTTCATCGGTGTATTTCATGGCATTTCCGAAAATGTTCATGATGATTCGTCGCAAGGCGCCTGGTTGTGTGCGATAGACCCAATCGCGATTAGCAATATCGATCATCACTTCTACCTTGCTTGTTGTCAAAGCTTTGGGCGTGTTTTGAGACAACACAACCGGCAAGTCGGCTGCTGCGGTAGAACTCTGACCATACGCAAGGCCCAGAGTGATACCCTCCACAACCTCTTCGGCTACAATTGAAAGGTCTGTCGCGATATACGTGTCGAGATGAGAAGCCAATCTGTCCGTTCCTTTGAAATCGAGCGGTGATTCCTTCTTTCGTTTCATCGATCGCCATGTTCGTTCAAGCGACACAACCTTACTAAAATCAAGGACCTGGTTCATCGTATCAAGCAGAGTTCTGCCACAGGCACAGAGTGTTTCCAACAATGAGTCTTGGAACTCATCCAGTTTTGTACTGTTCAAAAACTCCGCCGCGGCTAAAATGCCATGCAATGGACTGCGCAACTCATGTGAAATACTGCCTATGAAGTCTCCCTTCTGCCGATCTGCGATCAGTGACTCAACCCGGCTGTACTCGGCCATAATGGATGATCCAAACCCAAGAACAGAGCTTACTTCGACGGCAGAAGTGAAGACCTGGGTCTCAACAGTCGTCCAGCAGAAACAGCCCGCGAACCACTGCGAACTGACAGCATTCCACAGCGGCACGAACATGATCTGCGTGGCTCCGGGGAAGTATTGATTGAGCATTGAGTTCTCTGCCGCCTTGTGTCTCTTGCCTAGAGGTTTTGCAGCATCGACTGACTGCGCACCACCATGCGGTGATTGGAGAGTGTTGAATGTCGGATTATCCCGGGGTCGTTGATCATCGTCATCAGAAGTCGAAATCAAGCCGTCGCGGTGTAGGGACCACAGCTTGCCTTGGGGATAACGTCGAAGGAGTTGACGCAAGAAAGTCCGATCCACACGGGCAGGTGGTGGAGCTATGGAGCCGGCTCTTGGGGCAAATGGATCATCGTTGGTGGACATCGAGAGAACGGTCGCAGGGCCGCTGTTTTCGTTCATTGAGCAATCACTGCCGCTTTCACCGTCCATTAATGGAGTCTGCGTTGCCTCTAGGAAAAGCACACCGCCATCGTCGCTTAGGTCGAGACTCTCGCGGAGCAAGTTTGCAGCTCGCCGGAAACACCATGAATTTCCGTGTGAATCATCTGGGGGGAGCCGGTTGCGACTGCTGTTCGTTATCCATTCTGGCAAGGAGCTTCCGACTCCTGAGGCTCCTCCACCAGACACTGTGTTTTCGAATTTTGTGTTGTAGCCGCCGGGGCTTAGCGAACGCGAGTCATTGCTGAGAGAACGGATATTCGGCGGACTTTGCGATGCCATTTGAGAGGCACTATCTTGACTGTTGCTTCCATTAAACCGCTCATTCGGTGGGCTTGTCAATGCTGTCCATGATACGTTGTCTTGACTGTTGCTCCCATTACACCGGTCATTCAGAGGACTGTTTGAGGCCATCTGAGACGTATTCTCTTGACTCTGGCGACGCTGGTACTCATCCGAGCCAGTGGCACGGTTGTGAGTCGAAGGAGTTTCGGAAACGGGTGGGCAGCTATTGGCCCGTGAACCATCGATGCTATTCACAAAACTTGAGCTCCCGTCCACAAAATAGCTCAATCCTCTTGAAAGACGAGCGGCTCGACGACCCTCCGAGGCCTGGCGACAAATTTTCATATAATCCATCACCAAAAACGACAAAGATCCCAGCGTATCCCGTTCCAACTCCCCGAGTTCGTCGCGCGGCTTGGTATCCAATACGAAGAAACATCCCAGGTTGATTCGGTTCTCGGTCGTCAAGGGGGTCCCGGCAAAGAATCGAAAATGCGGAGGCCCTGCAACAAAGCTCGATTTGTTATATCGTTCATTTTCGGCCAGGTCATTCACGACGAGGTGAGGATAGGAAGGAGTTTCGCGATCCGAGGGTGGTAATGCAACGACGTCCTGTTACTGCCGGTCAAACACATTGTCGCGGAGGCAAATCGCGGCGAAATGCGGCGAAGGAATTGGTCGTAACAACTTTCAAGGTCAACTTCAACTTACCTGGCAGCATTTCCATCCCTTCTTACTCGCACTGGATCCCAGCCAAAGCTCATCATCGTTCTTGTGTATAGAATTATCATTGAGATTCACAGATTGAGTGGCCTCGGCAAGAATGAACTGCGTATCTCGATCAAATACGCAAATCATCGCACGCTCCACATTCAGTCTCAGCGCCGCCAGTTGACAAAAGGAGGTGAGGGTATTGTTCGACGATCCCAGAATCAACGTCTCCGGTCCAGCAGCCGTAGACGGCCGCGACGTGGCGCTGCTGTTCGACGCACCAGAATCGTCCGTGCCGGGCTGCGTGTCTGGGGATCCAATAGAGCTACCGCTCCTGCTCGATCCATTGCCTGCTGGCGGTACATCTTCGCCTGAGGGTAGCCATGATGGGACGACGCTGGGAACACCGGAGGGGCGGTAAAAGCGGTAGAGTTCTCGCACCCTGCGATCCGCGCTGTGCGCAGAGCTCGCCCTAGAAGTAGAAGGAGCTTCCATAATTCACCGCTAGCGCCGGAGAAGGGTGGATGCAGTGGTGCATCGTCAGACTCCGAGGGTGTGGCCAGGGGGAGGGGTGTTCGCAATCAAGATGAATCTGTAGGTCGGTAGATCGAGTTCTCAATTGGAATCAAGGTAGTATGAAGAAGGGAGTCTTTGAATGTTGAGGGCTATTAGGCGACAATCGCAACACGATCAGTCATCGAGCAGAGAATGGTTTGAGAGAAAAAAATGAGTGGCTCAAGACCTCCCCACCGCCCACCAGAGAGATACACATAATACAGAGAAGAAGGGGGAAGATCTCCAAATGTCAGGTGGAGCCGAAGGGGGTGAATGGTCCTAGTGATCTGGTTAGTTCCGGGGGAGCTGTTCATGCGCTGTGACTCGATCGGTGCGCCCTTTTCTTGCTCCACCACCACATCAGCCGGGCGTCCCTTTCCCGCGGGACTGGAGAGAGGTGCACCATCTGTGCATCTGTCTCAGAACGACGCAATTGAGCCTGTCATTGGAGGATCGGGATGATCAGACCCCTGAGTGCAATTGTGTGGTGGAGGTTGGCGTTGCCAAGGCGTCGGTGGGCTGCTTCTGTGTGGAAGAAGCAAGTGGCACGGTGGGACTACGATGCCGACATTTCACAAATAATCGGGTCAGGCACAATTTCGGTGGAGTCTTCACACTTTGCCTTCTTGAATTCTCGTTGGATCTTGAGAACCACTCAATCCCACCGTTGCCTATCCAGACACACTGTAGTTCCAGCGCTTTTTGCTCAATGTCAACAAGACCAGCCGAACTATACAACCTCTGCACTTCTAAGCCCCGACGTCACCGTACATTTCTCGACATGGAAAACGCCTAGCGCCGATTCTGTTGGCCCATTGCGTCGGTGGAGTATTTCAGAGTCTGTGATTCGTAAAACCTTGTATCCATAGCGCATACCATCCGTCGGTGGCGGTGGCGAGAAAACTGGACACTACTGTCCATCGTGTTAGCGCCCCCCACCAATAACATTACACATGATTTGGTACGTGGAGTTCAAGCCTCATCATGGCTTTAATCGAATGACATCGAATTGTGACTACATTTTATGACTACATTTTATGACTCTCATTCCATGACCATTCCCCACGATGAAGCCGCATGGTTCCGGTCCGGTGGTGAGATGCTCCTACGGTGTGGCTGATGTCGGTGTCGCGGCTAAGGAGGCAGACAAGTGCCAATGACGCAAACCGTGCGGGTTGGGCATCCACTCCGCCAGTCCAAAAATTGGTACCGAAAGCAACACGCATTCCATGACCTATGTAGATGAAGCTATCATATGCAGAAGAAATTCCCCAAAAAAAATGTCCCTGAAGATCAAAATCGCTCCATCAAGCGTTTGCGAACTGTCCACATGCGGGCCCGCTTGCCGTAAATGTACATCGGGATGGTCATGAGCAGGAAGAAGATCTGGATTCCGCCAATGGCTAGGAACACCACCCGGGAGCCATCGGATTGGAGCCAGTCTACAATGAAGAGGGAGAAAATTAAGCCGTGCAGCACGTCTAAATAACATGTTAGCTAGGGTTTGGGTGTTGAAAAACAGGGGGGAAGAGGTAAACATACTCTTGCTAAAGTTCAGCGTCACCAGGGCTTCGCCGGCGTACTGACGGTAACTGTCCACGCAGAAGGTAATGGCCGTGGTGCTACCGAGACAACACCCAAACGAGATCATTCCGAAGAAGATGGTGGGTACAATCCACGCATCCATCAGCTGTGCACTCCAGCCGAAACCCATCAATCCGACGACAGTCGAGATTGCGATGGGGATTGCCATCACCAGACGGAATTCGGGTTCGTAGATGCCGCCGTTGCGTCGGGTCATGAACTTGACAAGAATGTCCGAAACTTTGCCGGCCACAGCCGTACCAAGTAAACCACCGACAAACGGGGATATGTAAATGAGACCGGTCTGCAACGCAGTGAAGCCGTAGTGCTCACTACTTTCGTAGATAACCGCGACGGACTCGGATAGCACGATGAGCCATCCGACCGAGAGAGAGTAGATCGCTGTCGACCACAGCACGGATGGGTAGGCGAACAATATAAAAGGCCGAATCGCAATCTTGAACCAGCTGTCATGTGCGATTCGTCCATTCCATACCTTCAGTTGTTGAGTGTAGGGAATCTTGGGTCGTTCGCGAAGTCGGTTCGTGTAGTGCATAGACCCGGTGACGGGTCCGGGGAGTTCGATATACTGCGCGTCGGTGAAAGACCGTCACTTCGAGCTGACTCCATGTCGCTCGGGCTGGCAGGCGTGATGACAGCCGGCGGAGGGTGAAGAAGGCCGTCGTTTCTCTCTAAGGTGGGAGCTACATGTTCCGTAGAGATGCCGTCATGGGCAGTGGGTGTCTGTGGGGTATCAATGTTTTCTCCAGCATCGAGATGTTGCTTCTCGTTGTCGGCTTCATCCTCGACGAACCCAACATGCACATTCCTATTCCTTCTCGTAGGTCGGGGTGAGCCTTCTTTCGACTCTGTCGCTTCGTCGGGTAGCTGAAGATGTGGTTGACGACCGCGATGGAATCCATGACTGACAAGGTCCGACATGGTACGGTGCGTTCCCGGGCGTTTGTGAGAGCGGCGGGTGCGCGGACGGGGAGTACGATCCCAAAAGGTCTCAGGGACGAGGAAGAACAGCAAGAAGAAGAAGCAACCAACGATAATTGCAACGATCCAAAACACCCAGCGCCATCCAAGACTGCTAATGACCGCGGCACTGACCAGCGGGACCAAATTCTTTCCCCCGAGTAGCAACAACGTGTAGACGCCAACACGATATGCTCGCTCGTGCAAAAAGTAAATCTCGGCAATGGTAGCAGAGGGCAGACATTCTACCGGGCTGACCGCAATACCCTGGAAGATACGAGCAATCACCAAGCTCGTATAGTTCGGAGACAGAGCACACCAAACTGCGGAGATGACGAAAAGGATCGCCCCCAAGAGATAGACTGGGCGTTTACCAAAGAGAATCGCAGTTGGAGACATGATGACAGAGCCAATTCCAAGACCCAACATGTAGAGGCCAGTGGTGAGGGCAACTTGTTGTTTGGAAACATCGTAGGTATCAGCAACACTACTGAACCCTGCCGCCAAGATGGGTGTCATTCCTCCGCCGATCAAGCAGTAAAGTCCAAGAGATAACAAGGCACCATCTCTCTGCCATACAGGCCAGTTCAACGGATCATTGACCGAGTCATCGGGTTGCGGTTCCAGCAAGATCTGTCCATCGGCTGTTTTCTTTTGCTGGGGAGGTCCCCTGGATCGAGACGAAGAACGTGAAGGGGGGTTGGTGGAGGGGATGGACGAGGTGGAATGGCGTTCCGGCTGATGTCGCATACCCAGAGGTTCATTACGATGGGCTGAGAGAAGCAGAATAGTTCCTGCATTGCACCATGATATGTCAGCTCCACCTTTTCTCATACTTCATTTTCGATAGCACCTACCAGGCACTTCGTCGGTCTGCTTATCACTAAGGATTCCCAGCGTCGACTTCGATCGATAGGAGGTGGGCTCGTCCGTATTCCCTGAGGTCTTTTTGGAACCTCCGAAGAAGCGTCTCCATCGCGGTGTCTCCGCCTGCTGTGGGGTATTATGCCGACTCTTTGTATCCTCCACCACGGATGGTGGTGAGTCTTCGGGTGACTCCATGTCGAGATATTAGAGGTAGGAAACGCAAACAAGGTTGACAAAGGAAGTCAGCTGAAAGAAAAGACCATTAGCGAAGCTACTTAGGGCAGCCTAGGGCCAAGTGCAAAACGGGAGACTCACGTCTATCTGACACCGCCAAGTGCACGGATCAAGCCGGCCGTGTGGGCCGATAAGCTGCAAGATTCCAACAGAGGCAAATGCAGACCGCTGTAACAAAAATACGAGGATGTGTTGTGGGTGTTGAGTCACTCAAGAATAGGTCGCGGGGCAGAGTTGACGATGATCAGCGCTTGCGATAGAACCCAAGCAGCTGCAGAGGAAAAATCCCAGACATAGCTTTGTGTTGAAGGATTCAAGGGCCTAGGAGGCAAGGCAGCCACAATATATCGAGAGAGCAGAGGGGTATAGAGGGCAATAGATAGCGAGAGAAAGCGAGGAAGTTGTCACGGGGTTGAAGTGCAAGACAAAAAGATCGACATCTCTATGTGGCCAACGCTCCTAAGTTCCCCACAGAGGCGGTGAGCGGTGAGTTTGGAGATAACCATGGGAACTTCACTGACTAGGCATCTTTGGACCATTCCTCACTCATATTGTGTGATGCATCCTTTGATGGCCAGCACCGTGGCTCGCAGAACGACAGAGCTCATACATCGCATCCAGCAATATCGGAATCCGGTAGGCGCACGTTTTCGGCCGGACCTGCCGCCCAAGCACACCATGGCGTCTGGAGGCATCTCACTGGCCCAGTCAAAACCCCCGGATCCACCAGACCGCGCAAGATAAGGCGATCGCCCGGTGAAAACACGCGAAAACATGCGAAAACATGACTTCATGCATGAGCTGCGCGCGCGCTGAAGTTAAACCGAATGCGGCCGCCCATTCCTGAGCCCCCGCCTCGACCCCGGATTCTAGCTGGAATGGCTATGTCCCTCATCCTCTTACTCTAGAGTGGTTATGTGTTGTTTACTGTCCAGATGATCTCCCTGCCTTGGGTATAGTCATCTCAGCTGACTGTGGCAGGCGGCCTGCCGTCATCATGCAGTTGCCTGGTCGCGGGGTTGGGCTTGGAATTCATTCCTCCCGGTGGACCGTGTACGACCTTTAGTTCGACCACATGTGTCCATGTGCTCGGAACTGCGAGTGTCATCACTCGGTCTGCATTTGACTGTTAATCCGTGTTTGTCTCGAATTTTCGGTCAGTCGGGTAGTTGATTAATCGAGATCGAGGCGTTGCTTGTGTGTACGGATGACGCATTTGCGCGATGTCGCTGCAAAGAGGCGGGGAATTCGCGCAGATAAATACCGATTTTTATGGCCCCATGCAACTGTCTAGTCCCGAGATAGCCGCCGCTGTACGCGCAACTGCAGACCTGAGCGGAACACATGCAGCCACCACACGCAATCACGCGCTGTATCATGTCCGGCCAGCCAACGTTCTCAGCGGCATACATAATGGGTATATAGACAGTCTAGTTGGGATCGCTTCCTCTTGCTTTCCGGGCTCGCTACATGTAGTGTCTAACTAGCAGTCCATATTTGTATTCAAAAGAAAGAAAGCGTGGCCATTAACAAGAAAAAACATGAAGCTCCTAGAGAGTATACAGCGAGCTCGATAACCCTCCACTTTTGGAACAATGGCAAGAAATTTATCAGCCCGCTTCTTCTGCGCCGTCCCATTCCGGTTTTGAGAATGACGGGGATGAAGTAGCCGATAGAGTGCGCTTGCATGTGCATGCATCGGAATATTAATGGTTGGGTTTTCACCGACATACTCAAAGGTAATGGTGAAACCAGGCATCAGCGTCCGAGGCGGGCTTGAAGAGTTTTCTTAAGGAGAAAATTGACCGAACCGGCATCTTCTCGGTCAGTCGGGAACATGACAATTGCATATTGGACAGAGAACCACACAAGCTGCCTAGCCAGTTATAAATAATTGTGGCTGCAAGCTTGACATGAACTGGCGCATCGGTGAAAACCCCATGTCTGCATATAAGGACAAGATGTATTCTCGCTCCATTTGGAATCTAGCTGGCTGAACCGATGTAAGGTATCGAGCTGCCACCATCATGGGGAAAGGAACGAGATGTTGACGAAATATGCCAGTGAATGAGTGTAGGAACAATGGGAGGCAGCGTATTATATTGCGACAGGAATCATCGAGATCAACTTTTAGAACCTCAGGTTGATCGAAAATGGTATGGCAGACATGACCAGCGAGAAGATTCGAGGCCCAGTAAAGTGTCATGACATGTGCGTCTGCAATCTTGTTTGTCGTGATGTTTGTCGGGAATTTCCAATCAGCCTCGGTGCTCGCGATAGTGACTGCAAATTTCGACGCCCAGCTCGCCAACATCTTGATGACAGAACCAACCATTTTCTGGAGGCTCTGACGACAGCTCTGCTTTGCCTCCGGGCTCATTGGTAAATCCATGTTATCAATGCCTTGGTAGAGTGAGGGAAATTCCAGCAGAATGTCTATCAACAAGTCTTTTCGTGTCTTTGGATGTTGGCTCCAAGGCTCAGTCATCCACTTTTTGTCGCTAAGAACCAACTTCTTTCGCTCTTTAATCGCACATTGTGCCTATCCACCCCACATGTCAGCATTTTATTCACATCTTTGGGGTATGGGAGCGGCACATGATTAAGTCTCCCATCAACGAAAAGCCTATGAGCGGGGCCTGTAGCAAAGAACGAAGGTGGTTTGGAAGTGATTATAGCCAGATCTCCAGAATGGTGAATTGACCAGCTACGGTATTGTGCTTCCTGGTCCGTCAGATCCCCCCATACAAAGCCTGGATCGACCATATCAGCAAATACTCAACATGAAGCAAGACTTCCGTTTTGTTGATACCTCGTGTAGACTGAACACTCGCGCAGCGCCAAGAAGCTCGAGATTGTTCCCTCTTTGTGAGCTCAACGCTTTCCTCATTTGTTGCAGGGCAATCATGTGGAGCTTCGCCCCCTGTTGCTTCATCCAAATTTGAGCACCATCTTTGTTCGCAGCAGTCGCAAGTGCCAGCGCACAAAGAGCAGAGCGCAATACGCTCCCGTAAGGTAAGTTATCTCGAAGTACACTGATAGAGCCACCTAAGGCTTGCTGGGTATCGTCAAACAACGAAGAAAGGTGACAGTTTGGCATATAAGAGTCCCAAAACATTGCTTCAATTCCAACTTCGTGGCCGGTACGGCAAAAGCTGGACGACTTAACCAAAGCAGTGGATAAAATTGACTGTCTTTGGCCTATCACGGGTATATTCATTAGTTTGAAAAGGGGTGACTCGATTATCGCAAACCCCACCTGAAGAGAACCCTGCTCCGTTGTCATGTTCATAGTGGTGAATTACAAGAGTCTCGGCATAGGCTTCACAAGGAATGCAAGCTTTCCTGCATTGACCACACGAGGGCCGCTGTAGGTCACACTATATTTCCGAATTAACCGGGTAATTCTGGATATTGCCCGGCCTCGGGGTGCTATGCATGGATTTAGAATACTTACGCCCTTCTTGCGCCGTCTGCAGGTGCGACATGCCTTAGAACGCCCAGGAACACCAACCATTGGCAGCTAATACGTCTGGTGAATCATATATTATGGCGAGAACTCGTATCTGCAGTCTTAAAGCATAGACTGGTCGCAAATATTTGCTCTCCATTTGCTCTCTCATGCCTGTTATCAACATCAATTGATGTTGGGGGGGCGGTCAGACTCGGTGTCGCCCCTCTTGCTTGGCATGCAGGATACTAAGCCTCCTCAAGCTAATCCATAACGGGAACATTCGGCGCCGGCTGCATTTAGCTGAAAAAAACTATGCATACCGTGGGGGCCAAGCCTAAAAAACAGCAATATGGCCCTATCAACTCCTCATAACCAGCGCTGTATCGTTCTCTATGGCCCTTCGGTCTTACCTTCGAATCTCCGAGCAAGTACTTTATATATGACCAGAAGTAGCATGAGATCTTCACCTGGCAAGGCGATTCATGAGAGTGGTAGCCACTTCAAACAGGTATAAATAGGTCAGGCACCCTGCTGCAAAAAGAAGCAAGAAACACAAGCAACCCATCAACTCCTTTTTCTTCTCTTCATCAATTTTTAATTACTCAGACAAGACCTCCGTCATGAAGCTTGAGCACATCTACGTTGCTTTCTACTATCTTTTGAGTCTCCCTATTGCTATTGCTGGTCCATCCTGCTGCAGAGATGATATCTCCAGTGCCGCCTACCATGACCATATTCTGAATAATTACATCGCCATTTGGGCCGGGGATTCATCGCTTATTGGTAGCACTTTCCACTCAGATGTTGTACTTGAAATCGATCGCTTCCCTTCAGCATCTGGCAAAGGCAGCTCTATCATCCATGTGTCTAACAGAACGCAAATGACTGCCTTCGTTGAAAGATCACGAAGCGGATGGAAAGAATACTACTTTGAGCCGATCTCATCTGTCGCCGCAAATTTTTCAATTGCTGTTCGTTGGAGGATGCATGGAGTCATGGGATCTAATTTCACTTCTTTCTCTACGTAAGTTGAATCAGCCCCACGATGCTGCAATATTTTTGTCCATGCAGAACTGATCATTTCCCTGCCTACATAGGCCATTGAAAGCAGGGGATCATGTTACCTACAATGGAACCGACTTCCTTGTTCAGGATCACTGCACTGGTCTTATTCGGGAAGCCTACATCGCTTCGGATAATATTTCGTTCTTGCATGCAATGGGCTTGACGGCCATAACTGTTTAGAGATCATTAGGACGCCCAGGCTTTGGTCGTTGGCTCCAACGATTGAAGTGACAGTGAATGGTGACCTGGACCGAGAACAGTTGTTGTGTTGACTCAACACTTGCTGCATTATTCAAGAATCCCTTGGTCCACAAGAGGCATGTAAAAGTCTGTCGAAATGAAGATTGAGGGTCGCTCACAAATGGTGGGGATATTATAGACTAACGAAATGATTTTCGATTAGCAAATGAGTGTCTTGAGTACTTAGTCCACCAAATAGTCATTCAAATCGTCATGAGAATCGTAACAGAAGTGTAGACCCGCCGATCCGCGCCACGTTAATTGGGGCTGCTTGCGGTGGGGGGTCACGTGGACCCCTTTGCAGATGCAGCAACAACACAACAGCCTCTTTACGTTCGTTACATCTTCTCTTCGTTCCTTTTCTGCCATATTTGGTCTTAATTCTTCATTTTCCATACCTCTTTCGCAATTTTCGTCCACGAATTGCCCGACGGACTCGCCCGCACGCAGAATTTCGTTGCCTGGTCGTGTGAAGGCTTCGTGGCATCCTTGAAATTCAACTTTTTCCAGTCTTTTCCGGTCTCAACATCCCAGTTCATTTGACGGACCGATCCTTCATCTAAAATCCAATACTTTGACCGGACTCGCCGGCGTGCCACTCATTCTGCGGTATAAATCCGCCATTCACAATGAAGATCCACCTGTCCTCCCCGTTGATCCTTCTCCTCCTTCCCGCTCTTTCGGCAGCTGCTAGCATCAAACCCAGCAGCACACCCAGTCCTTCTGCTTCGCGAGGCTCTTATGACCTTACCTCGCGCTACGTGGATGCCGAATCGATCTCCAATAATGCCGCCAAAGGATCGCAGGACGTCCCGGTGGACGGCAAAGACGGAAGACCGCACGCGGGCCCATGGGTAGAGACTGGCGCAGAGCGAGATCGAAAGACCGCCAAGGGTAGTGATATTGACCCGGTCTCGACGAAATATGACTCCAAAATCCCCTCGTCGGAGCACCTCAGTACCGAAGAAGGAAAGATGATCCCGCACTCTAATGGCGGAGTCATGGACGATCCCAACCGTACGGGCCCTAGAGAGGGTACCAGAGGTACTGAAGGCGGCGTCTCGGAGAAGAAGAAAGAGAACTTATACAATGCGGAGAAGGTGCCCGGTGGTCCCAAGGAAGCCCTTCCGCTGCCGCATAGCGAGGAGCAGAAGCTGCCATCGGACAGTGACAGCGCCACTGGAACTGGCGGTCGCTCTGCTGATGGAGCTGGAACTTTGGGCATGTTGGAGGTATGAAGTGATTCTCAAAAACAGTATTTCCCAGCTAGTGATACTTACAACCGTATACAGAAACCCGCCGATCTCCCACAGAAGCCGCACGATATTCCCCACCCCAAGTCGCCTTCTCAGGCCAAGGACGACCCTCTTGCCATTGAGCATGGCTCCGGCGGCTCGGGTTCAAGCTCCTACCCCGGCTCGTATCCCAGCTCGTCGAGCACCTACGGACAAACCGCGACCTCGGTGGAAACCAGCGACGGACTACACTCTCTCCTTTTTTCGTTCACCATGATCATTGTCTCTGAGATTGGTGACAAGACCTTCCTTGTCGCTGCACTCATGGCTATGCGACATCCCCGCCTTGTTGTTTTCACCTCTGCATTCTCTGCCCTGGCTGTCATGACCGTTCTCTCTGCTGTTCTGGGCCATGCTGTTCCGACGCTGATCCCCAAGTCTGTCACCAAGTTCATGGCCGCCATTTTGTTCCTGATCTTCGGTGCCAAGATGTTGAAGGAAGGCCGCGAGATGTCCCCCGACGAGGGCGTCGGCGAGGAGATGCGTGAGGTCGAACAGGAGTTGGAAGAAAAGGAACAAGAGCAGATGCGCTTGGGTCGTCGCCGTTCCTCCGTCACTCCCCACAATTTGGAGGCTGGTCGTGCTGGAGGTCGCCCCAAGTCGCGCGGATCTGCCAACCGCCTGCCTTCTCCTCCGGAAAGCATCTCATCTTCTTCCTCGCGTGGCTCATCGCCCCGTCCTCAGCAGCGCTGGAACGATTTCTTGACCGGCGTCACCAACCTCTTTTCTCTTCTTCTCAGCCCTGCCTGGGTGCAGACTTTCGCCATGACTTTCCTCGGTGAATGGGGTGATCGCAGCCAGATCGCCACCATTGCCATGGCTGCTGGTCAAGATTACTGGTGGGTGACCATCGGAGCGACAATTGGCCACGGTATCTGTACTGCTGCTGCCGTCATCGGCGGACGGGCCATCGCTGGCCGTGTCAGCATGCGTGTTGGTATGTATTTAAACTCCGTCCTTCTGCTCTGTTCACAGGCTAATTATCATCCCAGTTACTCTTGGTGGCGCAACTGCGTTCCTGTTGTTCGGCATGATCTACCTGATCGAAGGTCTTTTCTAGAGCTGCATCGGACGGTTGGATTTTCTTGATTGTTTACGGTTTTGGGTGGTTGGTTTTCCATCGGTGTAAAAGTCAAATCAGTCTGTGACATAGCATTATTTAATAGATATAATCCGTGCTTGGCCCACGAAATGGCCATTTCTACAATGAATATGATGTTTGAAACATGATTAAGAAAAAGAAACCAGGGCATGGGATTTGTCAGGGTCCATCCGCACCTATTCTCCCTCACATTCATATTTCTCCCACCTAGGTATTAGCGCCAAACGCCTTGAAATGAACCGTTACTTAACCCGCACTTGGTTCAGTGAATAAGCACCGCTGCGTGAAATGTATTGGCGGCTCGAAATGGGTCCTATTTATCACTTAAATTTCAGGCCCCACTTGGCAGAGGTTCTATTGTGGCCTAATATGTCAGGCCTCATTTATTGACCAGGATTCATTTAGGGTTTACGGGTTTGGTGGTTAGGGTTAGGGTTACTGCCTCAGGCATGAATTCTAGCCAGAAACGGATGAACCTGGTCCGCAACAATAGATAATCCGAGTGACCGTGTCAGTCACCTGACTCACTAGCCCAACCGTCTTAGGGTTTCCCGTCTTTCCACACCACAACAAACTCCAAGGCCTTCTCGATTCAACTTATTTCCAACCATTTCAGACGCGTCCGGTTGTCTCCGTACTTCATTTACTACTAAAACAATCCTCGGGGAGGGGCCCAAAAGGAAACCTGTCAAAGTATACAGAGCGGCCGCTTGGTACACCGCCCAGATGGCACGCGCTGCGGTCCCCAGGGCTACACCCTCCGCGTCGCGTTACGAGAAGTCAGAGTCGGGAACTCGATGATACGTCTGGAATAGTATATGGCAAAGCGGCTGCCATCCATGATTCTAATAACGCAAAAGCTAGTAGCAGTCGTGAGTATCACTGCCCTTATCCTGCTCTCGGTCTTGGAATCCTCCGACCGCGCGCGTAGCTATGCACGTGTTGACCCACTGTTGTGAGATCAACAATGATGTATGAACATCTGTGAATTAGTTTTCACGTTTGTCGTACTTCATTTTGTGTCATGGCTCTATTCTCTTTTGGTGTTTGATCCTGGAGGTGAATAAAACATTCTGACCTTCCTAGGGCTGAGCATGGTTGCTGAAGAAACACCTGCCTCCAAATACAGCACTTCGGTGGTTCCCGAGTCTCCAGGAAACCCAGAGGGAAACAGCAATATCTCCGGCACCACATTCTTACCACAGGACTCGTCGCTTGAAGACGACGAGACCGATCCCATCGTCATTGTTGATGAACTTTCTGATCTTCAATCTGCTGCCACCCGGTTGATGGACCTTTTTGTCTCCGATGCTTCCGACCCTAGGAACATTGTGGAGGCTGCGAAGCGACTCACCGATCCGCGAAATACTCAGAGCAAACGCTTGAAACCAGCCACTAACAAGCTCATCAATGCGATGAAGGGTTTCAGCAGACAAGCCTTTATTGATGTTGCAGAAATCAAGCAGTTGATTCCTTCGGTGCAGCCTGAAGAAACTATCCATCCATGGAGTCCATCGCCAATTCTGCATCAAGCCAACTGTGCGCGGCTGGCTCTCGATGTGCTTTTGGCAACCCTTGGGTCTCAGTCCCCTCGTCGGGCGATCGAAAGACTCGAAAGCCAGTTTCCTGCCCCTTTCATGGATGCCATAGTAAAAAAGTCTCAGTCCAAGCCTATTGGAGCGAGCACTGCTGAAAAGCAAACATTTGAGCTTGCGCTTGAAATTCGTACACAGTACTTCATCTTGGAGCTAGAAAGGCGTCAGAATGAAAAAGACTTTGACCCGCGAGCAATCCTGAATGGGGTCTTCTATGATGAGCTGGCTCTTGAAGACGTCGATTCAAAGCTTGAGCCGGGCTTCCTTCGGGGATTCAATCTTGCAGATACCTTTGAGGACGAAAATGGATGTCTTCCCGATCGCTTCCAGGATGATGTGATTGACCGTATGGGCGAACTGGAGTACGACCTGCTTGCCCACGAGGATTCTCCTCAAATCCAAGAACTGAAACGGACGTCGTGGACCCGTTTCGTTCAGCGCACCGCGCGCTTCATCCACACACGAAACAAAGAAATCAAATCAGATTTGCTACAACAACCAAAATTGGATGAAGTTCACGATTTGTTGATGAAGGAGATTGAGCGTCGCGAGAATGGGACTCCTGAAAACCCCAACCCTCACGAGTCAGCAGTTCCTGCCTCGGTTGAACATTTAGTGCATAAGTCTCCAGTGCAACCGAACCGGCAGTCTCCACGTGAGACATCAACCACCGTGTCGCCAGAGCGAACAAGGCAGCCTCTCGGCGAGTCCAACTTGCCCTATTCCAGCCCTGTCAGTCAACCCGCAAAGAAATCACATAAGAATTCGGAGCGGCGCGAATCTGCAAAAATGTATGTTTCAGCTCCTGCTCACTTTCTGGTGGCACATTTCTAATTTCTCACTCCAGATCCCGCATGTTGACTAGCTCTCTCGATTCTCTCGCAAAGCGCAAGGAGACAATTCTTCACAACCAAGACCTGTCGCACTTGGAGTCTCAACATACAAGCCGACTGTCTACTACGAGTGAGCACACAAGTTCTCAACTGCCAGTGTCGCGGACACGCGACGAGATCCCTCCATCCCCTGAGCCGGCATCCTCTCAGCCGAGATACCCCCGTCGCGAAAGTGTTGCTTCCGACGATCAGGACTTGAATTTCCGCAACGATGATGAGACTCTGAACCTCGACACGCTGGAGAACGAAGCCGAAGCGACCGCCAGTCCTGTCATGAGACGTACCAAGCCGAGGGACCTGTTCTTCAGTAGTTCGAGTGGAGGTCAACTTCAAGGCTCGCAAGACCAGGACGCGCCGCCACAATCAAATGAATACATTTGGAACTCTCTCACCCAAACCCAAACTCAACCTCAGGCACAACAAGCCCAGCCCCAGCCCCAGCCCCAGCCCCGCGCATTCATCGATCGACAGGCAGATGCCACCAGGATCTCGTGGACTGAGAGTGTCGATGGCAACCCCGAGAGCGCACAAAGACGCCGCGATGAATTCACTGCCCCCACCAACATTGGTACACGCAAGCGTCCTCGCGTGGATTCCGATGACGATTCCGATGACGATGGCGATTTCTTCGTCAATGATGACCGCACCATCGACCCTGCAAGTCGGCGAGCACAGAAGCCCGAGCAAGCACAAACTGTACGGAGAAATTCAAGTAACCTGTCTGCGGATGCTCAGCTCCAACAAGGCTTGAATGCGGCCGGCCAAACCCAACCACCTGCTTCCACACCACCAAGCTCACAAGTTGACACGACACAGGCCATGATGAATGAAGCCCGTCACCGCGAACAAACCGCGCAAAGTTCCATAATTGGGAAACCAGCGAAGAAGAGGCCCCGCAAAAGATGGACACCCGCGGAGGAGGACAAGCTCATGTGGTATATTGAGACTACGGGTACTTCCTGGCATATTCCCTGGGCGGAGATCAAATCAAAGGACAGCTGTGCTCCGAATCCGCTTTGGGTGGATTTGAGTCAACCTGACATCAAAGACAAGGCCAGGAATATTAGACACCGCTACATCAGGGAGGGAAGAGAGCATGAGCTTCATGATAACTGGAAGGCGGTAACGATTGACAGCGCGGTCAGGAAGAAATTCCCAATCAGGGAAGGCTGGTGATGAAGATGTCTTCTTCCACCCCCACTGACTTGGTTTCGCTGCACTTATACCTTATACTGATGCTCGCAACACTCATTGTACAGGAGACGTGAGAGAGCACGGCGGTGATGCTGACTTTTACTTCACTGTCAATATTCTTACTATATCTTTTAATCTTACCCCTAATGCAGTCTTGCGGGATTCTTCAGGTTCAATAAATGCTTCTGAATTTATATATTGTGTCAAAAAGGATATCGAAGTCCAATTCACGGAGAGGCGACAGAGTCAATGCTCCAACTAAGTTCACTAGGAATCTCAAAACGAGTGTAGAGCACCATCCAGCAGCCCGACTAGCACACAAACACGTCAGATCCGCCAGCGGATCATTCTAACATCAATTAGAGCCCAGATAGCAGGAGAGTCGGGCACACGGTATTATGGTACAGTGTACAGAGAGGTAGTATAGTCTAGTCTATCGGCCCTTACAGCAGCAGACCGAGGCCGGCAATCGCAGCGCCGATGACCGATGACCCGGCGTGCATTGAGTTCGCGGCGTTCATGGTAGGCGATGCTGATGTACTGCTAGACACGGAGGTAATGGCGGCAGCAGCAACAGACTTTGAGGCGATGGCGCTAGCACTGGCGCTGGGGACCGTAGAACTGGGTGCGGTCAGGATAGCGGTCGGCACGGATGATGGGTTGATGTTTGTTGGGGCGACAACGATGCCGCCGGCGGCTGTGGAGGCACTTGCAGGTGTCGAGTCCGGAGGAGTCCGAGGAGTCGGAGCTGGAACTGGAATTGGAGACTTCGGTGTATTCGCCGGTGCTGAGGACGGTGAAGTAGTTTTGACCACCACCTGAGACGTCAAATGTTAGCTTCATCGTATTTTAGGTTTTTCCAATGGCATTGGATGGTTCGGTTCAAAAAGCTTACAATTATCCTCTGGCCAGCCAGCGCACACGGTATCGCACTTGTCATCGTCCACCTGGGCCGAGCTTGGTGGTAGCTCGTTTCCACACAGACATTGGAGCCCGGTCAGAGCAGCGATCCGGAAACCGCCACTCTGGCACTTTTCTTCGCAGTATCCTTGGGATTGGAAGGTATATCGGCCCTCGTCTTTGAGGCTAGGGACTGAGGAGTAGCAGCCCAGTACGGAAGTAGAGGCACTCGCCAAGGCCGGCAAGGCGAGCGCAAGAGTAGCGAATAGGTGGTGAGGTTGCATTTTGCAGCGAGTGTTGAGATGGGAAGTCAAAATTGAAAAGAAACGCGAAGGAGTGGATATATAGTCGAGGAAGAGGAATGCGCGATGAAAGGAAGGACGCAAGAGAAGCTATTTAGAAGGGAAGTAGAGAAGAAAAAACCCTGTCAGAATGTCTCAGTTCTTTGATCTGACAGATTCCTTCGGCCCCATATGAACCGGGGACCCATTATTTCGTGGAGTTGAAACGGGGGGCGATGACATCGCGAAGCTCCCCAATCGGGCCCTGAAACACTAACCCAGTGCTCTATTGAACCTATCGGCCTAGGGGTGACGGCCCTATTGGATGGCCCTGGTCTTGATCTCCCTGATCATCATCCCCGGAGTGGATTCCTTGCTTGTGTTGCGCCTATGAAGGACGCGGTGACGAGCCGCGCGAGTCACGAGTGAAACCGATCCTCGATTGTTCACTATTGAACGCCACCTGGTTCGTTCGAGGAGGGTTTCATCGCTTCATGCGTGGGGAATTCCACAATATTGAGGATGCCCCTTGACGCTGCCTAGGAGCTTCCCCCTTGGTGATCCTAAGTGATCGGCCCCATAAGCTGAGTAAGAGAGAATTCGGTGGCGAGAAATGGCTCATACACATAGCTTTCCCGAGGTCCCTTTTTGGGGAGTGTCATGAATTTGGAGGAGCTCAGCGTTTTCGCTTGCAGTGTGTTACGATGGTTCCACGTTTCTTCTTAGCTTCTTCCCAAGGGTCCACACCCGTCCACCGCCAGGAACACTTTCCTTGGCTCGGAGCTGTAGGACTCCAGAAACAACTATCAATCGCGATCGCGATCTCACCATTCCCTCATGTCGTGTATGTGAGGTATAATCGCACTCATCCCACACATCCCACACATCCCACAAATCATGCCTAGCCGAACCTATCGGCAAACACCAGCCAAAACTTGCCAGTTGAGGCAAGCGGCGGCAGCGGCCGCCAGCCGACAGAGAGGGGAAGATAAGATAGTTGGAGATAACCCCGACTATTTATCATAGAAGGATCCCAGAAACTCATCTAATGGTGTACGCACCTAAAGAGTATAGAAGGACACTCGGACCATGAAGACATTCTCCCTCTTTGGATTGGCCTCGCTGCCAGCGGCTCTGGCGCTGAACATCCCCGCCCAGCAGATTCTCTTCCCCGGCGAGCTATCACGCAATTCTGCCGAGCTCTCTGATCGAGAGATCTGCCCGCAGGCAGCAAAGGTCGCTCTCCCCGAGGATGGGTTTGAATCATCACTGAAGTTTCTCAATGATGCTGCTTTCCGAACCCGCCAGGCTTCGCGGCTCTCACGGGCTGTGCAGGTGCCCACAGTTGTCGGCGACTTCATGGAGGATCCGTATGACGAGGCATTCGAGCCGGTGGTGCAGTTCCAGAAATTGCTGAAAGAAATGTTCCCTCGGGTGCATGCAAAGGCCGAGGTTGATCATATTAACCGGCTCGGTCTTGTTTATACCTTCCAAGGCGTGGACACCACCCAAAAGCCCATCCTCTTCATGGCCCATCAGGATGTAGTCCCAATTGACGACCCAGCTGATTGGACTCACCCGCCATTTGATGGATACTTTGACGGCGAATGGCTCTGGGGCCGCGGTTCCAGCGACTGCAAGAACGTGCTCATCGGACTTATGTCCGCCGTGGAGGAATTGCTCACACAAGACTGGAGCCCGTCGCGCACCGTTCTCTTCGCATTCGGATTCGACGAGGAATCACACGGGTTCCTGGGCGCGGGCTCAATTGCTCCGGAGCTGGAGAAGAAGTATGGCAAGGATAGCTTCGAATTCATTCTCGACGAGGGTGGTATGGGACTGCAGTCCCTCGAGAGCGATTCTAACGAGGTGGTGTATGCTCTTCCAGGCGTCGGCGAAAAGGGCAGCCTGGACCTTGTCATGGAACTCGCTGTTCCGGGCGGCCACAGCTCGATCCCGCCTTCGCACACGGGTATTGGCATCATGGCTGAGATTCTGTACGAGCTCGAGCGTCAGGAACTGTTCTCTCCCCGTCTGGATCCCTCCCACCCATCTCACGGTATGCTAGAGTGCCAGGCCCGGTACTCACCGTCGCACGTTGAACCCTGGTTGGCCGACAAATTGGCCGAAGGCGACGCTGAGGCTCTGGGTGAGGCCGTAGCCAGCTCGCGTGGCCCGGCTGTGCGATACACTCTGCAGACGTCACAGGCCGCTGATCTGATCCGCGGTGGTGTCAAGACCAACGCTCTGCCCGAGAAGATCTCGGCCGTCGTAAACTACCGGGTGGCATTGCACATGACACCCGATCAGCTGCGCGAGCGTGCAGTGCGCATCATTAGCCCGATCGCAAAGAGCCACAATGTCTCTCTGCATGTCACCTTCCCCGGCGTTGCTGACAGCAAGGACAACTTCTTCGGTGGTGATGGCGACCGTACTCTGGTCCTCTCTCCTCTCAACGAGCCTCTGTCCCCAGCTCCGATCTCTCCCTCGGATCCGCTCACGTCAAAGGTCTGGGCTCAGTTTTCTGGGGTCGCTCGTAGCGTCTTCGAGTCGCACCCCAATCCTCTGGCCAAGTCGGACTCGAAGGCCGAGTCTTCCCCGACTGTTGTTGTAACGGGTGATATCATGACTGGAAACACTGACACCCGTTTCTACTGGTCTCTCTCGGAGAACATTTACCGCTGGAGTCCCTCGCGTATGGGTGGTACTTTCAACATTCACACTGTGGATGAGCGGATCCGGTTGGATGTTCATCTGGAGGGACTGATGCTGTACTATGGTACGTTTTACTTTTTTATCTGATCTGACGTACCACTAACCTGCCTTTAAGATCTGATCCGCTCGTTCGATGGCTGGAATGAAAAGTCCGAGTAAACAAGTGGATAGAGGAAAAGGCATTGCTAGTTATCCCGTCCACTCGGCAGACTCTGTATACACGCCCGCGCGGATGACTTATGGCAGCCTGTTTAGGCCCATCAGCATTATCTTCTTGCCCCAGCTGTAAAGGCAAGAAAGAGCGATTTACAGGGGACTTGGATCCGAAAAGTGTAGTTTACGCATATTGAGAATCGGCATTAGATTCTCTCTCAGAGCCATAGAAGCCCTTGAATTGAAACAGTCAACACATTATGAATACTTGGGAACTGCAAATACGATTGTCGTAGATATGCTGTACCATGGAGTCTGCATAGTGACTTTATTTTTCCGTCAAGAAGGGCCTTTCTGCCAGCCTCCAGCTCATCGAGCTTTTGCTTAAAGGCTATCCCATAGTGTTACGTGGATAGCCACTTAGTGAGGCATCACACGTGACCAGTGCGGTAGGATAGCTTCTGCACTCGGTCATGATGAATAAACCAGACTTTATCATCCCATCATCCAACACATAGGGTTGATAAAGTCGTGCCAAGAACGCCGTACCGACCGGTCTGGTTTGGCAGATTAGGCCGAACTAGTAGGTCGGCACGCCTTCCAAATCTGGTTAGTGCCAAGTACCTTCCGATCCAGAGGGTGCTCTTTCGCTCCACTCGCTCCACTATACTGCTTGCATTCGTTGTCCAGCAAGACAACAAGACAACAATATGGAGATCTCAGGGTATAAACGCCGGAAGTCAAACGGGTTCGCGTATCCTGCTATTCCAGTAGGCGACCAGGACATCGGTTCGTGGGAAACTGCGGACGAGCCGTTTACAATCCGGCTCATACCAGGTATGTTGATCCAAAAGGTCTTGCGTCTTAGCGCTTATCAAGTCTCATCTATTACAGGCTACCCCTCCGAAGACAGGCTGAGAGCAGATACGTTTCGCGCGGAATCAATCACCCACGTCAATAAACAAAATGAGCAGCTCGTCCGAAGCTACCATCCCAGTTTATCTTCTAGGGAGAGAGTATGGGTCTCGGAGTCCGGTTTCGGTGAGACTGTCTGGCTCGTCGATTCACCTATACTTGGACGAGAGAGCGTCTATGCCGGCGGACGGCCTATTCACTACCTTCCCGGAGACCATTACGAGTATATTCCTTTGGGGATTCTCACCCCCCGATCCCCCGATAAATACAATCAGCACTTTGCTCGATACATTAACCCCAGGCGTTTCCTGCGACCCGCTGATCTTGACAGCCTTCGAGAACTATTTCCCGAGGCTGTAGGTGCGGAGGTACTTCTTGCGGGTTTCCTGGTTGTTCTTTTCGAAAATATGCAGCACGTACATGATGCGTACAGCGAGGTCTGGCCGTTAGAGCTAGCCGGTCTTCGAGTTTTCTTTGATATTACCCGCTATGGCTTTACGACATCACCCATCCAATCCGGTCTAGGCGTGAGTACTGACCCAAGTGGAGAACACCATGCTCGTGCAGGGTGCCTCGGACTCAAGCTCCGGCTACAGAATGGTTCTATGGCCATTACAACCGTCACTCATGGATTTGTTTATTGTCCGGGGGCTTCGATCCCCGTCAATATTTTCAATATGTTTCAAAAAATGATTGAGAAGGCAAAGCGGTCGTTGACACGGGGCATGCCAACCAGGGTCGGCAAGAATGATGATGCCTTCGTGATTCCTAGAGAAGTGCTTACGAATGACCCGGTCGGTAGAGGAGTATGGCTGGCCTCTTCTCATAAAAGGGTACGTTCATCGACTTAACTTTACCCTATTTGTACTTTCTGACACCGCTAGATTGGCGCTATAACCCGCACGTATGACCAGCCAAGCCGCATCAGACCGTACCTAGAAGGGTACAATCACGACCTGTGTCTAATCTCAGATGCTACGCTTCCAGATATTGGCAGCCCCCCAGGCTACCCAACAGTAACAGGATGGGCAGATTACTCGGCGGCTCTCGATGGACAGGAGGTATATGTTGTCTGTCACCAGACAAACGTTGCGCGATGGCGAGTGATTAGAGGAAATCTGGATTCGACCCTCTTTAAGAGGGCAGCAGTTCTCGGCACGGGTTATATGTGGGATAGGAAAAGAAAGTCCCAAAGCTCGTTCTTGCTATGGCACACAGGTACACAACTTACACCAGCTGACGGGTGGTCTGGGGCCCCTCTATGCCTGGGGCGGCCATCAGATACGGCCGCGAAAGCAGTGGTATTCCAGAATTTTCAACGATCCTATTTCCTTGCCGGTCCGTCCTTGAATACGAAAAATTTTGCCTTGGCCAAAGCGGGGTTTCTTCTCCCACCGGATGTCAAGAGCTCGACCATCGTTAGTGCGGATGTACAAAATCGGAACAAGCAATTTGACACACTACCAGCGGCAAATAGAGACTTGTTCGAGTCCGAATCTTAGCGACGCAGTTTCTCTGCCATATAAGAACTACAGCGGGTAGGCTTCTGGAGTATTGCTTTATTGCTAGCGCCATGTTTGTGTGAGAGAGATGTTGCTCAGGTGTGTACGCGTTACTACCTCTCCTGTATTTTTAGCTAGTTCCCGATTCTAAATAGCATTATCCATCATCCAGTCATCTGCTACTTCCTGAGTATAAGAACAATATACTGGCTTATGCTATATAGATAGGCATAAATTGAAGTGGGGATGGCTCGATGGCTGTGCCAAGCATCGGATTCGGGTGGACGGTGCGAGTGCTAGGCTTCGTGATGGTGGTTAGGAGCATACTAACGACGCTGCTGCTCCGACCGCGACTTGGGAAATACCCTCAAGCTACCTGGGCCCGAAAAATGAAAGCAGCTCGGCAGCTCGGCAGCTCGGCAGATTGGGTTGATGGTTTCTGTTATCTATGAGGGTAAAGAGATCCACCGATCCAACGATGTTTAGTATAAAGAGCGGAAAAACTTGAGAGCTAGGCAGCCCTGGCTACCTGATCTTTTTCCTTGCTTTTATTTACTTACCTTCTCCTTATTTTTTATCCTCACTCAAGCCGCTCCTCTTAGCTTTACCTCTGATTCTTTTCTTCACCTGCCCTTTACTATCCCTCCAAGGTTTGCCTCTATGGTTGAGACACGCCCCAAGCCAATGGTGGGGTCCGCTATGGAGGAGGACACCCTGCTGGCGCGCGTCAACGTTATGGTCAGTTTGTGCACGAAGAAACTCGACCAGTACAGTAACAGAGACCACACCATAATCACTTGTGCGAATGAAGTGAACACGCTGGCCGCTCTGAAATCCACAATGATGCATAGAGACATCCTGCCACCCGGTAAGAGAAATATGGACGACACTTTTGTCTATGCCGTTAAGCAGCTAGAAACCCAGGCATCCTGCAAAAAGTACGAAGGTGTCTTCGACGGTAACGGGCACCTCCACATCGACCGCAAACCATCTGGAAATTCAGTTGTCGTTCCGGCTTTCGGTGTCAAATGGCTGCTTTTCATGGGGGGCCGTTGTATCCTTACCGGCAGCGCTTTGTCGCAGCGCTTCCTCTGGATTATGGGCCAAAACAGAGTGCCTGTCCTACGCGGTCGCGGTCTGTCGCAGAAACTCAAAGTCTTCACACGCCCTTTCTCGAGAGACTCGGCCTCCCTGCACGGTATCAGCAGGGACACACTCCAGCATGCTCAGCGAAACTGCCCAATTCTTTAGAGCGATCTGGTGTATAGCAGTCTTCCGGGTGACAGGAATTCTCCGCTTCACGTTTAATGCTTAAGGTCTTTTTGGTCTTTGCCGTCCTTATCAGAATTATCCTTTTCGTCTATATCATCGGCAGGGTCATCTGCGCTGCATTCTGCCTTATTGATCTCGATCCTGCAAAGAAAAACAAGATTCGTTCACCAACGCTAGACCAAATTACTCCCGCTTCTGTTAGAACAGAAGTCAATGCACCACAAAAAGCCTACGCGGACAGTCTAAATTCAACTGATTTTGTCGGCGATCACTATCGCAAAAGACGCCTTGAGATTGAAATTGAGATGGAAGAAGTTTTGCATAGGAGGCGGGAGGAGTTGGCAAATTTCACTTAAAGCGCTTTGGAATTTTTACTCGCTCTCTACGCAATATTTTTGCCGGGATCGAGGATGGCAGCACTAACGCCCCGTTGGGTCTCGGATTAATTATCCAAGTAGCCTTTATACGAGGAAAGGTGCGACCATGTTTTGTTTTTCTTTATATAGAGTCGGCTGGACGGTTGGAACGCTCGAACTAGGAGGAAGAAGGTATATGTGCTTGAACCGCATAGTATGTCAGGTACATTTATTGTCGGGCAGCTAGAATAAATTAAGACAGCTAGAGGTTTACGGCAGGAGAAATAATTTACGAATGAAGGTGACACCGTTTTGGAGACCTTTTGTGTCAAGCGAGTGTAGGCGAAAGATGCGTATGAAAGAAGACCGAAACCGAAGACCTAGGAAATGAAAATATGATCCTAGTAGATTGTGTTCAGAAACCAAAAAGCCCAGCTGCCAGAGCTCTAAGCTCTTCAGCAATGAATTACCCCTTCAAGTTAATGCTTAACTTTAGCCAAGGGTGTTCAGTATTGAACCATTCATCTCACGACCATATAGATATCTCAGCTACGATTCTCAATAATTAAAAGAAAATCTCTCAAAACGGATATCATCAAAATGAGATATTGATACGGTATACATAACAAGAAACCCTCACGAAATGAGCGGACAACCAAAGAAGCACAGACTTCCTCAGAAGGGTATCAAGCGCGAAACAAAAAGGGTATTATGCTCTTCCGCAATCAAGCGGTCGAGGTCCAGCGCGACCATTCCTCATACAACAATCAAAACCCAAGCCTGCGTACCTGACAAAGGATTTGAGAGGAAATTTGCCGCGTGAGAAAAATAATAATAATAGTATAAATAGATGCAAGAAGTGAATGTTGTTTTAGGCTGTCACGAGGAGGGGAGCGAACGCTCCGCCCACAGCAGGACGAGCGACAAATGTGGTTGTGGGGAAACTGGGCTTTGTTAGCTGGGTTTGATGACAGGGTTTGAAGGTTTGACTTACTTTCCCGTGATCGTGTCGTACAGATCAGTCAGGGGGCGGCTGGTGGGTGTCTCGTTGACCCAGGTTGCCAAGTCCTTGAAGAAGGTAGCGCGAGTGTCGGTGGAAGCGATAGCGGCCGAGAAGCATTGCCAGTCTGACTTGGTGTAGGTATGGCGGGTATCCAGGGGAACACCATACTTGTTTGCAACGGTCGGGTAGAAATTGCTTTGCATCTGGTAGACGGAATCTGGCACGAGGCCCAGACCCAGCTGGGCATCGGCATACAGATTGTAAAGGAGGCCTGGGGGTAGTGTTAGGTTTGGAGTATGGAATGTCAGTGGAATGTGGCTTACCGTGGCTGTTGTCATCTCCATAGGACAGAGTGGTATGCGGGGGTTGGCATTTTGGGCAATGGCCAGAGTCTGCCATTTGGAGATGTAATCGTGCGCGATGCTGGAATAGTTGGCGGCATCGTCGCTGTGGCCGGTCAGGTTGGCAATCACTGACATGGCCTGGATACCAATCATGCCCTTGAGAGCGAGGTTGGTTTGATTGCTAATGATGCTGGTTAGTTTTTCGATCATGGAATAGAAGATCTTTGCACTCACGCCAGGGACCCAGCAAAGTCATCAGTCGAGATCTGGTTGGCAGGGTACAACGCGTCATCAACCAGGTATGTGGTCCACTTCTTGAGAAGGTTGTAGTGAGTGTTCAAATAGTCAGCGTCGCTAGCCTTCAGAGCATAAGCCAAGGTCATGATGACCATGTTGCCGCACTCCTCTAGGGGCATCATCTCGTCATTTCCATCGCTGTGGCCAGTGGCGTTGGGATAAGACGACCCCATGTCGTGCATGGCGTAGCTATTAGGATACTTGCCGGCCTCTTGGTTCTCGTACAGCGGTTCCATCACAAGCTTGAGGAGTTCAGGGTTCGAGTACAGGAAGATGGGGTAAGCCGGGAAGATAATATCAACAGTGTTCATGTTCCCATCAGACGAGATCTCCTTCAGGAACAGGTACATCTTATCCTCGGTACCGGCCAACTGAGTAGCACCAAATGCCTGACGAGCCGAGAGGGAGGTGAGCACAAGATAGTCGTCTCCACCAATAGCAAGGGAATCTTTGGCAACCTGGCTATCAAATGAACCTGAAATAGTGCTGGAGTCTTCGTAGTCATTGTGGAAGAAAGACAGGGCGTCGAGCTCAGAGTCAAAATAGCTCTTCCAAAGCGAAGGGACCGGAGCGTACGTAGAGGCGCCCTGGAATTGAACAGCCTCATCCTGAGTAAGACCAAGCGAGAACAGCACGCTGACCGGAGTGTCATCGACAGCTCCCATGTCGTACGAAAAGCCGAAGACGGGCCAGTTGTCGTTGATGGCGCGGAAGTTGGTGTCACTGGTGTCGTCCAAGGAACCGTTCGAGGAGAATTGACCACGCACAACAACGTCCTGACCGGACTGGTAGCTCATGCCATCGGTGGCATCGGTAGCCCAGTACCAGTAGCCCCACTCACTCTGCTGGTTGACCTCGGAGAATGCCAATTGGGTCTGACGGTACACCTTGTGGTATGCGACGTTATCGGTTGTACCGTAATCCCACTGCGCAGTAGTACTGCGATCTCCCGACACCCATTCTAAATCATGTCAGTAATGACCTTCGACATGTTTTTGAGTTGACTTACCAGCTGAGATATCCGCATAAACTTGCACGTCGTGCTCGCTACCATCCAAGGAAGAAACTTCAACATTCAGGTAGGAGAAGACCAGGGATTGGCGCCTGAGATCAGTAGGCGTGATCGGTGACATAAAGGTAATGTTCATTTCCACTTTGTCCAGAACGTTCATGGTGAAGATAGTCTTTGTTGAGGTATACTCGAACCCTGTCTGGTTGACAGTTGTGGTGCCAGGCAGGCCCATCCAGGTATAAGTGTGACCGTCAACACGGACCATACCAGCCCAGCCGGTGACCTGGTTTCTATAGACGTGCCAACATTTTAGATAGAGCCCCAATGCCCTTGAGAACAGCAACTTACTGCCAAAACACGGGCCATTCGCCGGCGAGGTATCCTCCATCGCCTCCATCGCTGCCAAACTCAAGCCAAGTGCTCAGGTACGGCGACTTGACAGCTAATGGAGCAGCCGGGGGACGAGCGGGAGTAAAGGTCGATTGCGCTCCAACGGAGGCAATGAAGGAAACAACCAGCAGACTGAGGCGGGACAGCTGCATAGTGACGGGGTCGGAATATTGTCGACGAAAAAAGGATTGAACGAGATCACAACCGATCAAACGAGGAGCATTTGCCCTTTTTTGTAGTCTGAGTGCCTCGGAAAATAATAAATAAGAAAAATGAGACAGCTCCGATAGCTATGCTGCAGCAACGCTTGCAATGAGTGTGCGGAGGTAAGGATCGACGTTGTGTTTACCGGAATGCCAGAGACATTTTTATAGTTGAGCGCCCAGGGGAGAAAGGAGAGACCCAGGGCCCGCATGCCAGAATGTAGCCACGGCCCACGGCGAAAAGAGTGGAAATGGATTAGCGCAATGGGGATGGTGATTCTATCGAGCAGCAGACCTGCATTTGTTGGAAGTCCCGAGCGAAGTCGGCTGATCAGCGTCAGTGCCCGATGCGAGATCTCATGCGCTAGGCCATATGGGAGGGCATCTCAGTGGATGCGAGGGGGCAGAGCACAGGAGGTGTAAACCCAAGACAGGAAGACCGGGGGTTTTCCCAAGTCCGAGAGCGAGAATGGTCAAAGGCCAAAGGTCAAGCACCATGCATGTATCGCATGGAACAAGCAGCGGTGTATGGATCCACAGCTCCACACAAGTCAAAAGAGCGGGCGTCTTTAGGCCGAAGCGTCCTGCAGATGACTGGACACACGGGATGGCGCAAATAAAGATGTGGAGTCAAATAAACGAGTGTGGTTCATTAAGGAGAGTGGGAGTGCGGAGAAAGTGAAGTTTCAGGTGTCCTGGTGTCCAGGTGGTCGACCTACAGGGCAAGCGACACCCCAGGGAAAGTGCCAGGTGGGTGTGATGGCATCATGCGACACACGACCAGAATACATAGAAGTATATCGAGACTAGAAATCGGGAAATCGGGAAATCGGAAATTTGCGGGGAAGGACGATCACCGGGGCACTTGAGTTGGACTCTACGACGAGTCTTCTCATTTCGGACCTCTTCTTCTCATTTCTCATCTAGGCACGACATCGCCATAAGGGAAAGTACGACATGGAGATCAAATCTCGGGGACCTGCAGGAGTAGACTCATGGCTTGAATGGGTGTTCAAATCAGAGACGCTCCCCTTGCAGGGAGGTCTATCCCTACGCGTCAGCTCGTGGGACTAAGTACCCAGGACCTATATTGTTGTCGTGTGCCAACATATTTGGCAAGTACCGGGTACCACGGTAGATCCACGTCGTAGACCTCCTTGCCGATCTCCTTTGAGACATCACAAATTCGGCACTCAGGGGCTATGACCTGCTCGTTGTTCCCACGAGTTAAATGCCTAGCTTGTTTTTTACTTTTTACTTTTTACTTTTTACTTTTTCTCTTTTTCTTTTTTCATGGAATGTGCGGGGTGGAAATGAATGATCAAAAGGAACGATGTAACATGTTTAATTGGCCGGGCTCGGCCCAATATCATCTGGGCACGGAGTATATCACTTGCACAATGAAATGCCAATCTCCGATGTAATCTCTGATTACCGGACTATGCACTATCCGCAGACCTGCAGCTCGGTGATTCACCTATCTAGGGACCGTCTGCATGGTTCGTGGTCCGTGGGCGTCGGCACCGTGCAGACCGACTCTCCACGAATATGAGATATACCATCTCCGAACGATATCACAGTAGCACCAACAGTGGAGATTTATATTAAAAAAATTAAAATAAAAAAAGGCCCAAGCCACGGCACTGCCGGACCGTTCCATTTCCACGGTTTCTCTGCAGTTTCTCTGGGCTTTCGCTCCACATGCGCTTGACCTTGCCTCAGCAGTAACCCCTTGCCCGATGCAAGCTGCCATCCAAGATCATCCAAGATCTCAGAACGTGGACAAGCTGCAATATATCTGCATGTTTCTCATGGGCCGGAACTAGCACGAGAGACTGCGCCGGGTGGGCGTCCAACTATCAACAGCCACCAGGTCGGCGTGAGCATCTGCATGAGACAATTCACACATAGTGCATTATGCCGAGATTGAGCCACGCATGACCTAGGGATCCAAATTTGGGGCCTGGCGGAGAATTGTCGGAGATGACCTAGTATATGTATTCCGAGGTTGAGATGTTCACTCGGGCTGGGATATCTATGTCCGAGAAATAGCATCAAGGTTTGCCATCCCGTGGTGCAGCATTCTCTGGTCCGGCTCAGGAACATAACAACCACAACACAATCAGAGCTCGGAACCTCCTGCTAAAACTGAGTCTTGAAACTTTCACCATACACACTCACGTTTGCAAATCGATGCACCCAGGCATATATTGGAAACATACTAAAAGCACCAAATCATTGCCTTTGTACCCACTAAGCATAAACATAAACATAAACATTACCACAACCATTCAATTCCAATGGAACCACCCGCCTACGAGCGCGCAAGCTCAATACAAAACTCTCCCCACTCCGTCCCCCCACTAGAAGACATGACCTCCTCAGCAATCGCCTCCTCTAGCCTCTCATTATACCGTCTCCGATACTCCGCCTTAACCAGCTCCAGATGTCTTGGCTCCCAATGCAACCTGACCAGACGCGAAATTAGAAGCTCGGATCGCTCGCGACCGGAACTAGATTCGCGGAGGGCTTGGTGGAGAAGGAGGGCGTCGCGCATGGGACGGTTAATTGCGCCGTTTAAGATATGGGCGAGGGTTTCGCCCTTTTATCATTGTTAGTATGTGTTATTCAAGGGAGAAGGGAACAAGTTTGAGTGAAGGAAGAAAGGGAGAAGATGATTTACATACCACCAGGTTCCGCGACTTGGCGATCATAGCGCGAGCGAAGTTTTGCCCATAATGTCCTTCGTAAGTACGCAGGAGCTCACGGAGATGAGTGTCGCTTCGCAAGACAATGATATTAATCATGGCCGTCTCGCCGCCCTCCTTCGATACAAGCGCGCGGTGCAAATCCGAGACATCCTGACGAACAAGTCTAGAATCTATCGGCTCGCGCTCATCCTGGCGGCGTTCTTCGAGAACAAGCAAGACGGCGACGCGGAATTTATCAGCGCGCAACTCAGCGCGCATACAGCGCTCCAAACTATCGTTGTATCTCGTATCGCGGAAACAAGACTTAATCTCGCGGATGGCGCCATTGGAGCGACCGATTAGAGACTCGATGAGGAGTTCTCGACGGGATGTGCCGGCTTGGTAGTAGCAGTTGGCCCAGTATGCTTCTGATTCCCAACGGCCGAGGGCGGTTGCATAGGCGACTTTGCCGAAGTTGGAGTTTCCTAGTTTGAGGCGGAGGTGTTTGGCAAGATTGATTCCTTTGCCATGCATTTTGACTTTGTTTTTGTATTCTTGTCGGAGGATTAGAATCTCGTCGGTGCTTAGTCGGGGGAGGACTTGGATTATGGCTTTGTTGTCGATGTTGCGGGTGTGGTTTAGGGCGGCTTGCATTGTTACGGCGTCTGATGCTGCGTCGTAGAATGACACGCGCTTTCTGTCGCTTGAAGGGGAGATTAGGACCACGGCGTCGCCGCGCATGGATGAGCTTGACTCGTGCCGCTCATGGGCAGACGATCGGCTGCGATGTTTATCATCTTTGCGATCATCTCGATCGCGATCCCTCCCCTTTTCCTTCTCCTTGGTTTTGTCCTTGCTACTTCGGATTCGAATCTCCTTTTCGCTCTTCGAGCTGCGCTTGCGACGCCCTGATTCGGAATTCGAGGTACCACCATCCAACTGCTCAAAGTCGGAAATGTCATCGTCACGCGAAGGCATCATAATCGGAGACGGCATGGGCGACATAGATTGATAGGTACCACGGTAAGGCTCCAGTAAAGGACTCGCCGGCGGATGTCCGTGTCCAACATGGCTATGAGCTCCAGCAACAGCCAAATTATTCCCTGAAGAAACAGAGAGACTATGAGGCCGACCACGCCCGCCTCCGGGAGTGATCTCAACGACCTGAGTCTGATGATGAGACGGCTGGGGTTGCGAATGTGGAAGCGGGAGAGGCTGCGGGTGCGGCTGTGGCTGCGGGTGCGGGTGCGACCTGTCTACGAATTGAGGCTCATTGCTATACCTGTACGGATATACAGGTTGATCCCCATGCTGTGACTTGGAGAATGAATCGCGCGGCTTAGAGAATTGCTCCTGCGGCGAAGCGCTGTACGGCTGTACGGGCGTTGCCTTGGAAGTATACCGGACGTTAGGATCGACATGCGCATACTGGTACTGTCCGGGCTGGGCATAGCTCACCGGAGCCGCGTGGGCGTCGGCAGCAGAGGCGGTGCGGTAATGCGATGGAACATACGGACCAGACGAAGATGGCGCATAGGCAGGCTGCTGAGGACCTACATACTGCGGCATGGGATATGTTGGTGCCGTCGTCGCAGGGCCATTGGGATACGCCGAGCCCGTGGGGAACCCACCAGGCATAGACGTTGGCGGTCCAGCTTGCGTGGTAGGCGGGACGAAGCCCGGACGCTCACACTCGGGAACAGCCGCCCAGTCCGTGCCTTCTCCGGGGTACGCAGGCTTGCGCACACCAGGTTGAGAAGGTGGGAAGCCCAACGGCTGCGCATACTGGTACTTTCCCGGTCGCGCATAGCTCGGATGACTTCCAGGGTCATCGCCATAGGCCAAGTCATCATCCAAATCTGATTCCGAGTCCGAATGATCCCGCCGACTCGAACGAGCAGGCGCAACAGGTATGCGCTGCTGCGAGCGACTGGGATGTTCACGCGGGTGCGCAACCCTCACATCATCATCTGAATGCTCATAGCGATCATCACGACGGCGCGAACTATCCGCACCCCTCTCGCGACGTCTCGAATCATCCGAGTCCGAACGAGCATCATAGCGAGCGGGGCTACGAGGGGCACGGGAGACCAGACTGCGCGGATCCTCGGTCTCGACGCGAGGATCGCGCAAACGACCCTCTTTCAGCAACTTGTACTGGCGCTCGATCTCGGCCTCCTCGTCAGAGCCATAGCTGCGGCTGACCGACTTGGAGGATTTGGGAGCGATCTCGACCGCGGGGGAACGGGCGCGGGAACGCTCGCGAGAGGGTGAGGGCACTCGACTGTCGCGCGACCGGGAGCGTTCGCGGCTACGACCAGGGGACTTGGAGCGGGTGCGCGACCGTGGGTCATTGACCTGGAGCGACATCGTTCCAAGGTCCGGTGGTGGAGATGGTGCCGGATCTGGAGATGTGTTTATTCACCGAGTATAGGGGGGTTTCTGGAGTTCAGGAATTGAGCAAAGCTCGTACGAACTGTGGGAGCTTGATCTGTGCGGGGTGCAGAGTGGGAATTGCAGGGTCCTGGCTGATCTTCAGGCTTGGTCTAGTACTGTGTAGTGAATATGGACTTCAGGCCCGCACGAAAGATCGAGAGAAAAGGGAGAAGAGAAAGAGAAAAGAGTTCAGCTCGTATTGCGGCAAGTTTTCCCCGAGTCTTTAGACGTGTAGCGCGTGAGTCTGCACTTCATAAACGGCCCCATGCAAGATGCAAGCGCTTATTGGTTTCGGTACAAGATCTTCAGCCGCTCGTAGGGCGAAGGCGCCAAGGATTGTGTTCTGTTACTTTGTCTTTTCTACATTCCACATTCTACCCTCTATGGTTAACTACATTCTATGTCTATTCTACTCTTTCTACAGGCTGTGAGTTTGGCAAAATCATAGAAAGCTCGATTGGCTTGAATACAGGTTGGAGACACTCGATAGTGCGACACATTTTGTCAGAAGGGAAATACAGAAGGAGAGACAGTTGGGGAAGTGGAAAAAAGGGGTCAACAGACGAGACGAAGAAGATCGGGGTATGGGCGAAAAGGCAAGCTATGCGAACAGACGAAGAAAGATACAGAGTGCTTGAGACAGGGCCGTTTAACGCGTACGGCGACCGTCGCGAATAGGTCCCATGCGGCCACCGTACTGCTTGTACTGTTTGGACGGCAAAGGCGCAGGCTGGCCGTTACGGTTGAGACGGTTGGTTCTCCAGCGCTCGTACCAGACCACACGACTGGCTTCGCGCAGTTCCGATCGCCATTCAGTGAAGACGGACTCCTTGAGGCGCACAAAATCGCAGTGCTCGGCATTGTAGGGATCGGCGAAACCCCAGGGGAAGCGTCGGCCCACAGGCTCTTCGCCGGATGCCAGGGAGTGGGGATCCGGGGAAAGGATTGAGAATGGCACGTGTGGGTTGGCAGGTCCAGATCCATTGGACTTCAAGCTGGTAGGCGAGGCGGGGACGGGGGGGATAGTCTGTTTATCCTCCCCGGTGTCGATCTCCTTGTCTTCCTGGACCTCTTTGGTCTCGTTGGTGGCTTCCGCAGACTCTGTGGCTTCGGTCCCCTCAGTGAGGGAGGCCCCTTCGGTGGGGTGGGGCACATCAATGATAGACTCTTCGTCGGCGCTTTCTGAGGACGTGTACTCTTCCTGGTCCTCCAGGGTCAAGATCTCCAGCGGGTCGATGTTGGCTTTCTTCAAGCTGTCCCAAACCGCCTTGCGGAGGTATCCCATGTGGGCCGCGGTGATAGTATCAGCCTTGCTGATAACAGGCACAATGGTGGTCTTGCCCAGGATGGTGCGCAGCACCTGCAAGTCCAGGTTCTGGTCCAGAACGCCAACTACGGGAGAGTCGGTGGCCTTGGGAGTGCCATTGGCGGCACGCTCAGCAGCAGCAATATTCTCGTCCAGATGTACGGGGTCGAGAAGCAGGAAGGTACAGTGAATGTGGGTGTCCCTAGCACCGGGGGAGCGCACGACCTTCATCTCCTCTGCGAGAGTTTCTTCAAACTTACTCTCCAAGAAACCGGTTACACCACGCATCTGTATATCAACCACGTTGCGCTCCAGTCCGTTTGAGTCCCACAGGGTCAGGCCGACACGCTCGCCATCAATCTCAGTCTCCAGGTACTGGGAAGTAAACCCTTCGTAGGTGGATGTCTGGCTCTCAAGCTCCTCCAGCTCCTCAGGAGTGCGTGAGGGGTGCTTATGCGCGGGCATAGTCAAGGACTGGCGGAGGAAGTTAAGGAAAGATGTCTTACCCGAGTTGCGAGCGCCCACGACCAGGACACTGTTCACGATTAGTATCATTCAGCTCGATTGTATCTCTCTGCGGGGACTCACTTGTAAGGAGTGGGGTCCTTGCGACGGCGAACCCGGCGAGGACTGTTGACAGTGCTCACGGCACTGCTGGCGTAGCTGTAACGGCCGCGGTGGGTCATGCTTTCGTTGCGGGCATAGGGGTCGATAATATCGGCAACGGGAGAGGCCACAGGTTGAGGGGCCGCAAAGCTCGACTTGGGGCGAGGCACAGCAGGGACCTCAGGAATGTTCCCACGTTCCTCACCTCCAAATGTCTCGAGTTGCGGAGCGGGCGAGAGATCCGGCAACCGGGGAGCATTCCGGGGCGCATAAGATTCGCGCTGACGACGTAGATCATCCTCCATTTTCTCGGTTTTGGACATCTTTTTACGGCCGGAGACTTTGCGTTCGCCGAGAGGCTCAGTGGATTTGGAGCGACGGAGGAACCCGAGGGAGGTGCGGCGCGCGTTCAGTGTTTGGGCGTTTTCCGGCAGCGCATCGGAAGGAGTGCGCGAAGAGGGGGTGGTTGCCATTTTGGGTCGTAGCTTGTTTCCAATCAGCCTTTTGCTCTCTTTGTACTTTTGGTGTTGGCTGTTTCAGGTACAGCTACTTCCTGTCCACACCGGAGCACTTACTGACTGGATACAGGATACAGCAATCTAGTATATCTTAAGTACCCACAGAATACTTCGGTATAGGCCTCAAAGATTGAGTCCAATTTGCAGTGCGCGCTATTCGGCGAACTCAATTCGTCGATATCGGCTCACCGGGATCGGTTTCACGTCCGGTCTGGGGGTTGAAACGAATGAAATAGCAAAAGTGGGCTAACAAGGGCGACGAGCTCGCAGCCAGTGTGAGATGTCGATGCTCCGCTGTACGTCGCTACTGGAGGACAGAGACAGGGGAAGAAGAGTCGAAGAGGGGGGGGGGCAGAATTGAAATTCGGGGCTAGGACAAAGTTTCTAGCTCTTTTTTTTGGGGCGGGTCTTTGGGGGGGAGATTTGGGTAGAAATTGAGAAACGGCCTGCTCACAGCGTCCGGCTATCGCGGCGCATGGAGGGAAGAAGAGAAGTGAAGAAAAGTGAGAAAAGGAGAGGTGGAAGAACGGATGGGAGAGATTCAAGATGCGGAGAAGCCTTAGTTTATCGATACGGGTTTCTAGCTTTAATCGGCTTTTACTGGACTCTTCCTAGACGCTTTATCGAATGATCAATTGAAATGATCAATTGATCAGTTGATCCATTGGTCATTAGATGGTGAGGTGCAGATACTGTGCACTACCTGTACGAGATATCACGGTTGCAAGCTTCGTTGTACAGACTGTTGACGCAGACCAGGTAGAAGGGATTCAGGGGTAAATTGAACGAGTCGAGAGCCCGAGTAGGCTCCTCCACTCAGAGCTGAACGCGGTTCGTTCCACGGGGGCTAAGACCAGACCGGGAAGTCTGACTGTCGATGAATCGGAATCTGGGCCATTCCTGTCCAGTTACTTCGCTATTCCCTTTTCACTCGCAGCTGAACATTATTCATTCATACAAGGACCATGTGGAAATGTGAACCCACGAGGCCTCTGAACTGGCACGTGCGTAACGGGTGCCGTTGGTCTCCACTGAGATCGCCATGTTTTGCCTTGTAAAGTGACCCGTCCATTCTGGTGTCCTGAACTTGCGTCAAAGCTACCTTCACTTCGGTCGCACACTCGGGATACCGCGGATCAGATACCCCGAGCCCTCGACCGATAAGAATAATGGAGAGTGGGCACAGCTTCACCAGCGCTCGCGGCTCCATACTTGGGTCTTGACTGGGGCCCAAGCTGATCCTAGCTGCAGCACCACGTTCTCAGAGCCCCATGATTGACCTTGCATATAGTAGCTAGAAACACAATCAGCCTCATAAAATGCCTTTTCCAGTGATATAATACCCATGTGGAAATCAGCCGATACGACACATACTCGGCCAAAAAACTTGCAGCTATCGCCCAACGTCCGACTCCAAAAAAACAACTCATCCCATAAACACGAGCCACCCTCCACATCCAAAACAAACAAACACTGAATGAGTCAGTCCCAGCAAAACACCAGACTCCCCCAAAAGCATCCCTCAATCTCGCGAATTCGCGATGCCGACGTGGGGCCCTGACATGGTAACCGCGGAACCTCCCCCTTTGGAACACGTCCAGGGGTAAGCAGAATAGGAGCAACTATCGAATCCCCAACCACGGGTCCCTCCCGCGTAGTACCCCCGCCAGACAACTGATTGTGTTCTTCGTATCCGAACCCCCCTTAGAAAAGCCCACTGAGCCCAGAAATGCAAAATTGCTTGCGCGCACGTTCCAGCGGCACAGATGTGTGGAACCGGTGTGGGGCGTCGCGTGCATGGTCTTGTCCTCTCCCATCTTTCCTACCTGGGTAAGAGTGGAAGGATTAAGCGGTAGCGTGGTAGCGTGGCTTTTTTTTTCCCTTTCCTTTCGCCAATGGAGCTAAAGCCATGTGTGAACTGGGATCTTGGAAAGCTCTGGTCTGGTTTTTGACTTTTACTTGGCTTTATTCTCTTCCTTATGGATTAGCCAGGACTCTGACGATTACTGGAATCGATTATCTTGGTTGGTGGGGTATTTTATTCCATTTCTAGGTGCTATACTATACACCATACTACCATGCAATATCAGCAGATTAGGACGTCGTCTTCTTCTCCTTCTCCCTTTCGTTCTCTGCCTCTTTCTCTTTCTCCGCCCAGATTTTGAAGGGCAATACCACGCAAGGCGTAGACGGACACGTATGCGTACGGTTCAAAGTCTTGAACTTGGGTCCGTTCGGTCCGGCGACATATTTCGCTTCTCCAAAGATGGATGGTTCGTTCGGTGGCTTGTCGTCTCCCCACTTTCCGTTGAAGTTCAGCCAGGAAACGGGGTAATCGGCGCTGCCGGGGGAGAAGGTCGCTGTTGATGGGTCGTAGGTGTAAGCGTAGGAGTTAAGGATGGGGTCCCATAGGACGCCGCGGTCTGTGTAGTCTAGTAGGAAACCAGTGGGGAAGTTGATGCCGGGGATTGTGTGGTCGTGTTGTCTGATTCATTAGCTTCTAAATGTGTACTCGATCTGGGGTGGGTGGTTACCCTGCAATTGCGTAGTTGGCATGGGTACCATTGCCAGAGTATGAGTAGGGTCGGATACCCTGTTTCTCCAGTGCGCCGTAAGTGAATGCCTGGCCGCTGGCATGCTGACTGAACCAGATGGACTGCGGGGTGCTGTTGGAAAAACGGATCATGTTGTGCTCCCTGTCTATGTCAGTCCGATAGGACATGCAGGTTGCATCGGTCTCCTTACCAGTCACCCATATGATCGCCAAATTCCATGCCCAGGACCTTATCCCCTTTATTGTATCTGGGTGGGTTAGTGGATCTCTCTTCCTTCAAAGCAGCAGACTTACGCATAGAAGTAAAAATAGAACGCATCAACCTCCCCCCTACCGTGATCAACTACAACGATCGCACATCCAGTGCCGTTGCCAGTTCGCCCGTCACTATCGGGGGTGATGCCACGGAACCAGGCCGGCTCAGGGGTCGCAGCGATGCCCCCATGGGATGTAAGGTAGACACTGGTATTACCCATGTTATTAAGCTGATCGAGATTATTGAGGGTCAACGGTGACGGGGCAGTCTTAATCGCAGTCCAGTTCACTTCTGGGGTTGTATGATCCAATTGTGCTTGAAGATCACTTGGCCGGTAAGGGTCTTGACTATGCAGCCAGACTAATGGAGCTGTGCATAGTTAGGATTGTGGTTACAGTCCCAAAAGGTTTTTGTCTTACCATAGTCGTACACATACTGCGGGATAGCTGTAGCCGCACTGACTGGGCAAATCGTAGATATAGTAGTCAGCGGGGCGAACGCCACCAGATTGGATGCCAAGCGCATGGTGATAAAATATCGATTGCTATACAGATACCAACTAGGCAGTCAAAGACTTTCTTCAAGAACGAAGGGCTCAAGCGGTCGCGTCCCAGTCGAGTTCTTATCTATATAGCGATCAGCATGATATAGTCACAAGATGCAGCAAAAAAGCTCACCAAGACCGAGGGTCTTCAACGGGGAATCCTGGGCCCTTGATCAATTGATTGATAAATCAGGAGTGATTACCGGTACGATCTGAACCAGCGCCCCTTAACGTCACATTGCTTTTAATCAGTCCGAGTTGATATGTAGCCACGGGGCCATCACACGGTCTTTGCACCGCCGAGATTCCTCCAAATAGCGATTTTTTCTCCATCATCGGAGAGTCCGACTGCACAGGGAGAGAATTCTTGAGGCGGGGGCGAGGTGGGTGGCCTCTAGGGATGCATTGGAATGTATCCAAATTCAAACCTAGTGCTGCGCCACAGATCGACAGTTCCAGGAACATGCCAGCATGAGAGATTCCCATTTGACAGCAATAAGGTTACGGGACTAAATTAGTGACATGGGCTGCAGGGTTCATTCGCAGGTGACGATACCCCAATGCTCATGACATGGTCATCTGATAAGATGCTTATCACCAGATCTTCGGATCTAAAGAGACCCTGGACCCTTGCGCCCGTCATGCAAATCCTAATTCATCCACGATCATCTCGTGAAGTTTCTCCTCTGCAATAACTACTCGCGAAATCCGCCAATCCCGAGCCTGAATACGATCAGCCCTGGCGACCTTCAAATTCAACAGGTTCACACATCTAACACAAGGAGATGATCAAATTCATATGCAATTCATCTCACACATGCATCATACACTGGCTAAAAAGAACCCTTAAACACCCACCTGTGTAGCTTACAGCTTTTCACCCTTCGCTTTCTCAGCCTCCTCTTCCTTCTGCTTCTCCCGCTCCTTCATCAACTTGAAAATTCTCAAATCCAACGGAATCCGATCTCCCAACCACGTCGCCCTTTGCGTATGATTCCTCTCTTCCTCCGACTCATCATGAGTATTAGGATGGATCAGTGCACTCAAAGGACCGCGATTAATAATCAGCCACGGAACAAAAGCGCCAAACTGCGCCGGCGTGAATAGGTTGACTTCGAACATGGCTACCGGGTGGGGACCGATGGGTTTGTCGAAAAAGGTGTAGATTCGTAGTTCGGGGACTGATGGGTGTTAAGAGGTTAGGTTTGGTATGGATGGGATGAGATGGATGCTTACATTCGCGACGGATACGTTCGTATAGTGCCCGCGCATATGCGGCTTGATCTGGGTTGCTCTATTTGAAAATTAGGCCTTGTTTTGGTTATGAAGGTGAGGCTTTTCGAACCTGGAAGTGGTAGATGTGGATGTCGAATCCGCCGCGTCGGTCTTTGGCCAACGGGTCTGGGAATTCTTCGTAGGCTTTGCTGAGAACGCCGTGCTGGGGGTTTTTGAATGATTTGCCGTCGTCGTTTCTCTCTCTGCTCGGCATTAGTTTTCACTATGGTGATTGATCCTTGTTTGACTCGGGCTTACTCAGACAGCGGCTCGAGGTCCTCATAGCCCTCCAATGGCGATGGGTACGAGAAAGCAAATTGATCCGTCATTGTGAGTATACTTAATGCCCTCAGGTGGTGTATAGGACCTTCTGTGTAAGTTGAGAGGCTGCTCGGTCGCTAAAAAGCTCTGTGAGTGGGCGAGAGCGATTATATATCTGGCGGAGATAGCCCCGCAATTCGAGGGACACTCGGTCTTATCAATTAGCGGCACGCCTGGTCTTGGATGGTGAAATTCAGCTAAATGAGGTATAGCACAAGTGATATCTAAGCATTGCGAAGCTCGATGACTGATGTCGTCAGTTCGGAGGCCTGGAGGGCCGTATCGCCCCGTGCACGACGCACAATTCCGCACTCCTGACAAAGCTGCGGAACACGGCGGGTCCATTCTTGACCTTTGTTTTGTAAAGATTGAAGATCTCATTCGATGTTGGAATGATTAAAGTGAATACAAATATAGAAAGAAGTAGTATGTGCTGTGCATTCATATAATCATAAACCGAAAATTCGAAGACTTCCAAGGTCGCTAGGAAACTAAAAATGCACCTGGTATCTAAAATGCTGCTGTTGGAAACTCTATACCGAGGCCTACTTCCAAGCAGCCTTGACATCAATGTGACCATCGTCGTTCATAACCTTTCCACGATCCCACTCTCGACCTTCGCCCTTCTTCGACCACTTCACCTCATCGGGGTTGCGCTCGCCATCCACCCCGGCGAAGGCGGCATTACTCTTCCACCGATCAATGGTCGCATCATTCATGCCAGCTGCACGCAATCTATCTTCACCCTTTTGTCTCCACTTGGCACGATCGCGGAGCGCTTCGAGGGCCATATCCCAATCGTCCTCCTTGGTCATGAGACCTGCGACAGGGCGGCGAGATGATTGCTTATCTTCGGAGTGTGCGTCATCGGCAGGTTGTACGTCGAGCAGAGGGTCGTAGTCCGCAGCAAAGTGAGCGTCGATGGCGCTTGCACTGGGTTTGTAGGCGCCCCGGCCTCGCGAGCGAATAGGTTCTGAGTCTTTCCGCGGAGGAAGCGGCCCAAATAGATCCTCTAGAGGGTCCGACTCGTCGTCGGATCTATGGCGTAGCGGTGGAATAGTCGAGGATGGTTTGTGTTCGGAATGCCTGGTTGTATCTCGAGATGAACGGCTTTGACGAAGGGGCGCCTCGTCCTGCTCAGACCGTCGGTCCTTGTGTGTCCTGTGTGATCGTGATGAATGCGTGCCGGAGGGAGACTTGGATCGTCGAGAACGTCGCTCGCTGCGGTGGCGTTCAGAACTGCGATCCCGGCGAGGAGACCGGCTGCGAGATCTTGAGTATGATCGCTTCCGACCATGCCGCTCCGCCCGTGATGACTCGTGCCTATGACGCTCTCGTCGTCGATCTGTACGATCACCATCTCTGTGCTCGTCTCTCACTCGCTCATCGTCGTCCCTCCGCGGCTGCCGCCGTGAGCGATCTCGGTCCGTAGATGTAGAGCGACTCCGGTGCCGTCTCCGATGCGAGCGGTGTCGATCGTCACGATCATCCTTGCGATGTCTATCGGTGTCTCGTATACTGCTCTGGCGATTTTGTGTTCGGAAAGTTTGCGATGTAGAGGTCGAGTCACCATTGGTCTTGTTCTTCAGCAGGCGCATTCGGTCTCGCGCTTCACGTTCCTCTTTTCGATTCAACGCCGTGTTGTGATTGTCTGTTTCCTTGATGAGATGTCGCAAAAATCGGGTGTTGGGCTTGGGAGCATTGCCTGCGGGCCTGCGAACGAGCCAAGTAAGCATTCATTCTATGTTGGGGTTGATGCGGGCGTTCGGGAAAGCGCATACTTCCGAGGCATATAGGCTGAAAGACCCTCAGCCGAGTACTTTTGAGAGGTTTCTCTGGCCTCTTTGGCAAGGACCTGCGCAACGTAATCGTCGTCCATGATGTCGCCAAAACAGGGCGTTGAATCGAGTTGCAGTCGCAGCGTGCGGTGTTGGATTGAGGCCTCGGAGCGACCAGATCATTCGGGCCCAGGACTAATAAGATCAAAAATTACCGTCTCATTATCATTAAGGCAGACGTTGGAAGCAAAGGGAAGGCGTGGCGTTGAAAGATCGACCTGCACCTGCCAATATCGAGGCTCTTACCGCCTTCGTATCTGTTATCGCAGGGTGTTTATGTTCCCGCGAATGTTTGCATGCGGGACTTCCAAACATCCTCACGTTGATTCCTCCAGGCTTAAAGTGTCGCCAAACGCGTTATTGAAAATGGCGAACAATACCTTCGAGTCCCTAGGGGCACTTCAACAGCTCGAAACTGACCAGGGTGATCTGAAGAAACAGCTCGCGATTATTCGCATCAGTGAACCCATCTCCGACGTTGTTGATGCAAAGTTCTCTCCCTCAAAGCGAGGCTCCGATGTCTCATTGTCCAATCTGAATGATCCGACTCCAGCTTCTCTAGAGGCTGATCTCACACACTACAAGGTTCTAGAGCCCGTGCCAGACCATGTCTGTATTGAATAACAAATCCTGACGTGATTTACTCACTAGGAACTCTTCTCCAAACTACGATTCTCCTACGTCGAGCAGGTTACAAAAGAGAAATTCCTCCGAGCGATCGTGGGCGATCCACCCCTCGTGGTCGGTCACAACGAGAATGTGGAATTGGAGACACAGCTGGCGGAAGTGAAAGCAGAGCTGAAGGCGAGTAAAGAAGAAGCGCGCTTGATGATTGAGGAGATGGAGAAAATGGGCCGAAATTTGGCGAGCCGTGAGTCTTCAACTCGTTGGTATTTGCCTGTGCTGGCTAACGAGGTGCGGTGCGACAGGTTACAAGAACGTCGAGGTGCAAATGGAACAACTGTCGACTCTCCCAGATGCCATCGAGAACCTCGAGGGGACCATTGCAGCACTACGCGCGAAACAGGTCGCTGGAATGGATACCTCGGATCCACGCTCATCCCAGAACCTCCCTCTTCCTGCGACTTTGAGCCTCTTGGCTGAGCGAGAGGCGGAATTGGCGGCGCTCAACCGACAGATCGCTGCTGTGCAGAATACATTGCCTCGGAAGACAAGAGAAGCCGAGGCGATTGAGAGGAGTGTACAGTGCTCGAGCGACGCAAGATTGAGGCGGTTGCACAAGCTCGTGAGGCACAGCGGAAGAAGCAGGAGGGAGAGAGCGACGGCCTCGAAGAGATGGGTCGGTGGTACCGAGGCGCCGAAGAGACCTTGAAGGAAATGGTAGGCGTAGAGGGATGAATGTCTGGGCCCGACAATCTTAGGAACGATTACACGATTACGGAATCTGGGGAATTGGGGGATCGGCGTTATATTCATTAAGATCTACTGTACAGATAGAAGCCAGGCTATGGCAGACGCATGGGAAGATAAACATTCGGGTTCCGAATTGAAGCCGTCTGGCTGTTTTGATTCATTCAATTTGCATGATCATACAAAATGTGGATATGCTGTAGTCATCACGAACATCCCAGAAGTTTTGAGGTGTTCAAAAGCGAAACCCGACCGTACTCCCGATTTTTTTAAGAGATGATTTACTCCTCATCCTCCTCCTCGGCCTCACCGTCACCGCCGGCAGCGGCAGCGGCCTTCTTGCGGCGAACACGGCCGGGACGGCCGCCACCGAAGGGCGAGGTCAGAGCGAAGTCAATGTGCTTCTGGGAGTCCAGACGGACCATGTAGGAAGGAACGTTGACGATCTGCTTGCCGACACGGATGTGACGCTGCTTGATCAGGACACGAGCGTGGTGGATGGACTTGGCGAGGCCAAGCTTGTAGACGCAGGTCTGGAGACGGCGCTCAAGGAAATCCTCAACCTTAAGGGCAAGGACGTAATCGAGCTTCATGCGGGACTCGTCGAGGACACCAATACGCACAAGACGGCGAATCAGGGCGTTACCCTCGAACAGACGCTTGGGGTCCTTCTCATCGAGAGTGAGGAGCTCACTATGCGACCGTTAGTTTCACATTTCATTCAATAACTGGGTATTTATCCTTCACGTACCGAGCAGCACGACGAATCTTGGACAGGGTAAGCTGGACACGCCACACCTCGCGCTTGTTGCGCAGGCCGTACTCTCCGACAACCTTAAGTTCCGAGTCACTAGATAAAGGTGGTTAGAATTGAACACACGACATAACCAGAAGCACGCTTCTGATTAGTGGCCGGAGAGTACTAACAGACGGGCCGACTCGAAGGCTAGAATAAAATTAGCCTCAATTACACGGAGATGCAGGTTTTTGAAGGTAGTACTCACGGCGACGGGGGACCTTGTAGGTCTTGGAAGAAACACGACTGTGTGTAAAAAGCGGTTAGATGAATGCAATGAACGCATTGCAGAAAGTATACTCACGGGGCCATGGCTGCTGGTTGTCCTGGTTGTCGCGAGAGGTTGTCGAACAAGCACTAGAAAACGATTTCACAGATGGATGGACGTGAATCCTCGCTTCGTGGTGGACTAGTCCCGATATGGTATGGTTAGTAGGGCTTGTTAGCCCTAGTCACGTGCGTGCACACATCGAGTGTTCGGGTTGCCGCTTCACTTTCGACTAAGGTAGCCCGTTGTCGACAATTTTCACCACAACACCAACCACACAACCGCCGACATGCCTCACTCCTACGGTCTGCGCGCCGGCACTCGGGTACGTCTGCGCTTTCGATATTCGATTACTTTTCGCCCGTTTCGAGAGAGATGACATACTAACTGTGACGACAGTATGCCTTCAGCCGTGCCTTCAAGGAACATGGTATGATTCGCATGTCCACCTACCTCAAGACCTTCCGGTACGAATCTACGAAAACCCGCAATCGACTTGGATAAAAGGAATGAGATCTGACGAATTTTTAGTGTTGGTGACATTGTCGATGTCAAGGTCAACGGTGCCGTCCAGAAGGGGTCAGTACAATCCGATTTTTTTTTTCTTTTCTCCCCACTCGCCCAGCAGCGACACACTCGATAACTCGACTTTGCCGGAGAATCCCCTCTGCTCGAGACCTCCCCATGATCACTATCTACAATTTGCGAATGAGAAGGAACATGAACATGAAAAATTGACTGTCAGAACAGTATGCCCCACAAGGTCTACCACGGTAAGACCGGCGTTGTCTACAACGTTACCAAGTCCTCCGTCGGTGTCCTCCTGTACAAGCGTGTCGACAACCGCTACCTCGAGAAGCGCATCAACGTTCGCATCGAGCACGTCCAGCACTCCCGCTCCCGCGAGGAGTTCATCAACCGTGTCAAGGAGAACGCCATCAAGAAGCGTGAGGCCAAGGAGAAGGGTATCCACGTCCACCTGAAGCGCCAGGCTGTCCAGCCCCGTGAGGGCCACCTCGTCTCCGTCTCCAGCAACGTCCCCGAGACCGTTGTCCCCATCGCCTACGACACCCACATCTAAGGGACTCGCAAGGAATGGGTCTGGCTCCGGGTGCGCGTGGTTGTTTGGTGTTTTTTTATCTGGGTTACTCTCCGTTTTTACATCCGACAGGGTGGAATGGATTTTGGCTGCATGAGACGACACGTGAAGGGTCTCCGATGCCCGGCACATATCTCGCCTGTGCATTAGATTCCCCTGAATGAAACAAAATCAAAAATTTCCGAGTTCACAAGTTACTTTCATTCCAAGTAGACTGGAAAGCGGTCCGTCTGGAGCGTCTTGGTGATCAGGCACGTTTTCGCATGGCCTATGCTGCACCAGCCGCGTGCTATATTTGTAATGAAATTTGGCAATGCCGGAAGGAGACCACCCATCGAATTTCTATTTACATAGCTACAGTCTAGAAGCAACGACAGCGCCTCTTGTCCGGGGAGAAGGATTCTTGCAGATCCTGTAGCCGAACCGAAAGCCTGGCCCTCGAGCGCCCGACAACTACGCGATAGCTTCATGTCCAGGTGATGAGAAGCAAGACAGCAAACCTTGTCAAAGTCTAGACCTTCAATCTCACGAACATGTAGGAGTGAGTCGAGAGCCATCCCAGGTCTGGCCCTCCACGGCCACGGCTCAGATCTTCTCCATAGTGCAGTCGAATGAGCCCCTCAAGCGCCCAACAACGCCGCGATAGCCTATGTACAGGCGGTTAAAGGGAAGCCTACAACCCTTGTAAGAGTCTAGACCTCCGATCCTACGGACATTTAGTCAAAATCAACCCTAGCCATGTTCGGGTCTGACCCTCAACGGCCACAGCTCAGATCTTCTCCGCAAAGCATTAACATGAACGCCCAACATCCGTGCAAGTCTAGACTTCAGATCGCCACAGGGGCCTGTAGTTCGCCCGAAACTCACAAACGCCACGCATGACCACATGCCTCGGGGCATGAACAGAGAAAAGAAAAGAAAAGAAAAGAAAAGAAAGGTCTAGAGCTCCATAGTACACCCCCGTTAATCCCTTCTCTCGTAGCACCATCGTCACCGCTCCCGCGAGCCTTGCACTGATCTGACACTGCAGATTTCCCCTGTCAAAAATACGCACTGCCACAGCGCCATGCAAGGTCCGCCTCGTCTCGATGGTAATCTCGCGATAGAGAAATTCCTCGGCCGAGCATCTATCAACTGCGCCACACCGTCTTTCTACGTGCGTCACTGCGATGGCCAAATTCACCTGCCAAGAGCAGAACGAAACCCGTCTTACCCAGGCGAAGGTGAAAATCCCAGGAGGTCCGAGCATTCTCTCATGGTACTCTCTCCTTCGCCCTCATTTCCTCCGGATCGGCCGGCAGGACTGTAATGACCCTACGGAGGTGTATTATCGCCGAGTCCGAAGCGGTAGAACGACAATACCATACGAACCATGACGCAGGGCTCACAGGGCTCACAAGGGCTTGTCAGGGAAAATATAGTGGAATTCTAGTAGCCGAGTCGAGGTCCTGTCAGGTGGACGTGTGATCTACGAGATCCGCAACGGGGTAGCGTGGGTATAAAGTAAACGGGGCTGAATTTGTCAAAGGGTCAAAAGATAAGGAAAATACCGCAGGGAAGAGGCTGCCCCCTCCATTCTGACGCCGTGTAGAAGTTTTGCCACTTCAAAGAAGCACCAAACTAGTGGTTCAGTGTGACGGGGCTTTTTGGGTTGGACAGGGTCCGGGTGCCGTTGATGACGCGGATGAGCCCCGGAGATCGTGCTCATCTGGGCTCCAGGGTTTTTGCATTCTAGATCTGGTATTCCGAAGAGCGAGGTTTATCGGGAAGGTTGTTCCTAGCCCGGGAAAGGGTGTACTGCGAGTCTCTGACCCGGTCAGATCCTAATTCAAGGTTGTTTAGCGATTGTATATTTTCGATTGGATGGTGAACGGGGCACCCGTCCCTCGGTGATCTGGCCTGGTGAGCTATACGATATATCTAATTTTAAATAATCATTTTGTCTATTTTATTCGGCGTTTCACATCGTCATGCAGCCTATGTTCCAGAACTGGTCTGATTGGGCCAATTTGGAAAAAGAGATATTATAAAAAATATTATGGTCTTGGCGCAACCGGTGCGCGTTTTTTTGTGAATGGTCGAAATGTCCACGTCGCGAGTCCGAGAGGAATAGGGAGTAATGATTTAACGGTATACGGGCGGGAATCTTGCCAAACACGACCCGTATCCAAGCCCTCGAGCAAATCGTAGTCTCATGGCGGGGTCTGCCTTGATGCCCGGCGAGCCACACTTGGTTGCACAGCCACTATGGCACGAACGCCCACTGTATATCGGATCGGATCTGTCATTACAGCATCTTTCGATCCGTTTGGTCGATATCAGGAAGCTCCAGAATTTTTTTTGCCTCCATCTCGAGGCCTCATTCTTGTGATACATCGCAAGATCCAAGCAATTGCTCCCCAGGTGCTCGCAGTCGCACATGGTGCTGATGCTGACGCAGGGTAAAAGGCGCTACGTACGTCATGGCTTGCCCCCGTTCACCCGCCGACTAGGGCCAGTTCTTATTACTCGATCAATATTTGATGGATGACCCTGGCAAGATCAGGCATCCACTGAGGAATAGCTTGTCTCGAACTCTCGAGAGTGGAGTCTGGCCCGCTCGATGGCCGATCGACATCATTCCCGTTCCCATCCCCGGCTGAATGGTAGCGCGCGGCCCCTCTGGGTCGAGACCAACGTGGAAGGTTGGGATTCGAGTATGATGGTTCGACAATGGCGGTCTGGTCCCATGCTTGTCTGCGTCTTATTGTTTCCTTGTGGGTAGCGCGATGCACATCGAACGGCGACCTTCGCTCTGAGTCAAGATGGAGGGTACGTTGGGCTCCAATGTCTACGGTTGATCCCGGGCTCAAGCCCAGGTAAAACTTGCGTAAAAACAGACTGGAGGGCGATTTGTTTCTTCCCATAGATTGAAACCCAGGTTAGGGTATGCTCCAAGGCGGAGGGTGATAAGGGTGATGAGGGCAACGAGGGAATGCGCGTGACTCGCACGAAGGGTGACACCGCCACAGTCAAATCTCGAGTGCGAAATTCAAGATGTACGTACGGAGCAAATGATGATCAATACGCGGTAAGGTTAAGGTAATCGGGCTCCGTTCCTGGCGGTATGGGCCCTCCCCCTGCTGTTTCCGCCGTTCGGACGTTTATTACCATAATGCAACTCGCTCCCTTAGGCCATAGGAGCGGTGGACAATGGACTACACCGACTTTCTGCATTGCCATTGCCATTGTTCGCATGAGCGGGCCTGTCAAAGAAGAAGTCAAGCTTGCAGCTTCCCGAGAGGCTCGAATGCATGAAATGAAGTGACACCCCGGGGTCTCCTTGTCTCCCGTGGTATGGGATAATTTTTGCAGCGAACGAATCTTACCGAACCTGGCCTGACAACTTGTGCCTGGAGTAGCCACATCTGCACAGAGGGTTATCCTGGTCAATTATTTCCCCCCATTTTCTTCAAATTCATTTTTATTTTATTTTCGGGACCATGGCCTATTCAGGCAACCGGACCATGATCGTCCAAGCTTCTTTCTAGAAGAAATCAAAAAAAAAGATTCTATTCGCTTTAAGACAGCCAATGGTGGGGCGATCCAGCTCAAGATGAACTCGGAAGAGTCTTGGCCCACAGAATGTGGATCCCCCCGATTCAGGGTGAGGAAAGTTACTGACCCTTTGGAAAGTGAATGATGCCCCCCGGGTAGAGCTTGAACCCGGGTGTTGAGTAGGCTCCAATTCTCACGATTGTGCCTTGCCAGATAGCTCTGTAAAGAAGTTATAAACGGACTCCATATTCCAGCACTTGAGTTGTAGTCTATCATCCCACCGCATCGTCCTTTACCTCCATCGCAGACAGCCATAGCTGCCCAGGTCAAGAACATTGTGCTTTCCAACCATAGCCACCTGTCCACGCTGCTCCATTGACCTCACTGTCCACGCGAGCATCTCTCTATACCAATAACCCCATCATTATTTCTGAAAATTGCCCACTCCCGCCTTGTATACCGCGGCGCCACACCTAAGACCCATCAAAATGACACCCCCAGCCAAGTAAGCTCTCTCTGCGCCGACTCTGCAGCAGCTCGCAGTATCATGCAGCATGCCCATCCCAACCTCCTTGACTTTTGCCTCTGCCCAAGAGTCTAACCACATACTAATTCATGGTCGGACAGAAAAAACGACTTTGCCGGCATGGGCGCATGGGCCACCGTTCCAAAGGGTGGTCCTTCCTCAACCCTGACCTTCGGCAGTTCGACTTCTGCCTCATCTTCCAGCTCGGGCGGCAAATCTGGCCAGGGCCCTTCCCCCATGCTCGAAGCCTACAAGAATTCGCCGACAACCTCGCTGTCGTGGTCGCACCTGAAGGTCACCGCTCAGTAGAGATTGCCACCATCGTCATTTTCGACATCATCATCAGCGATATGGGCTATACTAGGAAACGGAGATGGTTGCAAAGGCGCTAGGTTTCACAATTCTGGGTCGGGGATGGGTCATGCGTCACGGGGATCTCTGGGGTTCGATCGGGTTTGGTGTTTGCGGCGAGGCATAATCGGGTCTCGGTGGGGCAAAGTCTCCGAGCGTCGGTGGCGGACTTTGGGGAGAGCTGTTTTGTCTGAATCTTTGTATTTTTTCCCTTCGCTTTCCTTGGTTTCTCTGTGATTACTTTGCCTGAATAGGCTTTGCAAAGATTTTCATAGATGGAAAAAAAAAAGTAGATTTCTTATTGGCCTTGGCTTCGTGAAAACTCTGTCGTTTCCCTCCAGAGCTGACTGCAGTATGCAACCCCTGGTTTGTACATCTTCCCAGGCACCCCCAATCATCCAAGAGGAAAAATTCCCCTCCGTTGTCACTCTTGAGGTCAGAGTTGAGGGCGTAGAGTTGCCTCCTTACTTCTGCCCAGCTTCCGTACATTCTTTGGTTTAACCACGGTACATAGAACGGGTAGAACCGAGGTTGTGGATCTGAGATCTTAGATTGACTTTGACGTCTTCTTTCTTTGTCTCAGTCCAACCTCGACAAAGCAATTACACAACCCAAGGATATGACATGATCCCACACGCGTAAGGCTGACGAGTCCCTTATTTCTCAGGGTCAGTGCTCCGCACCGAGCTCAGCTGGTCTCTCCCGTACCTGGGCAAAACTCTCTTGGTCGACCCAAGGGAAAGGGAGAATCTCCATTACGTCTGAGATAAGGATACTCGATATCTGCACATCATACGAATGGTCAATCTATTCCTATCTGCCACCGTGCCCGGACGCCCGACCTGAGGAGCTATTGGCCAATGTCGATCGAGATTAAACGAGTAAGACTGTCAACCGTTGCGTGTGGCGATGACAAGCGAGCTTAATGATCGACCTAATTCAAATCTCCCCCAGTCGGTGAACTCTGGTTATAATTTCCATTATTTTCCAGTCGATCCCCGTTGATCATCGTTCCTGCACCCCTGCCCGCATCCTGCTTGATCAGGTGGGAGCAGATTTTTTTCTCTCTCGGGCCGCGATAAGTGTACAAAGAACCGTCAACAGCCTGAGAGATGCGGCATGGATATTTAATACGATTATGGAATCGTCCGTCTTTTGCTACCTCATTTCCTCCCCCGATTCAGATCATCCGGGGCCACACGGAAAGGTGTACCCGCACTCCCCACCTCTGAACGCCCGTCTGACTTCCTCCGTCATAGGACTTCGGGGAGCTGTCCCGGATCCCATATCCTATGCGATTTGTCCGGAAGTGTTTCTCGGGCCCGATGGATCTCGCTTCGTAGGTCATTCGCAGGGATCTATGCTCGAACGCTGTCAAGAAAGTCCCGAAGATGACCGGGACGGAGCCTGCATCTGTCCTTGGGAAACCAACATTGACCATGGCAAATGATTGGTTTATTGTGTTTACCACTCATATCAAGGGCATGCGGTTATAGACGGAGATCCCGAACCATCCACTGTAGCTGTCCCAGTGTACCTTGCGGTGAACCCGCCTCACTGTCCCGTGACCGAAAACAGACACTCAGTTTCCTGAGCGCCCAATAATGAACTGGCGGATTTGGGATTTCTAAGCCCCTTGAATATATGCCGGACCCCCTTGTAGACGCCAGGTTGGCAACGCCAGTTTTATGCTATCGTCGCAGGGCGACTAGCGAGTCCCCGACAAGGAGGTAGTAGAGTGGCAGGTGATAAGTAATCCCGTATCCCGTGGGAAATAGACAGAGGAAAGAAGGCGCCACGTATTGCGAAATCCAGGCCGACGATAATTGAAATAGGGTTCGAAAAAGAAAGGGTTGCTCAACGTAGTCGCTAAGATGAGAATCCATGGACTCCATGTGCGCAGGTGAAACACCGGCAATGGTCGTACCTGGGGACCAATCAGCATACAATTTTCAATAAAATAGAGGATTATTCTGCATTTAGAGGTACATGGATCACGTTCCACATCGATCGGGCGGCGAACGCTTGTTGGGCGGAAGTCTTTTGAGGCTCTTGGTCTGGGGCGGTGCGCGTTCCCCTCACTAGAATGAGGCGAAGCAAGCTCCATCACCCAAGTTACGGAATATTACAAGCTCGAGGTTGGAACGACGTTTCAATCCGGGTGTTGCTCACCGATTCTTCTCTCTTTTTACTTTGATGCTGTCATCGGCACTTGAGCCCTCTTCTCGCCCTCAGGCTCCAACCCTCCACCTGACGTCAAATTTGGCCCCAGGCCCCGATCGTGAGGGCGTATAACTCAAGGAGATAAAGATCATGGATGTGAGCGTTGAAGCACAGGCTGGTTTCTTTCCGCTCTGTTCCTCTCTTATCCACCGCGGGTCGGCATAGCTAAAATACGCCTCCCCGGTCGTGAAGACCCCCGACTGGTAATTCTCCTTAGGGTTTTTACCCAGGTGAAGCTAGTGCAAATAGGAAGGCTCGTTTATTACCTGGTACTCACAGGTATAAATTCCGACTTCCCTCCCCCCCCCTACCGCCTTACGGATTGCCAACAGCGGTTTTTCTCCTTCTTCCCCTCTATATACTTCCCCTTCCCACCATTTTAGGGCGACTCAGTTACACCAGGCCCAGGTCCTGGTACATCACTCAAGTAAATTTATCTACATGCTACTCCATACCGCCAACATGGACCAGTTTCCCAGCGCCAGGGTCCCCCCCGACCAAGACGGCGACGTGGCAGCCTCTATTCTCACGCAATCAACCGTGAGCGGTGGCTCCTACAATGCCATGCCACCCTTCGACATGAACCATGGATTCAACTATCCCGTAAGTTGTACTGTTTGACTTCCACACCGTCACATCTCCACCAATTCACACTAGCTTTCGAAGTGTGCTGCATCAAGGGTAGCTAACAAGCTCTCTCTCCATAGGAGTCCTCCGAGTCTTCCGAACAATGTTATGACCAGAGCCACCATGCCCAAACTGCCTCATCTGTCACAAGCTATACGCCCATGAACCTGTACAGGGTCGACTATCTTCCTTACGATATGATGTCATCAACTGGCCCTGTTGACCCCCAAGACACTATGCTGCAGGGAATTACCGGCGGCGGGTCTTCGATCAACACGGCCATGCTCGCGAATTTAGGAAGTAAGAACATGGAAGAAGACCTGTCTGCCGCTTCAAACTCTCTTGGGCGGAATGACGAGACAAGTGCTTTGATTGGATTGACTCGTGCTGAGGCAAGAGTCTCACAGCCGCCAACAGGGGACCCTGGCCCAGGACAGACCCTCAGGGAATTCAACATTGATTACTGTAAGGTTCTATTCGACGAGGAGTGCAGTCAGGATGCAGTCCGCCAAGCCAAACAGAAGTGGGTTCTTTTGGGGGACCATTTGGATGCCTTCCAGAGACGTCAGAACTCCTCGACCGTGCCGCCTGATCATACCCCGCCATCCTCCACCAAGTCGTCGACCGTCAACAGATACAAATGTCCGGAGTGTGATAAATGTGACACGAACAACAGAGGAATCTTCACGCGGCATGTCAATGATATGCATCACCCGAAATGCCAATTCATCTGCTCCGAACACAGCTGTCCTTTTCAGAGACCTAGAAAACATCAGCTCAAAGATCACATCCAGCTCAGACACAAGCGTGTGGCCACCGAGGAAGAGCTCGAGGCATGCAGACGCGATAATGCTTGTCCACCTCTATGCCCTTTCTGCTTTGTCAATACATCTTCGTGGAAAGATTTTGATAAGTGTTACCTTTTGCACTGTTCCTACGGGACCGGGATATCATCTCGTCGTACAAGCGTCGACCAAGGAACCGTTGGAAAAGAGGATACACTCAATACCGACCAGTCACAGCCAGGTCCGAGCCCTGCGCCGGTTCAAGCACCGAGTAGATCAACAAACACTCCTGGAGCGGTCGGCTACCATCATTCCGTCTTTGGGGGGAATGGTCCAACACCGCATCCCACGGTGCCTCCAAGTTCCTCCTCCTCCCCATTCAGAGGCAACGCCGGTCCAAACTACCCCCCAGGTAATGCAAAGCACCGCCCTAACACCGGACAGCCTACCCCAGGGCCTCGTCGCCCTCATCACCAATCCGGGCTCCCTAATCGTAGTGCACAGAACCTGGAACAACGATCATACAGGCAAGGATCTGGCCTGAGCTGCCGACGATGCTCACACAAATTCAACAATTGCCCGACGTGCCACAGTTCAAATAAATCGACCCGCTTCTGCCACAAATGTCCGGATTTCCTTATGATCCTAGCCAGGGCTACAGCCAACCATGAACAACAGATGGGTGGCCCACCGCAAGGCGTACCAAATTTCATCGACCCAACTGTAACTTTGCTCAACCAAGGACATCAGGCCCAGCCAAGTCCCAATCAAGCAATGCAAGGGCAGTATCCATCTGGTACCACTTATTTCAGAGTCCCAGATTATAATCCAAATGGCGGCATGGGCCCAGGGTTCGATGGCCAGCAGAGAAACTACCGGACCATGCCCGTCTTGGGTCTTGACGAGCCCGTCTTCAGCGAGTCCGAGATGGTATGGCCATCGGCGCTTGATATCAAGACAACTTCGCTCAGCGGATCTTTGCTCAAAATGCTCCCAATGATAGATCTGGATCCATTCAAGAAGTGGCTATGCAAGCCGCTTCAAGGACTAGGGTCATTGGCTCTCAGTGGTAAGTCAAGTCCATATACACACCCGGCGAGATGGGCGAGCCCAGAAACTAACACCAATAGGTCTTGACTTCGTCACCCAGTTTGATCCACCTTCAAGCAAAATTGCAATGGTGAACCCAGACTGCCAGTGCAAGTGTGCATGTCGAGCTAAAGCCCGAGCTGAGCTAGCATCAGGCCGCAAAGTCGAGATGAAATTTAAGCTGCGCCCTGTGTATCGTGGTACCAGTCATCTCCGCAGCCGGGTTGAGATCGTGGTGAAGCTTTTAAAATTACGCTCATCCGTGACTGAGTCAAAGGCCAAAAGAGAAGAGGCCAAGTCAGCGATCGCGCAAGCTTTCGAGCCGACCCTAGGCGACCGCGCCGAGGAAATCACCAACTATGATTCTGATGTTTCGGATGAGTCGGATGCCGAATCTGTGTTTGATGAAGATGAAGATGACACCGATGCACTGTCTACATCCTCCTCCTATGCCGATCTCCAGACTCTTGTCTCCACCAAGTCGAGCTCTTCCACCTCTCCGGTGGACTCGTCTGATAACTCGTTGCTGCACTTCAGTGACGGTGAGAGTGAAGAAAACAATGATGGCGATATCCTTATCGAGTTCAACTTCGACCTAGGCGCCGCCCTTTCCAAATTGGAGAAATGGACAGGTGGGTCGTCCATGGATATGCTTTCGGACATGTGCACCTCGGACCCTGGCCGACTCTTCGAGTACCTCACTGCATATATCCTGTACGTGATCATGTCCTTGGCCCATTCGCAAGACCATGGCAGTCTACGCCGCTTGGACAATTAGACGATCTCTTTTGCAGTTCAACATCATGAGCCACCCACCCTTCATGATACCCCGTTGCTTGGTTTACTGTTTGCTTGTCTGCCTTTGATGATTTTTTTTTCTGTTTTTTCCTCTGTGCAAAATCTCTCATAAAAATTTCCTTCTCTTATACCCACCCCAGCTATCCCAACATGGCTGACAATTAGTCTTGGTGAGTGCCCCCCTCTTCCTATTTTCTTTGGCGCTGAATCCTAATGGCAACAGGACAAAAGTGTACATTCTGGGTGTTCTCTTCAGTGTGTATAATTAAAGACTAGACATGGGCTGTTCCTTTCAATTTGTTAGTTTTTTTTCATACTTTCTCATGGGTGGCCCTGCATGATGTTATGACTTATTTACTGCAATTGCATGTGTTACAATCAAATCGCTCAACTTTTCAACATAAACCCAGTATGGTCACCTTCTACAGACAGTATTTTTGATCCATACCTTTAGAAATAGTGATGACCGTGGGATATGGAGCAAATTCAAGTAGGATGACGTAATCGATGCGGCTCAAATGGCTGCCAAGCCAGCCTTGGCAATTTGGTAGCTCGATGCTTTTGTGATGTGTTGAGCGCGACGTAATTCCAAACTGGCTATTTGCCAGAATGCGATGCGAAGCTACCAGATCTGCCCGTAATGAGATCTTCAAATTCACGCGAATCTTAAGACATCTTCGAAACGAGGAGAGGAAGATTCCCCGTTGACTGATTTGAAATACCACACCAGAAGCAATATCAATTATAGGGTGCTAAAGTAGCGAAACTGATCCTACTCCACCAAAGTAGAGGCCATATTTAAAGGACAAATCCTCTTAAAGAGAGACGAGAGTGTCAAGTGAGAAAAGCCGTGAATCGGACGATCTGAAATCACGCAACAAGATCATTGAGATTCTTCTCTACGGCTTTCATATCACCACCAACTACTTCGCTGAACTTCTGCCCATCCTTGAAGAACATAAAAGTAGGCATAGCGCGGACATTGAGTTCTTGGGCAACATCCGCCTGTTCATCAACGTCGACCTTGTAAAACTTGACTTGCGGGAAACTCTCGCTGAGCTTTTCGTAAACTGGAGCGACGGCTTTGCAGGGGCCGCACCAGGTTGCCCAGCAGTCTAAAACAATGAGGTCTTCAGAGCCGAAGATCTTCTGCATGAAGTCCGACTTGCTGTAAGACGGGTCAATTTTGTCGGTGCGGGGTAAGCGGGGTAAGCGGGAATATTGACCTTGTGATAGAGACAATAGACATGATGGTTTGAATATCACTCGCGATCTTTGAAAGATGAGGTATTGGGAGTGATGGCGAATACTGAGGATGGATGATCGACTTTTTATAGAGCACGGGTTGTTTCGGAATTCAAGGTTTGAAGTGGTAAGGTGGTCCAGATTGAAAGAGGGGCTGTGGCATGATGTCTAGCCCGATTGGGACTTTTACGGTGCCCACTCAATGGAATTAGAGGTTGGCTGATCATGAACTTGAGCTGGACTGTTGGACAAAGGTTTTTATGCTCAGATTGTTAGTCGACATATGTTCATCGTTAGTTGTGACTTTTATCCTTTCGTGCCAGTTGGCGAAAATCGATCGTGGTTCAATGTCTAGTTCAGACACACTTGGGCAAGGAAGGAAAAGCCCAAGAGACATAGCAACCATCAACATCAGTGTCTTTCTGGTACTCTGGTTTTCCTCCCAAGTCTCACAGTATCTAAGGATCTAGGTGCTGCAAGCCTCAGAGGAAATTTCTATGGGAGTCCCTCAGAACATAATAAGTTTCACTCTCCTGACCATGGTTGTTCAAATAAATGTAGACAATTCAGTGAAGAAGTGTACCCAGCAACTATCGATTTAGACGTTGATTGTGAAAAATTGAACTGAGTGTTCAAATCGTTGTATTTGCTCGCCTTGTTCAGGAACGATGAGCGTCTCCTCGACGGTCAACCCGCCGTTATGGAATTGCACATCTATGTAGTGGCGTCCCAGGAGCTGTTCAAAGGGCATTTAAATTGGTTTTCTCTTTCAGGGTATTTAGATCTTGAGTAGTAGCTAGAATTTGAAGTTTTTGTTTCTCTTACGGTGCATGGCGGAGTTACGGCTTTAAGTCCGGTCGTCGGTTTTTGGAACGCTTCTCCTCCGATCCAGCATTTCGAACATAATGGAATCTTTGGTAGATGAAGATGAAAGTAAAGCTTTTAACGGAACCTTCAGATTGAGAATTAATATTTCTTGCTCTCTTCCATGGCGCCTTCATCACTTTGGCCCAGGGATTGTTGGACGACAAGACGGGAACCTGGCGTTCGTAGCAAATTTGGCCGCAATGAGCCTCTGAATGACTCTATAACCAAGTGTTTAAACTGGATTGATAAGCCGGGGTTAAGGGGGTTTTGTTTAGACTATTCATAATCACTTGGGAGGGTGCTGACGCGAGACCACTTATAAAGAGCCGTCTCATAGCAGCATTCTAGTCCCATCAAAGCACAAACAACCTCAATCTAATAATCAATTGTCCAGTATGGATCGTACGGTCATAATTACTGGAGCCAATGGATCATTGGCCCTTGGTTTTGTGGATACATTCCTCTCCTGCTATCCTCAACATACATTGATCGCGACTGTGCGCAATCCGTCACCTCAAGACGATCCCAACACAGCAAAGCTCACGCGATTGATTTCGAAATATTCGAACCCCAAAGTGGTCATCGAGGCTCTCGATCTTGGAAATATTGCTAGTGTACGCTCTTTTGCAGAGAAGCTCAATGCTAAGATATCTTCTCGAGAGCTCCCACGTATCTCAACCATCGTTTGTAACGCGGCCACGTTATCACTCGAGGCCGGACAGAAGTTCACATCAGATGGGAATGAGGCCACATTCCAAGTATGTCATCTATCTCATTACCTCTTGATTCTGAAGCTCCTCGGAAGTATGGACTTTGGGTCTGGACGTATCGTCATGCTCGGCTCAATCACACACTATCCAGAGAAGCCAAACCCTTTGTCTTCGCTTAGACCCGGGCTTCCTGAGAATATCGAAGATCTCATCAAGCCAGCTCCGGATGCTTTGTCACTAGTCCACGACAGAGGATACCAGAGATACGGCACCGCCAAACTTGCAAACGTGATATTTGCAGAAGATCTGAACGAACGCTTTCGAATGGTATGAGAGAGCCACATAGAGGAAAGATCTTTACACTAACGATTGCACACCAGGACTCGAAGTTGTCAAATATGACTGCACTGGCGATGGACCCTGGAGGCCTCCCTGCATCGAGAGCTCAAGCGAAACAAAAATCATCCATTCGAATGATTTTTGCTACAATCAACTTTCTCATGCCTGTTTTGAAGTACCTTACTTCAGTATTCCGCACAACGGAAGATGCCGGCCGAGACCTCGTCGCTGTGAGCATGGATCCGACCTTTCAAGGAAAAGGAGGCTATTACGTTGGTCAAAAGAAGGATGCTCCAGCGGCGGTCAGTACGGATGAGAAGGAACAGAAGGTGTTGTGGGCAGCATGCTGGAGATGGGTTGGTCTCAAAGCCGATGAGACAGTGCTTCAAAATGTGGCTCTTTAACTGTCATATACCCAATAATTCGACCACAAGCGGCCAGGGATAGTGTTCCGATCTTGAATAAAAATACACTCTATTTCTATCTAGCCGTCGCTCGAAAATTACCTGATATCCTTGAAAGTCCTATACAAAGAAAAGCGATAAGAATAGAAATAAAACTCAAAAGGAAAGGGCAAGAGGAAGAGAAGGTTGTGTCTTCCATCGGGAATAAATCTCTGTTCTTCCATATCTAGGTGGAGCACTCTAATTTAAAAACCCAGCAGTGGTCTATGGAACTTTAACTTGGCTTCGATTACGTGCGGGGGCTTCCAAATTTGCTCAGACAAATACCAGATCCTTTTGAGATCATGGCAGAGAGCCTAGAGCCCGCCTAGAGCCCGCCTAGAGCCCGCCTAGAGAACGCCTAGAGATTGCCTAGAGTCAACATTGGAGTTTAATTGGGTGGTAAGGTGGATTACGCGAATTGCACCACATCTCGTGGTAATTGACACTGACCGAGGATCAAAAGCAAAAACGCAGATACGACGACTGCCTAGCCAGATTGGGATGGGTGTAGCGGGCTATACGCAGCTTTATAGCGGGGGCTCGGTTGCCCTGGTCGTATAGAGCTAGGATGGTGCTTCAAACCCCAGAAATGTGAGCATCCCGTGTGCGTGGACTTGGGTGGCCAAAGAAGGCAAATTGAGACCCAAAGAAATTTCAAAAAAACCCTGGCATGCTCTGCCCCGCGTGTCAGTTGAATTCGAGTGGGTCGCTCTTCAAGGCCCTGTGGGCCCGTTAATCTCATGTATCGTCAGTGTATCTTTAGCGCCGCTCGTCTGATAGCGACCAGAGCGGTGCTCGAGCTCGAGACTACCGATCATGACAGGTAAATACGATCTTATAAATACGAATCAATCGCCTCAAGGCAAATTTGCGAAGCGGGAACAAGAGTTGAGGCGTTCGGCTAAAAAGCAGTGGTGTCTCGAACCCCCCATTTGCGATTATACTCTAATATCACGACATCGCGCCAAGGATTGCGTTTTCGCCAGCTTCGGGAAGCTCTGTGACACTTCTATATTATGCCCATGTGGCCGTCATGCCTTTTTTTCATCAATAGTGTGCTCTCTGGTTGGTTTTTTTTTTTTACAAGTACCCCCTGTCTCACTTTCCAAGTCCGCTTTTTACTTTTCTTCACTTTCAAACTTCCCTTTTCTCCGAACTTGGCGTTGAGCCGGGCGAGCTTCGACCATGAGTGGGAAAACATCCACCAAGGTTGGCCATGCTCTGGCGGCTGCTCTGAGGATTGACCTGGGATCGGAATCTTACTCCACATCTGGCGATGGCCGTCATGCCTACATTGAGCCCGATCCGACCACCGGAGAATGGATCACGGCGCATACACCTACAACCAAACAAGTGGGACGCTACTTCTACAACATCTTCCCATTCATTCACTGGATCGGGTACTACAATTTGCAATGGTTTATTGGTGATCTGATCGCAGGTAAGTCGAGAGATGGAGAAATGACCCCGTATCAGAAGGTATACTCATCGCTTTAGGTGTGACTGTCGGCGCTGTTGTGATTCCCCAGGGCATGGCCTACGCCGAGTTGGCTAATTTGCCCGCCGAGTATGGACTCTATTCGTCTTTCATGGGTGTCCTCATCTACTGGTTCTTTGCGACTTCCAAAGATATCACGATCGGAGTAAGTGGATCATCCCCATGTCGATCTCCCGACAGCAGACTCACACTTATTAGCCTGTCGCCGTTATGTCTACTCTCGTCGGTACGATTATCATCAAAACACAAAAGGAACACCCAGGTCTCTCAGCTCCAGACATTGCTTCCGCGCTTGCGATAATTTGCGGCGCCATCGTGGCTGCACTCGGATTCCTCCGTCTTGGATTCATCGTCGACTTCATCCCCTTGCCCGCGATCATGGCATTTATGACCGGATCTGCGATCAATATCGTCGCTGGACAAGTCCCAACTCTCCTCGGTGAAACAGCAAAATTCTCAACACGAGGAGCCACCTATGAGGTGATCATCAATACACTGAAATATCTGCCCACGGCCCAAATGGATGCTGCAATGGGCATGACTGCCCTCGGCTTACTTTACGCGATTCGCTGGGGGTGCAACTACGCAGCTAAGAAGCACCCAGCAAAAGCCAAGATTTTCTTCTTCATTTCCACTCTCCGAACCGCCTTTGTGATCCTCTTCTATGTCATGATCAGCGCTGCTGTCAACCTCCACCGCCGGGAGCACCCGGCCTTCAAGATCCTCGGAACCGTCCCCAGAGGTTTCAAGCACGCGCACGTTCCCAGGCTCGACAAGGAGATTATTAGTGCTTTCGCTAGCGAGCTTCCTGCCGCGGTCATTGTTCTGTTGATTGAGCATATCGCTATCTCTAAGTCATTTGGCCGAGTCAACAACTACACGATCGACCCATCTCAAGAGTTCATTGCTATTGGCATCACGAACCTCCTGGGTCCATTCTTGGGAGCCTATCCCGCTACTGGGTCCTTCTCTCGCACTGCAATCAAATCCAAGTCAGGTGTCCGTACTCCTCTTGCCGGTGTCATCACTGCGATCGTGGTCCTTCTGGCTATTTATGCCCTCCCTGCCGTCTTCTTCTACATTCCAAAGTCATCACTATCGGCTGTGATCATCCACGCCGTCGGTGACCTCGTCACTCCTCCCAACACAACATACCAGTTCTGGCGCGTGTCTCCAATCGATGCGCTCATCTTCCTGATGGGCGTGATCGTCATCATCTTCTCCACCATCGAGATCGGGATCTACTGCACCATCTGCGTCTCAGCCGCAGTCCTTCTATTCCGCCTCGCTAAAGCCCGAGGCCAATTCCTCGGTGCAGCCAGAATCCACTCCGTCGTCGGCGACCACGTCCTAGACGACGCAGCGACCATCACAAACGCCAAACTCGAAAGCGACCGAACAGTCTATCTCCCCATCTCCCGAGAAGATGGCCACAATCCTGAAGTCAAGATCGAACAACCATCCCCGGGAATCTTCATCTTCCGCCTCTCCGAAGGCCTGAACTACCCCAACGCAAACCACTACACAGACTATCTCGTCCAACACATCTTTGCGACAACCCGTCCCTCAGACGAGAGGCCAAACACCAAAACCGGCGATCGACCATGGAACGACCCGGGCCCGAAAGCCAAAGACGAGGCCGAGATCCTCACCCGCCCGACCCTCCGTGCCGTCATCCTTGACTTCTCATCCGTCAACAACGTCGACGTCACCTGTGTCCAGACCCTAATCGACGTCCGCAATCAACTGGACCGCTACGCCGCACCCCGCCGCGTACAATGGCACTTCGCGCACATCCACAACCGCTGGACCAAGCGCGCACTAGCCGCAGCGGGCTTCGGATACCCCACACCCGAATACCTAGCAACAACGCATAAGTGGAAGCCCATCTTCAGCGTTGCGGCTCTTCACGATGATCCCTTCACCGTGGCAAATAAGAGGAGATCAGAAGATCTGGCACGAGACGTTGAGACCGGATTCCAAAAAGAAGCTGCTGCACAGTCGACGGAGAGCGAGATCGAGCCTGTGGATAAATTGTCTTCGGAAATTCGTCGGGCCAGTGCTGGTTCCAAGTCGGGTGCGAAGAAGGCTATTGTTGAGGGTGTTAATCGGCCATTCTTCCATGTCGATTTGACGACTGCGGTTCATAGTGCGACGTCGGGATCTGGGGAGTACTAGATTGATACGCGAGTTTTTTTTTTTTTTTTTGATACCATATACGGGATGCTAGCTAGAAGGAACTTTGAACATTTAATGGAACAATTTTTGGCAAGAGTATGCATTCTCGTAACAGGTCGTTATCATACAACGTGATCATATTTGGACATAAAAGTACAGGGAGGATGTATATGGTTCTCGATGGAGAAACGTGTTGTGATCCTACAAAATGAGAGATCAAGACTCTGAACCTGCAGGTCACGGATCAGTGGAGCTAGGTGACGATCAACACAACCTAGTAATGAGTCGGTGTGGATGTACCGCCACAGCCACGCGCCCTCCTCTTCTCAAGTAACGCGCTGTTATTCAAATTGAGATTGGAGAGCGTGGAGACTGTTTTGTTGAATCGTTCACCCGCCGTAGTTTCGTTCGCCGATGGCATTCTCTTCGCGCGATTTACTGCCTGTGGTCGACTCCGTGCAAGCGCAGAAGGCGTACAATTATCCATGGTCATATCGGAAAACCGGGTTATGGGCTTTGGTCTTGTTGGCTTCATGTCTGGCCTGGGACCTTGCGACATGTGTCTCGGTCCACGTCGGGGCTCTGATTGTTGTACAGAGAGGGCGACGTTGAAAATGTCTCGAATGTTCGGGGTGTGGGCGTTGGGAGTTCCGGGGGCGCTTTCGATGGCTTCTTGGAATAAGTCCGGGGGCGTCTGCGCCCCTGCACTCATTTGAGATCCAAAATCGTGAGTGTCTATTGCGGGCGTGGAAGCATGACTCGCGGGCTTGCTATCGGAGTTTTGACGAATCCAAGGGTGGGCAAGGAATTCCTTAATGTTTAATCTTTCTTCGGGATGGACAGCTAAGAGGCCATTGATCAAATCTTTTGCTTCTTCTGATATGGGGTCCCAATTTGGAGATGCAAATTCGTACTCTCCTCGAAGGACCTTCCGGGCCATAGCCTGGAAGTCCTCGTCGAAGAATGGAGGGAAACCTCCTAGCATGGTATAAAGCAGACAGCCGAGAGCCCACATGTCCACACCAGTGGTATACTTCTGTTCGCTGCAGAGTTCGGGGGGCAGCGTAGCCCATGGTGCCACAAGGTGTCATAGTTGGGACACCACATATCATCTTTGATAACCCGAAGTCTGCGAGCTTGACCACGCCGATATTTCCTTCGTCATCGTTTTCGTTACCGACCCGTGGGTAGAATAGAATGTTTTCAGGTTTAATGTCTCTGTGGTATGATGTTAGTAGCTATTCCACGAAGGAGCTTCAATCAGGACTGGTCCTACCTATGAACGATGCCCATGGTCTCATGCAAATATTCAACAGCCTTGCCGACTTGCTTGATGACATGTCGGCTTAAGTTCTCGTCCAGAGAGGTAAGTTGGGTAATCTGGTCGTATAGTTCGCCTCCAGGGCAAAGCTCTATAATCATATAGCTAAATTGGCGGGTTTCGGAAGCGTCGATAAGATGGACGACGTTCTCATGCTTGAGTTTCCGAGCAATCTCAACCTCTTTGACCAACTTTTGTTTCTGCGATAGGGTCAGCTGAATTGAGTTTTTCCAACAGTATCTATTTACTTACTTGCGTCTCATTCATCTCGTACTTCTTCATGACCTTGACAGCAACTTCATTGTACTCGGATTGGGTATCGCTCGCACGATAGACCGTGCTGAACGCACCATCCCCAATCTTCTCAATCAAGCGCCAGCGCTCAAGACCAGGATAACTTGGCATACTGTTCGCGGCACACTGGGCCTTTGAGCCCCCATTGGAGGGCCGCGCACTATCATTCTCACGAGACTCTATAGCTTTGGCGCGAATACGCTCGATCACGCTTCCACGAGCGGACGAGCCGGACATTGTACCAGTTGTCCGTGTCTGGGTAGTAGTAGTAGACATGAGTAATTATACGAGAAAAGGTTCTAGACGAACTGATGAACAATCCAACTGTCTAAGTGAAATGGTCTGCCTATAACAAGGGATGGCTTGGCATATGACGTAGCCGCGTACCTTGTTTGGGCGCTCGGAAGCCTGTTAGCCGCGTCATGTACAACTGTAATTGTATTCTTAGGGGAGCTAATGCGCGGAAAGTCTATGATTGTGGGGTAAAACCCAACGAAACGCGCAAATTGCCACCAGGATCTTCCCGTTCGCATGCTGTTCAAGAATAGGCAGCTACCAAGCTCGGGCTGCCGTTCAGCCACTTATGGTGGCCGTGGAAGGTTGGGGGTCTTATCGCAGGTGATGAGTCTACTCATTGGACGTCATCTGTTGGGTATGCTAGGCAGTGGCGACCTTGGAATCATACTGTATTCGGAAACAAGGGGTAGGTTTGATATCAAATGGGACTGTAATTGGCTGGTCCTACAGACCGAGGCGGAGCCGAATAATGTGGTCCCTGCCATTGGCGGAGTGTTTGCCGCAGGGCAGATTCGTGATGAAACGATCGTCAACCACGCTGGTCAGCTGATCAACTCTCAGGTACTGTACGAGCTACGCCCTGTATCCTTCTTCCGAGGGCATCCTTGGCTTTGGCGTCTAACCGCATTCGAGCATTCCACCAATGATGACCCGACTAGATCTCTCCAAGAACCTGCCCTTCCGCGTTCAGGGATGATCGACACTCCCCACTCCACGCTCTCAAGACAATGACTTCACAGTGGGTAGAAGATAGCCAGATGGATAGAGGTTCGACTGATCCCAGTACATCTGATAAACGCCCGACACGTTGGTTTCCTTAAGGCGGAAGGAGTCGCTCAGGTTCCCATTAGACTCTTCCCACATGAGATAGGTCCCGTAGAAGAGGAAACTCTCAGTCGTCGCAGCAGAAGGAGTGCTAATTCCGTTTCCGGTAAACCCAACCTCAGTGATCGCATCGGCAGTTGGCTGGATGTAGAAAAGGGTGTCTGCGTCCAAGGTGACCCCAGAGGTGGTGGCGGTGGTGGGTAGCTCGGTGTTGCCGATCGTAACTAAAGAAAGTCAGTACACAGATCCGAGCGACGGTTCAAAACCACACATGATGTTCATTCCAGCCTGAGACCATTGACAGGCTCCAACCCACACTCAGGGCGCGAGGACTTACATGTGACATCTGTTGTGACACTTCCGTACGTCCACAGCGACGAGTCGCCGGCATATGCAAGGCCTTTGCCAAAAAGTTAGATTTTTGAGCCACAGCTTGAACTTCGCAAGACCGACCGTCAGAGTAGAAAATCTTAATGTAAGAAGAGGCGACTCCGTATGCGATCAGACTGAAAGAGCCTGTCGGGTTACGCTTCTCCAGAGCTTCACCTGCTGGCGCAGCCAGGGAGCCAGAGGTCAGAGCAAAAAAGGTGGCAAGAGTATTAAACTTCATTTTGTTGCGATCAAAGTGCGGAGCCCTGATCTTGACGATCCCGGCCCCTTACGTAGCTTTTATATCTCTACAGTAGCTATAGTCTGCTATGCTGACGGACCTTATTGTTGGTGCTATGATGGGGCTACTGCGCGGTGACGCGGCCGAAGGAGCTTTAAGTTAGTGGGTTGCGCCCCATTCAATGAACACCAGTAGAAATGTCGAAGAAGTACCTGCATTGTTTCACAAATTCTACTTGAGAATATGGCCGACATGTGCCTACCGATTGCTTTTTTCCCATATTCAATCACAGTTCATTCTCCATCTTCAGGGAGTTGACCCCACGATTGATCGACTATAAACTTCTAGATTTAGATAAATCGAAGCATCCAAGAAAGACCACGTGGGTATCTTATGGACTAAAAAAAAACATCCTTCAAAGCGAGGAAGGATTCGAGAGTCTAGCCTACGTACAATAATACAACGGAGTTCGGACAGCTGGTGGAAACGTGGACCATTCGACAATTGGCTACTGGAAAGGAATTCGACTATTTGAAAGCCCCAAACAACCTAGTGTACAAGCCTAAAATCTTGGCCCGACCCGTGCAAGCCGAAATGTGGATCACCAAATACTGACGCGATCCTTAGTGGCTCTCATCTGAAGGCACAAACCCACATTTCACGGAATTTCCAATAGGGGTGCCACTGATGAGGCTTCCTAATGGTTGGGAGTTGTAAGCGAAGATTCGGAGGCTTGGTCTTGGCTCGAAAGGAAGAAAGATGGGTGCTTGTAAGTGCTTACTGAGCTGACTTTTGCTCTCGGTCATGCTAGTTTGTTAGCGTTAGACAATTCTAGAGCCTGCAAGGTGACGAGTAATTGATATTTTGATCAGACAATGCCTTTGCCAAGCGTAAGCCAGATTATATAGGCTGACCGAAATGCAGCTCGACAGTCTCATCGTTTGCACAGTCTGGCAAATGCGCAGTCCTCGGTATGGATTTTATATCACGGTCAAGCCTTCCCTGAATGCCCGAAAATCAATAGCGCTCCAACAGCCACAGCCGACGCGCCTCCTCCGACATCTCCCTTAAACGCACGATTTCGGCACGCTTAACTGTACCATAATTCTTGACAAGCTCAGTTCCCAGAAGATCTTTGAAAGTATTCGAGGTATGCAACTCAAGATTTTCAAGACTTTCCTCCAAAGTCTTAGGTATCATCGTCGTGATACCTAGATCAGCTCGCTGGGAATGACTCAAGGTCGCCGCATCCACAGTACATTCTTTCACCGTCAAGGCCAATTTCGCATCCAGCCCTATATTGCCACCTGCGAGCAGAGCGGCCATAGCCAAGTACATATTGGCCAGCCCATCTAAGGACTTGAACTCCCAGTGGCCGGGCCCGATTTTCCGCATGGGCGCTTCACGGTTCTGGAAGCCCCAAGTGACCCATTCAGAGCCGGCCCAGATGCCAGAACGCACGCGCTCATAACTGGCTTCCGAGGAGAGTGTGAAGGCAGTGATGGATGGGTAGTGATCGAGGATGCCGGCGAGGAATGCGTCTTCGTGAGTAGGTGGATCGATGGAGACATGGGCGTGTGCTGCATTGCCGAAACCACCAGGGACAGCCCGTGGATGAAGAGTCGCGCGGAGGCCGTGCTGTTCTGCGACGGCGGTGATCACTTGTCGAGCGGCTAATAGGGAATCTACAGCGGTGAGAGGTGCTGCCGGAGGAAGAACGAATTCGAATTGGCCGGGCGCAGACTCGGCGTGAAATTGCTCTAGTCTGATACCTATGGAAGCCAGCGTCCGAGTGATTTCTTCAAGGAGGGGAATGAGCTGTCGCGTCTCAGAGGTCATTTGCGACCAGGAGTGATTGGTCGTGGCCGGGTTATACTCAGTGACGTGACCGGTGCGTTGACCCTTGGCTGCCTTCATGAAGACTACTTCGATTTCGAAGCCAAACTTCAATTGCATCTTGTGTTCACTGTGGATCTTATCCGCGATGTTTTGAAGGGTACTTCTCGGGCAACCCTCAAATGCTGTACCGTCTTCCGATCGCCAGAATGTCATGACAGATGCACTAGGTGCAGCTGTTGATGGTAGTCCCCCGTTGCGGTAGAGACTGTTCAAGTCTGGCTCCATGTAGAATTGACCGGTAGTGGATCCTTGCGGGAGAACTGTGTCATCGTGTAACATGCAACAGACTGCCTGTGAAATTCCCACACGGCGTTCTTTGCGAGCAATGCGAACGAACTCCTCAACTGGGAACATGCGCACACGAGTTGTTGCGGTATAGTCGAGCCATTGCATCCAGACATATTCGATATCCGGATTTTGCAGAAGAAAGGCATCCAGGGGGTCAGAAGGAAGCGAGGGCTGGACTTTCGATACCGCAGCGTCATGCACAATATTCGGCTCCAGATTTAACTTGTATAGTCGATTTGAGTTGTGAAAGAGAATGTCTGCTGCCGCCATCTTCGCCTGTGGAACGTTATAGTCACCAAGTTGAACATATTCGACAAGCACCTAATAAAAAGATGAGCAATGATCAAATCGGGCCAAGAGGTAGTACTGACCTTCTCAAGAGCTTGACGAAATTGCTTGTTGGCCAACCAGAAAGTTTCGGGGTGATAGTGGCCATCCGTACTCCACAGTATTCGGTTGGTGGGTGTGATTTCGAGACTCTCCCGCAAAATCTTTTCCTGGGCCTCTCGGCTCACCATAGGAAACACCTCACCGAGGTCTAGGTAGACATTGGGGTATACACATGCCAGATATCCTGCCTCGCGCGTATACGGATAAGCAGAATGCAGTAGCACAATGTCCGCATTCTCGTATTGCTCGATCAAAGGCTGCAAGTAGGCCGGGTTAGCTTTGACAAGACTGATATCATTGTCTCCCAAGCCCGTATGAAACTGCATAGGTTTCACAATACCAGCCCTCTTCTTGAAAGAAATAGCCTTAAGTGTCTGCTGAACCAGCCAGTCATTCAGCGGCTTCTCTTCAACGCGGTAGCCAGATCTCCGAGTGCCCGAATCAAGTACCCGATGCAACGAAGCCGTCAACAAATCCTCATCACCCGAGTAGGGGTCAACATCTAGCCCGGTGCGATAACAAACCACAGATTTGAAACCGACCACGGCTGGCTCGTCCATTGCGCGATCAATCACATCAAGAAACCGCTGGCGGAATTTGCTCCACACCGTTTCGCCTTCCTTACGCTCAGTGCTCATCAGATCTCCGATGATCGTGGCCGCAACCGCCTCAATCCGGACGATGCGCTTCGTCGCAGAGCCGGTGAACTGGTCGTGCCAGTCGTAGGACTCGACATCCTCGTCGCTGAGCAGGTCGTCCAGGAGCAGAGCCTGCGTGCCTTCCAGGCTGCGGCGGATCAGACCATCGTAGTCATTCTCTACCCAGAGACTGTGTGCGGCGACTACATCATCCCAAGTTGCACAAGGCGTGTCGTAAAGCTCGGCGAGCTGGTTGGTGGCTCGTAGAAGTGGCAGGGTCGCGCGGGCATTTTCCAGCGCGCGACCGTGGGCCTCGGATGTGATGGATTCAAGCGGGTAGCTATCGTAGTCGGCAGCCACATCACGACTCAGCAAATTATGAGCATGGTTGTCGATGATCGGGTGCGTTTGCACCAGATGGCGGAGAGAATTGAGGGAGGCCATGTGCGGCAGGGTGGTGCGGAGAAGAGGGAAGAAGGATACGGCGGCATTTATCTACATCTTTCGGTCTGGCCAGCGGCCGGGATCCATCCATGCACACATTGTTGGACTAGCATCTAGCTATCTGCTGTTGGACGTATCGAATGTACAAAGCTAAGGTGCAGCGTGAAAATCGCACCTCCTAGGAATCATGTTTACCCACGTCACTCGTCAACTATACTCAACGCGGTCATCTCCACGAGCGCAGCGCAGCACATCGGCTTATTTCCACCGGCCCAGGATCTTCTTGACCTCTTTGAAAGCAACCGGCTTCGTCATAAACCGATCCATGCCCGATTTTATGGCCTCTGATTTTTCATGAGAACGACTCAGTCCGGTCAGGCCGATGATCGTGGACGACCTCAAATTGTCGAGGCGCGACTTCTCGAAGGCGCGAATACTGCGTGTGGCCTCAAAGCCGCCCATTATCGGCATGGAAATATCTAGTTTTTCTTGAGTAAATGACCGGGAGAAGCAGAATAATGGGCTTATGTCTTACCCATTAAAATGAAATCGTAGCCCTGCTGTTTTTGTTTCATGGCAGAAACTGCAAAACTGCCATTTTCGGCCGCATCCACAGTACCAAGGTCTCAAATTCGTGCTCTGCAGAATTTCGGTCGCTGTCATCATTCAATGAAGAGGGCTACGCAGACTGTCTCTGTGACATGTTGTAGGTGATATTCCTCGCGCGTGTTGCCTCCGCAATGACGTACGATATGCTATCGAGGAAGTCGGCCTTTTGACGATTGGAGATGAGTGACTCGACAAGGTTACACTTGGCCATTAGAGAAGAGCCAAAGCCCAATAGTGAGCTCAGCTCAACTGCTGGATCAAAGACATTGCTTTTGATGTTGTTCCAGCAGAAGCAACCACCGAACCACTGGGAATTAGCCGCATTCCACGGAGGTACAAAAAGAATCTGAGTCGCCCCTGGAAAATACCTGTTGAGCATTGCCGTCTCTCTGATTTTCCATTTCTTGGGGGACTTTCGAGCTCATCTGAGCCCTTGGTCGAGGGCGGCCTTCACGCGAGGGGGAAGAATCTTCGCTGTCCGAGCTAGACTCTTGACCACCAGGAAGCTATATTCGCCTCGGTCTAGGTCAGATGATGGAAGAGCAACGGTATCCTATTCGTGGTATGAGCATTGCACTACTAACGTCTAAACAACAATAGCTCGGATGAACTAGAATTGTAATCTTGAAACGTACCTGGCACATATCCCAGTCGCTCACGTTAAGGGTTGAACACCCTAGCTGATCGATCTCATCTTTATTTGAATTGCTGGATTGCGCTATGATGAACTGTGAGCCACGATCTGATACACTGAAAAGGCAAGGTCAGGAATACCTCCCCGATCGTGAGCTCATCGGTCCTCGCCTTATAACTACGCGATCGACGTCTAAGCGCAAAGTCGCCAATAATTCCAGCGATGTTAAGGTATCGTTGTGTCCGCCGAGCACCAGCGACCCGGGTGTGGGCTTCGCAGTGGCCTCGACTTGTTCTTGCGGTACTAAAAACATGGATGATGGCTGTGGTGACGTAGATGGCGAGTCTCTTGCGGAAGTTGAGTCATGGAATTGCGGAAGGCCTAGAGAAGAGCCTCCTTCGCTACTGGTGTGAGGGTTTCGTCGATTGAAGAGAGACGCTCAGGTCAAAAGTAGCGGTATACTTCACGCGCTCGGCGACCAGCGCCATAGTCGTCGTCCTTTGCCGGGTTCGTGGGGTCCCTAGTAGGATCCCCAGCCGCCTCCGCCTCCATCGTGTATGAGGTTTTAGGTTGGAGAACCCTTTCTTCAGAAATTTATTTAGGCTCAGTCTTCGCCAGGTAAACAGTATGTGTGCAAATAAGGTGTAGTCAAGGCGTCTAGTTGTCGATTCTCAAAAGAATGGCGCATTGGTAAAAAGAGAAAACCAGATATAGTTAGGAGTAAACAATGTGGAAGAAGAAGCACGAAAAGTAAGGGAACGGGTGAGGCATTTTCCGATCGGATTACGATGCAACAATCATATTTTAACGGTTAACAATGCCATGTCCGGATTGAGTTACGTATAATGTCATAGGTCTATGGATGTTGGGTCTACAGGTGTTGGGGAAGTGGCCTCATCTAACCCGATTGGCGGAAGACGAAGCGATAAAAATCACAGATGATGTGTTACAGAAGACTGGAGAAAGGCGCTTCCACCCTGGTTGCTAAACGGCCCGTGGGGTGGGTTCGCCCGATGGAACCAAGACACATCGTGGAGACCACTTTCAGGGCAGGCCATAGCAGGTATGGATGTGCATTGCGTCGTCGAGCCACTAAGCTATTCTAGGAATAGCGTGCGGGAAACAAGCTACCAATCAAACCTGACGGCAAAAGAATCCACCAATTATATAGCTCCGGTGTGATCTGCGGAGGCCCCATCAAGAATTTGCTGAATCTTGGAGATGGCTTCTAGTGCCTCTGCGCTTCAGAGAAGTAGCTAGAACCCATGGGAGCTCCAGGAGTATCATGAGGAGCTGTGCAACCAAAACTTCTCGTGTCTTAGAGCCTCTTATCGCGCGTAGGTGTGGGATGTAACGTGTTCAATACAGTCACGGTCGAAAAGGTCTCGATCATGCATTCTTCACACGGGATACCGAGGTGATCGGATCACATTGCGGGACACAATTTTGTCTTGATGTGTAGTAGTAGCCGGTTTCAACTGCTTGGGTACGAGTTTGGAACCTGTTTAAACACCTCTTGTCGAAAGTTAGTCGCGAAAGTACCACAGCTCGGTAATAGAGGCACCGAGTGACGGATCTTAGGTGTTGTCTTCCAGGCTCATAAATGGGAGATATAAGACACTGCAGAGAGTGTTGACCAGTCAGTTTATCCACCTTGGAATCTTGTTTCTTATACCCCGTTCAAGGTATAGGGTCTCAGGGATAAGAAGTCCAGTTCGTATGTCGTTCTGGTTGTAGCGCCACCGCCATCCACCGCTACCAGAAATTGCCGCGGCCTCCTACCTGCACCCGCCCCTCTTCCAGCTGCACACTCCAGCTTTCCTGCATTGCTTCTGATCAGCGTTGACGACCGGTCTCCCTCTCAAGTTTCTAATCACCCTCAAATCTGTTGAGCTTTTGCAGAATGTCGGATTTCTCGTGCACATCAGTGGTGGGAGTGAACTTCGAATTGACTGCAAGGTAAGCTATCCCTACATATCTGCAGTGACAAGTGACTCACTTTGGATTTTCTTGCAGGTACTCAGAGCCACAGCCAGTAGAGCTGGATGCCTTCGGGCTCATGTGGTACGCCCAGGAGTGCTCATTCGGAATTCAACAAAGATTAAGTACTGACCCTTTCGGCCAGCTCCGCAAAAGACAGTATTTCGCACCAGTTAGTCGCCATCAAAAAACTCGCAAAACCATTTGGTTCTGCTATGCTGGCGAAGCAAGCTCTCCGCGAACTTAAACTGTCAACACATTTACAACATGAAAATGTTTGGTCTTACCTTTAAAAACTGCGCCTTCGAAGCTATTAACGTTATTGACATGATGCCAGATTATCGGTCTTGTGGACGTATTCATATCACCCAAGGAAGACCTGTATGCTAAGTTGAAGCCAACTACCAATGTTCTTTCACTGACCTTTACAGTTATATCGTTACGGAGCTTATGTGGACCAACCTCCAAAGAATCATTGGGAAAGGCCCAATCGATAATGATTTCTCGAAATATTTCCTTTACCAAATAATGGTAGGTTGCAACAGTCACTTCACTTGGCATGCACAGACTAAAAATCCTTCAAGCGCGGGCTAAAATACGTCCATTCTGCGGGCATCATTCACCGTGATCTCAAACCGAGCAGTATACTCATCAATGAAAACTGCGACCTGCGAATAGGCGACTTTGGTCACGCTCGACTGCGGGATCACCAGATGACAGGCTACGTCTCTACCAGATATTACCGCGCTCCGGAGATTATGCTCACATGGCAAGAATACACCGAAAAGGTAGATATTTGGAGCACGGGTTGCATATTTGCGGAAATGCTTCGAGGCGTGCCTTTATTCCCGGCTACTAGCCATGCCGATCAATTTTCTTTATTCGTAAAACTTTTGGGTAATCCCGAAGAGCGAATGGTGGAAACGATTAAAAACAAACATGTGGGTTTGCCCTTGTTGGAGCTTGTATGTGGATCGCATAGGCTAACCTATAGACAGACAAGATCCTTTGTTCAGTCTCTGCCTAAGTGCAAACGTGAATCTTTGCCTGATGTTTTCCCCGATCTCGACCAAGATGGTATGTGTCGTTTGCCTTCTGTTCCCTGATAACGCCCCAATTCTGACACCCACAGCAATGGGACTCCTCGAACAAATGTTGAATTTCGATGTGGAAATAAGGACCAACGCGCGGGACGCGCTGTCTCACCCGTACTTGGCACCTTACCACGACCCTGAAGATGAGCCAGTAGTCAAGACACCATTTGATTGGAGCTTTGATAACGCCGAGGTATCTATCGAGACCTGGAAAGCCGCTATGTAAGTTCACCTTCTTGGAGGTTCTACTTGCAAATTCTAATTGACTGTGTAGATATAAGGAAGTTGTTCTCTTCCGTCAGCAGGCACTCCGATCTCGGCGTCCGGTCAACATCCGCGATGCGATCATCAATGCAACCAAGGGCCACGTAATGAGCACTGTCACCCCAGTAACAACAGATACAGAGTCGGATGAGACCTCGCTTTTTGGAGAGGGGAGGTTTGATGATGCATTATCTTCATTTTGTAATGATTTTCACTCATGACTGTTGTCCCTTCCAAGCCCTGATGTGGTGGAAAAACAATGATATGCACTCGAATCGGTAGATGAGCGTTCACAGTACAAAACCTTCAATTTGCTAAACTGCGACTGCTATTCAAACCGAAATAGTATAATAGGCCCAGAGTCATACAATAAATATCTAGTACTGTCCCTCAATGGTCAATGTGCCCGTTTTGGTGACCAAGTACTCGTTAACCGCAACCTCTTTACCGCTTTCCTTGCCGTAGCCAGACTCCTTGATACCTCCAAATGGCGACTCGGCAGCAGACTGGTTTCCGGTATTCATTCCAATCATACCAGCTTCCAGATTTTCAAACAGACGCCACACACGATCAATGTTCTTCGTGAAAGCGTAGCTAGCCAAGCCCATACTGGTATCATTGGCCATCTTAACTGCCTCTTCCTCGGTCTCGAAGCGATAGAGCGCCGCAATAGGAGCAAAAGACTCTTCCTGTGAGATTTGCATTTGCTCTGTCATTCCTGACAGGATAGTAGGCTCGAAGAAGTAACCCGGGCTGGAGGTCATTGCCTTGCCGCCCAAAAGTACGTCCGCACCAAGGCGTCGCGCGTCTTCAACCTGGGCCAAGGCCTTGTCGATGCTGCGTGGGGTGGTCAATGGACCCATTGTCGTGTCAGATTGAGAGCCATGACCGACAACAAGAGCAGTGGTGCGCTCCTTTAGCAGAGCGGCGAAACGGTCATAGATGCCCGCTTGCACGTAAATACGGTTTGCTGTGATACAGGCTTGTCCGGCGTGGCGCCACTTTAAGGCCATGAGCTGCTCGATCGCTTGGTCGAGATTGGCGTCGTCGAAGACAATGAATGGGCAGTTACCGCCCAGCTCAAGAGTAACTTTCTTAAGACCGTGGGCGCAGTGCATGGCCACCAACTTGCCAACCCGGGTCGATCCAGTAAAGGTCACCTTCTTTACGAGTGGATGCTTGCAGAGTGCCTCGCTGAGGGAAGGCGTGTTCTCCAAGTCTGTCGTCAGGATGTTCAACACACCGGCCGGGATGCCCGCACGACGCGCCAACTCTGCCAGCACAAGTGCCGAAATAGGTGTTTCGGGACTAGGCTTCACCACCATCGTACAACCAGCCGCCATAGCAGCACCAACCTTACGGAGAACCATAGCCACGGGGAAGTTCCACGGCACCAGCGCCGCCGCAACACCAATAGGTTGTTTGATGGTGAACAGTCGGCGGTTGGGCGCGGCAGGGACAGCCACACTGCCGTGAATGCGCTCTGCCTCGCCAGCAAACCACCACAAAAAGCCAAGTGAGTAATCCAGCTCTCCATAAGCCTCAACAATAGGCTTTCCCGTCTCGTAGGTCACGATTTGAGCCAGGTCATCTCTTGCGGCTGTTGTCAGCTCCCACCATTTGAGGAGCCATTTAGCGCGCTGGCGCGGATTCACCTTCCGGAAGTCCTCAAAAGCAGAGTGCGCCGTCTCAACTGCCGCGTTCACATCATCTGTCGAGTTTGCGGGGCAGCTTGCCCATGCCTTGTCGGTGCCGGGATCTGTCTCCCTTGTCGTCAGTTGTGCAGAGCTCCCGGAAGTGAACAATGAGCTTTACCGAGCACTTCAAATCGCTTCCCACTCTTCGCTTCAACCCATTTGTCTCCAATAAAAGAGTCGAAGTGTAGAAGGGTTGGGTCGCTCAGCTAGGGGCAGGTCAGTTAATTTCTTAATACCACAGGTCCCGGAAACCGTTGAGTATCCGCGGGGCTCGGACATCTCGCCGATCGCTTCCACTGAGCTCCAACAAAGTAGAGGAATGAAAGCAAAGAGAGACACACCTTGAATGGTAAATTGTACTTGGTCGCCATGGTGTAGACTCCAATGTGTGTTTTCAGAAAGAGAGAAGGTGTACCTCAAGGTGGCGGGGTTGATTTCTTAACGTTCATGAGGGGAAGATCATCACCGAGGTAGTACAAGACCCCTCATCAACAACACATGGGCCGGTATGACGGGCAAGTAACCGCAAGACGGCTTCTTTATCAATCCCGCCGGAAGCTTATCGACAGTTTCAGTTTTATCTTTATTCCTTCACGAAAGACTATCTCTGATGAAGCGGATCTTGAGCTTAAGACCCCAAAGTAGGTACCCGTGGAACGTAGTAAATATGTGCGCGGACAGCTAGGAATCTTGTAAGATTCAATTGATCGTTTTGTTAGCCCGGCCTGGATGGAGAATCACCATTCTCAACTTGCTTCAAAGCGGATGAGGGTCGCTCCATGATAAGCTGATAAGGGGTGCTCAGATAGACTATGTGCTTATAACCTAGCTAACCAGCACTTCAATCTCACCGCGATTAGAGGGCCGGCTTCTCAGTCCCGGTGGGACCCACATTCTCACTTACGGCGCTTTACTACCTTGAAGGCGGCTATGATCTTGGGGAGTTGGGGCTTTATCATTATTTACGGTCCGAATGGTATTGATTGCTCTCCACCAGTTCAAAATATTACGATCGATCTTCGGTTTTCTTAAGTCCACTAACATCAGGCAACCCACGAGTGGCGTGTACGGCTTACTTTGAAAGTAGCCCAGGCCGATTGAAGCTGAGTGTGGGGGGGGCATGGTCTCAGGGGACTATAGGGCTGAGCAAACGATGATGCCCATCTGGCTCAGGACTCCTGGTGTTTTTGAAGGGTCAATCGTTGGCCGTATAATTTATAAAAGATCTTTTTCGTTCAAAATTTTCAGGCTTGTGGTAACTATACAGATACATTCAAAAATCAGCTCTTTGGATCCACGGTCCTTTGGTGCAAAAGGGATTGAGCGAAAAGGGGCGAAGCTCAGCCCAAAATGTATTAACATCTGCAGGACAATTTGGAAGCTGAACCCCGACTTCGCTCCCCGAATGCTGGCAGGAGATTCACGTGACTGCTTGTATTCCATGGCCAATCAATCACACCACAATTCATAATTCGACATATGTAGGAGTGCGTCGGGCATTTTTCGGGCTCCAACGACCAGCTCCATCACGGTGGGGTTGGGATCTGCATAGCCTTGCCGCTATGAGGGAGGGGCCCATGATCCAACTATTGAGGCTGCGCTACCCACCTACGGAAATACGATCGTGTTGAGTGGCAAAGACCCCTTGATCAGGCGTCCCAGATCGACCAAACCTAACAGATCACAGACCCGTTCTTTCAGCTGATCCACAAAAGTCTGGCCTACCATGAATAGCTTTGCTTCGTATTTGGGCCCAGTACCTACCTCACCGCCAGTGGGACAAACAGACTAATGGGCCTGAAAGTTGACTAAGGGGGGGCTCTTTTGAACAACAACATGATCCGATCCACCCGATTGGAATTCCCAGTGAAATAATTTAGCTCTTGATTATCCCTCGCAGAGTTATAAAACCTCTTCCTGGGTCTATTGCCGCTTGGAAGTTTGCAAGTCTTCCATCCAGATCAAGCAAGATGAACTCCTTTTGCCAATTGGGGGCTCTGGTATTCTTCTGCCTTGCCCAATGGGCCAAGGGTAAGGTCTTGCCAGTAAGCTCTGTGAGCACGGTTCGATTCGAAGTCAACTTGACCTGGGCGGACTGGCATGAAGCTCCGGGTGCTCCTAGAAAAATGATTTTCACCAACGGCCAATTCCCAGCCCCTGAGCTTCGATTGCAACAAGGTAATAACGTGGAGTTCTACGTTCACAATAAACTTCCCAACGCAACAACGATCCACTTCCACGGTAGATACTCTGACCCGTACGCAATTGTACCGTTCATACCTGATTCGTAATAGGAATTGACCAAATGGGCACACCATGGTCCGATGGCGTTCCGGGTTTGTCACAGAAGCCTATCCCTGCCGGTGGAAAGTTCCTGTACAAATGGACCGCCTTACAATATGGAAGTTACTTCTACCACGCCCATACCCGGGGCCAAATCGACGATGGTCTCTATGGGCCGATCTATATCAGCCCAGATAAATCTATTGAGAAGCCATTCCGCCTGATCACCAACAACACAATGGAACAGAAACTGATGGAAAGGGCTGAGAAACGGACCTCGCCTGTAATGCTTTCCGATTGGCGCCAGTTGACTTCTGAGCAGCTGTGGAACGCCGAGGAGGCTAGCCGACGCGACGCTTTCTGCTCCAATGCACTCATGATTAACGGAAAGGGCTCTGTTAAGTGTTTGAGCCAGAGTGCGCTTGACGAATACACGACTGCAGCCCAGAAAATTGTTCTTGGAGGACAGAAACTGACCGATATTGGTTGTCTCCCTCCCTCGAATGTTCTCGCGGAAGGGACTTATTCTCACAACCTTAGCGCCCTCCCACCTACCGTCTTTTCTGGATGTAAATCTCACCAGGGTCCTAGTGAAGTGCTCAAGGTTGACCCAATCAAGGGCTACGTGAGCTATGATCTGATCAGCTCTGCCGGTATAGCGACCATGATGTTCTCTATTGACGAGCACAAGATGGTCGTCTATGCCGTGGAAGGACAATATGTTGAGCCAGTCGAGGTTGATGCTATTACATTAACAAACGGGAATCGATACTCTGTCATGGTGAAGCTTAACAAGCCCTGGGGTAACTACTCGATTCGCTTGTCAAACTACGGTGTCAACCAGGTTCTCAACACCACCGCGACCTTCTCATACGAGACAGGTCATGGGACCCCTCAACAAAAGATGAAGAAGGGCCCCTCGAAGCCGTCAATTAGCATCACCGGATCGAACACCACCGCTGAAACCGTCATCCTCGACGAATCGAATATCGTCCCATTCCCAGCTACAGTCCCCTCACAAGATATCGCGCAGACCCACGTTTTGAATATCGGCCACTATCACACCTCCTACCGCTGGATACTAGGCAACTCAAGCTACGCCTTAGCCCTCGAACATGCTCAGCCCCTACTCTACCACCCGAACAGCTCAGTCGCTCACAGTGACCTGACCCTGCACACAAAGAACGACACCTGGGTCGATCTCATCTTCTACGTCAGCTCTCCATTGCAACCTCCTCATCCTATCCACAAGCACTCAAACAAGTACTATGTCATCGGCCAGGGCCAAGGTATTTGGAACTATACAACCGTGGCAGAAGCTATGGAGCACATCCCCGAGAACTTCAACCTCGAGACCCCACAGTACAGAGATACATTCGCGACTCCCGCTGCCGCTACGGGCCCGACGTGGCTGGCGATCAGATACCATGTTATCAACCCAGGAGCATTCCTGCTGCACTGCCATATTCAGGTCCATCTGAGTGGCGGTATGGCGCTTGCGCTTCTTGATGGGGTTGATAAGTGGCCGACCATTCCTGAGGAGTACAGACTCGCTGAGATGAGAGGGTGAATTGACAATAAGTTTTTGTTTTGATTAGCGATTCAGCCTGTGAAGGCTTTGAATGTTTACATACAGAATTAACTAGAGAGGGAGAAATGCTTGTTCCGATCTCATAATTTAGTTTAACCTACCTGAAGATATTCATCTGCTCATCGAAAGTCACATAGTATGTCATGGAGCTAAACCTGCTCACCGTTTTTGGCCTTAGAATTAAAACTCGCGAAGGAAGCCTAGGACCCTCAGATGGTAGCAGGTGTGTGCGTATTTTGAAAACTCCGCTTGAGTGTTGATTGTATTTAGAAGTAATCCGCCAAGGTGTCTGTCATTCTCTCCCATAACCCAGTAGAAAGGTGACCCTGGACCCAGTATCCATCTTCATGTCTATCTCCCTTCCACATAATTAATAAATCATCCACAACAAAGCCAAGACGCCTAAGAGCCCCATAGAAGCTCACACTAGCATCCACAAGCACCGGCTTGCCTCCTTGAATATTGATATCAAAGAAAGGCTGCTTCGCCCAAGAAGATACAACAAGCTGTGTAGATTTCGAAGCAAACCTTCGAATGACGAACGGGCTGTTTTTCATTGAAGAATGTTGCTCCATGATTTGATGGAGACATAATGGCTCTCGAGCACTATCGATAGTGTGGCGGATATGTACTGCCCTGTCTACCAAAGCCGTGGTATCATTTTGGGATCTCAGGCCGTTGAATTGCCGTGATGGCACAGGGATCCGGAGCCAAGGGTTTCCAAAAGCTGCCTCTGTCTCCAAATGGCGCTGGATATTCACAGCGATACTAACGGTAGACGGGTCCGCTGGATCGATCGAGGCTTGCTGGTAAAGGAAAGCCAGGACGAGGTCGTGTTCTGTGACTTGGATGTTTCGATTTTCAGCCTCATTGGACCAGGCGTTGATTGCGGCTTGGGGTATATGAAGCGCCATATTAACGCGAGGTGAAGTATGACGAGCTTTGTTTCGCAGTTTATGCATGACAGAACTGAGTCCACGTCTTAGAAAGGGAAACCAGCCAGTTCTGAAGCTTTCAGCGTGCATCCGAGCGATTGGAATATCGTTGACATATTTTGACTGTTCCAACGCTTTCTCAATGAGAGATTCCTTTAGCTTTAGCGGTGGACGAAAGCTTGATACCATTGTCGGTAGATAACCGTCCAGAATGGAGCAATATGCTCGTGCTATATGAAGCATCGCTGGAAAGCAGGTCAGAAAATTGGGTCACAGCTCTAATGCACAACGTTGGGGTAATATACCATTCACATCTCCAAATGGACCTTGGACTTTGAAGCGCAAAATGCTTCCGTCAATTAAAGCCACGGTTTGAATGGTGACAACGCACTGACGGAGTAATTTGATAACATTGAATTTGGCATCCAGGAAATTTTTCAGGTGCGAGAGTTCGACGCTTTTCACAACATCGTTGATCCATGGTGTCTTCACAACATCTTCAACATGTAGATCAAGTTCAGTGCCTTGCCAGAGCTCGGATAAATTATCAACCTTCTTCGAGGGCTTTATTTTGGTTCGCTAATTATAACATAGTGAGTGAGTGGGAGAACAGACTTGATGACTGAGGTCCACTCACCAGAAAGTTCAAATTTCCGCCTAGCACCGGCAAAATTGAGAGGAGGACATGGGCTGCATTTTCGAACTCCTCAATGGTGACTCCTGCATGATATATCAGGATGAGATCGTTTTCTAGGAACCGAGCAAGGCCCTTGTCGAGAATGGTCAGATCGAGTGACATTCTGATTGTGACAAGAGATTGACTCTCCTCATCGATTGAAATGAACTGTGGTAGAAGTTTTCACTGGAAGGTGAACTCATCAAGGAGTGTCTTGTTTGTGTCTTCATTCCATATTCGGCCCTGTCTTCCAACCCACTGGCATGCCAATTCAAGGGATGACGTTTCCTAAAACCCCAAGAGGCACCTGGATGATTCCAGTAGCTTGAATCACGCAGAGAAAGGCATAGTCAGAAGGAAGTGATAAACAAGACCGTGGAACAAAGGAGATTTTCATTAAATTAATCTAAAACATGGTAGTAGGCGCTAACTTTTCGACTCTTTTATCTAAACCAAACTATCGACACTGGAATGTTTTTCAACCCGCGACCGAGTATTATCGAGCGTATGCGTAATCTCTCCAGAGGTATAATGAACGGAGACATTTGTTGTTTTCATAATACCAATCACGCCATCTTCACTCCCACTGGAAACGCTAGGACTATCACCGTGGCGCTTGTACTTTCGCATGTCAAAGTCGCGTTTGGCGTTAATATCCACGCGGTTCACGCCTTGGGGATCCGCCATTTCATAGGTATCATCTGCATCGGATTGCAGCTGCGATGCCTTGTGACTTGAGAACATGCGTGATCCAGGGAACTTGCGAGAGCCGCTCGTTCCCGCTCCGTAGCCCGATGTCCCTCCATTCTGCGACGTGCCGAGGAGTCGGGGTAGGTATCTGTTCGCGATGGCTTTCATGGATGGACCGCAAGCTGTGACGACGGCGACGTTTACTTCAATGGCTGAGCTGCAGAAGCCGATTGAGTAGGTGGCGTCTGGTGTGACTGTATTCGAGAGGAAGGCTTGTGCGAGGATGATGATGCGCCAGACGCCGATGGCGGTCGCACTATTGAGAAAACATTGGTTAGACTATAGAGAGCGGCGCTTGGGTTGAATGACTTACACTCCTCCCAGACACAGAATAAGACAGACAGCAATTTTCTTCCTGATCGGCATCTGTAATCTCACGGTAATGATGACTGGGATCGAGAGGACCAAGCAGTCTGTGAAGAGATTCAGTGCCGCGGTCGATACGTAGAATGCACCTTCGTCAATACACTTGCCCCCTGCAATTGACATATCGTATATATACGCCACAGGGTGGCATTGGAAAATATCGACGAAGAGCACAGCGATGAAAAGAGCGATGACAAGAGCCAAGGAGATGTATATGAGGCCATTTACGAGTCGCGACCGTGACTCTAGTCGATGTAGAAACACCAATATGGACAGCTTGATTATTGACAAGGTCGGGTTATACAGAAGCTGGTTGGCAAAGTTCCACTGCCATCCTGTGTTAGTCCTCGCTTTGCGATTGCTGCAACGATACCTACAATCAAGCCCTTCTTCACATCGTAATCTAAGGGAATTTCCCACTCGTAGATTCCAACATAGTTGGTTTTGATATCTGTTCGACCCAATTAACAACCTTTAAGTCGATTTTCTAGTGGAAGTGATGCACTCACAATACCATGAAGTGACGGATTGTGCAACTGCGAAAATCTGTTTCAATCACAAGTGAAGGTTAGAATATGGCCAGTACTGTGCGGGGAAGAAAGTCCATACATAGCCTATAACAATCAAATAGTCATCTGTATCTTCGTTAGCAACCAATATACCCTCGACAACCAGTGTTTGTAGATCCACAAGGAAGTTCCATACCGCTGGATAGTGCAGATCGCTTCAAATAGCGACTCCATAGTCGCAAGATAATGGAAAGACCACCGATAATCGGAAACGCGACCACGATTCCCAGTGCAATATTCTGGCGACTGGTGTCAATCATCCTTAAGTATTTTACAGAAGCCTGCAGCAGAGAGGGGGCAGCTGGCCGAGGCTGTACTCTTTTAAGAAGAAGCAAACCCGCCACTCCTAATTAAGTCAGCTTTCATTACAGAATAAATAGGGTTCCAGCCCGGAAGGCCCGTTTACTATTACCATATGGCATTTGCATGGCCCTAGAGCTCCGACGGCCAATTATGGATGACGCTCGCTCACCCCCCACGGCAGTGATATGAGAATGGAGCTACTCTGGGTTTGGAAGGATCCAATTGAATGGCAAATCACTAATTCACAATATCAAGCTTCGAAAGGATTCCTGAGCGCTACCCTTGTCACAAACCTGTGGGGGACTGACTCCGTGTCACATAAAATACCGCCGTGAGAGCCCGCGCCCTGCAGGAACGCAGAGAGAAAATTCTTCGTTGCTTTGACTTTTCGTCACAGGAGCAAGCCTCGTGTCCAGCAAGGATTCATGGCTGGAGTGATAGTGTCCGACATTCGGAGTAGTGAGACAATCTCGGTGCGGTACAAGCAAATGATTCAGTTTCGTACTTATCCCCGATCGATTCGGGTCTGATCGCGGGCTCCACGAGCCATCGCAAATGAACAATGAATATTTTTCCGTCCAATTCAGCAGTAGAGAACATTAATTTAACTTCCGAAGGATTCCATCGGCGGCTGAGATACCACATCATTTCAGATCTCGGAAATATGCCGTTCTTGGATTGCCGTCCAGGTTTACCTTTTTGAGTGTATGGTTCAGGGGAGCCACAGCCGCGAGTTTATTTTGATTTTGAGAAACTCTGTACGGGGCATGTCGGCCAAATGTTTTCAAAGAAAATAAAATTAAGTCGTATGATATCTAGCCTCTGCAAGAACGACCAAGCGGGATCCTCCACTGTCAATTCGGGTGGATCGGGAATGTCCAAGTGGACCTTCGATGGTTCCGCGGGGGCCAATTCGGGGGCCAATTCACGGCTGTTGAGACGTTTGATTCCCCTTGACACTTTGGCGTATTTACCTTTAGACAAGTTTGATCGAGGGGTAAATAGTCCAAAGCCACATAGTTGAATTGTATCTATTATTCCGTGTACATAAGTCAAATGCAGGGGTCACAAGGATTATTGCAGGGTAAGCGAGATTGTTGGCTAACGGGAGAAAGCCGACGATGCACGCAAAGGTGGGGCCCATCGGGATATGAATGGCTCGAGATCATTGAGCCGGAAAATCCGAGGACCCCTGTCACTCTAGTCACTTTTAGAACCAACACGACCGTCGCAGATTGAGTGTGGCGCACACTTCGACGTCAAATAGTATAGCGTTTGGATAGTGCCAATGTAGCGGGCTCCAGCAGGCTTGAAAAACCCTCCGAAACTGTCGACTACCATTGTACCTCGGAGATCAGTTCGGCTGCGATATCCAAGAAGGTTTAGATTCACTATCGATGACAAGTTCCGAGGCAGAGGTGGAGCTCACTCAGGGCTTTAGGGAATCTTCCGAAGCATCCTTGTGGGTCTTCCCCCGTGGCGAAGCATAATAACAGTACCGAGAGTCGCTGGACAATGTGCGAGCTTGTCTTAGTGAATCTTCTAATAGCCGTGGGCTCTGGTGTTTTTAAAGGCTTGAGTCGCCACATTTCTGGTAACCTTCCTGCGGATCCAACTGAATCATTAATTGACTCAACTCGGTGATGGCGCCCAGTTCAATCTTTGCAGGAGCTTTGCTCGCATTTTACCTGGCAACCCCAGGAAGTGCCGCTGCTGTGCAGAAAGTGTCATCGGTGTCCGATGCCGGGGCTCCGCTGTTCACAAATGAACAACTCCAGTTGACTGAACATATTCTGTCCACTGCAGCCCCCAATCACACCGCTCTTTTTGACTTCGCCAAGAACAGCAGCTTAAGCGTCCGGTCTCGCAATGAGTGCAAGGCCTACCCTGGAGATGCCGCATGGCCCTCAAATTTTGTGTGGACCCTGTTTGATGAATTACTGGGTGGTGCCCTCATTAAGACAGTGCCTCTGGCCGCTGCTTGTTATTCTTCCTGGCCCGAGTATGATAGTGATGAGTGTGACACCATCACTGCGGATTGGACAGATTCCAACCTTCAGTGAGTGATCAGATGGATTGTGAACTCACAAAATACCACTGACTATTTGGAAAGCGCGGCGGACCCGGCTTCGGTGATGTGGCCATTGTTCGAGGGCAGAACTTGTCTCCCCACAACGAATGCTTCTGCCTCCTGCACGGTTGGCGGTTATAGCAGCTACGCTGTGAATGTCAGCAACGTGGCTCAGGTCCAGTTGGCTGTTAACTTTGCTCGTAACGCTAATCTCCGTCTAGTCGTCAAGAACACTGGCCACGACTTCAATGGCAAGTCCACCGGTGCCGGTGCCTTGGGTGTTTGGACTCATCACCTGAAGGACATCGATTATATCAAGAACTATAAGAGCCGCACCTACCAGGGCCCCGCGGTCAAAATGGGCGCTGGTGTGCAGGCTCATGAGATTTATGAGAAAGCCAACGAGCTTGGTTTCACCGCCGTTGGTGGTGAAGGCAAGGTATGTCTACTAAACCATAGCATTGACTTTGATTACTAATGGAGAATCATGAAGACTGTTGGTGTTGCCGGTGGTTATGTCCTTGGTGGCGGCCACTCGCCCATGTCCAGCATGTATGGCCTGGCTGCTGATCAGGTCCTGGCGCTCGAGGTTGTTTTGGCCAATGGTCGGTTCGTTACCGTGACTGAGGAGACCGATCCCGATCTTTTCTGGGCTATCCGTGGTGGCGGTGGTGGTGAGTCTTCGCTTTTGTCTATCCTGATATCTTCTTTTGACTGACTTTGTTACCAGGTACCTTCGGTATTGTCACCTCGGTCATTTCCCGTGTCCACCCTAAGGTTGGCGTGACTGTGTCGACCTTCAGCTTCGCCACTAGCACTAACGTCTCCGCCGATACCTTCTGGGCTGGCATCCGCTCTTACGTTGAGAGATTCCCTGCCTACGCCGACGCTGGCACCTACGCCTATTTCTGGGTTATTGCGACTGGTACTGACTCTTTCGAGTTCTTGATGAACCCCTTCTTTGCGACTAACCACACCTTGGCTGAGTATAACGCTCTCGTGGAGCCGTGGTATAAGGATCTCGCGGATCTTGGAATCTCCATCACCCCCAACTCCACCTACTACGATAACTACTACGACGCCTGGATGGCTGGCTTCCCGCTCGAGACCGTCGCATCCTCTGTGATGATGACTGGCTCCCGTCTGTTCCCCCGTGCCAACTGGGAGACCACCTACTCGTTCAACTCAACCTTCGACGCTCTGCGCACGACTGTCACTGCCGGGTATGCCCTGCTCGCTTTCAACATGAAGGCTGAACTGCAGGATGGCTACCCTTCCAACTCTGCCAACCCGGCCTTCCGCAACACGCTCCTGCATGCCATCACCTCGACCAGCTGGAGCAGCACTGCCAACAACACGGCCATCAAGGACCAGATGGAGACCTTCACCAATGATGTTATGGGTATCTGGCGTGCTACCTGCCCGGACGCCGGTGCCTACATGTCCGAGTCCGACATTCTCGAGCCCAACTTCAAGGAGGCATTCTACGGTTCTAACTACGCCCGCTTATGGAAGCTGAAGCAGATCTACGACCCTACCTTCCTCTTCTACGCTCCCACTGGTGTCGGTAGTGACAACTGGGTTGTAAACAGCGAGGACGGCCTTCCAGACCAGAACGGTCGTCTGTGCCGCGTTTAACCTGGGACATGTATCGCCCGTGTAGTGTTGTCAAAAGCTTAACTATAGATTCCATGCTGCATATACCTGAGTTCTAACAATCATGGAGCAGTCTGTATGATTAGAAATTAAATCGTCTGGGAAGAGAATCGTAGCTCTGCTCACACTTTACTCACCGGTCCTTGCGTAGCCGTATTTCATCCAATTCGACCCTCAAGGATACCGTCATCGTTTTCCCCCCTTCTTTACCGAGTTTTAAACATCTCTCTTGTACTTTTATAGGCTATCCTGACCCCAACACTATAGTATTTATAGCCGAAACTAATACTAGCAAACTTACCAAAAAAAAGTCATAGGCGCCTACGCGACGAACGATAATCAAGGACTTATCCTCTAGAGCAAGCTAAGAAGGAAGCAAAGAGAAGGAAATTCTCGGATGTCGTAACAAAATCACTTGGAATGGCTAGATGGGAGTGTAAAAAAGCCAAAGCCGTGCCTCCCGTGGGCATACGCCACATCCGAGGTCACTACTTTTGGGCAACGATCCCAATACCAAACCCAACCTCGTTGTTTCACCCCCGTGCGTGGAACGTCATGCAATGCACATCAATATCAAACGGTTTCATCAAATTCAATTTTCCCAGCGAGTAGTTAACACCTCGCTTCTAACCTCGCTTGTTCCCCGGATAATTAACAGAGCGCTGGTTGGCCCGCAGCCGACGATCGTCGGTGCTATCGCCTCTCTGCAAGACACGGCCGATCGCCCCCTCTCTTCATGTTGTACCGCAAGGTCTCTTCGAAACAATGTGACTCTGTTATGATTGCACGGTTACATGTCTTCTCCGCACCCAAATTCTGTCTGGACTTAAATATTCGAAGTCACCCAATGCGGGATTTTCGTAGTGGGTACACGTAACGACACACGACATCATGCAATTGAGGAGTTTACTTCTGGGCACTACTAGCGCCTTGGCCTGGCTTGGAGGTATGGATGAGCTGGTTCGGTTGATTGAAACACATTAACGTTGTCTAGCTTCCGCTCGTCTACTGACCGTACCGACAACGCCGTTCACTGAAACAGGAGGCACCTACGATCTTGCTCAGCTTACACATATTGTGGTAGATTCTCGATATGCTGATGAGGTCGACCACAATAGCCAGACTTGGATCCCTCCAACTCTGCAGCAGTTCGCGGAGACCTTCCAAGAGGACCTCAAGTCTGTCCTAGGATTGACTGTGCAGCTCGCAAAGAGCACAAAGCGCAAACCTAATGCGATATTTCTTACCCTAGGGAACAACACCGATTTCAAGGATGTTGCTGGACGGCCTACCTCGGAAGGATACTCTCTCAAGGTCGATAATAGGGGCCTGGTCATCACTGGCGCCAGTCCTTTGGGCGCATGGTGGGCCACCCGGTCAATCATCCAGGCAACTGCTGGAGACTCGACCATTGCCAAGGGGCTGGGCGCAGACGCACCTGGCTGGGGTACTCGCGGTGCTTTTGTAAGTTGTTCGCCGTCCATTGCTCTACATAGCTAACACGCCTATCTAGCTCGATGCCGGCAGACACTACTATCCGCCTGACTTCCTGATTGAGATGTGCTCGTACCTTTCATTCTTCAAGCAGAATACTTTCCACATCCATCTTAGCGACAATCTCTACAACAATCTAGATATTTACTCGCACGAACAGTCGATGAATCTGGCAGCCGCGTTCCGTCTCTTGACCGACGACCCAGCAGTAGCTGGTCTGAACCGCCACGGAGCCAATGAGTCGTACACTCGTGAGCAATTTGATAACATCCAATCCCAGTGTGCGCGTCGTGGAGTCACTGTCATTCCTGAGATTGAGGCCCCTGGTCATGCGTTGGTCATCGTGCAGTGGAAGCCCGAACTTGGTCTTGAGGACGTGAGCATGCTCAACATCAGCCACCCAGATACTATCCCCACGATGAAGACAATCTGGAAAACTTTCCTGCCCTGGTTCCACAGCAAGGTTGTGCACATTGGTGCGGATGAATATGACAGCAGTCTGGTCTCAGACTATACTCACTTCGTCAATGAGATGAATACTTTCATCCGGTCCGAGTCCAACGGTCAAAAATCGATGCGCATCTGGGGCACCTTTACTCCTAAGGAGGGTGCCAATGTTTCCAAGTCTGTCTCTTACCAGCACTGGGATGTCAGCGCCGACGAACCGTACTACGACTATATCATGAACGGATACAACGTCCTCAATTCAGACGATTATATGTACCTCGTCGGCGGGTGGTCCGGGTCCTTCCCACAAACACTAACCCAGGACAAGGTCTTCAATGGCCCATATGGTGAAGCCTACTCCCCAGTCACCTTCGATACCAAGAAGAAGGGCGACAACCCAGCGCGCAACAACCCCCACGTTCTCGGCGAGATAGCCGCAATCTGGAACGACTACGGCCAGAACTCAACTACCGTGCTACAGGCCTACTACTCCTGGCGCAACGCTCTCCCCGCATTGGCAGATAAGCAATGGGGCGGCAACATCACCCAGGATGAGTATAACTCGGTTTTCGATACCCTGCATGCTTTGATTCCAGGGCAGAATTTGGATCGCAAAATCCCCAGCAAGACAGACACAATCTTGAAGTATGCCTTCGACGATTCCTCAAACACAATCACCGACCACTCCGGCAACGGATATCATGGTACCATTCACGGCTGCAAGGTCTCAGACTCGACGCTTCACCTCGCAGACGGATGTTACCTAGAAACACCCCTCGGCAGCAAGGGGCGCGACTACACGCTCTCCTTCCGAGTCAAGCCCACCTCCAGTACACCTGGAACTCTGTTCGCGGGACCAGATTCAATGTTCGTTAACGGCAACGGAAGTATTACAAACGCGACTCTGATCAGTGGCGGGAGTGCGTATTCGTTGAACTATACGTTGCCTGTTCAGCAGTGGACTGATGTCAGTCTGATGGCGCATGGGAACAAGACTATGTTGACTGTCGGCAATGGCAAGAAGGCGACGACGATGGAGTTTTTGGCGAAGATTGGGGTTAATGGGGAGTATCATGTGTGGGCGCCTATTGCGGTGGAGGCGCCGTTGGCGAGGATTGGAGAGGGGTTCACTGGATTGATGCAGAACGTTGTTTTGAAAGGAACCGCCTCTTAGAGAATTTCTGGGTGGTTTGTCCCAACATGGATCGTTTGGGTGTAGATAAGGTGCTTATTCGAGGAAGAAGATGATGATCTTACACAGTATTGTTACTTGTGGGCCCGGACAAGCTTCGTGGGCCCATGTCAAGTCTGTTGATTCCTACCTCCTTTACCCGAAACACCAATAGGTTTCAGTAGGTACCTTTTTCCATAACCAAGAATTCATGGCTTCCTCGCAGTAGGCAGCCTCACGACCCAATGCTGGAGCCAAGCCTGTGGCTTGATATGCGCCGTCGGGCACCCCGCGTTCTATCCGAACAGGAGCCCGGAAGCCCCAAGACCCTGATCAGAGCTAGCAATTAAATACACCAGTAATAATAAAACTAGCGGACATGGGCTTATAAAGTGGCTTACACCGTGGCTTATAGAGTGGCCGCTAGCTGCAACTGGACATCATCGGCCCGAATATAAACACCCAAAAGGGCAACGATAGCAAGCCCCGGCCAACCAATCACAGCCCCGAATCCACCACATGCCTTCATTGCTGGATTTCGGCCTTTGGCCTCGACTTGCATCTCGTACTTGCTCTTCTTCATTAAGATGACCCTTTCTGACCCCGGACCTTTGTCATGTCTCCTCATCTCATTTTTTACCTCGTTTCCTCGGGGCCACCATGAAGGTCACCCACTGCGTTGCGCTCCTATACGCGACCATTGCCGTCGGATTCCCGGTTAAACTCCTGCTCACGGGCGATACGCCAACCATCGTCGCCGAGCGAAGTGAAATCTTGCGCACACAACGACCCCTCGCTGCACAGGAGTCACATATCCATACCCCACGCCCGACGTTCCAGGAGTACATTGCTCGCCTACGGTCCGGAGCTGGAGCTGGAGCTGGAGCTAGCATCTCAGATGACAGCAAAACAGCCGAGGCCAAGACCGTGCCCTCACATTCCGACTCGCACTACAGCATTTATGGCTCGTGGGTGGGGAAGTTTATGTCAAATGACAAGCCGGACGACGCGAAATCTAGCGCGAATACTTGTCACTCCCGAATCATCACATACCTCAAGCCTGCGGAATTGCTCGATTTTGTCGATAATCATGGACCCGAGTCCGTTGCACTGGGATTATTCGTTCTAGTCCCCATCGCTTATTTCATTCTTGAGCTGCTTGAGCTTGCGATCAAGTCTTGTACCCAGGAACGATATCCACACCGAGGTCGTGATCGTGTGCGTCTAGTGGGGCCGGAAAGACAGCTGCGGGCGTGGAGTCATCAGCATCGGGAGATGCTGGTGGAGAATGAGAAGCATTGGTGGCAGGCGAGGCGGGCGAGATATTGAGCTTATGCTGTTATGCTGGGGGAGGTTTTCATGATATGTTCTTCTTTTGTTTTCTCGATACCCACTTAGTGCAATGAATTTTGCAGAGCGTAGGCTCTGCCTTTCTATATTTGTTCTCCGTCACAATTTAGGTAAACCACTTAGATGCCGGCAGATGGGATGAAAATACCGATATTTTAGATTGTGACACCAGTTCAGCATCTTATTAGAATATAGTAGTAAGAAACACTAAACAGCATCAACCGACAACACCTCCACAGAAAACCTCGAAAACAAACACCAACCATTTCACGCATGGGGCGTGGCGAGACAACCTAGCCTCCGAACCACAATTATGCTCTTAGGCATTAATATTGGCCATCTTCGCAGCCAACTTTTTCACCATATCCTTCTTCTTCTTAGGCGTCAACCCCTTCTGTGCCAGCTTCTCTGCCCCCTTCTGCATGTGTTTTTTAGCACCATCCGTCACCTTCTTGCCACCATCAACATGCTTCTCTCCACCCGCAATAACGGGCATCTTGGCACCATTAGTATCCTGCTCGGTAGTCGCAGTCTTAACACCATTCTGCATAGCATCAAGGTGCGCAAACTTGTACGTATCCTCACCCAGACTCCAGGCCATAACACCACCGAGTTTCTTGGCTTGGACAATGTCGGTGAACTTCTGGGTGATCAGCTCGGGGGTGTCCCAGGTCCAGAAGAGGTTGGTCTCCTTATCCCAGTAGTACTGGCCGCCTTCCTTTTCGTCAGTTTTGCCATTTTTCTCGGCTCGGCGCCAGGAATCGGTGATGGAGATGCCCTTGCAGGTGCCGTAGTCGGAGAGGCAGCCAGCTTGGCAGAAGTCATCACCAGAGCCGCTGTTTGCTGTTAGTTTGGTTTTAAGGGGAGGTGAAGGGGAGATTTGGCTTACCAGTTTCCGTAGGCGGAGCAGCACTGGCTATCAGGGCACTTGCCTTCGCCGGAACCACACTTGCCGTTCGTAGAGGTAGCCAGGTTACTGGGGGGAGCGCTCATCACGCTCTTCTCGAACGTCAAAGCACCAGACTTGCCGTTATCTGAGCCGTCATCGTTCTCAAGCTTGACAACCTTGCAGCCCAGAGGATTCTTATCGCAGTCGGAGTCAGGGTCAGTCGTGAACCACTTGGCGTAGTAGGCAAAGCCAAGGTTGAGCATCTCAGGGTCAGCGCCAAAGTCAAGATAATCCTGGACAGCTTCCAGAGATCCCTGGACACTGGTATGGTGGGCGGTAACATTATCACGGCGGTTCATCAGATCGTAGCTCATGACGTTAACCATGTCGACTGACTTGAAGATCTCGGGGCCCGTCTCCTTGTTCCAGGCGATCATGTCCTGCTTGCGGCCGGGGACGGCGATGGAGAGGGTCTTGTTGCCGATTTCCTTGCGAATGGCAGCGAGGAACTTGGGATACGTCTCGATTTCGGACACCTTGTCTGAGTTAGGGACTTGCTTGTAGTCCTGACCGTTGCCACCGGGGTATTCCCAGTCAATGTCTAATAGTGGATTAATATCGCCATTGAGGTATTGACTGTCATTGGATTTTCATACCGACGCCGTCGAAGCCATTGGCATCCAGCATGGATGCCACGTTCTTCGCGAAACGTTCACGACTGGCGTCGTCCTTGGCTCCCTCCGAGAAACCTTCGGTGTCGCCCCATCCACCAATGGCGATCATAACCTTGGTATTAGGGCTGAAGCGCTTGCGCATGGTTTCAACATCCTCAAAAGGCTTGAATGAGGGAGCAGAGTCCGAGTTGAACAGCTTTGTAGCAGCAAAGCTCATGATAGCATGGTCAATGTTTGTTGTTTGATTCACACTGGGAAGATCGACTGTGTGATATCTGCATAATGCATTAGATAGATGGCAAGAACATTCCTCCAAGTTGACTCACTCATCAATGTACATGGCAAACCGCATGCTAGCAGCGGTTTGGGCGGCCAAAAGGCCGAGGGCAAGTTGCTTCAGCATAGTGGAGGCTGATAACAAAGCAGTGCTGAGAAGGAGAGAAAAGAATGTATTAAGAAGAGAAGACCCGGAAGCTGAAGGAATAACCCAGCGTTCGACAACAGGTAGGCAGCGTCAAGCTGCACTGTTTCACAAAGGACAATGGACGAGGAGAGGAGGATGGAAAGCCACGCGCGCTGATGGAAATAACACGGTTATATACTGCAAAACATGCTCAGAATGATCACCGTGCCGGTATTGGCCTTGACGCCCAAGGGGTCATGCCTTTTCCTATACGAGGAATAGTATGCCTCGATAGGCTCGAGGTGCGGGGCTCGTGGCTCATCCCTGTCCCTGAGTGGGTTTTTCAGAGAAGGCAATTGCCCAGCGATGCTGGGGAAAGGGAAGCTCTTGGTGATGAAGGGCTTTGGAATGCCGGGTGAACCGGGTGGCGCCGGCTTGGACCTCGGGGGCCATCAGCTGGAACACGATTTGTCTTCTTAGCACGAGGCATTTAAGGTGAATCTATTGTTTGTAAGTCTTTGCCGACGAATTGTAGCGCCGAATTGGTGGTCAGTTGGAGGTTGAGGGTGGAGTAGACTTCGGGTGGAATGCTAGATCTGCTGTGCATTCATCCCCCTCTCAATAGCATTCCGTTGCGGAGCTGATTATCTGCGTAGATACACGAATGGTAAGAAGTATTGCTCGGAATTTCGACTCGATCTTGAAAATCTTGAGCCTGGCCAGTAGACCGAGAGCTTAGGTCGTTGGCAGGGGGTTTTTACTACGAGGTGATAGCGGCGATGTTAAAGGATGCATGAGATTCTGTAAGCATGTATACAGTGATCTAGGGGTATAAAGAAAGCCCAGAAAACGCCGGATCTATGACACACTGGTGAAAATGTTCGCAGCACTGGACAATAGCATTAGTTCCAGTGCCGCCGAATAATGGGACGCGCTGGATCCCAAGGCCCGATGACCACATTCTTATACTTCTGCAGGCTGATGAGCCACCAGCTACAGCCTCCCATTGTCAGTGCAGTCAGGATACTGCCAAGGACAGACCCAATTATGGCGGATGCCCATCCACCACTCAGAGTCATGCCAACTGCGCCTCCAGCAATGATGACTAGAGCGAGGGAAAGAAGAACATGGCCAGTCCACGACTTTTGCCGCAGTTGGCGACGGAAAATTGGGAACAGTCCGAAAACTTCCATGGAGAACAACATCAGACTGAACACATGGGTGGTAGATGGTAAACGGGACGCGAGCACCGTTGAGGCCATCACAGCCGCGTTGGTTGAGAGGGAAGCCGGAAACTTGGTGGCGCCTGCGCCTTCACCGCGTCCGTAGTCAAAGGAGAATATATTCATGATTAAGAGCCAGCAACTCATCGCCCAGATAGAGTCACTGGCTGTTGACTTGGTAAGGGATTTGAGAATAGGACTGAGTCCCAGCAAGGAAAAGTAGATCAAAAGTGCTGACTTGACCGTAGATAGTCGCTGGCGGTTGCGTGATGAGAATAATGACGAGCGATCAATCTGAGACTCGTCGCTACTATCCATAGCACTGGGCGCAGTCGAAGCTTCAGTGTGGGACGAAGGATCCGGCAAGCCATTTATTACTGGACTTCGCTGTGGTAAATGCTCTTTGGACTCGTTGCCTGCCATGGATAATCCAAGACCATGGATTGGACTTTCATTCGTGCCGTTGGGCTGAGTGTCATTACCGGACGGGTTGACAGCGCTCGTCAGGGAGCTTGAGCTAGAACCATCGTCACCGATGACACCATTCGTCCCTTGTGAGAGCTCTCTCTGTTCAATCCAAATCCAATTGTCCCAAAGGATCCAGCCCATGGCAGTTCCAACACTCCCCCAGCAGACAATCGAGACTGGACTCACACGGTCTTGGACGATGCCGACAAAGCAGCAAACGAATATGACAACCGAACACACATGTTGCACAATAACGGTCGAGTCTGTGACTAGTGGCCAGAAGTCATACGGTCGGACTCTCGGGTTTCTTTGAAGATGGTCAAGAAAGGTCTCCGTATCGGTGTAGTTGTCGGGATCTGTCCCACCCCGTCAGTACAAGCCCGTAGAATCCACATTATGCAAACATACAAGACTGCTTCACCCATAGAAGCTTCTTCCAGGCACCCTTCCGTCTTCGACGACCAGCACCTAATTTCCTCACGTCCTTCTGACTAGAATCTCCGCCAAGCCCCCCACGCGGAGGCCGTAACGTAGATACTGTCCCATCACTATTCAAAGACCGCAAACTCTCATCATAGTTGACTGGCGCTGAGCGAATCCTTGATAATGACGGTCCAAAGTATGCATCCTCGGGCGCGAGGCGGTTGGGATCGGGAATGCGCTCCTGTTCAGGAGCGTTGGACCCCGGGGCTCGATAGGGGTGTGTGTCGACGGGAATGGGTGGGGGCAACGGGGACCGCGATGAGGGTGGGGGAGTCATCGAGCTGAAGCGACTAGCATTGGAGCATGGCGTTGGAAAAGGAACAATTGGGCTTTAATTGTCCAGATGATTCGCGATGCGGAACGCGCAATCCCACGTGCATGGCGATGTTGAGGTCATGTGATCTAAAGCTTCTTGCAGCCTCGCCAATCAGGCATAAACTAATCTATATTTGAGGAAATATTTAGTAGTCTAGTAGTTGAGAATTGGGCCCGTGAATGGTTTTCAGAGAAAGAAAGACATTTTTGAATTGTAAGATAACACTTATTTCGCATTAAACCAAACACGTTAAAATGTACCTCCAGCAAAACAGCTTTGTGGACTTCATTCCGAAAATCGCAAGCGCTCAGGTTCCGGGAGCTCATTTTGGACATCTGACAATAATATCACTTTACCAGATAGAGAAGGGTGCATATCTTTGTCCTCCTGGTCCACGTGGGAGATAGCGGTTTCTCTTTGCAGACAAAAGAATTATTCCGAACGGCATCTTCATCAGTATTTGGAAGCCCCGAGGAAAGAAGAGCGGGAAGTGGTGAACGGTGGTGAAAGAAAGGGAATGAGCGAAGAAAGTAGACGAACATAGATACTAAGAAGCTGTATCCCACGTTGCAATAGTTGAGCAATCGCTTTGCTCACAGTTGAAGTAGAAACGGAGCTTCCTCAGGATACTCAACCATATGAACGAGATCTTCGTGAAAATTACCAATTGTGTTCTAATTAATAAATAACTGTTTGCCAAGATAAAACACGCATCCTGCCACCATTCTATCTGCTGACAGCTTTTCTAAGACGAGACGGACGGGATATGTAACAACGGGAGGTCCAGGAGTGTATCGCCGAATTTCTGCGAAGAACCCCACAGAGAAACAACGGAGTTGGAATAGAAGAATATGATTTCGAAGGTAGTTGGAGTGACGAACGCCATGCAGATGCCTCCAGCACATTTATCGGACCAAAAGAGACGTGCTATTTTTAAGTCTAGAAAGACCAACGAGTGGTTGAAAGTTGGTGTAGTATAGAAAGGGGTATCAGTGCTTCAGAAGTGGGTGAAGGTATAGAAAGGTCGCCCTGGTCCGCTATGATGAGCTGGGCTGGCTGTTCTGCGGCTGGTCGAATGTATTGTTTTGCACGAGGTTGCGGACCGCCTGCGGCACCACCACGTCGTCGACGCTGTTCCTGCGGCCCCAGTTGTGAGGCTGTCGCCGGATGAAAGCGCCGACGGCACCCAGGTAACCTTCATGTCGCAAGAAGTACGCTTGCTTCTCGCCCTTGGACCAAAAGCGGATGGCGTATGAGAGGGTGTTCATGGTCTGGCGGTGACCGCGAATAAAGGAACCGCCGAAGTAGATGTGCTTGACCTCATGCTTCTCGGACTGAAGATAGGCGATCTGGCCGATGTTGTTACTGTTGTATGTTAGCTTGGTGCTTTTCAGGCTGAAGAATAGGGAAACGTACCTAATGGCATAAAGAAGGCTCCGGCTCATATCTTCGTGGTGGAAGTTGACACCGCCGTTGGTCTGTTCCGGATCATCGTCGTGGTAAAGACCCTCGCCGTCCTCGGCACCTCGCTCGGCAGCACTTTTCAAGCGGAAGACCTTGCCAAAAGTGCTGGCAATTGCTGTACTCTTGAGACCAATCTTGGTGTAGTCCATTCCGTAGATATCGCCCACCAGCATGTCCACGCCGCTGTTGTCCCCGCGATCCGCCATGGCCAGCATGTCGTCAAAGGTACGAGCACCTGTCAGCAAGGACATTAGACCCCAGAATGTTCCGCCACCGAGATGTGTACCTCCGACGCGCTGGTATTGCCTGGGGCCGGACACCTTGATCATGGACACGCCAGACCCTATGTTGACCAAGAGATAGGGGTAGACGTCCGGTCGAGCCTCGGCAAATTGCATCGGTTCATTGTCGGTGTCGCTGTAAGTAAATACTTCGTTGGGGATCTCGGTGATAAAAAAATCCAGACCTGGTGGGGAGAGGGGTTAGGGCGTCCCAAGATCCAATTCCGGTGAGCCGGGGACCTACCAATGATCAAACATTCCATCTCCTCCTCTCGCAGAATGTTGACGTCCAGCGCCTCCTTAAGCTTATCGTAGAACTTGTATGCACCCCCTCCAGTTGCCACGACACACAGCTCGTCGCGCGGGTTGCTATTGCGCTGCTCGTGCTCCTCCTTGAGTTGGCGGATGAAGTTGATGCAGATGTCAATTCGGTGGGTTTCGAAGTTGATGAAGTTCATACGACCGCCATTGTCTTCTGCGTCAAGCTCCCGAGTAAAGTATACGAGCTTCGCAAGCGATCCGCCGATCTATATAGCAATTGTGGTCAGTCACGCCGTCCTCAAAAGTTTTCGCAAATTGCGGGGTGCCGGTCGCAGTGCGGGGCAGGAAAAATCCAAGACTCACGTCGACGGCGACGTGGCTCACGACACCGGTATGGTGAGGAAGCCGAATATCTTTGTTCTCGTAGTGAACCCCGTCGGCTTCGACGGGGCTTCGGGAGCGGTCGTCGTCGTCGACGATGAAAGCGCCTGTAACATTGATCTTCACGGCGCCGGGGTTGGAAATGGCCTCCTCCACCCTAGGCACGCGCCCAGGGCGCTTGCGGCGGGGATCAGACTCCTTGCAATCGGAGGGAGCCATGTTTAGATTGTAATTGTAGGGTCAGGAGAAAGAGGAAGGGAGGAGATGCTCGTGCCCAGGCTTACGGCGTACTTCTCCTTCTGCCCGAGCTGCCAAATCGGGATCCACTCAACAAAATCCGTGCCGAGGAGTTTCCTTTCCGAGGTCCCTGAATGTAACCTACATACTACCTTGTTCCATATTGTTATGTCAAGTACCCAGGTAGTGAGCACCTCGGGATTCAAATCGGGATTTAGACTATATATTCCTCTGTTCATTCTACCTAACCAATTCCATACACTGACATGTGGCCTGGAGCAGGACGCTCTACATCTGGGGCTCAGGTACAAGACTTTAGACTAGCTGCAGTAAATTCAATATTGAATACTACACCTAGCGTATGGCCGGGTGTAGGTAGCAAGATACTTACCTGGGTAGTTTCAAGAACTTTTCCAAGGTGAAATCTAGCGGTCACCTACGTAAAAACTTCTTCGCGGAACCTCGTGGAAACCCATGAAGACATGTAAATACATCCAATTCCCTCCAGCGGCATCTTGATTATACTCTAGGTCCAACTCGCAGCTTTATTCGGTCTCATTGAAATATATAAGGAGCCCGTGAGCCGTTAGATTAACCTTCGGACTTATTCTGGCATCTCGCAAGCTAGTCCCAATCCAGAAATATGCATTCAGATCACACCGGGGCACGGGTATTAGATGAAAAGGGAGCTATTTTCGAGCCTGTGCATGTGAAAGAGCACAAAATGTTTCTCTATTACTATATGCATGAGCTAGAGAACCGAAGTCTATACATGTATTTCACACTTCGACAGTGTCGCCAGGTGAGTTGAACCCCATGTACCCCATGCTATGAGTATCCCAGGCAGATTTATAGATAGGCCATTAGCAATCCATAGGACTAAGATGATTCTAAATAATTTTGAGCCAGAGAAATGAACACGTAAAATGATAAACAGCAGGACGTTGCTCTCGCGCCTTCCCAATTAAGTAAGTGTACTATCTCCGCGTTTGCTTGTAGACGTGTGGCCCTATTTTATTCTCCTCCTCTTCTTTTTTTTTCTCCCTTCTTCCTTCCACCTTTCTTGCCCCGCTGGATTGTTTGTTTTTGAGTTTCGTGGACCACTTTGGTCTACTCACTCTTGTTTCTCTCAGTTGTGTGAGCTGCTCGCAAGGCAGTACAGTACATCCACGTCCTCTCCTCGCCTCCCTCACAAGAAAGACCTCTCTCCACCACTCCAAGATGACGGATTGGGATCACTTTGAGAGTTCCAACTCTCACCCTCCCGACTCTGTAGACCCTGTCATTGCTGGAATGGCTGATGTCAACATCACTGAAGAAGGTGAACTCAGTGAAGCGAGTGAGCTCGCTGGTTTCAATCACCCTCCCAATCAGTGGACTGGCCCTTCTGGTGATTTTATCAGGGATGTTGCCGCCAGGGGCTGGTCTGATCGTATTCCGTTCGAGTATGCTAACCTCTCGAACCCTGAATTCGCCGAATGGGCATGCAACGCCAAGTGCTACGAATGGAGTGACGAATTTGGAGATGTTGGTCCAAAGAATGAAGAGCTCGAGAAGCAGCTTTTCAACGCGGACAATATGACCCGAGCTGGACTGCAACTTGACCGGTATGTCTAATGACCTGTCGTATATATCTGTTCCACTGACCAGCATCGATATTCAGGCTGAACGAGATCGACGTTAAAGTGGAAAGCGAGGATCGTGTGCTCCCTATTGTCAGTGTTAGTATCAATCACCCGTCCTTTCATCTTCACCACTGGAATTGATCTCTGTTAATTATCGATTACAGTGGGATCACGCCGGCTTGCACCCCATCATGAGACAGAACATTGATCTGTGTCTTTACACTACCCCTACAGCTATCCAAATGTACACTGTCCCTGCCATTCTCACTGACAGAGATCTGATTGGCATCTCTCAAACTGGTCGGCATTCAAAACATCACTTTTCACGATCATGTTGCTAACAGATACAGGCTCCGGCAAGACAGCCGCATACCTCATTCCAATCCTGTCCAAGCTGATGGGAAAGGCAAAGAAGCTGGCCGCCCCGCGCCCTGACATTGTCGGGCCTGATTTTGACGCAAAGCTGAACGGGGTCCGAGCGGAGCCTCTGGTCCTCATCGTGTGTCCCACACGAGAGCTGGCTACTCAAATATTTGACGATGCCCGTCGCCTGTGCTATCGCTCCATGTTGCGTCCTTGTGTCGCATATGGCGGTGTTCCATCACGTTTCCAGCGTGATGAGCTCCATAAGGGCTGTGACGTTCTGATCGGCACTCCTGGTCGGATCATTGACTTCATGGGACAGGGCCACGTCCTGTCACTTAATCGTGTCAAGTGAATTACCCGGACACTAACACGAACCCTTGACTCTGAAAAGCTGACCCCAATGAAGGTACACCGTCATTGACGAAGCTGACGAGCTGCTTCATTCTGACTGGGAGGACGATTTCAAAAGAATTATGTCAGGTGGAGGCAAGTATCAACGTTAGTCCACAATCTCGGTGACTTACACTCTCTAGATGCCACCGAAGATGATGATCATCGTTACATGATGTTTTCTGCCACCTTCAACAGGGACTGCCGAAAGCTTGCTCGTGAGTATCTCAGTCAGAACTATGTTCGCATCAGCATTGGCCGGCCGGGCAGTTCACATTTCAATGTTGAGCAGCAGGTAAACCTATCCACCCCTGCATGATGTTGATTGGAAGTTTTGCACACTGATTGTATTATCAGATCATCTACGTCGAGGAAACCCGGAAAAACGACGCCCTCTATGACCTCTTACTGAGCATGTGCCCCATTCGAATTCTCGTTTTCGTCAACAGCAAAAAGCAGGTCGACTTCGTCGACGCATTCCTTTACGAGCACGGTCTCCCCAGCACCTCAATCCATGGTGATCGAACTCAACGTGAGCGAGAGGATGCTATGTGAGTATTTCAAATTTTGGATGTTATAACACATTGTTAATTGATTTTACAGCCGCTCTTTCAAAACCGCACAGTGTCCGATCATGGTCGCCACGGCCCTCTCTGCCCGTGGTTTGGACATCCCGAACCTTATGCATGTGGTCAATTATGATCTTCCGAGGACCAATCATGGTGGTATTGATGAATACATTCACCGCATCGGTATGTTTGCCTGTTTTCTTCTTTGTTCCTCGCACATAGTTTCTCCTGTGTGTGGATGCTGATGTTTCTTATTTGCTTAGGGCGCACCGCTCGTATCGGAAACGAAGGGCTGGCAACTTCTTTTTACACCGACAAGGACCGAGACCTTGCCTTTGATCTGGTGAGAATCTTGCTGGAGTGCAACCAGCCGGTTCCCGATTTCCTTGAGGAGTACATTCCGGCCGGTAGTCGTCCTGTATTTGACGACGATGACACCGATACCGAAAGTGGCGACGATGAGAACGATGCTGGGGTTGCTGGAAATCTCCACGAGAACGAGGACAACCTGGGCGAAGATCGCCAGGGTTCTTCCCATCAAGAGACCTCTGGTTCAGACAACACGGGTCTGGTCGGATCTCACTGGGCTACCGCCGATGTGACGCTGTAAACAGTGGATGCACTTTCTGGTGAAGTTCGAATTAACCTTCCCAGGATTCCCCTTCCACTCTCCAGGTGCAAGCGGTGATGGTGATCAATGAAAATTCCGACTGAGGGCTCTGATAAGCGGATTGTTACAAGCGGATCTTCTTTTTCTGTCACGCCTATGGGTCTATGGTTACCCCTCCCCTCTTCACTGCCTATGGCCAGTGCCGATGGAAAGCCGTTGACGCGGCTGCCTTCCTAATAGCGAGCTGTGTTTATCTGTCCATCCATGCTTTCGCAAATAGGAATGCGACTCTATGCATTCATTTTCTTTCCCAGTTTGAGCCCTCTACCTCTGACTATCGTGTAGCTATGTAATGAAATATGGCAAATTTCTGAAAATGGGTTGTCTTCTCCTAGTCAGTCAGGGAAAGAAACGGGGCGACGCCTTCCCAACTGTAGCACAACGTACCTGCTTTACTTGCTTATACTTTAAGCTCCGCTCAGTCATCGCTTGGCTCATATGGCCAAGTCCCCCTTGGTTAATTCTGCATCGCCTATTCACTCCTTAATCTCCACCGGCAGGTTCGTCGCCATGAAGAGCCATATTTTACTATCGTCTCCTGTCCTCTTCTTGGCCTTCTTCCTCCAAGCAATGAGCCTCGCGCACGGTCACTATAGCGATCAGCATTGGTACGAGCCTCGAGAGCAGCACGTACTCTCTGCCCCAGAAAATGCAAGACCCATGCCATCACTCATCATCGACACATTTCAAAATCCAACGCACAACGATCTCGGTTTCTGGCATGGTGCTGGTGAAGATCTGGCCATGCAGTACCAACCTGGCTCCATGCAACTCTTCCCAACTGACCCGGATCAAAACTATCATACACAATTCGAAACGAACGGGTGCTTCAGTATGATTCCATGGCGAAATCAGTTCTTACATGTTGAATTTGTCGGCACCGACCAGTTCACCGTTTCCTTAAACGAGCATAACGAGGACTGCTACCCTCACCGTGCTCCGTTCCCGGGTGTACCAGACAGTATTGAGGCATCACGATATATGATGAAAATGGGCCACGGTAGCACCGGACATGATGGAGATGGCCATGAACACGATGAGCCCATTCGCGAGGAACACGGCAAGAAGCAGATATCCAAAGACAACGGTGGCGGCGATGAAGACGACCAGACCCCTGCTGCGCCGCCGAAGAAAGAGCTATTCATTCCGCTTTCTCACTTCCTGATCAATCAGAATCGTGTCGTATCTGTTTCCTTCTCGGGATTTTATACCAATAGGTCCATCACGCTGCATCGGGTCGAGATTGTTTCGAGTGTTCCGCCGCCGAGAAAGGAAAATAACTACTTCAAGATTCCCGAGAAGCTGCCTACGGGCGAGTTGATTCTTCGATGTACTCGGCCTAAGTCGTTTGCGTTCGGGATTGATGATGGGTCGCCTCGCTTTGCGCAGGAGGTGATGAGGATTCTTGATGAGGAGAATGTTCGTGTTACGTTTTTTGCTGTCGGAGCTGGACTCAGGGATACAACTACGAATCTCACCAGGTTCTATCGTGAGATGCTAAAGAAGGGACATCAAGTTGCCCTGCATTCTAATACTCATCCCAAGTAAGTTGAGGTTTCCAAAGTGTGCATGCAATGCGTTTACTGACCCTTGACTAGAATGGAAGCCCTGCCGACAATTGACAAGATCGATAATGAAATTATCCAAGCCCAAAGAACCCTCAAGGAACAACTCGGGATCGAATGTGAGTATAATCCAGAATCATTTCACGAGCAGCTCTAACAACAATGGCAGCGTCGCACGGGGCGGCAATCTCGCTGTAATGCACTTCCTCAACCCCACGACCGTCGGGTATCTACGCCAGTTCATCCGACATGTCAAAGGCTCCGGGTTCAAAATCATGCGCATTGACCAGTGCATGGAGGATCCCGACAGCCCACCATTATCGTGAAGAGCAACATCATGTATCCATAGGGGGGGGATCATGAGGTATATTTATTACCGACGGATATTCTTATACGGTATACTCTTGTCTTGCGTCAGTCTGCATCCCAGTCAATCCTTTAACAGTGATTCTTCCATGGAATAGAATTAATTTTATAGGGGCGCCAAGGTTCGAGCGCATAGGATCTCTATACTCGATGCCAGTTCGATGTGAGGTTGTACTCCAGTACCAACGCTAGCCAAAGATTCGCACAACCCGGAAACGAAATCATGATAACACATTATAGAAATAAAGACCCGGTGTTGATGCCATGCATATAAAGAACCCCCACATCCATCCTAACACCCGCCAAAACCGGGAGATCCAAGAGAAGTCAAAATTTCCAACGCCAACGCTTAAGCTCAAGAAGTATCCCCAAACTCGGGCGCTCTGCACAACCCCTTTTTATCCATCATTTTCCGAATCCGGCTTGTTAGCCAGCCCGATGCCGCCTCACGATGCGAGCTGCCAAGGCGTGGGCTGCTGCTTGTGAAACAAGTGTTGTCGCGGAAGCTGAATTGCACGCAGGTCTTTTGGACGTCACAGATCTCGCGACAATCCTCAAAGCTTGTTGCAAAAGGTTGTTCTTCACCGGATAAATTGTCCCAGTTTAAGCGGGTTGGGGAGATGGCCATTTCGGGGTAGATGAATTCGCGGAACAGGTCGCTGTGGAGAAGGAGGTGTTTGTTTTTCTGGGGTTGTTAGTTTGGTGTTTATGCAGTAGGGAATGGAGGAGGAATTACTTCGTGCCATCGTTTTTGTTCGTATTTCCAGAGATCTTCGATTTCTTCAGCTTTGAGGTGGTGCAGTGCGACGGCTATATAGCACCATGGTTGACGGTATAGTTCTGTTGTGAACTCTTCTAGTTCGCCGAGGTTGGAGTTTTGTAGAATCGGCCAGGTGAAGTGTAGGTTGACGCCTGCGTCGGCTAGAACCTTGCCCAGGACACAGTCGCCAGCCCAGTGTCCGTCTGTATAGTCGTCGAGCTCGGCGCGGCGCGACTCGTATTGTTCGGAGGCTTTTGTGAGAGCTGGGTTGGAGAGCATGAAGCCTGAGCCACCATGGGCGAAGATGACATCTGCGATCTGAGTCTCGGTGCCGAGGTAGTATGGCTTTTTGTGGTCGAACTTGGCTAGCCAGGTGAGTAGGGTCGGCCAAGAGGGGTAGGTGTCGGCCTCCATGAAGACAAACCACTTGGCGTCGGGCTTGTACTTCAGTGCCTCCTGCGCCATAGGCAGGAACTTCCATTTGTCCAATTTCCATCCCGGGTTATTTGGCTTTCCAAAGTTGGTGTTGTCCTCATCGGCGAAGTCCTCCTGTTCCAGACCTTTGCGCCCTTTGCCAGCGATCCGATTGTAGATGTCGAAATCCTGCACACGCATCTTAACACCGGAGTCAATGGTACTCAATGCATCGTAGATCTTAACACCCTCGATCTCCTCCTCGAAGTCGGAGTAGATCACGTAATGCGGGATGCAGCTGAGGGTGGTCTTGAAATGGATCGGGACTTTCTGTCGAGCTTCGGTGACACCTGTCTTCATCACGACGAGAATATCCTCAATGCCTGGGAGAGGCGGGCATCCCGTAGAGGGTTCGCCGGCATATTGGATATTGGCGTCGGCGTCGGCGCTGGGGCGGGATCGTCGTTGCGGGAGGTTAGATTGCAAGGAGACGAGGTAGTATAAGCAGAGGAGCCCGATAGCGGCAGCGACGGCAGCGAAGCGGCGACTGAATCTTCGAGAGAGCATGATTGAGGAGAGTGCCTCAGTCCAAAAGGAACAGGTCGCCTGCAGCTGGGGAAAGGTGGGCGCTAAGCAGTGATCGACGGGGCCGCGCACGGCTGCTGACACACGCGGGACGCGCACAGGGTCTCTTGAGGTATTGAAATTGCGGAATGTCAACCGTCCACAGCTTGAATTCGCCAAGTTTGAGATGATTGACTTGTTCTAATAGATTCACTTGTCCTTTTTTTTTTTTTTTTTTTTTTCTTCAAACCTTCTCTTTGTCAATAACGCCCTTTGCTCATAGCGTAGGAGCATCTCGCTGCGCCCCTTGATCATCGTGGAGATCTACTTCACTGCCCCAATCTAATTACCCCTGGGTTTCCTTTCCAGGAATGTACCATTGATTCTCAATTGTGTCATAGTGACCGTGATTCCCATGGCGCTGATAACCTATATGTAATATGAGCCCGTGTAGACATAAGACATGTGGTTTGATATTCCGAGGTATACGAGGTCTTCCAAAAGATGTATACATCTGGGCATCTGCCTTGATATAAGAGATCGTTGTGAGATTTTCTTATCTAAGCTCTCAGCTCAGCTCCTGGGCAACTGAGTGCATTTGGAACCAACATTGAAACCTTGGAATTACCATTCAAGAAGCACATGTGTTCAAAATTGTTTTAATTAGCTTTGAAGTACAGTCGGCTCGGATACTGCGAGTGGTTATGAGAATCGCTACGTTCAGTCGTGTCCAATAAGACATCTGATAAAAATCAGGACAGCAGTGCTATTGTAACAATGTAAATTCCTCAGACGTGCCCTGAAAGAGTATCAAGTTGCTTTTGGCTATTTCTTCCAGATAGTTGTAAATAACATCTGTATGGGGAAGCAGGACGCCTCGCTTGAAGGGTGTGTGGTCAGCCTATCAATCGCTCGCAGGGGTTGCCGTCGCTTTTCCTTCTGCGGCTGTGCTGAAGGTATGTGTTTGTGTTGGCGCCCAACAGCAACATTAGTACTTACAATGTCCCTTTCAGTTGACGGGTGGCGTTCAAGCTGCCCTACTAGCGGGCGTTCAGGTAGGGAAGTCGAGCTTCTTTCTTAGACTTTTACTCAATGCTGTTTCGATAATTAATTCGTTTCAACGATGGATCCGGTATGCTATTTCAAGACTCTCCATGGACTCAATAGTAAGCTTATTATACACTGCCTTTTCAACATAGAACTCCTTTTATGAAAGGTCACTCGCGTGTAAGAACCTTTTCTCCGATAAATTAACGAGAATAGTCATTATTGCGCCGCTGCCTTCTTCTCTGCAATCCTCGCGTCGTGCAACTTCACTAACTCAGGAATGATCAGACTCTCAATCTCAACGCCATCCTCCATGCCCACCGAAGGAGGCTGATCCGTCTCATTAGCTTTGCCTGCCTCTCCCTTCTTGATCTCAGCCAACCCAACTTGATCCTGCGCACCGGAAATACTCTTGCTGCGCCGAGACTTTGGAACCCGAATCCATCGCTCGTACGGCGCATCTGGCGTGATGAACACGACCTCCCATTTGCGGGTCGAGAGCATATTACCGATAACGAGATGGTGTGCGTAGCGCTGCAAGGCAGTGCGGGCCTTGTAGACCAGCAACGCGGGATCGGTCTCCAGTTTGAATGAGACAACCATACTCCCATCAGGAGCCCAGCCGTCAACAAGTCTGTGCAGGAATTTCGGTACAGGGTCAAGGTCAATAATCAGCTTCTTGCTATTCTTTGCGGGCTCGTTCTCGTTCTCGCCAGTGTAAATCTCGTCGCCGGCGACTGCATTATCCCGGAAGTTGGCTGGAATCTCCGAAGACTGAATCTTATGCTCTGCCATCCGGCTGCGCGGGATGAAGAAGTCACTCACGGCAGCCGCGAGGTAGAAAAGCGCATTATAGCCCAGAGGCCGCATCAGCTTCGCCATAGCGCGCAGTTCAAACATGTACTCGGCGACTGTGGTGAAAGATAAAAGAAGCAGACGGTTGTTCTGCTTAGCATAGCGGTATTTGCGCAAGACATCGCGCATCTGATTCTGGTACTCATTGCGCACGATGACCGAACCATCCATCGATCCATTCGAGGGCGGCGCCTCATCCATGAAATCAAGGAAACAGTTCGTCGAGTGGCTATAGTGCCGCGAATACGGTAGGAGACTATACTGCCGGTGCAAGAAGATCACCGCATATCCCTGCTCCAGGAAGTACTCTGCGGAAGTGGCTCCGCGGGTACCCGCGGAGAAGTTGTCGATGAAGCGAACTGTTTGCGCCTCTAGGGGCACTGTCGTTCCACCGGAGGTAACGAGTACCACACGGCGGTTTGCTTCGACATGAAGGTCGATGAATGCGCGGGCCAGAGCCTCGTGTCTGGAGAGTGCCTTTGGTGGCGGGTACTCATTGAAATACACGGACTCCGCCTCGGCGGGTTCCATATCGCCGAGTGAGGGGCTCATAGTGTAGTCGATAAAGCTCTCGGTATGAGAGCCTGATGCGATAGTAAACTGGGATAGCTTTGCGTTGAGGCTGTTACCCCGTGTTCTCAACAAAAAGAAAAGCTATGCCTCGCGGAGTCGGGAGGTTCGGGCAAATCAGAAGCCGAGGATGCCGCCCACAGGAGGGGTATGGTGGATGCGACCGTGATGTCTGTCAATCCAACGTTGCGCGAATGATAAAGTCCAGCCCGTTTATTGCAACTATGATGAATGAAAGATGGCTTTTTTCTTTATTAGGTCGTTTTAAAGAGGTTAAGAAGCTCTCGCGATCGCGGCAAATGTCAAATTGACAGTAGCGGAGATCGGACTCTCCTATTTCGGGGCTAGCGCTGCCGCTGGGCCGATACTGGAGCTTTGACTGCGAAGATGATCGCTCAGTGGATGGGGATTCCTGGATATTGAGATGACTGGTTGCTCGTCGCCGATGCCGAGGCGTCCGTTTCAGTCGATGGTCACGTGTTACCTCATCGGGGATATGGCGAGACTCAATTTACTCTGTACAATTCATCACTTTCGGGTCTACGGAGATCATTATGGAATTCAAAGGAGCAAAGTGCATTGATCTTCGTCCATGCTAGAATGTTATTGCCGATTGACGGAAATCATGCGAACATATACCCGGTACATCTCATCCCCGAGAGGACTACGTGCGGTGAGAATGTTGATGCACCAGGTAAGGTTACAGGGCCCAATCATTGCAGGTAGCGACTGCGCAAGGCCTGGCTGATGGTGCTCATTCGGCTGGCCATGCCTCCATGTTGCATGTTGCTCGCCAAAGCTTCCTCCAGGGCCGATTGTGTAACGCTGGCATCTGCAGGATCCATCAATAATTAGTAAGAAGGAAGTATCGTGAAAGGGAGAACTCACCATCGAGGTCACTAAAGCTGCTACCCATGCTAGGGGTGCCATCGCTAGCCTCTCGCCCTGACGCTGTTGACTTGCGAGAGCTCTGGCGGGGGGCCATCCCGGCTCGATGGGGACTCAATGGGCCAATTCTGCCACTATCCCCCTGTGTGTGACTTGCTGGAGCTCCGGAGCTTATAGAACTCGTCGAAGACTCTAAATTGGCAGCCCTTCTGGTCCCAGATCGATCTGCCATATGTCGCCGTGCAGTAGCAGCACGTTCCGCGTCAAGTCGCAATGTCGCACTAAGCTCTCCACCTGGCCGATCTCGTGGGCCAGGTTCCGTATCACGAGCCATAGGTAGGAATGCAGGAGTGTCATCTTCTTCATCATCATCCTCATCATCACGGAGGCCGGCTCGTTGAGTGGAGAATTTCCCAAAGCGTCGATATCTAGGCCCTCTCCGACTTGAGTCTTCCTCCGAATCGGAATCTTCGGAGCTTGACAAGTCTTCCTCCTCGAGGGGAGGCGATCGCAAGAAGGAAGCCACGGGTGGATTTTCCTTCTTTGTGACTGATGGGCGGCGAACATAGCTTTCCCATCGTTGCTCTCGGCCATCTGTAGTCGGGGTATCATTACGAGATGTATCCCGAGAGTGCTGGAATTGGTTCACTGTGGTCGTTGATGTAGAACTAGCACGTCGGCCAGTGGGACCTATTTGTAGTGTCAGATGCCAGGGTTGTCCCACGTCTTACTCTGTGAAAGGTATTACCTCGCTGGGGAATATCCTTCTGCTGCGATAATTGCCGACTCGGAGCTCGAGGGCCTGTACACATCATCAGCAATACTATTAGACATAGAAAATCGAAAACTACCTGTGCTTATATTTCCTTTCTGAGATAGCCCGGGAAATGCGGTACTGCCTGAAACAGATCCCGGGGCTGGCGAGGGGGAATTTGACTGGGCTGTAGGCACTTTGCGCATCTGGGCGCGGACTTGAGACAGCTGTCGGTCATAAAGCCATGCAGCTTGTTGAAGAAGAAATTGCAGAGTGACATCAAAGTTGTCGGCCCTATGTTATGTCAGAATATCATGCTCCGCATAGGTTGGCGACATGTATTTACAAGGCTTTCCCTATTAACTGTCAGCAATGGCACATCTGATAATTTGGAGAAGAAAGACAATCAAGCACGCATAGAGAGACGTACAGTCTATATCGTCCCCTTTAGATGGTCGGGATAAGATATCCCACAGCTTTTGGTCCTTGAGTGCATTCCATTCCACCTGTTGAGGTCAGAAAAAAACAAATAGAGCTGCTTGGCTTGACAAGCGCACCGGCGGCGGATCAACAAAGTCTTCCCTGGGAAAAGGTAGCCGTATAAAAACTGTGAAGTTGGTGTCGCCTGGATCGCTTCTTGCCATCTTGCTTGTAGTTGATGACAGAACGAAGTGGAGCCAGTGCTGAAAGGTGTTGGCTTTTAGTCCTAAGCTCCCTGATTCCAAGGGGCGGCTATCTTGGCGATATACAAAGAAGACCCCGACGCTTGATACAGAAAGAATCGGGTGTTCAAGTGGCGGAGATGGTTGACAAAGAAGCTATCCTTCCGTGGGGGACGGCAGCAGATGGGAAGGCGAGAAAGTGACGAAGGCCGCTGTGCTCGTTGATTGGTTGATATTGTTGCGTGGCCGGCGATGCGTGGTTTTAATCTCAGCCAAGCAATTTCGATGTATACCAGGGGCAAGACGGGTCCGGCACACGCCATGCGTAGTGATAATTCCACGCACTTCCTACGATAACTATCCCGACCATATATTCGCATCCTGCTCGCGTGACAAGCTATATTCCAACTGGGCTGCCTCGAATCTATATCATTGCTGAAAAACTAAATAGCCAGCTCATATATGGTGACGTCACTGAACTCCTGCCGTACTGTGGTAGTACATACAGAGATCAGCATATAGGAGACTGGAATGTACTAATGGTATACGCCTGATTCCATAGTAAGCAAGGCTTCCGAGAGGATTGAATTCCACCGGCACTTCTTTTGAGCAAAAGCAATTCAGGCATGACGGGAAAGAGCGAGGGGACTTTCTCGGGGTTGGAGGGGAGATCCCAAAATTGCTAACCTCATCTTCGGCATGCCGAGGATCTGGTTGTACTCTAAACACTTCGACCTTACAATATGCTTCACACTTTCATCTTGATCAGGATGTGTATTTGATCATCTTTACTTCAGATACGGGGATTAGTAGCACATATCACCTGCTATTGTATGCACTAGACAGTGTGAGCCATCGTAGATTCAGATCCCTTCCCCCAGGCGATCGGTGGTGGAATATAGGCCAGTCTGGAACCAATAGCTGGTAACGTATACTGACGGCTTCGTGATATTTCAGTATGTCTACGCTGGCTCAACGGTTAATTGGTTCAACCAACTTTGGAACTGATCTGTGTAGGTGAAAGGTGCCCTAGACTCCCGGTTCATTGAGCCGCTCCCTTGCTGGCACTTCTCTCCGGGGCTTTTCTAGGCTACTGACACCCGTGAGATAAATCATCGCTGGTTAACAAGATCCAATCCGCGCCGATTGACAGGTCTAATCTGTTCCAGTCAACGATAACGTGCCGTCTATTTGAGATGAATTCGTGACGCAGTTGAGATTAAAGAGGACGCCTAACCTCCTTAACTCATACTCTTTTCGGCGGAGTCGATTATTTCCACTAGCCGTTATGGGCTGAGTGGGTGCGGGGTGCAGCTTATTATTCCCTGATCTGCCTCAGCCCAATTATCAGATTCCGACCTCCCCATTTCCCATCTTCAACCATGCCTTTTCTCACCTATTTCTATTACAAGTTCCTTGCGACGCTTATGCGCGCCATTGTATGGCTGGGAGGAAGTCGTCCTCTTGCATACCCAGACGAAGTGCGCCATATTTCTTCTCGCGACAGCGGAAGGTCCATTAAGGTCCATGTGTACCACGCAGCCAGCAGCTCGGGTCCATCACCCGTGCTCATAAACTTCCACGGAAGTGGATTTCTTCTACGCATGCATGGCGAGGATCACGAATTTTGCCGGCAGATCAGCGAGCAGACCAAGTACACCGTCCTGGATGTGCCGTATCGACTAGCGCCGGAAAACCCATTCCCTGCGGCGATCAATGATGTCGAGGATGCCATCAAATATGTGCTGGGTCGGCCCGACGAGTTCGACCTGTCCCATCTCTCCCTGTCCGGTTTCAGCGCCGGTGGAAACCTGGCACTCGCAGCATCGGCGACTCTGTTCCCACCAGAGACGTTCCGATCCCTGATCGCCTTCTACCCTCCAGTAGATCTCAGTGCTGATCCAGCCACCAAGGGAGCACCAGATCCAAATGGCCGTGTCATCCCTGTCCCTGTTGCGCGGCTCTTCAATCGGTGCTACCTGCCGTCAACCTTCGACGCGCGGGACCCACGTATCTCCCCGAAATTCGCGTCGCTGGACCGGTTCCCGCGCCGGATCCTCATGATCACCTGCGAGGGAGATTCACTGGCACTCGAAGGAGAGGAGCTAGCGGAGAAGCTGCAGCACGAGGGTCATTACGTGGTTAGCGAGCGCATGAATGGCTGCAGCCATGCGTGGGACAAGCGCACGAGGGCGGGAACCCCGCAACGCCAGGCCAAGGAACGGGCTTACAAGTTGGCAGTGGAAATGCTGAACGAGTAAGTTGCGATATTTCTGGAGTTGTACAGATCCACCACCTATTGTCGGACCCGTCCAGATCAGGTCATATCATCCCGTGCCGCGTGTTGTGCCTGACCCGTTCGTCCGATTCCATGGCTCTCGCCACGTTGGGGCCGCGGCTCATTGCACCCTGGCATCAGAGCAGAGAATGCGATCCATGCATGTACATAGTTAAGGTTGACTGGTGCCGGGCACTAATAGCCAAATGGAAAAAAAAAAAAAAAAATAAGAAAAATAAAAAAGAAATCCCAAACAATAAAATCCCAAAAAAGTTTGTCAGGCAGAGGGGAGCCACATGGAAAGTGGATTAGGATCAGGGTCGCCCGTGGGTCACCCGGTTTCATTTTATTTTGAACCATTAAAATCACGATGCGAAAAAGGGTGAAGTGTCCTGGTCTGTGAAAGGAACCTCCTATCGTTCACCTTGGCTACGGCCTCCTGTCCTTACAGCTCTTTGACTCCCCCTCCAGGCCTTCCGCCTCTTATCCTCCTCACCCCACTACGCCCCCCCAAGAAAAGGGTGGATGCGGTCATTGTGCGCCTTCATCTCGTCCACCGAGGTGCCGTGGACGAGTCCACTCCTTTCCTTCTAAAAGAAGCGCATTCTCTATTCCTCCAATCCATGCGCGCCCTGCTGGCTAGGCGCCCCAGCCACCTGTACACAGAATGGATCCAACACCGGGCTCCGTCCTCGACGAGGACAGGTACCGAACAGAGGTCCTCCAACTGAACTCGTCGGAAGCAGAACAAGCGCGGGCGCAACAGCTTTCCGACGAGGCGCGGTTGTTGGGCCTCAGGGTACCGGAGATTGAATCCTCGACATCCTTGGCCGCTTCGATCGCTTCTGGAATGGCCGATCTCTCATCCCCGGTGCTATCCTCGGGCTCTTCGACGGACCGAAACTCAGTTCAGGATGGATCCGTTACGCCGTCGCACGAAACGTCCTCTTCCTCCCCGCTTGCGCTCGATCAGATCGTCTCGTCACTGTCCGACATCACACTCGCCTCGGCGCGCGTGAAGCCGGGCAGCACACGGTCCCTCGCTTCTTTGTCTACTCGGCCAACATCCTTTTGTTCCAGTGAAAGCCGGACACTTCCGGGTGGATATGGAAGTCATAATGATGGACTGGCGGTGAATCCAAACCGGATGTCGATGCTCAGTCTTGCGTCAGTCGACAAGAAGGAAAAGCGACGAAGCAGCATAAAAAATGCCATTGGGCGCATAAACTTCCGCAAAAAGCACCCCTCGAATGAGATTCTCCCGCCCAATGCTCAAACCAGTGTCTCCAAGGGCGAGACCGGGGTCGACCGACTCTTACTAGAGACAAAGCCAGAACCACCAGCCAATGACGATGTATACCAACGCCCTGTCACCGCTGTCGAGCCTCTTCCTAGGCTAGAGATCCCGATATTCGATAACGAGTCAATGCAAAGAAGTGTGGATGATCCGGAGCTCAGCGCGATGCACGAGCGACATCGCATGGAACGAAACCGCCATGTCGCATTCCAAGACGCTGCCATCAGCACCCTCCGGCGTCGACACCAAACAGCCGTCTCTGAGAGACAGGTCGAGAACAAGCGTCTGGAGGAAGAAAAGGAAGAAAAGGTATGAGCGCCCATCCCCGCAGTGCATTGGTCACATTTCTAACCGGTCTGCGTGTGACAGAACACAGCGGCAGCTATGAAAATCGAAGAACGCCAACTCGCAGTCGAAGTCGAACAGCAGCGCGAATTCGACCGGGCTAAGGTGAACTCGCGTACTCGCATCAAACACATGGAGGGTTATTTCCGCAACGCAAGTCCCCCGCCTTCTCCGGCCGGCGCCGCGCAGCGGTCCTCCGACTCCTTCTCGGGATCCGATACAACGCCGCTCTCGCGTCGCTTCACGCGACAGCAGAGAGACCAGCTGGAGCAACAATACCATGACCACGAGTCTATGGATGCTCTGCACGATGCGCGGATCAAGGTCCTTCGGGATCGCCAAGAGCTCAAGCTGCAGGATGCCATTGAGCGCATGGAACGCGAATTCGAGGATCTCACCCAACAGCATGTGAAGGACGTGGAAGCGCTGCAGACTGAACACCAAAACGAAGAGGACTGCTTCCTGCGGGCTATGGATGCCAAGAAAATAGAGCTTCGCCATCGCTGGCACCTCGAAGAGGCCATTCTGCGTAGCCAACTCGAGGCCCGCAACGGTCGACTATACGGGCCACTGCCTCCGATTCCTTTCGATGCATCCTATACAGAAACCAACGGCTCTGCCATTGCTACGGCTGAGGCATCTCCGATCTCCGCTGGAGATGCGAAAGAAAGCACTGCAATGCCGTCACCGGCGGAGTAGGCTTGTGCTTGATATACCCTCATACCCCCATACCCTCATACACGCATACACGCATACACGTCTACACCCTACACCCTAATGTCTCTTAATTCCTTTTTCTCATCGCATCGGTGCTCCTCACTTCTATACAACTCTTCTCACGCCCCAGGTTTACTCTTCTTGTAATCACGTTTGTCTGCCCGAACGATTTTTTGTTTCCTCGTTTGGGATGTCTATACATATCGCATTGCGGCGGCTCTCTGGTTCCGATGTGCATAGCTTTTGAGTTTGGGATACTACGGCTTCCTCGATAGATAGTTGATTGACCTTGTTAATTAATGTTGCATTAATGGAATTTCGCAAATGGGTATCTCTGTTGTACTAAATAAACTGAACACTCTTTATTCAAGCCGTTGACTGGCCACGCTCTCTCAGTCGGTCCAACAGCGCTTCGATTCTACCACCGCCACCAGTCATCGTGTCTTCCGTCTGTTTGTCTCGGCCTGCATCGCCGATAACTACCGCACGTTCAACGAGGCCAGTATTAGACAGCTTGAACCGCCCAACCCGACCATCCTCCCACTCAAGCCGTACATACCGTGCCTCGACCGCGGTAGATGCCAGAGACATAACCCCGGTCCCCTCCACGGGCAGCGCTCGCTCACTTGAACTGGACAAAGACCCAGTCTCCAACCCCAACTTCTCCCGCAGGAAGTCAACCGCATCAGTCCTCATATGCCAAGCAACCAACTCTCTCCTCAACTCACGCACGAATCCCCTCAAGTCCTGCTTCCTCTCCTGCCCCTTCCACGGCTTCAGGTTCTCACCCTCCTCACTTTCCTCAACCCTCTCCTTCCCAGACCCAGGAAACGGCAAGAAAGCCCCCTCAAGCTTCGACATAGAGATAAACGCCGGAACAGTATGCCTATGCACCCGTAACCTCTTCTCATTACCCCCGCGCACGCGTTCCCGTCTCAAAAGCACGTAATACGGCTTCGCGAATTGACCATTACGCGCGCAGACGTCCAGGCGCACGCCGAGGAGGTTATCATTTGCCGTCGGCGAGGGGTCCTGAAATGGGAATGCAGTCGCACCAAAGGCGATCCGGTAGTGGTTGCATTCGGAGTGTTTGCCAGCCGCGCGGACCAGGGGGGAGAGCTCGTTGTTGATTGAGGTTAGAGCGGGAGGTGGTTTGCGGATGAGTTTTTGGATGGAATGGGCGGAGAGGAGGCTTGATGCGAGGGTTCGTTTGCGCTTTTGGAGTTTTTGGACTTGGACTTGTTAGTTTTGGCTCGAGTATCTTGGGTCTGAAGACTTACTCTCGGCGCGAATTGTGGCGATTGCTTCGTCTTGTTTCTCTTCTTGCGGGTCGGGGGAGGCGCCGGGGTAGCGGGCGGAGTGGTTCATTTTAGAAGAATTGGAGGCGCTGGATACTGGTGAGACTTTTCCAAGCGCACCTGTTTACTCGGGCCAGCGAGTTGCGATATTGGGCGACAAATAGGTCTGTGACAACATGCGACAGCGCGGTTTTGTTTACACCCGCAACCAGCACGTGACCCCGCATCAGCAGCGTTCACAATGCGCTCACAATGCGTTCAGCTAAGACTTCGACTTCATGGGTTGGAAGTTATTTATAATTATCTGATTTTTGATTTTTGATTTTTGATTTTTAGATGGAATCACGCGACGCGAACGTGTTGGGTTGGGCGCATATAGTATCCAAACGTAGAGAATATACTCCGATGCTGTCCAACCTCGCCTATGTAGCGTAGCGACTACGAGATCTCTAACGCGCTGATCTCGATATGCAGGAGCTTTGTGCAACGGGAGAAGCGCAACAAGCTCGCAAAAAGATCCATGCTAGAGTGGGTGCGGACCTAGAGACGACCAAACATAGCAGAGACATCACGGACAGTAACGGATGCAGACCCGCAAAAGGCCAGCTTGCCTTCTCCACGTCTCTCGCCTTCCGAGTTCCACGGGTTCCCCCTCCATTCCACTCGTTCCTGATTCCTAATCCCTAAGGATTCTCTCCTTCGTTTCCTCCATGCATTGCTTACAAACTCGCTTTCACTACCCGATACCGACTCGGTGATCTATCTACTACCCCTTCCTTTGACGCTCGCTCCCTCCCTCCCTGACCCTATACAACACCGATCTCGGTCAAAGACACCAATCTCCACCGATCTGGACCCATTACTCCCTGCCATTCAATGACACGCAAGAACGCCACGCTCGCCCGACGCCGCTCCAAACCGAGCCTGAAAGTTGCTACCGGCCAGAACGGCCATGCCAACGGCAAAATGAACAGCAACATAGAAATGCGCAAGCGCGACACTCCTTCCACCGAATCCTCCACTGAACGAACTGCCCGAGTCATGGAAAGCCACAGCTTCTCCCTCGATAACGACCCTCCGGTCCCTCAGACCCCTCTCATGACCACCACGAGCTTCCACAACCTCCCCGCGAGCGATCGCCGAAATTTTCTCTTGTTATGCGTCTTATACTTCCTCCAAGGCGTGCCCATGGGCCTGGCCACCGGCTCTGTGCCCTTTCTGTTGAAACCATACCTCTCCTACGGCCAAATCGGCGTGTTCTCGCTCGCGTCGTACCCATATTCTCTCAAATTGTTCTGGAGTCCCATCGTCGACGCGGTATGGAGTCCGCGCTTCGGACGCCGTAAGAGCTGGATCACTCCAGTTCAGGTGATTGCTGGTCTGGCCATGATCTACATGGGAAGACACATTGGTGCGATGATGGAGCAGGCCGGCGCGAACAATGGCGCCGGTGTTTGGAATTTCACATATTGGTGGTTCATGTTGGTGTTTTTCTGCGCCACTCAGGATATTGCGGTTGACGGATGGGCGATTTCCCTGATGTCTCCACCGAACATTTCGTACGCCTCGACTGCGCAGACCGTTGGCTTGACGGCCGGACACTTCTTGTCTTACACCGTTTTCCTGGCGTTCAACTCCAAGGACTTTGCCAATCGTTACTTCCGCGCTGTTCCCACCGAGGAGGGTCTGATGTCTCTTGGTGGTTATCTGACCTTCTGGGGTTGGTCATATCTCGTTGTCACGCTGTGTCTGGCTTTCTTCAAGAAAGAGGAGCGCACTAAGGAGCGTGACAGTATCGCGGATGTGTACAAGAGCATGTGGAGTGTTTTGAAGCTCAAGAACATTCAGACCATCATCATCATCCACCTTATCGCCAAGATCGGCTTCCAGGCCAATGACGGCGTCACTAGCCTGAAACTGCTTGACAAGGGCTTTGGCCAGGACAACATGGCTTTGGTCGTGTTGATCGACTTCCCATTCGAGATTATGCTGGGATACTATGCCGGCAAGTGGTCGACCGATTACGGTGCCATGCGACTTTGGGGATGGGCCTTCATCGGCCGATTGGCCGCTGCTGTTATTGCTCAGTTTACTGTGATGATTTACCCCAGCAGCCCCGACGTGCCGTTCTGGTACTTGCTCACTGTAATCTTTGAACATGTGATCTCGACTTTCATGAACACAGTCATGTTTGTGGCCATTTCGGCTTTCCACGCTCGCATTGCAGACCCTGCGATTGGAGGAACCTACATGACCCTTCTCGCAACGTAAGTTTCTTCCGTCGGACCGTTTTTCCTCCATCCGCCATCTAACCTTTGATATAGTGTCTCGAACTTGGGTGGAACATTCCCTCGCTTCTTCATTCTCAAACTAGTCGACTTCTTCACTGAAGCGACTTGCATCCCTTCGTCCACACCTCCCGCCGCCGACACTCTGAAAGATGCCCTCATCACCACCTCCTTCTCATGTGCCCTCGAACCCGAGAAGAACCGCTGCATTAACGGTGGCGGAACCTGTGTGGTCGGCCGTGACGGCTACTACATTACCAACATGCTCTGCGTGATCATCGGCGTCGTTACATTCACAATGTTCATCAAGCCGGCCGCCACTAAGCTCCAGGCACTGCCTCTACGGGCTTGGCGTCTGACGCAGGGTCCAGCACACCAGTAAAGTTGGACACGATCTACCATTCGCCTGTAATAGTATACAAAGGCTATAATTTGCATAGATTGAATGAAAAAGAAATTAGATTCCCTTTCATCATGGAATTCCCTCCTGGACCCGGAAACCAGCCTGCAAGAAGTAGCAATACGCCACTCTCAGCTCGAACTCCGTGTCTGCAGCAGCCCCCGACCCAATAATAATCCCCCATTCGCCATGTTCCTGAACCCCCAGTAACCTCATCCTTGCCAATCCCAATTCTCTCTCGAGTCCACTCCAGGGGCCGATCCAATCGTATCGAACAGAACCCCTGCTCTTTCCGCCAAGATCTTCTTTTGCAGACCCCTCTTACACCACCTGGTTACCTTTTGATTTTTCACTCCGCTTTGATGTCTGGATGATACGATCCTGTCTCTGATGCGAGTCTAGATTGTGCTGTATTAAGTGGGGTCTCTTGGGCTTTCGGTCGCAAAATTGAGTGTCGGGCCAGGGTTCAGCTTTGTATAAAGTGGTCCCTGGATTTGCTTTTTTCGATAATTCCTTGTTTCTTCTGAGCCTGTAACTGTCATCTCGTGTCATCCGGTTTGATTCCACCTGGTTCTTTCTTGACTCTCGCTCCGTCCGTCTCAAAATGCATCCCCTCCATGTCTTCCTCGCCCTCGGCGTATCAACAGCCAACGCCCTACCTAGCTTGAACAGCCGTGAAGTCCTCGCATATAGAAGCGTTTGTACCTCTGTCTACCCGCTAATCCACCAATCTAATCTTCAATAGTGGGATCTCCGCCTCTTCAGTCAGGCAATCCCAATCTGCAATGTGAACACCTCTAATATCGACTTGAATGTCTTCCATCGCTATGGGGCGAAGGACCGCTCATGTGAGGCACTCGATGGCGCGTACAATACGACGACTGTGAAGAGTCTGTCGTGGAAGAGTCCGAATGAGAGTGACTGGCATGATCTGTGCATGTTTAGTTCGTCGGATTGTGATGCTGGGAGCTATGTTGGCAGTATTACGGATGGGTGGGAGATGTGTTATCCATTTAGTGGATGGAGTGGGTTTTCTGTTGTATCGCATGGTAGCAAGTGTGTTTGAGATGGGTGGGTTTGGTATTTGTACATAGTTTGGTGACCTGGCGTATATGATAACGGGATGAACAGAAGATCGGCGACATGTCCTGTTTAGTCCTTCAGTGTAGACTAGTACCACAAGTCGGAAACTTATCAGCCCTATCCTGGTAGGGCTCATACTTCATCCGAAGCTTCCATAACCTCCTTCACAGCCCGATCCAGTATGAACCGCGCATATCCCTTATGCAACCTCAGAGTCCAAGCCGGGACAACCTTTTGCACCACCTCTTCGGTCACAACTTCATAATCATGACTCGCCGCAAACCTCACTTCCACAGAGGATCCCTGCTCAGGAGCCTCAAACGGTTCCGAAACACTCATCTCATGCCGTCCGCCCGACATCAATCGCCATGGATAGCCCCATCTGGCAATCTTCTCAAAGAATAACCGCTGCTCATCGGGAATCCTCCATGAGATTAGAAGTCCATTGGCATCACGATCCGCGCCGGGTTCGCGCTGGACGGACAGAACACCGTTTAAAAGGTCCCGTGGAGATCCATTCTTGGGTCCGAAGCCGAATTCTGTGTTTCCCGAGTCTCCGGATGCGAATGTATGCTTAGTGAGGAGACCGACAAGGGAGCCTTCTAGACGGAGGATTTGGCAATGTAGGACGGCGCGGGCCCAGGCGATTTCCAGGTCTGTTTGACTTGGACTTTGGGCGAGTGATGAGAGTTTCTGGAGAGGTATCTTTGCCGCGAAAATGTCGGTGTATGCGGCGCGTTGTGTGGGCATGTCTGGTGTGAGGAGGAGATTGCTTGCTCTTCCTGTTTCTGGAAGTTCCGGGTATTTTTCTTCGAGATGGCATAGTCCGCGGTGGATGCCGTATGTTGTTGCGGCGCTTAGGAGGGCGAGGTAGCCGAGTACTCGAATGGAGCGTTTTACCATGATAGATCTGGTATGGAGCTATGCGTGGTAGTGGTTTTGGAATATCATGGGCCAGAATGCTGTAAGAGCCCTTATTCGCAAGAGCTACGGTGATCGAGTCATCTGGGCAACTAGTAGTTCCATAGGGAATTGAGGGCTGAAACTATCGGTTCCGGAGTGGGGTGATCCAGGATCAATCCGTCCAAGACAAATTGACATCTGCTGTTAGAATACACCGTTTTCGGTACAATTTCAAGTTCAAAACGCTTCAAAGGGTAGAATAATAGTTCAAATCGTATATCTAGTTGACAACCGAGCAGTGGACCCGCACCGATCCGTAGATCAACCTTTTTTTCTTGTCGCACCGCCACCCGATGATCGACCTTCAAGCTCCGACACCAACCTCAACCCAGAAATCTAGAGTATCGGAGCCATGGCATCAGCACACACAGACTCGAGTTCCGCCCACTCGGCGCCTCCTTCCCCGGCAACCACAATGTCCGCCCAAACTGACATTGTAAACCCCGCAGTCGACAACTCCCTTGACGACATCTTCGGTTCCTCCCCAGAGCCAGAGAGACGATCAGAGATACGCGGCTCTGAATCAACAAACGAACCCTCCGACCTCCCCTCTCTACGCCGGCAACATGTCACAACTGGCTACCGTGACGGTGTCGCAACATCTAAAGGCCAACACGTCCAAGAAGGCTTCGACGCCGGCTTTCCCGTTGGCGCACAGCTGGGTATGCGGGCAGGCACAATCCTCGGAATTCTAGAGGGGATTACGCGTGGACTGGAAGACCGCTCGGTCGTGAAGAAACAGGCGCGGGGTACGAAGGAATCCAGCGATGCGGGGATAAAAGCGCGTCGTGCGACACGAGAACTGGTTCTCAAACTCTATACGCAGGCCATTGCGGCCCTGGACGTGCAGAGCGTGTTTACAGGCGAGGAGAACAATGAAGCAGGGGAGATGGCGGAGACAACACTAGGTCGGAAGGGGGACAAGGTAGTCTCAAAGTGGGAGGGCAGGGTTGCCGTGCCTAGATGGGAGGAGAACATGGAGACGCTGGAGATGAAGGAGAAGTCTTCAAGCCAGGAGCAGGGCGCGGGGGAGCGCAGCTGAGGGTGTCTGTTGTGGGTTTGAGAACTACATCTCTACATCTACGGTGGCTGCGAGCCGAGCAGATCGTCGCCTGTTCCCCGGGGGAAGATGCACGGCGGCGGGCCATGTCCTACCGGGTTGTTCCGCCCGTCGCCCGTCCCGGGGTCTGCACGATCGTCCTCGACCTGAGACCGACCTAGACCTAAACCCAGACACCGGGATGGAGGTGCTGGAGCTGCAAGGACCATGCAGCAGAGCTGGAGGATGGGCGGTCCGGACGGGAAGGCTCGGTTTGAGAAACGGTCTTCTTTCTCCGAGACAGGATGGGGATCTTCGTGGGCGTAAGGGATCGCTGGAGTATTTACTCTACTGTCCCTCACGGTGGAGTACGAGGGCAGTGCAATTGTCACTGCAGTTGGAGTTTCTGTCATTTGCGAGTCCCTCGAAAGCGACCCCTCGAGGGTTGAAAGAGGCAAATGGGACGCATGGAAAGATCGAACATGTCACCTTCATCCACGTCAAGCGGCTACGGCGAGGGCCGAACGGCACTCAGCCGTGTTTGCTCGATTCGGCCCATGTGGACCCATGGAAACAAACTCCGATAGACCTGAGACCACGAAGCCGATTCTCGGGGATGCCGCTTTCCTGCCCGTCCCTGCGCCGCCCTGCCTTGCAGCCGGTCCGGACTTCCGTGAAGAAATGGTTCCTACCTTGGGTTTGCTTTATTTGCCCCTAACAAATAGGAGTGAAACATTGATTGGAATGTTCATGCTGGTCCTACAGCGGCTGCGGTAGAATCTGATATGGCTACGGGTGATATCAGATTATCCTACCTTACTCTAGTAGATATGAAATCAAATACGAAGCGCGTTTGAAATTCAGAGAGGTCGAAATACGAGGTACCACCTCTTCACACGGCCACAACCTCAACCGAGGCAACTTAGCCCCGTACTTTTTGCGTTATGCGTTGTGCGTTGTGCGCTGTGTTTGCGGAAGCTGGACCGGCACGCAAGGGGGTCGTATACAGCGAGATCGGGCATCTCGGCCCTGCTGCTTTAACAGTCGGGGTCTCCGACACTTCGCGGAACAATAGTACGTTCAATAAAACAGCAAGAGTTTGCCACGGAACTGGAAGTGGAGATCCCATGGATGCCTCCTTAGTGATCTGTATACACAGTACACTCCCTAGGCTCCCCACTTGGCTCGCCACTGGCTCCAGCTGACGACTTTTTCAAGGGAGATTCAACCGATTGCGAAAGAATCCTCACTAGCATGGCCGTCACTACAAGAAAATGTAATCCTAGAAAGAAAAGTAGAGATTGCGTAAAGCTACGCGAAATGTTCCCAAACAAACAGCCCAAACACACTCTTGATGTCGATCACAAACAGGCTCGCCGGAACGACCCCCGACCACGGAATCGTACTTTCTCCTCCCTAGCTGTTGAGCCTAGGCTCTAGGCTCCAGGCTCCAGGCTCCCGAGGAAAGCAATCAACATGCAACGCAGCATCCTTGGAACCCGTAAACCTAATCACACACGTACGACGGGGCCCAGTACCAGGGATCATATCCCTGTCTGTCGACAGGTCCAGCATGCAGGGTACTTTCTGACCTGACGTGGGGCTGTCAACCTGGTGGAGACGGTGGGCCAGCTCGTCTTAGACATGCTCCCAATAGATGGGAATAGTGGGATGCAGTGTTTCTATGGAGGCTACCCTTGCCCTGGGGTTCAGGGCAGTCTAGGTTTAGGTCTAGCTAGGTCTAAGCTGGGTCCAATTGACTCCGCCCAGGGGATTGACTCGATTTCCGTGGTGTTCGTTCCAGGGGAGCGTTATCTGGGGAACTATGTGAGTTCTTCGGTGGTCTCGCTTGGTGGTATCCTCGAATACCGGGGTATCGACGGGGGCTTCTAAAACTGCGTTCTAAGTTTGGGGTGCTGGAGATGACGACCACATTCCCAAGATCGGATCGACATTCACCTAGACAACATGGAATGGGGAAAATGAGAGAGTGCCATTTGACATTTTTATTCCATTCATTGTATCATTGGGTAATAGTTCATAAAAGTTGACATGCTTTTTGTGTTGCGCCTGAGATGCAGTCTTGAGATGCGTACACCGTGTTCCTTTGTATCATTATTGTAGGTCACATTGAGAAGAAAATGAGATCGGATTTTGGAAATCTTGAGGTTTGAGAGAGAAAAGGAAATTGAATTCAAGAGGGTTTCTTGACTCGTACAGATTTGGAAATCATAACCATAGAAAGACATGGTAATACAGCGCAGAGAAGTAAGATGTGGAAAACATGACCACGTAGAGAATGGCAGGGAATAACCCGAAAATTGGAAACAGATTAAGGACAGTGGGACCGCTGGTCGTGGTTCATGGCCGTGAGGCTTTCATGTGATTTCGTTGATGATGAAATGAACATCAGTTAACGTGGTGAGTGGAAATCATTATCATTTGGTGGGTGAAGACCGGTGGGAGCGTAAAGCGTAAAGAGTGTGTGCGTGTTCATAGTCGTGGAACATATCGCGATGGAACATTTAGGAAATCGTTGCAGTGATCGTTGAATTGCAAGGCCGTTGTTGGATATTCTCGAAGCAAATTGAAGCAAAAACACCATCCATCCCCGGAACGCCGAATATTGGGTACATCAGATTACATCCACGTTTTTCGTGGTTTTGTGGCAGTTCAACGAGCGCAGGGAGTCAAGCATACGGCGAAAGAAGGGGCGCTGCTCGGTTGGCTCGATGATTGTGGCCTGGGATTGTTGCTCGTAGCACATTGATGTGAGCTTTTCCTTGTCAGAGCTTGTGTACTCGGGGGTGTCGGAGCGCTGACGACGTCTTTCCTGTGCTTGGAAAGCTGCCGCAGCCGAGCGGTCGATATCAGAGTCCCGGGTGTTGGAATCACGGGTACTTGGGGGAGAGCGGGGCTTGATAAGGGATGTAGTAGAGGGTGCCACAAGGCGGAGAGTTTGGAGGCCGTACTGGGGTCGAAGTCCATCACGGCTGATACTAGGTCGGTCAAAGCTCATGCCGCGGTAAGGCTCCGGGACGGGCTCATCGTCGGGCATGCAAGGGAACCTTTCAGGGAGCTGATCATCAAGCATTGCTTGGTGAAGCTTAGGCTGAGACTTGGCACCACGCAGCTTAGCACGGCTTCGCACCTTTCGCAAGGTGTCAATAGGTCTGCGGGAGAGAGATTTGTGTCCAATGGACTCGTTGTCCGAGTCGGATTCCCAAACCGACTGCTCGCAGTAGACATCCATAGTCGACATCGAGGGACGTTCCATAGAGGTGGCAGTCCATTGGCGAGAGATAGGAGGAGAGCTAGTACCAGGGCTAGGCATAGGGCTGGGGAGTTCGTTGGCAGGGATGAAAAGAGCCTGGTCGAAGTGTGTGGCATGCGGCTCCATAGTAACCGGATTGATCAGGCACGGGGGCGAGATCATAGACGGATCCAGCGGAGGGCGTGTTCCAGGGCCGGACTGTTTCCTTCGAGAGCTGTGAGAGCTTGTGCCACGAGACAGGTTGGGGAGTGTAGGATGCGCTTTCCTCCGGCGAGAGGACGAAGACATGCCGGATGTCTCGTACTTCATTGTTATAATAGCCGAGTTGGCGTCAGAGCTAGCAGTGGTAGGGCGACTCGCGGCCTTCGGGAATGAAGGCACAGGAGGAGGCGGAGGAAGGGAGTATTTGGGAGGTGTCGACGCAGGAAGATAAAAGCGTCGAGGTTCCTGAGCCTGACGAGCGTGCTGGTAGAGCTTCTGGGTAGCTTGCAACACAGCCTCGGGACAGGCAGGAGAAGAGTATGTAGAGGAGAAGGAACTGCTTGGGGTCAAGTCCGGGGTAGTGCTCTCGGTAGCAACGGAGCTGAAGGAGCCGTGGCTACTGTGAAGTAGCCTGGGTTCCTCGGTGGAGGAGGTGTAGTGATGGAATCTCAAATCGTTCTCCAGTTCCAATTGCGCAATGGTAGATCGGTTAGGACCGTTGTAGTTGCCTTGGGAGGCGAAGTCTTTCCCGTTGGTCAGGGAAAGCGTATAGTACTGGTTTGTATCCTGACTGTATCTCTCATCGCGAATGTCCGGAGTATAGGAGTCAGCCCAAGTTGGCGTCGCGGCCAAAGACTGCTCGAGGTAGAAAGGGTCTGCGTTGGATTCCTCCAGCACCTTGGTTCCGGCCTTGGGATAATAGCTGGAAGCTCGCTTGGCCGGTGATGGTGATGGCAAGCAAATGGTGGTTTCGGATCTGTTCCGGTCTGGGTACAACGCGTCCACTTCGCCCGGACAGTAAAGGTCACCTTGAGCCATGGACTAAGATCGCGATGCACACACAGATGGACACGAGTCGACCGTTGGGAGTTTCAAGGAAATCGCATGAAAAGATCGTCAGGCTCAGGGGGAAAGGGAGTTGCCACCGGAGTTGGAGTGAGGAATGAGAGGGTGAGAGGGATCTGTTTATACAACCAAAAATAGGCCCCAGGAGCCGGGGTGGAAAACAGATCGATGCATGCCAATGCACGTCCGGTGTAAACAAAAGGACGGGGGGCACAGACCTGACCTTACATGACGTCCCCTTCCGCCTGTAGGGATGAGGTTGCAGCAAGGACCAACTCCCGGGTTCCCAGCAAGGGCTGGCGGATGTGCTTTCCGTGCAGCAACATCCCGTCCAGCGCCCACAGTGCAGCGCAAAAGCACCTTGCCCGTGCATGCTATGGCCTATCCTCGTCCTGGTGAGGCCTGAACATTGAACTGGCATGGACCGGATATCAGTGACACGGTCATCTCATTCATCCCATTCGTACAACGCGAATGCGGACTTGGCGATGGATCTCATCTCATCTCATCTCATCTCATCTCAGCCGACCGACAGCCAACAACCAGGAGGCTGGGACCCCGAGTAGAAATGTGAGATGTCAGGAATAGACGAGTCCCGCGGATTATGATCCGGATCAGCCACGCCCCCACTGATCCGCCTGTGGCTTTGACGCGGTCTCTCTGAGCCTTCCTCTCATTCCATACTTGGGAACCGCGCAACGGCGTGCACCACGGTTTCATCGTTCTATTGCCCCGGTCGTACACCCACGTCATGCCTTTGGCCTTTGTGGCTGGCTCGATTGCTTCATTATTCCCCAATTGTCGACTAGCTAGTCTAGGCAGTCTTGTTACCCAGGTACTTGTGCATCAATTGATGTTCCACATTGCGTGGCTAGTTGTAGATCACGACTAGGCCCGGGGATGCAAATTGCAAATGCACCTACCGAGTAGTTAGATCCTAATTTTTTGCATCCAGGTACTTGGGCCTACGACCAAAGTACCCGCCAAGCCGAGGGAGTCACTCGTACACGCGCGACTAATCACACAACCCCAACTCATCGTTTATTGGCGCGCACGAACATCCGATCGGACCAATTGTCTTTTTTGTAACATGCTGATTTTTGAACGATGATTGTGCTGGCTCCTAATTACCCGTCCCATTCGACCTGAAACCAATTCTAGATCACCTGCGCCGTTGACTCGACAACTCCGTCCCCACATTCCAATCAAAAGTCAGTGCTGCATTGCATCCCGCTACGCAGACGGAGCTCCCCGACGCAGCCCCAGCTGCATAGACATATATATATATATCTACGGGCTGCGTCCCGGCCCCTGATCGACGAGGTCTCGATAACTTCCGGGTCCCGATGCACTCGGTGCATTCGGTGGTATCGGAGTGCCACCCTCGCTTTCCGCGATCACATTCTTCAGATGTTCGGGTTTGGAGTATTGCAGAAGTCCCATGTAGAAGCTTGCGATATACGTTGTTCCTCTCACCTCCCAGTCTAGGGACGATCTTGCGATTCAAGGGTGCAAATTGAAACTGCAAATCCCAAATCCCAAATTGAACATCTCCCTACCACCCTAGCTGGAGATGGGGGTTCAGGAGGAACCCTTAATCCGTGACCAGGGTCATCGAAACATTGAAACAGCTGGAGAACCCAATCGCACGATCTGAAGGCCCGAGCCTCGGGACGCTGAACGGGATCCCCGAGTGCTGTCTCGAATGTTCAGTGCAGGTTTGGCCGGAATGCATCCGCGACCCGACACGATGGAAAGGAGAGAGTGAAACACATCTCACACAGCTGTGAACTCCCGGCGATCTCTAATGTCCTGCAGCCTGCAAGGCATGCGTGAAACCTACCTAGATATTGGGTCCTTCTCTCCTTTTCTCGATCCCCGGGAGCTGCTCAAGTGCATCCGTGATGCAACGGGACTTCTTCCCCTGAGCCTATTCCCCTTAGTCCATTATAAATTGTCCGATGTTTTTTTCAATACCCTTGCATTTTCCGATTAGAGAAACGGTCTGGACCGAACGTTCGCGCTTTGTTTATCGCTCTTATGTTTCGCGTTGTATTTGTTTTGAGGAGTTTCCTCCGGAAATTGGTGTCGGTCAGGGGACTGTGAGGGGGTCCCGTCTTCCTAGGTGGACTGCGTTGCTCTAGGGATTCATAGATCCAGCTCCTCGCGAGCTGAACTAGTGCTGGAGCCGGAGCTGGAGCTAGAGTTGGGGCTAGAGTTGAGGCTAGTCCAGTAGGACGTCATCGGTCATCGGTGTGGGGTACGGAGAAGGTGTTCGCCAAAGCGTCAGAGTTCCGGAGCTGTCAGATCAACTCAGGGGTGAGTTAAGAGATAGAGAGATTCCAGGTACCTGGATAGGTCTTGAGCTCCGTGGTCGCGATCTGGTTCCTCACACCCTTGAGTGTCGGAAGGTCAATCTCTTTGTGTGGGGAAAGCAGTTCGTTCCATCAATCGAGAACCAAGGGAAACACTGGATCCGATCCAGACATTCGAGATTCGCCAACAGGTCCACAGGTTCGTGTTTTTCCCGGTCTGAAAATACAGACCTGAGATTCAAACCCTGAATGATAATGGGACTATTCTCGATGATATAATGATCCAATGGTCTACAATGGATATAGTACCACCGTAATATATAAACGGCACTACCGGTGTCCGACAGCCTTGCCAGCGCATCACTTTGCGACTTCGTCTCCCAGGGTTCCGGTATACCCAGTACATGGACCTGGGACTCGTACCTTAGCTGTATTTCTCGCCTCGCCTCGCTTGAGCGTGACACCCAAAATGGAGTACTATTCACCCTCACTGGCACGGCTTTCGCTGGATCGTGGATCGTCGATGATCGTAGCCCTGGAGTGTACGAGATTCATTTTCATCTCCCCGATGTTTCCTACTTGGTAATTTCACTTATAGTGACTCTTTCCTCAGACTCGAGTTCAATCCTGATCGCCTTTCTGTGCGACCGGCTCAGCCCAGCTGCAGGTACTTATTGAAGCCGTGCTTCAGTCCATTGCGCGACAGTCAGGTTCTGATCTGAAGGCGATCCGAGGGGCCCGAAGAGTCAGGCAGGGAGTATAGTAATTATCCATTGGTGCCTCATTGCCTCATTACTTCACTGCTTCAGTTCAGTCTCAGGCGACAGAAGCTACAGTCTGAGCGTTGGGCATTCCGGCCGTCATTCGCCGGGAATTCCCCGTCTGAGGCTTCCATTCCATTCAACCCGATCCCGCACTGGCCATCTTTATCTTTCCTCTCTGCAAAGATTTTATTTCTGACCAGAAGCTGCATTCGAGCGTCGGTGCAGTTCATGATCCGAGAGACACGTTTGGTACGCTGCAGCAGCGGCTGCGGCGACCCCAGCCATCTCAATTAATCCAGCCACCCTCTCCCCTACGCTCTCCTCTTCCCTTCAATTCTACTGTTCTCACTTTGATTTTCATTTTTTTTTTCTGGGGTTGAAACACAGTTTCATTTACACCCTCCACGTTTGTTGCCTCCAATTCCTAATCGGCCTCTGCGATCGCGATCCGAGGCTCAGCTTTAGCTTCAACTTCGGTGACGCAACACCTCACATTGTCGGCCAATCTTTCACCGTTTGACCAGCCTTTGCCAGAGGTGTCTCGCTACACTCACAGAGCGTCTAACGAAGTCCACGACATTTACGACCCTTCAACGCTTACGACCTTTGCGGGGCAACGCCAGCAGCACCCTGTATCTCATCCTCTTTCCTCCCATTCAGTCGATCCCCGTCCCTCCTCAGCCGCAGACTCTCGTCGACCTCTGCGTAGAGTTCGTCGTGCCCCAGAGGCCCGCCAATTACCTCACCGTCGAGCTGTCTCACTAGACGTTACAGGTGGACAGCCTCCGCGACCCCAGCCGGCGCATTCGATCCCGGCCCTTGTCAACCCCGATCCTAGAAACGCAATTGAGGTACTGCCTCCGGCTCTATCAGAAGCGCAAACTGACGAGAACGGTTCGACCGTCGACGACCCTTACCAGCTCCTCAACAGCTCGTATTGGCCGCAGAGAAACACTGGAGTCTCGTCGCGCACTGCATCTGCCATTCTCTTTGCGCTCGAGGAAGCCATCCGTCGCCCGTTCCCATTTACAACAGATTGGGACGAAGCGAATGCTTCTATGTCAGATATGGTAGGCGTTGCTGGTCCCGCTGGCCCTGCCGGCCCTGTCGGCAATGGTCGCGCTCAGAATGGTAACCCACGTGCGCCCCAGGGCTCATCGCAACCGCCCAGTGGTGTGCGCACTCCCACAGATATAATGAGACAGCGTCGGGACAGAGAGGCCCGTCGCAAAGCGGAACAAGAAGCTCGCGACAGAGAGCAGGAGGATTTGGAGAGGCAGCAATTGGAGCAAGAGCAAGCACAGGCTCAAGCTCAACGGTATGCTGCTGATGTTGCCGCGGAGCCCGTCCCTCAGCGCCGCGCGAGGCCTCAGCGGGCTCCAAGGGGAGCTGAGGTGCCTCCCGAGGCTGTGGTAGCCACGACAGGAGCGGCGCCTCCCTTTGCTTCAAGCACGGGCCCTGCGCCGACTGGTGAAAGGATCCAGTATCAGGTACCTTCTGGCGGCGTAAACATGAGCCAGCAGCGACCACCTCAATCGTCAAGTCAGCAGAACTTGGGTGCTGCGCCACAGCATGCTCGCTCTCAGAGCGCAGCAGCAGGGACTGGCGTCCCTACAGGGACGCCTCGTTTAAGCAAGCCCACACAAGCTCCCCCAACCAGCCAGCCTGGTGGTTCTCAGACCTTGCAACAACCCAAACGAGCCACTTTCCCGCATGCATTCGAACGCTGGGAAACCCTGTCTTCGCATTGGGAGGGTTTAACCAGCTACTGGATCCGGAAGCTCGAACAGCACAATGACGACCTGGAGAAAGATCCCCTCAGCCAGCAGTTGGCTCGACAGATCACTGACTTATCAGCCGCCGGTGCAAATCTCTTCCATGCCGTGGTAGAGTTGCAGCGCCTTCGTGCATCATCTGAACGCAAGTTCCAGCGCTGGTTCTTCGACACCCGTGCTGAACAAGAACGAGCCAAGGAGGTGCAAGCAGATCTGGAGCGTCAGCTCACGACCGAGCGCCAGGGCCGTGCCGATGCATTCGCAGCTGCACAAACTGCCGAAAAGGACAAAACCCGTGCCGAAGATCTTCTCCGTGAAATGAACCGTGAGCTCAAAATCTCTAAAGAAGAAGCTCGCCGCGCATGGGAGGAACTCGGTCGTCGTGAACAAGAAGAGCGGGACCGAACCACCTCCCTTCGTAACGGAGAACCCACCCTCGTAGGGGGGTTCAAGTGGTACCCATGATCCAAGGCGTTCCAAGCCGACACACCAGCCGTCCACCGACCCGTGAAGGCCCATACCCTGGCGGCCCAACTACCACATCAATGGGCACAGAGTTCCAAAACAAGCCCGCCGAAGCATCATACTATGACGAAGCCCCGCCCATGTCCCCAACAGGCTCCGACCCTTTCATTGAAAACCAAAAGCAACAGCCAGCCGACCCCAGCAAACCGCCGTACCCCATCCAGATGTATGAGCACGAGCCTACAACCTCGTACCCAGGCCCCGCGACCTCCGAGGTCGACGCGCACTCCTACGTCGGCAGCTCCGAGGCCGAAGAAGAGTACAACCGCTACCCCGGCGAATCCCAGAGCCAGCCCTACTCCTACGCACAAGGGCCTCTCTCAGAGGGTAGCGACGAGTACGACCAGTCCCCCAACGAAAGATACTCCGCCGCAACAACCTCCGCGCCCATGCCCCCAACGACCGCCGACTACAGTGGTACCGGCTGGGGTGCTGGCACCGGTTGGGAATCCGTCACTCCCCGACACCGCCATCCCACACGCCTGAGCGATGTCCTAGAAGAAGATGAACGCAGCCGAACAAGTCCCAGCCGCGCTAGCCAGGCGAGTCGCAGTATTCTGTGAATATAGCCAGGCTGTTTTGTTCTAGGGTTTCAAAACCACTCCCATATTTTCCGTGCTTTTGTTGATGCATATGAGAGGGTGACGTGCACATAGAGAAAAGGGGTTGGGGTTGTTTTTCTCGCATCTGGCTCGAGCGTGATTTTTACAGTTTGACCATGGCCTTGACCTTTCCATATTTTGTTCTGCGGTTACTTGGGTGGAATCGTGTTCGATTTCGGGTCGGGTCGGATTCCCCGTTTGTTTCCATATCTTTTTCCTTTTATCTCTTTTTCTTTAGGTCTCTCGTCTCATATCCGCTGCTCTGGCGTTGATCTTTGCGTGCGTTTCTTTCTTTCTTTCTTTTGTGATCTAGTCAAATAGGCATAATTATGATCTTTATTGCCAGTCTGATGTTCTTGTGTAAGTTTGTTCCGAAGTTGAGGAGATCTTCCAGGCATCTGGATATAATAGTCAATTTAGATGCAAAGTCCTGAACTACCCAATGTTCTTTTCAATCAAGCTTTGTTTTCACCTTTTCTGTGTATTAGTCAACCCTGGGGTGTAATGGGCACAATAAGGAAGATACTTTCAAGTCGTGCCCGAATGGCAGACCCGACCTCTAGGTCTCTATATCTACAATTCTCACTCGCTCGCGATGTCGAAGACCTGCTCTGTTATGCGTGGTGAATAGGGAGACGTAATGATCTTGGTTTCGAAATGGTGTGCCTCAGACATATATATTTGGGACACCTCCGACCGACTGTACCATGATCACCACTTGAGCATCTGCTTTCAGATAACGAGTCCAATTGGTAAAGTGAACGCTACATAAATTGTTCAGCTAGAAAGACCCTCTTTATCAGTCCGTGTTCATAGGTTCGACCAACACGGAGAGGGACACGTACCTGGGGACGTCACCCGTAAAGGGAAGCCCTTGGTCTTACAGCCCTGATTGCCATTTTAGGTTATTATGTTCTGCCCCGCGGGCTGGACGTGTAAAGACGCGCATCGGTTGAGTACCCCTAAAGCCCGACAACATTACCTCACCTCGCCTTCACCCTAGGTCCTCCCAATCCACAGAGAAATCATCTCCGACCATGGTTCATATCGAGGAACTCCCAGTCGAGGTCCTCTCGCAAATTATGGGCCATCTTGTGGATCCGGAAGACCATAACCCCTCAAAGCTCCCGGGCCTGGACGCTCTGAATAAGGACGATGGCGAAGACGAAACCCACAAAGATGAGATGGAAGATATTCGAAATGCCTGCCTAGTCTCGCGGAAATTCTGTGACATTGCCCAGCCGCTCATCTTTCGCGATTTTGAGGATCTTGATCTGGACGGCGACCTACGCAATACCATTGCTTTTGCCAAAGCCATCTATGGCCGTCCAGAACTCGGAAACTATGTGCAAAGTATAGGCTTCATGCCCATAATCCCAGAAGAGGCAAATTTTCGGGCGCAAGCTGGCATTGGCCCTGAATATTCCGAGTTCCTTCATGGTCTCATCAAAGACCTCCAATTGGGCGACCAGGAGAAAAGCTGGGTTCAGATCTTGAAGAATTGCGACTTGGGCATCATTGGAGCATTGTTGGTGAACAAGACCCCCAATCTTCGCGACCTGCATCTGCCGGCCGGCCAATTCTCCATCAAGCCAATCGTCGATCTCATCAGTAGAGATCCATCTCTTTTGTCCAACCTTGAGTCATTCTGGGTTGAGAGCGACGTTGAAGACGCGGGTTGGGATATCGCCACTTTCGAGAAGCTCCTCACTAGCCCCCACCTCATACACCCGACGTTCGAGTACGGCAATCTTCTCGACAAATCGTTCCCATCTACCTGGAAGCCTCAAACATTGAGTGCCCAGGAACTGGTCTTCCACCACTGCCACATTGATGGCGGCGCCATCCAAAAGTTCATGAAGGCGTGCAAGAAAGTGAAATCCTTGATTGTTCAAAATTTCAGCGTGGATCCTCAAGATGGTCGACCTCCAACTAAAGGAATGACCCAATTTGACGCTGCGCAGGGCCTTAAAGCCGCCCTCTTGCACAAGAACACCCTTGAGCACTTCCACCTTGAGTACGATGAATACAGTGCCAAACGCCCGAAGATTGGCTCCTTCCGCGACTTCACCGCACTGGATATGATCTTCATCTCACACTCGATCGTTCCCCCTCACCCTACATTCTGCCGCTCGCTAAAAGAACTCCATTTCACCGACTGCAACACATCTGTCCGGGAAGTGGTGAAGAATATCGCGGCAGACTGCAAGAAGGGTCTTTACCCAGAATTTACCAAGTTCAGGGTCCTCTCTCGGGATATCACCGCGCCTATTAAACTCCCCGGGCAACGGGTTCCACAAGGACAAACCCCGGAACAATGCTTCCGCAGTATTCAAGATATGTTTAAGGGGACTAAGGTGGACTTCCAGATCGTTCCGTATGAGATGCCGGACTTTGACGATTACGATTCCGACACGGAAGATTATGAAGACGACGAGGAGTACCCACCTGGCCTGGCAGGACTACTTGGAGGACTCAGAGGTCCGGGAGGAGGAGGAGGTACCGGGCGCGGCCCAATGCCACCGCAGCTTTTGGATATGATTATGCAGCGGGCAATGCAAGACCCTGAGTTTGCCCACCTCGCTCCACGAGGCGGTGATAATGATGACGAATGGATGACTGATGGCGAGGACTGAGCCCACTAGTCTAGTTGATCTTCTATGAAATTCTTTTTCGGCCCCTGCTTAAGTACAAAGATATCCTTCAATGTCGAAGTCGCGTATTTGATTTGCTTTGCTTCTTATGTATAGAAATTATGTCCATCGAGATCCATAAAGGCTTATGTGACATGTACATCTTAATCCGAATTATCACTTGTTTCGTCCATCACCTTTTTCTTCGAATGCACAACGTGTCCAAACATCTTCTCCATAAACGCATCCGACTGCGCGGCATAATGGCACCGCGCCCGGATGGCCGCACCGTATCGGTAGAAGAGGAATGGCATGGGCACACATGCAAGAGATAAGAAGGCAGGAATGGACGAAGCCCAGTGAATACCAAGGTTCTTGTACATGGGCGTAGTGAACAATGGGAATGCGGCGCCGAAGATGGAACGCAGGGCAGCGTTAGCGGCCAGGACAGACGCGGCATAAATCGTATACGCATCTATCAGATAGTTTAACACGGGAAGGAAAACCATCACCATGCCGAACCCGAACGGAACACCGGCGGCAATGGAGGCCATCCAATGGATCGAAGGGGAATTCGTCCAGGCAAACCAGAACAGGCCGACGGGAAGTGCAATAGCACCCCAGAACGAAGGGGGAAGACGTTCCTCGGGAGCAACTCGGCCGGGTGTAGATAGAGACTTCTTCTTATAACTGAAGTACATCGGGAACGTGGCCGCAGTTGAGATTAGGATACCGACTAGGATTCCCAAGAAAGAAAGTCCGGTAACACCTTCGCTCCAACCGCGTTCCACTTCATAGACGATGGGGAAAGCCGCAAACATGAGATATAAGCTAGTGAAAGGGTTAGATGTCAACTCGGATAAGAAGGCAGCATTTTGAAACACTTACATGCCATAGATAATAGAGAGGTAAATCGACAGAAGCAGAACGATAGGCTCACGGAAGAGAAGCACCCAGGGTCGGGAGAGGGCAAGCTTCAAGACTGTTGCTGGGGATTTCTTTCCTTGCTCAATGTCGAGTTTGCTTCGATAAACGCGGCCTGAGATAGCAGAGAGGCGCTGGGCGCGTTTCCGGAATAGCACTGGAGGGTATGTCTCTGGCAAAGTGAAGAAGGTAACAATGGCCAAAATGCCAGCAAATGCAGCGACCATGCCTTCAACCCAGCGCCAACCTGCCGACTCGGATAAAAAGCCACCAATGATGGGACCGAGTGTTGGGCCCAGGAAAGGTGCAGCACAGTACAGTCCACTGGCTAGACCACGGGAGATAGTTGGGAATGTATCGCTTATTACACCCCCAGACACTGCGAACGGTGCAGAACCAGAAGTACCTGCAAAGAAGCGGAGGATGACCAAGGTCCAGATATTCTTCGATCCAGTCGTGCCCGCTGTGAATGCCGTAAGGCCCACGGAGCTGGCGATCATGATGTATCGTCGACCATAAATCTCACTGAGAGGCCCCCAGAATAGGGGTCCCACCGCAAAACCCACGACGTATAGCGAAATGCCCAGGATCGCAACTTCCTCGCTGACCTGAAAGTCCGATATGACTTCGTTGAGGCTGCCTGAGTAGGCGGAAGACACTAAGGAGACTGCTAATGTTAAGACGCCTACTAGGATCGTGATGAACCATTTGGACACGTGCGAGAATCTCATGGGATCTCGCTCGTCGGCTTCCATCCAGGAGACCTGGTACGGATCCTCTTCAGTACCGGAACCATCATAGCTATGGTTGATGATGGTCTTGGATACACACCCCTGATCAAAAACAAAACGCCACCGCGGGATTCCCGTTGACTGAACGGTTTCTCCAGCGGAGACCGTCATTGCCACAGTATGGGAATGGTAAAGTGACAGGAAATAAAGGGCGATCTGATTCCTCGGGCGCGCGACCTCAGGGCCGAGTGTCTTTAAAAGAATCTCATCTGGCCCACAGAGATCGAAGAAGGATTATTGTCTTATTTCGGAAAACTACCGACCAGGTTTCAAGAAATCAATATGCAACTCCTTGCTCGAGACGATCGGCGGGGCGACAATTGATGGTACTGTACGCCATGACGGCCCGCAATCCACGCTCAATTTTCTAGGGTTCCGCCAAACAAATCCTTTGTGATGGGATCTGCATTCGGAGAGCGGATCTTTATCCCATTAAATGACGCCAAGCGGGCCGGCCAAGAGCTGGGAGGGTCAGTATCGGCAGAGATCGATCTGGGCTTATGGTGGACCATGTGGATGACCGGGTCTTTTAGTGCTTATCTTGTCTTTTCTCTGGTCAATTGAAGGGATGGCTTAGGTCCACATGTTCATACAATGATGTAACTTGGCCGCATTCTACTGTAGCACGAAGGCCCATTCCATGATAAAAGGTCTTAATATGATTGGGTCGATCCATTAACCTGCATCGTATTGTACGCTAATGCATGAAGATCCGATGGAGATAGTCGTCGGTGATCCTCGGGTGAGGGCTCGGCCTCGTCACCGGGAACTCCGAATCTAGAAAGCCAGAAGTTCCATCAGCCCTCTCTGACGAAATATGGACCAACCAGCGGGTCTCACATAGATCCCCTCGATGAAGCCCGAGCACAGATCTTGATTCCATTTGAAACAGAACTGGCGCGCTGTTCGATGTGCAAATCGGAATATTGTTCACACTTCACTCAATCGGCAGCCAAAAATGAGCTTAAAAATGGCTGTAATCGTGGCTATTGCCTTATGCCTATATGTGAGATCAATCACCGCTTTGGAATAGCCAAAAAGACTAACAGTTTCACAAGAGTATCGCCCTGGTCATCTACCGCCTGTTCTTCCATCCACTTGCGAAATACCCGGGTCCTCGTCTAGCAGCCATAACACATTGGTATTCAGCCTACTATGCCTGGCAGGGAGACCTTCATATTATCAGTCGGGAGTGGCACGATCGCTACGGTACAAATTTCTTTTTCCAGATCTCTATCGATTACTCTGCAGGCTAATAATTTACAATAGGAGACATAGTCCGATTCGGCCCCAACGCCCTTACTTTCAACAGTCATACAGGAATGGAAACCATCTATGCCGTCCGAGCAAATGTGGTAAAATCTGAAGGCTACAGCTCATTGAGTGCCAGTCGGCACACTCCAAACACCCTCACTGCTACCGATAAAACCACTCACGGATTCAAGCGCCGCATCCTTGCTCAAGTATTCTCTACCGAAGGGATTAAAGCCATCGAAGATCGTCTTCTGACAAATGTCCGCGATTTTGTCGACTTGCTTGGTAAGAAAGGAGACGAGTTTGGGAATGTAAAGCCTGGGCTCGAGTCCAAGGACAGTGACTGGTCACAAACAAAGCATTTAGCCCCGATGTGTGACTGGGTGACTTTCGATGTTATCGGTGATCTTTGTTATGGAAGGGACTTTGATATGCTGCACTTGCCTGATATGCGATGGTTCCCGTCAGTGGTCCTGAAGATTACGCAGCGCAGTATGACGGTATGGAGTCTGTATTTCCCCCCTCACTCGAGTTGTCACTGACAGTTATTTAGACACTTGTCCAACCGAAGTTCTGCAATTTGAAGATTGACCAGTTCTTCATGTCATCCAAGTTCAACGATATTGTGAATGCTGGTACTCGGATTCGTGAGCGCTCTGAGGCCCGCCAACTCCTCGGAAATGACATCGAGCAAAAAGATTTGTTCTATCATATGATGAATACAGCGGATCCTAAAACGGGGAATAACTTTACTCCCAAGGACCTCTGGGTGGAATCAATGCTCTTGATGACTGCCGGTGCGGACACCACTGCTACAGCAATGGCTGGCACATTCTTCCACCTCGCGCACAAGCCCGATCTACTTGCACGTCTAGTGCGTGAGCTTCGCACTACGTTCACAGATGAAGAAGACATCTGTATGGGACCGGAGCTCAACTCTTGTGAACTGTTGCAAGCATGCATTAACGAGACAATGCGCCTCGCTCCATCCGTCTCTACCACAATCCCCCGTACTGTGCTAGAGGGCGGTATATTGATTGACCAGGAATATCTCCCCGCAGGAACTATGGTCGGAACAACCACTTACGCTATCCACCGCAACCCGAATTACTTCAGATCTCCCGATGAATATTACCCGGACCGATGGATAGTCAACCCGGAGACAGGAGTGGATGAGGAAAGCATCAAGACCGCCAAACAGGCCTTTATTCCATTCAGTACTGGAGCAAGGTCTTGTGTCGGATGGAAGCTCGCCTGGACCGAGCTGAATGTTACCATTGCCCGAGTGTTATTCCGATATGATATGCGCTTGGCGCCCGATGCTCGGTGCTGTGGTGGGAAGCGAAACGATTGTGAATTCAGATTGAAGGGGTGGGTGACATCAGCGGTGGAGGGGCCCTGGGTGCAATTCCGACCTCGCACTTGATTGATCTGCGGAATTATGAGTCAAGAAGTTACGAATTGTGGGTTATATGGAGGCATGAAGCGAATTGGATGTAGAGTGGTTGCGATGTTCTTTTAGCAAAAATTTACATAGCGAGAAGGAGTTGATTCCACGCTGGCGAATCTGCCACTAGCTTCGAAGGGGTTCACGGTGACAAAATCGATCTCACTAGTTTCCAAGAAGATCGAGGATCAACCATTTGACTGGAATCTGCCCCTAGCTGAGGCCCCGCCCTCCAAAGTCAGATCTTGAACCGTATCCACCGGGCTGACCACCGCATGATGCCATTTAATCCACACCGACGATCCCCGTCCCGAAGAAAAATACCCTCAGTGCCTATGACGATCATTTGGGCACGTACGATAAGTAATTGCCCCCTTCAAGTAGGCCCTCGATGCGTGTACCCCATCGGAAACTCATTTTCCCATCTGCCAAGTTTCAAGCTGTTGATAGATTCTTACTATAATTCGCTGGTTACTTCTCCGTTTTGTCCAAATGAGTTCTCCTTTCCAGGTCGCTGAACACGTTATCGATGGGCAGTACATTCGGGAATACCCCCGGGCCACAGCAACTCCCGATGCCCCTTTGAAACTTTGTATTAAGCAATATACCCCGGTGGACAATCCCAACCCTCAACCGGGGGACATCACGATCGTCGCTACCCATGGCACTGGATTTCCCAAGGTATTTCGTCCTCATTCTGAATTTAAAGAAAGTCTGACTAATTTTGTGACAGGAATTATACGAGCCTCTCTGGGAAGAGCTCCTAGCACGCTCCAAAGAGGATGGAGTCCGCATTCGATCAATTTGGATAGCAGATGCCGCCAACCAGGGTGCTAGTGGTGTTATTAATGAGCAGAACCTCGGAAATGATCGTGAGTTGATTGCGACAGCGAGCCCCTGGGATTTTGCACGTCTCTGACAACTTCAAGCTTCTTGGTACGATCACAGCCGCGATGTGATCCATATGATCAACCATTTCCGCGCCCAGATGACACGTCCAATTGTGGGTATTGGACATAGCCTGGGCGCCACGCAGTTAGTATTTGCATCTCTAATGCACCCTAGACTCTTCAATTCTCTAGTATTGATTGAGCCGCATATGACCGACAATGCCTTGGCTGGAGACGGCCCGCTATTTGTGGCTATGTCAACTAAAAAACGTGATGTATGGCCATCTCGCGAAGAAGCGGCGGAAAATTCTCTCAAAGTGTTGAAAGCGTGGGATTCACGCGTGTTTGAACTCTGGAAGAAATACGGTTATCGCGACCTGCCCACGGCGATGTACCCGGCTCCCAAAGATGGTACTCGCCCAGTGACATTGACGACTACCAAGCACCAGGAAACGATAATGTACACTCGGCCAAATGTCAAGCGGCACACGCAATTAGGAGTCCCTCAGCCTCAGGCTTACACGGAGCCAAAGCCCGGCGAGACCGGCCCACCACCTCATGACCCGCTATTGTTCCCTGATGTACTGGGGCCATTGCTTCCCGATCAGAAATCGTATCGTTCGGAGTCGATCTTGGCTTATAAGATGGTAGAGCACATCCGGCCTTCTGTTCTTTATGTGAGTGCTTCACATAGTCCACTCGGCAAAGGAGGTGAGCACGCAGATGCGGCAAGGCGGACAGGAACTCGGTTTGGTGGCAGCGGTGGAATGGAGGCTGGCCGTGTGCAATATGTGAGAATTAAAAAGGCAGGTCATACTGTGCCACAAGAGAAAGTGGCGGAGACTGCATCGGTATTGGGGCCTTGGATCAAGCAGGAGATTCAGCGTTGGCAGGAGGACGAGGCCAGGATCTCGGAGGACTGGAGAGACCGACCTATTCGTGAGAAATCTGGTCTTCCTTTGGATTGGAATGAGGTCATTGGAAGTTTGCGTCTTCCCAAGAGACCAGCTAAGATTTAAGCGGAAGTAATCTTGGTCTGCTGATAGAATATTCCTTACAATGCACTAGGTGATATGAAATCTATAGGATCTGTTCATCTATTTAGCCTCCTTGGCTGCTAATTATTTCAGCAAAAATATTCTTAAGGAGGGCAATATGTCAACCGGATAACAGGGTTGGACAACTAAAAATAAATTGAGTATTGATTAAAACTTCTATCTGGTCTACATTACTGTGACTGACTGTCGTGAAGTATGCTAAAGAGCTAAAGACGCACCTTTCTGGCCAGCGAGGACCCCGATGTGTCTAGGTAGCCATTCATTCTGTTATTTATTACTTCAATTCTCCTCTAGTCTTACTCATACGAATTGGCAGATGAATTAGTGAGCATTCCTTTTCGTACAGGGGTATCGGAAAGCAGTGGACTGATAGCGGCGAGGGGACTCCGACTCCGATTCCGATGTTTTTTTCAAACCTTTTCCAAAGTCAGCTCCCTATATAAGAAAAGGCCTCCATTCTATTTTTTTTTTTTGCAACTATCAATAGATCTGATCCAGATATCAGAAACTTTACCGGGCCCGTGACACCGTGACTATGGACAGTCCTACAGAAGAGAAAATGCCGTCGGAAGAGCAGTATCCAATCGATACGAAAAATAAAAAACCGCTCTCATTCCATCTTTCCTTCCTTGGAATACTCGTCATGGTCTTTATCGTGTCTCTTGACACTACTACACTTGCAGTGGCAACGCCTGTCATTACCCGCGACCTCGGTGGTACGACAATAGAATCATTCTGGGCAAGCATCTGCTTCATGCTGGCTGTCTCGGTGACTCAGCCGTTGTATATAAGCACATCGGACGTTCTCGGTCGCAAAATTCCCCTTTATACTGCATACCTGTTTTTTGCAGTTGGCTCCATCATCTTTGGCGCGGCTCCGAACATGTCGACATTGATCATCGGGCGAACCATTCAGGGTTTGGGTGGCAGTGGTCTCGATGTGCTCAACGAAATAATCACGGCAGACATGACCACCATGAAAGAGCGTCCAATGTACCTTGGGATCCTTGGAATCCCAATGGCTGCTGGATGTATTTTGGGCCCAATTGTGGGCTCGTTGTTTACCCAGTTCGTCTCTTGGAGATGGATCGGGTGGATCAATCTGCCGCTGATCGGGTTCAGTTTCTTCTTGTCGCACTTCTTCCTTAAACTAAGGCCGTTGGAAGGCTCTTTCATTTCTAAGTCTCGCTCTCTCGATCTACTCGGCATGTCGCTTTTTTTGGTCGGGTGCACTGCGTTCGTCATGCCACTGAGTTGGGCGGGTGCTTTATACGCCTGGGGCTCATGGAGAACACTTCTTCCTTTGATCATCGGCGTCATCCTCCTCATTGTCTTCGTTATCTATGAGCGCAAACCTGAATGGCCGGTTATACCATATCGTCTGTTCAATTCGGCCACAACGATCTCAACGTTCCTTGGCGGATTTCTGCACGGCTTGATTCTTTACACACTCAATACATACCTGCCGCTATTTTATCAAGCCACTTTTTCTGAAACACCTCTTCATGCCACCATCACCTTGATACCGATGAGTATCTTGAACCTCTTCTTTAGCTGCGTGTCACCGATTTCTGTTGCTTATTTACGAAAATATTTGTGGAATATAAGGGTCGGCTGGGTGGCACTGACCCTCGGGGCAGGCTTGCTTCTCCTCATCAATCCAGACTCATCGGTCGCTTTCCGCACTGGCATGCCTATTGTGGTGTCTTTGGGGATCGGCATACTTTTCACGGTTCTCGTTCTGCCCGCCCAAGCGAGTCTGGCGAGCGTGGACGATATGGGGCTGGCTGTGGGACTGGTCGTGTTTTTCCGATTACTCGGCGGCCTCATAGGCCTTGCCATTGGCGCTACGGTGTTCAGCAGTGTTTTCGCAAAGTCTATGAAAGAAGTTAGCGCCCTTCCAAGTAGTCTGGTGGCGCTTGAGAACAGCCAGAACGCCATTGGTTTCATTCCTCAGTTGAAGGATCTCAAATCATCTGTACCGCCAGAGACGTTGAATAAGGTCATCGAAGTATACAACCACTCGTTTCAATTAATATGGATAGTGCTGACCGTCTTTGCCGGCATCGGGCTTGTCTCCTCGCTATTTACCAAAGAAATTAGCATGGAGAAGGAAGAACTAGGAAGGCAGCGCTTCGAGCCGTCTGAATAGTCACTGTATTTACTGTTCGAGTTCATTACACGATTTGCTACCATTTATATCAAGAGCACGGAGAGACTGTAGCCAGCCAGTATAATCCTGTAGGTGTTGAGAATGTACGTTCTGTGGGGCGTTAGAATGAATTCTAGATTACTTAGGTTTCTGCCGGCCAAAAGTTGTTTTTCCCTCCTAGTGACTTATAGACATAAATAGCTGCCAACAGGGGAAATAGCACTAATCACCGCCGTAGGGATCCCTGTCAATACGAATACCGCGGTGGACCGGAGATACAATTATCCTTCATGTTTATTACTTATGTAATCTATAATCCCCCTATAAATTGGCAGAATCAGGGGTAATACAGAAACAGAGCTTTTGATATCGTTGATTGGTTGCATATAAAACATTCCGACAATCCCTCTATCGCTGGAGATAGCTACTAATGGACGTCGGACTCCACTCCGATTCCGACTCGACCCCGATTCCGACTCGACCCCGATTCCGACTCGACTCCGACCCGACTCCGACTCTGACTACAGCAACAAAGGCTAGACCATGACCCGCCTCGACCTTGACCTACCTCCCTTCACTCCGATAGCCTTTTGGAAACATGAAACCATGAAACCATGCCTTCGCACCGTTCAAATGGCGTACTTAGCTCCTGTGAGCCGTGTAGGAAATCCAAGCTCCGTTGTGACCACACCGCCCCCTGCGCCAGGTGCCGCCGCAGACAAAAACCAGCACTATGTGTCTACCACCCCGCTCCGATGACCACCAAGAGGGCCGTGGATGTAGCCGACAGAAGTTCCACCAATACTATTTCCCAGTTCAGCAGCGAGCAGAGCACCTCTATTTACACCGATGAAACTTCCCTACCCAGTCCGTTGCATAATCAACCACATTCCGAGTTATCTAACCCACTGGCAGCCGGGGGACGACTCAGAGACCGGTATGTTGCGGACTGGAGTAAGCGGACAACTCCCAGCACAGGAGTCTTCGGACCAACCAGTATTCTGGCAGTTCTCAGTGAAAGTGAGGATTCAATCGCCCGGTCATCCTCTGATTTGGCGCTATTCGCCAAATCACTCCAAAATAATCGAAGCGCCATCATCGATGATGGCCAGATTCAACTTGGATCGGAACTTCTGCTGCTTCTATTTGATGACTTGATCTTTTACGAGAAGATGGCAACTGCTACATTCGACCATTGCCAGGGGGATCTCTTTGCTACGCCAACCCTACGCCTAATCTTCTCGTCAATCCGGAAAATGCTAGACGAAGCCATCTCGGATAAATTCAATCCACTCCCTGATCTCGTCACACTATCGAAAAGTATATTTGCAACTTCTTCCAAACCACTGAAAGTGGATCCGAACATGGGCCCGGCAGAATATTTCACGGCAATGCCGAACAGATGGGAAATAATCGGGTTAATGTTTTCGGTCATCGGTTCCAGTGCATTACTTCTTCAGCGACAGGATCTCATCGCGTATTCCGCCTCTGTCAGCTCATGCCTCGATCGCAAGGGTCTTGCTGCTGTATGCATAGCAGCTGGCGAAATATGCCTTCAATTTTGCGAAAATACCGGACTCATTACGGAGCAGCTCTGTTGGGTCGTTCTTGAGCATACTTCACTACTTACTCTGATATATGGAGATTATGGTAAGCCTCAGTTCTCGTTCAGTTCCAATCCACGCATTTGGGTGACCCTCTTGTCTGTTCTGATCCGAAACTAAATAGATTATCGCCCTTGGAAGACCTTTGGCAATTTATGCACGCTGATATTCGCGCTCGGTTTCCATCAACGAGACAGCAATGCAAAAATCCCGTTTTTCCTTGCTGAACACCGAAAACGGCTTCTAGTCTCTACTTACTATATGGATAAGGGGCTATCTACGTTTCTGGGCCGCCCTCCACGTATGATTCGGCGGTATATAAATGTTGAACCTCCGCTCGACATGACGTTTGAGGATGTGATGGCACCGCCTGAAGTCCGCGATTCCATCATTGCCAAGCTTGACCAAGATGGCTGGAATGCAGAAGGTATTCATACTCGAGTGTCGTACGATCGGGCATCTTTTTTCATGGGCTCTATCCGGGAGACTGTGCTGGAGCTTTCCATGAATCCCGACATTGAGGATCTGGAAGCAAGAATATCGTGAGTAAATTATTTTCATTCTATATACCTGCTTCGCTCGGTGAATCATTCCAGGCTAATGCTTGTTTTTCTTTTCATGTAGAGAGATCTCAAGCTTGGCACAGAAGATGCGTAGCGACCTACCACCCACTTTATGGCGCACTGGCAGCATTGAAGATTTTGAACGAGAGCCAGATTCCAGCAAAGTCTCTCTATGTCTTCACATAGATTACTTATTCAATGATTTTATTCTACAACGAATCCTTGTCCAGCGGACTGAGAAGGGGTCTGAAAAGCTGGTCAATGTCGCTCACGAACTGTTGAGCAATCTGCTGCTTTTAATAGTCAATAGATCATCTGCGGGAGAAGACGTAAACTCACTTGTGTGGATTGTAAGTTGTGTTTCTGACCTTTTTTCAGCTCTTACAAGGAAGTCGATTAATCCCTCATAGATCTCATCCGTCGGTCTCCCCTCCGCGGGTGTCTTAGCCATCGAGCTCCTTCGCCAGTTCCAGGATCAACGCCCTGATCCATTATTTCCGCGTTCGGAAATTATTCAAAGCCTTAGTCGTTTTGCTGCAGATTTGGAACATGCCGTCTCTCGTCAAGCAGGTAATCATGCAATCTGCCAGCAGGCCAGAAACATGATACGACACATCCTGGACCGTGTCTTGTCGGGGCCTCCCTCAGGTCTGGCGGTACATAATTTGCATGAAAACAATGCTGGGGCCGCGGGAAACGATAATTTTACGTTTGTGCCCATGGACTGGCTAGCAGGGGATTTCAATGCATGGCTGGATGAAGATTCGGATCTGATGAAGTGGATCAATAGCTTTGAGTATGTACCAGGTATATAGGTTCAGCATCCTCTTGATGCTATGGTCAGATATTAGTACGGTGTCAGGAGTTATTTGCCAGTCAAGTCAATCATCCCTTTCCAGTCAGTTGGTCTCTGTTTTCAGTGTAAGGATGCCACCTCTAGTGGCCGCATACGTGAATGCGATCGCTTTGATTACAATATCACGAGATCCACCGAAGAGGTTCATGATTGTTATATCGCCGCCGGTAATTCGACTTCAGGAATGCTCCAGATCAAGTACTGGGGAACAGATACAGGAGTTCATGTTCCGGCGGACCTCTTGTGGTCAGCCAATCTCCCGTAGAGAAGTGGCGATCATACCTACGCTGGGATTGCTCATCCAATTGCCGCTATGGTCTATGCAACGCTGGAGCTGCCACAAAAGTTTAATCAGACCCAACTTCCCAGGCCGATCGGGATCAAAAGCGCGCATGAATATGCTATATCTGTGTACTTGAAAACCTACAATGTATTGGTGTCAGCTGGTACAATATCCATCAACATCACTCCAGTGGATTATGGTGAAATGTTTCACGCGGATCCATCCCACACAGGGAGTTCGCAGGATCCAGAAAAACACTATAATTGTTGGAAGCTAACGAACAGCAGTGGCTCACTCAACCTGACTGAGCTCCCCAATGGTGACTGGAGTGACTCTGACGCCTTCACTTTTTGTTCTACAAATTACACGTTCGAGAAAATGAATGAATGCATCCTCACCCAGCCCTTTTTAGGATATACTGAAAATTTTTATAACGCTGAGAGCGGTTTGTGGAATCGAAGCTCGGATTCTCGATCCGATGCCGATGCTAGAGAATCGTTTGAATGAATCCTGGACATTGGGTTGGATCATACGATGTCCAATATTGCTTCAGCATTGACGAAATTTGCTTTAGAGACCAGTGGAACGTTCGCAAAAGGCACAGTCGTGGTCTCCGAAGCCTATGTATCGGTATCCTGGCCGTGGCTGACTCTCCCTGCACTGCTACTTCTGGCTGGCCTGGCTCTCTTCGCCTCCACCATTATAGTCAGCCGGCGAGATAAACTTGCGTTATGGAAAACCTCGATGTTACGAGTCATCTACCATGGCGTCGATGTGGATCTGGACGACAATACTAACAATTATGCCACAGTTAGCAGAATAGAGAGATCTGCGGGTGCAACACAAGTCAGGTTTAATTCTTCCGACGCCATGGGCAGAATGTTGCTGCAGATAAGAAAGTGAAAGGTTTCCTTGACCATACGTCTATTTCGATAGTAACTCTAGCCTTCAGTGTGTTGAGCCATCTATAGTAGGGATGGATGGATGACGTCATTTACCCCGGCCCCCCGCAAATGAAAGCGATATGCAGGCTACGACGACTATATCTAATTGTGTCTGTAGAGGTATAATGTACAACTTCTTAGACGAATTTGGAACTTCGCCGAGGCCTGTCATGACCCAAATCCCGTCTGTGTTTGCTGCGCTTATAGCCCGCAACTTTGAAACCGTTGGGATGCCTCCTTGAAATCTAAGACAGCGTTCACCGTGTTAATACGCGAGACAATATCAAGTTTACCCTTTCTTCCTTCCTTAGAGCCTCCTGGCTAGGTTGATATACTATTGAACACGTCGCCTATTTTCGCTCGAAGCTCCCGTCGCAAATCCCTCAGATCTAGACAGTCTAACAAAATATAAGGGACGCTGTCTCGCTCGCCTTAGACGTACAGATTGTCATCGCGGAAGTGGAACGCCGTTGCATATATAGCTGACTACTAGGTTTCCATTCGTACTTGTATTAATAGGGAAGAGGCATTTCAGTGTTAGCGGCAGATAAAGGAAGGCCGTAGTGGAAAAAGAGGTCGCAGAGAAAGATTTAGAGTGCTTAGATTTATTATAATTTTCATACCCATAAATACAGGGTTCTTACTTTGCCAAGAGGCAAAACTAGCCGGAAAACGGAATTCCATAGGTCCTCATTTTACAAAACCAACGCCCAAACAACACCATTAGTCAGAAGGAGTCCTATGTCCGATCCTGATTATCCAAAGTAGAATTCTGATCTTCCTCCATCTCCGACCCATTTGCATCATCATCAGTAACATCAGACGAATTGAGAACTTGACTCGCCTTCTTCAATTCGCGATCCAACGCATCAGTCAACGCCGCGAGTAACCACTGAACTTCACTCTTCTCCCCAAGTAAAGGATTTTTATGATCAATCCAACTCCAATCACGTAAAACGCGCTGCGCTTCATCGTCACTCTCGTTATCATCTTTCGTCCCAGGAGCCGAGGGCCTATGTTTGCCTGAGATCAGGGCGAGATAGTACTCCCACTCGAGATAATCGAATTGTTTGGCCATGTCGCTCATGGCGAAGTCTGTCATTTTGCGAACTTCACGGAAGAGGAGGTAATGGTAATGGTGGATATTCTCAGCAGCGATATCACCACGTTCGTGGGCGCGTTCTTCTTTCTTGTGTTCTTCTGATTCCATGACTCTTGGATTTGTGGACTTGGCTTGGTCGACGCGATGACCATTTTCTTTTAACATATCTTCGGCGTTGTCTTTTTCGCCCGTTGTTTCTTGAAGCCACTTGTCTCTCCAGGAGATGTGGAGTAATGCTTTCACGCGGTCGTGGAATGGCTCGTCGCCGGGTAAAATGGTGATTTCACCGAGGAAGAGGGTAACATCCCGTAGGAAGCGGATGAGGGTGTCGCCAATGTTGGATATTAGAATTGTGATTGATGGTACTGCGAGAAGAGACCAGAAGACGAAGAATGCTTTGCCCAGACTGCTTACTGGGTAGATGTCGCCGTATCCAATGGTTAATAGTGTTGTGTAGGCGAAATAAAGAGCTTCAAAGTATGACCAAGAGAAATATGACTCCGAGCGCCAGAATACCACTGCACCGATAAACCATAACACCATCCAGGTAGTCAATGAGATTCCAAGTGAGATCCATTTATGCTGCACCTCGGCGAGCTGTCGGACGCGTCGCATAGTAATGAACTCTCGCTTGTGTTTTTCACGTTCGTTCTGCGCGATGGCTGGATCATTGTCGTTTAAAGATGGGACTATCCCAGATAGGCGGTTTTTCTCCGAGGAAGCTTCTTTGACAATAAGGCGACGAGTTCGATCAGTCAGCATAGCTGCGATTTTTTGGCGACCATGCTCCAGTGTCAGGGTTCGAATTGAAGAGATGATGAGACCAAGAATCACAATGCCCCCAACAGCATATGGAAACAGCAAACCACGTCCAAGGTGCGTTGCAGGAGCAAAGTTACCCACGCCGATAGTGAGCAAGGTGTAGTCGGCCCAGTAAAGAGCATCCAAGAACCTCCATCCCTCTACCCTTGCATAAACGGCGGAGCCTCCAAGCAGATAAATGAAGAAAACGATAGTCTGGAGCATCAATGTCCGCTGACTTGTCGTCAATTTGAACTCCCGACTGTAATGGCCCTTGGAGGCGCCCCAAGCCGTCACTGCCATTAGGGACGCAATGATAAAGTATAAACCAGCTGCAAAGGTTCCATAGAAATAGCCTTGTGTGTATATGTGCCCGTCATTTTCGGGTTTGTACATGAGAACGCCGAATGGAATGAGGATACCGATTAGTAGTCCTGATGATAAATACCAACCGGCGATGATGATCGGTTGCGCAACCGCGAAACGGATTCTCCTGGCCATATTAAGTGACAGGGCCAAGTTGGCGACAAGCGCAAAAAACAGCGAGATCGCATTGATTGCGATGGCCCTAGAAGATTTTAGAGTGGTACACTTTTTGGAGCTCAAAGTCTCGGTGCGCACCATTTTGGATCTGTAATATCCTCTCCCGAAGGCGTCATCCGCCAGGTTTGCCCTAAAGAACAGATGTTGAAGGCGCTCGCCATGGGCCCGAATGTTCCCTAGGCAGGAGTCAGCTTGTCACATTGTCTACACAGACAGAGTATTCATACCGCCGCCAACGGATACGCAGTGCTCGCCAGCCACCATCGCGCTGCATGAGGATGCGAAACATCAACTTCTGTGCTTTCCCGGTTCTCTGCAGATGCCTGACCGGAGCCATTATCCAGAGCACCCGCCTCATCAGCGATCGCATCGTCCAGACCAGGGTCGTTCATATTGCCTGTCAACTAGCGCCTGGGGAACATCAGACTGGGGTTCAGACTGGGGTTGGGGTTGGGGATGGGGCTGCTTGGTGCTTGGCAGGGGACAAGCAGATTATTAGACGACATCGTTGAATAAAAGCTCCGATGGTGGAGAAGCCATGTGCTGAAATTAAAATTAGTGGCGTAGACCAAATCAAGCTTTCTGGCAGGCGAGGCCGTCATGATCGGCTTCTCTGCGACCCCAAACAACGCGTCATCTCACGTGACTCGTACAGATCCATGGATCCAGATGCGTTCAAGCGGGAACGAGATGAAGATCTGCATGGGAAAGAAAATATGTATTCTGGGTATGATGGAGATGTATTTCACAGACCTCAAAAGCCACGACAGAAGAAAAAAAGGAATCAAGAAAACGGGATAAAAATAAAAAGAGCAATCAGATCGCTGATCGCTGATCGGTCGCTGTACATCACATCGATCCACTGCTATACATTGGAGTGCTGAATAGGAACAGCAGAGGAGAGCCAGCTTCTGCCATTTTAACACCCGGGTTGTGACGGATGTGAGCAAAATCAGACGAAAAGCCCGATGTTGCCAGAAAAGAAAAAAAGAAAATATTCCTGCCCAGAAATCAAAGCCAAACTCCGCCTCGCATTGCCATGATGTCGAGGACAAAAATCAGAAGTCGTCCAAGGGTAGTCAGGGGATTGGAATGGGTATCGCAAGTATGTAAAAGTCGATTAGATTATGTAGGAAAAACATAATCGCTTAGCAAGGTGATTCATCAAACTGCGGTGGTGTGAGTACTGTTGTTCTGGGTAACTTAGTCTGTGGATCGAGACTTACAGTGGGCTCCTCCAGGAGTCAGGGCCGAAGGAACTGAGCTGTTGTTTTGAGGTGAGGGGCGACGAGCAAATCGAGGTTCCACGTCTTCGTAGTACGCAGCGGGCTGCGCGTTGCCTGTGTGTACGGGCGAGGCTGAAGGGCGCGGTGCGAGCGTACGATGGTTGTCATTCATTCCCCATGCAGCTCGAGCAGGGACGAAAGAACTACAGATGGTGTCAGCGACGTACTCAGGTAGATAAGAGCATCGAGAAACTTACTCAGTCCGACTGTACAGACTCGTAGGGCTCTCAAGAGGGGCTAATTGCCCGTCAACAGACACCGCATGGGGATGAGAGGTGGCCGTGGCCGCTGAATCGTGTCCCTCATATTGCCGCGGCTGGGGTTGCATCTCAATTGCCTGTCCCACTGTTTCAGGCGAAACCGCCATTCCAATGGGGCCCGGAGAGGGCTCACGCATCGGACCAACAGGTGCAGCCACGAAAGAATCGATGGGTGCCGCTCCGTAAGTATCATCCATGGGCGGGGTGTAGGCGTCATAGCCTCGATTCGGGGCAGGTGCATAGCCCATTCCACCACGCGGTGCTCCGCGACCGGGCATCATGCCTCCACGGCTCCTAGGAGGGCCCATGTAGCCGCCTCTGCCAGGAGGCCCGCGGGGTGGACCCGCGTAGGGACCACCACGTCCATACCCGCCCCGAGGAGGATAACCTCCCCGACCGCGAGGGCCGAAGCCAGGCGCAGGTCCACCTCGGCGAGATCCCATGCTACCATCCGAATACTGCTGGCGCAATCGAGGATCGGAAGGGTTGCGCATCATGCCAGGACCATGAGAATCGGAGGGATTGCGCATCAGTCTGGGATCACGAAGATCGGAAGGGTTGCGCATCATTCCAGGACCATAAGGGCCCGGAGGTGGTATGCTGGCTTCGTCTTGTGGGCGATATGGGGTTCCGCGTCGGCTGGGGTATTGGGCATCCGGCGGCGGAGGAACATCATGCATGACAGTTGCGTCTGCGGTGTTGAGCGGGGTACGGTCGTCGTCACTGTCGCGAGTACTAGTGTGGAAGTTTGCGAAAGTCGGGCCCGATTCGGAGGTGGGAGAGCCGGTCACGATAGCTTCCTTGGTCTCGGTGGGTTCCGTCACAACGCCGCCTGCCATAGTTGCCGTCGCGGCATTTTGGCGATTATAGTAGTTCTCGCCACTCATTTCTGCATTTTCCGCGATACGGCGTTTCCGAGCCTTGCGGCTCACCAGGGTCCGGCGCATGGCGCAAGTCACCACCCCGCAGGAGACGAGGAGGATGGTCGCGGCCAGCACGATCCAGCCACCCCATTGTAAATGCGGCACGAAAAGCAATATATCAACCAGGAAGGCAAGCAAGGTCACCAGAAGAGTCGGCAGGAGCAAAATAAGAAGAGCCAGGAGGTAGCGCGGGGAATGAGAGGGGCCATGAAAATGGGCCGCAGCGGCCAGGCAGAGGCAAACGAGGGTGAGGAAAGCGGCGACGGGGTGAATTATTAGGATCGACGATAGCGACTTCCGTGTGCCCGAAGGCAGATTGAACTCATCGCCGGAGCTAGTAATATCCTCTGCAGGGAAGGCTTAGCCACAGGTACGCCAGGCAGAAACGAAAGCGAGGGGTCAACTCACTGGTACTGTATCCAACATGAATGTTGGTACATACGTCGCCTTGGCAATAGCCAAAGACACCGTAGTCGACATTGCTGTATGTCGCAAGAGGGATGCCCTTGATGATAGGTGTCGACAAACAGGAGATCAACAGCAGCGCAAAGGCGACCAGTAGTAGGACGGTGAGGGGTGTCGCGGGCTTGAGTAACATTGCGAGGGAAGGGTGAGAGCTTGCGCGCTCTCAAGGACCGTATCTCAAGCCAGGAAGCAAACGAGCGAGTTCCAGACTTGCAAAACACGGCGCAGAAGTAGTTGTGGTTTCGATTTAAGCCAGCATTGGCAGGGTCATTGCAGGTCTCCTGAGACCGTTGCGGAGGGGGTAGGTTTAGTAGATTTGGAAGATGGTGCGCCTAGCCGGTTCAAATGAGGGGAAGAAGGGAATGAAAGAGAGACAAGAAGCGATAAGCCTTCTTGCAGAGGCGAAGGAGGAGGGAACCGTGGATCTGAGGCTGTACCCGCCCGGCAGCCTGCAGTCTCAGGCATCCGTATCTCTCATCACGTTCTTTACTTTGTTTTCTTGTTCTCAACATTCATGTCGTATGTTACTACTTCATTACTGTTGTGGTTTCTTCTCGCTCGTTGCATGTCAAGTCTTGCTACCTGTTCACTTAGCAGGTCAGACCCGAGTTGAGCTAGAGGCCAGAGCACAGCCCGGGGCGCAACTAACCAGCGCCAACCCTCTTATTCGTCACATCGTCTGGGTCGCCAAGCCAGCGCGGAACAATGAAACGTACGACAGAATGCGTGTTTCCCTATAATTAATTATCTTTGGATCGATCTCTATGTAATCAGAATGAGGTGTCGACTCCCCACCCCCACGTCCCTTTCGATTGTACCTGGGCAAAAAACTTCTAGTCAAGCGTCGGATGGACTGGTAGGGAAAGGCTTTTTCTCCTACCAGCCCCGTCGGTCCCGCGGACGCAGCTATTGCCACAACCCAAAAGACGCTTGAAGCTTAATCCGCGTTTCGTCGGATTTAACAACCATTAGTCTCGAATCTGTCAACCCATGGTGAAATAAAATCTGCAAAATTCTAAAATCTATGCGATTTACAGGAGTTCAATCCTCAACGCGACACCTATGACAACAAGCATGAATCTATTTTCTAAACTTTGCTAATTCTATGTCAACCAAAGCGCAGCCCGTCAAGCAACTTGGGTAACAAATGTTTGGGTCGCACTTTGAGCCGTTAGCGGCCCACTGACCACGTTTTAAATGAGACAGACCGCCGTCCAATGAAAGAAGCTAGCCCCATTTTGCATAGCTAACTGCCTAGCTCCGGACACAGATAAGATATTGTCTTCGGAGCTACGGAAGCGAGAAATGGAAGCGGCCACTCGGCTATTTGAGCTCGAATTGTGTCTCCGTACACATAAACTGGGTCGCATGGGCCTGCTGGCTGAGCCTAATTAAGCTTACACCCGCAGACACACGACCGCTCTAATAGCGGATAGATAATGTGTCTCTCGTGAGATCTCATATGCTAGGGTCACTTGATCATCCCCTATCTGCATACTAAGACTGGGGATGGTCTGAGCCACTCTGCATATGGGTTACACAGACAGCGGCTTTGTTGCAAAGTTAACAAATTGACATCATGGAAGCATCTATGACACGTTTGGAATACCTGGTTCAGATACAACTACTAGCAGTTCTTGAACTTTTCGTCACACATGACCATTGGTGCCCTTCAGCGGAAGTCAAATCCTACTCCCGCAGAGAGGGTAGGCTTTGGAAGGTCATACAAAGTCTGTACTACCAACGTTCCTGATGACAAGGGTGATGTTAAAAGAAGCAAGATCTTCCTTTTTTTGGTACTTCATTACAGACCCTGGTCCTGAAGGATCCTAGAGAGCGGATCGCCGATCAACACAGCCTGGGCGAAGACAAAGTACCTCCGTCCTAAAAAAAAAAAAAGGTTCAGATTGCATCAGAGCCAATCACCTAGAACATGCGCTGTATCTGGCGATTATGGCCTTGGGCGAATCGAAAGAAGCCCCATGACGAAGAAGACACATTACTTTCCCGAGAGGAGAACCCTACTCCAGTCGTGGGAGATGGCACTGAAAAGGGATCATCCACCTCCTAGGTCGGAACTCAATGCCCATGAGCGCTACGTGAGATTTGGGATTGGTGGCGCGGGGAATACGCGCAAGTCCTGCTTCCTTTTCCCGAGATTCTTTCGTGTCTCTAACTCGATAAGGGAGGTAGAATCGTATCGTATAACGGATGATTCATTCCGATAACTGAACATTGGCATTTGGGGTGGTGAGATTGGGCGCAAGTGACAATGGGGAAGATGCGAGCTGCAATTAATAAAATTCCAAGGAAAAATTCTCAGCTATTTGAAGTACAACGAATGCGATTAGATACATCATTACAAACGTCCAATCAAGCTTGAAGCAATTACTTTCGACACCCCTACCGAATGTCCCGTTGAATATCTAGAATGAGACTAAATGATTTCCCAGGCAACATGATTCAGTAGCAACCAATTTAGGGATTGGCAAAATTAATATGAGTAGCCGCTCGAGACATGCAAACCCCAGGACCATAGGGGAGAACAAGGATTTTGAGCCAGCCCTACAGCTGATCAACCAGCCCGCACTTGAACCTTGGTGTTTCGAGTTTCAACCTCCAGTTTTCACTCTTTCCATGGGATGAGTGCCCGATTAAATGTAGCTCAGCCTCGTGGTTTTCACCAACCCGTTGGGCGGTCTAGCTGGTACCCAGCCACGTTGGATGCCAGCAAGGGGGAGGAATCAATTTGCACTGTTCCAGCTGTCGATGATCCAGACAACTGGGTGCCCAGTCAACTATCAGACTGTGCCCTGCTTCTGGCCACTATCTAGGATGACAATTATTGTTTTGGGTGGGCATTATCGGGCTTCCTTGTGTTGTACAGGTTCTATTGTTACATGCTGCACGACAGCTTATACCATGATTAAGCTGAATGAAGATTTCAAGAGACTTCTTTTCTGCAATTCAAACCTCTAGATGCGATGGAAATAAGGAAGTACAAGAAAAAAAAATTGATCTCCACAATCTGTATTGTAGATCCCAGGTGTAGAGCCAAGCTTCGGCGCATCCGCGGACGTGGGGGCCGTCGGGCCGTCCACAACTCAATCAACAAGACGTCAGGCTGGTGGCCCCGCTTTCTGATTCGCAAACAATTATTGTGATTTATCGAATACCTTGTCTGAGTCGACAACCTCCGGGTGTCTTAGCTTGCCCTATTGGCTTGGGTCTTTCTAGGGTTGCGGTGTGGTGGCTGGGGAGGCTGGGAAGGTGGCCGACAGCACAATGACATCCAGCCAAAAGCCCACCGAGCTGCATTTTTGCCCTCCACAGATTCCTATTGACTCTTTAAGCTCTTCGGGAATGCTTCTCGACTAAGTTTGCCGTGGAATCGTCGACCACAATACCATGTCGAACCAGGACTCTCCTATGCGAAACTTCAGTCTACGAAACGTCAACTGTATGTGCAAACGAGCTACGGAATGGGACATTTGCTGATTTTTTCTCTCTAGCAAGCAAACCTCAGCTTTATCGAACAAACTCACAACAGTCCATTGCTGCATCGGACGACTACTATTCTTTCTCGGATCGAGCTGGGTCGTCAAGTCCAGATAGCCGTGTAACCGCAATGCGTTTCGCAACGCCAAACGAACGGTCTCCTCAGCCCTCTCCGTCCTCTTCGCACCGGAGACAGCTAGCTAGGGGACCCTCAATGATTCAAGACTACCAACAGACCCCTCAAGTCCTAGGGTCTCCACGCCCAGGAACCTCGAGTACAGTTCGCTCCGGCGAAGACAGAGTCGCTCGCATCAGCCCCAAATCAGATGAGACAATTCGACAAGTGCCTCCCAGCCGCGAGTACGCTGGAAGGGAGCCGACTCCTGGACTTGATGACTCGCCCTATGTTCGGTTCGCAATCGATCAGCTCACTGCCGATGAACATGCTCAAGGGCCCCAGCGAATGGATTCCGTCTCCACGAACACAACGAATGACTACACTGGTGAGCGACTTGTGTGGGATGAGAGCTTGGGTTATTTCACTCGCGCTCGAACTCCAATCCGACACATGGAAGTGCCCGAGCGACCAAAGTACAAGTCACCCTCACCGCAAGCACTTCCTCAGAGACCCAATTCGATCGATCCAGAGTCTTTTGTAGCTGTTGATGCGCCAGAGGACAGCCTCATGTATCCTCCGCTGGACTATCTCCCGATGATGCTACGGGCCTGGGCTTTGGGTGGAGTGATTCTCTGCTGCCTGCTCATGATCGCTGGTATTGCATTCTGCAATATCTGGTCTCATCGCCATCAAGGAATTTGGGACTACACTGGCCAGGGTGATTCCCGGTACTTTGTGATGGAATTCCTTCCCCAAATTCTGGCTGCACCCATCATTATACTCAATCTTATGGTTCAGTCCGCTGTTTATCGAACTGCGCCATTTGCCATCATGGCAGCTAACCGCCAAATCGGTTATGTCTTGCAGGGCTTGCCCATCCTCCCTCGTAACTTTGTCTTCCCCGATCTCTCGCACTTTCGGTATGGGGAGGCTCTCTTTGGCTTCTCTATGTTTACGATTTGGCTATCAAACTTTTTCTCTATCCCACTCTTGAGCTGCTTGTTTCAGGCAAAGTTTTATGACGTGGACGGCGAAGGAGTATGGAGATGGGCGTCTGTACAATCGGTGGGATGGACTTTGATAGCTTCATATGGTCTCCTGACGATTGGGCTGATTGGGCTCCTCCTTCGATTCGTCTTCCGATGGACCGGCTTGATGTGGGATCCGGTTTCCCTGGCAGATCTGATCTCCATCATTCAACGGTCCAATATCCTCCATGATTATGAGCACTCGGAAACCGTTCCGAAAGTTAAAGAATCACTGGACCCTCGCATTCTTCGCCTCGGCTACTGGAAGCTGTCAATGAAGCCCGAGGTTTTCTACGGCATTGGGGAAATGGATGCTCCCATTCGCACACCCTCCCTCCACCAAACCGAAAAGGGCAAAGACAAGCAGCCCCATGGCCTCGCCAAGGTCACTTTTGACCTCGAGCACGCCGGCGCTTTCGCCAATGACCCATTTGACCACCATCTCTACTCTCCATTCACCCGATACCGCTGGACGCCATGGTTCCTCCGCAAGGCTGCTGTCATCACCTGGGTCATCATCGTCTTCGCACTCTTCATCGCCTTTGTAACTGTCAGTTTCGTAAACGATGCGGTCGAAGGAGGCTTCCCTCCCAAACTTCCAACGCTCCCCTCAACTGGTGCCTTCTCCTCCTCCAACTTCCTTTACAGCTTCATCCCCGCAACCATAGGCAACGTTCTCTTCCTCGCCTGGCAACCAATTGACACCTACTTCCGCGCCCTCCAGCCTTTCGTCGAACTCTCTTCCCCTAACGGCACTTCCGCCGAAAAAAGCCTACTTCTCGCCTATCCATCTTCTGCCCCAATCCAAGTCACCCTCCAAGCCATCATCAACGGCCACTACAAAGTCGCTTGGATCTCCTTCATGAGCCTTGTCTCCATCGCCATTCCTATTCTCGCAGGTGGAGTCTTCGTCGCCCTCTGGTATCCCACCAGCTCCGACGTTCGCATCTCCGCCCTCATGCCTGCCTTCTACGCCCTCGTCGCCTTCTGCGGCCTCTACGCCGTGTCCTTCCTATCGATCTGGCCAGGACGCCGCCGCTACCTCCCTCATGACATCAGTACCCTCGCCGACCTGATGAGCTACTTCTACCAATCCCCTCTCCTCGCGGATAAACTCCTCCGCGAGCCACGCAGCAAAACCGACCTCGTTACGCGCCTGATTGTAGCCCCGCCCTCCGAGCGTCTGCTGCCCATGTACGGCTTCGGAATCTACGTTGGTCGTGATGGCAAAGAGCATCTCGGTATTGACCGTTTCCATCGGCCTGGTCGGACCGATATGTTAATTACGACGGGGACGATGAAATGATCTCGTCCCTGCTAATGAATTGCACCGTTTTATGAGCGAATGATTTTTGTTTTCCTGTGGCATTTCCTTGGTATTTCCTTTGCATTTGATCTCGCCCGCTGATAAGATCTTTGGGGAGATTCGACTGTTTGTTGTTTACGAATCGTTTGGGTGTTCCTATACCGCATTCTCGGCGTTACTGCATGTGATTATTATGTTCGTGTTTTTCAGTCCCAGTTTCTTAGCGATAAATTTAGGGACATAGAGTAATGAATTAGAACATTGAATCAATTTCATCAATATGGATGCTACAGATACACCGACCTACCAATGGCATTCTTTCTCCAAATCTCCTCTCTCCTCCAATTGTTCGCTTTGGTTTCTCGGGTCCTACCCTCCATCCCCACCAACAATCATGGACCTTCTTCGTCCACACATCAAGAGCTCATAAGTCACCCAGGTGCTTGTGGAAAAGCGAGTCCACTCTGTCTCGTGCAGCCCATGTTTTCATCCACCAACCCTCACCCCGCTCTTAAAGTCACCCCCCATCTTGGCCACTGTAAATTTCAGCCTACCCTTAATCAGTTTGAAGCCAACACAGTGCGCTAATCAGGAGTTTGGGGAATTCAAAGTATTGTCAGAAATTGAAACTCTTGTTAGCTCTCAACCAAAACAAAACCACATTCAGCCTCTTCAAATAATTCTACTACTACTACTACTACCACGTTCAACTTCAAAGTTCACGTCAAATTCTTGCTCCAGATTCGTCTTTTCAATTGATAGTGTAGAATTTTTAAGTTCAATTTTATGGATTGAACGATCAGGTCATACTTGCAGCCCCACCGAAAAGATGATAACAAGGGACCTCCACACTTAGGGCTTCAGTTCTCTGTCGGTATCTTTCTGGGAATCTCTTTAAGACTATTTTGAAACCTTTCTCTTGTTTCTTTCTCGGGGTATCCTTGTAAATAACTTCAAAACACTTCTGAGGATACAAGTCACAACAGCCTACATGGTCAGGACCATGTTTACTATACTCCTGGCCCTGCTGTAGAATCGAGACATCTACAACGTTCCCGGGATGCCTGACATACACTCCTTGCAAAAGTTCAACCAACCAAAGGTTCACCCTTTCAAAAGCATTTCTGGCCGCTGGAAATAAATCGCTAAAACGCGATTGACCTGCCCCTGGACCCATTTCTGTTGCTCCACAGGCAAACCCAGATCTAAATTCTGCAGATTCCTCAAGGCAGCAAAGAGAAACCAAGCGCCCATTAACGGCGCCGCCTGTTTGTGCGTGAGAGTAACAGGTCTCGTTTCCGCAAATGGATAATCTACAAGACCTGGCCTCATGCGCACTGACTCCATTTGATTTCCCAGGAAGAAAGGCACAGAGGCACAGATATCATCAGCCAACTTGTGAATCGTCGCATTCACAGCCTGCGTGCTTTGGCCGTCCGGATCATGTGATGACTGGATATGAAGACAACTGAGTTTAATGTTCTGGACAAGGATTCGACAGTCTCGGTAATTATTCCATGTTGCTGCGATCCACATGTCGGAGTAACAGTCGCAGCGGTTGCGGTAGATGCCGGCGTTGCGGACAGATTGGGGAATCAGGCTTGCGGCGACGGGGACCCAGTGTTGGGGAACTCGGTGGGACCAGGAGACGAGGTTGTTGTCAATGGCTGCTGCTTTGTTGAGAATTGTTGTTGCATGGGCGGTGGGATCGGGTTGTGTCATCATCTTTTCCCAGGAGTGGCGAAGATTCACTAGTTGAGAGGCAGTTGATTGGAATAGGAGTCGAGGCGAGGAGGGGAAGTCTGACTGTGATGGTGATAGAGGCCAGAGTTTGGGTGCTGGGACCATTGGGTTGTCTAGGCCTCTGGTTGTTTTGATCTGTTCAATTGTGAGTTGAAGGCGAGCAAAGAGGTACTGAACAATGTGACGTACAATTTGACTCTCCACGGCATTATAGATTGTGGATGATGGCGATGATGGTAGACTCTTCTCTCTTCTGCTATTGATAAGAGCAATAGCGCCGCGGAGGTGAGCCTTAAGAGGGAGCTCCCAGTGTTTGATGGCAACAAATTCCTTAATATCGAGTCAACTCACATCGGACGGTAGCTAGTGGTTGAGTAGAACATCACCTACCTCATAAGTGCTTAATAAAAGGATAGCCGTAAGTATACTATCCAGTTCACCGTCTTCATTCCTTTGCAAGGCGTCTCGGATCTTCGGTAGAGCCCTTGTAAAGTATCGCTCCGAAGTACGAAGCAAATGTTCTGAACCAGTCCACGCGGCGACGGAAAAGAAAGCAACAGCCAATGTACTGATAGAAAGATATGAGTCGGTTTCAGCATTAGAGTATAGGGACGGCAATATCTCCATGTAACCATTCTGAATGTGGGGATCCTTTGGCAGGTAGAGATAGGAATTGAAAAACAAAGGGACCACCGTGTCCTCCATAGGCTGATAAAGGTCGGCTGGGCCCAACTTTGGGGGCCATGAATCAAGCGGTGATGTTGATTTGGCTGACGAAAGCAACTCCGGAGATGCTGTTCTTGATACTGCGGTCGTCCTGCTCGAGGCTGAGTTGTCACGCGCCACTTGCGAGGGTCTGCTTCTCTTTGTAAATGATGAGGTTTGATCTCGCAGTATCAAATCAAACGGGTCCGGATAGCCCGGACAGGACCGGTCTGTCCGAGTGCATGCCCGGCAATAAGGGCGTGTTTCATCGCACTTCGGAGGTCAGTTTAGTGGCCAGGTAGTGGCGATTGCTGTAGATACCTTGATGTGCCGCTGTCTGCAGTTCAGGCATCCTGTGCTTGGTTTCCCACCGTAGACCATTATTTCGCATAAACTCTAGTCCTATATTTCTCAATTCGATATTCGGCAGTCGTGGGGTTGAACTGATAGGGAATTTCGTGGTCGTCATACTCTTTTCAGATATGGCCCATATTGTCACGGGTGAATTTGGAACCTGGAAATTAGGACGGAGCAAGTAATGGCCGCAGTTTTCCACATTACTTGTACATTCACGATAGTATCTTAGATGAAGCCAGTTGAGCCAAGTCTTGCTTCACGGTAAGCCGAGGTCACGTGCGCGAAGATCTGCATTCTCCGCCTCCGCAGATTCGCTGTGACATTTCAGCATCTCAACTCACCACAGCTCAGCTCCTTCTTGCGAACGAAAGACCTCCTAGGTGTTCAACCTCCCCGGTCTCTTCTAGCCCAATTCTTTCTTGTCCAAATCAATCCGCATCCTCCCATCGCATACCTCCGGGCATATACCTCCAAATCGCAACAATGTCCATCTTTGGCTGGGGCTCCAGCTCCAAATCCGATGCCAGTGCTTCGACCCCTCAAGAAAGCACATCCTCAACTCAAGATGCAGTCCCCTCCTCCGCACCCACACTATCCGAGCCTTCGACACAATTAAGCCAACAATCAAAACCCAAAGATAATACGGGCTTGAAACTCTTCCTCGGCGGCATCGCCTTTTCCGCGTTCTCCGTCTTTATTACTCGCCGCGCAAACATTCGGAAGCAGATCGCATGCATCCCACCCTTCTACTCGAGCTCAATTTACCACCAACCGAACGCGAACGGAGCGATGGAAGCTTTTGAGGCCCTCAATCTCGCGACGATCAACGTGTTCTCCTTTGGCATGTTGACTGTTGGCGGAACCATGTACGCATTGGATATTAATGGAATCGAGGATGCGCGGAAGATCATGAGAAGCGGACTTGAGGGCTCGGCCCAGGGTAAATCAGATGAGGACCTTGAGAACGACGTCCAAGAGTGGGTGGCTAGCGTTCTGGGAAATCGGTTCGAGAAGCAGTTGGAGAAGGAGCGCGCTAAGAAGAGAGATGTCACGGCCAATGAGGAGAACTGATGGATTGAAAGAGATTTCTAGGTCTATGGTTGATGCATGGATACACTCTGCTCTTTTTTTGATACCACTGTACATTATGCATTCCTGATATAAGCATGTTCCCTGGCGCTGCCGGCTACAATATCATCCATATCATGAGAAAAATCTCTGTCATCATTGGATGGCGTGGATCTATTATATATATCCATTGACAGCTCATTTTTGGGCAATCATTAGTTATTGTACATCATTGGAAGTTTCCACCCAACGGCGTCATTCAGATCCAGAGATATGCACGATAAATCACTCGCCCAGCTTGTCGTACCGCTGGCGAGCATTCGCTTTAGTCTTCTCCAGAAACTCATCGTATCGACCACGAGTATTGCGCGCTGCCTCTTCAGCCGCGTCGCCGATCTTGCCTCCCTGAGCGCCAAGTCCAACACCCTGGGCATAGACCTCGGTAGCGATGGGAGCGGTGACACCTGTGCCTTGGGCACCCAAGCCGGAGCCCTCCGACCAACCCATTTTGCTGAGCAGCGAAGCGCCCTTGGAAATTGTTTGAACTGGAGCGTCTTCTTCTTTCCTGGGCGCTGCTGCGTTCGCTGTGGCATTGATTTTGGCTTTACCTGGCCCGAATGCCTTTCGACGTTCTCTAGCGCGATCTCGGTATTCGGCGTTTGGTGGGATAATTCCATGCTTGATCAACTTGGCCATTCCACGGGCTACAAGAGATTCATTCTGCAGGTTTCCTCGGTGAAGCTCGCTGAGGCGCTCGTGTTTGTGAACATTGGCGGTACTCTTGAACTGTCGCAGGCATAGATAGCAAACATTGCGCTGGACATCTGCATATGACTGCGTAGGCGGGGCGCCTGGGTCGAGAGCTGAGTCGCCCTGTTGGTCGTGCACAGGATTTCCATCGCTATCCTTAGGAATGCCGTGAAGCTCCGCATGACGATTGCTCCAGAACTGTAATTGAGCAGGCATAGCCGTCTTCTTTGCGGTAGCACTAGCAGTGGCTTCCGCCTTCCTCTTTTTCGTTTTCTCGCTGTCTTTGGACCCCTTGGCTTGACCATCTTGCTGGTCCACCTGGGTTCCGTCATCCCCTGAAGATACCGCGAGCTCGGTCACATAACCTTCATCGTCCCAATACATGAGCTTCGCAGAAGGATTGTTCAGCGGACTAAAAGTAAACCGCTCAGTGTGGGAGTTAGGATTCATCACTGGTACAAACACGCCTGCGTGAATGTAGCTGACCATGACCGGTTTGGAAGAAATGGTGAACTTGACAAATGAGTTCAGTCTCTGAACGGCGGCCTGGGCATCCATCACATTGGCGAACTCAGCAAATCCGTAGTGCCAGCTCTCATTAGTCTTCCGGTCGCGGACTAGCAAGACACGGCGGATGGAGCCCTCGCGAGCTCCCAAGTTCGAATCGCCAGTTGTTGATGCCACCTTTGCACCCTTCTTCGAATTGTTTGAAACATTCTCATTGTTGCTCGAAGTTAGTCGATAAAGCTTCGCAGCACCCTTGGCAAACAGGTCCTCTGACACAGATGAATCTAGACCGCGGAAAAGTAGGAACTGAGACGGCTGATTCTCGGGAGCCGCATCATTGTCACCGTTGTTGGCTACCTTGGGTATTGGAACGCCAGGGGGGCCAACAGGAGCTATTGAGATTTCTGGACGAGGAGCATTACAGCGGAAGCACTTGGGACGCGTGGCAAAATTGACGACTGCACACATGCGACAGGTCCAGTCGCCCTCTGCTTTGGCTCGAGCTCGGTCCTCTCGCTCACGGCTGTATGCAATGCGAACTTTGGTGGCTCGGTCATCGTTGCTGGCTGTTGGGCCGTAGAAGTAAATGTATGGGTGGTTCCGTTCAAGGAAATCGCGCGACTCTTCGAGAGACCCGAACCGGAGGAACCCCAATCCTCGTGATATCTCTGCAGTTGGAAAGTCATGAGCCGAATGTTCAGTCTGTGGATACGCTACCACTCACTTGTTTGTCTATCGCGAATCACCCGAACATCCTCAAGTTCTCCAAGATGATATGCATCTCGAAGCTCTGCGGAGACCTGCGGCACAAACGACATCAAGTTAGCCTCTTGAAGCTTGCGGATTTGGCTTGCAATCTAGATCTAGTTTCCCAGATCCGGTTTCCTGATTTATAAATAAAACTTACGTCGTCTTCAGTCATGTCCTGTGGTATCCCATCCATCATGATTTCTCGACTCTCTTGTCCATAATGATTCCTGCCTCCGCGGGGACTGCGGCTTCGACTGTGGTTATATCCCGGTGACTGATACCCTTCGCGGTCACGGTCTCTGTACGATTGTCGGCCCCGTCGCGGAGGTGATCGTGATGTCCGATTGCGATAGTCATCGCGGTCCCGGCTTCTGTACTGGGCATCGCGGTCTCTGGAGTAATCACCTCTGCGGTCTGCAGGTTGTTGTTGCGGCGAGCGCGAAGGGCCTTTAATCCACAAAGCCAAAGAGAGTCAGCGGTGATTCGCAGTTTTAGGCAGACATGTTCAAGGCCCAAGTGTCATCGTCATGCGGGGAGGAGAACATACCGCCAGGCGAGCGTGATCGAGATCGATCATCGTACATACGGCCGTCCCGATCGTCGCGGGGAGGGTAAGCCGGCCGAGGCGGGCCGGAATGATGTCTGGTATCGTCTGGATAAGGATGAACCATTATTCAGAGACATCAAAAGAAATGAGGTAAGAAGAGCAATAGTTGAGGAGCAAGGAGCCCCAAGCTTGCGCCGATAGGCGATAGGCGATATCAGCAGAATTCGACCGCCTTCCTATTCTGGGTGGCAGGTATCAATGGTATGCTTCATGTTGAGCTATGAGAGGAGACATTGGATATGACCTCTACAGTATCTTTACATGTAACCTAATTTGTATAGTCGGGTAAGTTGTCGGGTTATCGTCGGTGATATCTCATCGTACGTTTAAAAGTGGTCGGGAAATTAATCGGGTTATCATCGGTGATCTCATCGTACATGAGTTTAACAGTGGAAACCTAAGTCGCGAAGTATAGATGCGTGCAAGTCCGTCTCTTGCAAGATACCATACATTCCAAAACGAGTTTTTGAATAGAATCGATACACTTCAATTGTGTCCTCTTCGAAATTGTATAATCAGGAAAAACCAGTCCGCAGTAGGAGCACAGCTCAGCCGTTGGTTGCATCATGCCCGGGCACCGACACATACGGAGTGGAGACGACCCACCAGATCCAGAATGCCCCGACGTATGAATTTGGCCAGCCGGCTCATACTGCAGTCAAAGTGAGGGACTTCCCTGGGCAGCAGTAAGCAGACCCATAAGATCCAATGATCGGCAAAGAAGATGAACGTTTTTGAGATATGATTCTCCGCAGTGCCCCCGCGGTGGGATGTGCGTGGGTATCAAATGCCCGATGCACACCTGTCCTTGCGAACACGCCCCTACTTATACATCCTGCCTCCCATCGCTACGTCAAAATTCTTCATCCACTTATCAAACATTCCTCATTAATACACCATAAACTCAGTGATCATGGGATCAACCAAGACTATAAACCGTGCTTGGTGGAAAGAGAGCTCGGTCTACCAGATTTGGCCTGCTTCTTACAAAGACTCAAACAACGATGGCATTGGGGACATTCCGGGCATCATCTCAGAGCTCGACTACATTAAGAACATTGGAGTCGATATTGTCTGGCTATGTCCGTCGTATAAGTCGCCCCAAGTTGATATGGGCTATGACATCGCCGATTACTACAGTATCGCGGACGAGTACGGCACGGTCGCAGATGTCGAGAAATTGATTCAAGGATGCCATCAACGAGGCATGAAGCTTCTCATGGACCTTGTGGTCAACCACACCAGTGATCAGCACGAATGGTTCAAGCAGTCGCGCAGCTCCAAGGATAACGAGTTCCGCGACTGGTACGTCTGGAAGCCCCCGCGCTTTGACGAACAGGGCAACCGTCATCCTCCCAACAACTGGGTTTCTCATTTCCAAGGTATGGCTATTTTGATTTATTGCGAACTGATTGCTCAGTACTGACATTTATAATAGGAAGTGCTTGGCAGTTTGATGAGCACACTGGCGAGTACTATCTCCATCTCTATGCCACCGAGCAGCCCGACCTGAACTGGGAGCACCCACCTGTGGTCAAGGCCGTTCACGATATCATGCGATTCTGGCTTGACAAGGGCTGTGATGGCTTCCGCATGGACGTGATCAACTTCATTAGCAAAGACCAAGCCTTCCCAGATGCGCCCATTACGAACCCTCACAGCGAGTGGCAATGGGGGGATAGGTACTACGCCAATGGACCGCGCCTTCACGAGTATCTTCAGGGTGTGGGTAAGATCCTAAAGGAATATGATGCGTTCAGCGTTGGTGAGATGCCTTTCGTCAAAGACGAGAAGGAGGTTCTTCGGGCCGTGCAATTCGACCGCAACGAGATCAATATGATTTTCAACTTCGAGCACGTCGATATTGATCATGGCAAATACGACAAATTTGAGCCCGGCAGTTGGAAGCTTACCGATCTTAAAAAGTTCTTCGAGCGTTGGCAGACCTTCATGTATGCTAATGATGGCTGGAACGCCCTCTACTGGGAGAACCACGACCAACCACGCTGTGTCGACCGCTTTACCAATGCAGGCGAAGACCACCGTCTTGTCGCATCTAAGATGTTGGCTATTGCTTTGGCGCTGCAGTCTGGTACTCCCTTCGTGTATCAGGGGCAGGAGCTGGGCATGAGCAATGTCCCTACTACATGGGATATTGAAGAGTACAAGGACATCGACTGCCTCAATCACTGGACTGGGTAAGGCCTTGCCCCAACTTGATATCGACCAAGTATATTCCTAACATCGTATGATAGGGTTGTCAAAGCAAAGAACTACGACGCAAATGCTCAGGCTATTGCTCTCCAAGAATACCAGAAGAAGTCCCGCGACAACGGCCGCACCCCGGTGCAATGGTCCGATGCCCCGAATGGAGGATTCACCGCTTCCAGTGTCAAGCCTTGGATGTCTGTGAACCCAAACTACGTACGCATCAATGCCGCTGCTGAAGTCAAGGACCCTAATTCGACCTACCACTTCTGGGCAGCCGTTCTCGGTCTGCGCAAAAAGTACCTGGATATCTTCGTATATGGCGATTGGGCTAATGTTGATCCTTCGAGCGAGGATGTATTTGCGTACACTCGCCAATATGAGAACCAGAAGGCTCTGGTGCTGTGCAACTGGACCGAGAAGAACTTGGACTGGGACGCCTCAAGCAACGGCATCGCCAGTGTCAAGGAGGTACTTTTGAACACCTACGAGAGTGCAAACGATGCCACACAGCGTTTCTCCAGCGGAAAGTGGTCGCTCCGACCTTATGAGGCCGTTGTTCTATCACTGTAGATATTGGTTGCCAGCAAGACAACCAACCCACGAGGAAACATCGCAACTACCAAGCAAGTTGACTGTCATCCTTAAAAAGTAGATAGAAAAATGAGACATACCTAGGTACCTTGAACCGACGACCACCTGGGCATTTGAACCCATCGTAGGTATCGGTACTCCCCGCCAGCTATCGGAGGCGACTCACCCACCGGTTCCCCGCAGCCGATAAGCCTCTCCATTTCCATTAGCACAACATTCTTTCTCCAGCTTCACACACAAATGCATACATAATGACCTCCCAAGAGCGCCTCCCAGCCCACCTGGACTCGTCCACGTACCCACGCACACAGCATGATGCCACCCAAAACATCCACCTAACACTCACCTACACCCCTCTCGATCCAAACACCTACCTGTCGCAGGTCTCCTCCCCCGCCGCAGGCGCAAATGTATTCTTCCTCGGAACAACACGCGATACATTCGAAAACAGACCCGTCTCTCAACTCAGCTACACAACGTATCCGCTCCTCTCACTGAAAACACTCGCCGCGATCGCGGAGGACGCCGTCAAAAAACACCAGCTCCTGGGTGTGAGCATTGCCCATAGACTGGGCGTCGTGCCTATCGCGGAGGCTTCGATTGCGATTGCGGTTAGCTCGGGACATCGCGCTGCGGCGTGGAGGGCCGGAGAGGAGATTCTGGAGGCCTGCAAGGAAAGGGCGGAGATTTGGAAGAGGGAAGAGTTTGTTGATGGGGGGATGGAGTGGAGAGCTAATGCTGATCGGGATGCGGAGGGGAGGTTGGTTGGAAGTTCTGTGACGGAGGGCTTGTAAGGTGCTTTGCTTTTTTGATACTCTCCTGGGGTATATCATGCATTTGGCGACTTGGGCCCAGGGATGATGAATATAAGGTCTTGAACAGACGTGTCAATATCACCAATTCGTTTATCACGAACTAAGCTTCCGTTTGATGAAGCTCTCTACTGGATGGTAGAACGCCTGGACCAAGTCAATGAGCAGGGTATTTAGATTCGGCAAAGCTATAGTACAATTTTCATACACTGGACAAGCTTAAAGAGTCTTCATAGGCTTGCCCTCCCGCTTCCAATCATTGATGTGCTCCATAATAACCCGGGTAGCAGACTCGGGGGTATCTTGTCGACCAATGCACTCAACGAAATCGTTGTCGGGGTCTATCAACAAGTCAGCATACCATCTCATAGCCATCGCATCAAACAACTTACCCATCAGATAGAAATAGATACTGTGGTCTACTAGATAATCCTCACCGGGCTTGACATCCCTGGGAGTACTGAAGTACACACGGTACTGGTGGCAGACATTCTTTATCTGCTCGTAGGTACCAGTCAATCCCACGATACCGGGGTGGAACTCCTTCAGGTACTCGCGCAGAACCTCGGGGGTATCACGGGCAGGATCGCAGGTAATGAAAATGGGCAGGAAGGCCTTGTCGTCCTTGGCCTCAGCGCGGACCTTGTCGATAATCTCGGCCATCTTGTCCAGCTCGTCGGGGCAGATGTCAGGGCAGTGGGTGAAACCGAAGTAGACCTTTATGAGATTTGTGTTAGCTTCAAAATCTGAAATCATGAAGGGGGAGTTCCGATTATCTCACAAAGCTGTATTTCCCCTTCAGATCCTCCGCGGTGAATTCCTTGCCGTCCAGATCCACGAGGTTGAACGGACCGCCGACCTTCGGCTTTCCAACACCCTTGCTCAACTCGGCGATACGCTTCCGCTCCAGGCGGGCCTTCTCAACACGGAAGTAGATCACCATGCCCGCGCCGGTAAGCACGAACAGAAGAGCGGCCTTCCACGAGAACGGGCCGGTGGAGTTGCGCTGGCGCATTTGGCCCATAGTCTTCGCGCGAGCTCGGAAGGGGCTAGTTGAGAAGTTATTCCGCGCGGAAAGGGCAGTCTGAATGTTCTGGCACCGAGGGCGCTGGGCTTGGGTGTAGGCCCGGCATTGTGATTGAGAGGTGTTTCGGATGAACGGGAGGATGCGTTGTGATTGCGCAGATTCAAGGGTTGTAATGGTGCGGATTGCTTGGCGGAAGAGGCCGGAGGCCATTCTCAATGAGGATGGCATGGTGCTCGCTGCCCTGATGCTTGTTGGTATTGGTGTGCAAATGTCGGAGCCGGACGGTGAACTTGAGAATCTCCAGATCGACACCTAATCTGGCCTAGCTTCATGCCTGAGGCAACTACATCTTTCAAGCACTTGAGCATGTACCACTTGAGGCGAAAGGTCTCGGAGAATCTTGAGATGCATTCAAGGAAGAGTTTTCAGAATATTCAAATGGTCTATTATGTTCAAACAGCTCAAAAAAGGAGAAATAATCAGACTATTAAAAAAAATGGATCGCAACATTAACTAAGAGAAAGTCCTCCTTCCTGAGTACTTATGAAGAAACCACAGCAAGTCTCTTCTGAAGTCCCGTAGCAGAGATTTAACTCCTTCAATTCGTGATCATCGCGATTTTGTTCACGTACTGCTTCTCTGTCCTCAAAATCAAGTTCTCCGCAACCCACTTCCCCGAATCCTCTCTGGAGATGGCATAGCCAATAGCTTCTGACTCGCGACCAGTCTTAGGGTCCTCAATGCCAACGCGGACCTTCTTTGTGGTCTCGCCGGTGGTGAGCAGACTGGCACGAACAATCGTGAAAGGCCGACCGCTATCCGCGAAGCGATCTTCTGTGATCCGCTTGTCCACGTGCGGGACCTTGAGCATCCAGTGGTAGATCGGGAACACAGCAATAGGATAATCGCGACCGAAGCGGGAGATTCCAGTGGTGCCGAACATAATTATATGCGGTTTTCCAGTGACACCATCGCTCTGAAGGTTATCGAGAGCCTTAATAAGAGCAGCAGCGCCCTTTTGGCAGACCTCAGGGTCCTCGATACTCATCTTGCGCATGTTGGGTCGGCTGCCGAGGGTTGACAGGACGACGTCGACAATTTTGCCGTCTTTGGACACGAGGCATTTCGAGACGGCTTCCACGTCGTGCGCATTGCCTTCGATGACCTTGAGATTTGGGGTCGACTCCGGGAAGATTGATGTGAGCTTGGAAGGCTGGCGACAGAGTGCAATGCACTGGTAGCCGGCAGCGAGGGTATGCTTGAGGGCTGACAGGCCAACACCGCCACTAGCGCCGAAGAAAGTAACAGTCTTGGTGTTTGGGTTCATTGTGAATAGCTATGGTGGGTCTGGGTGCAGTATATAGATCGAGGTGTTGGTTCCAGTAGGCTCGAAGGATGGTTGATTGTATTAGTGATTTCTGTGTCATGGAATTTGGAAAAGTAGTGCCTTTTAATACTCATTCTCTTCTGCTTGAAAGAACGATAAGAGGCCGAAAGCTGACCGAGTTCATTGAGCCGCTGGCAGCTGCAGAGGTCTCGTCCTTTCCTCGCGCTGTGAATGGACCCCACCTCGCTTATTCCCCGGGTCCGCATCGTATTTGGCGCTATACCTTGTTCGGTGCTCACCACACGGGCAGCTGAACATGACGCTTCGATCAGCCTGTACAGTGTAAACAAGGAGAGCCAGAGGCTGGAAGCAAGTCTCAAGAGCGACAGCAATAAACCGTCAGCCAAGCGTGGTAAAGCCCTGTCGAAACATGTCAGTGTCCGCAAGTTCGGGGGCGACTGAAGCCATAGCGGGCGCCTCGGCCTCGGGTGCCGAAAAAGCGCGAGCGCGAGCTTAGCCAGGGATACGGCGGCCCTCAAACCGCGTAGCTGCGTTGTATGTCGGACCCGCAAGGTCCGCTGTGACAAGCAGTCACCATGTTCAAATTGCCGTCGCGCGAATATCGCGTGCGTCGTTCCTTCCAAAGATCGCCCTCCGAGATGGACTCGCCGTCTCGAGCGTCCAGCAACTGGCGAGATTATGGAAAGACTTCGAGATCTTGAGAACTTAGTCAAGGACCTGAGTGGTCAGCTTGAGCAGGCGAATGCAGCGGTTAGATCTACTGCTGGCAGCTCATCTGGCGTTGGCTCTCCCGAGAGTTCGATGCATGATGCGGATCATTCGCTAAGTGCTAGCAGCGCACGGAAGCTTGGAAGGCTGGTCGCCCACGATAGCAACAGGAGCCGCTATGTCGGAAATAGCTTCTGGTCACGAGTGAATGATGAGGTATATCGACTTCTATTCTAGATTAGATGTCATGCTTATCCAAGTCATAGCTGGAGGAGCTGAAAATGGACGCTGCTGCTCAAGATTCGGATATGTCCGATGATGCAGTCTCGTATGAGAACACACCATCGACTCAAGAACTCGATCGCACACCATCCGAGCGCCATGCATTTTTATTCAAACACAATCTAGCTTCCTCCGGCCTCAACTCTACTACCCCGGATCTCCGCGAGTTCCATCCCTTGCCGTCACAGATACCCTTCCTGTTAGACGTATATTCCGAAAACATCAACGTATTGGGCCAGGTCGTTCATATGCCCACGATCAAAAACATGGTACGGGACTTGCGTGGCGATGTAACCAAGCTCACGCCAGCGAATGAAGCCTTATTGTTTTCCATATACTACGCCGCCGTCACCTCAATGGAAGAAGACGACGTCAACATTAACTTCGGATGTAAAAAAGCGGAATTGAACCTCAAATACCGTCTCGGTACAGAGCATGCCCTTGCTAAGGCCGACTTCTTGAATGTGCCCGATCTCGTTCTGATCCAGGCATCCACTATCTTCATAACCCTGCTCCGCCGGCACGACAGTCCACGCTTTGTCTGGATGATGGCAGGGCTAGTCATCCGAATGGCTCTCGCTTTGGGGCTTCATCGCGACGGTACTAACTTCCAGCACTTGACCCCTTTTGAAATTGAAATGCGGCGCCGGGTCTGGTGGGTCATATGCGCCCTCGATGTAAGGGCATCCGAAGATCAAGGGACGGAGTTTACAATCACTACCGGGAGCTTTGACACCAAGATCCCCCTCAACATCAATGATGGAGACATTAGCCCTGACACGAAAGAGATGCCACAAGAGCTGGAAGGCTTGAGCGACATGTCTTTTGCCCGAGTCACACACAATATAACAGGAGTTGCAAGGCAGATCATGGCACCCGGGTTACGGAAACCCAGCCTGGAAGAACAGAGTCAGCTTCTACAGGAAATCTATCGAACTTTGGAACAAAACTTCTTGCAGTACTCGACCGAGTCAAATATCATTTATTGGGTTGGGGTGACGATTGCACGCCTCGTTATGGCAAAGACGACTTTATTCATCTACCTCCCTGTTCTGTACGAGTCGCGTCGTGACACCTTATCAGCAGAGCTCAGGACAAAGCTGCTTATTGCTGCAATCGAAGTGGCTGAGTACAACCATGCCTTGAACGCCGAGCAAGCATGTAGACACTGGCGCTGGGTTTACCAGACCTACACGCATTGGCATGCCATCGTCTATATTTTGATTGAAATTTCCCGTCGACCTTGGTCACCACTCGTTGAGAGAGCCTGGGTGGCATTGCACAGCGTTTGGTTGATTCCAAGCCAATCGCATATGGGCAAGCAGGCGAGGATTTGGTTTCCCTTGCGAAAGCTCATGTCCAAGGCAAAGAAGCATCAGCAGATCGAGCTTGAAAGGCTACGCAGTGACCCAGAAGCTGTTGCGCTGTTGGAATCTGAGTATCGCACAATGGCTCTGCCATCCAGCCCTATAGTACCGACAAGCTCAGGATCAGCTGCAGCTGGATTCAGTTCAGCCGGATTAGCTCTGGAAAGATGGCGACAGCTTGTGATTGCACCGATGGTGTCTACGGCTCAGATGTCTGAATTCAACATACAAGGTAGTTCATACCGTTCAATTCCTGGCGCCGACGCGAGCTCACTGACTGCGTTCGATCCTGGCCCCGCCGGCTCGACAAGTCAGCCAGATCAGAATCTGCTAAGCGCCAATTTTACAAATTTTCAAACGTCTACCGCACCTAGTCCGACGGGATCTCAAGGCAACCTTGCATGGCTCTGGTCTGATAATGTGTTTACAAATGCCCCTGATGAAATGGTTGATATCAACATGGATCTTGATGCAGACATTGATTGGTACAATTGGGTTGAGTCTGCCAAGGGCGCAGAAGTTAATGGGCCTGGTACCTGAGTTGGAAGGCCAAATAATTTTGCTGAAAATATCACGCGTAAACTCGCCTACTTCTTGTATTTTTGTAAAAGGCGATAAGAGTGTTACCCTCGGCCAAAAGGTTGAATACGACAGTAGGGCAGACGCTTTAGCCTGGAAACCACATGAGGCCCAGCCCCTTCTTTCAGCATTGAAGCAAACTGAGTGGCAGGTGGAGGTGGCCGAGGAACCAAGTTCTAAGAGACTGAGATTTGAAGGACGGCCAGATTGTTGATTTTGATTTACATTGAGATCGATTACCTTCAACGAGTCGAAGCATTTGTCGACATTTAGGGGCCAACAACATGGAGATTATCGATCTGCTAATCAACGTTATAGGGCTGGTCATAGTCGCCCCCGGAGCGGGCAGAAGGGTTTCACCGACAAATCTACTTATTCGCCGATTATAATCCCTAGTCTAGTCTCATTGTTGCATGAATATCGGTCTTTACGTCAACACTATGACTTGGTGCATGTTCAAGCTGCCCACCTCGTGCCGTGTTTCCGTTGAGGGAAGTGCGAGTATATCACAAGACCCTTGTTAATCGCATTGAGGATCGTAATGCCATTATTTCTGGGCATAAATAGCATAAGAGAAAGTCAGGTTGCACGCTCCATGCAGATGATGCAGCCAATCGAGGGCCACGTATACCTGGTCGACGCACCTGCCAAGTCATCAATATGACGATCTTCACACTATCGTGTGTCTAGGCGTTGTATGGCAGACACATTCTCATTACCTTGAGCACCAGGCTAAGAACAGACCTGTTTCAAGGGTTCTATTAGCTCAATTTCTCGTGAAGTGCTGCCAAAATTAATATTTTAACACGTACATTTGGTTTAGCGTGTGGGGCAAATGTTTCAGGGTAAACTAGCTGCAGACTAGTACACACCCCTCTCGCCGGACGGAAATGCCGTACAGAAGGTGGAAAACAAGACTATTATGACACTAGTATGACATTTTTATGAATTTAATGCAGAATCCAGTGAGAAATTGTCATGTCCAACGTGATATCTGTGCTACCACTTGGGCGGGAAAGCCAAATAAATAGCATGCCAGGCGCAGCTCATATTTCGATACCGTGAATGAACTTTTCACACATTTGAGAGTTAAATACGCTTTGAGATGGCGTTTATACCAACAGGATCTTTGTCAGGAAGCTCAGAATTTTCATTTGCTGGGCTTTCAAACTCTCGTCTAGCTTTGAAGATCTTCACATTGGCGCTGATACCGGTGAGTCTGATCATGATGCTTTCCAAAGTTACATCTCTCTCTCTTTCGTGTCTAATGGAGTTTTCATTTATATATAGGTACCCATCTACTTCATCGGAAAAATCGTTTACAATGTATTCTTCCACCCTCTCGCCAAATACCCTGGTCCTAAATCTATGGCCGCTACCCGTATCCCCTACATGCGGTTCATTATAACTGGACGAACAGCCCAGGCAGTGAAGGCACTCCATGAGCAATACGGAGAAGTCGTCCGTATTGCCCCAGACGAGCTATCTTTCATCAACGGCGACGCCTGGAAGATCATTTACGGAACTCGCCCTGGACACGGCCAGAAGCAAAAGGACTACCGCTTTTACCCACCGACTGCCGACGGCGCTCCAAGTATCATCTTCTCTGACGATGTTGATCACACCCGAATGCGCCGACTTTTGTCCCATGGTTTTTCGGACAGCTCGCTTCGAGGGCAAGAGCCCATAATCAAGTATTATGTGGATCTGTTGATGCAACGGCTCCGTGAAAAGGCCGAGGCGGGCAAGCAAGCTTTAGATATGGTTTCATGGTACAACTTCACGACATTTGACATCATTGGTGATCTGGCATTCGGAGAGCCATTCGACTGCCTAAAGAACTCAACCTACCACCAGTGGGTAAATATCGTCATTTCCAGTACCAAATTCGGCGCATATACGAACGTTGCTCGACGCTTCCCCGGATGGAAGACCCTCAGCAAGCTCATCACGCCTAGGAAAGTGTTCGACCAAAGAAACCTGCACTTGCAGCTTACGAAAGAGAAAGTGCAGGGACGTTTGACGAAAAGTAACGAGAGATCTGATTTCTTCGGCAATATTCTCAAGTACGAGAATACCGAGAGAGGCTTCAGTTTTCCGGAGATGGTCACTAATGGTAGTACTCTCATCATTGCTGGCTCGGAGACTACCGCTACTGCTCTTGCTGGTGTAACTTATCTGTTGCTGAGGAACCCGCGAGTGATGCAGAGGCTTCAGGAAGAGGTTCGGGATACGTTCACATCCGAAGAGCAAATCACGTTGGAGAATTGCAACAAGCTGGAGTACATCCATGCTGTTCTCACCGAGGCACTTCGAATATACCCTCCCGTTGGGGGTGGACTGCCTCGTATTATTGATACCCAGGGAGACGTGGTTGCTGGACACTTCGTTCCAGGTGGTGTAAGTACCAGGTCTGCCTCTCTATCGGATATTACTCATCGTGAATAGACAATTGTGTCCATCGCACATATGGCCGCTTACCACTCTGCAATAAATTTTAAACACCCTGAAAAATTCATCCCAGAGCGATTCCTCGGCGATCTTGAATTTGCAAACGACAGTAAGACAGTGATGCAACCTTTCAGCTTTGGTCCTAGGAACTGTATTGGACGGAAGTAAGTCTAATTTCCCTGAGTTTTCAAAGATGAGTTTATGTTCACAATTCTCCTAGTTTGGCATACGTCGAGATGCGAATCATTGTTGCTCGCATGATCTTCAACTTTGATATGGAATTGGACCAGCCGTCTGATGACTGGACGGACCAGCCGAACTTTCTTCTTTGGGATAAGAAGCCTCTGATGGTTCGACTTACTCCGAGGACCAAGGTACAGTAAGATTAGAAGATGGAAGTAGGAAGGATATGGGAATTGCAAAAACTTATAAAGCATAATAGGGACCATGCATGGTGATTGTCTACTCATGGAGCTTGATCAATTTGAGACTGAATGAATATATACGATTCACATATGCTCTTTTGCTCCTCTTCTTAGATTTCACACCTTTCAAGCATTGAGCCATCTACTGGGTTTCTCTAAGCTTCAGTAAAAGCGACGATGGCAAATGGAAAGACACTGATACTGCTGCCAACGATCTTCTCAATCCGCCAGGGACCATTCTCAGCACTCAAATGTATAATCTCCACAATTGCGCGCTGGAAGTCCGGAACTTGCACCGTAGCCACCTATTCTATCTTATTGACTAAGAGGGTCTTTTCTGCCTCTGGAAAGTCACAAAGGTCTGCTCGTGAACCTGAGTCTCATCGCCAGAGGTCTTAGCAAGCTCACCACTAGGCGTAAACGTAGATTGTATCAACTGCAGAGCACGGAGCCGAGCATTAGGCAGACCGGTGGGGAAATCAATCAAGGATACAGACGGATACTAGCCCGGATACCCGCTCAGCTGACTCTCACCGATAGCATCGATCTCCACAATGGCGGACTTGGAATGATGTTGACATAAATTCCTCCGCTCCATACCTAGTACTCAACCGGGTGGTATATCTTGGGCAAACGGTCGTCGATCCAAGTGAGTCTATGGTTCCGAACTCATCGATAGCCATTTTGGTATTGGGTGAGGTTACCTCCCCGGCCGCTTCGATCTGCGTGACTTCGCCGAGAAACGTATCAGCTTGCTGGAAGCCCTGGGCAGCTTCATTCTGGGTAGTGGAGTTGCCGGATGTCCCTTAGAAGTGGTAGCTGATCCAGTCCAGGGATGTTCCGGGCTTGTGGTTGGCGGGATCCAGGAATGACTGGACCCGAGTCACATTCCGCGTGGCTAGGGCAAGGCCTACGAATCAGGTGCTGGGGGAGACCCCGTGAATTGCTTCGGTAACTGCAACGTGGATCCGGTTGTACAGATCGGGATCGATGGTGTGCTCTGAGTCTGACTCATTATGAACCTCCCAGAACTCGATATCCAGGTGGTGGCCTGACTCGTGGTAGACGCCACATTCATCTGTGAAAACACCGTTGACGTGGAAAGACGGAAGTCGACCGTAGTTGTAGTAGTCAGATATTTTTGCTTCAGAGAAATATCCCGTAGTTGGATCAAGTCTCCAGTTAATTGTGTTGACGTCCTTCGAATATGTCTAGGGGGTATCGGTGATCCCCGTCCAGCCGGGCGTGGTACTAAAGTTGATAATGTGCGATACATTGGGTTGCTGTTTACAAAATCAAGCAATAGTTGATCCGTACAGGGAAATTCCTAGCTAGTGGAACGGTGAGTCTTTTTAATGACGAGTGGATCGATCCAAGGAACCGCTAGACGAGAATAGGGGAACCACGGACACGTAGCGAACATGGTCGGCCGCGACGGTGCGTAGGGACTCGAGAGTAATAGCACGAGTACTACTATTTGACAGCAGCGGTAGATTGGCCCCGGACTGCATAGTGCCATTAGTTTTGGACTCCATCAACACTTCGTCCCGATTGATGTCAAATGTCAGATCCGTTCCATGGCAGCTTTGATGAGCGGAGAAGGTGGCGGACGCCGCAATGGCAGCCATGCGCAAAAAGGGGGTAACCATTTCAAAAGTAAATTTCTCCCTAGTTATAGATAGAACCTGCTGGAGATGGCCCCATATCGACTTCTTTAGGGCTTTATGTAACCGTTATCGCCATAAATTCTCTTAGTTATAGCGCAGCGGGAAAACGGACAGATGATGCATTGAATGCAAGTTGAGTCGTTCTTAATTTTCTAATGAAAAGATTTGAGCCAGGGTCACCAGTGCTCGAGCTCCGAGGCTACAGCAGAGACGATGTTTGTTATTTTGTGCGGACGGGGAATTGATGGCCCTTTACCCCGTCAGGGTCCACTAAACCACTAGAATATAGGGGTATCAGTGGCGCTCGTGGCGTTCGGTGAAGAAGCCTCACCGAGAACCTTCTGAGGCTAAATTGCCGCTATTCTTCACCTAAAAGAGAGCCACGTCAGCCAGACGGTGCGGGGAGGGCCCACATCCGTCCCATAACCTCGCTCATCTCGCTGATTCCGGGTCAGTGCTGACTCCGCAAAATCCCCAGATTTTGCCTCTTGCCCAATCAGATTGCACGCAACACCACTCTGGCCCGGTCTTCATTGTCCCGAGCACAGCAGTTCGGTCAATCATCATCGCGAGCTTGCTATTATGGGACCTTCAAAATGGGGATGATCAACTCCTGGGGCCCCGGATTCCCCAACGCTGCTTTTTGGGTCTCTTGCATCAAGAGTCATCAGGGCATTCAACATGGAACTAAAAGGGAAATATTTGCACTGGGCTGTGACAGGTATGCTGTTCGAATGGGCGAATCTGGTGAAGGAAAACTGACCCGTGCAGCGGCGAGCTGTCAGGCCTTCCTTCTCCTGGGGTACGATCAGGGTGTTATGAGTGGCCTGGTTGGGGCCAACAATGAATTTGGAAAGCAGTTCAACCACCCCGATGCGACGATGCAAGGCATCCGTATGTATCTCCGACCTTCTGATTTCTCCATGTTCTAATCGGACGCAGTGACTTCAATTTACGATATCGGCTGCGCGGTCGGATGTCTTCTGAGCTTCGTCGTCGGACATAGGGTCGGTCGTAAACGCATGATTATTGCAGGCGGCTCGATCATGGTGATTGGCACGATCATCCTAGGCTCTTCATACAGTACCGCACAGTTTTTGGTCGGCAGAGTTGTAACTGGCTTCGGGAATGGCATCAACAGCAGCACAGTACCGACATACCAGAGTGGTAAGCATAAGGGGGTTCCCTTTGATCGATCGAAATCACTAACCCTGTCACCAGAAATGGCCCGACCCGAATTACGAGGAAGACTTCTCTCCGCACAAGGCACAGTGACGATTGTGGGTCTCTGCGTTGCGTACTGGCTTGACTATGGATTAAGCTTTGTCGAGTCACCGGTTCAATGGCGTTTCCCGATCAGCTTCCAAGCCTTCTTCGCCGTTTGCCTTGTGCTGCAGATGCTTCCCCTACCCGATACCCCCCGATGGCTCTGTGAGCAAGACCGAAGCGATGAGGCTGCCTCGATCCTAGCCCGACTTCAACTTGAGCAGCCTGCGAGCGAATCAACACCCGAGGTCATGCAACTGCGCAGGCAGATTGAGACCTCCATTGAGATCGAGTCTGCTGGCGGATCTTTCAAGTACAAGGAACTTCTGTGGGGCGGAAAAATTCAGAACCTTCGCCGGATGATTCTTGCTGGTCTGATCAATGTTCAGCAGCAGTTTACTGGATCAAACATGATCAATTACTACGCACCTGTCGTCTATCAAAACGCCATGCATCTCTCACGCAACCTGTCTTTGATTCTCGGCGGCTGCACCTCCCTAGCATATTTGCTCGGATCAATTATTCCTCTTTGGAGTATGGATAAATTCGGTCGTCGAGCCTCACTTATGATCTCTGCTGCTGGTCTTTGCTTCTGTTTCGTGATGGCCGCTATCCTGCTGTCGATTGGTACCACACAATGCGCCTATGCTGCGACCGCATTCGTGTTCATCTTCCAGATTTTCCTTGGATTTGGATATTTACCAGTTCCATGGTAAGCAATTGCAGTCTTCTATGCAAAGAAGCTCGCTAACACATATTCCAGGTTCTACCCTAGTGAAATTACCACCACCCGTATCCGTGCCAGAGGCCAGGCTTTCGCTGGCTTCGTCAACTGGATGTGTGTCTGTAAGTTGTTATCAAGAATTTTAAGAATTGGGTGTCCATGCTTATTTCTTCAGTCATTGTTGTTCAAGTGACACCAACAGCGATCGACAACATCGGGTGGAGAACATTCATTATTTTCGCCTGCTTCTGTTTTGCATGGGTAAGTTCCATCGTGATCCTCACTCCAGAAACAAATTGACTTACATATCGTAGATTCCAATGGTCTATTTCTTCTTCCCGGAGACTAAGGGACTGGAACTTGAGGATGTCGATTATCTCTTCGAGGGTGGTGGCATCACGGGTGGCGTTTTCGCGTCTCGTGGCTACCCTGTTAAGCCAGGGTTCCATCGCAGTCAAAACACTGACCCGAGTGAAAAGCCTGTCGAAGAGCACATCGAGTCCGGTGCCAATGTATAGCTTCTCCTGGAACCAAATTAAGGGTGCCCAGGGGACTTCGGCTATCACCTGGGCACTTTGGACCTGTCAATGAAGTACAAATCTACGAGTTCATGTTGTCAGATAAAGATCATCAATGTCGATGAATGCAAATTAAAATATGAGATTAACTTAGATACAGACTGCAACGCGCGTGCGTATATAAATGCTGGCTCTAACTAGTCAAACAATAACACCTCCCATGCCCAAGTGGGATCCCCCTTGGCAGAAACCAACTTCCACGAATCTTGTTCTTACCCGTGGACTACAGCTCAGACTTCATCACGTAGAATTCCTGTGAGCCCTCTGAATCCGTGGGACTCGTCTCCTCCTTGGTGTCTTTCTTCTCAAAGATCCGAGACACTTCTTCAAGAGACTTGCCCTGAGTCTCAGGGAAGAAGAAGTAGACAAGTCCGAGCACGACGACCAGACAGCCGACGTAAATGGAAAAGTAGCGCCAGTGAATTGCATCGAATGCGACTGGGTTGACATATTGATTGAAGAAACAAGCTAGAGAGTCGGTCGTAAGCGTGATAGCAAGACCCTTGGCGCGAAGTTGAAAGGGAAGGATTTCGGCAGGATAGGCGATGAAAAGGGGCATGTATGCAAAATCATAGGCTCCACAGAAAAGGAACAGCATTGGGACCACTGCTATTCCAGCTGCAAGGATTCCCATTTCCGCGAAGAGCCCTGCCATGATTTCAGACGTTGATAGGAAGATCAACATCAGAGTTGTTGCGCACATCCAAAGGGTTCTTCTTCCGTATTTGTCGGATGTGCTTGCGCCAGCAACGGCAAATACCAGGTTCCATACTTGGAGACTGATATTTACCGCTGCTTGGTGAACAGAATCCTTGATGCCAACGGAAGAGAGAATGGGAGCGAGATAGTAGGAAGTGACACCTGAAGAATCTGTCAGCGAGATGTTTTTTACAAGGCTGATGAATGTAGGTCATACCGTTTCCAGTCCACTCTTGCATGAAGCCCAGCAAAACACAAATTGTAAACCGATGAAGGTCACCTTTAGACTTGAAGAAAGCAGACCACCGACTAGCAGATCCCATGTCTGCCTCTGCAATAATACTATTGCAGATCTGGTCATACTCATCGCGGACCAGCTTATCGGCTGGGTCACCATTTGCATGGAATCGAATGAGCATGGCAAGTGCCTCCCCTTTGCGATCATTTGCAACCAACCACCTCGGACTTTCGGGAATAAGAAAGAGTCCAGCTAGTTGGAAGAGAGGATAAAAGACCTGCAACATGCAGGGGACCCGCCATGACCAACTGTTATGGATCGACAGTGTGGAGAAGGCAATACCAGCAGCTGTGATGGACCCACAGAACCATACCGCATTGTAAAGACCAGTCAAAGTCCTTCGCTGCCGTGGATGAGCGGTCTCTGCAATAAGCAGTGGCGCAGCAGTTTGTGAGAATCCCACACCGATTCCAGTGACCACTCGTGCACCAAAAAACACCCAGTGCTGCTGGACAGCTACTTGAATGATGGATGCGGTTATGACTAGTGTGGCACCGATGGCAACGGAAAGGCGACGGCCAAAGTTGTCGGCGACATATGAAGCGGGAATAAATGCTAGGAAGGATCCAAGAGAGACGGCAGCAATCATGAGACCTTTGATGTTTGTGTCGAGTCCACTCAAGAACTTGTTGACTGTTTCCATTAGTCTTCTATGGTACCCAAAGCTGCCACGGCATAGAGAAGGACTCACACTCTGGAAGAACAAGAAGACTGTTAATCTGACTGGCATTGTAACCCGAAGTAGCTGAAGCAGCTAGCATAAAAGCTATGCCAAGGTTAAGTTTCCGCAGACCAGCATCTTCACTTTTAGATAAAATCATGATAGCAGTCGATTGCTGCAAAATAAATCCACTCTATCCATCAAGGACCACGCCTCCTTAATAAAGCTAAGCAAGCTTTCTCCATTGGGTCAAGGAAGCGGACATTTACTCGGACAATTGTGACGCTGTACATTCTTCGCGTGTTCTTGTGCCGATCCTGCCGATATGGGTCACGGATGGTCATTTTGGAGGTTGGAATGTAGGGAGAAACTGTGACTGAGCCTAACGGAGCGAGTGATCCGGTGGATCTTATTTAAGATCCTAATTTTTGACACCTCTTCGGATCTAGTTATATGCAAGGAATTGTTAGTCCGTCTTTCGTCGGCGAATGGGGTTAAGGGTTTGCCTAACTCGGCATTTTGCTATCGGAGCTCAACGGGTGCAAGCTATTCTTCTGAATCTGAGTTTATGAAGCTTTTGATTAGGTGACGTACAGCTATTGGAGCTTTGGCCTCGGGGTCAAACAAGGAGGTAAGCTCGTTGCTTTTTATGACACCAATGACCAACCAGCCATGACGAGATTGCGGATAGTGCGTGCTGATTTGCCACTCTAGGGAGCATTTAGTACGCGGAAATGGCGCGTCGATGAGGAGGAAGATACTACTACTACTACTACTACTACTAAAATTGCTAAAACAAAATATGCGAGTCATGAGCAGGATGATGGTCGCCTAGTGCCCCATGGTTCGGGTGTGGGCAGCGCACCGCCCTATTAAGTCGCGCTTCCTTGTAGCCTGTGACACGATTCTTGTGCGTTGATTCTGTTATATTACCTCTTCTTGGATTTTGATTACCTGATGAGATTTGTGGACACAATCAGCGATTCAAGGATGTCATTACGCATCCAAATAGTACGTACATGTTCTTTCTGAATGTGGAATTCTTTGTGGCTTTTCATTCCTTATGTTTAGTAGTCCGGTCTCTGACACAATGGCACACGTTCTCAGAGCGTAGGGCTTGAGAGGAGTGAAGGGAAAGTGGACTAACCATATTGGGACTGGGTTGTCCCTCGTGGCCCCCAGATCTTCGATCCTTGTAGTCTTGATTTTGTCAGTTTATAACTCTCCATTTCACATAATTATACCCATGGAAGATACACTGGGTACTATATATGGGGCCCGCTCTGATTTTAACTCCGCGTACCCCGGGTTCATGTAGTGAGTGCATAACCATACTGATGTTGATCTAGGAGGTCTTGACAGCCCTAAACATATAGCGACTTCAAACACATTCATATTTCAACCTTTCCAGGCCATAAGATTTTGTCCACATTTGAACCATGCCCGCCTTCTATCGGAGCTCTGTAATGACCAGCTGTTATAAGTACATATTGATTCTATTTTTTTTTTTTTTTACCAAAACATAAAAATAGACCGCCGTGAGATACTTAATTATCACATTCGAGTGAGCTCTAGGAACTTGCCAACAACCCTCGTTGTTTCTCGACTCCCTCGTTGGAAACTTCCGTCATCGCTTTTTCCGAGACGGATGTTTGCCGCAGTGCATCAGAACGCTTCTGTGAAAGTGCAGCATACTTGCAACGCTGCCGTATCCTGTCTCCATATCTGTAGAATAAGAACGGAAGGGGCATGCACAGCACCGACAAAAAAGCTGGGATGGACGATGCCCAATGAATGCCCAGCCGCTCGTACATATACGAGCTGAACAGGGGGAAAGTGGCTCCAAACCCATACCTGAGTACGGACATACCTGCCAGTACAGACGCCGAGTAGATAGTGTATGAGTCAATCAGGTAGTTGACTATACCCATGTAGATGAGTAGCAGCCCAAACCCAAACGGAACTAGGGCGGCGACACTGCAAAGCCAGTGAATAGACGGGGAATTTGTCCATGCGAACCAGAAAAGACCAATAGGAATAGTCACAGCAGAGGTCATGCAGGGAGGAAGACGAGCCTCTGGTGGAGCAAATCCATTGTGCGCCTCCTGTGTTCGTATGTATCGTTTGTTATCTTGTACAGTGTAAACAACACCACAAAGAACACCAACCATAACCCCAAGAAAAGGGAGCCCTCCAATACCCGCATTCCACCCTCTTTTTTCTTCGTAGACAATTGGAATGGCCTCGAAGAGCATGTAGAGAACGCCGTAAATAAGCGCAGCATAAAATGTGAGAAGAAGGACAATGGGTTCACTGAACAGAAGCACCCAGGGCCGGGAAAAGGCTGTTTTCAGTCGTTTGATCATTGGAACTTTCCCCCTTTCAATATCGAGTTTGCTCTCGTAGCATTTTCCAGTTATAGTCGACAATTCTGCTGCACGTTTGCGGAGGAGGACCGGTGCATAAGTCTCAGGGACGAAGAATGCCATAGAGATCCAAGCCAGTCCTGCACAGACCGCTAGAAATCCTTCAACCCATCTCCATCCAGCTTTCATTCCGAGAAAACCGCCTATAATGGGCCCAAGGGCAGGGCCTGGTAGGCCAATTAGCACTGATGATCGACAAAATATGTCACATCGGAGGATTATACCTAAATATGGGGTCGATGCAAATAGAAGAAGCGCCAGCCCCCGTTGTCTAGAGACAAACATATCCGAAATAACTCCACCAGCATTCGTAAGGGGCGAGGAGCCAAAAGCTCCCCCAAGGAACCGAAGAACCAGCAAGGTCTGGATGTTTTGGGCACATGCACATCCGGCCAAGAACAAGGAAAGAGCGAGAAAAGATATGAAGAATGGAATTTGGCGGCCCATAGATTCACTGAGCGGCGCCACGGCGAATCCAAAGACAAACAGCGATAGTCCGATGGTGGCGACTTCTCTGGCGATTTGGAACTCATCGATAATTCCCTGAATACTACCACTGTACGCTGAAGATGACAGTGATATAACAAAAGTTGCAATTGCAGTCATGAATGTGATGACCGCCTTTCTCGCCATGCTAAACTGCATTGGGTTCCGAGGGTCGATGGGTAGCCAGGACACGACGTAAGGGTCTTCATCAGTCCCCGAGCCTTCATAGTTGTGATGCAACACCTCCGGGGTGACAACTCGCTGGTCAATCAATAGGCGCCAGAAGGAGATATAACTCTGGGATTGGAGTTCCTTGGCAACTTCTGAGCTGTGTGCACCACTGTGCGCGGCCATGATGATCTAATTGAGGACCGAGCTTTAGAACTCATTCGAGCGCTTTGCGAAAAACAGTGCACGAGTTAGACTTTTCGATAATTTAATCAGGGTTAGATTCGGGTGCCGATTAGTCGGCTTTATCATGATCAGGAACCCGCCCGGAAACTCGGCACAGCATAAATAGAAGAAATTGCTTAATGAACCCCGCTATACGCCCGCCATCACGCTCCATGTTTATTGATGCACCATGGAATATTTGCTAATGTTTATTCACGGAATCTAGTAGTTCATCAATCGAACTGGCTGGACTATTCATTAATTTGTTGTTTTCAAGATTGGCAGAGATTGTAACGCTCGGATCGTTCGGCCTTTCGGCGTTTTTCGGCATTATCTTCTTACCCTTCGGTGCCAGAGCTATTGACATCAAGGTTCTTTGAGATCAATCTCGGAAACCGATATATGGCTCACTCCTTCAAATTTCTAGTCTGCTGTGGTTTTCAAATTAATTAAGGAGCTTGGCTTGTTTAAGGGATCCCGGAAGAGCGATAGAATACATCAGTCCTCATTTCAAGTTTTACTATTACTTTTCTTGCGTTCGTCACGCCTGATGATAGTTTGCAATTCCAAATCTTAGGTACTCTTTAATGCTGTGGTCAACGGTCTTGTAAATCTAAATCCAATGGGAGTATCACTTTGCTCCATAATTATTTGTAGCCTCTATCATGCATCCTGTTTTTTACCTGGAATGTTTTTTACGTTCTATTTTTACGTTCTCTTTTTGTTCTCACTAAGAACCTGTAAAGAAAATCGGCAATCTCGAATATCCGGTAGTGAATTAATCTAGCAGCTCTGCATAGCCTCGTCGAGTACTTCATTTCTGCCACTTCACAGGTGCATGCTTGCCTGTAAAGCAGCATGGTATATGTCACGAATATATTATTGTTCTCGAGCGTGAACGAAGCATAGCCACGCTGTATATTATGTCACCTGGAAGCGCCTTATGAGGCTTGGTATGTTTCCTGTAAGGCGAGACTCTGAATAAAAAAACAAGATAATTAAGATTAAAAAAATAACTATTTAGAAATATGTATTTACATAGGCCCAGCAAATCGAAGCAATCAACGAGAAAGCATCAGAGTTTCATACCCCATTAAAGCTGTTCAGATTTTCGGTGGTCATATTGCCAGTTACTAACCTGCTACGGTCTGGTCTGCAAAGAGTTGGTTATGTGGTCGATAGCCAGATGCCTCAACGTGAGTGCTCAATGAGTGAGGCCCTAGAAATAATATAATAAGCGTTGTTTTAGGTCGAAATACATACATACGGCAGCAGATAGAGACATCGTGCTCATTTGTCGGCTCACCTTCTTCAGTTTGGCCCACATATGTATCTTGGGTAGGTTACGTTACTAGATCCAACACTGTACAGCCGGGCTAGAAATACAATATAAAGATTTCTAAGTAACTAGGCTGTACTTGGGCGGATATCTAAAACGCTGGGATGTTTTAGCATCTGCACATAGCCCCAGAGCGATACAATCTATAGCCAACATTGAACTGCAAGATGATAGATTAGCCGCCGTGGCTTGCCACATGAGATAGGCTGCGCCCGATCGCTAGCTCAAGACAGATTTCCAAGAAGGGAGAAATTCCATGGTTTCTCAGCCCATATTCTTAACCGATAGTTCTTAGCCAACCAAATAGCGAAAGGCACGCATTCGTCGGTGAATCGGGGTAACGAAGGAGGCGCCAGGTCGGGTTACGGGACGCGCTGTGAATGCGAACGATCTAGAAGTCGGATATACAAAATATTATATAGCCAGTTATAAAAGCATCTTCTATGAATCGGAATTTGATCTCTTCATCTGTTTAGAAACTTCCCTACCTTTATTGCACCTCACAAAGAAACCAGCTATGGAGCCTCTTAATGTCCTAATTGCCAATTTCAGCTTTCCTCAGCAATGGATAGGAAACCAATCTTTCATCAGAACAGGATGGGACAGCTTGTCTATGATCTGGACTGAGGATTCGTGGTGGTCAGAATTTCTACAATGGCTTTCCCGTCCAGGTGCAGCGAATCACTCCCCCATCTGTATTCTATAATACTAACAGTCAGCCGAAGATATTCTCGTTATAATCACAGTGTGGTGGATCACGTTCACTGTCACGATTACGATAATCCTTTCTCTAGGATTTGGGCCCTTGGGAGTCATTACAGGTCTGAGGAATCACCGTACTGCCTGTTGCGTTGTGCGACCAGGGTGTTTCGCACGCTAACCTTTTCGATAGGTTCCCTAGCGGCTGCGTTTCAATCGTTCATGTACGGCGGATTTACCCCCGCTAGCGGGATCTTTGCGACATTGACTAGCATGGCTATGCTCGGTATATTAACGCCTGTGGCGTCGATTGTTTCTTCGATTATCGCGACGGGGGTTGCAGTGATGGTGTGGAAATACAAATACGCGGTTCAGTGATTGAGGCTCCTTAGGTTGAACGGGCAGGTCTCCTATCTTGCCCGCTGAGATATTGGGTGTCCGATTTCGGTGTTGATCGGTTAACGCCTCAGGTCTCCGAATTTTTCTAATTTGTTCCCTTTTCCCCGGTGTCAAGAATGTACTGTCATCCTCTCTACTATAATATCGTAAACATTTACTCCGGTGCTAGGCTGCCGCGGTTAAGGTCCATGACACATATTCTGTTGATAAGAGAAAGCCCTACTACCAGATAGCGTTTGACTAATTGCTCATCCATGCCAAACTTTCCTCTTATGCGAGCATAGCGAGCCGCGGCTGCGTCGGGTCGCACGGCAAGTAAAAGAATAGAGGCAAGTGAAAAGCCGTAGAACGAATAGGGAACGGACTCCGTAATCTGCTGTGACAATACCCCGAACTTCTAGATTAACTCAAACCTTAGCTCATCTTCCCGCGCTGAGACCCACGGGTGTCATGAGACAAGCCACCTCATCGGATGCGGGGAAACGTTCGCTATCAGCAGTCCTAGGGCAAGGGCATTGCCATATCAGGCATCTCCAGGCGAGCGATCTGAACTAAAGACGAAAAGAGGTTAGATTCATTGGGAACTAAAACTAAACCCTATATGACTATAAACATTGAGAACTATGGAATTCTGCTTCCCCTAAGTCCGGCGATCATAGACATATTCAAAACGCCTGCGTTGTGCCAAAAGCGACGTGAACGTGTCGTCCAAGGGCCACCCCTTAGACAGCCAACTTGTCGTTCACACCGATATCACGCCCATCAATGGGAATACCAAAAGTCTCAAGCAGGTTGGTAGCGGCAACTTCACCCGTGCGGAAAGCGCCGTGGACACAACCATTGGCAACCATAGTGCAGTGCTCACCGGCAAACTGCATACGACTGCTCTTGTGGGCTTCCAACGCGTCAATAAAGCTTTCTGGGTCGTCTCCGACCTTATCAGCCGAGTACGTGCCGTAGCCCGCGAGTGGGTCCTGGGTCCAGTGTGTAGTCTCAACACTGACCAGGCGCGGCAGAGCCTTGTAAGGCTCCGTGCGGAATAGTTTGAAAAGAGGTTCAAAGAACCGGTAGATTTCCTTCTTATCGGTCATCGCTTCAATGCGCTGAGTTAAGGGCTCGGCGATTTGCACGCATAGCTCCTTCGCGCCGGTCATGATCCACAAGTTGATGGTCACGGTCGCGTAGTTTAGGATGTTGTCTTTTTCACCCATGGAGCTCGTGCTGGACCTGGAGTCGACGGAGGACCCGGAAGCAGAATCCTCGTCGGAAGGAGATGGGTAGAACATGAACTGGTCGTTGTCTTTGGACCAGAACACGTCGGTGAATTCAAAAAATACTTTGCCCAGGGCGCCGTAGCTGAACCTAGACATTGCTCCCTGGATGTCACTCGGCAGGGGCGGGTTGAAGGAGACCAGGTTGTGATGGTACACGCCCAGGGGGAGCGTCATAACCACCGCGTCTCCTTCGATGAGTTGAGGGGTTCCGTCGGCATCCTTGCATTGGATGCGGACAGGCGCGTCGCCATCTTCGTTCCACTCCACGTGCTCGACGTGGTGGCTGAGACGAATCATGGTCGGGTCTTCGCGGAGGGGCTCCGCGGTCCAGTTCACGATCCGGTCGTATCCGCCCTTCATGTAGAGATTGCGCTCCGTGATGAAGTACGACAGGTGGCGGGAAGAGGCTTGCTCGGTGCTGGTGCCAATCCACAGTTCTACCTCGCGGACAGCCTGCGGGGCCCAGAGGCGCTCATCATCGGTGATGAGCTGATGCTGGAGGACAAATTCCTTGACAAATTCATTGACCGGACGGTCCTCTGCGTCCGGGTTGGTCTCGTAATACCACTCGCAGTAGTCGGCGAACTCGTCGGCGACCTTCTTCGCCTTAAACTGAGATCCGGCGCGACCTTCTCTGGTAAAGTATAGTGGCATTCCGTCGTCATAGTAGTAGGGGATGGAGAGGTGAGGGATCAGCTTCACCAGATCGTTCTGGGAAGTTTCGTGCATCCATGCGGCACCTGTAGTTGAGGGTCAGCATTTTGGTTCGAATGAAATGTATATCTCCGATCTTCATATCTTCATATTGTTGATCGCAACTCCTACCAATATCCCGAATCTGGTCCCCATTTCGGCTGGTCAAAATTCTTCCTCCGATGCGATCGCGAGCCTCCAAGACGACGACTTCGCAACCGTACCTATGCAGGACGGCGGCGGCTCGGAGACCCGAAATTCCTGCTCCCACCACAATCACCTTCTTGCGCTCCGACCTCACTGCGCATGCTGCCTCGTCCGGTGCCGACTCGATCAGAGTCGTCGCTTCGAGGCGCACAGCCAGGTCGGAGCAACAATTACTCGGTTTTATGGGACCCTTGACGGGGACGGAAGAGGCGATGTGAAATGCTTGGGCCATTCTGAGTTGACAAGTGGACATTCGGCTTCAAAAGTGTTATTGGAAAGGGTGGTTGGATCGTCAGGTCTGAGATCCAGGGGTTTGAGAGATGAGAGTGTGGCTTGTGAGGGGTATGAGGGGCTTGAAATAGACACCAGACACCAGTTGACTCAGGTGGGCTCAAATCCGAATCGGCTGGTTCTAATCGGGACAGTACACGCGGTGTCAGTGGCGTGCGGTAAATAAATACCATACATACCCGATACGTTTACCCGAGATCGGCACTTATCTACTTATCTTTATCTGCTAGGCTTAGCCTAAGCTTATCTCTTACAGTGCTATTGGAACTGTACTATTCTAACCATTTTAACCTTGCTAGTCTCCTTATCACGAGACTCAGGACACGAGGTCCAAGATCCCCCCGGATAAGCCATCTTTTATGGATTCAGAAGGTCTATGCGGTATGCCACGCCAACGTGACGCGAATGCCAACCATATGCCAGATTTAGCGAATGCTTCGCCTGATGCTTATCTCGGGCATTCATCGTACGCACTAGTAACGATATCTTATCCTAAGCCCTCGGCTCCACAATCAAATCAAGCTCTTCGTCCACGGACACTTTTTTTGCTCTTTGCAAACCTTTTGCTTCTTATAACGGCATGCAACTAGGGGTCAATCCCACTGGGTTCATCTTGTGGTCAAATATCCCCTGCTGAACCCCTTCCCAATGGACGAGGAAATTCTCAATGGAACGGAACGAATCTTTCCCGTTGCCGACGGGGAGGTCACTCTCATTCCAACTCCCACGTCGTCCAAAGACGACCCACTGAACTGGAGTCCATGGAGACGGTATTGGCACGCCTTTCTGGTGCTCGTCATCGTCGCCTTCACGGCCGCGACCTCGAACGATGCTGGTACCGCTGGCAATGGCATGAACGCGGAGCTGGGCATTTCCTGGGATGCGATCAACATTGCCGCCGGTGTCTTGTTTGTCGGCATCGGGTACTGCACTCTACTGCTAAGCCCCGCGCCGTTTTTATACGGTCGTCGCATCTCCTACCTGCTGTGTCTGTTGTTTTCTCTCGGTGGATCCATCTGGCTCTCGCGCGTGCAGACTACCCAGGACAATATCTGGAATCAACTTTTCGTGGGCGCGTCCGAGTCATGCGCCGAGGCCCTCGCCCAGCTGTCGCTGTCGGACCTCTTCTTCCAGCACAGACGAGGCCTCGTGCTTGGTCTCTATGTGCTTGCAACTAGTATCGGTACCTTCACCGGACCACTGATCGCGGGGTTCATCGTCGACAGCCCTGTTCTGGGATGGCGGTGGGTTGGATGGCTGGGCGCAATCATCTCGGCGGCCCTGTTTATTACCGTGTTTTTCACATTAGAAGAGACTGCTTTCGACCGCCACACTATTCAAGGTCTCGAAATGCCTCGACGGAACACGCCCCCAGCTGTATCGAACATCTCGCTGGACGAGAAAGACAAAGACATGACGAAGGTGCGGACTACTTCTCGTGGCAATAGTGTCGACGAGGAGAATCCCGATCAGCCGAAAGGAAAGACCTATTTCCAGAGCATCGCTCTGATCACTCCTTCCTCGCGCCTGGTTGGCACGGGCTTTCAACAATACTACTATCGCTTGTGGCATACCCTTCGTGTGTTCAGTTTCCCGGCAGTCCTCTACTCCGGCCTCCAGTGGGGAGCTCAAGATGCATGGCTCACATTCTACCTTACCGTCGAAGAGGATAATTACTACGAAGCACCCTGGAACTACACTGATGCTGCTGTGGGCATTATGAACGTCCCCACCCTGATCGGCGCCTGTATCGGCTGTATCTACGGTGGATGGTTCTCCGATCTCTTCGTCGCGTGGATGGCCAAGCGCAACGGCGGAATCTTCGAAGCCGAACAGCGTCTCTGGCTGATGTTCCCCGTCGCCCTCATTGGGCCCGCTGGACTGATGCTCTTCGGCATCGGCTCTGATCTCGGCTGGGACTGGCACAAGACCTACGTTGGACTCGGGTTCATCGGCTTCGGTTGGGGCTGTGCTGGCGATCTTAGCATGGCCTACCTTATGGATGCGTATCCCGAGATGGTTCTTGAAGGTATGGTCGGTGTCTCTGTCATCAACAACACCATTGGTTGCATCTTCACCTTCTCAGCTGGGTACTGGCTGGATGCGCAGACACTGTCTCAGGTCTATATTGCTCTTGGTGTCTTGAGCTTTGTCTTCTTGATGACCACCGCCCCGATGATCTACTGGGGCAAGGCTTGTCGCAAGATGACTCGGAAGCGCTACGAGAACTTCCTTCAAATACGCGATGGCCACCTCTAGGAATTATGGGATGTTTGCGCCATCTTTCCTCCTGTCTTATCACTCGTTTAGCATCCCAAGGGTTATCTTTGTTTTCGTTAATGTACATCAAAGCTTTAATTCTGAATTCTCTGTTAATCTTGTCTGTGACAGTGAGCTACCTTGCATCATAGCATAATAATGCCTTGCATCTTGTGTGCGCTCAGCATTTTTGTACACTTTACTGCCGCCCGTGCCGCAAGCACAACCTGCATGCAAGATATAACAAGAGGGAATGATCATAAGGTTCATTCTAAATACAGAAAATAAGAGAACAAGCTCTGACTATTTGAATAACGTAAAGTCAAGGAGCCAGTACGTCACATCCAGAGAATTAGTGTAGACTACCTATGCCATGTACTGTGGAGATACACAGTCGCTTCAAGTCATCCGATAATAGAGAAAGATAGAGTAGAAGTATGCAAACTTAGTATGACTTGGCATTTCTATGAGAATAGTGCTAAAACGCATGCTAACTATCTGAGTGTTTATATTCTTTGTAATTGCATTACCGCTCTGATTTGACTTAGGAAACAAGTGGAGTTAGTTCCATTTGGTGGCATCGTTTAGTTTAGGCGAGAGTTCGGAGACGCCGGCCAGCCGTTGCATGTTTGCGCCACCGAGAGACAGCTACTGCCTGGTGTATTTTAGAGCTGTTTTCAGCTGAATTAAAAAAGGTGGCTGTGCTAATTCAACGGGCTAACTACCTTGTAAAATGAAAGAACATTTTCTTCTATTTCGCCTTCCTCCTCTCGTCGTTAAAGTTTGGCACTCTATCCTTCTCTTTTAAAGTTCCCTGATCTCATTGTTGTGACCACTCACAATGGACATAAAATCCAGAATCGTCCCAACACCGGGCAGTCATTCCGATGCCAAGGGCTCGCCGCGTCTTTGATATACTCCAATGTGGAGGGGTGGCCCTCGTCCTAACCAATGTCGGGTACAGTCTTATGGCTTCATCCACCGAGGCTATCCAAAATGAGGGAATACGTCGATTGCGTAACCAACTAAAAGACTTTCAGGCGCAGATAGAAAGAGTAAAAGAGGAATCGAAAAGGCATTCTATAGGCGCCAAATTTCAGACCCACCAACTTTCTGATGTCTCAGATTCCACCTATTCTGAAATCGAAGTATCCCCTGAGCTTCCAGGTTTGTATCGCAAGACATGGAGTGACCATGATGACCCAACATCGTGAACGAGCAGGGGGATTCACTACGGCCCTCTCTCCTCGCCATACATGGTGACGCGCCTAAACTAATATATGTCCGAATCATCATTCCAGTTCGCATGTCACATATATGCCGTCACTCTTCGACAGCTTCACAGGAACAGCCACTTGACGAAGCGGATCAGCCTTGTCTTCATCTGCGACTTTCTGAGGTCAAAGACTTTCCCTGAGAGCAAGAAGAGCCCTTTCTGGTTCTTCTGTGGCAGGCTTATCGTTGCATGTATCCTATCCTTGTGGAGGGGGAGCTTAGAGAGCATTATGATTCTCTATGGACTGGAAGAAACGGTCAAGCCCCGCGCCAGCCCTCCGCCCTTGTGGATAGCTTGTTGGCCGTCTGGTCTGTATGCAACGGTTAACCCAGTGCATGTGCCAGGAACGGTTTCAGTATCGCCTTCCGAAGAGGACATAAGTTGGCTCAGCTTCCACGTACAGTTTATCCGCCTCACGGCTGTGGCGCGCAGGGTCCACTTCCTTCGGTGCACGCTGTACTGAGTTGTTACAAGGAAAAGACATTCAGGATGTTTATCAAGATCTACCTACACTTGGGTTACTACAAACCCTTTTAAGTAGTGGAGTGCGTGCGATGTACGACTGGGTGCAGAGCGCGTCAGAGACGGCGGTCGCTCCCCAGGTATCAGTACCAGTTTCCGCGGGCATTATTGCAACAAACCCTCCACATCCCAATTTTAGGCCGGAAGTGATAGATGATCACTCGAAGCCCTTCGATCTACCTCCCAAACCACCTACTACGAACAATGTGCCATCCAGCATGATTTTAGCGACTGGCTTGTCTGATCCGACCGCTATCAGTCATCCACAGGATCAGATGCACACTTCCTTCACACTTCCTAGTGATCTATTGATGGATACCGATACCGAGTGGATATCCAATGGGGTGATATCTTTAGATTCTTGGGAGTACTATGGCTCTCCATCAACGTGTGGTCTGATCTTCCATGCGCTTAGTAGTGCATGTGATTTATTTTTCATTTCTGCTTCTTACTCGAGCCCTGATAAAAGAAATGATACAAGGAACATTACGTGCAAAAAGCTTTCTTGCGGCCTAGAAGTTCGTTCGCTAGAATTGGTGACAACAGAATCATTCAACCTCCAAACACACACGACCTAACGCCATTCTGTCTACAGAATATTTCAGAGTAGGTCGGGCAGTCTCTCGTTGGTCCCCAAATACTCCCCTTACAAGAGTGCATTTGTGAGGGCCTCCCACAATATGAATAGACTCTCGCCTCCAGGGCGCTGGTCCTTAGTGTATGTCGTTGTGTTGCCCATAGTGTGGCCTAGCCGAGTGACAAATTCGCTGTGTCCAATCTCGGTCACTTCAATAAAGCGTTAGACACGCATTAGAATAGCACACAGAGGGAGAAAATCAAGGAAAGTATTCAAGTCATACCATTGTCAAGCACACCGGTAAGTGACCCATCGCAGAGCCAGCTTGGAACACTTCCTCCAAGCGCATAGTACGAATGGAACTCAAGCGCATACCGCAATCTCTCACCCGTATCTTGAACGAACATGTCTGTACCTTGGATGCGCGATGTCTCGGCCACGTGTGAAATAGATGCGATACCATAACCTGTATGCTCCAGGTCACGGCATGTCTCCTGGGATAGGCCATTGACAAACGTTGTCTGACCGTACCAGTAGGCCTCAATTTCGGCTGTCGTAGTATAAGAGCTATCAGCAGGTGCAATAGGTATGTCACCGTCTGAGGTAAGGTATATGTATGCAGGCACACGATTCAGGAAAATTCCCATGGCAGTGTTGTATGCCTCAGCGTCCTCAACAAAGATAGCGATGAAGATAGCGGCTTCCATCATGACTGTAGATTTACCCGGACCATTAGACTCAACTTTCTAGGAATATATATTGGGTGGAATACCTAGCTCCCAGTTTCCATTCGTATCACCATCGCCGCCAATTACTTCGGGCAGATAAACATCCGTCAACATGGTCTCAAACTGGCTGATGCTATCATCACTCCAGCCAGCGCTAGAGTACCGGATGATCTCAGCCGTCCGGGCCCAGACAGAACCAACCCACCCAGACTGCAGCGGGGCATTGGAATTGTTGTGGCCGGTGATAACGGAAGACCACGCGTCCATGTAATAGATGGCTTTGGTCGCATATTCACTCTCGCCCGTGATGTACCAAGCGAGGGCCATGCTATAAGCGGCGATGGAGTCGTCGCGCTCCGCGGTACATCCAACGTCTGGGTTGGAATACGACCCGCATTCAACCATGACTACTGGGGAAGCTGTTCTGTCGAGATCGGAAAGCGAGTTAGCCGCCATTACCTCGTAGGCGTTAGACCATGGTGAGGTGCCCTTCGCAACCTGGGATTTCATGAAATCTAGCTGAGTCGTGTTCACCAGGATGCCTGGATGGACCCAAGTTGAGGGCGCGCGGGACTCGATGATAGGGGCAGAGATGGACAGCATCCCTAAGGCCAACACCAGGGCTGTGGTCAGAGCCGGCGATCTGAGTACCATTATGAAAAAAGTTGAGCCAAATAGAGAGAGTAGATAGAGTGACCGAAAACTACGGTCTTAAGTCAATACACCCAGCCTGTGAAGCGGGTGCGGTCATCACAGGTTTTATAGAAAGTATCTATCTTATGTTCCCAAAAGTGCACTTTTTGAATCTAGTATATCGCTGGCTATGATGGCTTTCTAGGGCCTTATTCTAGCGTGCGGAGAAACTCTGTAGATGGCTATACATACGCATGTGGCGTGTCACGGTGGTAACGCCACGTGGCGCTGAAGAGCGGCAGAGGGCCGGGGGCAATACCCCGGCATCCGTTGGCGACATCCGTAAGTGTTCCCTGATTTCAAATTCTCCCATCTTTGGGGCGATAACCACTCGTGGACAATGATACAGTGGGAGTGGCTAGCGGACGATTTGGAGAACGTAGATAACGCCTCGTCGGATGTCGGGACATTCAATGTGCCGCAAGTAGAATGGCACAATCTTTATGTGCTAGGCAAGATAGGGGAACAGTAGCACTGGAGAGTGGTATATTTGTTATCAGGATTTTACACTTCAAATATCGAGATTTGAGAGTATCGATGTGCGAACTCACAAATATCTGTCTGTTCATCTCAACTTTCATCTCAATATTGTGACGTGGACGTACAGACCAGCAAGATTGGCATTTATGGTAATGGGAAAACTGTCTAGCTTAAATGTTTCTGTTCTCTGACTTCTGAGGTCTATCGTCAGTATGTGTTAGTTTGGCGTTGTGCAAGAGTCCAGTCCAAGAATAAGTATGTAAGGTTATGTGTCTCGTCAGTTTATTCAAAGATCCTTTCCATCATAATGCGCCACCATATGAAAATCAGCCATTTTATAGAAAAATATGTTCTTTTTATGGAAGCCATATAATTGATGTCCTTTAGAATAATATAGCATATCGAATTCAACAAATATGACAACATTTGGAGTTTTGTTCAGGGCCTAAACATCTTGCAAGCTGTTTACCAAATACAAGATTCCTTAAGAATTGAGCTTTTACCGGGAGTGTTCATCCACCTTGACCGCATCAAGTTGTTCCGGTGCCGGCCTCAATAGCCACAAATCTCCAGGCGGCATTTGTATTTCACAAACTGCCCCTTTCGCTCTCTCATGTCCAGCATCAGCAGCCGTCCGAATGATATCTGCCGCCGCATACGCCTTAAAACCGAGCTCGGGAAATGCCCACATTTCGCTACCTATCGCCGCCGGAATCACGAAGTCCACCGCACGTGAGATACTGCCCTCTCCTCGCGAGCCTGCAAGTTTCCACAAGTCAATTCCGACCTTGCGCCCCACGCAAGCGAGACGTGTGAGGGCAAGGAGGTTGAAGGTTGAGTAGTGCCAACTACGAGTACGGGTGAGCTCCTCGGGCTGCGAGCCATCCGGCGCAATGGTCTCGTCGAGATGGGCGGTGATCCCAAGAACCTCATTGAACGCACGACCTGTTTCGCCAACAAACAGTGCAATGGCCGCCATTTGCATGGCGGCAAAGCTACCATGATTGTTGCGCTGCGCGCGCTCTTTCTGACCAAATGGGCTGTCTGTCAACCACGCAAGAAAGTCGACGTTCCACGTCCAGAAGCCTTTGACATCAGCATCAGACCAAAAGGGTTCTTGTGTGTCGGTGAAGCTGGATCCGGAACCACCGGTTTCCAATATGGCTGCGGCATCGAGTACGCTGGTGTAAGACTGGGAAAAATCGATGATTCCGATGAAGCGGCCTGTGTTGGCATATGGAATGAGCTGGGCATGATTGAGGTTTGGGTTCATCCGCGTCTCTGTATCAATGAACCAGGTGCGCAAGATATCACCGGCATGCCGACCGTATGCCTCGTTTTCTGTGTAGAACCAGGCCAAGGCAAGGACTGTAGATGAGGTAAAAACCTTTTCCCAGTAGACGCGGTCCGTATAGTCAAGTACTTCAGGATTTTTCTTTCCGTCGCGATTGATGTAGGGCTTGCCGTCTGGTGAATTTGGCGATGGCCAGAAGTAGGGTGCCTGGCTAGTATAGTCGTGCATGTCACCGCTAGGTGGGGGCTTCTTTTTCATGGTGACTGACCAGGGCCCTTGTCTTAGCCACTCATCGGCCTGCCTGGTGAGGGTATCCAGGGCCACTTGCAGGGCAGCATCGGTACCTTCGCGTAGACGCCGTTTGGTTTCGGTTAGCTTAAAGCCATCGAGAACCACAGTCTGGGGATGTGTTGTCATGTTGGATGGAATTGGCAGTCGCGGAGTGACTCTCACCAAATAGGAGAAAAGAAAAGAAGTCTAAACATCCGGGTATCATGCGTATATTGGAAGGATCCCTCGGCTTTCCAGTCCTCATGGTCGCATCGTAAATCTCGGTGATGATCGGGAGGCAGATAGCCCGGATGTCCGTGAAAAGCGACAACGGGCTATCTCAAGTCCGACCACTTATCTGCACCCAATTCCGTAAGTACCGCCTTGGGCTACTTAGTCAAATCAGCCAACACATAGATGGGGTTTCGCTTTGCCGATGAATCTCTACTCACCGCCATCGAAGACGAATAATTCGCCCAGGTCAGGAAGATTGTGCGCAAAATATCGATCATGTTGTCCACACTACCTCAACAACCCGCCAAAATAATGGACTTGGGGAACAACGAAGCAAAACCGGTACCGCAATTGTCCGTGCTACAAGTTAATGGGGCCAGACCCGCTGATACCAAGCACATGATGGCAACGATGGAGGACTCGCTACCTCCTGTAGAGGCAACCGAGCTCTTGGATCTATACAGCGAGAATGTCATAGCCAAAATATGGAGGGTTGCTGAAAGCTACATTAACAATCATGTTTGTGACATCTCTCATGTCCATGATTTTCCTCTGATTCGCCAAATCTCTGACCATGAGTTTTCAATACAGCCGTCTCTCGAGACGTATCCAGAATATGTCCCCGAATCAGGGCCACTCACCGGCAGATACGAGTCCAAGCCCGTCAAATTCTGGACGTGCGGGTTCTTCCCCGCGAGCCTCTACTGTATCCTTGAGCGTTGCACCAAGTTCCCTCGCCACTCTCCACTTCCACTTATACAATCAGACAGAATTAGCACGCTGGGGTCGTCTCAGTATGCCCAGCTTCAGGCTCTCTGTCGCTCATGGTCCGCACCACTACATGCACATGCGCTAAGAACCAATACGCACGACTTGGGCTTCATGTTGCATCCGCTACGCATGGACTGGGAGCTTACCGGCGATACTTCCAGCCTGCGTGCGTACATCACAGGTGCCGAGAGCCTGGCGACCCGGTTCGACGAGCGGGTTGGGGCGATCCGTAGCTGGGACCAGGCGATGAGCCACATCTACGATATTCGGGACAAGGAGAACAATTTCCTAATAATCGTGGACAGTATGTGCAGTATGTTACCCTCTACCTCTATCTGACCCCGTTCATATGACTGACCCCGGCCCGGCCTAGACATGGACTTGATCTTCTATGCTGCCCACATCACCAAGAACGCAACTCTCTCTGCCATTGCTACCCAGCACGCCCGCACAGTATTGAAGACCCTCATCCGCCCAGATGCCTCTACTTGGCACGTGGCCAACCTCGACCAGCATGCACCCCAGCAAGGCACCGTCAAGAACAACATGACCCACCAAGGTCTTGCCGATGACTCAACTTGGGCACGCGGCCAGGCCTGGGCGATTCTCGGGTTTGCGCAGACATACAAGTGGACCGGTGATGCCGATTTCCTTGGCGCCTGCATGCGTCTGACCGAACACTTCATCTCGCGGCTCCAGGCTTCCCCCGTCAAGATGTGCCCGTGGGTACCACTCTGGGACTTTGATGACACCAGCGGGGAGTTGGATTCTTATGGGGATAGACTGCGGGACGCGTCGGCAGGCATGGTCGCAGCCAATGGAATGCTGCTCCTGCATCAAGTGTTGCAGGTACAGGGTGATGGTGGAGAATTCGCGGAGCATGATGGCAGAAGATACCTAGATGTGGCGCTGAACATCGCAAGAGATACCATCCAGTATGCGCTGGATAAGGAAGATCAGGCGCGACTGCAGGTCGACGCGGAAACTGGCAAGGTGAGGGTCCCGCCGGGGAGCTGGGACGCGATACTGAGGCACTCAACGGCCAATAACAACCCAAATGCGATGACGAGGTACAAAGATCATGGGCTTGTTTATGCAGACTACTACTTCCTTGAATTTGGGAACAAATTACTGCGCATGGGGCTGGTGTAAGAGGTCACTGATCCTGGAGGCCTGCTTCCTGACTCCGGTACTTTAGATTTAAATGTGCTTTTAAATCAGAGAAAACTATACTTATCTTAAGTTCAATCTTGTCAATATCAACGAATCTAGAGTATTGCAGATGGTAGGCCCTGATCGGCAATTCTCAATCTATATAGCAATTGAAGTGGGCACATTTCTGACGAACCATGAACCATACAATCCTTATTGAGTCACGACATCTGCAGAGCCCTGAAATATCCGTGACAACCCGAGTGCATCTTGACAGTAGGCCTATAATATCTCGTATCGCGGATCGCGATGGAAGTTGGCTACTGCAGTGGGGCCAACCTGTCCATCTGCGCCACAATCGGTTATCACATCCAGACTGATCCACATTGACCGAGTAAGACCCGTGTGAGGCTCAAAACCGCGACGTCTCGTCCATTCATGACCCATGCTTTTCTAACAAGCCGAGGCGATCACCCAGCGCTTTAACCCAAGGAGAAATTATGCTTCCTCGTTGACCGATGTGATTTTTGAGGGCTCTGAATTTTCCGCGCCGGCGGAGTTAGTTACTAATGTTGATTATTTGAACGCTGACTACATCCAGTAACTTTGGCCAATTACGACAGAGCTAGTAATTGCTTAAAATCATATTTCGAATCACTTGGAGCTTTAAGAGAGGGAGTCTCGATGCCGTATCGCAGTAAGGAAACTAGACGTTAATGGATGAGAAGATTGGCAGGGATGTTGGCAGATAGGGACGGGGACAAGCCCATCTACTCCAAGTAGTTGAAAAGGTTTGGGCCCAACGTCCGGGGGACGCCAGGTATTATGAAATGCACGTGACCTAGAGATCTCGCAGTCTCTTGAGTGGACGCCTTATCTCAAAGCTGCGGATCTCAGAAATCATGGTTGCAAGGCTAGATTATCATGCGTCAACTAAGCGGTAGCAACAACTTAACGGGACCTTGCATTGTATATCTGTTCACTCGATACAGCTAGCAGCAATATACTCTCGAAGTGATAATGTCAAAGCGTTCCTTTACGCGGCAGGGTTCAGCGGATTATCGCATGCTGCGGTTGATTCAAGTGTTCTGGTTCGGGTGTATCCGATTCCTGGGAAGGTGCCGATCGCTTCCCACATGAAACGACAGAACGCTCAACGTGGGCTGGTTCTCGCCAGGAATCGTACGACGCCAGTGCAATGACAAGCACGTGAATGGGACTACTGCACCACTTCTGGGGTTGGTTGGCTCTAGGTGGCCCATCGTTTGCAGGGGTTGTAGCAGGAATCAAGAATGTGGATACTGATGAATACCTTGTCAAGAATAGGTTGTCAAGGACCGAGACGTGTCGTTTTCGAGAACAACTTCGAGCCATCTGGATGAAACTCCCCTCTGGGAGGTTTTCTTGGTGAAATAGCTCCGAAGGATTCTTTCAAGAGTACGTTGATACTTCTCTGAGTCACTTATGCTGTCACTCTGTTCGGCTGCGACTTTGAGCTCGTGGGCCGTCGCGACCTCCAGCAATTTACCGCTAAGCAATCTTACCAGGAGTTCGAGCTTCTCTTCATATTATCAGCAAATGCCGTTGGCGCGTAGAGAAGAACATACCGAATTTGCGGAGGCATTGCGGCCTTTTGAAGGGTATATTCTCCGGCCACCAGGTAGGTTCTAGACCTGCGCGATACCTCATACCTGGCTGAATAAAACCAATCCAGATATCAATAAGATCTTCGCAAATATAATATGGTAGGGACTCCAGTTCGTCGTAGCAACTGAATTGAGAGGTGAGATGGGGATCGTGGATCGGCGAAAATGCATTGGCCATGGAGTCAGGATTCATAACCTGTCCGGTCTCCGAAGAGAACTTCACTGTCACGAACTTCATTGTTTTTGCTCGCGGGCTCTCTGCTCCTTCCTCTTCTCCTAGTTTATTGCCTCTGGTAAGCAAAGCAGTACAGTATCAGATCGGATGCTTACCCCTCGTTGCATCGTGAATGAAGCTTTGTTGGTCTTTTTGCCCTGTAGACTGCCCACTTTGGACATGAGACGGGTCAAGAAGAGATAGCGTTGTTGATTTGGGGCTGTGGTTGGTGTAGAGAATACCATGGCCTCTGCCGGATGTTGAGAGATATTGGCTGTCCATTCCTAGTGCTGTTTAAGGAAAGACGGGGGCTAAAACTTCCAACATCTTTTTACTGGGCATCCTGAGATGACAAATTTAATATACCAAGAGGAGATGGAAATGGTACAAGGTAGGCAGAGCGCCACTTGACAGATACTTATTGTACATGCTTCTGCACTCAACCCACTTCGGAATAACCATGATTTACGGTCATCATAAAACCGGGCTAATGTCACTTACGAAAATTCAATTGTTCTAGTCTCCAGGTCACAACAATTCTTGAGGACTGTGGTCATCCGCTTCAACAGAGTGGTGATTACATATCTATCGAACTATGTATTGTACTTGTATTTGTGGTATATTCAGCGACAAGAATTATATTTGACTTAGTTGATGCCTGTATTTCGGATGATTTTCTTTAAATTTTTTGAAAAGAAAGATACAAGTCAAGAAGGAAAGCCGATAACGCAGTGTAATTTATAGCTTAACCCCCCAATAGCCTACTTCATCCAATTCCTTTTACCTATCTCAACACTGCAAGTCCGTCAGTTGAGGCAACACATACGTCATGAAACGATGTGCTAATACCTGTCAATTTCCGCTTTAGTAAATTGTGTGAACTTTACTTGATTTGCATTGGAATCGCCTCACAAGGCCTGCATGCTATGCTTCAGTTCGTAGTTGGACATCATAGAACGGCATCTGTCGGTAAAACTTTCAATCCTCTCTATGCTAGAAAATAAATGCTAAATCACATTATTGAATACCATGCACTGGGCAGAGAAATTGACAGTTGGGGTCCTGCCGGGAAAGACCGTTGATACCGCTCAGCATGACACAGATATAGCAAGGCTAAAGCTCTGACCGGAGACTAGTGAATACGGGCCCACTTTTTATTCCAGGATTTAACAATTCATGATCAAATGCATAACCCTCTGGCTTGGCAGTATCTCGATAGTTCAAGATCATATGGCCACTACCATGAGTTGAGTTCACTCAATGACGATCCGTGCCAAGACAATACACGTGTACAGGGCATTTGGCAGGGGACGATAATAAATACGGGTCTACCTAAAGGCTGACCAGTTGTTTCCTTCGCATTTTGTTGTTACTACAAGATATTTGACTGATTCCTACCGCGATGAAGGTAGATTTAGTAGAGTAATATAAAACTAGTTTCTCAGTCCTCGTCATTGACAAAGTTCATCTTTGTACAATATGGGGTGCCTCTGGTTTCATTTGGCTCAGCAGCACATCTCAGAAAACCGTGCGATAGAATTCATTTGCTAAAGACGCAAGCTATGAGACTAAAGGTTTAAAGTGGGTTAAGGCGGCACAGCCTTTGCGCTAAATATTTCAAGAGAAAGTCCAACTTGTACACTATTGGACGAAATAAATTGCCATCAGCGGATTGTTTCCGATAGGTCAGGCTCGGGCTGGTATGCCGGGTAGTTTGGCAAAGCTCTGCATGCACGGGTGACTGAAATTAAAGCCACGCGGCTACGCGATGACTGTTGGTTATCTGCTGTATTGGCGAGACTAAGGATACTTATACCCCGGCTAATACTACTCCTACCTCCGTCATTCCCCAGTCATTCAGTCCTTCGCAATTTACTGGCTTGGCAAGGAAACATTCATGTGATAACATTTATTTCTATTTGGAGGCCTATTATTTATAGCGCTGTATTGCATGTTGCTTGAAAATGTATACAGTATTGTCAGAGAGGGATGACTGAATACAGAGATATGTGTAAGAGTGGTGAATTAGTGCTATGAGAGAAGTAGGCTATCTAGGCTAGAAACAAGTATGAATGGAGTCAGTTTCACTAGTATATTCATCTTTGACTCTTAAGGGTGAGGGTTTCACAGAACTGGAATTTAAAACCTTTAGAGACCCTGAGCTCCACATAGGTCTAGAACAGAAGCTAGTTATACGCTGTAATTTACAGCTGTACAAGATTACTTACGAGGGTTCAGGGGAAGAGTAGCTATATTAGGTATAGCATGCTTCAAATAAGAGCTAGAGAAAGAATTCTGTGAGTAGCTGGTGAAGGCCCATTTTATATACGAGTATTGAAGTTGAAGAGCAACAAAATTTGATATGCTATACAGCAGTTTTCGAAATTAGGTATAAGTGCCCCCCCCCCCCCCCCCCCCCCACCTTCGATATGAGTAACTTTGAGCACGCGCCAGCTCCTTGGTTGATTGATAAATCGCGTCTTTGCTAGGCCTTGAACTGGAGACTCTTACTGCATGGCATGTCAATAGACCTAGTCACTTTAAAACATTCCTGGTAGTCACCTTTCACGATTCTATATTTTCTAGTTTAGAAACCTAGACGACCAAAAATGGACAGGTTTTTGTTACATGCACTGTCCTGAAATGGCTCAGCCTAGAGTATCTGTCTTCGGAGCTGTTTTTGAATGTACTAGACAGGTAAACACTGGCTCAAGTCTAATACACTTCGCCTTGGATCTACAGTTAAAAGCCGCTCGTCTCGAGCCTTCAAACTTTTCCTCCGACTGCGTATGACAAAATAGGACAGCGTTGGGCTTTTTTCCTACCTCTGAGTATAGAAACTCATTTTTTGGACTGGTAGGTTTTTGGAATGACCACGGAAAATCGCGGGTTCGCTATTATTACGTACGACATACACTTCCTCCCTGGCCCATCACATCTTTGCCCGCTATCAAATCGCCAGCGACTCGTAGACGGAAACGCCCAGACAACTGGTCCCAAAGGGCTAATCCTTGGGTCTTGTTGGTTCAGTAGATATCGAAATCTATTGAAATGGATAAAATAATGTTTCCTTACCTACCAGGTTGAGCTCTCTAAATATTAAGCAGGGTCTTCTGTTTCATGACCGTAGGCGAAGACAAGGGCTACGCTGCATCTGCGAAGACTGAGGGGAAAGAGCCAAAATGTGGCTGGCGGGAACGGGGAAAGCTAGTGAACGATCTTGCATGAGTAAGTACCTAAAGCCACGCTCCTGATAATCTCATCATCGGGACACTGGCGCCCTTCATGTTTTAAAACCAGTTGACGTGAAGAAGTCTGTTCCATCCAACGTGATAACACGGTCCATCTCAAGGAACTGCTGACCCAACAGCATATGCGACATGGCTGTCAATTCGTCATCGTCCTCGCCACCAAAACCATTGTTGTTATTGTGATTGTTTTCCATACCAAGATCCAACAGTCCCGCTACAGCTGTTATTGAAGATGGGCTTGACATCATCATGCTAGGGCCCCCTGCGGACATGTTGACGCTAGGATCCCGCTGCTGCTGCCGCTGCCGTGAATTTGTGTCGTTCTGGCGAATGGGCGTACCGTGAGGGTCGTACGCGACCGGTGGATGTGTATAAGTCAGTGATCCTGATGGGATCTCTGTCGGATGCATAGTAGGTGCAAAATTCGCGAAATTCATTCCCATCGATCCCATTCCCTGTGTTGACGGAAATGTCATGTCCCGACAGAATGGATCACCGCTGGCCATGGGCAGTTGCTGCCTATCAAACAGGCCATCCAAACTGGCATCCGATAATATGTCACCAACGGAGGCGTATGCATATAAGCCAGCGGCATATTGAGAATGCATCAGCTGAAGCCGCGTCGCATATTTGGTCATCAGGTCCGGGTCACCAAGCCTCCCCACAGGGCTTCCCTTCCATCGACGAGACATCTCTTTCAAACTATCAACGAGATTAAAAAACTCTGGTGTCAGATGGTTCCTTAATTCTGGAGGAGAAGAGAGCCAATTCACAAGGAGCACACGGGCGGCAACAAACGCGCAGAAAGCGAACTGACTATTAATTATACCGCCCATGTAGCAAAGGTATTTTTCAGCGATGGAGGCGATTTCAACGGCGGCAAGCTGGCAGGTCTCAGCACTGCATGCGCTCGGTAGCTTGACGGCGTCACACCAATTTTTGGGCGGATAGGCGATATGTTGGTGCAGCAGGATCATCGCAGCGTTATGCGTCATGTGCGCCAAGGTCAGGTTCGGGTCCATCTTGATCACGGATACGTCGCGGGAAACATCAGAGTCATTCCACTGACGGGGGAGAAACATCTTCCAACTAGGCCACTTTCGTGTTACTTAAGTGCAGAGAAGGACAGAGAAGGGGCAATGATGCTCACTGAACAAGCCGCAGGTCCAGCTCTTTAAACCTCGTGAGCCAGTTTTTTACCTGCTCTCTGTCTCCGAAATCGATGGTTTGCTGTAGGAAGAAGGATGTGACCTGGCTTAGGTTCTCGGTGGCCTCGATGCAATACGCAAATGCTCCTAGGTTCGAGATGTCCAATTGCTCATTTCCACTGCCTCCACTACCACCGGTTTCTCCACCGGGGCTGTAGTCGCTGGTCTTGGAAGGTGACTCGTATAACGTTGGCACGTTCACAATCGACTTGCCGATTTTGGCCGTGGATCTGTTCCATATGCCAAAGAACGGCGTCGAGACCGCCTCTTCGCGCTTCCAAGGTGCTCCGCTGCAGGGAAGTCGTCGTTGGACGTGGTCCGAAGTCAGGCTTGTGTGCCAGCTGCACCTGCTATTAGATGATACCTGCCGGTCATTTGGCTAATCGAAACACGCACCCAGATGTGACCGAGCATACTCTGTAATATAGAAGTAAGTAGATTATTCTTAGTCAAGTGAACAGTGGGTTCTTCTGACCTGTCGAGAAGAAAAACGTTCCAGAAAAGCCTCCTCCGCTCTTCTGACTCTGTCCAATCGCGTGGCAATGATAGAAGCGCTAATGGGCGAAGAAGAGGCGGCTTCTTCAAAGATAGCTCCGGTGGCTCAACTGTCAATTGGAGATATTCCACAGTCCTTGTCAAGGAACCAATTATGGGCCATGCCTTCAATGGATGCCCGCATCCCATCTGCAACAGAGTCAGAGGTGGTCAAAAGTTGCGGAAACCTTCCGGCTCTGAAGAGCATAAAACATGGCAGCTCACAAAGTCAAAGGCTAGAAAAACCAATGCCTGGATGCTCTCAATCGACAGCGATTGCATCGCGTGGAGCATTACAACCCTCCTGGACACCTTGATCTGCCTCTCGGCATCTGCCCGGCTAAGGTTAAACTTATCCAAATCAATATACCTGATCGCGATAGCAATGAGTGAGTGGAGAAGCACCACCAGCCGATATCTCTCGTCGGGATTCGCCAATTTCGCCCGAAATCGTGCCTCGTGGAGGATTGGGACCCAATGATGCACCGTCTGGAAGTGGATATTGACGATTGCATCCAAAAGGTGCGATGAAGGCAGTGCATGCGGTACATCGTCCTCATCCCAGAGATCGGGATTCTTATCATTGATCCGTCTTCTTTTCTGGCTACCGTAGCTGGCTTGGGGCGGAGATCCGGGGGAGTTGGAGGCTGTTGCTCCGGCGTCGAGCTTCTGGTGTCGTTGGCTTGAATACCGGCTATGATCCTGATCTGGCACCTCTTGCCGAGAACTGGAAAGATAATTTATGTTCCAGTACCCCTCATCGCGATCTACTGAGGCAAATTGCGGTCGGCGTTTGCCAGATTCATCTAATAGTATTTTTTCCAGCACGTCTAGAGAGCATGTCTCTTTCAGCCAGGAGCTTTGGTACATGGAAGGTTTGCATATTCCTGCAGGACTCTTACCCAAGCGTCGGTTGAGGCTGTCAACGGCACCAGTCTTGATACCGGGCTTCTGTTTGCCGATGTAGAGGCATTCGCATGCTGGATTAGACCCTATTGTCAGCCTATATTTCAATCTTCAACCACGATTTCGGCTCCCACCCAGTCTCTGACACTGCGAGCAAGACGGCCTTTGTCTCGAGCACTTCAGCTTCCTTCGCCGACACGACTGACAGGAAGGGAGGTCGTTCCCCGCTGAAAATCCCTCTTCCTCCCCCGCGTCGATGTCGATAGTTTCGCCGGGCTGCCTGGACACGTGCACTATTGCCCGTTCCCCCATTTCGCAATAGATAATTCCGATCAGCAGTGGGACAAGAATGCGGCATGCGAGACAGACCGGACATCGGGATAAATAACCCACCCTCAATAGGCGATGTGGGTCGCGGATGGGAACTTATTGGCCGAGGCAAGTTTACCTGATCACTTCCCCGCATTTCGTCCTTTCGACTAAACACGCGATGATTGGAGGACTCTCTACATCTGGAAAGTAAGAAAGAAGTTCCTAAACAATCCTCAATTGCCGATCACACGCTAGTCCGGCTGTTGAATTATGGCGTGCGAAAATACATCATTTGACACGGGAGAAGCGAACGGTAATGCGTTCAAATACCAACTATACAGCTTGACAAGTAACAACGCTCCAAAATTGCAACATCGTATCTTCAAGCAGATGAGAATGAAACATATCGTGAAGATAGATATCGGAGGACCATAATTCTTTTCCAGGTTGGCATACTTCACTGAACCGTTGTCACCACCGGGATATGAGTGGCACGGGCCTCCTTCTCTTCCGTCTCGTCATTGACCATTTTAGCGTCTGTAGAGCTCGAAGCCCCGTCGAAAAGCTGTCCAACCTCCTCGAGGGTGAGGTTCTTGGTCTCTGGGTAGAAAAAGTAGACGATGGTGAAGTTGCTGACCAACACACAGCACCAAACGATATAGTACTTCCATCCAATGGCTCCTAGGCCAACAGGGTTGGTGTAGCTGCTGAAGATATTGGCCGCCGCATCAGCAAAGCCATTCAGAACGAACGCTTTGGCGCGGAGCTCGAAAGGGGCGATCTCGGCGACATAAGAGGGAACCATGCAGCCGGGCATCTTATAGAAGAAGCCGAATAGGAATATGGCGAAGATGGTAGCGTTTCCGAGGGCCGTGTTGGTGTATCCAATGCTCGAGTTCACACCAGTGAACACTGTGATCATCAAAAAGGCGACAAACATACCCGATAAACCAATCAACCACATAGGCCGCCGTCCCATCTTGTCAACCAGCAAGGACCATGTATTACCCCATACGAAACCGCTAATGGTCATGCCGCCGTTGATTAGCAACTGCTTCTTGGAGCTGGTGATACCAATCGACTCAAAGACAAGGTGGATATAGTACGTGATGAGCGCATTCCCGCACCACTGGATTATGAAGCCCGAGGTGACAATTATGAATAGCCTGTATCGGTTGGCTGACGTACGGAACCACTCCATCCACGATGTCAGGGCTTGTGCCTTCTCTGCCTCAATAGCCGACTCGATCTCGGCCATTTCGAATTGCAGCAGCTGTGATGACTCATCTCCTTCCGCATGGAACTTGGCCAGGATGCGGTATGCCTCCTCGCGCCGGCCCATGTGCACAAGCCAGCGTGGACTCTCGGGGGTGACGAACATCATAACGAGCTGGAAGACGGATGACATGGCCTGTAGGAGTGATGGTAGGCGCCAGGACCACGAAGACATCATGAACGACGTGCCATAGGTGATCCAAGCGGCCATGATCTGGCCTAGGGACCCAGTCGTGTTCTGGATGCCGATGATTTGGGTGCGCTGGAAGGGGTGTGCAAGCTCGGCAGCCAGGATGGGACAAGCCATATTCTGGATTGTGTTTCCGAAGCCGATGAGTACACGCGAGACAACGAACATATCATAACCAGTCGCTGCAGCCTGCAGCGCAATGCCAACCAGTAGGATACAAGATCCTATCATGATAGGCACACGGCGCCCTAGCCGCTGCAGCATAGGTGCTGCAAAAAGGAGCGCTCCAAGTTGCCCATAGCGGGTGCCGCTGGTGATGGTACCCAGGCGTGTACCTTTAGGGTTGCCCATCGCGTCACCCCATCTGTCAATGACTTGAAGGCCATTGAGCATGGAGCCATCGTAGCCGTTGGTCATATCGCAGACGATGCAACCCAGCAAAAGGAGATTCAATGAGCGCAGGCCGGGGTAATACCACCAGAACCGCGTTCGCTGGTCAGTTTCTCGCAGCGTCACACCCTCGACGCCGCGGACGGCAGAATCGTGGACGTGGAACATGACTTGATCAGAAGAGTCAATATAAAATGACAATTCTTAGAAGTGGACTGCCGCGTTCGGGTAACAATGATGTTTGAAAGCTTTATATTGTGAGAGAATCATGGAGGGGGGTGGGAGAAGCCATGGCTCTTATCATAAAAGAAAGCCCCAGCGGTGGACGACTAGAACTCAAGGAGGAGAAAACGCCTCCGGCATGTCCTTGGAGGACGATGCACAGCAATGATCATCTACGCGTAGCCTCTCAGAACCGTCCCCCGCAGATATCGCTTATCGTGGCGGCGATCATGCATATCCTCACGGCAAGCAATGTGCCATGTGTTGGATGCGTCCAGTCTTCGGCATACGGGGGAATGAACGGGTCATTTCCCGACTCGACTGAACGACGGGATTTCGGGCTATTGGCGCTCCGGGCATCAGTATCCCCGCAACAGCCTGACTGGGGGATAATTTGAACGAGCCTAAAAACCTTGTTCTTGTAATGGCGACCATGTGTTTCTGCGTATGAGACATCTATTCCTCCGTGAATATCATCATATCCATCAATCAGACAGGTATTTCTTGCATTATCCAGTCGTATATCACCTTGCCACCTAGCACCCAGTACGGTGGATCCCCAAAGACCTCTAAGTCCTTCTCAACCTCTTCCCAGAAGTAATGTGGAACATTTTCAGTTGATCTTCGTCCCCCGGGATGCATAGCACTCGCAGAGATTGTAATACTAGGGTATAAAAGCCGAAGGCGAAGTACGGGAACATGGCCGCCAATATTACCCGCGCTGCTGCACATTGATCCGAAGGGAAGGGTTTGGAGATCGTTTACACCACAGTGGCAGATAATCTGACCTTGAATATCCTTCTGGACAATACACCAGAAGAAATGAAAGAAGTCATCCAAACTACTGTGGAAGGACCAATGCAGGCTGAGACTAAGTTCTTGGATCCGACTAGAAGTATTATGGTTGAGTTTGTGGACAACCGTCGAAAAGGAAGAAAGAGTAATACGCAATTTGTGGGAGGCATACTTTATGCTGATCTAAACACGTCTGCAATTGCGGAAGGAAAGCACTTTCCGGATGTCGTTGGTGGGCATTAACGGTTTGATATATTTCGGATCAACCTTAATCAAGCTAGACAGAGACCGGTGACGTTCGCCAACCTTCCAATAGAAGAATGAAATGAATAGAAGCTATAAAAATCAATGTACTATCTTCATACTGCATTTGAAGTCCTGGGTTGTCCTGGATTGTATCGAAAGAAATAAGAAAAAATTCAAGAATACTAGCTTAAGTAGCACCAGTGGTGGACTAGACTTGATCAATCTTGATCAAAACTTTCGAAAAATGTTTCTTTTCTTTGAGGCGCTTGTACGCACCCTTCGCCTCCGCAAGTTCAAAGACCACATCATCAACCGCAGGCACGATTTTCTTGTTGTCAATGAAGCGAATCAAGTCCCGGAATTGGTTGCGGCTTCCTGCAAGAATCCCACGCACAATGCATGTGTGCATAAGAGCCGCGAACATGGGCACCACCTCCATAGTTTCCCCAACTCCACCGACCACCAGAACGATTCCATCCACGCACACAGCCGCAAGAGACTGGGATAGAGTTTCATTACCACCGACATCAATAACGAAGTCCAACCCTCTTCCATTTGGGGTCAAGCCCCGGGCTTCCTCGCCCCACCCTTGAGGATTTGTGCGATAGTTGATAACGTGGGTCGCACCGAGAGCCTTAAGGCGAGCTGCTTTCTCGTCATTCGATGTTGTAGCAATGACAGAAGCACCGGCCGCGATAGCAAGTTGCAGAGTAGCAACACTAACACCACCTGTGCCTTGGACAAGCACCCACGAACCAGGACCTGCTTCCCGGCCTTTCAAGCCAAATAGGGCGTTCCACGCGGTGATCCAAGTGCAAGACAAAGTGGCTGCTGGAAGGTAATCCAAGGACTTTGGTGCATGGACAAGGCCCACCTCCGAGAAAACTCCGTGGGAACGGAGTGTGCCCTCAATTCCTTGACCCCGGCAAAGCATGGCATCAGCGATACTAGGGAGAGCATCGTCACCACGAGATTCAGCTAGTTTCGGTGCGACGTATGTGACAACTCGGTCTCCGGGACGGAAGTCCATAACAGAGGATCCTACGTCTGTGACTATGCCAGCACCATCACACCCCGGAATCACTGGTGGCGTAATTGGTCCATTGATACCCTGCCTTAGATTAGCGACATCTTCTTGTTGTGGGTTGTCGACAACATACCACGGGTCCAGCGATCATCAGCTCGCGGTAGTTCAGACTTGCAGCATGCATGGCTACGAGAACATCATGAGAGCCCAATTTATGGGCAGATGGAATATCAAGGCCCTCCTGATACTGGAGGGATTTTTCGAAGCCTTCTTGGCCAGTCAGAATCCATTGTCTCGCCATCTTTGAATTTGAAGTGACTTGGTTTGCAGATTTTGTCGAGTCAGCCGATTTTAAGAGACTAGAAAAGAGAATCATGGTTAAAATCGAGGGAAATGGGATCATTCAAATACTCTGTAGGACAACAACGTTTTCTGGTCAACTTATACACTTTCCTTGGGGATAAGATCTGATTTCCCTATTTAGGATAATCAGATTCCCTATCCGGAAAGTCAACTTTCTAATTGGGAAAGTCATTGTTGGCGGGGGGGGGCATATTACGTCATTCTATTATTCCCAGGATTTCAATGGTTAGCTTGCCATCAACACGAAGACTTTATATTGGAACCTATTGTAGCTTCCGGATGCCGATTTATCATGATTATCTCAATATTTGAAATCCAAATTGGTAATCGAAGCGGAATATTTCAAAATTGGCTTGATTTCCGCGGGTTTCTATAATGTCTAAGTGAAGGATCATTTCACCCGGCTATTGGCTCCCTGAGCTCGGCGGCTCGTTGATGCAATTCTTCCCAGAGAGCTTGCAATCGTCCTGAGAGGGCCCTGATCGGTATTTTCCTATCCGTAAGCATGCTGAGAGGTTCATTCCAGCCACGTAATTGCATCGCTCGGACCTCTCTAGCCATTCTATCAACGAACCATCCCCTTGTTGGCGAGTTCTCGTTTGCAGCGATAGCGCCAATCATGAGTTGGAAAGAAGTTAGATTCATATATGAGCATCCTTGGATTGGAAATCGACATATTGTGTCTTTTAGTTCACCGGCAAGAAGTGTTAAATGAGCTCCTGATTGAGAAGGCCATATTAAGTAGAGCACCAGTTCAATCGAACGCGCAGTAGCCTGAACGTATGGGTCATCCAGAGCTCGAAGCGCTCGTACTTCATAGTGCAGATTGGCTAGCGGCTCCTCGATTTCTCGCGCAATAGAATACGAATCGAATTCCTGGCTGTGCTTTGAACCAATCGTTTCTTGTAATTGGGTGACACTGTCGCAGATTGCTCTTATTTGTGAGATTCTTTGATCATTGCAATCTCTCAAAATTTCAAGAATACGCTCATGATACAGCCGCGGAAAATTGAAGATGGCGTTGACCGAATCCCTATCAATATTTTTAGCCAGTTTCTTTCAGGTAGGCTGTCTTGAGCAAGCACGGACAGGACAACAAGATCCGAAAGCCACGGTGGCGGTGGATCCGTGCTTCGCGATTGTCTTTCTTTCAATATTTGGGCCAGACCATCTATATGAATATTCCAAGAAATATCATCGTTTTCCAAGGAAGCCCCGAACGCCATTGTGGCAACTGCTCCGAGAACGCCGTCGGTCGAGGTCGCCGCAGATTCTAGTCGCCGCTTAATGAGATTGATAGCTGTATGTGAATGTCGATAAGATTCAATTTGCCAGGAATCATCAGGCGACCAGAGTCGCACAGCTATAGCCATTGTCGATTCAATCAAAGCCGGGTCTGACGCGATCAGATTGAACCAAGCTGTTTCCTTTGGGCTGGCTGGAGAGCGAATCCCTTCCAGAAAGACAAGTTTCTGTAGCTTATGGACTGCAAACAATCAGGAAATAGAAAACTCAAATTTGAAATAGTGCATACAGGCTTTGGGGTTGCGAGCTGGTTCAGGGCAAGTTAGTGTGGGTGGGAAGGTGATAGTTTGGTCGCTGTCCAAGGCTATGGACTGTTCACTGCACTTTGACGGCTGTATAAAGCCCTCTTGCACGGTCATCATGCTATCTATCTCTCTCTTTGGCGGGCCCACATCCTTAGCCCGCTGACGCCTCTTTGCGAAGTTGCTTTTCGTGATATGCGCCCTCATCCGTTTAACGGCTGGTTGAGAGAGACCCGACCCCCCATTGTATTTAAAAAGACGAAGTCCGGCTGGCCCATGCTTCCGATGTGGTTGACAAATGGCCGATATTTCCAGGATCCGGGTATATCAGTCCATCGACTTTCAAAGCCTAACGCTTGCACACGGGAGGGAGAGCTGATTAATCTCAGGAGGCCTGCGCTTATCGCAGTGGTTAGGGGCAAAGGAAAAAAAAGGCATCTTATTGGCTAATCTAGCTTCACCGCCTTAAATTTCCGGGCCGGACATTCCGCACACTTTCTTTCACTAGTGCTTGCTCGGTATCTTTCTAGGTATCTCTTTCAACCTTCACAATATGAGCACTTTTAGCAAAGGTCGCCCAGCTCGAACATCTGGCTATTACCATTGCGGAAGATGGTACAGAAGAGACATATCTTCCAGAAAACCGCTGGCCCTTCAGAGATCACAAGATTGATTAATATTATTTTTTGAAGGGGATTCCTTCCTGCTATTATGTCCAACCGCACATGACAGCCCAGAATTACACAAACTGGAATTGCTACACTTGACACTCTTTAGTTCTGCTCAGTTTCTTTTTGAGAATAATCACTAGAATTCTAATTTGTAGTTTTAGATATTCTACACCCTTCACCGCTCTACCACACCTTCTCCAAGAAAAGGTTGACTTTTGTCGGCAAGTTTCCAGATAGAGGAATATCTAGAAAGCACGGCCACTCTTCAAAGCGCCGGGGAAGTCATTCTGAATGGCCTCCCAGAATGGCTTACCGCCCATTTGAATATCTTCGAATGCCGGACAAGTCATGTTGAGCAAGGGCACAGGTAGAGTGTTAGTGATCCATTCCAAAGGCTCAGCCAGGGTTGAATAGAGTCCATCAAGAGCGTCCGGACTGGCAAACTTCAGGATTTCGAAAACGAAACACAGCAGGTTGTTACCCTCTAGCAGGTTGGCCAGGTTGAAAACACCACCGGTTAGGTCCGCCAGGTCGACTCCAGCGAAGCTGTTCACAGTGCCTGTGTTGCCTCCAACGCTTGAAGTAGAGTTTTGTCAGATAAAAACCATACAACAGCTTATAAGGATGCTTACCTCCCGAGCTCCGGGTATTTTGCCATCCAGTCGATGGTGTCCAAATTGAGTTGAATGAGGCCGTAGTCGACAGGGGTCTTGTACCAATTCTCGGGGATTCGCTCCCATCCCTCACGGTACGTCAGATTACGTTCCTCGCCGTATATCCCGAAGAAATTGCGTATGTGGCTTTTAGCTGTGATACATTCAGCATTTTGCAGATGTTGTCGAGCTGGACACCCGTGGTTGTACTTACTCAAGACGCCCTCGGGGTTCTCTTGGGAATGATTGCGGAAAAGCCGACCAGGGAAAATGTAGCCGGCATTACGTGCAATAAGGCCGGTCACGGGTCCGTAGTAGAAATTTGGGTTGGTTCGAATGGTCTCCTGAAAACGAAGTTTCGCGCGCTTGGCCATGAGATCCATATCGAAGGTGCCGTCACTGGACATATTATACCAAGTCATGAATTTGTCCATGTTTAATGCGTAGTTGTTTCCCGTGACATAGAGGTCGTCACGCGTGTTGGAAGAATCCGCTTCAATAAAGTTGTGGGAGCCAATAAGGCCCTGAGGCTCGCCTATAAAGATGAACGGTAGGTGTAAGTTAGGTATTCGCACAAGCACAGATGATATACGGACCCAGGAGCCCTCCAAGATTTCCAAGCAAGCTGTTCACATTAGTATCTCGACCTCCAATGGAGAAGCTAGGATCCAACGACAGCGGGTCTCCAGTCCAGACGGTGCCCATGATTGCGAGCACAGTGGCCAAATCAACGCCCATGCCATAAACTGCATACATCATTTTAGATTAGAAGCAATGTAGGCGTCATGGTGGAAATTTACCTTCGTTGATAGCCTCAATCACATTTGCAAACTTTATCACAATTAGCCAAGGAGCTTTTCTCCGTCACAGTATGAATCACTTGCCTCTGCCACACCATTTCGTGAGATATAGCCATGGTTCGCCAGCGCATTAAGACCTGGGCAGGGGCCACGCTGGTCACCGTTCTCGAAGTTTGGTGGTCGGAACTCGTGCTCGCCAGTGACTGGTTTCATTCCGTTAAAATCAGGTTATCTGCATGGATCTTTTCAACATACTGTCAATCGGCGAGTTCATCGTGTCGAACAGAAACCGCTTGTCATGCTCAGTCTCAACCATTGGTTGACCGTGGCCAAATGGACATCGTTTGTGCAAGCTTCCGTGGGCCAAGCGACCGCTGTGGAAGTCTCCGGCATCCGGGAATGCTGATGCGATGGCGAGGAGAGACGACGACCAGAGCAAACGCCCTGGGCTGAAGATGCGCATCTTGAGCAATTGATAAGATTCAAGGGAATCTGCAAAGACGACTGTTGAAGAGAGGGAACTTTTTGTGTACAACAGACTGCCGTGCAAGGTTGTTGGCCATCGTGTCTACTCCTTTTGGTCGGGATCACACATGTGATCCAAGCTTATGAACGAGAGACCCGTCCAATTCAGGGACCAGTAATTAATCAGCAGGTTTATGATTCGTACGCTCGAACTAAAATCAACACAATTGGGGTAGAATTTGTATACGGATAGATCGCGTAATTTACATTCCCCACACTACACCGGGTATTGACTTCAATGTCCCGTCCGGTTTTACATTCCCCACACTACACCGGGTATTGACTTCAATGTCCCGTCCGGTACTATTGACCGTCTTCCAGGAGTAGATGAGATTAGGGGTTTCCCTCTTCAAACCCCTTGAGGGGTTTTTCGAGGAAGCTTGGAACAATAGCGCTCAGACTGCGGTATTTGGTAAATACTCACCATGTGGTTTCGGCTCCGCAGGAATGTGGACTTACAGCACGATGATGCTGATCACGTCCGAAGTAGGAAAGTTTCGGCCGTTGCCATCGTGGTGGAGTCGGGTATACCCCAGCCAGCCCACAATGCTGATCAAGGTCTCGACTGTACTTTTAAAGGGGAAAGTGAGACCGACTTAGAGGAAGCAATCATTTCCTCAGAATGGAAGGAGCTTCGGGCCCTTACCGATTGAGGATGATAGTGAAATCAATAAGGTTTGGGCCACAACGTCTTAGAGCAGGAATAGGGTCGTTTCCGCTTGGCTGATCCATACGGAGAAGACAAAGTACCTGAGAGAGATAAGATGAATGGGCGGAATTTTTCCTAGTGGGCATACTGAGCTCAAAGTGGGGTAAGTGTCAAATTACCCGGTGTAGATCAGCGGCTCAGAAGGCTGTTTGGCCGGCTGGTGGAGATTGGTCTAGCCTTGTCCTCGCTCCTACCTGGCTATGGCACCGGTATCCACAAGCTTAAAACATTCCGGAACCGTAACCAAATACTAGTGGGCGATGCCATTCGTATACGCCGCAGATCCTAATTCACATACAAGCCACAATATGAGACTGGAACCAGGTCAGTGGTACCCTTCATAGACCCATCGCTAGCGTCTGTACATAGAATTCAATTTACGGGCTCTAGAGCTACAACTACCCTACGGCTCACAGCAACCCTTGCGCGATCGACAGAGTTGAACCGTCTGGATATTTCCCGGAAGATGAGAAGGCATGTCTAGTGCCTCACCGAAAGGAAGGTGACGATCACCTGACAAGACACACCTAAATTGAGAGTGTAAGCAAGTTAAAAATTCGCTTACATCCTGATTAAGAATTTGGGGTGCCAACAAGTCAAAATTTTGATTTATCGCTTACCTTGTCAAATTTTGCTCGGCTGTCCTCCGTTGGCACCTTGGTCACGGATATTTATCGCTTAGGAGCTCCAATATGCGTTTCCTAAAAGCAGTTGCCTTAGGCGTCGCTATTTTCACCGGAAATGCGATCGCAGGAATGACACAGCTGGAGGCTGTCTTACCCGCCTGTGCGGTAAGTGCTCTGACTATTTTGGCCGTTACTTGAACTTAATCACGGAATACTGATCTTGTGAAGCTGAAATGCATGACTTCTTCGGCTGCAGTGTCGTCCTGCGCAATTACAGATCAAACATGTCTCTGTACCGATGCCACTTACACCGCTACCTTGGAGGAGTGTGTGGTCACTAGCTGCACAATTCGGCAATCTTTGAGTACTTTGCCACGTCTATCTCTGCTGGGTTCCCTTGCTGACGCAAAAGCTACGAAAAATGTCACGATCACAGCATGTGGAGCTCCTATTCGCGATCGAACACATGTTGTTTCTTATGCAGGCGTTGCAGGAGGTATCATCGCTCTACTCGCCTTTATTCTTCGCATGGTTGCCCGGTTCAGATCCTGTGGTGGTGTTTTCGGTCTCGACGATTGGACGATGTTGTTCACAATGGTACTTTCGAAAGCTCCTTATTATCGCCGCTAGTTTTACTGACAATTATTAGTGCCTTTTGGTTCCACTTTCAGCATTGTCGGTTGTCTGTATGCGCCCCTTCCGATCTTACAACATTTTTCACGCCTGACTAACAGTCCTGTTCAGTGGCCAACGCCGGCTTGGGAAGAGATATGTGGACGCTTCCTTTCGAAAATATTACTCGCATCCTCTATGTGAGTTACATAATCTTAATATCCATGACCACAGATTCTGACGCCTTTCATTGTCACAGATTTACTTTTGGGACGAGTTGCTCTATTTGAGTATTCTTCCAATGACCAAAATATCGATCTGCTGCTTCTACCTTCGCATCTTCCCGGATCGGCAGTTCCGGGCCATCACTTGCATGGTTATTGGGCTTAACGTCAGCTATTTGATCGCCTTTATACTTATATCAGTATTTCAGTGTCGCCCATTAGACGGTGCATGGCTCCATTGGGATGGAGAAGGAAACTACAAGTGCAATCATATAAATGCCCAGGGCTGGTCAGCTGCAATTATCAATATGGTTCTTGATATAATCGTCATGGCGCTACCATTGCGACAGCTCTACCATCTGAATCTTTCCGTGAGGAAGAAAGTGTACGTGATGTGCATGTTCGGTCTAGGTATCTTGTGAGTGATCCTAGCCATTTTTACTATCAAAAAATTACTAAATCGCGAGCCTAGTGTCACCCTAGTCAGTATTCTGAGGTTAAATTCCCTTATTCACTTTGCTTCTACTAGCAATCTGACTTGTGAGTAATATTGTTTACAAATCTATGCAAAGGTTTACTAATAGACCTAGGGGACTATGTGACCATTGGGTATTGGAGTACCATTGAATGTGATGTTGGCGTTATTTGTGCGTGTTTGCCTGCCATTAGGTCATTGCTACGTCTTATTTTGCCCGGGTTCTTTGGTGACACTGAGAACGTCAAGTCAAACGTCATGAACTCTCACTCTCACTCTCACTCTCGCGGCACCGGCTCCCGTTTTGAAGGAAACATTTATGTCCAGAGTAAGAACGATGAGCGCAATTTTTACCCACTTGGTGACATGGACACCTCCAGCGAGGCTCAGCTAAACCACCACCAAACTTAGGGCTGGGTTGACAAAAGTTTTAATCCTGTTTATCCAAGGGCAAGCACGTTTCATGTTTCTTTCCTTCTTACTTGTTATTTTTTTTTTAATTTGTAACATTTACATACTTGAAGGCTCACTGGTGAAACATCAAAATTGTCAGTTTTTATCGTCAACGTATCACGAAATATATGGAAGATGAAAGTAGAAAGATTATATTCAAGATTTAGCTATCTCATTGGATACTAGCCCCGCGAGGCCATTGGGCCAATGTCCTGGCTTAAGTGTGGCACCGTACCCCGAAAAGCTACCGCACAGAGCAGTTACAGGCTCAGATACAGACACTACCCCCTAATAAAGGTCCTTTATTAAAGTTCGGCGGACAAGTCCCTGGGTGGGAGCTTCCCCTTCGGCAAATTCGATCCATGTTTGGGCTAGCGACTGGGCCAGGGCCCCATCCACTCCGCCGGAATCCCCACCCATTCCGAAAAGGTATAACTGGACTGGTCTAGGGTGACCGTTAGCTTGTTGGCTTCAGATGCCGTGTGATCGACACAGTGCAAAACATTGAAGGATGGGCTAAGTCGACCGTTAAATTAGTGGCGTCGTATGCCGCCTGATCGACACGTCAAGTGGGATGAGACGTGTCTGCACGAGAATACTTCAAGATTTGTGCTCAGCATAATGACAGTTTAATGATTGGCTAGTTAGTACCGCGGTCAGGGTTATCCGCTTCTAAGTGCTATTTCCTGGACGCTAGCAGATACGGAGCCAAGTGAATACGACATTTGCGCGTACTTTTGTACAGGACTCCTGGACTAGATCCCCCGGGCCTGTTACCACCACACCGGTATCGTGTCTCGGGATGAGCGCGTTGTAAGAGTGACTTATTAAAGGATTGGAATCTATCGCTCTAATTAAAAACTCCTGTGCCGATCAATGGTGCGAGAACAGATGTAGTAATGGCTAAGGGATAGCCGTTGGGGAAAGACACCGAGGGCCGGACTATAAGGTGATATAATAGAGTCATTGCAGGAACTCAAATTGTTCCTTCCAAGTCACTCATTTCTCTTTCTCTTTTGGAGGGCCTATTTCTGCCATTTCCGTCCATTATGCGACTCTCAGCGGTGGTTAGCTTAGTATCTGCCTATTCAGTTGTTCTTGCTTCGTAAGTACAGAGGCCCATGAGCCTTCTCTTGGGCCACGACTGCTTGGAACGTGGAAACTAACTACATGACACAGCAATCATCTGCCAGACCATCGACCTCATGATGCACACAAACGGGCATCGGAAGCTAGCAACACCGTCTATGACTACGTTGTTGTTGGATCTGGGCCTGGCGGCGGCCCCACAGCGGCGCGCTTGGCCATTGCTGGATACAGAGTGCTTCTCCTGGATGCAGGGGATGATCAGGGAAACGCAACCAGGCAGATCGTTCCTGCATTGCAGCTCCAATCGACCGAATACGAGCCGATGAAGTGGGACTATTTCGTAAATCACTACTCGAATTTGACCCGTCAGGAGGAAGATTCCAAGATGACTTACCGAACGCCTGCTGGTGACCTCCATGTTGGAGCCGATCCTCCCTCAGGCTCTGAACCATTGGGTATCCTCTACCCTCGGGCTGGTACCTTGGGCGGTTGCTCAGCTCACAATGCCATGATGTGAATCCTGTCTTCCCTGTAAACAACCAATTCTTTGGGCTTCCTATACTGATATTGGTCTTTCAGTACTATCTACCCATACGAGAACGACTGGGAATATATTGCAGCTATAACCGGCAATGACTCATGGTCCGCTCAAAACATGCGCCAATACTTTGAGCGGCTAGAACGCAACCGATATCTGCCAAGCAGTCTTATTGGTCATGGATATGATGGTTGGCTCACAACGAGTCTGACGGACCTACGCCTCGTCATTGAAGACCAGAAACTTCTCTCCTTGATCCTTGCCGGCGCGACCGCTGCTGGGCAGACTCTGCTTGGCAAACTAATTGATACAGTGACAGGCCTCGCAGGAGTACTTTTGCGTGACCTCAACAATGCTTCCCCTTCGCGCGACTACGAAACTGGTCCATACCAAGTCCCTCTCGCCATTGACGTCCCTGAATACAAACGAACGGGTGCTCGTGAATTCCTCATGAATACTGTCAACGCCGTCAACTCAGATGGATCACGAAAATATCACCTCGATATACAGCTGAACACGTTGGTGACTAAAGTCCAGTTTGATAAGACCGGGGTTACGCCTCGGGCTACTGGAGTTGAATACCTTCGTGGGCAGAGTCTCTACCGTGCTGATCCCCGTGCTTCAATGACATCCTCCAACGGCACCCCAGGAAGCGTAAATGCTACCCGTGAAGTAATTTTGTCTGCCGGTTCTTTCAATACCCCACAATTGTTGAAGTTGAGTGGAATCGGCCCTCATGAAGAACTCTCCAAACTCGGTATTCCCACGCTAGTCGACTTGCCCGGTGTTGGAGCCAACCTTCAGGACCGATACGAGACTGGCGTGGTCGGAAAATCCCCAACCGACTTTGTCCTCACCGAAAAGTGCACCTTCATGTACACCATGCCTGACCCCTGTCTGGAACAGTGGGAGAATGACCCTCTGTGGAAGGGCACATATTCCACTAACGGCATTGCCATCGCCATCATTCGCAAATCTTCCGTCGCTGACGATGAGCCCGATCTGTTTATCTCGGGAGCCCCCGTCAATTTCCCTGGTTATTACCCTAATTACGCCTATGAGGGTCTCAAGGATTCCCAGCACTGGACATGGATTACTTTGAAGGCGCGTAGCCGCAACAACGCTGGAACCATCAAGCTGCGATCGATCGACCCTCGTGACACACCTCTTATCACCTTCAACTCTTTCGATACTGGTGTGACTACTGATGGTGCTGATGATAAAGATCTGCAGGCTGTGTACGAGGCCATGGAATTCTCCCGTACTATCTATCAGGACCTTATTCCGCTTGATGGGGGCTTTGAAGAAGTCTGGCCTGGTCCTAATGTTACCACTGAGAGCGAAATGAAGGACTTTATCAAGCGAGAGGCTTGGGGACACCATGCCTGCTGCACTGCCGCGATTGGAGAAGATGGCGACCCGCAGGCCGTGCTAGACGCTGACTTCCGCGTTCGTGGAGTGAACGGCCTGCGTATCGTCGATGCATCAGTCTTCCCAAAGATCCCAGGTTACTATATTGCCCTTCCTATCTACATGATCAGTGAGAAGGCTGCTGAGGTTATCATTGCCGATGCGACCTGATTCAACTGTTCATTTCTTCAAACGTGATTTTTTATCGGGTGTCTAGTGCTCCACCCCGTTGGGTTTTCGAAATATAACTTAAAATTTGAGCAATTACTCTTTCAGCACCCCAAGCCCTACCAGTCTAGTTACAGGACGCACCTGCAGTTCTCCCCTCTACGTGTGGGCAGTACTCCAATAACCGTTGAGACGCACAGATCACCCATGCTGAGGCTTTGTTCTGAGCGTTCTTGCTCATGGCACAAACCTTGCGACCGACTTTATACAGCACAAATGGCACAAGTCCCATAATTGTAACCATTATAGCAAGACTAGTCAGCGAGGAATATAGTCCAAGTTTCTCGTACATCTTCACCAAAGCAGGACACAGAGTACCGGCGATAACATAGCGTGAGAAAGTCATGAATCCAAAGGCCGACGCTGCATACTACAGATACACGAAGATGATATACTTGTATGTTGTAGGAAATATGCAGACCAGACAATATAAAAACCCCAGACTCCACTACCCCTCTTTTCGCCCCTAAGAAACAGCCTTCTTCTCCTGTAAATGACTATTTTACGACACCCTACACTAGGCTTGCAAATATGGCCCCGCGACTTGTCCCCTCGTAGCTGCATCTTATTTTGGAATTTGAAAACGAATTATCCCTCTGACACACAGGCTTTTTTTCCCAGCGCCGCACTTCGTGCTCCACTAAATTTGGTCAGGTAAACCACCATCATTTCTTAATGTATCTCATGTGCTCTCCGTGACTCTTACTCGTTATCGTCGCTTGCATTTGACATTGAGCAAGTATCATTCACTCTCTTCGAAAGAACATTGGATATTACACGAAACTCTGGTGCACTGCTACCACGATACCCACCTTACTCGTCTCAATTCACTACTCTGGCTCCTATCCATCTATAGCACACCCCTGTCTCGAGAAGTTCTTGGGTCAAACGCATACTATAGCAACATAAGTACTGTCTACGACAAACGTATTGTCAACTCAACCAATTCACTCAGTCCAAAGTTCCAAGCAATCGACTCGGGAGGATACGCTTGAAGGATATAGTATGGCCTGCAATTGTTATCGCCGCAGACATAAACAGAAGATCAATGGGATGCAATAATTGAAGTATACTAGGCATCTATGGAAAACATGACGTTGCGCTAATGTCACGAGTTGAGTATGGTGGAGAAGATTTGGACTTGATGCACTACTGAGAAACACGAACAGAAGTCGTACACAGTGAAGCCCGAAAGCTTTCGGCTTCGGGGATGAAATTCGGAGTGACGTCATGATTGAAGCTCAAGATGCGGGAATACAAAAGGGTCGACGAGCTGCTCCTTACTATCCATCAGAGAATTATTCTATATCCCCAGGCCTTGTTCTTCCTTACGTCTATCATGTCCGCCATTACCATCCAGAAGGGCCCTATTCGATTGGCTGGCCTCATCCACAAGCCTACCGTATCCGGCTCCAAATTTCCAGCTCTCATAATTGTGCACCCTGGCGGCGGTGTCAAGGAGCAGACTGCAGGCCTTTACGCAAAAAACCTTGCCCAGAAGGGATTTGTTACTGTTTGTTACGACGCCTCCCACCAAGGCGAGAGCGGCGGTGAGCCTCACTTCCTCGAAGACCCTTCGCAACGCGTTAGCGACGTTTCGAGTGTCGTTGACTACCTCGAAAAACTCGATTATGTCGATTCCGACAGCATCGCTGTCATCGGTATTTGTGCAGGAGGTGGATATGCGATCGCTGCTGCCAAGATTGACCACCGCCTAAAGGCTCTTGCCACGATCAGCATGGTTAATATCGGCGACTCGGCACGTCTAGGCTGGGACGCCGACGAAGACCCAAAACAAAAGGTTGGAGCCTTCGATATGGCAGCTAAGCAAGTTACCGCTGAGAATAATGGAGCTGAGCCTGCGGCTGCACCCTACGTGCCTCCCCAGTTGGACGACAAGACTCCCGCTGATATGAAGGAGGCTCACGACTACTATCTCACTCCGAGAGCCCGGCACCCCCGTGCCTGCAATAAAATGTTGATCCGGAGCTTCCCGCTAGTGCTGAACTTTGATGCTTTCCACCTGGCGGATCTTTACCTCACACAGCCTACTCTGCTCATTGCAGGTGGGAAGGCAGGCTCTTTATGGCACACTGAGAAGCTCGATAAGCTAATTGGAGGCGCCACGAAGAAGTTGATCGTTCCTGATGGAACGCATATGGATTTCTATGACCAGGAGAAGTATGTTGATCTGGCTGTCAAAAATATTTCCGAGTTCATGAGTGAGAAGCTATGAAAGACAGCGATTGTGGATATAGAGAAGGATTGAGTTTCAATGAGTGTATAGGCGAAGGCTGCGCGTGACGAGCAGGCTTAGATATATGAGGAAACGGATGGAGGATGGATCATGCCAGATTGTTAAAACTTTCCTCTTGTTTGATCTGTCTGCATATAAGTTACAGCCATTTTATTTTTGGTAACATAGTATAATAGTTGATGACTCACTACCAGATCGATATATCCTATTCAAAATTATAGCCCTGGGCCTTGAGCTAGAAAGTCGTGTTTGGTATGGGATTCGGGGGGTGGCGGGGGAAGGGGTGAAACACGTTATCGAATAGGATCCAAGCCTTTTTCGATTTCGCATGATGAAAGAGTCGACTTGATAGAATAAGCTCTATCAAAAGCTGAGTATAGTTTCTTTCAAAGCAAGTCCCTCTGTACCTAGTAGGGCAACGTAGGAGCTAGTGTATCCTCGGATTGCTGGCCCGAATCCCGGTGGATTATTGAGGTGCCAGACTCTCAAACCACGACACACGAGGTCGTTCATTTGATATTGCGAGGGTGGCTTGGCACGAGGCCTTTGAACTAGGTTACAGGTAACTAAGTTAGCTCCATATTTCAGCATTCCAGGAGGTATGGTTTGAGCAAGGCGCGTGATTGTGACAGGTCGGAAAGATGAGGGGGCCAACACCTGCCCCTTTCCGGCATGTTCCGCCCCCGGCTAGGCTCGCTGGCTCCTGCCAACTCGGCAAATGCCCAGCTAAAGATAGCCCGTCTGCAGTCTCCACGTTCACCCAATCAAATCCATCTCATTGCTAATACATTCGACTGACTCTCTTGCCTCTGTTGAGAAGCGGCATTTGCTGCAGATAACAAGAATTGACTCATGATGCGCATTCTTTTCGAGCGCTCCGCACTTACCCTTCCAAAACACCTGAATTAATCAAGATTTCAATTGCAGTCGTCGATCTGAGGTTGAGTACAGGGCGTGCTTCGCGTTATAAGACCCTCAATTGAGTGGATAAGGTCCAAACTCGTGGAAGATCGAAAGCAATTCACGCATAGGGTGTGCCCATTAGCTTTCATCACATCTGCAGATTACTTCCACTTATGAGCAATACATCATCGAAACGAGCTAAAGATGCCCCGCGCGTGCGCCAGGGGAGACCCAAATCGGTGACATTCACTGGGTAAGTGAGCGCTAGCCTGGATGATTGACCCGTGCTGACGTAACTTAGATGTTGGACTTGCAGGAAACGCAAGGTCAAGTGTGACGAGAGGCATGTAAATGGATGTGCCACCTGCGAGAGAGCTAGGGTAGAATGTGGAGGATATGGGACGACTCTACACTGGGTGACAGGGACTAACAAAGGTCAACAAATACGCCAACGCAGACAAATCAAACTTGGTCGGTTGCACATGAACTCCTCCAGCCCATGCTGTAACTGACGAGTCCAGACCATTCCAGCTTTCGTTGTATATCAGATGGTGAACTTGATTCAATGTTGGCTGCTCTCGACGCGGTAACAAAGCCACTCAATACCGAGAGCTTAGGTCCATTTTCAATATTTCAAACTCAATCTGGTGTTCGAAAGACCTTTATCTTTAATGGAACTCATCTCCAAGCAAATGTTGAACATGGGTTCCCAACCAGCGATGATTCCTTCGATTATGTCTCCTCGGCCAGTGGCTTTCAGATTCAAACATCAGCCAATGCGCTTGCTCCACTACATGAAGAGAGAGCCACTGAAGTATCTATTAGCGCCACTTCACATACTAAATGGATGGCATCTGTGAAAAGCATTACGCCCGGCTTTGAGCTATTAGTGTCATTATTCCATGACAAGGAGACGTCCATGCTTATGTACCACTATACGACCCACGTTGCAGAACTTCTCCAGCCAGTACTTCATCCAAAGAACCCTTGGAGAACAACATATTTCCAATTTGCTCTGGAAGGGTGTACCGAACCCCCCTTTGGGCAAACCGCCATTTCCACATCGAAAGTCTCGACCGCAATCTTTCACAGCGTTCTATCATCCGCTGCATTCCACCTCCGAAATGCGACCGCCGGGTCAACTAGATACCACAGACTCGGCCTTCAGCATAGAGCTCAAGCGCTCAAAGCCTTAAAATCAGCACTGGCTCATCCCTGTGACTCACATACCTACATAGGGTATTTAACCGCCATGCTTTCTCTGGTCACAATTGATGTAAGTCTTCTTTCAAGGTCAGCGGAGAATCTCTATCTCATAATTGGCAAAATAGACTATGACCGGCGAAGATGCAGACTTCCCCATTCACCTCAATGGATGTCACGATCTCCGAAGACGTTCCCACGACAGGATAAGTGGTGATCAAAATCGCCAGGTCGGCAATATATGTCACTTTTTGACGCTTCTAGCACGTACCACATCATACCAACTTCGAAACGCGAAACATCAAAGCGGATTTTTGTTTGACAACTCATACTTCCACATTGATGACAAAGCCTTAGAGCATATGTACGGTATTACCCCTGCGCTTGGGAATATGCTCCAGAGAGCCTGTGACCTTTCCGAATATCTCTCCACATATAATGGGGAAGACGCCCCTGTGGCATTCTTCCAGTCTAGTGAAGCACTAAAGGTTGACCTGCTTGCATGGAGGCTGGACTCGAAACAGTTCAGTCTCCTTGGATCCGGAATAATAATGGCTGAAATCGCTCGTTGTCAAGCTCGGGCGTTCCACAGCGCCGTATTGATTTTCTTTTACCGGAACGTTGAAATGAACCGCTCCTTGGAGTTGAACCATGAGGTAAACTCCATCCTAAAGAGCCTCACAGTGGCAGAGAACCTCAAGGATGAATACATGAAGGGGGAAAAAAGATCTGCGCCTATGTCTTGGCCAGCATTCATTGGGGCTTGCGATGCGACCGATCGGAAGCCTTGGGAAGAGTGGTGGACCCGCGTACAAGACTACAGGATAGGGAACTACAAAAAGCAGTGGGAGGTTATTCAAGAAATTTGGAGAATCATGGATGAAGACGTGAGTGTCACGGGGTGGAAAGAGGCGCTTCATTTATCTGGCAAGCTTGTTCTTCCGATCTGAAGATCAAATGTACTATTTTAAATACTCTCCCTGAACAGTCATTCCGAGTGTCTATCCAAGGAACTCTCACTGCCTGTAGAATCCTTCATGAGTGGGCCCTGAATTCGATCTGACATTCATGCTCCTGTGACTCTGTCAGCGTAATGATACAACATGCGTGATAATATGAATAACTAACTTCCATTGCCGAGCAAGTTTCATCATAGAAAACTTCATATCTTGCAGTAATTCCTGGAGAAACAGTGTCGAAATCCCCTTTGGTGGAGGTCGTATATTGTCGGTAGATAGCGGCGACGAGCGTCGTCATCTCAGCCATTGCAAGACTAAACCATATGTCAATTCAAACTCCAACGAAGATTTTGGGCTTCTAACTGCATCCCAATACACATTCTCCCTCCACTTGAAAAGGCCCAAAACCATTTCTTGGCCTCAGTGGCTTCCTTGGTCGAGTCCAACCACCGGTCGGGGTTGAATTCCAATGGGTTCTTGAAGACTTCTGGGTTCCGGTGAAGCGCATATGGTGATATCGAAACAGTCGTGCGAGGCGGTATCGTATAGCCATCGATAGTCGCAGTTGCACCCAGGGACCGTGGCTCAGATCCAGGGAGAGGGGCGTAAAGTCGGAGAGTCTCTTTAATGACAGCATCCACATATGGTAGTTTGTCGCATACATCCGCCCTTGGGATTCTATCCGCATTGATACTGTCCACTGTTATTTTACCGACTTCCTCGATAAGTTTTTCCTGATATTTCCTGCCCTGTGGGCGGGACAGAGCCCAGATCAGAAACATCAAGGTATCACTTGTGGTATCGATCCCGGCGAGGAGATGATCGGCACATTCCGACGCGATATCGAGATCGTCGAGTCCATTTTCTTTTCGAGAAACGTGATATTGCCATAGCTTGGCGATTAGAGATGTTTCTTTCGCTTTGTCGCTCTCGGAGGCCATGGCGAAGGATTGACAGGCTTTCATCGCATGAAGTCTTATCCCTGTATACGTCGTCGGAAGGTTCATCGGGTATAAATGACGCGCAATGCAGCCTATGACTCCGGTCCTCGAATAAAGCCACTTTGTAAATCCAGGGAAGTGGACGGCGTACCATGATAGCTTCCGACGAGAAGTATCGAGAATATCGTTGATGAGTGCTCGGTCTTGTTCCGATCCTTCCATGCAAGCCGTTCGTCCATATTCTCCGTAAAGAAAATGCGTGATATTATCCAACGAGAAGTAGTGCAATGCAGAGAAGATTTCAATTGTTGGACCAGTCTTCTTCAGCAGATCCATATACAATTTGGCTTTTTGCTCAACCATTGCAGAGTTTCCTCCTTTCAGCATGACAGATTTGGTGTATGAGTGGGCGACAAGCTTTTTCCGCTCTCCGTGTTCCTTGACCGTGGCAAATGTGAACAGGTTCTGACGGCCATACGCGTCAAACATGCGATAAAACGCCGTTCTTTCAAAGCCACTCCCGGCTCCATATATTGTTCGGAGAGCTGAAATACTGTTGAAAGATACTTCATTTGGTCCAACACGAACAGCAGGGCCAAATTTGGCGTGAAGGTCATTTATTTTTCGTGTGCGTGTGCCTTTGTAGTCTTCAAACCCCAGGGTCGCCCAAGTCAAGGCGAATGACTTGGGGCCGGGAATACGTGCCAGGGGCGAGAGTATTAGAGAATTCAAGACATGGTAGATCAAAAACCCTATGATGAGGGTCGCGAGTGCACTGAGTGTTAACGACATTTTGAATCAAAGAGAGTCAACAGCGACAGAATGCGTCAACTTTCGCTGTCTAGGTCTCTTTGCAGGTGTCTCCAATCTGCCTTGATGTGGTTCAATGGCACAGTTGATGTGAGTGCTCCTCAACCGAGCAAAGGTTAGAGAGAGGAATGAACAATTAAATTGAGAATAACGAGCGAGATTTATTTTTCGACACGAGGTCGAAGAACAGCCGGCGTGGAGAAAGTCAAGTTATGACCTTGGAAGTGCGGAGTATGGCAACTACCAGCGAGAAGTGGGGGTGCGCTATAACAGGCAAGAAACACGACCGATAACTAACGATTCAGTACCACCATGCTATATCATTTATAGGTCCTTCATTCACTTTCACTTTCACTTTCAAATTAATATTCTTTTCAAGGAAATATTATCAGAATCGCTTATTGGAAATTTGGTTCGAGCATGATTCAAGATAGAGGCGCCAAACGCGCTAGAACCGTTAGTGATGACTACCGCCCTGCGACTCTCACAGTCGCATATCTCCATTAGACTAGTACTTCTCTGTTAGAATTCCCATACAAGAAAACAGACACGATCGTCTTAGTAGTGGGGGCAATGGTACGCAGACTTACGGATAGATAAGGAATCCGGCGAAATCGATTGGACAACCGCAGTGTCTCCTAAGATACTCATACTGATTACCTTGTGAAATTTCTGTCGGCAATCCCGATCAAAATAACAACCCGGATAATAAGCTGGATCTTTTCTATCCATGCTAGCCCACTCTCACGGCTTCAAAATGACCGATTCATATCTATTTGTCGTCTTCCGAAGGGGACGACTAGGAGGCCAGGATCAAGTCTCATTTGAATATTTCCCGCCCCTCCCTACCGATGGTGGACTAGAAAGTCATTTGGAGATATCTTCCGGCCGTTGCGGGTCTCGGGGAGCCGATGAGCAGGATCTTGTGGATCTTGAAATCTGATGACCTCGCTATATAGGCTCAGTGCAAGTTTACCAAACATTTCTCGCTCGTATTTGGGATAATATCTTGCCACACAGCATTCTTCTCACTCACTACACACCGGGCTTACGGAGCGGTAGGCGTGGTGCGGTTGTAGGAGGTGGGATCGATTGTCGGTACGAAAGGTGGTTTCACTGCCGTTGGAAGGTGAAGTTTTCTTCGAGACTATTGGTACGGATGTGCCATCTATGCTCATTCATGTCGAGGCATGAGTAGTGTCCGAACATTTCATGGATAGGAGGTTGTTGTGAAAGGACATCGGTATCTCATCCTTAGTAGGGGCCGTTCCTGGTAGAGTCTCTGGGGAAATCGCGATGGTAGTCGGTAACTTCAAGACCAATTCGTAAAGAATATTTGTTGTTGCACTCTCTGTTAATCCTGGTGGCGTGGAGGGAGTTTCAGTTAAAACCAGCGGGTAAGTCAACAAAGAGAGATTCCACTCGTATCTGATGTTAAAGGGCTAGGCGATGTTTATCGAAATGGCTGCAGAGCTTTCACATGTTCGAGCACAATACCACGGGTAAATTGAATTGCTGAGAAAAGCCCTCGGACTCCTCACACAATACTACTCCAAGGTTGCATCCTTATGTATACTATTAGCCATCTTAGATCATCTGTAAGCAAAATTTCAATCGGTTAGAGAATACCAGAGTAATGTCTTGGAGCAATTTGTCCTCCAAAATAAGCCACCCACGCATTCGTTGGAGAAGGTGGAATTAGTCGGCATACAATATTGGTCAAGGATGTTGCCTAAACTCAACTCAACATCCTATTCCATGACACAGAAAAGCTAGAACACGATGGTCACACCATGAGTCTCGAGGATAATTGGTAGTTGGGGAATCAGTTGCGCCACTGCCTCTGAAGCCAAATTACGCTGCATGCAAACGGGCTGGAAACAAATGCTACCGGCGCTCTCCGAAATCTAGAAAAGGGGCCGGGAATCAGCTAGCCTTGGTCATCGCAATGTGACAGGTTTGAAATGCCTCGGTAGAAGAAACGAAAACTACAACTAAACTAATGACGAGAGGAATGTACAATATCTCTCCGTAGAACTCCGTGATATAATGAAATAACGTATCATGTGGAGATCTGATTGATGAACATCCGTCAATTCGTGCCTTCTCGTGCGTTGCGTATATCCGAGGCTCCGGTTCGCGGATCTATTTCAACTGTACGGTGGGCCTCGAAATCGGACCCGCTAGCTAGAACGACCTGGCATGTTGAGGCGTACGGAAAAGTGTTCTTCATTCATCTGGACATTCTAAATCACATGATCCATCTGGAATGGTCTGTTTGTAATTGATGTACTACTCGCTGCATCATGAGAATCAGTGAACGCAGAGCTCTCAACAAAGCAGCAGATCGCCGATGTCCTTCTCTTCCCAACGTGACCTTTTCGAGCCCCTATGCAATTGGAGAATGGTACCCGGCGCTCTCCCACTTCATTTACACGCGCAGTACACCGACGCTCAGGCAAAGTTCAACAGCCAGTAGACGGTAGAATAGGTAGAAACGACGTTGATAGAAACCGGCATCCGCCGGTATCCCGTGAATAGAGTTGAAGTATTCAATCTCCCCCTGTAGGTTACCCCAACGATCATCTTCTCATGATCGGCCCGCTTACCAAAGTGACTACTTCACATCCTTACCACGTTCGATGAGGCGTCTAAGATACTTCCCGATCGGGAATACCGAAAACCGGAGAAGGCGTCAAAAAGCATGGCGCCTGAGGCACCAAGTCTACCGAATCAGGTGTGGCGACATCGGCAAGTCCGTAATGGCTTGTACTAATCCCTGTCTAATGACCTGATAAACTTTGCCTCATATTCAAGTGCCGGGTAGGTTCATCGATCTACGGGAAAGAATTCTGCAATTTAGTTTTGGTTTCAGAGAGCTAGGATGATTCCGAGTGCTTGAAGATCATCATGACAACATCTTCCAGCCCAGGAACGATCGCTACGATGCATGATCATCGAACGAGTTTACCGAGGCCTTCGTATCTCAAGACCCACTGGCCAATTTTTTGTGGGGAAATCTGGCGGGGAGACTGGGAGGCCACCGACTGTAACCACACTTATGATCTCCAAGCCGAGACTACGAGCAGTCACTAAGGAATAGTGTTCGAGCATAATCCTAGTCAAAGCAAAATTAAACCTTATGGCATGTATGCCAAGCAACGGATCTGGGGGAAAATGTGTGGGGGAAGCGCAACAGCTCGTTTCCCGACGGCTTGTTAAAAGGTGGTAGTTCATAGTGTAACGGCGACCGCCGACAGCCGAAAATTCAACCCCATACTTAGAGGCCCGTCATCGCAGCGATGTCACTTTATCTACACCATTAAACTATTGAATCAATAATAGAAAGCGGATCGCATCACCCAGTGATCTAACTTCTTATTTCTCTTCCTCTTTCTCCATCTGTTGTGTGCATCTTGAAAGTTTTTCTAAATCATGGGTTTGAAGCCGTATTTGGGCCTTCGGGGCAACGCTCTGCTCAGAGCTGCTGTTCTGCTGGTCGTGGCTCCGACCTTTACCTGCTATGGATACAACATGAGTGTTGCTGGTGGTCTATTGACCCTCGACGCGTTTAACGACCAATTCCCCCGCATGGACACAATTCACACCTCAGGTGCGCTGGAGAAGGAAAACTCAACAATCCAAGGTCGGTCACTTCAATATTGACGTCAATGCCACTCCCCCGTCTAACTAGTCACCAATAATCTAGGCACGGTCATTGCTCTTTACACTGTCGGCGGTATTTTCGGTGCCTTGTCATGCGTCTATCTCGGTGATCTCCTCGGCCGGAAAAAGGTCATTTTCTTCGCCAACCTCGTGGGTATCATCGGAGCAATTCTGATGGCTACTTCTTTCCAATTCGCCCAATTCATTGTCGCGAGATTGGTTCTCGGTCTAGGTATCGGTGGATATGTGGCCACAGTTCCGGTCTGGCAATCAGAGATCTCTCCCTCACACAAACGAGGCTCTAACGTGGTCACTGACGGCATCTTCGTCGGTGTCGGAGTCACTGTTGCCCTTTGGATTGATCTGGGTTTCTTTTTCGTCAAGGATAACTCCGTTTCGTGGCGATTCCCCCTTGCTTTCCAGGTCATTCTCTCAGTCATTGCTATGATCTTCATTACCGTCATGCCCGAATCGCCCCGCTGGCTCATCAAGACCGGACAGCAGGAGAAAGCCCGCCACGTTATGGCTGCCCTACAGGATTTGGACCCTTACTGCGACGAAATTACCACCGGCATTGCCCAAGTCGAGACCACCCTGGCCGTCTGTGGTTCTTCCTCGTGGAAGGATATGTTCACCAACGGTGAGAAACGCCTGTTCCACCGCGCCTACCTCGCCGCCACTGGCCAGATGTTCCAGCAAATGTGCGGTGTCAACCTGATCACCTACTACGCCACCACCATCTTCCAGCAGTACCTCGGCATGGATGCCGTCAAGTCTCGCATTCTGGCCGCCGCTATGGGTCTGATGCAGCCCTTTGGAGGATTCCTCGCTTTCCAGACCATCGATCGCCTCGGTCGTCGCCCTCTCATGCTGTACAGTGCTGGCGCTATGGCAGTTTGCATGGCCTTGCTCGCTGGCTGCACGTCTGATTCTGCCGCCAATAGCACAGGAGCCCTGGTCGTAGCAGTCATCGCCCTGTACTGTTTCCAATTCATCTTCACCGTCGGCTATTCCGGCTTGACCTTCCTTTACGCCGCAGAGATGGCACCGCTTCAAGTGCGCGCCGCTGTCAGCGCCGTCTCTACTGCCACAGTGTGGGTATTCAACTTCCTCCTGGCAGAGGTAACCCCGGTCGGCTTCTCCTCGATCGGCAGCAACTATTATATTGTCTTCGCGTGCATCAACGCATTCATCGTGCCCGCAGTCTACTTCTTCTTCCCCGAGACCAAGGGCTGCTCACTGGAAGAGATCGATGAGATCTTCATCCGCTCGAAGAACATTTGGGACCCTCCCAAGGTGGCACGCCAAATGGCGCTCGAGCGCAGCGTGCAAGTTGGGCAACCTGACTGCGAAAGTAGCGGTGATAACAACGGCTCCAATGATGACGAATACGTCAAACAGGAGCTCAAGTCTTAAATATGTGATATGATGATTAACAGGGAGCCCAACTGAAATTTGCGGCATCTCTTTGGTTTAATTGGCGATGGATTTCTTTTTGTTTGGCATTTGGCATAGGTTACGGAACCCTTGGATTGGTTCGATGGTCTACGGACAAGGCAGCGCAGGAAGTTGCTAAATTGTATATATGGGTATGATTGATCAATGATCCTGGAGCATACGATACCCTTGATTGGGTCATTTGCTATATCATTTGCTATACTACTTTTCTTGTTTGAATTTCTTCCAGTTCTCAACCTCTTCATCGTAGTCAAAGTCAAAGTTGACACCCTCAAAATCTATAATACTTGTAAAGTTTTCTTCAGAAAGTTAACATTAAGCAAATCAATCGATTTACTGAAGCTGTGTCGATCACCAAAAGAGGAAGGTATCCGGGGAAGCACAGCCAAGCAACCTTCACATGGACCAGGCCCGATGGAACAGCGGCACAAGGTCCGTGCTGTAAAAAAGTATTTCCAATTAATGGAACTGAATGGATGGAACCTGGGGTAATCCAGAGAAGCTATGGTCACTCTAAAATCGGAGAGTGCCGCCGCTGGACCACCTGACTGCATCTGAGACCCCGGAGATGCCCACCGTTGCCACGATATTCATGTGGCTGAAAACGCTCGGTTGTGCTAAGGAAGTCTAAATCTCGACTGGAGTTTGTTCCCTTTTATTCCCTTGTGGAAAGACGGCTCGCGGTGTTACTTTGACTGGCTAAAATGACCTTGGATGTAAGCGAATAGGCAAGGGATATAGTCTAGGCTATGCGATTTCATGCACCCACGTGTATGCATGGGGATATTCCTTCGAGGTATCTTCAAATAGCGTTTTACACCAGTCTTTGGCTGAGTGGAAAGGTTTGCCCAAACTTTGGCGGGAAGTTTGTTCACAAATGCCGAACTTCAAACCAGGGTACTTCAGGTCAGTTGATCCGGCTTCTCTACAATACTTCGAGGCTCTGTTTGATTTTAAATCGTACAGACGTTCGGTGGAGAATGTTGAGCATATTTTACGTAATGTTGCGTCGCCGAGGCTCCTCATGATGCAAAGTGTGCGGGTTCCAGCTGAACGGGACCCAGAAAAAGTTGGCGGGGACCCAGAGAATCATAACTAATCCAGGGTCCCGGCCAGCTCCCACACCTGGTCGGGACTCAGGATTTTATCTTGTATAATATATTTTAGCGCGAAGCTGTTTTATTTACCCCTTTGAAAATATTTCGACTATCGAAAGCCTAAAAAAAAAAAAAAATTTCAGTCGGATATTTAAAATATATTGTAGTGGTGAAACGCATGACATAATAGATGCAGTTGCGGCCTGTGTCACGAATACCTTGGGCGTAAGCAATAGTTTCTACATGAAGATAGAGATAGATCAGGCATCTACCTAATTCATGCCAGTCTTTTACCACATTCCTTTATTCATGGTACGGTATTAAGGGAAATACGCAGTGCCTCTCCCAGCCCAACCTCCACCGGGAGTGGTGATGTGTGTTCTCCTAGTTGGTGTTGTCCAGTCTGCATTGCCAGACAGCCATCGGGCCATCCCCTTTTCAATATATAAAATAGGGTAAAAAACTAAAGATTTATTATAAGGTTAGAGATAAGCTCTCCAAAGTACATATAATATTCTAAAAAGTAGTGTTATATACACTAAAATATATCTTTAAGACTCTATTAGCCTTATCTACGTTTTAATACCTGCTACTAATTCATATCGAGTTTTTATTTTATGCGACCGATAAAATATATATTAAAATACTTATATAGTAAATATACAGTAGTATAATTAGAACCCTTAAAAGCAGTAGGTATAAAAAATAGGGACAAAGGTTTTATAATAGTTACCTCTTTTTTCTACCGGCAGAAAATAAGTACATAGTTTTAGTAAGGTTAGGCTAGGTAATAGCGTATAGTTTAGATATAATTAACATGAACTAGGTATAACCGCTGACTGGGATTGATTTCCTGAGTCCCGGCCAGGTCCGGGAGCTGACAGGGACCCAGGATTAGTCTGGGTCCCCGTCAACTGGAATCCGCAAAGGGTTCTCGGCCGCGGGTTTAAGGCAAATCCAGTCAGATACCCGTGATAAGCTTAACCCGCGGCCGAAAGGGTACTCCTATCTTCTACATCAGCTATAGGTAATCGGATTTGAACAAGTTATGATAATCAAGATGCAGTATATAAATATCCGCAACTACTCACGTTGAAAGGTGATAAAATTTCATCCTTTAAATCATAAAGCCGATCACAAAATGCGCACCGGAGAACCACCAGTGATCGATTTTGGGCGTGAGTTGAGATTCCAATTCCTAGATCTAATAAATGAGTCTTCGAAACTGATTACCATCTTCCATAAAGCATATTATGGCTCCGATACCGAAGCTAAGAAGAACCTTGTGCAAGAAGTCCGGCATGCTTGTGAGCAATTTGGCTTCTTCCAGCTCGTCAACCATGCCATCCCGTCAGATCTCCAAGGGCAAGTCCTTGAACAAAGCAAAGACCTGTTCGAGCTTCCACTAGAGACCAAGCAAAAATACGATAAAGGTGGCCTTCGATCCCTATATATCAAGTTCTTTCAGCTAACAGGAAGCATGATCAAGAAGTCGAAGGTTACCAGCGTGGCTACGAATGTCTTCGGTCGCAGAACTTCGAGAAAAGGACCATGGGAGACCTCAAAGAAGGATACTACTTGGGAAAGAATCTGCCATCAGATGATCCATTCGTGGTTGAAAGAAGATTTGGCCAAGCCCCGAACAAATATCCGACAGAACTCCATGATCCACCAAAGTTCCAAAGTGTCATGGAAGAGTATCACTCTGTTATGAGCACTTTCGCAACTAATCTCATGCAAGTCATGGCGCTCACATTGAATTTGAATGAGGACTTCTTTGATGAGTTTTGCGACCATCCGGTTGCTGTGCTTCGACTGCTGCATTACCCGCCGCAGGATCCAACTACAGTGGAGACTGAGAGAGGTGAGTATCTGGAAAGATCACAACCCACTTTCCATAATAAAAGCTTATTCGTTGTTCAGGTATCGGCGCCCATACCGACTTCGGCGCAATCACTATTCTTCTACAAGACAACACCGGCGGACTACAGGTATGGAACAACACCTCATCCGAATGGGTTGACGTGACTCCCATTTCCGGGGCTTACGTGGTCAACCTGGGCAATTTGATGATGCAATGGACGAATGATCGCTACTTGTCCAACCTTCATCGAGTCATCAACAAAAGTGGGGATGAGAGATTCAGCGTTCCCTTCTTCTTCTCCGGTAACCCGAACTTCACAGTCGAGTGTCTTCCAAGCTGTATCGATTCCGAAAAGGGCGCAAAACATCCCCCCGTTATGGTTCATGATTGGATGGTTGGCCGCATTGCAGATACCTACGGCTGTTCGCATTATAAAGCGATTGGTGACTTGCGGCAAGAGCTTGCGAATAGCATGGAGACGAGGTAATTGACTGAAAAGGCTATCTTCAATCATGTTTCACAAAATGCACTAAGAATGTCTTCCCATTGAATCGTGTTTCCGAAGAATTGGTCCATCGTCGGTGCAGAGCAAGGCTCGAAAGAAGATATCCTCGGTGAGCGCGGTCTCCCTTGAGAATCGTTGAGTACGGCGCGAGATATAATCTCCTGTAGACAGAACTGTTTCTGTGCTCCGGATTCTATTGCACCTTCCATTTCCAGAAGGCTCTGGATGAGTCTAACTCCCCTCTTGGCGATACTGCTTTTGTGTTGATTGGTTTGAAGGAACGTCAAGCTTCTTGATGCGAGGGCTCGAATTTCTTGCGGGTCGAGTAATGGTTCGTTCTCTTTTGAGAATATAAGTTCGAATAAAAGCCATACCGCAGCGGTCAATATTTGTGTGTTAACGGTCCACATGTTCTTTGTGATTGGTGTGTGGGGTCCATCTTCGTGTAACAAGAGGAAGTTGGAAAGGTGGCGGCGCATCATTGGAAGACATGAGATCTGTGATTTGTCAATTCAAAGTATTTGGGCTACTAACTGAAAGGTCTTGCCTTTGTATATGCAAACCAAGGGTCTTTCAAACTTGGGATTTGGAAGTGGCGATGAATGGAATAAAACTGGAGGAAACGTATCAGTCCAGGTAGGCCTATTTCTGACATGGGCTAGCATACTTTGTGAGCAAAAGATAAGAACAACACAGCTCTCTGCTGTGGTATATGAGCAGGAGTCCCTGGGGTGTATGCTACTTCAGATCCGAAAAAAGGGGCAACCCAGCGATAAGCTGCTTCATCTCGCGATCTGCTTGTAAAACCTCAGAATAAAGGTCACGCATGCTGCTCTCGGTCTCTTCTTCGGCGCGCTTTTGACACATTCTGTCTTCCATCTTCCATATTATCACAGCCACTGTGACGCTATGTTAGCCTTGATATTAAAAGGAGCCATAGATTGATATACCGTTGTTCAAAACAGATGTATAACTTCCTTGGGTATATTGATCTTGATCGTGCTGTATCACCTCGCCGTCAACAACCATTTTAAAGGCCTCCTCGTCGCAATTTCTGGGCATCGGTGTATTGAATTGGGAAGGGTGAATATTATACGTATTGTTGAAAGGAATCTGGAGCCAGTCTTGTCGCACAAGAAACCACCACACTCGCTTGGAAATCTCCCGATCAATCAGCCGTCTAGTGCGCAGAATTTGATCTGTGCATTGCGATATACTGGATTTGTGATCAGGGCCCAGTCGATGAATTGCTAGACACTGCGCTATGCGGCTCCCAGATGCCAAAAGAACCGAAATTCGATCAGAATCTCCAGTATTGTGACCAATATAGATCAGAAGACAGATGGCTTGGACACTGAAGAGACTATGATTCTTCATGAAGTCGGCCTGGTTCAGGCTTTCGATACTCTTTTGATAGCAAACCATAGCCAACTCGTCTGTGTGTAGTAAACAGTTAGATCAACGCCCGAGATGTTGTCAGCATAACTTACCCCCGGCGTAGATTTCAACCTCTTCCAATTTGGAAGCATGAGCATGGTACAAGGTGACCTGTTAACTCAATTAGCCTTAAGATCAGAAATTACAAGTCCTTCAGTTCGCACGGCAAGTATAGCATAATATAGCGAGACCCAGTCTTCTTCAATTGATGTTCCTCCACTGCACAATCTCTCCTCACATTGGTCCAGAAATGTAGGCATATGAACCACATTATGAGTCCACGCAATACATTTTTGATGATGTTCCATCAATTCTCTGACTTGGGCTCCCGTAAAGAGCAGCTCGGAAGTGCTTGAAAGCGTTTCAGCTTTCTGTGGCCGGTCAACTTGGGCAGCTTGCAGAACATGTTGGCGACTCAACGCCAAGAATTCCAGCATAACAGCCGCGTCTTGGGTGACTGAATCCACTACACTTGGCCCGCGCTCAAAGGTCATCGACTGTAGCGGAGTGAACTCGGGTGAGCCAGGCGTTGTATTATTTGAAGCCCCACGTTGAAGCGCTGGCGAGCGAACGGCCTTCGATGGTGGGTTGCTTTGTCTCGCCTCTTTCCGACCAATATCAGAGCGGCGTCGGCATTGGTGTGCAATTCCACGTTCCACGCAGGCCAGACACGGGATCCGCTTCGAACATCGTAACTTTCGACGTGTACATTCTGTACATGAGTACGATTGGCGCTGTCGTTTAACTCGAGTGGGCTCGGCTTCGGCATCGCTTCTAGTATTCATCCTTGTAGACTCTTGTTTCCCGGATTCAGTGAAAGGGGGTTATGCCAGAGATCAAGTGTTGAAGCCGCGGCCGAGGTGTTGAAAGGAAGACCCACTCCGGGCGGGGAGTTTTGAGAGATAACGCAAATGTAGTAAACATCGGAACCATAGTTACCCACTGTCGTTTTCAATTCGTAACTTCGATCGTCTTTATTTAGGGAATTTTCTATTTGTTGCGATATGCGCCATCTAGGTAAGCGCAATTCATGGGGAAAGAGTGCAACTGTTGGTATCTTTCGGTTTTACAGAAACTTGCTTTGCTTCCATGAACTCTATTCAATGATGCGAGTCAAATTGCCTAGATCCAAGTAATGACAGCTTGCCCGGCAGGCCGATGGTATCATAAGAGCTCAGATACTCAAGTTCCCAACCCCAAAAGTAAATAAGCATTACTGGGCAATCAAAGAGAAATTGCGAAATTTGCTAGAGACCTAAACATGAGATACAATCATTCCGACGCGGAAATACGTCGGACTTAAAAGCTTCAACGTTGCCTGGCCCGGTAACGCCACATCCTGGCGGCATTAACCGCATTTCTCAGAAGCCTTCTCCACAACGCGGCAAACCTTGCCCCAATACGAAGCTGCCAGATTACTATTTTTACGGCCAGCACGATTGACTCATTTCCCTATCTTCTCTATTTCGACTCTGAGAGAGACTAGACAACCGAGATACCAACAATGTCCGAACAATCCACCACACCGGCTTCGGCCACGAAGGAGAAAACATTTAGCTCCTACAATAAAGAGCAAGGAACGGAGTATGCCCAACTCCGCCCCGACTACTCTCCCGCCCTGTATCAGGTCGTCCTAGACCAACACAAAGCAAGTGGCGGCCAACTTGACACCCTCGTCGATCTAGGCTGCGGACCAGGCAATGTCGCTCGGTCACTTGGCTTACATTTCGCCCATGCCGTCGGCCTCGACCCATCCGATGGCATGATCGCTACAGCCCGCTCTCTAGGCGGTAAAACCTGGACCAACGAACCCATCCGCTACGAGGTCTCAACAGCCGAAGACATTGGCGCGAACGCTTCCCCCCAATCCCAGATAACAGCGTCGATCTTATCACCGCCGCTAACTCTGCGCATTGGTTCGATATGGCCCGCTTCTGGCCCAGTGCCGCGCGCGTCCTCAAGCCCGGCGGCAGTGTCGTAATGTGGACGAGCGGTGGAAACCGCATTCACCCCTCTGTGCCAAATTATGAGGCCATGCAGGTTGAGATCGATCAGATAGAGACGGAGTACCTGAGGCCATATTTTGAGCCTGGTAACCTCCTGACTCGAAACCGCTATGCTGACCTCCCGCTTCCGTGGACTTTGGACCCTCCAGTCGCGGGTTTCGATAAGTGTGACTTCTTCAAGAAAGACTGGGACCTTGCAGAGAAATTCTACGCTGCAAATCCGGATGTGCCGCTGGATATGTTTGAGAAGATGATTGGGACGATGAGTCCTGTGACGAGATGGCGCGAGGCCAATCCCGATGCTGTTGGTACTGAGAAGGATGTGGTCAGGCTATATCGCCGCGCAATTGAGCGGCATTTGCATGCAGCTGGTGTGGAGAAAGGTAAGGAAACCGTTCGGGGCGCCATGCAAGGTGTTGTTCTGGTTGTCAAGAAGAAGAATTAGTTCATTGTACATGACTCCGACCGAGAACATACTTGCTCTAGGATATTGCATTAGTACCAATTTATGGAACCTTTCATTGGATTCTTTGCTATAACACCATGGCACTGCGGAAAATATCGTGATTTAGCCAGCCAACAGTCAGTCTACAGCCCAGGCTCTCTACAAAATCCTTCCGCATGTCAGCCCTCAACCAAACCCTAGGCAAACACCAACCATGAATTGATAAAAAATTACGCACAATCAATCAACACTAGAACGCACAAGCGTCGTATTCTCAGGGGTACCAACCACCAAATCTCACCCAAACCCTCGCATCCATCGTCTTTAGGAATAGCACGGAAATGCCAATCAGGCCTCTTATTGGCCCGCTCGGGTTATTGACGTCATGGTTTCTCTGCTAGGGCCATATCCGGCAGTTGATTGGTCGAGGAGATAGTAATAACGAGCTAAATTTACTCCGTCAGATGCAGCGGCTGAAACGATGGAGAAGGAAGAGTAAAAATGGAAATGGGAATGGAAAGTAAACTGGGTAGATGAGGTTAGTGTATTTTGATGTTGAGTCCCATCGCCTTAAGTACCAGCTTTTTGCTTCAGGGGACATTTCAACCGCAGATTTCTCTGCAATTGAAGTTGTTCTGGCCTAGAGATTGACAAGGTTTACCATCGGTGGGTTTCTTCTAGGTATTACTCTGTTTTGTTAGTCTTTTTACTAATAAGGCTTCTTTGCCAGAATCACAATGAGTGACTACTCCGTCTGGGTCCTCGTTATTATTGTCGGATGCGTCGTCGCGCTTTTCATTGCATACTCGATCGCTTACCTCGCTTCAAATGGCTTCCAAGATACACCCCAGGAGCCGGAAATGCAAATGGAACAGAAGGAATACATGAGGAACCTGAGGTATCAGAATATACTCAGACTTCAAGAGTATCTTCGATATGAAAGAAGGGGGAGACACGCTCGAATGGATAGCACAATGGAGAGCGCAGTGGAGAGCAGGTGATGCAGTACTTCCGTCTTTTTGGACACTTTTTCATGCCCTTGGATGGTCGAATAGATTGCTCTGGGGCTATATTTTCTCAAATGTGGCTTCTATACAAAGCAAAGGGACGGAAGGCTTGATACCTATATTGGACTGGAAGTGCTTCTGTACTTATACTAGATGCTCGTTGATAGCAAAATCAGATCTCGAGCCAATTCAAAACATCCTTTAGAATTCACAATGCCATAAAAAATCCAGAAAGAGAAAACAGGATGTCATCAAGCGGTAGAATCTTGCTCCAACCACCCATCCACCAACTCCTCAAAGTTAGGACTATACAGCCACGCCAAGTCAAAAGGCTTACTCTCCAACTCCGTAGCCGCCTGCCCCGGCCCTCTCGGCAACCTTCGTGCATCAATCTGCGCATTAAGCTCCAACACCTGATCAACACGCCCCTGTCTCCCCTGCTGCCAAACCTTAAGCCCATGATCAAGATTCTTCTCCCGGCACTTTGCAAGAATCAAAGCATACGTGTAAACATCCTCGAAGGCCTGATTCACACCCTGTCCCGCGGTCGGCGGGATTGCATGCGCCGCATCACCAAGAATCACGACCCGCGAATGCTTCGAAGCCCATTTGTCAAGCGTCGGCACCACATAAAAAGGCCAAAGATTAATCTTGTTCAGCGGGATGTTGGAAACAGCCGTCTGCACAATCTCAGGGAAATCCTCCGCTCCTTCGCGCAGAAAATTAACACACCACTGCTTATCATTCAATAACTTGTTCCATCCATCGCGATCGATTTCACCCGCGCGCTTTTGTTTGCCGATTAGGACCTCCGAGCCGTCTGTGAGTTGGGGAGCGATGACGAAGGCGCCGTGTTTCGGGTTCATGATTGTCAAGGGCATATTGTACGACTGCGGGATGACAAGCTGCTTTGTTGGAACGGCAGCTGTGACTCCTACTGAATTTGTGAAGCGGGGTTCCAAATCAGGATACAGGTACTTTCGGACTCGCGAGTGGATTCCGTCCGCCCCGACGAGACAGGCTGCGTGGCCGGTTGTGCCGTCTTCGAATTCCCAGGTGACGCTTGTCTCGGTCTCGGAGAGTACTTTGACGAACTTTTTGCCATATTGAACGGGGATTTGTTCCTTTTTGACGGCGGATAGAAGGGCGTCGATCAATTCGTAGCGGTAGATGCGCAAGGCATCGTACTCGTACTTTTGGCGGTCTCCGAATTCGTATGAGTCCAGCGGCCTGTCGGTGTAGAAATGGAGACTCTTGAACTCGAAGCCTAGAGGTTTGATTGTCTTGTAGATATCCACTGCGTCGAGAACGCGCAGTGCATTGGGCGAAAGCATGATAGCTCCGCCGATGTCGAGAGAGGCATTACGTGACTCGTAGATAGTGCATGGAATACCTTGCTTGTGCAAAGCGAGTGCAAGAGTCAGGCCGGATAGGCCTGCTCCGATAATTGCGACAGTGGTGGAAGTCATTTTGTATTAGGTATGGTAAAATAGGAATTTGAATTGAAGCGTGAATGCCGCGTTTAGTTTTTTGGTTTGTGCTGATGTCTATCGAGATGCTTCCCCAAGCGTAGGCACCTTCTTATATGCACTGTTTAGGTCCATGCATCTGGACTTATATGAATCGCTGAATACTATTGTTTCCGATTCTGGAGATGGTTGTCCCACCTTCGGGCGTAAGCACAGCCATGTGTCCGGACCCGAATCCCGGATCCGCGGTTCGGATCCGAAGCATGTATCTCCTGGGCCGTAAGTCATGTATTTGCTCAGATGTTTTTTACAGTCCTTATGCATGGTTTCCACTTTGTTTGAAGGATGTTTAAGATGATTATTCAATGTCAAAAGTACACATTGCCCATAAATCATACAAAATACTTGGAGTACACAACTTCTTTTCAGCTTGTAGAGTTACAAGGACGTGAAAAGAACATAAATCTTAACCACTGATGCCGACCACAACAGATAAGTCTCCATGCTCTTCAAAATCCCCAGGCTCATATGATGCAATTAGACTGAGGTATATTTTCGAATAAATGCCTGAAGTTATGAGGCCGACGGTCGGCTATGTGACCAGTGCTTAGGGTCCAGATCTGGGCAGGAAGGTCATATCATCTACGAGTGATTCCTGGAACTGGTTCAGGAGATTGTCCCACTCATTCCAGTCCATAGGGCTATCAGTGAGCAGAAAATCTGAATTTACGGCCTCCACGCTGAAGTCCGCATGTGAGGTGCCAGCCTGATGTTGGAAGAGGACACCTTGCTCGATCATCACAGGGTTTTGCTCTGCTGGTCGTGAGTCTGTGGAACCTTTGAAATCTTCACACAGCTTGGCGACAATCGTCGGACATGGCGTTGGGGTTCGCTGGTGGAGGTTACATTCCTCGATGTACACCCGCCATGCTTTAGCAATTAGGTTTTGCATGGCTGTGTGCAGAGGCAACCGAGCATGTTTGTGCATCTGTTTCACATGGCGCGAGTATATATTTCCAATGAGCTGCCAAACTTTGTTTTTCTCCTCCGGATCAGCCCGGTTTCGCATCTCCGAAAGCATGAAGATCATGGCATCCCAGGGCATGTAGTTCACCATGTGCCACGAGAACCTCTGCACGTCAGGATTTGTCTGAGCGTAATTTGCATACTCTGCCATTTTCAGGCAATGATCAAAGATAGTGTTCTTCTCTGCTTCTGGGATGCGAGTGTTTGGGTCCTGATATTGACGAGGATGGTGTGCGATCAATCTGGTGAAGTATATGGCCGATCGTGCCATCAATGTGGCGGCTAAATGAAGAGGAATAGATTTGTCACAGTATCGGAGATACTTCTGCTCCATTGAATCCTCCAATTCGTCGATGGCGTTATCCTTTTCTCTCAGTGACATTGATGATGAAGAAAGAAAAGCCCATGGCGAATTAGATCCGCGGGCGTCTTTGCTCCAGCGTCGCAGCCATTTGCCGAATTCACTGCGAGCAAGGCAGAATATCATCTCAGATGGACCTTCTTTCTCGCATGCTGGTTCTCTCATTCGTGGGTCAAGATCACTATCGTTGGCGTTCATTGGTGGCTGGGTATTTGCGTTCACCAGCATGGGGGTAGAAGCAACCCCACAGAATTGAGCAGATGTGGCATCTAGGATGATCAATTGAAACCATATTCGACGACGTATCTCAGTCTCAAATATTGAGAGGCCATATCCAGATCCATCTCGATGAATTCCAATGCGCTGCGCAATTCGTAATGCAATTCCGGCCAGAGTCCAGATTGTTTGCGGGTCAGAGAAGGCTCGCATAGACAACTAAGAATGTCATTAGACCAAGTTATGGTCGAACTGAATCAGAAGACAAACCAGATATAACATGAAAGCTTGGAGTACCATCACGCTCGAGGTCCGCAAGAAGGAAGCATTCCGGAAGGCCAGTTGAACTCCTCGTCGACATCTCGGCAAGAGCTTCTTCTTGCTTTCGCCAAAAGATTTTTCGACATCCGCAGCTGGGAGGGAAACCAGTGAAATGCAGTAAATTGAGAACATCAAGGCTTCAAGCTCCGTGCTAATACTTGACAAATCACTCATGGCATCTAAAATCTGTTGTTGGACTGTGGGAGCATGCAGGATTTTCGTCAGAGGGTTGACATTTTCGAGGAAGGTTTGCCATAGCTTGAAAATATGCAACTGGTTTGGATGCATTCCTGTGAGACTCTGTCTGGTGTCAGAATTGAAGAGATCAATGGATTCCTCGTTGCCATCTTGGGACAAATTGTCGTCCCCATCTGAGCCATTCCCCAGGACATCTGCCGCATCTGGAAGCTAAAAGTGTGTTACTAGGGGTCGCGTAAGATGTGAAACCAATCAATACGCACCTCATAACTGACGCTTGTCCAAAACGTGCTATACATGGATTAACTTGGAATCAATATTGATCAGGCAATGACTGACTTGTCGAGATAGACTGATCTGCCATCCTTTTCGATCATCCTCCCTGTCCCAGCTTTGTGAAATTCGGAGCCATTTGAGCGCGGCCTGGTAGGCAAATGGGAGTCCACGACATCGTTCAAGAAGTTCTCTCCGTCACTCATTTTCCGCGGCTTGTCGCGTTCCTGAGACGCGCTTCCACCCGCGTCACGCTCCCGTTTCCGACGACGGGGCGGCGGAGGAGGTCGATAGATGCACTCAGCCTTAGACTTTGCACAATTCGAGCATGGCTCATTTCGATCGCACTTGACTTTGCGGTTGTGACAGACCACGCAAGAGTATGGCTTGGTTGAATTCGGCGCGCCTAGCCACCCGCCATTCGCTGCGGTCTCCCCAGGGTCCATGGCTGTGAAACAAAGGTGGGAAGACTATCTGCCACTCAAGATAACATGACCAGTTCACATTGATGGAAGTCACTTGAGTGGCCAACGCGGAGGTGGAAACCTTAGCTTGCAGGCAGCAGAAACCTTGCCAGGTAGGAACGATGCAGGCCTCAGGCAACAAATCCTGAAACATCAAAATCCACCTTCGTTAATCTTACTATGGGTCTCAAAACCCTGTTTTGTTTTTATCTATTTCTCACATCCTCGGTCCTGTATCATTCATCACTCTGTCTTGCGGTCTTGGATTATACATTTGTCCGAGGCGGGAAGTTGCCTGAAATATTTCCGAGACACGGTCTTCGCAGCTATGATTCTTACATGAAGGTAAAACATGTCGCTATTCTTTGACAGGCTTCGCACAAAGGTCTCTCGAAGAGCCAAGCGAGGATCTTTTCTATTGGCACATAAAGAATCGATTTGGAAGCGCCTTCCAGACAATGTCCTTGTGCTTATCACGTCATTCTCTGAGCTTGAAGACATTGTTTCCTTGGCGTTGACTTGCCGCTTACTGCACCACCGCATTGCTAAAAATGAGTACACCATCGCTCATGCTTTTCTCAAGATTCACACACGGAACCGAGTACTGGAAGACTACTATGATGACGGAATTGAGCTGTCGCCTGGCGGTGATTTGACCTTCGTCTCAGAGCTCTTCCCGCCTCCGCCACCAGAGTATGCTGTTGGCGAGGGCCACGACGATGCTGGGTATACTTTGGGTTACTTAGCAGACTTGAAAAGATGCTGGTCAACCTGCATACGACTCTCTTATCACTTAGCTGATCATGTTGTTCGGCAACATTTGGAAACCGACAGTCTTGCCCGCCCGCTTTGGTCGTCCTCCAAGACCGAGAAGGAATACGTGTATAGTAAAGCCGTGGAGACACTGCAGGCTAGACTGCTGCGCCCCTTGTATGTAGCTTGCTGTATCAATAGTATAGAATACTGTCAGCTAACTTCCATCACAGAGCTTACGCAATCTTCTTTCTTGAGAACTCTTCAGACGACGGCTTTAACCCAGGTTCATCGGAGCATGTCAACGATTTGTTTACTTCATTCCAAAGAAAGCTTTCTGTTCTTCACGGACCTCCTTTTAACAACACTCGGAATATCATCTTAACCGAGCATTGTCTGCAACTTCTTTGCTCGACCGTCCGACGGCTTATGCACCCTGAATTTGGCCATTCAACCTCCGAGGGCTGGGTTAGCCTTCTTCTACTAAACTCAACTATGGAAAGGATTGTTGATTTCTTCCACGCCATTGCCAAAGATGACGAAAAGACACAGACCCTCTCACATGGTCATGGGCACGGGCATGGGCACGGGCATGTTTCGACTTGGTCCGCCCGCCAAGAATTCTTGTGGCAAATGCGTGACGACTTAGGACATCACATGGCATCTTTGAGCAATGCCTCTGCCAAAGATGGAGACGACATTCTTACTTTGGACCATGTCTGGTTCAAAGCAGCTTATCAAGAAATGGCCCGTCGAGGGGCCATCCCGCATTCACCAGAGGAGTTGGTTCCGGTGCTTCATGGATCTGCCCTGAAACTGGACTGCGCATATTGCTATGATGATGACGAATAGGCATAGTGTTATTTAATCTAGAAAATTACATTAAAAGGCTTCGAACGACCTTTTGTAGTCCCAGAGTAGACCATCGGAAATCCCCGATGATTATTTGCGCTAGTCCCTTCTGGTCCGGAAACCGGCTCTTCGGATTACCGAGTTGGCCTTCGGGCTTCTTTCCAGCACGACACACGAACAAACACATTGTCATAGTAGACACGAGAAGGCTTGCAAGCGCACTCAAAGTCTCAATCCGTTGCATTAAGACCTATTGCGGCACTATGATGGTCACCATGCCAGCAGTAGGTTACCCAGGGTCCGGAACGATAAGCATAGCTAACTCAGCCAGTGTGATCTGTGTCACAATAGAAAGGTTTGGATCGCCCTTTGAGTGGTTATGACATATAGCATCAAAGTATATACTAAGTGGGTCCTTTTCTCGCACAGGTCAAATGTGATCGCCAAGATCCTTGCATGAATTGCATTGATGCGCGAGCCGAGTGCCATCGCACTCGACAGGCGAGAGTCCATCGACCTCGAGTTTCCCGGTATGTATTCTTTAGTGAGGCTCTCGCTAATCGCTAATCGGCTTCTAACATCATATAGTATTGACGCCTTATCTGAGAGATTAGCAAGACTCGAAAAAGGAGATCAGAATGATTCCGTATTCTTGTCACCACCATCAGTGATATCAAATCATGATGCCTCTCGAACTGCACCCACATCCCCCCAGGCAAGATATTATGACCCTGCGAGGGCCTCTATCAAGAGGAAGCATCACCAAGAGCCTCTGCCCCATGAAGTAAGCCCGTCTGAACAGACAGATAGAAAGCGCAGGATATCGCAAACGACCGGGCAAAAGGGCCATGGTGAACGTCACTCTCTTGGCTCGACACGCCATGCCAGTGAAGCAAGAGAGTATATTGAGTCTGAGCTTCAGTGCAACCCGGCGCTTTCCCACGACAGGCGGACTGCGCTGGAAACGGCTCGGAAGTTCGTTGGTCAGCTGTCAAACCCCGGTCTTCAGCGACAAGAAGCTGGCGTGATTGAAGATATTGACATTGATGAGAACTGGACACCGCCAACTCTCACGCCTGAGTTTCTGCACATGATGCTGCCAGGGCCCGACAAAAAAACCAATTCCCAGACCATTTCCTGGCCGGATCATATCTCCGATAGGACTTTGGAACGAATGGGCCTTGCAATTATAGAGCGAACAGAAAACGAGACAATACTTCAGCTATATCGTATTACCGTCTGGGTCAAGGCAATCTGCTTCATATCAGCCTTGGCGCCCATGATATCGAGCGAGCCGCTAAAGGTTCACTTCAGAAGACTCAAGAAGCAATACGAGGTATCTGCGATTGATGAACTAAATTCTATCCCACTCACAGCTCCTCCAAGCCTGGCATTGCTCCAGGCATTACTTTCCGGGGTGCGTATGCCACCATGATCCTAATTGAAACAGCGTTAATCGCTCTCAGAAACGATTGTACCAGTATTTAGGAAACATGTCACGCTGTTGGATGTTCACAGCCGTCGCATCTCGAGTCCTCGTCGCTCTCAACTACCACAATATCACGGATGCAGAGCCCCAAAATGACGTGGAAGACGATATCCACGCCTGCGTATACACGTGTTACTATTTTGATAAGACTCTCAGCCTGCTTCTTCTTCGGCCTCAATCTTTACCAGATCTCAAGGTCGAGCCAGCACAGTTGATACACATGGATTCTGGGCTTCCAACAACACCCATGATAACAGCGATTGTGGAGTTCTCTCACTTGAAGAACACACTCGTTGATATTCTCCTCGATAACAAGGAAATGGGGGCTATGGAAAAAGCCACTATCCTTTCTGACCTTGTCGCCCGAGCGCACACGATACACGCGAGTTTCCAAGCAGTAAGTTCGTCAAATATCATCGCGACCTATCTAAGTAACCTTCTCAAAGCATCGAAGCCGTCAAGAAATGGAGTATCCTGATTCTTGGGAGATCCTCCGGTGCGAATGGCTATCGATGGACTTCAATTATTATTCCCTCACCACCACAATCATTCGAGCCCGATCAGCAGTCCTGAAATCCCGGCTGGTCTGTGAAGACTGCCTCTACGCCGCTCGAAAGGCTTTGACTACCCTCCGAGCTCTTCAAGAAGCGTTTTCGAACAGTATCACCACCGTCGATAGCTATCCTTATTTTCTCACATGGTATGCCATCCCGAGAACCAATTTCGGAGAAAACCTACTGACACCTTGGTGATGATTCACTTCAGGACAATGCTTCTCTCCCCGTTATCCCCCTTCTTCGTTTTGTTCTGCAATGTCGTCGCAACGTCAGATCAGCGAGACTTCGAAATGATCAAGAAGATCACCGATGATCTAAGCCAATTCACGAAGGCAAATGCCTCAATTGGCAAACTACATGGCCTCTTTTCAAAGTTCCTTGATCTGTGTGCGCCATTGATCAAACCAAACCATGACATGCTTGAGTCGATGTCTGTTTTCTCGGTTGATGGGAAGATTCCTCAAGTAAACTCTTACCCAGATGTATACGGGCGTACTGGTGATCAAGTGCTGCATACACTTCCCAGTCCAATGATTAGCAGGGCAGCTTCTGGTATGGGACAAGGACGGCCCGGAGAGCCACAGTCTGAGGGTTGGGATGATAGTCTGATGTGGGAGTTATTTGACAACCAGCCTTCGCTGGGATGGGCAGAGTCAGAGTTGTGGGATGCCATGGCCCAACTGGATGCATCGTAGCCATGGATTGGCACATTCGTTTCTACAATTAGAAAGGAAAGAATAGGAGGTAATCGTTGGTGCAATTAGTACATGAGTTTATTTACTTGCGGCTCTTCGAGAGGACACAGTCCCGGGAGAGTGTAAACGAATGGATCTGACATCCCAGAGTCTAGCCAAAGTACAAAAAAGGAAATGCTTGATGGGTGTGGGGCATGCAGAGGGGCCATCGTCTATCTGGACACAGCCTTATTATAATACAGTATTGAAAGAAAGGGTCGGAGAGGTGTCCATCAAGAAATCAAGACCCAGAGAAGGAAGAAAATCTATCTCTGCCGTTAGCGATATCGGGGAACGAATAGACGAGTGAATACGAACCATCAGAATACCAAACATTTTCGCAATGAGCCAGCGATTCCCTGAGACGCGAGACCAGTATTTCATCAATTCGCGCTGGGCGCCCTGCACGTTATCCACGACATCGTCTGTGTTGGCATCGATGCGCTGGATCATCTCTGATTGTTCGCTGACCATCTGGGCCAATTGGCCGAAAATACCACCAAGCTCACTAATAGTCCGTTCAATGGCTTCAATGGCCTCACCACGCGCTTGAACATAGGTGTTGCTCCCTTGGGCTTCCTCCATGACCAGCAATTGTTGATCTGATTGCATTGAGGGGCGACCCAGCGGTGAAGGGTTGGACGGCTCGAGTGTCAAGAGATCGGACGAGTTTCCTTGGTAACCGGGTTGAGGCGTGCGGCGGCCAGAAGTGTTGTACAAAGGAGAATCAGAGCGCTGGGAATCGAGAGCGTTCTGGGATTTGGATGATACAGAAGATACGAAATTCTCTGTCCTGGTTCGAGATGCCTGGATGTTCTTGGTTCGAACTTCTAGAACCTCCTTGAAGCTAGATCCTACATCGGCTAGCTTCCCTTGCAACATCACAACAACCTGAAAGATATCTGGTCAGCCATACGCGTACGCTTGTCAGGCAGTCCCCTACTTACATTGTCATTGTGTTCCCCTTCTTGATCTGTCTTTGGCCGATTGGACTTGGGGTGTTGCGCCTGAGTCAAGGTTTGCAAGCCCGCGATCTGCTGGTTCAGGGAAGCAAGGTCTTGCTTGATCACGTAGGTCAATTCGGAGATTTCTACAGGGCGATCATCGAAGAGCGTTTTGCGTTTGGCCACTATTTCCAAATTAGCCTTGGCCTATTTCTCAACACGCCTGGATCTTTCCAGACGGCACTACAAAGTCAAAGTACTCACATTCTGCCAATCGCTGCAACTTCGAAGTCGTGCCGGTGATTCCTCTTCCGATATCTCGCGCTCGTCGAGCGAAATCTGACCGCGCGCTTTTCCCTCCTTGCATATCAGGCGCTGAACCATTGGCCTCCCGCCGTTGAGCATCTGTCAACAGAGCCTGGCGCTGCGACCCAACCTTCGAGGTGCCGAGGCGCTTCTGAGCTTGACCCAGAATAGAGCTAAACTCGCTTGTGCGGTCTTGGATCGACGGGCCGGTCATTGTGTATGTATAGACTCGGTGTAAGCGACGAGGCAGTTTCAAGGGCGTAACCTCCGAATGTCAGGGTGAGTGGGGTTCACGGGCTGGACTCCGCCGTTGTTGACCCGTTGCGATCGGATAATCGATAAGGGGTTATGTAGCTTGTTGGAAATCCACCGGCAATGGCGACGAATGTTGACTGAATTAAGACACGGAGTCTATGGTAATGAGCAAGATACAGAAAGAGAAGAGAGGAAGGCAACACCCTTTGCAGCGATTCAGCGGCCGCAAATGAAAGACGTCGATCGCGGCGATGCAGTCACGTGGTTTATAGCGCCACATGACATAAGCAGCACCGCCCATCGGCCAAATTTAGATGCAGTTGCAACCCCAGACTTCGCGTCAGGGGGAAGCTTCGATACACTTGCGTGTTTTGTTCTTTTTTTTCTTCTTTATCTGCATCTTCTGTTTCCATTATTTGCACCTTTTGTGGATACACGTCATCCCGGTCCCTTGTACAATAATCTTGTTTCACCCGCTTCGGCCCCGTTTCCAGCTAACCGATCTGATCGGCGCCCGCATTGGCAACGTTGCTCAACGCCAGACCTCAAATAACCGGCGTTCCTCCCACACAAGCACAGGCAATCATCTGCACGCAGTCGCCGTGGTTTACCTGGCAGTTGCAGGATTGCGCTGATCCTTACTACGGCCGCGCAACGTCCCTTGGCGAGTTGGTCAGGCAGCAATCAATGCTCGATACCCAGATCAACTTGATACTTTGACACTACACTTTACAGTTCCCATGGCGGACCATAATAATCCTCAGTGGCATGGCCGCGCGACTCAGCGCCTGTGAGTTCCTTACCCTCCCGCTTCGTCTGTACCTCGTCACACAAGCTCTAAGACATTTTCTAGCCCTTCCCCGCCCAACGTAAACAGCCCTCTCTCACCAGCCAGTGGAGGAAACAACCCCATATCCTTTCAGACGAATGTGAATCGTGCAAAGACAAAGCGTTGGGTCGAGGCAAAGCAATATTCATACGACGGTGGCGATTGGGGCGACGAGGACGATGAGGAGGATGAGGAGCCCCCGCTCCCTCCTCAGCCACCATATGCAACCCACAGGACCGGTAGCTCATCGGAGTTGAGCTCCAAGCGCTTGTCCGGACTTGGATTTGGAACCGATGAGTCGCGAGCAAGCCCCTCGGCCGAGGCCAGGGCAAACTCTAGTGGCGGTGATAAGGTTTTGCCTTTCGTCAGACCTGTCGACCTTTACAAGCGCATGCGTGAAGAGAAGCCTTCGGTTGATTCTGGACGTCAGGCTGCGGCCTCGCCAAATCCGATTGTGAACCCTCTGGCGCAGGCACCTGTACCTGCCAATGCACCCTCGGCAGCTACTCGGGATACATCCTCAATGGGTTTACCTGAGGTGAAACGAATGTCTTCATTTGGAACCGATTTCTTAGGTGGTAGTGATTTCACCTCGCAACAAAAGGCTACTCCCGAGTCTCAGCAGTCCGTCTTGCAACATAATCCCTCCCAGGCCTCTTCGCAGGGGTTCACGTCCGTGGTCCATCAAGCTTTTGATGTTCCCGAAACCCCTAATTCCACCACTGCTGGCAGTGTGGGTCGGTCCAATAGCGATGGCACTTCTATAATCAGCCCCATCATGAGCAACCGGACGTATCAAGACGACAAAACGCCTACAATTCATGAAGATCCTGCGGAGTTCAACACCCCTACCGGATCCTCAACGCAGCCCGCAGGCGATTTCTTCAAGGCTGGTCACCGACGGGATATAAGCCTTCCCAGTCGGGATAACAGCCCCTCGAAGCTACCTGTGGTCACAGATCAGGACCCTCCCAAGTCAGGCCATGGAGAAATCTCAGCAGTCTCTCCGGGTCAAAATTACGATCAGCCTCAGGCTAATATTCCGTCTTCAAATCCCGCGGACAAGGATTTCGTCGCGCCTCTCAAATTTGGTAGCACTGGATCCGAGGGATACCGTGGGGAAATTCCTACAATTGTCGCAGGCAGCTCACCAGAAGATGCCGACAATGATAGGCTGCGGGAAGAAATCATGCGTTCATTGAGCCGAGAGAATTCTCAAGAGCCGGAGGAGCAGCCCCAGTCACAGGTTGCTCAGGAGGAGTCTATTCCGCATCAGTACGAGAAGTTCTGGGATGGTACCCCTCAACCCATATCTACTCTCGATACTGCTCCCAGGCATCTCGCTTCTGAGTCGAATGCTCTTGCTCCGCAAAATCCATGTGCGACTGCTGAGACTTCCAGTGGAGATGCTCCTCCGAGTAAACCGAAAATGGCAAGGCGCTTCTCATGGGAATCATCCGATGGGGAAACTCCTACACCGCAAATTCCCGGTGGCTATACTTCTCCTCCGCCATTGAACGCTGCACTTGCCATCCAAGAGCCTGAGCCCATTGCCGATGACTCTGATCAGCCGGCTTCAGAAGGTCTGTCAACGGAAGCGCCGATTGCCGAAGGCGAAGTTTCCGGCTCGGACAGCCAGCGCGTCGAAAAGCCTAGGCTGTCAATTGTCCTTCCCACAGCTGACGGAAGCCCTCCGCCGCCCCAAATTGCGGGGCCAAGAGACAGTCCGCAACCCGAAGCTGAGGTTGTGACTGCAAACTTCGGGAACTCAGATACCAATGAGTCGAAACTGCAGGGCTTCCGCGAAATTCTCGCTTTGACGACTCCGCAAGCGCGTATCCGGGCTTTTGACCAGACGAGAGATCAATTTGCCGGCCTTGACTCGGGTCTAACTCACTGGCTCGAGCTTAGTGTCGATGACCACCCGGAGCATGCCGGTCTAGTCCAGTCAACCCAGAGCTTGTCGGCCGATTTCCCTCGGACATCGCCGGCTCGAAGCAAGTTTCCCAAGCTGGGATCTCTGGGTAACCTCACTACCAGAGATGAGACCGCGCCGGCCAACGCCGGCCACATCCGGCGCCCATCTGGCCACATTGGAACAATAGTCAACAGGCAGAATGTCGCGCAAAGTGGGAAGGATCTCCTTCACACCGCGGGATCATTCGGTGGTAAGGCGGGTGAGGCCGCCAAGGGACTATTTGCCAAGGGCAGGAGCAAGTTCCGACCCAGCGGAGACAAGGTAGATACATGATTTCCCTCACTCGATATTTGGGGTTCCCTGGAAAAGGCGCGCTGGAAGGTCATCAGGCGGTGTTACCCTCATTCTACTTCTTTTTTTCTTTGTTTCCTGGATACCACGATGTAATTTCCCATCGCTTCGGCATTGGAGACTAGAATGCGACACGATTGATGCATCTGACTTTCTTCCTTCCTCGGCCCTGGCCCATATCTCCCTTTCCCTTTCCCTGTTCCTTTTTGTGCTGTTTCTGATGTTGGTAATGTTGTAGGGTCAATCGACAACTGAAGGACGACGGAAATCGGGCCAATTTCAGTTCTCGTTCCCCTCTGAGTCTACGGGTGAACATGGTAGCTCTTCCTTGCGGAGGTCTCTCGATATCGGGAATCTTCCCATTTTCAGAGGCCGAAATGAGACCTCTACAGCCCGTGCTGATGTGAAGGAGACTTCGCAGGAGGGTCCGGCCGAGGGAGAGCTTCCAGGTAAGCGTTTCAAAAGGCGCCGGTCTATGGACTTTTTGCGAAGTACATTCGGTGTGGGTTCTTCGTCAGAGACTACGAAAGCTACGCCCTCCAACGTGGAAAAACGCAAGAGTGGAGCATTCATTGGCAAATCCGATTTTACCAATGACTTTGAACAGGAAACGATTGCTGCTCTTGGTCTTTCTCCGACCAAGCCTGGTCCTGAAGAGTCCCTTACTAAGCCTGCGGAGCAGTTGTCAAAGGACGAGTCTAGGGGTGCCACTTCAGCAAGTCAAACAGCCACTGGTGCGGATAAAGAGTTTCCTAAAGACAAAAGCCTGCCGGCTCTTCCTAGCCAGAATTCAAATGGCCGAGTCTCGGTCGAGGTGTCGGGCGCTAAGAGCCAACCTAGTATGGATATCTCCCGACCGATGACTCCGTCAATCCGGCCGGTATTTGATGAGGATGTCAAGCCCTCTACTCCACCGAAGGACCTTCCCCCCAAAGACCTGCCGCCTAAAGGTCTCCTGTCAAGGGACGCGTCATCGAAGGACGCCTCGCTGGCCCCGCAGCTAAGCCAGGGTCAACGCCAGCCGTCAATCTCGACACTCGGTGCAGATGAGAGGCACCCTCGCAGTTCCTCTGAGGGGGAGGTGGAAACACCGCCCTCTCCTATTCAGGAGACGACAAAGGAGGCAGATGACCCTGTATACGAAGAACCTTTGCCTGAGGCCAACACAATTGAACCTTCTTTGCCCTATGAAGAAGAAAAGATAGGGTTCGTGCCGATCCCGAGACCACCAAGCTCAGCAGAGATTCTTGAATCAAAGCGCAGGTCTATCAGCGGACTGCCGCCCTCTACTCCGGGGGTACAAAGTCCCTTGAGAAACGAAGTTAGGTACTCTCCAGGAACCAGAAGCAGCATGTTGAGCTTTGGCAGTTGGGGGCGGCAGAGCCAGAGTCGCCCAGCTACCCCCGCCAATGAGCTTTCTAGTCGTGCTGATTCAGATACTCCTGCGCCGAATGGTGATTCCAAAATGAATAAGTTGAAGAGTTTCGGAAGACGACGCCGTGCCTCGGTGGGTGATCTTCTCACGGGCCGTCAAGACAATATCCAGGGAAGTACTCAGGATCTTCCTGAAGGAGGAAAGCGGAAACGTACCTTTGGCCGGATCAGTGTATGTTGTTCTCGGTCGTGATTATGTTTCTGTTGCTAATTATGCACAGGTTTTGTTCAATCGCTCCAAGGAGTCCCAGTCCTCGGATATTAAAAAGGATGACCGCATTAAACCCCATACCAAAGCCCCCGAGTCCAAGGGTCTGCCAACACTCCCCACCAATGGGCATAATGGTCATTTCAATGCCAATGGCCCCATCACAAACAAAGAGCTTCCTGCGATGCCGGCTTTTGACTCTCTGTCAATCGACAACGAAGCGGATGTGCCACGCGATGCTCGCCGCGCTAGCATGTCTTTTCCACCCACTCTTGCAACTAATGCTCTGCTTTCTGGTCGATTCTATTCTTCGACGTCTGGGGATGTTCCATCGTCCGCTAAACATACTCGAGTGAAGAGCCAGCCTTTGATGACAATCCCGCCTCTGTCCCCTATTGCCCCATCTGATTCCAATCTGAGTATGTCTCAGTCTTCTCATTTGCATACTTCCGACGGGCGGGCATCGCATGAGCTTCATGCTGAGGAAGCTCAGCAATCTCAGGAAGAGGAGGGATCTCCCGAGCCATTTGGATCGGAAGCCCAGCCAGGTCTCGGTCCCAGTGTCGGTGTTAAATCCCGCAAACAAGCAGCAGATCAATCCGAGTTTGCCACTACAGCCGAGACAACCGCACCCAAGAACACCACTGTCTCAAGCGCCTCCTTTCTATCCAACCACCCCCACCGTGATAGTTCGGCCCGCACGCTCAATGAGTCCGCTGAGCCAGTCGAGCTCGCAATTACCAAGGATGACTCCAGTGAGGAGATCCTTATGTCCCCAACTGCATACCCTGGACAAGAATGGACGCCGATGCATTACTAGCGAATTCAGCGTGCATGTTACGATACCCTGTCATTCTGACTGCCATTCATGACCATTTCCAGACAGTCGTTTCATGTCTTTACCCGGGTCCAAAGCCCCTTCGCACGTACACGAAATTGCATCTGTATGATTATGACTTTCTCTGCATCTGGCGGCTTTGTCTCATATTTGAAGCATGTTTTGTGTACTCTCGCAATTTGATTTCCATGTTAGCATGGCACAACCAGTGAATCGATCACAGATGGCCCCGGGCAAAATGCATGACAATTAAGATGCAACCAAGTATTCTACCGTTCAAGAGAATGAATGATGTGGTTGCATGATGGCAAACAAGACATGGTGGATAATCAAAGAACCCAATTCCCCCTCATCTCTTCACACCTCGCTGCCTTGAACGGTTGATCAATAATCTAATTCGAAACTCCTGAATCGAGGTGATGGCAGATATGATCCTATTGGTCGAATTTAGTTTAGTCAACAAAGGTGACGTGAAGCTGGAATTGGTAATCTTTCCCGCACTTGATATATTCATCCATTTCTCGCGCATTCGGACTCCCGAGGAATGGTCTCATGGACAACACGAGTAATCGTTATTGTTATAAATCATACCATATCTCTGCAGACAAATAGGTACTTAGCGAATCAGAAACAGGAACCACATTCGAACTCTCCAAACGCGGGAAAGGGAATAACATATTCGTGCGACGTACAAGAAATTACTTCAAGACTATAAAAGGAGTGTGAATCACCCTGATACTGACCTTTGATTCTCCATTCTCTCCGAGCTTGTATCAGCTATCTGCCTGACAATTTGGTCATTCCAGAACTCGATAATTGAGATACGCTGTTCGTCAACTAAGGATGTCTCTCCCAACTACCATCCTCGTACTCGGCGGTGCCGGCGCCCAAACTTCCTTCGTTGTCCGCGAGCTTGCCAAATCAGAGGCGTGGAAGGTTCGACTACTTACGCGCAACCCTCAGGCCGAAGAGGCTGCTTCACTCGCAACCCTGCCGAGAGTACAGATCATCGAGGGGGATTGTTACGATGAGAGCACCCTCTTCTCCGCTTTCAGGGGCATTGACGCTTGTTTTGTGAACACCAATGGCTTTGCTATTGGTGAAAAGAGCGAAATCTTTTGGGGCATCCGCATGTATGAAATTGCGCATTGGGCGGGTGTGAAACATTTCATTTATAGCGCTCTGCCATTTGTATCGAAAAAGGGAAACTTTGACCCAAAGTATCGCGTTCCCTTCGTGGATGGAAAGGCCAAAGTCGTGGGTCAGTGATCTTCCACTTACGCCTTCACCTGTTGCTAATGCTACCCTAGAGTTCCTCCGAGCCCAAACAACTGACCAAATGATCTGGAGCGTTCTCGAGAGTGGACCCTATGCCGAACATTTCCTTCTCAATCAATTTGTTCCCAAGGAAGACTCGACCGGAGAATTTGTCTTCAGAATACCTATCGGGCCCAGCGGCTCCATGCCCCTAGTCTCCTTGAGTGACCTTGCATGGTTTGCACGTTATATGTTCGAGAACCCTAGCGAATTCAAGGCTGAATTGCTCAGTGTTGGTATCGAGCATGCTACAGGCCAGAGAATTGCTGGTGCGTTCTCCGCGGTGACGGGCAAAAAGGCACGCTATGAACCGCTGCCAGTTGAGGAGCTCAAATCTCAATTGTCGCAAAGCACCAAGATCGGTTTGGCGGGTTCACCTGGATATGATGACCCAACTCTGAAGACGGTTCAGGAGATGTTCCTTCCCTGGTGGGGCATTTGGACGGAGAGCCATGGAAATATTGGGCTCTGGACGAGGGATTATGGCCGCCTAGATCGCATCAAACCGGGTCGTCTGAGAACCGTGGAGCAGTGGATGAGCTCTGTCGGCTATCATGAAAATATGGAACCGCAGAACGTGCTCAAATCTGGGTCTAGAACGTCCTCCAGGTTCGAGGAGTGATTGCGGCGGGAAGGCTGAGGTAGTTCAGTGCCTCTTGAGCAGCCTGTCCAATAAATAAGTGATAATGACGGCCATCAGAGCCATTGTTATTGCATATCTGCGAAAGTTTCTGTTTGTTGTCTGCTTCTTCGATTCCCGGTGATAGACACTCTGAAGAGAGCGCTCTGCTTTGTCCAGGATATTGGGAATGTACTGGTATCGACGAGTAGAGCTCTAAGCCCAATATTGCAGACGAGGAGATTTGGACAGCTTACTCGGTGCTCTTGTTTATATAGTACTAAGAATATGAAATCACAAGAGACTACGTCCATTATTACAGAGCTTTGAAACAGGCGTAAACGCGTTCGAACGGCTCGAAAATGACAAGGGGAGAAGTATCAAGCCTCTATGCTCTAGATAGCAAGTCTTATAATACAAAATTCCATCGACTCCCTGCCCTTTGCCACCATGACGCTTGTAGAAGACCCGTGGTCAATCAAGGCAGGTATTGAAAAACCAACATAACTCCCACGAGTAGAGAGGTGTGGATGGAGAGAGGAGATTGTCACTCAAAGGCAGTCATAGAAGGTGTCTAGATAAGCAGATCTACCCCTCAAACACATTGTGATTCAACTCAACGCCCATATCCTTCGCCATGCTCTGCATTTGGGCCTCAATGTCATCTTCCATTCCACCGCCGAGATGGAAGAATTGTCGCAATTTGGCCCAGTAGAACCAGACATCACTGGTCACCAGGACGATACGGAAGATGACGTGGCGGCCTAGGTTACGGATCTTCTCCGATAATGGGAGATCAGGGGAATCGACGAGCGCGCGCGAAGCCCATATTCCTGTGATCTTGACACGGTTGACTGGGGAGCCGAGGAACTGGTTGTTCGCCTGGACGATGCGGAGGTTGCGGCCGATGAATATCAGTTCCTGTGGCCACTTTGTCCCATCGCCTAAAATCTCGCGGATAGCTTTACGGGCTGCCTGCTGCATCTCATAGTGGCGTTCTTGGAGCTCGTGCTTGCTGAGGCCTTGGATATGGCGCTGAGTAGACATATCGCCACCGCGGTAGGGGCGCAAGAGAGTGGCGGAGGCGAATATATCAGCGTTGTTGACGCCCCAGCCCTTGACGATCTCGGTTAAGGTAGAGTTGTCAAATGCGAGCAGGGCCTTCCAGAAGCGCGCGTACTGATGCCGGAAGTTGGGCTCCATGTGGATGTACAGGCCGTGATCGATGAGGACGAGCTCAGGCTGGCCGGAGGGCTTGCGTCGGATGAATATGTTGCCGGGGTGAGGATCGCAGTGTACCCATCCCCAAAGGAACATCTGAGCGGAGAAGAGGTCGACCATGGTTGTCATCACGTCTTTGAGTGACAGGCCCAGCCCGCCGCGGTTGTTCTGGCCCTTCCAGTGGTTTCGCTCGGGCTTGGCCTTTGATAGTGGGTTTTGGTCGACTGGTGCGTTCTTCGGCTTTGGAGGATCCATGGGTGTTCCGTGACATCCTGGACTGCCCTGACGCCAGCCGCCGCGCCATGATCGTGTGATGGCGTCTTTGTCCCAGAGACGTACGCCCTCGATCCATTCGGCCGTCATGACTCGTCGAGAGCTGAGCTCGCGGTAGACTTTCGGTATGTACACACGGTCACGCAGGCGAGGTTCACCGGCGACCAGTCGGGCCATGTTTTCCGAGTTGGTAGCTTCGTTTTCGAAATCGGTTTCCAAGGACAACCGCTCGCTGATGTATGGGACCAAAGTGTAGAAAGGAATATCGAAGAGTTTGCTGTAGATGAACGTGACGACTCTAGAGAAAGCTGTTAGTCTATGTCATTCCTCCCGTCTGTGCGCGGCCTCGTTGAAACTCACTTGAACGCCCAAAGATCCCAGTTCAGCTGCTGCTCAATCTCATGTTTCTGGATCTTAATAGCAACTTCCCGTCCATCCGGCAGACGAGCCCAATGAACTTGCGCTACACTAGCACTAGCACGCGCCTTGCGCTCCATAACACCCTTTCCAGGCTCACCAGAGAACGAGACGCCAAAGACCTCTTCGGGCGACTTCCCAAAGTCTTCACGAATAACCTTCTCGACCTCCTTCCAATCGTTCTGCGGCGCATCATCAAACATACGCGAGAACATCTGCTGGAATTCAGGGGGCAGAATCGCCGACTGCATGGCGACAGCCTGGCCCATTTTCAAGTACAGCCCACCATTGTGACGTAGGAGATCCGATAAGCGCTCAGCGTTGCGGGCATGCAGAGCTGTAATGGAGCTGGCGAGGGGAGGGTGCGGCCGGAAATTGATTTTATAGTCCAATGCGACGATCAGACCGAGGGAGAATGTGCGGGCGGTTCGAGTGAGCGATGAGGCGTAGAACTGTGAGTCGACGCCGTAGATGACGCCGGTTGCGACCGAGGCGTAAACTAGTCGTCGTAGCCATTTGCGGGTACGAGTGTATGTCTTTGCGGCGGTTGGTTTGCCTAGCGAGCTCGGCGAGGGAGGGAGGAAGGGCTGGAATTCCCCCGCGTGCACACATCGGCGGGTTAAAGGGCGCCAGATGGATCGAGCTGCGGAGGGCCGCAGCGGTCGGAGGAGTGTCGCGTGCGACATGTTCATAAAGAATAGGGGGTATCAGCACATTGCGCGAGATGGACTGATTCCTCGGGGTGAATGGGGGTGACAGCTCTCTCTCTTTCTATCTAGAAGGAGACGGTTGCGGAGATAAGTGAAGATGCCGTCATCCGTGGTGGTGTGGCCTCGGCGTCGGACGAATGCTATCGCCGTCTTGCAGAATAATTTCCTCACAATGATTTTACAATATACGCTAGTTGTCTATGATCCAATTCCAAGATAGATACAATTTGAGACGTAAGATTTCTATCACAGTTCCTCATGGTTCGGAAGCGCCAGGGTATCACACACGCTCGCATATTCCCTCATGTTATTCGGAATCGTCACCTCCCATAGCTCATCACCCTGAAGGAACTTATATTGCTCCTTACACCCGGCCTCAGACGCCATTGGAAGAAGAACGGGGAGGTGTTTGATCGATGCCTTCACAAAATTGGTCTTGAAGCAGTTCCCGAAGTCGGCCAGCGTATCCGGGTCCGAGCAAATGTGTCGCCCATGTAGCAGTGGGGCGCAGCGTTCTTTGATGATGACGGCGACATCGTCGCCCATCTTCAATAGCGCGTCTTCTTTTTGAGGGAGATCCATGCGCTTCATGAGGCTGCGCACGGCGGGGACAAACGAGTTGTTGCGAGTCCACAGGTCCCAGTGGGGGATTGTTGGCTGGCATCCGCGGTCACAGATTTCGGTCTGGAATTTGTTGAAGAGATGGCCTGGTCGGCCGACCAGGGCTGCGACGACTTTAAAGCATGTTGGTCCGATGGCTGCAACAGGAGTAAGGACGAGGAGGAGGAGGAAGAGATGGTCGGTCGAGAGGCGCATCACGAGGAGAAACGATCGATGGATAATCTCAAGATTAAGATGGTTATTGCAGTGATTCAAGGCCTCAAATCGTATCAGTTCCAGTCAAAGTTGGGAGAAGTGTGAAAGAACTTAATCCCCGCGAACCCTGAAATGCGAAGTGGAGTGCGGAGTTGAATATAGGCTCCACCGGTTGAACTCTCCGGTGCATTTCATTTGGATCGGAGTATCCGTCGATTTAGGAAGCTAGATTCTATACATATGCTAGAGTCTTCAGCTACATCTCACGTCAGCCCGTGGTCCCTGTGCTGGACAGAATCTAAGCTTCCTTTTACCTTCACCCTCACCCTCACCCTCACCCTCAGTCGCCGAGGCCAATACCCAAACTGGTATTTCCATCTGAGACGCGTCGGCGCTAGGGCTCTCTAGTGAAAAAGCCCGCCACATTTCACTTACATGCTCCAGAGCTGTCAGCTAGAAAGGTTTGAACTGTATCCAAGTTTCGCGACCTATCTACCCCGCCATGGACTCTCTCGACCTCCAAGAAGTGGACTCTCTCGAAGCCATTGTCATTATCGACAATGAACTGGACCCTCTGTCCATGCCAGCTCCGGAGACAGTGCAACTCTCTGGAAACCTGGCCACTATCGGCATGAGTGCGGGCCACGTTCCTATCAACCGCGGCGGTGCTTACAGAGAGATACGCATGGAGGACATCTGCTGCTCTGCGCATGGCCTGTCTATCCTCGTGGTAAGATAGCTCTGTTTTTACCTTGAAGGAAGTCCACTCATGGATGCTGGCGATGTAGACAGCTACCAAAGGCGATAAAAAGCACTCCGTCCTCTTCGATGCCGGCCCGGAAGAAGACATCTGGGAGAGGAACGTGAAGCGACTCCGGCCGGATCTCGCCTCTGTCGAGGTGATCCAATTGTCGCATTGGCATCGGGACCATTCAGGTCGGTTCAGCCGCAATTGACGATGCATCAAATATATCAGTGTGCACGCTCTGACTGGTTTCAGGTGGTCTTGGTAAAGCTATTCGAATGATCAAAGAGGCGAAACAAGCCCAGGGCATTTCAGATGAGCTCCTCGTAGACGTGCATCCAGATCGACCCGTCTATCGAGGGCTCGCTCTGCCGGAACATATCATATCTCTCGAGGCCGACCCTACCTTTGAAGAGCTGTCCAGCGCTGGCGCCCTAGTGGACAAGCAGAGCGAGGCCCACACCGTTCTCGATGACATGTTCCTCATCTCAGGCGAGATCCCACGGGTAACTCCATATGAAGTTGGACTCCGAAACGCAGTCCGGTTTGATCCCGATGAGAAGGAATGGTACTCGGACGAAGTCATCGCTGACGAGCGCTTCCTCGCAGTCAATTTGAAGGGTAAGTGTATCACACAGTGATGTCAACGAGACCAAGCGCTTAAACCTTTCAGACAAAGGCCTCGTCGTCTTCACAGGCTGCAGTCATGCAGGTGTAGTCAACACGACCAAACACGCCATCGACCTAGTCAGCCCCAAACCCCTCCTCCACGCCGTAGTCGGCGGCTTCCACCTTGCCATGAGCGAAGAAGCCCAAATCAA